TAAAATCTCGAAAATCCTTCTCCTCCCAAACAATCAAGAAACAATAAGATGACAGGACTTTGATAGGATGGGTACAAAATCTTTAAAATCGGAAATCTTCAAAAATTGCGAGCCAAAATTTTGGACTTCTCAGTATATAGGATCTCAGAAACTGGAAACGTAGTGAAATTTAAATTTTTTTGAGACTGCGAGCCATTTTTGAAAGAAAACATAACAAAGCCCTTAACCATTCGAATAAGAATCTCATGAAGAAATCTTAAAATCTCGAAAATCCTTCTCCTCCCAAACAATCAAGAAACAATAAGTTGACAGGACTTTGATAGGATGGGTACAAAATCTTGAAAATTGGAAATCTTCAAAAATTGCGAGCCAAAATTTTGGACTTCTCAGTATATAGGATCTCAGAAACTGGAAACGTAGTGAAATTTAAAATTTTTTTGAGACTGCGAGCCATTTTTTTGAAAAGAAAAACATAACAAAGCCCTTAACCATTCGAATAAGAATCTCATGAAGAAATCTTAAAATCTCGAAAATCCTTCTCCTCCCAAACAATCAAGAAACAATAAGATGACAGGACTTTGATAGGATGGGTACAAAATCTTTAAAATCGGAAATCTTCAAAAATTGCGAGCCAAAATTTTGGACTTCTCAGTATATAGGATCTCAGAAACTGGAAACGTAGTGAAATTTAAATTTTTTTGAGACTGCGAGCCATTTTTGAAAGAAAACATAACAAAGCCCTTAACCATTCGAATAAGAATCTCATGAAGAAATCTTAAAATCTCGAAAATCCTTCTCCTCCCAAACAATCAAGAAACAATAAGATGACAGGACTTTGATAGGATGGGTACAAATTCTTGAAAATTGGAAATCTTCAAAAATTGCGAGCCAAAATTTTGGACTTCTCAGTATATAGGATCTCAGAAACTGGAAACGTAGTGAAATTTAAATTTTTTTGAGACTGCGAGCCATTTTTGAAAGAAAACATAACAAAGCCCTTAACCATTCGAATAAGAATCTCATGAAGAAATCTTAAAATCTCGAAAATCCTTCTCCTCCCAAACAATCAAGAAACAATAAGATGACAGGACTTTGATAGGATGGGTACAAAATCTTTAAAATTGGAAATCTTCAAAAATTGCAATCTAAAACTTTGGACTTCTCAGTATCTCAAAACAAAATAACATAGATATTCCCAGCAAAATAACAATGAATCAGTCAAAAATCAAAAGCTTCGTAGTTTTCTCGAATCATTGAAACTGATAGAGTTTTTTTTTTGTTGAAAAAACGTTGATATCACTCCGTTTTTCAAAGTCATTTTCTCAGGAATTCTTTCTGATTCTTAAAAGTAAAAAAAAAAGTATTGTTTTCACCTCGTCAAATCTCAGAAATTGTATATCTCTTTATTCTTATTTTCGACCAATAAAAAGTTTGTAGTTCGGTCGGAAAACCATTTTCACGTGGTAGTGAAGCTTCAGTTTAGATCAGCAGGTTTTGAAATATTTATGTCAATCAAACCTTAAATCCTGTGAATTTACTTAATAATTATGTAGTTTTTTCACTCTTCAATAAACCTCAAGTATCGGTAGAAAAGTGCATGTAAGAATGAAAAAAATTGGAAATTCATTGACTAAGTCTTACTAATATTTTTTCTCGGAAAGCTTTTTCCCTGAATGAAGTTCAATAAAAAAAGCCCTATGGTTCAAATATGTTCAAGTACAATAAGCTGATTTTTTTGATAGTTCATAAAGTTCTTTTTTTCGAAAAAAATTAGTAAAGGTTCAATAAGATTAAATACTGAAATTATTTTTGCTGATTTTTTTGCAGACTTTTTTTGGAGCAGTCGTAAAAAAACGACAACCACGTTTTTGGACGTTTACATGCATTATTTTTTGAACAAATTTTTTGGAAGTTTTGCGAAATGAATTTTTTTTCCTTTATTGTGTTCTCTTGTTCTCATCGTCATCACACATAACACAGAAAGCAGTCAAAGGTTTATGAATGAAGAACAAAGAGAATGAAAAAGAAAAGATGAAAGATGAAAAAAGGAAGCTGATAGGGTTTTGCTCACAGCCCAGCAAGATCTGTCTCAGCACACAGCTTCGAAGGTATAAATCTCTCAACGCACGGAGAAGAATCTGATCATCAAAGCGTTCAAAATTCGTGTGGTTCAAGATTATTTACGCACCGTTCTTAATCAACTAAAATTTGGCGAGCCGGTAAACCGCTTTCCAATCGATCCATTTTGATTAAGAATTTCTTTGAAAACTGAATAAATATGCAATTGAATAAACGTTTGTGTTCGTGAGAGGATATTGTCGTTTTGTCGAGCTTTCCATTTTCTGAGAAGAAAAAAAAACATTGATCGTAGATTGGTGTCCCCAGAATAAGAAACGAATTGTTATTCAACCGTCAAAATCAACAAGATCCTCAAATTTACCAAGATTCAGCAGAGCATCTTCATTTTTTTGATGTACTATACTGGCAATAAAATATGTTCATTAATTTTTTTGGCCTTTACTTCGGTCTAAACGATCAGAGTCTGTTATATTTTTTTGATATGCTTCACATAAAAAAATGTTTTTAAACAGATCCAAATAACATTATGTGATGTTCAAAATATGGAAAAAATTTTCAGCTTTCAAAGACCAAAAAGGGCGAAAACTCTGTATTATCAACTTTTTCCATAACAATTCTGGAAACAACATAATTTCTCGAAACGAATTTCATTTTTTTAATTAAATATTGAAGCTTTCACAAATTTTTTTCTTCTCAGAAAAGTCCATTTCAACTACAATGGATCCCATAATCTTTGTTCAGAAATGAAATATGCTAGATATGGCATAGCGTTGTTTAGAATTTCTCATGGCTCGACCAAACGTCAAACAACAGAATAAACAAGTTTCGAGCCTTTACAAAAATTTTTCATAGACGTTCATTATGTAACCTTTTTTGTGATTTCTGTTTCAAATGAACTTGAGAATAAAAACGGGATTTTCGAAAAACTGTAATCTAAAGTATCAGTAAACGAAATATCATCAAATTTACATAAGATCGTCTCGTGGATTCGAAGCAAAATGAATGAACAGCAGCTTTTTTTGTGCATGGCTGGGGTTAACAAAGTTGTCAGAAAACACTCCTTCAAAAAAATACAAAAAAAGATATTATAAAAGCATTCTCTCAGGAAAAAAAGTTCTCCGAAGTGCTACTGATTCGAGCCAGAGTTCTGCAGAAGGAAAGGCTTTTTTTGCACAAAAACTTTTTCCCAAAAAAAGTTTCTTCGATTCATTTATTCATGCGGATGAAAAAAAATCAAGAAATTTTTTTATTATTAAGATCAGTAGTCCTCTTCCCATGTATTAGTTCGTTTTCCACACATGCTCTTGAGAAAAATGTCGTCCATTTTGACAGGCTTCTTCTCTTTCGGAATCAAAAATTGTGAATGAATTTCTTTTTTCTGTGGCCTGTGACCTTTCATTTATCAAAATTTCATTTTGCCTTTTCAAAAGTGTTTGAAAAACTTTATAGCAAATTGAGAAGAAAGTTGAAAACCCAGAATTATGTCATTTTCCTTAATGAGAGATGAAACTATTTTTTTTTCTGAACACCACATTATGTCATTTGATTTCATGTGCAACTTTATGCACAGCCCATCGAAAATTCAGTAAATTCTGATCTTTTGTTGTGAAAGAAAATATTCAAAGCTTAACATAGCAGACAAGCAAATTTCTGTCTTTGTTGAGCCGAAATCGTAAATTGTCCCAAAGAAGAATCAGTTGTACAGAAGGTCATGAAATTTCACAGGACAGCATATTAGTTTAAAAAAAAGCGAGAAATTTCTATCAATCTTCTTTGAAGGTCTTCATTAGCTTCATTAGCAGGTCAACCATTTTTTTAGTCAGGAATTCATCATACTGACAGCCTTTCGGCCAAGATTCACATAATCAATCTTCGAGTTAATTTCTGGAATGGAAAAAGCTCTTCAAAGACTGAAATAATCTTCAAAAAATTTCTCGGCCCATCGTAGTTTGGCAATTGCCTTGATAAGATGGAAAGCGAAAAAACCCACCAGCAAAAACAGCCGATTTTGTGATTATCAAAATTCAATCTGTTTTTCATAAATTTCTGGCTATGTCTTCCTTTTCCGCTACTTCGGTTCTTTTTTGGTTTATTTTTTAAACGCTTTTCATAGCTCTCGAAAGCGTAACTGAAATACACGTGTAAATTCCATCAAAAACATATAAACGTGAAAAGATCGAATTTTAACAAATGAATGCAAAAGAGGAATTCATCTTCAGCGACGTCAAATATGGAGATTTCGACTTGGTGATTTTAATAACCAAGCTGATAACAAAAATAAATTAAGAAAGTTTTGTTAAGTGAGCCTGAAAAATTGCAACAGTTGAAAATATTATGTGAGAAAAATGACCGCTACCAAAAAGTAGAGAGAATCCTCTAGAGTTGTGAGGGATTTGGAGAAAAAAAGGGGTGGCGCGTAGTGTGCGCGTAAGCGGTTCTTGGCCCGAATTCAATTCAAGCGCCAGCGATTATTATGAAAGCTCGGACTTCGCTCGTTTTGCATTTTTAAAAATAGCGGTAAACGAGCTCTCCAAATATTCCCTGGTGGTTAAACCGAACTCGTGCCAAGAACCGTATACGCGCACGCTACGCGTATCGCACACAACTCCGTCACCTGTCCATAGTCTATCTTTCTTTCATTTTTTAAGAAGGAGAAAAAAAGTTTGTACTACTCAAAACTGAAAGTACACAAAATGAAATTTGATGATGGAAAAAGATTTTTTATAACTTGATTGTCGCTATTAGACGCGGTATTTGAAAATAATTGAGAGCAAAAACTATAATTTCTGCACCAAACTTCCCCTTTCATTTCAACTTGATTATGAAAATCTGCGATTTTGAATAATTTCCCCTGCGCTTTCCCTTCTTTTCCGACAATTCAATTTGTCGAAACGATAGGTGCTCTTAGAAGGAGCCCTTTTATGACTCTCTCAATGACTGATAAGCACTTGGCCATGCGGACCTGCAGCGTCGTCGGCCTCACTCTTATACTCCTCTTTCTCTTTCTTTTGGGAATCTTTTTGCTGATTCCGTTCCCTATTGCTTTTTTCCAAAACATTGTCAACTCGCAAGTATACTTACAGTAAGTCAAATAGAATCGAAGTTCTACAAGATCACTCAAAATAACAGAAAGCACAAAGATGGTCAATTTCCAACTGCTACTTATTTTTGGTCGAGTCTACCAGCCACACAGTATTTCACTTTTTACTTTTTCAACGTTACCAATCCGGATGAAGTCACTTACAATGGGGCCAAACCGAATTTAGTGGAAGTCGGACCTTATACCTATGCGTATGTCTTCTATTCATTTTGGAAATACAACCGTGTTTTTCAGAGAGACGGAGTTCAAAGATTTCATCGAATTTTTGGATAATGACCGGACGGTTTTTTTTCAAAACAATAAAACATGGGTGAGTGAGGCAAAAGGGTAAAATCAGAGGAACACTAGCCGTAATAAATTTACATTTGAATCTTTGTTGCAACGATAAAATTTATGTTGTAAATTGAAAAATATATTTTTGAAGGTTTACGACCCGTCGCGGTCCTGCGCGGATTGCAGTTATAGCGACGTCGTGACGCTTCCTAATGCTGCTTACATGGTTTCTGATTTCAAAAATTAAAACGTGATAAGCTTTTCAGACTGTGGTATACATGAAAGCTCAACAAAACATGAGTCCGCTCATTGCCCTCGGGGCTGACGTCCTGACTTTGTTACTAGGAGAAGCCCCAATCAGGTTTTTTGGAGACTTTACAATACATAAATGAAATCGAATGATTATTGAAGTGTTCAGAACCGTGAGCATGGCCGGAGTTCTTTTCGAGTCATATCCAGATCCTTTTTTGGCTCTTGTGAATAGCAATTTTACGAAGGTCCATCCAAATTCGATGTCTGATCCATTTATTTTACAGACTTTGTTGGGAATTCTGGGCAACCCTATTCAAATTCCGAATGTTCCAGCGATGGGATATTTTCCGAACGTGAGTAATTATCATTGTTCTCAAAGATGGTTGTTCAGTACAATCACACTAACGATGGAAATTACACTATCAAGACAGGAAAAGATAAATCCAACAAGTAAGTTTGAACTATGGGTTTGAAGGATAGGGACTTTGTGTCAAACTTTCTCCTCATCAAATTGACAGTATGGCTCTAATTCAATCATGGAGCAATCTGACCCATTTGCCCTGGTGGTCATCTGACGATGCTCGAGACCTCAGAAACAGTGGAGGTTCTATTTCTCTCTTCTCAGTTTTTAGTCGCAACTTTGCAGATGGCACATTTCAAAGGCCTGGATTGCAGAAATCCGATCGTCTCAAGCAGTTCCAGTCTTTCACTTGCAGGTTGATTTCATATTTTACAAAAAAGCATTCAGATATTACTTCATATGCGTTTTTGCAACTTAATTTCTCCACAATATTGACCGACAGGAGAAAAAAAAATTTAGACACTTCTATTTGTCCTACTCTGGACGTGAAGAATCGGTGAATGGAATCCCGGCATACCAGTTTGCAATGGAACCAGATACCTACGATTCAGTGAAACAACGAGGTTACCGCTACGAGAACATAGAAAAAGTGGTAAGTACACAAACAAATTGACTATATAAAATGTGGCAAAAGGATTATTTTCCCAACTGGCCGTGTGGCCCCAACCACACTCGTTTTCTTGATGGGAACTGTCAAGTCGACTGTAGTGCTGGAGAAAACTTGTGCAATCGCTGCTGCAACGGCAAGCCAAAATGTGAAAGTTCATTGGAATCGTTTTTTTCAGGATCATATGTCAACGGGACATATTTGTTACCACAAGGAATCGTTCCTCTCCGCTGTCTTCCAGGTGAAAACTTTTCAAATTTCCCTTCGAATCAAACATTTTGAGAGCAAAATTAAACTAAAACTCAGAAAATGCTTCTAAATGGCAATTTCGTCAACATTTCTGTGGGATAGGGACGAAATAGCCTTGAGCTCTAGAACTTTTTGTAAAGGTTTTTATAGTTGAATTTTTAAAGCGAGATATAAAGCAGCGGCCGCGCGCCTTTGTCGAACCGATTGACAAAAATCGAACGAGTGATGAGCAATTACTTTTTGATTCATATTCTTGTTGCTGATGAACAACCAAATCTCAAGAAACAACGCATAGAGCCCTGGAAGACCCCTAATCCGAATTTATTAGGCGAAAAAAGAATACTGAAAAAACTTTTCTGGAAAAAGTCTGCAAAATGAGAGATTTTGCTGATATTCTCAAAGCTCTGAAACGGTTTTCGCTGCCGTCCATGGGCTCACGATTTTTAAAGACCTGGCTTTTCCATGTTCGAAAAGTTCGCCGGAGCGTATGCTTTCGGAAAAGTAAAAAAAATTCTTTACGATGTCAAAATTCATAATTTCAGGGCAATTAGTACCACTTCCTTTTGCCGGATTCCTATCTCCTCCACATTTTTTGTGGTCTCCCAAAGAAGTGAGAGAAAAGTTGAAAACTTGGAACTTCTAGAAGTTGAGGTGACTACAAGCTTACCAGGACTTGCGCCTGATGAGAATAAACATCACCCAGGAATGTTCAACATCAATCCAGTCAGTTAAATTCAGCGGAAACTTTTTTAGCCTTTTTTATTTTCAGCTCACCGGATCGACAGTTGGCGCTATCTTCCGTATGCAACTGAGCGTTCCGATTTACCTCTCATTTGACTTCACGTGATTTCACACTTTTCAAATGAAATCTTTCAAGAATTTCAGCCAAGCGAGCAACCTCGCCAATTCGTTTCTTCCATCTTTTTGGCTTGAAATCAACATCGAAATGAGAGACTACGCAGTATCCTATATAAAGTTCAATACGGTTGCTCTGCCGAAAATCATTCTTGGTGTGGGGATCGCTCTTGTTGCTATCACGGTAGGAAATCCATCACATATATGTTCAGAAGTTTTTCTTTTCCAGACGATTTTGCTTTTGGTGGGAATTTTCATCGTAATTCGCAAACGTCGTCAAAGAATCCCCAAACAAGTCGAAACTGTCGCAAGGGCAAATACATCATGGTCAACTTCATAGAAAACTATTTTGATTGAAACGTGTAGCTTATAAAATTTTGAAAATTGGAATCGTTTTTTCAAGTTTGGCATTCTCCTGACAAGGAATTTATTTTTAGCCCGCGGTTGAACTTTTGATGAAATATGATTGGAAGAACGTCCTAATTTTTGACAAAAAAATACTCAAAAATAAATTTTTTTCGAGTAATTACCATTAAGATTTTTCAATCAACAAAAAAATATCGAAAAAGGTTATTTGAAAAGTCTTGAGCTTCATTGCTCAACAAGATCTACCCTAAAAAAATTGTTCATATTTTGTTCTGAAATCAGAAAGTTCTGAAAAACAAAATAACCAAATTTCATCAAAAGCCCAACAGGAGGCCAAAAAAAAGTCCTTCAGGGAGTTTCTGTTTTGGGCTTTGTTTTCAACTCTGCATACGATATTTCATACAAATTTAAAAAAAAGAACAATTGAGCAAAGTTCTCATTAAAAACAAACGGAAAAGGCATGTACCCGAATTTTTCCAACTTTAAAACGCCTAACAAAAAAGCTGATCAACAGAAAGAAACCTAAGAAACGAAGAAAAAATGTTAAATCAGTTGAAATGTTGAATCAGGAAGAGTCTTTGTCTTTGGCGGCTGGAAAAAGAAGGTGAAAGTTTGAGATTTGCAACCAGAAGGTCTTACTTTTGAAACATTGAGTACGCATAGCACATTCCATGAACGAAAGAAGTTCTTCGCTACAGGCGCCGTTCTCTAGTTGCTCCACAGGCGTCGACTTTTGACAACTGATAGCCTCTCTGCATTTAGCTATTTCTTGCATATTTTGATAGAACTTCAAAAAAACGGAAGTCTACTTTTGAACAAAATTTTTCTATTTGTTCTTTTTGTTTTGAGGCTGAAAAAAAAAGAACGGAACTTTTTGTCACCAGGCTAGAAAACGAGTATACTTAAATCTGGAAAGCGGTAAACTTTTAGTATTGATGCTCAAGCAGTCCTCCAAATGGTATTCAAATAGATAAAAAACCTGAACTCAAAGCCGCAAGGACTGGCAACCAAATGAGCAACGCAATGGCATTCGAAATTGACACTTCCGTCGGGTTTAGTAGGACCTGAACAGGAATTTATTGAAATGTATTGCAATAAGGTTACCTGGGTTATCACTCGGATACATATCGCCAGGTTCAATTTTTGCGATTGAAGCGGCGTAGTCGTCTTTTATATCTTTCCAGTATTCCTTTTCAGGAATGGTGACAACCTCAAAAAAGCTTTTATTTTTTTTATTAATAAGGAGCTTCTTTACCTTATCGTTTTTCAGAAACTAAATTGTTTGACATTGCTGGTCGAGAAGGTTCCCAAACTTCTGCAGAAGAAATTGTTTTTTTAATCAAAAAGATGTTGAACATTTCATGAAAAATGCGAAGAAAAAAACGTAGTTCTGAGAGCAAGCAAAAACTCTTTTTCAGAATTGAATGATTTTTCCTTTACCTCCAAAAACTAAATAATAAACTTTATTAGTGTGAGAAAACTTTTATTATATTTGAAAAAAACCAAAAAAACTAGAAAAAAATATTTAAATAAAAAAGTTTATCGTTCGAAGATAAAGAAAATAGTCAAAAAAATAAACGATGAAAAAGCAACGGCAATTATCGTAGGAAGGGGGGCGTAAGTTAAAATGTTTCCTGTGCATGAACTTCAGCGCCCATTTGCTTCTCTTGCTCGGTTTAAAAAAAGTACCATGAATTTACATCACTTTCTTGTTTAATTTAATTTTTTTAAAACCAATTCCTAAACAATTTTTTTTTCAGCACTTGTTCTCTGCTTTGATGCACGTTCCAGAACATATTACTGTAACTGGCGACGAACTTTACTTTGATGGTTCAAGTTCGGTTAGTTTTGGCATAAATTCCATTTATTCAAAGTCAAAATTCTAGAACATACAGAATTCCAATCGGCGCGACATCGTTGAAAAGATGGCGGTTGGTTTTATATTCATATTGAGTTTTCACTGGAATAAGTTAACTTCGGGTAGAATATTTTTTCAGGTTCCTGATAGGATCACTGTTGCTGGAGGAGACAGCTACGGGACAACGGCTTCCTATCCAAATTACAGCGTAGAAAACCGTATTGCCGGGGTGAAATTCACGAGAAAAACTTCCGAAAATGTGGAAATTCAGGTCGACGCCTTGTCTATGGAGGTGCCTTCGACTCTCACTCTGGACACGGCGGAATATGATCATCCAAAAGAAATTTCTACTCAGGTATTCTGAAAATAATCTAGGAACAACTGTCAAATTCTAACTGAATTCAGGACAGCGTCGCTACTCAGAACTCAATTGCTGTCAACGAAAATCCTTTACACGAGTTGAAACAAATGCGGCGTCAGCTTGGTTATTGATTAATCGTTCTCTGGTTTTACTTTCAATTTCAGGACGCTTGACAGAAAGAATGAATTATCTTGAAATTGAAATCGCCCATCACAACAACAAAGATAAGGTAACTTTTTTTTCCTTTTTTCCCCAAGGAAGGTTGTTTCGGTTAAAGTATGAAGATTTATATATTAAACTTCTCAAAAACTCGGAATAAATAACTTCCATTATCACTATACTTTCAAGAAAATTTTTTTTCTAAATTTGGCATTGAACGCATTATCAAAACTAGTAACAGAACCGAGCGGATAAAAATCATAAATATCCAAAACAAAAAGTTGCGCAAATATCACAAATCTCATTCTGGACTTTCAAGAAATGTTTGACCAAAAATGGAACTATTTTTCAACTTTAGAGTGAAATGACTTTTTTTCTCGTTTTATTTTCCAAGATGAATTTACCTTTTTTCAGTACATGTTTGGCGCTTTGTTCGGATTTGTTCTGATGGCCGCTTACGCTCTTCTCAAACGATGAACTAAAAAAAACACAAACCTCAACTGTCAAATATTATAAAGTGCCATGCAATTTTCTAAGGACCAACATTTATCATGCTGTTTTAAATAGATCGATTATTTTTGTCGAAATTTACGGGGTTTTGTTCTGCAAATGCAATTATAAATATTTTTCAAGCTTTGTGTTATCAATGGTTCTGAAAAGCCACATCAGCAGCATGTAAAAGTGATCTGATACAGAGTTTACAGAATTGGTACCTTTTTCGAATGAAAGATTTTCACAAGTTTGAGAAAATAATGGGATAGTGTAGTGAGGAATTGCGACACTCTACATGTTTGCATATCATTGTTCCCTGTTTCTCATGAATCTTTTCATTATCAAGGAGAGCCACGTCAACTTTATTTCTTTTTTTCATTAAATAGCAGTTGTATTGTGTTATCGCAAAAGCCTCAATCGAAATAAGAAATCGCTTTTTGAAATTGAGGGTCTAAGAAATTTGCAGCTATTCTTGCTTTTTAAACAATCTGGCGTAAATGGGCTTTTTCCAAAACTACGTTAAATATTTTTTTCTTTTTTTTGAACAGTGTAATAAAATAATATATTTCAAAAAAACTTTTCTGATGTAAAATTTATTACAAAAAGTATTCCTGATTTTCAAACTTCGTTATTTTTTTTTGTTGATCTTTTTAAGTGATGTTTGATAGTCCTTTGAGATTTTTAAATGTGCATTAAAAAAAACATTAAAAAAATACAGTTAATAAAAATAATTTAAGAAGAAGTTTGTACGTGAAAGTTTATAAAAGCCACGTAAAATTAACAAAAACGTTAAATTTGACATTCTTTTTTCATGGATAATTTTCTGCCTTTTAAAATGAATTTTTTTACCTAAATGACATCTAGAAAAAAATCGCAAACGAAAAAAATCCACATACCAAGACCGAAGCTTGGAAATTTGCGTGGTTAGTTCGAACAAATTTCAAACGCTCAGTAGTATTAAAAAAAGACACTAATAAACGCTACAATAAAACTGTCGAAATTTAATTTCGAGTTGTTTCTTGAATGTTATCATCAAATTTATATTTAAAGTATTTTTTTATTGTAGATTCCTTCGCAATGTCTTAATTTTTCGAATGAACAACTTTTCGGAGCGCGCCAAAGTGTATGGGTCGCGTACACGCCGGCGCGATTTGGCTCGTCGCCGTGGAGAACGTCATAAAACTGCCTTGCGTGGTCCTTTTCTATTCACTTGCACTATACTTCTTCGTTTAGCATTTCCCGTAACTCGTGATGTTCAGACCTCATTAACGATCAACCTTTTCTGTTTCCATGGCAGCGCAACTTCATTAGAAACTGTCCTAATTATTGGAAATTCATGATGGCCGTGTGAGAGCTTCTCAAATTCTTTTTCAAATACGCCATTAGCTTATTCAACTTTTTTTTCCTCGTAAACGTTGAATGGCGAAGTGATGAAAAACGCTTTTAGTTTGAATTTTTTATATCTTCCAACGAATGTTCCCCAAAAAAGTCATTACTATCATAAGAAAGTTTTTATTTAAGAGTAAGTCAATCCATTGCTTTTAAAAATGTTCATTTTGGGTTTTTATGCAGCTTTGAGGATTTGTTACATTCGTGTTTCCCGTGTTTCCCAGTACGAACGCGTGTTTTGGCAAATTTTGCCGCTGCGCCGTGAAATCGATTTTGTGTTTTCAAACCGTTTTCTCCTCTAGCGCGCCATTATTCCGCGCTTGTTAAAAGCTCAGGATGAATGATTTCATTTCTTAAATGTTGAAAGAGTAAATCTTACAGTTGCAAAGAAAAACCTGTGTTCGCTTTGATCTGTAAATTCCAAATTGTATTGTTTTCATTAAATCTGGGATTTGTTTGCGCAGCCAACAAAAGGAAAGCGTGTGTTACTTTGAAAATAAGTCAACCTGTTCCAGATCAGCAAAAAGTTCAAAATGCCAAGGACGGTTGAAATTTCCCGATCCAAGGTAAAATACTGCATGGACGAGTGAGTGTATTGCTGAAATGATTTTTAGGTGCGTAGCATTGTTTTCGGTGGATCGGAGACAGTGGCCGTCGCTTTGCAGTCCGATCTGATTCCTCTGGTGGACCTCGAAAAAGGAACAGTCAAGAGAACAATCGACGTTGCCAAGAAAATCGCTGGAATCCATTTCGCCTTCACCAAAACCCCAGGTTTCCACCTCGAGTCATCTTTTTAATCATTTTTTTTTTGAAATTTGGGAAACTTTTTGAAACGCAAGAAAATTGCAGTTCTTTACGCGGTCGACGATAGTTTTGGGGTTCACGTCTTCGATATTCGTGCCGACTCTAAAAAGAAGCTTCGGTCGGTTTGATTCATTGTTCGTTCTTATCATTCCAGTTCTGCAGGCTGAATCCGGACGTCGAGAACCACCAGGCCAAGTGCTCTGCCATTTCCGACAACTATATTGCCATCGCCAGCTCGTGCTTCATCCAGCCCGTTGTCAAGAAAAGGAAGAACCAGAAAGAGTATTCCGACGACGAAGTCAGTGATTGATTTCAAGAGAAAAAACGATTTTTTTAGGTTAAAGAAAAATTACCACGATTCCCCTTATTAGCAAATTTAAAATGCTTAAAGAACATGTTTTTAGTTTCATAAAATTTTGTCGTTCTGTTAGATGACTTCTCTGTACCCACAGTGAAGTGTGTGAAATGAAAAGAAAATGAGTGAAATAGTGAAACAAAAGGAGTTACATGAATCTTTATCATGAAAAGTCAAAACCAAATTTTCATGAAAAGAAACAAGAATATTAATATTGAAAATTAATATAAGATGCATCCAACGACGTAAATGTCAAACTTCGTTGCAGGCGAAAAAAAATTGTAATTTCATATGAGATCAAAATGTTGAAGTTAACAAAAACCGTCTCACGGACAAAATTAAAAAGAAGCAGCACGGTATTCGTAGAAGTTACGTTTGTAGTTACTGTGTACTCTCCTAGCGACGAATTATATTGAAAATGAATGAATATGGCGTTGTTACAGGAAGACACGATGACTTCTCACGTCATCTCCATTTTTGACGCTAGAAATCCTTGCGCTGCTGTGATGACGCTTTCGGTTTGGAACGGTTCTGTTTATCTAAGAACCTCAAAATTTTCAGAAATACCATCCTGCCGAAATCACTTCGATGGCTTTCGACAGGAAAGGAGTTCGTTTGGCGGTCGGCGACAGTGCCGGAAACTTGAATATGTTCGATCTGTTGAATCGCAAAAAGCCACAAATCGTTCCTCCAAAACAGGTTTGGATGATATTTTTCTCGAAGAATAACTTGTAGAAGCAAAAGTGGAACTTTCTGTTTTTGCTTCAAAACAGGAACGATCAAAAACGTTATATTACAGATTTACAAAACGTTGGCTTTGTGCATTTTTCCAATTCATAATCAGAAGTTGAGAATCGTTCAAGGTTCTAAAATAAATAGCCTCTTAAATTTTAAACTTTTAAATTTTTCGAGAACTATGAAAATCGAGAAAAATTTGGATAACCTTGAAATATTTCAAAAAAAAGTTACTGCACAACAGCCGCTATTTGGGTTATGAAACCAAGATAGCTTTTAATTTGAGAAAATGGTTTTCTATATAGTATTTTCAGGGACTATACGAACGTATACATTTCAATTATTTAATAATTTCTTAATGTCTCAATTTCATCGTAAATTTAATGATTTTTCCGCTAAATTATTTATGTCTCGAGCCAAGTCTCTGGGTGCAAGTAATATTAGAGACCTGGGCAAAATGTAGAATAACTTAGTGGTTCAGCTCAACGCCACAGTGCTCACAAACGGCTTCATTTCTCGAGTTGTCCGCTACGCTCTGACGGCGGACAACACTGTCCATTCCTACGTGGACGACGATGGAGGCGAAGACATTCTTTTTGTGTTTGCTGAACTTCATCAAACGATGCATTTCTCGCAATTTCAGGAAGAAGTTCCCCGACAATGAGCACGTGATCCATGTTATGAAGGGATCTTGTGATGATTTCCCGGTAGACACCATTTCCACAAACGACGAGGGGAAGGTGAGATAACTCAGCTATTTTCGCTTTCTGAAACGATCTCAAACTTCAAATGAACTGAAGTTTCGGACAAGCTGTCGTAAGAATGATTTTTTCAGAGTTTGATCAATAAGAACTAAACACTGAAATATAAAAAAAGCTAAAAAAATATTTTTTTCCATAAGCAAATGCAAACATTTTTTTCAAGTTCAGTTATTTGAGATAGTATTAAATTTTTTTACTTCTAGTATTTTTTTGATGAAATTCGCGAGATATATAGAAGACTATTTAACAATGTTAATTTATCTTCAAAATTTGTCTCAGCTCTTCATCCGGACAATCGAGCAAGATGGAGAAGAAGTGAGGCTACTGAAACGCTGGAGTGGCCACAAAAGCCGTGCTCTGGTGGCGGCTTACAACGACGAAATCGTGGTCACTGGAGGGTCCGACGGGCTCCTCGTCATCAATCCTGTGGATTTGAGGTCAGCTTTCGAAATAATTCCTTCTCTTTTCAAAACTCAAAGTGAAACGAATCCTTTTTCAGCGCCGGAGCTGATGTTTTCATCAACGAGAACGAGAAAGCGGCCGAAAAACGCAAGAAGGACCCAGAGGAAGTGAAGACGCCGTCGAAAAAAGAAACCGACGCTAAAAAGAAGGCGAAGTCCTCGAAGAATGACTCCGAATCGAAAAAGAAGTCATCTTCTTCAAACGGCGTCGCAGCTAAATAATTCTCATAGGGAAGATTTCCTGACATAATCACGTCTACTTTGTTCCCGGCTTCCAATTCATCAAGTATTATCGTAGCAACTTTCTCCTATCCCGTAACACTTACGCTGTACACGAGCAGAATGATCTCCTAGACACATGTTACAACGGTTTTGTTTCCCTGTACAGGTCGGTGGTCACCTTTTTCTTTCTTTGTTTTATTTTTGATGTAGTGTTTGTTTTTTATCGGTGTTCAATATTTCGACTGTAATTTGTTTTTGCTATTTATTTAATAACTTTTTCCTTGAGCTATGATGTTAAAAAAAACAGATAATAATAATAATTTTTTTCGGAATGTTCAATTTTTCTTTTTCTGTTTGTTTTTTTTTTCAAAATTTTTTTCTTCTAATTGTTTTTTTTCTGAAACTACGCAATGAAGTTTTGCATCTGAGTCAATCGCAAAGATTTCATTAACCGATTCAACCGAGGACTCAAACAAGAACTTGAGCCGCTGAAATGAAATACGCGGAAACTGATCGATCAGAAGAATTTGACAGAGCTAGATGTGGAACAGTGAGAACAGGGGTTATGACTTTAAACGATTTTAAAGAATGGCCTTTTTCGGGTAAGAAATAAAATGTTTCTGCTTTTGGCTTCCTAGAAGGCGTTTTGAAGTTTTTCAGCAAGTGGTCAAATGCTTTTACAAACCTACCGAACACCTTCTGCCATTCCAGAAGCCTGCCGGAAGGCTTCTGGCCGGCATTTTCAAATTTTTTTTACCTTTCAAAGATCCTCCAACTGTCTTCTGAAAACCTTCCCAGAGCCGTCTTAAGACTTTCTAACTTTCATTCACCTTGACCAACCTCCTGTTGATCACTGCACTAACACCTTCTTAGTTCGAAAGTTTGCGAGGCAATTGGGTTTTCGAGCACACCAGCAAGAAAAAATTTTCCGGGCTTGTTCAAGTTAATCAGAAAAAATTATTTATGCTTTCATTTGTCGGTCAAAAGGGAATAAGTCGTTTAAAGACTTAAAAAAAAACAAAAAAGTTTGTTGTATTTGAAAAACAGATCAAGTTGACAATACAACTACATTTTTTTCACTCATAAAAAATTTTTATTGAACATCAACCATAGGAAAATGATTTTTTTTGGAAACAACAACTATCTCTCAAAAATATCGTACATCTCGTGAGCTGTCTAAGCTCATAATATTTTTTGGAAGTCATGAAACTTTCCGTTTATTCAGAAAGCCTATTCTATAAACACTAGCTTAAAAAAATTTTTATTTGATTTTTATTTCATACTTCAAACCACTACTCCGTTAGAAAAAGTAAGAAGGCTGGAAATCGAAAAATAAAATTGTTCATACAACTTCAAAACTCTCAAATATATATTATTTCACACAAACAAACTCCCGCCAAGCGAGATCAACCGACGCTATTGACCTCTAAGCGATTCCTTTTTTCTGAAACTTCAAAAAAAAAACGTTGCATGCAATTGGGCAGAATAACGTTGGCTAAAAAAATCTCATGGGGGCAGGTTTCGGTGCACCGCTCTGCTTGTAAGAAACGACGAGCAAGGACATATAGCGGCAAACCGTTGCCCGAATAAATAAAAAAACTTGCTTGAGACAGAAGGCGATTACTTTTTAGCTGTGGCCCAGCTGGTTCGCTTTTTTCATTTCTTTTTCTCATGGAACGTTGAAAAAAAAAAACTATTGTTCAAGTTTTCGTTTGGCGTACGGCTTTTGAAGAAAAAACAGGACTTCAAAAAAAATTTATAGCTTTTGAGTTCATTTTGATTTCTTAATTTCAATTTTCTAGAAGAAAAATGATGAATGAAAGTGCTGATATGTTCAGATGCGATGGGATCCATACTTTACGAAGTTAAATTCACGTGGGAGCGTGAATTTAACTTCGCTGGTTCAAAAAATATATTTTCCACTTTTTCATTAAAGGCTTTGACGTGTTCGTGTCAGCGCAGTTAAACAAAAAAATGATTTTCGTCTCTATGAGAGTTTTGAAAAGTTTTTCCAAAGTGTCTTCTGGACAAACTTATGAAACAAGCGAAAAACTCAGTGTCGAAGTGAAAACGCCAAGCTAAATTCAAAAAGTTCGTTTTTTTGAATGTGCAGATTATAATTCATGTAATTTATGAATATCCTGATCCGACTTGCTCGAACTTCCGAATCTGCAAACAACTGCAAATGAACGTCGCCTTTCTCTTGGCGGTTGATTCAAAGGGCGAAACGGCGTTGTTAGAATGCCGTGGGAAACTTTTGCCAATTCCTTATTTGAATGGTTTCATTTGTTCAGTATCTTTTTTTCACTTTTCTCCGTCTTCACCGGCTTCTTCAGAAACTGTTGGACACGAAGATATTCATCAATTCGAATGGCTGCCGTCCAGACGGTCTTGCAGGGCGGGTGGAGACGTTCGCAGTGGGACACCTGGCTGACTTCGTCTTCTTTTCTCTTACGACCAAACCGTCCGATCTCTTGTGTCGTTGTGCGTACAGTCTCTCCGTATTTTACCTTGGATCAATTCTTTGTCACAACATGTTTGTTTTTTCTTTCTGGGTTGTTCAAAACATATCTTTTAAGGATATGAGGCAAATTTTGTTTCAATAGTTTTTCTGAAGGTCAAAAATGAATTTCTTGACGCTTCATTTATTCTCATAAGTCAGTTTTCATTGTTTTCAAACATTTTTTATTTTTGGATTTTCATTGGTGATCATAGAAAATAGTTGCTCTCTCGAAATCCATGAGGATTTGATTCACCATTTTGTAGTTGATCAGTTAAAAACACATTTTTTCAAGTCTACAGTAGATTCGAACAAATATTTTCAAGTTCTTGACATTTTAACATATAACCTAGCAAAAAGTGCTAAAAGAAACTTTAATACTTGTACGAATATTGTTTTAATAGGAAAACTTGACCAAACTATGAGGCCAAAAAAAGTAGTATAAAGAGGGGCTTGATGGATTGTGCAACCATCACAGCGCATAAATCATCGAGATTTCGGTACACCAAGATGGAACAATGAGATACATGAACTGTCTCCTGTTGCGCACTCTTATGCAGTTTCCTCTTGGAACAGTCTTCTTTTTTCGCTTTCAGTTTTTAAAATTGATAGGCCACCCGGGCGCTTTGCTTCTTCGTAGAAGCTAGACTATAGAAAAAACCCGTTATGAACGTTTTACGAGGAGCGCTTCATTTTAAAAATGAGAATCGTGTGATGATGGTTTCAAAGCGCTTTGAGGCTCTTTTTGAATTTTTAGGCAAAGCTAAAAAAAGTATTGAAAAACTAGATGGGTCCAAAGGGGCCTTGAACTCTTCACGTTGATTTCATATCAGTAACTCATTTCGCACTTATTTAACGACCAGGAGCTTGAGAAAAGTAACTTTTTCAATGTTTGTGAACTTGAATTTTCAACAGGAAGTCTAGCTTTGAGCTGAAAAGTTGCAAGCAAAGAGCTGAAAACTGATTCTTAACCTCTAACTGGAAAAAAATGTTTTGGACGAAGGTTAAGATAGGAAACTGTCGTCCAGACCTCATACAAAGGTGTTGTTGCATTTCATAGTGCATGCGTGTTTCGGAGGAAGCACACGCCTGGGGGACAGGTTTTCAGCCTACCCAAGCCTCCCTCTCTATCCATCTCACCATCATTACCATCCTTTTGCCTTTTTCCTCCAACTTTCTCGGTGCGCCAACGCACCTTCTCTAATTTTTTTCGCTTTCACGCCGATCCTGCCCATTGGCGGTTTTCTTCGATTAACGAACAGCTTCTGCGTTTTTCTCGCCACTTTTTTGCCCACTCTTTCCTCTTCACGGAATCATCAAACTTTCTCAAAGAATGCTTTTCTTTTTTTTTCTTAAATAACCAAGTTTAAGATCTTCGAAATGAGCAACAGCTTTTTCAAGATTTGTTGAATGCGGCTTTAAATGATGTTAAAAACTTATAGAAACACTGAGTTTACATTATTTGAACATGATTTCATTTTTATTTCCAAACGATGCAATCTCCATTTAGTGCTTCTAGAAACAAACAAAACTAATACATGTGATATTTTTTTCATAGCTTATTTCGTTCTCGAAATCTTCGTCCTACTGTTCGAACTTATAAAAATCGAAAACCCGTAAATTGTTTTCTTACAAATATTAATTCTTTCAAGCAAGTGAAATAGAAAGAAAAAAGGCTATTTTTGCTATTTTGATAATCCATTTTGAAATCTGAGTGCAAAATATTACTGAAATAAAGTTAGTGACCTAATAGGATTCATGAACACAGACTTGGTTTACATGAAACGTAGACAAGAATGTTACTTAGTTAATAAGTTTATAAATTGAACGCTTGAGCTTCAGAAAGGTTCCAAGTTTTCAATCAGAAAGAGAAGATGAGTTACAAAAACGGACTTTTTTGGTTCCAAAGCAAAAACACCGGTCGTTATAAGAAAGACGCTGCAAAAAATCGCCGTACCTGGCACGCTAACTTTCTCCGAGTATTTCAGAAACGACCTTCACACTCTCTCCCAGCCTGGCATACAGTAGACGGTGGCTAGTGTGCGCGAGGGCAGGCGAGACAACGGAAAAAACGTAGAGAGCAAGCGGAGAGAGGAGAACGAGCTGTGGCGACTGGCGAGTAGTTGCGAATCCGCACAGTCTTCACTATGGTAGGCGTCGAGACGGTGGTGCTCAAGCCGAGCCTCGATTCTGAGTTGTGTCCGGTCTGTGGAGACCGTGTCTCCGGCTATCACTACGGACTTCTCACCTGCGAAAGCTGCAAGGTTAGTTTTTTCGTTCTGACGTCACCGCCTCCGTCCGGCTGATAACAGACGAGAGTGAGAGTCAGGGACACACTCCGACTCAGGGTCAGCCGAGCCCAAGGCCAAAAAGTGACCTCAGGGCGATTCTCTCTTGATCGCTCCATTGACATGATTTCTGTTTCAGGGTTTCTTCAAACGCACCGTCCAGAACAAGAAGGTTTGTTTTGTCTTCCCTAACTTTTTTTTTTACTTTTTTTGCTTTTTTCTTTGCTTCACCTTTTCGGGGCTTCCCATTGGTTCCATGATTCCCTTCCATACACTCGTTTCTCACCGCATTCAATTTAAATTAAATTTTGAAGGTGACGTTTTTTATTTCTCATAATTTATTGAGCGTACAATTCTAACCCACTTTCACAAAATATAGCCATTTTAATTTTTTTATATCTGTTTATTTCATAAAATACTTCTCCAATTTGGAAAGTGCAGCTTCTTGAATTTTCTTTTGAATTTTCTTAATAAGTCAAATTTTATCTGTGAAGAATACTTCATTTCTTTTTGCTCAATTCAGTTTACTGTTTCAACTTTTCTGCCAAATTTAGGCAACAAAAAAAAACACTTTCTTGACACATTTCTTATTTTTGCAGCAGTACCAATGCTCTGCAGAAGCAGACTGTCACGTTGACAAGTCCTGCCGGAAACGGTGTCCTAGCTGCAGGTTCCAAAAGTGCATCGCCATGGGAATGAAAATGGAAGGTTCGGTTCATCTTATTCCAGCCTAATCAGTCGGCGCATCAAGCTTTTTTTATTGCCAAAGACGATTCACGCGCCACGGAAGCCTGCTGCATTTTGCTTACACCAAATGTTGCGTCGTTGGATGGAAATCAAATTGCGCAAGCTTAAAAAAATTCAATAGACGTGCAAGTTTGGAATAAATAAAAAACCGGTAGTTGCGATCGAAATCGATTGTTAGGTCGACGTCATGTCTTTTTTATTTGATTATTTAATCTCCAACTTGATGATATTGCTGTTTCTCTTCTTCAGTTTTTTTCAATAACTTTTTTTAAAAGTACTCAAACAGTTCTTGAACACTTTTCTGCTTACTGTAAGTGGAGCGCTAAACTTTGGCAAGCGCCTGGGAGAGAGAATTTTCCTCTTCAGAACCAAAAAAAAAAAACGACGGCGGACGTTTTTTCGTGCACACCTTGTGGCGACCCTACGGTAAGAGGTACAAAGAAACGAGCCGCTCATGCGTTTTGCCGACTGCCACTGACGCAGCCGGCTGATAATTATAGGCGCTCGGATGTGTATAGGCATGAGTTTTTTTGCGGGTTTTTCCACGGACCCTTCTAAACCTGTGTGGCGGCGCCCTTTGACAAGAGCCGGCTCCGGTCACTTGACACCACCCGACTACAAATGGTACATGAACAATGCGTTCGCGCGCAAATTGCGAGGCTCGAAGTGCCAAAAGTACTGGGCTCGGATTGTTTGGAAACAAGGCCTAATTGCTAGTTTAAAACTGTCAAATCAGAGGGCGTGAACTTTAGAAAAAAATAGTAAACGAAAATCTCGTGTGCGGATACTAAAAAAAATATAGTTGGATTAGTGAAAAAAACTACAAAATACTTCGAGTGTCTGCAGGTTTTTCACGATTTTATTAAAAGTTCTTTATTTTGCCACTCAAACGTTTCCATAGCTTAGTTTTTGAATGACTCATTCTTGATGAATTTTGAGAAGTTTCGTATCTTACTTATTCAAGCAAGTCTGAAAAAATTGAACTTTAAAAACGCAATATTTTAAAATTTTGAGCAACTGCCTAAGCAAAAAGAGTTTTTAAGCTGTACGAACCGATCGTCAGAGAGGAGGCAGAAACAAATTCGGCTCCTTCTACAAACGAGATCGAGCTCACCGTCTTCAAAGAAGTGCAATGCGAGTGAATTCCATCGTTCCCAATCATGCTGCTACCTCTTTTTACCCAGATCATCAAGTTAGCAGCAGGTTAATCTTTTGTGAAAAGTTCCTTTTTTAATATGGGCGTTTCAGTACGCCGGATCAGAGCTCACAAATTCAGTACTTCGATACTCAACCCAAAGTAAAAACCGAATACAAAGTTGAGTATGACGCACTACTTCAGAGTCCGACTCTTTCTAGCAGTACACATCATCCGAGTGAGTTTTTGATTTTTTTTTTTTGGTTTTCTATCATACGCAAGTTCAATTTTTTTTTGCTTCTGAAAATCTAATACTGAAGATCTAAAAAATTTTTTTCAAATTATTGACCATGAAAAATGAAAAAAGTTCAGACTTCTTTCTTCGACCAAACGGCTACATTTCGGAGCAGGACAGTCTGGCGGCACTCCTTGGTTCATCGATAGACGACCCTCTTCTGCGCTCGCAGGCTTTCCCCATGTATCCATCGACCATCAAGCAGGAGCCTTTCGAGTACTCCGAACAGTTCCTGCACCCGCACATCGACTACTCGGCCTTTCACTCGACTGCCAACTACGCCGCCATGATACCCACAGCCCAAGTGACTTCAGCTCAAGTCACTAGTACCACCAGTAAACTAGCCAAAATATTCCGCGATACGAGCTGCATCATAGATTCCGGATCTGCTTCGAGTCGCTCCTCGCCTGTATTGCCAGTCTGTCCAGTTCCTACTGAGAAAACCGTCGACCTCTTCTACAACAGCACTTTGGCCGAGATGTGCAAGTGCTTGCCGGACGATGCTAGGTCAGTTTCGTTTGGATAAACGGCTGTTGTGTAAATCCCAACCATGATCCAGAACACCTCTGCAAAAGAAAGTATTCTAAGTGTTTCTTTAAATTTCGAAAAGCAAAAAAAAGTTTTGTAGCATTCATCTATTTTCACAGGATTGATCCTCTTTGAGCTTTCTCCGATTTTTCTTAAACTTCCAATAAAACATTTTTCAGTCTTGGAAAACTTTCTTTTTTAACTTCTCATTGGAGTTAAAAAGGAAGCAAATTCGAGTTTACCATAGCAAAGCACGGAAGATTTGTAACTCATCGTTTCTGTTCCTCAATCTATGAGGGAATTTTCAAATTTTCGAAAATGCTCTGATTATTTTTTTCACTTTTTTTCCACTTTTCAAAGAGTTTTCCAACTTATTCAGAGTAAATTTTGAATCAATTAATATGTTTTTGGTTGTTTTTAGTCAGGTGGAATCGAGTCTTAACCTTTCTGAACTTGAGTTTTTTTAAATGACCTATTTTTTAAATATATTCTTAACTAAATAATCTTTTTTTCAAGTTCGAAACAGTTTCTTTATTTTTCAGGATATTCCGGATGATTTCAAAAGTGAGCAAGACAGTCAAACCAGAACCTCTACGGTTCGCTCTTGATGTCGCCGAAGAAAACCTGAAAGAGCTGGTCGCTTGGGCTAAAACGGATCACTTCTTCAGCAAATTGGAGGTATCCTCCAGTTTTTTTACTGCCGGATAAATTAATTTGATGCGCATCCAATTACCGGGGCTGTGTGAAAGTGATGTTTACACACGGCTACTGTAGCGTCCTTGGAGAATCCCGCCGGTCCAAAAGCGGTAATATCCGGCAGACCGGAGGGACCATCAAAGGCCTACAGTTCATCCTCAAAAGAATGGACCCCAAATTGCACTTCACCGAAAACGCATCGGCCGCCATTGTGTGCCCGACCGGTGGCAGGAAACAAATGGAGATTCTTTTTGTTCTAGATGGATGACCAGATGAACTTGCTGCAAGCCTCGTGGGCCACCATTCACATCATCGACGTGTCGTTTCCGCTCATCAAAGGAGAATTACCTGTATCCTTCAAAATGTCGAACAATGTCGAGTGAGCATCTTCACTTTCTTTTTGATTGAAAATTTCTCTCTTCTAGAGTTTCTTGATATACTCGCAGTAATAGACAAACGTGAGACTCTAGATATAATACTAAAAAAGAAGAAAAAAAAACGAAAAATGCAACGAGTTTAATTTATCCTTTTGTCCTACCAAACATGTTCCGTTTTTACTTTTTAAAATTAATTTTGATTGTGAAAGTAAGGTTTTTTTTGTTCGTGTTTTGGATGTTTCTGAATAATGCACATAATATCTCACTGTACCAACCAATGTTATTCTTAAAAAAACTCAAACTGAAATACTTTTTCAGATTCTTTTATGTTCGTTGAAATCGAAAAAAAGGCTTTCAAAGTTGACTAAATGGCATTTCTTGAAATTTTTTTTTTTTTTTTTTGGTTAAAAGTTAGAAAGTTCAATTAAATTCAAACGAGCTTCATTGAATTTCGCGGATTTTTTTTTCGAATACCCACAAATTCCTTCTAGACTTGAAACTACCACATTTTCGAGAAATTTTCAAACTTCGAAAGGTTCTAATAACTTAAGAAGGACCTTTTCTGAAATTTTTTCGAGTCTTTCACGCTTCTAATTCAATTTCACAGCTCATAAAACTCAGTAATATCTTAATTGGTGGTATCCGTTGAATTTTCTCTCACGACGCAATATATTGCGCAGTGAAGTTATTAAGATGGTTTGATGACAAAACAGTCGGTGGTAGCCGTCCACCGGCTCTTTTCGTCTCACCGCCGAACGGTTTATGCTCTTGCGATATCTTTTCGGAGCATCCATCAAACGTTTACGTGACGCCGAGATCTGTATCTTATAATTGTCTCAAAGTGAAAGCAGTATAAGACCAAAAAGGTGGAGGTCCGCTCCGCTAGATGTGCCGAGATATATCGGGGGAGTACGAGAAAGCGGCGCAAAAAAGGAGGAGATATGACGTAGGAGAAAGTTTACGACTGAGATTGGTCGTTTGATAGCGGGGATTATAGGTAGCCGGACGGTAGCCTGGGAGCCAATGGCAGGTTAGGAGGTTAGGCATCGAACCTGCCGCCTTTTGGGAATTTAAATTGTAAATCGACATGTTTTTTTATTTTTTAATCTTAAGTGTTTGAAAAAAACATTACAACTCTAGAGAGAGCTAATTTATAATCTCTTGAAATCGATAAATAATTGAGTTTTTAGTGTGAACACTGGATTCATCGCAATGCTCGGACACTCGAACAACGTCGCCAGATGGGCAGACATCGTCAACCGCCTTCGTCAGCTCGGATTCTCGCGTTACGACTACTGTGCCTTCCGATTCTTGGCTCTTTTCCACGAACAAGGTTTGATTCTTCCGCGACAGCTTCTAACAATCTCAATTAATTTGAAGGTGAGCGGCTGGCCAAAAACCAACCCCTCGTCAACAGCGTACGCCATCAAGTTATCCAGTCATGGCGTGAAGTGCAGTGCACTAACACTTTTTTCGAAATTTTCGAACAAATCAGGTATGTCCGAGGAATTTCGTGACTTTTGCCCTCTGACTTGACCCATTCTGGAAAAAGGAACGCGAAGCTTTTTTCTTCGAACTACCAAAAGACTGTTATAGTTCAAACAGAAACAGTTTTCATTGTTTTGAGAGAACGCATAAATTGGTTACCGGCCGAACTATGTTTGATGTGTCCTTGAGTTGGACGAAATTACAGTGCTGGCATTTCGGCTCTGATGGCAGCGCTCCTGCCCATTAGCATTTGCATGCCATAATTAGTGTTTTGGTGGTCCTACGGTAAGGGATTTTCTGTACCGTAAAAGACGCCTTTCCCACACGTCGATTTGCATACTTTTTTGCGCTAAATAATAGGGCCAGTAGCAGGTCAACGGGCCTAATCTACAGGCAGCTCTAAATGACAGCCCGAACAATTGGTCGAACTTTGGCATAATGACTGCAAGACAAGTGCTGGGATTAGAAGTCCTAACGAAACAATATGCATGTTTCTGGAGAAACGCGTTGCCGCTCAGCGGGACGCTTCTATTCAAACGGCCATTGAAGTTCGTGACCGGCTCAGACCGGGCAAAAAAGCGTTTAATTGCCGTTCCTGTTGTTTCAACTCCCCAAAAAACTTGTCTTTCTGGGAACTCGGAGTAATAGCTTTGGAGACTTAAGCGAAATATTCTCCAATCTCGAGTATGTGAGAAGAAAATAATCAAATTCTTGCACTTAGATGTGAAGAAAAAATTGTGAAACTTTCAAATATTGTGTGTATTGTTCAAAAAAGAGCGTTAGAGAACTACGTGAGAACTGTATTTTACCCTTCCTCCGATTTTTTTCTCGACGTCGTTCCAATCTGAGAGAATTTCATCACTTTCTTCGAGAAAAAAAGTCAAAGTGTACAAAAACGATCTTTAACACATCGGCCTTGACAGAAAAAAGTTCCCACAAATGGCAATTGTTTGAAAGCTATCAATGGTTATAGGAAAAAAAAAGTCATTTATTAATGAGATACCGTAGTTCTATTTTTTATGAGTATGCAAAGGGCATTTTTGATGGTTCTTTTTTTCAGAAGCCTTGCTTCCGCCTCGCAAGAGTTCCTTTGCGAGAGATACCGAGCAGGTGACCTGGAGATCTACAATTCAACTTCTTTGCTTTGCGAAATGCTCAGAACCCATCATCACACGGTGACGTATGGCGCCCCAACTTATCTTGTCCGTTGAAAAAAATAATTTTCCTTATCTGCTTATTTTTGTAGGTTGACTTATGGTTTTGAACTTTCCTTCTTAGTTTCAGCGGTCTTTTCTCTTTGAGTGCGAACTCTCATGTTATTCATAGGAAACGATTTGGCTTCTGATGTGCCTATTTTTTTCACTCACTATTTTTATTTTTTTATACGGGAACAGCGCTTTTTACCCAAAATTAAATTTGCAACACATCGTTCCGTGGATCGGGTTTTTCAGGCCCAGAAGTCCTCAATCTATTTAATCATGTTTTAATGACGTTAACCTCTTTTGACTTCCTTAATTTGCAAGTTTGTCGACGTTTTTGAGGCAACTGGATACTCTTATGGATCTCGACTATGAACATAAGGATGTTGTAATTTTTTTGTCATTTTTCTTTTTACGGATTTGTTTTAGCTTTTAATCGAAGCATTTTTGAAACCGCCTTTTGAAAGCATTCGCATTTGTCACGGCTTTATCTGGTTGTTTGTCTTGTGCTCTTATCATTCGTTTTTGCCTGAATACTTCTACACATTCCAGATGTAAAGTTTCTTTTTTCCTTTTTGTTGTTTGAGTTATTCCCTCTTTTCGGATAGGGCATTTATTCAGTTGTTCTCAATACTTTAAGTCAACAGCGTGTGTTCGAGTTTTCATGCAACTGATTTTGATTTTCTCCAACATTACTTTAATCATCTTTGTCGCATAATATGTATTCTCCATGTTGAAGTTTTCAAATCGTTATTGCTTCCTCATTCTTGTTCATGATGGTTTTTTAAAGCAATTTGTTTGATAAGAATGAACTTTTTTTTCTTTCCGATTTCTCAAAAAACCGAAATTTTTTGGCATTCGAAAGGGCGAACGAATGTACCATCTAATGAACAACAGACACCAAAAGACGATAACCAAATTCGGCTTTCTCACCGTCTCATCGATTACCTTTTCAATGCGGCTACGCGCCACCCAGGAGGCCCTAAAGCGTCTTTGTCAATGGCAGGAAAAAATTGCGCACCACAGACGAACAGGTTTTTACGTCGTCTCCCTTTCAGTTTTTAGTAAGGTTTCTCTGGCGCCCATCCCCAGCGCTCTCAAATTTTAGCGAAATGTTTTTTTTCCAACAAAGAGGGAGCGGGCTGAAAAAGTTTCACGAAGAAAAAGACCGCGAAGATTCAAGTATTTATGTTTTTCGGAGTTAATGCTGTCTTAGTGAATTTTTTTTTATCTCAAGACCGCTTTTGCAATGAATGAAAAAAGAATAACTCTTGTGACACAATGGACAATTAATTCTTTGAACGAAGCAAAAAACAAAACGGAACTGAACGTTGGAGGACCTTGTTATTATTTCTTTGTAATTTCCCAGAAGAATGTGCCACGAAAATTCTCCATAACAACAGAAGCTTTAAAAAACGACGTCGAATTTCTGAAAGACAATTGTAAGTTTTTCGTACAGACATTCATGATGTAATGCTCTATTTGTCTCAGATTTCTGAGAACTCTTCAGTTTTCATTTTGTAGATTCTGATGTTCATTAAAAACTATATAAATGAGATGAATCCTTTATATGGCGGAAAACGCTGAAAAAAACTCGAGGGGTCTGACCGCAGGAAGTCATCGGCTATCTCAAGTGTTGCGAGTGGGAAGAGTGGCTGTGGCGCCTTGTAATTAGTCATGGTCGGTTGACCTTTTAAGAACTACTTCATTCTCTTTCCCCGGAACTCGACAATATCCTATTTTATTATACCTTGCACAAAACAGCGTTTTTTTCATGAGGCTGGCCTGAAAAAGAAAATTCTCAAACGAAACCAAAAAAGAGTAGGCGGGACAAATGAATGATATGATAATGTTACTACTCAACCTAGAAGCTCCATTATGTGATACATGAACTGTTTGAACAATTTTGATATACTGATACCCGGGGAAATCAAATTGAAAATTAAGGATAAAGGCTTTGTACAGCTATGGAAAACAAAGATTCAAAAAAAAAAAAATTGTGTCAAATGACGCTAGGAGACCGTGGAGTCGACCGCCGAACCGAATTTTCTCCGTATGTTGTTGAAAGTAATCTAGAACAACTTGCTGTTTGTTGATCCTGCAATGACTGTTTTCCACAATATATTTTGTTCTACAGTTTTCTCACTTTTTTCTCTGTGCGACGCATATACTGTAGGAAGATCGTGAAAGCCGCTCGGAACTGTTCATTGCAAAGCGTGTAGAGACAAGGGTTCCAAACGGTCGAGCTGAAGAAAAAGAAGGTGTTTCGAAAGACAAAACGAGTGAATGACCTCATGGAAATGCAATGGGTAATGAGTCCGAATAAATATCCTTGTCGAGTGACAAAAGCTGGCAGCAGATTATAATCCCGCAAAAAGTTGAAAACAACAGAAGGAAGCCAGCAGCAAAAGAAAACTCCGACCTGTAAATTAAAGACTTTTTGAATTTTCAAATTGTTCAACTTTTTGAAGCAAGAAGCTTCCTCTCTCAACCGAAAAAAATTTGAGTATGAAAAACTGATTGCATTTTTTCATACCATGGATTATTTAATCAGATCCTCTGAAAAAATTTTTCATTGCATCAAGTATTTTAAGTATTTTCAGAACTTTAACGGAATTTAACTACTGCAAGCAGGGTGACCGAAATACCAAAATCGCAAACACAAAAAGTGCCGTATCGCAAAAATTTCTTAAGTAACTAAAGAAAGTCTATCGATTGATATACAACTCGCATAGAACAAACCTGTAAATTCAGAGAAAAATATGTGAAAAAGCGTCTACCGTAACCCGGCTACGAAAATGGTTTAAAAAGTTGTGTCCACAATTCTGACGTCTTATGATGACACTGGTTAGAATCTTATCACAATCAAAATTTTTTTGTATCTGCTGAATCGGAGAGTTACAGAGACACCGTGTTGAAAAATCAATAGTTTGTAGAGTATTTGACGTGATTTTCAACTGTTTGACCGCTTTTCAAACTTTTCGATGCATAAACTAGATAGTTTTCCTTGATCGCATAACACGAATAGCATAAACAGTACTAAGTGAATTCTTTCCAAGACCCTCCAAGATACGCTATTCTCTCAGGGGAAATAGAAGTTTCCAATCGCGGAAGTTAACTTAGAAACAAGGCCAGGAAACGTCTTCCAATTCTAACTTACCATGGCTATGAGCATGCGATTAGTTCGAATCCTTCTTTTCAAGGCAGCTTTACGTTGCTCAGTGAGCATCGGTTGTTGGGAATTGGCTCGGACCAGAATGCCCTGAAAGTTGCGCAGGATTAGACCAGTAGTCGACAACAAAAGTTCTGAAATCCGGAATGAACTTTATTGAAACGCACTCTTCTCAATTTGATGGATATTGCAGTGTAGCAGAAGGCGATCACAACAAAAGGGAAGATGAACTGGATGAAAAAAACAAGCGTCCCTGAACAATTATATCGTTTAATTTGTTTACCGCACTTTTTTGAAGAAATGACGCAGATGGAATGACTTCATAAAAAGTTACCGTAGATACTTCGTTCCATTGAGTCGACTTCCCAGGTTTCAGAACAGAATTCTCCGCAGAAGTTTTGAAAAGGCTCCAGTTTCTGCTTGATGAACATAGGCACAGACAGCGCAAGGGCCAGTGTGCTATTGAAAAAAATCATTCGGAATGCGTGAGTTTTTTGTATCGGCCTGAAATTCGGTATGCATAGTTCGATGCAAAAAGGACATCAAATGTTTTGAAAGAAGAAAATTATTTTTCAATGTCTTTTTTTCCTTAAAAAAAAATAATAAGAGACCGCAGAGGTGAGAAATTGAAAATTAGTGCTGTTTATTATGGGACCAGTGCCCTTCACACTTCGAAAGTACGCAGAAGAAAACGTGAAAATAATTCAAGACACGGGCACATTTTTGCAATAGTTTTAAAAGTTTTTTTTTGAAATCTCATGTGAAAAAAGAAAGAAAAAAAAATATGAAACGTATAGGCAAATGAATCTTCTAAGACTTTTTGTTATGATCATAAGATAACAGGCAGTTCGATCTCAAAAAAAGCTCACTTTTTTGTAGGGAAGACAATTAAGATGAAGCGGTCTATGGCTATGGCGGTAAGAGTTAAAGTCGAAAAACAAAGAGAAGTCCCCTGTAACTTTGTATTTTTGGTTTGAGCCATGCAAATGTCTTACCTGAATCAAAGGTAATAAGTGGCAGAGGTGAACGCCAAAGAGCCAGACTTTGGAAAAAGCCGTAATCGGGGTGACGGAGGCGCTGACCAAAGAAACGACGATGTCTGAACAGGACAGCGACACGATGAAGACGTTGCGGACGGACTGCAGAGCCCGATGCTGACACACCGAAATCACGACCAACATGTTGCCTACGACGCCCACACTGAAATAATTCATGAAAAAAATTTGAAGAAAAGAGCTTTCTGAAAGTATTTTTAAGTTTTTCAAACATTTTAATTTCTTAGTTTTACGCACTCTTCTGTGATTTTTTGAAAAATCGAAACTTTCGGAAGTTCCTGAAAATTTTTCGTTTCTAAAAGATAGGAATTCAGATTCAATAAATATAATTTACAAAAATTTTTTTCATTGCAAAAAGATGTAGTTTATCAGGTCGGTGGAATGATAGTGAGCTCTTTTTTTGTTACACTTTCGAATAACCTTCGATGATAGTGGTTTCCATGAAAATCGAAAAAAAGACGTTTCTAATAGCTAACAAAAAAAATTTTTTTACAGTCGCGCGTATCAAAAAAAGTACTCAAAGTCCACAAAAAAGGTTTGATTTCACATCGCATCAACATTTTGCAGTTTTATTCTTTTTTTCATTTCCATTTTACGAAAAAAATAAAACAATTCAACTAGAAAGTTCAAAACAGTCCTTGAAACAAAAGAAAATATTAAAGCTTGTAATTTGGGACTCATGCAGAAGGGATCTGAGAAACTCACATGATGATGAGAGAGTACAAAAAGACGAAAATGATGATGGTGACGGGCTGGAGCGTGATGTCGCTGTGGTTGGTCAGCAGATACTCGCGGATGTCTTGACAGGACTCGTTGCTCATTTCATCTGCATTTCTGAAGTTCGGTGTTAGGCCTACGAAGGCAAAAAAGCACGGCAAAGGCGGAGAAGGGTACTCCCCACTTGCTTGGCAAACATTTCCGCTTCAAAATTGCACATATTTTCCGACAAAAAGAACGCTCGAAACGACTCTCTCTTTGTAACAAAGCACAAAATTGAGCTTGTTTCACTTGTGTTTCAACAGTATTTGTTCTCCACTATCCAAAACCATTGCTTACAACAAGAAAAACGATAGTAAATGAAGAAAAAGTTCCTGCATTTGAACTGTGAAAAAGAAAGATTCAGATTGTACACTTCAAAAGTTGAAAAACCCGGAGAAACAATGGGACTTCTTTAAACTCACAAAAAAAGACTTTTGCTCATCGTTGGGCGTTAATCCCACGCGGTGCCTTAATTAAATTTATAGAAAGCTTTCGTTCCAGTAGGGCTTTTCTACATTTAATTCAAAAAACCATTGGTGTAATCTAGTAGGACTGTGAAAAGCGCAATGTCCATAATAACATTATGAAACTAAATTGGATAGAGGGAGAAATAAACAGAAAAAAAGATTAAAAAAGAAGATGGTGGGTTCCGAAAATTGTAAATCAAGTGAGGAGCTGATGAATTTCCAACATTGAAACCGAGCGTAATTTGAAGATTGAGCAAACGGAAAAAATTGAGAAGAGACAAACAAGAAATTCTCACAGTTTCATAAGTTTCCAGCACGCTCGTTTTGCAATATTAAAGATGCATCGTGGAAGTTGGAGATGCGCACAAGAGAAGATTTTCAGCTAACTTTTCACGCCTTTGCATCCTCAGGTTTTGAATGTGCTTCACCCTCTCCATTCTTCAGTTTATTTACTTTCTCGCATCTGTTTGCTTCCAATTTCTGAGTTTTGGCCTCCGAAGACATTGAAATTGAACTTGGCTTCTTAACAATGTAGACACTTTAAGCTTCGCTGAATCATCTTTGTCACATTTGCTCAAAAATAACGTTGGGTCATTGAAAACAAAAAAATTTTGTTTACGAGAAATATGACAAAAAGGCGTCGATACGGTGACGAAAAATTTCTCATTTTCTCAATTCCCAAAAATTACTCAAGAGAAAATTGACGATTTAGGCTAAACTTATTTTCACTCTTGCGCCCCATTGCTTTGGCCTTGCCGCATTCGAATAACAATTCTCCTGCTCGATTCAGCACTTAGTGGTCAAAAAGAAATTCAAGAACCCCGGAGAAGAATTTAAGTTATTTTAGCCTAGTGGAATCGAAGAGCATATAAAAGGACTTTGCGGAGGTGAGCTTCCATAATGAACTTTTCGAAAAAAAAACAGACAGATGGGAAAAGGAAGTTCTGAAAAAAGAGCGGTCACATTTGAGTGCACACATTATTCTAGGTGCATGGACAACAATAGCGATGAGACTGAGGAAACTCGCTGAGGCGTCCTTTGTAATTTGCCATTTTTCAGTCAGTAGCAATTCGAGTTTTTATCAACAGCTCAAATGGACGGATTTTTGAGAGATCCGCCCTTCAACTGATGACTCAGGCAATTATGCTGGCAAATTTAGAGATTGTGTAGGTGGTGATTATTACTGAGAAAAAAATTAATTGAAATCTTCCGGGATGGGAATCATTGACACCTCGAAGGAGTAGAAGCACTGTTCGAAACATTTCCTGAGTTTCGAAGAACACGACGTGTTTTTCGGTCTTGCATTTATATGAAGAAGCACGAACAGAAGAAATTAATTCTTTTGGAATACGAATTTGCAAGAAGAGTTGAGTTTTACATTTCCGTGACGGAAATATTAAAATTCGAAATGGGAAAGCTCAGTTACAGCCTTTTCTGATGTGCCCATTAGCACATGTGTAGGCGCTCTAACGAAAGATCTTTGAGGATCAAATTAAAATTCAAGCGTGAAAAGAAGAAGCCAACCAAAATAATCTTCTCACTTCTTATCAGCCACCAGAGTTATGCGTCATGGAAAACAAGTTTCGGAAAAAAAGTTGTTTTGAATGAAGTTTGTGGAAAAGCATTCATTCATGTGAAACAAAAGCTCCAAGAGGAAAATTCTGTGGAGAATGGAAGCGGCTGGCCTAGAAACATTGGAAAATCTTATTATGAAGCTGAATTGTCCTTCAGAGCAGCTGAGAGCCAATTCGCCTTCGAAGAGCCGTTCACTGCGGCTCTGGGAACTGAAGCGCAGTCTGCGGCCGCCTCAATGGCCTTCAGACACGTAAGAAGCATGCGCAAATGAAGCCGGGATTCAATCGGCACAATCTTTCTGTTTGAGGGAATACCGAGCAGGAAGCCACAACAACGGTTAGTGTCAAAAATTGGCGCCTTGCAAGATCCTTGAGATAACTCATCTCATTCGCAAAGTTGAAATCGAGTAACGAAAAATATCTTTTCCTTTTGACTTTTCCTTGATTAGATGTCACCCTCTCAAGAAGCTGCTTCTTTATTTTTTTTGGCTTTTTTGGTTTTTTTCAGAGAATGAGTTGGATTTTTTTTTTTCAAGGAACACGTTTTAAGCAAGGCCCCGAAACCAGATAATTATACTTCATTTGGAAAACAAGGAAAGAATACTGAAACGAGAAAAAAACAAGTTTAATCAAGCTGCAGAGAAAGTATATTTCCCTGTTATTTTAGTGAGCAGCGTAACGGGAGGGAAAACTATTAAAGTAGAATTAAATGAGATAATGGGGTCAGAATGGCAAAATGGGCGGAGGAGTGTAAACTTCATCTGCAACATCTGGCAAATATGAGAAATTTCGATAAAGAATCGATAGGAGGATTGAAATTTCTCGGCGCGCCTCATAAATTTTTGATATCATCCATGTTTTCATGGAAATCGGGGATTTCAATAAACCGCTATAACACGTAAAAAAAAAGAAAATTGAAAGCTGCACGGACATTTCCCGTCATCACTCCATATAGCAATTGTTGTTATAATAAGCATGTTCACTTCCACATCCAACGCTAGTTTCTCATCCAGTGACGTCATCATATCGAGATGGGTTACGGTAAGTCGGTTCCCCCGCAATTAAAACCCTCTGCCTATGACTTTGTTTATTTTTGATGATGATAACATTTAGATTGAGTTCTATGATCCGAAAAGACTTGAAAGAGGATGTTCGAAAGAACTTTTTGAAAAATATGAAGCAACCTGTTGCAACAGAAAAACCGCGTCTGGGAAATTTTGATGTTTGTCCTAGCAAAAATTTCAGTATTCATGAAGATCGGGTTTGAGAAACTTTTCGGCAGAGAAAGACTTCGTTGGTGTGACGCGTTTGGAAAGGCCAGACTTTTGTTTTCCGTTCCATTTTTAGTGATGTAAGATTCAATGGGGAAATTCATAGAATTCTTTTCAACCGGTGTCGTACAGGCAAAAATGATCATAGATTGAGAGCCCTCTCCAGGTACGGACTCGTGTAGAATTTAATTAGGGGTGCCTCGTAACGAAAAACGCACCAGAGGCAGGAATAAATTGAATATTCGAAAACCAAAAAAAAAGAAAGCAAAGAATATCCCTTTTCAGGATAATAGAAAACGGTGTTTTGGTGAAATGCCTCTACAGCTAATCAACTTATCAAATGGAGTGAATGGCGTTTCGGCTTCTACTTTGTAGTATGTCAACAAAAAATTGAAATTTTGGTTTCCCATACGCTATTTTTTAATACTGACTCCGGAAGAGCTTTTTGGTAATCTGATATCCTAAGAAAGCAAAAATTCGAAAATTTGCTTTTAAAATCTTTGCCTCATCAGAACTATGCTTAATAAACCATGAAAAGTTCGAAAAAGTTATAAAAAACAACTTCAGGGACTTTCCAACTCAACCAACTCGCAGTGAATGGATGAAAAGCTTTGAGGCAAACAAAAAAGAACAGATCAACACCTTTGACTGGAACAGCTCTGATGAATCATTTTAATAGCGCTAATACAATCTAGAACAGGAAATGAGCATCCGAGAAACGGTTACGAATTCCAGAAAAAAAAACAGCTTTTCTATGAACTTTCATCGAAATTTGTTAGAAGGATGCGTTAATCAGCGAGATTAGTAGCAAATCGTTTTTTTATCGAGCGTTTGCTGAATCATCCATCCTTATATGTCCGCGGGATGAAGGACGAAATGCACAAAAAATTGAGCATTTCTCGAATTGCGCAACACGAGAAACGTCCCAGATTTGAAAGCTTTTCGTCATTTGACCTCGCAACGCTACACGATACTCACTGAGACTGTCATTTCAGTTCTAAATGTTTGAGAAAACTAGGAAAAATTTGAAAATTCTCATTCAAACTTGATGCAGCATTTAGGAAAACTTTCTCACGGGCAAGAAAGTTAACAGGAGCAAAAACAGAAAATGTAAGTTCTACAAAGGCAACAGCTTTAGCAGCAAGTATCATCTTAAAGTGTTTTTTTTAGACGGCATTGAAAAAAAAAAGCAGGTTAAATGAAGAACAGACCAGTATAAAACATTTTTTCACAAACGTTTAAAAATCGTTGTAAATTGATATGCCGTTTTTAAAATTGAGTTCATTAAGATACGCTGTAGGATCGGCCTATAAAGATTTGAAGGCTAAAAAACGTCTTCGCGAATTTTGTCGTAAAAAGAGAAGCTACTAGGTGCGTAGGGTCAAAACAGACTGAAAATTGTTCGGAGCCTGATGAATTATTATCATCTCCGTGAAAATCGAATAACCTAAGGATTTCATTTCTCGCCTCAAAATTAAGAAGAGCTTTTTTTTCAGCACCTCAGAAACTTTATTCAGTCTAACTTACTCGGAAAAGGAAGAATACATGTGTGGAGATAATTTACGGCTCTTGAAACTTGTTTTTATGACGCTTCTCAAAAAAATGCATTAATGAGCAATCTGAATTCACGACCAATACAAAAAAAAACCTATTATCCACGTCTGCTCATGGGAAGCAAAAAAACATTTATGTGAAAAAAAAGCGAAAAGGCTGAAATATTAAGAAGGTCCATGTTTCTATATGATTTATGACTGGAAAGATGTGGCTGTGAGAAACGGGTGAAATTTTTTGTAGAGAAGTTCCTGAAAGCTTCAATTCCATTTATTTTACTTCGACGCTGAGCTAATTATATATTTCATTTGGTATCTTCACCATTTTCGAAACGTTCATTCTAAAATTGAAGCCTTCTCTCGTGACTTTTTGGTCAGAGAGTGAGCATGCTTCCAACAGGAGCACGTGTAAACAAGGGGATAATATAAGGAATACAGTTGAAAATTTTAACGTTAATCTTATTATATATACATTGCGTAGAACAAAGATAGCTCCCCCTTTGATTCCGCACCTCTCAGCAAGTTTATAAAAGATAATAAAAATCTTTGGATGCCGTTTGATTCAGCGTACGGAAGAACCAATAAAACCGATTTTTCATCACCCTGGCCTTTTTCATACTTGTACGCCACCCAAAATTGGTTTTTTGACCATCCATTAAGGTAAGTATGAGGCCCCTGAAAATTTTGACCTTTTTTGGAGTTTTTTTCCGTTTTACAGACGAATTTTTCGTAGTAGTAACTGTTTTCAGCTTTTTTTATGCTCGAATGTGAAGTTTCACGCGCTTCTTTGTACAACTGTTTAGTAACTACAATTCCAAAATGATTAAACGCTCAGAAACCATGTTTTCTACACTGTAGAAAGCAAAATGAAGAAACTTATTCTTCACGTTGATGAAGTCTACGGTTACGTCCATAAAAGCCGATTTTTTGTTTCGTGGGTGACCTGAGAATGCTTGAATCGAACTCAAATCTTATCCTTTTGTGATTATTCAAGATATATTGTTACAAAAAACACAGAATCTGGCGGTTTTTCAACGCGAAGAAGTCCTCATTTCAAGGATATCACAAAATATCTCCTCTATGGGAAAAACTCCTTCAAAGATGACGTAAAAAGGTGGGAACAAAAAAGTTTCACTTCCCGCAAAAATAAATAATTAACCGACTGATTCTAAAAACTCATTGTTCTTCCATGCCTTGACAGATTCAGTCTGAGAATAAATAAAACCAACTAAGGCGGACTTCATCTTTAGTTATGCAGAATATTTATCTGACATCTGCGAAGGTCGCTTTGTCTTCTAATGAACTGTCACCTGCAAACGTATTCATAAGCAAAAATGACTGACAATACGTTTCAATTTTTCCTTTTTCTAAACGTTGGAGCATATGCGCGGAATATCTGTTTTCTATTCAAAAATTCCGAAAATTGATTGAATGCCCTTTTTTAAAAAATGAACTTTCGGTTGCTGTATATTTTGAATGTTGCAAATGCAATACATTTTATTTTCAGCTGCTCAAATTGTTTAAGCTGAGGAGAACCCTTCTCATATGCGCTCGCTCCATTTCTTGATGGCATCTTTCAAAAGAAGTTTTCTCATTTCTCGTAGAAAACGCCTTTTCTCAATTATCGAACTTCTCTTTTCATTATTCTGGAGCCGGTGAATTTCCGCGTCGCTTCCCAAAGTGACACTTTTACTTTTACTTTATTATTTTGCGCTACTCAGAAATGAGCCTCCAGGTGTAAAGAGGATCCAGCAGAGCAAATCTCACGACTGAATGTGGAGAAGACCGCATTTTCTCTGTTTTTCTTTATGCAACGGCTGTAATTCAGTAGGCGTTTGTGTAACATGAAGACATCCTGACGTCGTTCCTACCTGATGCAAACCACTTTCGAAAAGACAACTGAATTCTTTTTTCCATGTTTCCATTTTCAGTCCAATTTCTGAGTGCTCACGCGAAGAAGACTTTCCCCTCCAAACAAAAATTCAACTAACTAAGTTAGCTTCAGAAGGAGCAAAAACTTTGTTTTTTTATGTACGACGCACAACTAATTTTTAATCAGCTTGTTGGAGCAAAGAAGGCTTCAGATGGTCCCAGTAAAAAAGAAAGCTCCGTGCTCTCCAGTCGCCAATGTTTTCCATTTTTTCTTGTTGTGTACCAGCGCTTTTGCCAGAAATTTTAGATCAGTTTTCAAAATCGAAACAAAAAAAGGTCTGGTTTTTTTCTCGTCTATTAACATCTAAACTTTTCACACAGCCAATAATAAGATTTTTAAAACTTTTTTTGTTAGAAATGTAAAATAAATCAAAAACTCTTGGTATCTTTTGCGTCAAAAAAATTGCATCTGAATTCCGAAATTGGTTTTTTTAATCGGGTTCTGAACTAATTTTTTTGATGATCAAACAAAAAAACTCTTCAAAATGCTAAACACTGCCTTCCCGGAATTTTTGTTGTTCTCTCATAGTGTCTATTTTTGAGCTCCGAATTTTTCTTGGATGTTTTGCCAGTTGGTCCGTTGATCATTATTTCTTTAAATTTGCACAATTTGAGTTAATCGAAGAAATGAATTCATTTGGTGGAGCCGCATGCAAATTAATGGCTTTCAAGGGAAAATTGCAGACAGGTCTTTTTGCGATGAACTCTAGCGCGGAATGCAGTTTGGAGTCGAAAATGCGAGGACAATGCTACGGTTATTCCATCTGTGGCTACTGCTACGACTTTGGCGAGACGCGTTCTATTTCCAAAGAATACGAGTGGTTCAATTTGGTGATTTCTCATCCGATTTTTTCAACAGTCATACTAGGAGTAAAAATAAAGCTCAATAAAACTTCATTTTATTTTTGGCGACGAAAAAAGTTTTCTCGCAGTTTTTCGAACCAAGCCCTAGTTCTTTTCCTCTACGTAATCAAAATGTTATTCTGATACCACAAACCGCTGTAATTGTGAGCATCGGTTGCTTTTTTCAGCGCACACATTCAAAATTAATCTCTTACTGTAACTTAGTCCCAATTAATATGTAATAATGTCCTTTGGCCCGTTGAAATTCATGGGTCTTTCAATCGTCCCAAAAACCAACTCTCAATTTTCATAGTTTTTATTTTCTGCTACGAAAGACTTGGAAAAACAATGAAAATTTCAATGTGTACATGCAGAAACTGTGAAATTACTACTTTTCAGATGATCATTGGCGTGATACTTCCTACCATTGGCTGCCTTGGTCTCATTGGGAACTCCCTGTCTGCCTTCACATACTCGCGCCGAGAAATGATTTCCAGCCTCAATGTGTTGGTTTTAATAGGAAAAAAAAATTCAATTAGGTTTTTTTTCAAAAACGTATGAAATTATCCAAAACTCAAGAGAAAAAGTTTATTTGATTCCGAATCCTACTGGAGAACATTTTGCACATCGTTTTCAGGTATCTTTTCGCATTGGCTTGCTCGGACATCGTTATAATCCTGACTTCTTTCTTCCTGTTTTTTCTGGAAAACATGCGAAAAAGATCTGAATGGGCAACTTACTACTTTGCTGTGTTATCTCCCGTGATGTACCCGATCGCCCTGACCGCCCAATCCCTATCTGTTTTCATCACTGTCGCCTCCGCATTTGATTGTTTCGTTCTCGTTGGAGCAAAGCAAAAGTTCAGAAAACAGTTTTGTTCTGTGCAAACCTCAATTGTGGTATGTTTTAGGTTGCAATAGACCACTTTCTTCTTGGATATGAGAGAATAGTCCAAAAGTATCTGTTCCAGGTACTTGTGTCAATTGTTTTGATCGCTTTCATATACAACTCGCCCCATATGTTTGAAATTTATGTTATCGACTGCTGGAGCACTATGTACAATACAACTTCAAAAGATGTTTGTCCTACACCTCTGCGGACGAATCCGGTTAGTTTCAAGTTTCTCTTTTCTGGAAAAAGGTTCAACAAAAGTAAAGAAAACGAAAAAAAAGCTTTATTCAGTTCGAAAAAAAAGAATACACCTTTTCACATTAGCATATGATTTTTTGCACGAAACAACATTTTTCCAGAGACGTCAGCTGCTTTTTGAGTTTTGAATAACACAAAAACAAACAGAGAATGTGGTTATCCGGTGGAGTTTCCGTGAGGCATTTCTTATAAAGCAATTTTGTAACTGCCAAAACAGCAGCGGAAAACATATGGACGACAAAATCATGTGAATTGAAAATCTTCGTTATTAGGAATTGAAATTTTATTTTTTTCGCATATCTAGTCGTCCAGATGAAATCCAGACAGATGCTTTTTCCTTTAATTTAGGCGAAAGTTTTTAATTGAAAATACCAGGAAGTTGCAAAAGTCTTGAACTGAAAAAAGTGCAAAATAATTTCAGGACTACTTGACGATATACTACGCGTACATGTACACAATCATGATGGCGGTAGGTCCAGTGGTCCTTCTGGTGGTCATCAACACGGCAATTGTGATCACCATGCGGAGATCCACTCAAGACGGCTGCGAATCTGATATCATTACTCTGGTTCTTGTCGTCTGTCTCTTTATTTCCTGCAACATTCTGGTAAGTATGCTTCCACCAGTTCGGATATTGAGTAAAAATCTCATCGAACACATTGTTTCTACTTATTGCGTTGCTTTGAGAAACCACGAAATTATATCTTTTTTTGAACTAGACAGCGTTTTTTAGCCCCCGGTTGAGCTTTTGATGAAAATTTGCTGAAGTGTGTTTAAAGACCTCTTGATTTCGGAACAAGAAGAAAGAAGCTCTCGCAATAATTTTTTTAAGTTTATGATGCTTCAAGTTTTACAAAACACGGGAACTATGACGAATTACAAGCTATTAAAGCAAAATCTCGAAAAAAAGATCGATTGCAAGACAGATTATTTTTTGAAATCAGAAGGTCTTGAAGTACACTTCAACAAAGATTCATAAGAAATTCAAGCGAAGGCTGAAAAGGCTCTCTAGTGAGAGCATTGAGAAACCAAAACTCAAATTTTGGAAGAGGGTAAATACTTTCAAAATAAGAAAGGCAATAAAACGAAAAGAAATGAGTTTTTCACTTTCTTATCACTTATGTTTTCAGCCATTGACTGTAAACCTTTTGGAACTGCTGATGAGTTTGGTTAATCCTTACCTCATCGACTTGTCAAATCTCATGGTGGTGGTGAACTCGTCCTGCAACTTTCTCATATACTACGCTTTCGGATCGAATTTCCGAAGAACTTTGCGACATTATCTGACAAATGCTTGGAAACGACGACGAGCCTCTCTTCTTCAGAACAATCGGATGAAATTATGTCTTCCCGCTACAGAAGTTCTCATTTGAGTTGATAAAAGTTTCGGTTTAGTATCGAACTTTCAGTTACATCCAAATGTTTTCAGTTAGGTTTTTTTTTGCTCTCTTTGAACCTCTAGTTTCATTTTTTTTTTCTTGTTCTCTAAAAGGCATATTGAAAACTTGTGAATTTTTAGTTTCGAGTAAAAACTTATAAGTGTCTAAAAATGATTCGTTTTCAGTTATTTTATCGGCTTTTTTTCGAATTTAAGGACGTGTGAACACAAAATGTAATTAGCATTGCTAATTTATTGAACATTTTTTTCATCCTCGGGTTTATTTTCTCACAACTTTTTCTATTGGAAAATTGATGTTATTTTCATAATTATTAATAAAAAGGCTTCTGCTTCAAAAAAAGTCAAGATTGAAAATTAAAGAAAACTCTCTCAAAAGCTGTACGGATAAATTCAAACAGGAAATTGTTTCAAAAGAAGATCATGTACTCGAAAATCACCCGGCTCCGAACTTCGAATGAAAGAAAACTCGAAACGAATGGAAACAGTAACAAAATGTTTGCTCGCTAAGCGTCAAGTGGAAAGTTTCCTGGCCCAACTATTCTCTTTGCGAGTCGCTCGATGAAAAATGCTATTTTCCTGCATGTAATATTTCTTTTTTTCGGATTTGTCCTTCCGCAGCAGGTTTTTTTTGAACAATTCCTAAATAGATAATCATTCAAATATCCATTAATATCTATTTCGAGCAACTTTCCTTTTTAGCAAACGTGTTGTTCGAGTTCAAACCAACCATGTATGGCTTACGACTCCAGCAAATTAGCAACTACCATCGACCAAGCTCTCTTCCACTTTCCTAATTTGGCATCTCCCCAACACGACACCATGTTTTCGTCACAATCAGGAAGTTTTTCCTCCAGTTCTTTGCCTTCTGGTGGGACCAACCGGATAATGTCAGCGGTAAGAAGAAGTGAAACTATTTATCCTTATCTGCACATCAGCAATTCGCCACAGCTCAAAAAGTATCTCCAGAAAGTTCCCAAGAAGCTTGCACCACAACAAGTTGCATGTCTTGCAAGCTGCAGATCATAAACGGCTTTCTGGAAAACCCAAATATCCAGCCGTCAGATAATGAAACCTTTTGGGTTCAAAAGTCCCTTCTCGAGAGTTCGCTCGGTTTGGAATGCAAGTATGTGGGTGAAAATTTAGTTTTACAGGCAGCGAAAAGGGAAACTGTCCTGGTGAGAATTTCAATAACAAGAACAAAAATGAAAACGTGAGATTTTCTTTTTCCATTATTTTTTTTTTAATGAAAATTAATAGTTTTTCAAGAAAAGGGGCAAGAATAGAACGAGGCCTACTGAACTAAACCCCAAAAGCATGGTTAACAACGAGACGCTGCAAAACTGTGAGTTTTCAATACATAAAAGATAGTATCCAACTTTGCTAGAAACAAAATCTTTCAGCCCTCGGCGTGGTGACTCTCATTGGTTGCGACTACAAAAGAGGGGCAGCCGTTGCCTCGGACTCACCTTGGACAGGTTTATGCAGTTTGTGCTGGCAGTGGAGGAAACTGCCGTCAGACTACTTTCCCACATTTTTGAACGAAGTCAATTGTGATCGGAATGATAATGGCTGTTTATCAGGTATCGAACTCCCTCCGCATTGAAAATTCCTTTAGGTTTCGGAGAATGCAAAACCGTGACGAGACCTATTCAAGTAATGCGAAACTCGGGAATCGAGCCCCAGTTCGATTGGGAAGAAGTCACGATTCAAACAGCCGTTGCCTGTGAATGTCAGGTTGCTATTGGGACGCCTTTGTATGACTTCGTAGTAAAATAAAGCTTTCCGAGCCTTTGCCCCCAATTACAAAACAGTGTCCAACAATCTAATTTTACATGGTTTTCATTGAAACATTTATTAAACATGATATGACGTTGCTTGTGTAACGGAAAAGATCCTAATTCATTGGGTTGAAATTGCAGAATACAGATAAAATTGTCGAGAATTGAGCGATTAGTAGGATGGCACGTTGTCGAATCCAGGACGTTTATACATTCTCTCGGAATTTTTGTCTTTGGCCTTCTCAATTGTCCTTAAGATCCCGTTCTTTTGAAAATTTTGCTGAATCTCAAACTTGATCGTTCCAAATTGGCTATGGGTTAGCTCGTCGACAGAATGGTAGGAGATAGATCCACGGAGCGGCGCCGGCATTTCTCGGTCGTCCAAGTCGTCTGCTACAAATGGCCTGAAAGAACCATTTGAGTTTAGCTCTAACCTACCCAACGGAATTCTACAAGAGTCACACCCTTTTTTCTTTTGATCTTGCTTTGTTTTGCTCATCAACATATTTTCATCCAAATAAAACTGTTTATTTTTTGCTCGACAATGGTGATCACAAGCTGAAAAAATTGGAAAATCGAATAGGTGAAAGGATATCGGGCGAAATTCGAATACCTATTTAGGGTACGTAAAAAATCATTGAAGTTCGAAAAAAAATTCTTGTTAACTGATTCTTTCGGAGTTCCTAATTTAAGTCAATATTTCGAAAATAAGAAAAAAAATTTCAAAAAATAAAAACGAAGAATGCCAGTAGTGACTTTAATTTAACCTAAATAAAAAAATTATAACGAAAAACGGTCCATATCGAATTGGCATTTTTTTCTCAAATTAAGCAATTGAGCATTTGAAACCTGGCCACTCTAGCTGATAATTGGACTATTTTTTTAAATTGTAAGTATTTAAAAAAATTCTTTATTCTTACAAAAAAATTTCAATTGTTTTTTGTTTAATATGAGGTGAAAAAAATGCGAAAAAAACCAAAGCGAGAAAGTCTCTTTTTTTAGTTTTGATCAATTTTTTTCATGTAAAACTGAAACCAATTTTAATTGCTGAAAACAGCTTAAAAGTTAAAAACGATTGCTCAAATTTCATCAAAAATGTGTTTTTTGCAAAGAAAGTATGTTTGCTACTTTTTGGAGCACATTTTTGAAAATTTTTTCGGCTGAAAAGGTTGGAAAATTTTTTCATGTCTTTTCAGTTGACGGGGTTGTAACTAGCAATCTGTTCAGTCGTCGACCTGTAGAAGGCGTGGTGGACGCGTTGCGGGGACAGCGGAGGCTGCTCGACGTGCGTCGGAAGACTCGGACGGCTGATCTCGTCCTCACTCCGCTGAGTTATGGTCACCGGCTTCGGCGCCACCAGCGTCGTCTCTTGCATCGGAGAAGGGATGAACTTCTCTGCAAATTTCCTCCCAAGTTCACCTAATCAACGTTGATTTCCGCTTCTTCCAAACGAGTTTTTCCTGTTATTTATTTTTTTTTGTACGCTTCTAGACGTCAAAAAATTTTTATGAAATTTTACAAAGAAAAGATAACATGCAGGATGCAAATGAAAAGAAAGAGTTAAAATGAAAATGTTTATTGGAAATGTTCACGCGCAATTCACGGCAGTTAAAGGTTTAAATTCATTGAGATTCACAGAAACCTCTTAAATGTACAGAGATAGAACAGAAAACGTTGGGAACAGGAGTACGGGTCACGCATCACAAGTTATTCAAATTAAATTCTCTTTCACGGAGAAAGAGTCAAACACTTTTTTGAGATTATTTTTCATTTCTTACATGGAAGGTCATCTTGCTCAAGTGGGAAATCTCTGAAACTTTCTCGAAATACCAGTCAAACATCTTGAATTTCCTCATCTACTGAACTTCTTATTTATTGATAAAATTTCTTTCTAAGTCGAAGAAAGCTGACATAATGTTTTAACAAGGGTTGTTTAATACTTTGAGCACTTTTTTCTAGAAAACTAGAAAAATTCGCAGACTGGATTGTTCAAGACCTTTTTTTAGGCCAGATATTATGAGCAATTTTCAAAAATTTCTAGCTGTCAAATAAAATGATAACCTTCCGTGTCAGGAAATTTCAGAAAATGCAAGCAAATTAGAACAAGGAAACCATTTTTCATGGAAAAAAACCAGTTAAAGAAAGGAAAAGTTACAGGAGTTCACGGGAATCGGTAGAAGCGGGTCTCTCATAAGTAATTTCCTGCTTGAAGCTTTCCTCGACGGTCTCATGAACGCCGTGTCTGACGACAGAGCCGCCGTCGCTCGAGTAGGACAAGCCTGAGGGCCGTCGGCCGTACTGCTGAGTGAGAGCAAAGTCGCGCGTCCTGCGGTAGCGGTCGTCTCCGTTGCCCACCTTCTCCATATCTAGTCCGGAGGTCAGTCCGACGTTACGGTTTTTGCGCCAGTCGTAAGATCCCAAATGAGAGTCGCCGCGTCCCTCGAAGTTCCTGTTGCCATAGGCGGCATAGACGTCTTCAGGTGTGCTGTACTTTTCTTTTTCATGCACTGCGTAGGCGTCGGCGTCGCCATTGGAGTGCAGCGCCGAGTATTTGCCTGCGGAGGAGCTGTTATCTGAAGAAAGGTTAGGAGAGGTTGGGTAGAAGGATTTGCAATCAGGGAAAACAGTAGAAGCTTCAAAACAAAACCAACCTTTTTTTGGCTTTTGTTTCCTCCATTTTGCTAACGCATAGGCTAATAAGGCGCACAAAAGAAGAAGTAGAAGAAGTGCAAAGACAATCAATATGACCATCAACCTGGAAATCATTATCTTCCTTGTTATGAACATCTATTCGTGCGCTTAACTAGTAAAAAATAACAGAAAAAGAAGACTCCATGAGAAAATAAATACTAAATAATGATTTCTTCGACTGACCAAAGTGGGATGGTCGCGTCGGCAGGTATGCAGCAGGACCTGCCACAACACTCCAAGTCGTAATCACAACTGAAAAAAAGGAGAAAATCGTCAAAGCGAAAATACAAAACAGACCGAAATTCATATCTTTCGTTCTTTCCATGGACGTCTCCTTCCTCGAAGACACATTGTTTGAAAGCTTTGGTATAGCCTTCGTACAAAATCCCCTTACTGTCACTCTGCAGAGCTATTTCCATGGCTCTGCTTGACTTTTGACAGTTACCCTCAACAATCACAAAACTTCCAAAGGAAAAAGAAAACAAAAAGAAATTTGCCAAGTTTTAGAAAAAAATTTCAGAATTGCGATGGGAACCGCCTTGGATGGGAGTGGTCGATCAATTCCGACGTCAAGTGTAAAATGGGTGGGGCAGCACCGAAGACTCACACGCCTATTTTGGATATACCATTTTAAATGCAGGTAATGTGATAAGAATCAAGGGAAGAAGATTAAAAAAAAAGAACTTCCAACAATTTATTCGTGTCGTTGTTGTTCAATTGTGTTTGAGTGAAACGACTACAGTAGAAAACTTATTTTTTCAGTTTGAATTTCAGTAGAAAGTTTTCAAAAAGATAACACAACCTGTACTCATTCTAATTTGCAAACGAGATTTTTTTTAGCGAAACGACCTCAAGATTTGTTAATGCATGATAATGCATTTTTACAGACACTTACTGATTGAGAAAATAAATAGCAAGAGCAAAAACAGGTTGACGGACAAGAATGCCTACAAGGCAAATGCAAATCGAAAAGACGAGACGGTTGAAGACGTCGTGATGAAACATTGTAACAGAACAAACCGACCCTTTTTACAAAAGAGAGACACCTTCTGGGAACACACAATAGTTAGAAACGTCTTCGTAATGCATAGTTTAGAAGGGCCACACCTTTTTTGTTTTTGCTCTTATGGTTTTTTGAACAAGTTTCAGGGTGTCAGGGAAACAATGTGAGTTTAATGGTTGGCTTGTATTATCTCATTAAAAAAAAATTTATTGAAACCATTTTTCTAATAATAAGAACTATGCGCAAGTTTTGAAATATCGCTCAATCATAATTATTGTCTTTAAAAGGGGAAAAACAGAAAAAAAGTTATACCACAGTATTCATTGGCAATTCTACTTTTGGTTTAATTTTAAGATAATTCAACCGGCTTATCAAGCTTTTCGATCTAACTCTGGATTTTTTAGCAACGGTTTCTTTTTTATTTCTTTTCGCAATAATATTAGTGTTTTCCTGAAGACGACAAGAGCTATGAAGTCCGAAAAAACTTGAAATCGGAAATAAAATTATGTTCAACAAAAATATTGAGTCCAATTCAAGCCCTACCGCTCTGAACTTAGTACCACAGTTGTAAACTGAAAAATATATTTCACTTTTTTATTGTTGACTCTTACCATAGCAAGAACTGAGATCAAAATCAAGGATAACTTTTTGAACGCCTTCATTTAATTTTAGAACTGAAGAATAAATGAGAGTACAAAACCAGCATTATCATGGCAAAAAACTATCGACAACGTAAAAAAAAAACAAGTAGAATTTTGTTTAGAGCGTTAACCTGTCACTGGCGGGGGCGTAACAACAAAAAAGCACATGGCGCAAGAATGGGTCGGAAGAAAAATAAAAGAAAAGTGCGCGGTTGACGGAGGCAAGTGCTCAGAACTAGGTTGAGAACAAACATTGCGCTCCCGTAGCTCTTAGTGTTAGTCTTGTGTCTTCCTGCCGCTTCGCATGGAGATTATCAGCGAAAATTGAATATTTTGTATTCATCACTCACTTTCTTGAATCCATTCACAATCTTTATCACTGATAATTTGTACACATATAATGAAAGAATAGAGAAAAGCTCATAAAGTTGTTAGACACGAGAAACAGGTCCATTCAGACAGGGGAAAACAATGACTATTCGAACAATCAAATCAGTCCAGGAAAGAAGAAAAAAGGGAAAAACGTGGAGAATTGCGTTATGCTTCAACAGGCACCTCTGTAATGTCCGAACCTGTTTTCTTTTTTCCGCGATTTGCATCGATTGTATTGATTTTATCTTTTGATTACATAAACTCATCAATACAACTTATGATAACTATTAATTAAGGTGAAAATTCTTCTCGGAAACGTTCAATGTACTAGTAGCTTAAGCAAATGTTGTGCTGATCAATTGTTTTTTTGATAACAACGCCAAAAATTAGAAAAAAATCTTTAGAATCACAGAAGACCCGTTTGGAAATGAAAAAAGATATATGCATGAACATAAGTACAACAAGGTGATTAATTTAATAGAACAGCAAAAAAAAGAGAAACGAGAACATAAACGTGTGTTCCATCCATTTCGACGCTATTACATCTGCAATATTTTGAAAAATAATCAGAATTTCTTAGGTTTATCAGAAAAACAAGTTGAATACCTGTCTCTGTCTGCACAAATGCAAATTTTTTCGTGTATTATCGAACCGGTAGTTTTTTCAAATCGCTCAGAGCATTCTCCAACCTGGAACATAATTCTTCCCCTAGAAGAAATATCCTATACGGCGAATTTTGAGGAACCTTCTTTTAAAAGTTGTAAACCGACTAAAAAAAAGAGTCTCAGTGAGAAAATGATTCCTTTTTTAATTTTTGCTGTAAAGCGACTTTGTTGACTATAAAAATAGAGCAGAGATATGATAAATAAAAATGTTTCACTGTTAATAATTTAGTTGATGGAAAGTTTCAGGAATTTATAAACGCAAAAAAAACATGAAAAATTAATATACCTTTGACAAAACATCGGTTCCATTAAGACATCCCCTTTTTATCAGGTTTGTGTTGTCATCATCTGAAGTGTCCTTTGATTGATTTTTGTCCAACAAGAAGTTCAATCTCACCCAAAGCAACCATTTTGTAACAAAATCGTCCACGACAAATATCGCAATTTCGTAAACCGGTGCACTTTAAACACGTGAATAATTGAGAATCGCCTGAAAATTCAAATTCAAAATTTTTTCGAATTTCTCAAAATGGTTCTTTTAAATGAAATGTTTTAACATCTTTTTTTTTCAAGTTTTGAACGAAAAAAAAACGCTCCAACAATTTTTTTTTTTGGATTTTCGTCAATCTGCAAAAATTACTTCACAAAAAGAATTACGCCATTCTCATAAAAAAACCTTGAGATTACTGAACTGACTTGAAAAACTAGAAAACGATGTTGGGTGTATAGTGACATTCCATTTTTTTTTTCGTATACATAATGAATCCAACTTACTTTCAGGGAGGTTGGAAAGGGCCAAAGTAGAAAAAAACAAACAGCAAAAAGGTAAAGCGTTGAAACTGTTCATAGCGGAGGCCGAGAGTCTGAAAGCAACATGAGTCAGAGGCTGGTAGAACTCCAATACGTCTGAATGGGGACAGACCGGAACGACGCGTCACGACGCGCGATATTATCCGCGATAGCAATATTCAATTGAACCACAGCGAATTTGAGTTCCAATATAAATTATTACTTACGTCTTATTACCTTTTTGCAGATGTAAATTCTTTGTATGAACTACAAATAATTGAGCGGAGCAGCGATACCAGATGCAACTATTATAAAATCAAAAAAACCATATAACGTCCAGATTACTGCAACAACAAACTGATAAAAGATGGAGCGTATCAACAAAGTTTTCTCGCTCGTGCAGCGGTTTGCCTCAATAGATATTGATTAGAAAGGCGGCTAACCTGAGCGACCGACTGTGGTCAACCTACTTTCCGAAAGGTGATTCACCTCGCACCCACTGTCTCTCGATATTTACTTCAAGGACTTCGTATTGTTTGCGCGGCACAGAGAAACTTGGAAACTTTATTTGGCAAGGATTTTTTGCGGGAGGGGGGAGGGGGTTCAGGCGTTGAGTCCTGCGTCTAGCTGACGATCCGGCACGGCTGCTTGGAAAACTTCGATTTCCTCTATGGCCTCGTTGACCTTCAGGAGAGTTGGGAACTGGTCGATATCCACTAAGAACCTGCAAACGAACGCATCTCTTTTTTCTTAAGTTTGAAATTAAAAACATGTTTCTTTTGTATCGTTCACAAAAATTGCAATGAAGATGATTCAAAACAATTTTTTTTTATTTGAAATATTTTTTTCACCTTTTAGCGTTGTAGACAATAGACGGAATGAACAAATCGGCAAAAGAAACTTCATCGCCGACGGCGAATTTCCCATGGCTTTTTTTCAGCATTTTTTCGACTCCATCAAGTCCTTTCTCAATCCAGAAAGCAGCCCACTGAAATTATTTACTTTATTTCCTTCTTTATTTTCTCTTTTGAATTTTTCTCAGCATAAATATATACATATTCACGCACAAAGAAAAAAAATTAGAAAATCAACAACTAGAGAAATATCGGGTAATCAGTTCAGAAATCAAAAATTCTAGATTTTGGTTGTTTTATATCAGAAAATGATTTGAAATCCACATTTACTAAAAAATCATCTTCAAAGATTTCTGTAAATTGCAAAAATTGAAAAATCGCTACGCTCAGGCTTGTTCAGATCTCAATCAATTGGGAGGCTTTGTAGAGAACAAGTTCAAACTAAAAAAGATACAAACTCTATTCTGAAAACTTTCCACCTTTGCTCCGCTGCCTGCCTCTCTCTCGTTTAGATATTTGATGACGCTCATGTTCTGAAGGGGCTGCGTGTTTGCACCAATCTGAATCCTTTCTCCAATCCACACGCTATCATTTTCAACTCGGTTACCTGAAGAGCAATGGCTCTAGACAAGGCTCTTTTCACAGGATCCTTTGGCAGAAGAGGCTTTTCCGGATGAGTTTCTTCCAAATATTCCAGAATGGCAAGACTTTCTGTGATGGCGTTTCCCTTGTCAATGTAAACAGGAACCTTCTGAGCTGGATTGACATCTATGAAATCCGGGGCGTTCTGAAATCTTTGAGTGATGAAAAAGTCGAGCTGAGCACACAGAAACAAACCATGTCATCCTTCGAAAGAAGATTGACGGTTTTATATTCATAATCGATGTCTTTCCAAGCCAAAGCTGAATTTTCTTAGTTTTGTTGGAACAAACTTTTTTTTTCACCCATTCGCACTCTCCAAGAGCAAGAACTGCGCCAGTAAGAGTAGAGAACAGGCTTTTCTTGTTTGGACATTTCGAGACTCTAAATTGAATGAGAAGTTAGGAAGTTGAACAAAAAGAAAGTGGTCGGAGAAATGGTTGTGTTGATACGCGGCAGATTGTATGGTTCTATTGACTAATCGATGACCTTTTGGGCGCCTATCTCTTTTTTGATGGGAGTAGAACATCGTCGAAAATCAAACCACAAACAACTTGGTGGTTTTCGATGTCAAAGCAGAGATTTATGGGAATAGGCAAACCTTCAATTTTTATTGTATCTTTGGGAAACTTTCAATATTAGCGACGATTTCAGAAAGTCAAAAAGAAGTTCGAAGGCACTTGTACCACCAAAAACAAATAATAACTTTTTTTATTTTTATATTTTCATGTAATTCAAAAGATTTTTTTGAAAGTTTTATCGTTTTCGATTTGGAGGTCGACATCCAAAAAAATTATTTCATAAAAAGAAAGTTCAAATAATCCAAAAAAAGCAACAAAAAAATGTTTTTTTCCTATGCCTCCAAAGTCAAGCCACGATTATTCACGCTCAAATGTAGATGCGTGAAAGTACATTTCCAAAAAATTTCAAGTAAGTTCGGAAAAAGAAAATTTGAGTTATCTTTTTTTAGAGTCTCTATTTTTTTCAATAAAGCATAATTAGAATTTCTATGTCAACTCCTTTTGCTCTCAATGGTCATACTGCTCACCATTTCTTTTTCGAACGTCATGCAAGTTGGGGCGAACGTGTTTGCAGATCAGTCATTGCGTTTGTTACCGATCTTCAAAATTTGTCTTTGCATATTTCTTTATCAATTTTTATTAAGAAAACCATCACCTTTTCTGACGTGATTTCTTGCTTGGTGAACGCTTCATCAGTTCAATTTTTCGGAGTATTTCAAAAAAATAGGTGTGAGATTGCTCATTTTGCATTATTTTTCCAATATAGTTTCCAATAATCTTTCGTTTGGGACAATAAGTACTATAAAAACGTTTGAGCCTTTTTTTTTCAAACAACTAAACAACTTTCTGTTAGTCGTGTTTTACTCTTATCAGAACTTTTTTTAAGCCAACGGTTAAAAATTGTGAAATAATTTTCTCGGGGTTTGTTCACTTTTTTCTTTCAAGCGTCACCTTTCGTTTATTTTTGTGTTTTTCAAACTTGATAGATTTTGTTTCAGAAATGGAAGACGAACAACCCATATCGCCCATCACCGCTCTGTGTATTGTGGCGGACAAAAACAAAGTTCCAACAGGCTTCGAAGCGGTAAACTACCAAAAAAAAAAATGTTCCTTTACATATTTCATTAAAGTTGACCAAATGTTACGATGACCAAACAGAAGCGGATCTTTGGCACGACAGCATGTGGACTTTCAATAGGCAAGTTCGCTACTTGTGCTTCACCAAACATGTTCCGGCATCGGCAATCAAAGTGAGTTCTCTTCTTTGTTATTTAATCAGAATTTTGGATTGTTCAGGGTGTTACTCCAGTCGTCACCAACATCACAATCGTCAAAGAAAGCGATCCGATTCCGCATGGATTTGTGGCGCTGGACTACACCGTTGACAGTCGTACGTTTTTTCTTCCTATAAATTCGATTTCATTTTTGTGTTTAAATACTTTTTTCATTTCTTGATTGCTGTTTCATGTACATACCATTTTTTTGAATTTTTTTTCCCCTAAAACGCTGATAAAAAACTTCAATTCCATCTATATTATTCTACGCGGCTTCAAAAAGTTGGAGGGGTGACAATCGATAAATGTTTTTAGAGTTTTACGATACTCAACAGTTTATCAAATAGCAAAGTTTTTGGTCGCTAGGATCAGAACAAACTGTCGAGTTTTGTTTCTTCTCTTTTTTTGCATGTATAATCATTTTTTAAGGCGAAAGAACGCTGCGCAAGAAGTACATCTGTATTCGTACTGAACCTTGTGATCGAGCCGTCGACGCTGTTGGAGAAGTCATTGTCATGAACAAATCGAAAAAAATACCTAAAAACTACACCTTGGCCGGGTGAGCTCAAATATTTTTCTGTTATAATTCTAATTTTTTTAATTACTTTGAAAAAAATTTCGAAAATTGTTTTGAAAGAAAAAGACGACAGAAGTGATACCCTGAACAAAAAAGTTTTCAGAGAAGTCGACGCGATGAATATTTGCTTTAAAGTTTGTGCTATTCCACCAACTTTTGGTATTGTCACAAGTTCGAGGTTATTCTTCATTTTTTTTTCAATTCATCGTTTTTTTTTTCAGCACTAGCAATTTGAACGATAGCATTCCCACCTTGTACCCTGGCTTGAGCTCTACGAATTCTTCTTCGACCCCGACTATTTCGGAAACCACATCTGTTCCTAGCAAAGTCGACGCTTATACCATGAAGGTTTTGTTCACCTATGTTATTTCGCATTGATTCTTTTCTAGTCTTCGTTGCTGCCAAAAGTCAAAGGAATTGACGGAGTTCCATTCAAACTCAATCCTCGGCTCATTCGTTCAGAAAATCAGGTAAAAATTGAAAATGTTTCAAAATCCGTACGATCTACGTATTTTTATTATCATAATGATTACCATGAAAAACCGCTAATTTTTTTATTTTGAAGATTGAATTTACAAAGAAAAAAATAAACATCAAGAAGCCGTTGTGAGAAATAATTTTAATATGATGAAACTCACAAAATTTTTCCCCCCATTTTATTTTTGACGAGTTCCAGTTGTGAATTTCTTTCCCTGCATTTTTCGGTTCAACTTGAAAAGAAAATCGAATTTCACAACACACACTTAGAGAGCGCAAGCTTTATCAAGCGAATTTTCTCTTTGAACTCTTTATTGCTTTAAGCACACTAACCCACTGTTTTATGTTTTTTCGTATCTTGAGACAATATGAGACGCTAGTAGTGAAAAGTTTGCATGGAGCTTTTTTTGGAGTAATTACGCGCCATAAATCTGCGCATGGCTATTAATTATTAAGCGGAAACGCGGCCGTTGTGTCACGTTTGTTCAAACATCTCCAACTGAATTAGAAACGAAATCAAAAAAACAAAGGTAGAATTTACTAATAATTAAAAAGAAAATATTTTTTTAAATATTGCATCAAAAAAAACAACGTAATAAGAAAAACCTTTAATTAATAGGTGTTCCTTTGGAATAGTGGAATTGTTTGTATACCCAATTACGCACCAGTTTGTCACCTTTTTTCCGCCAAAATACCGTATGCCAATTTGGATCAAAATTGTGCATCTTCGCTTCAAGACTTGCGTTTTCTGCTGCCTTTTTAGCAGTTCGTAAAGCAAACTTTGGTATCTACGATAGCTTTTTTCTGCAAGTGAAAGCTTTCAGGAAGACGATTTGCCCAATATCAACGACCTCATCGACATGAAACTTCTCCAAGAAGGAGTCCCGTACAGTTTCCAATTGGAGCGATCCATTTTGTCGTGAACATTTCGAAAAGAAAGAAAACCGGCGCTCAACCCAGTCACAAAACCACATCTCATGAAACTTTGCTTTTATAATTGTGTACACATGAAAATATTTATTTGTTTCGTTGAATTGTCGAGAAAGCACAGGTTCGAGGCAGGGAGAAAGGGGCAAAGGCGCGGGAAAAAAAGGCATTGCACACGGAGAACTCGCGCCAGGTAACGTTGTTTGTTGTGTGCCGACCGCAATGCCAGTTTTCATCGCTGTCCGTCGAGAGCCTCGCTTCCGAATCCTTCTTTTGGAGAAGGCGACTAGCGGTTCACAGATCATTCAAAACTCACGTTGCAATTTGTTATGTCCTCGAGCTTTTCTTCCGAAATTCTCAATTTTTGTTAAAATTTTGAAAACTTTTTTTTCGCAAGAAAGTTTTGGTGAGAATCGCAATTCAATCAAATCTCACCTCCCCGAGAAAAAAAGTTTCAGATTTTTCAAAATTTTTTTCTATGGACTTCGAAAGAACATTTATCTTTTAGAAATCACCTTAAGATTTTTAAATTCAGATTTTTTTAAAGAAAGAGCTGGTAAATTTTTTTCAAACTGGTCAAGAGAAAAAGTCAAAATTTTTAGTTTTTTTGATTCTTTCAGTTTTCATTTGTGAAAATGAAGAAAAAGAAACATTCAACAAAAAAATCGCAAAAAAACATTCATAAAAGTGTATGAAATTTTTTTCTCTTGGAAAAAAACTTTTTTTATTCACTTTTCAAACTAAACATACAAAAAAATGGATCTAATCCTGAAAATTAAAAAAAGCTTGCAAAAAAATTTTTAACCACCATTTTGAAAAACTTTCACTTTCATTTTGACAAGAAATGATTTTTTTCCGTTTTTTTATTGTTGATTCATCCATTTGTTGCTTAAAACTGAGCACATCATCACATCATAAACAAATTTTTCACATTTTTTTCTCATTCATCAAAGTTTTCGAGAGAAACTGGTTGATAAATATTATGTGAGTTTTTAAATTATATTTATAACTGAGTATTACTGCACATTTTTTGTCCTATTCCTTCATCCTATCTGAAATATATTCGTAGTTTTCGATTAACAACAGCTTTTCCAGAGATTGAAAATATGAGAAGAGCTTCGGTTGCCCTCGGCATTCTTCCGCCGGAAATTCTAGAGGTGAGTGATGACAAAAACTTTTCCAAAGTTGTCCACTTTTTGCGACTTTTCCCTTTCGACTTGCCATTATATAGCGATTTCCAGACAGTACTTGTCTGTTACCGAAATAAACCAAAGACAAACAAAGAGAGAAACGGAAAAGTTTCGTCCTGCCCCACTTTCTTCGCGGTACCAAAAGCTCAACAGTTTACTCGATTGTCCGAACGTCTTGCTTATTTTCCAGTTTAGTTTTGACTTCATCTCATGAACCCTGTTTTTATATTAGTGGTTGTGACATTCCATGATTACAGGAAATAATATAATTTATAAATATTGAAACGAAGCTTTAAAAAAAGATAAAAAAATCTGCGCTTGATTCTCTTAAAAAAATTTTTTTAAAGTCTAAATTTTTTTGTGTTAGGGGTTACTTCCTTTTTAAATATGATTTTTGAATGGTTTTGTGAATTTTTGTATGTCCCTAAAACTTTCCTTACGATTCTACAGATGGAAATTGTTTTAAGGTTTCGTAATTTTACATGAACCTCGTTCTCCAATTTACCGGATTTTTTTTACTGGAGTTTTTTTAATGTATTTCTTCTTGTACACACTACCGCGATTATCAGTTCTAGAAGGTTAAAAAAGGATGAACATTATTTGAGACAAAAAACGCAAAAAAGTATAACTGGAAATGAGGCGGACTAAAAAAAAACATGAATGGCACACGTTGGGAGGCGGGTTTCTTTACATTTTTCCACTCTTCAGACTTTTTTGTCGTCCAGAACGTGTTGCGTGTAATTCTATTCGTTTTTGTTCACATTTTTTTTTTGACTCGGATATTTTTACTGAACGGATCGAAAATTACAACAGGGAAAAATTTTTTTTAGGATTTTTAATTGTAGATTTTGGGGATCGTTTATCATTTTATTGTAGATTTTTACTTTCTTCTAAGAAAAAATGAGTTTCAAAGCGATAAATTTGTCATATTTTAGGTTGACCTCCTTGATATGACAAATCAAGAAGAGAGAAAGGGAGAAAGCGCAGTTGTCATATTTGGAAGCAAGCAGAAAGAAGAGTTTGTGAGTAGTTCTTTTTCAATATTGTTAGTGTTCATTCAAAAGTTTTCAGTTCAAACAACTCTGTCAAGCGGCCAATAAATACGAGAAACATGCCCACTATCAAGACGTCCATTATTTGAGCGTTGAGTTCAACGGAAAAGAAGAAGTCATCGAGTTCACTGACCCGGGACTGGTGAGATCTTCGCATGCTTCATTTATCAGTTCTTTATCATTCAAGTATTCGCAAAGTATAAACAACATCAAAATTTGATCATCGGAATAATCTGCCGACCTCTGATTAATATTTGATTGATTGTGAGGAAAATCGAAAGTTCAGGCAAAAACGGGCGGTCGCGAAATGGCTCTTCGCAGTGCGGACTTTGTACTTCTCCACTACACGGCGATGAACGTAACTTCCCTGCAAGCCCTACAATCTCTGACGGAGCTCCTTCATTCCAGAGCCAATGTAGGTCTTCCTGTTATTTTTCACATTCCGGTTTATTTTCCCGCGCTAGACTTTTTTCTAATCAAATCTACGAGGTATCTGGGAGAATCCCACGTAAAGAAGCGAATCACTATGGTAATCGAAAACAACGCCCGGGAATGTAACTTTGGGACACAGAAAAAAGAATAACCGCAAAGTTTGCTCAAATATTTGCGTTGTGCATGGAAAATGGTGAAAACGAGCCTCATCAATAATTCAAAGGACGAGTGAATGTTTTAGAACCAATGTGTAGTAGACCCCATTTTGAGAAAAAACGATCTTGATACGCATAGAATCTGCAAATTTCAGACTTTGAACAATTTTTCCGATTAAAGTCGATCGACTTCATTTGCACAACGTTTCTTTCATCATTTTTTGCTCAGTTTTGAGTGAGAAACAGTGGAATTCAACAAGACAACTTTTCTTATGATTGCGAAACAGTTACAAATCGAAAAAGTCTTGTGCAAACTTTTGAGGTCAAAGGAACATAAAGCGATTCATGTTTGCATTGTCATTTTCCGTTTCTAAAATACTGAAAACCGAACTGAGTCACACAATTTTTTCTTTTCATTCTTTTTCGTATTGGTATTAGAAAAACGGGGAAACCCTCAGAAAAATTAATGTTTTTTTTATAAGAACCGCAAGATGTCGTTAGAACTTTCGAACTCATCTTTTTTATTCGTTGTTAAAAATTTTCATGTAACGCACTTATCATTTCATTTTCTCTCTATCCTCAAGTCTAACTTTAGAATATGCCTTGATTTTAAGTTCTGTTTGTGAACGTTCTTTTGAATGTAAAAAAAATATCTACTCAATCAGATCTTTTAGGTGCCTGTTCTAGTAATATGCGACACAGACGAATGGGTAGAAGAAGAGGAAAATATCGCCTCGGAAGGTTTTTTTGAATTCAGATGTGTTGTAACCTGTTTTTTTGGAATCGCTCAGGTTACGAGTCTGATGCAGATGGACTTATGAAACGTCACTATTCAATGGAACAAGTTCGCAAGTCGCTGGACGATGGTGCGATCAGCGCAGATTTGGTACGTTTCTTTTTAGTTGCTGGGGTGAAAAAAGTCTGAGCGTACTGGTTTGATCTTGATCTTGAAAAAGGGCAATTTAATCCATTTATAGAGTCAAAAACTGCTCGAAGAACTTGGTTCAACTTGCAAGTTGATGGAAATCAGCGGCTCCGATGGAGAAGAGTTGCGGAAAATTCTGCAGCACATTCTGACGACTTTGTCCTCTTCGAATGAATGGGGTCGCCGCCGCAAACCTTTGATTAAAAAGTAAGTCAAAAAAATTCTTTCAATCAATCAATCAAAACTTTTCTGGTGATAGGAAAAAAGCACCTTTTTTCGGTTTAGTTATTTGAACTGATGATAGCTTTTTGCAGCCTTCTGCAATTAAAATCGACGGAGAAAAAAGAAAAGGAAGCCAAAGATCTGAAGGAAACAAAAGAAGATTCGCCAATCTCGTCCCCAAGTTCAACTGAGTCTAACACCGCAACTGAGAAGAAGAAGAAAAAAGTGAAACGCAAAGGAAATAATGTTGAGAAATCCAGCGTCTGTAGCCTCATGTAAAATTAGCTTTCCAGTTCTATTTCTAACAATATTAAGCATGGTTGTTGACTTTGATCTCGGCTGTATACTTAATTCACAGATATTTTGGTCCTTGTTGCTACCGGTCATTGCCAAAAAAGGCATGGGTTCCTTCTTCACTCACGATTCTTTCATGTGTTTGTTGTTTCACATTCCATTCTACAACAACGACACTTCAAGAATATAATTTTCTGTATTCTGAATTTTATTTTGTGTTATCTAGTCATATTTTTCTTAGAAGACTGTTTTTTCGAGGAAATGTATAGAATGAATTTTCAAAATGTTACATGGAAGTTGGTCATCGGAGGCTTGACACGAAGTTGCCCTTTTGGGTCCAAAACTGGATTTCAATAGGCCTAATCTTTCCAAACTGCCAATTCCTCTGTTGCGAAGGAGCTGAGACGGAATATTTTTCAGCAGACAGAGAGTAAGGAATATTCTCCAAATGTTGCTCAGCGGAGAAGCCTCAAAAAACATATTTTCGAATTTTACGCTTTTCTTCATAATCTGAGCTGGCAAGTCTAGCAGGGATCTTCGAATTCAAATTTGCTGCTTTTTATTTTAGTTTTGAGTGCAAAAATTAAACTGAGATATATATAACGCAAAATAGAATACCGTCGTATTTTTCACTAATTCTGCATATGCTACTTTAAAAAACTTGCAAATATCTGTTCTTTTTCGGCTGTATTATCACGTTCAGCTCCTGCGTTTTTCTTTTTTTGCGCCAGCCTCACAAAAAGCGTAAACAAGGCTGTGATTATCAGTAATGACAAGAAAGGCTGGGAAAGTTGGAGTGGAAAGGTAACGCCAGGAAGCGTCGGTTTCCCCAAGGGAAACGCAACCAAATCACCTTTGTCGACAGCGACATCCTTGCGACTCGCTCAAAAACAATAGTAGTCACCATTTATTTCAAGAGCTCTTGTTGTTTTTTTTGGACTGCTCTCTTCTGAAGAGACGGCCACCCTCGCGGCGCTTCATTAACCTCATAGCGCAAATTTTGAAGGCTGGTTGTCGTCCTTTTTTGATTTTCAGGTTTTCGCTGCCTGTTCAAAAAACCTTTCCGAATAAAATTTTTAATTGATAGCGTTCAATGAAAATATAACTTCACAACTTCAAATTAACTCGACTTTGGAATTAGCTTCGCATTCCTCTTTTTTTTTTCTTTTTTTTTAAATCTTTATATAATCAGTTCATTCTCGTCTTTTTATTCATACTTACCCGAGATAGTTTCAATTCTCATATTCACGTTTCATTCAAAATTGAATAAGCTTAATATTTAAGAATTCATTTTTTTTTTCGCTTTTTTCGGAATGTTCCCTCACAAAAAGGCAGTTTCCGATTTGAGTCCTATTTGAGGATACATTATACCAATCAGCATTAGTCTCCGCGTTTTTTTTTGATTTTGTGCGTTAAAGACATTTTCGTGTTTTTTAGTACATTCGGGGAAAAGAGGTCTCTGAAATTGCTCAAATTGCAATTCTTCTCAAAAAAGATTTTTGGTAATTCTTTGTGCGTAACAATTAGGCTCGGCGACAGGAAGAACGAGAGGGAAGAAAGTGGGCGGCGGGAGCCGAATTATAACAAGCATTATTGTGCTGCCCACTACTCAAATTACACCTATTTCGATTCAGTCGGTTTTCACAGGACCCATCAAAATTGCAATCAAAAAATATTCAGTCATTCTCATCGAAAAAAACAAAACCGTAGAAATCTTGCAGAAACAGGAAAATAAACAAAAAATATTTTTTCTGAAACTTGAACTCTGAACTTTCCTGAACTTTTTTTCCTGAATTTTTTTAAGTTTTCATTCTCTCCAACAGGAATTATAAAGAGAAAATAATTTTTCACAAATGCTTACCCCTGTCAACTTATTTTTGGCTTGAGTTTCAATTTGTGCAGACATATTCCCTTGAATATTCAATTGTTTGCGGTAATTCCGTTTTGGCTCTAGCGTCAAAGATAAATTGGAGAAGTTTTTCTTTGGTTACTTGCTGCCCATTTATGCCAGAACCAAATTCATCGTTTTCCTGTTTTATTCCAAGTAAAGATTTCCGAGTTTTCAGAATTATCAAATTTCAAACTGTAAAAGTCATATCCGTCTTATTATGTCAAACTGTACTCGAACCTACCATCTTCCTTTCATGAATTTCGATTTTGTTACTTTCAAACGATTGAATTTCGAAAATAATCAAGCTTTGTTGTTTATTTCAGTTGGAAGAAAAATGTGTATTTTAGACACTTCTTGACACGAGCACTCAAATGGAAGAAAGACTCAATGGAATTTCCTCGAGACTAGTTTATAGTAAGTATTTTTGGTAAACCTCATCTCTTTTGCCAATTTCAAGAGAACGCTTTTTTCTTGGAATTTATCATTTTTTCTTCGAAAATGTTCTTCAGAGGGTTCAATTTGCGACGCGCATCCTTGTTGGAACGACGGAATTTGTCACTCGAACGGATCTTCCATTTTCAGCTGCGAATGCACTTCTCTTTACGTCGGACATCACTGCCAGTATAGGGTAACATATATCAAAGACGTCAAAACTTTTGACTCTAATAAATAGTAATTCCGAGATAGTATGACAATGAAACAAATTCAAAAAAATTCAATTTTCTAACTAACCTCAAAAAGTATAATTCTTTACTTTCGTTTTTTTGAGCCCTGCTTTATAATTCAATTATTTGAAAATCTTGAGTTATTACGATTATGAAATAATTAAGTTTTTGAGGTGAAATCAGGGAGATCTCAATGGTAGAAAATAGCGTTTCGTCGTTTTTCTGAAGTCAAAAATGGATATGAAAAAAATTGGAGATATTTTTAAAAAGTATCAAATTGTGTCGGTTACGATAAATCGTTTTAGAAATGAATTCATGTTATGAACTTCAAATCAGCGTTGTAATTAATGAATTTTGTATTTTATTAAACGTCAAAGACTTGAAGAAAATGAGAAAAGAAATTTTTGAAAAGTTTCGTGAAAATGAGTTCACAATTTTCAAAAACGAAATGAATGAGATAAATATAAGCGGAGTTGATGTTTATTTCTTTTCAATGTGTGACAGAAAACAATATTGTGAGTCAGAATATAAAAAAGTAGAATGCCAAGTTTTTCAGGTTATGGATTTGTGCGCGAGTGTTGTTTGCCTGTCTTTGAATCGGTGCAGTATCCGTGGACTTAACGTCAAATGTGCCCCTTACAGAACTCGAGGTGATTCTTAATCAAATATTGACTTCATTCTCGCTTTATTTCACATGAAATCAAATCAATCGTGAAAACAAAAAAATTATTCAGCAAAGGCTTGTTTTTACTTCGAAAAGTATTAGGGATCTTCGTTTTTTGAAAAAAGACCTAATCAACTTCAAAACGCCGCAAAATATTAAGTTTTTGGCTGCGTAGGTCTACTGAGTCATTTTCGTTTTTTTTTTTCGGAAAATACGAGTCTAAATTTTTCTGTTTTCTTTTTCGAAAAAAGCAAAAAGAGTTACAAAATGATAGACAGAAGCAACCTGAGCAACGTGCGCGTCATGCAAGAAAGAAAGCATTTAATTGCGCCGGATGTGTAGAAGTATAGTTGATTAGGCAAGAATGGACGTTTTGGGAGTGGAACCAGTCAAAAAAAGACGAGAAATCTTTGAAAACGTCGTTTTTCTCTTCTTCCTCGATTTTGCAATTTATAGCTAACTCAGCATGTCATGTTGCTTCAAAATTTGTCGGTTCTTTCGCGAAAAACTTCAGTTTTCAGATTTCTACTTGTTTCTTCAGAGTTTTCCTCGATTTAAGTTGGAAAACTGATTGAAAAGAATTTGTTGAAGTCTTTCCCTTTTTTTACAGTCGCTAATATTTTTTCATTTTTATTAACACCCATTTCATCTGATTAGCTTTTGGTACGGGATTTCAATAATTATAGATCTCGATTTTGAAATTGTTATTTTAAATTTCTTTGAACAGAACTCTGGTCAAAGAAGCTGACTAGAGTATATTTTTTCGATGCCTTCCGGTTAATATTGAGCTTCTGTAAGTGAGTCCCACAAAAAGGAGACCGGCTTTTCTAAACAGGAGAAAACGTTTGGCTTTGCTCGTATTTATCCGTCATTCTGTCAGGCCCTCAAGGGATTTTCGGCACGCACTTTTCATTCCTGTTTTTTCTTTCGTCGCTTTCCACGCAACCAGAAAATAGTCTATGCTTCAATCTACGCAAACCAAAAAATCTCTGTTTTTTCGAATTTACTTTATGAACTCGTATACTTATACACAGCTTCTGGATTTTGCATCCATGTATGCCATGACGACTCACATAAAAATGAGTTGCTTCTCTCGTCAGCCTTTCCTGCCCGAGTTTTCTCCTGTCTGGAGATTTCTGAACAGTTTAAAGAAAACTTTTTTCGATTTTCCCTTCGCAAAATGCTCCGAGAGGCAAACTGTTGATAATGTGCGATGTACGCGTTGTCCCGAATGTACTTCATTAATTCCTTGGGTGAGATTTGATTATTCAAAAAAAAACTCAGAAAAAAATTGAGAAAAATGCTGTTTCTGATGTTTAACTTTTGATTTATTGCAGAGTTTCTGAGTTCTTGTCTTTCGACCAAGTGTGTCAACGGGGGGATCTGCGCCAACGTAACAGGAGGCCATCGTTGCGAATGTGCGGCTCCCTATCACGGTCCCTTCTGCCAATGTCAGTTTTTTGAAGTGTTCAGAAACGAAAAATTTGGGAACATTCCTAATAATCTTTGGGGGTACCGATCCAAAAAATATCTGAAAATAACTGCTTTATCGAGATAATTTACATCGTTTTTATTCTAATCCTATTATTCCAGTTGATGGCAATGAGCACACATACGAGTGGAGTTCGATCGAAGTGACAGTTTTCCTATTTGTCATCGTGATGGTTTTATGTGCTGTGGCAGTCGTTTGTTGCGCGTAAGTTCAATTAAATTTCAAAAATATTCAAGATTTTTCTGACCGTTTTTTTTTTCGCCATGGAAAATTCTTCTGGCAGCTTAGATTAGTAAAATGTTTCGCCATTTTTCTTCGAAAATTTTTTTTTAACACCGAAAATCCGTAGAATGGAAGTTCGAGGTAGAATAATGAAAAAATCATTTTTGGTCAAAAATTCAAACTTGAAAAAATGATTCCAGAAGATGCGTGAACATTCATCAGAATATTTTTTTATTCGATTCAATTCAAGTCAACTCAGAGTTTTTTTCAGTTCTTCTTCACGGATGGGATTTTATATCAGTGTCCCCAACAAACTTTACAACAGGTTTTGGAAAAAATGGTCAAGTCTCAACATTTTTTTTCCATTTTCAGATGGGAAGAAGAAGAAGAGTTGTGCGACGAAAGTGAGCCAGGAGAGTACCTACCCATGGCTAACGTTAATAAGTACGGGGTGGTTACTTTTCAAGTTCATCTTCATTTTCAGAGGGATCGTGACGTCACGAACACGGGAAACAGTTATTGACGATTATGAGGAATCTTCGATCCTGCAACTTTGACTCTCCATGAACTTTGAAGTATCCTCGTGTGCCACTGCTCATTTTTCATTTTTCCTTTCCAAATAAAAAGCATTTTTTTTATCTTGCTCAAAAAGTTTCATTTGAATAAAAACGGCTTTCGTGTTTTTTTATTATAATACAATTCATGGAGCAGTTTTGATAGGTGGACCCTGACATGTCTCAAAAATTTCCCTTTTTCCTTTGCCCTACTTACATTTTGAATCTGAGATATCTGGTGATATGAGTTGTACATACTATCTCAAAAGGAAAACATAATAAATAACTTGCACTAATGACGTAGTAACAATATAGCTATACATTCACCAGTTTTATATCTTGCGCCCAATTATTTTGGCCAATGACAGCAAAAATTCAGATTCTACCTCATTATCGTCACTCATTAATGACGATCTTATACAAAAAGTTTGACGTGATTCCATTGTGCGAGGAAGCATGAGATTTTGTTTTCTGGTGAACTGGACCATTCCTAGGATTTGGATTCAGAAACAAAATAAAAACAATCTGAATCTCCCTGTTTACCATAAACAACTTTTTTGAGAACTCGCTTCTCGTTCCTGGGTTTTTTTTTCTCGTTTGTATGTTCCTATCAAACAAATCTATATATTTTTCAAGATGTCCCCGCAAGAATAGAAATGCTCGGTGATTATTGAAAAAAGAACAATTCTAGAAGTGTTAAAGAAATAGGGTGCACAAAAAATAAAACACCAGATTACTTCCGTGACAAGTTCGGACGTTATATACTATGTTTTTGAGTCACCTAATCAATGCAAAAAAAGTGTATTAGTGGAAATTAAGTTACTTAATTTAATTATAAAGCGTATGTTCTATTGGAATCTCAGGCTTTTTTTGGAAGCCAAAAAAGAAAAGAAGAGAATTGAAGTTGCTGTAGAAATAATTTCAGGTATGGAGTTAGCTTAGAAATAGATATCACATATTGACTGCACTTTACTATCATAACGATAATATCTCGAGATGATGGAAAAAAAAATCTTTGATTATGGTGTTAGATACGCAAGCACCAGGAAACAAGGAATAAGAAATAGATCACATTGTTGCCGAGGCTCTACGATTTTTTCAAAATTCATTTCGAGATTTTTTTTGTGTCTTCCGTTCAAAAGATATTATCGTATCTTTAGAAATTGTGGAAGAATCTCGAAATTGCTTGATAATGCATTATCGTGCTAATTTCTAACAAATAGAAGGAAGTGACCAATCCAATCTTTTCTGATTTCTTGGGCTCCATTTTAGGTTTCCGCGTATCAGATAACTGATACAACTCATTCACGGGTGGCCTGGGACAGTGAACAGGCAGTTCAACTTGTGCGGAAAAGATGGAACGCGCCGGCTCCCCATGCGCCTTTAATAAAAAGGTTGTATGAGTCTTATTAAAGGCGCATGTTGATTCGCCACGATTTACCTTTGCCGCCTAAATTGAACCACTCGTTCGCTGCTCCGATTCTGTCGTGAACAGAGATACGAATATTAGGGTTTCGGCAAAAAAGCACTTTTGATTGTTAGCCGTTCGCTCCATCTTTGTTTTGTCCTATTTCTCTTTAAAATGTATCATGTTGCTACTGAACTATCAAGACATGTGCGGTCAGCTACCAGCCTTGACACTCGACACCTTTTCTTGCCAAAACACGAGATTCTTTGTGATTCGAGGATCAGGCTGAGCCCCGCCCTTCCTAGTCCTACGGTACACCTCAGGCTTCTGCGTCGCAGCTTCTCTCTGCGCAAAATATGCACCTCTTTTCTTTTTCTTCCATTTGCAGTTATGTGGTTTCTACAGCTTGAATGATCTTGTCAAGTTTTTTATATACTTTTATCCAAAAAATGAGCTACTCGCAGAACTTCCTAGGGATTTCTTGGCTTTCGTTCAAGAAGAAGAAAAATTGAAATCATTTTTCAAGTGATTTCTCTTAATATACTTTGCAGTAGAAAAGAATACGGGAGTACTGGAACTCGTAAAAGAAACATAAAGTTGTCCAAAGAGAATTTTCGACGTTTATGTTTTTGATGGCTGTTTTAACTTTTCTACGACATTTCTGATTTTGACTCGATATTTCAAGCTTCACAAATAAGCTTCTTGCCAACTTTGGAATAGATAGCATGACCAAAAAAGAAGCGTTTTGTGAACAGCCGATTGCGCAAGAGGTACCCCGCAGTTATTGCACCTGTACTGTAGGCAATTGAGACCAGATTGCTCATCTGCGTTTTTTCTCGTGCTCTTTGTAATCCACTTTTTCGAGCTTCGTTACAAATGGAAGTTTTCGATTTTTTGCGATTTCCTGCGAAATAGTGCTTGATGAGAGTGAGTGAAAAAAGAAAGTTTTTCGAAGATCTTTTCTACAAATTTATTGATTTCATTGAAAGCATGATAATCAAGTTGATTCTTGGATAGAGATGAAATTTGACCGGAAACAAAAGCATTATTTTCATAATTTGATAATACATGGTGTAGAACACTTTCCTGGCAGCCTTAACTAGAGATATCTTCGATTAAAAAAAAATCTTTCTTCATTTGATTTTTAATTCATTTTGAAAGTTTTTGTATGAAGAAAAAGCTCAGGTTTACTTAAAGTTTTTGAAAAAGAATATGGACAGGTGAAAGGTTGAGCAGAATAATACCCGGTAAGGCGCGCCGTTCAGTAAAGCCACCCGGGTTGAGCGAGATTATCGGCACAGCACGCGGCCTCTTTTGTTACTCGAATTTCTATCCACTTGCTACCGGCCATCTTTTTATCGTTGTCTCTTTTTTTCAAACATAAAATAATTGAAGAATCATTTTCAGGCCATCCGGGCTATCGCAATGTTAGAAATGCTCTACGTTTCAACGAGCAAAAGTGCATACCCTACTGATACTTTGATTGTGCTCAACGAAATCAAACAGGAGTCGCCTACCCTGTTGCAGTTGACGACTCCTCATTCGCCGTCTGCGATTTCAAATCTCCTTCGGGCAAACTCCTCTTTGACCTCAGGTGAGATAATTTCTGTCTCGAACTTCTTTCATCAATCCAAATTCTTAGAAGAACTTGAATAACATAATTATATCTGTAAGACACATTCAACCAGCTTTCCTCTAACCGGTTAAAGATAATAACTAAAATTTGTGTTGCTTCTTTTTTTCACCATTTTGTTCGTAATTTTACAAGATTATTTCTATCATTAAAAATCCCTCGATTCAGTTTTTTAAGGGTTTCATTTGAAAAGTTGAGTGTTTTTTTTTCCAAGTCATTAAACTTATTTATTCATATCTGAACAACTTTCTCTTTATAGTTTCGAAACGTTTTCCTCAGAAATGCAATAAACAATAAAGAAGTTACTCCCGCAATAAAGCTTCGAGAAACTAGAAGACATGTGGTCAAACAGTTAAACTGAGACTTTTCACGGCCCATAAAACGTTGGACCTCTCTCATTGCCTTATGTTTGGCTTTCTGTAAGTTGTGTGTATCAGGAAACGTGTTTTCTCAGTTGCAATCATCTGAAAATAATGTTGTTGATCATTTGATCATAATTCAGAAAAATTTAGAAATATTTCAAATAGAATTTAAAAATAAATTTAGATTTAGATTATTATCGATTAGATTTATTTTTTTGAAGTTTTTTTAAGTATTAGGGTCAAAAAAAGCAATTGAAAAATAAACATATTTTCGAATTTAATTCTTAAAATACGTTTGAATAACAAGCGATATTCTGTTTTCAAATCGCTCTGCGTATTTTTTCAATTTCTCAGATATTTTTCAAATGAGCTTTTTATTTTTCGGAATCAAAAAAATCAATAGAGTAAAAAAATCAACAAGTGATTGAAAAAAATGAACTATATCAAGTGAAAACTTTCAAAACTGCCAAATTTGAAGAAGAATTAAATTTTGAACTAGTTGCATTCCAAGTTTTGATGAGCATCATTTCACATTTATTAGTCTTTCCAATGCAAAAATGCTGGAACAGCAAAAAAGCAAGCAAAGTGCGCCCGCTGAAAACATGTGAGCCGAAGTTGGTATTCGTATTTTCTCATGACTGGGAGAATTTCAGCGTCAAATGATATTTTTTGTTTTAGAAAAGTGCTTCGCATGCCATAACTATTGCTGCGAAGAAGTTCACGCTTTTGTCGACGGCCATCTTTATCATACAACGTGTCTTCAGTGCAACTTGTGCAAGGTAGCATTCGACATTACAGTACCCCAAGTTTTTTCGAACTTTTTTCAGTTTCCTCTCGGTTTTGAGGAGACCTGTTTTGTTCGAGACGGATTAATTCTCTGCCGCACCGACTATTACTCGTACGTTTTATCTTTTGATCCTTTTGCGATGGCAAGTTTTGGTGAGAAGATCCAAGAATTAGGCAAGTTATATGATTTGATGAGTTTTTTGGGAGTTTCAAAACGCCTTGAAAACGCATAAAAACATTTTCGTTGAGACATTTCAGTCGCAGTCTGGTAAACAACTATCAGTTGCATTTTTCAAGGCCAATTTTATTTAGTTTTAAATTTAGGAAATACGGAAAAAAGTGCGCAAAATGCCAGGGGATTCTGCAGAAAGACGATGTCGTTATGAGAGCCAGAGATGCCACTTTTCATGTCCTTTGCTTCTCTTGCCATGTGACATTTTATATTTTTTTTTCCAAATTTCAAGAAATATTTCTAGGTGTGCGGGTCGATGCTGCAGGTGGGCGATTTGTTCACAATGACACCTCAAATGCAACTCTGCTGTCACGGTCATTTTTATTCAATGAAAACATTTATTTTAAATCAATAGTTTCAACAAGAAAGTGATGAAAAAAGAAACAATTGATAATTACCAATCTGTGAGGGAATGCAAATGAAAATCAATTAACTTACACCAACGAAAATATCGCCGTTTCTAGTTTAAGAAAAAAATTTTGGCTTTAATAGTACGGCTAAATGCAAAAAAAGAGAAAAATCTCAGTCAAGTTATGCATGAGTTTTTTTGATAATTTTTTCACAATTTTTTTTGTTTGGAAGATTTTGAAATCACTTTGTCTGGATATCTTTTCAATTTTTCAAAATGTGAAACGTTTTCATGTTCAATCAGTTTTTTCAGCTCATTCCGACGCGATTTGCGACGAAGCGCGACTTGTCGAGCGGGAAAGAGAAGCGAACTCGGAAGAGCCGGAAGGTAAGATCCGAGGATGCGGCCTTATTAATTGGTCACGCGTTTGTTTCGAGCATAAGCCGTCTACCGTAATCCTCGTCCTCATTAGCGCTTTTCGGCGGCATCTTTGTTTATGGATGCGCCGCCACTTGTTATTGCCCCGGTTACTACCTTTTACATCAGTAGTGAAATAATATTTTCAACCAAGAAAGTCTGGCTGGGTGCTGGTACCGGTGGAAGCATTACAGCAAAACATACTTCTTATGAGCTCCGAGGAAAAACTTTTTTCGAAAAAAGCGGAACAGAAAAATCCGGGTTCCCGTGTTCGAAAAAAAAATATTATCAGACTGCTTTGAACTCTGAAAGACAAGTTAAATCAATTTTGTTTGACAAGAAGATAATTTTTTTTTTATGAGGACTTTTCTCTAACTTTTCAGGTCTCTATCAAAAGTACCATAATGAGGTTTTTGAAAACTCAAATTTTGCTGTGAATTGCTCTGGAAACAACTGATATAAACTATAGATAAAGCAGCTCCTCAAATGACGGAGTTTTTTTAAAATTTTTTTATCGGAATATCAATTTTTTTCAGAATATCGAAAACCTGAGAAATTGTGTATTTAAAAAAACCACGAAATCCGTTAAAATTGATCTGTAAATGAGCTCTTTGCAACCAGCCGTATTATGACGAAATCCAAACCACTGAACATGATATAAAATTCAAATGAGCCGCGGAGAGCAGATACAGGTGCTCAAATGGCAGGACACCTCAGTTTCATGTTACAAACGAGAAAACGCGCGCTAATCTCGAAAAGCCGAAAAGCCATCTGCTACAGAATACGTGGACGACGAGCAGCCCGTGCACAACCGTTCCAAACGAATGCGCACCTCTTTCAAGCACCACCAACTGCGCACCATGAAGCAGTACTTCAATCTCAACCACAACCCGGATGCCAAGGACCTCAAGCAGTTGGCTCAAAAGACCGGGCTCACAAAACGCGTCTTGCAGGTTTTATTTTGAAATCAATACTATTTTTCTGAAGGATGTCTGAAATTATTAACAGCGTCATCTGAAACTAAAACTTATATTCTCATCAAAAAGAGCTCAAGTGACAGATTTAAAATTGAACTCTTTCGAGAAATTTCTGTCCTTTTTTTGGTGAAAATACTTATATAAGTCGTTATATCATTATTCTATCTTTTTGGTTATCTTTTACCCCATCTACGATCCAAACTATCTTATCCCCGTAGGTCTTCTGTTTTCAATCATTTTATGAAAAGACAGCGGTGCTGAGAGGGCAAAAATTATTGACATCAGAGAAAATTCTCATGCCATCCTTTATGGTCTTCAGGTTTGGTTCCAAAACGCGAGAGCGAAGTTCCGCCGAAGCATGCAGCAACAAGATGGCAACACTCTTTCTCCGACTACCCTCAGCCAGCTAAGCAGCCTCGAATTGAAGGTTTCGTCTTCTAGAAGTTTTACAACGTAGACGTTTCAGAACCAAACTTCGTCGTCTTCGAATCAATCGTCAGATTATATAAGCACCTCTCCTGACCGTGTCAGAGACTTCTACGAAGCAACTGCCATGGGAACTTTGGCTTCTCTTTGATTTGGTCAATTTTGTTTTTGAAACTCTGAAATTCTGTGGGAGTGTAGATATTATTGCATTGCTAGTTTTTTTCGCCAGTTGCTATTTCTACTCAGTTTTCAAATGTCTAAGTCTCCACTCGTTCAGTATGAACCTAGTCCCGATCTCAAATCCACGTGTTATTCTCTTCAAATTTTAAATTTTTCTCGCACATTCTTCACTGTCTTCCCACCGTTTAGTATCTAATAGTATTATTTTTCAGCGATCATTACATTTTTTTTCTCTTCATCACTCATTCAAAAAGTTTTTGATTCCACTTTTTTTTCGGTCAAGCACGGTTATATAATAAATTTATTAAACTGAGTGACAACCAAATCGTAATACTTCTTTTATGACAGCTCATGAATACTGAAATAAACCCGCGTTCCTATACTGGGAACTGATATTTTACGAGTGCTTTTTATACATTAAATAATATAAGTTAATTAAAAAAAGTTATAATAATTGTCAGTAGCTATTCTCTGGAAAGAAAACATGAACTTGAATAGGAACCTGCGAGTGTCGCGAGTGCTATTTCGATATAAGAAATAAGTTAATAATAATTTCAATTAGTTCGAATGATCCTAGTCGAATTGGATCGGATGTTTCGTGAAGTCCTCCTTGTCCTCTGGAAAAGGTCGTAGTCGTCGTCCCACCAGTCGCAGTTGTTTCCCACGTGATGCAGGACGTATCCCAACTCGTGGAAGAAATCTCGTTCGGAGTATTCCTGAGACAACAGAATTCATACAAAAAAGCATGAAAATTTAATTTTCTCTTCAAAATCGGACCTTGTTAACGGCAACCGCCATTTCAAGCCCATTGTCAAGTCTTACGAGCATGGCAGCACTTCCAGGCATTCTTCCATCGTGTTGCCATCCATTGAATCCCATGATGTTCAACGACCATCCAAGTCCTCAAATATAAACACGTATGAATTCAGAATTTTTGAAGTTTAGTAAGAAATTCTCTGGATTTGATAGATGATATACGAAGAATTTTACCTGCATGTCGATCTATTTTCCTGCAGAAAAGTGCATCAAAAGTTTTTTTGCAATATTTGCAATGGAAGGCGTCCGAAAAGTTGTGTGCAGTATAATAAAAACCCCCTAAATATAACTAAAAAACTTCAATTGGATTCGTCGCCTTTTCTCTGAGTTTTTTGAAATAATCTCAAATACTCTTTCTTTGCTCTTTACGAAAGTTGGAAGAAAATTAACAAATATAAACCGTAAGTGTCGTTTGAAGCTGGAGAAGGAGTGGAAAGCTCGCTGATAGATAAATCGGTGAGAATGTCCGGACGAGATTGGAAGCCATCAATTCGTGACGGAAACATCAAATTGGAAACGTATTCTACACTCAGTTGCTTACCATGAACATCAGAAGCTGAACGGGACTGGCGATCCATCCTCCCCATGGGCCAATTCTCTCAGGTGGCAGCATTTCGTAGGGGTTGAAGCCGAGTCCGTTGCCAGACATGTAGTACATCGCTTCTCTCCTGTAAATTTCTGGTTCGAGCTTTCCGATTCCTACGATCGTTTACGGTGCTCTTTCTCCAATAGACGGGCGAGCAACTTGAATATCGTAGACTCCAGACTGAGCGAACACGTTTTTCTTAACAAAAGCCTCGTACGACATACCGGCTGTTGTTTCAATCAAGTATCCTGTGTGAATTCTTTCATAATTTAAATTTTAAGTTTGAAAAACCAAGAAGCTGGTATCCGAAGTTGGAATAAATCCACATTGTGCCAGGTTTGTACTCGAGGGGAACCGTGTGTAATACATACTCGATGAGTTCTTTCGTGCTCATGTCAGGTTGGATCCAAGCTGCGTCCGACTGGAGATTGTCCCAGCCTCCTAAAAAAATGTGAGTCAAGAAAGAAAAAACACATTCTCACCTGAAGTGTGTTCTAACAGGTGTCGGACTGTGATTTCAGTCACGTACTTTTGATAACTATGTTTTTTTGAGAAGTCGGAACCGAATATGGAATCTCTACCAAAAAGGCGATCATCCAAATTGAACTTTCCTCTATCAATCAAAAGCATAATAGCAGCAGCCGTTATTGGCTTCGAAACGGATCCAACTCTGAGAAAAGTTTTCCGTTTTTAGTCATTAAAGAGCAAAATAATCCAACCTAAATTGATGGTTCGGTGTGACTGGCTCCTGTTGTCTGATGTTTGTGTATCCAAATCCTTAAACATACATTTCTCCGGACAACTAAAAGCTGTGAATAGGAAGGCTTATGGTTTTAACGGCGTTCAGCACATGCCGAACGCTTTTTCTAGACCTACTAATCCCATTAATGTTCTTTGTGCCGTTTTTTGTTTGCAATCGGTTGTTTGAAAAGGAAAAGTTTCTTGTTTTGAGACAACTTTTTTGCTGGACTGGGTTTTAAAAAATCAAAAAAAACCTGCAGCGAATTTGAGCTGTTCTTTTTTCGAAATTGCAATAGATAAGCCAGGTATATTGAGATCTTTCATGAAATGTTCCACGCGTTTTATCAGGAAATCAAGCTGTTCGTCTTTGAGAAGTTCTGGCGTCCCTTTCAAAAAACGGACAGGTATAGGTCTGAAAGCGGGAAGAAAGTTGATAACAGTCCCAAACACTTCAAAAAGCCTACGTTTCATCCCAAAGCGGCGGAGGGTTTGGATATCTGTAGGAATCGACATCACTCCAGAGGACAACGTACTGCACCTGAAAAAAAGAAAAAACATTTTCAATTCGAAATTTGAGACAAATTTCTCAATCACCTGTTTGTATTCGTCGGAATAGTGTGAAATTTGTCGAGGGAGCATGTTTGAATTTCTTTGTACATTTCTGAACTTTTTTTTTTAGAATTTCCATCAAGTTTTTTCAATTTGTACCTATACATGTTTTGAAGGTCCGTTCCCACCATCACAGTGCTTTTCCCGCTGCGTTTCTCCCATATTCCGGTACAAAGTATCTAAAAATCTGAATGTTTGCTTTATAGTCGTGTGGGCAGACAAAAAAGCCGTCTGAGACGGCACCGGTTCGTTTTCTTTTTGTTATTTTGCGCTTCTCGCGTTTGAGAGACTTTTGTTCGAAACAAAAAAAGCAGTATCAATTCCCGTTCAAGCCTAATTTCTTCATATTGACCTGATTTTTGTTATTGAAGACTCGAAACGATGTAGCTATGAAGCCACGAGAAATCAGAAGTTTATCTTTCTGCATGCAGGCATCCATCGTTAGACCGTAGTGAGCCTCGTATTGAGCGGAAGAAAGATGAGGTTTTTGCCAAACTCCAACGTATCTTAAATTTTTCTTGCGAAATATTTATTGAGCTCTTAATTATTTCCAGTAAGCTTTTTGGATTTCCAGGAAGCTTTTTTTAAATGAGTCTTTATTTCCGACAAAGGAACTTACTTTCCTCGTCCATTGTCAGTATACCCGCATAAATATGTCAGCCGGAAGCCGCTTTTTTCAAAATGCTCCTTCTGAGTGTCCGCATGAGGAGTTCCCGGAAACCATACCTAAATTCGATTTTTACTTCTTTATCTCAAAAAAATCAACTGACGTGAAATTCAACTCCAGGAATACGTTCCCAATAAGTAGTGAAGGTTATTTCCCCAGGTTTCTGTTCTTGTCCGCAAACTTGAGTCAAGGCCAAGTCTCTCTGTTCGTTTTCTCTGACAGCTTTTATCAGTTCGTCGAACGTCATTGGTGAAGGTTTGATAAAAACAGGTCCTGAAAACTAAAATCACTAAGCTGCGTATCAGATGCCATACCGTTATATTTGTGCATTATGGAATAGTAGAAAACGCTGTTTCCTCTTAAGTAGTACCCCATCGAAATTAACCTTCCGCCATACTGCAAAGAGATGGCGAGAACATTGTCTACGAGGCTTTCATTTCCTGGAGTTCTTGATCAGATCCCGACTTCTTAAAATGCAAACCAGCCGTCAAAACCCAATCTTTCTCGTTCGGTGCCGGTGGGTGTACAACTTGCAATGCCGAAGGTCGAGGTTGCTGCATCGCAACTGGAAAAATGGCCGTTTTTAAGGAAGAACTTTTTTTCATTTTCAAATGTTAAAACTACCATCAGGCATGTCCATCTGTCTTTCAGTCCCGTACAGCTGTCCTGTGGCCACAGGTCGTTTGTGCTTCCGAGAAAAGGCCTTCTCCAGAACTCTTTCCGGAGCGGTGAACGGATAACTGAAACAATGACTCCTGTTGATTCTGTTTGAGGATTCCGACCTCGCGAGACGCTCGACGTTTGTGAAGTGCAACTGTTGAGGAGAGATGTTAGGAGTTGCTTCCACATTTGAAAAGAGCTGAAAAACTTTTTTTTTTTGTTTTAATTCGAGTTTGATAATGTTTTTAAAGAATGTAGAGTTTTTGATTAAAGTTATGAAAAAGTCCGATCGACAACAGAAAAATGATAAAAATTGAAGAATTTTTCTTTTGCAGACAGGATATCAAATTAACAATATTAAAATCAGAAACTTTAAATCTTCTGAAAATTCAACATTTCTGGTTAATTTTCTTTCTTTTACCTGGTAGGTCAAATATTTTTCTATAAGGTTCTCAAAGGTTAACAGTTTTCGAAAAAAGCTACTTTTCTTTCCAATGGCGCATCTACGCTGACATAAAAAATCAGCATGTCAGATTAAGCTTGGGATTTATCTCAAATTTGCCCAAACGATTTTCGAATGCCCAAATAAAGAATCCTTGCAGCCTTAACTTGCGCTAAAATCCAGTTTCACTTTTATAAATTTTCGGAGCTGTTTTTTATTTGATGTAGGTCCAGATTCTGTCCGAATCCTAACTTTAACAGATCAAATCTTTAAAACGAAGTTGTTTCCAAATACCTGCAGGGATAAATTTTGTCTTAATTTCAAGATAACACAGGAAATTAGAAGAAAATTTTAAATTCTGATAAAATGAACAAACTGTCGAAAAAAATTAGAAAGTTTCAAAAAAAGTTGGGAACCTGGACCAAACAGTAAACGCCGAGTAGCCGCCGCCACAGTCCGGAGGGAAACATGATAGCGTCTTCGACGGACTTTGGCTCCATTTATCCGTCGACCGCACCCGAAGCGGAATGACGCGGCACTGGGCACACACGGCGGCGGCGGAAAAGCCGTGCATTCGTCCGCCCTCCGCTGACCGCCGCCGCACTCCAACTAAAGACTCGTTGGCCGCTCCAAACAAATCACTCGATACATTCACTTGCCGCACTTGGCAAACACCATCACGCATCATTCATCGATGGCTCAAAAGCAACACCGTTGTTCGGCTATGAAATCATGATAAAAAAAAACCAGACGCAGCATCGCGTTCAAGTCAGATAGGGATTCTCGCACTCCTGAATATTCTTAAGAATCTAAAGGAAATGGAAAAAAAAAAACCCAGCTCTCAACTCACAGTAAAAAAAACTGTTCAAACTTTATTTTCTGATTTTTTCGATGTAGACCATTAGAAAACCAACTACAGCAATTATTGAAACTCTTTAAAGTCTGTGAAGTCAGTTTGTACTTAATAATAAAAAATTCCCTTTGTTACCTTTTTGTAAAAAATACCTCCACTCATCAATCAGCTTTCTAGACAAGCAAGCTCCATAAGCGACAAAAAAACTTGGAGATAGAAAAAAACACCTTATGAGAAACTTCAAAATTTATTTTTTTAGAATTTTTTTCTATTTTTTTGGTGTCAAAATATTCGACCAAAAAAACTAAGATTTCCAGCAGAGTTCAGTTTTTTTGAATCATTCAAAAACGTAGAGCATTACTCAGAGGATAATCAAATTAGCAAACGGTATTTTTCAGATAAGATCATAACCAGCTAAAAAAACGCTTCAGTCTTTTTCTAAAAAAAGCTGACCTTTTTTTCATTCAATTTCCATGAATTTTGTTTTTTTATTTTTATCTTGCTGATCCCGAGAGGTACAGAGAAGAAATTTATTTTTCAGAATTTAACGGTTCAAGAAAAGCCACAAAAGAAAAAATGAAGTGGATTCTCTTCTTTTCTTTGAATCATAACTCATGTCAAATGTTTCATCGAATTCGGTTCACCGCGCAGTTTTCAAAAACTTTGGAAAGTTTTGATTCGAATTGGTGACGTTTATTCCCTCTTCTCAGAAAGTTCAGAAGAGTAAGTGCGCGTAAAATTAAAAAAAAAGTTTTATAAAATCTTTTTGATTTTGAAAAGTTTTTTAAATTCGTGATAAAACCACGTTTTTCTTCTCACATACTTTGAACCATTGGAAACGAAGAAAAATCTTTTTTTGAGTTCTAGGTCTCAAGAAATCTAGCACGTAATTTTAAGGTTATCTCATGGTAATAGTTTATTATTTCAAGCTTATTTTTCGGTTCGTCAATCGATTCTAACCTCTTAAAACTGCGTTAAAAAAACTCTGATTCTTCGGAAAAATGTTTCATTTTAATGATTTCGCAAAAATTCTGTATTTTTTGCAACGTAACCGGAAAACTTTTGAGTTGCCAATCGCATCGTTTTGTTTGCCATTGCTTTAAAGACGTAGAATTACTGATAATTAATCCGCTTGTCTTATCTAATAATTTCTCAAGTCATGAAGCAGTTGCCTAATTGTCTTGCAGCGGTTTTAGTTTCTAAACCTCTTTCTATTTCATTTTCTTTACATTGGATCTTCAAAATAACTTCTTGCAGCCATGCTCAAATGGGCAGCGCTGTGTTCAGCGCTATTTTTGGCGAGCTCGGCGAAGTCTCTAGAACTCGAACACGCCCTTCAACAAAGTAAGTTGACAAAAATGATCTTGAATCCCAGCTGATCTACAGAGTCAATTAACTTTTTTCAGTTCGTGAAAAGCACATTTTCTACAGCGCGAGAGACTTTAAGCCTGTTTCCGAAAGGCACGTCCCGGATTTCCCGCCAAATTCCTACTTAAAATCTGAGGTAGTTTAAAATTTTGAGAAAAAAACCAGTGAAACTTTTTTCTGACAGAAAAATCAAAATATTAAAACCAACTTTTTTCATTTCGAGCGAAATGAAATCTACATTAATCTTCAATTTTCAATAAAAATGCTGAACTGATTTATTTAAAAGGTCGATGATGTATGAATCATCTTCATTGATGCAAATTTCTAAAAAACGCAGTTTAATACTTTTGAATCAAAATTCATTTTGCTTTTTTCAAAAAGCTTCTCTTGCAGACTGTTGAGAACGCCGAGAAGCATGGAGTATGCCAACCAGGTTTCACAGGGTCCGATTGTTCAAACCGTTCGTTATCTTTTTCTTGATGATTAAAATTAATCTTATAATTCTATGAGAACTGCAACGTTTAATCTCATGAAAACTTTGCAATTTCCAAAAACTTGAGTCTTTTTGGAAATTGGATCGGGAGATTTTATGCAAAATTCAATGTTTTCCAGCCATTTGCTACAACAGATCCAACATTTTGGAGCACGATGGTACTGCTGATTTCGGAGATCTCATAGAAAGCGACTTCAGGCTAGTCACTAAAAGTCGTTCCACCACAAGCACCTATTTTCAGTGCGAAATGCAACGATATCTTCACTTTTTACGTCGACAACTTTATGAACGATTTCTACGTGATCATCACAAGTATCAATGGAGGCAATCCACGTGGCGTTGTTCTCAACTCCGGAGGTGAGAAAAATTTGTGGATGATATTTCTGAGTGTTTTTAGCGATGAGTAGAATCTTTTTTTCTTGATTGAAAACTCAATTGAAGGAAACGAGGTGCCGTCGTGCGGCGACTTTGCAAACACAGAATCGGAGATGATCCACATGTACTGCGAGAGCAGGGCCAACCACGGCGCCGGATTGTACTCTTTGAAGCTGAGCGTGGATAATGATGTGTAAGTAGTATGACTCCCACTCCAGTGATAGTTTGCGTTAGCGGCTGCACTTTCCAAGTGCGCTCTCCCACAAAACTTGGCATCAACGGAGGCTTTGTGCAGGACAAAAGGGACGACTACGTGCAGCAGTTCATCCTCGGAAAAGCCAATCAAGGCGTTTTCCGATATCCCGATGAGGTTCTTCTAATCCGTCAAAACATTATTAGACTTTGCAATTTAAGAATGCAAATTCGTTTTTCGCTTTTGAAATGGAGAACGAAAAATATCCGGTTCATCCGGAAACTATTCACATCTACCAAAATGGAGTATGGGATCAGCAATTCAAAGTGACCGGCAGGTAGTAAATAGCAAAAATTGTGTCTAAAGTGGAATCATTGCAGATACGGATGCACAGCTTCCCATGTCACAGTAACTCCCTACAATTGCAGCGCTCTTCACGTATATCATCTGAAAGTTCAAGGTATAGCATTATAGATAAGACGTTTGAGAAACAGCAAAAAATGCCAGGATACGACGACGAAGCCAACGCATGGCAACGCATTTACGATTTTGAATGCAATGCTATCGCAATGCCGACGGATATGACTCTGACCACTGATTCTAGTTCTACGTCCATTCCAACTTCTTGCCTTAATGACGGAATCATTTATGGCGAAGTATGGATTTACCAAGAATATTTCGGAAAAAAAAATTATTTCGAGGGATGTTACTGCAGTGAGTTCTTCTCCGGCCCTCGATGCGAACAGCCATTGTGCATGAACGGCGGCAGCTACGACGCAAACACGCATTCTTGCGTTTGTGTCGACGATTACAGCGGCGATCACTGCCAACATGGTATCATTTTTCACAAGAATCTCAGAAGAAGGAAAGTCTTGAGTCACTTGCAAAGCACAATCGGCCGACTCTTTCGATGATTCGTCTATTGCTATCGGATTCGTCATTCGTTCATCTTCTTCAATGAAGGCACAAATTGTGGAAGTGAGGCTCCTGATTTTATTAAAATATAATTATTCAAGATTACGCAAGCTGTCAACCAAATGGGCTCGTACTTTTCAACTTATTATCCTGTTCTTGTTCAAGCTTGGGTTCTGACAGTTGTCCAAAACAATGGTAGGATACTGTGGTTTCACGATCAGATCAATATTTTCAGGCGTTCTTTTCACAAGAGCTTTCGACTCTTACACAGAGCTAGCGAACTCTATCGTGAGCTTGACGACGCCTCCAACGGAGACACAGTGTGATGACGCGATCCTCCTTGGAATCGCTCAAACTCTCGGACAGACTGCTTTCAAGAAATTCCCGGTGATTCAATTTCAAATTATCCTGCAACTGAAAATCTTGCAGAATTCTCCAGTTTTTGTTTTCACTGATGGCGTAGCGAATGATGACGCAATTACTCGGGGGTATCTGAACGAACAACTGATCAGCACGAGAGCTCAAGTGAATCATTTCACCATTCTAAAGAGAATATCTTTGTACTCCACAGCTTTTCTTCATTCTGACAAACTCCGCGTCTGAAATGTGCATTGTGGACGTTAGTTCGAACCAGTATCAAGACTTCCGTAGTCTAGCAAGTCTTTCCCGCGGCCTGCTCGTCCAAGTCAAACTAACCGAGATACAAGAAGTAGGCTTAGTATCGATACACGAAACTTCAATTTCTTCAAGGCGACTTTTGCGATTTCCCAAGACCTGTGGCTACTGGATACGATCATGTCAAACGATTTGGAAGATTGCAGAAAAGCTCCAAAATATCAACCTTTTTTTGTAGACTCCTCTGTTGATTTCCTGCTTCTCAGAGCGACCGGAGGTGCTAAAAAGTTTGAAACCAAACAATTATATTATTCATTTGAGACAACCTCGCTCCACTGCTGACGCTTCCGAACCAAACGCAAATAAAACCCGACATTTTTTACACTAACGGCAACCTCAACATCTGGAAAACTGGCAAGCCCGCAGTTGGAGCGTATTTGGTGAAGAAATTATAGTAAATCTCTGGACCGAGGCGAATTTCAGCTGAATATGAATAGTCTGAATTCTCACAGCTCCATCTGCCAATATCGTCTCATGGGTCGTACAAATTATCGTCTCTACTCTTCTTTCTCCACCAGCATCACTGTTGATAACTCCCAACAGTCTCCCAGTCTCAGTCAGAATTATTCTCTTCGTTTCAAGAATCAACCTGATTTCAATAGATACTCCAACTCATTTGGTGGCCAAACTGGACAATCTCTATTTGAGCGATCCGATTGACACTACTATCGAAGTCAACGTCTGGTACAATGGTAAGATTTTCTAAATTCTATCCTAAGTTTTATTCAGATGCTCAAACAAGCGAACGGCAAGTTATCTACTCTTCTTCCGGCGTTTGGAGAGACACTTGTCAGTACGATTTGTACTTTGGAATGTTCAGCTGTCCCACACCAAACATGCAGTTTTACATCAATGTAAAAGTTGTGCAAAAAGAAAAATCGAAATAAGAGTTTCAGGTTTACTCATCCGATGAAAATGGGAACGTCGTGTTGAGGACTATTACCAACTATTGTTCTGCTGGTAAAATTAAGTTTTCTTGAAAAGGTAAACTTTGCAATTCAGCTGCACCGAACCCGCCGGACTCTGAATGTCTCAACGGAGGAGTCATCTATAACAACACGTGCTATTGTACTTCTCACTTCCATGGAGCCAAATGTGAACAGGTTGGAGCTTAGTGTCACTTTTTCACATTGCAAAAGGCTAGATTACCTGTGAAAACAATGGAAACGCGCTTTTTGGAGCTTGTCAATGTACTGCTGGGTTCACCGGACAATTCTGCGAGACAGGTGAGATAAACATCAATCGGCAACGGATAAATTTGAATATTAGCCATGTGCTATTCGGACAATCCCTTCGGTCCTTGGAGTCCCAACCACCGCAGTCTGACATTGATGGTGCACGACTCCCTGACCACGAGGTCGACTTTGAGAACACTGAACGATGTCGCTCCGAGAGTTGTCAACGACATTTTGATGCAGCACCCCGCTTGGATTTCAAATTACCAACTGATCCGCTTCAATGACTCCGGTAAGAAGAGGTTTTTTTTAAGGCAGATATTTTTCAATCAGCGAATGTTTTCTCATGGAAAATCAAAAAACCTTTCAAGATTTCACAAAGACCGTTGATAGCGAGAGTGGGACTGACTTTATCAATGGCATAACTAACTTGTATAACGCCAACAAGAATCACAGCGGAGTGAGTCAAACATTTCATTTCAACACCATTAAAGTGATTACAGTATTCGTGCAAAGAACTTGATCTTTTCTCCGCAATTTTTCAAGTGATTTCTGCTGGAAAGTGAGAAGTCTATTCAGGTTTTGATTTAATTCCATGTATTCAGCGTTCAATGGGGTGGAATACTCTACATTTTCTTATACGGAACTCCGAAACAGGACCTGGTTTCCTACCAGAAAATACTGCAGCGCATCGAAATCAACAAAATTCAGGCATGGTCGAACATTCAAGCCCTCGGAGTATCTTGATTTTCAGATAAATATAGTCCAATCGAGCTTGAATCCTTGCGGTCAAGATATTACCATTGATGGTTTGATAAGCTTGACACAGTTCTCTGGCGGCTCATTCATCACAGCTTCAGCACCAAACGCTGGAAATGTGACCAGCCAAACGAAAATTCAAATGAAACCTCTTGATTGAACTTCCAGGTATTCGGGCAAGTCCCAACGCAGTACATGTCAAACCTTGTCTATGAGAACAACGTTGTCGACTGTCAGGACACTACTTTCTACATTCCTGTGGACGACGGAACTCAAAGTTTCACTGCTTATATTCAAGGAGATTTTTCCTATGACCCAATTTATACAGCCCCCGATAGTTAGTTTTTTCCTGAAGTTTTCAAAAAATTGATTATTTGGAGATTCTGACGTTTACGTGGCTAATATGTACACTGATCTGGGAACCGGTAGTCGTTTGGATCACATTGTTCGAGGTTTGGAATTATTAACATTACTTGAGGTCCTTTCGATTTCAGCCTGCGATCAAGGATGGTTCAACGCGGACAACCACTGTTGGAAGTACGGTTTCAAGCCTGTTTCTTGGTTCGACGCAAAACTCGCTTGCGATAAAGACGGAGCCACCTTGGCCACTATCTACAACGCTGTTGAGCAGAGCGCTCTAGATTGTAACTTTTTATTCTTATATTTCAAAAGTTTCAGTGAAAGAATTTTCAGCAAAGTCCGATAAGACAGATTTTTGGATTGGTCTCAATGATTTGGACACGAAAGGTGTCTGGAAATGGGAGACCAGCAACGCCAACTTCACACTCTCGGTTTACATTCAATCGATCAATTTCCTTATTTTAATTCAGCTTGACGACACGCAGTACAAGAACTGGCAACCTGGACAACCAGATGTGCAAGATAACAAAAGGTTAGACAAAACCAAACAAAAAAAAACACAAAAAAAATTCAGATGTGTTATGGATTCTCAGAAAGGAAGCAAAGGATGGGCTACCGCCAATTGCGATGAAAAGAAGTTTTTTGTTTGCGTAAAACACACATGTAATGAGTCGAATTAATCTCAGCTCAACAGCAATTTTTTTTTACAGACTCGACAGACTTCCAGCCTTCGGATGTACAGCAAAGTTATCATAAGCTGAAAAAAAAGTTTCAATACAATTTTTTTAAGATCACATTGCTCGAGGTATTTGGAAAATGCGAGTGAGAGCAAACGGCCAATGTGCTGTTGCAATCCGATCGCAGTCCACCGTCCAAGTGAGAAAAAAAAATTCGGAAAAGTCCAAATCTTTCTTTGAATCAAAGTCTTAATTTCCAGGTCATGACCAGATTCACTTCGAACATTCATGATGATATTGGCAACAACGAGCCTAACCACAACACAGGTATTTCCTACCGCGGTATCTGATTAAATTTGAATTGAGACGCTAACCGACTTATGGTTCAACTCAATGGAGTTTCCAATCATCGGGGCGTCGAATATGCCCATTTTTACGCAGACAACTTCACAATCGTCCAAGCTCATGTGAGTTAGACAGAATTTCTTGATTATTCAAGCATTTTTAGAGCGTGAGCTACCGTTCAAACTGCCTCTATGAGTATCTTTCCACTCCATTCAGCTGTCCAAACTTCGCTTTTCAAATGCTTATCACAGGTGACACAGGTAAAAAATTTGAAAGGAAATTTTTGTAGGAACTGACGATGCTGGCTATCTGTTCCAACGAGTTGTTCCGGCCGGATGCGTTGGAGGCATTGAAAAAGATTCCTGCGAAAACGGAGGAGTTTACTTCAAAGTGGGTTCGCACTAGGCAAAATCACATCCAACGAGAAAAAAATTCAAAAAGGAGCATGATGAAGCCATGAAAAAAAGACAGAAAAAAAAAACTCCAAAATATCTATATTTTAGGGTTCTTGTATATGCCCGCCTTCTTTTGTCGGCCCAACTTGTGAATTCGCGGTCTGCCAAAACGGAGGGTTTATCGGCGCTTCTTTGGATCAGTTCGTTATTCTCTGATATTTTTCATTATTTTTTTTTCTAGATGCCGATGCTCTGCAGGCTTCACTGGCCAATTTTGTGAAATTCGTTAGTTTCTTGAGAATCACAGAACACAGTCTCTTTTTAGCGGTTTGCACTCGGAACCTTGATCAGGCTCCTAACGTCACGACAACTGGAAAGACGTTCATAGTCGCCGTTGATGGGACTTCAAATGGAGACATGGCCAAAGTCATTGCAGATTTCAACAAGACCCTGTCCACAGTACTCTCAAACACTTTGACTTCGGATCCTCAGTGGTTCACTCACTTTGTGGGAATTGTCTTTCGCGATGCAGAGGCTACCAGAGCAAATCCTCCTCTTCCGGCCACTTCTGACGTTATTGTCTCATCGGATCCCAAGGACTTTGTAACTAAACTCTCGGTTTAACTTTTTTATTTTCGAAAATTACATCTAATCTCGCCTAATTAAAGACGGAGTTAGCTTCTCATCCTTATACCGCCGGTCAGAAAAAAAGAGATATTTTCACAGCTTTGGTGAAAACTGTGACTCATCCTAGTGTTGTTCCGAACTCTCAAGCGTTCGTCATCACGGCCGGTGAATGAAAAACTGGCAAGAGAAAATGAAATGGTCAATTTGTAGGCAATGCGGAAGATACGATCGATGAAGGGACCGTTGTTTCTGCTCTTTCGTACTCTCATACCTCGGTGAGAAATTATTTGATTTTGTAGATAATTCGAACGTTCAGGTGAACTTCCTTTTCATTGGGGACAGTGCTCCGCCTGGGGACGGGAAGAATTATGACGACACTTCTGTTTCGACTCTCTTCGATACCGCTCACTTCAGCGGAGGAACGGCTTATCAAGTTCATTCAAGCAAAAAGAGAACACTTCACAATGAAAGTTTGTAGCTTCCATCCGCTGAAAGCCTCAGTTACACCTGGCAAACGGTTCTTGGGACGTTCCACAATTCTTACTATGTAATCACTCACCAGCTGAGGTTTGTTGAACTTTGATACCTTCAAGCTTTGTAGTGGTTTAGCAACTGCTCTAATTACGTCGACTACATTCAACTCGATTCTAATGGCACCGAAATAATTGTCGACATTTTCTCGCAGTCCACTACGGACATTGAGATTCGCGACACAAATAGTGACATACTTTTTGAGAAAAAAGAGTTACAAATAACTATTTAGATTCGCCTCAGAAAGCTGTTCCAATATTGCAATCGAAAACGAACAAAGTGATAGCTTTTGCCCAGACTGGAGACCTTCCTGGTCTTTGGACAGTAGACGTCGATAAGAACAACGAAAACCCTGGTTCATGCATGGTGAGTGTAAGGAAAGCTGTAAAGAACAGAGTTATTTTTCAGCTCAATATCCGAGGACAGTCGAACGTCAACGTTCAAATAGCTTTCACTCAGGACACACTAACGGATGGAGGCTATCACGATGGAGGAGCTGTTCTCTACCCGAAAACTCGTAATAGTGTCAAAAAGAACTATTCAAAGCCCTTGTTGTTCAGTTCTGAACAACGCCGTGGTGGCCCAGATCAATAGCGGAACTCTGACCTACGTTCAGCTTTTTGATATAGCAGAAACGAAAATTGCATGGGCGGCTCCTATGACATTGCGTTCGAGTTGCTCCTATCAGTACATCTCTCAAAAGTGAGATTAGCACTTCGAGCTATCTAAATAACTTTTTATCAGAATCACATTAAATTTTTAGAACTTTCACCTGCCAAAGAAACACGTTCGTGTTGAGCATTGAGGGTTTGGACTACGAAGGACATCCTTTCAGAAGAACGTTCATCATCCATTGTGATGGAATAATACCTACTGCCCGTAACTAACGAATATGGAAAACTGTGAACATTTTATTCTTCCCAGCTCCCACCTTGGCCCCTCCAACTACTTTGGCAGTTGCTTCCACTGTTTCGATGGTTCCCACAACTCCGTTACCGAGCTGTGATCCAAACACTCCGAAGGTTTCAAAGACTCTTATTTGATGAAAAGCAATTTGGAATTTTTCACGAAATTTACAAGTTTTCAGGCCGATATTTTCATTGCGCTTGATTCTTCTTCAACAATCCCAGAAGACGTGTTTTTCCATGTGAGTGAATTCCTTGAAATTTGCTTCAAATTTATCCGTTTTCAGAGCGTCGGAGCTCTGCGTTCTATTGAAAACTCCGTGAACCTTTCAGCCGATCATACTAGAGTGACCATCGGCACATACGACAATTCCGCTCATTTCGAAGGTAAAATTTTCTTTTCCAGAAAAACTCCGCGGTTTTCACTTCAGGCGATTTGAATTCGATAGCGGACCAAACTTCTTTTACTGCAAGACTGTTAGAGCTTCTGTCCGTAGGTTACACGGGCATCAACGGGAACAACATTCAAAGGTGAATCGAAATGAAATCAGTTAGGATTTTTTGCATTCAAGCATTCTCGATTTTGTGAATGCAAGCACAGCAACAACTCCATTCCGTGCTAATCCTACGAGAAAAATCGTCCTGTTCGTGAGCTCTCAGGGATGGGACAGAGGCAACTTTGACGGCGATAATGAACAGGGCTACCCGAATCCAACAGCTGCCGCAAAACAGTTGCAAAATGTCGGTATTTTATCAAAAATACAATCTTTTTCAGCTCCTCGAGTATAAAAACATTAAAAGTTTTTTTTCAGAGCGGAGTCGAGTTTTTTGCTATCGCATATGGTAACCGGGCGGATTTGCTGGAACTCTCGGCAATCGCCAAATGCATTCACAAAGCAAACGACGAAAACGGAATAACGAATGCTATTAGCCAGTTTGTTTCTCTTCTGTGCAGCTCCACTCCAACCTGTTAGCTGTCACTTTTCTATTCTGCAATAAACTTTATCAATAAACTTTTCCTCACGCGCCCTTACAAAAAAATGAATGTCAATTTGTGTAACAAAAAGCAGTTTCATAAAAAAATCTCAACGGAGTCTTTCTATGAAATTTTTCTCATGAAAAACGCGGTTTACGAATTCATTAGTCTTAATTATACTCACTAACGATCAAAATGAAGCTATTAGAAGTAGGAAAAAAATTTCAGAAGTCATATTTTTATCAATCCGAAAAAAACGTAAAAAAAGTGAAAAATTTCTTTCTTTTTTTATTTTTCGAACTTTTTACAATCGTGAGTTTTTTTCTGCTATTTGTGAAATAAAAATGAGATTCGACTCATATCCGGAGGCACTATAAAATCATAGGCTTTCTCGCTCTGATATTTATTTTTTTCTATTTTTACATAAAATAATTCAGATTGTTAATATTATTGTAATAAAATAATTCTACGAAGCTAAAATGATTTTTCTTGCTGAAAAAGTTGATGATTTGAAAGATATGCGCTGAAGTAACTTTATACTGTTTGAAGAAAAACCTGAACTTTTTTTGTTCCCGGAGTTCGAATCAGTTCAAAATAAAAAAATCTCAATAAAAGTGAATTGAGACAAGGAAAAACTTTTTAAGTTAAATTCTATTTGATTGCATTTTTCAGTGAATTGAAATTAAGGTCCCTTTATTGTTTTTCAATTTCAGAAAAAAATAAGTAATTTGTTTTCTTTTTTTCTTCGTTTCGAATCAAAAATTTTTCTTTGGTTTTCAGCGTAAATTCTTACATATGCTGTCATTGAATAAGATTTCTACTCTATGTGAGCCCTACAACTAGAGAGCGTGCATTTTTGCGACTGCGTGAAGCCGTTGTCAAGGCGACGCCAGGCGCCCCGGCAGTAGAACATCTGAAATCATTCAGATGCGGTTGAAAGTCGCGGCAGGTCGGAACGTCCGTCATGCAGAGGCCGTCTGCGGCGTCGGCTGGTGCAACAGCGATCAGCTCATCTCGGCCAGCGACGACCACCAGTTTCTCCAATGGAATGCCAACACGTCGGACGCCGTTCCTATCATCAAAATGCCAGAGTCCGTTTTTTTTGTTTATAGAATCTATTTTCATGCCTTTCCCATGTTTTGATTTTTTTGATAAAACGTAGATTTTTTCAAAACATTCTTTCAGAACTTTTTTCCCGACATCCCTTCACATGTTTCCCCGATCTTTCGCAAAAAACTACTCGAATGACGTTTTCGCCGTGACGACAACCGACGGTTTAACATAAATTGATCTATTTTTTTTATTTTCTGTCAGGACAAGTCCACATTCTCTCAAGAAATGGAAAAACAGAGAAAACGATGGACGCTCACAAAGGAGCCGCTCTGAAGGCAATTTGGAACTCTGATGGAACTGGACTTTTGACATGTAGTTTTCATTATGGGCTAGTTTCACAAACAGATTTGCAGGCGGAGAAGATGGATATGTCAAAATGTGGTCAAGAAACGGAATGCTCCGATCGGTTTTGGCCCAATTCCCTTCTGCAGTTTATTCGTATGCAATGAAATTATCACAAACGTTAGAGTCAATAGTTTTTCAGCGTGGCCTGGGACTCGACATCTTCAAACGTCATGTATTGTAATCTGGACCATTGTTATATAAAATCTCTGAAAATGCAGGTTTAAACATCTTTCAATTTTTTTTTTTCACACGAAAAACAATCAGGTAGCTCCTTTGAAGTGGAAAGCCCACGAAGGAATTGTTCTTTGCTGCGACTGGAGTCCGACTTCCAATTTTTTGGTGACTGGCGGGGAAGATTGCAAGTTCAAGGTTTTGCTCTGGGAGTGTCCTCGTTGAGAAATGGATTTCAGGTTTGGGACGGTTTTGGCCAAATACTCTTCACTTCATCTACTCACGATTATCCTATCACTGCTCTCAGCTGGTGCCCCGATGGTAAAAACTTTGCAGTTGGGTCTCATAACATTCTGAGGCTATGTGACAAAGCAGGGGTGAGGTTCAGGCGGTTTTTTGGTAGCAATAAGCAGTTCAGTGGTCTCATTCTTTGGAAAAGTTGAACGGCGGGTCTGTTTATTCTATGAGTTGGTCGCCCGATGGAACGCAACTTGCGGCTGGGACTGCATCTGGCGTCGTCATACAGGCTCATCTAGTGGAGAAGTTTGTTCTACAAGTATTTCGAGAAAGTTTCAATATTGATGGAATTCCAGAAGAGTTACATACAACAAACTCGACATTGTACAAACTCAAAAAACTTTGGTCGAAGTACGTGATGTGAGCAGTGAAGTCGCCAAAGAAAAACTTGAAACGAAAGAGAAAATAACGCAAATTTCGATCCTTTTCCAGCATTTGATAATCGTTTCTACGTCGCAGATATATGTTTACAGGTGATTTTACGGAAATGTGCTCATATAATCAAATTTCCAGTTCTAAAAACTGGAATACACCTATAATGATTGATTACAAAGACAGACCAGTGAACCTAATTGTACAATGTGAAAAGTGAGTTCCGCTTAAGATCAACTTCAAAATAAATAAATAAGTGTTACAGCCTGTTCTTAGTTTCGGATGGTATTATCATGTCATTTTTCAATTACGAAGGTAGACTTCTCACCGAGATGCAGCCTCCTGGGAACGGAACCATGCTGATAGGTCTTTTTGAAGCTCAATTCGCGTCATTTCCAATCTCATTCTCCCACTCAGACAGTCGAAGAGTGGACTTGTCTAGTGACACGGTGGTGATGAGAGATAAAGGAGACCCTCGGATAATCCACTTTGCCGACCCGAGCACGGGAAAATCTCAGGGAGACGGAAGCATCACACATGAGGTGAAGCTTTTCTTGTGCGAAAATGAAAGAAAGATTTCAGAATGAAATCGTTGAACTCACAATTAACAAGTGCGGACCGATAAACGATCGGATGATTGCTTTCAAAGATCAAATAAGCAGCGTTTTCATAGCTCTTGTAAAAACTTTCGGAATAACTCAAAGAATCGCGAAAATTGGTGAGTCTGAGAATTATAAAAATGAAAAAGGTTTCACAAGTTTACAAATTTCTGTAAAATCTTAATTTACATATACATAAAAAAATAATGTGGTCAGAGTTATCAGCTCTATTTTGTAGAGCTTTTCATTTTTGATCCAAACAGTATAATTTTTTTATTATTTCAAAACAAAAAAACATTTTTCGAATCGAATATAAACTTATTTTCACTGTAAAGTAGCTAGTTGCAGAAAATTAATAATGTGTCGTTCTTTTCCTTGTTTTACCTCTGCAAGTTTTCTGTTACAAGCTCTGGGTTTCATGATTCAATGGCAAAACTACAGAAATGCGAAAACCCTAGAGTTTTACTTTGATACTTTAAATCTCATTATATACTAGCCATTGGCATTGACTGCGGTTTTCCCGTGCCTTGATGAAAAATAGTTTAGATATTCTCATCATAATATTAAATTTTACTTTTTTTAGGTTCGCTTGTTGAGCAGCTTGTCTTCAATGACGTTACAAACATGTTGACAGGTATTGCTGATGGCAGAATAGGTATTTTTCATGAGGCCGTGATTAAAATGAAACCCTTCTTTCACAACAGTAATTTGGCCGGTACCCAACATGGCGTTTCTTGACAAAGGGCTTCTGCAGAAATCTCAGCTTCAGAAAGCCGTCTCGAGCATGGGAAAATTCCCACAGCTGATGAGGTGAGGTCTTTACTCGGAAATTATACAAGTATAATTTTTAGTTTCTCTGGTAACGTCATTATTTTGCGTCGCTCCGACGGTTCAATGATTCCTCTGGCATGCACACCGTTTGCCGGAGCTTTAATCAATCTCGCGACGTCATCGAAATGGGATCAAGCCATCAGTCTATGTCGCCTCATCAATGTAAGCCCTGTAGGAGGATCTTCGAAACGGAGACTTCATCTTTAGGAAGACTTTCTTTGGGCGATGCTGGCCGGTCTGGCCACAATTAATAAAAACTTGTTCGCCACCGAAATTGCCTTTGCCGCTCTGGAAGAGGTTGGTTGGTCACAATTCGCTAGAAAGCAACCATTCTAGGAAGAAAAAGTCAAATTAATCCGAGAAGTGCAAAACAAAGGCGACAAAAATATTAGACAGGCCGTTCAAATTATGCTCTCTGGAAAGCCTGGAGATGCGGAGAACTACTTGGAAAAAAATGGCTATCAATTCAGAGCGATGATGTTAAACATTCAAATGCTCAGGTGGAACAGGTACGTCAAATTTTAAAGAAATTTATTTTATTCTCGCTCGAAAGCGATAAAATGTGCGAATACAAACAACTTCAGAGCTCTCGAAATTGCGTTGAAACACAGAAAATTTTTGGAAATTGTGTTTGGTTACCGTGAGAAATATCTACAAAGTATGGGCAAAAAAGAGACTGACAAACAATTTCTCAAGCACATGGCGGAAGTAAGCGTTGATAGCTGTTTTAAAGAAGAAAAACGCCGATTTATAGGTCGAAGTCGACTGGATCCACATAAGGGAACTGATAGCCGAAGCGTCTGCGAATTCAGATTGAGGGCCGCTTTCGTTTTCTTTTTCTTCTGATCATATCATTCCGTTTTCTCTTGAGTTCGTTCTCTCGGAAAATTCCTCATGCATATTATTGTTTCTTCTATGAATCAGCATTATATAAATAAAAGTGGTCATTGAGCAAAAAAGAAAGAATCCAGAATAAAAGCAATTTTCGTGAATAAAAGAACAACTTTGAGTTGTTTAGAAAAACGTTTATTCCGATAAGGAAAGTGATACAAATTGCTTCTCAAGTTATTGCTTCTTTTAATTCGGCGCGAATATCTAGAAATCTCCCTTTTTGCGCAGAACTCTCCCAATTCCGACAGTCCGACCTAATTTCGGAGTGTTGCTTCGTCTTCTCTTTACTCATCAACACTGTCGTCGCGGCCTTTTTCCGCTTGGTCTCAATAGCTTTCCTTATAACTTTAATCGATCTCCCATTGATCCCTCTTTTTCTTTTTTTTTCATTATTCCATTCTTTATCGTGCTCTGCAATAAAATTATTGTGAACTGGAAAAAAAGGTTTTTGTACTTAAAACACTTTCAGCCCCGGAAAATTTGAAAGAGCGAGAACATAATTGAAAAAGCTGTGTCTTTTTATCTGCTCAAGTATTGAGAGAATTCGTTTCTTTTGTGAAAGTTTCGATTTTTCAAAAAAAAAAGCGTTTTAAAGTGATATTTTGATTTTTGGCATTTTTCTTTTGAAAAAAAATCCGACCTTTTAAAAATACCATCTTTTTTAATCCGTGGACTTCTCTTAGACTTTTTTACGAACTACCTCAAAAAAGAAAAAAAAATCTAAAAAAAATGTTAATTCTTGAATTTCTTTTTCAGTTGAACTTCTGAAACAGAAGTGCCTGAAATGCGAACGAATTTGGTAATTTTACTCTTTACAATATTTGTTGCTGTTTGTCGGCCAGCAGAACCGGAAAAGCCGTGTCCTCCGTTGAAAAGAGGTCAGTTATTTCAAAGTCAGCTACAGTTCTTTTTCCAAAAACTCTCACTCAAATTGAAGTTAGGAAATTTCAAATTATTTTCACCGAAAAAGCTGTTTCGAGACATTTATTGTTGCTTTTCAAAGTCTTTCAATTTAGGTTCGTGTTGCAACGCGCCGATTCACGTTGGCTGCCGGTTACCACGCCAGTGCTACAAATACATAATTGCCAATTGTCCTGATAGGAAAATTGCGGTTTATTCTCGCAAAATCGGGAAAGACCGCAGGTTTTCGCCTAGGAAGCAGCTGGTGAGTGTCATTTGTTTAATGGAGAAAAGTAATTAACTGCTGCTAGCTGATGTTGAAAAATGCAGGGAAAGTGCGGAACAGCCGAAGTGAACTACCAGCCGTGCACTTCGAAATCAATCGCCAATAAACTCTTTCTCTCATGCTGCCAACTTTATGTTCCAGACAGCTGCCATCACATGTGTGTGTATGAGACCGATCAAATGGTTACAAGAAATATGGTTCGATTTTTTGGGAGAAAATGTTGGAAAACTTCATTTTTAGTTGATTAACTTAACGAAAGACGGTCAATGCAGCATAAAACACCTCTCCTCCATTTTATATTGCGCAAGTCAAAACAGAGACAACCGCAAATGTTGTCTTGACTTGGATCTCAATGCACCTCAACTCCAGGTTAATATTTCAACCAGAAATCTTGAATAACCGTTTTTTGACAGGTTGGTTCCCGTTGTCTTCGGATGTGCGACCCTTCAGGAACCAGTATTGATAGAATAACCAAAGAAGATGTTACTTGTCTGTACAACTGGAACGTTATCATGTATTGCCATCACGCTGGAATACGGGAAATGTAATCTTAGTCACTGTTCCATTTTTGTACATTTAATAAATTATGTTATTTCGCTTTTCTTGCACATGAGTCTAACATTCTTCCCGATCCAATAAAAAAAGCAACGTTTATAAATAAAAATGAAATATTTTCCAGAAAACCATTTCTACCCAGTTTCACGCAGCAGTCTTGTACGAAAAGTCCAATAAAACCTCATAACTACTTTCATATTGATGTGGAACAAATCACTATCACTGTTTACATTCCCACATTAAAAGAGTGAAGATGGATGCGCTTAACGGTTGAGGATCTGACAACAGTTGTTAGATGAAGACACAATTGAGTGGCTCTCACGCTTGTTAGCCTTTGCTTCTCCTTCTAATCACCGGTGAGCCTGATTCCCAACCAGATGCCTTACGTCGGCGTCGGAGCGCAACAAGGTGGGGCTGTTCCTTCTGTTTTTATACCTCTGAGTGATATTGACAGTTAAGAGGATTTTTGACACAACACCTGACCCTTGTCTCAGCCTCTTTTTGCAAGGGCAACCGGCCTTTGAGTTTTCAGATAGCCACAAAGCCCTGCTCAATCCGTCGATGATGAAGGCGTACGCGGTGCTCGGCGTCTCGTTGTTGCTCATATTAGCCGTGGCTGCAATGGGTAAACACCACTCGGAGCGCATATTCAATCACCACAAGGCTCCGACCCTCGAAGGTTTGCGGTATCATAAGATGTAAAATGACAATTACGTCGCAGACGTTCACAAGTCAACAACCGACTCTTTACTGCAAAACATCGACGTCGAACGCATCAAGCAGTATTTGAGGCGGTTTACAAAAGAACCTCATGTAGCGGGAACCGAAGCCAACAAAAAAGTGGCCTATGCCATTGCTTCAGCTTGGTCTGAAGCTGGACTTGATGGTATGTTTCCAATTCAATTGAATATAGAATAATCCTTTTATGCAAAAAGAAGTATTCATACCTTTCGAACGAAAATAAATGAAATGGAGTGGTTTCAAGTTTTCAAAAACATCGAAACAAAAAAATGTGGTATTTAGGTCGCTTTTTGGAGTTTCCTAGTCTGGTTAGGTCTGAAAACTTCCAACATTCTCTGTAGGTGGACAAATATCAAAATTTTTTCCGTTTTTATTCATAACTTTTAACCTCGTTTTGCGCATTATTTCGATAACCCTGACTTTTTACAGGTGTTGGTTGAAGGATATTAAGCTTTTAAACTAGAAAAATTTAGATTATTTTTTTAGTTTTAAAAACGAATCTAAAAAGTTTTTCTGTTTTGCTTTCCTGCAGGAGTTTCTGTGAAAACCGAAAATACTTTTTTTCAAAAACTTTTATTTTTTTCATTTTTTTGAGATCTTCAATGACGTTAAGAAGTTAGCGATGTTATATTGAAAATCTCTGAAATTTTTTTACTGAAATTGTTAATTTTTTTCAAGATGTTCACACGATACCTTACGAAGTGCTTCTTTCTTATCCGAAGTTCGACATCCCGAACCGAGTGATTATCAAAAGTTCCAATGGAAAAGAGATTTTTCGAAGCAGCGGCGTTTCGCCAGTTATCATTGCTGAAGAGCAGTCAGGAAAATGTGAGAAAAGTTCATTTTCAGAATTTGACCCAATTAGTTTTCAGACGCCGGCCATCAATGGCTTGCTTGGTCAGCCAATGGCTCTGTTAGTGGAGAAGTGGTTTACTGCAATCGCGGATCGGACAATGATTTCAAAAACCTTGCGCACTTGGGGGCATCTGTCGAAGTAACTAAACTACTGACTTTTGCTCAATTTCCTTCTTTTAGGGAAAAATTGCTCTGATGAGATATGGAGAAGGATTTCGCGGCGACAAAGTGCACCGAGCTCAAAAGAACGGAGCGATTGGAGCAATCCTTTTCTCGGACCCTTCAGATGTTGCTGCTGACGGAACCGATGAAAGTGAGTTATTCCGGATCGACAACAACTTTTTTCTTCTCTTGCAGCTCAAATTTATCCAAACACGATCTGGATGCCTCATGAAGGAGTTCAAAGAGGTTCTTGCATGCATGGAGACGGAGATCCTCTCACTCCATACCATCCTTCTAAAAAAGATCTTTTCAAATCAAAAACTATTGAAGAGGCAAATTTTCTCTCCTTTTTCTTAAAAATCAATTTTTCAGGCAAAAGAAGAAGGTGTAATACCTTCTATACCTGTTCTTCCGATTTCTTATAGCACTGCTTATGAAATTATGTCTAGAATGAAAGGAAGAATAGCCCCTTCTTCCTGGCAAGGTAAGAGTTGGGAGATCAGAAATTTCAGAGCAGAACACTTAGGCAAAGTTGGAGAAAACTTGACCTACAAATTGGGACCTGGATTCAGTAAAGACGAGAGCCTCACAATAAACGTTTACAGCGAGCTGACAACTCGGTGTGATCTAAAATCATAAGAGAAATAAATTTTCGAGTGATTAAGGCGAATTCGTAACATTATCGGATACATCAGAGGATCGCAAGAACCAGACCGATACGTCATGTTGGGAAACCATTTCGACGCTTGGGTCTACGGATCAATGGACCCTAATTCCGGTACTGCTATTTTGGCAGAAGTAGCTCGGGCTATGATGCAGACAATCAACGAAACTAGCTGGCGGCCAGGTAAAACATTTCTTTTGATTTTCAAAGTTTCTCTTCAAACCTTTTTCAAACTGAATTTTAGCAAGAACAATTGTTTTTAACGCATGGGATGCCGAAGAGTACGGCCTGATCGGTTCTACGGAGTTTGTCGAAGAGTTCGTGGACATTCTGCAAAAGAGAGCTGTTGTTTACATCAACATGGACACTCTCGTTGCCAACACCAGCATGTGCTCAAAGAACTGGATTTTCAATTCAAAAAAACTTTTTCAGAAGTGTTGATACTGTCCCTACATTGCACAACATTGTCATGGAGGTGGCGAAAAAAATTCCAAATCCGGTGGCTAGTGAACGCAAAAAAGGACGAGAAACAGTTTTTGACACGTGGATGGCTACATTTCCTCTGAAAGACGGCACTGCTCCTGAAATCGGAATCCCCAACGGAGGATCTGATCAAGCTCCTTTCCTTAATTTTGCGGGTTCGCTTTTTTTTCATTGCCTGTCATACTAATTTAAAAAAATTATTATCGAAAATTGAATTCTAAAATTATTTGCAAAAAAAAACTTCATCAAGAAATTATAACTCAATAAGTAATAGTTAACATATTAATTTGAAATTCACAGGTATTCCTGTTGTCAATTTCGAGTTCAAAAATGCAACGACTCGGGATACGTATCCACTATATCATACGATGTACGAAACTCCATTCACAAACGAGCATCTGATTGATACAGACAACATGAAGGTTGTTCTGAAAACTTTTAGAAAACTCCAACTTTTTCAAGATTCACCAAGCAACAGGGCAATTTTGGGCTGAACTTGCCCGGTTCGTCCAGATTTTTTTCTTAAACACCGACAATTTTTACTTAGATCATTTGCCGATGCTCCAGTGCTTCCAATAAACACTACAAAACTCGGACACGTTATAATCTCTGAATATCTACCAATTTTGAAAAATGTCCTCAGCAAGTTGTCCTTATCGAAAGAAGACGCAGAGATGATCAAAACCCAGTACAAGTTTTTGTTGAAAAACTGTCAGGTGAGTGAACAGGAAAAAGAAGAAAGCGGTGCTACGACAAGAGCGAGTTTTCCATTTGCGAGCAGTACTGTATGCGGCAAAGCGCATTGCGTGCATGCACTCTGCGTGTTTACACTTTTGTGGCGTGACGTCATCGCGCCGTACATCTGCGGGTTTTTTGCTTGCGGGTTTTTTTCGGATTTTTTTGAATTTTTTTTCCGGCTTATTTATTTTTTTCGAAACAAAAAGAAAAACTTTTTAATTGATGAAAACTCTGTTTGTCAAAGGGGGCAGCTTAGGAAAATGTTTCTTTATAGATAGCTATTAGGTCAACTCCACAAATATGGAAAAAGAAGTAAGCTAATATTGATATTTCAAAGAGGAAAATATCAAAAAAATTGCATCATAACAAATACCAGTAATTGAAATAAGTTATATCAAAAAAAATAAGAAAAATAAGAAAAATAACAAATTTTACAGAACCATCATATCAAACAAAAGTCATTTTTCCCAGAAAATCTTCAAGATATTTTTGAATGTAAATTGAGAGATTTGAAGGGACTTGTCAGAAATTTTTACGAAAATTGGTTTCTTGTACAATGCCGGTGTTGAGGGTGGAGGAGCAGGGACATCTTTTTTTCGCCAAAACTTCCTTTGTGATTTCTTGTTGCTTTAAAATTGAGTCGAAAAACAATGGCGTTAACATAATCGTCACTTTCCATCCTGAATTTCATTCATAGCACCACTTTTTTTCATTTCAAAATCTGAACGAGAGAAAAAAATATGAGAAGAAGAAGAACACGAAGATTTTTTTGAGGACAAAAAAAGGAGCCTTCTTATAAGGTAAAAAGAAGTTTTTCTTTTTGTTTCGAAAATATTCGCACAATCAAAACCAAAAAAAAAATCCAAAAAAATTCCGAAAAAAACATTGAAAAAAACCCGCAAGCAAAAAAACCCGCAGATGTACGGCGCGATGACGTCACGCCACAAAAAGTGTAAACACGCAGAGTGCATGCACGCAATGCGCTTTGCCGCATACAGTACTGCTCGCAAATGGAAAACTCGCTCTTGTCGTAGCACCAAGAAAGCACTTTGAAAACTGCAGGAAATGCTTCACATGTCAGAGAAATTCGAAGAAACGATCGCCTTCACGCAGCACAGCTTCTCTAAAAATCCCTACGATATGACGCATATCGCGGCAATCAACGAGAGACTAATGAGGTCACCAATTTCAAACCTATGGCTATTAACCTAGCTAAAAGATTTACAGTAGCGAAAGATGTTTTGTAAATCCAAGAGGAACTTTGGGCCGAAATCCTTCAGCCAGACACGTTTTGTTCTCAGTCAGCGAATCGGATAGTTATTCTGGTTCATTAATGGCTGGCATTGGGAATGCGGTAAAACTTTCATGATTTTTTTTGGTTCAAAAAAAATTTTCTAGGTTGATGCTTACAAAAACGTCCCGAACAAAAAAAACGCTCGAGAAGTGGCAAACCAAATTTCTGTTGTCCAATACTCTGTAAAATGCGTGTTAAATACTTTGCGGGAAGTCATTTGAAAAATAAAAAATTTGGTGAAGCATTTATTTGTTCAAATATTAAAAAATTATGATTACAAAATAGTTATTATCACTCACGAAATGATTTGATCAAAGGAGCTACTGACACGCGCAAAGGCGTGATTAGTGAAAGGATCAAAAGTCTTGAAGCGGACCGAGTTGAGCAAATAGAGTTAGTTATTTACAAGTATGACAAAGTTTTGGCCTAAGCTGCAGGGGGAAAATTGCGAACAGTTCTGCAGAGAAACCTAGTGCGTAAAGAACACTATAAGTTGTAAGGTGCCAGCGTCTACCCACGTAGGTTTGCAGTAGATATTATGATCGCATCAATAGAAATGGAGCAGTTTTGAAGGAAGATTGAGCTATTCGAGCTTGAGCAGGATCACATGTGTGTTCTTCTCATGTGTTGCCATTGACCCCAAGGCAGGGAGCCTGTTCGGGTTACTCGCACTAGTGGCTGCTCTCGACACTGTAACAAAATTTACATAAGATTTTTCGTGTTTCTCCAAATGGAAAAAATTGCAAGTCAGCCTTTCTCAATGCCTATAAAGCCAAACCTTCCCGTCTTGAAAAGCGAGATAAGCAGATTGACAGGGGGAAAGCGTTGCGTACGCGATGCGGTTTTTTAACGGGAACTCGAGGTCAAACGCCGACAAAAATAATTTGAAAAAAGGTTTCCGCCTGCAACCTCAAGGCGTTACCCTTGCCAATTGACTCATTTGGTCTTCCAAGTCAAGAAGGATGGGCCATTTACAAAGTTTATTTCGCTTTTTATGCTACTGGAAATAAAAAAAAACTCGAAAAAAAAACCTGAAAGCAATAAAATTAACATGTCTTGAATGAGCAATTTGAAGCTAAAATCATTCCATTTTTGCCTGAAAGAGAAGAAAGTGAAAGACAGATCATCAAACTGTGACAGGCGAGAAAGATATTGTTATTAAGGCTGAAGTAATTTCACAAATCCAAACTGACCAGTGTAGATTGGACGAGGTTTGGTGGGACTCGGACGGCGGGGAGCTGGGAGAGGTTGTGGACTCGGCGGAGACCTCGAGGCTGGAGACTGGGTGTGGTGCTGGCGGCTCTGTCGCTTTGGCGATCGACTGCTCTTTCGGAAGCGAAGTGTCGCAAGTTGGGAAAAGCTCCGACTGGCTGTGAGTGGTTGCGTCCAACCCGTTGGAAGTTCGCCCGCTGCTCCAGAACCTATAGTTTCTTCGGAAAACGTCTTCGATTTCAACCGACTTGTCGGAGTTCGTGATCGAATGGAGTTCGGCTGGCAGCTCTCGATTCGGTGCGGCTGAGATTGCGACCGTAGCGCTTTTCCATCTCCTCGCTGTTCCTCTGGTAAACTGCGTTCTGAACAGCTAGAAAGTTATTTCCGAGTTCGGAAATCATTCAAAACGCATTCCCAACAAACGTTCCGACAAAAAAAAAACATTCCGTTACGACATTCAAATTTTGAAGAATCTAACCCACAGTCACAAAAAAGCCTCTCTCAACTTTTCTAAATTTTTTTAAAAATTGTTTGAGAGGTGTCTACAGAGTGCTTAGAAATGTAGTCATTGAAATATGATCGTGTTGAAAAATAAGAAGCGTTTTTCAAAGCCGTAAAAAAATAATAGTAGAATCAAAACTAAAAAAACTGAAAAAAATATTTGGCAAACTAAGAGACAGGAATAAAAAACTTCGTATCCGCACCAAGTATAAAAAAATTACACTTTTTTTCATTCCGTGAGCAGTAAATCTCAAAAAAATTCAGATAAATTATTGCTTGCTAAGAACACTCCATGCACAAACTTGTAATCAAAAAAACATGAACGGAACATTCGGTTTTCTGTACAAAAATGTTTTTGTATAAAAAAATAATTATGAATGACTTATGTTGATCTCTTGTTGAACTAACCTTGTTCGAGTTGTTATTTTAGTTAGAAGAGCGTTAGGACCAGTAGTGCTTCAGTGATATTAAACAAGTCCAACTCAAAATTTAAATTCACAGGAGGAATTCGCCAAACACCTCTAAGATGTTCCCTTTCATCTTTTCCGGAAGGAAGGCAACAAAAATGGAATAAAAAGGTAAGGGGTACACGCACACCAGCTACCAAAGCAAACAGGCGCATTACCGTGTCGCTGCGTCGCTCAATGATGTTGCCATTCAAGCTGAAGCAAATATTCGTGACTTTTTGAATTCTTGAAAAAGTCCAGGGATGTAAGCAACTCTGAGGAACAATGCCGGAAAATCATTTATGACTGATTTCTAGCAGAGAAAACATGCAAAAATGCAAACTTACGCCGTATAAACATGTCCAGCAGGTTCTGCAAACTCAATTATTAAGCGAAATATAACAAGAATTCAATTTCAATGGACTTCGTGAAGCAAATAGTTATTTATTACAGTTGTGAGCCAAAACCTAACTTTCGAAAACGTGAATAGATAGTTTTTGTTATTTTATTATATTAATTGGCGTGTTTGATGAACTTGTGTGAAAGCCGTTAACAAATTAAGTGCGACAAGAAGCTGGACCTACCGACGGCAGGTTCGAGAGAGAGAGGCAACGGCGGCGGTGGAGAGCACGACTTCTCGCGCACCATCGTGTCAGGCACCCAAACTGACGTCGGCCGCTTCTCTTCTGATTCTTCCAGTCGATCTTCTCTCGAGTTAGTCCTTCTAGCCGGTAAATGCTCGTTAGTTAGCGGGTTCGTGTGTATTCGGCTGTTAATCCTTGGCGTTGGAGCGACTATTTCGGCTGTCCGCTCGTAAATATTAGTATCTGCAAGTTTATTCGATAAGTTGAAGATTAATTAGTCAATAATTTCTTGGCGGAGATCACTTTTTTCAACTCTTTCTTCATACCTTGAGATCGATTCGAGCTCCTGACATCATCTCGGACCAAGGCTGCGAGCTCTTGGTCTGATACTACTGAAGAAGAAGTTGATCTTCGTTCCTTAAAACAGCGCATTGAAAACTAAACTTTTTCGTGAATACTAGAAAAAAAACAAGATTTACTTGATAACGACTCTGAGTTGAACTCCAGCTGCCCGAGTCGAATTGTTCTTTATTGCTGTCGTAATCACTAGTCGTCGATTGACACCTCGTGAAAATCACGTCTTGAAGACGAGGTCTATAAGGGGCTCTCGTTGTTTTTTTCTGAAAATATATCTCAAACAATCAGGAATCCCTATCTCACGTTGAAGTCATTAGTTTTCTCGTTCTCTATCGCGCTTTCCGACACTCCAGATGACGGTTTGGCTGGTTGTTCCCATCGCTTTGCTCTCCCTTTTACTCCAGATTCTGACCGAACGTTGGCAGAATCTTCGCCCGAAGAATCCATTGACGACGTCGAACAGTGGTAAGTTTTTCTAAAGCAAATATGATTCACATAAGCTGTCAGCGTCATTAAACTCAAAAATAACTAACTTTTTGTCTTTTTTATTAATTGTAGTCAGTTCGGAAGTGTTCCTATTCTGAGAGGCTGTATTAAGCGTGGTTGCAATTTGAGCTAATTGTTCAGGGGAAATTGCCAGATTTTGTAAAGACTGGCTCATTGAATATCTGAACCACATTATTTCGAAAAAAGGCTTTCTTTCCTCAAAAACCCTTTGCTGGCCTGCGTGACTGCAGCTGCAATGATTTGAGTCAAGGTTTGGGTGTCGAGTCCTTCCGCAGGAGCCGTCTTCGAGCCGCACGTAGCTTCTCTTGACACTAAAAAATCGTGAAATCGGAATAATTTGTTCTATTCCTACGTATGGATTTTATTTTGGGAATTTTTTCTTTGACCATGTCAAGCGCCACAAGGTTAACCACGGCAAACCAACACGGTGTTCGATTCATATCCGGTCCGTCCTGAATTGAATGATCGCGTTCTTTCTAGATTTTTTCATTTTGCATTTCGAATTTTTCAGAAAACTTGGCTCAAATACTTTTTGAAAAACTAGAGAAAAAATAGAATTATTTAATTTCAAGATTTCCTTTTCTGACAGTTAAGAAGTTTTGCAGGTTGAAACTGCCAGGATTTTTTTCTTCAATAAACTGAGAAGTGTTTCAAAAAAATTTAAAAAGAAACCCCGAAGTGCTGATTTTTCGAATTCGAGAAATTATCCAACGTACTTTCACTAATGCCACTCGAACACAGGTTTTGAGAAGTAAAGTTCTTGCATCTGGAGCCTCTTCTTGAAGTTCTCTTTCCAAAGCATTTTTGAACTTGCGCATATCAAACATCTGAAACAATTAATTATCCGTGAAGGCTCAGTTCTTTCGGCCGTCAAAAAAGCCGACGTGTTCCTAAAGACAATTAAAGACAGGATTGCCGGAAACGACCGTTTTTTTGGTTTGGCGTAAACGGCGGACGTTGCGCAAGACCAGCTGAGCTTGTTTGCGCTTTCGACAGAACGAAAGCCCTTGGAAGCGGCCGAGAAAAAAAACCACAGGAGGAACTTACTTTGTAGGCCTTCTCGTCTTCTGAAACTCCGTGGTTGAGCTTTCCTTGAAGTCGGACCAGTCTATCGGAGATACAGTTTGACCGGGTGTCTTTCCATCCTTGGCAGACTACAGGAGTTGCTCCGCGAGCCATTCCTTTTATGTTCCCTTGGAAGTCCATTTTCAGTATGACGCCCTAAAAATGGTCATTTTTGATTTTCATGAACACATGTTGTACATAAAACTCACATCAGCTATTTTGCTTCGAATTTCCTGAATGTGTTCATCACGTGTAGAATTGTCAAAGTGATTGAAACCCAATGTTTTCCCATCGAATTCGTCTTCAGACCCGTCGATAATAACCGTTGTTTTCCGCAAGTAAGCTTTTGCAACCCGTTTGCACCTCAAATTTTTCGGATGACAGATTTTTCTAGTTAAAACTTTACCTTTCCATGACAACTATTTTCCCCCATATCTCGTCATCGATCGAACCTTCACTCAGCTTGTCCAAAACTTCTTTCACTTGGTCCTGAAAATTGTTGTTGAAGAATTTGGATTTTTAAAGAATTGCTCGGTTTTTGACACCTGACAAAAACTTCCGGTTCGAAACACGCGCCTGCGAAAAATCTGTTGAGGCAACGCCAGGACCGGCGGGCGCAAACAGTGAAAAGAACAAACTATTCCAAAAAAGGACTATAACCTTGAAAAAGTGGGCTTTGTGTCCCAAAATCAGCTGAAGAATTTCTTGCCAATAACGGAAAACGTTTTCTCAACTTAAAAAATGCTTCTTTTGTGCAGTGATTTCATTTTTTTTTTCTCTGTGACGCTTTTGAAACTATATCTGGCGCTTACACTATTAAAAATAGAGATTGAAAACTCAAAAAATTGAAAGTATGGAGAAAATTTTCATTTTTGATGTTGTTCTGAAATCCTACTGACTTACAAGGTGTGAAATTCAAAATTTCCTATGTATTTGACCAATTTGCGCAGAGGAGACCTCATGAAGATGTCAATTGCCTGAAGTTTTGGTTTGGTAGTTAAGGTTCAGAAAATCCTGTGTAACACAAAAACAGACAGGCCACCTATTATTTGAAACTTTAAGATATTGCATCTCTAGGAATATAGGCATGAAGACTGTGAAGAATCCCCGTTCAGACATTTGAGAAGCTCAAAAAATAGGATAAAATCGAAATACACAACATTTTCCAATTTTTTTTTGTTATTTTTGCGATCGATGGTCTTCGGATCAAAACTCGAGGCTCTTGGTGGTTTGAATGGAACTCGCGGTGTTCTCGCGAGACCGGACCGTAGCCACTCGATCAGGCGTCCTCCTTGAAAGCTTATCCCCCACCAAACAACAATTGCGCGCCCTTATTTCCGTTTTATATTGTTCATGAAAAGAATAACTCAAAAAAAAAACCGTACCAACAGAAATGCATCAGTGTCGTACCAAGTGTCGGAATTGGGACTCGTTTGAGTTCCATGTACCAGTGATGACCGGGAAACTGATACGTCGGACTTTCTACAACATTTCTATGAGAAAAAAAGAGGAAGTTAAAAATCTCAAAAAATAATCCAAACATCCATGATCTTCATGATTTTACAGTTTCGAGAAAAATGTTGAAGAAAAATGAAGAATAAAAGGGGAAAATTTTGGACGTTCAGGGAGAAAAACACTTAAAACTTATTGAACGTAAAACAAGTAGAGAATAATTCTAAGAGTAAGATGCAGCAGTAGCACAAAATAATGGAGACGATGAAATTTACATTGAATCATTGCCGTTAATATTCTATTCCGAATTTATTTTTGTACTAAAAAGAGGGATGAAGTTAATTGGTTTTTTCTCCCATGAACTTGTCACTGTGGAAGACATATAATTTATAAAAGACACTGGATCGAACTTTATCAAGCTTTTTGCCCAATCGAAAGCGCTTGAAAAAAAAAAGATTTGAAACCGTTCAGATTCCAAAACAATATTGTCAGTGAAGCTTTGTCAACGAAGATATCAAGAAGAAAAAAGCGAAAATTCGAGAAAAGAAGATACCTTTTGGATTCAGATGGCCGAGGCTCGCAGTTGCGGGAGTTGGGCTCCCTGATCGTCATGGCAGGGTCGTAAGCCCTCTGCATATCGTTCGACGGCCAAGCAACAGACCAACTGAGAATTGCGCAGGCTAGTGGTCGGGAATGCAGCGCGTCAGCATGTGCTCCTCCGGCCGGCTGCTTGCTTTCGTCCGTGGCTCTCCGGTCTGCGCTCCACCCCGTTTCGGCCGTCGCCCATGGCTCACCCTCTGACGCTTTTTCGCGCACTTCGCCAAGCAGCTCTTTCGTGAAATGATCTCGCCACCTCAACATCGTACGTGATGCTCAAACTTCTGAGTTCTTCTGGAACCTGATACAAGTTTGAAACTGAGAAAGGAAGATTTGCATAAAGTTATTCAATTAAAAAATCACTGAAGATCAACCTTGCTTTCCGAAGTGAAAACTGGATACTGTCGAAATTTCGACTTTATCAAAAAACTACCTTTGAAAAAAATGTGACTTGAAATTAGTGCGAATTCTGAAAGTTACTTTCATCTTATTTTTTTCAGAGGAAAAAAAGATGAAAAAAAGAAAAAAATTTCATTGCAAAAATCATTTCACCCTGATATTATGTGAATCCCATAAAACAAAAGCCGTTCAATCATTTTTCAAATTTTTTTTCAAACATCCGGGAGGATCGGGAAAAAAAGAGCAAAAAAAATGTGTTTCAAATAAAATAAATAATTTTCACTAGTTTCTCTCTGAAAAAGGTTATTTAACAGGTTCCATCATAACCTGTCCATGGTCTCTTGGTAATACGCTGTGTTGTGCGCAAAATTGAGATTTTTCGAGAAACTTGAGTTTTTTGACCAGCTGTTCACATTCCAACAGTATCTTTGCAGACGGAAGTGGCCCTTTGAGGCGTTTAAGATCTCGCACTTGGAAGAATGAGTTGCGCGAGGCGGTCGTCGCGTGTTTGCTTCCGCAAGGAAAAAGATGTTTCGGCACCCGTCGGTTTTTTGTTCAGCGCGCGAAGTGACGCGTCACAAAGCGGAAAACGCGTCTCCAAAAGCCGCGTTTTGACATTCTTAGATGTATGTATGTGCTCAGAAACGCACCTCATAACTCTCAGCCGAGAACGCGCTCCGATCGACAGGTTTCAGGATGACTTAAGCGACGAGAACGTGAGTCTTGAAATGTTGAGGGACCGAATTTCATTTTTTCATTAGAAATCTTCATGCTTTCCGGAAAAACAAGGACTGTATGCCAGAAAGAGTACAAAAGTTGGCATTGCAAACCAGTTTCAGATTAGGAAAAGGATCAGATCTTCTCAGTAGTGCGCATTTTGCCGAATTGTTGAAGACAATCACACTTTTCACGAATGAAAGAACAAAAAGTTTTTAAGGAATAATCCTGAAACTTCTTCGAGCGTTAACTCGGAAGCTCTAAAATTTGAAAAACTAAAGCACATTTCTTCATAAAAAGTGTTCCTTCAAACTTATTTGCAAATTCCACTATATTGTCTTAAATCAGATATATATGCTCATTCGAGACTTTGATAGTTTAATGGCTTATCTTTGTTAATGTACTCAGCGTGGACCACGCATCTTCCTATTTGAAAAGAAGAAGTACAATCAACAAAGATCAAAATCTTCTCAAGATTATATTTTTGTTATGAAAAGACGAAGGCTTCCATTTTTTATAAGTTAGAATACCGTTCATTGCCGTTCAACCGCAGAAACAAGAAAGGATGAAAGTTACCCAATCATAAAAAAAAATTCGAGGAAAAATAGTTTGGACATCTATTTGTCTTAAGATAATGGAAAGTCAGCTTAGGTTTTTTTTGTACTAATTTGGTTGTGAGCTTTTTTTTATGCTTCCAAGCTGTTACTTATGTATGAAAAATCGCCTGAGGCATGAAAAGGATGTAAATTTAGGGAATAATTTAACGTTGAAAAAAAAATGTTGAAAATATTTCTCCGCCAAATAAATACACTGCGTTCAATAAGGATAGGACCCCCCTCGATTTTGGACTTTCTGGCAAAATACGGGAAGATATCGAAAAACTGTAAGCGTCATTCGATTCAGAGTACAAAATAACCCCTAGAGCCAAACTTTCATTATCCTAGCCCTTTCCCCACAAGAATGCCATCCAAAAAACGGTTTTTCGACCGTTCAATAAGGATAGGACCCCCTGGAAATTTTGATTTCATTGGTGGTTTTTGGTCAATTTCTCTTTTTGATGAGTGGTTTTTTTGGTTTTCATATTATTTGTTTTCAAGTTTTCTACGGTTTTCCTTTCATATCTTCCAGGTTTAAAAAATATTTTATATCAAAAATAGGGAAAAATGACGTTTTTTGAGTTTGCATCAAAATATTCGAGCGAACGAATTTTTCCAGTACTTTGAATGAACTTATCTGATTGATAGAGACCTTTTAACATTCAGAAAAATGAAAAAAAGTTTGAGAAACATTAGTTTAAAAGTTAGAAAACCAGTTACAAAATGGAGTATCGTGACCAAATTTCAGACGGTCGTCGTTTTCGACCGTTTTTCTTTCTGTAAGTATCCGACTGGCGGTCCAACTTTTTTTTGAAATTTTGTGAAGGTGCTCCAACCACAAAAAGAAACTTAATTGGATTGGATAAAAATTGGCGATCCTCGGAAATCAAAGGAAAAAACACCCTTCCGACTGCTACTCGAACTTTTTGCGGTATTGTATAAATAAATCATATAAATAGTTTTATTTCTGGTGAAAATTGTTTTATTGCACGTTTTCAGTAATGCTTTATTTTGTTGACAAACTAAAAACCCGCCAAACGCTCTATTTGAAACAATACTTTCGATGAGCGCGGGTACCAATTTCTCTCCACATTTTCTCGGCATTCTACGTAGTAAATAAAATTTTTTTAGATTATCTTGTTGGTAAATTATGTTTATAGCACCTTCACAAAATCTCAAAAAAAAGTTGAACCGCCAGTCGACTACTTACAGAAAGAAAAACGGTCGAAAACGACGACAGTCTGAAATTTGGTCACGATACACCATCTTTTAACTGGTTTTCTAACTTTTTAAAGTAATGTTTTTTTCAAACTTTTTTTATATTTTTCTGAATGTTAAAAGGTCTCTATCAATCATATAAGTTCATTCAAAGTACTGGAAAAATTCGTTCGCTCGAATATTTTGATGCAAACTCAAAAAACGTCATTTTTCCCTATTTTTGATATAAAATATTTTTTAAACCTGGAAGATATGAAAGGAAAACCGTAGAAAACTTGAAAACAAATAATATGAAAACAAAAAAACCACTCATCAAAAAGAGAAATTGACCAAAAACCACCAATGAAATCAAAATTTCCAGGGGGTCCTATCCTTATTGAACGGTCGAAAAACCGTTTTTTGGATGGCATTCTTGTGGGGAAAGGGCTAGGATAATGAAAGTTTGGCTCTAGGGGTTATTTAGTACTCTGAATCGAATGACGCTTACAGTTTTTCGATATCTTCCCGTATTTTGCCAGAAAGTCCAAAATCAAGGGGGGTCCTATCCTTATTGAACGCAGTGTATCCCGTTTACATGTGCAAGCTTTTAGTTTTCGATTGCAAAACAAGAACTATTGTGAAAGTCAGAATGAAAGACGTATGTTCATTTGGAAGGTGTAAATTTCGAACTACTAGTGTCGTGTACCACGTTTGATCAAACAGGGCTGCAAGCTTCAACTTTGCGAAAAATTTTCAAGTAAGAAAAACCTAAAAAATAAGCTTTCACAGCATTCTCGAAATTATTTATAAAACGGTTCTAAGTATTGCTTAAAACGAAAATTATTTTCAGACTTAAACAATAAAGTTTTGGATGACTATTCGAGTTTTCGCCAATATTAAACCATTCATCCTGATTTTTTTAAAAATCTTTCTCAAAACTCGGATCAGATTGTTCCAGAAATTTTTTTCTTAACTTTTTGATACATTCACAGTTTTTAGATTTTTTTATCGCTTTTTTCTTAATGTCTGCTTTCGTTCTGCAATTCAGCAAAAAAAGTTCATTTTTCTAATAAGTAAGATTTTTTTCCTTCTCGTCTAATGTTTAAACTTTTTCAATTCGAATTCTTTTTTTGAATTGGAAGTTTTTCAATAACTACTAAACTTTCTATCTGATCGAATTTTGTGCAGTCGGCAATATCAGCCATGAACGCATACCAAATGCCAAAAGATGAATCGTTGTGGCAAACAACGGATGAGCGAAGCTCCCTCCTGCTCACAGTGTAATCCTCTCGGCTTCGAAATTACTTTTCCTATACTGATCTTAGATAAACTTATTGACTTTTCGAAATCAGTTTACGACGCTGATTTTTAGAACATTTTTTTCGATATCACCCTTCCAAGTCATTAATAAAATCTCAGTAATTTGAAAAAATTTGCAAAGACCTAATAAAAGCATTTCAAAGACAGCTGGAATAAAGATGAAATATGGATTTACATTGATCGAAATCATCATATTCGCGATTCCATTTTGAGGTTTTAGTATGATAATCAACCTGTTTTCTCTTTGTGGTGGTAGGAAAATATATTATTTTCATATTTACCAATTAAAATAAAGCCGCGCACTTTGATACAGGAAAGATAATAGCGTAGATTGATCCTGATACCCCGAGAAACGTCGAAAAGATATTTCAAAACGTCTCTCGGCTCGGGAAGCAATTGACCCATCGTGACCGGAGACTTTACAGCAGCTTTATGCTCCGCGCACTCGAACATCCACCCGTTTGTTCGCTTCAGATCCTATCGTCTTTTTGCCAAATATGATATCTTTGAATCAGTAATATGTTTTTTCTACCTGTTGACTCTATCACGCTTATCATCCGTCACTTCTCTGCGGACTCTAATCAACAACTCTTGCTAGCTTTTCTATATCTTCCATTTTTCATTTTCGACGCTTTTTGTTCGTAGTTTTTTTTTCACAACTTTGTTTCACTGAGTAAGTGTTGAAAACAATAACCCAAAAAATCCATACATAAAGATTTTTCCAAGGATCCCATGAAAAAATTCAAAACTGTAAATTTCGGTAATTTAACAGTTCTATGAGTTTAGGTAGTGATACTTCAAAGCTGAGTTAGGAAGAACTCAAAAAAGAGAGAAAATTTAGTTTTTCTTAACGGCTACTTCATTTTAAGCGGAAGTTACAAGCTGCAAATTAATGAACTAATAAAACTAAGCAAAAAATTTTCGGGACACGTCTCTACTGATTTGATTTTGATTTGTCGGTTGAGCCGCTGGTGACGTATTTACTTAGCACTTGTCACAGGAGCTGAATCGAACTCGCTTTCGGCGTGCTGCTTTTAATTTTACCTTGTGTACAGTTTTCTCTCATGGAAAATCGATATTTCAGACAAATGTCTGATTTGTGCTCGGGATTCGAGCCGCAGAACTACTTGAAGGAACGATGCAAAAAATGTTTTCGTCCAAAGGTGAGCTGATGCTTAAAAACGAGTGTTTTTGGATTCCTACCTCTCGACTTGACAAGAACACAATTTTTTGGGTAGTTTATCATTCGCAGACGTAAGTGTCTTCTTTTTCAGCTCGCTCTGTGAAATTTTTCCTGAATAGTTATGCGTGCCAAATGATGTTCATTTTAAAAGGGTTTTTATCAGGATAAACATGTAGAAGAGGTGATATCCGTACCAGTCCTCAAAAAAGAACGGAGAAAAAGCTGGAAAGACAGAAATATGGACAATGGAGCACCAGATGACGGTTTGCTCGAAAATTTAATTATTATTTGTTTTAGTTGTTTCAGCTTCAGAAGAAGCAGAATGTTTATCAGTTTCTTCCTACGTTTCAGCCACATCAAAGGGCCTATCTTCTGCTAAATCTTTAGAAAGTGTCAACGACACAAAAAGCATGGTAACTGCAGTTAGCGGCAGCATCTGTGACGAAGATAGAGCCATGACTCCAACAGAAAATGACGTTTTTATTCCCTCTCAAACTCCTTGAAATAAGAAATGAAATTGCAGAGGTCGTATGTGATATCTCTAAAAGACGAGATCTCTCAACTGCGAGATTTGAATCAGTCACTGAAGGTTTTTTTTTCGAATTTTTTTCTCAGCTATTACATTTTCCCAGTTCCTTTTTTTTCACTTCCAACCGCGAATGCTCACAAAAAAGCCATTTCCTGTTGCACTTAACAGCTGCTCTTTTCTTCTAGCGAACTCATTTTTCAATTCTTTTGGGAACATTCTAAATCTAACTCGGCTTTCAGCAAGAATTGGCTCAAACGATATTGAGGAAAAGGCTGCAAAATGCAGAAGCAAGCGAGTCTTCTTTACTCATGATGTTGGAAGAGCGACTCAACCACGCTGAAAGTCAGCTGCAGGATTATCGCGATGAAAACACAGTCTTGAAATGCGAGCTGCGAGAGTTGCAGGTTCGCTTCATTGGTTTAAAAAAATATTTATTTTTCGTCGCTCTTTTTTTAAATCTTCATTATTGATTCTTCATCAGAAAAACAGAATAACAAAAAAAATCTGAAAAAAAGTAATATATATACAAAGAAAGGTTCTCCCAAATTTTTCAGTGTCACTGCAACTAGCCAGAAAAATTTTTTGGACTGTTTTGCTAAAATTCGTTTCGAATAATAATAAAACTGGGTTATCGAAAATTCACACTTTCAGGAATCAACATATGCAACTACTGACGATTCACTAAAACAAAAAATCTCGGCCACCGAAGGTTTATGCGACGATCTGATTGAAGAAAATGAACAACTGAAAGCGGAAGTCAAAGATTTACAACACGAAATCGAAGAAATGCAGGTATGTCGAAATGGTTGATTATTTATAGATATTTTCCAGGACCAATATCGAGAAGAAGAAATTGAAGAATTCCGGGAGCTTCAAAGAGAACTCGAACAAAATGCCAAAAGTTGTAGAGTTTTACAATTCAAACTTCGTAAAACAGAGAGACAAAAAGAGCAAGTTGAAGCTGAGAAAGCACATTTGCAGATGAAATTAGAAGTGAGATTACGAGTGTAGATTTTTAAGTATTATATTCAAGGAATCCAACACTTCAACTCCCGGAGGAACGCCCGGTTTTCGGTCAGAGACAGCTCGTGTTAAAGAGCTTGAGTCGGAAATTCGGATAGCCAAGGAGGTTTGAGAAGTTTTTTTTTTCAACCGAACTCTTTTTTTTAAGGTGTCAGTACGTCTTCATAATGAATTGGAGCAGACAGAGGAAAAAAGATGCAAACTTGAAGACGAAGTTTTCTATCTGAAAGAGAAAGTGCGAGAAATCCAAACGCAAAACAAATGGAGGGAAGCGAGAAACAAAACTGATTTTGCAGTGGTAGTTTCCATATTAAAATACGAGTGAAGGGTTTTTTCATTCAGAAACGTTTGTCGGCGGAATTGGCAGCCTCGGCACCGGTAATCAGTGACAGCGAGATGAGCAAGGAGCTGAGGGACGCCTTGGAGCGAGAGATTGACCTTCGCGAACAGCTCCGTTTCGCAGAAGAAGACCTCAAAAGAACACAACTCCGTTTGCATGTTTGTTCCAGTTTCTTTACATTCTTACGAGGAAGTGAGATGTTCATTTCTAAACTTTTCAGGACGTTGAGAATGAAAACGAGGAATTAGTTAAGAAACTGTCGAAAGCTTCTAAACTTCGTCCTCCTATGATTCGGTCAGCAAGGTTAGTGCAAAACTCCCAAAAACTCAATTTTTTTAAATTGCATCAAATAATATTCAGCGAGGGAAATGCGCACCTGCAACTAGAACTCGCTGAACATCAAGTCCAACACCTGAACACAAAGCTCGAAAGACTTGAAAAGACAAACGACCATCTGAACAAAAAGTAGTTTGCCACCTGTTGAAAATAGAGGAAAATTTAAATTGAGAATCATTGAACTGGAGGAAAATAGCGGGCTATCGATTCCATCTAAAGGAGAAGTTTATAAATATGGAGAGCTCAGTTGAAAATGAAATTTAGTTCAAACTAACACCCGAAATGGAACGAGATATGTCAAAAATGATAGCCACGATCAGCGATCTTGAACGCAAAAACTTGGAATTGACGGTTCAATTGAAACAAATGGAAGCAAAAAACAACTTCAAAAACCCAAACTTCACAGGTTTGTATATATAATTCAGAGATGATCCAATTATTTTTATTTACAACAATTTCGTTGCCTTTCCAGTTTCCGGAGCTACAACACTAGAACTGAGGAGCGAGCAAGAGAAACGCAAAACCCTAGAGGCACAGTTAACAGAGCTTAAAGCCACTGTATTCAAGTCAGACAATCAAAAAGTCATTGCTCTTGCTACAAAGGTTAACTCTGTTTTTTACTGCGGGAAATACAAGTTTTTCTCAAGATTGAACAGCTGAACGCCCACTTGAATTTGGTTAACGAACGATGTACAACTTTGCACAAGAAGCAGCCTAGAGACGCTGGCTCTGGCCAATACGTAGTAGGATGAACTTTCCTTTTTTCTGTTTGATATAAAACTCCAGGACGACTTGAAAAGCCGTATAGAACTCCTAGAGAGGCAGCTAAGCGAACGAAGAGCTTCAGAAATAGTTAGTGAGATACAAGGCAGTGTTCCTACTGTCGACGAGGTTTTATTGGAATTTTCTTTCTAGACTAACATTCGTTTTCAAGATTGAACAATGCTGTGAAGTTCTAGCTTCAATAGAACTTCAAACCGGTCGTCTATGCAAGCAAATCGAGAGAATCGACCAAGCTCAGAAGGTAAATTAAAAAAGAGATTTGTAATTGTAATTGTAATTGACTATTTTAATTACAGGATGAGAGACGGAGATCTTTATCTAAAGAAAGTGGGGCCACCATCATTGCAGAAATCGCCAACGTCATGCAAGAACTCAAAACAGTCCACACCGCGCTTGACAAAATCAAAGTATGTTTAAAAATTGAGGACTTTTCTTCAGATTTTCATTTAAAAAAAAACGACATCTTCAAAATTTTACATGGTGCAATAAATCAAAAAAAAATTGTTTTGATTTCCTTAACGGGAGCTAGTTTTCATACCAAAGTCTACGTTTTAAACACACGGGTTACCAAACTCAAAAAGTTATTTCCAGTCCTGCAAGCCAAGCTCAGTCTCCAATCAAGCTCCAATAAAGGAACTTCAAGAAATTCGTGAATGCACAAAGTGCGCCCAGAATAACCAGGTAACCAGGTTCACCTGAGTATTTATAATAATGCATTTGTCAGCTCATCGAAGAGCAATTGAATGAAATCTCTTTCTACAAGAAAAAGAACAAGGATCTCACAAATCAGGTGATTTACGACTTCAATTTTCTTCTATAAACTTGGTTTACAGGTTTTGCAAACAGAAGACAGGTGGACCATTGAAATCGAGAAACAAAGACAGATCTTCGAAAACGAGGTTTCTACAATGTAGAGCTCGATCTTCATTTATCAAAAGCAACTTTTAGATAAAAACTCTTGGCCTCCGGATAGGGGACTCAAAAAGGCTGACAGAAGAACAACACGAACTTCTTGAGTCGAAGTCAGCTTCTTTGGTTGAAAAATCACGCGCTTTGGAAGAGTTGGGAGACAGAAATAGAAAACTTTCCGCAGAAGTTGAGGCGCAAATCAAAGAAATTCAGGTATAATCTTTCGAAAAAATATAGCATACAAGTGTTCTTGTTTTTGAGGAAAAATATATAACAATGAACACTTTCATCGTTTCAGGAGCTTCGAGCAGAGCACAAGAGCGTTAAAGAGTTTGAAATAAAATACAGAAAACTAGAAAGCATTTTTGATACTGAACGGGAAAAAATGAACGGAGAACGAAATCGCACTAAAAACGAGCTGGCAGCCATGAAGAAAATGAAAGACGACATCGAAGAGCATTTAAGTACGTATGAAAAGGTATTTTTACAGTAATTCGTAGCTTTTCAGAGAAAACAAGCGATGAACAGAAAAAGAACGAAGTGAATTGGCGCCAAGAAAAATCTTGCTTCGAGAAAGAAATCCTTATTTTGAAAAAACAGTTGCCAGAACAAACAGAAGAAATGGAGAAAGGTTTGATTCAATCATCTTATTTCTTAATAGGACTTTACAGCTTCTTTTACGCCGACAAGAGCAGATAATTCCTCACCCAACAAGCGAGACAACGAGAAAATCGTCGTTATCGAACTAAAAAAAGAAATAGCCGTTTTAGAACGAAAGGTAACATTTTTTTCATCATTTTTCTCTGCAAAAAAAAAGAGATACAGAATGCCGATCTGGAGTCACAGCTAGAAGACGTCAAAATCTCTAACGCTGAACTCAAGGACCAATTATCGAAAGCTCAAACGGGGTGGCAAAAGGACAAGGAAGCTTTTCAGCACAAAATCCGCCAGACAGAAAAGGCTTGATTGGTATATTTAAGAGTGAATATCTCTATTTTAGATTCGAACGGTTGAGATTGATGCAATGCAGCAGAAGTTTAGCAGCAGAATGAGAATTATGGAAGATACTAACAAGTCGTTGCACTCACAGGTTTCTGCGATTCATTTCGAACCTAATCACTTTCTGAATAGCTGGTCCTTGCAAGACGAGAACGTGACAGTCACAAAGAATCCCTGGCAACATTCGAAAAACAAGTCGCAGAAGAGAGAGGCGTGCAGAAGACAAAAGAGAAAAATGTTTCCGAAAATGGCGAGAAAATAAAAGAGCTGGTTAGTTCTGTAACTTCAAAACAAAAAAAAATAACCACGAAGGCATGTTATTGGAAAGTCAATCTCTTTTTTTCAGCAAAAAAAGCTGGCCGAAAAAGACGAAGAGCTTGAAAGATTGAACACTGATTTGAGACTGACAAAGGAAGCAAGAAAAGCTGATCAAATTCTTTGGAACATCGACAGAGCCAGGGGTTTTCTGAAGTTTCTTTTCTAAAGATCGAGGACTCTTGAAGGAAGAAGTGAAAAAACAACGGATAGCGATCACAGTGGAATAGACGATCTCCGAAAACAGTATCGAGACTATGAAGCCTTCTACACAAAAGTGAATCCATTTTCTCAGAACTTCATTCAAAAAAATTTTTGCAGGAAATGGAAAGACTCAATGAGAAAATAAATCAAGTAACGATAGAAAAAACTACTCAGAAAGCAGAAGCACAAAAAACGATCAGAGAGGTATCAGTGAATCCTATCGAAGCAATAATCAATTATGTCAGCTTCGAGAAACGATTCGCGTGCATGAAATTGAAAAAAAGAACCTTTCTCAGAACAAAGATACTCAGCAGGTCGCGAAGGTTTAATGAATTTTTGGAAAAATCATTTATTCATATTTTCAGGAAATGGTTGAGTCGGAAAGAGAACGTTTGCAACAAATGGTACATTTACACGAACTTCAGAAGCTAACAAGAAAGTACCGGTTGAGCAGTATAATTGATCAAGTAAGAAAAAGTGGACTGCTACTTGATTTTTTCACTTGCAGCTACAATATGTCAGCGAAACAACACGAAAAGTGTCCCGAGATGCAGAGCCAGATGGAATCAGATACATTATCAGCCAACTTCTTGCCCTTCGAGACGATGAAATCCAAAACAACATGAACGCGTAAGTGTTTTGAGTTATTTGCATTTGGATGAACTTGAAAATATTGAGAACTCTAGAGAAAAGTTTTTTTTTGCGCTTTCATCTGAATTCCGTTCCCAGATAGAACCTCAGACACGCTGGAAGCACAGAATCAATGACGTTTGACAATATACACAAAGAATTATAAAAGTTTTGCCCTGAAATACTCTGAAAACTGATTTTTTTTTTTAAAGTCGAAAATTTACTTCTTTGCACGTTTTCTCAGTTTCATTTCCCGTTTCTGAGTTTGACTAAGCAGAGAAGAACGTTGTGGCTCTGCAATGGGAGACAGAATCTCGAACGGATATGCTCCGTCGATGAGCGAGTGCGGCGAAGGCACCTACGACAACATCAGCCAGTCTTCTTTCTCGGTCCGCTCTGTGAACAGCGCCAATGTCCGGCAAGCATTCAGGTACTGGAAATTCAGCTTTTCTCCGTTCTTCAGTTTCAGTCAAGAACTTACATTAGCTTCTTCGTAATCAAACACTTGGGCTTCAATACAAACTTTAGCGCAAGAGTGATTATAACAAGATTTTTGAGTTTCGAAACATTTGAAAACTTTACTCTCTTTGTGCGTTTACTTGGGTTCACTGGCTCAGTTCTCTACTTGCTTTTTCTTTTCTATCGCACATTCTTTTATGCTTTTGAAAATATTTTTCACATGAGATTTGTTCTCAATTTGAAAGCCCCAGCAAATCCCAGCACTTTAGTTTGCATGAAAGGCATGCATTCAGACACGTTAACACAGCGACCACAACATCTGCGAATCCAGCAACTACAGCGTCCGTTTCTCAAACCGTCAGCCTCACAGAAGCCTTATATAGCAAGCCAGAAAAACTAAGCACTCGAACTCTGCCTTGCCAGAAAAAGCGGGCCTTCAGGTGAACTTTGCATGACTTACTTCTATACTAAGTTAGCAACTTTTTCTATTATAAGTAGGACTTTTTGGTTGGCTACTTGCTAGAATTTATTAGAAACACATAACATAACAAATTTTTTTCCAATTTTAAAACCGGAATTCCGAAGGCTGGTTATCAAAAATTTATTTGATAATTACAGTTCCGATCAGTCTAATGGGTACGACAGATATGGGCGTCCATTGAAAAAGTATTCTGAAAGCTATGGCAGCAACGTCTTAGGTTGAAACCTTTTTCAACGCATCCATATTTGACAGTTCAGATGTACCCTCTTCAAGAAAAACTTCTACCAGCGATGGAAATAAATTCCAAGTTCCCAGAACGGCTTCCTTTGACAATCGAAGTCAATACAGTGAAGATGAACAAGACAACGGGCATCCTCGCACTAATAGCGCCGGTAATCTAGATTTCACGAAAATATCTCATATTTTCTTAAGGAACAAATATATTATATCAAATTCGTCGAGAAGAACTCGCTCGAGGAGGAAAACCTTCAGTGAAACTGATGGCCAAAGCTTTTGAGTCTATCGATGAGCCGAAGCACGAAAAACGTGGTTTCTTCGGTATTCGAAAGTCTCGGTCTGTTGAAACAACGCCAAAACAAACTAGAATGGTTGAAGTGCAAATTTTGATGAGATAACCTTTTTTTCAAGGAAGAAGCTGCTGACCGTGCTTTGATCCATATGCACAGCCTTAGTCAAGTAAATGAAGGAGTAACAAGTAATTACGCCACTCTTCCTCGAGGTGACTTACCTCTGAGAACGATCTCCTCACCTTCGTTCAATTTCAGCAGGAGGACGGAATCCTTTCAAAAACATGGGCTCTCGTTTGGTGGAGAGAGTTCGACGGAGCTTGTCCAGATCGAGTCGGCAATCAAAAGATAGCGACCGGGAAGAGGAGATTGAAGTAACAGTTGTTAAAAAGGTGACTTCGAAATGTTTTTGTTTGCTCAAACCGTTTTTCCAGCCCGAAAAACCAATATCCTCTCCGAAAAAGACAAAGAAGAAATCTGCGGAATCTAAAGCGAGAAAAACTTCATCGGGATCAATTTCCTGATTATTTATTTCGTATTCCTCACAATTAAACACGGATAGCAGAGTGTCAGAAATAAATTTTATTGTTGTTTTTTTTCCTATTATGATTTTTTTGTCCATTTAACTGACGGGAAGTCATTCGAGCGCTCCCACTGAGTTTTCGACAAAAACTTTTTAAAGCCCTCAAGTACGTGGAGGATCGGAATCGTATAGTAGCTATCGGAGCAACAATTTTTTTTCTCGATGATTTGAATGTCCAAGTATTGCGTTCAACCCAGAACGAGGTATGCAGCTAGAATTTCACAGCTTAGAAAAAATTATTCCAAGGAGCTATTTTACATGCTTACCCAGAGAAGATTACCTGCTAATTAATGGAGTAAGTGAAGAGTGGTTTGTCGGTACGCGAAACTGTCGTTGATCACAGCGCGAAACCATCTCGTCTTTCACAAACGAAAACAGACGAATTTGGGCGGTTAAAGTTCAGTGCTTTTTCTTATTAAAACACTACGACGCCCAGCTTGTCAAGCGCTGGCGGGCGTCGGATTGAATCTCCGACGAGAGCGGAAATCAGGACCGAACACTCGGGAAATGAAGGACAATTGGTGTTAATAACGAGCAACACTAGGTTAAAGGTTTTTGAACATCGAACTCCTTCTCGGTTTTCAGAAAAGATTCTCTCCGGAATCATGGAATATCAAAAAAATAATGTTTTCGATCCGCGAAACGGTCGTTGATTACAGTGCCAGACCATCTCGCCTTTCGCAAATGAAAAAAGACAAAGTTGGGCGGTTGAAGGTCAGTACTTTCTCTTATGAAAACAGTACGACGCCCAGCTTGTCCGTTGCTGACGGGATTTGGATTAAATCTCTAGCGAGAAAGAACGAGAACAGTGGAAGTTAATCAGAAAAAAAAACAGAAAACCTATTTCGAATGCAAATATATTTTTAAACAGTTTCCAATATTCCTTATAAAAGTTAAAAACACGTTGATAACTGCAATAAATACTTCTAGGCTTGTAAGTTTTCATTGAAATTCTTTTTGATACTCAGAACAGTATTTAGAAATCAGCCTAGCTCTGATTCTACATGGTTTCCAACCTTCATGCGGTTTTCGGTTCCAAGTTGTTAGACAGTTTAAAGAACTTATTCCGCAAAGCTTTTCTCAGGAACAGCGGTACACACGAAGGAGGATCACCTGATGCGAAATTGTCCCTGACAAGTGACACTTTGGCCTCAGCTCTTCGGATATTTTTGCTCATTGTCTTCTATGCGTTCTTTCGTGCTGTTCTCGTTTTTGGTGCTGCTTTCCTCTGCCATTGCAGAGTACGGTACGAGATTTTGCTTTAAACAAATGACATTCAAGTTATCTAAACTTGCACGAGCGCTTCCTTCCAAACAGTTATTAAGATAAAGTTTTCAAAACTAAAATTACATGTCGTTAATTCCTACAAAATAATGGAAATGATTGACGTATTGCTTGTTTGAATCTTTTCCTCGTAATAGTTTTGATTCAACAATGAATACTCATTTTTCGGAAATACGTCTATTTTAATTAAAAGGCAAAAAAGAAAAAGAAATTTAGTAGAATCTTTGAACAATTTTTTTCTCAGAATATTTTGGAAGTTTTGGGGTTTTTGCAATAGAAAACAACGGATAAACTTATTCCTGCGAATTTCAGATTTTGATTACGATGGTTCTGGGCTTGCAGAAAACTACGGTGACAAAGTGAGTCTTTTTCCACAAGGAACACCAAAGCGCTTTCATAATGACATTAAGCGATTCCCAAACTATAGCGCGTAATTCGTTTTGGCAAGAAATTTAGCTTCTCAACTATTGCTGATACGTCGCTGGTTTAAGACTATGTATCAAAAGTTTCCTCTGAAAGTATAACTTATTTTGTGCAATAAAAGAAAGTATTGAATGTATTCTCCGGTTGGTCATAGCTTCAAGAAAATACAATTTAAAAAAAGTTTTGCTCACGTTTGGAAGTCTTCAATCAAAAAAACTTTCAGTTCTCGAACTACCTCCAAGACAAAGATGTACCACCTATGCAAAAAAAAGAGAAGGTTCTTGCTCTTATGATCAGGATTTTTCCTGCGCTGCGGGTAATTTATTCACCTTTTTCGTTGACATGAAGAGCTTTGCTCAGGTCCGAATGTTGGAAATGATCGACCTCCAAGTGGAACAAGCTGTTTATTTGGGAAATTTGCTGCAGAAAGCGATGACCGACATCGGACCTTTTGTGAGGGTTCGGTGCATTTGCTCATTTCATCCAATTTTTCCAGGCTGAGAAAGTCTTTGCCACAGCTGTCCAAACTGTTTTGATTCCTCGCAACACCACTGATCAAGAGATTCAAGAAGAGAACATGGTTTTTTTCGATTCTCGTCTACTTTTCACTCGAAAAAATCTTTTTTTAGAGAATCGCTCATTTTCTTCTGCCACGGAAACAACAACGCGCTTTGAAATTGTTTTACGACACCTATTCGGTATACTTTGATATTATAATATTAATCAAGAAAGTTTTTTAGCAAGAAATCGACTCAATGCTGCAAGACCTCACTTGGCGCAAAGTTTGAATTTTTCGGATGTTTGGAATCTTCTTTTTTCATGTTTTGCACATCTTCCGATAAAATTTTTTTCGAGTATTGCTTTGTAGAGAATTCCATTTTTTTTACTAAAGTTTGCAAAGATTCAAGACACGGAGCATAAAATTTTCTGAGAAACCGCTGTTCCGGAAAAATCACGCTCAAAAACATAAGTTCGCAACACATTGTTCTTGATTTTCCTGACTCCTCCAACCGTGAACGCGTATATTTTTTTCAGCACTCAAAACTGAGTCGTTAGTTCCATTGTATTTAATATTTCTACGATTTCTCAATTTTTTTGATCAGTTTTTTTGTGAAGTTTGTTCTCTTTTTCCACACATTCAAGGAACATAAGTTTGTCGAATAAACTGTCAAGAAGTAACGAAGACTTCAGCTTTCAGTCAAGTTTCTCCACGTGTGACGACCGGTGACAAGAGGTTCGACAACCTCATAATTGTAACAAACATCCACAACTTCACGGCATTTCTCTGCTCTTTTCTTTCTAATATTTTCTCTATTTTGAACTTTCGTCTATTCTGCGGAAAAAAAAAACGATTCATCAATTCTTCAAGAAGTACGTCTTTTCCATCTGGATTGATCAAAATCTGTATTTTTGATTCCAGGAAAATCAATGAAACGATGCTGCTAGAAAGTAGGTAAGGATATGGTCTGGAACACTGAAAAAGGCTAAGGTTGTATCACAGGAATTTTTGTTGAAATATTCAATGAACGGAGGTTTTATGAACTTTTTCTCTTTTCAATCACGATTCCTGACATCTCAAAGTTTGAAAATCAATCGAAAGCTCAAAGTAGGAAAAGCAGAAAGCTTCGAGACTCGAAAATTGGCATTTTGGAGAAAAGAGAATTGTTTCCCACGAGGAATGTTGACTAAGCGGTTGCCAAGACAAGGTGGCCGTGTCCTGAGGGATTATTTACGGGGTGTCGCCAATTTGTTGGCAGAGAGGTGCGCGAGTTAATTGCGGTAGGCCGACGACAAGAAAAAAAAAACAAATTTTGCAAAAGTGCCTCTTTTCGACGCCGATTTGGGTCGCTTTTAAATGATTTTCGCGCTTCCGACGTCTCGATTAGTTATGCACGCGCATCGGTGGGCTCGACACTAAAAAGCGAAGAAACGGAGAGCTTGCGGGAATAGGAGATTTCTATCTGCGCCCTGTTCGAAGCCTAACTTTCTGCTAACTATTCCTGTTGACGGCATGCTTACTACCGGTCCCACCACGTTCTTTAGAACCGTCCGTCAGTCTTTCCGCAGGTTCAAATGTTCAAAACTTAATAAGAAAAACAAAAATTAGCTTGTCGTTTTCTGAAAAAGCAGAAATTTTTTTGTTGTAAACCTGAGTGTATGATATACTCTCAGAAGATTTCATTAGGTGTTTTTCTTTAAAAATAGCTGAACATTGCCTGCGCTATATATTTTTGCTCAAACTCTCTTTTTTGAACTGATTCGAAATTGAAATTGCAAAAAGCTAGATTCTCAGATCGAAAATTGTGTTTCTTGACTTCAGTTTTTTCTGCTCATAAAACAGAAGAAAAGCTCGAAATCGTAAGAATTTGTAAACTCTATTTGAGGAGTGTTTATTTTGCAAAAGTCCATGTCCTCCAGCCAAAATCTAGCAACACGAGAAGGGAATAAATTCTAACGTTCTCGCCAATTTTTTTTCAGCTTAAACTAAAGTTTGTACTTTTTCATGTTCGTGAATACTGGATTTAGGAGAAGAAACTCTCGGAAACGAGGAATGTCTCATCACGTTGAGGACCCGGGTTCCACCGTTAACCTTGAGGTGGGTTTTCGTGACATTTCTTATGCAAGTAAGCCTGAATTCGTGAACTTTCTCAGAATCGGCATTCTCTTTCGACTTGGAAGTCAAAATTAGAGTTTTTTTCGGTTTTTCTGATTAAAAAAAGATAACACAAGGTAGTTACAGTGATTGGCCATAACTGAAGAGTATGAAAATGGAATCTCACAACTACGTTACCGATATTCGAAAACGCGAAAAAAAATTGAGAATTGGCAATGAAGTTTGAGCGTATACATTTACATATACATTTATTTTTTTAACTTAGAGAAACTTTGAATACTAGAAAAAACAGTCGCTAGTGATCTCCGTTGAAAGTATTGAATTTGTTTTTTTAATTTAGTCAGTTCAAAAACTTTACTAACAAATACTCATCTTATTAATACCAATGCTTCTCCACAGAAAGATTGAAAACTCTATAAAGCAACATTTTGCATATTTTTGACTGTTTCAATGGCAGTTGAGAACCCTGGTTCCGCCGTTCAAAATACGAAAGGTAAGAACTTCTTGGCCGAGAAGCTTTTTAGTCGAGTTTTACCGGATCCAAAAGGAACCCAACGGAGCAAATGCGTGCCTTTTGATTTATCTCCAAGCATCTTATCGCACTTGTCATTTGTTGTAATTTCGCAGTGAGTGACTTCCACCGACGTTTTCCCGTCACTGAAACCCCAGCTATTTCTTTTTAACTTCCAAGTCTCTGATGGATGATTTAATCACCGATTGTTCAGTGTTTTGTTCATCTTTAAAAACTAATCATCAGAGGAAAGAACACGCCCCGTTCTCAGGATGCGACGCTTATTGAGCCGACATTCAATGAAGTTTTCATTGTTCTGGCGAGCAGCATATGTTTACAAAAGAAATTTGTTATTTCTTTGCGGTTTTATTAGTTCTTCTGCCCGATTTCCTCTCAATGATTCTCATTCCCCATAATTATGAACGGATAGACAGCATTAAAATAACGCTTTATCAAGCATCCGAACTTCCCTCAGCCTATTTTATGTAACTTCTGAAAAAAAATTTTTGCGGAATCTTCGGAAATGTTTCATTTTTTAAACTAATTTGATATTCAATCTATGAAATCATTTTAAAACTGACATTATAAGAGTGAATCCAATTTCTATAAGTCATTGCTAAAATTTTATCTCTTTGAAAATATGAGAAAAAAATATATAAAATTTATGCTAACCGTTCATATTTTTTTATTTTTTTAAATCTTCAATTTCCTGTAGAGAAAAAAAAACAAAAAACTTGTGGACTTCTTCAACAACTTCTTCATCATTATCCCCGAAATCTTGCATATTTTGTAGTAATATGGTAGCTCTGTTTGTAATTCACTTTTTGGCGTTCACAACTTGAATTCTTCTCTCCTCTTCCACATTTCGAGTAACTTTTGCAATTTTGTCTCCTTCAACTGTCAGTGAAACCAGTATGATGCACAAGCCAAGCGTCGCTTCGATGCACAAAATGAGCGCCTCGGACCGTCGTCAACGTCTGATGCGACGAATCCACACGCTGCAGTCAGAAGAAACGGCCAGCTACGACTTGGAGTCGCGAAGGAGCAGCTCTTCTTCTGTCAGAATGGAGACGCCCCCACAAATGCCCATAAACCCAAAGTTGCTTTTTGTCCCGGATGTTCACGTATTAGGGCTTGATCGAGGCGAAGAACCACCTCACAAGCGTGTAAGTTGCCGTCTCAGCGTAAATGTCTATTTTGTTTCAATCTGGATAATCATTTATCTAAAATTAAAAAATCGGATTAACAAAGACTTTCTTTGTTTTTCATTTGAAGATCCTCAAAAAAATTGAGAGTTGAGGATGGTCAATAAAAATTTTTTTGTAATATTTTTTTATTAAATTTTTTTGATGGAACTTTTTCAGGATGCAATCGAAAAGATTCCGATGCGAGCTCGGTCTCAAAGTTGGTTGATCAGGACCAGACATCTACTTCACGAAGAGAGAGTAATTTTTTTTGAGTAGCTTTTGAATATTTCCTCATAATATTTTTCAGGAGCCGCCACCGTTAATTTCTCATATGATGTTCGCTTTTTCACTTGTACTCATTGTGCTCTCGTTCCCCTGGTGCTTGTTCTTCTGCGTCAAAATAATCAAGTTTGCTCACACTCTTGGAAGCTTAAATGTGCATTGACGGAAAAAGCATCAATTGAAGGAAACGAAATTGTTTTATGAAAGGAAATTGTTTCAGGGAATATCAACGAGCGGTGGTTTTCCGGTTGGGAAGATTAATTCGCGGCGGCACCAAAGGACCAGGACTTTTCATCGTACTTCCTTGCATTGATACTTATAAAATAGTTGAATATCAAGGTAGAAATTTTTGAAACAGATTATTTCAGGTTGATCTACGAGTTCTTTCCTTTGACGTTCCACCTCAAGAAATCCTCAGCCGAGACTCAGTCACAGTGTCTGTGGAGGCTGTTATATACTTTCGCGTATCAAATCCGGTAAGCCACAAAACAATGGAAAAAATTTTGGATAAAGCTAACTTATTTTACCACGCTGTTTCAATTATCATGAAGTTATCATTTCAATTTTTTTTTCGTCTCTCGAAGTTAAGGAATATAGTTTATTTTTTCTTACTTGGAAAGGGAAAAGGGTAGATTGGCATCGGTATTGCTTTACGTATGCATCGCGGCATTTGGCGGGACACACTCATGGGAAAAAGTATAGAAAAAAATTAAAGTTTGTAAAAATTATTTAGAAACTGTCAAAAATTAAGAATAAACGCTAGTTCGCATTTAACCTCGACGTCTTTGCCAAAAAGCCGCGACGCGTACGCAACGCTTTACACTTACAAATCTACTCGTATTTTTCTAGCGTGAATGATTGACTAGATTACAGTGGAAGCTTTTTTCTTGCTTCGATTGGAATTCCATTTTCAGGTGATATCTGTTACGAATGTGAACGACGCGCAGTTCAGCACGCGACTGTTAGCTCAGACGACATTGAGAAACGTATTGGGTACAAAAACTCTAAGTGAAATGCTCAGCGAACGCGATGCGATAGCAACGGTCAGAAAGAGAGTCAGATTTCGAAGCAGTTTCAAGAATTTTCAGATAACTGAGAAAGTCTTGGACGAAGGAACCGATCCTTGGGGTGTGAAAGTCGAAAGAGTGGAGATCAAAGACATTCGGCTGCCTCACATGCTGATGCGCAGTATGGCAGCCGAGGCAGAAGCCGTTCGGAACGCCCGGGCTGCCGTTATTGCGGCCCAAGGAGAAAAAGACGCCAGCAAGTCAGTTCCTTCAATTCCGTCTTCCAATTTGAATTGACAGCACCTTGTCAAAATATCATTTTTCAATGAAACATATTAAAAAAAGTTGGAATAATCAAAAGTTTCAAACTAGTTCATCAACATGTTCTTCATTAGGAAAAGTGAAAGCCAGAAAGAAACAAAGCGTTTTGTGACGCCTCGATGCTGAAAAAAATACTCGAGATTTTTAAAAGCTCATCCAAGAAGTGCCAGACTTCTTTAAGATTTTCAAAAAAAATTTATAATTTTTTCTAATATTTTACGATTTCAGCTTTTCCAACCAAGCAAAAAGGTTGTAACTAAACAGCATGAAATTATTTTTGGCTAGAAACCACACCTCTGAAAAGCAAAATTCCGAGAGAGGTCTTTATTCAATTATTCAGAGAGTCGTCTTGTGATCCTAACTCAGTTGAAAAGAAGGACGCGAACTAAACTTATCGAAAAAATTTTTTGAGATTTTCCATTTTCCAAATTCCTCAATAAAAAGTTTCTCGTCTGTACTGAAAAATTTTTTTCACGGTCAAACACTTGATAGAAAATCACCTTTTACCTTTTTGTATGTTTTCCTTCACAGTAGAAAAGCGCAACTTTGAAGCTTTTTGTTGAGTTAACCTCCAACCCAAGTCCACCAAGTTTTTTTTTTTTCAGATGTCTTCAAAATGCTGCAGACACTATTTGCAACAACAGAATGTCCATACAACTGCGATATCTGCAAACTTTGACGCATGTTGCTATGGAAAGGTAACTTCAATCCAGTCCAACCCCAGTTCGTTTTGTTTTTTTCCAGAAACAACACGATAGTTCTGCCATATCCGATGGAAATAGCCAAAACGCTGGCGACGAAATATTCTGGAGGTCGCTATAAACCTTTGTAAATATTATAAATCACATATCATTCCTTCATTGTGATTATCTTTAGGGCATTGAGGCTCAAACTATGTATTTACCATTTCTCGAACTTAATTGCGCAGATCGGGCGTCTTTTATTAAAAACCTCTTAATTGAAAATTTCTGTTTCAATTAAAAAAAAATTTTTTTTGGTTGCTTCAGAAATCTAAGAAGAAAAAGAACAGATGGAATTCAAAATGATGCAATTTTTATTGAGTTGAAAAAATTTAAAAAAATTATAAAACTAGTCTACCCACTAAGAGGAAACTATATTTTATTAAATTCGTTTTTCCCTAGAGCTGATGTCAAAATTGTGGAACAGATGCTGAAACGTGCTGAAACAAAATGAAAGTTATGAAACGTGCTAAAAGAAGAAAGTGGCTTTTAGGAATTTTATCACAAACTCGATGGAAAACTTTGAAAGTTCTCAAAAGTTCACTGCTAGTTTTTATCATTCAATGAACAGTCGTTTTTCGTTTTTTTCTCCAAATATATCTTGGTAAATATTTTTTTACACGCTATATAAAATTGACAGTATACAGTTTTTTGTGTATGTAAACTTGTTTCAGTTGTTTGAAGGAATATACAAAATAATGATTTTCTTTCCATTTCCGAGGACAATCAAGCAGAACTTCTCGAGATTTGACCAACGAGCAGAAAGATGTTTGTCGGGATACTGCGACCCGAGGTTTCGCCATATGCTAGTTTGCTCGTGCGAGGACGTGGGTGTCCGCCTCGGCTCTCTGATCAATTGATTTTCTTCGCGCATTGTTTTTACCAACGGATCTCCGACAGCTGGTTGACAACTGCTTTTTGTGCATTTTGTCATACTCTCCTTTTTATGTTTTCCTGTCCACCAGAACATTTCTACTCGCAACTCCAAGTGTCCTTCGGCCATGTCGTCTTTTGTCCTCAACCGTCCGGGCACCGAATTGATTTTTCCTCCCTCCTACAGAACGGCTCTCTCAGCACTCGACCTCAAGTGCCTTTTCGGAAAACCAAAGAATTTTATGACTGGTTGAATCGATCCAAGAACGTTGAGGAAAGCCAATTTGGTCTGCCTCGATTCCCTTCTTTTTTTTTTCAAATTTTTTTATTATTTTTTTAAATCGTTCAGAACAGATGAGCTTTTTTTAAATCTATTACAATAATTCCAATCAAAAATAGTCATATAATACTTCAAACCATGATGTTATGAACAAACTCTTATTTTTTTTTTTGCCTCAGAGATTTCGCATAATTATTATACCGTAATTAGAATAACATTTGCCTGTCGTTTAACAGAAAATGAAGCATCTCGGAACCTGATTGCGCGCAAATTAGCCATTTTTCGCATATTTAAATGTACAACACATCAATAACTAGTTCTAGAGTTTTGGAGGTTCTGACGCATTTTTGCGGTCATTGCGAAATGGGATAGCGCGCTCCGTGGAGATATCAACCGCGAATTAATATTTTTTTAAGTTTCTGAAAGAAAATGTATGTTGCTTATATTTCCTCGATACTAATTTTTATCTTGAAAGTATTTCGACTTTAAAAGCAAGGCCACCAAAATGGCAAAAATTGCGAAAATGCTTTTATCGATATTTGATGACCAATCGCAGGGTGATTCATTCGCTGTAATGTTTGTTATCATAATCCGTCCAGAAGTTCAATTTTATGTTCTTTTCGACTTTCTTTTTTTTCCTGCACGAAAATAAAGTCACGTTCTTAGAATGGCTAGCTTAATTTGAAATGCATATGATTGTTTGCAATTCGGGTTGCTTTTCTGAGAACATTAGTCCGAGTAACGTTCATTTCACGTCTTTCGCTCGTAGTACTCCGCAATGGACTGTTTTTCGTGCTTTTCCAAAAATGACAAGGTATTTTTTTTTCATTCGTATCGTGTGATCTCCGTGGTACTTGTTCAATATTCAAAACGCAAATTTTACTTAGAAAAATTCTTCCTATTTTTTTGATTGAAAAGTTGATTACTCGTCTTGTCCTGTTTAATTGGGTAAAACACTCTCAAAAAACGAGTTTGCAGATGGACGAGAGATCTGAAGCCGTTTTACGCCGTCTCGAAACTGCGGTCAGTCGACTCGAGTTAATTGCCGCTCAGAAGCCGCAACTTGCGCCGAAACCAGCAAGTTTTGCTGCCTCAGCCTCTCCAGGTTAGTCATCGTTGATTCATTTATTCACCAACACTTCCTATACAATTTTCTTTGAATCTTCCCAGCACTGCGCTTTCATTCCAAATGCTGCAATTCCCGTTCCTCGGTGAGCTATAATTTCACACTTTGCAAGTAATGTTCTCCCCGAAACGATTCACTGGCGGTTAACACACGAGAAGAGGATCAGGCGGGGTTGGCCGGAGCTTTTTTTTTGCTGAACACAGTGGCAGCCGAAGAAAATCGCTGTTCCGCTCAACAGTTGCTTGTCTTCGCGTGCGGCTTTAGCTGTCTTTCAATCACCGCTTCCTCTTTTCCTCGAGTAATATTCAGTTTCACGCGTGCCAATATTTATTTGATTCGTTCTTCTGTATTCCTAGCTTAGTTTTTTTCTTTTTATGGATTCACTGATATATTCTAGACCACAGCCCTTCAACAAGTATCCTCCCGGTTACAAACCAGTCAACGACGATTTTTCTCGACGGTTGCGCCCTTCGAGCAGTTGGTCTTCTTTTTCACAGATAGACGGCAGAGCGCCCTTGTTGGAAACCGCAGTATGTGCTTCACCAATCAGTCCGTCTCCGTTCTGGCCTGACCAGCCACGGAAAACTTTTCGTGCCGAGAGTGTCGACAATTTCGGCAGATCCGGAACTTTTTCCCCTCGAGAGTTTTCGCCTTTCTCCAATTCTAGTGATTATTATAACAACGATATGATAAGATCTGTCAGAAGTCCACCTGCGGACCACTACTACGAACCTCATCAGGACAACTTTTCTTTCGAGAAAAACCGAAACGATCAAGAAATGCAATTTGCGAACTATTTTCCTAATGTTTCATCGTTCAACAACGCTAATTCTCTGCCAACTCGTCCTCGAAGAACTCAATCAGATGCTTCTAGAGACTTTTTCCCTTCTTCAAACAACAGGCAACCACTGAATTCTGATCAAATTTCTAGTAGCGGATACCAACAGACGAATTCGCGTCCAATGGACGGATTTTTTCGAAATAGCCTTATTGAGCCGAACTGGATGACAGATCCACCACCACCCAAGTCATTCTGCCAAGACCTTGTTTATGGCCGTTCCAGTGTACCTCCTCAACAAAAGCTCTCATCGTTTGAACCAAGCTCTGACCAAAACTATCATGCTCAACCAAACATTACACCGGCACCGATCCCGCTCTCGCACAACCGCGTTTTACATCTGCACCCACAAAGTAATTCTTTTGGACGCGAAACTGATCGATTCCCAGAAGCCAACTTTTCTCCGAACAGGAACACATTCTTTCAAAACTACGAGCCAGTAAGGCAAACTCCGACAGAAATTAGATACCAAAATCCTCAGAGACCATACTCTCATGATCGTGATTCTTTTCCTATCGGAAATCCTCCTATCAACAAAAGGAACTCGTTCTACCAAGGTGATGATTTTGATCAGAGACGAAACGAATATGGATTCGATGAAAGAGTCGCTCATGGTCCTCGAGAAATTTCTCGAATTGCGTCACCACAAACGGTGCCTTCGAGGCAAATGAAAAATTCGTATTATCAAGAAAACGACTACGATCCTCGACTACTCAACACTCGACTCCAATCTTCTCAAGAAATTCGCAAATCCCCTTCAGGTCACATGTCTTTAGACAGAAACTTCTCATACCATCAAAATCGCGAAAAGCCTATCCCTCAGGCATTTCCGAACCACCATGGCCATTCTTTTACGAAGGGCCCTGGGATTTTATCCGAGGGCTCTGGAGACCTTTATCCCCATCAGGGCTTTTTGAATCAACCGCAGTCTCGGATAGAAAGAAATCATCAAACTGAGCCACTCAATCAAAATTTTCATGGAAAATCGTTCCCGGAAATCCAAACGCGCAGTTATCCGCCTCCAAACGAGGAGGATCGAATTTTCAGTCCGGTGGAATCTAAAATTTATAACAGAAATCATCCAACTGTTATAAATGGATTCACAAGCGACGTCCAGAGAGATGATCAATTCAACAACAAACGCGAATTGATGACGAGATCGAAGCGGAATTCGATGCCGCCGATCGCCGTGATTGAGCCTCAGGCAATTGCTCAATCGCCGTCTTATCGTTTTTCACAAACGCTCGGTCAGAACAAAGTTTCCTTGCCGTCCTATCGTTCGCCTTCGGTTTCCGTCAATAGTTGGTCTCCCGCAGCCAACCTCTCTCCAGTTTCAACTTATGACAACGAGAGCGACATCGACGCCGATTTGCCTATCAGCCGGTTCAACATGGCTCAAATGCAAAAACGCAACGACATACTAACAAAAAGAAACGGTTTTGGTGACAGTCTGCAAGGAATTTTGATCAAACGGCCCGTCCTTCACAAGTCTTCGAAAAAAGTTGTGTTCTGCGACCAACGGAGAGGTTATTTATTCATCAAGTTCAGTAGAGACAATCAAAATTATTTAATTTAACTTTTGAATACTCAAATGCGCTTCTTTCAGGTTCTGGCGCTCAGCAGCCAGCAGACGTTCCGGCTCATGTCAGAGCTTATGACGACGCAATGGAAAGTGTGATAAATCGTTGGGCTCAACTTTCGGATAAAATTGGTGGAGACGCCGCTGTCATGGTAAGAAATTGGAAATTATTTGCAATCCAAGTGGTTTTTTTAGAAAACGAAAGCGATCAACGTTTTCGACGCGTTGCGCAGTTTTCTGTGGACTGCTGCTGGCCAACCTGAGCCAGGAGATGTTCAGAAACTTGTCGCTCCTATCGTCGAGCAACTCAACGGAATCACCGAGTTCAAAGTAGGCCTTATCAATATTAAAATTTTAAATGGGAGTTTTAAGGATTCGAAGCGAAACACCCCATTGTTCAATCATTTGAGCGCTGTCGCAGAAGGAATTCCAGCTGTTGGATGGATTTTGATTGTATGTTCTATAAGAGATTTTCTCGAAACCGAGTAAATTCTTACAGAAAAAGACTCCAGCGCCATACGTGAAAGAAATGCTGGACGCTTCGATGTTTTATATAAATCGTATTCTCAAGGAGTATAAGGTACATATACTTCAAAGATAAAAAAATATTCAAGACAAACTAATTGTATTTTCAGGACACAAACACGGCTCACACTGAATGGGTTCGTTCGTGGAAAGAACTCTTGGAAGAAATGCAAAAGTTCGTCCGCCAAACTCACACTACGGGTCTTGTGTGGAACAGTGCGCCGGTAAAAGTCAAATTCATATTGCAAAAAAGAAAGATAAGTTTGTAGGGATCTGTGCCGACGCAGAAGCCAGCTGCGCCAAAAAGTGGTGGAGCTCCGCCGCCACCGCCGCCACCCCCACCAGCAGGTATTTATTTTGTTTACTTTGTTAATTTCTCGTTTATTACCATAGCCATATTTTGATGATGGCTGTCGAAATTCGCATCAAATTAATAAAATTTCAACTTCATAAAAAAATGCGAATGTGAGAATGAAATGAACACAAACGATTTTCAGAGTATCTGGTCAGGAAAGTTATCAACAATTATAAATTGTTTGTGATGGTTGAAGATTTTTCATACGGAAAATGTCATAAAACAGACCGTGGGAGCGCAATCAAACTGAATATCGTCTCGAGATCGAAATTTATAAGCGTAATCGTACTTTGTAAAAAATAATGAGTGAAACCAAAAAGCCATCTGGAAACAATTTTTCATTTTTTTCAAAAAAATCTCATACAGTCAGAAATTATTTTTTTAAGTTTTTGTATCAGACAAAAAAACTTACCAAATTTCATCGCAGCCGGTTTTTTTCAACGAATTTCACTAAAAAAACTAATATTTTTTTATTTGAAAAAAAATACAAAGAGAGAGATTATGCAGAAAAAGATTTTTTTGTATGAAAAAATTTTTGTATGAAAATTTTTTTCTAATATTGACTTTTTTTACCTAATTTTCAAAAAAAGTAATATAATCTCATAATTCCAACAACAAAAAAAACCAATTAGGTTACATTTTTCTCAACGCGTACAATTTTTGAAAGTAAAAAAACTATTTTTAGATCTGTTTGCCAATGTTCCGCCACCCGCTGCTGGTGGAGAAAAGGCCAGCCGAGATGCTCTTTTTGCCGAGCTGAACAAAGGTGAAGCCATCACCTCAGGACTGCGGAAAGTGACGTCCGACATGCAAACCCATAAAAATCCCTCCCTTCGTGGATCTGTGCGTGCGATTTTTTTCTGTCAACTTTTTTCAAACATAAATTTCTTAGGGTGCTCCAGCTCCAGGTACTGCTAAAACTGCTTCAGGACCAGCTAAAACTGCGGCGCCGGTTCAAAAACCGCCAAAAATCGAGCTCCAAGATTACAAACAATGGAACATTGTGAGACAAACTTTTTTCCGACAACTGAATTAATCATTTTTGTCAAGGAATATCATATTGGGAACAAAAATATCAACATTGATATCACAGACAAAAAGCAAACCGTGTACATTTTCCGTTGTGAAGGCAGTGTCATAAAGGTATTCGAGGAGCTTTCGCATAAATCTTTCTCTTGAATGAATCATTTTCAGATAAACGGAAAAGCAAATTCAATTACTCTAGATGGGTGCAAGAAGACTTCGGTTGTGTTTGATGCCGTTGTTGGTCAGTGCGAGACGATCAACTGCCAAAGCGTTCAGATTCAGGTTTGTTGTTGAATCATTCTGTTATATCTGAGATATTCCAGACGCTGGGTGAAATGCCAACGCTGTCGATCCAGAAAACGGACGGCTGCCAGGTCTACCTTTCAAAGGCTTCGAAGGGAGCTGAGATCGTGACCTCGAAATCAAGCGAGATGAACATTCTCCTTCCAACTGATGACGACGACTTCGTATGAAAAAAAGCAAGTTTCATTATAAATAATTTTATAATTCAGGTTGAACATCCGGTTCCTGAACAGTTCAAGTCAACTTTTGTCAATGGCAAGCTGGTCACTAGCGTCTCTGAAATTATTTAAACGCCTTTTTATTAAGCATGTGCTCAATTTTTGTAAATTTTTTGAATAAATAAGCTTTCTCGGGGCTATGTCAAAATAAATATGGTAAATTGAACTGAAGAGGGAATTTCGATAGAAGTAGAAGGTATTTCGAAAACAGGTTTTGCGCCACCAGCCGTCGGGTCGATCAATGTCATTCAAGGTTACAAGCCTCGGTGCCTCTTGTTTTTCGTTCCAACTCCACGCATTCACGGTCAACTTCACTTTACTGTTTCAGAAATATGCCAAAGCAGGAGTTTGAAGTCCTCGATTACCTGGGTCCTGTTGCCGTTGGCATAATTTTCACTATCGCTCTCATCTTGATTTCTTTCTTTGCTATCAACTTTTTCTGCATCACCAAATATGACGATCTCACCAAGTTCGAATTGGTAAGTTTCATTTTTTGAATTAATTTTTGTTTGCTTATTTGAATCAGCTCTACTCAAAAAGATCTAACCGTTTTGAAGTACAAAATTGATATGAGAAATTGCTTCAAAAAGATTTTGAGTTGCCCAGAATTACTGCGAAGTTTGACAGTTCTTTATAACTGATAGTTAACACTCAACAACTTACGTGAGATATAAAATTCAAAGAAAAAAGTAAGCTTTGTGCATTTTGGTTGAACTCATATTCAGCTCGGTGGGCGATTGAACATGAGACTGGGACCCCATCCCTTGACTGTCATCCGCAAAGGGGGATTCGTTGCCAGAGAAGACATCGAAGAAGCAGAGAGAATCCGTAGAGAAGCGGCCCTCCTTCAATAAAAGACGCCCCACATTTCCATTTACGTTCTCCACATTCCAATAAACGTTATCCATTAAAAATACAGCAATTGGCAACGAAACTACTTATTTTTTTTCAATAATTTTATCAGAAAGCAATTATTTTAACACAACTAGGTTTTATTCAATTGTTCTAGGACTATACAATAAATGCGCCAAAAATTAATAAATAAAAAAAGTCTAAAAGGTTGCTTTTGGCGGCACGGACGGTCTCATCGATTGCTTGCGCCACGTATTCGATGTTATTGGTGTTGAGGCCACAAATGTTGATGCGGCCGTCGGAAAGAAGGAAAACTTTGTGCTTGCTGATCAGGTGGTTGACTTGATCCTCTGCAAAAAGAGAAATACATTTTCTGTAAAATAAGGTTACCGTTAAGGCCGGTGAAACTGAACATTCCGATCTGTTGAGTAATGTGGTTCCAACTTCCCGGAGTTCCAAGAGCCTCGAGTTTTTCCCGGAGAGCAGCGCGCATTGTTTTGATGCGATCAGACATTGCCTGAATGGAATTTGATGAAGAAGTAAGATTATATATATAGCTACCTTGATGCTTTCCATCCATTCGTTACGACGCTTCGGATCGCTGAGCACCAAGTGAACGACGCGAGCTCCGTGAGCTGGTGGGTTCGACCTGAATTGTGATTGTAGTTGATAAATTTTTCTCATTTATAATGATTATGTTTTTTTCTTCATAGTCTTGTTTATAAAGTTCAGTGTTTAAAAAGTTAAGTTCCTAAAATAACCCAAGTTGAATCTCTCAATGCAGCTAGTTCCTCACAGGTTTGAATTAATTTTTATCACAGATTTAAATAAATTTTATAATTTATTGAGTTTTTAGCTTTGCTACTTCATTTCTTTCAATATGCTTGTTCAGAACCCAAGTCATATTTATCCCCCAAATACCTTCAAACAGCCGCAACTCAGTTCAAAACCCCAAGTTTACTGAAAAACGCACCAGTTGGCACGGATGACAAGAGACATTTGCGACTGGAAGCCAGCGATCACGCTCTTGTCATTGACAACCACCGTCAGATTGCCAACACGCTCATCTTGAAGCTTCATCTTGTAAAAAATATGATTGACTTCAATTACTGTAAAGGCCGAAGTTTTTGGCGAAGGACTGAGAAACGACCATTTCCAAGCCTTGTTCCACAAAGTATCGAACGGCCCAAGCGTCGGCGTCAGGATCTCCAGAAGCAAATCCTTGGTAGGCAATGTCGAAGAAAGTAAACAGATTCTTCCTCTCAAATAAATAATTTAGTTTCCGAATTTAAGTGAGCTTATTTGCCAATAAGCTTTCCTATGTAACTATTTATTGAATCAATCATGATCGTTTCATTTATATGAAAGAATAATACAAAAAACGACTAAATTTTTCAGAATCGAGAAATAGTGAAAATAAAGTGTTTTTGACCTTCCTATCGTATTATTTCACACCTATAGGCTACAAAAAAAAAAGAAATTTACTTTCACGACTTCGGCAATTTTTTTCCATTGCTCCTTGGTGGGATCCATTCCTGTTGGATTATGGGCACATCCGTGTAGAATGATAACGGCTCTTGAAAAAATATCGTTGATGATTTTTTCCGATAATTTAAATTACTTTTCTGGGGCTTCTTCGAGATCGGCGATTAGCTTTTCAATGGCGACACAGCGGTTTTCAGCGTCCCAGAAGGTGTAATCGCGGACTGAGGTGAAGCCACCGCGCGTGAAAACTAATTTGTGGTTTCCCCTAAAAAAGAAAATTTCCATGAAATTCAATGAACCCTCACCAAGTCGGTTTGCTCACGTAGACAACGCTCAAGCCAAGAACGTGGTGGAGGAATTCTGCTCCCGCGCGGAGAGCACCCGTTCCAGAAAGGCATTGAACACCAAAAGCCTGGAACCTTGATTTTCGCACAAAACGAGCTGACTTCTTTTTCTTCAACAGAAGTTAATCTCAATCGGAGAACATTGTCAATGAAATGAGCTTTCTTATGACCAAAAAAAAAAATTGCTTGCGCGTCAATGAGGAACGCATTTAAGTTTAAAAAAATTTTAGATTTTTTAAAATTTTTTTTCGCTCTAACTGTTATCTCAGTTTTACGTTAATATTTCCATTAGAACACTTTAAAATCGATCGAGATAAAACAGTTGTATTTTTTTCTGAAAATTTTTTTTCACACTTCTGCAAAAAATATTGAAACGAGAGTTGGACAAAATTGTTGCAAATTGCAAAAAGCTGATTTATGAACTTCTGTCGTTGATTTGAAAGGGAAAACGCACTCGTCCTTCGCTAATCGCCGGCGAGTTCTCTCCGAGGACCAAAGCCGTGGCAGCAGCTCGGAAGCCTTCGTGACCCAGGACCGGCAGGTATTCATGGTTGAGAGTCGCGTCGTTGGCCAGCTGGACTTCGGCGTCGTGAACCACCGGCAGTACCCAAGGTTTTCCGTCGTTGGTACGATAAGCTAAAGAGAAGATTTCTCTTTGTTTTCAGAACAACGAAATATTTAGATTTTTTTTATTGCTATTTTTGTGGTCAGAGTCTCATTTCCTCAAAAAATGTATTTTTGGAAAAAAATTAAAATAAATCAGTTCAATTGCCTTTATGTGTATGAATTGAATCTGCGCAAAAAGTTTATTCTCATTTTCATATACTTTTTTTAATTAAGTGCAGGGGTGACGGAGCTTGCCCAGGTGGAAATTACGTGGTTCCAGTTCCCCGTTATTCCAAAACAATTTCAGCAAACCTAGAAAGTTCTTAGCTCATAATTGAAATTTTGTATCATTTCAGTGATTATTCATACAGTTTTTCAAACATGTTATTTTGAAAATAACTACTGAGCTCGAAAATGAGCCAAGTTCGGAAATAAGTCTGCTTAGAAATTTATTTTTAATTGACAAATAGCTAAAAAAATTTGAAAATGAATCTTAAACTTTGTTAAAAAAACTTGATATTGTGAGGAACTGGCGTGTAGGAGATGCAGGTTTGTTTTTTTCGTTTTTTTCGTGTTTTGCTTGATACTGAAATTCAAGGTACTCAAAAACAAAAAAGCCAGGTTTGAAAGGAGAGGTCACCTTTATCCGTCATTCATAAAATTGCTCTACTGACACCCCAACTTCTTACGCTTTTCTAATATGTTTTATTTTACCCTTTTCTCGTTTTTTTGTGATTTTTAAAATTGTCCAGTTACTAACCTCCAATGGTAAGGTTGACTTTTACCGGAGCTTGTTCGTCTAAGTACAGTTTGTTCTTGTGGAAAACCTCAATAGGAGGAGCCACTGGAATACCATCAAAGAACGACATGACGGAGGTTACCTGGAAATTCAAATTTTCACATCAAAGAACTTTTGAACTAAAAAAATTAAAATTATCTTTCACGACGACAAAAAAAACAATACATCATTGAAAAAGAGAGAGGGAAAAACATTTGAGAGAAGTTAAGAGAAGTTTTTCAGGCGATTATGCAAAACTGTGGGGCACATAACTGTATTCATTTTTTTCTCGTTTCAAAATGTTTGTACTGTTTTTCTACGCGTTTTTCGATTCATGTTTTTTTCATAGTTATTTTTTTCTAACTGAATCAACAAAACGCCTCTGCGTTACCGCACTGAAGTAAATCAAATAGAACAGTCCGAGCAGTTTCTATAGTTTTGTGGCGGCTTCTTTTTCTATATTTGACAAGTTTAACAGAACTTCCAGATGAATTTCGAAAAAGAAGACCTGGATGGCGACAACTTGCCGCTGAACTCGATGCACCGTACAAAAAGCCGCAGTCAGCCCAGTGGACTCAATCGCGTAAAAAGCCTCACACGGAAACTATCGGCGAAATCCAGGTATGATGAAGAAACGATAATGAAATACCAATGAGAATGAGGCAAAAAAATGTTTGTTATCGAAGACTATGACCCCACTAGACTTTTGTCTGGCGCCTCACTGTATCGAATGTGTCTTTTGATCTCTGACTCTGATCACACTCTTTTCTAAAACTTTTTATGCGGTTTTCGACTTTGTTAATTTTATGAACGCAAAAAGGCTTCGTACCCTTTTTCTATTGGAAAAATTCAATCTTTTCTCCGGATTGTTTCAAAAACATCTATTCTCAGCGCGCGATTTTCCCGCCCACATCTTGTGTCTTCAAAACATTTGTCGTGCGTTCAGTAAATGGACGATATACCAACGTTCCACGTTTTCCCCACCTTTCAATTTTATCTCTCAAACTTTCTTTGAACGTTTGAATTTTAGGAATAACTAATTCAGCCAAATGAAATAACATATTTCAACAATAATCCTAAAAACATACTTCTTACAACTTCTAGATGATTTCGTAGTAAGAAAGTTTAAAACACGGGCAAACTGCTCCTTATTCTCATAATCAAACAATTCAACTGGTTATATGTAAATACAATGATACAAGACCCTTTTTAGGTTATAAAAAAATTATTCAGTTTATGGCGGAAAAACAATATCAAGGTGCGCCAAATAAAATATTACGATGTGCATCGTAGTTTGAGCTTCACAGCTTCTAAAAAACAGGCGAAAAGAGATATAAACCCAAAAAAGCGGAAATCGAATGCTTCAAGGCACTTCATTTTTTTTTTCGACTGCACGTCCCGAGACATGTGCCGCGCATTGGTGCATCGCAGTCGTCAATACATCGAAAAGTACGCAACGTCACGTGCTTTAAACCAAATTGTTTTTGTTTTATCTTCAAATCGATAGAGAGACGTTTTGCAGCACTGCCGTTGTACAGTTTTGCTTTCTTCTCTACTTTTTTTCAGCAACTGCTCGACTAGTGACATACCATAATGATAATAAATGATAACTACGCACCATTTCTCAAAAACTGATAAGTTCTCATTTGACGGTCATAATTTCAATCTTTTGTTTTCTTCCTCTCATGGAAAATCGATGAAACGCGCGTAAATATTTACTCGCTAAAGTGAATCGATTTGCTACTTTCTCAGTAAACACGGCGAAAAACGACAATAAAACTTCTTGCGATCAACAAGAACCATTTCAAACAAACAGGAATAGCGCGCTTTTTGAATTTTCGCTCTACCGTTCTGAGCTCTCCGTTTCGGGGAACTCCTCTGCGCCCTTTGCATATCTGAAAAAGGGCCTGGCCTAAAATGTCGTGCGATTCCTAAGCGACCAAACAACGTAGCGCACAATTTTTTTCAATTTTGTTTTCTTCTTTTTTTCACTCTCAACGTTGTTTTGCGCATCGAATTTACGTGTTCTTTTCAGAAAAGAACGAAACCGGGACAAGGAGTCCAGCGTTGACGTCCAAACAATCAAGATGAGCTCGCCATCTGGAGACACGGGAAAAACGGCAGAACCGAAGGGGCAAATCAAGATTGGTCACTACGTCCTCAAGGAGACTTTGGGCGTCGGAACCTTCGGAAAGGTTAAAGGTATGTCATCTGCAGTGGTTGGAATGGATTATTTCCATTTGTTCGTCTTTTGTATAGGCTAATTGTAGGCAGGCTCTGACCTTTTTTTTTTTTGAAAGAAACTATTCTGAGAGACATATCTCCACTAAGTTGAATCATCCAAATAAAATAAATTTGAAAAAAAGAAAAAAATATTTCTTGTGCAATTGCATCATTACCTTGTTAGTCTTTGCGATGGGAAGCTGTAATTAATCCAGGACATATTTAATTCAAAAATAATTTACTAGGTTTAAGAGTGGCATAGACAGACATAAAAAGACTTGTGATGGAAAAAGTCTTTTATGCCGTGTTCAAAGTAATTTCCGCGAAATGCAAAATGATTTCTGACTCTGTAAAATTTAGTTACCTTTCCCTTTTTCTAACGGGTAAGCACTTTTAACACAGCATTAGTGTGAACAGGATAGTTTGAAAAATCAAAGGTTGTTGGTGCTGAATTTATTCAAAATGAATTCACAAAAGCAAAAAAAAAGTCAAAGCCTTAATTACTAACGCTTGAAGGTGAAAGGTTAATTCAATGCTAAAAGATTTTTTTTCATCTGCAAACTTCAAAATTGCGCCCTGATATTTTTATGTTTTCAGTCGGAATTCATGAGGCAACTGGCTACAAAGTAGCGGTCAAAATCCTGAACCGTCAGAAAATCAAATCTCTTGATGTGGTTGGAAAAATTCGCCGCGAGATTCAAAATCTTTCGCTTTTCCGTCATCCTCACATCATTCGCTTGTAAGTACCCAATACTTGATAATTCATGAAATAAAAAGCTAAACCCAAATCGTGGTTTTAGGTACCAAGTGATCAGCACTCCATCGGACATTTTCATGATCATGGAGTACGTCTCCGGGGGAGAGCTTTTCGACTACATCGTCAAGCATGGACGTGTGAGTGGTTTGACCATACTAACTGAACTGAAATTCAAAAGAGAGTTTCCCTGTTTCAGCTGAAGACTAATGAAGCACGACGATTTTTCCAACAAATCATTTCTGGAGTGGATTACTGTCACAGGCACATGGTCGTTCATCGCGATTTGGTGAGCTTTCCTACATAACTGGAAGAAAATGAAAGCAAATTCAATGTTGTAGAAACCAGAGAACTTGCTTCTCGACGAACACAACAACGTCAAAATAGCCGATTTCGGTTAGTTCGAAATCAGTTTGTGCATTCTCTTAGGGAAGATTTGCAGGCCTTTCAAACATCATGACCGATGGCGACTTTCTACGTACAAGCTGTGGCTCGCCTAACTACGCGGCTCCTGAAGTCATCAGTGGAAAGTAAAATTTCGAACTGTCATAATATTAAAAAATAGATTGAATAAAATTTTTCACAAAATATTCAGCTCTATTTCTTCTTGTTTCAGGCTCTATGCCGGTCCAGAAGTCGACGTTTGGTCCTGCGGAGTCATTCTCTACGCTCTTCTGTGCGGAACTCTCCCATTTGACGATGAACATGTCCCCAGCTTGTTCCGCAAAATCAAATGTACTACCCTGAAAATATTGAAAACAACATATCTTGCTTGACCAATTTTTTTTTGTGGCTTCTCAAAGTAACACGAATTCCTGAGAAATGCTAAGAAATTCTATTGTTTGAATTTTTCCAGTTTTGAAGTCGATTCATTTATGGAAAGATGTGTTTTCATTTTGAACATATCAAAATTTACCCAAGTTTTTGCAGCTGGAGTTTTTCCGATTCCGGATTACCTGGAGAAGCCGCTTGTTCACCTTCTTCTACACATGCTGTGCGTCGACCCGATGAAGCGTGCTACAATCAAAGACGTCATGTTAGTTGTTGATGAATACAATGATTATCTTTCAAAGATTTTTCTTCGACAAAAAACCGAAGAAAATTTTTTTTTTGCAGTGCACACGAGTGGTTCCAGAAGGATCTGCCAAATTATTTGTTCCCTCCAATAAATGAAAGTGAAGCTTCGATCGTCGATATTGAAGCAGTCCGTGAAGTGACCGAGGTCAGTATGAAATGAGCTTATGTTGGGAACGGAGATTCTCGAATTCAGCGCTACAACGTCGCCGAGGAAGAAGTCACTTCCGCTCTTCTTGGAGATGATCCGCATCATCATCTTTCCATCGCCTACAATCTCATTGTGGATAACAAGCGCATTGCGGATGAAAGTGAAAGAAGCAAGAAAAAACCTTTTCAAACAAAATTTTAGCTGCGAAACTTTCGATTGAGGAGTTCTATCAGGTCACTCCAAACAAGCTGCCTCACTCAACTATCCATCGCCATCCGGAACGCATCGCTGGTGAACAATTCACTCTAGACCACATTTGAAACAAAGGGAACATCACAAAAAGAAGTTTATTTATTTGCAGCTGCGATGAGCAGCAAAATAACTCCGACTCTTGATAACGAAACAGCTTCTGCTACCAAAGGATCGAAGCGCGCCAAGTGGCATTTGGGAATCCGTTCGCAAAGTCGTCCCGGTAAGCTTTTTCATTCAAGTAAAAAAACAAACTTACAAATAAAAATGTGTGAAAAACCATATTGCTAAAATGTTTTCAGAAGATATCATGTTCGAAGTTTTCCGTGCCATGAAGTCTTTGGATATGGAGTGGAAGATTTTGAATCCCTACCACGTCATTGTTCGTCGTCGTCCCGATGCTCCAATCAGTGATCCAGTGAGTTGAAGTTTCGGAAAAAGAATTTATTTGGAATTTTCAGCCCAAAATGTCTCTCCAGCTTTACCAAGTCGACCAACGCAGCTATCTGCTTGACTTCAAAAGCCTTGTCGACGAAGAAGGTGAAAATAATTCTGAGCTCTCAAAAAGAAAAGGGGAATCACTCCATTGAGTGTTTTCGGAAAAAGTCTAAACTGATGAATTGCAGGATTTTTCGAAGGAGGAAGCGGTTGTTCGTCGCGCCACGCTTCCATCTCGTTGCCAAGCAAACCAACTGGAATCCGTGGGAGCCGTGCTTCGAGCATTCCTCAGGCCATGAGCGCCGAAGCTTCTCCGGTTAGATTTACTTAAAGAAAAAACTCGGTTTCAAAAATTTTTTTCTGAGAATTTCAAAAAAGTATTGATGAAAAAAGTCGCTTCAAATCAATGATAAATTCTTTTGAAAGGTTGAGGTAAAGAATATAATAAGGTGGAAAAAAACTCAAGTATATTTAAATTGGAGGAGACAAGGGAAAATCAAAAAGCTACTCTCAATTTTCCCACACCTTTCCCTTCTAGTTTGTTAAACTTTTTTGATTTGTGCGATCAATAAATTGAGAAAACGTTCCCGAGCAAGCATAATCATAGTTAATTTAAAGGTGCAGTACGACGTGACTCCGCCACCTTCGCCGAACGGAGCGCGTCTCTCCCAGACGATGCAGTTCTTTGAGATCTGCGCTGCCCTCATCGGCACTCTTGCTCGTTAGGCAACTCGAAAACCCGCACACACGACACGAATTAAGAACAAAAAAAAATTGTCCGCCATGTACATAGTGTTCATCCATCGCCTTTCTGTTGTAACCGTTAATCTTTTGCAATCAGTTCTCCACACGTTGTCATTAACGCATTGACAACTCTTCTTTCTCCCGTTTAACGAGCTCTGTGCATATATTGCATAATTTTTTCAGCTAAAGAGGACGCGCAGAGATTTTACTCGGAAGAGAAGCATCTCACGAATGAAAAAAGCTCTGCGCGTTTTTTTTTTCATTTCTCAAGTTTTTGAAACGTGTTTTTTGACTATTGTCTTTTTTGTTGAAAACTTTTCTTGCACACGAAGAAAGTTAAGCATCCTCTCGGTCAACCTAATCGGTGAAAAAAACGGAAAGTTCTCTAAGATCGCTTTTGAATCAATTGTTTTTTTTTTTTTTGAAAAAAAATTATCATGTCCTCTTTTAAAAAATTTTCCACTGACAAAATCTTTCTTTGATTTTTAATTGCCAAGAAACTGTGTATTTTCCACGTTGCCTTTTTCCTTGTTCTTCCATCATTTCTGGTACGTCTCCGAGCTGAAAACTCGCATTGTATTCACTTCAACCTGATGCCAGTTAATATTACGGCCCGAATTTTCGCGAATGGATTCCTCGTGGCTTTTCGACAGGTATTTCATATCTTCGAGTTTTTCTCGGCACTTTGACCACCAATGACTTCTTTTTTTATATATTTTGTTCTCTCAGTTCTGCTATTAATATCTCATTTCTCATCGTGTCGCATGTGTGCTCTTCAGCGAATAAACTATTGGCGGATGATATGTAAAAAAAGGCTTTCGAAATGGCTAACTTTAGTTTTTCTGTTTAAGGAATTATTGAAAGTTGAAAAAAATATTTTTTTGTTGAAAAAAATAAAAACTTTCTAACAAAACTGGAATTAAAGTTGGGCATTTTTTGTTCTCAGAATTTTCAATGAATTCAGTCTAAAAAGCATTTCAAAACATCAACATTCCAGAAAAAAAGAAAAAAATCTTTCGCATTATTTTTTTGAGCAAGTAGTCTTGTTCGTATTCGTAAAGTTAGCAGATTTTACAAACCACAGAAAAATCTTATTTAAGAAATATGAAGCTTCATAAAAAAAATCTACCGCGAGTATTTATTTTTTTCTTGTTTTTGGAATACAGAATCCTTCAAGTACATTTCAGCGTGGTTTTATCAAAAAAATTCAAAAATTTTTTTCATTTTTCGCAATATTTCTTGAAATTATATTTTTTTCTTGAGGCTCTTGTACAATTGTTTTTTTCAAAAAGTTATAATTATATTTTTTTCCTATCTAAAAAAATGTTTTTTTGAATATTACTTTTTTTCAATCATCAGACGTTGATATCAACTTTTTTATCCGTCAGAAAAACTCAAACGCGCCATTTTATATCAGTTTTTCATGTTTATCATCTCACTTTCGTCTTCGACATGAGATAGTTCTGAGCATTACGATGTGTTTATGTGAAAGGTCCGGATCCATTGGACTTTTACGTAGAGTTTTTGAAAGGATTCTGTCGGAAAGAACACGAGGAAGTCAGATTGCGTCACATTCGAAAGAGCTGGCACATATGCTCACGTCCACGCTCACAGACGCCCTCCAAACGCTCACAACAACGGAGTCACGCTGGTCAGCGCTGTGTTTTTTTTGACTTCATTCCGTTGCGATTAAGTTCAACCAATTTTTCGAGTTTTTCCTTCACTTTTTCTCAGGAGTTTAGAAAAGCGTACAAAGCTTTTAATCTTTTTTCAAGCAAAAAGGATGATATTACCTGTATATTTGCTCAACTGTGCAAACATCGGATTATTTAGGAAGTATTAAGTGTTTTCGATGTCGGTTCAAGAGGTCCGCGCATCTCATGAAAGAGATCTGAACCGAGTCCGAAGAGTATCCGACGCCCCTTTGGCCAGTGTAAATGTGCTGAGGTCCTTTATAGCCTTCGTTAGTTAGTTTGCGGTTGAGTGCATTCTCCAACAATCTTTCTTGTTTTCATAAAATCCTGAATCTGAAACCCTCAAATAATATCCTTCTCCGAGAATTTATCAAAATTAGTATTTTTTTGTAAAAAAATTCAACACTTCCTTTTATTTCTAATTGATTTTTAGGCCTTATTTTTATTCAATAAATTATCAAAAAAACAGTTAAAAGGTTCTGTTGATCTGTTGCAAAATCCACTATCAAAACTTTCTCCATCAGCCTTTCAAATCTTGATTATCCTGTGCACGATGAGAGTCGAACGTTTTCAAACTTTTTTCCTTTTTTTTTTTTGAAAAAAACGCGTCTATCACCGATTGTTGTTTCCTGTAATAGCAAAGACCTGAAGAACCCTAAAAAAAAAGTTTTTTTCCTAAGAAAATTTTGTCAGCGCTCCTTCTTCTCTTTAAGCCTAAAACCCAATATCGATAAAAATTTTTTTCTCGAAGCTTCTGATTTTTCCTGCGATCCGTACAATGACTATAGTTTTTTCAAAACTGACTATTGGCAGTTTGGATGAGATCACCTTGTCACACTGTTATTGAGCTCTCTGTCTCTCGTAACCTTACAACGTAAAGGTCGGCTGGAAGAAGCGCAACCTCAAACGTTCTTCAATGTGACGCCGTCGAATCGATTGATATCCATCGCGGCACGACTCCCTTTTTACTCTTGGAACCTGCGCACGGATGATGAATGAGTCTCCTTCTGAGTTTTTTTTTTTCACGCGCCCACGCATGGAAAGTTCTGCCACTTTGCTTCGGTGACAGATGATGGTTTGGTCGAAAAGTGGAGGGAGCGAGACGAATCCGACGCTCTGAGAAAGGGGAGGGCCGGCCGAGTCCACGGTACACCATTGTTTCGAAGGCGTCCTCTGCCAGCCGCTGCTCCTTTGTTCGATTCGAATTTTTGTTCCATCACGCGATTTCCCAAACTTTCTTCTTCTGTCTGAATTTCAGGGACCTATCACCTTCCGAAAAAAAAAAGTGAGAAACCCTTTTGTACAATCAGCAACTGAATCTTTTATAACAAGTTCTGCTAAGTTTCTCAGTTTATTAACAATATTCAAAATAAAAGAGCTGATACTTTTTTTTAGATTATTTAATGATTTTCATGAAAATATTTTTTTCATAAAACCACTTCGTACATAGCTTGAGATTCAATATGTAATCCTGCATTTTTCCTCGCCTGTGTTAAAGTCAAGACTGAGCTATGAGCTACCCCCAACACGCTAATTTTGCTATCCATTTAATGTACACTAATTAACAACTTTTTTATTAAGATTATTTGCGTGGAAAATGATGGAAGTTTGAAAACGGGCTATGAAAATTTGTGTTTTTGAGTTACTGCGACTTACCTCCATTCTAAGGTTTTTACTGGCTATATTATCATGATTTTCCGTTTTGTTGGTTGATTCTGAAAATTTAACTGTCTCCGTACAATTTGTGATCAGAAAAAAATTTTCAAAGCTCGTGGAAAAAAAATGAGGGAACTTCTGGGCAGATATACGCCTGTTATCTTTTCCTTCTTATCGTAATCGAGAATCATTAATGTCACCTGAGTGTCTAAAAGCACGAATTTCCATTTCAATTGTTTTATGAGATTTTTTATGATATTTGATTCCTGTCAACGAAAATTTCATTTTTTTTTCCAACGTAATGCTTGACCGGCTGAAAAAAAAAACAAAAAAAATAGTCGCACAATATTGCTACACATTTTCATGAGCAGCTGTGATTAAGCCACGTCGCTGGCATTATGGTTGCCGGTGAGAAAAATCCTGCAAACCTTCCTTTATCAGTCGTGTTCTTATCATTTTAGCGGGTATTAAGCCGAAAGACAAGGGATTGTGGCAAAGCGCGTGTCTTTTGAGTACTTGGCGAGGGTCACGGCGCGCCGACGCGACATTTGACACACTGCGGCCCGTTCATTTCAATATACGAGCCGCCGAGATTTGATGCTTCAGCTAATGACAAAAACAGAGCTGCCGTTGTTCAGACTCACGAACTCTCAGCTTTATCAGAGACCTGCGAACGGAAAGATGATTGAACTTCGGTTTTACACTTGAGCTTGTTTATTGAGTACTCAGCTTTTCGAGCAAAAAACATCTATTTTCTACTTTATTTTGTCAAGCGTTCTATCATTTCGAGAGATTTCTCGTTTCATTGATGTCCTAAATCAATTTTTATATTACAAAGCTTTGATTAGTACAGTATCCTTTTAGGATAGCGTTCAAGCTTCCAGAGACAGCGAACCTCAACCGCCTTTTCAGAACTTAAAAAAGCAGTTCTGCGACTGACTTTAGAAAAAATGGTTCAAATCAAAACGAAATGCCATTACACTTTTTCAAATACATTTTCAAAGCTAATCCAAATTTTTTAATCAGCCTTCACAATAATTACACCCTATCTGTTGCCACGGAAACAAATGCGACGATTCTTGGAAACCTTCTCTAATTTTTGTGCAGTTCATAATTTATTTAGATTTCAGCCATTCTGTGCTCCCATATTGTCCACTCTCTTGCCTGTTTATGCGTCATAACAGTTTCGCTGATTTTTCGTTCTGGCTTACGTCGTTTTCGTCAAAGTTTTCGACTGTTTTCATTTATTCACTGTACTTTTTCAGCCTGATGACCGGTGCAGCTCCAATTGCAGCGGAAGGCAAACTTGTTCCAGTCCCTCCGGATGGAGGATGGGGATGGATGGTTGTCATTGGAAGTTTCTTCATCCACGTATTTGCTGACGGATTCGTCTACTCTTTCGGAGTTCTCGTGGTCAAGATAATGGAGGTTCGTGCCCGAAAAAAGGCCCGAAACTCTAAAAAAAAGTTTCTTTTTTTTTGCTTGTTTATGTGTCTCTCAAACTTCTCATTCACAAGTTTGATGCAGTAAAAAATAACAGTAAATTTAGTTGCTTGTTCTTGAGTCTTAGACGCGTAGTTTCATTTATATATAGTATGTAATCAACTATAAAATATTTTTTGTTGGAAAAATAACTTTTTTTTTTCAACGGATGCAAAGACCACTGAAAAAGTAATGGCACCTTGCACTTTTCTCAGTGAAATTGATGAATAATCAGGAGTTCAAAGCTAATAACACCATGTCGGCTCTCATCATCTCGCTCCTGACTGGATTAACTCTTGGGACCGGTCCCATAGCTTCTGCCATATGCAACAAGTACGGTTGCAGAACGACGACCATTTCTGGAGCCTGCATTTCTTTCATTGGGTTGGTTTTTTAGGATTTTATTTTTGATTAATTTCAGAAAAACGTTTTTTCTAAGATAATCCACAAAAAATCAATGATAAATTTAAAATTTTTTTGCATTGAAAAAAACTCAGGAAGCTTATCTGCACTAATTTTTTTTAAAAAAGAAATCTCAATTTTTCTGCCTATTGATTAGTTTCTTTCCGAAATTTTCGGTTTTGAAATTTGTAATCCTCATATTGAAAAACGCTTTCAAAAAATTTCAGATTGCTACATCAATGACTAACAACATCTTTTATTAGAGTAAAAACACTGCTTAACCAGAAATTTAAGATGTGCCGCTTCCTACTTCGCCACCTCGATTTACTTCATCGTCGTAAGCGTGGGCGTTGTTATGGGATTCGGATTCGGACTCATGTATTGTCCGGCAATTGTTATTGTCACCATGTATTTTGAAAAGTGCGTCATTTGATTTCTGAACCAATCAACGCACTCTATTTTTCAGAAAACGTTCTTTGGCAACTGGGATCGCGGTGGCCGGAGCCGGCGTGGGAACTGTCCTTTTTGCTCCCATCAATGCTTTTCTCATTGGCAGCTACGGCTGGCGCAGCGTTTTTATTGCGTTCCTTTGTGAGTACAGCTGCGCTCAAAGTACAACCAATGCGTTTTCAGTCGTCCTCGTCCTTTGTGCCCTTTGCGGAGCGACCTTCCGTCCTCTTGAGTTCGTTCTGGTTTCTGACGAGCCGGAACCTCAGTTCAGTCCAGCCACAGAAGAAAAAATTCCTAGCGATCAAAAGACGGAAGTAATGATCGCAATTGAAATCAGAACATAAATTATTTTCAGGAACGTGCAGCTCTTCTGAGTCCCCCTGTGATTGGTGCTTTACTTCGCTCAGTCTCTCAAACATCGGACAAAAGGGACAGCGCTGTTCTGAAACCTGCGAGCTCTCTGAACGTTGTTTCATCTGAAGGAGAAAGTGAGTTGAATTTCTGAGACAAAATATATCCTTCATCGAAATTTGCGATAGAAAAATGTTTTATTTAGCTTCTCCAAGATGCCGCTCGCGCACTGGAACAGTTGGAGAGAAAGAAAGCGGGTATTTAAACAGGAAAGACGTTTTCTACACTGGCTCCATCCAAAACGTTGCCGAATTCCGTGAGGACCCAGACAAATACAGGCATTCGACTCAAAACCAGATCGAAAAAAGCTATCTTCTTAAGGTCAACTGGTTCATTACATAAGAACAGACATACCACAATTGGAAGCCTCTCTGCTCATTCCATCTCCCGCATCGATGAAGTCCGAGAGAACAGCGAAGAGTCCACTGATACAACCGAAAACAATGAAGGGCGCAATATGCTCAAGTATTTCTCCGTAGTCCTCGATTAATTTTGACGTCTCTTTTCAGAACCATCAGCAACATGCTCTCGCTTTCGCTACTGCTGGACCCCATTTTCTTGCTTTTCGCTATTTCCAACCTACTGACCTCTGTTGGTTTCAACTCTCCCTTGTACTTCCTGCCTCTTCACGCTGAAAAAATCAAGTTGACCTCAGAGCAGGGAGCTCGGGTTCTCTCTGTTTTTGGTGAGTCCCAAGAGGTCTTCGTATGTTCATTTATTCTTTCTAGGTGTTTGCAACACTGTAGGCCGTGTGCTCTTTGGAATCGTCGCGGATCATGAGCTTCCACTTCCTTATGGACTTGGAAAAGATACCGCCCGTAACCGCCTCTGGATCTACAATATTTCGCTCACTGTATTTGGGTGAAAGATTGAATATTATTGAAATTCTGACTTCAGATCTGTGGACTTCTGACGACGTTCTGTTACATGTTTGATGGATTTGTCCAGCTGAGTTTGTACTCTGGACTATTCGGCTTCTCCATTGCTTCGTACATTTGCTTGACCAGTGTCATCCTCGTCGATTTCCTGGGACTCGATAAATTGACCAACGCGTTCGGTCTGCTTCTTTTGTGGCAGGTTCGCGAATTTTTTTTGGAACAATGTCGAAAACCAATTTGATAATCCTGAACTATTTCCAAAAAAAACAAATTAAGGGAGTCGGAACTGTTTTTGGTCCTCCAGTCTCTGGATACCTTGCCGATATCACTTCCAACTACACGCTCTCCTTCGTTTTCTGTGGGGTCAACCTTATGGCAAGACTTCCTTTTGAGTTTTGGCCAACTGGAAGTATTTCTCAGGTCTCCGGATTGATGCTGTTTGCCATCCCGTACTTCCAGCACAAGCGGAGCAAAGACACGGACCTGGAGTTCACGGAGAAACCGTCGACTAAGTGATGCTAATTGGAAACTTTGCTATGTTTCGATTTGTTTGCTTTTTTCATATCAAAACATCTTTAAAAAATTTGGTCCTACATGGGTTTCCCGATTCACTTGGACGTGTCTTCTATATGTATATGTGCCTTATTCGTTGTGGCATGAAAAACTTTCTAAAGACAATCATTTTTGTAACATTCCAATCGCTTGCTCTAGAAAACCTCATTCCTGTTTTTTGCATTTTTATCTGTAACAAACGTCATCTTGTTTTTTTCTTCTGAAAATAACCTCGTTCTTTCCTTCTCAGATCGGATATGAAACAATCATGGTGAACGCAATAAACGTTTATTGTTAGCGTTTTTTTTCTTCACAGCTTCCAGAGACTATGATAATGAAAAGATATTTATCGCACAATTTTGCTTTTAAAGTGAATTTTGAGATCAATTAGTTGCAGCAGTTCATCCGACCCTCAACAGGAAAGTTTCTCAATCAGCCTCGGAATTGTTTTTCGTTCGAAGAAAACATTTTCTGAAGATCCAGCGATCGCTAGCAAGACGTCTCTGGAAACAGAAAACGTTTTAAAAAAAACTAGTCATTTTTGTTTCGATTTAAGTGAATTGCTTCAAATAAAGAGAATTTCAATGGAGTGATTAGCAACAAACCTCACAACGGGGAAATATTGCCCAGTTGCAAACGTTTCCACCCCTTCTATTGACCTCAAGCCATATTTTCAGAACTTCTTTAAAAAAATATACCACACCTCAATGCTTCAGACTTCAACGAAACTTCATCAAAGGAAAATCCATCCGTGACTACGACAACCTGGAAGTTTTTTTTAATGATCTGATGCTGTTTTTTCTGAAAGAAAATTATTTACCTGCATGTTTCCGCCATGTCTTATGGCAAAATCAGTAGTGGCAGAAATTGCAGAACCTGTTGCCGTGACTCCTCGAAGGAAACGGGCTTCTGAGATTCAGGATAAAATGAGGTGCTTATCAAAAAGATCACTTCGCAGTTTCTGCAAAAATTTGGGCAGATTGGGTTCTTTGGAGAAGGGAAGATTTACTCTCTGTCGGCTGCGACCGGAATACGTTATGAGAGCGAGCTGAAACCATCATTATCGTGATTTCTGCTTGTTTGCAGTTTTTTCACCTTTCTCTCTTTGATTCCAGCAACTTTGGCGACGATATCTTCAATGAACCTTTTTTGCTTTGTGTACTGCTGTTCAACGTTTCCACTGGAATCAAGCAAAAACAGAATGTCTTTGCAAACTGAAAAAAACTTTCAAATGTAGGAATCGGACTCTGACCTGTTGTGCCGTTGATAGATTCCTCGAGTTTCGTTTCCATCTCAAAGCCGCTGCCTTCCCCTGTCGGCTCGATCAAAGGCTTCTTTGTTGTTGTCTCCTCCACTTTTTCCGATTGAATCTCCTTTATTTCTTGTAAAAGGTTCTCATCCACTTTCGTTTCTTCTTTCCTTTCTTCGAAAAATATGCTCTCAGAGCTGGGGGTGACATCAAAAACCGTCCCGTTATTGAAGCTTTCGAATGTTACAGGGGTTGGAGCATTTTCTGTAACCGGTTCGATGGAGCTCTTTCTCTCAACGAACGGTTCATTGGAAGATGAAATTGTTGTTGAAAGAGAGTTTATATCATTGCCATCCTGTGGATTTTCATTGTCATCCAAAAACTCATTGAGAAGACTTTGGTTTAAGCTTGAAGTCGTGATGTCAGCCATCAATTCAATGAGTGAGGCATCTGTTGTTCCGTTGTTGAATGGAATGGCTGAAGTAAGAGCAGTTGGAGTTGGAGTCGAGGTGGCGGGAGCTTTTGTGGTCGATATTCGCGTTGTGCGGAACTGGTTGATGTCGGCTCCAGGCATCTTCCAAGGCGGCATCACTGTCGGCAAGTTGGATGGGTACCATCTCTCAGCAACAAAATTTTCTGGCGGCACGAAGCCGGGAGCTCCAAACCCTTAATCTAGACTTTTTTATCATCATGAAAAACTTTGAATTGCACCTTCTACCGTAGATATCAAAATCGCAAGTGATGTTATAAAACTTGAGATTTCCCTCATCGAAGCTGAAAAAAACATGATGATAAAAACACACGACATACTTGATGTAATTCACAAAGTCGACATGATGACCAGAGTGAGAAAAAAAAGAAGACGAAAAAACACGTTGCAGTGATTGTTGATATCCAATTTATGAATGACGAAGATATTCAGCATACAGGTTTTTTTCAGAGATAAATAACATAATTTTAATCTAGCGAAAACGAATATTTTGCCGCAAAGAAGCGATTTTTTTACGATTAGAAGTTATCGGAAAGTGTTCGATTAGCAGGAACGGATGCACTAAAATAAAAAAATTTCTAGTTCAAAAACTTTAGTTCAATTTTTTTGTGATTCATAGCCCGACATATCAAGGTTACAGAGAAATAAATGTTAGATCATGGAGAATGAGATTCCCTAACCGGTTGAAGCCTGGGTTAGCCTTTAAAGGGATGAAAAAAGTACTAGGGAAATGCGTGAAAAGCCATGCGAGAAAGAAAATCCGATCTCCGCAGGAAAAACCTGAAACGATAGCCAATCTTGACGTGAACGCGTCAAAATACAAATTGCGTTGAAATGATCTGCAGGTTCAAAAATTCGCGTTCCTTGGAATAAATGTAACTTGCAACGGCCCATAGACAAACTAAAATCACGGAAAGTAGGCATCTCATCCTCTTATTCATAATGAGAAAGCGAAGAAAAGTGAATACGACGACTTAAACAGGAACCGCCCAAAATGATGCGAAACGAGAAAGCGAAAAGTGTCGTTTAGGTATGATGGCCTAACACTTGACTTACAAACTATTTCATGCTTGTCCACTAGAAAAGTCATGGTACAAGACGAAAGACAAGCCGAAAAAGGATTGGATAAAGGGACATTTGCGCCATCGCAGTGTTTCATCAACCTCGACCCCATCTCGCTGCGCTTAACAAGCGTGTTTCGGCCGTTCCGAGAAGGCTTAAACGATTCCCAGTCGATGGGTTGGGATGTAGTCGAACTGTAATGCCTTAAAAAGCCACTTCGTCTTTGATGGCTGCTGTTTACAACTATTTTAATGTTTCTTCTAAATTTCTTGATGATCTTGATTACAGGACCTCGTAAGCGACATGGGCAAGAACAGGAGTTTCCTTCTTTTACCGAGATTATTCGTACGAACCGTCAAGCAAGAAGATGTGACCAAGTAAGTTTCGAAAAAGCCAAGATTCGAAGACTTTGGAAACGTTATATTACTTAGGAATTGAAACAAAAAGACGAATGCATTTTTTGTGAAATCTTCTTCGATATGATTTTGATAGCCAGAAAACAGAAAAAGATCATCTCAGTCTACTTTCTTCGTCGTAGCCTCTTATTCCACTTTTGCTTTGCTTGGATAAAAAGCAGCCACACCCAGGCCCTTTTCAAACTTTTCACACGGAACGGTCTGCTTCCTTCCGGTCGGACTCTCCCTCTCCACTCCGAGGATTTTGGAACAAGTGTCCCTATTGTTTGCCTCTTTGCGAGATCCTCAATACGATGTCGCATAAGTACACTTTTTGATATCGCTTCGGACTTGATTTCATTTTTCGCGAGGGAAGCACCAAATATTCAGAAGAAAAAAAATTTATTAAACTCACGAATTAAAAAAAAAGAAGTTTGTTAAATGGAGAAATGGCGTTTTTTTCAACCCTTCCTCCTAATTTTTTTCGCTAATTCTTTTGCTTCTTTGTGGATGGCTGCAAAATCCAAGAGGAAAAGAGCTGGCCCAAAGTGCCAATCAGAATCAAACACTTGAAAAATAATAAGCGCGCAGATCGCTGCCAACAATTGGTCAGGCGGCAAGTTCTTCCTCCGATCCGATTTCTTCTGAGGTCCGAGTGTTTCGCGATGATGAACAAACAGCGTTTATACAGTCCATCTCCACTTGCTCAACAATCACACTCGATCTCTGGTGACATCTCATCAGCTTCTTTTTTTGTCCATCAACTCCTCCTTGTGTATGTTCTGAGTCGAGACACGTCAAAGAGGAACGGCCGGCCGATCGTCAGCCTTTTTTGGATTCGATCAAATTTCCTCCTTCTTTTTTCCAGATTTCCTGCTGCTCATCTCCAATTTTAAAGTCTTTTTGGTTCATGAAATTCAGAAACTTGAAAAGAAATGAAAAACTTTCTTGATAAACTTACGAAAAAGAAAACTTTTTTTGAAAATACTTCCATAAGTTGGTTTGTTAACTAAAATCTTCAATTCTGTCAGATAAAAAAGTCGACACTATAGACATGGTTTTCGACATTTTTGATTGAAGCTTTTTTTCAAACTTCATGTGAGCTTTTTAACGCTTTAAAAGTGGCTTATCAGTTTTTGAATACAGAAAAAAACTCCGTTATTTTCTGAAAGGCGTATCGGTATCGTATGTTTTTTCAATTTTTATCACAAGTTCAAGCTTCATCTTTAACCTTTTCATGAAGAGTCTTGTCAAACGTCATAGTTTGGTGCCATGGGCAAAGATTGTTGGTGCGGCGGATGTCTGAAGAGATGTCCACTCGAGTGTTGCTTGTCAACGAGATGAGATTGTTTTTTGCGGCGTTTCCAGCCGGGTGGCCGCCGGATGGGCGTGCTCTCTCTTGCCGTTTTTCCTGGCTATTTAGGGTTTGAGTCCGGCAAATACAGCGGACGACGTGCGCGTTTCGTGCCATTCCACAGATCCATCGTTTTGACCAACTCTTTGCGCTTGAATTGCCCTGTCCTGCTTTGTGCAGACGCACTTGGGAGCGGCTCTTTTGTGTGCCTAGATTTCCCACTTGCCGCCTTCTCGATTTCTGAGTTCATTTTGATCGCGATCCTCATTTCCAGGCTTCCGATATGCAGCGACTCGCGTTTGCCCTGCTCTTTCTGGGCTACACTCAATCTGAAAGTAAGCCAACATTTTAAGCTAATCACCAAAAAGCCAGTAAAACATTATCATGATTGTAAGTTTCCGTTTTTTATCTCTAATAAGAAGTTAATTGAGCTTGTGAGTGGGTGGTCAGTTAACTCTTAATAACGTGAAAAAAACTTAGAAAAGGGTTTTTTTTTAGATTTTTTTGGGCCCTCATTCCTCTGTGCGCTAGTTTTCCCAATTTTTATAGTTAACGTTCACTTGAGTTTTTGAGAATTTGCCCGGAGAAGAATTTCAGCTCAGTTTTTTCACAATACTCCTCTACCAAAAACTTGATCATCAATTCAGACATGCTTCCCGAAGGTTAGCCACGTATATGAGCATCAGAGTGTTTTCACATCCTTGAATCTCTTTGTTTGAGAACAAAAATCAAAGCAAAAGCGAGATACGCAACTACGCTTGTTTTCTTTCACAGTACATAGAAAAGTTTTTCAATCGTGTGTTTCACGCGGCGAACTGAGGTAGATTGAGATCAGAACTGGCTAAAGCTGCAAACTCGTATCACATGTTTGGGGCCAATAACATTACGGCCTAATTATTCTTGATACATTGACAACCTTTTAGATATGTCAGTCTCACCAACTTTTAAAACCTTTCTGATAAGGTCCTCGCTGAAAATTCAAGTGTTACAGAAAGTAGTCTTTTTTTTCGTTCTGATGTAATTTAGCACTTATTAATATTCAGTAAAAACTCATCAAAACTTTTGAATGTGGCACTAACATCCAAATAAAAAACCTTTTCAGAAATGTCCTTGTGTGAATATTGGCTGAAACGTGACATTGATAGACCGGAATGCCGGCCTGCTCGTTCTTCACATTGGTCACTCGCACCTGTCAGAGTCACTGCGTCCAAAACTGGTGAACTTATTTGCAGTTTTTACCGGCATGTTTTCAGATGCTTATGGAAAGAATTTTTGAATAACTATTTTATATTCACGCGAATGTGTTCGCAACAAGTGTTTGTTCATTAACTAAAATTCTCATAACACAAATCCTTGATTTTTACTGCAAAAATTGGTGCTATCTAAACCAAAGACAGAACGAAGTTTCTTGAATTCCCTAGTTTGACTTCTGATTCAAACTTTTTTTTTTGAAAAGATTGTTTTTTTTTTATTGGAAAAATGTTATTATTTGTGAATAAGAACTGATTATTCACAGAAAATAATGTGTAAAAATGTTTTGTCTAGTTTTTCAAATCCTTAACGAGTTAACCACTTTTTTCAACTGATCTTTGGCTATACTGGAAAACTCATTATTTTGAAACAATCTAGTTGGAACTTTGAAAGATACCGGCTGCCTAAACACTCTGGGGCTGGCTTTCATGCTATCTCAAAATATTAAATTTTTTTCAGAAGCTTATTCAACATTTGGAGAGTTTTAGATCCTGCAGTGCTCGCGATGCCGGTGTGCAGTATGGTCAGCGACTGGTCGAGGTGCCAGAAATCGGACCATTGTCCTCTGGGTCTCATGTGCTGGGCTCGCGGATCTCCGTGTTGCACACCGCAGATTTCAGATGTCACCAAATTTGGTTTGTTTGCTCTTTCGAAAAGCGATATTATCCCGTTAAGGCGCGGCTGAACAGTGTCCGACCACTAAACAAATGGGAATCCAGTGCTACGCAAAGGTAACAAAAAATCGAAAAAGAACAAAACACAGACTTCCTCAATTTCCTTCTAATGTCATTCATTAGTATTGAAAAAACCTGTCGTATCCAAAAAATAGTCGGTGTAAGTCGCATACTTCGAAAATTAGTTTTATGAATCATTGCTATGAGGCACACGAAAGATGAGATTTATATCCTTGAAAATTGGCGAAAAAGATTGTGAGCCCACCAAGCCCAAATGATAATTGAAATTTTGCTGAAAGTATTGATTTTCAAAATCTCAAAACAACCAAGTTTTGAATAGTGATCTTTTTTTAATACTCAAATTTGTAAGACTTTTGTTTTGACGGTTTGTTTGCCGTTTGCGCATACATGGGTCTTGTTTGCCTTGTTCGAGAAGCCTTTGATTGTATGTTGATAGGCCAGGCAAAAAAGCGCACAATAAACAAAAGCTTCCAATAGAAAAACACGGTGAAAACAAGATCAAAGTTGTGTGGTCTCTTTGAAAAAAGCATTTTACCGCGAAAAAACGAGAACACTTACAGAACCCGGTCAACTGGTGCAACTCGGACAACGACTGTCACAAATCGAGTGTTTACCAAAAGTTGTCGCAGTGGACTTCATCAAAAAAACTGATAATTCAGATGTTGTCCCTCGGGTTGCGGTTACAATATGTGCATCCGGACGAGTCTCAATGTTAACGTCAAAGTTCGAAGTACGTTTTTGAGCAAAAAAAATTAATAGGTTTATTGGAAAGTAGTCCGCGACCAGATAATCTCATTTATTTAGTTCAAGAACCACTGGCTCTTTTATTTTCGCCGCAGGAGTCGTGAAAAACGAGAAGGACGAAAAGACAAGAAATGATGAAAAGTCAGAATAATAAAAAAAAGTGTGCCGTTAAATAGGGTGTATGCCTCACTTTTTCGTCAACTTTATGTTCTTCGATTTCTTTCGCCAGAAAAATTACGAAAATTTAAACGTAAAAAAACATATTTGTTCAAGACGATTTTTCATTATAATTTTCCTGAAAGTTTCTCACTTTTTCGTTAGAAATTGGAGGACTCCAAAAACTTTCTTTGCCTGTCCTCAAAGCTCAAAATTTTCAGTGTCCTCTTTGAGCCTGGTGCCAGACCAGTGCCCCTCCATGGACTCGATCAACATTTTCTGCGTTTCCCAAGGCGTCAGCTGGTGCTCCGCACACCAGGACTGTCTTTCCAATGCCGCTCAAACTCGATATTGCTGCCCTACCAGGTCAAATTCAGACCAGTAATTCAAAAAAAAAGAATTCTTTCAGGTGTGGGTACAATGTCTGTCTTCTCAAAGTCTACGACCGGTGGCTCATCGCTTAAATTCTGCTCAATCCGCGTTGCTCAACTTACCTCTCTCAGTTGTTCTTGATATCAGATGACATTGTTATTTATTTATAATTTCTTCACTCAAATTATTTATGCGCTATTAAATAAACTGTTGCTATGAATGTTAATCATAGAAATGCTGCCTGGAAGCAATGCCAGAAAGATTGGCGGTTCTTATCTGTGAGACGAAGATGGTGCAATCTGATATCTGTACAAAAAGCTCGTCTTCTAGTGGCCGCCGCTTAATTTTAATCGTGCTTGATTTTGTTGAATTTTTGCAGTATTAGGAGATGATTAAAGCTTATCTGGATTATCCTCAGCTAGATTCATGACTGTGACTTAGTGAAGTTTTCATGCTTAGATTAAACTGTTGTTTGTTTAAAAATTCTAGAAATTGAACAGGAGCTTTACAAAGTCAGTACATTCAGAAAATCATTGAACCATTTCAAGAAATTAACATGTGTGAAGTTCATATCCGCGAGTTTTCGTTGTTAAAATTCGACCAACGCAGTATTATGAAGCTTCACTTTAAGTTCGAAAACTGATTATACTAATTAGGAACGTTATGACCGGGGTTGTTCTTGCTTTGATGTGTTTGAAATAAAGGATAGTTTTTGTGAAAAAAACAACTTTACAGCTTTTTACTATAATGAATAAAAAAAATTTTTACAGAACGATTTGTTTTATGATCTTTGCGCGAGAGAAACAATAAAGTTTGTAAAATGGTTGTTCGAGAAGGTTTGTGAGATCTATTTCGACAAATTTTCATTTCTGATTATTCAGGTTTTCTCAGCAAACTCACTCGTAGAGATTATGTTGTGCTAGGAATTTTCGTATTTTCATTGGCCATGCTTATCGCGGGATCCGTCATGCTTGGAGTTGGAATAAGCAAAGCGAATAGTCAACGTGATTTATAGTTTTTTTCAACCTTATCCAATGAAATTCAGCGAATTGTCCGAGTTGCCCTGCAGTCGGCACGTGTCCAACAGCCACTGTCGCTCCGACCAGTGCCAGCTCTGCATTCTTATACTTCACCTCATCTTATGCAGCTTCTATTGCTTGGGATCCTGCGCTACAAGATCCAAATTCTAACCAATTTAAGAGTTTGGCTGACTCACTTCAAAAAAATGTGAGCACTCTACAGCCCCTGATTGAAAAAACCGAGCTTATCAGATATCGCAAGCCCTGTCGACTCAAAGTTTTCCAAACAAAGGCCTTATCGATGTGGTTGAAACGCCGCTCACAGTTTCAGTGAACGCCTTTTCGTAAGCGGTTTCAATGATTCAAGACAGAAGCCATAATCTTCTTGAGCTTTCAGATTGTTAGGAAGCTTAGCAATTGAAAAAAAAATTGATAAGAAGCTGATATCAGTTCAAAATTAGTATGTTTCGTCCTGGGAAGATAAAAAATTCGTGTGATTTATAGCAGAGATAAGCACTGCAAAGTTGTTTCAGCGATTCTGATTTGAAAATTAAAAATGAATATAAGCCACGATTTGAATTACGCAAACCATTGTTCAAAAAAAAAATTCCATAGCTGATTCGAAAAATTAAGGCAAGCCAATCAAGCCGTGAATTTCTACTCAACAATTGTTTTCCCGGATGCAAATGTTCAATCAAATGAGCTACAAAACGCTTTGAACCAACAAGGATTCGCATCAAATGTTTACAGTTGGTGAAGAGTTTGAATATAATAAACAGTCAATGGAAACAGCAAACCCTACCAACCAGTGCAACTCCTTGGCTCCTCCTCAAGCCGCTCCTACCACATCCGCGCCACAGAATCCATCGTCTGTGCCTACAGACATTCCTATTTCTTCTTCCAAACGACCACTTCCTTCAGGAGGTTTTTTATTTATTGTTTCAAGATAGGAAAATTTTTTCAGTTTATTGCGATGCCTCTCAGGCTAATTTGAGAAATGTCTACCTCGTCGATGTCGCAGTACCGACGTTTGGTTTCCTCGATGTCAAGCTTTCGCAGGTTTTTTTTTTCCGAAGAAGCATTATGAAATTGTGTTAATAGCTACAAAATTTCTTGACTTTGGCTGCGGTGTCGGCAAACTTGTCTCCAACTGCATCTTGGGGCAATGTTGAATTCCGTTTAGTCGCCTACGGAGGAACAGAAGCGTGATTCATGAGACTGATTGCAAGAAAAAAGTTCTAATTGTTCTAGACAACCACTCGGAAGAGCCAATGATATGTTGTCATGGAAAAACATCATTTCTCAGCTGAACTCGTCATTTGTGAACCCCAACGGTAACGACGTTCATGCCTTGGCAGAGTGGGTTAATAAAGATATAACTATGAAAACTATAAACGGAAATCTCCGCTCTTCAAAATTTATCAGACTTACCTATATTAACCGGAAAAATTCCTCAAAAAACCTCCTGACTCCAAAATGTTCAGAGGACTGAGATATGTTGCAAGCAATTATGTTACTCAAGTTGGAACTGCTTCGAACATTATCATTGTAACCGACGGATAGTGAGTTTTTGCCACATCACTATAATTATTTTTCTCCATTTTCAGCGACTTTTCGGAAAATCCCAATCCTTACGCTGCCGCCCTGAAATCACAATACTACACTATCGGTGCGATTGTGGCTACTCAATCACAATTAATAAGGTTATTATGCTCCTCTCACTCATTAGAAACGGTTTTTCAGTAATGCAATCCAGCAAGTGACAAGCGATTACTCCCACACTTACGTGATTGACTCTTTCTCGTACCTTCAAAATTCGGCGATTCTGCAAACTCAAGCAATGTGGATTTGTAATGGTTTTTCAATTAATTTTTGAATTGAAAGCAAAAAACGAATACAGCGTTTTATCCTACCCCGGCACCAAAAACGCCGGCTCCAACCAGGATTCCTTTAAAAACCACGTCGTCAGCTTCTACTACCCGTCCTGCTCCCAGAACGACTCTAAGTCCGGGAACACCAACAGGTGGAAACTCCTCTCCTTGCAGTTGATAATCGAAAACTTCAGTATCGGAATGTTCTCTGAATGTTCTTTTCTTGATTGACGAGTCTCAAGTGATGCTGAGCGACGGTTACAGCGTAAGCGAGACCAATCTGGATCAAGCTTTCATTAATCTTCAGCAATCTTTGACCTATGCTACTCAATTGTCTCAGACTTTGAGTGTTTGGAATTCCGCGTCCACTTTCGCATTCATTACGTTCAATGATGTAATCACCTATACATCCGTGAGTGTTCAACTGATTAACTTCAAAAACTTCGATGGTTCTCGAAAAGTTGGAGAAAATGGAATTATTTCTCAAAGGTTTTTTTTTACAACTAAGATTATTGCGGTCATTTCACAGAAGACGAGATCCTTTTAATAAATCTCACGAAATAAATCAAAAAAAAAATTTTCAGTTAGTTCAACTCATACTGAAAAATTTTCAACATAAGAAAAGGTCAGAAAGCATGTTTTTTTTTGAGGGAAAGGTACTTGTATTTTCAAAAACTATTGGCATTTTTTCTTCGAATTTTCTCTTCACAACGCAAAACATGAGGCAAATGATACTCAGTTTGCAAAAAAATAAAAAAATAAATCTTGTTTGGTATTCAAAACTTGAATATCGCACTACAGTTTTTTATGAAGAGATTGTCGTAGCAGCAATATGAACTCACTCTTTCAGGCTAACTACCAAAACGTGACACAGTTCGCTCTCGATTTGCAAAACGCTCCACAAACCTCAGGCGGGACAAATATACCTCTGTGAGTTGGTAATCATTTTTGAGTTGAAATTTCCTTTTCAGCGCATTCAATGCATCTCGAACTTTTATTTCTGCTCATTCCCAGTATTCAAACTCCAACACACGCTCGGTTCTTATCTTCGTTTCTCATGGGTATCAAGCTCTCCTCGAACTGTGACCGAAAAGTTTTCAGTGTGGATAAAATGTCGGCCGTCAATCAATCCATTCCTATTGTGCACGATTTGAGATCTAACTACCAAACTCAAGTTGTTGCCGTTGGTGAGAAGGATCCTTTGGAAATGATATCTTTTCTCCTCAAGACATTCAACAAAACGATGATCTCATGAAGAAAATCATCGAGTACAATGTGAATGACGGCTACGTTCCCTCGACATTCATTGGTCTTTCTTCGACCAACGATTTGACACAAATGTCTCTGGTTAACAACACTATCTTCTTGTTGCAGTGCAAGGGTACTTTCGAAATAATTTTTTTTCAAGTTAATTGAACATTCCTACAGGAGGAAATCAATGTGGAATCGATCTCACGTTTGTCATTGAAGTTTCTGAAATAGAAACGAGTAATTATGTCGCTGTGGTTTGAAAAGTGTTTTTCTTTTTTTTTCAAATGAATCCTTTTACAGCAAAAGAAAACTGCCATGAATATTATCAACGCTTACAGAAGGTTGAAAAATGTTTATTTTTATTTTATTCTAAGTTTCAGCATGATCTCTCCTTTTGGAATGAGTGTTTCATTCATATACTTCTCAACTCCCCTTAATTCTAGTATTCCTGCTAACTCAGGCGTCTTTTTCCAGCAAGTGAGACTGAGTTCTATTCTGAAGTTTTTTGAATATGCATTTTGAAGCTTACTGATCCTGATCAAGCTGTGAACGCCCTCACTAATCAGCTTTTCCCCGTTGGTGGAGCTACTGACCTTGATACGTTAGATTTAAAAATCCGAAAAATTGGAATAAAATTCTCTCGATTCAGAGCTTTCATCTTGACAGCAAGCAGTCTCTCGCAGGCAACGTTTCAAAAAAGCAAATACGTATTGTTCTTCGCGCGTGGAAAGTAAACTAGCTTCCAAATGTTTGGGTCGAGTTATTCCTTTCCAGTTACGACCATTTCGCAAACTGCTGTCCGGATCCAACGGTTGATGCGGCCCTTGTTCGAAGTATGAGCACTGTACAAGGAGTAGTCATAGGGTGAGGTCAAAACAGTAAAAAAAAACAATGGAAACCTTGATTTAGACCAAATTCTAACAAGCAGCAATTGGACTTTTTCACTGGATCAAATAGCCTCGATGCCAATAGTTTAATCAGCAATTTGGACGTTTCGGTTTTCCATATTGGATTCGGATCATCTGATTGTTTTTTCTCAGACTCAATCGACTGCTGCAGCAGCGGTTATTTCAGCCGCCATACAACCTTTATTCGACTCTTTCATCAACTCGCAAATTTGCAACTCGATTCCTGACTACGGTTTAGTGAACGTTTATTCACCAACCAGAAAGTTTCCAGTTGCTCCTTGTCAAAATCCAATCGATGTCATCATCTTCCTTCATGCGAAGACAAGCGATTCTTGGACTAAAGTAAGAAAAAAAACCAGTATTATTTGTAATAGGAATTTTCAGATTTCGAATTTCACTGGATCCGAATTGCTGCCTGGACTTCTGGGAAGCCCTCTCTCCAGAAGGTCGCTGACGACTGCGTCGCCTATCAACCTCGCAATCGTTGTGTATGGGAACCTGGGTGGAAACATTGTACGTTTAGCATTGATACGTTTTCATCTTCATTGAAAAAATGAGTGAACTAGGCAAAAAAAATTCAGCTCACCGACTTTTCACTTCTTCGTTCGCCGCAAGATTATTCCTCACTTTTGGCAACAACTCCGTTCTCTCCAGTTGTGGGCACTCCGACATTATCTTGGTTGGAAAACTTCTTCTTTCATCATGCACACTTCATTTTTAGGGCTTACAAGAAGGCAAACGAGCTTTTCCTCAACGGTCGAACATATGCCAGCAGAAACATGATTGTCATTTCCGACGATTTACAGTAAGGAGAGATCACGAAGTTTGAATAGTTTTTGGATTTGGATATGCTGACAACGACAATGCACAAAGCGCTCATGACAACTTGGTTATGCAGTTTGGTGGATTCACAACCGCCTTGCAAATCGACACGTTGAGCGTCCCCGGAGCAGATTACACACAAAACGTGTCTATTTCCCAGGTTTCTCAATTCTAAAAGTTCTGTTAATAAATATAAGAAGTAGATCGACTCTCGTAATCCTTTCGCTCGCAGAAATGTAGCGAATGCTCTTGCCAGCAACACCTGTACCTACGCACCTTTGCAAAGTATGTTTTCAAAATTCTCGATCTTTGAAACAAAATTCTTTCAGCCCCTGGGACTACTATGAAGTCAACCACGCCTACTCTTCCCGGCCCGATTCCACTCGTGAAAGCCAGAAGCGTGTGGCCAGATATTACTATTTTGATTGATACCACATCCTACAATGAGAGCAGTCCATATCTAATGAATGGCGAACGCTTCGAGAAGGTCTGAGAAAATTTTAAATTCGAGAACAAATTAATGCTAGATACGACAATTTCTGGACGTCTTTTTGTCTCAATACTCTGTGGGAGAAAAGTTTTCTCGCTTCACTATCGCTACATTTGATGGGACCGTAACTTCTGTTTCTTGCACTTTTTCACAGGTAAATATTGCTCAATTAAGTTAAAACAAGGCCTTTAGACTTCAAACTACTATGATCTGAGCACATGCAGAAATGAGAAGCTTTCGTTCTATTCACGAACACATAGCAGCACCCGCGACATCAATCAGTATGTGAAATGAGAGACAATAAATCTATCATTGTTTCAGAGCTCTAAAATACTTGCAACAAAACATTTTCGTCCCGAATTCTGGCTATCGTTCGCTGAATGAAAACTTTTTGATCATATTCACAATGGGAGTGTGAGTTTCTGATTATTTTTTTGATCAAGTATTTTTACCATTTCAGATCAAGTACGCCGTTTACCGATACTCTAGTTCAACTGCAAAGACAGGGAGTACGAACAGTGGCTGTTGGGTTGTCCAGCAATTTAACAAATGCTCAAATCAGTGGTTTTGGTCAGAAAAATTATTTGGTTAGTGTCAGTGGAGATGAGAAAGAATATTGGGCTCAACCAGGTGCCACAATGGGACGGTACCTCCAATGGCATCGATTCTAGCAACACCAGCGTTGCGCTGGCCGATCGACTTGTGTCCATCACAACTAAAAGAAGTACGGAAGCTTTCGAGTGAATCAGCGGTTTTTTTTCTTGAGGGAGTCCGTCAACGTCCAACTTCTTTGCCAACGTCTTCGTACTCGTCGATCAGACTCTTTCGACGCAGAGTGATCAGCCGAATGTGGTTCAATTTGTTAAGAGTTTTGTGAAACAATTCCAAGTTGCCAGTCAAAAGTTAGCACTCTACTCGCAATATAAGAAAAAATTTTTTCTAGAACTCAAATCAGTGTCGTTCCGTATGAAATGGACGTCATCAATCCGTTAGGACTAACTTCCAGCCAAACAGTGAGTCAAGTAGTCTGGAAAGTTTATCATAGGTGAAGTTCAGCAAGTAGACCAGTGGCTGAGCAATTGGACGCCTACGGTATCTCAGAGTAACACAGCCGACTTCAGAAAACTTGCGGATTACTTGGGTCCCGTCCTGGCCGCCAACACGGATCGACCATCTTATTTAGTTTATGTGATTGGTTCAACTAGGTTTCCTTTCTTGAAAGTTCGAAAAATCTGATTTCTCGAATCTAAGCGTTCAAAATGTGAATTCTCCGCAATTCTTGCTCAACAGCAATGTCATGGGTTTTGTGGCTCAGTATAACCCCAACGTCAACTATTCTTCTCTGCTGGCATCCCCAAACAGCGTTTTCTCGTGAGCTTCCAAGAAATCGGAATGTGTGAACTTTTCAATACCATTTCATTAAGGGTGTATAACAGCAACGAGTTACTTGATCAAGTTAACTCTTTTACCGATGCGTCCAAAAACCCGATCGTTTCTCTTTACAACAGCATTTTCTCAGGTAAGCAAAAAGTACAAGTGAACATCAAATGAAAAATTTTCAGCCCAAGAAGCCAAAAACAGCGCCAACTTCCCGCTCGTTGCCGTATCAGCGGATATTGTGCTTCTGGTTGATGAAACTGGAATAAACGCCACACAGTTTGAAATCGTCAAGAGCTATCTATCCGACTTCACCTCGAAGTTCTCTGTCGGATTTTCTTCTACGCAGTTTGCTCTCCAAGCTTACAACGGCAGAACCATCGCCCATGTATGAAAAACGGATAAACTAAAGCCTTGGAAAACTATTTCAGGAAGGCTTCCATTTTTCGCAGTCCACTGATGGAGACACAGTCAGAAGATTCATCAGCCAGTTGCGGCTTGAACAAGCGACAGAAGGGACCACCGACGCTGATTTAGCCGGGTTGGGATAATCTGCTAATTTCCCAACGTAGTTCTTTGCAGAGCAATCGTCGAAGAGAAAACCTACTTCCTCACAAAATCCGATGGATGGCGAGATGACGCGACCACTTTTACAGTCATTTTCTCACATGCCGAAAGGTTGACCGTTGTAGTCTTTTATTTTCAAAATCAGTTCGAAAAATCAAAAAATTGGGCTTTAAAAATAATTTTCAGTTTTTACAACGACACTACTGATTCGAGAGAAAACGCTGCAAAAGGCATCAAAAATGTTTCTGAGGTAATTGGTTTCGAATTACTGGTATACTTGAAGTCGCCCTCAAATTAGAATTGCAGTTACTCTTAAATGAACATTTTTGATTGAGAGCTTTTCCATTCCAAGACACATAATTTTTCTAAATCGGGTCTTTTTTCATAATTGGCTATGCGACTGCAGCATTCTGAGTCATTCCTAGGGCGATAAAAAATTACAGAAATTTTTGTTTTCACTTCTTTTCAGTTGCAATTCCAATATTGAGGTTTTCGCGATTGGATATAATGGCAAAACGTACGATTATGTTAAACAATTCCTGACTGGCGCTGTCCCATCCTACGGAACAGTGGATTCTCCAGAAAACTTGAAGATTGACAGTCCAGCCAGTGTTCAGCTTTTGAGCACCATCAAAAATGGTTTTTTATTCATTTTTATCAAAGAAGATGATAGAGAAATTTTGTAGACTACAGACAACAAGTCTATCCACCAGCTCCACCTCTCAGTTCCTTGACTGATGCCGATTTCATTTTCTTACTTGACGCTGCTATCGGAACACAAGGAATGACAAACGTGATTTATGCATGATTGGTAAAAATTATATTTCCGGGTTCAGGTGAAAAATTTTTTGAACAACTTCATTTATCAAGTCGGCGACTTCACTTATGGCAACTCTTCTCGTCTTTCTTTGATAACCTACGACGACTCGGTTTGTCAAAAAAAAAAATAACCGTAATGATAATTCTCAGGGTGTACGTCGACCTTATTGGAACTTAAATGACCAACTAAATCTTGCGAAGAAAATATCCAACATTACTCTCTACCCATCTTCTTTATCGAACAGCAATTTGAGGAGGTGTCTTGTTCAGGAGATTCGAAAACTAATATATTTTTAGTGCTCTTGAATTTTTCTTGGCGGATGAATCGCAGTTTGGAGTGAAGTCAACGCGTCAAACCTACGTGACTTTGTTTGCAGGAGCGCCGACGTAATTATTGAAATCCCGCTTACAGTACCGTCAGAAAAGATACCAAAAAACGGCCTTTCAGTCCCAACTTTCTTGAAAGACTTCAAACATTCAGTAACTTTCTAGGATTGTGATGAGTGTTATTTTTAATACTCTGATCGTTTCAGCTCACAAAAAACGCAACTTCAGAAACTTTCCGGAAAATTAAATTTACTACAGTAAAGTTGTGACCAAAGTCGCGTTTTTTCGCATTTTTTCTGACGGTACTGTAACTGATAGAGCTTTTTTCAGAATCAGTCCTTTTATTGACATCGCTCTGACAAAAAAGCTGAACACCCGCTACTCTACGTTCACCATACAAACAAACCAGAATACCCAAGAATTTTCTTACATTCCGCAGGTTTTCAATAAACCCCGACCTCTTAAAATTATTTTTTGCAGTTTCTCGGTTCAACTCAAGACGACAGATTTGCTTATAGTTTGAGTATAGCTTTCACTGACAATTCCCTCAATAGTTACAAGAGTTGGTTACAATCCGGTATGATTTTTCTGTTTTCGAAAATACCGATCAATTCAGAATATTCCGCCTGGAAGACGACGTTTTTACAATAAGAATACTTTATTGTTTCAACTTTATAATGAAAAATTCTTATAAATAATTTATGACAGATTAAGTGGACACAAGTTCCAGAAGGCTCAATCAATTATAATAAATAAGAAGGCATTTTTTTGAATAGATTTGGTACAGTTCGGTTGGCTCTGGGATAAAAAAAGCGGACATCACCGGATTAATCACAACACATTTTTAAATAATATTATATACAGAATAAAATGATTTTTCTTGCGTCAAACAATAACTGGGGAATAAGAGCAAAATCGTTGAGAATGGGCACATCAGCAAATCACAGTAGAGCAGATCGAATGGACGGCAAACTTTTCAAACTTGAATTCTGTGCGCTTCCGGCTCAAACTTTTTCCAGAGGTCACGAATCTTAAAATGATTATGAGAAAATAGTTTGGACAAGCTTATACTTTGAGTTGTAAGATTTTTTTTTAATAACAGTTTCCTAATTTCACCAATTTTCAGTTTGACGAATGATTTCTTTTAGTGATAACGCGCAGAATTTGTGGAAAGTTGTTTTGAACAACGTTGAAAAACTTCAAACCTCGGTTTGCGTGCGAACAATTGTTTCGAGGTACTCGATGAAAATATTCTTGAGGTCCTGCTTGCGCTCGGTTTCAAATCGGACCACCTCTTCCCGGATGCTCTTGCTCAAGTCGCTGAAGGCGCTCTCCAACTGATCCATCTTGTTGATTGTTTCTTCAATCTCAGCACGCATTTGCTCAGCCCGATCGTTGCGTCCAGATAATTCAAGCCTGAAATCGATTTTTATTGCGAATTGAAAACAATCTTCCTCGATTGTATTTGTGAAACGCACCGAGCTTTCTGTTCGCGTTTTTTGGTCAGCGTCTGCTGAGCGTTCTGCCAGGTCTGCCAAGCTTTGACGCGTTCTTCAAACACTTCTTTGAGCGACCCGATCAAAGAGACGTATTCCCCGATGCTTTCCGCCAACCTTTAAAAAATTTCAATGAAAATCGAAGCAATTTACGAGTAGTTCAAAAGAGCAACTATTTTTAGAACTGTTTCATTGTGTTTGCTAGCTATGTTTCATTGAGTTGTGTTCACGCTGGTTTCCGAGTCACTTTCATTTTTTTTTCGACAATGAATAAAACTTTTTCAAGTGCATCATCAATTTCAAATGCAAAGCTGCACCATAGCAACTCATTGGGCGCTATTTCTTGAAAAAAGGGCTTTCATGAGAAAGTGAAAATAATTTTTTTTACTGAGTGGTTAGAATAAATTCATTTTGCCAATAAGCTTCCGAAAAACAGGCGAAAAATTACTTAGCCGTATCAGCTTCGGCCTGTCGCGCCCAAAGAAGCGACGCGTGCTCCAAAGTGTCGGTAAAGTGAGAAAGTGCCCGAGCCAAAGAGGTCGACTCTTCGCACGAAGCTAGCATAGACATCGCCTGAAACGGTACAGTTGTACACAATCGATCGGATCTTCCCTACCTTGCTCAACTTTTCTTCACAAATCGAGTATTCTTTACGCGAAGACGCCAAGCTTTCAGAAAACTGATGGAACTTCCTCAGTGACTCATCCAATTCTTCAACCTAAAAGAACCCGGCATATTCTTTTTTGAACATCATCCATTTACCTGAGATTGAGCTTGCTCAAACCAGCGATCGCCTTCTTCCATATGAAATGCCATCCTAGTGAAAACCTGAGAAGAAAGTCTTAAATAAAAAAAAAATTTTTCTCACATCGCCGAAACTCTTGATCATCCTTTTCATTCCCGCACTAGAAAGCGCCGAAGTTTGAATAGCCTTGGGTAAATCGGTCTGAGAAAGTTGATTACACTCCAAAATAAACCTTCCAAACCTCAAGAGTCAGAAAATCTCGAACGTCACAATCTCCTTTAATTCTTGGGTGTTGGATGAGACGTTTCAAAAATCTTTCTAGCAAACGAGACCTTTTCAAGCCAACTTCGCGAGAATCGAGAGGGTTTGAAGCCGTCTTAATGATAAAATAGGAAAAATAGTCTTCATTAATAGTCACCTTGGTCTTGGTCATTGCAGCAAAACTTTTCTCTGGTGGCACAGGGACGACGATGCCTTTCGGTAAATACTTCTCCACAATTTTCTCATGAAGGCCCAGAAAATCGGAAAAACGCCTCCAAACGATATAATCACGATTGGCATATCCAGCAATGCCTTCAGTCTGCAAAAAGAGACGTTGGAAAAGATATAAATAGTTTTTAAATACCCTAGTGATAATTTTATAAACGATGAAAGCGTTCATTCCTTCGCCTCGCTTTTCAAAATCCGTCACCCGAATGAGTATATGAGAATTTGTGGGCTCGGGAGAAATCGATGCAAAACGGTCATCCAACGAAGAGTCGGCGTCAACATATCTGAAAAAGAGAAATGATAGAATCCTCAAAGAAATCAATATTTGATAAACCTAGCCGAGTCGTCAACAGTCGTCCTAGTGCTGACAAAAGTTTCGTCAAGAGAATCGTCATCGGTACGTTCTTCAGAAAGCACTGGATCGGCGTCCAAATTGATTTCTTCTCCTTCTTCCAGAAAGTTTTTCTGTCTAAAACAGTAAAACTGAAATGGAAAAAAACAAAAAAATTAAACTCTATAAATGTATAGTAAAAAAACAAACATTAAAAAAAGTTAAAAACCCCACATTCAGATTAACATTCGAATTGCCGGCCGAAGAAGTGTTTGAAACGCTCTCGTTGTCGTGATTCATCTTTCCTAATGACTCTAAATTAACTAATAAATGAAAGCAACTGCAAAAAATGAGGAAAAAACGTGCGACAGAGAACAAATCTTTGAACACGAATGTAAGAGGACTGAAAAAATGTTGTGCATGGCGGTTTGGCGATGGGGCGCATTTTTTCGCGGGCTGACGTGTTCTTTGCCCATATCGCGTTACCGCGCTCGGTTCTGCAGATCAAATCAAATCAAACAAATATTGAACACCTTAAGTCCGTTTTTGCTTGTTTTTCTTCACAATATATGCGGATTATTTTTTGCTTCTGTAATTTTCAAAGAAATCGACAAGACTTTAAATCTTTATTCGAATTCGCAGTTTATGATTTTGAAAAAATGTGTACAAAAATAGTTAGGAATCAGAACTTTATTTTCAAACTATCTTTATCTTCCTCCATCCCTTCGTTTTCAAAATGAGAGCCAGGATTGACAAGATTTAAAACTTCTTCCGGAAGACAACTGCGGTATATCTGAAAAAGTTTGTTTTCACTCTCAAAAGTCGACCAATTACCAAGTAAACAACGAGAGTGAGGACGATGAAGCCGGCAAGGATACTTCCAACGATAATTGGCACCAAGTCAGTGACATGTTGGTCTGACGAGCACGTTTCTCCTGATAAGGAAAACTGTGAAAAGCTACTTTTCAAGGAAAAAAACTTTGATCGAAGGTCTTGGATCTACTTGTTTTGAAGGCTTGGAGATAGGTCAGCGAGAACTCAACGCTGAAAAAAAAGTTATTGTAACAATTATATTTGAAAGAGCCTTATGAAAAACTTACTAAGCATAAGGGCCATAATAAGCGTTCTTGTTGATGTCGTACTTTTGTCTGCTGGGGCAATAATAAGAATGGCCGTTTTCCGCGTATATCGATTCGGAAATCGTTGAAAGATATGTTGTGTTAAGAGGTAAATAATACACTTGGGTGGGATCTGAATCTGTTATTAAGAGCACGAAACATCACTTCAGAAACCTCTCGCGTTCGGGAAAAGAGTCGGCTGAGAAGCATAGTTTGCAGTGACATTTATTGCAAACATCGCATACTGAGTCCCTTTATCGGTTCTCAAAAACACCGTGAGAAGAAAAGAGTTCAGTTTTATTTTTTTCCTTTTTAATAAAATAGATGATTGGAAAATTAATTTTTGAGATGATACGAGGAGAAAAAAATTGCTCAAAAAGTTGTGAATAAGATTTCGAAAGTAGAAATTACAATTAGTCCTGTTTCCAGAGAAAATGAACTGAGACAGAATGTTTTCCAGAATTTGGAAAATCCGATTTGAATCTAAGAAACATGTGTAGACAAGCTTCAAATCAAAAGAATAAAAGTTTCAACTCTTGATGTGTTGTTTTTCAAAACTTTTAATTGATACAAGAGATTACTTTGAAGCGTCTGCGAAATAAAACGTTATCCTCTTATCAAACGTTCTCACTAACGTTCGTGTTTCGATCAGAGGCTACTTACTTGAATAGAGGATCTTGAGTGAAGGCGATGTCCATTGACCATCCGTCCATCTAAACCAAGAAAAAGTCAATGATTTCTCGGGAAACAATCACATGATCAAAGTTGATTCTTAACAGTTGAGCTGCAACATTCAAAGATCCGGCTCTGACGTAGGTATTACAAGAAGAGACCACAGTATCGACTTTCGAAGTTGTTGGTACATGAACTTCAACGTCTTTCTGAAATATATCCTGCAAGATAGCCAGAGCGATTAGTAAACTTCACCATCCTTCGTATAGTAAGTCAGAAATAACTTAATATCTGCTTGCAACATTATACAGGCATTGGAAGAGCTGTCTAGAACCTGAAAAGAGTAAATTTGAATTTTTCCAAACTTTAATTCAAATTTTCCCAAACTCTCAAAATAATTATTTACCTGGTAGGTTCCTTTTGTTGGGCCTCCACTTCCTGAGGCATACGCCAAGAAAAAATTTGCTGAAAATTTTATTTTTAATGATAATGGTTTTTCGAATTCAACCTAAACATAAAAGTAGAAATCCTCGAGATGAGCTTGTTAGCAACATTTTTCAAAGGAGAAGGAAGCAACCCAGGACTGCCGAAACAATTTCTCCTCTTTTAATGAGTGTTTAATCGTACTGAAAACGCATTAAATCTTTATGACAATTATCAAGTAGCACGCGGACGTCAAACCGACAATGACATCTCGAGCAGCAATTATCGTTTCAAAGTGTTCAATTCCGATGGGAAAAAAACAATGGGAAAATAATTTATCCAAAGTGCGCATGTATACATGAAAAAAGAAATAATTTTCATTAGTTTCTGATGAACAAATTCATTGATGAAACTACATTTAAAAAAAGAAATCTCACTTCCTGAATCAGCTCTAAAAAAACCTTTTTGAAAAAATGTGTTTCAAAAGTCGAATTTATGTTTCAGATCTCGTGGGCCATCTCTTATCACCACAGTGCACACTAAAATAGCCATAATTGTCCTTATCTTGAATTTTGCAATTTCAATACTTTGGAATATTTTATATTTTTCGAATTTACTTTTGAATTTTATTCCAATTGTTCTCAGAAATTGTTAATGTGAACTGTGAATATTTTTTTCTTTTTGAAGAGTCTTTGCTTCATCAATTTTTATAAGGAAAAGGAGTGGTTCTAGTTTTTTCTAATGTCTTCAAAACCGACGTTATTTCTTCTTCTTCAACAATCATTTGATGAATTATTTTTTATTGCCTCTGGTTTTTATCATTATTAAATTTTCCGCTGCAACCGATATATTCATCTTTTTGCCGATGCCTTTCGTGCTCTAATCTCACGGCGCAATGTGGGCGCAGTTTTTTTGCAAAACAACCTATTCATACAAAATATCAACAATCTTGAAACTTTATTTTTTTCAATTCTCAAATTGGCTCTTTCCAGCTGCTTGTCAAAATGATCATTTAATTCATTAATAATTTTTTTGCTGGAGTAATTTTTTTCAGAAAAAATCCGAATGCTTCGTACGGTTTGTCGCGTGGGCGGCTTAACCACAATAACTGTTGGGTCATTTCTGCTGGGTCGAAGTTTTGAGGGAGAATCTGATGTTTTCAAAAAAGCACACGCTGCTACTGCCCTCACGGTAAGAAGTCCTTTTTCCTGTTCGATATCTTAAAGTACTTTTCAGCCTGCACCTATGCCACAAATACCTGTGACGGTGCCTGACTATGCCAGTACTTCAAAAGAATTGGCGCCTTCTAGAGCTTCTCAAATTATGAAGTATGGCTTCCCAGGATTTGATAATTTACGAACTTATGAAGACTTCGTGCTGTCCTACGACCGAAAAACTCGAACAGCTCACTGGGTGCTTTTTTGCGATTGTGTGATAAATGGCTGACTTTCAGGTTTGCGAGCACTTGACTCCAGACAGGCTCGTGTATGATAAATCTGTGGACAGGAATCTCTGTTCGTTCAGGCCTGATGAAAGCGTTCATAAGTATTTCCAGTCAAGAAATGAAGATTATAAGGTTTCAGAGAATACGTTTTCAACACATATTGAAAGTAAACTTGAGGGAAGTGGATTTGATCGTGGACACTTAGCAGCTGCGGGAAATCACAGACGATCCCAATCTTCTGTTGATCAAACTTTTCTTTTGACTAATATGAGTCCTCAAGTGGGAAAAGGTTTCAATCGAGACAAGTGGAACTGCTTAGAAAAATACTGCAGGTTTAGTGTTTTCTCATCAAACAAAAACTTTTTTCAAATTTGAGAGGAAGAGCCAAAAAAGCTTTGAATACCTATATCTTAACCGGGCCTCTCTATTTACCAAGAAAAGAGCTAGACGGAAGCTTATATGTCAAATATCAGGTGAGGTTAATTCAAAAAACTTTTTTAAAAGTCTTTTGATTAGACCATTTGAATTTTTTCAGGTCATAGGAGCTAATCATGTGGCTGTTCCCACGCATTTTTTCAAAGTTCTTCTTCTTGAAATTGCGCCTGGAAATTTCGAAATAGAATATTACATGCTTCCCAATCAGGTTTGCGTCGAAATGGATTCTCGATTTATAACACGAAAGTTTTTCAGCCAATTGACGATTCTGTTGAATTGACGTCGTTCCTTTGCGTTCCCGAGTTGATAGAACGTAGCGCGGGATTTTTAATCTTTGCCGATTTGCCGAAAAACCAAGTCAAGAAAATAAACCGAAAAGGAACCGGATTCTGGTAGTATCAAAGAAACGCTGAAATCATTCAGAATAAATCGAGACGTTGTTGTTTGGAACTGAAGTCATAATATAGGTTGTCAAATTATCAAGTCATATAATAGTTGTTAATAAGATGAATTCTTACATTTTTGTTATTTGTTTCTGTCTTTATTAATCTATAGTCACTCAAGTTCTGTTATCGTTGCTTGTTTTTCTGATAAAAAAATTTTTGAAATGGTTCTTTTTGGTTATTTTTCCTCTGAAAAAAATAAGATTTTTTTATTAACTACTATTTAAATTGGGCTTATAAACATTAGCATTTTTTTTAAACACCAGAAGAATGATGACCCTGCTGCTTATCTCCGGAAACGATCGCAGGGCAAGGAGAAAAAAAAAGAATTTTTGATTCCTTGACGCGCTGTAAAACACTGAAGAATGGAACAACGGCAAAATACCGTCAAAAGATAAGAATTGAGTTTTTTTTTCTGTCATGAAGGCGTAGTTCGACGTCCTGTGACGAATCGGGTCGCATTGCCGGGCGGCGCGACTTCGCGAGCCATCCAAAATGTTCAATAAGATCGCGATTTTTCTGCTGATTGTTCCCGCTGTCCATTCCGCCGTCGCCGTGTTTCCTACAAAGGTTTCGATTTGATTTCCATTTGTGCTAACTTATAGTTTCCTGCTAATGTTTCCATGTATCGGAGGTAAACAGAACTTAATTTTGAAAATCGGAATTTAGGTTGGCGACTTTCTGCTTTTGGATTTGGGAAAAGACATTCACGAGTGGCACCGCGTTAGGAATGGACAAGAAGAAGTTATCCGGTACATGATGTAAGCATGACATAAAGATAATCGGTGGCAATTGAGATACTGTGAAGACGATAAGCAGGCGCCGTCGTGCAACCGCTGGGTTGATAAGGTTTGTCGGGGTCTTCATTCGTAGTTTGGCAATGATAAAACGGAAAAATTTTTTGGCAACATCTGGGGACGAACTCCGCTCATTTGGCTGATAATCTTTAGAAAAAGGATCGTTGTCTCTTCTCCTGAATTGGCCAGAAAAAATTTTTCGTGAACCTCAGCATTTTCAATATCTCAAGAACAATATAATATGATATACAGTACCGCTCAAAAGTATATTAAGTTTTGGTTTTTTGAGGATATCTCAGCGAGTACTCATCCGATTTATATATAACTTTCAGGGATAATGTAAAATATTCTTTGAAACATATACGGTACACAAATACATGTCCGCAATCACTGTGACGCGTTTTAGGAATTTTTTTTTGATTTCAATTTTTTTTGTTTTTTACGCTTTTATTTTTATTTATTTTTATTAAATTTTTTAAAAGTAATAATGTTGCCATATGTTTTTTTTAATGTTTTCAGACATGGGAAGAACCTCTGGAAAAAAGGATCTGACTGATAACGACAAAAGGACCCCAGAATCTTGTTCCAGTCTTGACGGGTCCAGTTGAGATGCTCCTTCGCCCACTTCACCCTGGCGGCTCGATTCTATTCAGAAATCAGCGGTTTCTTCCCTGGACGTCTTCCCATGATTCCAGCAGCATTCAGACGTCGTTTCACAGTCGAGACGGATGGCGGAGATTTCGAATTCAAGAAAAATTCCCGTCTGATCGCAGGGGCGGTGAGTCTTGGATTGGTTCTAGACGTCTTCAAAATGTTTCTATTGCCACTACGATCAATGACACGTAGTCTTCCAGTTCGTTGGCTCTTAGTAGAGCCATCTTGCGCTTTTCAACTCTTCAGGAACTGAGAAATGCACGCCTCTGTCACGCCGAACATTCCTGCCAACGTCATCATGGTCAGTCCATTTTGACGACCCACAACGATGGCTCTTTTGTCGTTATCAGCCAAATCCTTTTTTTCAGAGGTTCTTCCCATGTCTGAAAACATGAAAAAAAACATATGGCAACATTATTACTTCTAAAAAATTTAATAAAAATAAATAAAAATAAAAGCGTAAAAAACAAAAAAAATTGAAATCAAAAAAAAATTCCTAAAACGCGTCACAGTGTTTGCGGACATGTATTTGTATACCGTATATGTTTCAAAGTATATTTTCCATTATCCCTGAAAGTTACATATAAATCGGATAAGTACTCGCTGAGATATCCTCAAAAAACCAAAACTTAATATACATATGAGCGGTACTGTAATTTAAAAACGGGACAGAATAAACCAAAAAACCGTTTTCAAAGATTGAAAAAGAGAGAAGGCTTTTCAACATATTACAAGCAAAAAATGAATAAAATTCACTGCACACAAATGGTGGTTTTTTTTTCACTTTTTGTAAAGTACGTCACTTTTGAATCAATCAATATCAATATTTATTGGTTGTTTTTAGTCAGATGGAATCGACTATAATAACGAAAACTGCCGTTTTAGATTTCAGGGAAAAAAAGTTAACGCTTTTTGTAATCACAAGCAATTTTTTTATCAGTGGAAAAAAATCTGAACCTCAAAATTTTTTTAAAAAAATTTTTATACAACGCTGATTGGGAGAATAAATCGATTTGTTTCTCATTTTCGAAGTAATTAATCTTATTTAATTCTCGAAAAATTGCTTGCAAGTTATAATTCCAACTTCCCAGATAAGAAATTAGGCCACGGGAATTTTTTCTCGGTACTTTTCCTTTCTGAAAACGGAATTCTTTCGTTCTCCCAAGTTTGGCTCGTTTTGAAGTCACGATCCCTCCAGGGCATGACCCCGGTAGACGACGGCCACGGAAGCATCTTCGCCAACGGAACTTTGCTCATCGATCCGTTCGAGTTGAAGGACGCCGGAGATTACTTCAGCAACGACGAACTCGAGAGGGTGAGCTCATCTCTCACTTCATTACCGGAACACTTTAGGTCCACTACTCCGTCGATGGACGCTACATGAAACTTGCTCGCACCAGAATATCTGTTATAGCAATCTGACTTTTTTTTTGCTTTTTGTGATTATCTTTCTCGGTCCATCGCTGGTTTCACAATGGACACAATCTCAAAATAAAATTATGCCTTTTTGCCTGAAAGAAAAACAATTTAAAGACATCTGCGCGAGGTCATCAGGTGTGAACAATCTGAAAACACATTTGTATGCCAAGGGCAAATTCTCACCTCTCGGATGTATCGAAACGATAAGAGCACTGCGCTCTATTGTTTTTACGATATCCGTTTATGGTCTTTTCTAGATTCTTTTTTTCTTTGGAAAAACCGCATTGAACTTGGAGCCTATATAAATCAGCTCAAAAACTTTTTTTCTTTTCTAAACTTTTTTTTTTAAACTTTTTCGTTCTGTCCTCATAATAAAACTGGGTAAAAGACACTTTTTTTGAGCCACGGCAAAAAAAAAGATGTATATTTTTTTCTTTTCACTGGAATTTTTCATTCAAATCATATCAAGTTTGCAAAAATTCCCATCGTAAAGCTTGAGAAACATTTGACACAGAACATTTTTTCAAGCATTTTTCGCGTTTTGTTTTCAGTTGAAAATTCAAACAGTGTAAATGCCTTAGTTCATTGATTCAAATAATGTAACATTTTTTTCACTCGAAAAAAATTTTTCAAAAAAATTTTTCCGATGAATCAAAGGCGTTTTTCAGCTTGTGCACCCAAAGGTTTTCAATCAAAATTGTGGAAAAAAAAACGCTAAAATTAGGGACCTTTGGCATTCATAATAAGAAAGTGGGTGAAACTCAAATGTGTAAGCAGCTCAAGAAAAAAAACAGTTCAAAAATTAAGTTAGTTGAGATTTATGACTCTTAATGGAAATATGCCATTTTTAATAGTTTATAAACTCCAGGAATTTCGAAATTTTGTAAAAATTCAGATTATTGTATTTTTTTCCTAAAAAAATTTGAAAAAAAGTTTGAGTGGCTTTTTCTGACTCATGCTTAAGAGTTCAGCATCGGAAACTGAAAAAAGAAAAAGCGTGAACGTCGGCGGACAAGAGTGAAGCGGACAAAGACATCTGTTCGTTTGGGGCAATGGCTAATTGATGGTGTGTGCTGGACGAAGGGCGATGACACATACACGAGGCCGGCCCGAGAGACGCCTTCTGGCCTGCCTCTTTTCTTCGTGTGCCAATCGTGCCATGTATCCTCGCATCGATCACTCGCTCCGGCCTATTACCTTTCTTCGCTAACCTACCCTTACCATGCTCGGGTCTTCCATTTTCTTGACCGCTCTCCTTCTTCTCTTGGGAATCCTGAACAATTGTCTTCCTTGATATTCTTATTTTAACTCATTTTGAAATGAATCTTTCCTTTTCATTCAATTATAAGTTTCTATTTTTTTCATTTTGCTGCAATCACCATTCTTAATTTTATCTTCGGATTTTTTATTAAAAAGGTCATTCTTGTGGCCTTCGTGTTCCGATGGATCTTCTTTCACCTTACATTCTATCATTTTTTCATGCTGTTCTCATAACCAACTTCTGGTTTTTCCAAAAATTTTTAGAAGCTTCTTTTTTTGTGAAACTTTTTCTTTTAATAAGTTTTTTTATATTATTTTTTTGTGATCAAAAAAATGTTTTTTTCAATTTTTTTAACTCGGAAGTTTGACATTATATATATATATTTGATTTCAGAGTTTTTTTAACTACTTGTCAGTTTTATTTCCATTCATTATCAATATTTCAAGTTGACTTCAGTGTCAGTAAAAAAACTTCGGAGTTTTTTTATTTTTTTAAGTTTATTTTTCAACTACAATAGTGACCAAATAGACTACCTTACATGTTTTTTTGCTTTTAACATTGCTCTGAACGATCAGAACCAACTGAAGGCGACGATATTGATATTTTTGTGTAGGACAGCTTTTAATATTATCAAAAAAACCGTTATTTTATGTTCAGAACAAATGAAAACTTATAGCTACCACAAACAAAAAAAGGATCGATTACTCGTTCTTCAACTTTTTTTGAGTAAGATTCATATTTCATTTGTCTCATTTGCTTATACAACTTTTTAAAAATTTCACTTGATCACTAATTTTTTTCTTGTTATTCATTTTTTTCTGTTGAATAACGGCAGTGAATAAACTATTACTATGAAAAAATGTTTTTGTTCATGTTTTTAAAAGTAAGGAAAATTTACTCAAAAAATATTCAACATAAATCCGTACTGAAAACAATTTATTCCACTGTTTTTCGTTATTGTTTATAGAAAAATGTTGAGAGAGCTTAACGAGTCCAAATGGATTGTCACTGCAAAATTTCTTCCTTTGAAATAAGACTAACTCTGGATTTTTTTCGCAACAAAATTCAATGGAGTTTGTGTTTTCAACAACTATTTGCTTTTTTGAAAAAAAAAGTACAAACAAAAAGTTAGCAACGTCATATTGGCTTTTTTTCTGCAAATTCGAACAGATCTGTAAATTTTTTTATTTTTTTACTAATAACTCAACGAATAAGTAGTGCCACAGTAGTACTGAATCAATTTTCAGCCTCCAGCCGAGGGCCATAAAAACTACTTTCCGTGCCTCGCTCTTTTATGAATATTTTTCCCGTTAACCCAATTGAGTTCCTGGCCCACCTGTGCACGGCGGTCACTGCAAAGGTCTTTACAGCTGCGCTCGCCAGGCTTCTGCCAATCTCTTCCAGCTTTTTTCATTCGCGCCCACTGCTTTGTCAAGATATTGTCAACCCGTTCGAATGGCGTTTCTGATTTTGCATTTTTTTTTGAATCTTTATGGTATTGTTTACGAAATGTTCAAACTCTCTTTCGATTCCCACACCTTTCAACAAAAAATTTTTTGAAAATACGTTCCTTCTTGTTTTTGGCCTGTTTTGTTCTAAAAACTTCAGATGTGAAGTACAAACAAAAAAATCTTAAGTCCATTCAAAACATGATGACGTCACGCTGGCCGGAGCCTTTGTTAAACAAAATGTCTCATCCACCGTGGCTCTCGAGGCCATTTTTCATTCGCTCGTACCGATCGCCTCTTGAGAAACTTCCAATTTTCTTTTGTACTAGTCCATACTTTGCAGAACAAGTTTTCATTCCAGTGTTATCTTCGAAAATGACCAGACCAACAGCTCCGATTCTCACGGCTGACTATTATACCTACTCTACTTACTCTCAGGTAGCCTTTCATCGACATGCACAGAAATTTCACAATTTCTCTTGGCAGGGTCGCGATTTCTACGGAGATTTCGAACCGAAAAGCGAAAGGAGTTACTCTTCTAACCAAAGACCCATCAGACTTGAGCCGACCATTTGCAAAAATAAATCGAGATGCAAACCGAGTGTAGAAGTTTTCGAGTTTGGAAATTGGAATTTGGATCAGAAAACTTTCAGGCTACGGGAGCGGCGCATTTCATCACTTTCTTGTATCTCATAACATCAATAATCGTTTTGGGTTTCCTGGTTTACGCGTATTATTTTCAAAGGATCAGAAATGAAGTGAGTTTCAGTTCGGAGAGAAATACAAAAAATGACGACTTTTTGCTGAATCTGTCCAGATTTTCATTTTATCAGAAAAAAAGAAAAGAAAATTCGTGTATCAATCGTTAAAACTAGGCTTACACTTGATTTGGAAGTGGAGCTAAGGAAATTAGTTGTGCAAATACAAGGAAGGCAAAAAACCTCTAAAAAACTAAGGCAGACAGAACAAATTTGAAAGATTACGCCTTTTCATTCGTTTTCTGTAAAAAATGTTTTTCCAGAGGAGTAAATTTGCCAAAAATCTCAACTCTACAAGAAGTGACCTCAATAATTTTCACCTCAAAGAGATTAATTTGGCAGAAAACAACACAGCTTCACACATATCTTCTGACTTTCAAAGAAAAAAAAATCTTAAAAGTCTTTTTATGTGAGATTCGCCCATTCTTAGAACCTACTTAACGAAATAGTTTTCATTTGTTTCCGAGTCTTGAAACCAAACGTCAGACAATTTAATGTTTTTTGAAACTGTAGCAAACAGGAAAAAAACTTAAATCATAAACAATTTTTTCTCAGTTTTTCTGCCTACACTGTTCTGAGAATCGCAAAAATTTTTTTATAATTAAATATATATTTTTCTCATAAAGAACTGAAAAGAAAAACACGGCCAAACTCATTTATTGATTTGAAAAGCTCGCAATCATAATGCGGTTTCATAGGCCGTTTCCTACGCATCTTGGGTGATGGCGGCGATCGCCTCGACCAGCGTCTTGATGCACGTCGGAATAGCCAAGCGGCAGCCTTTTCTCTGCATCCCGTTCGTCGTGCTCCGAGTATGATTGATGTCGGATTGGCCCCCATCAAGCTCCGATTTGCAGACAATGGAAGCGTTCACATGCATCTGCCTCATCATTGCCTTCGTTTGGTCGATCGCCGACCGCAACAACGAATTTTACAACTTCTTCGTCAGATGCACGGAGTTTCTGCTCGCCTTTTTGCCGTCCAAATACAACATTAACCTTAATGACGGTGAGAAATACACGCCCCTCCAAACAACAAGAAAAAAATTATGACAATCATATTTCAAGGAATAGAAAAAAAACCACTTTAAAATCTGAAACTCAAATTTAACATTTCATTGAGCTTGCCTCGAAAAACATCTAATAGGCTTGATGACCCCTTTTAAATATTTTTCGATTATTTTCTGAGTTTGACGGAACAATTTTTCATTTGTCAAATTTTCAAAAGACTTGAGTTATTAAATCTTGAAGGAAGTTTTTCCCCTATCCTCATAGATTTCTGACTTGATCGTCATCTTTTTTTGATATCAATTAACAATTTCAAGCTCAAATTTTTTTTAGACTCAGCAAGTCTGTCTTTGACCTTTCACTTCTCATGATTAAGTAATTAGAACTTAGAGAGGTTGAATTTCGGCATTTTCTATTTTTTTTTTTTTGCATTCTATTCAGGCAAAAAAGATTTAAAAATTAGACGTAGTTGACTTACCTGTGGCTGTTTTTTGTTGAGCGCAGAACACTGTAGCAAAAAAACCTTTCCATTCTGCGCTCAAAAATGGTGCCCAAATGATAAATTTTTCCATTGCTAGTTTTGAAAATAGAAGATAAGTCAATATACTTTGTTAAACTTCTAAGTTTTCGAAACTCCTTTAAGTTGAAAAGAACGAATTATCGATGATTATTCTTGAGTCAAATCAACGGTTAATGAACTATCATAACAATAAACCTAATCTTTTTAAAATAAGTTTTTGATTCGAGTGCAATTTGGCTATTCATTTTTCAATTGACTTGCTACGATCTTACAGGAAAAAGCTGTTTAAAATTCAGTTTTTTTTTTGGAAAATGGTTGGCACATGTCCGAAAGTACTGTGTACAGATAACAAAATAAAAACCTGAAAAGATTCAGCCAAAAAATTGGCATGTTTGAACCTTGTGGGAAGTAGACTGTTTTGTGAAAATTATCTTCTTTTTTATTTCATTTCATGCCAGACGAGAATGGAAAGTAAACATTTCAAATGTCAGAAAAGTCGGAAACTTTGAGTTATAGCCCATTTATAAATGCAGTCAAAACCTATTAGAGCTGGAGCAGTTCTGATGGAAGGATTATGATTTTATGACCGGTTAACTCCTGTCTAATTAATTTGAACAAACTGATGAGTTTGCAGCGGCGATTCAACTGTGCATCATCGGCCTGGTTTTGACGGTGACTCTTCTCGGCCTTTCAGTCTACATTTGCCGCGTCTCCTTCGAGTGCACCATGTGGGTGGCCGACGAACTTCGTGCACGTCGTCAACAGAAAACCTTCGAACAATCCAGAACTCGCATCGCCAGCGACGAACTCTACTGCAATTGAAATTTTTCTTGACTTTGCCATTGCAAATAATGCGCTTCTGATGAAATCAAACTCAGTTTTTCTCATGGAATTTGTTCGAGACGTAATTAATGACTGTTTTGCTCAAAAACTGATGAGATTAATTTATAAAAACAAAAAATAACTTTTCCATTCAATCATTTTTTTTTCAACTGACTACATATTTTTGAACTGACGCAAAACTTCTTTTTTTGTATGTTTTGCGATTTTTCTGAGATTTTTTTCTCTGACCGTTCCTGTCTATAAGATATTATCTTAAGAGCTAAACCATGATTCCTTCTTTTTCTGGTTCATATTCCCTGCCAAAGTCTACTCATTCAGTCAGGAAACGCCTGACAAGTATGCTCATAAGCTTTCTCTTCTTCATTGATCTTTGCTGTTGTTGAATTTTTGTGTAAATTTTTGTGAAATGTGTAATAAAATACAATTCTAATCGTTTTAATCAATAGCAAATACATTTGAAAAAGTGCGTACATTTTTTTAAAAACAGATAAAAAAAATCGAAAAAGATCATAACATATAGAAATCTCACAGGGGCATGGGATGAAAACATTTAAAAAATGCTCAGAATTCAATAAAAGAAGAGTGTAAAATCGAAATCGAGAAAAGAAGTAGTGCGGTCAAAAAAGTGTCATGTTTCCGTGGGCAAAAAATTTGAATAGCTAGTTATTCTCATTGAATTCGACAAAAAGGCGAAGTTGAACATGTATTTTAATTTTCTCTAAACGAATATTAAGACAAGAGCTGCAAGAGCTACAGAGAGCTTGTGTACGGCCGATCCCGAGGTGGCGACGATGTTCTTGTCCACTTTGTCGACGTTTTCTTCGAGAGTCTTCTCAGCCGCGTCTTCACCATCGACTTTCTGATCCTCTTCGCTCTCACTCGACGCTTCTTTCGGGGCCAAGGTTGTCTGAAAAAGTTCAGTGAAATGGATTTCTCCCAACCCCAAAAAGTATAACGAGGTAATAAACTACGATTTTATGGCTATTTTGGTGAGAAAAGGAAGATTTCAAATTTTGCCGCGCTCCTGCAATAAAGGAACGCATCGACGATGTGCGCTAGTTTTTGTGGGTGCGAAATACGAACTCAAGGTGGTTCTGACCTCGGCGATTTCTTCATCACTTCCACAGAAAGCTCCAGTTTTACCAGCATTGCACACGCAGCGGTTGCATTCACAATGACCGTTGTTTGAACAGACCATCTGAATATTTGAGTAGTCCGTAGAAGTCTAGTCAAAATAAAATACACAGCTCGAAATTTGAAGACTTACAAAATTTCAAAAGCAAGTCAAATTTCTCTCAAAAACGGATTCCAATTAACAGTTTACGAGGGCGAATTTGCACTCTACATCACGGAAACCGCGAAACTCAAGTTTCCAGGTTTTTTTATATAAAATACAAAATTCTTTCTCATCATTCATTCTAATTTTTAAAAAAATTACTTACGCTGTTTTTCTAGACAGTTTGAGTTGGCTGTCGAGCAAGAACAGTCTTCACGCTCCCAACCAACTTCGCATCTGCAGTTTGAATAAAAGTTTTTTTTCAAGTTCAATTTCTCACTTGCACTTTCCGCAATCGCAAACTCCATTGGAAGAGCAAATCTGACCGTTGGCTCCTTTCGGGCAAGATGTATGGTCGCACTGGCAGAACTTTCCAGAAATCTACAATTTAATTTTATTGATTAAAGAATAAAAAATCGGTTTTTTTTTTCTCTCTTAGAAAAAGTATCGGTCATATACGTGGGTCGATGCTACCCTCTGTTATCCCACAGAAACTAGATGTTTTTGTAATCGACCTTTTTCTGTGGATTACAACACCTTGGGAACAAGATAAATGGTTGCGGCGGCTGTTGCGGTGAACAACGAAGAAAGCTTGAATAAAGAGAACAACCTACAGTAGGACTATTGCACCGACACTTGCCGCATTGGCAGACGCCCTGACCGTTGCACACTTCAGAAGACTCTTCGCTGAAAGTTTTCAGATTTTCGAAGTTAGTTCATCTGAAAACTTGAAAAAAAGAAGAACTCTACTGAATTGAGAGCCGAAAAAATACTTATAAACAAAAAAGCTACAATTCACCCAGGTCTGCAAATAAATTTTGTGTTTTCACCTTTAAGGGGAACTTTTCAATTATTTAATGAATTGAATCTCGAACTATTTTCTGGAATTTCGCTAGCAAATATTAACTCTATGTTGAATAATTATTTAGTTAGTCATTTTCTATTTTTGGTCTGAAAAATTTTTAAAATGAGTAATTACAGACATTTTTTCATAAGAGCAAGAAAAATTCAAAAATTGGTTTTATTCTGTTTGGAAAACTTTGTGGAACCTAAAGTTATGTTTCACCGAAACCGTTTAATCAGAAAAGCAAGTACCACCGCCCGATCCTCTAGAAATCGCTATTGTACACCATCGCTCGATAAGTTTCTTCTCTCGTTTATATTACAACGCTCGGATCAAAGCTTTGACCGAAGCCGTAAGAAATGATCAATGGGGGTATAAGCTGTCAGAAAAGAAGATAAACCCACTCGCGACACTGTGCGTCAAGTTGCGCAGAGCTCGAGACACCGTAAAGCGACAGGGCGCACTCGCATTTGTCGCCGCCTCGCGACGCGTCGCAGATGCATTGGCCGCAGATGAGATGACCGTGTTGGTGACAAAGCGGCGAGTTGCGCTCCTGCAGATCGTTCCGGTCGGTCGGACGTCTGGTCTGGAGAACTCACGTTGTGCTTCTCGCACTCGCAGCCGCAGATCGGGGTCACGTACAGAGCAGAGATGATTTGCTGCCCACGGACGCCTAGCGAAAGAGTTATATCGCCTTGAGAAGAGCACGTCTCCAGTGTCGCCTAAAAAGTTCGATTCAAAGCTCTCTGTCGAGTTAATTCCACTTCTGAGTCGAAATCGATGAGATACTTTAAGAAGTAGATCTTTAACGGATTTCGAGTTGCTTCCCAGCAAAATTTTAGATTGCAAAAACATAGAAAATCTGAAAAGTATTACAAAAATCCGATTGACTAGAAATTTCAAATACCTATGAGTTAATTGTGAAAAAAATGTTCATCTTAAAAATTTGGTTTGCTTCTTGTTCTGAGTTTTGGATTTCCGATAAATATTGAGAACAAAGTTTGAAAAATTACCTCAACACGAAACTCGACGATCTGATTTTCTCGAACTGCGCAAGTCTTTGTTTCCTTTTCAGCTCTACAAAAAAAAATGAATATCTCATTGTACGTCTCGAAAATCACCCATCACAATTGATGAAAAATTTAAGTTTTAGAGCAGTGTTCTGATATTCAGATGTCTGAATTTCCATGGTCGTGGCGCCAGCTCGGTTCAGATACTTGAAAGGAACGTTCACAGCGTTTCCTGCAACGTTTCACCTTATAGTTTATGCTTTTCCTAGCTTAATAAAAAATTTGTCGCATTCTAAAGTGCGTCCCGCCGCCATAAGAGAGCAATAAATAGGCGACAAGCTTTTATGACGGAATCTTTACAACAGGGCTCAGTGCCAGAAGTGCTCGACCAGTTGCACTGGATTCATCATACAGCAAAAAAACAAGAAAAAAATATGTCAATATAATGCGGTTTCAACACAATAATATAATAATCATTCTCGCAAAGTTTTTATCATTTGACGACTTCTTACTTGAAAAAAATGAAAAAAAGTTGCACAAAAGTTTTTAAGCAAAGCTTCTTTTTCTCAAGTTTGATAAAAAAAGAAAAAGTTAATCACCTGGCATGAGTCTGATTGAGACTTGTTGTGGTTCAAGCCGGACTACAGTTCCATCGCTTTTTGTGGATTCGAGGGGATACGTCTCAACCACACAATAAATTTTAATTTAGTTCTGAATCCAACGTACCGGTTTTAAGACTGTGACTTGAGCTTGTGGAGGAGAGTATACGTAACTCGGATGACAGCTATTGTTAACGAAAAGCGTTTTCAATTGACATCGGTTTTTGGCGGTAGAATGCTGGAAAGTTGCATGTCTTTTTAGTATAAGTAATTGAGAGAGTTTATATAAAACTCTTCGCTCGTTTTGTTACTCCGACAATTTTCAGGTCTCACTTACGGGGTCTGTGCACCAAGCGCAGTCCGGATGTTTCTTGATACACTGTCCACAACTGAGCTGAGCGTCAGCTTGCGAGCAAAGAAAAGCAGTGTCATCTGGAAAAAAGGTAGATAAAAGGCAAAACTCAAATCCCAGCAGAAGCTCTCACCTGCAAATGCAATAGCGCAGAGAAGCAGATAGATAAGTAGACTCCGCATCTTTCAAAACTTTGACGCACTTCTTCAAACTGAAACTAAGAAGGCATGCAAAAACTCAAGAAAAAAAAGACGACAGTATCCATGCAATGTGGAACAGAAAAAACGTAAACAGTGGCGAGTGGCGTTCGAAAAAGCGTCAAATGAAATTGAAACCTTTGACAGTTGTCTCAGGGCGAAGAAATTCGCAAATTATGCAGTCAAGGTGTTTGCTGGCAAAAACCTCTGAAGTGTAAACAAAAATTAGTATAGTTTCCTGAGCTCTCAATTGTTGAGAAAAAGTCTCAAAACTGAGGTTTGCAATTCTATTAAAAAAAAATCTACAAAATTTCCACAAAATATTCAACAAAACTTCATTTCGACGTTGAAAAACTTCAAAAATCTTGAAATTATGAAATATACTAGTTTTCTCAGAAGCACAATCAGCAAAATGAGCAAAGGCTTAAAAAGTTAATTTCAGTTAGGATGACATTTCAGAAAAGTTGTTTTCCTCTTTTGGGAAAAAAATAAAAGCAAAACATTGACCTATATGTAGAAAGAACTTTGCTTGGCAAGGATACGCAATGAATATTGGGCTGTTGATAATGTTGTCTGGCGAGCAGGAAGGAAGGGTGGGAGGTCGAAGAAACAAGAGTTTGCCAGCTGCCAGTTGTTGGTTGGTCTGACCTAAGAGACATTCCCTCGGACGCATCGAGCACCAGAAATGCCTCGTTTTACATAAGCCCTTGTCCAAGGAACGGCCCAATGGCAGGTTAAAAAACATTTGTGAGCTCTAACAAGTGCACATGTCTTGCGATGTGACGACGCAGAACATTTGTCCCGGGGCTCAAAAGAAACGATATAATGAATAGGACGAATTGGTGTGCGAGCCAGCTTGATCTGCCCGCCGATCACAGGCAGCAGCTGTGCTTGAGAGCGTGTGTTGAAGCTCGTCTTTTCCAGTACGCGACGCAGTACGTACACCACACTTGTCGTCGTTGCTCTCCTCTGACGGGAGTCTGAGTAACTCATGAATACTGTTCACAAGTGTCACTATCTTTTTTGGAGTTTTCAGCAAATGATATATTCTTTTTGATAATCGACTGCTCGAATGAGGAAAATTATTGTTGTGTTTTTGAGGTGGGAAAGATAAGTGCTTTTTTTCAAGTCTCAAATATTTTTTATTGACTGGCCTCTTCCATTTATCATTTCAAAACTTTTAACCTGAATAAAAAGAAAATGTTAAGAATCGAGCTCTTTTCAACTTCGTACTTCAGAAACTGCTCAAAAAAGGAAAAAAAAAATGCACACCTGAGAATCTCTTATAAGTTGGAAATTGCGAAAAACATTTCGAATTTTTTTCCGAGGGTCATATGTTTATGAAATAGTGCAGTTCCAAGCTAGAGAGCCAAACTCTTCCGTCAAGATTAACTAATTCTTGGAGGAAAAAAAGTGAAAAAATTACTCCTCGGCTTTGGTAACCGAAGTCAAATTAAAAAAATTCTATTGTGCGGTTTCAGCTTTTAGGAAAAAAAATTTGGGCACGGTTAAATAAAAACTCGATGGTTAACGTTTTATTCTTTGCAAAATCGGATATTTCTTCTTATACTTTATTGAGAAAAAGGCGAGTTTGAAGACACCAATAAGTTTGAAAACGAAAAGATGAAGACGAAGAAGAAACCTTGAGGTTTTGGCTGCCAAATGTTATGATAGTGAATGTCGCAGTGTAGTTGGGGCGGCACACATGCGTCGTTGTAGAGCTGAGTTTTTTTGGACCATATGGATAGCCACCGCCCTTCCGTTTAATGATCACTTCGCGAAAATCCTAGCAATCTTAAATAATGTGTAAGCCCCGCGGCAACTCACTTTTTTGCTTCCGCAGCTGCGGAATCTCGTGCCAATCGAGACTCGCTTTGGGAACTTGAGCCGCCTGCGCATCGCAACTGATGGCTCCACAAAAACGCAACTTTTTCTGACCTCGATGATCGGAAATGTATAGTGGAGCTGTTCGACGGATCCTTTGACAAAAAATCGCCGCTGATCACCGTAATCCCGTAGATGTTGTTTGATTTATGCTTCGTCTTGGCTTCTTCTAGAAACCTTTGAAGTCAAAAGAAAAATAGCAAAAATGAACTGATTCAGAAAATTAAAATCATAAGTTTTTGAAATTATCTCCTTCTACGAATTGTCGAAAATAATTAATTGGAACTTCAGGCTTTTTTTCAAAAAGAAAACCAGTTCGAAAAAAAGTAGTTTTCTAAAACTATGTAATACTTTCAAAAACTCATAATTCGAGAGAAATACGAGTCCCACAGTTTTTTTGCATGTTTAAAAAAATCTGAACAGCACTAATGAACAGACTGATCCTGTATACTCAAAAATTGAGCCAAAGGAAGTGAAAATGAATCAAAGAGTCAATATCCATCAGAAAATTATTCATAGAGTGACTTTAGCCGACTTTTATTTTTTTTAATGAATTTTGTTTTTAGAATCAGTTCTATAATAATTGTTTTTTTTAGTGATTGTTTTCTCCCCGCGAAAAGTACATAAAAAACGTTTTTCTGAGTGAAAAGTTTCTATTATTATTATTTATTAATTTTACACGGTATCACGAACCTGCAGCTGAAATGCACCACACGAAAATCACATAGATTAAGGTTATGCTCTTCATAAAGCTTAACTGGAAGCTGGAGAAGGGTGTTCGGAAAACAAAAAATGCAGAAGACAAGGGAAAGTCAACTTAATTGCAGGAACTGCAAAACCGGTAGCGGTCGGGGAGCAGGATTACCTTTGAAATGTCGGTCACTTGTAAGAGACGCGTTAATTGTCGACTTCGCAACAGTTCGTCGGTCATTATTATGTGAACTTAGTCTCTGAAACGAAAATCGCCGCTAAATATTTATTCATCAGAAAAGTGTACAAGTTCACAGTTGAAATGAGATATGAAGGATTTGAATACAAGAGATATAAAAAATAGAAATACTTAAAAGATGACCTCCCAAAAAGTAGTAGTTGACCTAAGATTTCCCGTCAAAAGAAAAGCTGCGAATTATTATACAGAATAAGAAGCGAAGGAAAAGACTTTGCGCGAATTATCCATGTCATTCAGAAAGACTTGTCGTTGCGATCCCAATGGTGGGCGACGTCCACGTTCGTGTGACGGTAGCTACTTTGATCTCTGCAATAAATTCCAGTAACATCTTCGACTCCTCGAAATAAATGAAAACTGTTTTTCAATTATTTGAAAATTTCACAAAATCTATTTTTGTCATTAAGAACTCTTTTTTTCTTCAGATTAGAAGTTTTTTTCTTATTTTTTTCTCTAATGGAGTCTAAAATTTGGATTTACCTAAAATCGTTAACGGTTATTTGATAATCGAAAAAAATTTCTAGTGCGTTTGTGGTCTTCTTTTTTTGTTGCAACGTGGTATTTCGAGGCGCACAAACGGAAAAAAAAACTTTTCGGCTCAGTAATTGTGTACTGTGAATTAATTTCCACGGTTTGGATCAGATTTTTGCACGAAAAAGTTAAGTTTTCAAAGATAAAATAATTACTTGAGACAATCGTCGTGCTTTTTGTACTCGAGAACGGCATTGACTGGAAGCTGAAGCAAGCGTCTGACCGTATCCCGAATCCGACTAGTCACTTCCACATGCTCCGCCGTTCTGAAAGATAATCAATTTGCTCTACTGCTTTATTGCATCGTTAGTTTTTTTTCTTGGAAACATCTGCTTTCCATGCAAAAGAAAGACACTAAACGCAAAAAACCAGAAATTTGAACTATCTAGTGAAGGCAGTCATAAAAGAGAGCAACAGACTTGTTCCAGAGAGAAATGATGTCCTCTTGGTTCCGAATAGAACAAACGGCTCCGCAGATCTCATTCCCAACGTTGAATTGCTCTCCAATAATTGCGAGCAACAAATTTTCCCAGTAGCGCGATGAAAGTCCCTAAAAATACAAGAAATTTTTAGATCGTTCGCTTGAGAGTTTTAATAGTTTTGAAGCAGTTGATTTTCTTTAAAAGTTTTTTCTTGAAGTTTAATAGGTTGATTTTGTTGTCAAATTTAGTTGATATACAAATTAGAATTGAACCTTTTTCAAACGAATAATCCATTTTCCTCCTTTGATGTTTGCCGGATCTTCCCAAACGGGTTTAATACCTTTTTTGAAAAAATGCAGGTCGGCCTTGTCAGCCATATCTGCAGATCGAAGACTTATTTTCAGTAAAGAAGCTTCAACAAACCAGTAGGACGCTTGACATGCGAAATGATAGACCAAAACTGTTCTACACTTGAAACCGAAGCGACTGGTTGTACGTAGTTGGCGTATTCCACGGGATCGAATTTTCCGTTCGGCCGCACAAAATAAGTGAAAACGTAGGTGTGCTCCAGAAGATGTTCTCCGGATGCTGGACTGCTTTCCGTCTGAATACCGGTTTATTGAACGGTCTCTTGGTCAGGAATGCTCACAACAAACATCGGCAAACATTTTTTTTCACTTCGTGGTTTCTCAGTAGCTGACGTCATTGTATGATCTGTAGAAAACAAGAAAAAATAAATTGAACTTCAATTAAAAAAAAAAATATGATAGTCGATAAGACGCCATCGTGAAGATCGCAACAAAATTCTTGAAAGATCAAAAAACATTTATTTTCCGGTATTAGATACCTTATCACTCATTGTTATCACAGATATCTCAACCTTGAAAATCAAATCTCACAGTAAAGCTCGTATATAATAAAGGAAACTCGTAGAATCACAAAGTACGCATATTTTACAAAATAATGACAAAATAAAATGAAATTCTCAAAAAAGGGTTTTTATGTATTCAATAGAAGATTGGAAAAGGGTCCAGTAATACGCCTCCCGGCCTTCTCGTATTTTGTTCTCAGCAAAGGACTCGATATACTGCAAATTGGACAACAAAGCTGGTGGGTTTGCCTAAAAAAAACAAATATATATAAACAGAATCACTGTAGGCTCGAATAACCTGAATCAGCACATAAACCAGGACAGGTATCAGATCGTCTGCGGCCGCAATATTCTGGTCTCCAGCCATAGCGACCAGGTTGTTGATGCACTCGCAACATCTCAAATTTGCACTTTTTCCTATTAAAGAGCGCACAAGAATTATAATGTAAAAACAGCTTGATTTTAAAAAAAGAACTCAAAAAATAATTAGCTTCTCCAAAATATTTTTACCATTCGTTACAAAGCCTTTTGAAAATCAAAGTATTTTGGATTCAGCTCATTTCAATATATGAGATCTTCACACATTTTTAACTATTGAGAAAATTTTATTTTGGGAAATTTGAAAATTTTTCATTTCAGTAGCCCAAAAAGTTCAAATTTTAACATTCTTACAAGAAATGAATGAACGATAAAATGAAAAAAATTTGGAATGAACACCCTTTTCTTTTTGTGACGTAAAGTCTGCTGTTTACGTACTCGACGTTATGATAGACGACAAATATATAATTTTTATTTAGCGGATAGTTTTTTTGAGGACAAACCTCACAACACATTCAAGCTTATCGATGGCCGATTTGTAAGCGTTGATTACTTTGATCTCTGCTTGAGCGGAGGGCCAAGGCGCCTCGCCGTGTAACTTCTGAGAATTTTTAAATCCCATTCATTTGAAAAATACCCATACCTCGTTTATTGCTATACTTGCACTTTTGTGCGTTATTTTGGCAACCAGTTTGCTGACGTTGACGTAAAACACACTGAAAAGTTCATTTGAGGTGTTACAGAGAGAAAAAACCCACTCATCGCGGAATCTGTCGGCGTCACTGTTGGGATAGAAGGCGTGAGGATGAACATATCGCATAACTTCTCGTTCCAAGGCTTTCTTTGTGTAGGACAACATTGCTGATGGAGCATCCTAAAAAGTTTAAACGCTTTTTTTTTCATTTCTGAACGAACATTCGTCACCTTCCACAAAGAATGATGGGGAATTTTCTGATGTAATCTAAGAACCATTTTTTGAACCGCGTCAGATCTTTCATCCTGAAAATAAGTTGCTTTTGAGAAACTTTTCTCATTCAAAAAGTTTACTAGAACTTGAACACACACCTGAGCATGAAGAGCTCTGAATTCTCGAACAAAAGCCGTCATCTGTTCTTCTTCTTCTTTTACCGAAAAGAAAGCTCTCGTGAGTAACTGAACTAGCGACTCCAAAATCAGTTGCTTGTTTCTGTAAAGGAAATGTTTCTCACATCAATGGGAGAAACTCACAATTCAATTCTACATTCAAGAGCGTCGAGCAGGGACAACGTCCCCATGTGACGCAGTCGCATTGCTTGAAGGTCCAAAATTTTTCGTTCCTGTTCGTCGTTTCCTTCTTTCAGTTTATCGATCAAAGTATCGATTCTGAAATATCAGTTTTTCTAACTCTTCCATGCTTTTAAATGAAATTTTTTCCGGTAATGTTTTTATTCCAAAAAAAGTTATTCTACCGCTTTAATCCTAATATTCAGAAATTGATAACTTTTTTGTGATGATTTTTTCCACTGAAAAAGTGAACGAAATTCTTGCAATACACGTTTCTAAAAAAAAATAATTAAAAAAAAATACCCATTGGAGTCAAAAAAGTCGACACATCGGATGACTTCGCGAATTCGAGCAGCCATGCCATGATCCCGTCCATGAATCTTTTCTGCCAACACGGCTTGTAGCAATTCTTTCAACCTTTTTTGTTGATCCAACTGTATCAATCTGATCAACGATAAGTTCGCTCAAATACAGATTCGAACGAACTCACGTGTTTTCGAGAAGCGTGAGTTTTGGCAGATTACAGACGTTGCCCAAAACAGTTCTCAGTTTTCTCAAAGTGTCACTGAATGCCCTAAAAGAGACTGAAATTCTATTTTTCACACCGAATCAACCTGCATGATAAAAGGTTTGTTGAGCTGTAGTATTCTACTTCGGGCATATTTCTTTCCTAAATACAAAAAATATGGGAAAATCTAAAAATGAATTTTACTGGGATACTTCCAACCGGAGACGGTAGCAACGGAGGAATACACGATTTCCCCGCATACTTTGCCAAAATCGCATCAGGAGAGAGGGGAGTTTCTTCTGAACATTTCTTTTCCGATGAGAATAGGAAAACTGAAAAACTGGACAAAAGATTGTCGCTGATGCTGGTCGGCAGAGAACTCTCATTCTTTGAGCTTTGAGCCATTTCCGATAATAACTCCGAAATTGTGTCAGAATGCTTGGAAAAAGGCGTTATTCCTTGAAATCGTTAGAATTAAAGATATCAAAGAGTTCAGGAACCTTTTTTCACTCGCATCCCAAAACGTTTGATGATATCCAAACCTCGCGCAGCATTTCCTTCATCTAACTGATTGTTGGAACCATTGGAACTTTGGCCCGTCAATTCTAAAGGAATCTGCCGTGTTTCGGCCAGCTCCAAAATTTCAATCGTTTCTGCATGTTCAGATATCAATCAATAAAGATTGTTAGCCCACCCGCATTATTTTTTATCGCTTCATTGCCAGGATCCATCAAAGTTTCCTTCGCTTCCAAGTCGCTCTTCGCTGCTGAAAAAGTTGTTATTCGCAGTCAAACAGTAACAAATCAAACTTTCTTGTTTATCTCCTAGCAAATTCATGTCCATGATAGAAGAGGACACATTTTGCGTGCGGTCCGTTGCATCAACTGGAGAATCTTCGGCTTGATAATTTCTCTCGATTGGGAATCTTGAAATATTTTTCAAAAAAAAAAACATTCATAAAAACTTACAATTTGTAATCAAAAATCAGAAGGTCAGTCGACGGAGAAAAAAATCATCGACTTTATCAGATTCCACTTCAAGATCAGCAGTTTTTCTTGGAAGACCCAAAAGGAAAGTTCACTGAAAGACCGGCAAATGCGAGAATTTATAGTTTCTTAACTTTTTTGTGTGATATTTCTTAGTCTTCCGCTCTTTTCAGCCGTGTCTCTCGATTGTGTTTGAGGCGAAGTAGTGGAATGTGCCGTTGGAGAGAAATTCGCAGGCAAACGATTGATCGCTTTTTCCAGGCTCTTCGGCATTTTCCATTGTTTCTTCGTTCTTTCCACATCAAATATCTTGGCCTGAAATTTGCGATTCTTTTGGAAAACAAAGCCGCCAATCCAACCAAAATGTTGATTTCGTACAGAGTACCAACAAAAAAGTCTTTGCAGCAAGAAGAGCTTTCTGAAGTTTGATGATCGATGAAGGCGTCGAGATTTTCTTCATCGATCAGCGATAAAGGCAATTTGATCTGGAGCAGATTTTTTACGAACTTGCGCATTGGATGCTAAATCGGGTAAAAGTTCATAATTGCCTTGAAACGTCATTTACGTGTTCAAACTGGAAAACAAAAAATTTCAAATCGGCGGAAGGAGTTTCATAGTCACTTAACGCTAGAGCCTGAAAAATATAAGAGTTTGACTAGATTTTTTTCTCAAAAAAACCTGAACTATTTGGGCTATTTGCATGAGATTGAACCGCGTGATATGGCTAATGGGAATATCACTAATGATCCCAAACTTCTCCGGATCGATGATGGCTGGACAAATCAGGTTAGTAACAATGAGATCAGTGCAAATGATTTCTGCCTGGAACGATCTCAATGTAAAAAGGAATAAGTCCTAGAAAAACCTCTTTTTCCGACAATCCTTTCCCTTCAGTTAACAGTTTGTGAACTTTTTGGACGAGCCATATCAATCTTTGAGGAAAATAGACCATAGAATCGCAAATACCTGAAAACTTCGAAACTTGATAAATTTCAGATTGAAATGACCTTTGACAAAATCGTTGGTCAGAAGAATGAGTTTTTTCACAATTCCACTACGCTGCCGTTCTAGTTTCTCGATGTACGCTGGGTCATTGGGATCCGGTCCAAAAATTTTTGCTCTTTGCGCTGGAGCAAATCTTATGATCGTCTGAACGCAAAAAAGCGATTTCAAGATAAGATCCCGGTAAAATGAAAACCTTACTGCTGTCGATGTCCAAGAACGTTTCCGGTTGGCACAGAACCAACATAACAGCTTCGTGCATAGCCGAAGTCATATACATCTGTCAAAATATTCATACAAGGAAGAAAGAAAATAAAACCTTTGTGGAGTGAAGTGAGTCGGTGAAAAGAGCATATAATCGGCAAGACGTCGAAGTTCCTTTGCGGAACACTAGCCTCGGGTTCGAAGTTCCCGAAAGTTGCATGTGTATCAGTTCATACACCGCCTGTAGTAAATTTAAAGTTTCTTCTATTTTCTCACAAATTTACTTTGAGAAGAATATTTTCGTCGGTCGCATAGACTCCGCATGAATATACAAGAGAAAAAATTGCGTTGCAAGCTTCTTCTGGTTTAACGCTCTGAAAGCACATTATCAGTGAAAAGAAAATTTAGAAATGAGAAAAAAGTTTGTGAGCTCAAAAAAGCATTGTTACCTGCAAACGATCCACGTGGTCGAGGATTCTGGCGACAGAAATCGGATCTCGATGAAGGATACTCAACAATTGTTCTACGTCCGAAAATCGATGACCCAAAATCCTACACCCAATATATTTTTGAAATTTTTAATACTCACTTGTAAGAAGGGACGGATTTCGAGGTTTTGAGGTCGGCACAGAGTTTTCCGACAACATCTGTAGTGACATCTACGTGTGACGAGATCAAACGGTTCAAGAGGACCTGAAAATGTTCGAATGCAATCAATGAATGAGTTATGAAGATCTACCTGATGCTGAAAAGCGTTCCAAGCTTTTCTACTCAGAATCTCTGATTTTTCTTTGATTTCAGAAGCCAGTTGATCAACGCTCTCAGACTGTAAAGTCTTCAATGAGAAATTGAAATAATGTTTCGATTTGATTTTTTTCGACTTTTGTTTTGGTAATTTTAACACAAAACAACGTGATAATTGGAATGAAAAAAAAAAACCTCGGCATCCAAAATAATGTGCACGCTTCGGATTTTTTCACACACTACGAGAAAAGGGTCGCTTATCTTTCTCAACTCGTCCATCATAATTCTCTGAAATTTTCTTTACAAAACTGAAAAAGCATCACAAAAGGAGAAACGTAGGCGCAAAAACAACTTAATGTTTACTCTTGTCGAATCGCCGAAAAACGTCTAACTGTACGGTGGGGCGCGTTTACTCATTTTGTCTCTTGTCTTCCAAACGCAAGAAATTCTTTCCGATTGCTAAAAATTGCTCATCTACGCATAGTGTTACTTTACTTTCAAATTATTTCGAAATGAAAGCCTTTGTAATCATATTTTTGTTTAAAATCGCTTGTTGCTGCGAATTCAATAACGAGTTGGAAAGCTCCCTGGCAATGTTGGTACGTCAAAATCGTTGTTTTCTTGTCAGATTTTGGTTCCAGCATACGGGAAATGGATTGCAAAGACAGATAAAAGTGGAGTTGAAGTTATCGTCAAAAACTCGCTTCGCCAATTGTCGTTTAATGTATCGCCTTGTGGTTCCGAAGACCATGTTTTTGGATGTCTACAGGTCTTTTTCCATTTATTGTGTTCTCCAAGTTTTGGTTTTAGCGTCAATTCTTCCGTTTTTGATTACGATTTTGTGAGCCCAGATATTTTCAACAACGAAGCTCTGGCGATTAATTCAAAACCTCACACTGTGAGTGCAATTATCAATTAATAAAACAAAAAAATTGGAATTCAGGTGTTTTTTTGTGCGCAAAAACCTCGTTCTTGGAACTTTTTCCATCAAAGATGAGCTCAGTTTTCCAATGAACTTGCGGTATCCCCCATTATCAGGTTTGGTTTTACAAAAAATTTTGAAAATTGGTCCGATTGTGTCGTAATTCAGCAAATGGAGAATACCAAACAACTTTGAAAGCCCCAGAAGTTGGGCTCGACTGTGCTGGATTTGCAGACTCTAAAACCAGAGGCTGTGACAAACTTCAATTTTCCAAAGGTGAGATTATCCAGCTTGAAATTTATGAATTCTTCAAGTGACAATTTACAGATCCAAGGTTGACGCCGATTTCTTCCAAATGGTTGATGTGCAAAACGAGTAGCATTGAGAACACTTTCACTTTGAGAACCGGCGAAATTAACCACTTTTTCTTTGTTTTGGGTGTTTCCTTTGTTTTGATTCCCTTGTCATTTTGCATTTCCGTGAAACTTTTATGATTTTTTTCCTACTCATTTAATAATTGAGTTGATATATTGTCTTTTGAGGATGTGCTCATTCAATTTCTATTTATCCCGAGTTGCTCAAAACGGCCGCATAACCCACATTTATTTGACTAAAAGGGGAACAATTTTCAACTATTTTTCACCAACTTTGTGAATATTTTTTAAATTTCACTTTTACCCATTTTTACGTGTTGAAACAGGTTTTCGATCTCTATTTCTCCACAGTGTTCATTTTATTTTTCATCAAGTTTGTCGATAAAATAGATCATAAAAATTTTGAGATTCAATTACAAGAAAAATCATTAAATGTCGGTTTTTTTTAACAAGTTATTAACTTTTTTTTGTAAACAAAAAATAAAAAAATAAAAAGCTAAATCAAAAAAATAAGGTTATATCGGGTGACCAGTATATATGGGTGACAAGGTTTTTTTATTAGTAGCTTTAGTGTTATTCAATTTAGTTTGATTCAATATGGCACTCATTTACAGTAAGGCAAAATGAACAAATCGTGAAAGTTTTTTCTGGGTTTGAAAAATATATGTAATAAAGGCGACCTTCAAAAGCTACCGAGTTGTATGCACGTTGGCACACGCGGTTTGGTATGGAAATCCAGGTTTATATCTGAGAATAGTCAATAATGAGGATCCAAACTTTTTGACAATGTGTTAGTGACCATTTTCATTAAAAATTGTTAACAGCAAAATTTGACACGGAGAAAATTTGAGTGAAAGTCAGACAAAAAAGTGGCCACCACAGATTTGAAAATCTTTTAAAGAAATTTTCATTGGAACTCCGTTTCCTCAGAGAAATCTCAGACAAATCGGTAGGCTAGGAAAAATCCACAAAAGACGTGAAAATCCTTCAACTGCGTGCCTCACAATACGCAGTTACTTGATCAATACAAATTTCATCAGATTTGAACTTTATTTAACAAAAAAACTGTCGGATGACCACCTTAGGATTTGAGCCCGTTTCCTTTTAAAGGCACTCAAAGCTCTAGTGCAGAAATTATTCCCAATTTGTCATTTTTTTAAATTAAAGGCTTTTCTCAACCTTTTTCAACATTACTTCCAAACTAGATCACGGCTTTAAAAACCCCCTAACAAAAGTTTTTGTAATCGAAATATAAAGTTCTGGGAGGAACATTGACTACTAGCAAAGCATCAATGAAGATAAAAAAAGTTAAATTTCACAAAAATTTTTAAATGAAAATGTAGTGGATATCCTGAAAAAAATTCATGCTCCAAATCCCATTTGCCGCGATACAAGCTTTATTCAAAGTTGGTCACCCTGTAGTACTGTAGTAGTTAAATTGATTGCTTGATAGTTTTTGTAAGATTGTCTCAAAATAAATAAGTCAATCAGAATAAAAAAATAAGCGAATGAAGAAAAAAATACAAAAAAATACAATTCAGAAAAACTGAAACTGTAAAAAAAGAAAAAAAGAAGAGCTAAAAAAACATTTTGAATCTATTGAAAATAGGTGTTTGGGTAAGTGATGAAGAATAGAAAGAAGTTGATGAAAAAAACGATTATATTTTTTTTTTTTTGAAAAACAGTTAGCGGGAAAAAAATTTTTCTACACGGAAAGAAAAAAAGCGAAATACAAGGCATTTATTTTTCGAAAAACTGAATTTTTTTGAATTTTAAACCTGACCACAAACTCAAAATGAAGTGAAAATACATACAAAAAAATTTTTGATGAATAGTTATTGATCCTCAGTGATGATAAAAAGTAGTAACTGAAAAAAATCTAAATTGATATTATTTGATAAAATTGTTCAAACTGTTCGTTTTGAAAAAAACAAAAAAAGGTTCGAATTAGTTTTTTTCAAAAATATTACTGATTAAATACTTACAATTTGAAATGAAAACAGACAGTAAATGTGAATCAAAAAAGCAAAAATGACAATAAAAGAAAAGAAAAGTTAGAACGGCGAGTCTGTTCTGAATGAACGTAAGATGTTGCGACGAGGGTCAGTGCCTTGAGATCAAACGGCGACGCGCGAAAAGAAGGCGCGAAGCGGCATTTGGGCGACGGGGTCCGAGCTCCCAATCTCGTTCATTCTCCTCAGTTTCCTCCAGCTCGGATGGTCGTCTTCCCTTCTTCTCTCCTTCTGATATTCTCATACTCCTCCCCAAGTACTTGGACTGTTTTTCGTTCAAATCATTGCGCTTTTTTTAAAAATTGTTTCTGTTTATTAATAATATCAATTCAGGTTATTTGTTTTCGTTCCAAACGACTCTGTCGCCTTATTTTCCTGTAAATTTTTTCAAGTGAGTACATTGAGGGAAAATTTTAGAAAACCTCTAATTTACAGAATGACTTCGAAAGTCACTAAATCTGGTCTAGCCAAATTCTTGGGCTTCTATTTTGTGTCGCTGGTTTTCGTTGCCGTGCTACTTTACCGACCCCTGCCCGATGGCTTCACAAGGACGACCACCGACCGATTCGTGATGCACGTCGTTGAACCAGCTCTCCGTGCAACTTATTATTGGCCGGTACATTATCATATTTTTTCAATTTCTATAACCTTTTGAAAAATTACAGAGCCAGTACTTGTGCAGCAAGGCGAGCAGCATGGTCTGGTGGACTCGGATTGTGCTCAACAACATGGTCAAGCTCATCGGTCCCATTTTCACTTCCGACAAGGACCTTATCGTCAACACTACTCTTTGGAATGGCGTGAAGGTTGCTCCATTCTCACGGATCAAGAAGAAACCATCCCAATTTTTGAAGGTGCGGACATACATTCCTGTGATGAACGTTACATCTGGACGCGGAGCCGTTCTTTTCATTCACGGTGGAGGTTTCGCTTTGGGAAACATCGACATGTACGATTCTCTGGTCAGGCGCATGGCTAAATTGTGAGATTTTCATATTCGAATATCAGCTGTGAACTTACTTTTCAAATTGCAGGAACAACGTTCTGTACGCTTCGGTTGAATACCGCCTTTCTCCCGAAACGCCGTTTCCTGGTGGAATCCTCGACTGTGAAGCCGCTCTCGACTACTTGGTTCAACATGGACAGCACGAGTTCAGAATTGACACTAGCAAGGTGAATATAAAAACTGGAAGGGAACATTTCCTTTTCCTTTCTGCAGATTGTCGTTATGGGCGATTCGGCTGGTGGCAATCTGGCTGCCGTTGTTTCTCAAAGAAGAGTCAGCTCTGGCAAGCAACCAGCTATCCGTGCCCAGTCGTTGATCTACCCCCTCCTCCAGATGGCCGACATGCAAACCGTTTCTTACCGCTACTTCAAGCAACGTCTCACTGGATATGCCCTTGTCGGTCAGTAGTTTTGAAATTTTTGATCAGCTAATCAACTGATTTTTACGAAAATCTTTCTTCAAAACAAATTTCAGATCCTACTTCCGTTGCCTACTACTACATGTTTTACGCCGGCATCAACATGGACGAAAAAGATTATTTGGTGCCTCACGTTCTCACAAACGGTCATGTTGCTGATAAGCACAAATCGACAGTGAACAAGGTTATTTTAAGAAAACTATACTTTGCAATTGCTAATGTAATTTTTTCAGGCCATGTCACATGCTGCTCACATTGAAAACGCTCACAACTACAACAACTACAGTATTCCGGCGGTTTTAAAAGAATCTCCAAGTGAAGAGGCCAAGCGGCTGATGGAGCCTTTCATCGTCAACCCAGACTTTTCTCCTCTGATGCGCGAGAATCTCTCAGACCTGCCACCGACTTTCGTTCTCACTTGCGAATTTGACGTGCTGCGTGACGAGGGAATCATGTATGCAAAGCGGCTGGAGGTGAGGATTCGATTAAAGTTGACCGAAAAACATGAAAACTTTTTTTCTAAAAAAAAAATCTTTTTCAGGAAGCTGGAGTCCCGACGCTGCATCGGCACTACATCAATGGTTTTCATGCAATGCTCAACTTCCACAACGAGCTCGAAGAAGCGACTCTTTCTCTTTTGGACATCGTTAGATGGACCGCCAACTACGTCAACTAATTTTTGAAACGATTGTATAACAATCAATTTATTGTATTTCTTGCACGGGTCGCTCGTTTATTTGAAATTATATTATTTGCATTCAGTATGACTGATAAAAATTTCAACTCTACGCGTAACTTGTTGAGATATCAGAAAAACATGTGACAGCCTGATATCTAGCTGAAAACTTTATAATGACACATAATGACAGATAAAACTCAGATCCTCATTTTTTATCTCCATGAAAAAAGTCGGTTTCAATAATCAAAAAACGTGAGGCTTTCAAGATGCCAATTTTCTAACAACGCAAAATTTCGATAGAAATTCGCCCACTTTCCTTTCTCTTCGCCTTACTCGATTCGTTCGAAGGCTTTGCGACGCGTTATTTCGACCTTGAAAATGAATTCGGTCGTCATCGTTACAAAGTTCATGAAACGAAAAATCACGTTGTGCCGCGAGGAGGTTCTTATCGATTCGATAGAACCAAAGACCCGAATTGTTACACTGCAACCCCGTTTTTTTTATTATCCTCATTTTTCTCTCTTTGCCTGTTCTAGATGAGACATTTTGAGATCTTCGGTGGGGTAACTCCTGAGTAGTTCCTTTCAATACTATATACCTTTCAAATTTTTTTCTCATTTTTTTGTCAAAAAAATTAATTATTTGACCTGGGCTACAATTTTTCAAGAAGTTCACGTATTCAAACGCCAAATTACTTTTTTTAATTACTTTCCTTATATAAGCTATAGCTTCAAACAAAAACTTCAGAATCTTTGAACCTCGTCGCGTTTTTCTCTGAAAGTGTAGAAAAAATGCAAGCAAGCGCGTATCTTGATTTCTTTGAAATCCGGTTTTCAACCGTGTTTGCTTAGTGAGAAGGAGGAGGACATTGTTGTGCGCACTGTGATATTTAATTTCTTTTTCAGATGAAGTTCAAGAAAACTTTTAACTTTTTTCTATATTGGAAAAAAAATTGCGTGAAGTTCTGTCATAAAGCCAGACTTAAAAAAATCGGAAAAAGTTTCATGCTTGCTGTTTCAATGGTAGTTTTGACAGTTTCCGAATCTTTCATCAAGAATAAACAATTTTTTCTGGATAACTCTCTAGAACCATTGTTAGTTTTTTTCTTTTTCTGTGATACTCATATGATTCCTCTATATATTTTTAACTCTCCCCTGTTGACAGAAAAAGCAGAAAATAACAATGACGTCTGGCCCTATCAACCTTTTTTTTTCCTAAAGATATTTTTCTCTCAGATAATCGCGTGAGTTTTGGTTCTCAATTTTTTCTTTACTTTTGTTTTTGCGAGCTGCGTTTTATATGTGTTATTATCATATTTTCTGATTATGTGATTCTGATAATATAATTTGCTTTCAATGATTGAAATTCCTTTTTTTGGTAGAGTAAAGATTTTCCTTTTTAATTGGAATGCGCTGAAAATTGAACAAAGTTGTATAAGATAATTGCCAGCGCTAAAGAGAAAACTTCAAGCGCCGATTTCCTTTAAAGACAAGAACAAGGTAGTAAGGTGAGCGCGGGGGCCGCAAATTGCCCCAAACGGGGCGCCGAGGTTCTCTAAATGAGGCAAGTTCATGCATGCAGCCGTCATATGAACAATGTGACGTGTGCGGCAGAAAAGCGTCGCGAAGCGGCATTTTTGTGCCGCGGACGTGTTTTCCCAGGCGGCGCATGCACGTGATGGCGTCTTTCCTCAACGCAGGCACGTATTATAGAAAAAGTCAATTTCGAAATCTCTGTTCAATTGCGATATGGGGCGATTTCGCGTCGTTTTTTTTTTTGCCTTCATCTGTCCCGATATCCGTCGCTTTCTTGTTTCAGCAACTAGAGTTCGGCCTCGGGCCACCGCGTGTGTGTGTTTGTATTCAGCGTGTTTGTTTGTGTGACTCACACCGGAGCAGAACGTCGGAGCACGGGGTATACGCCTGAGGCCGCGACTTTCCTGCTTCAACTATCCTTACCGTTCTTTTTTTTGCTCGTTACTGCATCTTCAGCCGCGATGAACTGTAGATATGTCGTAATCCAGTTATTCAGGTTTCTCTGTATATTTTTGTCGGGCCATGTACTTTAACTGATCGAGAAATCTGTTTTATCTTGCCCTCAACAGTACAATGCGTGGTTCATTTTGCTCAAATGAAGGTATTTTTTTGGCTCTTTTCATCATAGAAATTATCATAATTTTTTTCAAGTCTTTTAGTTAGGTTTTTTTTCTCATTTAAAACAATACTTTTTTGAGCCCTTTTGGTTTTTTGTTGAAAGCGAGTTAAAAAAAAAAACTATCGCGGTCCACATGTCTTTCGTCAAAAAAAGCATTCATCCTTTTATTCGGAAAAAAACGTTTCTAGCAGGCAGCCAAAAATAAGTTTACGCTTTTTTTGCTATAATAAAAAAATCTCGTAAATTTGCTGCGAAACAATAAAATGTTTTTTTGCAGCAATACTCTCAAATGTTATTTTTTTAAAGCTTTTTAGGGGTTTTTTGCATTTTTTTTCAAGCCGTAAAATTCTTTCTTTTTCAAGGAAATATCGTACGTATGTTGTTCTTTTGGAAAAAGAAAATACTTTCTCAGACCGTTCCGAAACGGAAGAATCTCAACAAAACGATGACGACATGCCTCCGCTTGACAATCGTCATCTCAATTTGATCCATGAAGAACTGGAAAAACTGAATATCGCTACTGATATCATCAACAAATTGGAAGTTCTGCTCGATGGCGCCCGAGCAACTTTTAGGTTGGTAATATCTTTGGTTTGACTTTTTTTCTAAATCATCAAAATTATTTCTTTCATCCGGTTTCAAATCTAAATAATTTTTATCTCCGAAAACTCACATTCTGGGAATTATCCCACTGAATGATTGTGAGTATTTCCTTTTTTTTAAATCTAACGATAAAAATGCTTCTTCAGAGAAACGCAAGGAACATGGTCAGAAAAACTGAAAGAGCTTTCCAAACAATATTCTAGTCACATTGCCAAAGCGAGGCCATACTACGAGCTACGATCAGAGGTTTGAAATTGTTTTTGATCGGTTTTTTTTAGCTGTTCTTTTCTCAGGAAAGAAAGCTGCGCGAAGAGTCTCAGAAAGCAGCTGAGCGATTTGAAAGGGCAACTTCTTTACTTGCGGTGGCCAAGCAACAAGTGTCGCTGACGCAGGACAGTCTTTCGCGTCAATCTACTGTTTTACCCGAGTGCCTAGAAGTATGTTGAAGAAGAAATTGTCCAAGAAAAAGTGAACGCGATTTGAAAATTTCTCATGAAAAGTTTGGTTTTGACAGCGTAGGGTCGTTCTTGATTTTGAAAACTCGTGGAAAAAATTTGCCTTGTGAACTGTTTTCAAATGCAGTTTGAAAGAAAAATTCAGGTTCTCAATCATCACATTCAAAGAGTTAGCGAAGCAGAAGAAGAGCGTATGGGAGCAGAAGCCCTACATGCGGCAAAAGCTCACGCCATGCTTCAGTTGGTCGAGAAGATTCGCAAAATTGAAAAAGAGAACCGGTATGATGGATTTATTTGTAGAAGATACATATCAAAGATTTCAGAAGCTCAATTAAAAAATCGAGAAAATATTTTGAAAAAAGGCTGGAGTTCACGCTTATTCTGGAATCTCAGAAAGAACAAATTCTACGTCTTGAAAAAGAGGTAAGATTGTATATGAATATTTTGATTGCCTGTTTCTAGCGAACAAACATCACGTTTTTCACTTAATTTTATCTCACGCCTACTCAAATTTGCACAGCTGTCGCAAATATGGCATTTCTACAGGTCCGGCAGAAGAAAAACGATTACACAACATCGTTGCGAAATCTGGAGAGGATAAGTGACCAAATCCACGAAGAGAGATCTTTGGAGGGGTCTTCCGAAGACAGCACCACAGAAAGTTCTTCTTCTCCGTCAGTTCCTGGAAATCCACCTCCTTATCAACCAACAGCTCCGCCTCCATACGAAGATGAATATGCAATCGAAAAAGTTAGTATTTGGAATTTTTCTTTAATAATCAACTCGAGCGACAGAGAATTTCAAACAAAAGTTCATTTCACTTTGGAGTAAAAGTTTTGGAAAGTGAGATGGGAACCCTTAAAATTTTTTTTTGGTACAGGAAGGAGTGCTCCGGTCAATTCTCAGGAATTTTCTAACCGCAAATTAAAATGACTCTTGTTAGCGTTCAAAACTAGAACTGTTATAAAAAAAAAGTCGACTTCTACAAGAAACTAATCTCACTTCAAAAAAGTCATTGAAAACGGAATGTTGAAAACTTTAATTGAAATTTTTGTTGATGGTAAAAAAAGGTAGAACTCGAGAAAAAATTATTTTTGACCCAATTATCTCAGAAAAAATTGTGCGGAGACGTTTCAACAATCTATTTGACACATAAACTTTGTCGAAGACTTTAGAAATATTCCAGAAAAAAAAAACTATTAACGGCTGCTGTAACTGTAAAAATAACAGAAAGACCATTACTGAATGATTTTTCTTTCCATTCAACAATTTTTTTGATTAAAAAAACTAAAAAGTTTTGATTCCACTGACTACTGTGACTTTTCTATCAGTTACCGGATGACGACTCAATGGTACTAAGCGTCATGAAAGAAGACGATCAAAGCGAAAAAATGCAAAGATCTCTTGGTTCTGGTGTCATTCTCCTTGCGCAGCAGCTGATCCGATCTGCAAACGATCGCTCACCCAACAGCAACAATTCCAAGTTTGTCCTTTCTTCTCAGACAAAAAAAACGAGTTCATTGCCGTGTAACATCGTTTTACTGTTTCTCAAATGCAATGGGAAATTCGGGTCAAGCGGAATAAAAGACACGGCTGTCCTTGTTTCCAAACTTGGATTATGCGGCTTCCTCACAAGATTTGATCATTTTTTCATTCTTGGCACTCAACTTGTTCAGGCAGTTACCCGAATTTTTTTGAAAATAATAGAAAATGATTTCCATGTTATTTTTCTTTGAATAAAGATTTTTTAGGTTGCATGCGGTGGAGTCAGAGCCAGACATAAGTTACCACACGAGACCAATTGGTTTGGCTGATTCTCCAGATAGTCTTTCAGACGTGAGTTTTTATACATGGCAACAGCGAATAAATAAAAACAGAATAATAAAAAATTACTGTCAGTTTAATAATCAAGAAAGCGAATGACTTACTACGAAAAAACTTATGAGCACTGAAAAGGCTCCTTTTCCCGTTGATTTGTTTCAATTTCGCAGATCCATCAGTTTTCACAGATCAAAAATCTCAATAAAAAAATCTTTTTGCAGGTTTCCTCAGTTGTTTTCACGGACGACGAGTCTCTGCCAGCCATGTTAATGAGCCACTCTGACCTCATTAAGGTAGAGTCCTGAGAGAAACAGATTCAAAAATCAGATTTTTTCAGGAAATCGAAAATGCGACTGATCGCGTGGGTTCAATTCTTCGAAACAAACGCAGTGTCAGCGACGTTAGGAGTTAGAAGCCGCCGATCCGTGTTAATGAGTAGTTTCTGTGACTTTATCGACATGTAGTTAGTAGAAAAATACTCCTCCTACACAACTAAAGAAATGTGACTGGTTAAGACGTTTTCCTTCATTCGGTCCTACGTGGTTAGTTCTTGAATTGGTTGAATTGGATATCATGGTGTTTATGAGCTTTTCTCTTTTTCTTCTTTTTCTTAGAATTCAAGGTTCCATGTTTTCTTGCTCACTGTTCATCGAATCTCTGCATTGTATCTTCTTGAGTTTTGCCTTTTTTGCCAGTAAATTCAAAGTGGGTACTATTTATAATTGTTTTCTGTATCACATGTAAATCGTTCTGTTCTCTGTATTTTGTTTTTCACTAAACCGCTGCTGTCGGATTTTTCTTTGTAAGATATTGATGTAAGTTCAACTTAAATCTTGCGTATTTTTGCCTATTCTTGTATCAATTCTACTCCTCTCAACTTAATTGCTCATAAAATCTACGAATTTAAATTGCACTCTTTGAAATGTTAATAAAAATACGTTCTTTGTGTATTTCATAGAGCAAATCTTGCGAATGGAAAAACGAAAAAGTGAGTGACTGTTTTTTTATACATTCTGTTTTTCGCTTTGGTTTCGGAAAAAAAACATGTTAAGCTTTTAAATAAACAATGAAAAACAAAAAAACAAAAAAATGCAACAAAAATCGACTTAGCTCTCGAAATTAAAAAAATCCAGGAGATTCCCGAAGAAAAATTTTTTTATTTGAGAAAAAAAATAACGACAAGAGGAATAAGAACGATTGTTTGAGTTTCCGGAGAATAACAATATCCTGGCGGAAAAACATACGGAAATCGTTCAAAAATTAAAGTTTATACTGAAAAAAATTATCAACAGGTATATTTTTCGAAGAAGCTCAGTTTTCGCATGTTTTTATTTAGGAAAAATTCATTATGGCGATTGTTGAACCAGAAAATATATGAAAACTATGAGTTTTATATATTTTTTGCGCAGATGTAACCTTGAAGCTGTTCAGTGTTTCTCTGAAGGTTCAACTGTACACGTAGTTAGTTTTGAATTTAATTTCTAAATTTTGCAAGTGACCAAGCTATTAAGCCCTTTTTTATCAAAGAAAAAATATCTTTTGAAAACAGAAAACCCATTTTCAAAAAAATTAGTTGGCAGCTGTGAGTATTCCGCAAGGCACATTAATATTTTTGTTCATTATTATTGCTTAGTTATATTCAATTTGCTGGCACTAGGAAAAAAACTACATCGCACTCAGAATGACTTGAATGTTTGTTTGCTCCAGCTCTCTTTCGCTGTGAAACTGGCAAAAAATGCGTTCCGAGAGCGACTTGAAATCCATCTAGTCGAGGTGAAATGATCATTTTACTGTCGTTCATGAATTTCGAGTTTTTGGGTGCTCAGACACTTCAAAACTAGGAGATCAGTGGTAATGGAATCATATGAATGCGATCATTCAAAAATCTTGAAGCTTTATGATCCCGGTTCTACGCTTTAGCATCGTTATCACTTCTAAGAACTTTTCTGAATCTGTTAAAGGACCAGATAAAGTTGTAGCGTAACAAGAAAGTTTTTTTCAATGTTTAGCTAACGAGTCTGTTTGAGAGAATAACTGTGAAACAATGATAATTTAAAAGGCCCCTCTACAAAATAGGGAACCTTTCCAGAGACTATTTTAAAATTTTTGAAAACGCGATAAATATCTTTATTCAAACTTTTTTTTTTCTTTTATCCTTCGGCCTTTTTTGATAGGCGGTTGAAGAGTTTAATTTGCGTTATGAAAATGTTCTCATTTTGAACTAGACTGACTTTTTGATTTTTGCTTCCGCTCATAGTCGTCTTTTGTGATTCGAAAGATTTTGGGATGATCAGATCATCGTCTGTTCTGTGCAGAGTTTTCCTCAAGGCAGGGGTTAACTCGCTGTTGATGATATCACTCAAATGACGTGTTCGATCTCTCTTGAGGTTTGTGAGAGTGATCAACAACAAGGAGCAGCCGCCCTCGGTTTCCGGAAACTGGCAAGAGAAGTGCCTGAAATGACCAACGACGACACAGCTGCCGTAGGGTGGCAGACGAATCGTTGGAGGATGAAAGCCGAGAATCGATTGATCGGGCTTGTTGTGTGCTTTCGTGCCTCGCCTCCTCCGAGGCGCTCGTCAAGACGGAGGCCGAGCTTTACACTAGCCCCGCGGCTCACTCCGATGTGCCCCACACTCGTTCGCTGTCCTCTTATCGTTTCGAAGTTTCATCGATGGCTGTTGTTCTCATCTCCGTTCGTTTCTGCGCCTTTGTCACTTTTTATCTTTTTTTTTCTCAAATCTTGCAGATTATACCGTATATATCTGAGTCGTGCTGATTGAAAATGAAACGTTGCGTTATCACGTACTATCGGAAATCAAACCGAATTTTGCAGAGTCGCCATGTCATGGGCTGATATGGTTAACAACAGCCTCATCGGCACAGGAAATGTTAGCAAAGGCGCGATCTGCGGTTACGATGGATCAATATGGGGAAAGAGCGAAAACTTCAAGGTATTAAACATTCAAAGTCGTTTTTCATATTATGTTCTGGCTAAATCATTTCGACAAATTTCAGATCACCGAAGAAGAAGCCATTGCAGCTGGCAATGCTTTCAAACAAAAAGTGGGTTATACCGAGAATCGAATGAGTTCAGCAGTCCTCTCAGAAAGCTTATTTGTATAAAAATCTGAAAATTTCCGTGCAGTAACGTAATCACTATGATCGACTCATTAAGCTACTTTCCTGGAAGTTTTTCTTCGATTAACTAAGCAATTCATAGAAAAATGAAATCATATGCCAACTCAAAAGTGTCAAAATCAAGACTACGGTCTTTTTTTCAGATCTAACTCTCTCCGCAGTTCCACTTTCTCACAATCTTTTCTTCTGTTTTGACGCTCTAGAGTACACTAGTTCCGAGAAAAAAAGATCAGTTGGCCCGTCGGCCGAAAAATTCGAAGAGCTCACGTTTCTGCCATTTAATTTAGCAGCTGTTTTGTGAGGAACAAACAATCTTGACAGAAGTCTTCAAAGTCTATTCGCAGAGATCTTTTCAATAACTTATCAACGTGTGAAAATATAAATTGACTTTTTGCAGGACGCCGTACTCGGTTCAGGCCTCAAATTTGAGGGCGAGAAGTACTTTGTTCTGAACGCCGACGACGAAAGAATCATTGGCAAAAAAGCTTCTTCAGGATTTTTCATTTACAGCACACATCAAAGTAATTTTTTCCGAATTTTTTTTTTACTTTTGTTTGATTCTAGCGGTTATCATCACAATCTATGAAGGAGGATTACAACCCGAATCCTGCAGCTCGAGTACTGGACGCCTTGCTGACTATCTGAAATCCATCAACTTTTAGGCTGTACGTTGCACAAAAAGGTATTTTCATTTTAACCACTGAGTATTTTCAAACATCTTTTCTTTATTCTTTTCAAGTAAAAGCTCTCAAGATTTTCGTCATTTGCTAACATCACCTGAATCATTCAGAAAAGTAAACTTTTTGCAGGGTTTTTCGCTTTTTGCCGTTTTGCCGCTGAAATCCGGTCTTATGTCTGCATACAGTCGTCGCATTGGAATTTTTTCCCTAATTATTTGATTGAACTGCTTAGTTTGATAGTTTTTGATATTCTTGTTCTCAACATAATAAAAAATTATCAATGATTTATCCAATGTACGTGAAAACGTTAATATCCGTGTTTGTACAAGAAAAATTAAGAAGTAGTAATATAAGGATTGAAAAAGATCATTGGATAAAGAAAATTGAGTGAAGCAAAAAAAGCTTCACAATTTGAACAATTTCCATATTCATTTTCAACTCTCAAAACGTATTTTCTCTTTTTCAACCCTTTCTATGATGATTAGACTATTTGGCGCAATGCAGAGGAAGTGACTAGAAAGGAGGAATTGTGGCGAATGAGTTCCGCTGCAGCTGCTGAGAAGGCGAAGAGGCTGTCCGGAACGGATCAAAAGGCTTCCGGTCGGATGAGCATCAGGAACTATAAGGGAAGTAGATTTGTGAAGAGGTCATGTGGTAGAGCTTCTGGATGGGGTTAGATAGGTTGGTCAGTGAGGAGCTTTTGATCAGGTCGCACTCGTCGGAGTCCATGTCGAGGAAGGGAGAGTCCTGGTGCATTATCTGGTCGTTGGGAAAACCTGCAAACATTCTCACTTTGAAATAAATGTAAAAAAGTTCGGATTGTATTAGTTTTTTCAGTTATGTTGTTCTTCCAATTTTGCCATCAGCAATATTTAGAAATGATGAGAAACACATAACTTTTGATAATTGATTGAAGATCCTGGAAGACAAGAATTACCAAATTTCAAGTTTTTGAAGAAAAAAAAAACGCTCAAAAGATAAATTTTCTCACATAGTGTGACAAAGTGAATATCAAATTGAGAAGTTTAATTAATTTGAGTGTTTTTTTCTCGAACTGACCTTCGTCTTCAGAACTGTGAACGTCTTCCGCACTTCTTTCTTCTCCGTTAGCACTGCCCTTGTAAGAATCGCTTTCTCCTTCTTTGCGGTTCATTTTTTTCATCTTTAATAATTTATTTATGAAAATATATGAATTAATACGGACCTTCGCTCGCTGATTTTGAAACCATACTTGAACAACTCGAACGCTCAAACCCGTTTCTTTTGCAAGCTGTTCTCTCACCTGAAAATAAATGTTTGTCCGATTTTACAAAACACTTTAAATTACTTTGCGGCATGGTTTTGCACTTTTTTCGAAAGCCGACTTAAACTGCCTTCGTTGTTGGGCATTCAGTATGGTTCTGGGCCTTTTCGGCGTTTTCCTCGAGCTCTCGTGGTGAGTGTCCTCGTACAGATTCACTACGTGTTCACCTTGAATTTCGGTTTGCGTTCCAATCCATCAATTCTTTTTATAAATCTAACCACTTTGCAACTGCTGGACGTGGTGATAGTCGTGAGGGCAGAAAATTTCCCCGTCGATTGCGTGGTATTCATCGCCCTGCGGTTTCGCGCTCGATGAATGGCTGAGATTGAGTCAAGCACCGTACCTTATTGAATGGAGAGTTACAATAATAGCAGGTGAAGCAGTGAGAGTGATAGGTGAGGTTCATACACCGCTGGACAATGTCCATCGAGCCTAATGTCCGCATACACCGTCTACATCGCTTTCCGAACAGTCTGAAAAATTAAAACTGAAAAAAAAACAAGAAAAAGCCAAAATAAAATAATCGGAGACCTATGGAGGAAAAAAAGATTATTCATGGATAATTGCGTCTCTCTGTCTAATGTCCTTCTCTACGAGTTTTCAAGCGAACCCTCAAAGTCGTGAATTCCCTAAACTCTCTCAATTTTTCCGCCAACAAACAAAATAAAACATTTATTAAATCTTTGACCGATCTATTCAGATCCGAAATGGCGGGTTTCCGCAAGCTCGATCCAAAATCGGTTATCAAATCTATTAACCAAAAACTGGTTTTGCTAATGGAAGAACTTCTTTTTGAATATATTTTGACTTTTCTAAAAACGTCCCAAACAGAGAATTGACGGAGGTTTTCGCTCACTTCGGCAGAGGTTCGAAATGGCAGCCGGCCTCCGATATTGGCAGTTTCCGGTTGACAACTGGGTGGCCCACGCAAAACGAGCTCAAGGATTGCGTAATGTGTCACCTCGCGCATTTTCTACAGCCCATCCTTCCGCACCATATCACACCATAATTGTGTCACGACCAATCAATTCTCAACTCGAAGCATTGTAGCTTAATCTCAAACAGTAGAAAAAAAAATTTCCGGGTCTTTACGTGTTACCGTAAAAAAAAACTTGAACATTCAACAAAAAGTAAAAGTTGAAAAAATAATATAAAATTTTTTCATGTCTATATTTTTCATAAGAAAGTACTTTTTGAAAGACTCCTCACTTCATCACAAAAAAATAATTCCCTGTTGAATCGATCCAAAAGAAGTGTCCTTTGGGTTTTTCAAAAGTTTGCCCTAATCAACCAACCGATTTGTTAGAAAGGGGAAAACTATCCTTTAGGTTGATATCTGTAGTACAGAGAAGTCAGAATATTCCGCGTTTGATCGTTTTCCTTGTGATAGCGCATGATGTTCTATATATTCAAGTTGAGTAGATTCGGTAGTTTTCCTACCCAGTCATTACTAGAATATACATTTTCATTCATCCACCGTAAATATAAAAAGCGATTCACGTTGCTTTTTGCGGCTTGGCGAGCAGATATCGTTTCAGGGAAGCGCTGAAGACGTCATTAAATTCTTATTGCCGCCGGGTGAACAAACACGGATGAAGGATTTCGCGAGCAAATACAGCGGTATACTGTAATAGTGGAGGTGTCGCACAAAATCTAGACGTCGAGTCATTTGTTTTTGATTTTGATCCTTGCTTTGCAACTGAAAAGTTACTTTCGATAAACAAAAAAAAATTAAATCAAAGCCGAAACATTAAACATAAACTTCTCGTTTCAAAAATATTTTTGAGTTTAGTTATACGCACTCGATAACGTCAATCATGACTTCCAGAAGTCTAAGACACTAAAGACTTTAAAGCTCTAGATTATCATGGACGCATGAAAATTGTTTGATTTTCAAAGTTTTGTATTCGGTTTCAAAAAAAAAACGAGAACAATTAGTAGCAAAAAAACTGCATAGATTTGAGCTTAAAATCACCTCTTAGACTTAATGACCGTTGGTTTTCAGTAATCTCGTTATCGGCTTCAACCCTAATATCATGTCGGCTCAGCGTAAGGCAGGTGAATCCATTGACACATTATAGCCGATTATTGCGTGCGGGAAGCCAGGAAAGGCATGTCAAGCGGTTTTTCGTGCGAGCAGCAGCCAGATGCTTGCGAGACTACAGGATCACACCGAAACATGGCTTTTCTAGTGCCGCTTAGGACCTTGTCATTGACACCTCGGCTGGCGGATTACAGGTTCGACAGTCTCTAAATCCGTCCGTGACATTTTTCCTACGAGCCGGATTAGTTATTCCAGAAGGAACTTACCTGGTGAAGCGATGAAAAGAGAGTGAGAGACCATGAGAACCCATTTTTAAAAATTTCGTTTTTAGTCTATTTCTGAAAACTTTCTTTCTTTTCAACGGAACGTAAGTTTCTCAAAACATTATCTAACAATGAACGCGTAGATTTAAACGTGCTCTTAGCGTTAAGGACCAGTTGACACGCAAGCTACATAGAAGAATCTTTTGATCCTAAGAGGCGTGCCACTTAATGGCTGGTCGTGAAAAAGACTCAGTGAAGCAAAAGCAAAACGAACAAAGTATGGTCCTGCTGGCAGTAGATGTGTCCGTTCTTGGTGTAACACGTCGGGTTGGAAGCCAACGACTGATGACAGGCTGCACATCGCAGACAACTCTCGTGGTAGTTGTCTTCCATCACCTGAAAAGGTAGAAAGTGAATGTCCAATATTCCTACCTTGCTATGAAAACAAAAAAATGGGTTGCACCCAAAATTTTCTGATAGAACACCTTAATTTTTTGATATTGGAGATATAGTATATGAGAACCCGGAAATCTGCCACCACCTTCCTAGATTATTTTCTGTAAACTAAGCAAAAATCTGAATTCTGAAGTTTCCCTTTTCAAAAGTAAAAAGAGACTTGACATCAATCCAATCGAATGAATAGTGTGCTTGAAAAGAGAATATTTTGAAAGCTTCGAGTAGAATGACTTTCCCTGTAAGAGATTTTTTTCAAAGCAGTCGAAAAGCTGTCTCAATATAAATTATGTTGTTCTTCGACTCTATCTGTTTTACATAGTAAAGTATACTGTTGGGCGCAGTTTCAAACTCTTCTTTTTTTGCAGTTAAGCGGAGAACATTGTACTTGGGATCTTCGAAATATTTCACTTGATTGAGAAATCTTGGGAGTTCTATTTTTGTAATCTCGTCAAATGATAATAAGCTGAGTCACAGAAAATCTAGATTGGAAATCTTGAATTTGAGCTTGAATGATTTCCGGGGTAACCAACCTTGAGAATAAATCGGTCGTTGATTAAATAGCCGCAGGCGCAACAAATCGCTTCGGCTCCTTCCATCGACGGAGAGGACGTCGCTAAATCGTTGTCATTAAACCTGGCTTCCTCGCTTTATTATCTCGTTGTAGTGAAACAATAATCTAGGATTAGCCTTTTTTGCATAAACGATGCAGAGCTATTCACAATGAACTTTTCTAGTAACTGTTTTCGTGGTGGATTGAAATTGATGATTTGAAAAAGGAACGACTCAAAAATATGTACGAAATTGAGTTGGTGTCTTTGTATACTGGCAAAGATGAACTACAAACTGGAATGGTTGTCAGCAGAGGATATGGGTTGGGAGCTGTGTTCGACGTGAACCAGTGTCAGTCTACACAAAGACGGTTCGTCGAGGTCGGCAATTTCGGATCTCTCTTCTCTAAAAAACAGCTTTTTATAGGCGCCACACGAATCTTCTAAAGATTGAAAGGATTCGAAGAACAAGGAAAAAACAAACCTTTGCATGGCGGCTTCGGTGAGCAGCTTCATGTATAACAGAAAGGCGTGCCAATTGTGGCTATACCCGCCCAAGAATCGGCATACTGTAATCGCGACGGATATTGCGTCCAGACGAGAGACGTATCGAGAGCTATAAGAAGGCTGATATTGCTTGCTGGCAGGTGCCTCTCCTTCTTTGCCCATCCTCATCCAGTACATCACTCCTCTTTTTCCCGCCTCTTCGCCTTTCTCCACGGCTTCTTTAAGTGTCGTGCGAAATTCAGAGATTTTTTCTTATTCACGTTACCAGAATTGAAATAAAAAATTTCAATTGATTTATTCTGTTGTCCTGATCCGGCAAAGAACACCTGTGGATAGAGAAAACAAAAAAGAAAACCAGACGTTTCATCAAACAGATTCGAAAAAAAAATTAGCCTTTCTGATTATTGCAAAGCATTTTGAAATTCGTGGTCATCAGAAATGATGAATTATTCAAACCATTTCAACTTTGATTTTTTTTGCAATCTAAGATTTTCACAAGTGTATCAGCTTCTGGATTGAGACTCAAATATTTATGTCAAATGCAGAAGAATCTTAGTATCAATTTCGATAAAAAGTAAACTATTGATAAGTTTTTTTGAAAAAGAAAACCTGTGTTGGTATCCGTAGAACGTCAGCGAAAGCAGCAATTGATAGAAACAAACGAGGAGTTTGCAGTATAGGAATAATGGAACAGTACGGTAACGCTGAAAATCGATCTTTTCTTCTCCTTTTGTGTGAAAAATGTGTTTTCTGCTGAGTTTCCAAAAAGGTAATAGATACTCAAGTTAAAAAAAAATAAATTATCAAAATATATATCAAAATATATATCAAGAATAAGAGCTAAGCAGTATCGTCGGGAAACAGAGATGTGCACACAAAATAAAAAATGTCGGTTTTTCTAGACACAAACTTGAACTCAACGACTTATGTATGAAAAGTTTGATACAAACGTAAACTTTACAAACATGAAGTTTTGATTTTGTTTCATGAGATGAGTTAACAAAATAATACTCGCCAAAACGAACATGTGGATTCGAGAAATGTGTAGAAGCCCTCGTTTTTTAATAAAATTATTGGAATAGTTAGCCTTCGTAAAAAAGTAAAAAAAGATACAAATCAAGTTTTAAATTGATCAAGTTCGAAAAATTCCCGAAAAAAATTAATTAGGAGTTCAAGTGCCCAAATTGAAATCAATTTTTCCTTGACTTCATACCGAAATATTTCATAACTAAAACATTAAGCTTTTTTTTCTGAAAGGGATGAAATTAAAATAAACAAATCTGTCTAGTTATAAGAAGAAAAGTTAGAAAAGGTTATGTAGTCTAACAATAAGAGACTGTTTTGATACTTCAAGGGGAGGAAAGCGTATTCTTAAAAAAATATCCACTAAAGAGGTGAGATGCGTAATTTTTTTTCTCCAAGATGACACAATTTGAAATTATTTTCCTTAGAAGGTTGCCTTTTTTCGGTCTGCGAAAACCCGCGCTTAAGTTCGGCTTCAACGGGTTGAAATATCCAAAATTTTCATGCTTACTTAAACAACGTCTATAATTTTTCTATTGAACTATGGAACTTTTCTATTGTAATTCGTGAAATCCTAGAATCGCCAGAGCTAATTTCTTTTTATTCATTAAGACAAACTATCTCGAAAAAAATACTTTTTTCTTTTTTTTTGGTTGTGTTTCTTATTTTTCTTTCAAAGTGATTATTACATATATCTATCACGCCTCGAGTTTCTACCTGTAAGTGAAAGTGCAAAAACGCATGCTCTGATGTCAAAAATTCATGAAGGTACAGCAGTTCCAAAAACCTGTTAAATAAAAGTTCTCATTTTTTTAATACTATATGGAAACATCCAATAATGTTTTTCAAACAAAAATGAACTAGTGTTGAGATACTGTAAAACAAAAACAAACAAAAACTGCTGATAGAGAGTCGAGGCAGCCGGCAGGATCAGAAGTGAGAGTTTGACAAACGTCAACGTGACACACCGTCGCTCCTTTCAGGGCGTCCTTTCTCAGCCGCCGCTGCTCGTCATACAGTATGCCCGCCGCCTTTTGCTCTTATTCACCTTCTCCGTCGTCATCCACCCGCTTTTGTCCAATTAACCTAACAATGCCCGTTCTCACAGTGATAGCGGCTGGCTCCGATCCGGTATTCATTTCGTCGGTCATCTTCGGCTTCTTTTGATTCAGTTCTGCTCTTTTTGGCACACCTTTTTCTTTTTTCTCTCTTTTTATCATTTTCGATTTATTTCATAGAATAAAAACAACCTTTTTTCCACTCAGTGGCAATACTTTTTTGCCTTATACTTTTTTTCAGGCTACATTGCATGTGCACAAATCTTGTAAGTTTATAAATCGAAGTTTTTCCAGCTTTTTATCATTTGTTTTTCGACTTTTTTTTCATTCAAAGACGGAGCTGACTTGTGTTCAGCTGAATATTAAAACTGTTCAAATTAAAAAAAGAACATATTATTGAAACTTTCTTATTTGAGGTAAATGATCAGAAATTTCATGAAAAAAAAGCAGAAAAAAATAAATTTTTTTCAAAATGAATTTCAAAAATTCTTTTTTTAAAGCGATTTTTCTTCAAAAAAATAATTGAGAAAAAAAGGAGAGAATACAAAGATTACAATGAAAAAAAGTTCTTCTATGTGTGCTTTTGTTTTCCAAATTTTGAACATTTTTCGTTTGTCGTTTAGATCACTGTCAATGTATCAAGGTTCACACTGATATCAACGAACTCCCTTTTATTATTTTCGAACTCGAGAATAAATTTCTGGAAAAAGTAAATGTTAGAACAATTAATACGTCTTATTTTTAACCACGCTCAACTTTGATTCCGATATTTAAAAAAAGAAACCTTTTTTTAATTTTTATTTCATGAATGGAATAATTACGCGATGATTGCGCAACAAGAGCTTCCAAGGCTTAACGCACCAAAAGCGCGCACGTCGCCATAGAAACGGCGCGCCATCGAAGCTCCGTTTTCTCAGAAATTAGCTTTCTGCTAGCTTTAGTGATTTAACTCAATTTCGGCTAAATGGTATTCAATCCTGATTTCTTTTATTTTTAATGGACAGGAAATCTGCATTCGTCGTTGTGGTACACGGCAACTTGACTTCGGCACATGTTTGTTTTTTTCTTCTACCAGTCATCCTTTTATGTTTTCAGTTTCCTCAAGCTGAGAACACCTGTATCAAACTGACTTGTACTTATGGCAGAGAATGGAAACTTATTTCCGGCCAAACACAACACATTTCTGCCTATTGCACCCCTGGATCTACGTCAATTATTGCAGTTGATCTTCCTTTTGAAGCCTGTTTTGGGTCGAACGATCCTTATCAATGTAAGTGTTTTTGTGCTTTCAGAACTTTTCGATTATTTTTGATATTTCATCGTCAAAATTCTTTGGACGGCTAATAAATCATTCAACAAAAAAAAAGGATAGTTATGTTGAAGAATTAGTTTACATCAACTCCTGGAAATTTTATCACAAATCATGTTGAACCAGCTCTGGAGTTTCCTTTCTTAGAGGCGGCGCGCTTTAAAATTAAAAGAAAAGTTTGATTAGGACCTCTCTATAAAAAGTCTCTGCTTTTAGCTCGATAGGGAAACCAACTCCAAAAATTGCATTGTGTTTCAAAAAATATAATGAAAAAGTTAAGGGCCTCGGTACGTCTTAACGTGTTACACTCGCAATCGGAACGGTCATGATCGAATCAACGGTTATGGGGCTTTGTTTCTCCCAACAACGCCTGGACAGTTAGTACACATCTGATTTTTTTCGTTTTTGATCAATTGATTTTAGATACAAACTGAAAGTGCGATGTTATATGCCCGAACCCTCTTCCCTGATCCAAAGTTTGATTTCGATGTTCCGCGGTTTGAGCGCGGAATTAGTCAATCCATTGATGCCGGCTTATGCAGATGGAAGATATGGTAGCATAACTTGTACAAGACAAGAACGATAGAATCATGCAGGTCTCCGAGTTTCTACCAAAGGAACAGTGGAAATTGAATTGAATATCCAAACAAGAGTCAGCGACACCTCCTTCAACTTCAAAAACATGAAAAAGGTGGATTTCACGCCGCCTTCTCGGAGTCAGGTAAGTTCAGTTTTCTTTTTGAGGATTTAATATTTTTCGTTTCAGCCGCCTCCACTGGCAAGCAACAATGAAGACATAAGAAGTGATCCAGAAGAAACCTGATTCTTCCGATAAGTTGCTCATTTATAATTGTGCAGTAGGATATTTAATTGAAGTTTTGAGTGTATGAAAAAAAAGCTGCAAGAAATGAACAAGAAAAAAATTTTCCGAGTCACTTGTTGCGTTTAACTGATAGCCGTTCGGAAAAATTGGTTGGTTTAACTTAATTTTTATATTTCTTTTTCAAATAACTTTTTTTATGTTCCAGAATAAAACTCGGGAAGTTGATGAATGTATTATTGTGATTCAATTTTTTCGAAAGCTATGCACCAGTGCTCGGAAAAATTTGAGGATTTTTCATGAATAATAAAAAAGACAGGAAAAAGGATAGCTTGCATTGACTTTGTGCTCTCGGTGGCGTTAACAGTGAAGCGCAACACACAGATGGTATTTGAGTCATCGGCTAGCAAAGCTTTCAATTATTTGCTTTTTATCAACTATTTTGCCAGTTCTTTTTCAGCAGCTTTTTTGGTCATAGCAATTTGTTGTGTGGAAAATTCACTTTTATGAAAATTTACTCGAGCAAGTGCGATGTTCGTTGAAAGAAACGTATATTTGTATAGCCTTTGTCAATTAAAGCCAAATTTACACAGTCACAGGTTCAGGTCAATTCCAAGAATTTTTCGAAAATGTTCTTCATGAAATGATTTTAAAGTAGGCAGAAATCAGTAGTGCATTTCCTGAGAAATGTCGCTGTTTTTCGGTTTGCTGGAACTGTGCTTGTGATCCTCGTTGTCTTTCCGTTTTCTATCTGTCATGAATAATGTCTCAACCTGCAAATTAACGATTTTTCAATCGCTTCTTTTTTACATAAATACCTCTTCTATCGTGTAATTTCTTGTTTCGGGAACGAAAAACACAACGAAAAGCATTGCGACAAAAGTTATGCCAGCGTAAATCAAAAAAGTCCCTGAAGCTTTACGGTTACATTTTCCACTAGCCCATATATACCGTGTTTCGATACAGCTTCACTCAGGGATAAAAATGTCAAAGAAATGATGAGATTGAATATCCAATTAACAGCAGTAGCCATGCTGATACACGTGCTCCTTGCCCACAAGGGGTAAAATTCGGCGTTCATGACCCATGGCAAAGGAGCGTATCCTCAATATTTCTAGGTTTTATGAAATTATTAGAAGTAGAACCTGAGGAGAAGAAAGACAGGTAGACTAGCATGAGGATGATCGGAGCAATGGTGAATCGAGAGACGCAGTAATCTTCTGACCATTGAAATTTCGGGGTTATCTCGATCGTTAGGTTAGAACAAGGTCCGATTGAAGAAATTGCTGAGCTTCCAGATGTGGGCAGACAATAGCCTGAACATCAATTCATTCATTGTTCGAATTTTTCGCTCACCTTTTTGTGATCCAAGTGGCTGACAGAAGCCACAACGTTCGTCAGTTACACAATAATCACAATTGCTGCATTTTTCAATAAAAATGGTATCTTTTTTTTATGTCGAAAACCTGAAAGTTGAGCATCGGTTTGGACTGTTGTTGACCACCAACGTCGATGAAAGTGTCTCCGCGGAATCTCTGGTAAAAGTAAGTGATATCGAACATGAAATATTCGAGCAATAAGAAATGAGCTATGACACATGACTTAGATGTAATTACCTATTGATAGCGTAAAAAGCTCCACCCATAAGCAGAAGAGTGATTGCAACGCCAAGAACAGATACGAGAAGAAGAACTCGTCGTCCTACTCGTTCTACCAAATACATAGGGATGAAGGTGCAAACAAAGTTGACGGCTGTAAAGAAGCCAATATATTACTATTCTAGAAGGCTTCTTACAAGAAATGCCAACAGAAATCCAAACGATCACGTGTTCGTCTCCAACTCCAGAAGATTGAATAATTTTCCCCGTGTAGTACCTGAATAGTTGCTCTTCATACTCAAAACCTTTTGATTGATGATACTACATAATAGTATTGATTCCAGAAAGTTGTTGAAAGGCTTGAAGAAGACATCCGATAATCAAAGCTTTTCTGACGTGCGCCGTTGTCAAGACTCGGCTTATCACGTAAGACTTGCCTGAAAGGTCCGGTAGTTCAGCGAATGCCGAAAAATGATTCATCTAACCTAGTTGTTCCATCTCCCGTTTCTCTTCATCGCATAACAGGGAAATTTCAGTCATTTCGTAGTTTATCCAGGCTGCGTTGTGAGAATAAATTCTATCCAGGACCTCAAAAACAGTTTGATAGAAACCATTTTGACATTTTTCAGAATCTTTCTCGATACGATAACACAAATTTCAGAATTTTGTGAAATTTCGCTCACTTTATTTAAAAATTTAGTTTTATTTTTGACTGGAATGTAAAACCTTTTTAGCCTCGGGTTTTTCTCCAGCCTTGTAAAGCCATCGAGGGCTTTCCGGTAGAAAGAAAAATATCACGAACTGAATGGCGCTAGGAATTGCTGCGAAGCCAAACATAAGCCTAAAAAGCTGATTTATGAACTGTCTCACATCCTGTTTGCTCTTGATCTTTCGATTTAGCACGAATTTCGTCTGAACAGACGCAAACATTGACTTTTTTTTCCAATTTGAAACTTACAGTGATGAGAGAAAAAACGGAAATTTTTCTCAATAGTCATGGAATTTTCATTCTCAAATTGTGTTATTTATCACCTCCATCCGACGTTTTGAGGATCAACGTAGCTGAAACCTCCCGCCATGACATTTGCGGCCAACAATCCAAAGGTGATCATCAATTGAAACCCGGTGATCAGTTGGCCTGAAACGAGACGTTGAATTTTTCTCCAAAATGAGAAAAATACCGCGAATGTGCGCCGGTGACGACTCGCCTATGTACATCGGAACGACCATCGATGAAATACCTGAAGTTTATTGTTTTCACATAAACTTGATAACGAGAACATATTTTTGCAAAGTTTTAGTTCCTGGTGTTTTTTGTGTTGATTTTACTGCAATTTTTCACAAAACTCAAACCTATTGCAATTCCAAGCAAGATTCTGCCAACGAGAAGCATATATTTTTCAATTGCGATACCGCAAACCAAACCGCCTATAGTGAAAACAAAAGACGATACAAGTATCACCTGAAATTATCTTCTTTTCCTGCATGTATCGTTAAAAAAAACCTTTTTTCGACCCCATTTATCTGCCGCTGGACCAGAAAGCAGAGAGCCTAGTGCGGCGAACCCTGTAAATCACGTTATCGACGTTGAACAACATTTGAACCGGTTCATGGACATCACAAACACAGGAGGAAACGGAAAAAACTAATGTGATACCTGGGGTGACACTGACAATGACCTCTTGCCATACTTTTCCCATAGGCTTCATCGCTTCATTTTTCGGGACATATAGCATTGCCGAAGAAACTATCCCTGTATCGTATCCAAAAAGAAATCCGCCTGAAAATGGTCATGTTTTCAAAGTTTTCAAAAATGGCTGCTCTAAGAGTCTACAGAAAATAATAATGACCAACCTATCACAGCGCAAAATGCAATCAAGTAGACATAAAGCCCTAAATTGGGAGAGCTCTGAGGTCGAGGGCATGCTGAATTTGGCACCACCTTTGAATAGTTCTCATTGGTTTTCAAATAAAAACAAGATTGACTTACAGTATTGATGTGTACCATAATGAAATAAGGCCCAGTTTTTTGGAAGGTTCCAAGAAAAAAAAAACAACTGACGTGCTTCAAGTGCTACGATTCGAGTTGTGTTGACTGAAAAGGTGCACAACAACATCAATATCGTAATGAGATGTAACTTGATACGACAAGAAAACGAGAAAAAAAGGCGAATACGGCGAACGCGGCAAATAAGGCAAGAAACGTGCAGCCGGCAGATCCCACACGTGACGGCGAATTTCGCGGATTCGTCAAAATATCATCTACCAAACGTTCTCGTCGATTTTTACAAGCCGGTTTTCAGCCTTTAGAGGACAATCTTCCAGCTGCGAATGAAAATAGCACGTGGACGGTGGGTAAAAAAAGATCGAATCTTTATAATGTATATAGAAAAAACTTGAAGTATTGTTCTTCACGAGTACATCCTGTTATTTCCTCCAATAAACCGCACAAACAAAAATGAAAATTATGAAATTTACAATTACTTTTTTTGCTAGGAAATAATTGGAATTAAGAGTATTTTGCTGATTTCAAATTTGGAAGTTATTTTTTTGAAGTCTAAATAAAAAAACAGATTAAGAGTTTTTACATTTGAGAACCCGCCAAAACATTTCTGATGTTCGGAAGCTTTCAAACGTTCGTTATTTAGCGCTAAGAAATTTCAAGTTATGTTTTTATCATTTTGAAATAAAACAAATAAATAACAAATAGAGGAAAAGATGGTTGGCATGATAGAAATGAACTCCACTGCAACTTGTAAAGTTTGCGAGCAGTTCGTTCAACTTTTTCCCGTTTCTAGTTTAGCATAATATCAACAAAATGTAAATTTGAAAAAAAATGCGTAGCGGATTGGGAAAAGGAAACTGTCGGCGAAAGTTGTTGTGGGAAGTTTATTTTCGAACCGCCTCCAATTCTCCCAGCATGTTTTCCATAGGTTTCGCCGCAATTCCAAAACCGTCCCAGTACTCTTCGAAATTCCAACTGCTGGTGATCAATGCGTGTAAAAAAGTATTCGTCTTTTTTCTTTCGAACAACACTGTTTTCAAAGAAAACTCTCAGAGTTTTATTTTTCAAAATGTGCATTGACACTAAAATTACTAACTCTGCTCTTCAAATTAGAACTATAGATTTAGTACAATGATGCTAATATGATAAACTGTAGATATCGACACGTGAGGAATTTTTCGAACAAATTTGTCCAACTATACAGTCAAACGATGACCAGTTTATTTTAAATACAGTGGATCGAGAAGAAATTGTCGTTCTCCAAAACGGAGGGTGGGCCGCCTCGCCAAGACTCGAACGTTTGAGAGAAAATCAGAGACTCAGGTTGATAAGCACGACACTGAGTTCACTTTGAGCGTGAAGTCGAGATGATTGAACTAAAATAATGTTTATTCAACCATTATTTCGCAAAAAAGGTACTTTTAGTAGTAATGACACCAAGAAAAAAGACTCCAAATTTTTTTTCTACTGATTCAGTGTTTTTATTTAAGGTTGCATCAAAAAGTTTTATTCCAATAAGAAAAAATGATAACCAACCTCCCATTCGCCGGAATTGCTGCATGTAAGCTCTATTGTTTGTTCAATAGGTGCCAAAACGCCTTTCGATCCACGATTAAACTGAAAAAGATTATAAACATTATCTGGTTAGGACAATCTCACCTGAATGAATGTTTCTGATTCTTTCGTTCGGCCAACACATTTCACTGTTTGTACCTGGAAACTAAAAATTAATAAAAAGCAACTCAAGAAAGCTTACAAAACAGCGGTTAGGGCCGAAATTTTTGCTGACAGACGAAGATCCAGAGTGTGGACGCTCCTCCAAAGGGGCCAGAAGACAAGACATGCATCCTTAACACAAAGTATGAAGATCGTTGAGAGAATCTTGAAGAAAACTCATTTTGTAAATAAAAATCATTCTTATTTCCTACGATTCATGTAAAAAATCATGAACTCACAAGGAAAGTGTGTGAAGTGAAAATCTCAAACCTTGTTCACTTTTGTGGTAGGTAGCCCTAGGTATGAGTTCTTTAAAACAAAACAAAATAATTTGCTAAGCACCATAGGAAGCTGAGAAGTAGCAAGTCAAAAACAAACGGTTTTCCGGCTTTTAAAACAATTTCTGTGGTTCAATATATTATGAATGAAACAAGAAAATAACTTTTTCTACAAAAAATGCAAGGAAATTCCGCTCTTTGTTTTTTTTTGTTCATATCCGACGGACTTTTCTCAGTACCTGAGGTCACTCAGCAGATAGTTATTTTTGTTTTCGAATACTCGTACTCGATTTACCCACCACAGAAGTTTACATCAGATCTGTGAAGTTTACCTCACACAATACCCAAGAAAAATCAGAAAATTTGAGGAACCTTTAGGTGGAAGGGCGACGGTGACGGTAAAAATGGACAGTAAGAGCAGAGCCAGAGGAGACATGTTCGAGCTTAGGCGGGCGACCAGAATGCGAAGGCATCGCTCAGATCTAAACTATCGCTGTAGTCGACGTGCTGCACAAATACAGGCCTGCAATCTTTCGCCCATTTCCTCTTATTTGTGGAATCTGCAAAGTTTTTTTCTCGATCATTGACAGAAGAGTTTCAATCAAAACTTTTTGGATGTGGAGAATACCAAAAAGAAAAGTTCCGTTGACCGCTAGCTTCAAATAAAAGTTGTCACAGAGATTTCAAAGTTCTAATCATTGAACACCGTCTTACTAAAAGTGTAAAAAAAGAATTGTTTAGCTTTGTTAAAGAATTGTTTTTTATCAGTGGCTGAAACGTTCTTAGATAATCCAGCAGTGTATTTATCATAGAACAAGGAAAAATTCACGTAAGAAAAAATTGAAACAAAAAACGATGTTTGAGACCGAAACTGTATTCAGAGAATTTTGCGATCTCAAAAAAGGAACGATAAGCAAATAGAATCGATTCAAAGTTTTTCTTCAAGTTTCACCCATCGTTAATGAGACTTATTCATTAATCAAGCGCGTTGCGATCGCCTTGGGGCTCCCCGGTCTGGTCAGCAGCTCTGATCAAATGAGTTTTTGTCGTATTTTGTCGTTTCGTTTTGCCAAATTGTCGACTGCATAGCTAAGCAAAGGAATTTACAGTTTTCAGCAGAGGTTTTTTGATCAGTTTTTGAACAATGTCAACCATCGTTTCAATGTTTTATTAATTTTTTTTTTGTTTGTACTGCTTTTTTGGATATTTCAAGCAGAGAAAAAATGGTCTGAATTTTTTTTTGCTTTGTAGATTTTAGATCTCACTATTTCTTGAATTTCCCATAGCCTACTTTTTCAAATTTCATTAATAGTATTGTTGGGAAAAATTTTTGTGGTGTTGCAAAAAAAAAGTTTCCGCCGAAGAAATAGAGAAGTTTTTGAATTCAAAAAAAGCTGAAAAAATCATGGAAGCTGACAAGATGGAGAGTTTTTGTGTAAAATAGATACGAGAGTACACAGACAGCCGAACTCGAGGGCTTTATTGATCTCTTGGCAGTGGTTGACCCTTTATTTTCACAATCATCGAGAATGTCCAGCGAAGACGATCATTTTCACTGCAACAACTGTTATTTTTCTTATTGTGACTATTCGAACTGTCCAATTGAAACTTGCAATTTTTGTTTCGTTGCATTACACGGCTGCAAATTGTCCGAGCACCAGGAAGAAATTTGCCGGAAGGTCTGTTCTACCGCATTCTTGCCCTATTTGTCCCCGTGGGAGTATTTGTCTTTTGTTTCGTTCCCTCTTCCCACAATTTGATGTCCACTATCCCAGGTCGTCGTTCCATGCACCAACGCTCAGAACGGATGCGAGAAACGACTGCAACGAGAACGGATCAACGCTCATCTCCTCAAATGTTTGGCCAGTGTTGTGGTGTGTACGAGGTCAGGAAGTTGAGAAAATTTCCATTGGAAACCCACCAATAATAATAAGGCAAAGAAGAAAATTCTAGTAATATTCCTTCTCTATTTCTCAAAGTCAGAAGCTCTTTTAATAGCATAATCTTTTTCGCAACTTTTTCATTTCGAAAATTCAACCAAATCTTAAATTGAAACTTTCCAGAGAGTGGTCTCGGAAGTCAGTAAATCACAAATCGAAGCTCTTTCTGAAAGAATGTGGGAAGAAAGGAATTCCCATTACGAATAAATCATCAACGTCTGCGGATTTGGCGTTTGCTCTTAGAGATCAGGTATCCTTTTCGAAGACTTTCTTAAATAATTCTCATCATATCAAAAAGCTGAACTTGTTATTTCACATAACTAATTATTTTTGTGAGCCTGAAAATATTTCAAAGTTTCAACTATCAATAAAGTTCAGGAAAAAATTGTTGAAAGCTACAAAATGCCCAGGAAGTCACGAAATCGTCGAAGAGACCGAATTCATCCTTTCCACCCCCTGTTACCGCTGAGAGAAATTGTTATACACGAGTCAGAATATTTTCACCTGAAATTTGTTTCAGGCCGACGAATACAAAGAGACCAATGTTTCTGGAGACAGTAGTGAAGAAGAAAGAGAGTTGGAGGTTATTTTTTACAGAAAATTTTAAAATTCGAAACTTGGCTGTTGCAGATCAAAAAGCTGAAGGGGAGCCGAAGGGTTTTTGGAAACTGTAGAATGTGCCAAATTGACCCAACTGCTCAACACTTGCACACGTTGGGCAACGTGACAGGCCTCGATGAACCTGTTCCTCTGGTTCTCAAAAAGTTCGAAGAACGCGGAGACGATTTTTGTGAGAGAAATGGACTCCAAGTTCGTGTTTTTCTCTGACAACCTATTCAGTTCTCAATTCAGATCAAATTCAATGCTGAATACTACAATGAATGCTCTTCAAAAAACCGTCAACTGACCGGTATCCGATTCCAAAACTCAGCCTACACGTTCAGGTTTCTTTTCGAAGTTATATAATTTGGGCACTTCAAGTAATCAATTTTTCTTTGAAGATGCTTGCATGTTGTGAAACGAGCAGAATATGCAAACCATCAAATTTCTCAACACAGCTACATAATCGAAAACTTATCGAATTTGATTTTCAGGTCTGCTTTTCAAAAAAAAAATAATAAAGGAACTGATCTTCAGGTGCCCCAATTTTCTGCAGGGATGTGAATTTCATTGCTCGCGTCTTGAGAATCCTGCAAATGTTATGTACGTCGTCATTTTATATTCCTCGTCTAATTTTGAAAAAAATTGTTGTTTTTCAACGAAAATTGTATTTCGCTCTCAAATTACTTAGTACATCTAAAGGATTCAAAGATGAGGGGTTATTTGATGCGTTTTTGCTGAAATTGAACCTCTATAAAATATAATACAATCTGAAGTGCTCAAAGTTACTAATTTTTCACCTAAACGTTTCAGATACTCAAAAGAGCTCGACTCTTTTTGCTTCCGTCCAAAAATAGAAGAAAGCGAAGACGAGAACCCAAAAATGGTGTCGAAATTGGAGGAGATGCCAGATTGGGTATTTCAGACGTTAGTCGATCAGCTTCCCAGCTCTTCTTTGTACAACTTGGCATTAACTTCGAGGCACTTTGTTGCTGTTAATTGAGTCGAGCGGAAATAATTTTAGAACGATGCGTCGCAAAATTTTCCTTGTTTGTCTCGAGAAATGCTACGTTGATTGTCGCTGGGCAAAAGTGCAAGGAAGTTGGCAGCGGCAGCAATTTGTGAGTTTGTTTTTCAGCTTGTTTGCCGAGTAGAAAAAAAATAAAAAATAGAAAAAATTCTCAGCTTCGAAGTTAGTCATCGGTTCAAGTGAGTGTGAAGCGTAAAGCGTGAGTAATAGAAAAAAATATGATAATGATAATAATTATTCAAAATTTTACAGGTAATTAAAATTTCAATCTCTGACGAGGTACAAAATAAACTCAATTGGAAACCAGCCACAGAAATGACAAATCATTTGATGAACTGCCCGTTCTACAAAAATTCAAACGTACGAATTCGAAAAAAATGCAGATTTTTTTCCCAATGATCTCAATGGTGATTTTATCGAAGCCTGTCTTGGAAAAAAATAAATAATAACTGAAAACTTTTTTTCATTATTATTCTATTTTTTTCTGAACTGAAAAAGTGGCAAACTTTTGCTTTACTGCTTTAACTGAAGAAACAAAATATTGTAATTTAGTTATTTTTCTTATAACGGCTTATCTCGAAAAATGGAAGAAAAAGCCGCAAAAAGCCAAAAAAAGACAAATAACCAATAACCATCACATCATGGTTTCTTTTTCTATCTTCTTAATTACGGAAATACCACAGCATTTCAAATGACCATTGTTTCATATACTTTCTCAACTTTTGTATTTTTTTCTCTTCAATTTTCCCTTCTTTGTTGCGCATAAAATACGTTCAATGGATTATTTTGAAACACGTGGAATCAGAAAAAAGAATAATTCTAGGAGCCAAGTGGTTGGTCGAAGGCTGTTGTGCGGAAAGATTCGTTAAACCTGCAATTAGACTTTTTTTTGTGAATTGGCAAAACTGAAACTACCTTTCTATGAAAGAAGCTGACATCCCGATGCATCTCACTTGGAATTGGTTTTGTGCGATTTTTTTGCTGAGGCTGAAAAATATATTTTTTTCAACTGTGAAGAGGAAACTCACCTTTGTGGTTTTTTCGCACTTCTAATGCTGTTGCTTCTTGAAAACTCTTGAAGAAGAGCTTCCATATTTAGAGAATCTCGGTGCGGAGATGATTCACAGTATGGGAAAACCTGTATGTGACAAAAGTCAATTTCGTTGAATAATAACACTAACTAAAAGATTCGCATTCTCCCGCTCCATGGACAAACGAAGTTGTTCGTTGCGCCAGTTCTCACCATGAGGCTGCCATTGTTCTTCGGCGGAGTTTCTATAACGATTTCAAACGAATCTTTTCGGAGACTTCAGTGGGAATTGCAATGAGTATCAACGTTTACCTGGGGGTCGCGTGGCTTGGAGCGCTCAGATCCGGTTTACTTTCCGTGTCGAGAATACTTGTACAAGCAGGAGCTGTGTGTATTACAGAAGTGCGAACAATTCCATCTCCGATTTCGCTCATTATATTCCGATAATAAGAAGTTTCCATGGAATATTGAATTGCCTAGAACACTGAAGTTTTATCTTGGAAGTATATAATTTTTTGAATTGAACACAACAAGACTGAGTTCGAAAAGCCCCATGAAATGAGTACCTGCATTAAGAACGGGATGCCACGAATGTTTTTCATGACGGCTTCTGCCGTATCTTTTGTGATTCTCTCAGCATCACGTAACTCTCTTTTTTTGATTATCTTTTTGGCTCTCTGAAAAATAATATGAATGCCCAAAAAGATTTGTTGGCAAGTTGTAACTCACACAAGACTGTATGAACCAAGCCGCTGCGGAGAGAACCATTCCGAAGAAACCAAGAGCCGAAAGCCCAACTGATAAGATGACCAAATCTCTTTGTGTTGTACCTAATACGACTCCTGAACAATTTTTTTTAATCAAAAAAAAGAAATGATTCGAACTGACCAGTTAAAAAGATCAGCAAATTGCAAGAAGCGCAGAAAATTAGAAACGCACGCAAAATTTGCATTAGGAGTAACACGATAACCTAAATGTGTTTTGTCGACCTTTGTTGAAAGATTGCAAAATGACGTGAATAGAAATTGCAAATAAAATACACAAAACTCAAGAAAAGAGTTTGAGGAAAGATCTTCAAAAACTACTAAAAGAAGGCAATGAGAGTAAAAAAGGCTCAAAGCGCTGAATAGGCTGAAATCTCTCAAGGTATCACATTTCTCACGTACTTTCGACGATAATAAGCATCTGAATAAAGACGAAGTTGTTTTAAAATTGAGGACTGAAAGGAGAAAAGTTTCGAGAGCAAGGTATACATCTTTGAAATGGAGCAGCGCTTCAGAATGATGCCGAATCACTAAAATTAGTTCTAATCAAGTACCTTTAATTACACAAAATTACAAAGTGCGGGTGTGAAAACGTGTGGATTGTGAATCGTGGCGCTAAAATGAAGGAAATGAGAGAGCTGAAAAGAAGGGAAACGAAGTGTGGCACTCATTAGGCCGGCAGGCATCGAATGGATGCGTTTGCCTCAGGGTAAAAGCGGCGGATATCGTTGCGCTCACAGACAACAAACCGCAAGCCTAGCCGCGGTTTTATTGGCAAAAAAAAAAAAAACGAAAAATAGCTTCTTTATGGCAAATTGAACTCACCAAACCCAGCCTTATCCAAATATCTAAATCTTCTCCGAATTTTGCCTTGATACTTGTGATCCTCATTTGAATGTTCTCCATTCTTCTTTTAAAGATATCAAAAAGCTAGCATAAAAAGAAGCGAAAAATATGGCCTATAGGCACTTCTTACAAGTTGAGTTTAAATATGTTGCATCAGTAGTTTTCAGCCAAACTGACATGACAAGCGTTTGATCTTGGTGAGGTGAAGAAAGAGTGAGCACGACATTCTTAGGCGGCACGAAACTGCTTTATCTGAGGTTACCTCGAGAAAACAAAAGTGTCCGTTTCTCACACACGAATTCACACGCAGTACTAATCAACCAGGTTTTTCAGTCCATTCGTCATCAGACTTTCCTCAAGCGTCAGTTCGTGTGACTTTCTCATTAAAAAACCTGTGTGGGTAAAAAAGCGAGTTAAGAACGACTGAAAGTCTATATTAAACACTTTGAGCCCTTCACAGGTCGCTGATATCCCTTTATATTCAAAACTGAGATTTCAAACGAATAGGAACAAATGGATTCACAAGGAACAGTCATCGAGCAAAAGTTGGCTTGATAAAAGATTTTATAGTCGTATAGGTAAGTGTAAAAGAAAATGATCGAAAATTTTCGTGAAAAGTTGGTTAGATTCTGAGAGAGATTCAAATCAGGTACTAAAACGGTCAAAATCTAACTCGAGCTCCAATGAAAACGAAACGACCAGACGCTCCGCCATTGGACTTTTCACTAATTTACGATTCTGAGAGAGATTCAAATCAGGTACTAAAAGCTATAAAAGGAAGTGGCTAGATTGGATCGCTTTTTTCCATGACGTAGTTTGAAAAAAGAGTGTCAGATGCACATGAAAAGGAATAGAACATGTAACTTTCAGACAACCTGATTGTGATTACAAATAATTAATTGAATGAAGTACTCAACGGAACTCAAAAAGCGAACTTAAAAAGTGCAGACGAAGACGTCTAAAACCTCTTGCGTGTTTAATTACGATCACACGCCTACAATTATAATTGTTCTTCGAATAGAATTTGAAGAATATGTTTCAATTATAGATAAGAGCCACGAACCAGACACTTTAGGTAGAGCTTGAAAAATAGAAGTTTGCTCGATTCCAAAACTACGAGAACTGGTTATCAGCTAAACCGATACTATTTTATTTGAATAAAAAATTTCTTTTTTCGGGAGCAACTGTTTCAAGGTAGCGTTTTTTTGAAAAAAAAACTTTCGACTTTCGCCTGTACGCTGTACTAGACTAACATCCAAAAAGGGGTAAAGGCTCATTCAAACAATCTTCCAGCTGAAAAACCTCATCGAACTAAGGCATAAAAGTTTTCAACTTGTGGGTTTATCGGAAGCCGTATGTCCAGACGAAGACAGGTCAGACAGAATTTCCTGTACCGTGCATGAATCTTGGTGCACTCGCTTTGAAGTTAGAAAACATCGATGTTGAAAATGAGCTTCAATTTAGAGTTCCACAAAGAATTTCAGTTTCATGAAGCTTCAAAAAAAAAGAGTTTTGATTTTTTCCTCATCTTCAATTGAAAATTGCATGAACCAAGCTAATCCGTGAATATATACTCTTTCAATTTTAAGAAATCTTTCCTGAAAAAACGTGGCAAATGATCCTTAAAAAAGAAAATGTCATTTTTCAGCAAGCTTTCTCAAGACTGCAGAGGAGAGTGATCCATGAAAAAAATTCATTTTTCTCGTTTTTTCGAAAATTCAAAAAAAAGTTTCGGTATTTCCTGGATGAAGACAAGGTAATTTCGCGTTACCTTTCCAAAAAAATCATATTTGTTCTGAAATTGAAAATTCTAACTTTAGAGAAAGTTTATTATAACATCTAGACGCATCCGCAAAGAACGGATCTTTATGTGGAGAGGAGGCAACCGTAGGCTTTTATAACTGAGCAATGTACACACGAGTTTGGGGTTTGAAGATAGGATTTCAGTTGAGGTCTGTGAAGATGAGAGTTCCCCACTGAGAAAGCAGCTTCTCGACCATTCCTCGAGCGTTTGGATTCGCCGCTTCCATGAAGGCAGTGTGACCGCCATGATTCGTGATGATTCCCACGACTTCTTCGCTTTCGATCATGTCTTCGATCGGGATGCCTATAATTAGTTTCTGAGAACTTTTGAATTATTGACGCCTTTGAAACAGCGCAACTTATTCAATTATAGAGCTAGAAAGTTTGAAAGTTCAATTTTCACTAATGAGATTGAGAAAATCTCTGTACCCCATAGATTGAAAGAATTTCAACCAGATTCACTTCACTATTAGAATTGCTTCTTATTTAGAAAAAAATTGAAACACTCACACTCAACAGGGCTGAAACAGTCATCAATGGAGTTCAATGTCACAGTGGGAATGCGGATTTTCTTCACCTAAAATTTTACATTTTTAATGATTTTAAAGAATTAGTAAACTTTTGTTCGCAAAGCTGCATCGTTGTAGTAATCCTCGTAGTTCTTATAACCAAACATAGGGGTGATGAAATGCTTATCGAACTGCCTCACGGTGGCCACTTTCAGAACCGCCTCAAAATCGATCACATCGGCGAACAAGTCTCGATATCTAAAATATCCTTTATTATTTCATAATTTCTTTGAACACGCACGGTTTTACAAGATTGATGAGATTGTTAGCCAAAAAGCGATTGAACACAAGCTGGGGCCAGAATCTCTGAAGTACATCAGCTCAGAAAAAACATTGGTCGAGAGCACCTCAATGGAGTCCGACGCAACCATCGGGTCCCACGGGGAAGAGATGATCATGGCTCCTGTGAGCTTGGCTTCGTCACCCACCATCGCCAAATAATTCCAAAGGATCATTCTGTAAAACAAAAAGAAAACCGTGCTATTCTATTCTTTTCTGAATCACCCTCCCATGCTGAAGCCACAGCCGAGCTTCTTTGCTTTCGGAAACCGATTGTCGATGAGTTTAGTCACTTCGATAAAGTCCAGAGGTGTTGCTGCATTGTATGTTCTATAATGAATGTTGGAGATTCATTTTTGATCCTCGTGGAGTCAAATACCTTGAAGTTCTCAACTTGACTCCACCAAGACCTCGTGGATTCACCACAACCGATTTCCATCCTTTGTCTCGGGCTTCGATTACAGGATGCAAAATGTAACTGCAATCATGAGTGCTGCCTAAAATTCAAGAATATTTCCACTTTATCGAAAGAAAAAACCGGTGATTCCTGGCAGAAAAACAACAATAGGAGTTTCGTCGTTCGACCCCTCAGGAACGAGCCAATCAATTCCGCATGCACCTCCGTCTTCAAACTCGACTATTTCTCTTAAAAGAAAATTTTATTACAAAGTTTGAAAACAGAGTTACCGAACGAATGGAAGTGAAGGGCAGTCGCGAAAAACTTGTCGGACAATGGTTTGAGTAGTTCCGAAAGGACACCACCAACTCGGATGATAGCTCTGAAGTTGCTTTATTACTTCGTGCGTGAATTTTCAGTCTTACTTCTCGTAACAACGTTAAGTTCTTTTCCACTTTTTCGTGTAATCTTGACCCATGCTTCGTGTAGTGCCTCGGAACCTGTAACTTTTTCTTTTTCACAAATGCTAAACTCAAACAGTTCTTTCTTACATAATCCGGCTTTTTGTTACGCAAAAAAAAGATAAACTGATAACAAAGAGACAGGTTATCAGATGTGCGATGGCCTGACCGTCAAGTTTCGAACGCGATGAAATGGTGCGTGTCTTTGTAAGATTATGTGGAAAAAAGTTTGATAGATTTTTCCCATTTTCGTTGAATAAGACTTCAATGAGCAACTACCTGAGTTGTACCATCAAATGTGAGAAAAAGTTCTACAACCTTTGACGGAAGGAAAACTTTCTCGATAAAATGTTTTTTTTTTTTTGGTAAATCCAATGGAATCAAAAAAGTGGTTTTTTACTCGAATTTCAAAGTGATTCGAATATACAGCAGATATTCCAGTGTTATTTTTTGGATGAAAAACCATCCTCAACAACTGAGCGAATTGAAGCTTTCAGGATCACAATTAGTATATTTCGAAGTTTCGGGCCTAAGTTCGAATAACTCCAAGTTATTTATTGGCATACTTTTCCAGATCTGAAAAAGTAAGATTGAAAAACCTCAGTTATGTAACGTGAGTAGACCCACAGAAGAGCCGGAACGACAACACTGGCAATCGCCAAAAAGACGAAAACCATCTCTGATGAAGCCCCGCTGAAAAAGCAGAATTCATTATCGAAATAGAGACATTGAAAGATAAGCGAGAGCAATCAATCGGAGCAGGACGAACAGCGGAATCAGTCTGAGACAACTTCTTTCTGTTTCTTTTTTCTTTTGGACTTTGCCCGGGGTGTTTGTTTGAGTGTTCATTGAACAAAAACTGCAAGGTTTGCACAAAAGTTCTGCATTTGGCTACAGCGAAAAGTTCAAAAAAGAATCGTAAGTGAAAAAAGAAAAAATATTGCAAATAAACATTTTCAAGGTCAATTCTTTTGTTTTTCTCAAATATGTTTTTCGTGTGAGTTGAATTGTCCAATTTCTTCACAAGTGTTTGAAGTATTTTCTCTAATAAAAAAACATTACGGAAACTTTCTCTTTTTTTATGTTGTTTTTTTGTTTGCAATTTTTCAAATAATAAATTGCTGCACGTATCAACAAAAGATTTGAAAGAAATCAGAAGATTAATCTGGTAAAAGAGATTCAAAAATAAAGTTTTTTTTTCAATTTCAAAATTTCACAATGAACTTCACAGTATAACCAAAACCATTTCGAAAAGTAACTTTCTCCATTGACTATCTAAAAAAGAAAAAAATTCAAAGTTGGCGCGTTTTGTGGGAGGAAAGTTTAAGGTTTGAATTTGACGCAAAAAAAAGTCAAACAAAAGCGAGAAAAGTGGAATTGGCTGCGAGAGTGTGGAGAGAAAGAGAAGAGCAATCGAGCAAGGTTCTTTTCTTCTTTCAGACCCTGCAAGAAGTGTTTGTATTTTTGAGTTCTCACTCACCCCACATGTTTAAGACTTGCAACAAGTTTTTTAGGAAGCTATAAAAAGCAATTAATATAATGAGCTTTGAAAAAAAAAGCAGGAATAAAGAAAAATGAACAAAATCACAAGAAAATCACAATCTGAAATTTGGAAAGGGCCAGCAGATCCACAATGTTAACCCAAGAAATGAGTATTACATCATAACTTACGATTCGACTATATATGGTATGTTACGCCTAACCTGTCGGTTTGCAAAAGAATCTTCATCTTTCTTATCTTTCTGTTAAAAATTCCTTTGTTGAAATGGAGAAACTTTTCTCCCATTTTCCTTTTTTCTACAGAGTATGATGAAGGTTATCGCATACAGAAAAAAAGAGAGAAATGTTGCGTTTATTCTCAGAACAGGTTATTTTTGAAAGGGCTACAGGATAGTCTCTTCATCAATTGAAAACATTGGTTCATACAGAAAAGCAAAATCAACTTTCCCAGTAACGTTTCCGGGTATAAGAATAGCTTTTAAAGTCTAATTCCACTGTAAAGTGAAAATTTCTTTATTCATTTTTTTTGAACAATTTACAAAATGTTTGAAAATGTCTGAGATAATGAATGGGCGATGAAAAACTCTCAAGCAAATTGTTGAAAATTATTTCTCGAAATATTCGATAGTCCTAAAAGATAGATAATAGTATAAAAAAAATTTTGAGAAGCGACTCGTGAATTGGATATTTCGGAGTATCCGGAATGATCAAAAAAATCTTCAACATTCCCTTTTTCACTTGAGCAGTGCCAAACCAATCATGAAAATCGAAATTTTTCGTGTTTTCAAATCTCCTTTGAGCTTTCGATACTTTTTAGTTTCGGACACAGAAACCATCGAAAAAAAACTTGACTCGACAATTATTCAAATAAAAAAACCGTAGCTGTTTTGAAATTTGAAAGAAGACTTTACGTGCCCGTTGTAAACATTAACTGATTTTTGAAATCAATTTAGAAACAGGCCTGTCAAATCTGTGTTGATTTCAAACTGCACATTGAAACTTTTAAACTCATAGGTATTTGTATTTTTTTTGGAAGAAACCTTCCAAAAATTGAATAATCCATACTTCTTCAAAGGTTTTCTGAGAAAGAAAAGGGTTTTTTTCAGTTTTCGTGATAGATTCTTGAAAGTTTCTTCTAAAAGCATTCCCAGACCAAACGTTCTGCCCCGATGACAACCTCTTTCTCCGATCTGGCCGGCAGATAAAACAATCTTTCGTTAGATGTTCGACAAACCTCTCTTCTTTCCATATTGTCGAATCGGGTTATTCTGAAACATTTGCAATATTTGATTTTTTCAGTGAAAGTTATCAAAACTTCTTATTGTTTTTGAACTTCCTGTCATTGATCTTTTCAATGACAAAGTGTTTTTTTCCTAAAAAAATAAAGAACCGTTGTCATAAATAGGCTCGCCGATTTTACGCCAGGAGAGAGTGAAAAAGAGCAATTTTGAGTCATTTGATCTTCTGGCTGACGTCGTGTACTACACGTTTTTGGGTCATCGTTCGCGTGTGATTCGTGGCAAAGGATCGATTCACACAAGGTCATTCTTGTCCGCGTCGTCGTTCCCAATTTTTGCTTTTGTCTATTGTCTTTAACACTTAATTACGCACAATTTTTGAAGGTGATCACAACCGTTGGAGCTCAGGATGGGTGTAGTTAGTACTGTGTTGACGCTAGACGCAGCTTTCGCATTCGTTACTGGAACTCTACTTTACTTCGCACCTCATTTTTTCTCCGACATACTTTTTGTAAGTTTTCCCAAACATTTTGATTCAACCTGATGGCACTATATTTGTAGCAGAGAAAAAGTGACGGAGTTCATTGGCACTTAGTGAGATGCATCGGGGGACAAATTTTGGCTTCTTCTTTCGTTTCCTACCGTTTTAGGAATTCCTCAGGCTCTTCTCATACTGTATGTCATATCATCAGAGTCATTGTAAGTTTTGTTCATTTCATGCCCTGAAAATCATGTTTTTTCAGCCCTCAATTTTGCTTCTTGTTCTTCTCTACCAGTGTCAATCGATGACTCCTGATTTAATCCCACTTTTGGTAAGTTTTGATATGTGATCTTGGGAATTTTGATGGATTCAGGCTCTGAAAGGTTTGAAATCATTGATGTTTTTCACAGTCGCTCTTCATTTTTTCTGGCTTCTTGTCGGCAAGTGGCAAGTTGGTAGGTTGTTTCAAAAGTGTGAAGATGATGGATCATCATTTTTCCAACAGGAAACCAATTGTGTAAATCTGACACTCTCGGAAACTTTTTGTATCAACTCGACGCCGTTGCTTCTGTTTGCATCGGGGCGGCCTGGATGACTTTTCCGAAATGGCTTCTTCATCGTCAGGTCAGAACTTTTGATGTACCTCAAAATGATCAAAAAAACATATTTGCATCTGAAAAAGTACAGAACAATGTTGTATATTCGTCTTTACTTCTTCTTCTTTTTTTTTCAAGCTTCTAAGCGCGTTTTCCAAATCTTCGAAAGTATTTTTGGTTTTTCTACTTCTTACAAGTTCGAACCAAGAACGCGAAAATAAAACTTTCTCACAAACATTTTCTGTTTTCAAGGTATTACTATTTTTATTGGAATTTTTTCCTTGAGGGTTTTGAAAGGGAGTTAATTTAAATCTGATTTGAAAGTGAATATGTTTTTCGAAATCGAAATGTGTTGCAAGATCAGTTTTTTACCAGAACCTTTTCAGGTACTTGTAGATCTGGACGAGTCACACGAACTTTGCGGCCGAGTCATGGGAGCTCTTTTCATATCGTCCTACGTTGTCTCTACGCACGCCCTATATTGGGAATCGCAGCGCGACCGAAACGTCGCCATTGACGGAAGGGTTTTGGTAAGTTCTGAAATCACGACGAAATTCATTTGAATCTGATTCACCAGACACTATGAAAAAATGTCTACAAGCTAGAATTGTACATAAAAAGTTTTGTTAATTACACTGCTATGGTTTTGAAAACATGGAAATCAAATTTAAACTTTGTTTAAATGATAGATCGATCTATGAGGATCCTTTTTATATGTGTTCGCACTTTGGCTTCATGTGAAGAGCCTGTGCTTTTTTTCTCAACAAATGCGTTTTTTTTAAATCAAACTAATTTTTTTACTTCAAACTCAATCGGATCCTCGATGCTATTTTTGATCTTTGCTTTGTTTTATCATTCACATTCAAACTCAATTTTATTAAGCCCATCTTCTTAATTTTAGGTTTCTTCACATCAACAGATTGCCTCTAGAGAGAAGCAGATTGCGGCTTTCATGAAAAAAAGAACAAAATCAGCTCACTGAGCAACTTTTTTTCCTTTTGTTGACGTAGTAAAATGTCAATTAATTAATGAAACAATTTCAAACAAACTCTGAGATTGGCTTCCACTAATTTGAAAAAAATTGAATCCTTTTTTTACGGTATTCCAATCATAATATGTCCCAAAAAAATAATCTTATAATAATATTGCGATTTTATGTTTTTATTGATGAGCATATGATAGAAAAAAATTTATTTCAGTGAGAAAAAAATTCAAAAAAATTTTTATTTTTTTATTCAGTTTTGAGTTTTTTTCTCAATAATCTTTTTCAAAAAAACACGTTTTTTTATTGCTGAATCGATGATCGATGTTCTCAGTAGAAGAAATAATTTTTTTACGAATTAATCTTTAGTTCGATTCAATAGGATTTCATTCAAAAATTTGAAAAAAATATTGAAAACAAAGAAAAATAGACTTTTTAGACCGAATACAAGTTTCAGTGCTGTCTGTCAATTCTGGCGGCGCAGTTGTGGTCTCAGACCTACGAGTCGTGGTCTGGCAACCACTGGATCGGAATCACTCTTTTTTCCACTTGGACCGTCATTTCTCTCATTTACCGCACTTACATCGGCGTGAAGGGCAAGTCGCACAGAGAATGAGCGACTTCTGATTTTCCCGATCTCTCAACAGACGTTTATTTTGGTTTTTCTTGATAAATACAATTATATGTTCGTCGCCTGTTTTATAAATAATGTGTCTGTAACTTTTTTTTCGCAATTTGATTGTACAGAACCAAAGATAAATGAGAAAAAAAAAATTAAATTCAATAGGATATGGAATTTTAAAAGCGATGAAAAGATCAAACAACGGTAAAAAATAAAATAACTTGAAGTTTAATTGAACTGAAGAAAAATTGTGATGAGAATCATCAAGAAGGAAGTTATAATAGAACGATAACCAGCAGCCTTTCCAACCTGAAAGAAAAATTGACTCATTTTATAACAAAGATTTGAATTTTACAGGAGGTTTGTCGTCGTCCACCTGTGTACTGTAGCTTTTGTTACGGAGGAAGTTTGAGAACATCTGGAATGTTTCTTTCGGCTTCTGAGCCAAAACTGCAGGGAAATGTCCTCCCCCAACTATTGTCACCAGTTCAACACCTTCAAGCTCACTTTCTTGAATCTATATAGCCTTCTCAATATCTTACCATCATATTTTGTTTGCAGTCCGATGGTTGATGGTATTTGTTTGTAATCAACATACGGAGTGGAAGGCATCAAAAGGGTCCTGTTCAAATTTTTTATGAACTGTTGGTTGTGAACAACGTTGCACATGGAATCAACGTCCCCATTGAACAAAGTTATCTTAAATTTATATTCTAGACGCTTTATATCAAATTTCAGTTACCCGTTTTTTTGCTTTCATTATCTTCTGAAAGAAAGGTGTCATTGTCGTGTATTGACTAACATACTTCATAGCGATTACATTGCTAAATCCCTCAATTAATGAAAATGCTGAGAAAACAACCTGCAGCTGGAGTAATTTTGAATATAAGAAGGAATTCGCAATGCCGTTCTGACTTCGGGCATGTTCAAGTATGCGACATAGTCATTGTGGTGGGCACACGAAGGCATGGAGTCCTTCAAATTTCCTTTCCAATAGTTAGCAGAGCCAAGAAATATGAAATCAAACCAATTTTTGAACAATTCTTCTTTTTTGAATGGATGGTTTTCCAGTTTCTCTCCTTTCTTGAACAGCTGCCTTCATTTCATCAGGTCTGTCGTAGTTTGGTTCATTCAGGTAGCATTTGAAGTACAGAAAGTAAGGATCGAGTCCCGAGTAGTACTTGCTTTCGCTGAGATCATTCGTCTGAATAAAATCGATTTCTCCAAGAAAGCAAGTTTCGAACCATATTAGCGCATTTACTGAAGCCGAACGAGTTTTTATAGAAGTCACAGGCGATCGAGTTATCACAACAACTATTTATCACATCTCGAAATTGTCTAAAACTGATTTGTAGATTGTTTCATTTTCTCAAAACTCACGTCTCATCAGTCAAGCCATGGTAATAATCGTACAAAATTCCACTATTGAAAAGTAACGAATCGTCGAGGCAACCATTCCCGATGAGCATTCCTTGGAATGAAGGGAACTGTTTTTTGTCAAGAATCAGCGATGACAAAGTTGGAACGTATGTTCCTCCGTATGACTCGCCAGCGACAAAGAAAGAGTTGTTTTTACGTTCGGGGAATTTCTGTAAAGTACATTCCTTCTAAGTTTTGGAACTTCCTATCTTTTATTAGTTTAATTAAAATGATCCGCCTAATCAGATAAGAAAAAAGATCAACACAAACTTGGAACCATAAAACGAGTGCATCGTGATTGTCGGATGCAACTTGATCGTCATTGAAAGTCTTTTTGGTAGTATTGTAAAAGGAGAAGCCGACTCCAGCAGGGGCATCCAGATAAATGATGTTGGCCAACTTCAAAAGCGCCAAATTTGGAACTAATCCTTATTCAGTTTACCCTATTCCACGTCCACGGGTTTCTCGCAACCGTTTTTCCTTGGTCAAATACTCTGTCAATATTTTTCATTTTTTTAACTGATGTAAAATCGTACCTGAAAGGTCCCATTTCGAGCAATGTTCCTTCCAAAGAGGAACACCCTGGCCCTCCATTTAGCCACAGCACCACTGGATCATTTGCTGGATCATTTTCCGACTCAATATACCTGAAAATATTTGATATCCATTCTGGAAAGCTTGAATTTTACCAATAAAACAACTGTTTATCTGCTGAAATGTTCAAATATCCAGCATAGTTTTTGGAGCGCAGCGGTTCCACCAAATTTGGTAAGTTCTGTAAATTTATGTCTAAAATATGGGAGAATTTTTGAAAACTGTCAATTGAGAACGGGTTTTTTCATTCGAAATTTTGACAAAACTTATACTTCTTATCAAAACTTAATTGAGAAAAAAATGGATTATCTATAAGTAGTATGTTGCATGCATCAAACTGATCAAACAAAAAAATTTTTTTTTGAATACGAATTATCTAAAGAAAACTTTACAAAACTCCTAGAAATTTTTTTTAAATATTGAAAAATGCCAGTTCTGTTTTCCACAGGGTCCATTACAATTTTTTTATTTACTTTTTTTCTGAAACAAGATACAATTATTTTTTTCAAAAAAATAAACACAAAATTATCTAATTAAAATCATAAACACAATTAAAAAAACTCGGGTTGTCAAATTGAATTCCTTATTTAGCTCTGCAAGAACTTCCGACCGATTCAACATGAACTCTTTCTCTGTCAACAAGGTTTTTCAGAAAGTGCGCTCTATTGAAACGTCATCGACCGCTCCTTTTTATTTTTCCACTAACATATCTCTTCAGTTTTTCAATTATTATAAGGATTCTTTTTCATTTTTTACTGTTATTTCTTTTTGATAAAACCCTCGGAGTTATGTTCCACAGGATACTTTTTGCTACCGTCTTTTTCAAAAAAATAGTATTAAATTAATTTTGAGTTGTTTCAAATTTTTTTCCAAATCGTCAAAGTTGAAAAAGGCAAGAACTACTTACCGCTATAAGATCTTCTACTGGGGCACAATAAACAGAGCCCAGCAAAACCGCTATCAGGGCGAGTGATAACGAGAACATCTGAAATCCTACTCAACGGTTATATTTTTAATAAAAAAAGAAACTAGAAATTTTTTTAGATTTAGAATTAGATTTAAAAAAGGAACTAGACAGACGCCGTTGTTTTTCAACCTGGCCTCAGTGTGGTTGCACACTAACCAAGCCATGCGCTTTCTCGAAAAATTTTTATTTTTCTTGACAACCATTTTTGATAATGTGTTTTTCATATTCGAACCAACTTAATAATGGCATCTTTAAAAAAATTGGCTGTAAAAAAAGGGAGCAAAACTTGAAATAATGTCAAAATTACGGAAAGGCCAGGTTGACCAATACCGGCGTCTACTAGAAACTTGAAATTTATTGCGTTCCGAGTTAGATATCAGCGATAAATAAAGTAAATGTTCCGATTTGATGAACACTTATTGTAATTTTAAAAAAATAAGTTTCATACTATGAATCGAAATAATTTTCTCCTCAATCAAATTTTCCAAAATATAGGAATATGTCAAGCTGGAAACGTATCATAGATAATCAAAGCAAAAAAAAAGTGATAAAAGAAATTTCGTGACTTAAGCGCCTTTGGCAAAGTCGTTCAAAACTGGCGGCGTTATCATTTCGTCATTTTCAGTCATTGAACTAAATTCCCTGCAAAGTTGACACAAAGAAAATCTTCACCAAGATGAATTTCTAGGCGTTCGAAAAAAGTGATTGTTTTTCACAATTGGTAGCTTTCCTGCACAACTGTCGTGGGACGCGGATTTTCCTCTCGAGGCAAAAACTTTAAAACTTTATCAGAACTTTTTTTTGTACTTTTATTGAATTTGCACGCAGTTCTTTTCTATACTTAAAAGCGTTTGTTGAGAATCACTGGAAAAATAATGTTTATCAATAGAAATAAATAATATAATTCAAGAAGTTATTGCATTCAGTCAAAAAAAGAGGAATGACAAAAAAACATGTTCATCGTGATGACAACTTAACAAGGAGTTCATTTCAGATAGTATTAAAACCGGTTATTTAAATAAGTTCAGAAAACAAAAATAAAATATATGGAATTTGACAAGTGTGAGATCATAACTTCGATGTTCCGAAACAGAGTTCGAGGGTCAGATGTCTGACTAGATGCATCATAAAAAAAATAGATTATTATCAACCGGATCGATTTCGAAAGTGAATGACAAAAACGAAAAACGGCGATTCAGCTGGATGATGTGCTGCATCGCTCGAATTCCACGGCCGAATGGTGCTCTTTCGCGATTTCTTCTTTCGAGCCCTTTTTTCTTTCACGTCCAAGAGAATGCCGTCGTTCAAACCTGAAAATTCGAAACGGACTTGATTTTCTGGAGCAAAAATAAAAGTAGTAGAATTATAAAACAAACTTCATAAATCCTTTGCCGATCCGTCGACCGATTTGCTTGCTGAACGAGAAGACGTGGTTTGAAGGTTCGACTTCAGGGGAAGCCAAAGGAGCGAAGCCTTTGGTCTTGTGGTTGTGGTTGGCCGTAGATGGAGATGGATGTTCCTTGGTTAAGACTCCGTCTCGTTGATGACGATGCGACCGACTGTGCACCGGTTTTCGCAGCATTTGCGCCTGCAGGACGATTTAGTTTGCGAAATTTATTTTGAGACTCTTTTTCGTTTTCTACTTCTTACCAGACAGTTAATGAATAGTTTTAACACAATTTTTCAAAAAAATTTTTCAACTCCCGAGGAAGGTCATTTTTACTTTGTACTCGTACCACTTTTTAAATATCGGTCAGTGTACTCTTAGAAACAAGATAGAATGTTAAGTGCTTCAATCTTTCCAAATTCTTAGTTTTTAAGGAAAAAATCTTCAAACCGACGCACAAACATCAAAATCGGCCCATATGAGCTGTTTTTCTTCAAACTTTGAGCCTTGTTTTTTTCCAGTATTTAAAATATCTTCTGGTAAAAAAATTATCATTTTTTTAATTGCTTACTAATTATTTTTAAATGAGAGAATATTACAAAATCCAAAGTAAAAATGAACTCCCTTGTTAACAAAATAAGCATAAAAAAACATCGGAATAAAAAGTGCAAAGTTTCTTGAAGTTTTTTTCTGAAAAAAACTTTTTTTCTTTATTTTTTTGAAAACCATGCAAACACGATAGAAAAAAAAGATTCAATTTTATTGAAATCTAAAATCTGAGAGATCCAACTCAATTCGTGTGACTAAATGACAAATTGAATGAAGTAGTAATGGAAAAATGAAAGTTTCGAAAGAACAAAAATAATTTAATGGAATGACTAGTATGCATGTTCATTTCGAGCAAGTTGATTATGGGAACTTGCAAATGAACTTTGTACAAAATAGGCAAGAGAACAAAATTTTTCATAAATTAGTACCGTTGGAAAAGGAAGAAAATTTGAAGAGATCAACGTGTGGAACAAGACTTTCAAATCAACGGATTTCACAATTGGAATATTGATGAGTATTTCACTGGGTTAGGAAGACAAGTGAAAGATGAATAATTATTGGGAATGAAAAAAACATCACTAGATTCTGAGGGAAAAGTGGGTTAAATCTAGGAAAGAAAGACGTTTTTCAGTGCGGATTCGTTATGTAATATCGTTAAGTTGTAGGATTTGCATTACATATCTTCTACTCGTTTTTAATATGGCGAAGAGCGTTTCTCACCATTCTAGACGCACTTCGTTTGAACTTTTTTAACTTTTAGACAAATCAAGTTTTCTTTTACCCATTACCAAAAACGGAAACGGTTTTTCGAATTTGGAGAACATTTGTTCAAAAACTAACAGTCGCTTCTCTTACTCAGTAAGTACAGAACGAAAAACAGCGACACTGTTCTAAAAATATATATTTCATGGATTATTTTGTATGCGAGCAGGGGGTTTATGAAGGAAAAAGGAAAAATGCAAGAAAGTAATACTAGGGGGAACCTGTGGATGAAACGGAAAATATTGTCATCAATCGAAAGGATCATATTAAGACAACACGCATGCGCAGTGCGACAGAAGCCAAAAAAAAGTTCATGGATATTGAGACGCGATCTTTTGAAGTTGTAGTGAGTTGAATTGCTATTTTGAATAATCCTACTTGAAAAAAATCAGTGAAAACGTTCATTTACTTTTCCAATTTGTTTTTGCAGTTCTCAAGCAAAAAAAACTCTATGGATGCTTTTTAGGGAAAAATATTCAATAGAGCTTTTTTGTTCTCTGATATTCTTTTTGCGTTTAGCTACTAAAAAAATTATTTGCTGGATCCTGGTTCCGCCAAATACTTCCGTTCAAAACAGTTACAGGTTTAGGATGGAAAAGTTAGCGCACGTCGAGACAAACATTTAAAAGTCAAATTCGCAGCTCACTACAACGCAGACGGCTCCCAAAAGAACAAAAGGACAAAGGAAGTGAAGATTTGAAAGTTGTCAGAGGAAGGCATCGCCCTCTTCATCGGAATCGCCGAGGGCGTCCGGCGTCGACTTGCCGTGAGCTGGATCTCCGAGCGACGACGGTACTCCCAACGGTCCAGAAGGCGAGCCTTCGGAAGCGACAGCGCGAACTTGAGCGCTGGCCGCGCCGCCACGACGCGATTTTTTAGCTTTTTTCAGCATTTGAGCCTGGAAAATTTGGTGGTTAGCACACGAAAGCAAAGCAGAACGTAAGTCACAACAGAAACAATCCGTCTTATTTTTGCGTGGTTAGCGCCGACAGAGAACTCGAAAGAACCAAGGAGCCAAGCTTGAGTCAACTAACCCGCAACGCCGACTTGAGGATCGTGATGGTCCCTGGAGGTTGAATGTGAGGCTCGCCGTCCACTTGGACCGGCCACTCTTCGTGAGTCGTTATCCGGATCTGTATGAAAAGTTTTTGAAAGCTTGTAGAAATGATCTCGTGCATTTCAAACTTTCTCTCTATTGGATAGATACATTTTCGCTTCATCTAAAACGTTCGATATATTGATTGCGAATCGAATCCGAAACTTCGTCGGGGATTTATATTTATTTGAAAAAAGAGCAAGTGACCTGTTAATACCGTCCAAAACGCCGATATGAATATCATTTTTTTTAATTCTTCGATAATGACCGTTACTAAATTCAACCTCACAATCTTCTCACAGTTCCAGTTGTCATAATTTTCCCATTGTTTTTATTTTCCTTATTCAACCTTAACCAAATGGGAATAAATTTCCATGAAGTGAAAATTTTGATTTTTGTTGACTTGTTCAGCATCAACATGTAAAAAAATCTGTCTCGTTCCAAATAAATTTTTTTTTTCAAGAAAAGATGTTTCGATAAAAACAGGTGATTCAAAAAAGTCTTCGTGTTTAGGTTAGGCTTTAAATATTCCCAAACACTTGGTGCTAAAGGTTTCTTTCGAAAACTTGAAAAATTGGACTGAGTCTTTTTCAAATAGTACTTTTGATAAATTTTCATCATATGAAACGTTTAAACTTTTTGTTTTTCCAAACTCTTGTGTGCTTCATGAGTTCGAACTAGGAAAGGTTGGGGACATGTGGAATAGATTCACACTTGTAAAGAGCTCTATTTAGATCGATGAAGGAAGACGTCCGAACGACTCTTAGCGGCTTTGACGGCACTTTCCGTGGATGCATGCAAATTATTCAGATTGAGCGCGTTTGAATATGAAATTTCAGCGCTATCCTCGTACGATTAAAACTCTTCATGAGAAATTAGTTTCGATTTTTTCATCCCTCATCAACTTTTTGATCTGATGAAATTTCTACTGGTTTAAAAGGCTTACACTTCCTCCTTGGGCTATCCGAATGCCAGCGGCAAGTTTTGATTGTATAAGTCCCAGTCGAGAAACGTCAGAAATTCCAACAACCTGAAAATAAAAGAACTTTGAAAAAACCACTTTTCCTTCTTTATTTTCATGAAATTTGAGTTAAAAACTGACCTCGAGGAGCCCATCATAATGAGTCGGCTTCTGGAAGACGCCTTCTTCTTTGGCTGTGCCCCAAGGATTGGCACCGCTTCCCCAACTCAGAAGATTCAAAACAACAATTCCCTCAATGTTCGGCAACTCAATAGGCTTTCCATCAACCTCAAAATAAATGAATTTATATTTTCAACTTTTCAAGGACAACCTCGAGTTCGATGCGCTTCCAAAGATCTTTGCACGTTCTTTCAAAGAACATCTTTTGCAATCCAATTTTCGCGTATTGTGTTTTGTTGAAAAGACGAGATTGAAACTTTTCTGGGTTGGCGTCTCTCTTCAAAATTTTCTTTTGCAAAAAGACAGTTAATTCATGTTTCTTACCTTATTATGAAATTTGAGACAGACGTCAGCATCTATTCCGATGCCAAAGTAATTGTTCATGATGATCATGCTAGTTTGGTCTTCAGGATTGTTCATTGTCTGCTCAGACTCGACCGTGTTGCTGCTCGAGCTTACCTGAAGAAAACAAACAGTGATGGCTCAGAAAACCCTCTGAATGAACAAATTTGACAGCTTTTGAAGAGTTTCAAAAAGAAGAGATTGCTTATTTTTTTACAGTTCCTTTCTTTATTTGTTTTCATGAAAGATCACATCACTTCTTAAACATTTTTTTACAAGTTCAAAAAAAAGCAGATAATTGCTACCTGCGTAGGAGGTTGACTGCGCTCTTCTTCGTGGAAAACAACCGCCCACCGATCCAAACGCACTTCATCAGCCTCAATTACGTCCTTAAAAAGTTCCAATTGCTAAGTTCCGTGGAATTACTGGCTCACCTTCAGAATGTCAAGAGGATTTTCTTCGCCTGTGTAACCTCCACCCCATCGCAAAACTCTCGCAAGATCATTTCCTGTTCCGAGCGGCACGATACCACAAGGAGGAGAAAAGCAAGCCGCATCCTACTCATTTTCTCGTTACAGAAATCAAAAAATTATCAAAAAACCTGCTTTGCAATGTCCAAACATTGTAAAACCCAGCCGATCGTGCCATCGCCTCCACAAGCCAGTATTTTATATTTTGGAATATTTCGGAACACATACAAGCTGAAGAAAACAAACAAGTTAGACCAGAAAAAAAAAATCATTAACCCAACAAGTGGACCTCCTTTCAAAACGTCAAAAACTTGAAATGGGTTCAGAAGTTTGCGAAAAGACTGGATCAGTTCTGTTCCTTGACAACCCCCACTTTTTACATTCACCAGTACCAACAATGGTTCCCCGTCTTCCGGCAACATTTGAGGCTAAAGTTATATAGACGAGTCTTTTGGTCTTTTTAAGAAACTCACTTGAACGTTTGGCAAGCAAAGCACGATAAGTTTTTTGTCTTCATAAACAGCGTTTTGAAGTTTTTGAACTGCTGCTGTTGCTGCTTTAGGCGTATTAAAAGTTATCACAAGGGATCCGTATTCGAAGTAGATAGGACCAATGGCGGTGAACGGTTTCTCTTAAGTATACAAAATATTCGATCAGCACCAATTTGTATGTGTACCTTTGGCCCCTAATAATTTTAACAGAATTCTTTCATACTGACGTTGTGCTAAAGAAACAGGCAAGTTTCCCACAAAAACTGCGTGGTCATGGGGATCTTCCTTTTCTTGAACGTAAAACCTAACGACGTGATATCTCCGCAAAGAGTCCTGAAAACAATGAATCTAGAAATCGTCCCGCATCTCTTTCGGATTTCAATCTTGGAGTTAAATTTCACTTTTCGGAGATTTCTGACAAGCTGTAGCATGTTTTCTTGAGCGTTGCAAGTCCGCTCAGCAACTCCACGGTCCAGAGAAACTTCTATGAGATTGTACCTAAAAATGATTCATTTTTGGCTTTTCCACTGCAATAATCACCGGTTCCACGTGTTTCCGTCAAGACCAAACTTCTCCAAGGCCTGCGAAATCGCATCTTGTACAAGTGTGTCTTTGTTAACGGCAAGACTGCAAAAAGTGACAGGAACCCTGAAAAAGGCAGCCATCGTCAGATTATCCAAGCCGCAATTTCGCTACCGTAGCCAGCCGCCGTAAATTTTAACGACGTCTTTTTCAGGATCGTCTCGATAGCGAAGGAAAATCTGCGCTCGTCTCCCCTCAGGTCGTTTCACGTTTCTAAGAGGCACCGGGTCTTCGAGAGACTCTTCTTCGCCACCTGCGCAGTCTGAGCAAAATAAAGCACCTGAGATACGAATAATTTGTACCTTCGTTAACGAGTTGCGTGACGTAGTAATTCTCGGGGTTGTCGATTATGTGGAACCGGCGCAACGCAGCGTCCTGAAAACGAAATTCAAAGAATGCTCATACCAAAATGAAAAAAACTAATAAATTGTATCCGTTTTTCAAAACCATGAACAAAGTTCTTCTGAAAAGCATACTGTAACACTGACCTTATTAATTTTGATTTTCTGTTATTTCTGACCACTTAAACCAATTAACATTTTTCCTTGCGACGAAGCAAGCTGAGAGAATCAGCTGTGCTCATTAGAATTGGATACAAATAAAAAAATAAAATGTTTCTCTACGGGAACACCCTTCTCGAAACAGATTTGGCTAATTCGAAGAAGGAAATGTCAAAAACCAATAGGAAAAGTTTGGTCAACGTACCCGAATTTGTTGCACCGAAGAAGTTTTTGGAACGCTGGCTGTGCGGAATATCTGCAAGCATTTGAGTTGTTTCCTTGACAAAGGAACATGATTACTTGAGAACGAAGGGAGCTGTTGCCGTCGAAAATACGCAAGATTTCCATGTCTTCTTTTTCTTTGATGTCATCGAATCCGGTGGAAACGTCGTCCGCTTGGATTTTTGATGGGGAAGAAACTTAAAAAGATATTTTGACCGGAACTAGCAACTTTTTGTGATTGTAACGCCTATTAGTCTGTCTTCAAACATTCATGAAACTCGGAAATGAAAAAGTTTTAAAAGCAGAACAATCGTTCCGTACATGAGAGGGCAACCACAGACCTACTAAAAGACCATTCCCAACTTCAATGCTCCAGTTTCTTTCGAAAGTTCGAGCGTAGTTTCAATCGACAATGTGAAAAACATTTTTTTTCCACATCTTGTTTCGTTTTCTTTACTGTAGCTTTAGGTTGGTTTCCCTTTTTTCTCTCATTATTTAGTTTTCAGAATCTGCTTCTGCTCAACTACTCAACTGTAGGAAGGTCATTAAAAAAAGCTTGGGATATCTTCTCCAAAAATTTCGTAATTTTTTGGTGGAGCACGAGAAAAGAAGATATAAAATTGATTGTTAGAAAGAAACCAACATTTTCAGCAGAAAGATAGTTACGCAAAGTTCATCGGTTCAAGTAAGAAGTTACTTCAAATATGAATTTTGAATAAAATGTTTAATATGATTCAGGAAAGTTTCTAGGGACTCCGGTTTTAGATCTAAAATAACCGTCTTCGCTTGAGATTCTGGAGAAAAATTAATGCGAGAAACATAACGAATTTCTCTCATGTACGAAGATCGCGATGAAAAGGAAGAGCATGAAACAGAAGAAGGGTCAGCTAGACAGAAAGCGTTGAAGGACTCAGTGCAGAAGACAGGACAGTCATAGAGTCTGACCCTTACGAGACTGAGGCTGGTCATGCGAGGTGATGTTAAGGAGCTGCTCCATCGGCAACTCGGTCCGCGGAATGGTCAGAGAATACGGCTGCAGCATAATCTTCCTCAGAACCCCGAAGTCGCACTCTTTGCTCATTTGGCGGTAACACAGTGCGTGAGCCTTAATTTCATATTTTTTCAAATAATAAATTGTTCACGACTCCAAAGACAAGGTGGGTAGATTAGCAAGGGTGAAGCGCTGCGTGTGCGATGCGGCTTAGAGAGAAGTTAAAGATCTAACGCAATCATGTAAAGCTAGAGAAAAAAATGATAAGTTTTTGGTTCTTTTTATACTTTATCCGTTCAACTGAATCTTTTCAAACGTGTATAATATACAATTTATTAGAGAGATACCGAGAAAGGAGTGAAAATGGTAGCTCGTGGTTAACCTCGATGTCCCTCCAAAAAGCCGCGTCGCAAACGCAACTTCTCACTTCTGATTGAGACCATTACGAGCCTCTGAGCCAGTAAATCACTTTTGGAGGCTTTTTTTCTTATGGAGTAGTACAAACGGAACTTTTTCAAACGAAAAATGCTTTCAAGCCAAAATAAAAAAAGATCTAACCGTTTGGCCGCACCATTCACACCGCATACCAGCAAGGCACTCCGTTGAAAAGCACGTTTTGCGACAAACGACGCATTTTGAATCTTTCGGAAGATTTCCTTCTCTCATATGATGATACTGTACCACGGAGTTTTGCAACTAAATAAAATGTTTTTAAATTTCTGAAAAATTTATGAATTGGCTAGTTCAATTAATCAACTTTTCCGACTTAGTTTTATGTTTAGATTGGTTTTTTTTTGCTCCTCGGTTTATAGAAAATTAGTTTTCAACTTGTATTCTAAAATTAAACGAATCAGATTCACGTCAAAAGTTTTCTCTTCGAAAAAAAATCTGGATCACATCGCAATTCAAATTTTCTTTCTTTTGTGTTGAACATGCCGAAGACTCCTTTTTTGAGCCGCGTCTGTGCGTGGAACTAAGCTTTCGAATTACAACTGGAGGGCTCGAATAAATCTTTCTAACCATTAATCTGAATTGCATACGCTGGCGAAAAGAAGCAAATTTTGTTTTCGATGTCTGTTTCCTCTGGATTTTGTACCAAGCACCAGAGTAAAGCAATACTTTTAAGTGTGCAGCGGCAACAATTATAGCTTGAACTCATGTGATACTAGCACACTACAGACTGCGCTGTTTTTTTTGTCTCGCAAAATTGGCGAAGAATATTTTCATTTTAAAATTGTCTCTGGTTGAGCGAACCTTATCGATATTTGGAACGAAAGTTGCCGCTTCTTTACAGTCGGAAACGGCGAGATCGGAGCAGTCAACATGGACGTAGTACTCACAAACTGGAAAAGGAAAGTTTGAAGGATACTGGAAATCCATGAGTTTCGCCCTATCATAACGTCCAAATCTCTACTTATGATAAAACTTAGCAACACAACACTCTGAAGCGGTTGAAGAAAACGTGGCAATTTGTACTAGAATTCGAGAAAATGTCGACGTCCGGAAGCCTAACGAACTGAGGACGCTTCACGATTGTGTTTTCAGAAAGCTTTTCGAGCGCTTTTGATCTTCTTTTTAAACGTCATTTTAAAGAATTTCGGAAGAATACATACAATATAAATTATTGCTTTTTGTTAACCGCTTACACCCCAAAAAAAGTTAAATTTTAGGGATTGGGCTAACTCTACTTACCTTCGCATTCTACTGATAAGGCCTCGTCAGTTCTTTTTCTGCACACACAACAGAACTTTCTTTTGATGATTCCAGGCTGTGACCATGTATGCGCAACCGGATTCTGTTTGAAATTGCGCTTGAAACGATGTTTCGAAGGGAAAGCGAACCTTGATGAGTTGAAGGGCAACACCGCTACAATATGAAACAACCGTTTTCAAGCATTTTTCATGACACACAAAATTGCACACTGAAATAATTGAGGTGTTGGGGAGTATTCATTTACGGAGAGAACCTTCGCAAGCGTATCCTTGCGTAAGCATTCCCCATATTTTGTCACAGCAGTGGTGACAGTAAGTCGGCTTCCCAAACGTCTTTTTCTGGAAGTAATGACCATGGTCGCGGCCCAACGTAAGCAAGTTTGCATCTACGTTGTGCCCTTCGGTAGCCATCTGAAACGCGTTTTTCTATCAATTTCCAGCATTTCGGAGGTATTCAAAAAGAATCCTAGACTTACTAGCACTGTCTGCTGCTCACAGTTACATCATCGTATGTACATCGTTGTTGAAAGAGGTCGAGCAGAAAACCGTTGTGTATTTCCGCTCTGCAAGTATAACAATCTTGGCCAGAGCTTGACGAAACTCGAAAAAACAACGAGTAAATATAACGAGAAAAAAACCGTCAAGGGTGAAGAAGTTCAAAGGAATCACGATATCTGGTTAGAGTGGTTCGTGTGTCTTATCAATTTAATATTCAACAAAAAGATTCAACAAAAAATTTATTTTTGAGAGGGGATGGAAACACGAGTTTGATTAAAATCTGAGACTTTCTAGCTCGAATTTGTTCGAAACTAGCAATTTTGAAATCCTCAGGGACGTTTCGCGGAAAAAAAAAGAAAATTTGAGCCTTGGGCTCGGCAAGAGATAATGATAGCTTTTGGTAGAATAAACATGGTACTGTAACAAACAGAGGATCAGAGATGGGGTTTCCGAAAGAGTTACACGAACAAAATAGGAAATCACACGTATTGTCTAGCCGCAGGAGGCGGAGCTAGCAAGTCTACCGTATGTTCTCTGTGGGGCGGTACAAGAGTCGGAGGCGAAGAGATGCCAAGCCGGCTCTCTTAGAAAAAGTAAAGGGCTAAAACAGGCGGGGCGGAGTTCAAGTAAAACGGTTGATATCATGCGTTTCAAAAACTGTCGCCTGAGATTTCGAAGACGGTCGCTTCAAAACCATCAAAACGTTCACCATTCACCATTTGAAAAAAATATAAAAAGCGCTTTGAAGCATGGTTGATAAGTTTGGCGTTTTTAGAAACCTGACAAGCCGTTTCTAACAAACTTAATTAATAATTTATCTACTGAGAAAATTCAAAAAAGAGTGGCAGGCAATCGTTAATTCCATGTTTCTGAAATTTCAAGATTTCATAGAGATCTGGTGCAAGTGTCACTGTGGTTTCCTGCAGAAAATGTTCAAGGAGGCGATTTTGAAATGTTTCTGCAGACAGATAGAGCTACTGTACCGATTAATGAGTTCAGTGAGCTGTTTTCACTCTTTTCAAACACATTGGCGAAGAGACTTATTATAAACAATGTCCCAGGAACCTACCATGAGAGGATTGTCTCACCATAGTGAACAAACTTCTTTCAATCCTGAAAAAAACCTTTAAACTCCCCAAACAAATAATTTTTTTCACATGCAATAAAAAGAAATAAAAGGTTTCACATAGTACTGGAACAAAGTTTAGTCTAGTCCAAGACCTGCTGGCTAGAAATATAAAACAAAACTATAAAGAGCATCGAATCCGGTCGCTAATCTCTTCAGTATTAGGCAACCTTTCAATCTCCAAAAGCAACATAGCATGTCTGAGAAAAAAGGTTCCTTCGAAAAAAACGAAAAAACTTCTCCCAAAAAAAAATTATTTTGTTGCGCAGAAAACCAAAATTGAGGATCTATGTAAAAGCGATTTATGACTTTAACACAATCGAAAGCCTCGAGCGGATGCCTGTGGGTGTGCGTGAGCTGAGGCGAGTGTGTGCCTGCGAGAAGACACAAGAAGAGAGAAAAAATGCCAAGCGGAGCATGGCGGCCCAAAAACAGCTCCAAAATCGCTTGACTGCCTTTCGCGCTTTGAAATCGTGCCGATATCCCCCAGGCCTCAAGTCCTTTTGGGCTATTAAATTTTCGGTGATGTGTTTTTTTTTTTTGAGATTACAGTTTTTTTTTAGACTGAAAGTCATCTCTTTATTTTCAACCTTCTCTATCGAACTTGTTGGAATAATTGGGAAGAATAAAACTTTTCTTTTTTTGTACTTAGTAAGCAGCTGGATAGAACACACAAGCTTGCAAAAAAATTTATGCTTCAGAAGAAAAAAACGCGTCAGCCTCCGCAATACGTCAAGCCGAGGATATGTACTTGGGAGGATGTTTTTGGCTTGAATTTTCTGCAGGATTTGACCGGCTTCATCAACCCTTTTTTGAAACTCGTACTTTTTTTCAAAAGTTTTACGAAACGGAGTCTTTTAAATATTTTAGAAAAGATTGACTATGAACTTTCGACAGCACACAATCGATTATCGACGATTATTCCAGAAGGGGTTTTTTATAAGGAAAACGTTTGCAAGTGAGGCTGATAGAAAGGGTTTGGCGATCGACCCGTTGTGTCGAAGTTATGCTTGATAAAACTTCGAATGTCCACCGAACATTCAGTTTTGTTATTTGCGTCGAAACAGAAATGTGTCGAGCCTTTGGAGAATGATGAGTGTAGCGATGCACAATGAAAAGAGGGTAATATGTGCACATGCAAGAGTGAGCTCCGAGGTCTTTGACGGCTCTCCAAGCCTAGGATGTCTTCATACTCGTGGTGGTGATGTTGCAAACCGATTGGGTCTTCCTCACACACTCTGTAAATTATTCTCAACACTTCAGAGAATAATTTTGTCGGTCCAAATAGAAATAACTGCGGGAGAACCTGAACGCCGGTCTACATACGTGGATGAATTTTCATTTTCTGAGTCAGTTAATTATTGGGTCTCATCACAGATCTGCGGGCAGGCGATTGTCCCTAGATGAAAAAAAAAACTAGTTGAAAATTCTTTCTCGGATCCTACTCCACACTCAACGGCCCTCACTCACGCACACGCATTCATTCATTTATTTGCTGGAGCAAAGCGCTTGGATAGATAACTAAGGCAGATATGAAAAATTTGCACATTCGAACCTCGAAGAAATTGAATAATCCAGCTACTCTTTTTCAGCTCAAAGTAGGGGTGTTTTTCCGCAAAAAAATTTTTTTCTATTTTTTTGAAGTTTAATATCCTGAGGTAATTCAAACTAAAACCTTACGCTGCTTCAGTCAGAAAATGGAAAATTAAAAGCATCGCTCAAAAAATTTCTTATTCCGCTTTTGCACTCAGAAGAAAGCAGAAAAAACATGAACAAGAAAAAAAAGAGAAAATCTCATGTCACAGCCTACAAATTTTGTATAACAATCGTTAAAAGAAAAAAAAGTTTCGATTTTGCCTTTAAAAAAAAAAATGGAAAAAACTACATTTTTAGTGTTTCCAAAAAATTTGATAAGAATGGTGTGAACGATAGTTTCAAAAATTCCTGCTTTTGAAAGTTTTGTTGCGAGTCATATACAAAATTAAGCGAAAAATGAAATTTACTTAATTAAAGACCAAATCATTTAAAAAATCATCTCATAATTATACGTTTCTGGAAACAAAGTGAGCTCAAGAAACGAAGAAAGAAAGGAGGAAAAGGGCCAAAATGGTGCACAAACGTTTAAGGGCAAAAGAGGCTGCCGATTAGCGGCCATTTCCATTTGGTCGGCGTGATTCAGGTTAAGCAAAGGCATATACTCCGATTTCTCGAGTCATTTTGCTTCATTTCTCCTATTCAAAATCTAAGAGGCGGTGTCCGCGAGCGGATGAAGTAAGGCATGAGCATCACGCCTCGCTGCCCCTGAGAGCCGAACGAGTCAGGTAAAACATCCTCGAAGAGTGTTGGGAATTGCACGACAAACACAATTTCGAACCAAAAATCCCAACACGCTGAATTGTCCGCTCCAACGTCCGGTACGTGCTGAGCATCTTCTCAGCCGATCCTTGGAAATCTATGTATCCGCGAAAATTTTATAAACTTTATTGGGAGATCTTGTCCTGCTGAATTTTTTCTTTTTGGACAGTTTTTGAATTTCTCTCAAGATTTTCTCTTTTGAAAGGTGTCGTGGTTTTTTCGAGCGAATGACGCATGGTGTTCTTATACGACAAAACTTGAAAACTTTCAGAGTGGAAGTACACGAAAAAATGTCTTTCGAGACTGAGAAAACTGAGAAAGTCTATATTCGAGACAAAATAACTGATTGGTCTGAGGAAATCCTTATGAAAATTGAATGAAAAACTTTTTTTTTCGAATTTTCGAATCTTATTGAACGAATGAAAAACTGAAAAAATGAGCGGTACTAAGTCAAAATCACCTTGTTCCAGTTTTTTTTTCTGACTGAAAATTGTATATTTGTCTGATCCCTCTCTGAAAAATATTTCTCTTAACACGGGAAAATTGCAAAACGTGAAAATTATCAGACGCAATAACATGTGACAAATTTCCAGACCTCATTCAGGAAGAAGTTTTCAGCTGCTTTCCAATCAGCGAAGTATGAAATCTGTGCGATAAGCCTGAGTGCCCTGAAACCAAGAACAGTTGGATAAATGCTAACAGAAACTTGCAAGCTAACAGAATTCGAGAAACATACCAAACCTACCTTTCCGAAACAAAAATTGATCTTCTGAAGTTTTGGCGAAGCTTTTTGAGTTTTCAAACTCGACGTTTTCTTCTAATTATAGAACGCAAATAAGCTCTACTCAGTCGTACTCCCCTCCGTTTTCGCTTAAATGAAGCTCCGGGAAATTGAGCCGCTTCCACTTCCGGTATCCGAATGCCAACCTTATGAGCTGCCTCGAGAATATTTGCAATTTCGAAGAGTGAGTTTAATTTCAAAATAAGATAGAAAGCAATTTTTCGAGAATGGCGGAATTAGCGCGCAAACTCAAATAGAATATCCCTCTTGGAACTGCTACGAAACCAGAAAAAAAGACTGGAATCGAGAACAGAAACTCGTCGAATATTCGGAATAGTCCATTTTCTTCACAATCGATCGCGAACACGACGTATTCAATTTGGAATATATTTGCTGAAGAGACAATTTTCGCTTCTTCTTCTTCTTCGCGCCCAACCACCCACACTCCTTTCCGCTCTTTTCTCTTCGAGTCCTCGAAATTGAGATCAATAATCTAGCATTCAAGAAGTCACAATGAGGGTTAAGAGCTGTTGAAGTGGAGAAGGTATAAACAAATATTCGAAGCCCTCCTCTTGCAACATTTTTCAGTTTTGAAACGGTAAAAAAGGAGAGAAAAAAACGCGTGGGAGCAAAGGGATATACACATTTTAGAAAGCTTTTAACGCTCCCACCTCCACACAAAATCTGCGTGAAATAGCGGGCCAAGTGAAAAATAAGTTGAAATCATCTGTTTTTTGATATGTCGGGGCTGAAATCGTTTTCACTATGAGCCTATGAAAATTTCAGGCTTTTGGGCTTAATCCCAGAAGCACAACAAAAGAAGAAAAAAAGCGCTAATCCGTTTTATTGGCTATTGTTGTCCTTTTCATTCATATAATTACAGAAAAAAAATGCCTTCTTTGTTGAAAATTCCTGACCAAATCGGAAAAAATTGAGTAACCGTGTCTCTTTATTGATATCGGTTTTTCTACGGAGCCTGTACAAAAAAAAATCGGCAGATAACTCAAGTATGAAATTCTTTTTTTATTTCAATTTTTAGAAAAAGCTAATATAGGGTCATGAAATGGAAAGTCAGAGAAACTCCGAAATTCGGAAGATTGTGTGGAATGGAAAAAAACTTCCAATAAAAATGATCGAAAAAAATGTGATCTTCGAACAAATACTGAATAAAAAAACTAATTCATTGAGACAAGGATTCTGAAAAGAGTTTGAAAATCTAGAATTGAAAAAAAGTTCGTTTCAGTCAACCATGAAATCGAAGCTAAAAACAAAGGAAAGTGCATTTATCACTCTAAAAGCGGGTCAACCGATTTTCCACGTCTTTTTTTCTCAACCTATTTGCAGCTTTTTATACGCTACATTCATATGTTGCCAACTTGCGGGAGCGGAGTAACGGAAAGGCACGCCTACGAAGTTGCAATTATTTTTCGAATTAAAAGCAGCCATACGCCGTTGAGATCAAGAAACTTTAAGAGCGCGAGAAATTGGGACGAGCTTTGGGAACGAATTTCAGCTTGTATCAGAAGCCTCCCGACCTCGACAACTTTCACATCGACGTCGATCTGACAACAGGTGGAGCTTGATGAGAAATTTGCTCAAATACTCTCTACAACTTACAATAAAGTGGTCACGGTGGCGGTCGCGAAGCTTTCATTCACGCTGCCACTTACGCTCATGACGCCGGCTCACCGAAAGCTCATCAAGCTCACACTTGCGAGCTCACACTCTCCGACGGCCGATTCTCAGCGTCGCACGTCGTCGGCGTCTCGCCGCCCGAAGCACTTTTTTCGTAGACATCTCGCCTGCCTGCAGCTCGGCGCGCTACAAATTGATTGCCTTCGCATAATTCGTCGACGACAACTGCGATATATTACGCGAATTTCCAACTGCATCCCTTTGATATCGCGCTTCATGACGCCTTCATGTTTGGGGTCGTGAGGTCCGGAGCTTCGTCAATGCAGGCAAAGCCGCCGACGTCTTCTTTGCTTGAGACGCCCGCCGGAAGACGCAGCCGCTTGTTGGAAGAAGCTCCCACCGTGTTCGAGCACACATCTATCGACGTTCACTTCTCATAAAAATTTCTTTTTTCTTTTAGTTTCCAAAGATTCATACTTTTATGATAGTCGTAGACTATGAAAGCAAGGAAAAATTGATATTGAACTTATTGGCTTGGATCATAAATTGTGGATGGGCTCAGATAATCGAAGCCGTGTTCTGAAATACTCCGCCAGAGCTCTTAGGCAAATACGAAATCTCAAAATAACATATCAACCTTATTGTCTCGATTTCTCTAAAGGGAAATGCAAATTTGCAAAAGTCAACAGAAGTTAATTTAAAAAAACACTACTTGATTCTATGATTCTTCACAATGACAAATTGACTAGGGAAAGTTAGGTGACTCAAAAAAATTATTTTTTTGAAAAGAAACAATAACAGAATGAAACTCACAGACTGCCGAATTACTCTTCCGAAAGCGTGTTCAGAAAGAGAAAGAAAAGCTCAGGGCATACGTGCTTGCTTATCTTAAATCGCTTGACATCCGGACCGGAAATAAGCAGCGAAGAGGCTGGAGAAGAGAATAATACTCGCCAAATCGACCACCAAAAACGGGCAGCGAGTCTTGAATATTTAATCATATGAAGAAAAATCGGAAAGCATTGGTTGTGGAGCAACCGAGAAGAGTCGTAAATTTGAGTGCTTTTTTAATTGCAGAGTGTGTGGGGAACGCATGAGCACCGTAAAATTGGATACTGTGCTTTTATTGAAAAATATTTACGACGTCAAGAATTAACGTACGATGGATTTATGCACGAGAAGCTGGATGAAGAAACCGAATCAGCCTTTTCGAAGAAGCTCAGCGTTGAATTCAAATTGAAAGTTTTTGGCCTTGGTTTTGGACAAATGAGATATCTTTTTGAGATTGGTCGAATTTCAATGGACAAGTGGTAGATAGAATTTTTTTAATCGGAAGAGGAAATTTTCGCCTATCTGATAACGCAAAATATTTCATTTCTTCCCTTCAGAAAAATCTAGGAAGGAAAATGTGTGACGTGAAATTCGCAGATCCGGACAAAACTTCTGCGATATGAAGTCCTTGATATGAGTAATCAAAAACAAGAAGAGTATTATTATTATTAAGAGTGATCTGCTGAACGCCAAATGGAACCTAGAAATAGCTCTTCGATCGAAAATGCACAGGAAGTTCTCAAAAACTGATTTTTCTCCGAATTTCCTTGGAAAAAAATTACTTTCTTGTTCATATTTTTATGGTATAGTAAGCCGCAGAAGTCGTTTTAGAAACTGAAAACCTAAAGAGAATTCGTTTTTGAGAATCGCCTGTAGTTTTTCGACGGCTTCTTTTTTGTTACCCTATGGCGCTGTAGTCAGCTTTTTTTGTTTTTGATTCCTCACACCTAGGAGCATCTCCCACAAAAGTTTGGACCAAATTTGCAATGTTCATCTCACACACTTTCCTTGTAAGAAAATAAACTTTTGTAATTAACTGGAACGTCATGCCTTGAGAAGCTGAAAAAAAAGAAGTTTAGATTTCCAACTGTGACTGTGGAGTCATAACAACCCTTTCTCAGGTTTTTTTTTTCAAAATTGCTGTTCTGATTCAGTTTTGAAAATGATTTTGTTCAGAGTTTGTTCAGAGAAGAGTTTAGAGTTTATTCTCATCCTTCATTAAATTTTGAAGTATACTCCTTGGTTTTTATTTATAAATTGGATTCTGAACACAATATTTTTGCGGTTGAAATCAGCGTGTTTCACTGCAGAGACAGACTGGTCAAGCAACTCTTTCCGCAGGCCAGGTAACTCGTCATCTCGTTGTTTATAGATTTATTAATATATACCAACAGACAAGCCAGTTACTGGTGAACGAAAATCCCTCTGGTTGGCGTCGGTGGAGAGAAAGAAGAGACCGGCGGATGGGCGGCGCTTAGAATACCGTGCAACAACCGCGGCTGTGGTCTCCGTTTCTTTTTCACTTCCAATTACCTGAAACATCCGCACTCAAGACGTTTTTAAAACTTCTTCTTGTTGCTTTTTTTCGATAAAAAGTTTTCAATTCTATCGTTTTGCGCATAAAATAATTGACTAATTCTTTTTCGGATTCAAAATAAAGCCTTTGCGGCTTAAACGTAAAACTTATTCTTGCGACCCAGTTTGTAAATTGTTATTCTTAAATTTTTGGTAAACGATTTTTTTTGTTCTTCTCAACTATATATTTTTAATAAAAATTGATTGCAGACTAGTTTTTTGAGAAAAATGAATACGACTTGATATGACGCTCTACTTCTACGTTTTTTTCATTCTCACCGCCATCTCTCGTTCTGTTGATGCGCAGGTGACAATCGCCAAAAACGTTCAAGGTAATTTTCAATTTGATGCCATATTAACCAAAACTGTTTCTAACAAATACAAAAAAATGGAAATAAGTGTATGAAACAAACTTTGAGAATTTAGTAGATTTTGAAGTTGTTTTCATAGCAGAAATAAAGGAAATTAACCATTTTGGTTTTCTTCATCGTCTAGGTAATCCATGTATATAATTTTTTAAAGTTTTGTCTTTTTGTTGCGGTTTTTTCTTCGAAAAGAGTTTTGAGCTGCGCGAATTTCCCCATCGAATCTAATGATTTAGTAAGCTTCTCGTTCGTAAATAGTATAGTCTTTCGCATCGGTTTCCCGCATAAAAAACGTGGAAAAAAGAAAAAGTTGACGTGTTGTGCGAGGGTGTGTATTTGTGGACTATCGAGGGCGGTAATTATGCTGGCGCGACGGTAATTAAATCGCCGAGCGAGTAGGTGCCTGTATAGTATACTTGGACGGTATTCTTTTGCCGATTTGCGCTCACAGGGCATGACAGCACGCAAACCCATAACGTCTTCCCGTAGCGGAACTGGGTTCTTATTCAAAATTGGACTTCCTCTGAAAAACCGGATAAGTTTCAAGAGTCTCAGATTTTTATGCGCTGAGCTAATAAGAACAATTGGAGGAACATTCACTTTATATACAAATGGACGATTTTCTTGTTCACCTCATTATTTTCGTCAACACGATCCGATAAAATGTGTTTAACTCGAAATGATGATAAGAAAAGCTAGAAAATAATTGTTTCAAAAAAAATTGCAAATGTTCAGCATTTTCTTTCTTTCAAAGAAAAAATAAGTAGTTGAACAAAAAATCAACTTCAACATTTGTGTAAACAAATAAAATAAATAAAACATTTTTTTTTGTTTTTACTTTCTCAAGTAAAGACTTGCGTTCAAAATCTTCAGTTGCAAAGAACTAAAACTCGTTCTCAGACAAAGTTGATTCATTCGAAAGCTCAGCTAGTTTGAAAAAAATGAATAGAAAACTCTTGAGTGAAAAAAAGTCTTTAAGCTTAGTTCAGAATAACAGCAGATTTTTTTAAAATGGCTATATAAAAGTAGCCATCTTTGACATACGGTAGCGCATAGAACCTTCCTCGATAACAGCAAATCGACTTCCGAATAAAAATTGAATGATGGAGAAACAACATCGATTTTTGGCAATATCAACATTTTTTTAAGTTATAGTTACTGAAAATCGAAGATTTTTGAGACTCGTCAGTTCCAAATTTTCACAAACTTGAAAAAAATTGACGAGTTTTTTTCTCTTTTCTAACTTTTTCATTGGTGACTTTCAAAAATTATTTATTAGTTGGGGAAACTTTCTTTTGAAAAAGAAGACTGGCTTCTTCCGGATTAAATGAGTCTAAGGTAAAGAAAACTCCTTGTCACAATCTTTTTGTTATTCGGTTGAACTCTAAGCTTATAATTTTGTCAATAGAAAATGGAGCCAATTTTTTTATTTGTCCGCATTCATTAACTTTAGAGACTTGAAATTTAACAAATGACTATTTATCTGAAGAATGGAACAAACTAAAAAAAATCCCCGCTTTTTTGCATCTATAGGCTAGTTTTTTTTTCTGATTAATTCAATGCCAACAAAGTTGATAATCGACTTTTGCAAAACTATTCGAAACTCTCAAAAGCTAGGCCTTTCACCATTTTTGTATATTCAAGACTAATTTATGATAAATTCACATTTGAACTTTTTCAGTAACACCAAGATGCGGATCTCAGTTAATTTCCATCGAAATACGTTTTGACCCAGTGCAGTTACCAGGAGGCAAGTTCGAAGATTGGATAGTGGTTGGAGTCTCAGGTTTGAGCCGTTGCAACTATCTCCATGGGTCGTCATTTTTCAGGCCGACCAGAATGTCGGCTTCGAGGGAACGGAGAGACCAAATACATCATCGAAATCGCGGTCTTCAATGATCCGTGTCTGACGCAAATTGTGAGTTATCGACTAAAAATCAAAATTTTTCTTTGAAAATTGTTCAAAAATGTTTAACTTTTGAATCACTCTATAAGAGAATAACCATGAAAAAACTCCTAAAAGGATAACTTCAGCCGGCGCGAAACGTGTTTCAAAACCGTATTAGGATTGGGAAAAACCCTGTTGTGATTCTGGAAGGAGACCAGTCTATAATGGTAAAATGTGTCTACGGTCTTCCAACAATTGAAACACTCGCGATGCCTGTAATCAACCCTAATTTCAACATTGACAAGTTAGTTGGATCTTTTTTTCATCATCGAAGTTCGAGAATTTCAGTTTTGTGACTCAAAGCACGTCTGACAGGAATGAGCAAAACAAAAGCCAGGGACAAGCATCCGAAAACTTTCTTGCTGCAGAAAATCAACCGAACTTCAACAACAATAATGTGAGATTATTCGTTAATGCTTTTTGACAAGCATGTTCAGAGACAAATAGCCGGTTTCATACCTCAAGAGACTGTTCTTACTCATGGAACTGAGTTCTCACGAGGTTTTTCTTCTTTCAATCCCTTTCAGTTGAATAGTTTTCTAGGAAGAGCCGTTGAAGCTGGTAACAGTTTTGAACCGATGACTAACATTGATAACACCATTCAAACTCGAATTCCTAATAGTTTCACTGGTCAAGATCTTGTGACAGAGGACGATGCAACTCAACAGCCTCAACTTGGAATAGACAGTAACTAATCAAACTGTGCAAGTGACTTCAATACTGAGTTTCAGGGTTCACAACAGTCATTCCAAACCGCTCTTCTAGCTTTCCACTTCTGTTCATTATCTGCGTCATTATTCTGATTCTCCTTGTTCTTTTAATGTTGTTGTGTCTTTACTTTTTCTTGAAACGAAGAAGAGAAGAAAGGAACCGTCGTCTTCTCATCGATGGTGTTCCCGGTTCGACTTTGTTTCCCATTCATTCGGATAGCTGTTAGTTACAGCTTCGATGAGAAGTAAACGATCGGGCAGAATGTGGTGGACCGACGGATCTACAGATGGTTATGCAACGCCGAGGTTTGTCTCTGACTACTTTTTTTATCATGCAATTATTCATAGAACCCATGGAGAATCAGTCGACTCGCAGAGCTCAGTCAAAACAACTTCCATTTTTGAAAGAAGATCACAAAAGTAACTTTAAAAACTTCAAATAACTTTTTTCAGAATTTTGTGAACAATCAGTCCCATAAAGTTTTTTATTTACAGAAAGAGCGTCAAAGAGGTGCCTGTTCCGACGACAGCTGTGAGGAAACATCAATCTGAAGTTTGAGTCCTCTATCGACTGACTTCCTGCATAATTTTGTACAGATCATCACTCATCACGCAAAGGCCGGACCCACAAACCGCTCGTTGTCTGGAAATACAACGTCGGCTGAGAAGGGAAACAGTCCAAACACCAGTCTCGCTGTCGGGTTTCCTGCTCCGCAGCCGTTGAGGTTTATAATTTTTCATTGAATCAGCCAAATTCGAATTCAAGATCAAATTTGGAAGAGTTCGTGTCGAAAACCTACGCAATGGGAGCTTTCAATGAATTATCGAGTCCTGCATACAGCTTTGTTCATGCCGAACACTACAATGAAGTTTCAGTTGACGTTTCTTCGGATCGAAGACGACAAGTTTTCATTCAACCTTTTTTAAAATTGGAATAATTATTTTCAGAAAAAGCCGGAAACTCGATTAGATGATGATGTTGCTGTCTCTTCTTATCGATCTATCACAGAAATTGTTCACGCTGCAGAAACAACGAATAATGTACCGCAAGGTGATCCAATGATTTATATCCTTATTTCTCAAAATACTTCAGAAGCAACTGAACAACCCAAAATGGCTGAAGTACTTGCCAATTCTGTTCAGCCGATCAGGGGTTTCGGCTATCGAAAATTGACAGAACAAGAGATGGGTAAATCATGAGAAAAGGAAGTTTGAAAAAAAGAAAACTTCAGGGCGATGGAGGAATCTCATTCTAAGAGATGAGAATCTTCTGCAACTTTTGATTAACTCAAAAAGTGTAGCAGACATTGAAGAAACATTTGACCGAGAAGAATACCGGCATTTGTTTTCAGCAACCAAATGGCGGGAAATCGCCCAATGTGTTCACAAAATTTTGGTAAAAAAAAAGTTTTTCGATTGAATCATTTGATTCGCAGACACAACCCATGGATAGATCTCAGTCGCAGCTTCATTTATACGTAGGCGATGTCGGCAGCGACTGGTAATCAACTGGAATTCATAGCTTGAGCTCCAAGACGGTCCATCACAAATCATCACAGCTTATACGGGATTCGTGACTTGCTTTACCTGTTTCTTTCACCTTTCCGTTTCAAAAATAAACTTGAATCGCATTTAGAAGATTGTCGAATCAGCCGCGAAAGAAAAGAAAAAACCAAGATGAAATTTTGAGTTTTTTCTAAGAGCCTGTTCATGATGAGGGCAAAAGTTCTCAAAAAAAAGAAAAATTCTTCTATTGTGCAAATTATTATCAATTTTCTGACGGAAAAAGTCGAAATTGATTTTGGAAACATCTAGAAGTGTATCAGTTAAAAGCTGAAGACTACATGTAGCAATACTCGACTACAAACGACATTTCTTTCTCACTCTTTCTCTCTTAGAATATTTCTGTTTATCCCAAGTGATCACATCAAAAACCTCGGTTCCGGTTGCTAGGCTACCTTACCTATTGACGGACAAAAAGGTAAAAGCTGCTTCGATTCACTCAAGGTACTTTGTCGGAGTCAGACCGCTCTAGTCGTATTATCATAGGAGATGGCTGACAACGAAATCAGACAGCGACGCGTCCACCGCGAGAAAAAAGAAGAACGATCTTCTCGCGTCTACAAGGTTGAGAAGCCTGAGCCACCAAGTAAGCTTAGAGATTTGCTGTTTTTTGGAAGTTATATGCCGATAGCAAACTTTTCAGCTAATTGGTTTTTTGTAATCGGAATCATTTTGTTGATTTTCGTTGGGATCATAGTTCTGGTGAGTTCAACTTGAAAATTTGCATCATGACAAAGTTTTGCAGGTTGACGTCGTTAGAGGCGGCCCTTACTTGCGTAGGCTTTGGAACTTTCTTCTACGATTTGGAACAAGTACGAATGATACTTTTTGGTCGTATGAGAAAGACTGAGAGACTGTTTTATGATTATATCCAACACGTTCAATTGACGCATTTTGAAAGCCGATTACAACCGGTTATCCGCGGGTGCAGCCGTGTAAAACCATTTCTGGTCTGATGCACAGCGCCATTTTGCCACAGTAAAGAAGAATTTTTTGTGGTTTTCGGGATATTTTTTCATTAAAGTTTTATTTGCAGAATCATTTTGTCCATCTCACGTTCCGTGATAACTGAATCAAAAAATAAAAATCATTTCTTCTAATGTATTTTTCGAGTTATTTTGAAAAAAAATTGCTGAAATCAAAATGTATGTGTATGAGTTTTTTTCCCTACTTTTTGATAGTGTTCTTCTTCATTATTCCTGATTCCTTTTCAGATTGACGCGGCCGTCCAATGAGTTCATCAAACTGTATTCAAGGAGAGAATTAAAAAAAGTTTTTTTTTCCATTTTTTTTCTTTTTTTTTCTGGTATCCCTCCTATAAAGTTTTTCTTGCTTTCCTTCTCACTCACGTATAATTAAAGTACGTGATTCCGCACAAAAAAAAGGCAATTTTTCTCCCTCAAAGTTGTTCATTTAGTCCGAGTGAATTCAAAAGCTTCAGTTCAATACATTTTTTGCTGGTGTCCCTTTGAAATTGCATCACCCTTTTCCCTCTAGTTCATCCAATTATTCAAATAAAGACAACGATTTTTCGGCGCAAGCTTTGTGTTTTTCGAAGTAGAACACTAAAAATCGAATTTCTCATCTCGTTGTGGTGTAAACGGGAAATCATGTGAACATAAAACTAACGAGTTGATCAAAGCAACTGAAATTACCGCTGTACTCATTTCTAAACACAACTTTGGCCACCCGCACACTCGAAGAAGCGCTCACAAGTAAAAAAAAAGCAATGAGCGGACGCAAGTCGACGAGCTCCAACTCGGACTCATGAGCTCACATGAGCAAAACTTTTTCCCACTTTTCTCTCACATCTTTTCTTACGCACTGGCGAATTTGCGTCGCCTTAAACCCGCCTCCAGTCCATCTTTGCGTTTCCTGGATTTGGCATAAGATGAAGCTGTAGTTCAACATTCCCTCGACCACCAACAAGCTTTTCGTTTCCTTTCCAAACCCTTGTTTTCAACAAAAAATTTGAACTTCATTCATTTTGAGATCTCAAGATCTGATTTCCGAGAAGTTTCTTCCTTAGGATATTTCGGTTTTTTCAAATAACTATTTATATCGCTTAGTCGCGTATCCCTCAACTTCATTTCGAGCAGATGACGTTTTATTTTCTTTTCGTGACATTTGTTAATTAACAAACGCTTCTAGACAGTGCAAACATCTTCAGTCCTTTTAATTGCGTTAGATTGAGATTCTAGTTGTGGCTTTTAGAAGTTTGAAAAACGAAAATGCGACGTTAGTTGACAGTTATTCAAAATTCATCGAACTATCAATCGGGCATTAATTAATTTATGGCTTCGCAAACACAAAGAAATTTTTTTTTGGAATGCTTAGTAGACTATGTTGCTTCGATTCTTCGCTTTTTTCCAAGAATTTTGTCCAGTTTCTCGCAGTTTCAGTCAGTAAGAAGGTCTCTTCATCCGATTTATTATTCATGTTTTTGCCTACAGCTTTTCTTTTCAACTTTTAACCGATAATTCTGAACATTTTCAAACTTTTATCTTTTGAGATTGAATTTTGTTTGAAATACTACGCCTGAAATCGTACAAATGAAACGAAATATAGCCTGAATCTTTGAAAAGAACCTATTTTTTAAACTTATTTATCTGCACAATCCACGCATAAATCATGGCCCTATCATTTTTTTGTTATATCCACAATGCTTGAAAACCAGAATAAAAATGTTTAAAGACTGTCAAATGCCTTTTTCTCTCCAATTTTTTTTTTGTTGACTGTGGTATTTTTTGATTAAATCCTCTTACAAATAACATTTCTGCCGTAGCCCAAAGAATTATGATGTCTTTTGCTGTTTTGAGAAAAAGCTTTGTTCTAATTCCGTCGTCTCTTGGCTCATCACTGAGCACAGTTGATAGGACGGCAAATACTAGAGCGACGCTGAACAAGGCCAGATGAGATAGAGGCGGCGATGTCGGAGAAGAGCAGCAGCGTTTTGCGAAGAAAAAAAACGTCGACGCGAAATAGATATGGGGCAACCCATGGAAAAGATGGATAGATACGGAAAAAGCCAAAGTTTGCACAAGCGCTCTTCCAGCAAAATTCCATTGTAACAATACCCCTCATCGTTCGATGGGATGGCCTTCGCATCACTCGCCTTTTGGCACTTCTTCCAGACGTCCTCAGCCGAAGACCACCAAAAATACGTCTCTCTTTTGGCTTGAGGAAGGCTATGAGAGCTAAGAGTCAGGCAAACCCCGTCGTCCTCAAACCGCAAAAAAGTGTTCCTTCTTTTGGTTTTAGATTATTAACAATAAAAATAACGCAGAACTTTTATTCTGATCAGTAGCTTCTGAAAAACGTGATCTTTCAATAACTTTCTGTTGATCTATAAGAATGGTTCATAATTTAAACTCACATATTTGAAGTTACGCGAAATTTGCACAAACATTAAATCAACTTTTTTCCCACTTACAACTTTGGAAAACTCCTACCCCTATTAGCAAAAATGGAAATTTAATTTTGGAAACACCTTCCCTTATAAGCGAAAATGGAGATTCTGCAGACGAAAAAACAATGTTTGAGAATTTTTCGATGAGGGATGTTGGAAATTTTCGTGGTCGAACACGTTGATTTATAGTAGTCTCGTTTTAAAATGCAAAGAACAACAAGAAGTCGTTTCTGAGTGAACTATACACTCATGTTTTTCAAAAACTCAGTCCAGCGGTTCAAATTAAGAGTTTGGCGTAATTACCGAAGACGTTCCAAAGCCATTTCAATTGTCAAATTGATTAAACTAGTCTGAGAAAAACAGAAGCTGCAGTTCTTTCTAATGAGATGTTTTCTGAAGCCGGTCAGCTCTACATTTTTTCTCAGCTCACAAGTAGGAAAAAAGCCTCCTTGTGTTATTTTTAGTTTTTTTCGGCACGTTTTGAAGCGGAAGGTAATTTTTCCCAGGAGCTAAACATCTGGCCCCTTATTCTTCGTCCCATTTCTCTGTCTTTTATGATTTCACATAGGCATTGTGGGTGTGCTTCCGGAATTTGTCAAGTCCCGAGCTATTTATTGTCTTACTTCCTCTGAACAGTTATTTTTATTGCGCATAAGCTTTTGATAGATGGTTAGCTATTCACAGCAAGAAAAAAATCATTCTTCTTCGTCCAAGTACGGTAACCTTTTGATATCTTTACTAGAGATTGTCGGTTAACAATTTTTTTTCAATTTTTTAGAAGGAAACTTTAGAGTGTCGTTTACGAAGAAAAATTCTTTTTCAGAAAAGGATCAAAATCAGAATTTTTCATAATGAGACGACAAAGTTGTTATAGATTGAAAAATGAGACGAAAATTCGAAGTAATTCAAAGAGTTGCTGAAAACGCCGCTCAAAAAAGTGAAACCGTCACAAATGTGTTCGTCGATTGTTGGCTTTCAGAAATCAAATTTGCTGTTCGCGGACCAGGCGCGACAATTGACGGCTTTTTCAGATTGAGCAAAAAAAAATTTTCCACTTTCTAATCCTTCTTTGAAATGTTTTTTTTCTAGCTGTGCGTGGATGAAAATTAAGCATACCAAAACAATGGATCTTCTTCTCAAGCCTCTGTTTGTTATTTTCATTAGGGTTGGTACCTCATTAAGAAGCGCAAAGTTTATTCTCTTTTCTGTGGATCTTCCTCCCTTCAAAGTAACAACAAGTTTGAAAAAAGTTGCGGAAAGCTGGGGACAACTCTGGCAAACGTTTCTCGCAAATCTGACGTTCAAATTCCCGTCAAATGCACTTTTTCTCCTTTTCCGAGTTGGGCCGAGTTAGTGGGAAACGCTTTTTTTCTCGCGAACGAAAATTTAATATATTTTCTCAGGACAACATTTCATGTAATATGCCGTTTTTAAACCGCAAATAAAGGATTGAGAAAAGAGTTGGTAACTTAACTAACGAAAAACCTTAAATTTCCAATTCGCTTCTCTTTGTGACTGTGAAAAAGCAAATGAAAAAAACTTTTTTAGTATTTTTTTCAAAGATTTTTTTATCTTTTTTTCTTACTCGCCATTCGACCTACTTTTTAAGATTTGTCTAGAAAATTCTCACGTATTGCAATTCCGTTGCGCGAAAGTCGTCCGAAGTCGGCTGATAGAACAGACTGAAAGAAAATTGAGGCTTTTTCTGTACCCGAAGAGTGCGAAACATCAACAGAACTGGTCAATGAGCGGTTTACACAAAATCATCTCATTCAGACTTCTCATCATCTAATACTCTTTGAAAAATGTTAAGCATTCAGACTTCTCATAATCTCAAAAATAATTGCTAATTAGTAAACTAACTCGGTTATTCTCGCATTTTCTATGTAGAATTTTTTTATTTTTCGCGTTTTTCTTTTTTTTTAAATTACCCCCAAAAAAATAATGTGTTTAGTTAATGAAAAAAATAATTTTAGTACGCTTTGAAATTTCAGAAATATCACAAAAAGTTTCTCTTTCCATTTTTTTGTAGTGTACTCTGCTTTCCAAAGTCAGAAAATCTAACATTTTCCCAGTGAATCGCACACGACTCTTCTCACACATCAAACGTTGAGTGCGGAAGATCTCTCATTTCCAAAAAAAATTGATGACGTAGCGAGCTTTTTTCTGCTGCTCACTAGGTTTGCGCAATTAAAGACCAATCCCTTGCATTTTTTTTCACTATTTTGAGTTCATGTAAAATTATTCCTTTTTCGATACCTGTTTTGTGAGAATAAAAAACTTTTTTCATTGCTCAAATTTTTGAATAAATTTGAGCAACACATGCTCAAAAACAATGACAAATAAAATGGGGATTCAAAATCTTTTTGACGTTAAAAAAACTGTTTATAAGGGGAACATTTAATTTCTAAAGTTGAAATTCTACACTAGTTGTGAATGAATCGCAACGAAACCGTGTTTAATTGAAGAAAACAAAATTGTAGATTCATATTCTAGTCTCATAGTGGAGAAATTCATTTTAAAAGTAATATATCAATAAGTCTTCATAGCCTTAACCAGCACAGCTCATATTGAAAATGACCGAGCCTGTTGAGCAATAAAACTTCAAAGCACTGCAAATGACTATCCGATCGGTGAAGTCACTCTTTCAATTTGTGATTTCTTTCGAATGAATTAGTAAAATTGATAAATTCCTTTTATCATTTGAAGCCAAATTCGAAAATCTCTGAAAACAGTTTGCATCTGTATTCCACCTTTGGAACACCGGGCTTTCGCAACATGTTGCGACTCGCCAACGGCATAAATTTCAGATCCAACAATTTTAATGACAGGTGTCTCTCTAAAGCAGCAATTTTCGAGTTTGTTTCTTTTTTCGAAAAGAACCAATGGCTCGCTGGCCTTGGCCGGACATGTCGAGTTCCTCGAATCCAGAAACAAAAAAAGAATGATACGATAAAGGATTGGACGACGCCGGCCGGCCCATGTAATGAACTAGTAATAGATGGTGGAGTGGGAGCAGAGAGACGAGTCTTTTCCAAAATGGGAGGGTGAAGCCGTCGAGAGGAGTGGCAAAAGTTGGTGATGCAAGCCTGCAGCACTTGTTGTCCCTCCATCGACTTGCCGCACATCAATACGTGAACGCTCACTCTTACTCTTCTAGTTCTCTCGTTTTCTTTCAATTCTCATTTCGCGCTTTTATATACCCCATTTTCACCAAATGCTCTTTTTGTCCTACTCCAATTGTTGGGTTTTTTGTCGAGTGTATTAAGAATTTACGTCGCAACCTCGTGGGTGCAATCCGTTTGGTCACAACATGCGCAACATTTTTGCTTTCTCTTCCTCGTGGCTTGTTTGTCGTAGATGTGAATCGGTAATGTCCTGAGGAATTATTAACAACTTATTTTAATGAGAAATTAGAGATCGTCTATTCTTTTTTTTTCCTCCTTTTTACTTTTTTTTTCGTTTTTATGCTAAATGATAGATGTTTTTGACTCATATATTGAAATGTTCAGTTAGTTTGAACGAGATTTCAAATTTTGAGCGGGTTGAAAAAGGGAAGTGAAAGATTGGTTCCTGATGCTTTCCAGCTTGCAAACTACTTACAGTTGTGTTTGAAGAAAAATTTCTCAAGTTTAGACGCTCCATTCTATTTTTTTTTCGTTTCATTTTTCTGCTTTGTCAAGAAACATTTTGAACACGCTTCACGTTTGAAATTCGAAAATAGAAACTCACTAATGGCTTTCAAAAGTGAATACCTTGCCAGAATCTTTTATTAGAAGATTATACTGTCAAGGTCAATAGGTTAGTGATTTTGATATGAAACATTAATGAGTCGGTGAAAGATGATTAAATTTTTCAAACTAAAGATCTATAAAGTTTATCTCAGTTCGTGCGGTAACCGCTTGATATTTATGTGAAAATGGTGGTAATAATATATTATTGAAATGTGTTTAGCTTAGGTTTCGAAAGGAGATGAGCCGCTAGAACTCCTTATAACTATATTTTTTTATTTATTCCTAAACGATATTTAATTGTCGGTTGAAGACATGTACTTAACGATTAGAGAGAGCATAGGTGGGGGTCGACAAAGTTAATGTATTCGGGAGCTTCAAAAATAAATCCAGGCATTTGTGGAATGAAGTTACGACATATTGGATGCTCGAAAATAAATTTGCAGAGCATGCGCGGGCGTTTGTGAGCGAGAGTGTGGAGAGCCGACAGCCGTGTGTGTTTTGTGAGCGTTTCGTGGTGGAGAGCCGTCGCTTCTTCTTCTGCTTCTTCGGATGCGTGCCCATGTGCAGGATTCTGTGTGTTTTTCGTCGGTTCCTCTGGCGAGGGTGGGGACGCCGCCGGCGTTTGTGTGCATTCCACGAAATGAATTAAATTGAGATGTCAAATGTGCAATTTACTACCCTTTGTTAGTCATTGTTTTATACGACTTCTTGCCACTACAGCAATTTCAATATGGTAATTTCGAAAAGAGCTTATCGATCTTCATGTCTCTACGGCTGCCAGCGTTTATAATTTAAGCGAAAGCGTGCGATCCCCTCTGTCGCAAATCGTCGCAAACATTCCTTCCCGTTGTTTATTCTCGTTTCAATTGCCTAATGTCGTGCCGTATGTTGTTTGGAATTGTCTCCATTTTCGTCATTCATTTTAACTCGGCTGCGTTTCCTTATTTTCTAGGGAGTTTTACCTTTCCAATATTTTTTTCAGATCATTTCAAAGCAAAAAAACTTTGATCATGATTTCTTTCGTGGTCAATTTATGAATGTACTTTTGAAAGCTTGAAATATTTGCTCTGGATTTTCAGCAACAACATGGAAAAATGAAAAAAAAAACCTGTCTGCTGTTGGGATTATGAAAATTGAGTCTTAGGATCCTGGTTTATTGATACGAGATTTATTCACTCATTTTGGAATAGTTTGACCAGTTTACGTTTTCTTTACTCTTAACAACGTTATGCTTTTAATTTGCTTTTTCTCGTTGGAATGACTTCACGAATGGTGAGAGGAAGAAGAGCACAGACATAGCAGATCTTTTTCAGTTGTGGCCAATGGTGTTGTGTTCGGTTTTTCATATTCAAAGCTTTGTTCAGATATGTCAAATCTTTAGTATATTTCAATTTTTCTCTATGTTACTTTTTTTCTGAAAACGTCCAAGTTTTTTCATAATTGTTTTATTAATTTGTTTAGTAATGAATGCTGTTTTAGATATTTTCGTTTTTTTTTGTCGTTACATCGTTTTTAGAATTTTTTTCATGATGTTTTCAGGACGGTGTGGATGAGCTCGGAAGTACGCGGGCAATACTGAGATGCGTGGCAAATCCACGCGGGATGCGGCCTCGCTTGTCGCTCACAGTTCCTTTTCAATCGGTCACCGCGTCCTCCAGTTTCCGTCTCCGTACTTTCAGCCGCTCTCGTGTTAACCAGTTTTTTTCAGGTAATCTATTTTTTTATTTTTTTAATCTTTAATGATAAGGCTCATTTTGAGTATACTTGAAAAAAACTTCAAGTCCAATCTCAGAAATGCGTTGCTGAAAAGTTAGGTTTTTTTACGTGATAGTTTTTAAATACTTCATGAAAATTATAAATAACCATCTTTATGAACAGGAAATCAAAGTTTTTTTGTTATTAACTTTCTGCAATTTCAAAAAAAAATTTTAGACTTTATCCAAAAAATCTCGATTTCGATAAAAGTCGGAATGAAATAATGAACTATTTCGCAGTTGTAACTGAAATTATTCCGTGAGATAGTTACGAAAAAGTATTCAAACTTGGATATTTTCGTCAGAATGTTTTCTTCACTTCAAAGAAAGGTTTTTCTGAAAAAAAAACGTGTTTTAAAAATTTTTTTAAAAAAATTTTTGATTCTCAGATACTCACATAAATTTGTCAGATTGGATATTACAGGTGACATTGCGAATCCACCTCTGTTCGCTGATTGCGTGTGTGGCAGCCACGCATTATGCCTCCTTACAAGAACCCTGTGAATCTGCCTCTTTTCCGGGCCAAGTGAGTGATTATCAAGCGTTTTTGCTTGTATAAGTGATCTAGAGAATCAAAAAAATAGATTTTGCGATTTTTTCATTAGTCAAATTGTGTTTCAAAGCAGCATCTGCTTTGATTTAACAATTTTCCTCACCTAAGGAAAAGGTCAACTTCACTCGCTAAAAACTCCCTTCTATTACAGACACATCGCAATGACACCGGCCAATGCATTTTTTGGTCCGAAGCGGTCATACCTCAGCTCTGCGAGCAACCTTATACACAGACTAGAATACGCATGCTTCGTCATATTTTTGTTTCTCATGAACTACATCCTCTTTCATTGTTTGAGGTGAGATTCTCTGATGTTCTGATGAGATTTCCTCGTTTGAAGCTATTTGCGGTTGGTTGGAAAGACGGTGGAAGCATTTACACGGCACAGCTTCTGCCTGGTGAGAAAGGAGCCGACTGCATTTCTGGCACCGAAAGTCGTTGTACAGCTTGTTTCAAACGGGTCGCAGGTATCTTTTCGAACTCAAATTTTCGATTTTTCAAATTTTTTTCTTCTTTTCATTATTGCTCTCATAATGGTGACAATAAAAAAAGTCAACATATTATCAGATATTTTTCAGATTTGGATGGAAATCATTCTGAAAACTTGCAGAATAAGTTAGAAATTACCCATGTTTAAAAACTTAGATGCTATTTTACTGCAGAACTCAAGAAATACAGACTTTCTCAGCTCGACCAATGTTGGTGGCCTTTTTGGCCGTTGATTTCTCGAACACAAACGAAGGCTTACCGGCCACTTTGTGTCACCGGATAAAGCTATGAAAGCGCTCAATTGGATTAGGCTTACGAGCATTCGTGCTCGTACGCGTTGGGAGCCAAATAGACATCCTCCGTCCTAAAACTTTCTGCGCCTTTTCGCATCATCCAAGACACGCAGCGGCCGCGGGTTCTTTAATAGAATCAGGACAAGAATCCATGCCGTTAAGATGCTTTGAAACATGCCGGAAGCGGCCGAAAAATCGCTGAAGCTGTGGAGAGAACATTTGAAAAATAAATAAAGTTATGGTAATTTCTGACGTGTAGCGCGTCTTTGACAGAATAGGTAGGAGATAGGCAAATTAAATCTTGGTAGAAAGAATGAAACATATTTTTTTAATCATTATATTTCGTTTCAGATTTTTATAACGGTTAATTTTTTTCAGATAATATTCGGAAACTGGAGGACGCCTATCGGTCCTTTGACACAACTTTGTCGCGGTTCGACTGTTTGTTGGCCCACGATACGGCGTCCGCAACGAGGCCGTTCTCACCCAACGCCACTTGTAATAACTGCAAGGTGCGGCTTCGTGTTTTTTTTTTTTTTGAAAACTTGAAGAAAGCCACCCGAAAAGTTAAAACTTTTTTTGGGACAAACTTGTACTTGTATTATCATCGGAACTCTTTTCTATCTCAATCAGTGATATTACAATAGAAGCTACTAACAGACTGAAAAATCGTCAGAATAGAGGCTCAGAATATTAATATGAAAAATAGTAATTTGGCCTCCACCAATATTTCTACCACGATGTTCGAATTGAATCACCCAAACATAAATGAAGTCATTTTTATTTGGAGAGAGTTCAGCTTCATTATTTGTTCGAGTTTTTTGAACTTCCAGATGAAGTGAACTTGAATCGCTTCTAGGCCTAATTTTTTGTTCGGTTTCGAATTGCGTTGAACTTGGACAATTACCAAAGCCCGGCCCAAAATTCCCGTTTGGTCGCTGAGTGTAGGTATTCCACTCGACGCAACGTTTTTCAAGAGGACACACGAAGATTGATTTTTTATTAGGAGGCCCAGGCCTCGCAAAGCTCCCTCAGGATTCGACTTAACATGTAAATATTCGCGCAACACTTGTGTGGGAACTTGAAATTCCATAATTTGGCGCTTTCCGATGGGCCTCTATTAGTCTGGCACAATGTTGCGTGTGGATCGAAAAGCCGAAATCCCAGAGTGTTCGAGAACACGCGCAGCTTTCCGGGGGCTCAGAACCAAAAAAAAAACATTAGTGCCAAGTGTCTGCCAATTTCTGACTGAGCTTGCGAGGCTTTTTCGAGCGGCTTGAAAGCCTCTGGGAAAAGACGTACAAAACAATTGGAAACATATCTCGTCAATGAGCTAAATGTGCAATCCAGTTGGTTCAAGCTGAGAAGCTTTCACAGCGATCTTAAAGATGCTAATAATGGCGTTTCTGCTGTTGACATGTTTCCTACGTTTTGAAGAAGTTCTGGGTGTCGGATTTTTTCATGCTGCCCAAAAAAAAGTTCTACAGGGATAGTAAAAACAAAAACCACACCTGTGAAAATATCAGGCTGGACCGGTTTCAACAACTTCGAATTATAACTTCGGTGACATTTTTTTTGCGAGGCAAGTACTCTTTCAAATCTCATCCTGCATCTTTTACTAAAAATATTTGATTTCTTCAGCTTTTTTGCGCAATTCCGAGTTCTGAGTCTGTTTAGACATAATTTCCTTCAAGGAAAATACTAAGAAATTGTGGTTTTTTTGACTAGCAAAGCAAGAATTCAAAAAAAAATGCATTGCAAATAGCTTTGAAAATGAAAGTTCAAAAAACGTTTTCAGTTGTGGTATCGACGATGGCTCTTGGTACAGACGTTGCAAGTGTGGACGCGGCAGCCCTGCATCAACTGGTGCTACTATACGCAGCTCGCCTGTCCACACCTGGCACCGGCCAAAATTTGGGACTACGCTGGACACCCGTCTTTTCAGTGCAGAGGTAGGCGTTCAAAATTTCAAAAGCCTGAAAGATCATGTTTTTAAAGTTACATTTGGGCAACTTATCTGCTTCTCGTAGCTGAGAATTCAAGTCTAAACTATTTTTTCCTTCAAGATACAACGGCTTTGCAAATCGTATTCAAAATTTATCTGACTACTCGAAAATACTTTTCTTTACAAATTCAAATATAATTTTTCGAAACGTTGGTGTTCGTGTGCTTTGCGGTTTCAAACTCAAAAGTTCAAACTTTTTGATCGAAGATTTCCCCGGAAGGATAAAAAAAAAAATAAAAATTTTTTGGCAAAATCTCGCGGTCTCCGACCAGCTCAAATGCAAAATTTTGATATATACATCACACAGCTCAAAAAAAGCTGAGCTTCGAAAGATTAAATCGCGATTTTTCGATTTTATCTTTCAAACAACGAGACAGATACAAATAAACTTAGGAATCTTAAATAGGAAATGAACATGAAAAAGATATTCAAAGTCTCCAAAGCTAGAAGTCATAGCCAAGCATTTCAGCAGCTTCAGTTAAAAGCCAGGATCTTTACCAAAGTTTTGGATGAGACCTCGCACTTGTGAAATTCAGACATGGACATCGACAGCTGGCGCAATGACTGCGACTGCGTCCACCCTTGCGACGTCAAAGGAATCGTCGGACCCGGATCGTCGGCGGCGACGCCTTCATTTCGGCACGACTTCTTTGCCGCCCAAATCCACTGCAAGACACGAAAAAAGCAATGCCGTGCCAGGTCGACGGCTCACGATCGGAAAAGCGTGAGCAGTACGGAGCTGAGACCTGCTCTCCTCGCCGTCTTGCTTTCAGTCGCTCTTGCCTTGCTGTGATATGTCTCTGATACTGGTCTCTTTTTCTTCTTGCAGGTACGGTTACTCCAACACCTGATCAGCCCGTTTTCTTTTCAGCCTCGTTCCTTTCCTTTCACCTTTGATTGTTCAAATTTTGATTTTTTTTAAAGATTTTCTTGCACTGCAACCTCGAAAATCCAGGTTATAATGAACGTCGATTCGTTAGTCATTCTAATCAAACTATTCGGATCTCCCAGCTCAACGTTTTCTTTCGACGTCCTTCTCGTATCCGGTGCCACATTCAAAGTGAACGTCGTCATTCCTTTGAGTTATTCGTCTTTAATTAGCTCTATCAACTTTTTGACGGATTGAAATGTATGCTTACTAGGAAACGGCTCGGAATTTCGTTTCAGAGGAATAGAATTGAATTTCAAGTTTTTATGAACTACTTCGGAAATAGTTTAAAAAAAAGTTCATCCGTTAAATCCAAGGAGGTGCCGAGAAAAATCACAAAAAAAAAATCAAAAGTTTCCAGAAAAAATTTGTCTCAAAACATATTTGATGGAAAGTGTCCCTCAAGTCCATCTATGTAACACAAAAAACATTTTTTTAAGCTGAAAGAATTTTGAAATTGTACTATGAAAAATTCCTAACTTTGTATGCCAACCCTCATCACAATTTTTTCTTGTCACACTCTTGAGTTAATCGGATGTTCTTTTTTTCACAAAATTTTCCCAGGATTGATAAATCACTAAAGATCCTATTCCATCGGCAGACAAAGTCCTTGTAGTTTGCTTGTTAGGTTAGTTACTCTTTCGTATGTACTTCATGGTTTGCTGTTTCCACAAAATCATGTAGATGCAGAGCAGAATAGTAGGATTTATCTGATTAGGTTTGCGGGAATTTTTCGAAAAGGTTTTTCCGCTGATTAGAATATTTTTTGGTCCAATTGAATTTGCTAGGAATTTTATCTCAAGTTTTGTTGTAGATAGCCTTTTTGCAAGATTTATCTGGTGCCTAGAAATATGTCTAAGAGCAACTGAAGAACTCCGAGTGCAAAGCTCATCGTCATGCTCAGTTATTGTCCTTGTCTTTTTTCGCTTATTTGTTCAATCTTCTTGTTGCATTTTATAAATTCATCGTGTCAAAAGATTTCTGTGTTAGGTATATTTACTTTTATGTGCTTTTTCAGTTCTATGTTTTTTGAATCGAATTTCAATCAAAAGTTAATTTTTTTTATCAAACCGCAACTGTTTTTAAATTTTTAAATTTATTAAAATTGAGAATATTTAGTTTTTTTACGCGTTTTAAGTGAATCAAAAAGTAAACTTCATTTTTCAAAAAAATTTCGATTTGAATTTGCATCTACCTTTCAAAAGTTCATTTAAAACGAAACAACGGATTCTAACTCTTTTCTTGTGCCAATATCAATGATTCGCCATTTACTGTGGAACTACACTTGCCTATTCGATTTTATGCCTGCCATTTGTTTTTTCCTTTTTTTTCAATAATTCTCATGCCATCACTAATGTTGGTACTTTATGATCCTTTTTTAATAAATTTTCTATTGATTGCGCAACTAAAAAAACCATGAAGAAGCAGAGAAAAACTATTTTTGAAAAAAAATTACTACAATTTTGAAATGTTGTCAATACTGCTACAGCTGATTAATAATCCAGTTTTAAGAAGATTTTGAACCTTGGGAAAAATATTCAAAAACATTAATTGTCTATTGAGCTTCGCATGGTACTAAAAATAGTACGCCCGAATTGATCAACAGCCTGAACCTTGAAGTTCGGAAAGTTAAAAAAGAGCTGAGAAACTGAATACCGAAAAAAATAAAATAAATTTCTCATTTTTGTGAGCAGCCTAGAAGGCTACAAAAACAACAAAAAATGCAATTTTTTCAAAGTTATTTTTTGCATCTTGGTGAAGAGTTGATAGATGAACTCTGTAATTGCCAAATGTCGCTTTTGGTAGACCAATTCTAACAGTCTACTCCCGAGTTGATGTAAAATGTTTCTATTTTCTGAGTGAGATTTAAAAAAGTTCACTTTTTCAAGAGAAACGACGATTTTTTAAAACAAAAACGTATTTTTCAAAATTAAACGTTTATAGAATTTACAGAAACAATGGCAGAATAAATCACATCAGTAATTAGCTACACGTCTATCCGTATGGCGAAATGCGTTAAGAGTTAGGCCATCGACCGTGAAAGACAAGTTTAGATCTTTTCCAGTTCAACGAGCACCTCGCCTTCATCAACCGTCGATCCAACCTTGACGTTGACCGCTTTGACCTCAAAAAGCAGCTTGAGGAATAGTCCGACTGAAGAAACGAACCTTCGCAGTTCTACCAGCGTGTAGACTGTTCTGCATTTTCATCGCCTCCATTATCACAAGCTCCTGTCCCTCAGCTACCATATCCCCGACCTGCAATGACGTATTCTTACTATCAGCTTCCTTTTTCTTGCATTTACCTTGACGCTAACGTTCTTGATGGCGCCTGGCATAGGTGAAACAACGATGGTAGACATGTCGACCTCAACATTTCAATTTGCTTTTTAATTTTTTATAAAAAGTCAAAATTACCTTAGGTTTTTCTTTCATGTACTGGAGATACTTGACGGCTTGTTCAGGCAGAACTTTCACTTTGAATGGTGTTCCCTTGTAGAGAATCGTTATCTCTCCTGCTCGCTTTCCGACAATTTGAGTGGTAACCTGTTTTGGATCTTTTTTTCATTAACCCATATTTCAGTACCTCTTTTCCGTTGATGGTAAGTTTGCTCGTTGGATGGGCCAAGTTGGTGTCTCCCTTGATGTTGAATTTTTTGCCATCGAGTTCCACCTAAAATTTTCTTTTTAAAATGATTTTCACTATTTCTCCAACTTCAATTTCATTCGGGTTTCCAGCGACAAAGTTGACTTCGACATGTTTTGGTTCGCCTTTCTCGCCTTCTTTAACCGGGAGTTCCGCAACAAAACTGAATAAAAGTGATCATTTTCGTTGAAAGGGGTTCAAAGAGTGAACCTGTGCTTCATGTGATAACCATCAAGGACAGTGGTTTGCTTAGCCGTTTGGTTCAAAAACTTATTGGCTCGAGCTAATTTGCGGGCGTTTAAAGCGGCGGCAAGGCCAATGAGCGTTTCTTGTTCTTCATGATTCAGGGTGGCGCCCTGGAAGCCTTCCGGGTATACTTCAGGCAAATATCTGAAAATTTTAATGTCTCGAAGTTAAGGCTTTCTGTCGGATATCCTCGTGGATACCATGATGGTTCACTCACTTAGTAGTGATGTCTCCTTTACGGAATCGTTTTTCTTGTACAATGTCGCGGAGCAATGGAATGTTATGAGTGACCTGGAAAGAAACAATAAATTCGGATAAGATCCAAAGATCAAGAAAAGCACAGCTATCAAAACTCACTCCTCTAATAACGTAGTTGTCCAATGCGTCAGACATACGGTTCAAAGCTTCTTCTCTGGTATTTCCGTGTGTAACAAGCTGAAATTTTACGAATATCGGAGCTTGAAAAGCTTTTTTTCACTTTGCAAATGAGAGGATCGTAGTAAATAGAGATTTCCGAGCCTTCAACAATTCCGGAATCGCATCGGACTCCTTCTACATTATGAGGCTCAACGTATCGCGAAAGTCTTCCAACTGACGGCAATCCAAATCCTTTGTAGGGATCCTAAAATTAAATATAAGAAAAATCGAGACGAAAAATAAAGACCTCGGCGTAGACACGACTTTCGAAAGCCCACCCAATGATGGGAACTTGGTTCTGTGTGATTGGAAGTTTGTGACCGTAAGAAACGCGCAGCATTTGTTGAACAATGTCGATACCAGTGATGCATTCCGTGATTGGGTGCTCCACCTGGAAAATGTTGATTGGTGTTAGCTTAATGACAGAAGATAAGTTTAGTTGCTCAGGTTCTCTGCATGTTCACAAGGTCTCAGATTTGATTCTCCTAAGGGTGACAAAAAAAAGATTTCTTTTTGACAAAAAAATGAATGAACCTGAAAAAAATAAGTAATTTTTTTCTTTAGTTCATATATGCATCTTCCAGTGGTGTTTAGCTGTTCTCTTTTTCCCAATCTTTTCCCAAACTTTCAATCACTAATTTATTTTTTTTTTCAGTTTTTTCTTCAGGCATAAAACTAGCCCAAACTAGCCAGAAAACGTACTTTATACACTCTCTTGTTCAAGAAACTGTGAAGTTAATTTTTCTTTCAAGAGAATATACAAAACTTACTTGCAAACGCGTGTTCATCTCGAGAAAGTAAAAATTGCGCTGAGAATCAACAAGAAATTCGACGGTTCCGGCGGAGTCATATCCGACAGCCTTGGCAAGTTGCACAGCTTTGAATTAAAATTATTTTTTCGAGGGTCCGAATACAACTATACCTTGTTCACCCATTTTCTTGCGCATTTCAGGAGTGACAAAGCTGCTGGGAGCTTCTTCGATCACTTTCTGATTACGTCTCTGAATGGAGCATTCACGCTCGTTCAACCACAAAGCATTGCCATGCTTGTCGCAGAGAACCTGAAAAATTTATTGTGTTATTTCTGAGATGAAAACTCAAACAAAAAATCCCTTACCTGCATTTCAATGTGTCGGGGGTTATCGATGAATTTCTCAACAAGCATGCGATCGTCACCAAACGATGAAGCAGCCTCTTGCTTCGAAAGTCTGAATAAACGATTTTATTTCAGTTCTCAGGAAAATCGCTCTGTCCTTTTATTGAAAAGTCGTTCACAAGCATCTGCATAGTAACTATCCAATTACTCACCTGTATCCTTCGCGAGCTTCTTTGTCGTTCCAAGCAATTCTCATGCCTTTTCCACCGCCTCCGGCCGAAGCTTTGATCATTACTGGATAACCAATGTCTTTCGAAACTTTTACGCACATATCTTCGTCCGCGATCTCCCCATCAAAACCAGGAATCATGTTAACCTATAACTTTTTTTCATCAAATTATCTCAAAAAGGGAGCAACCTTGGCCGCACTGGCGATTTTCTTAGAGTGAATTTTATCACCCATGTCCAAAATTGCCTTCGAGTTGGGTCCGACAAATTTGGCTCCAGCTTTTTCCAATTCAGCAGCGAATTTCGTGTTCTCGGAGAGAAAGCCGTATCCAGGATGCACCTGTGAGAACACAATTTGATTAGATTTCAATCAGAATATCAAAACTATATTGCCCTTGATTGGAAAAAAAAAATCATCTTAGTTAAGAATGTTTTTCAATTGATTTTTGATCCCTTTCAGCAGATAGAAAAAAATCAAATCAAATTTATGTTCTGGTTTTCAATTTTTTTCTGGCATATCAGGTTTTTTTAAATATAAACTAAATTGCATATTCCTGTCCGCTATTCCAAATGATGGGAATGTTTGATTTTATTCAAACTTTGTTTAGTTGATTGCACTCTTTGAAATTTGTTTCTTTTTAGTTATTGCTTTTAAAAATCTTCTGCTCTGATTTGAACACAATCAACAGAAGTGCGGATGATAAATCCAGAAGTTTATTGCTTAAATTTGACAGAAAACTAACAGCCTGTGCTCCAGTATCTTTGACGGCCTGGAGGATTCTGTCAGCGCGGAGATAAGACTCCGAAGTAGGAGCCGGTCCGACGCAGACCGCCTCGTCAGCCATTCTCACGTGCAACGCGGCGCTGTCGACGTCCGAGTGAACCGCCACCGTCTTGATTCCCATGGCGCGCGCCGTTTTGATCACACGGCAGGCAATTTCTCCTGGAAAATAAGTACATGGGGAAATGTTCTTAATCAAGCATCACTCTAAAGGGGAAGTATGAAAACCTCGGTTTGCGATGAGGATTTTATCGAACTTCGGCTCATCGTAATCAATTCCGATCGTTGTATAGATTTCTTTTCCTTCGCGTTCATCGACCGGCCTGAAAAATAAGGAAGTTTTTTTGTATATTTTTAAAACTTCTTTCAAGCACTTTAGGAAAATAAAAACATAAAACTGAACTAAACTTTCATTTATGCACGCAAAAAAATTTTTTGTTTTTTTAATTTTTTTATTTTTTTATAAATCTTGAATACCGATGACAAATTTTTTTGAATTTGATTTCTCAAAAATATTTTTATTCAAACTGTTCGGAAAAATATAAAAAATAAGAGATGATCAAAAACAAACGAACCTTCCAGATTTTGCATGTGTCGAAGCGACGGAACGGCAGCTTTTTGTATAAGTTAGAGCACTGAAAAGGCGAAGTTTCGGAAGAAGTCGCATTTTCTGAAAAGAAGTTGAAATGTGAAGACTTGAAGAAGGTCACTAAACAGAAAAATCGAAGAAAACGAGAAAATTCGCGATAGCGCAGAAAAGGGAGGAGAAAACGAGAGAAAGGGTAAATCTTGGTGTTTTGCACGTAGAGGTCTATGTTACACTAATCATTCGAAACACACGATACAAACAATAATTGCGATTGGCACGTCGAGTTGGTGGGAGAAAAATGCTCAAATGGATGGTGCCGAGAACTCTGTTCCTATCGATTAACTGGTTCGCGCCATTGACCCGCGGTTTGTCGACAGTCAAAATCACACTTGGAGGTCAAATTATGTTACGGTCTACAACGATTGATTTTTTGAAATACCTAATGAATAGAAAAGAATCTCTTCAACGCAGTTTTCAATGTTTGAAACTGAACCTAGGACAGAAAAATACGGTCCAAAAATAATATTAATACTGTTATTTCTTTGAATAGCTCTATCAGCGAAATGTTATTTTGATAGCACAACTGTGTTTCAACAAATTTTGAAAGAATTCTGATATCCAAGTTTATGTTTCGTGAGCTGCAAATTTGAACATGTCTCAGCTAACGATTGCGTGCTTTTTTTTTTAAAGCTGGAATATATCAAAAAAAGTTCTTTTTTTCCCAATTTTTCCTTTTTTTCCATTTCCTTTTTGTTTTACTTTTTTTACTCTTGCCTCATAAATTTCGGGTTTCAAAACATATGCCCATTTTTTTCAGGTTTTTTTGCCAACAAAAAAACGATTTTTTTGATGGTTTTTGTTTTTTTGTGTGAAAGAACTTCTCAGACGACAAACGACAAATCCAAAATTTATTTTTACAAAAAGAAGTTTAAGTTTGAAGATTAATTCTTGCGTTTCTTGTTGACATATGCTCGCAGGATTGACAGAGACGGATACCCGACGATGAACGTTTGAACAACCCACTTGGCGGTGCTGTCAAATCTGGAAAAGCCTTGGATCGATCGGAGAAATAATTTGTTCATATTTTCTTTTCCTTACAAAGTATTCGAACTTTAATGAGGCAGATGATAAAAACCAACCCAAGTTTTCCTTGACGGCAAAGCTTCAGAGCCATGAAAGCCTCCAGGACATGGAGGAAAAGGGCAACGCTGTTGGAAATTGTCGTGAGCCAATGATAGTTATGACCAATGTGAGCCGCCAGGGGACCAATGAAGGGAAGCAGAGAAGTGTTCAGAACTTTTGGGTTCGACCATGCCAACTGCAAAAAACAGAAACAGTTTGATAAAACTATAAAAGGGTATTTTTTCGTTTTTTTTTTTCATCAAACAAACACTCACATAATTGATGAGAAGTCCAAAGACAATAAGAATCCACCAGAAGATGCTGGGAGAGCGGTAATACTGAGCCATGATGGGTGATGTCTGGCAATTCGAATTGCAATCGATTGTATTTGGGGCGTACTTGATGCCCAGGTACTCGCGCAACGACTTGCACGCGTTTTGAGAAAGAAGCCTAAAATAAGAAGTTTCCAAGTGTTGTCCGATAACGCTACACAAGAGTGCGACTGCAAATCGAAAAACAAAGATGGAGGGCAATGATAAGGTTACTGAACTGAACTGTAGCTTGCGATCTGGAGTTTAGATTCGTTCAGTTACACAGGTCAAATGAAATATGTTTTTTCAAGAATTTTCGCTATCAGACTAATAGAAAAAGTTAACAGCCCATAAAGTTTGGACATGAAATTCAGAGCAAAATTACAGTTTTCTCAAAAGCTCGCAAACCTTTCTTTGTGAAATTTATCATTTTTTGTTTCTTGGGATTATGTTTGGGAAAACTACTCATTTATCTTTGTTTTTTAGTGCGCAAAGTGCAGAACGATAAGTTGACAGCAAAACGTGTTCTACGAAAGTTGGACGTTTGATAATCTCAAATTTGTGAGGCAATAAGGTCAAGGCCATTTTACACTCTGTTCATTTTATTGAAGTAATTCGAAAAACTAAAAAAAATTGTTCTGTGGTTAGCATGTAGAAGTGAAATTACAGGCCAAACTATACCCTTTGATCATAGGGACTAGAGTGACATAAGATGGGACGAATGCCAAAACTTTTTCCTTGAGAATGGCGTCGACCATTCCGCGGGAGCATGTCTTGGCGCTCATGAACGGGAACCACCTGAACGAGTGACTATCTTAACGGAAGGTCATCTTTTCTGTCTCACGTGCAGGTCGGCCGCATCCCTTGACTCAATACCATTGGTGTTCGGGCAAAGTAGGGACACAACTGAGAAAAAGATTTATCTAATGTGTGCAAGAAGTTTATCCTCCCTGTTTTTTTCTTGTTTCTAATTTTACTCTGATCCAATCAGGTAATGTCAAAAGAAAACAAGATGATGACCTCATTCAAAAACGTTTAAAAACTGAATAGTTGTTTCAAGATTTTCAAACACCACATACCGTAGTGCATTGAATGCCGTCAAGACCTCTATCCCGCATTTCCATTTGCAGACATTCCATAACTCCACGAACCGCGAACTTTGTCGAACTTGAATCGATGATTTCAATTCTTTCATAACTGCAGTCTCACCAATAAGCCAAGCCCAAGGTCTCTCCAGAAAAACCAGCGATTGAAGAAACAGCTACAATGTGGCCACTGTTTCTTTGCTCCATTTTCCCGAGAAATGCTCGAATCGTCTGTAAAATAATAGAACACAATAACTTAATATACAAAACCACACATTGACACAGCCTAAAACATTAACTTCGTAGGACCGTTTCAGATGTTCGTTTGTAATATCCATGAATGGTGCAAAAGAAAGGATAGCCGCGTTGCAAACAACAATGTGAACGTTTTCTGAAAATTTCTTTTTGAAAAGCCCAATAGTTGAGTATACCGAATCTTTCATGAATTTCGAGAGCAACTTTGTTCATTTGATGATGATCGCTGATGTCGCAAGTCCAATAATGAGCAGTTCCACCGGAAGATTTGATTTCATCAACGACTGCGTCTCCTCCCTCCTGAGAAAAGAAACTACAACGAGATCCAAAATCAGTATAAAAGGAAAAGTAGTGTAAAAAAATATCCTGAAACACTGTCTCAGAAAAAAGGGTCAGCGAAAGCAGCGACCTGGGTTCTTCCAAAAATGATCAGAAAAAACTTGTTCCGAAAAGCCAAAAATAACCTTTGAAACCGTACTCTTTTTGACCAGAAATTATTACTTAAAAGGGAGGTTACGGTTTGAAATTCCTCACAATTTCGCTCAATTACTCACTGGAAATCTAGAAAAAGATTTTTCGTAATTGCTACCTGAGCAAACTTCTATTTTTTAAGATATTTCAAACTTGCGGACTATGGGTTTCAAGACAAACTTTCCTAATTTCAAAAAAATCAATAATCTTAAAAAAATAGGAACTAGATGGGTAGACGATTTTTGAGGAAATCCAACTATAACCTTCAGCGAGTGTTTGAGCAAACTTGTAAAAAATTCCAAGTCAAAAAATGAATGGAACTTCTGTTTTGATGTTCTGGAAGCGTCTTTCACAACTTGTAAGTTCCAACTGCAGTTTCTATTGCATTCAATTTTAAAAAGTCGAGACTTCAGGTAAATGAGCCATATCATAATAGAAATTTGAAAAAAATTTTAGATGAAGTAAATTTGACTAGTTTTCAAATCCAGAGTTTTAATTATAGCCTGACCTTGTTCACATCGACAATAGCGACTTTAGCGCCTCTTCTGCCAAAGTCAAGTGCCATTTCCTTCCCAAGGCCGGACGCGCCTCCCGTTATTACTATTGTTTGACCGGCAACATTCTTAAGTTATTGGACTTTATAATTGATTAATAAATTGACAGCCAACTTTCTGTCGAAGTGATAGCCATCGGAGTATGTCAAGCGGAAAATCAATGAAAATCAAGTGAAGAATGACTCCAATGGTGCTCCATATTTTGAAATTCCAACTGGAATACATCCGCTCTGACAATGGGTACCCTAAAAAGCTTTTTTTAAAAAAACCAATTAGGTATTGAAAAACAATAAAAAGAACAGAAAGGACGAGTGCCTAAAGAAAATCAAAAAATAGGTCAGGCAACAAGAATGGTTCCAACGTATACGACTTCGCGCCCCTCTTGCCCCAAAGTCAATCTTCCATAGTCACACGACATTTTTACCGTGTTTCAGCAATTTATTGTCGTAATTTCGTTTCAAACAAGTTCAAATTTGCAATAAACAACAAAAAGTCAATTGGTTCTCAAAGAGATTTGGTTGAAATTATTTTTTAATTTGAAACTTTTATAAATCACAAAAGAGAATTCTTCAACAATTTTTCAAAGCCTCTCTGAGTTTATTCGAAAAAAAAAACAATTCTAACAATAATACTGTTCTAGTGATTTTTCGTCCTACTTTCCATCAAAAAAAAATCCTTTTGGTCTTGGTTTATAAATTTATTTTCGAGCACCGCAATCTGTATTAATTTTTTTTGAAAAGTGTGTTTCTTTCTTCTTTCTTTTTTGCTGGTTGATGTTTTTTGAAAGAATAAAGAATTATAAGAGTTACCGGGATTATATTTTACAACTTTTATTCAAGACAAATTTAATACGCTCAAAAAAAAATGGTGGAAACACTCACGTCAACAGTTCATCGAGAGACACGTAAATCAAGACTGGAAATCAAACTTTAAGAAAAGATTCATCGACAATCTCCAAGAATCCCTATCCCAAAGATTATAACATTATTGAAATAAATTAAAGTAAATCAAGAAGAATTTCAACTTGACAATGATATTCAGAATTTATCTACTCGTAAAGAGCAATCAAGTACATCAAGAAAATTCCAGTTAGTAGAGCGGCAATTTCTTTGACGGACTGCACGAAAGAACTGTTCTCAAGAAGTTCTGGGATGACCGAAACCGTCGCGATGTATATGAAGCCACCAGCTGAATCAAGATTTGTTAACTTGATTCTTTTAGAAAATAATCACCTGTGAACGGAAGAACCCAGGAACTGGCGGCGGCATCTGCGAGGGCGTCGGCGTCCGAAGCGAGAAGAGAAAGAACACAGCCGGAAAGGGCTCCGAGAGCTGTCACCAGTTGAACCATCATCGCCTGAACCAGTTATCACACTCTTGAAATCCTAAATGTCTCACTTTTCTTTTCGAATATCCAGACTGGATCAAAATGGCAAAGTCTCCGATTTCATGAGGAACTTCGTGGACAAGAACAGTGATCATTGTGACTGAAAAAGAAAAATTTCCTAATTGCAATATTGAATCTTTTTCATGTTTGAAAAAAAGGTCCGAAAAAAATGGTTAAATTTTTATTTTTTTCTTCAGAAAGTTTTTGAAAGATTCATTTCTTTTTTTAAAAAAATTTCGCAATTTATCTTACCTACACCAACAGTGGTTCCAGCAATGAAAGAAGCTCCGATAGCAAGGCCGTCAGTGAAGTTATGCGTGAAGTCTGCCACCAAATTGAGATAAGCTGTCACCTGAAGCTGCATGTTATGTTTTTTGTAAACAAAGCACGACCTTTATGGACCCAGGGTCCTTTTCTTTCTTCTCAACTTCTTTTTTGTCGTCGTCTTTCTTCTTTTTGTCCTTGTCATCTTTCTTTTCGGAGTGCGAATGGGAGTGATGAGAATGACCATGTCCTTCTCCTCCTCGCAAGATACGGACAAGCTTCTCAACTGTCAGGAAAGCAATAACTCCTGTAAAAAGTTTAGTTTTGAATACTTGTATCTCGAAAATTACCTGCAAGAACCCAACCACCGACGCTCATGTCATGTGGTTCGTGAGAATGTCCAGCTTCATGAGAATGAGCATGAGAGTGAGAATGTCCATGACCGCTTCCAGCTGGGGTGGCGTGAGGAATCAAATGCAGGAAGGCATCGCCCAGCAGTCCACCGGACCCGAACGCGAGAAGGACGTTGAGCAAAGGTCCGGACTCGGCAGTGTTAGCCTGAAATTGAAAATATTTCATTAATGACCTTACGCATTCATAACCAAAAAACACGGAAGTTAATTTTTTTTAATTTGCGAAAAATGTTTTGCTCTACAACTTGTACTTCTCTCAGCCAGAAAAATAATTTCACATAATCGACCAGTACAGTCTTTTCGACTATAAACACATACATAGTTTTGCATTTTTTTTTTGCGATGAAAATATAAAGAAATAGTTCGCTACCTGAATTGGAATGAAGAACAAAATGAGGAAAGGAGCAGCTGAGATCAGCAAAGTGGCGGAGATCGAGTACACCCAAAGTCTTGTTCGAGGATCATTAAGGAATGACAAATGTCTGTAATATTTTTATTTTTTTTTTCTTAGTTTTTTTCTCACCCCGTGTATTGATATTCTGGAGTAGCTTTGCGGCTATTCGTGCTGTAACAATTAAGTATAAAGTAGGACAACGGACAGATAATTGTAGGAATAGAAAAAAATCTTACGCAGGTTTCGAATGACTGTGTGCATTGGTGTCTCCTGCGAATAATAGATTGATTAAGAAATAAAAAAAAGTCTCACTTTCAACACGATCATGGGAGTGGCCATGAGCTTTCTTGTCATCGTGAGAATGACCGTGGTTGTCATGAGAATGACCGTGACTGTCATGAGAATGACCGTGATGGTCGTGATGGTCATGATGATCATGATCATGAGAATGAGCATGAGGACATCCACCGCCATGTTCGTGCGAATGCCCATGATCGTGAGCGTGATGGTGTCCAGAAGAAACTTCTTTTGCCGCCTAAAAAAAGCGATTAAATTTTTTCTTGTTATTTCAAAAAACTTGAAAAAAATTCATGAAAATTGATTTGAATTATTTATCAACATTTTATTTTTGTCTCAATCATATTGCAGATAAACGAATAAAAACAATATTTTTTTTTTTGAAGAACGATTAAAAAGAATAATGAAAAAACCTGTTCATTGACTTCTTTTGTATATTTCATGTGCGCAGGTTCATGAGAATGAGAATGTGCAATGGCGCCGATGGCCAAGCACACTAAGACCAAAATTTTCATCATGAAGAAGCGACCCAAGCCTGAATTTTCTTAATAAAATTAGAAAACTAAGTTTTGAGCAATGTCACGACCGAGGTTCCAGGAAAATGGAAAAGAACACAAAATCTGAAAAAAAAACATTGAAAAAGAACAAGAAAAGTTTTTCCTGAAAACAGGTTATCTTGGAAAAGATCAAGAATACCGGAAACCAAAAAAAAAGAAAAGTAAATTGGTGTGGAAAAACCGGCCACGTTGTCCTATCTGCGCGAGAAGGGGACGGGCCATAATTGCAAAAATGCCGCACGCCGTTGGATCGGCTAGCGCGAGATTCAAAACATCTCCGCTGAAGCGATTTTCTCAACACTTTTGCTGAAGACTCGCGTTGGGATCGAAAATCGTTTCTAACTTGTTTTTGTCGATTCCGTCGCTAGACAGTGTTCTTGACTTGTGGAGACGCCTACTTCTTCTTATCCTTATTTCCATCGTCTCCAATTCGAACATCTTTCACATTCCACTGCTTCATTTTGCATTTACCTTATATTGAAATTGTTTTACTTTCTTTTCTATTTTTGATCGCGTGAAGTCATTTCTGTCTAAGAAAACTTCTATCGACAATAAAGATTGATAGGCATAATCAAAAAGTAATTCCTAACTCAATTTTTTTTTACTGTTTGCTTTATCTTCAATTTTATTTTTTAGTATTTCATTTTTCATCATACAAAAAAATTACGTAAAAAAATCATGAGCCAGTCCAGTGAGACGCTGGCGCTCGCTTTGGAGTTGCAATGTCGGTAGAAAACTGAGCAATAGCAACCACCGCAAGGAAAAATTGGATCGAAAAAAAAATCGCTTGTGCGCAATTTGGTCCAGGGTCTGTCGGAACACCAATTACGGTTCAATTTTATTTCATTGCGCAGCTAACCGAGCGAAATGTCAAAAATGGGTTTTGTTTGATTGTGCTGACAGCTGTCCTTCGCCGCAAACTTCCTTCTCACGATAATCGTTTGCTTCTTTTCTTAGTCTTAATGGATCAATTTCCATTTCCGTATAGCGCGATCAAAATCTTTCCTACTAACTAGTTGATAGCAAATTTTTTTGCATAGGAATTGAGGAGTTTTTCTATCCACATTTTTCAATAAAATAAACAAAATGATTGTTTCGATAAAACTATAATCAGAATCAAGTTCTTTTTTTCTGTCAACTAGTTGATAACAGTTATTTTCGAGGATTATAAAAAAATTTTTGCATCCACTTTTTTTCATTCAAATGGATGGGTTGATTTTTTTAACCTTCGATAATTGCTCCACTTTTTTTCGCGTTTCAGAGGAGTGGAAAATGAGTTCACAGTTAAGAAATTCGAAATTAAAATTGGATTTTTTTTCTATAATGTTGAGGTCGTCTGTGCAAGAAAAAAAACATACTTCAATAAATCAGTTTTGCCCCATTCATCAGATGTTTTTTGAGACATTTGAACTAGGAAGTCCACACAGCGTTATTTCTGGAGAGCGATTAATCCGCAAACAAACGGGAAATATTTGATCATCAAAATGTTTTCTGGAATATTTCCAGCGAATGGGCTTGAGATGTTTATTCAGAACGAAAATTCTTCCCGATGCTTTTTATTTGAGGTTGTGATAGAAGTCATTAGGCACTCGCCCAAATGATGCGATCATCCCTGATTCGTGCATTTGCAGCCGGTTGCCTGAACCCCAACTTGGTGCCAGCCATGTATTGAGCTCTTTTCCGATTTGCACTGCTCTCAGCTCTTTCAGCTCCTGAACATTGTTTGCGATCCCTGCAATCGGGTTCTGGAGCTGACATAGTTGCCTGTCGACCTTTATTGCTCTTGCTGTCCAACATAAGTGGCCCGCATTTTCTCTGCGCTGTTTTTTCACCATATACCTGACCGTTCTCGCACTTGTCATTTTGAGAGCTGTTCCGGATGCCGGCCAACAGCGGATTTCTCGAATCTTCTCAGGAACGTTTTTGCACGGAAATGTAGCTCAGCATGTTCTTCTCTCTTTTTCCCTTCTCGGTTGGTCTGATATTTCTGAAGAATTATGAGACTCGTAAAAATAATTTTTTATACTTAGTGAAAATTTAATTGAATTTTCGCAATCAATATGGGTTTTTTTATTCGTAGTAATAGTTAATACTTTTTCCAAAAAAATTACTTTGATTTCCTCCCATGAACCAGTTACAGAAGTGTTCTATCTTGTGCCATCCTTTCGACAGATGCTCGTTTTTTGTGCCTTTGATTAGCAATAGTATACCACTAGACACCTCTAAAATCGATAATTTAAGATATTCCATGGGCCGTCAGGAAATGCTGCTCGACGGTAGAGCTTTCAGATCAGTTGATAACGTTGCTCTAGTTCAAATGGGGTTCTATATCTTTTGAATAACGTACGTGTTCAAATTTTGATCAAGGTCTGAAAAGTAAATTTTCAAAACGAGCAGTTAACTAAAATTTTTTAGCAGCTATAAATTGAAAAAAAAAACCTTATCCTTTCACGATTTTTTTCGCACTTTTTTACTATTTGCTCCAAATATTACCTTTCCTTTTTTCTAACAGTTAACAAAAAAAAAAATTAAAAGCGTTGTACATAGTCATTTTGAAATTTTTTTATCCCCACTAACGGAGATAACTTTCGGCATAAATATACTTCGTTCATTTGGATTCATGTTTATCAAGATTTTGAAAGTTGTCGATTCGATGCTTTCTCAAAGTTTTCCTTGTTTTGCAAAACTACAGAGCTATCAAATCAGGAAAATGAGAGAGACGGGCGAGAACTATAATTCTTCCGATTGGTTGGTCCGCTGCCAAAACTAGGAAAATGACAAGGTAAAAGAAAAAGTAATTTTTGATTTTTGATCTCTTTCCCAGATAGTGTTTTTCAGAAGCAAACAAGATCTCTAATTCTTGGGCATTTTGAAGTTCTTTTAAAAACACGCTCAGAGTTTATTTTCATTTTTTTCAAGTTCTGAAAAATTCAAACGCCATGCAGCTCAAGTTTACAAGTTTTGCAGTTCAGTTGGCAGTTTATATGGCCCAAAAGCTTGAATTAATGAAAATACAATTTCATCTGCATTTTTTGTATTGAGTAAATTAATTGCTCGCAAAAGTTCTCATTAGCATTTATAGTCTGTTCAGATTTTGAATGTCAAGTTGTCGCTCAAGTCCCGCCCATAATGGTGCGATAAACCAATCAGAGAGCGAGCCATCCACAGAGTGTTTTTGAATGACGTCATTGCACTTGACATTAAAAATCTGAACAGACTATAGTAAGCAAAAAAAACTTCTCAGCGTATTTTTGTAAATTATAAGTTTTACTACGTTCATAGGTCTTTAGGAAATGTTTCACTTGGTTTAAAGCTCATGAGCAGCATTCTCCTTTTCTCTTCAACGGTACAAGTAGGTAGGCCTATTTTTTGTTTTTGTGGAGCTCAAGAGAATTTTCAGTCTGATGTGAGGTTGTGAGCTCTATCAAGCTTGATCTGATTTCCCAAGTTTCGATCTCTAATTGCTCGATCTGCGGATTCTTGATAACCTTACAGTTTCTCAACTTGGAAGGTTTTCATAGAAATAATTTTTATTTTTTGTAGTTTCAAAAGTTTGAGTAAAATTATTTTTAATAGTCAACAAATTTAAAATTTGAACTCTCAAACGTGAGAAATTCGCGGCGCAAATGAATGACTGTTATTAGCGCCGTCGGCGCGAAAACTGTATCGGTGCTCGATTGACAGAATTATCCGCGGCCAGAGGCGATGAAGCCCATTCAAGTGTCGTATGCGCACGCGTGTTGTGTGTGCAAAAAGAACTCTCAAGACGGACGGGGGCAAGCAGTGTGTACACCGGCGAGTGACCGTCCATCCATCGCTGAGTTAGTTCCGCCCAGAGGCCGGCGACCTTCGGTGGGCGCCTCTGTCGCGGCGATTCCTTCGGACACTTCGGGTCCGTCTTGTTCTCTCGATTCTGATGTTCTTTCTCACTGTTTGCCCGTTCGTCGTCCGCTGCCCCACACTCACACGATTTCACCTCTCATCCTCTTCTTCACTTCAAGATTTTCTATCACAATACGGTTCATACCTTTGAGCCCATACTCAACTCGCCGCCTTCCATTTCCGACGACTTTATCTTTTTTTTTTCTTTTTGATTGATACTTCTATACTGCAGGAAACAAGTTGTCTGATAAAATCTTGCTCAACCCTTACCGAAGGCTACACTATTTCTTAGCTCTTAAGTCTATCTACTGTACAGGGAGTGCAAAATTTTCTTGTTTTGTAAATGTTATTCGTTATTTGATTCTATGAATCCATAATTATTGGTTTGCTGTATACTTAAAGCTCTCATGAAGTAGCCTGATGCAACAAAAAGGTAACGTTTGGATGAAAATTGTTCATTTTGTTTCTTATCTCCGGGTGATCTCAACATGATTCATTTGTTATGTGATGAAAAAAAACCGATTTCCCAGAACATTTCACGCTCTTTTTTTGTCTTGACTTCGTGTTACAATAAAGTCTGTCCTATTTCCTCATTATTCATTTCCAACAACAGTTTGAAATGGATTACGGATCATATCTCATAAATAACGTCCACGCCACATAAAAAAGAAGGAGTGAAAGTTGCGGCGCGGCGTCGTCTGTGGCATCTCCCGCGAACGCTTCTTTCTCGTGGCTTGTTCTGTTCGTGACGCAAATTTGCTTACATTTACTATGATTGTTTATATCGAGTTGCCTCGCTCCCTCATTCAAAACACGTTATGGTTGCGAGAGCGTACTCAGATCTAACTACCTAACGCATCGATCAAACATGAGTCGACCGTGAAATTCCTCGCTACTCTTTTTGACGTCGAACGTTTTCGCTTTTTTTTTCTTGTCTTTGTGCGAATAACTTGAGTTCAACCTCAGATTTCGCAGGTGGTTCTACATCAATATCAAAGAAAAATCGTCAGGTGCTGGCGAATAAGCATGGCCACCGCCCACTTTCTTCTACAGCTCCTTGCCATATGGGGTAGATCATGCGCCATGAAAACCCTTCAAATGTGCTTACAGGGATTCTTGGCACTGTCAGCTGTCAGTCAGAGGAGGATGGAACTTATCATTTTTCCGAGCAGCAGCAAGGGAGAACTGTATGGATCGTAGACGACACTAGCGTTCCGTGGATTGGAAGTTTTCAGTACTTAGGGTTAGTTTTCACTTTTTCTGAGTGGTCTGTCCTCCATAGCATAAGCTTACTTTTTCATCAATCTAAGTTTTCTTAAAGACTAAGAAATCAGAGCCTCTCGAAAATTTGATCGGATTTGCTTGGACGCACTGAAAAGTGGGTTGGAGTTTGCTAACGTATCGAATGACCAACGCTGACCAGCAATCTATTCAACAGCTTCTCGCAAGCGTCTAATTCATGGGTTCTCGTGTTTCAGATCATTCTCCAACGCGCAAACCGTGCTGCTCACAGTGGTGGACAGTTCCACTGGAGCGACTCTTGGAGAGTGCGCTACTTCTAGGGCTAATGGTGAGTTGATAGTTATGGGAAGGAAAAAAATCACACAAAAATCAGCCAAAAATAACGGCCGTACAAAATAGGGTACAACCTAATCTTTCGCTAACTCACATTTACAGTAAGAAAAATGCAAATAGAAATGCCAATCTTTTTAATAGTTGATAATTTTTTTATTTTTTTCATGCTTGCTAAGTTTGCGAAATTGAAGAATGAAAGCTTGAAAAAAATTTTTGAACATTTAAGCACACTTAAAAAAAGTTTTTTTCGAATAATTCGCAAGGAAAATGGTTCATAATATTTGCTCGCTTTTTTTGTTGCAAGATTTTTTTGAAATGTTTTTTTCTGCACTGAAAAAAAAATTTTTTTCAATGAAAGGGAAACGAGAGATTTCGGAAAGATGAGATCGAATCATTGAAAAAAAAAAAACAGTTGACATGAAATAGTCCTTCGGAAATCATTATATTACTTGGACATTAAGAAGAGTAGATTGTTTTTTTAAATAATTGTTTTTGAAATTTGTATCTTGCTGAACTACTCAGTTCACAGAGTTTGTCTTGCAAACGTCAATTGACATCTGGCGGTGAAGATCTTTTTTCTACCATTTCGGTTTTCCTTTTCTAGTTCACTTTGACACACCGCTCGTCAATCTTTTTTTCACTTGAAAGAGACTGGAAACAGTCACGAGAGACGTCGATCGGGCAAGATGTATCGGTATTTCACATGATTTTCCGGCGGCGTTTCGTCGCGGCAAAAAATAGACTCGACGGAAATTTGTGGTTTTTCTGCAGGTTCGGCGCCGAGATGGGAACGATTCCAGTGGGAGCTCAGCATGGATGGTCTTCAATGTTCCTCCTCGAATGGTAACCCGACACGGACGCCCTTCCCTCACACAGACAACCCTCGGACCTTTTCTGTCAGAATCCAAGCTGGTCAGTTTCTAAATCCAATTGATTTCGAGAAATTTTTAAAAAAAATAATCTATATTTTTGTTTCAAAACATGTTTATAATTTCACTGAAATCAACCAATTATTTTCAACCTACAAGGTTTTTATTTGGTTTTTCTCAGCTGTTTGTTCACCGACACTCGCAAAAAAAAGTTATTTGTATTCTCAGGCAAAGGACCAGCGTGCATCCGAGAACTGCTAGTGCAAAACGAAAATCCAGTCGGATGTCCGCCACATCTTTCAAGAAATTCTTTCTCGTCATCTTTTTTCAACTGCAGCTGTCCCTACGCCGAAGTCGCTGATGAGTCCGAACTGGGTACTGTAGTCCACCAAAAAATGTTCATATGAAGTCGTTTCAGAATCTTCAGACCACGGATCTTTGGAAACCTCTCCGCAGTTCCCTTTGTTCAAAGTAATTACACTTTCTTTCTTTGCATTGAAACGCTATGTTTTCAGGGAATCGGAGTAGAAACTACAATGACAACGTCTCCTTGGACTTTGTCGCCTTCACCTTGTGCGACCCATCAATGTCACAACAACGGTACCTGTCTTGTAACACAGGAAGGAACTGTAAGAAATTATTTTAAGTTTTATTGAAGGAAGTATGAGTTTAAGGCTACTTGTCTTTGTCGAAATGGATTCACCGGTTCACAATGTGAGCTTGATCTATGTTCTTCGGTTCCTTGTCAAAACGGAGGCTTCTGCCGTTCTAACGGTGGAATGGCTTTCTGCGAATGCCCAGCTGGTTTCACAGGTCTTCTTTGCGAATCGGTGAGTTAAGTCTCAATTATGAGCTTTCCGGAAAGAATTATTCAAGTATGCGCTCTTTTTTCATTTTTGAGGTAAGAAAGAGAGACAAAAGAAAAACGAGTGCAAAAAAATTTGTGTCATCTGATTTACAAATTCGGAAAAAAAGACTTTGACATTCGGGAATCAGAAAAAATAGAAAGCTGATTCATGCTTACGCTAGACAAACATCTAGAAATCAAGTCCCCTTTTTTCTGAACATAAGTGCTTCCTACGAGAATAGTCAAGTAGGCGACTTTTTGATTTTGAGGTGAGTCTGAAAGACCTCAAAAAAAACTATTGCGAACAAGCACTCGAACGCCGAGACTTGAAAACAAAAACACACAATTACAGAATATTGACGAGAGAACGACGCGCTGTAACCCTGAGTGCTCAAATGGACAGTGTGTCGAGTTGAACGGCGCCGCAAGTTGTGAATGTCGCCAAGGCTTCACAGGACTTAATTGCAACGTCCTTGACGTCTGCTTAGGGTCAGCTTTCAGCAATCGATGACGCATCTATTAAAATTTTCAAAGCATTGAAAACAAACTTTCTTCTAAGACAACTCGTAGTTTCATTTTTGAGAGGAGTAGAAAAATAGTTTTCCCTCTATTTTCAAAAAATAACAAATCGAGCTGAAAAGATATTCATGTAAATTTAACTACTTCTACAAAAGTTGAGAAATAGTTTTCCAGTTCACAGGTATGACTGTTTCAGGGATGCAGCCTGCTCCATGTTTGGAAATGCGGCGAAATGCGTCCTTGATGAGACAATGGAAAAGCTCTCAAGCCCCTCTCTGATAAATGGCACCTACGACTGTCGTTGTCCACATCCCGAGCACGGACGTTAGTTTTTTGTTGATTAACTGTACTTTAGCTTCAAAAATTGCCAAAACAAGGGTAACCTCCCCTAATAAAAATGTGGAGTCAGTGAAGCTGTTCAGAATATGTCGATTGTATGGAACTTCATGCACCAAAATCTACAACACCAGGGTCAGCTCCAGCGTCTCCAACCTTCCCTGTTCTTGAAATTTCTCAGCTTCCTGGTAATGATAATTTTTTTTTCAAATTTCAATCGGGAAAACTTTTAGTTTTTGAAACAACGGCACTTCCTACGACGCGCGAGGAAGTTGAAGAGGAGACCATGACGTCTGGTCAGCGGAATGAATTATTATCTTATACAAACTCGGGTTTCAGCTGAAACGGAAGCAACTGATCTTCCGAAAATGGTAGAAAACAACTCGAATCCCAGCGCCGGTTTTACTCATCCACCAATTTTCCCAACTGCCTCGATCACGATAGAAGTAAGTTGAAAAGAAAGTTAGAACGAATGGAATCATGAGATCTTGACTAGTATTTCGAACTTTATTTCTAAAATTAAGGCTGCCACGACCCCCAGGACAACTCCCCGTTTCGTAGAAAGTTTAACCTCGCATTCCCTGCATCCTGTGGTACTTGAAACTAGATCTCTTCAAAAACTATTATTGTGTAGATAACGAACACGGACGGTTCATCTACATTCATTTTCCCGCAAACACCACAAACTACTCCGTCAACCTCCACCACGAACTTCGTGGTTACATAAAAAAATATGTTTTATACTGATAATTTCTAAATTTCAGATGGTCCCGAACCCAAAGTTCGTGTCGCCACAACGTCCAGTTTCGACGGAAGAGCCAAGCATGGAAAAGTCTGAAGAAGAGGAAACCACTGAATCAGAACAAACCACGCACGGTCAGATAATATTTTATTCATTTTAAAGTATCAGTGTAGATAATTACTAGCACGAACAGCAATTAATTCATACTTATTGTTTCAGAGCGAGTGGAAACTTTCCCAACTCCTGGAACGATGGGAGGTCCAGTTTCTATCCAAACTCCAGAAACTCCTACCATCAAAGAGATTACTCAACCGGTGAGTTTTACCTTCATCATTTTCAAAAACTAATTGCAAATTTTTTACACCAATGCCAGAAATGCTTCATGTATTCAATAACGTTGAATGTTTCTAACGCTCTCAATTTTGAAAGATAATGGAAAACTGTCTTTGCGAAAGACTGCAGCCGAAACATCTGAAGCTCAAATTCATTTCTCCGCGCCTGGTTTAGAACACGTGTTTCTCACATGCTTCGAGTATTTCCCCTAAATTTTCTCAGCAAAACTTTTATATATAATCGAAGTCACCGTTGAAAATCCCAAAAGGTAAGTCTAGTATTAATAAACTCACAGAGAGAACCGAAGCACCTTTCCTGGTAAGAAGGAATTAATATGAAGGGTGTTTTGAAATTGCTTTTTCTGGGGGTAAATGTTTTTCTTCTTGTAAAGTTCTATATTGCTTATTAATATTTGATAAATGAGGTTATCCTTTTTCCAGACAACAACCGAGCCCGAAGACTATGAAGAGCAAGACGAAGAAGAAGTAAACAGCTTTTGTAAAAATTTAACCTCAATTTATCGTTTTCAGGTGTCAACTGCAAGTCCCACAATCACGGCCCCCGCAATAACTATGACGTTGCCTAGTACTTCCACAACGGAAATAGTCGAGGTGACAGAGTTTTTCTTTAAGATCAATTTGTAGTCTTTTTCCAACCACAATTTTTTTAACTATTTTTTTAGAGCGAAATTGTACTTTCCCCAGTACATTATGACGAAAACCAAATATTTTCCGTGTAGTTTTATTTTTGAGCAGTTTGTTGTTTTGAATGGGAAGTTTCCGATTTCAATGCCAAATCGGGAGTAATACGATACGGTTGCCCAGGACTCGAACGAAGCGGCGACGCAGGCAACTTTGCCCTTCTGGATGACGTCGACTGTGGAGACAGATGAGCCGCCGACGCCGCAGGAACCAGCCGTCATTCCCGATTCCACCTCATCTGAAGCTCCCGAAACCAATGAGGAACTGGAGCCTGAGCCTTCTTGTAAGCAACTTCAACTCGATCTAAAATCAACAGACCTAATGTAACCGACAATAGACCTCCGCCTTGTGTGAAATTGAATGTTTTCGCTGCTGCAAATTTGTAGTTTTTGGGAACATGCGATACATTTGATTCAAACTTTATGTGTATTTTTTTGAGTGATGATTAATCTTCAGCGACTACTTTGGCTACTACGGTTATCGATGTGCAGCAGAAGGAAAACAACAAGCAGACGAGTGCAGCGGCTAGTTGGATCATCGCAATAATTGCGCTAATTGGTGCGTTTTCAATTAATTCATTATCATCGACGAGAAAATCAAAGAATCTTCTCAAATTAAATGAGAGTTGGTCGGAAAAAGTCATTCTGTGCATGTCAGATGACAAAAATTACTGAGCCATACTAATTTCCTGCTCTACTTCTTTTTCTAAATGCAAAAAAATATCGCATTTGAACGATTGAACACTTGAAAACTGAGAAAAACATGTTATCTTCAAAAACAAAAACTTCAATAAATTTTTAATTGTCTGTTCAAATATTCACGATCTTTGAGGTTTCGGATTTGTTTTTGTTGTAAATTATGATATGAATGTATGGGAATGTGAGTTTTTCTGTTATTTTTTTCCAAGGAATATTTGGTTTTTTTGAAGAATGAAATTTTTAAAAAAATAGAACTCTTACAGGAATCAGTTATAATACCTCTGAAAAAGAAAAACGAGTGGTTTTCAAATAAACCGTATTAGACGTCTGATTTGCAGTTTTGGGTCTTCTGCTTCTGGCGACAAGTCTTTTTGTCCTGCGGTACATTCGGCAGTCTCGGAAACTTCATGGAAAATACAATCCTGCGCGAGAGGAACACGCCCTATCAGCGGCCTACGCCATGCCCATGTCCCACATCGCCAAAGAGGAACGACTCATTTAAAGCTTCTGAGCTTTATTGAAACTTCAAACATGTTTCTATTTTATTCTCTTAATCGAACTTCTCATTCTCGATGGGTTTTCAGAAAGTGCTTCTTCATCTCCAAATATTTTTCACTCTCAAATCCATTCTTCTTATTGAAGTTTGGATAGAACTACGCCAAATCTCAAAAACTTTTTAATAAAATAAGAACGACACCAATAAAGGCCTTTTCATAAAAATATACACAACTGTTCTTCTACTTCTTTTTTAGCAGGTCCCTGACAGCAAGTGTAACTGTCCGAAAAAGCAAGAATTTTTTTTGATACTTGAAGCAACAGTTGTGTGTAGCCTTTTGGACGGTAATAAAGGTGCCTTAAGAAATAATTTGCTTCTTGGTCCTGAACGAGCCAGTGTCCATTATTGACGGGTACTGTAGGCGTTGTGTACACATTTTTTGTTTTTATTCATTGTAATTGCCGCGTCATGTGATTTTTTCTCAATACTTTATAAGGCTTTTTCCTTGGCGTGTCCCATTGTGAGGGGCTCCCTTCCACGTGTAGTTTGTGCCTTTTTATTCATCCTGTATTTCTCGGACTATTTTGACATTGACTGATATCCCTGTTTGCTCGAGAAGCGGCTATGTGTCATACATAGTAAGTAAGGGTGAACAGCGCTAGGAGGAAGTAATCCACGGCGGTTTTTCGAACCTTTTTGAACCAACGACCTTAATTTTCTACCGCTGTTCATCGTGCTTCTAACTACCCTCCAAGACTTCTCTTTTTTCGCTGTATTTGTTATTTTTTTATACTGTTTGTTGTGACAAGTTCGGGACGAAACATGAGCTAGAGAAAAAAATGAAATTCAATTTATAATAATATTTTTACTTTGCTTTTTGAGCAGTTAATAAAACGTCATTACGTTAATGTCTTCGGCGTTCTTTTTCTCTCAAAGATCTCAAGAGAAAATGTTTCATAAATATTCCACCCAACATCTATGAGAATATTATCGTCAGTTTTTTCTCAGGGAGGCGGAGCTTCCAATCGAATCTTGGTTCTCGAAATTATATATTGTTTAAAAAGTTTTCTCGGCCTATTTCACATTCTCCTCGCAAACATTTTCAGTTCCTACGCTTGATAAAAATTTCGACATGTATTAAATGTCGTGATTTTAACTTCAGCCGTGGAAGGTTGTTATCAAAGCTTAGAAACGTTCTTTGTGCTGGAACGGCACAATTTTTGCAAACGATGTTTTTCTATTGAAATTTCATTTTTGATTTTTCTTCAATTCTCGAAGGTTTCTCAGTTTTTCTGAAAGATATATCACTGGAACTTCGCCAGAAAGATTCAGATTTAAAAAAAGTCACAAAAAAATTACTGTACCGCCTTTTTTTCGGTTTTTGTAACTTTTTTTCTTGATTGCAAAGTCATCTTCCAATTTTACAGAGTTACGCCTTTTGTGAGAAATCATCTGCTGGTCTCATCGCGCAGAACTTTTGTGAGTTTTTCACAATCAAGAACAGTAAAACAACACAAATTTTGAAGATTGAAAAATGCCGGGTTTATGCTTTCTGAAATAGGGTTATCGTTTCTCACTAAGTCTTATAATTTTCCTGCAACTTTGCGAGGCGTGACAAAATTAAAGTTTTGCTAAAGCTGGAAAGTCTTCACCACTAATTTTAAATTAATGGGTTTGTCTTCATCAAAGCATTTCTGTTTCAATCTTCAAACAAAAAAAAGGGTTTAAATGCAGAACAAACTTCTCATCACCAGATCAAAGTGCACGTGATGAAAATTTCGTTTGTTTATTTTAAACATAACATAACATTTTTTTGGATTATAAATAACTTTTTCAGTCCAGTTCAACAAAATTTCGAAGTCATTCCAAATCCATTCATGATTTCACAATTGTATAAAACTCAAATCCGTAGCATTTAAAAAAATATCGCAAAAAAGATCTTTTTTTCGATAACTAATTTAACGTTCTATGATATTTTTTTGATTTCCATACAGCCATTCTCGAGATTCTTTTTTTGAATTTTTTTGTTTCTCAGATTGCAATTGCCTTCTTTCATTTTTCAATTTTTAAACAAAAAGTGATGTATGGGAACTTAGAGTTTCTCATCAAATCATGCCGTTTTTTAAATTTGCCTTCAACTGTCATGAGAATTCAATCAAAAGATGTTCGAAGTTTCAAAACAAGGTCTGACGTGAACGTTGGCACTAACATGCGTCGGTGAATTCGTTTACATACTTTTTTTCAGCAAAAAAAAGCTGCGCGATCTTTGACTTACCTTCAACTTACATTGGAACCGAAAAAGCGTTTAGAAGATTTTCGAATGTTTGGTTTTCCATAAAAAATTGGCTCCTTTATGAACTTCTTTTCAACTTTGAATGAAAGGAAATGCTGTGACGTCGGGTTTTTTAGTGACGAAAAAAGTTGAATTACGACTAGAGTCTGTTCAAAAACGTTCAAGAAATATTCGATTTTTTTCTAATGAAAAGTAAGAAAGTTAGGATTTCATTTTCTCAAAACGCAAGAATCGACGTTTCGAAAAGCTCATAAACGTTTTTTTAACAGTTGATAATGCTATGCACTGCGTGATAATATTGCTTTCCGAATTTTGAAGAATAAAATTAGAAATTTCATTTTGAATTCAAAGCTTTCGCTCGAAAAAAAAAATTCTCATTTTTGCGCCACTTTGTATGGGCACTGATAAACGATCAAGTTGCTTCGTTTTTTTGCGATTTGTTCTCTCAAAAGAAAAAGTCGACGTCACGAAGTTCCTTTGTTCAAAACTCGACGTTTTCGAGGATGTGGGAAGAAATCCCGGGAATATGGAAGTTTGATTGGAAAGTTTTGGTGATGTGATGCATATGGGTTGGCCCAAACATGCTGCCCTGGGCGTCTTTCTCTCGGCGGCAGCCTACGCAGCCTCCGTCGTCGCGTCGCTCTGTCAACGCTTTCCGCGCATTATGTTTCGCCGTCGCTCTCGTCGCCGCTCTCGCTCCTCCCTCCGTTGCTTCTTCATAGCCTCTACGTCATCTGACGTCATGGCACACGGCCATAGGCGATTGCCGATACTTTTGCCAGACAAACGCTTGTTTTTTTGTTGTTCTATCTCTTTCTTTTCATCTCTTCTTCTCTTCAAAGCTTTCCACTTCCTCCATCTTTCTTGGCCTGTCTCTCTCTTTCTCTTTCTTTGTCTATCTTTTTTCCCTCTGAGTCGCTTTTTCTTTCTGCAGTACCTTGTTGATAATCAAATTAAATCTATCGAGAGTAGATGGCACGCTCAAGTTGCATTTCCCTCGTCAGATTTGCATTAAGGCTTTTAGACTAAGCCACACACGTCGTTGAAAATAATGGTTTTTCTGATGGATTTCCCAAACAGAATTGAGATGAAGCTTCTTTTCACTTTGTTCTTTGATGAAATTTGTCCTAAAATGATTCGCAACTTAGGCGTTTTTGAAAAGTTAGAGAAAAAGTCATCTCAGTTTTCGGTAATCATCTGAAAAATTCTCAAACGGAGTTTGAATGTTTTTTCTTGTTCAGTAGATTTCTCAATCTCTCTGATTCAGCATTTCTGATTTTTTATGCGGCCGCTTTTTTCACTTTGTGACGTCAAGCAGGAACTGCCTTAAAATAGACCTAATTAATCTGCTGACGTTCGTCAAAAAACGAGAAATTATTCACCGGCCAAGTGCTTAAAATCTTGGAGCTTTTCTATGATGAGTGGATGACCAGAATTTTATACCAATCAAAATCATATCTTTCCTCTTTTTTTTTGCTCAAGGATGATTGATAAGTTTTTCTTAAGAGTAGTAATCACAACTTGCTATTTGGTTAGGTTTGTATCACTTTTCTCTTTCAAATTCATTTGATGAGAAAACTATGAAAGAAGTCATATTTCTCTTTCAAACGGTCTTTTTTTGAAGTCTTCTTCGCCGTTCTAACTGTAACTAGATTCTAGTTTAAACTGCTGCTCTTATATTTTTTTATCATACGTACCTGACGACTTTAGAGACTTCAACTTTTGTTTGGAAGTATTTTATATAAAAGACTCTATCCTCTCTGTTCCGCTTGTTTTCCCGTTTGTGTTAACTTCTTTTCTGAATTTTTAGTTTTCTCTTTTCCCATTTATCATCGGATTATCAATGATGTGATTTGTGTTAAAGCTTTTTAGTTGGAAGGAAATGTCATCCTCTTTTGCTGAGTAGGATAAATGAGTTTTGTCAATCGGTGAGAGCAATTAATGCGGTCATCCGCTCACATCATTCTCTAAGAGGCTACACGTCACTGACGAGTATTTTCGACTCCTCGTATAACACGTCTATAAGCGTAAGGCCATTTCTTCTCGCATGAGTTTGCCCCGCCTGACCGCTTATGGGAACATTTTTATTCGCATGAAGAAGTTTTTGATAAAGAGAAGAGCAAAAGCATATATGTGGCTTACCGTGTTGACATTTTGACGTCATGGCCGCCAAAAGCGGTGGCCCGTGAAAGGAGAGAGGCGCTCGGCCATCCGGCTCTGCTCTAGCAACTTTTTCTCAACTCACCTTCTGTTTCGTGTACTGAAATGATAGAATTGTCTCTTTCCTTCTGGATTTGCGATTTGCGATTTTCGATCATTCGCATAGTAATTCTTACAATCAAGTAAAGTTATAAAAAAGGAGACATAGATTAGCGCAAAAAAAGAATTTTTCTAACTATAAAAATGATTCGTCTTCAGCAGAAAAAAACTGTTTCTGTTTAGATAATTCATCAAATTTAGCGACTTTCACAAAAAAATTAAATTTTTTTCAAATTGAAACCGGTTAAGTCTTTTTTTCAAAAAAATGCGTTTTTTTGAATCAAAAAACCATGAAAGTCAAATGCATTTTTGGACTCGAAAAAGTTACTCCTTTTTTTCAAAATTTGAAAGGCTGTGAAATTTGAGACTTTCAGCATTATTTTTTTAATACTTTAGGAATTATGTGAAAATTTTTTTCTGCTGATGAAATTTTAGCAGAAGAAGTTTTTTTCATCCAATTCACACGAACTCTCTCAAACATGATTTCGTTTTCGTTTTGTTACTAATTCTTCCATGACCTTTCGTGACTTTTCTCTTTATAAATTATTTGCGTTCATAACGAATACACGAACTTTCGAAAGCACCTGCTCGGATCTTCTTTCATTTCGGATACGCAAAAGTTCATCAGCTTCTTTGGAAAAGCGTGCGTAATTAGAGGAAAAGTTTCTAATGAATCTCAACGAGCGCACTTTTTTAGACGTCAAAAAGTCTCAACGCCTTATTGTCTGGATGAAAAATGACGCTTGATTCTCACTACCTTTTTTGTTCTGCGAAAATCTCGAAAGTGCTGTGCCGCTATAATCGAGAAGCAGTCTTTCAAATGTCATAAGGATAAGACTCTTTCGAAAACTGCATGGGAAATCAGTTGTTTTTGCAAAGATTTCGTTGGAAGCTCTCAAGAAAAGCCACAACAACTCATTGCTGTTTCAGATATGCCTAGCGGGAGGCAGCGGCTGACGTCGACACGTTCATTATGAATCTCGTCACACTGACCTCGCACCTATGCACGACGACAACTGAAACGTGTGTTTTTACTTTTCTTTCACTTCCTCCTGCAATCCGACGCTTCTCGGGCACCCTCATTAGCGTTGTATACGTAATAATTAGAATCACGTCAGAGAGTTTCCGCGAAAGCAAACGCCATTGAACAAACATGACTTCTCTATTAATAAAACTTGAGAGAAAAATCAGGAACTCCATTTGTTGATCGAAAGCCGGTAAATCGTGATCAAAGAGTTTGGTGTCTTGCTTCAGATAATTTTTTGGCAATGAAAAAGGTAAAACAGAGCGCCGCAAAAAGGACAAGAAAGAGGTTAGATACGATAAAAATCGATGGTAAGTTTAGTCTGAGATAATCCGAGATAGGCAACATACTACTAAATAGATGACCGAATGGGCGATAAGAAGTTGCGTGGCCAACTGTGGGAAAGTGGGAGGTTGAGCTGCGTCGGAGCCGCCCGTTTCCATTGGTTCTTTCTGTTCCTGTCCATTTTTGTCTTTCTATTCTCTATTTTTTCCACCTTAGCAGATTGACTTTCTAAATTTGAAATTTTTTCTAGAAAGCTCATCTTAATAACTATAAATAACGTTTAATCAAAGCGAAAGTTATCTTTTTGAAAACCATCATTTTTTTTGTGAGAAAAGCCACTATAACTTTCAGTAATACGAAAATTTTCGAAGATATTTTCAGACGAGTCAAAAAAGTTTCAAATTTTAGAATTGTTGCGCTCCAATTCGAACGAACTGATCATTTTTTACTGGACTCACTATACGTTAGACAATGATTTTCTAAAACTACCGTAACATTCAATGCGTGCAGTTTTGCACCAACAACATTCTAAAGGTCGTGAGAGCCAAAAAATGTACTCTTGTCTTCAAACAAAGTTTTGGCTGGCAACATAGCGTTGTCTCACGGCATTTCAAGTAAAGATCGCCTTACAAAAGAGTCAGGCGCACAGAATGTTCTTTCAAAGCCACCACAACTCTTAGTGTTTACTTTTTCGAACAGTGAATAAAGACGCCCACGTACAGGCGCCTCAAAAATCTGACCCGTAAGTACCCAAAAAAGGTGTTGGTTTTGGGACCTTTTACACCGTCGGCTTGAAAACTTTTTAGTCGTTTTGCTCGACCATATAATCACGCCGACCGTCGAGACTCGCTGTTTACATGTGTTGCTCTCGTAGGTTTTTCCCCGGCTTCCCGTCTCATTTCTCCTCCTAACTACTTTCCCTTTTATTTGTCTGTCGTTCCAACCCTCTCAAGTCCTTTCTTATCTTGTTTAGACAACTGTAACTACAGTATCAGCTTTGATGATCTGTGATCTCAAATCGAACTCCTTCCTGATCACATCACCTGCAACAGCATAAAGATGATATGACGACATTTTTTTGTAAAGACCCTTTTTGTTTGCTTTTGCGATTTTAAATACAAAGAGTGAAAGACTGAAAGTTGTCTTTGCACTGCTTGCTCTTCCGAAATTCCATATCTTTTCAATTAACGCAAGACACATTTTTTCCATATCACGGGGTTTGAAGGGTCCAACACCTGTAATAAACCGTTTTTTATAGCTTGAAACGAACTATTCGCGAATGTTGTGCCGACGTCAGTTTTCCTGATAACCTATTGTTCTCTCGGCCGGCTTCAGCTCCTCACTCTCGGCTTATCTCCCTCCCGCCGCTTCGTAATACCTATTGCTGTGTTATCCGCTAATCTCTTCGATTCCTCTAACATTTCCTGATGCCTCTTCCGAAAAGTGTTTTATTTCAAAAGACTTAACTCTTCGGTGACATTCTTGCTAATCTCATTTCCTTGCAAGCGGTCATTGTTTTTTGGATTCGCAAAAGCTGTAAAAGGAAAAATATTCCGATCGCTGAAAGCCATCACCCTATGTGAAAAAATTTTTATTTTTTTTCCTTTTTTTCATGAGTTTGAGATTATTTGAGCATTGAAGTTTCTAGCGACAATATCATCTGATTTAGGTTTTTGATTTTATGCTCTCACCCATGAAAGTAGCCAGAAAAAAATGGAATTCTCCCGAGCTTTTTATGAAAAACCGATCCGAGTTCATGCGTGGGCGACGCAATTAGTTGAAGATTACGGTGTAGCCCTGTCCTGCCAGAATAAACCCGATCATTCAACAAAAAAAGATGTGCATTCACTGTCCGACCAATCCTACTTTATTTTTTCATTCACTCGGACCATAAATTTCACGTGATCGCTGTACGTCCAGTTTACTTTTCGAGTATTTTTTGACTCAAATATTTTTCAATCGTGCTGCATTACGTCGCTGTTTTCACATCATTTCACTTTGTAATTTATAGGATACCAGAAAAATTGAGCCATTGCTCAAAATATGACTAGATGCTCTGCTCCAAAAGAAATTAGCGTGAGGTGAGTTTGTGAAGGGATATGGTAGTGTGAGAAGCTACGAAATTTCGGGCTGGGGAGGTCAAATTGGAGTAAATGGAAAAAGGCTTTTTTGTGTTATTCAAATATTCGAAATGAAGGATGACGTGACCTCTTTTGCAGAGAGGAAAACGCCGAAAAATGCGAGCAGAATGCGACCAATTGCAAAGAAAGCGACCAAACGAAGAGCAAAGATTCCGGTCGAGCCACCGAAATCTGCAAGTGGGTATCCTACGCGATTTTGTTTTGCTGAAAAAAAACAATGAAAAGTTTTTCTAAATGTGAAAATAAGGTTTTCTTTTCATGCGAATGGAAAGTGTAGAAGCATGGAGAGAGTTAACATTTTGAGGGATCCCCTCAACTGCACGGCGAAAGAAGGATGCAGTTGCTCCAAAACGAAGGAAGACAACGAAAAAACTTCTTCAGAGGCTCTCTATGATGTCTTTCTCGGAGGTTCCTGTGGAACTACGGTATTCTTTGGAATTTCTCTCTCTTATCAATCATGACGTTTTTAGGTTTGGCGAAGGCAACTCGTGATTCCATTTCTCAAAAGATGCTCCATTTCATATTACGACCCTCAGCGAAGTGTCTGGAGTGAAAACATGATCTATGAGGAATGCATTGCTAAGGAGGTCAATAATCTTCCAATAGTGGTAATAAACGAAATATTTTCAGAACTCTTCGCTTTTTCTTTTTGTGATCGATCCGGCTACTGTGAATGCTACGTCATTTTTGGAAATTGCATATTTCGCTGCTAGAAAGTCTCCGAAACTTGTGGTTGTCTTTCTCGGGAAAACGGAATGGGCTGAAAAAGCGCATCCGGACGACCTGCCCGACCGAAACCGGACTTGTCGTCTGTTGGATAGGATTCTGGAAGCTCATGCCGTTCCGATGCTGCACAACATTCAGGTACAGCTTCCGTAACTCCTTCAAAGATTATTCTTCATTTTTTTTGAATTTTTTTCAGTTCCCCATTTTATAAGGTTTTTCCTAATCAAAAGAACATCTTTGAAAGCTTAAAATTTTTGAATTTTTTTCATGACTCTAGTTTGAATTTTTATTGAGAGAGGCATGAGAAAGATTAGATAGAAGGAAACTGGAGAGTAAAAAAATATGGAAATATAAAAAAATTATAGGAAATACTAAAGGCCTTTTTATGTCTTAGAGTTTCTTATCAAGATGAAAGATGATGAACATTCGAAAAATACTATTTTATTTTGCCATGGCAATTTTTCACAAACAAAAAAGTATGAATCGACATCAGAAAGCCTTAAAAACAGAGAATAAAAATATCTGCTCTGCAGTCTGAACAGTGTTATTTTTGTGAGGTTTTCAATCGATTTTGACTCACCTTATCATGTGCGAAGAAGTTCTTTCCTAATACATGGTTATTATCTGTCGCAGCACTCAAAATCTTAAAATCAGAATGACTCAATTGCAGGATGCCCTCGACTTCATTGAAGAAGAAATGTTGGGACGAAAGACGTTCAAAGAAGCGATGAACGAGAAGCGTAATCGGATACCGTACGTGATGATGAAGGCGCGACAGTGTTCTCGGAAAGCGAAGACGAAGGTCTGCAAGGCGTTCACTTCCTGCCAGTCGCACATGTCTCGGGTCGCCGTCGCTGGATTCGCCGACGCGGTCGCTCTTTTTTTCTGCCAGCTGCTCGTGCCTTCAGTCCCGCTTCACTTCTTTCTGGTCCCGCTGATATTCATCAATTTCGTCGTTTTCACCATTTCGTCCAAGTGGAAACAAATGCGGCGAAATCATCCTCGACTTGTTGCTGACTCGTCCTCTGTCCACTACAGCACGACACCTGCTATTCCATCCCCTCGACTTTCCACCTTGACGACGTCTATCAATGGAGGCACTTCAAACCAGAGCTTGAAAAGAAGGACCAAAAAGAATTTCGAGAAAATGGCTCCTGATCAAGAAAACAACGGCTTTGTTGTTCCAAGATCATTCACGCAACAAAGGTGCGATTTCTGTCCAGTTTCTTTCCTAATTACCAACTTATTTTTCAGGCCACTAAAGGTAACCAATGATTGCACCACAATTGAACTCTGCTCCAGTTCATTGAGCGACAACACTTGGGTCCAAGAAATTGCGGCTCCACTTCTAGAGTTTGCAATTTGCTAACCGATCCGAAAACAGTTCGGGTTTTTGCAGTAGCAACGCGATTTCGTACTCTTACGCCTTGACGATGCCACTCCTTCTGCCTGAAGTACGAGTTAACTGCTTCAAAATGTGGCAAAAACATCACAAAAAATTCTTCTACTACATTTCTTCATCTACAACTTTTCTTTCCGGCATGGTTGAGGTGAGAAAAATAGTTTCGTAGTTTGATTTGAGTGAGACAGAGCATTTCTCATAATGACATCACTTTCTTACATTTGCGATGCAGGTTGCCTACGTGCTAGGCCACTCCAATTGGCAAGCGACCGTTTGCGTTCCGTCGGCATCTCAAATTCTCGATGGACCCGAAGAGTGCAGCGACGAGGAAGAGATGGAGCGGCTGGCCCGAAGACGTCGCAACGATTGCTACCAGATTGCGTTCTGCTACCTCAAGGTAGGTCGCGATCTTGTCGAACATACTCCATGAGTTTGACTACTTTTTTCCATTTCAGGTTTATCAGTTTGTGAAAAAATTTCGTGCGTTTTGCAATCGTAAACTTCAAATCAACTTTTTTTTTACTAGAGGTTTTTTCGGATCTAGACTCTCACAAAGATGATTTTCGCAAGCTCGGAAAACTTAAATGATTAAATTTTTTTTTTATAATCATTGGAACACATTTTGAAAAGAAAAACGTAATGATGATTTTTTTTAGATTGATTTGAGTGAGAGAAAGGAAGCGCGACAAACTTTAAATTTCACAAACTGATAAATTTTCTGATTCACATCCGTATAGGCTATCCGAGAGAGTTTAAAACGAAACCCAATCTTGGTCAGTATTGAAACATCATTAATTTTGCAGGACATGGCAAAACGACGACAATGCAGAATTTACACAAAGATCGAAGATGCTGTGCGGAGTGTCGTTGAGCAAAATGTTCGCGGTTTATGAAATTAATTCACTTCGACGGGACGATAGATTCGACTTTTATTTTCAAAGATTTCTATTATTATCTTTTCTTCTACGGTTATGGCCTTCTTCTCAAGCAATACATAGTCCCTGCAAACTCAGATATCACTGAAAGCTATTTGCATCGATTCTGGTCTTTTCGGTTCGTTTTTTCTGGCTATTTTGTACTTCTTGTTTTCTTAATCAGGGTTCTAGTCAATAGGAAGATTCTAATTTGTACATCTCAGGGCGCCCCTAAAAACGATTCCAATTTTAACGACTATCTTTGTACTCCTCCTTCGTGTGTTGATATGTTTCTGTTTGAAAACTGCTCAAACGCAGCAATAGATTGAGGTTTTAAGATTGCTCCTGGGTTGATCTAAACATCGGTTAAGCTACTTGTCATTTCTATCGTGCATTTTACTCGGATGTGCTTCATTTCCTACCAGTATTATGAGAATTAGTTGAATTTCGACTGCAACGGACAAAAAACTGGTAGCGCTTGAAAGTATATGCTTTGACTTCGAACATCACGAGTTACATTTATTGGGTACAATTGAGTTCGAATTTCATACTCAAGGCTCGGCGAAGATCGTAAAATGTGATGATTCCTCTCTGTCGTTTTTCCTTCCTGTACTCTATTTTCTCTCATCGATGTGTCTTAGACTGTAAATACTTCTACTTTATCTACCATATAAACCAAACTTTCACTTCAAGCTTTACTATTGTGTTCTCTTCTTTTTCAATTTCACTGTTCTGTTATTTCTTGGAAAGTTGCAATCATTTCGCTCTTGTGGTATTTTTCAAATTTTTAATTACTTTTCTGTTATTGGTATATTTATTAAATTAAGGTTTCTTCTTGAATAATGGTTTTAACTTCTAAAAGCACAAAGCATACACATTAATGCAGGTTTTTGGCATCGGAAAGCACTGAAAAACGTGATAAAATGATGCAAACGAATCAAAAAACGGCAAGGTACTACTTGAATTGTCCTTCTAAATTTACAAATATGCGCAGGGGTAGGCAAAATACTTTGATGACTTTTTTGATTCTTGGTTTACTCATCGAAATGGCTTGCGATCAACAAAGCTAAAAAGTGAAGATAATGCAATTCTCAACGAATGGAAACCAATTACCCCTTGTCGTCAAAAATCATTGGAAATTGTACCGGTAATGATACTTGTCGCGTGGAGTTGCAATTCAGAAAATGAAAGAAACTATAAGGAAGAAAACAAATAATGGCAAATTCATCTGATGACAGCTTTTTATGAAACGCTCGTTGCACGTCAGCTTTTCCACTTGAACTTCCATTGCTCGCACACCCTCGTAGTTCTTTGGACTGGCCCGAGAACAAACTAGTGAGTTTCTGTCTCGCAACTGAAAGTTCTATCAATAATTAATTATTCATTTTATTCTTGATGGATAGCCTTTCTGAAAAAGTTAAACGTGTATGAGTTTTGTTTCAAACAATCTCTCTCAGCTTTCGTACAAACCACTTCTGCCTTTTTTAAACGACTAATTGATTTTCAGAGAACTTCTCATATTTACAGAGTATCCTTGCCATCTTTGTGGAACGAAGTTGAGTCTCTTCAGTTAGTAGAATCGAGTCTCCCTTTATATTCGATAATATAAAAAGTCGTGCTTGAGAAACTAGCTCATCTATTAATCATTGGGTTGCTTTCAAACTGTTTAGACTACTTTAATAAACAAAATTTGATCTGCGCGGAAAAAGACAAACAAACTGACGGCGTTGGTGGATCGAATCCAAGCAATATACTCGTGACTCTCGCAGTCGCAGTACAACGGGTTACGCATCAGGAACGTTTGTGGAGCAAGACTGTCGGCCATCTTTTGAAAACTTGTCGGGATAGTGTGAAACGAGTTTCTGCACAGAATAAAATTTATCAATGATTAAACAATGTTCTAAGAACTTCTGAACTGATTTTTCATTTTTGTCGAAAGTATTGGCTGAAAAACTTCTTATTTGATAGATTATTCGCAAATACTATGCGAAAAGATAGAATTAACTAAAACTTTTTCTTGAAAGTTGTTCAGCTTCTAGCCTATGTGTATAGCGATGCATCTAAACAGAGGTTTGAGAATTAGGTTTGTTTCTGTGAAACTGAGGTGCATGCCATAAATCGTTTCGCTTATTTCAAACATGACTACAGTGAAATGATAACTTCTTTTTTTTTCTTGAATAAAAATTCGCAACGTGTTTTCGCAGTTTCATTTTTCGATTCCTCACTACCACCAAAATATTCATATATTTTTCCATACACGCAGAACGTGGCGCTAAAAAATTCATGACATGGGAAGCAAATCGCAACCTTGGGTTGTCGCAAAAACGTTCGTACCTGTTGAGATTGATGGTGTGAAGATTTTTGATGCAAGTGACGTTAACATCGAAACTTTTCAGGAAGTTTTGCCGAAGGTCAAGTGTGTGAAGTGAAGGAAATGGACAGGCCAGTCCATAGGGAACTGACTGAAGATAATTATACGAGAGATCGAGCACCTGTAAATAAGATTGTATTAAAGTTTGAGCAAGAATATTGACGTTGACATTCTCAAGTTCTCTGAAACTACTGTTCTTGAGATTTCTCTACAGATCTCCTGAAACAGACCTGGAGATTGTTGAGTTTTGCTTTCTGAAACATTTCCAGCATTTGATTAAACTGGATGGTTCTGTTTACAGTGGATGTGAACGCTCTTCGTAGGTACAACTAAAAACAAGATTATCGCTCAATTCGTCTGGTTCTTGTTTTTTTTTTTGCCTGAGTAAGAGCCGGTGTATGAGATAAAAACTCGACATCGCTAGGCTTGAGCACGATTTCATTGTTGGACATGTCCAAAATTTGCAGATTCGGCATCCCTCTTAGGGCGTTGGGATTCAAATTGACTGTAAAAAGCAGTTTTTTTGTTTTTTTTTTTCATGCAAGTGCTGAATACCGATGTAATTGGCTGAGATGTTGAGACGCAATAAGAAGTCGTGGGTGCCGCGCCCAAAAAGTGGGTCTTGAGGCAAATCTTGGAAGTTGTTCCCGTGGAACGTCACACTTTGCAGAGACCTAGAAGAATATAAATTTCCCTCAGCGTTCCTGAGAACAATCAAATAGAGAATATTTTTAAAGACGATTCCCAAAAAAGTGCAATAATTTGCTCTCATGTCGGGATATTCACTGGGTAAGCGGTAATTATACCACAGAAAACTTCTCCGTAATTTCTGCAAACCAAATTAAATTGAACTTTTCTGAAAAAAAACTACAAAGAGTAACTATCGTTTCTTGGACGGGATTTCATTGCGAATACGCAAAACCAAATTACTTTCCAAAATAATCATGGAAAGATCATTGTGTCAGAAAATCAAATCTTCATTTTTAGCTTTTTCCTCTTACTTGTAGTTCTTTGCAATGTCGACAAAAATGTTGGTGTCGACGAATTGAGCATTGATGCAGGAGATGTCGCCTTCGACTTGTCTGCACTGACAAGCCGCGTGCTCGGCGAGCTGCCCTTCGCAGAGAAGCTCCGCATCAATTGCCTTGAACAACGGCTCAATTTGCACACAAAGAGCCAAAAAACTTGATGAAAGAACTGAGAAACTAGTTATTAAATGAAGTCAGAAAGATATCAGCTCTTCTCATTAAAACGTTTTATTAGCTCGAAATGACTAAGAGAAGATTTTTTTTTTGAAATCGGAATTTCAGTCTTCCACGTTTATTACACCGCATTAAATTGGATGAACAACAAAGTTGCATATCCCGATTTCGGATCTGAGAACGACGGAAAATTGCAAATTCAAAGTCTCTGGAGACTCGGGCCTCTATCAAAGTGTTTCTCGACAGGATACAAGCAATTCGAAAGGACGAACCTCTCCAGCGAAATGTCGTTTGTCAGCTTTTGCCACCCATCCTGCGAGAAGCAGGTAGGTGGCCACGAGTAGTATACACCTCGATGGAATAGTGCCAAGGTAAAAGCCTCCCGCGACTGTCTGGAACTGACTTCTTTTATTTTTGTTATATTTCTCAGATTTGGAGATTTCATGCACATCATTGCGTGTATTAGTGTAGTTTACAAACCGTTTAATCAACAAGAAATAAATACTTTCTGACAATCAATTTTTCCAAGATAACATAAATTCGAAGCGCTATTACGCTCAAAATATTAAAGTTAATGCAGATTGATGCTTTGAGGATACTTCTAAGTTTTTTGAGAAAATCCTTATTTTTAAGAACTATCTGTAAATTTTAGTGTAATAAAAGGCTGTGATTTCAATAAAAAGTTGCAAGAAAAAGGATTAGGGTTTGCTTTTTGGATCATTTTCTGGTTTTTTTTTGAGCGGCTAGGTCTTAGTAGACTGAAATAACCATATTGTAGTCTACTGAGAGAAAACTTTGAGAATGGCTGGGAAATAAGTTTCAACTAAAAATTTTCGAGAGAAAATGTAAAGAGGGTGAGAGGCCGTTGAAACAGCTTTTCGAATGACAAAAACGAGGAAAAAAGATCTGAAGCGGAAAGACGTACACGCGATCAGAGCGGCGATAACTCAGAGGTTGTGTGAAAAAAACTGGGAATATAAATAGCATGTTGTGAATAGGTTGACATCTATCTCCTATGAAAAGTTGATGGTTTCTGGAGGCCAAAGGAATAAAGGAAAAGGGGTATTTTGGTCGGACCGCAGGCTGCAAAGCGCGTCGCACAAATCAATAGCAGTATGTGGGAGGCTCGTAAGTGGTAGGGTATGTAAGCCGTTCTCAGATGATATACAAGCCATTGCAGTACCGGCGATCAGGCCGGCAAGTTGGCCGACGGCCTCGCCGTTGTGTAACGAGTCCGGAGATTAGTGCGCGAAAGCGTGTGTCTGTCACACAGCGCGACATTTATCCGCCCGCCCTGCTGCAGACTCGGCCAGTCAAACGGCTCAGAGTCGCTAATTGCACGTTGGTGCCGGAATGATTAATTTTCTAGGGTCAGCTTGCGACTACTTCTTGCTTAAGGTCAATAGAATAACAAACAAAGGCCAATGAACATGATAACTAGAAAAATGAAAGCTGCATTTTGGGAGAAACGATGTTTGCCCTAATAATCTTTTATTCCCGGATCTACTGAAACTATGAAAACTAGAAGTTGAGCTAACAAAGATTGGAGAAAAACTGATTAACTTTGGAACTTGTTAGAGATGGATCTTAATCTTCTCTTATAAATTAGAAGTTGCAGCTAACGAGAGTTTGAAGCTCAATTAAAATAATTTAATTTTGAAAAAAAATGGGAAAACTTTTTGGATCTAATTGATGGGCTGTTTACGTGCAAAATGCTGGAAACTCGAAATAAGAATAATAGTATTATAATCTTATATGATTTCATATTCGACAAACGTTCTTTGAATTAGAATGAAAAAAATGTGTAAAGAAGTAAAAAAATTTCAATAAAATACTCCGTGCCAAATATTATGGAACCCAGCTTGTTGAAAATTAATTGCAGCATTTAAACTTAGAAATCAGGTCTCAGAAATTTCAAAAAAGGAGAGAAACACAGCATTTATGAGGCTTCATATTATTCCGAGGTTCGAAATTTCTTCTTGATTAAATGGATTATTAGTAAAACAAATTTCATTCTAGGAGCTCAAAAAAGCTATGACCTACTGAGGAAAAGTGTCATCTGTACTGCAGCTGCTGGAATAGGTTCAGAACTTGAAGAACTAGATGGCCACTCAAAATTCAAAATGAAATGAGTTTGACTAATCGCAACCCTGCGGCAGTTTCTGGCAACAAATGTTTTTCGATGTTGAGGGCATTATGGAAATCCGTTTTATAATCTAGTTTTTGAGTTTTTTCTATTGAACAAAACCTCGAAAATTGCAATCCCAGGGACAAAAAAAGGAAGTAAAGCTTTTCGAAAACAAAAGCGGTGTTTGTGGAAAGGCAGGGATTCCGTTCAAAACTCATCCATTCAGGCAAAGCGGACCTCCACTTGAAAACAAAACGTACCATAAAACGTTCCGTGGGGATTTTGATGCAACCCAAGGTTTCCAGAGTGGAATATTCGCGACGACCCTGGTTAGCGTTTGAAAGGGCAATTCAGGCCGTGCCGAAATTTGAATCCAAAGACACAAAGCGACGAATGTTTTTCGTCGGTTCTTCACGTCGTTTGAGTTCACTTCCGTCTCGTTTTTCGTCGTTGTCGTGCATCTGAATTTTTTTCATCTTTTTTTCTTTTCTCAACTTTATATAATTTTTAAGTTCCAATAAAAAAATTGAAAAAAACTACTTAATAAAAAAATGTCTTTTTTTCCAACATTTTTTTCAAAAAAAGCTTAAATTTAAGAAGTAAGTGATTCAGACAGCTTTCAATAAAATTTCTGAGTTTGAAACGCTTTTTGTTTTAAAAAAAGTAATGAGTGGGGAGGATTAGATAATTGTTAATTGAGATATCAACTTACATTTTTTTGCCCTTTTCTAAAATATCACAGATTGACTAAACCTTTATTGTTAAAAAAACGTGGTATAAAAAAACTCTATTTTTTTACTTTGACCATTCATATGTCCAGTTTTTTCAGTTTTCAGCGTTTCAAAAAACTACGGTAGAGTAGATCTTTCTGTCTAGAAGATAATTGTTGAAGCGAGTGAAAATACGCCAGAGCTCCAATTACAAGAGAAAATATAATTGTTGAGGTTGCCCTTGACAACGTCAAAAAAGTAATGTGAATGCTCTCAGCTGTTCCTAGGTGGGAAAAACGAGTAAATTTGTATTTCGTGTCGAGTATGGAAATGCAAACGGAAGCAACTGGTGTGGAACCTCGTTTAGATGCTCTGTTTGCAAACTGGCCACTTTTTCTTAATTGGCGAAAGATATAAAATGTCTTCGAATGCTCAAAATACGGACTTCCTACAAAAGCGGTTCCCGAATTTACCTAGCTATTAACGAGTTTTTTTTCAGACTGCTGAAAAAGTTCCGGTGCACTAATTGGCGAGCTCACTTGCCGAAGTGTTGGCCGTGCCAAAATTTGCAAAATGATACTGCAAGTAAACAATGGAGTCTCGTATCCCCTCGGAAAAACGACGTCACCATAAACTTGCCTGAATCCCCCACACATCAAACCCTTTCATGTGCTTTTGCTTTCCTCGCTTCCTTCTCCCAAAACAAAGTAGGCGACTTTCCGTCTCTTTTTTCGGCTTCTGCGCGACTTCTCGGACTAAATTCTCTACCGCTCTTTGAAATGAGCAAGATGGATAGAACTATTGAAAAAAATAGTTACTTTGGCTTTTTTAGAAAAAAAAAATGAGAAAAGTAAAAACTGAAATAAAAATTATCACTTCTTTTGGTTTGTTTTTGAACGTTCGTGTCTAAAAAAAAACATCCAAAAATATAAGGAAATCATCATTTTCAATTCCACGGACTTCCAATGAACGTCTCTCTTTTGAATAAGAACACATTTTTGTCTATTGAGTATTAGTCAACCGCGTTTTTGCTGGAACTAAAATAATGAAAAACAGAAAGAAAAAAATTTTTTTCACTGTTTAATTACAAGCACGCTTCAGTTGTTGGTGGTTCTACTGCCCATAAAGTTTATCCAATCAGTTTTACAGCTCATTTTCTGAAATACAAAGACATTTTGGGCCGATCGGCTTTTTCTTATAATTGGTAGAGCAAACCTTATTCTCAAGAAGAAAAATCTTTTCTTTTATGTTGGCGCTCTTTTCCTATCGGTGCTCCTTCACTTCTAGGCATGCACATATCGACTAATCGAAGCAAGCCTCTTTTTTTGCCTACTTCAACTGCGCCTTCCAGCACCACTCGCTATCCTTTTTCAGAAACGCCGCGCTCGTCCCAACCAGCTCTTTTTTATTCGACCCTCTTCCCGAAAAGCAATAAAGAATTGATTTTCGAGATCAGCCATCTCTATCTCATAAAAAAATTCAGCTGTAGATCTTCATTTTTTGCCATTTGAAAAATTTTTTTATGAGTTTAAAATGCCCCCAAATTATTTGTAACAGAATTAACACTTTTCATTTGTTCGGAAATGCCCTCTTTATCAAAATAGATTTATTTATTTTTTTGCTAGGAAAAACTCAGTTTTTTTATTGGCTTCCTTAATGCTTTCCGTTTTCCTCGTTTTCCTTTTTCTACACTCCGTTTCCAAACGCAAGAAAAATCGTAGCTTTCATAATGGAAAACCAGATTTCCTTTTCTTTTTGCAGTGCATGCGCAGAAAAGTCAAATTCAATTCAGAAGAAAAAAAAATCGATGTCCAGGAGCTTTAGGAAAGCGGCAACTCTAATTTTTAACACAACTCTGCGCACACGTCTTTTTTCAATTTCTTTTGCGACGGCGACGGGAGAAGATAACTCTCTTTCAATTCCTTTCTTTTTTCTCACGAAACGAGAATCAAACAAAGATACAGTTTCGAATTAATGAAACGTAAAGTCAAAAACAAAAAAAATTTATGCAAAACTTGGTGAAAAGAGAGAAAAACGGACCCGCAACAGAAAAACAAAACTTTTGACCCATGAAAGGTGCCCGCGAACGGTCGTTGGCGCGAAACGCGCGTCCTGACGTCCTCTCGGTCGGCCACTCGCCAGTTTCTTCATTCCTTCGCCCGTGACTCATTTGAGTTCTCCCTTTCTCTCATTTCACTTGCTTTCCCAATTCCTGTAGTTTGTTAAGTCCTCGTCATTCCCTGCTTTGTGTCGTTTTCCAATCAACTTTATTCAGTTTTTTCAGCGATTTTGCTGGATCACACCGTTTTCGATCAAAAATGTCTTGGGTTAATCAGGGCATGCAAGCACTGATACCAGTGATCAATAGAGTGCAAGTGAGTTTTTTGGCTTCGTTTCCAATGGAATTATGTTATTGGCATTTCAACACGACCTGTTAATCTTTTTTCTTGAAAAATGAAACCAGTTTTCAATATTCTGCTCAGTTACTACATATTTTTCAACTTTTGAAGTTATTTTTGTATTTTTTTAACAATCGACCCCCATAAGACAAATTTATTTTTTCAGGATGCTTTTTCGCAACTTGGGACCAGTGTGAGTTTTGAACTTCCGCAAATTGCTGTTGTAGGAGGGCAGTCTGCCGGAAAATCGTCCGTACTCGAGAATTTTGTGGGAAGGTATTTTTTTTTTCTTTTCCGCAATGAATTAAGTTCTTTTTATTAAAGAGATTTTCTACCTCGAGGAGCTGGAATCGTTACTCGTCGGCCGCTAATCCTTCAACTTATTCAAGACAGAAGCGGTACCAATATCATACTTGATGACTTCAACAAGCGTATTTAATTTTAGAATACGCTGAATTTTTGCACAAGAAAGGACACAAATTCACAGATTTTGATGCTGTTAGAAAAGAAATCGAAGACGAAACGGACCGAGTGACTGGCCAGAATAAAGGAATCAGTCCAGTGCCAATTAATCTCCGAGTCTTCTCTCCAAATGGTTTTCTTTGAAGATATTCTCGAAAGAATTCATTATGTTTTTTTTTCAGTTTTGAACTTGACTTTGATCGATTTGCCCGGTCTGACGAAAGTTCCCGTCGGCGACCAGCCAGCAGACATTGAGCACCAGATTCGTGAAATGATTTTGACTTTCATTGGTCGGGAAACTTGCCTCATTCTTGCTGTAACGCCTGCAAACAGTGATCTCGCCACTTCTGACGCTTTGAAGCTTGCCAAGGTATAAAATATCATTATTTTTTGTAGAGATGGTGTATTGCAGGAAGTTGATCCTCAAGGTCTACGAACGATCGGAGTTTTAACCAAGCTCGACCTGATGGACGAAGGAACCGATGCTCGGGAAATCCTTGAAAATAAACTGTTCACTTTGCGCAGAGGTAGCTGAAAAAGTAGAAAAATAAGACAACAATAATCTATTTTTACAGGTTACGTCGGCGTTGTCAACCGTGGCCAGAAGGACATCGTTGGTCGCAAAGACATCCGTGCGGCTTTGGATGCTGAAAGGAAGTTTTTCCTCTCTCATCCAGCCTACAGACACATGGCGGACCGTTTGGGAACCTCGTACCTACAACACACCCTGAACCAGCAACTCACAAACCATATTCGGTTTCTCTGAAATGGTCATCACAACAATGAATTGATTCCTACAGGGACACCTTGCCGACGCTACGCGACAGTCTTCAGAAGAAAATGTTCGCTCTCGAGAAAGATGTCGCAGAGTACAAAAACTATCAGCCGAATGATCCCGGTCGCAAAACGAAAGCTCTTCTCGAGTAATTTCATCCCAGCTCAAAAATTGGAAAAAATGATATTCTTGCAGAATGGTGCAGCAATTTAACGCTGATATCGAGCGTTCAATTGAAGGATCATCCGCAAAATTGGTGTCGACCGAAGAACTCAGTGGTGGCGCTCGCATCAACAGGTTTGGTGGAAATTCGATCCTGTAACTGTATACTTTCAGACTGTTCCACGAACGTTTTCCTTTTGAAATTGTCAAAATGGAAATTGACGAAAAAGAAATGAGAAGGGAAATTCAGTTTGCTATTCGAAACATCCACGGTATCAGGTACAGAAATATTCGAAAGTTTTAAACAATTAAACTACGAAATTAAAGGGTTGGCTTGTTCACTCCAGATATGGCTTTCGAGGCGATTGCAAAGAAACAAATCGCGAAACTGAAAGAACCTTCGCTCAAATGCGTTGACCTTGTTGTCAATGAGCTAGCCAACGTTATTCGTCAGTGCGCCGAGGCTGTAAGACAGCTTTTTCTTGGTAGAATCAATGGCGCCAAACACTGCAGATGGCCAGATACCCACGTCTTCGGGATGAGCTGGAGCGCATTGTTGTTTCGTACATGCGAGAGCGGGAGCAGGTCTCCAAGCAACAAATCGCTCTGATCGTCGACTATGAGCTAGCCTACATGAACACCAATCACGAAGATTTCATTGGCTTCAGCAAGTGAGCTCTTCAATAAAATCAGAACCGATTTTCACCAAAATGATTATTTCAGCGCGGAAGCCAAAGCTAACCAAGGTCAAACCGCCAAGAAAAACCTTGGAAATCAGTGCATTCGCAAAGGTTGGCTATCAGTGAGCAATATCTCGTTTGTTCGGGGCTCCAAGGACTGTTGGTTTGTGCTCATGTCTGACAGCCTTAGCTGGTACAAGGATGATGAGGTTTGAAACCAAGAAATATTTATGAGAACAAAAAATAATTGAATTTCAGGAAAAAGAGAAAAAGTACATGTTGCCCCTAGATGGCATCAAGTTGCGCGATATCGAGAGCGGATTTATGTCGCGGCAGCATAAATTTGCCTTGTTTTACCCAGATGGAAAGTGAGTTACAGTTTGAACTTCGTATAAATCGAAAATTAAATCTCAAAAAATTTTATGTTGTGCTAAGCAATTTGTTCACTTCAATATTTACCTCTAAAATTCACGCTTTCTGATTTTCCTTTTGCTTCCGGTTTGCACGTGCAAGAACTGTACCAAATAGGTGATCAGACCGGTAGCCGTGATGTCTTTCAAATCGAATACTGCTTAACTTTTTTTTCAGGAAGTTGGTAGTTTTATAAGAATATGCTGTTGCCTATGTAAGCGTAACGCGTGATTGTTTCGTTTATTTTTGTACTGGTGGGGTTGTGTCGTGCCTAGAAACCTTTGCAGTTTGCAAAATATCTAAATTAGTTCACAGTGCCAGCTTGAATTTCAAAATTGTAAGCGTTTCAGAACTTAGCAGGAAAACTAGGAATAGAATAAAAAAAATCTTTCTCTCTCTGGTTAACTTCATTTTTTTTTCTTGCAAACGCATGATTTTTCAAAGATGCGTAGACTATCCTCGCATGAACTGATAGATGTTCTGAACCGATACATTTATGTAACTGATCAAGTTTATTTCAGGAACATCTACAAGGATTACAAGCAGCTTGAAGTCGGTTGCAACAATTTGGATGAGCTTGATGCCTGGAAAGCGTCATTCTTGCGCGCCGGTGTCTATCCCGAGAAACAAAAAGCTCCTGATGATGACGTCAGTACAAGACATGAAACTTTTCAAAAAAATGCTGTTTTAGGAACGACCAGAGGCTGATGAAAGCTCAATGGATCCCCAACTGGAGCGTCAGGTTTGCTCTTGAAGTTTTTTTTTTCGAATAATCCTGAAAGTTTTAGGTGGAGACCATTCGCAACTTGGTTGACTCGTACATGAAAATTGTCACCAAATCGATCAAAGATCTCGTCCCGAAGGCCGTCATGCATCTGATCGTCAACCAAGTCAGTTCAATTCATCAAAAAGAAAAACAACAAACTTTTGCAAATCATTGAAAATAACATAACTACAAACTCAAAACTGAATACATTCCAATCATACCAGAAAAAACTACAATTCGGTGAAAAATCAGCTGGAAAAGTTCTTTTTCTTTCCAAAAAGATTTATCAGTTATTCAAAAAAATAGAATGTTAAAAATCAAAACATATAGGGGTAAAATATGAGAAAAATGGTGGTTCTAGTTGGGACCTACTTTCTTTATTACATGAAACGGGTTTTTTTTAGGTTTCTGAGTTCTTGCGCAAAGAACTTTTGGCTCATCTTTATCAATGCGGCGACACGGTATCTTTAACCAAAAATTCAACGAAAACAGAGATTTGTAGGACGCTCTGATGGAAGAGTCGGCTTTGGAAGCTCAGAAGCGAGAGGAAATGCTCAGGATGTACCATGCCTGTAAAGAAGCTCTCCGGATCATCAGCGAGGTCAACATGAGCACGTTGGGCGAAGGAGCTCCTCCACCACTACCACCGTCTGACTATCGGTTTTTGTCAGTATCAGTGATAGACAATAAGGAACCGTTTCAGTCCGATGCCTTCTGGACCTTCACCGGTGCCTCGTCCTGCTCCAGCGCCTCCAGGAGCTCGTTCTGCGCCGATGCCACCTCGTCCTGGTCCGGGTGGACCTCCTCCGCCGGGCATGCGCGGTCCTCCAGCCCCTCCTGCCGGCGGCATGTACCCTCCCCTCGTCCCATCGTAAATTTTCTCTTCTTCCTCAAACTGTCACGCACAAAATGTTTTTGGTTCGATAAGTTACTCGTGGAAGCAAATAAGCCATTTTACAGTGTTTATCCGTAATGTCTTGACACTAGCTAAATTAAAAAATAATCAGTTACAGTATGTGAAAAAGCCTCTTGTTTGAATATTTCCTTTAAACAAAGTTATATTTGCTACATAATAGTTTGAGACAAAACTGATCAGATGTAAACTGATTTCATATGGACGTATTTTGAACAGTTTTCAAAACAATCAACCCTTCTCGTTTGCTTCCACGTAGTTGAATTTCGTAAAAACTTCTACCCTGTTTTCCTCTTTTTACCTAAAGTATCATAGGCGACCAGGCCCTGGTGGCCCTCCGCCAATTGGTCCTCCGAGATAATGGGCCGGTAAGTATACATCGTGATTGTACTTCTGCGCTGATTGTATGTGTTGTCAATCGTCCTCTTCTAATCTCTGCAATTCACTGAATGAGCACTAAAACACAGAGTTTAGCAAAAAAAAATTCCGTGTTTTTAACTCAGAAAAAAATGAAGACATTTTAGATAGTGATTTTAAAACATCCATTATTTGCGCTAAGCCCCTGTCCTCTTTTTAGTCTATTAAAGTGTTTTAAAAAAAAAGAAACCAAATACTTTAAGTTTATTAGCATGAACCTGTTTGAATTCTGGCAACGGATTCTATTCTATGCTCATGACTTCAAAGTTTTATAGGGCTTTGATAAAATGTTATTTCTGTTTGTTGGCTCTGAGCCTTGAAAAAAAAGAGAACGAAACAAAATGAAATGTTTCAGACGAGCCCCAACTCCCAACAGTCACGCGACTCCATACGTTCCAGCTCGTCCTCAAGTTCCAGCTCGTCCCTTCTGAGCAACTCATTCGAAACAATCTTATGCATTTCTATCATATTTCTGCTTGTTCAATGTCTATTACATATTATATTCTAACTTATTTTTTCACAAATCATCCCACTCACATTGCTTCTGCTGTCATAGCGTTTTGAAAGAACCGAGGGACTTGATTCTGTAATTATTTTGCTCGGTACCCTGCCCTTTTGCACGAATTATCTCAGTTGTCTTTTAAATATGAACATATTCTCGGTGGCTTTAGTGATAGCTGTGTGTTGTGCATTTCATCAAGTAGAGGTCAAATTATATTTATTTATTTATTCCAATGTAATTTATCATTTATTTCATAATTGCAATAATTATTCGAGTTGTGGCGTTTTATCCCAAATCCAACCTGTGCACATCCACTTATCAAATCGCGTGATTATACTGCAATATGCTCTCCTCAAAACTTTTTGTCATTTATATTCCCAATGTAGAGTTTCACATTATTTATTGACGATTTCAGAATTGTTTCAAGACTTTTGATCTGATTTATCTCCCTTTATTCAGTTCAGCCAGTCTTTAGTGAATATATATTCTCCTGATTGTGTTAGAATATTCTGGGCCCTCCTACTCATACATGCATGGTGTAAAAAAAGTTATTATATATATATGAAATATTAGGGAGCAGATTTGTTCACAAATCAAATATAACAAAAGCAAACGAAAAGGCTTGAAGCCTTGAAGTTTTACGGGTTCCCGCGAATGGAGCCAACGAATGCTGAAGGAGTTTAAGACCGGTCAAATCATTTGTGTAATCAGCTCTCTGCCTCTCTGCCATTGAGCTTTCTTGTTTCGTAAAGCTCACACTTTCAGCCAAGTCACACTAATTCTGCAATAAAACTATCGTAAATATTTAATTTGATTGGAATTTTCTAGAAACCAGCTGAGCTCAAAAATTACCTCTTAACAGTAAAGAGGCAAACTGGAAAGAGATTGTAAATGAGACATGTCTGTGTGCATTCTGTGGGCGAAAGTGTTGTGTAAAGTGTTATCGCAGGAGTAGATATTGCACGTCAGGCACATTTCAGCTTTCTCTTTTTTTCTTTGCCGTTGGCCTTGTCGAGATTCTTGAGACGAAGCTTCGAACCAACGGCCGTTCGCGTATGCAGCTGCTGATATTCGCGCCGGAAGTCTAGTTGTGCACCGCCTTTCCAGTAATCATTCTCGGGCTTTTTCAAAAGTTTTGCAATAATTACTTATTGAAAATAAGCAAAGCTTTTCTTCAAGCACTACGCGGATTTCATTCAGCTTGACTCTTTTTTTTTCTTTTTTTCAAGCGGAAAAATTCCGGCTTTCAACCCTTTAACTTGGTTGATCCCCAATCCCATGGACAACTGTTTTCTTCCACTTCCTTGATCTATCTCAAATATTTTTCCGTTTTTTTTTGAGTTCTGTTTTGCTCATTTTTTTCTTTCGGGACGCTGTAATTTTGGTTCAGATCGATCGAACGCCGACGCGGCTGCCAACCACATGGACGTGATCTTGACATAGATGGTCGAGAATGTCTTCAAAGCAAGCCGGAATGAACGCGAACTCTGTTGCCAGCCCCGTCTTCCGGAGGCAGGCCTCGAACGGTTAGCTCTTTTTCCACACAAGTTTCATCCGGGTTACAAACACTCCAAATTTTTTTGCATTTGTTTTCAGATAGAAGTTTAAATTTTATTTTATCAGACGTTTGATTTTGTTTTCATTCACTATTTAGAAATTTTTCGTTTTTATGTAAGCTTCTTTAAGATTAGGTACCGCTGACTAAATTAATTTATCACTGAGAATCTGAGAACCTTGACATAGAATTCTTAATTTCTTAATCACAGCTTTTTCGAATGAACATATTTCAAACCAAAAAAGAGAAACTTTAATGTCATGGTATTTTCTTTTGACACTCGAATTTTTTTTGATAGCAATCAAGTTCCAAGAAGTTTTGCACAAATGAATCAGCCAGAACTAGTTTCGAAACAGGTTAAATCCATCTTAGCTTTTATATTAGCTTTTATTAAATTCGATACGGTGCAAGCAAAAAATTTTTTGATTTTTGTTTTGAGATCAATGAAATCCGACTTGGTTCAAAGTTAATTCGGTAAAGTTTATCAGCATTGTTTTTTTGAATTTTTTTCACCAGCGCGAGGCCTCCATTTTTCAGAATAACTTTTTTCAAATTGAATTGAGCTTGTTGTTAACTTTCGAAAAGCGAAACGCATCAGGTTTTTTCAGCTCGCATAAAATAAATTGAATTCTCATAATTGTTGCGATTTTCGAGTAGAATCCAGTTCAATAAACAAAGTGCGAAGTGGCCACGCATTGAGAGGGGGAGGTTTGAGAAAGTTGAATGAAACGGCCGACGGCGGTGCAATTGTATGATTACTGAGCAATCAGACGTACCGGCGGAGGCACAAATATCTCTCACAAATCCCACTTACCCTGATCCACACGGTTCTCGTAGCGACGGCCTCTGCACCGTCGAATTTGAATGTTTGCTGCCGAATTCCCAAAAACAACTGACCCCGGAAGTTTTGTCAAATTGCGCCACGCCGAAGAGAATGCGTGCACGGCGGCTGCTCGCGGCTCTCGGCTCTCCAAGCGTTTCACCAGGGACTCTTTGTATCGTGCGTTTTCTATATGAACTTAGACTTTGAACTTTCTCTTGTGGCTCTTTTTTTTCTGTTTAACGGCATTAGAAGAAGATATAAGTATTATTAAAAACAAACTGTGATCATTCTACTATATTTACATGTTCTGACTTGAATAAATATCTACTCAAACTGAAATGTAGAAGTTTCAGCATGCAGTGATGTAAATTCATCTCAGTTTTTTTAAAAGAAGATGTTTCATGAAATATAAACATTTTTTTGCATTTAGATTGTAACTATCAATTGAAATTTGTGAAAAAAATGTAGTCCTCATTGCCATTCTTCATTCTGAGGTTTTTTTCATTTTGAAGCTGAATTGTTCCAAAAAATTTTGACGCGCGAACAAACCATTCATTACTTCCTCATATTTTTCATGTATCAAACAACTTTTCATTAGAAATCATGAACCAAACAAAAAAAAATTATGCACCAACATAACTTTTAAACATTAGATATTTGAATATCCACAAAAGGAATGTTTCTTGTAAAATGGAAGTCAACCGCAAAGCGTCTGTTTTTCTTTCTCACTTTTCTTCAATCAATTAGTAACAATTTAGTTCTGTGTTTTCAGAGTAGAGATTTTTGAAAATATATTCAATAATTTCCTCATTCTTCGGATGTTCAATATCTTTTCAGTAGGCGCTGGACTGAATCCCGTCCTGACCGTCGCGTTATCACCCGTCCCTAAAGTTGATTACAGTGTCACAAAGGTTAGTCTTCAAGCAAGAAAATGCCGGTTCCTCATGTTTTCGAAAATTTTTCAAACCTGATGATTTTCAGGGCGGTGCTCGAACGTGGATTGTTTTACTTGTATTTGTATTCCTTTGTTCTAGTCTCTATACAATTTTCTCCGCCAAAGATATCGAGGATATCTCTCATGGTGAGTTTTGAAAGTTATTTAAAGGGAGCCTATATTGAATTTAGATCTCAATGTTGACGATACTGATGATGCCGACCTTTATTCGCATTCTTCACATAACTCACAAGCAACTGCACCTGAAAGGTAACATTTTGAAAATGTTTGTCTGAGAGATAAGCTTTCAGGAACGTAGACGATGGAGAAAAAGAAGAAATAGTGAAAAAACAAGCACCCAAAGACTCTCATGTTCAAGAAGATGGTAAACTAAGTGAAAATTCAATTTGTCAGAATCGCTTTAGATGACGAAGAGGACGAAGAAACTGAAGAATATTCGCTTGGCGGTCGGCTTTTCGCTGGCCTTCAGAAAAAGATCACAAGTCGCATGATGAAATTTGTTTAAATTTTTTCAAATTTCTGAATTGGTTGTTAACTTTCAGGCGGAGAAACATGAAAAGGAAGATCGTCGACCTGAAAAAGAAAGACCTCATCAAAAACCCCAGCCGGCACCACAACCCTCTATCAAAAAGCTGAAAAGAAAAGCTGTGGAAGCAGTTATAGAAGAGGTCAGTCATTCTATGAACTGATACTATGAATTTGAAAGTCTATTTTAGTCTGAAGAAGAACCGACAAAAGAGCGCTCTCGTCCTCAATCACGTCGTCAGATTCGAAAGCAGAAATTAGTAGAACCCCCTGAAGAAGATGATGACGATGATGACGACGACGATGACGATGACGACGACGACGACGATGATGATGAAGATGATGATGACGATAACGACGATGTGAAGGTTGAAAAGGCCAAAAAAGTTGGTGGTGATGAGAAAAATCGCAAAAAAGACTCAAACTATAGGAAGAAGTGAACGCGAAGAAACAGAAAGATATAGCAACCAATGAGAAGGAAAAAGAAGATAACGATGACATCGTTGACGATAATGAAGATGACAAAGAAGAGGAAGTTTTGTCTCCAATAGAGCTAAGAAAACAACGTCGACATAACCAGAACAGGTTTTTTGGAGATTTTTCTTGAAAAAAAAAGCGCCATTAAAGTAGTTTTCTTACAGTGAAATTTCAGAAAACATCGAGTTGCAACAAGAGCTGGCGATTGCCATCACAAAGACTGCGCTGACTTTGAGTCTGTGAAACCGAGGAAGTCGCTCCTTCGTAGAAAACATGTGGTAAGGAAAGCCTTAAATTTTTTTAATTTTTTTCAAATTTTTTTCAAGTTTTTTTACATTTTCAGGCCAAAAAAACAAACGACAAGAGGATGAAGTAGTTGATGATGAGGAAGATGATGAGGAAGATGAAGAAAACGACTCGAAAAGTGCTGAAGAGCAGAAAGATGAAGACGACGATGCGGAAGAAAATGAACATCTGTCTTCGGAAAGGTGCTATTCATTTTTCCTCTTAAAATAAATGTAGTGTGATGGGTTCGAAAATCCGTTTTTAAAAAGTGATTAAAAAAATTTTTTTCTTCTCCTTCGACAATTAATAGGTTTTTCTCTTTATAAATTTGGTTGCAATTAATGCTATTTGAGAATCAACACCATTTAATCGTAATTTTATTCATTTAATCGTATTTTAATAATAGAAAAACCAAAAAAATTGTTCAACATGACGCTATAGAAAAACTGGAAAAAATCGAGAAATTTCAAAAATTTCGTATTTTATAAATGAAAAATCACGTCTTCATTAACATTTTTGCGGACGCATGAGAAATAAAATCAACTGTTGAGAAGTTGAAAGGAATATAACCAAAATTTGAGACGTTTTGCACAAAAGAACTTTTTACCAGTGTAGATTATGATGTGTGTCACTTTGGGGCAAGTCCGTTGGCAAAAATAAATCACAGTTTCATAGATTTTAAAAAGATTGAGATCCATTCAAGGAAGTTGTAAGAGGAAAAATTTTTTCGTATTTTTTCTCAAGGTATTGTATTCATTCTCATTTCAAACACCTCAATAAAGTTTGACAGAGGCTTTTTAAGTTTCTCATCAAAACTCTTAATGACTATTTGATTTGCAGAGAACCAAAAAAAGAGTCATATCGGCGGCACGCGATAACAACAAAGGAGGAAATCGGATTTCGAGACATTCTTGACCGCGCCGATCATCTCGTTGAAAAGGTATCGCCTAAGGCCAAATCTAGCCGAAGTCTGGTACGCAAAGGCCGGAAGTGAAGGTCGGCGCGATTTACTGTATCTTAGAGCTCTCGAAAATTGTTATTTCTGCCTTGTCGTGCGGGTGCTGTGATTGATCCCTTTGATTTGTCAATCTCATGCGTGATCAGATGTCTAATAAATATTTGAATTTGTTCATTCACATCGCATGATTTATTTGGGAACGCAAAGTTTGGCAATGAAAAAAATCGTTCAAAAAAATTTTTTTGAAATAGAAAGTTTTTCTTAAGCAAAGGTTCTACAATGTATCTTGGTGACTGAAATCAAGCATTAAAATTTAAAAGTTTCAATAGTTTGCTTTCTTTGAGTTTTTTTGTGGAAAAAAAGTCTTTTTTTCCGTGTTTCTTCTCAGTACCCTATGGCGCTAAGCAGATATTCCTTAAAAGCATATCGCTGTCTCAAAAAAATAAGTTGTCTTCAAAAAAATTAAAATAAACTTTGTATTGAATTGAGAACGACTTTTTTTAGTGGTTTTTAAGAAAGTTGGAGACGCTATTTTTTTGATGGAATCTCTTAAAAAAATTTTTTTACAGTTGTTCGTCTAAATATCAAAAAAATGTGTCAGAACAGGTTTATAAAAAAATTTTTCAATTTTAAAATGACCTTACTCATGAAAAATTATTAAAAGATTAAAAAAATTCCAGAAAAGAAAAAAATTCGATTGCAGCACGAATATGACGAAGCCATGAAACTTTTTGATCACGTCATTGCCGTGTATCCATACTCTTCGAGAGCATATTTTGGGAAAGCAAGAGCCTACGACATTCGGTAGAGCTTTCTTCCTTTCCTTTTGAGTCGGAAGATTTCAGGGGAGAAATAGAAGCCAGTGAATTATACCGAGCCAAAGCCGTTTCTATCTACGAGAAGATTCTACAGAATCCCACTACTCCGGAAGCTCTTTTCCGGTTAATAATGAGAAATAAAACTTTTGAAACGACGTAGAATTCAGACAAGCGGCGCAAAGACTTATTGAAAGGACCAGGTTCGGTGGATCTATGCACAAATGCCTTCAAGCCCACAGATTGTTTATTGATAGGTTTTTCTCAAAAAAACCCCTTGAATGAGAAACTTTTTCAGATTTCCTGATGAACTTAGTCTGCAATGCGACTTTGCTATAACCTTCATCATGATGAAGCGTTATGAAGACGCGCGATCTATCTTGAGCAACGTTCGTTTTTTTTTTTCTTTGAAATGTTTTCATTTTTTTTACAGATTTTGGCCACTGATCCCAACAACGTACTGGCTCTTGCCTATTACGGATACATTTTGAAGGTAATTTATAACAAGCTGCAAAAACACTCTATTTCTAGGCGCACGACAACAAAATTGAGCAAGGCGTGTCACTGATGAAAAAAAGTCTCCGAGTGGCAGATAACGAAATCAAAGATCCCAAGTGAGCCTAAAAACTAAAAAAAAGAGAAGACATTTTTATAGATTTTTCTACCAACTTGGACATGGACTTGTTTCCCTGGGGAGAAAGTCAGAGGTTTGTGACGTCCGCGTGAAATATGAACATGGGAAAGTAATATTTCAGGCTGACGCCGTGTACGCAAAAGCAGCGGAGATGGGGGTCTTTATCACTGCCCAACAAAGGAGTTTGTATAACATTGATGGACTGACCGCTCGGCCGTGGTGGAACCTCGATCAGACTCCGTATTCAAAGTTCTTGAAGGTAGGGTGTAAAATATCATACGTTCAATATTGAAAAAATTAAGCAATTTATGTTTTCTTCAATTTTAGCTTTCATAACTTTAGTTTCATAACGGCGTTGAGTAATCTGTCAAAGTTCCCAAAACATTCAAACTGCAAAGAAGATTTTTTTTTTTACTTTTGTGTCAAAATATTTTTGAAGTCTAAAAGTAATTGAATTGAAATTTTTTGTCTTGAAAATGATGAATAAAAACCCCGTTATTCAAACCCCCTTTCTTTCATTTCAGGGTGTGGAAAGACAATGGGCGACAGTTCGCCAAGAAGCCATGACTATCCTACGAGAGTGCGACGAATGCTGGCTTGACCATAACCAACACCTTGTCATTGACGGACATTGGAAGTATTTTCCTTTGATGATGGAACAAAGTTTCCTCAGGGCATGTTCTTTCATTCTATTTGTACATCCTTTCACTTGGAAAATTCAGGATAGTTGCGCCAGAATGCCGCAGACCTGCCAAATACTGCAAGAGTTTTCCAATTCCAGTAATGCTAGCAAATCGGAGGTTCACAGTTCTCAGAGTGAAACATCATTGTCTTATTACAGATGTTCTTATCAGTTTTATCGTCCGGAGGGCAAGTTCTACCTCATTGCGGCCCAACTAACTATCATCTGCAAGCTCATTTGGGTCTCGTAGCGCCATCAGAAGCTCGCATAAGGTTTTTTGAAATCTTGATGAAAGTCAAAAGTTCAACATTTCAGAGTCGGCAATGAGACGCGTGGCTGGAAGTCTGGCAAATTTATAATTTTCGATGAGTCATTCGAACATGAAGTAACAATGTCAAACTGTAGATCCTTTGATTATGACAATTCAGATGCGGTTTGATGGAGCTTCATCTTCGTCTTTCCGGTTGTCCCTGGTCCTTCAACTGTGGCATCCCGATGTTCAACCCCACCAACGTGTTATTTCATTCCTTTCATAGATTTTTGTTTCAATATATCTCTTATTTGAAGATTCAAAAATTTGCAAGTGAAGATAATGAAAACGTTTTAAAAAAGCTTAACCATATCGGCCCAGTGTGGTTTTTCGTTTGTTAGTCAGTTTACACATGGATCATAAAGAGCGGTAGAGTGAAGTCGGCCAAAAAAAAATTGCTAGAAACTGAGTTATTATGCGTTTCGAGAAATTCAAATAACTCTAATAGAATCCTCTAAAACCCCGAAGTTCCGCAGTCATTTCAGTGTAAGCTCCTTGAGATTTAAAAAAAGTCACTCTTATTTATGCAAAAATTATCTTTTTTTAAAGTTCGAAAGTCAGTAGTTTTTGCAATAGTCAACCAGACACAGAAGTTGTTTTTTTCACAAATCAAAATGAAAAAGAAATACATTTAATACGTTTCCTTCATGTAACTTTCAATTTTGTCTCGATTTTTTGAAGTTCTCGATTTTTCAAGGTATTACAATTTGAACACTACCCCTCTGACTGAGATTTCTCAAGAATTATTTGTAAAATTGCAGAAAAAAACGTTTACTTATGAAAAAATTTGACGAGAAAATTTGAACAAAATCATTTGGAATCTACAAGACAGTAACCGCATCTAAATCTAGAAAACAAAATAAGTTTATCGATCGACTTCTCCGAACACAATATCCATGGTTCCAATAACAGCGACAATGTCAGCGATCAGGGACATGTAACAAACGTCGTGAATGGCGGCCAAGTGAGCAAATCCGGGAGCTCGGATGAAACATCTGGAATTCCATCAAGATAAGCAAGTTTTTGTATGTTAAATGAGTAACAATTGGCGCTAGGAAAAACATTTTTTACTACTTTTTTTTGATTTTATGCTTTCAAATATATTTTTTTGACTGTCAGAAAAGCGGAAAACTTGGAAAATGATGTCTCGCGTTTGGTTTTGAGTTGCCACAACAAAGTCGCGTTGAGAACGCAACGCTTCCCCTTCACAAATTCACTCATGACAATAAACAAAAAATGTACCTGTATGGCTTACTGCTTCCGTCGGCAATCAAGTAAACACCAAATTCTCCTTTGGGGGCTTCGATTGGCACGTAAGTCGCTCCGGGAGGAACTTGGAATCCTTCGGTGAAGAATTTAAAGTGGTGGATCAATGACTCCATAGACTCCTGGAATAAGCTTTCTTTTTTCTGTCTCTCATTTTTGAATTGAATGTCCCACCTTCATCTCTGCACGTCTTGGCGGCACTACTTTGTGGTCATCGACTTTGACTTCTCCGGCAGGCATTTTGTTCAAGCACTGGTGAACAATGTTGAGAGATTGTCGCATCTCTTCGATTCGACAAAGGTAGCTGGAAAGTGATTTTTGTCCCAAAAGTTCTAATTTAGAATTCCGCTTATGACGTTTTTAAAAGTATTTCGCTTCACTTTACAAATTGTAAATTGCTGTGGCGGCCCCGTTTCTTAAATTGAAACATTCCAGAAATTTTAATTATTCTACATCCTCATTTTCAAAAAATTATTCTTCTATTAATTCGATTCTAAAACTTTCTACACTATACTATCAATTTCAGTCTCCTTAAACCATAGGGATCACGTGATAAATTTACCATGGAGTTCCGAAATTTTCTCATGAGTTTTTCCTCATTATTTTCGAACGATCTATTTCTTTTAAGGCAGATCTCTTAAACTCTGAGAACTTCCATCTTTTCTCTAATCTCAATACTTTGTCAACTTCACATTATTCTTGTAACGTTCCATAATCTTTAAGATTTTTTTCCTTAACAATATATAACTTCTTGTTTGTTATCATAAATAGTTTAGATACTTGTTACTAATAAATCTTCAACTAAAAAATTTTTGCTGACCCCCTTTTGTAGATTGTTTTGCAGCTGCCTTTCTTACATCTTCATGTTGCTAGTATCTTTTTCCAAAAATTATCAGGTTTGCCTGAATGAAATCTAATCTTAAGTTAAATAGCTTTTCCACTGAATATGATAACAAAAAACCTGATAGAACAAACCGGTCATAGCAATCTCCCTTGGTTCCGATGGGCACGTCGAACTCAACTTGGTCGTAGGCGTCGTACGGCTGGGTCTTCCTCACGTCTTGCTTGATTCCCGATCCGCGCACCATCACACCAGTGAATCCCCAGTTCAAAGCATCCGAAGCAGAAACCAGTCCTTTAAAATCTTGGTTTCTCCTAATATTTTGAATTATACCGATATCAATAGTACGAGCTTTCCAGATTCTGTTTTCCGTGAGCATATCCTCGAGTTCATCGATTCGTTCGGGGAACTGTCAAAAAAGTCCTTCATTCGTTTCGAGAAAAAAAAAATGAAACCTTGACCGCCCAGTCGTAAATATCATCCATCAATCCGATAGGCAAATCCCATGAAACTCCGCCTGGGCGAACGTAATTGGCATGCATGCGAGCCCCAGATACTCGTTCGGAAAACTCGAACAGTTTCTCACGCTCTTAAAAAATGTATCGTTCAATTATCACAAAAAAAAGGTAAACAATGAGGAAAACTACAAAATTACTTTTTCAGTCCTTCGTATTTGAGTCCTTTTTAAGAATTTGAGATTTATTTTTGCGCAAGGTACAGCGTCTTTTTGGAATAACATAATTGAAAACTTTTCGGTGAATCGAAAAAAAACTTAATTCGAAAAGTTTTGAGTAAGAAAAGTCTACAGTTGTTTTGTAATGAATGTTTTAAGCTCATGTGGAGTTGAAAATAAAACCTTCGAACATCCAGAAGAAAGGCGTCATGGCGCCGACGTCAAGGGCGTGTGTAGTGATACCCATAATGTGATTCTGGATTCGAGTGAGTTCACCGAAAAGAGCTGAAAAAAACTCTATAACTCGTTTTTCAGAGATCGAAATCACTTCGGATGAACTTGGCGCGAGGAGGAATGTCGATTCCGAGCAGTTTCTCGACGGCCAACGACCACGCTTGTTCGTTGTTCATCATGGAGACATAATCAAGACGATCGAAGTAAGGAAGAGCCTAATGATGAAAATTTTCAGTTCACTTTTATATCGACGAAAAAGCACGAAATAATAAAAAGGGAAACTAAAGCATCGAGGGAAGAAAAAACCGAAACTTAAAGAGAGAAATGTTCGTGTTGGTGACATGCAAGCTGGCTACTTATTCAAATTTGGAAAATACCAATAAAAAAGGGAAATCCACCTGTGTGTAAGTTTTGTGCTCAATAAGCTTCTCGGTAGCGCGATGGAGCAAACCGATATGAGGGATGGCTTTGAGAATAACCTCAAAGTTCGAAGTTAGTTCATTACAACCTACTGATTATTTTACCTCTCCTTCGAGTTTTAGAACTAAACGGAGCACACCGTGAGCGGCTGGATGCTGAGGCCCAAAGTTCAGAATCATGTTTTCCAAGCTCTTTTCTCTGAAAAATTATATCTGATACTTCTAAAATCATCTTTATTCGGCAACCTTTGTTTTGCATCGAACGAATCACTCATCACTGGCTCGGAGTAGGAAAGTCTTTCCAGTTTATCGAGACCGATCTTTTCGTCAAAGTCAGAAACTCGTTCCGACATCCAAAGCTTTCCCAAAGTACCACCGGTCTGGAATAACCAAATTATACTCGTAAGTTTTCCTCTAACCAACTTTGAAACAAAAAATTGTTTTCCCGAACCTTATGCTCCTAATTTTTACCTTTTCCATTTTAGCGTCGTAAAAAATTATGGAAACGCAAACTTTCTTTTTGAGGAAGAGAGATGTGAAGAAAAGAAAGGCGTTTCAAACGGAGTCAACTTTTTCAACTTGAAAGATTCTCTTGAAGAAAATTTTCAAAAATGTAGTGAGATTCAAAAGAGAACTTTACAGTTGTCGTTCTTGAAGAAATATTCGACCGCAGGAAAGTTTTTTTACTTGCTTTTTTTAAGATTCTAATAAATATTTTTATAACAGAAGCGTGTTAAATATGAAATGATTTTTCCATCAAATCAAACCTTAAATTGGCGCTCAAATTTGGCATCAGGGTACCAAATAGTGTGGGAATGACGCTGTCCGACGGTGGGCGCCGTGGAAACGCATGGCACGTTTTTTTGAGACACGTCACCAACGCCTTCCTACCCAGCATGTCTTCTGAAAAGCATTGGAGTACAAACTTCCGTCAAAAAGAGCGAAAAAGTAAAAACAAGAAAATAAACGAGACAGTTGGGAGCATTATCAACACACCGCGCTGCGTCAACCGGAATGTCGGAATCTCACTTACGCTACTTTGCACTATCTGATCTTGATAAAGCTTGTCAATTGCCGTGTGACTGCTGCCAAGGCTGTTCACAACATTTCCTACTCTCAAAATGTTTTATCATCATATGTGAATCTATTACGAAATCATATCTTATTTATCTTGTTTTTTAAGATATATACATTTTTTTTTTCACAACCTCTCATTATCTCACCGTTATTACAAAAATTAATATCAATTTCCACTAATTATTTACAAATGTTTCCACTAGAAAAAAATTCTCCTGCACACACTCAAAAACCCGAAAATATTTCAAAAAAACTTTCTAAATCCTTAATAAAATTAAAAAAATATAGCTTCTGCCAAATCACTAAAATTGAAAAAGCTGGGATTGTGCATACACGCTTTCAGATTTAGCAGAAAGCGTTCAGAAGAAGGACTTTTACTCACTCAAACAAATTTACTGAACTGCTTTTTGAATTTTTTTATGTTATAAGGGAATATTTTTCAGAACGATGCCTTTCAGAAAAAAATTCCTCAGGGGTTTGTTTCTTCTTCGAACGGAAATCATAGCGTGTCTCCAATGAGTCTTGATTCTAGAGAGGTTTTTTTGAAATAATAATTCAATTATAGAATTTACACCTTTTTTCACAGGATGAACGCTGCAAACACATGAACAGGGTGCCCAAGTTAGAGAGCAATTTTATACTTCAACTGAGAGCAGTAAGATAAAAATTAACGAACATCATAATTTGAAATTTGTTAGGTCGTTTGTTCGGAATGCAACTGGCTTCACGAGATAATGTGTGCCGATCCCGATTGCATAAGTGGCCACAAAGTTGTATCTTTCTGTAAAGAAGAACGAGCCGTGGATCATTGGTTGGAAAGATCAAAGGTGCAACCCTCAAAAAACTTCCAAAACAGTTAAATTCTTTTACAGAATCCACATTGCGTTTTTTTCAATTTTCGCACCTTGAAAATGTTATGCTACAAATGTGGAGCTTCTTCTTCTTTTTATTCAAAAGCTAAGCAAAAACCGGTAGGTTGAATTTATCGCTACATCTTGATTTTGTGTTGGTTTCAGAAAAGAATTCGTGAATTCAATTCCAACTACGGTATCATTTTCGACATTTTTCTTATGAATTTTATTATTTTAGGAATTCGTGGCCTTGAAAACATGGGCAACACTTGTTATTTAAACGCCGCAATTCAAGCTTTTTATGGGTGTGATGCTTTCCGATCTTATTTTTCCAAGGTGAAATTAAACGTTTTGGTTTTTTTAATCAGGATTTCTAGAACCGCTTGGTGCCTTCATCGTCTGGCAGAAAAGTTACTTTTGCTCTTGCTGATACTTTCGAGGACATATCTTTTCGGGTGGATCACTCAGTTGAGCCGCATAATCTTTTGAAAGTCAGTGAAAGCAATGAAAATTAAGGAAGCTGAAGCTTTTCAGGCATTAAGAAGAGCTGCGCGTCAGTTCGACTCCATCCAACAACAAGACGCGCAAGAGTTCATCCGAGCCCTTCTCGATATAATCAACCGGTTCGTTATTAATTCAAACCAAGCAATTTTGGTATTTCTTCTAAACTACTATTTGCAGGGAAATGAAAATTCATCGTTACATGAAGAGTGAAGTTTTCCAGCCAAATTCGGTGTCTCAAGAAAAGTTCGTTAAAAATTGATTTGATTTTCTGAAAATAATTTTTTTAGAGACTTTCAAGTTGAAAACACCTCGGAACATCCAGAGCCCGTACTTTTGCCGGAAGGTGAGACTTCCAAATGTTGTTTTATTATCAATTTATTTTTATAGTAAACGAAATTCCAATCGCCAGCCGATCTGTTGTAACAGACGTTTTCGAAGGATCCATGACAAATCAAGTGCGATGCTCAGACTGTGGCTCACTGTCCAAAGTGAAGGAATCATTCCAGGCATCTATTTGCTCTATTTGAGTTGAATATTAATCGTTGAAGTTCAGGATTTGTCCCTATCCATTCCAACAAGAGAAGACCTAACAAAAATTTTGAAACCGTCCAGCAAACTCGTCAGTGAAATGTGTGATAGCGAAAATCTTTCATGATTTTGTAGATAGAAAAACTGGAACGTCTCCACAATTACATCTACACGAAACTGTCAAACAACGACGCGGAGATGAATGTTCCAGTTTCGCTTGAACAGTGCTTCGACCTCTTCTTCGCACCGGCTAGCTTAACTGGAGAGAATCAATACAAATGCGATAACTGCAAAAAGTTTTCCCGCATTGTGTTTTCAATATCTCTTACTTTTTGTTTTAGACTGTGTGACGCAGTGAGAAGTTGTTTCGTGACTGATCTTCCGAACGTTTTGGTGATTCATCTCAAGAGATTCCGTCACGGCGCGCGGAACAACGCAAAAGTGCTTTCAGAGCAAATGAAATGTTTTAATTTTATCTTCAGATGTCGACCCCAGTTCGGTTTCCTGTTTCAAAACTGGATCTATCTGCATTTGTCTCTCCGCAACAAGAATCCCTGTATAATCTTTGTGCGTTGATATCTCATGACGGCCGCACAGCAGAATCTGGTCACTACTTAGCTTATAGATACATTGGAAAGCACCGCAGCTGGTTTGCGTTGGTTATCAAAAAAAAATCCTTTCCTATTTTTTGAGGTTTGAATTCGATGATGGAAAAGTGACGAAAATCAGCAGTGAGAAGGTCATGGAAAAGCAAGCATACATTTTATTCTACCAGAAACAAAGACCAGAAGACTTGAAAGAAATTTCTTCATTTTTTTTGCAAAGAAAAAAAGAGGTACACGACTTATTCTGAAGCTTTCTTCAAAATTTGCTTCAGAAGTTGAGGGCTGAACAGAAATGTTATATTTCTCGGGAATGGATGTCGCGGCTCCTTTCTAATTCAAACAGCCCTGGACCGATAACCAACTATGATCATTTGTGTCCGCATGGGTTTTATCTTCCGATTCTCCAAATCCATAAATCTCCGCTGATTCCGGTTTTTCTTTAATGCGGAAAAATAACTTATTTCTTTTATTCAGATCAGCCTATCTCTTTGGAACGATCTACATGAAAAGTATCTATCAATTCAATATTTTTTTTCATTATATCAAAATCTCCAGGTTTGGTGGTGGTCCAGTCATACAAAAGCTCGAGAGATGCGAATTGTGTGAAATAACGTGGTCTCACTTTTTCCGACAGAAAACCATCGATCGAGAAGCTTATGCAAGTTTTGTGCGCGAGGTTGAAAAATGAAAAGATTATTTTCAAGTCCAATCAGTTTTCAGCACAAGAACATTACCAACCCAAAGATGTTTTACGCAAGTTATTTGCCACCTAACATGATGGACTATAAATGGTTCTGCTCTTTCAAGGATTACATCAACAACGATTTTGCGGGTACTCTCATTTTGAAAATTGTACAAACTATAAAAAATTGTATTTTTCAGCAAGGCCAGATCAATTTGACAACTGGTTCATGTTGTCCGACACGGAAGTGCGACCGGTCCTGAGAGAAAAACTGACGAATGTTTGCAATATCGACAGAGAGCATTTTCTCTTTTTTGAGAAGCACTACGGGGGCGGTCCAGAGGTTTCTTTTTTGCGAATGATTCATAGCGCTCTGATCTCACTGCACGGCAATTTCCTTTAGTAGTTGGAAATTAATTTTTACACGGGCCGTCGATAGTCATTCTTGTTGGAGCAACATGTATTCATGCTCCGAACTTATCCAAAATGGCCGTTTGAGAAAAAATCAACTGTTTTTCAAAATCAAATACTCTTATGAACTTGATTTCTTTATCTTAACAATTCCAGGTTTTCAAAACGACCGGATCACAGCCTTCAATGGACAAGGTTCTCAGTGCCGACAGAGCCATTGCCAATTTGAAGAAAGAAATCGACGAATGATGTAAAAAGTTTCACTTCGAAAAGTTCATACAATTAGAAACATGGATATAAAACCGTTTTTGGCCTTTATTGAAGTTTTTTTCGTACGATTTTTCCAACCTTTTTTTTGCAACCGTCACACTTAAAAAAGTGGCCCACATTTCAGCGATCCAATTTTGTAATCTTTGTGATTGATTTTTCGCCAACATTGTATTCGGTGATTTCAAACTTTTCTCGCTTGACTCTTAGAAGAGTGAAAAGACAGCTTCCAAAGCGCTACGCTTTTTTTCAAATTTGTCATTCATCTTCGAGAAATTTCTTTCAAAGAAACTTTTTGAGGGAGTTAGTCACTTTTTAGGAACGTTTTTCAATTTAGAAGAACAGCTATGAAATGGGTAAACTAGTGGGTATTTCACACTGTCCGTTCCTGCCCTCTTTCCCTCTCCCATGTAAACTTTTTCCAAAAATCACGTGTTTCAATCGAGGTTTTACGTTTTTTACATGAGCCAAATGGATTGTCAATAAACAATATTTTTTCAGCCTATCCATAGTCATCTCGGCTCATTATGTCTTTTTCATTCGCTCAATTTGTTGTATTCGCTTTGTTTTTAATTATTGCATATACGAAGATTATCAAAATTTCAAAAAAGATTTTTTCAAATGTATCTGCTATTTGAATGCTCTAATAAACTCTTTTCCCAATCTTGAACTTTCTCAAGGCGTTATTTTTCAAAGCAAGTTTTCAACTCTACTACAGCTCTTTAAAAAATAATCAAAAAACGATACATGTATTTTTACAACCCTAATTCAGGAAATTTCTGTAAACAGATAGAAATATGTCAAAAATCAACCAAGAATGTACAGAATGAATAACAATAGATCAATAGAAAGTTCTCTGGTTGAATGTGAATGAATGGAACAAAAGTATGGATGACAACCGTGTAGTTAAAATATCACATTGGTAGAGCCTCGAACATTGAGAAAATGTACAAACACATCAGTTATGAAGTTTGAAAACTGTTGAATATAAAATATTTACAAAGACCTAACAAAAAAAACTCGATTCAGAAGCCTAGAGCAACTTCAAAACAAGTTCATTATAATTGAGTTTTCATACGAAGAACTCTGGCAACCATTTTGTCATTGAAGTGTCCGACAATGTGGGCAATCCGTTGAGAAGACCTGCGGACCACTGGCTCGATCTCCATAAGTTGTTCGAACTCCCCGTTTCCGTTACCCAACGTTGGAGCATTCATAAGTCTTAAATCGCATTATTATCAATTTTTTCTTTCAAAAATATTTTTTTCATAATGAAACAACAATATAATTGGTTTTCAGTGAATAGAGTCTTTTGTTGCGTGAAGTTCATTCTCAGCAGTTCAGTTTCATAATGACACACACCACTTCAAAAATGTTGGAATAAGAGTTTTCAATATTGATAAACAGTTCTGAGAAGAAGATATGCACTTTCCAGAAAAAAACCCAAAAAAGTTTCGAAGCGAAAAATTTGAATCGGAAAACCAACTTCATGAGCAATCGCTCGAAGGCGTCTCTTTCCATTTGTACGGAACGAGGCTGTCTGAAATCCGCTTCGCTGTTGAAGAGCAGCAGAACGGCGATTGTGTTGAAAGCTCCAGGCTGTTTTCGGAATTCGCTAGTTTCATCTCCCATCAGCCTTGAAAACTTAGTTCTTAGGTATCGCCAAAAATCTTCTTGAACCTTTGCATATCGGTCAAAATTTCAGCGTCAGTATCTTCGAGTGGGACTTCTTCATGGTGTTGGAGCCATTTAACCATACAATATGCAGAAAGTCCGGCTGAATTATGCACTTCGAATACTGATAATTCTGATGAGCACTCACCCTTGATAATAGTGCACTGGTCTTCAAATATAAGAAATCGGAAGGCCGTCAGACAGTTCAAGGTGCTAACTATTTTCTCGACGCTCGATTCCATGAAAAGTTCGCGTAAGGAAAGGCTGAAATCATGAACATTATTTTGTCATTTCTACAAATTGCATAGTCAAATGGATTTAACGAAACGACCTGTGAAGGTGCACGATGAACCAATATGTCCCTACTAATAAAAAGAAATGTTTTTTTATGAAAAAGACAAATCTCACTTGTTCATTCCGGTCTCAATCCATCTGTTAGCGGCGTCATTTATATCTTCAAGGCGTTCCTTCTCGTCGTCAGTAAACTCTCGGTTGTCATTGTCTGAACTATCTGTCGTTTAAACATTATAAATTTTTCTGACCGAGGAACAAACGGGCGTCGATCATACACGCATTCATGTACATGTTATCCCTGCGGCATTGTGAAACATCTTCCTGAAATATGTCTTAATCAGATTGTGTTCAGATTATCTGAACGGGTTACCATTGCAACGCTGGGATCAACTGTTGGCGTCACTGAGTTTAGCCATTGGACGCTTGAATCATCCGAAGGCAGAAGTCCATTTCTCTTCAATACATTATCATGCGACCAGTGGTCATGAAAGATTTCGTTTAATAGACTTTTAAAAAATCTAAGTTCTTCCGTTTTCCTAATGTTTCACAGTCTCACACAGTCTCTTTTTGACTCGATATCAAACTTTTTTCAAAAGTTATTTCATTTTTGAAGCGCAGACTCTTTTAAGTCGTAAGAAACTGGAAATGTTGATTCAAACTCATCTTCGTGAGAATTCTCAGAAACACTCCTTGTACTGAAAGGGAAAAGACGGAAACTGAGGAAAATAAATGTGAAATCGCTACAAAGCTAAAATTTTTGCGAAAAAAAGTTTTTTTTGTTATCGAACTCATCATTTTGTTCAACTTTCCTTTTCAAAATTCAGGAAAATTGATCGAAAAATCATAATGAACAGATTAAAAAATGTAAAGCGTTCAAACTTGGAAAAATCAGTAACCTGGAAATCTTCAGCCGTCTCCAGTTTCTGTTCGTCTTTTAGAGGATCGATACAGTTAAGGTTTGAGCTGCCTGCCGCCATAAGATCCTTGGTCACCTTCAAATCGATTTGATCAACCGGCACCTTTGAGCAAAATCTAACTTCATCTACAATGGTAGCTCCCGGCGGATAGCGGCCACAAACACAGGTGCAAGAGCAATTGACCGCCCTCAGAGTGTTGTTTTGTACCAACTTCAGCAACATCTTCAAAAGAGGACTATAATTTTTTTTCAAAGGTGGAGAAAACCTCTCGAGGAATGGTGACCATTTCTGTGTTGACTGACTGAATCGGAGCTTCCAACGGATTCATTATCATTGTACTTGCTGGGGGTATGTGGGGTGGAAGCATTTGTTGTTGCATAGGCTGAAAACGCAATAGTGAGTGAAGAACGTTTTCTTGTTTTAGGCTTTCAACAGAAAATGAACCTGGTGAATGTGTTGAATGACATTAGTGGTGACTGGATCTGGAGGTGGCGGTGGACCCGTCATTTGGGCAACCACTTGGTGCGCAACAACAGCTGCGGCCATCTGAAAAGAGGCTTTAAAACGACCTTCTAAAAAAAGATACCTGTTGATGTTGATGATTAATAACGGCTTGTGTAGCCATGCGCTGAGCACTCATATTTGAATTATCAACTGGATTTTGGATTACCATTGGTTGCATTAGAGGACCATCAAACCCTGAAATTCCTGTGAGCTCAGGAGTTTTGTGAATGAGAAATTTTAAAATTGATTGAAAAAGTTACAATGATCCCCAGGTTGATCATGGATATCAGGAGGAATGAATCCACTGCTGGTCATTGTAGTCGCAGGATCAATATCCAAAGAAGGAGGCATGGAAGTGGTCGTCGCACTGACGTCAGCAAAAGATCTTGCTCCTGAAGAAATGGTATGAGATCAAAAAAAAAAAGAGCAGAAAACCTGTGGTAGGTATCTGGTCTATCATTTGATGAGGATGGCAGAGTTGGGGCATCCCATTCGATTGATTTTGCATATTCGGGTTATGATGGGAATATCCACTAAAATCAAGTTTTATCCAACTTTGTGAAAATAATACTTTCTTGGTGATTTATTTTTTTGGAATGATGATATATAAAAAAAGGAATATTAATTGGAAAAGCTTTGCTCAAACCCTTCGATTTTTTGAATGTTTCAAGCAAAAATTAATGTATTTTTGTAGGAAAATCACCAACTTTGGAGACATGTCCATGTGATGGGCATGGTTCATCGAGCCGATCGTCTTCATTGGGAACTGTGGATAGAACGAAATCTCGAACCGTCATTGGCATCTGCTCTTCGTAGGTTTCATAAGGAGAATCATCTTGTTGCATCATATCTTCTTCTGCTCTATTCATCGCGTCCTGAAACTGTTTTTTTTTTCATAATTTTGAAAATGTGTTTGATTTTCCACCTGAAGTCTCCTCTCGCGGTTTTCTTCCACTCTTTGTTTTTTCTCGAGTCTCGCTTCGTCAGACATTATCCATTCTTTTTTCATGCCTACCTAAAAAATGATGTTTTTCAAAAAATGAATTTTTCAGAATAACCTACATTCAAGCACTTAGTCAAGCGGCATCGTTGGCAGAAACGTCGAGATACAACATTTATTTCACAATTTTCGTTAAAAGGGCATCTTATTTCTTTTTCCTGAAGTAATTCTTGGATTTTTTTCAGTTAGATTAACAACTTTGTTTGCATTCCGACGAAAAAATGCTTTGCAAGATTCACACGTTATTACGTTGAAGTTGTAACTGAAAGCTTTGTCTCCGCAAACTCGACAAATCTGAAAGAATGCTATGAGAAAACTGGAATGAATATTTAAAAAGTAAAAAAAAATCCTTAAAAAAACAGTTCTCACGTGAATACCTAGGTAAAAATGTGAAAAAAACCGCTAGCCTCAGGAATAAACCTTATTTGCCGTCCTTTTATCACAGTTTCCGCTGGACGAAGTGTTAGCTCTCTTTCTAGTCACAGGTCGATCAACAGGTGACGACTCTTAAAAATAAAAAAAATGTGATAGTTTGTATCGTTTTATTAACAAGAATCAAATCTGCCCCGCTGTACAATTTAGCAATTTGACAGAAACTGAAGCTATCAAAAAGTTTGATAACGCTGAAAATGATTAGTTGTCGCCATTTCTCTGTCACCCCTTTTTTGATTTGCTGCCCGTTTTGTTTCATTTAATTACCATAGGGAGACTGGGATCGAGCAGGAGGTGGATCATGGTAGCAACTGTCGTTCATGTCATTCATAAGCGGGGAATCATCTTCGGCAAGAAGGTGTTGAATATCTGAAAATTGCGCTTCTTATTTCAGGATGAGTTTGTTAGTGTTACCAGAGAAGCTCAAACTGTTCCTGGAACGAGTTGAACTTGCGCTCGAATGACCGTGGCAGGAGTTCAGGTAGGCGCTTCGACGTGTGTTGTATCCGCCGGACACATTGTTGTTCTTGAAAATGATCAAAATCAAGAAACTGAGAGTTGTTTCTGCTTACATAGGACATAAGGGCAAATTCGCTTTCCATTCACCCCTTTTTTGACTTTCCCCGTCCTGATCAGTAGTTTTCTGCAATTACCATTTTTTATTCTTGAAAAACCGTGTTTTTGAAGAAAAGAGCCAGAGTAAAGTCATGAAAAACATTTAGAAGGGTTTTAGCACTGTTCGCAGTAATTCAACAAGAGAAGGCTTGATCGTCAATGTAGTATTTTTCAGCGTGCTAGTGCTGAATGACGTATCTACTAACTGCTCGCTGCAATTTTCAGAAGTGCACCCGGAACTATTTTGAAACTTTTCCACTTCGTAAAATACATCGATTGTGGTATTTGACACAGAACTTTTTTGCTAGAGATCAGCGATTCTGTCGAGTAAGCTAACATCTGGGTGATTGATTAAAACCGAAGTTAGTCGAAAAACAAGTAACGGTGGTTCTCAGGAAAATCTGTTTTGCTAAGTGACATTGAAAGAATCGAGAGAAATAGAACGATAAGAAAATAGGCAACACAGATCGCAGAATGCAGAAACATGCGTCAAGATACTGGGCTTCGATGGAGATGTGGAACGACCCAATTGAGGCGATTGACAAGTATCCCATATTTTTGTTTGAACAGTGTTGAGCTCGAACTTTTGAGCTCTGGCAAGGCGCCAAACGTCAAATACACCGAAAACGTCAATGTATGGATGGTCGGGAGTTGCCGATCGGCTGGGGTTCCTGTTGAAGAGACGATGAGAAGAGAGAGAACAGGGGGCGTCGGGAAGCGCGTAACATGTGAGTCGCACAGATAATGTCCATGTCACTTGTCTGTCAGATATCGATCGGAGTTCTCATACCGTTCCTCCGAGTTTTGCTCTAGTCCAACCCAACAATTCTTTCCCGATTAGTGTCTGTAGAAAGCGATATAGAAGATATCACAACGATGATCTAGACAATTCAAAAATTTTTTCGATGCTATTTACCAAAAAATTAATTTTTTGTGAAAAGGGTTCATGTTCATAACGAAACGCATTACTTTTTCAGAACTGCAAATCGAGAGTCTCAAAGTTGAACGAGTTATTTTACGACGTTGGAACAACATTTTCTCGTCGAACTGTAGTGGCGTCGAAGTTGTCTCAAAGGGAAAAAATACGAAAATTCTGTGAAGTCGAAATTTCTGTGTTTTCTACAGCAGTCAGAGCCAAAAAAGTTTAGTGACCAACGAGATTTTTCGCAGATTAAGCACACGATGTACGGCAGTATTAAGCTATATACGAACAATTTTCTTGAGAATAGTTCACTACTGATAGGCATTAACTCAATTTGTGTAAAAATAAACCAATCTCTAACGGTGATTCTGCAAATCAATAAAATGAATGAAGATCATGTTTCAGCATTGCCATTACGAACACAGAAATTATAATAGGTAGTGCATGATTGAAGACATTGTGGTTTTTTCGGTTCAGTAGGGTTCCAAAACAAAAGTTCTCAGGTGCCCTCGAAACTCTAACAAAGCGCGCGCTGCAGTTTGCGCCGAGAATAAACTGTCTTGCAGTGTAATCTTATATCTGATGACTTTCAAAGCACAAGTCTACGATGAACGCGCTGCGGTGCAGCAAAAGTTGATGAAACGCGCGCAATTCGGGTCATTTGAGAAGATGAGACGAAAAGTGTTGGCAGAGATCATTAAGACAAGGTTGGAACGCTATTCAAAACAAATAAACGAAAAAAAAGATTTCTGTTTTCCAATTTTTAGGATGCAAAATCATGAAGTAGTCCCAATTTTCGGCTCATGCTTTTTTTTGTAAAATTTCAAAAACAGTCATGTTTTGCTCGGATTGAACGAGTTGGAAGAAAATAACATGCGGCTTGCGATTATCCAGAAATCGAGAAAATAACTAGTGCAAGAACTAGAAAAGTGCAAAGTTAAAGTAAGACTAGGGAACCGACAATAACTTTGAAAAAACGTCGTCATGAAGCATATTCAAGGAAATTTTCAATGCTCTTTTGATGATAGGACAAATAGGTAACCGTGCAAAACTTCACATCGAAATTCTGTTCAATGGCAAGTTTTGAGTATAAGTTGTCGGAAGAAGCCTTCGGAATTTTTTTCTTTTGAACTGAAATAGAAAATTATCGTGGTACCAGTTCCTAAGTGCGGTAAACTTTTTGAGAGCAACGATTCTGCCTTCTGGACTCGCAGCTGGCGACGGTTGTTTTCGAACGGACGTGCCCAAAGGACACAACCCCCGCAGGTGCACGGAGTTCACAACTCGTACGCGTCGAAGTCCCACTGTTTTCAGTCGACTGCTACGTCCCTTCATATGATTTTTAGAGCACCGCGTCGTAAGCCAAGACGCTCACGGCTGATCTTTGTTAGTTCTTGACGACAAAATATCTTTTCCACCTATCACTTGCTTACGAACGCTGTTTACCAAATAGTTGGAAGAATTCAAAATCAAAGTAGACGTCGTTACGAATTTTAACGACGCGATTTGAAGGACAGTAGCCTCTTCCAGTTTCGCACTCATTTAAAAGTTTCATTGACGGTTTCGCGATATCCACACATAAGACGAAGTCTACTAAGCATTATTTGATTATAATCATAAAAAAAATCAAACTCATCATCATCATGATTTCAGTTTATCCGAGAACGCAGAAGGCGTTTTTGAAAAATAATAGCCAGATCTCATAAACATCTAGAGGAAATCCTAAAATTTTATTAAGCCAAACAACCGACACACGGCGATTCAAATTTACAACTGTTAATACCGAAAATAATACAGCCACCCATGAGAAGAGTTCAAATAAGCAGTCGAGGGTTTGTAATTGTTTCAAAACTTTCAGAGGTCTCTCAAAATTCCCGGAAGCCACACACAGAAGTAACTGTAATAAGCACTTTATAATATATGTTTTGAAGAAAATTATACCAGCATATAATTACATTGGTTGGAAATGATACTCATCATTCAAACGTACTCACCTTTATTACAAGTTATTCTCACACAAACGGTATAATTTTAATGACTATTCCCGATTTTCGAAACACCACATATGAAGCAAATAAAAAACTTTCTGATCAAGGTTTTTTTTTTTGAAAAAAACCTGGGGATCTGATATATCCCTGCTTGAAAGCTTCAGATTTTTTTTACTCACTACGTTCCGCAAATAATTCCGATCGAATTTTTGAGAAGGAAAGTCTCTTTCAATCATAAGAGCTTTCAATTTTCGAAAAAAGTTTTATTGAGCAAGCAGGCCTTTTCGAACTCAAATTTTCTTGTAAGTACATTTCAGGTGTTCTCAATTAGAAAAAATCGAAACCATTAAGAAGAATTTCATTCAGAAGGACACAGTGTACAAATACAAATAAATACAGATTTTGCTGGTCTGACCAATTTCCAAAGACCGACTTCTCGAAAAACAGTTTCAAGAGCATTGCATGTTGACGCCAGCCTGCTGGAGGCAGCGGCAGGAGTCGGCGGCTCCTTGCTTCGGATCGTACTTTAGCTGAAACAAGAAAGACGACGTCACTGATATCGATCCGACCGGTCACCTCCTTTTCGCAAGCTGCGTACACTTCTCTTGCGGCGTCTGATGGAGGCGTCAGCGCGCATCTGAAATGACATCAACCATAGTGATTGCAATCTATGATCATCTGTGCCAAATATGGTCTTTGCGGAAAAAGATTGGTTATCGCGGTTGCGGAAAGAGGAAGAATGGTTTTTGATCGACTTTCTTTGCTTGCAGTCAATCAGCAATTAGAAAAGTGAGGCGTTGTTCTTTAAAGATCTTGTGAACGATCAGGTCAATTCCTCTCACGTGTAGTCACATTTCGGGGATCTTATTTTGACCAAACAGAAAATAAAATGATAGAGATTTTTCCAAACCAGATGATATCAAGTTAAAACTTTTGCAAAAAAAGTTTTTTTATAGTGTTTTTTTCTGAAATTTCCATTAAATTAAGCCTCGTGGTCCTTATCTAAGCCTGTTAGATTCAATTAAAAAGTCAAGCAGAACTTGAAGAATGAAAAAAAATTTTTTTCTGGAAGATTGTCATATCTAAAAAAAGGCGAATTTTTTTCTCCCTTTTCATGAGAACAATAATTTTTCAAACTTCAATAATTTTTCTCTTTAACTATTTTTTTGTGTTCAATTTGAAAACCGGAAAATTCCGTGTGAAGAAAAAAATTAATTCTCAAAACATTTTTTTGCCAATTTTTTTCTTTTTAACTCCAAGTTCTTGAAAATTTATAAAAAAAACATAATAGTTTTTTTGTTTTTTTCCTAGAATCAATAAAAAAATAAGTTTTTTTACTCACTTGAGCTTGAAAGCACAGTTCACTGGACTTCTCTTTTTACGGCCAGGAATCACCTCAAATTAATTAATCAGAAATTTTTTTCAATTATTCTGATGAAAAAGGAGACCAACTTCCATGTCGTCCAAAGCACACTCGTCAACGCACATCAGGTACTGGGAAAGACCCAGCGGAGGAGACGGCTGGCTCGGAGTCTGCTGTGATCCCTTAAGTATCCTCTTTTCAACCTTACAGTCCTTTTGCTTACCGCAGCAGCAGCAGATTCTTCCAGAGACGGCACTTCAATAACTGGAATGAGCGGGATGGTAACATTGACCGGAGTATCAGAGTTGGTACATCTGAACTTCTGAGTTTCCAGCTTTCATCTTCTCAAACACATACCCGAGTTCTCCGTTGAGCTTTTTCTTCGCACATTCTTCGAGGTTGTTCATTACCTTGAAAGATGACACCAAATTAGAACTTTTGCGAAGAGTTTTCAAAATATTTTTCTGAAATCCCCATTAAATAAAACCTCGTGGTCCTTATCTAAGCATTGCATGATTTTCGCAGCATCTCCAATCGTAGACAAGAACGCCGTGCATTTCTCGCTAAAAAGTAGGATAATCCGTCATAATTCCCTGCTTTTGAACCTCTTTTTGCATCTTGAGGTCTTTGCTTTGATTGTAGCTCCGCATTCCTCCATGTCGCTGCATTTGCACTGCGCCACGGTGGTGAACCCACGTGCCGGTGTCGTATTTTCAGCCACCACCAAGGCCTGAAGCTCGCTTTCTTTGATATATGGCAATGTTATAACATCATGTGTGTTTGTTTGAATACTTTTCAAAATTGAAAGTACTGAGTTGCATGAAATGGCAAGTTTTGAGAAGAATTGATGGCAGAGGGGTTAGGACGCACCAGAAGCAGAGAAGCTGCGGCAAGGGCTCGAATCATGATGTGCTCGACTGCGAAAATCGCCACATTGGCTAGGATTGGGTTCGCTTTTCTACCCATTTGCTATGTAGAATGACCAGCCCTAGTGCAAACAAAACAGTCTCGTTTCAATGATCGTTGCCAGTTTTTTTTTCCGGAGAAAAACGCCGAGCCCGAGAGTGTATGACGTATTGTTTGGAGTCCTTTGACGTAGTCAATGATCCAACAACAATAGGTTGGTCGACGAATCGGGTTCGGCCGTGTTTAGTTTCAGTTTCAAGACGCTTTTTGGCCTCTTATGCAGCTCAGAACCAGATTCTACGAAGTTTCTCACAGCTGAATTTTCAGCTTTTTTTTATTTATTTTCTGAAGATTTCATTTCAGCATTCTGTTATATTACTGATAGATTATTTCTCATCATGCTCTTTTTTTCAATTTTTTGTGAAGAGTTGGATATGTCTCCTTCGTTCCAAAAAAATCTCAGAATACATTATTGGGCTTTCATGATTTATAATAACAATTTGTAAACATTTAAAAAAAATTTGAAAACCCTTTATATAAGCATAACCCATTAACAAATAGAACAAAGCATATTTTGATAAGGAGCAATTTTCATCACAACAATATCCGAAGTACTTGAGAACCGTATTGAAAACCAGCATTGTAGTGAAAGACAATATAAAAACGTGTGAAAAAAACAATTTTGAAAAACAAATTACGAAACGATTTCAAAAAAACCAAGAGTTTCAAATTGAAAAAAATTGAAACAGAAACTAAAATAGATGTTTTCAAACGTCTTTCACATAGACCTGTTCCAGGCAGAAAATAAAATAAATCGCTTCGATTTGGATTCAACTTTACAAATTTTACGTTGCTGAGCTTTACAGTAATGATCGGGACATCATGAGCGCTTTCACAAGTCGAAAAATCTCTCTCAACTCGTTTCGAAGACTATAAGGCAAATTTTTTCACAGTTGAAAACAGAAAAACGCACCTTTTTTGATGAGAAAAATCGGCTCTGCGGACCCCACGTTTCAGACGTTTCTTTTCTCCCCTCAAGCGGAAAAGGTTTCTAAAGTTTAATACAATTATTAATTTCATATCATCTTTTTTTGATTACGTTTTTCTCGTTTTTTTTTGTATTTGTATGTGTTCACTTCGATTTACAATAAAAACGATAACTTTATTCATTTCACAGTTTGATTAAATTTTTTTAGGAGTAAACTATTATTAAAAGCGCACTCCGAATTATTTTCCTACTAACCTGTTTCTGCATTCCGAGCCACAGTACTGGAAAGACGTAGAAACTTTCAAGTCGTATGAACTGTGTGATAAAATGAAAGAAATTAAGTTTGGATAAGTGAAAGGCATGTCATCCGGATACTTCCAGCTTGTCGCGTTGCTATAAAAGACTTTTTTTTTCGAAAACGGCGGAACGAATAGAAAACTTGTTGGCACGAATTACTAGAACGGCTGGTAATCTTTCAAAGTCGTATTTCAATGGAATTATCTTCTCACTTGTATCCACTCTGAAACGCATTTTTTTTTCAAATTTTGATTTGTGAACTCACATTACAAATTCCACAAGATGACTTTGCTGTTTGAAATAATGGATGACTTCGTGAAAAATGGGGAGCAGAGAAGTAGAGGGGGCATGCCACTTCCCGCCGGAGAAGAAGATCACAGTATCCTAAAGCGCTTATCAGCAAGCAAAAGAACTTTTGAACCTTATTCTGTCCAGTAGTAGACGAGTATCGTCGAACAGCTTGAATTTCTCGTTCTGTATCCATCTCCACTTGCCCTTTCAATTCTTCCTCGGTCCTTCTTTCTTCAAAGGAAGAAATGGATTCGTGAAAATCTCTGATAACAGCCTTCAAATTTTCTCTAGAGAAAAAACAATTTTTTGCTGATATTTATTAAACCTTGTTAATGACGGCAGGGTTATCGAATTGATCAATTCGAAGCGACTATCCACAATGACAATAAGTGTTTCCTAAAATGAGAAGTTTGAAAAAACCTAAGAGAACTTGCATTATCGTTTTCCATCCATTGACTTGCGAAGAACTCGTTTAACAAAGTGTCCATTGCAACGAATCCCAGCGTTGAATTAAACTGATTAAACTTTTTTTATCAGAAAAAAATGATTATTCACCTTGCACCCGTAGCCTAAGACGGAATTGTTTAGCTTCTCAGCGGAATTTTGCTGGAAAAAAACTTCTCAATGAAACTATTAATTTTAAGAGGAGTGATACTTTTTTGATAGTTTGCACAAGTAAGCTGGAATCTTCACATTTCCAATACTCTCGGGCTATCTGAAAAACCAATTTTCCAACCAGAATGGTAAATCAGATCGACTTCTCTCATCAACAAGTGAGTTTCAGAACCATAACCAAGTTTTGGCTGAAGCACCATCAGAGTAGAAGATCTATTCAAAGCTGAGGCTAGCGAAGTGCTTTCTAAACTGTTTGCTTCAGCTGAAAACAAATAGTTCTAGGACTCCTGAAGCGGTATTTCTTACAATTGAAGATGATTTGAACATGGTTAATTTTTTCCAGCGTATCTAAAACTTTTTCAGAAATAACGTTGGCTCGCCATTCAAAAAACTCGAGTTCTTCAATTTCTTCTCTTTCTGAATACACAATTTTATTAAAGAAACCAAAGATTCAAACCATAATCTAAAAGTTTGATAGTGTAGGGCGTATAAAATCCGAGCTCTGACGCTAGTGAAGGATTTGTAACAACAGCAAACAAAACAGCTTCATTGTCTAAAAAACACATGGAATGGAAAACAAATAGGTTGCCTACTTGGGTCGCCATTAGTAACTTGAAATGATGCATCAGTGAAGTTCGAATACCAAGTATTTTGAGAGTTTGCCGGCTGAAATCAAAAGCTGCGTTTTTCAAAAAAAAAAAAATAATTTTTTTTCAAAGGTGAACGTAATATTTTCTGAAAAAACTCACTTGAAGAGGGATATAGGCCAGGACAGTAAGGTCGTGGTCGCTTTCAATATTCCAAAGTTGCTCCAAAGTCGTTATACGAACGACATGATGATTCAAACGATCTATCCAACTGAAATACTTCATGGTTTCACGTTTGCCAATCAAGTTATTAACCGTTTAACGTAGTTGAAATTGAGAGGACCGTTATAAAAAGATGCAGCGTTGTTCATTTTTGCTCCCAAAACAGGATAGTTAGTGATTCTGTATTTTTTGTTACATTCCCCGTCGGAATAAAAACAGTTCACAGCTTGAAAAGTGGGCGACAACTCCTAAAAACAACTTAAAGTAAGCGAGAAAGGTATCAGGAAGAATTACCTGCTCTGTTTGATAGAAACGTCTAGAAACTTGTCCATATTGATCGCGAAAATGTTTCGAAGCAAAACTCATTGGTGAGTAATACATAGTTATAGTTAAACCCGGTCTGTTGTGACTTAAAAGTTTAGCCATCAAAAATAAACTTCTTGAAACAAAAACTCACTGAATGGGACCCAAGTGGCCTTTATAGTAATCTGCTACACCGGACTTTTTTCCTATAAAAAAAGGACCAGGTTCAGATGCTTTTACTACTTTAACGGTGTTCCCCCTGGAACAAAATATTAGATAAAAAATGCAGTTTAAAATTACCGTGTCATAATGAAATAAAAACAAGAAACTAGGAACATCAACAAAAGCATTGTAATGAATAGAGCTTGAGCAACGAACAATCCTGAAAACTAATTAATCGAAATATCGTCTGAAATTTTTTTTCAAATTTTCCGAGAGCGCTCATGACGCCCTTTGGAAAAGAAAGCCATTGGAACGACGATAAAGTATTGATTTTTGGCTGCTCGATTTGTGTGGCATGGGAAAAGTTTGCACTGAAATGAAACTAGCCTGAATCTTTCGTGGGAACCTCTCGAAAAACAACTTCGATAGTTTGTTCAGAACCACAGTCTTCTTTTTCAAAAATTCCGAAGTCAACTGTCGAGTCTTCCTCAAAATCTTCTTCTGCGAGCTCCGTGCTAATTAATTCATTTTCATCCATCAGTTCTAAAAAATAGATCTTTTTTTGTCGCTGTTCAAACAAATTTGAAATGGAATAGAGTAAATCAACAAAAATAAAAGAGCCTTGAAAATATTTGGAATACCTTTTGAGATAATAAGTAAAACAAAGCACTATCTGAACTATGAAGAGATTTAAAAAAGAAAGTTTTCAGCATAGCGTCAACAAACCCAAAAAACGTCTTCTTGACAAAAAAGAAAATTTGCTGCGTCAACTGCGCACCATGGAACACGGCAGATTTTGACTCTCAAGTCAAACAGATAACGCCAATAAACTACCTTCCATATTTTCATGGGGCTTTGCTTTTTTACGTCAGTGTCATGAAATTTTTTAATTTTGATTACACCATCAATTTTTTCTGTATATTCTCTGTTGGTTCCCGCAAACTTGATGATATTTTACTGAATACCGGAAAAACGCGAAAAAAGAAGTAGTTCGAATTCTTCTTTTCAGTCCCTCTTTCACGATAAAGTTAAATGCTCCATTTGCAATCTTGATGAATTTTAAATAACTTCTGGTAAGTGATAAGCGGTTTTTTCATTTTCATATTCACGTTAATAAATTTTATTGAGACTTTCTTTGTGAAACGTTTCACAACTCTGCTGCTTTTTTCTGGCATTTTCAGAGAAACCGTATTATGAATGTGTACAAGGCAATGAAAAATGGGGGAAATTGGCAAGAAATCGAGGTTTTCGCATAATCAATCCGGGGAAGCTTCCAATGTCGTTTTTGAGAATCAGACCGCAGTTGGATGTCGATATCATCTCCAGAACCGTCTTCGATGTCATCATCCTGCAGAATACAACCGGGTGTAAGATTACGAAGACGTTTTCTCACATAATCTTCTTCGTCATCAGTACCACTGATTGAGTCATCCGCTTCTGCTCGCAAGTTTCGATTTGAAGTGAGAATGTTCTGAATACGCGCGACAAGCCATTGGAACTTCAGCCTTTCTTCTACGTAAACACCTGAAAATGGCAAAATAAAGTTAGGCTAGAGCTCTCAAAAATGAGAAAGACTCCATAGAGATTTTATTTGAGGTTGATTGATTGAATAAAACAATTGAAACATTAAAAAAAAAAAATTAAATGCATGTTCGCCCAACTCCATTTATATATATACTACACTTCTGGAAATATTTGGAAATGCGTCAAACACAGTAAAAATCCTTCTTCAACCATTTGGTGAAGATTACCGGGCCTTGAATTGATTATGAAAATTTTCCACCTCTGCATTTTTGCAAAAATAAATTGGAAAAACAAACTATTAAAGTAACTCTTATTTGAACTTCACGAAAAATTTTTCAAAACTATCAAAAAGTAGGTTTATCATCTATGAAATTTTATGCATCTCTCTCAAAAAAAAAACCTCTCAGAGTGAGATATTCGGAGCCTTGATATTCAGGGTTTGCCAACGGAAAGTTGTTCCGAACTGGCGGCAGGAGGTAAGGCCCAACGGCAGATCCATTCCAACATGCCGCAGTTTCCGGCGCCGACCACTGCTCCAACTTGCAGACTCCAGTCGCAAATGACGTGAAGAGCCGTTTTTGACCGCTTAGCTGTAACTTTTTCTCTCTTTCACATTTTTTGAAGCTGCTTTCGGCCAAGCCTTAAAGGCGATTGTCCTCTTTATCAGTGTTGCGGGAGGAGCATGCAACGTCTTTTGATCTTGAAAATACGGTCGGAATTAAAATCAGTTCCCTATTATCAATCGATGGAAAAAATCTGTTAAATAGAAAAAATGAATACGAATTGATGCATCATTAGAGATAGTGAAAAATAAGACATAATGCAATTAATTGACGAAAATTCCAGGTACAGCATTATTTTTTTGGTGCTTTCGAGTTTTTTTCAAAGAAGCCAGACCGTTTTTAGTATTGGACTTCAAATGAGATTTGAGTTGGACTCCCAGAATGCTGCCTGAGTTCTTGTTAAGATCGAGTTTCCGAACACAAATAAACTATTTTTAATTTTTATGATTAACTATTAATTATTTAGAGGGGTTTTTAGAAAATCCCCCTCTGTCCAAATGATTTATAAGAGCGAACCTTCTGAATGAAGTATGTCATTTTCTGATTGAGTTCTTCCAGTTCTCGGGCTTTCCTCGCGTTAGCTTTTCTAAGTCGATAAGAGTGGTCGATCTCAGATCTCTTGGATCTCAAGAATTGATCGGTGAGGACGCATCGAGCGACCATCTAAAACTCACAAAAATCGATTAAAACCAACAAATTATGTAAATGTTCGTTCGATCAGAAATCATTGAGGCTGTATTACCTTGCTCGTGATCATGTCTCTTTTTTCTTGAAAGTCCATAATAGCTTCACTGATGAGAACCGGTAAAGGTCTTAGCGCATTGACGATACTTTGACGATCTCTGAGAAGTTTTGCTAGTTTTGTGATATTTTCTGCAAAAAGCTAATTTCTTTTGTTAGAGAAATAACGAAACTAACCTACAACGGTGGTCCAAATTTGCTCACTACTTACAAATGGATAAGCACAGCCGCTAATGATGTTCTCACAGAAGCTTTTACAAGGACGTTCTTTCACGGAGTTGCAAACGCCGCACATTTCAAGTCGCGCGAGCCCTCGAACACACTCATTTTGAAGGGTGACCTGAAAACTAATCTTCGGAGATCCTCTTCGCAAAAGCTCAGGTATTCTTTATCAACTGAGAAACACAAAAGACGGAAATGACGTGATGTTAATCTCGCAAGAAGAAAAGTTTGGTTTTTGAGGACGACGCAGCGACCTATCAGGTGCGCGGTTCTCTATGTGAGTCAAAACAAAACATAAATGGCATAGTCAAATCGAGGCCGGAGGAACGAACGTTGAGGTAGCCGTCCAAAATGTCGTGTGTAGTCTCGATGGCTGAGATGAAACTTCTCCAGTTAGTGAAGGTGGGCGTCAGAAGATTTGAAATTCTTTCTGGCATTTCACCGAAAACTTTGTTCGTTTTTACATAGCTCATCATGCATTTCCACTGTCCTTCTGTTGTTTTTTGCTGAAAAGTGTTCAATCACACTATTGTTAAATTGAAAAATCACAACTCACCAAAGGATTCGATAATTTGAACATGACACGGAAAAGTCCATCAAAAAAGATATCTGTAACTCGACGGATGCTGGCTTCCGAATATGACGAAGAGAAAGATTTCAGATGACTGAAATAAGTGTGCAAAACCTAAAACAGGGAATTTTGTTTCAAATATGCTATAAAAATAAGTTACCTTAGCATTTTCCGAGTAGAAAGGACCGTACGTTTCGACATAAAGAGAATCCAATTCATCGTAAGTTGAAGTTAAAGTTTTGTGGAAGAATTCTAGAACAAGAAGATAAGTGAGAAAAAAGTTTAAAAAACCTCGAAAATCTATGAAAAAGGATTGGAATAAATGTCTGGTAGATATAATCTTGTCTTGGACGTCTTGGATGTAGGCGTCGACAGTGAGAGCGGTGTATCTCAGTTGTTGTTCTTGAGAGCAACAAAGTGTGGAATCGCCACAAGTTCCCTCGTCTGAAGAATTTTTTTTTGCCTGGTCAACTTTCCCACCGGGTTTTTCATGCACAATACCGGTGCGCCACAAAAGGACAATGCCGCCCCGAACGCTGAATCTTTGGCACCTATCCATTTACCTTTCCATCGCACTAATTAATCAAAGTGCCATGAGCTGAGAAGAAGAAAAAAACTTTACCCTACCCAACTTGAATAGCAAATGGTTTTCAATTATTTGAACCAAAAAATGACATTTTATTCTTGAAAGGAAAAAAATAGAAAGATGATGTGGATTCTATAATATATTCACAAACAGCTAAACTTGGAAATTTTTTGAAATTTTTACACTAATCGAAAATCAATATCTGTTTACTATAATCTTTTTTCCCGATTTTTTTAATTGAAAATCTTATATCAAACGGAAGCTTAGAAGCTCATCGAACCGACAAATTAGAAAAAGAGATAAATCGAAAAAATTTCTACTTTTTAGAACTATCTTTTCTCAATAGGAATAAAACTCACCCAAATGTACAGTAGATCGCGGCTGGTGGACCTGAAGGTCGGATTCACAGTTCTGAGAAGCACTCGAAAGCGACGCCACGACTGCCAGCGAGGCCCAGAAAAGACCTCTCATGAAACAAAAAAGGCTGGCGACAGTACTGTTGGCGACAGATTGGAAATGAAGAAGACGAGTAAAGGGCAGAAAGAGGCGCGGAGGGTGGAGCAACTGAGCCGCTCTCCGGTTCTTTGCGCCCTCCGCCAAACTCATTGTGTTTTTTAAACTCCCAAACGGTCTTCATATCAGCAACGGTTAAGAGGATAAGCCAAGCCGAAACAGCTTGAACTCTGTACGCTTTGTTTTATAAACTTTTTATTCAGTGAAGCTTCTAGAAGACTTTCGTTTTCCTTTTTCGGTTCCAGTTAGTTTTTGATACTTAAAAATTTGCAATAATGTGGTTTGTAATCTTGGTCTCTAATAAAAAAACCTGTCAGAGATATTTTCTAAAGTTTGACAGGACAATGCGAAAAAAATTAAATTGTATTAATTCAAAGCTGGGCTGGCTTTGAACTAATTTTTTCCTTTTTTTCAATTCAATTTGAGATTTGAAAATCACTATAACTCATTAATTTAATAATATTGTTCCATTTTATGTTTCTTCTTTAAATCGCGTGATTTTTTGAATAAATTTGACATTTTTCTTACAGGAGTTTGTGAGATAAAATGCAAAAAAAACATTTTATACTTTAGAGAAAAGCTCTTTAATCGTAAAATTGAGAAAAAGCAAATTTTTTTCTTCAAAGTGGCCGCCTTTTTATTAAATAAACGTGGTGTTGGTAAAAATCCTAGGTAAACAAAAAGAAGCTGTCAGCACGTCAGGTGCAAAGTTGCACGCGTGTTAATCCAATATTGAGCTGGTCTATAACTTTTCGATCAAAGAAATTCATACGAAGGAAAACAAAATCATCTCTTGATGGGCGATTGAGTGTCACTTGATTTACAGGCGCGATATGCCCATTTAAGAAAGCTGTAAAAACCATATGCCATTGAGGCTTTTTTCTCCTCTTTTCGTGAGAAAATTATTGCGAGAAGCGGTGTTGCCAACATCTTCCGACCAAAAAAACGAGGCTGAGAAATATCTCAACGAAGACTATGCCACAAGTTTTTGCGGACTTCTCAGGGTGAGGCTGGCCAGAAAAAAGTCGTCTGAATCAAACGTAATTATTTGAAATTGGCAGCAAAAACCGGAACGAAGATCGGAGAGGATGATTGAAATTCGGCAGACAGTTCGTATTCTCAGTTCCCAGGAATTGGTTCAAAAATATGCTCGAATACTTTCTTCTATTCCTAATGACAAGTCTGAACTTGGTTTCCGGCTGCCCCGATCAAGCTACAGACGTCATTTTCTTCGTCAAAGCACCATATCACGCAACGCCTGAACAGTGGGCCACTACGAAACATTTGATCTCAAAAGTGGCTCATTCTGTGCAACTCGGCCGTGGTCCACAGGTTTGTAAACGGTTTCTTGTGAAGTTTAACAAGATTTTTCATTTTCAAGAAGTTGAAAAAGTTTACTTGCAAACTTTTTTTTTCAATCATGAAAACAAATTTAGAGTTACTTTTTTATTTATAATATAATCGAAATTTTGAGCAAATCAGAATCCTTTTCACAATAAAAAAAATCAGGACTAGTTGAAAAAACATTCAAAATTCTATTTTCGCTTATGAACAACTTACTTTAAAGTCATCATTTCTCTCTACAAAACGGAGAGCTTCGAAATTTCGAAAAGTCAAGAAAATGCGTGTTGATGAGTTTTTTTTTGTCTCAGATTTGAATGTGTGAGCTAGTGCGTGAAATTAATGAGCGTTTTTCTCACGCTCGCGTTCTCTCCATTCTGAACTTTCGCACGGAATGACCCATAAAACGCGATAAGTTGATTTCGAAGTTTCATACTGTAATTGAACAGGACTCGAGGGTTGGCGTGGCCTTGTATGATAACACGAACGAAGTGAGGTACGTGGTCCATCTGGACATGTTCGGCAGGGCGAGCGATCTGTCGACGGCTGTCGCTCAGATGAACCACCTTCCTTGTGGCTCGTGGTGCGACTCGGCTGACTACAAAAGTGACGCGCAGGTTTCAAAGTCTTTTCGAACCCTTTTTAAACTGGGACCCTCAAAAAGATCGATTTAATCGCGCAGTTTCTTCAATTTTTAATGCAAACAGCAAAAAAGGGAACATTTTGTTTGAATGTTTGAATTTTGTAATTTTCCGGAATCCCTTCAGAGTTTCAATTGAAACCTCTAACATTTCAAAGCCTAGCACTGAAGATTGACTAAAAAAGTAAAACACTACATCCATTTTAAAGAGTCTTGATCACAAAAATCGAAACCAGAGAAAACATAAGGAAGGCGATAAGTTTTTGACTCTCTTCTTGTTATGAGTTTGAAATTCTTCATAGAAGAAATTCGAAAACACCGATCTCAAACCTTTTCAACTGAGTTATAAACTAATAATCAAAGGCAAAAAGGTTTCTTCTCAGATGCAATTATGTTTATAGTGACATTGTAGCAACTCGAAGCTTTCTTGCCGAAATTGCGAGCCACTCCAAGCGGAAAAGCGATCAAAATCTACATTCTCGGCTTGGATCCGTTAGATGAAAACCAACTTCAGCCAGTTCGAGCAGCAAATCCCGACATCGTTATCCAACAACTTCTTCTACCCCAATCAAGTGAGAAAATTATTTTTCATAATAACGCGCGGAACAGATGTGATCGCTTACAATGCACCCTATCACGACTACTATCAGAGCTATTACGACACCTATCGGAGGTTTTGTGGCCGTTAGGTACAAAGCTATGTGGTTTTGCAGATATGCGGAAAGAATGCAACAAGTTTATCCCAACGTCGAAGTGCCAGTCCCTGCAGACACTTACCCGTACCAGGCGTTTGTCCAGAACCAGTATTATTCACAATCTGCGGACCCATACTCTGGAACCTTCCCCATGTGAGCCAAAAAACAAGCGACTCGCAAATGGAACAAGTTCCAGGGATCCGGCAGGAAGCTCCTGTTATCAACTGACGGGCTGTAGCCGATGCTACGAAAACTTCGAAGTTCCAGCTTCTCCCGCTATTCCTTCTATTGATGAAAAGCCGATCACTCTGCCATCCAAGGTGATTTATGATAATAACTCTAGAATATTCACTCTTTATTTACAGAGTGCAATCAATGATGATTCTGCAAACGCAGTGACCACACCCAAGGCTTTAGTTACAAAAACGGAAGAATACGAATATGAAATAACAGCCGACCCGCCTGGAAGTGATGAACAAAAAAAAATTCAGACATAATTTAAAGATTTCAGTCCAAATAAATAAAACCCCGCTCCACGACAATAAGAGCAGCAAAGAGGAAGAGCGAACTGGAAACGAAAGCTTTGATATAACCGATGAATATTGATTTTTGACGAGTTTCACGTCTACTTGAAGCATAAATTATGGTGTTAGCAATAAATTATCCCGTGGAAAAATGGCCAGACTGTTCAAGAGATTTTTTGGAGGATTCATGACAACGTAGCTTCCGTTGAGATCAGGGGATTTCGCGACATCTAAAACCTTGTTCCCGATTCTTCGTCCGCGTTTTTCCTCAACTTCTGAAGTATTTCGCTGAGTGAGCTCTTTGGTTCAATTTTCTTACCGTTGCAAACTGGAGAAGACGGAGGTACTTTTCGTCCTTTTGCATGTAGTAACTTCTTTACCCGGTTGAAAGTGAACTCTCTAGAAACAACCTCTATTTACAATAATGGTATTTAAAACTGACCCTGTAGAAACGAGAACTATGAAAAAGATAAATGCAGAGCCGAAGGAAAAAATGAAGAACAGCAAGTTTTTTTTCAATACAAAACGGCAGTCGGTCGCGTTGCACAGTATATTGTCACACCACCTCAAGATTTAGGATTATTTCTCGGGAATTTAAGCTTCTTTGTGTAACCTTTTTGTTCTTTATTTTTAGTTGGAAAAAATATTATTTTCGAGAAGATTTTCGAAATTTAAATCCCGTGAGCTAACGCGACTACTGAGCAAGCAAATAAAAAAATAACAAAAAAAAAGGAATCAAACTTCTCTGGTCCACAGTCGCATTCTTCTTCAAACTCTTTGATTCCGTTCCCACAAAGAGAGACAATAGGCCTTCTCAAACGGTTATTTGGCTCCAAACATCGGTGTTTGGGTAACAGATCCGCCAACTGCTGAGCACTGCACTCTTCAAATCCTCTGAAAAAAATCTTTTTTTATTGTACGAGAATATAAGATTTCTGAGTCCATATTCATAAAAACCTAGGAATTTCCAGAAATAGAATAAGCAATATCCAAAAATTTCATTTTCGCAAAAAAAAAAAATGAGCAGCAGCACATTTGATCTTTCAGGAACTTATAAACATTTTTTTGCAGCTTGAGCTTCTTGATATCTCCATTCTGTAAAAAAAAGAAAATTTCGAAAACCATTAGGATAAGTTCAAAAAAATAGCTAGCTGGAGCGCGTTTTCTTCGCTATTCTGCGAGCTTCTCTGGTGGCTCACTTTAAACGTAGACACTCTCCGGGCTGCTTTTGCACACAGGAACACGTCGCTTGGGCCTCGTGCGAAAGTCCAAGCACATGAGCCACTTCGTGTATGAACAGCCACGCGTTTTTTGATGTTGCTTCTGGTGTGAACTGTAGTTTATCCCTTTTTAATATTACTCCAACATTTTTTCGTTCCACAAACGAGCTCTTTTTATCTGTTTTTATCTGTTCTTCCAATGCACCAACCAAGTCGTTAAGTTTCTTTTTCAGAATAATTTTCTCTTTAGCTTTTACAATTCGTTAAAAATTCCAAACTCACGCCTGCCACAGCTATAGAATTGACCGAACAAACTCCATTTACGTAAGCAATTCCTCCCTCGTGTTTATATCGCAATAGCACAGCTATGTCGTGTGCTGCCTGAAAGTCTTTCAATCGTTTTTTTTTGTCGTTTATGAGAGACCTGATGGTTTTGTGCTTTTTTCCATGATCCAAAATCATCTAGAGAAAGATTGTAACCTTTTATTGGCACGATCTCCGCCAAAGCCACGCGGATTTTCAATGGGTACAGATACTGTAAATTGACCTTGATTTGAATACGATTTAAGTACTTTTACCGCGCTAACAGAGTGCATTAAAGTGACAACAGCTGACCGAATTTTCGACTCATCATAGTTAAAGTACTGCGTCTGTAATGAGAAGAAACTCGAATTTCTATGGATATTAAAGCTAAGATAGGAATCATGGTCACGGGAACGTCATCTATTGAAGTAAGCATGACATACCAATGGTGAATCAACAGCAATGAGAAAATCAATAGTTCGGACCAACGGGTCCATTTTGATATCATACCAATCCACGATTTCAGCTTTCTCATCATCATGAAAAATAATATTATCGATACTTAAATTAAGTTTCGGAACAAACTTGAGGAGTCGGTAGATAGGTAGCGGCGGCGATAGGAAAAAAGTTGAGTGTTAGGAACCATAGGAGCATTCAAAAACGTTAAGAAAAATTTCACCTGAAACGAGAACTATCGTATCGTAGTGCCAAAATTGACAGGTCGAGTGAGAAGCAATAAATAAATACAAAGATGAAAGACAACGAGAAACCAGCGGTTTAATTAATTGGGACCGACACGGGCGCGCAAAGAGAAGAACATGACATGAGTCATCCGCGCAAACAGCACTCAACAAACGTCTCCTGGACACTCGACGCATTTGGGTGAAAATGATCTGTTCCACGCCCTTTCCACTGAACCTTTCAAGTTTATGTGATGCAACAAAATTTGAAAAGGGTTGAAAATGAGAAACTTTTGTCAATTCATCAATTAATGGCCAAAGGCTTTAAGGGTACCGATACATAGATTTAGCCGCGAAATCTTTTAACAATCTCTGAAATTTTTTTGATTTTTGTGCTCCACAAACAAAAACTTCCTAGCATTCTAACTTGTAGTCTAAATACAAGATCTCTTAAAAACGAAAACAACACAAATTTTTTAAAAATTTGCGGCTTAGAAAGGACGGTATTTTTAAAATTGCTGAAAAAAATATCCCAAGAGACTACATTATGAAAGTGTTCGGCGCCGCTTTAAACTTATTTTTTTAATGCTGTGTTTTTTTAGATGAGTTTCTCGGCAAATGAATAAGTTATGTGTTTTTTTCTATTTTTCGCAAAAAAATGACATCAAAAAAATCAGATGACTTTTTAAAAAAATTGCGTCACATTTATTCCAGATAAAAAAACAATCGGCTCAAAGGAATAAATTAAAATAAATTCAGAATGGGTCAGAATCGAAATCGAATACCAATGTCGCCGGTTGGTTACAAAGGTTTACCTTTCATTACCCTTTTTCAGCTTCCTTTGACTGGAATATCTTCTTGGAATTCAATATACATTTCCGGATGCTGCGCATTTATTCAAGCTACGCAGTTCAGTATATTTTTCAGCTCAATGTGGCCATATTTGTTGAAAGTTAGAACCCATTTGTTCAATTGTTTGGCTCTTTATTCAAATTTCAGCTAAAACCAGATGTTCGTCAAGATAGTTTTGGAGTTGTAGTTTCTGCGTACAGTTTTGCACAATGCATTGGATCTCCTTTTTTTGGATATTGGAGCAACAAAATCGGGCAGGTTGATCCAACTTCCGTGATTTTCAAATCTCGCTTCAGGTCAGAATTCCCTTGATTTTCGGGTATTTGATTATGGCTGCTGGCAATATCACTTATCTTTCTCTACAATTCCTGCCTAGTTATCATTTGCAAATGATGATGTTAGCTCGATTCATCGCGGGAGCAGGGACAGGTGGACTTTCATTCGATAAATGGTGATGTGGATTGATTTTTTTTAGGAAATATGTCCCTTCTACGCGCTTATGTTTCTACAGCCTCCACGTCGACAGATAGATCAAGAGCTTTGGCTTGCGTTTCTGGAGGGATCGCAGTAGGAACAATGATTGGACCTGGTAAATTGATATTAATGGAAATAATAATTCGTTGCTCAAGGAATGCAACTGCTATTCACACCGCTCGGAGAAAAAGGAGTTGATTTCGTTCTGAACCTGAACATTTACACAGCGCCCGCGTTATTTTCCTTGGGGCTCAACATTGTCGGCTTGGTTTTTGTAAAGTTTTGGTTCGTCGAGCACACTGTGATACAAGTTGAAGCCAGTAAAATTGATGGTGAAGTGAATGAAACTTCCTTATCTGAACGTTTTGCACCACCTTTCTTCAGGTCGAAACCAAGCTCCCTGATCCTAATATCGTAGCCCTGATGGTATGTATATTGACAAGGTTCACCCAAATCTTCGTTCAAACTTCAATAGAGACGTAGAATCTGTGAAAAGAAATGTATGAAGCAGCGTTTTCAGCTTGGGATCGGCGTATTCGATGATGATGTTCGGTTTCGAGAAAGAACAGGCTGTCAGTGTGAACGCCGGAGTGCACATGGCGGCTGGCACCATTGCAGCTTTATTCTATGTATTTTTCATCCTCTTCAATCCAAAGAAATTGTAACTGATTTTATATTCTTTTTTCATGTTGTTTACAGTATTCGAGTTCGATCTTTTTGCGCTCTATCGTTATTCTTCATGCTTTTGATGTTCATCGCAACTTATTCTTACCCTTTTTTGGGAGAAAAAGTTCATCTTTCATCTAATGGTTCGAAAAACAAGTGCCAAGATCTTCAAAGTGATTTTTTAGCAAGCGACGCTGACTGCAATCGTGAAAAGTACCAGTGGTGCGACTCTCTGACGACCACACCCGTTTGGGTATTATTTCACTTTTCTATCAAAATTTTGAAAGTTCAAATGAAGGTTTACTATTCCGGATACGTATTGGTTTTTGGGATTGCAAATTCATTCCTCAACATATCTCTCACTACACTCTACTCAAAAGTTGTTGGTCCACGACCTCAGGTTTGTTCAAAATATCTAAAATGATTTTGAGATACTCCGGATTCAACAAGTAAGTGCTCAACAGTTTTTTATTTTTGAAAAATACCGTCATGATTCCCCTCAATATGAGTTGTTGATAAAAAAAGATGATATATTGCTCAGAAGCGGTAATTGTATCATTTTCTACGACCATCATACTTCTTTTCAGGGAACTCATCAAGGATTTTTCCAAATGTCGGGCTCTATTGGTAGGCTCATCGCACCATTGTTGATGAGGTACTTTCAATAAAAAAGGTTTTAAATAAATATTTTCAGTTGGCTTTTATGCTGCATACGGACCCAGAATCCCATGGATCATCAAAATGAGCGATGTCAGCTATAATTTTCATTTCTCGTTTTGATATTTTTTTTCAGGTTACTCTCATGCTGTTTTTATGGTTCATATTCCGCAAGAACATGATTCCATTCGAGAAAAATCAGTTATCACAAAAGACCATAACTGAAAATACCTAAAATTATTTTTTTTCATTCAATTCATTTTTTTTTGTTTTCAAATAAGCATAAATTTTTAAATATCTGTTGACACAAGGCGGTTGACTTTCAAGAAATCAGGATCAGTTGCGACAACTTTGGCCAGAATGAAAGAGTGAAGGTTAAAAACAACAGTTGAAACGTCTTCGCACTCGATATCCTAAGATAAGAAGTTGTCTCGAATTCTAGAAGTGAAACTAACTTTGACTTCAATTTTATCGGAATTGAGTGATCGGTCGTCAAAAAAAGCCATCTGCACGCATAATTTACCGTCGTCGGCGCATGATTGTAAATCTCGGAATCGGTATTGCCACAAATAACTCTGAAACGATCAATTTTTTTATTTTCAAAGAAAAGAGAGAACCTTCTGAGGAATATCATATAAACAAATTCCTTGTTTGATATCAAAAACAACGCCACTAGGTCGTCCTTCGTAGTTGCAAGCAAATGTTCTCGTCTGAAATTTATTTCCCAAAATTAAGAAGTTTCGGGCGGCATAGCTCAGCTGGTAAAACTCATTTCTAACGCCCGCAAGGTCGTAGGTTCGAGTCCCCCCGAGTCCGACCAAGCCTTTCATCCCTCTGGGGTAGATAATATTGGGAGCTGCATGCAGCGAAAAGGCTAAATCTCTGCCATCGGCCTTTGGAAAGCCGGCACCGTAACTCTTCCTACGACCTCTCTTGTACCTGATGTTCTACGAGCGAAATTCACAACTTCTCTGCCTAAGCCACAGCTCCTGCCGCCGTTTAAACACAGTCAAATCAATGAAAGTCGATTGCATATGTACTCTTACATTGAAGATGCAATAAACAGTTAAAAAAAAAACAAAGAAGTTTTCGATTACCTGCATGGCGTTTATCGTTGTGTATACCGCACGGTTGTAAGCGCTTTCAAAAAGTTCATAAGTGCCAGATGCTTCGAAAGAGAGATAGTGGTGAGGAGATGATATTGCTGTTTCAATCAAGAAGCAATTCTCGCGTTTGTCCTTTTTAGGATTGTCGTTTGGCACCTGGGCGGAATGAAAATTTTATTATCAAAACTTTTGCGAACCATTTTCAAAGCGACGTCGTAAGATTTGTACAAGTAAACGCATTTGTTGAGGTCTTCAGAGTTGAGCTTAACATTTTTGATGCAAACTATTAGTTTTTTTGTTTCTAATTACAGGCGGTGCGTCAAAGAAACAGACGTCACTTCCTTTGAGAATAAGAAAGCGAGGCTGCCAACGAAGTTTAGTCAGCTCGTAATCGTCATCGTTTAGGTATTCGTTCACCCAACCAATATAAGTTATCTGAAAAGATTTCTGCATTGTGAACATCTTTCCTGAAAAACAATCACTGCGAGTCCGTTACCAATCATATTATCAGAAAATTAGAAGAAAACACAAGGATTTGCCTCGGAGATTGAATATGCAGGATAAAGAGCTTCATAATCCCCCATTTGATCCCGCGTACCTGCTCACTCTGATGCAAATATTTGTTGCTCATCTTGATACTTTTCTGATTCAACGACAATATATGTTTGTTGATATGAGATATCCATTGTTCCAAAGCATTCGTATCTTCACAATGTACAATTCCAGAAGATTTCCCATCAACAGCTCGAACTTCGAAAGAATTGGTCCTGAATTCAATTCTTATCTATTTCAAATAACCGAAATACCTAATATTATCGGTTCCCCAAAGATATCGAGTAAAGTAAGCCATAGCCAGCGGCAATGTCGTTAAAGTCTTCCATTTTTTGTCTTTTCCGTCTACTTGCCACTTTTCTTTCCCTTCCGCAAGCAGTAATTCTGAGTGCGACTTCTTCGTCTGAATTGCAAATAAGATATGCTTTTTTTCAATTCAATACTCTGTATGAACTTTTGGAGTCAAAAAGTTGATCCAAGGTTCTTGATGACCCGTCGGGCTGTAGAGACTGAGCAGGCCTAACTTTCTATACATGATACTTCTACAAGTTCTGAAACAAACTTCAAAAAAGGAGTGATGTGGGTGTAGTGTCGGACTCCTAGGACCACTTCATCTCCACTAGTTTTGAGCATGTGTACGACTTCATCATGTGTCTGTCCTTCTATCGAAACTCCATTCACTTCGATGATTGCATCGCCAACGAATAAGTCTCCGCATTCGTCAGCTCAAAACTTTTTTGTGATATTTGTATATTTCACAGTTAAAAACCTGGCAATCCTGGAAAAATCTTGGAAATAACAATTGGCATTTGTTGAGAATTTTCCGTTCCACCCTGAAAACTTTCCATTTTTTATCTTTTTCGAGTTTTCCTACTAAGACAAAAAATTAGAAAAAAAAACTTTTTATTCGTGTGTAGGCATAATAAAATGTACCTTGATAGATAAACCCAGTCCGGAGCCAGGTTTCCGTGTCAGTACAACTTGGCGTGTAGCGTTTTCAAGAACTGGCTCCCTCTGTTGATCTTCTGGCTCAGCTGTTCCATCGTCAATAACTTGGATGCAGAGTTCATCTGAAAACTATTATTTTTCGTCATGAAAAATCTTTCCTGCCTTATTTTTTTATTTCATCTCCTATCAAACCTTTTGAAAGTAGTAGACGTGAAGGTCTTGAACTTCCTGTGCCGTCAGAAATCAAAACTATTCCATGGTGCACCTGGAGTTGAGCTTTTGATGAAAAAAAAACAGAAAACATTCTCTAATGTTTTACAGACTGTTCGAACAACATAAATTTAAATTAAACTCACAACATCAAGATGCTTGCGCGATTTGGTCAAAGACATCCGGCCAATCGACTATTGCCAGCCCAGCCGATTTCGAGCCCAAAGTTAGGATTACACACATTACAGCGGCAGTAGTGTGGTCCGTCCTCCCGACAGCACCCCTCTCGCTAGTAGCTTCTCCGCCGCGTTCTCTCGGTCTTTTGAAAGAACATACTACCTAGAGACTTTACCTGAAGACTTTAAATAAAGCTTAGAGATCTAAGCGTCTGCCGTATAGGTGAGGCACTCAATAGATTTCAAGACATTCTTATTTTTTCCAAAATTACCTCAGCTCAGATTCAAAAAGAAACTAATGAATGTAATAGCCATCGAGACATTAAAAACAGGTTCGCAAAAGCGCGCAGCGGCACAGCGGAATGTCGTTTGGTGAAAGTACAAGTCGTGGCACACAAACTACACAATAACTCTTTCTACAAAGGCTAATTTCGTATTGTGAAGAAGAAAAAACGCATACATAAGAAGAATGAAAACGACAGACCTTTTTTCGCTCATCAGAAAAATTTCAGCACTGAAAAACAAGAACTTCTCAGTTTTCACACATTTGAGTAACTTTTATTTTGAACTCTCTACATTCATGTTCATTTTGATCCATCAAACGTGAAACATACTCTCACAGAAAATAATGCGAGTTGACTTTTCGGGAAAGGCAGTCACTATTCAAGTATCAAGAATGCATGGGATTTCAGTGAACCATTTTTCTTCCATTGACAAAAAAGGTTTTCCTAGTCATGATATATTGTTGGTTTTGCGTTTGATGCTTGTTGTAGGCTTGTTACCAGGCTTTTCCAGAGATTGAAACCTCTTTTAAAAATTAATTTTCTATGAATACGCTATTTAATAGATTTTTATATTGCAAGTTGTGCTGCAGTTGAGTTTTCGAAAAATGGAGTGCAAGAAGATTAGTTCGAGTAACCTTCTTTCTTTTTTTCCCCTTTCATATTATTTCCTTGATTCCAAGAAAATAAAGTCTGTTTGTGCGAATGCGCGTGGCGCCGAGTGCAGAAGAAAATTGCGAAACACGTCCTCCGATGAGATGAAAATCGCTTTTGTTTGTTTGTTCATCTCTTGCAGTAACACATTGACGTTGTACTTGTTTCGGCTTTTTTTATCTGTTTTTTTTTCTGAATTCATTTTCCACGTTTTTTCGGGATAAAACTTTTTGAAAAAAGATAATGCACAGAACTAACCGTTAATTTTTTTTTTATTGCCCATTTTGTTATTCGAGGATTCCAGAAGTTTATCGGTACGCCCATATAAAAATCAGAAACTGCAAACTCGCCTTGTCCGAAGAAAAGCATTTTTTAAGCTGCCAATGGTTAAACAATTTTTTTTTCGTTTTTTTCATTTTTCAGATCTAAATAACGACATTTTGCTGAGATTTTGAATGTTCAATCGTGAGGCTTTGCTCTATCTCTCAAGAAAATCATGTTTTTTTCCAATCTTTCCGCAAGTATTGTCATTCGAGAAAAAAAGAAAAAAATGATACAAAAGATCAAACTTTTTTTCTGTGCTATTTTATAATCGAATTCATTTTTTTCGTCTGCTCAGTTTTTTTATTCTATTTTTGAAATATAAAGCAACGACTCTCAGAAAATGAACAATTCTTGGCCTTTCATTCAAAAAGCCACGTTTTCTTCTTTTTCTCGAAATGAGAAGTTCAGTCAAAATAGCCGTCAGAACAAAAGATGACGGGAGAGAAGGCTCGGGAGCTCTTTGAATTCCTTTTTCGGGCACGAGTGAAAATCGTTGAGCTTGCCGCGTGAGCCGCTAGAGATGGCGGCCACCCTGCCGCCTATTGATCCACCACCACGCCAAAACCCCTATATGCATCGCTTTTTTTGCTCGTTCTCAGTTTTCGTTCCGTCTTCTTTTTTTTTCAAACCCTCTGATTATTCCATTCGTTGTTCAGAAGCTTGCTGAGTTCAATCCCTACCAGCCCGTCGCGCTGCAGCCATGTCGCTGAAGCAAATCGTCGGCAGCAGTTTGTTTTTTTTTTTGCTATTAATCATTTGGTTCCGGTTTTTGTTAAACGGAACAAAAAAATCAACTTCATGTAAAAAGTCTCCCTTTTGTCGACGGATAAAAAAATAAATTTCTTTCTCTGAAAATTTAGCTTCATTCGTCACTCAGAAATTTCATGGTTTACAAGAAATGAGATTCTAATCGCAAAAAAATGTTTATCTGGAAAAAAAAAAGCTTTCAGAGCTTCTAAATGAAGTGATCCGGCCGCTGAAGAAAGGCGAAGGTCGCGGTGCATGGAATGTTTTGGTCGTGGACACTTTGGCCATGAAAATGCTCTCCGCCTGTTGCAAGATGCACAATATCATGGAAGGTTGGAAAAACTATTCTTTTTTTTTGTAATATCGGTTTTTTCAGAAGGAATCACGATCGTCGAAGATCTCAACAAACGCCGAGAGCCTCTTCCAACCCTAGACGCCATTTACTTGATTTCACCGACTCAGGAATCGGTAAGGCATTTTTTTTTTTTGAAGTTGTTTTAAGTTTCTCGAAGTTTCTTTTTTTTTTCAAATTCCGTGTTTTTCACCTTCAATTTGATTTTTTTTCTCATTCACAAAAACTTTATCAGTTTTTTTTTTCAGATCGACCGCTTGGTTAACGATTATTGCGTTAGAAACCAGTACAAATGCGCTCATGTATTTTTCACTGAGGCTTGTTCCGACCAACTTTTCTCCATGCTCTCCAAAAGGTCAACTTCTTTACCATCAAGAAAATAAAATTTCGATTTTAGCGCCGCAGCGCGATTCATCAAGAATTTGAAGGAAATCAACATTGCTTTCACTCCATATGAAAGCCAAGTAAGCCAAAGCGAAAAAAAAATTATTAGAAAATTTCATTTGAAGGTCTTCACTCTTGATTCTCCGGATACTTTTTTCTTGTACTACAACGCTCAGAAACAAGGTGGTCTCACTGCCAATTTGGAAAGAATTGCTGAACAAATCGCCACAGTTTGCGCGACTCTAGGGGAATATCCATCTCTCAGGTTTGACAAAAAAAGAAAAGTTGAAACATGAAACAAGAATATACAGATATCGAGCTGATTTCGAACGTAATGTGGAGCTCGGGCATCTCGTGGAGCAGAAACTTGATGCTTACAAGGCTGACGATCCGTCGATGGGAGAAGGAGCTGACAAAGCTCGCAGCCAGCTGATCATTATTGGTGAGTTACAAAATTATCGTCTTCATTGAGCTTCTGTTCAATAATTTAATAATTGGCAGATCGTGGTTTCGACTCTATCACACCCCTTCTTCACGAACTCACGCTTCAAGCTATGTGCTATGACCTTCTTGGAATCGAAAATGACGTCTACCGCTATGAAACTGGAGGAAACGAGAATGTGGAGAAAGAGGTGAACATTTTTTCTGCGTGCTTCCAACCCCAGCTGAAATATTTCAGGTTTTGCTCGACGAGAATGACGAATTGTGGGTTGAAACGCGCCACAAACACATAGCCCTCGTTTCGCAAGAAGTTTTTTCTGCAACTTGACTTTTCAAAAACGGACGTTTTTCAGGTGACTCGAGGACTGAAAAAATTCAGCGAAGCAAAAGGTAACAAAGGAACCATGGACGCCAAGTCAATCAAGGATCTTTCTATGCTCATCAAGAAGATGCCTCAGCACAAGAAAGAACTGAACAAGTTCAGGTATGTAGAGGTAGATTGAAAATAATATAGCAATTTTTGCAGTACACACTTGAGTTTGGCCGAGGAATGCATGAAGCAATATCAAAACGGCATCGACAAATTGTGCCGCGTCGAACAAGATCTCAGCACTGGTGCCGATATCGAAGGAGAGCGAGTGAAGGACGCCATGAAACTGATGGTCCCTCTTCTGATCGATCCAGCTGTCCGTTCGGATGATCGCCTTCGTCTCATCCTTCTTTACATTTTGAGCAAGAATGGTTTGTGCAATTAACTTCGTTTCCAAATCAGAACTGTTTTAGGTATCAGCGAAGAAAACTTGAACAAGCTGCTCCAGCACGCCAACATTTCAATGGCCGACAAAGAAACGATCACAAACGCCGCTTATCTTGGTCTTAACATTGTCACTGATGTGAGTAAATACGAAAAAATTCTTTTTCAATCGCTCAAATTCAGTCTGGCCGTAAGAAGACCTGGACACCTACGCGCAAAGACCGCCCTCATGAGCAAGTTTATCACTCTTCTCGCTGGGTACCAGTCATCAAGGACATCATGGAAGATGCCATCGATGACAGACTCGACGCCAAGCATTTCCCGTTCCTTGCCGGACGACAGATCAATCAGGGTTATCGGTACGGGCCACTTATTGTCAAACTTAGTGAGGCGCCTGATTGTTTTTTTTTCTGAAAAAAATTTTAAAAAATTTGTCGAGTTTATTCAAATCGTCTTGTCAATCAAAACACTTTTCACCGAACGACTACTAAGGCAAGGCATGAGAAACTGCTACTAAAAATTGAATTGTTCTCTAACAAAGTTGTTTTTAGCGCTCCGACTTCCGCTAGATACGGACAGTGGCACAAGGAGCGTGGACAGCAGTCTCAACAGAGAAGTGGTCCTCGACTCATCATTTACATCGTAGGAGGCGTGACCTATTCTGAGATGCGAGCCGCTTACGAAGTGACTGCGGCCAAGAAGCCGTGGGAGGTTATCATCGGCGCCGACCGAATTATCACTCCGGACAAGTTCCTGGCCAACCTCCGTGACCTGAACAAGCCGCGCGAGCAATGACTAGCGGCCGGAACCAGAAAGGAAATCGTTGTCGATGAGACCATCTACGCTTCCGTTTGATTGGAAAATCGCTTGACATTTACTTCCAATAATTTCATCACAGCATCCTTTTTGGTTCCAATTTTTTTGGAGTGACCAAAGCATTCTTTTTTTCGAAAAAGCTTGACATCATCAGCCTAGCCGTATTTATTCGCATTCGACTTTTGTGAGAAGCAGTTTATAAAACCTGTCATAATTTTGGAATTCAACCCTATAGTACTATGAGTTTTGCAAAATCAAAATTTCTTTAATTTTTTAATTGCTTATCGGTGTTCGCAGCAATACATTACGTAGGTACCCAGAAAATTACTTATTTATTTGTTTATTTATTCATTGTGGTTTTTCTCTCGATATCCCAGTAATCAAATACTTCAGTTGGAGCTAACATCGCTTTAATTGTAATGATTTGTTCCAATTTTTTTGGTAGAGGAATCTGTAAAAAATGTGTTTATTGTCTAAATTATTTCTTCTTGAAACCTGCATAGAAACTTGCTAGATTCTTGTAGTCAACCGGGAATCTTTCTTTTTCGGCTTAATTTGCACCCTGTATTAACATCGCTTTTTTGCTAGCATTAGATGCTGACTTAGTTTCCCATAGCCATTCATTGGAAATGTCATATGTAACATTCCGGCGTTCGTCTTTGTTCAATAAACTGCTTCAATTTTTTTGGTTTATCAGAAATGTTCAAATGATTTTCTTTGAATTTCCATAATCAAACATATTTTTCGTGAGCATATTTGGTAGCTCAACTTTTTCATCATTATTGGTCAGTGTTTGGCTATGAGCAGCTTGCACCTTTCCTCCTACTCAGCAGAAAAAAAAACATAATCAAAAGAATCCGAAAAATTCAATTTTGAGTGAGTCTTGAACAACTTCATGTGTTTTTGAAAAAGTTATTTTTTTTTCGAAAATCCCAGCTGCCCGAAAATATCAAACTTTGGCCCTATTTCAAAAAATGATAACACGAATGGAATCCATTCGGAGAGCCATCGGTTGAGTCCAGGCTTTTACTTTTTACTTCTACTCAAAAGTGTTGACAATAACGATTTCCTTCATCCGTTAAAGTTCTTTTGAAAATTATTTTCTCTATGAACTGTTTCGAAACCTTCCAAACTGACCGTTTATTGAAAAAAAAAACCTAAGATGCGATGTGTAATCGTCCAAGAAAGCTCATCTTACAATGACGTTTTATTCAAACACCAAGATTTAGACAGCCAGACGTTGACAACTATACACCACAAAAATGAAATGAATAAATGCTAATTAAAAAAGAGTCGGATAGTGTTATTTAGGCTTGTAGTTGTCGCGGACGCGAAGTTTCCATTTGCATCAGTTGATGATCGTTCACTGTCAAATTTCAGGATGTTTCCAAGTTTTGGTGACATTCAAAAAACCTCGTCCTCTTCCTCTTCCTCCTCCTCGTCTTCCTCTTCTTCCTCTTCCTCTTCCTCCTCGGCTTCTTCGGCTTGTTCCTCTTCAGCAGCTGGCTCTTGCACTTCTTCTTCTTCCTCTTCCTCCTGAATGGATCATGACACCTTCATGAAATGAAAATGATTTTGAACCTTGGTCTCTTCTTCTTCTTCCGGTTCTGGATCCGCAGCCTTCACCGACTGAGAGTCGATCTCAGACTGACGGGACGACTCGCGCTCTTCGAACTTCTTCTTGTAGTGACCGAAAGGATCGACGGAAGAAGCGCTGCCTGGCGGCTTCGTCTCCTCCCATTCTTTGAGTGCGGCTTCGTAGTCTTCCACCCTAGAAACAATTTATTCTGAGCCCTAAACTTTTTGCCATGGTCAAACCATTCTTTCTTCCATCCGCTTCTTTGGATAGTGTTTCTTGGCGTTCCGAAGCCAGTCATTCCTCTCTGAAAGAGTTGGTCTTTGACATTACCTGCTCAAAGCTCTATTTACCTGAGAAGCGAGTTTGTTTGTTCCGGATTGAAGAGGGACGATTCCTTCGGATTTCTGTTTCAGACCTTCCTCGATATCTTTGCCTCCCTAGTTTATTTATAGTTTAGAACAGTTCCATTTTGTCTCGATTTACCTTGGTGTGAGGTAGGACGTCGCGGACCTTAAGGAAACCTCCAGTTCCAGCCTGAGTGGCGAACTTGTTTTGGCCGGAATACCATGGAGTGAATTCGGTTCCTCGTCGCATAAGGTCTTCGCTGAGCTCCAGTCCTTCGATCTTCTGCGTGGCCTGACGGACGGCTCCAAGACCTGGAGGAGCAGACATTCCAGTTTGCGAAGCGAACAAGTTAGTTCCTGAAGTTTATAAAACGGATCGAAAATCTGCACAGTAGTTCAAACCGTTTTGGAAGCAGAGAACACCGTGAGTTCTTCGGTCATGAGGAAGGCGACCACGAATCATGGCGACCTGGTTTCTGTGAGCTCCCATGCTCACCTCAAAAGTCAATTCAAAAACGGTCCTTGGCGCTTTCATATTAATACCTCTCCAGCTTGCGAAGCTAGGCCGTAGTCACCAGCTTGCTTCGGGATAATTTTCTCACCTTCCTTGTCCAATATGGTCTCCCATTCCTTCTTGTAAGCAATTTTCGGGACCTGTTTTTTGTTTTCAACGTTAGCTTTGAATTAAGGAAAGCACCTGGAATCGGTTAGCTCCGATGGGAGTTTCGCCCTTCTGCGAAGCGTATTGGTTGGTACCGCACTGCACACGGAGCACGTTCTCCGACTTGCGGTCCGGCGCAATGTAACTTCAAATCAAAAAATATCTTCGACTTTCCGAAAAAGTTGATAGTACCCCTCCTTCTTGTCTTTGGTGATGTTCCAGCGAGGCATGCCAGGAGCTGTCATTCCTTTCTGGGAATCGAACTTGTTGGTGGCTGCCTGCATCGACAGGAAGGTGTTTCCACCCTTGAGCTGCTCCAGCGTCCATCTTTTGCGCTGTTGCTGAGGCGCTTCGGATGACCAGTCCTGATGCACAATTATGAACACTTGGAGCTTGGAGAATAATGTTTGCATTGAAAATATCATTGTCATGAAGAAAGTCAGCTACTCTCATTTTGAATATCCGATTCGATTCTCAAGCAGAATGATTATAAAACAAAAATAAAATTTTGTTGGTTTGCTTCAATTGATGGAATAGATTTCACTTTGACACAGAGGGAAAAATTATTCAAGCTCTTCATTGTAGAATAGCGTCTAACAAGTACGGCAATAAAAGGAAAGAAAAGTCACAGTAAGAAAAAAAACGACAATAAAAAATCTTAGAAAATTTTCGAAGAATAGGGAGGCGGATAACTGAGCAAGCGGAGCACTTACTTCTTCTCCCATGGCGACTGTAGATTGAGGACGCAAGTGCAGTGAGTGACGGTTGTGGATACCGCCGATCTGTCGGTAGAGGCGTGTGCTTGGGGGCGTGAGTGGGATCTACCACGCCAAGAGATTGCATAGAGAGAAAATAAGCGGAGCCGCGCTGAAGAGGCGCAAAAAAACCGAGCCGCCGAACACGACAGCTCACCTGAAACCGTCCATGATGGCTGAGAAACAAAGAAAGAAGTTTGGCGGCAACGGACAAGGATGAGGAAAAAAAATAGATTTTAGACCGATCATTGATAACCAGCGACTCATTTCGAGTCATCACAAAAATTGAAAATTTTAGTTCTTCGAAGCCTTTGGTGAAGATATCAACAGAAATTTATGATCTTATAATTCGTTATCAAGGTAAAACTTATAAGATCAACTTTGACTTACTTCTGCCAGTAAAAACAATTTCTGTTTTTTTCAATGCTTTGAGCTTCTAAACTCGTTGGAAAACACGAAGAAATCAAAAAATCTGCTTCAAAAACCAGAGACTTTTTTTAAATGTGTGTAGGAACGTTATTATGTTGAATAGTAGTTGAACTCACTGATCTACGCTGAGAATTTTGTATTAGATCTTAAAAATCTTCCTTTCATTTTTAATCTGTAAATTACCCTATCAGAAAAAAATGAATTGGTTTAAGAAGCAACTTCGGGCTGAATTCTAATTTAAATATTTTAGTCAATTTCTATATATTTGAAGAAATACATCCATTTTCGAAACCAAATCCATGCGCCTTTGTTTGCCTTTATGATAGATTCTCTTGATTTAGAGCTTTGGCATTTTTGTTGATTTTTCAACTGGTGGCGGAAGTCCAAAAACTCGATTTCCCATGGCACTTCCACATACGTATTCTTCCTTCTCAAAACCCATTTTTCGTGTTTCTTATCAAGTCTTTATCCATTTTCAACTGCAACATGCTCTCTGTAAATTGAAACAAGCGGGTTATTATTTATTGTTTGAGAAGTACTTGGACATTTTCTCGTGTGCGCAGCTCGGAAACCAAGGACAAGGCGAGATGAGCGGTGGGTGGCAAAAGATTTGCGTGATGGCGCCTCGAGAGTTACGGCAGCGGGGAAGCCTTTTCCACTTGAGGCAACGCGCAACTTCGACCCGCGACTTGTTCATTGTTTACATTACAGCGCAATTGCCACAAATACCCGAACGAAACGCTTTCTTTTCTTTTAGCGCAACACGATGGATTATTAACACGACTGGATTTGATCACATGCCACGTCAGATATCTTGAGCAACAAGTCGATTCTCTTTTGTCGGTTTTCCCTGTGAGCATGGAAAATACAGGAAAAAACGAAAATTATTTTGATTATAAAAGCACGCGTTATCTGTGCAGAAAAAAAGTGGGTAGAAATTTTACTAATTTCGTTTTTCTGGATGAATGCTCCGAAATTCGGTAAAAATGCTTTTCCACGGGCCTGTGAAGATAATAAAGGTCTCAATCTACATAGGTTCTGTATGTTTATGAGAATGCCTTGCAAAGACTGAAGTACCGATGTAGAAAGAATAAGTAGGCCATTCGACAACTTTGACGTTTTTTCTTCTAAAACCACATATTTTTTTCTTAGTTGACTTTTACAGATTTTATCTGGTACGATTAAAAATTTCAGACCTATTTCGAAAGAGTTCCCAACGGTAAAGTGAAAAGACCTGGTGTTTAATAATTCAAGGGCTCCAAATAAGCTGCAGCTACTAGACAAGTAATCTTGGAATCTGGCGTGTACACTATTCCAGTGACCATATAAATTACTGAAAGACCCACCGCAAAAATGGAGATTCATCTTTGTAACCTACTGAAAAAGTTGAATTAAAAAAGACAAACATGAAAAAAAAACTTTTTTCTGAAAACTTTTAATTATCCAGAGACGCCGAAAAAAAAAATTAAGCCTAGTTTTCCTGTTTAGATCATTTTTGTTGGGAAAATGAGACGAGTACAGAAAATCAAACTCTCTTTCCGACATTGCAAGTAATTTGTTCTTGTTGTCCCTGCATGAAAAATCCAGTTTATCAACTTGTAAGGGGCAACATGAGGTCTTTTTTTAGGCAAAGATCCCCGGTTTCCAGACGTTTGCAGAAATCGACAGAGCAAAAATATTTTGGCGATGAAATGGCCATCTAAAAGAGACAAAAACATCTTCCTATCAAAGTCTGCGGACCCGATTCACGTGCATGAGACGTGTCGAGATCCTGTTTTGACAGGACAACCGTCTCTTCCTTCACCGAAACTTTTTCACCCTAATCGGCTGATAGTTTTTTCTTCAATTGGCCTCTTGATTCCTTCATCGATTACTTTATGGTTTACATACTTTTCTCACATCTCGCGTTCAAAAGTTATTGAAAACTTATTCCGAAGAACATGCTAGCTATAAATGCTCTGATGAGCTGAATTTTCTTGTTTTGGAATGTCAACATCTTTTGGAGAAATTTATATGAGCTTTTTCGTTACTTTACTTGAGTCACATGTTTCCAATTTGATATGATTGAAATTAAAAGCGTGAAAAAGATTAGTTTATTTTTTTCTGTTCTTCTTCGAAATTTGGGACCGACGTCCACCAAGGCAAAATTCTGATGAACGAGAGCCATTTTTTTCGCAAGCTGGAACTCACTTCAAGATTTTTTTCCAACCTTCTCTCAAAAAAACATGTACGGCAAAAAAATTTATCTGCAAATTAATCATTTTTATTGTTTTTTTCGTAATAAGGCTTGACTCTGATAATTTGTGCAGCAAAAAACGGTTGCACCTTGAATAACATTAAAAAAATAAAACTTGATCGTTATCAACTAAATAATCGATGAAGTGATAGCATGCGGCATGTGAACAATACGCACCCGGGAGAACGATCAAGTGACTATCACTGAAACTTTTGCCGAATCTGACATCTGTGTAACGGTTGCCGAAGGGCGGCGACCTCCCATTTGCGTTTCCCGTTTTGCCTCGGTCCATGGATCGCCCTGTTTAAAAGTTCCGAGAACTTTCGTTTGACCTTCGTCGGACCGATTCTCTGGAAGACTGTAATTCTTTCCTGTAGAGGTTACTTCACTTCTTCGGAAAATTCCTCCCTTCGATGAATACTCTGTCCCCCCAAAGCTTCTGGCAGTCAAGCTCGTCTGTGTTCTCTCAATCATTCAGCTGCGCTTGTGCTCTTGACGGCAATAAAGCAAAAAAAGCGTGCAGATAAAGCAGGCTTTCTTGAATATAGAGAATGAGTATTGAACTAAGGGATTTCACTTTTGCACGTTCTGCTACATTTTCCTTATATTTTCATATATACCACTCTGATTTTCATGATAGTGTTGCGTGATGCGATTTCTCGTTAAATTTTCATTTACAATGAACTTATTTTATCAGAGTTTCTCTCAACACAAAGTGAACACTGAAGTCTTGGATGCCTGCAAACACAACGACGCAATCACATGGAGGTGAGGTACGCCTTGATTGCTTATCTTAATGATGTTAAAAAAAGTTTTGCCTGCGTTTTATCTCCACAGTACTTTTTTGTCTCACTAAACTGGCCAGTCAAACAAAAGCTGCTGGAGTTGAAGACTTGGTTGTGGTACGGTATTATACTTGAACTATGCCAAATAAAAAAACTTCAATTCTGCTCTTGAAGGATGATACTTCTCAAGGAGCTAAACTTCCCCTGAATTTCATTCGTCGCTTCCACGCAGAGCACTATTACAGTAATAAGGAGGAATGCAGTCATTCGACATGGCTGAAGAAATAGTAAGTCGATAAGAAATTCTTTTCAATTGAAATCCAATTTCAGCGAACCAAAAAAAATAACTGAATTGGTCGGAAGGCAAATTAGCGGGCCCCGAATTGCGAAGTTGCTGGGAAACTTCGATTACTTTTCGAAGGTTGATTTTCTATAAAGTTCGTATAAGGAAAACAAGGCGTTTCAGAGAGTTTTAGTGTTGAAAGGTCCAGAGGGCGCAGGAAAAGCAACTATCTGCAGAACCATTGCTAATGGCTATTTCAACGATCCAGAAGAACATAAGTTGGTTATTTTAACGCTATAACTTTATTTTTGTTTTCTCAGGCAAAACGTTTGCGTCATCTACGCTGCAAAAGAAAATCGCGACATCATAGATACAGTAAGACAAACTCATACTGATAAATTAACGGAGTGAATTGAGGTTCGCAATTTCTGCGACATGGACCAACCGAAGCCAGTATATGGAAGAAACAAAGTTTCTTGAATGGTATACGGAGAAATGAGCCATTTGTTCCAGCTTTTCATCATCCATGACATTGACCTGCTTTCGGCGAATGACATGGAGCTTCTGATGACCACCATCGACTGGCACGTGACTTACGAAAATTGCGGCTTTGTCCTCACCTGTCAAACCACGAAACCTGTCGGCAAGAGCTTGCTCTCCACTTCGATCAAGGTCAATCTTGATAAGTTCTCACGAGACGACGTTATTGAACGGTAATTCGAAAAGGTATTATGATGCAATGTGGAAATAAACCTTCAGATTGAATCAGCTCGTGAGAATTGAGAACATAGAAGTTCCAAGTTTTCTGGCGACAAAGGTAGCCAACTCTTGTGCAGGTAACTTGGGCTCTGCAATCAGTACCTTCCAGCATATGGTCGAGTTTCATCTTGCCAAAACGGTATTGCGTTGTAAAAGAATACTTAGCAACAAATCTTGCAGAAAAAGTTCGGCAGACCGATCTCGGATGCAGAAACATACTTTTTTGTGGCGTATACTTATGAGCGACCGACTTTGGAGGAAGTCAGTCACCTCCAGAAAAATTAATAGATACAAAGTTTTATTCAGGTAATGGCCATAACTCGAGCTCAACATCGGGATAAAGCACGAGAATTGATAAGCTTTTTGTACAGTAAAGTTGGAGAAGACCCGAACCGACTCTTCACTCTGGTGAGGTTCATAAAGAATACCTCATTTACTTTTTTTTGAAGTTTTTCGACGCCATGATGGTCAAGTGCGCCAATGAAAGCGATCAGCGAAAACTTCAACTTTCAAGTGCCTTTACAGTAAGAAACATTATGGATCAATCAACTTGGAATGATTTCAGATAGCAGCTCGTGTGATTAATGCCAGCGCTACTAAACCACCTATCCAGTGGCCCAAGGCACGACTTGTTCTCGAATTTCTTGAAATTGTAGAAGTTTATAGTAAGTTTTCTTTTTGGAATATTTATCCAGTTAAAAAAATTGCGTTAGAATTTCTATCGTTTGACGTACCAGTGTCCGTTTTCCTGGCGCAGTTTCCTCAAAACATTTTTTGAGAAAAATTCATATTTGAACTCACATGGTAGAAGATTTTAAGATTTTTTCTGCGGGACAAGGGCGGGCCTGAATCGAATAGTTTGTATGTCAGAATTTTCATACGTTAAAGACAAAAAAGTATTCAGATTTCCATAAAACTTTAGTCCATCTTAAAAGCCTGCTCATTCTTCTTAATACTTCTTCAAATATGTATGATTTTGATCAAAAACAAACCTTGGGAAGAGTTCGATTTTGATTGACATGATGAGGATAAAGCGTGCGATAAGTGGTTTCATCATTGAATTTGACGGTTTGTTGTGTGTGTCTGAAAGCTTTTTTCAATCTCTCCATCAATATTTTCAGATGAAACTGTGCCGAATGCCGATCACTGAGCTTCTGTCTGCGGACGACAGGCTCGAGAGGCACGAAAGTGCTCCGATGCGTCGTTTCAGCATAAAACGGCGCGTCGGCGGCCGTCGTCGCAGTCCGTCGTTCCCTTCAACTTGTCATTTCCAGCATTCCCTCATTTTGTTATATTTCTAGTTTTCCTCTGCTCATATTCTCTGTTTTATCATCTGATTTTAATCCTCGAATTGTATAAATCCTTTTTTCGATTTAATTCAGAAAACCTTCATTTATTGCAACTCACATTCTATTATTTATAGGCTCCTTCCATGTATAAGTTGATTTATTGGTCGTCTCACCGTAGAAAGGAACATGCGTCGTTGTAGGATGGCTTACAGGAGCTATATCGTAGTCTGCAAATGAAAATTTAATTTGAAAAAACTTTGTTCCGCAATTTTCCTACAAGAAAAACCGACGAGATAATCCGAAATTACCATCGTAACTGTAGTCGATGTTGTCCTCCGGAGGGTCAGAACTGTACAAATAAGGCAGTTCATTCGATTCTTCATCGCTTTCGTACAAGTTTTCGAAATAATCTGACATTTGAAACGCACAAAATGGTAGAAAACGGGAACCCACCTGTGCGCTGCATCGCTGCCTTAATAACGACGTCTCCCTGGAGATCCTCTTTTCAGAAATGAAGCTTCTGCTTCTCTCAGCTCTTTTTTTCGCAACGGCCGACTATAGTGAGGGCGGAAAAGTAGAAACACATCTTAAGCCTAAAGAAACCGAAATTTCAGCTAGTGTCCCAGCTCGGGCATACACAAATCACGACAAAGTGGCATGCAGACTTTGAAGCTCAAACGCTTTTATTCTCGATCACTTTTGGCAAAGTTTCAGTCTCATCGAAATTTATCTTTACTCAATTACTGTAAGAACCCTCCGCCTCTCTTGCTGATTGGCTTCTCGGATCACGGGCAGTTGAATCATTCTGACGCGATTGTATGGAAAAACAATGAAATCCTTGTAAGGAAGATTTTTTGACTTTGCATTGAATTTTTGCGAATCTCAGGACAGTTATATCAACCGAGAGTTTGAAGTTGAAACAGACTTGGAGCAGGACTGGGAGCTCGTCAGAACTATCAAAAACGGCGTTATACTCAGTCGATCGATTATAACATGCGATCCAATGGACTACGCTTTCCAAGTTTCCGTTATCTTTTTTCACTAGAAAAGAAAAAGTTTCCAGACCGGAACTACTCAATTTATCATTGCTGCCAGTTGGAGAGATGATGTTAGCAACTTGGAAAGTAGTTCGTTTCTGAAGGTTGTGTCAAAACATGTATCATTCTCGCAAACCCTATTCGCCACGATTTGAAACAGTCTACTCAACTGCCTTTTTTTTTCATCGGCAGAGTCATAGAAATAGGAAAATAGCCGGTATAAACGAGAACGTCTCCAAATGATATGAAAAAGAGAACGATTAGACCGCTTCATTTTGTGGCGAATAAGTATTACCTAATCGAAAAAACAGGAAATGCGCTTTGCAAAAGTACTCGGAGAAGAAGAAGAAACGACGAATCTTGAAAATGACGCTTTTGATTTCGAAGTCATTGCGGATCATGCAGAAGTAAAACGTCTATTTATCTTTTTTTAAGGCTTTTCTTCAGATTCCTACTGAGACAACGAACTACTGGTGTATCATAAAACCTCTTCCAGTGAATATTCAATCCAAAAAACATCACATTGTGGGGGTGAGAAATACAATGAGAATAGATTTCCATTTTTTTTTTCAAGTGATAATCTACTTTTCAGATGGATGCGGTAGTTCAACCAGGCAACGAACATCTAGTGCATCACATGGAGGTTGTGGAAATGAGAGGAAATAGGAAAAAAGGTCGTTTTCAGATTTTCCTGTGTCTTGAGAACGATGTACAGCCTTTCAGCGGAAACTGCAACGATCCAAATAAACCAAAAGCCAGTAGATCATGTAGCCATGTGATCGCCGCGTGGGCCATGGGCGAAGGAGTAAGTGGATGCCGGAAATGATTCCAATCACTCTGTGTAGCCGATATCTTACCCTTCGGAAGCGGGCTTGCCTATTGGAGGAAAAGGCTCTAGTCGATATGTCATGGTCGAAATCCATTACAATAATCCTGGAAATCTTGCTAATGTCATTGACAATTCTGGATTCAAGTTCATTGTGACGCCTTCTTTGAGGTTTGTAATATTTTTTTAATTCTCCGAGACAGTTTTTTTAAATAAATTTTTTTCCAAAACCGTTGGCGAATGGTGATAGAGAAAGTCTCAAAAAAACCTTGCTGATTTTCTAATTTTCAGATTTCAGAATGACCCTCTTTGTTGAATCCTGCTTCAATTCTTTAATTAATGCCTGATCTCAGAGAGTATGATGCCGCGATCATGGAGCTTGGACTGATTTATTCTGATGCGAATTCCATTCCTCCAGGACAGCTGGAGTTTGCAATCAACGCCCATTGTATCTCGGAATGTACTGAAAATGTAACTCTCGTCAATATCTCTCGTTTGGATTTTCGAACACTGTCATTCCAGCTTCCCGCAGGAGGAATAAACATTTTTGGCAGTCAACTCCACGCTCATTTAACTGGAACAAAACTATGGACTAGTCATTACAGAAACGGCTAGATATCATGTTTAATCTTCATTGAAATGCTTTTCAGGTGTAAAAATAGGTGAGGTCAACAGAGACGAGCACTATTCGCCACATTGGCAGCACGTGCAATCAGTCCGTCCTTACGTCAATGTCCGCCCGGTACATAGTACAATAATCAGTTTGTATGCGAGAGACAGAGAGTTTTTCAGGGAGACAACTTGATAACGACCTGTGTCTATGATACGACGCGACGACAAAAAACCACTTTAGTACTGCTTTTTCGAGAGAAATTGGAAATAAAATGGTCTCAGGAAAAAAAAAGAAATTCAGGGAGGGTACGGTATAGAAGATGAAATGTGCGTCAATTACATTTACTACTACCCTGCTTCTGAAATCGAAGTCTGCAAATCGGCTATTTCGAACTCTACTCTACGCCAATACTTTAAATCTAGGTTTGACAAGGAAAAATAAAAGATTGATTTGATTTAAACTATTGGAAATGAAAAAATTGTAGACATGGGCTCGAAGAAAAAACAATGTCCATTTCTGAAATGTACAACGCTGTGGAATGGAACGAAAGAAAATCAGAAGAACTCCGCAATCTCTTCGCGGTTTCCCCGTTGAACATGGCATGTTTGCAACAGGACTCCACGCTCTTCCCGGTAAAGTGTCATTCAAAAACAGATCAAAAATTGAGACCAGAGTCATGAATGGAGCGAAATGAAGCAGCCGACACGCTTCTCAGGCGCTTTTGTAAAAACTCGTGACTCCTACGAATGTCCAGCAATCAACAATTGATTCAATTCACAATAAAGTTTATTCTTTCCGATAAGGATGATTTTTTATGATATACTTTCAGAATGTATATGTTAGAATATGCTATCACAACTTTGAAAAACACGTTAGATGGGCAAGTTTTGGATCTAGGCAACTGGAACTAGCAGTCTGAATTCTTTTCACAAGTTTCGTTTCATTCACACAACTTTGATGGGAACCCGGTGCCACGCGTTGTGAAGAAGTCCGCGGACGTTCCAAATCCCAGCTGCAGTCTCCGGTTGAGTGTTATAAGATCTATCAATTTGCTTTTATTTGCGGATTTTTAATTTTTTTAAATTGTACCTGTCCGTGGCCTTTGCAATGATTTGAAGTTCATCGGCTCCTTCTGGAATTTTTACTGTTGCGCGGAAAATCGTCCAAGCCCACATGTGCTCCTCAATCAATCATTCAAACTTGGAGATTGAAACAAAAATTAACTATATCTTGCTCTTTGTCTTGTTCTAAATCAGCGCTCTGCCACGTTTTGCCCCCATCCAAGCTTATCTAGAAATGAAAAAAATCTCGTGAAAAAATGCAAAAAAAACCTCTACACGGATAACTCCACGACCGCCACCGCTCCAGGCATAGCCGGCAACTTCTATAGTTTCGTCGTCTGAAAAAAAAGGTTACCTTCACGTATTGTGAAAAAAAAAACGTTTTTCAATGTTAGTGTTTGCGGCGGGAACGCAAACTAAGCACTGAATCGGGTATTCTTGAATCGATGGAACCGAATCCCAGTCGAGTTCTTCTCCGAGCTGCACGGAGGGAGAAAAAGCTCTCAAAATTAAAAAGATAAGATTTGATTCTGAAAGAAACCTGTAATCTTTTCGTTGCCAGTGGCTATGGCTTTCCTCTTCGCTCACCACAACTCTCTTGAGCCACTTCACTTGTCGAGCACCGACGTTTCCTAAATATGATTCCTCATGACTTTTTCATGATTGAAAAATAAACCAGGTGCTATGAGCCGTAGCGGAGAGCCATGATCTGGCGGAATTGGCTGATCATTCATTTCGAATGCAACAATCGTCTCGTTGCTTCTAGCTTTTTCGATCGGAATTGAGGCTCCATATGGGGTACCTATTTGAAAATAAAATGAAATAAGCGATTCTTTTTTTTCTGAATTCTCCAAAACCGTTCTGGAATATTGTCGCAAATTTTTCAAAACTTCTCGGTAAATCTTGAGCCTGTTATGAGGAAATAACTGACCTTCTGGGTCTGTATCGGCGCCTTCAAACTGGACATGCTTGATTCGTTCATCGTAAACATCAATTCCAGCGTCGATCAGGATATCCTTACATCAGAAAATTTGAAGAAACAAAAGTCGAAATATCAGATACTCGAAGTTTCACGCCGGTCCACCGCGCGTTGCTGATGGCCGTTCCTTCCCACATCAATCCTTGAACTTTTTTGAAACTGGAAAAAAAACACAATTATTTGCAGAAAAATGAATTTTACTCATTCATTTCATTTCTGCGATTTCCTGCACATTGTATCACTGAGTTGAACGACACACTTTTGTACTTCTTTTTGAGATCCTCGACGGATAACTCTATTTTTTTGCCGTCGAGACCCTCCACGCTAAGTTTGTGCTCCGTTATATCAATCTGGAATATTTTATCAGTTTTAATTTTGAATGACTCGTATAACCGACGGAACAGGGAGGTGATTGCGCACAAAGAAAAGTTCATTTGGAGTGACAAAATGATCGGTGAGAAGCGATGGCGGTGTTTCTGCATTGAACGGTTTTGGGTTACGCACCAACAAAGCTGGATGACGAATGGGGTCTCCGGAAAAAGCGTCTTGTTCGGGCTAAAACAAAGGTTGAGTAAGGTTACAAGATACCGGTTAGTGCATCAAATAAGAATAATGTTCGGTGTGAAAAGGAAAATAAACCTCTCGTTTTTCTAAAGACGCCTTGTCTAAGTTTCCAATGCGATATTGTTCGATGATTTCGCGAACCTTCAACAAAACGAACTTTTTTCGCTTAATCGAAATTGCACCTCAGGTGTTTTGTGTTGAGCGTAAATTGACCAAAATGGATCAACGGCTCCTCCCGCTGCCAGAAGGATTTTATTGCCGCCCGGATGTTGAGCAATAAAGTCGGTCACGTCGTAGACGCCCTAAGAGTCTTAGTGAACTCCATAGTTTGAATTAAAAAAATATATATATCAGGTACAAAACGCACTTCTTGATAAGTGACCCATATTCGCTTTGCCGATTTGCCGTGTTTCGCCACTTCTTCGAGAGAAAATTCAGGCAGCTCTTTTGCAGGTTCTCTTTTTTCGTTTGCAAAGTCCAATTTGGCAATGCGGAAGCACTTGTACACACTCAAAGAGCTCAAAGCCGCTGCTCCGGTTATCACAGCGAACTTTCCTGATTTGAATTGATTGAAACATTCTGGAGACAAAATCTCACTGTAGTCGAATCTCTCAAAGCGTGCGTTGTTGTTATAGAACCTCACTGGCTTCTGTGTAGCATGTCGGCCCCGGAAAATTTCTCTCCACAAACCATTTTTTTAAACATTTCACTTCTTCAAAAAGTTTGTGATTTTTTTAAAAAGAAAATGATGATTAAGAAAAAAATAATTTTTTTCGTTGCAACGATGGTTTTCAAATTCACAACACGTCACAAAAATTCAATACTTAATTACATGACTTCTACAAAAAGCATTGGTACAATAAACACGACTACATAATATTCTGAAAACCCGACTAAACAATATCAAATAAAAAAACCAAAAAAATAAAAAAATTGATAGAAACTTTGTGAATACGGGGCTATAAGAATTTAACAGAAAGAGGTGTGACAATGAACTAGATAATAAGAAAACGTTTAGATCATACCTGATCTTCAAAAATCGGATGAAGCGGTGGTCTGCTCTAATAATAAACACGAAAAAGGCATGAAAAATCTTTTTTTGTTTAATCATTACTGAAAATAGTTCCAAAAGAAATTAGAAGAAATTATCTTATCTAGATAGAATTTTATTTGACAATGCTAAAAAAACTCACAAAAAAAATATTGTCGAATAGATAAATGAAAAAAATGAATTGTATTACCCAGATATATAAATTTTTGCCTGCACGTTTAAAAAAATATAGAAAATCTGACAAGTTCTTTGAATGGAGCGAAAAAAAAACTATACAAATAAGCACAAGTGGGTAACACTCAGCTAGATAGAAATTTGGCTTAGATAACTAATAGATATCTATTCTACGGATATTTTACAAATAAGAAACTTGGAAAAAAGTATACTGATCTACGGGGATCTACAATAAATATTGACGGAAAAAGGAGCAAATAAAGTTATTTTCTTTTCCAGAAGCCCAAGCTAGTATCATTTTTGAAGAAAATAGAAGCTGGCACAATAAAGTGAGAGGAAGGTTTATCGGGCAAATTCTTGGACAATGATCCTGGCATAGGCTGCGTGGATGACGTCTGGAGAAGACACGAAACAAACGCGGCTCTCGTCGTTCACTGTGTTCCTCACGTATTCTTGCAGTTTAGCATTTGCTCCAACGAACAAGCCCATAGTTCCCTGCAAATCAAAGTTATGAGCAAATTCGAAGCCAACTCAATTCATGAAATCATTTTTCTCAAAGACAGCATTAACAGTGTACTTTTTCCCTTCGTTTTTTTGAGGATTTTTTTCTGATTTGGAAATTAATTCTTTCTTTGGAAACATTTTTCTAATAATTCATACAAAAAAATTTCCCAACAGCATTATGATCTTTTCGAGATTGACTGAGTAAAAGCAAAAAATTGCACAATTGGTCTTAATTAATTGCAGAAAGATTCCGTTAGTTCGCTTCTACACAATGAGATTTTTAAAAAAATTATTTGAAAAAAAGTGATCTCCCAGTAGAGAAGGTAGAATACTAAAATTGATACAAGATAATGTTTTGAAATTTCTTAGAATCGAAGGTGCATCAGTCTTTAATTAAAAAGCTTTTTCAAAAACTTCGATCAGATTTTTGAATTTCCGCTCTTTTTCCTAAACGTTTTATCAGGATGTACTGTCATAGCTAAAAACTATTAGGAAGTTTTTTTCAAAGTTAATGGTCTATATTTCCAGATTTTTGAAATACTAATCAATACTCAGTAAAATTATCTGAAAACGCTCAAAAAACAACTCACAGCAGGGTTCATTTCTGCAGCTCTTTGCAGCATGGGAAGATCGCTGTGAGTATCTCCAGCCACTAAAACGCGACCAGTTGCCAAAGAATCTCCAAGAGAATCAAATAAAGACAAAACCCCGTCTCCTTTATTCCAAATCGACCCTGAAAAAAATCAATTCTTTTTAGAATCAAAGATTTACAAACCTGAACAGTGGACACAAACTTCGATTTCAAGTGGCGAGCAATTTTCCAATACCAAAAACTAAATGAAAAAAAAATTCAAATTTTTAAAAGAAACTGAACTCACTTGATTGTTAGGGTCAACTCTGTGTATTCGTTCCTTGACGGCTTCGATGTACCGATTGGATAAATCAACCGGAATGTGACCAAAGACCGTCTGAACACCCAACGTCAAGCGATCCACCTGAAAACCAATCTTTGAACCGAGAAACATCCTCAGAAGGAAAAACCTTCTTTTGAACTCCACTTCCAACAAGGGCAAACTGCACAAACTCTCCTTCTTCAAACAGCTCGGCCATCTGGAATTCCACTGAATGATGTAATAAAAAGCTAAAACCTGCTCGTAGAGTTGCCCAATCGCCACCATTCCTTCTTCGGGTATTCCGACGTCGTGTACCACTCTTCGGCCTCCAAGCCACCATTCTCTGCCCCAAGAACCGCTGAAAAAAGTTATTGTAAACGATAAAAAAGACCAGATTGAAAAGTCGATACCTGAAGAAAACTGGACCATTTATGGGGAGAGCCGTGAGATCGAGGATTCCAGGTCCTCGTAGAGGTCCTGCTGTTAATACGGCAGATACCCTGGTGAAAGCCGAAGCGAAGTATCCCATCACAACGGCGCTGTATATAGGCTAAATATTTGATGTTTTTTTTAGAAAAGAAAAAAATTACCTGGACGTTTGTGGCGTACTGTGAACAATAATCTTTCATTGTACCGTCCCAATCCGTAACAAAAAGCGGCTTCACACCATGTATCTCGGTGGAACGAATGAATTCCAATAGAAACCTAAAATATTGTTAAGCTTCCGCTTGAGAAAGAGAAAAATAGGGAACCTTTCGCAACTTTGAACTTCTTCGTGGAAAGCCTCTACTCCATGGGCATGAAAAGGAGCGAGAATCGAAGGAAGATCAATCGATGCTAATTTTTGTGGCAGAGAGTCCTCCGATGGACAACTCGTAAATCTTTTTCAAAAAAATTCAACATCTTTCTGGAAAAATATTGTAAATTTTTAAAGGAAAAAAACCTTCAATCCCCTCAGTTCATCTTGGATATTGATTGAAAATTTGGCTCCTCGCGTAGCAATTGTTCGCATTTCACCCAGTGTTCGCGTATCGCTCATTTGCTGAAATTGATTGGATCAAAAAATAAGGCAAGTTATTTCAACCGATAAGGTGACTTCTATCGATTGCGATTCGTTAGGAGCAACTCCGACACCGTTGAGCAACTCCGCAGTCAGAATGCGTCGAGTATTTTGCATCTAAAAAATGCAAAAATTCTCTATTCTATTGTCTGAAGCCAGGAAAAAAATTTCTATTCAAAAATGAAAAAAACTATTGTAGTAAACGTTTTTTTCCGTTCTTTAATTAGAAAAAAATTCGAGACGATTGTACCTGATGCAAAGTTTCCTTGAACTCCTCGACTGTTTGCGCGTCCATAGGAAGCTCAGCCATTGGATTCTTCGCAAGGAAGTTGGCTGCAAACCGATTGAAGTAATAAAAAGAACGTCAGCTAGATAAACTTTCTGTTTCATTGATCGGACAAGTAATGGAGTTTTTTTTGAGTTGTGAGCAACTCATCGAAAACAAGGTTCGTTGCTGCCGCAGCCACCCAAACAGCCGCATTTATCGCGCCAACGTACAATGAGCAGTGTTTATAATGTAATGAGCGATCAGCGATCAAACGTCAAAAAGACAAGGACAAAATGTTGCCGAAAGACTGACAGGAACTTGGGAGACAGAATTGTTGCAAAATACGCGCGCCATCTGTACTTGTTTCGTTGTTAGTTTCAAAAAAACTAATATGTAACCTTTAACCTTTTTATCATAGACCCTCATTCCGCTAATTTTGTTCTCAAATTGTATTGTTTGAAACCGAAAATGAATAAACTCAATTTAGGAGTCGAAAACTAGTAAATCACTCTCAAAACGAAAGTTTTTTTGGTTCAAAGAAGTAGATTGTCAGAAATTTTTTTAGTTCATTTTTTTCATAATTAATTTGATTCATTAATCAGAAATCGATTATGTCGCAAATAAAAAATTATAAGTTTAATTTTTTTCAGTTTTTCAGTCACTAAAAAAATAGTGTAAAACGATTTTCAGAGGGAAAAAACAGTATTATGGCTCGAAAAACAAATTTGGTGAGGATTTTCCAAAACTTCCGCCATTTCTGATTGGTATTTGTGTGGTTTGAAATGTTTTTCCATCAAGTTTCGTCGAGTCAAAAATTTTTTGGTCCACTTTTAGAAGGTTTTTTTGACAGGATTTATTGAAGAAAAGTTCGAAAAAAGTTACCCGCTTCCTCGGGTTCGCTGGCGGCGGCCGACATTTTTTTGATGTCGCTGGAACAACCGATAACGCAGTTTCAACACTTCTTGCGGCCGAATCAGTGACAATCGTTCATCTGAAAAAGTTCAAAATTTAATTCGAAATCCAGATCAAAAAGTATAAAAATCGATAATCTTGTTGAAGAGATTTGCAACGAGAAGGGAGGCGATGAAAGACGCCGGCACGAGAAAACACACACGCACGGCCAAATTGAACAATCTCTTCACACGTGAACGAAACGAAAAAAAAAATCCATAATCACGAATCGAATTACAGCGAAAATACCAGGGACGTCGAGTCGGCGGTGGTCGCAACAACAGTCGGCCGACGAAACAACACAAAGATAAGCATTGCGAAGAGGAAACAAGAACAAATCGTAAAGTTCAAAAATTAAGATTTGCAAAACACTTTGGTGTTTGCCACGGCCACGCAAAAGCACATACAAACAGTGGCCGAAATGTCTTGGAACCAAGGTCTGAGAGAAAAAATGACGCGAGAAAACGAAGGAACGCGCTACACTCACAGCTCACAGCTCACACTCACGCTCGCCCAAGATCAACTTGAGCCATTTGATTGAGATTTCAGGAACTTCCTGTTTGAACGTCAATAATGAAGTCTGATGATTGAGAAATGAAGTTTTTGTGATATTATTTGACCTAGAAGTTTATCGAGCATCATATCAAAACAATCTTTCCGTGAAAAAACCGATTTCTTGTGAATAGGTTCTTTTAACTCAAATGAAATCTGAGCCCGAGATGTCTGGATTGTGAACAAAGCCCATGCAATAGATATCTACTTGAAAAATTTGAAAAATTTGAAAAATATCTACTTGAAAAATTTGAAAAATTGCCGATCATCGAGAAAAACACTTTAATGAAGTGAAGATTGTCGTCTAACATTTTTGCCTTTTTGATCAACTTCAATTTTGAAATAATTAAAAGTGAGCTACTGAATAAAAAAACCTTATTTAAAAAAATAATAATGAAGTGAAAATTTGAGAAAAAACAAAAAAAAATTCTTTTTGTTTTTGAAGAGAGAAAAAATGTCAATTATCATTCGTAAGATCCTAATTGAAAGAAGCAAAGCTAGACTGATACACGTTTTGAGCGATCGATTGACAAAAGGACATGTTTCTTTCAGGGCGATCGTAGATCACATGGCAATTAATTCAGCTTGCCGCTAGAGTCAGACTGTCAGACATTCCTCGGACAAATTTTACTTTTTGGAGACATTTTGACTCAAAAAGACAACTTTTTTCAAAAAGCAAAGGAATGGAATAACTTTTCAGCATGAGTTTGATTAACGCGTTCAGAGCGATTTTGATGACAATAGTTTAAAAGAAAATGAACTCCCCATCCACTGCGTGTGCAAAACATTTTATAGCTAATATAATTTATAAATTGATTTTTTTGAATGTTTTTCCTGTATGCCTCCGAGCATTCAAAAAAACCTGAAAGAAACTCTTTTTTTCAGGAAAACAAAAAAATTTAGATTCGAATTCAGATTTTTTTGAGTTTTTTTATAGAACAACATTTGAGCGAATCTCTCGCTGAAAATCTTGGCTGGAAAAATGCTCGCAAGTCGAAGAAAAGTTGACGAAAAATCAGATATTCATAGAATAAAACACAGAAATGAACCCTCGATTCTAAACGGATAATGACGTCGCACATCAGTTGTATCTACAAAAAGAGAGAAGAAACCACAGACGAGCCAATTGGGGATTACCCGACATGAACTGAACCTCGCTCGTCGTGCCCTCACTCGGTCCCATGTAATGCTTCGAAACTTTTTCATCGATAATTGTATTGGTTTCAGTATTAATTTGTGAACAGCTGCAGATTGGGCCAAATATGCGGTTATGGAAGACTTGGGCAGTAATGGTTAGCTTTTTAGGCACTTACTGCTCTTGTTTGGAAAGTGAGTCATGCTTTAACATTTTCGCTTATGTTTCCTGTTTAGTTGACCATTTTCTACCAGGAAACAGGAATGAAGGTAACATCTTAATTTATTTTTTCTTCAGTTTTGAAAGTTTCAATCTTTTTTTTCATAGGCAGCAAAGTTGATCCATCATATGAGTTAAGTGAGTTCATAAGGCCTGTGGAAAATCGAAGAAAAAAAACTTCAGAACTTCCATATGTAAGAGGAAATCACCCGAGAAATGTCGCAAGGCTATACGATGTCCACGGCCCTTTCAACGAACCGGAATCCACTCTCGCCCCCGACGAAAAGCGAAACACGGCTCCTTATCTGGATGATGTCTCTATGGTGCCTTTCTCAGACAGTTCTGCAAGTAACGCCGGCGAATCAACGACGAAAAAAGCTACAAAGTCATGGCTTGAAGCCGAATCAACTACTGTCAAGAGTAACAACTCCGGATCAACACCACGACTTGAATCTAGTGAAGGTGGTTCTTTATATTTGATAAGAGTAATCAATTAAATTTACAGAAACGGTTGAACCTGAAGGAAGTGGTTGGTTTCATTTTTCATTTCTAATAGTTGAAAAAAATTTTCTTTTAACCAGTTGCTTTTCAGAGGAACCAGGAGAAAGTACCCCAATCAGTCTCACTACGAAGGTTTTTTATTAATTTTTTTTTACAATGAGAGCTTTCACAGAATACTTCTATCGTGTTTATTGATACTACAACAACAAAATTGCCTCAAAATGCAACTGAAGCGTCTATAACCGTCCCTCTAACTATCCCGATATTGCCTACAACGACCAAAGTAAAAAAAAATCTTCTAATTTCCGATTTTTTATTTTTACAGATTTTACCTCAGACGCCGACAAAGCCTCTTCCGACGGTTCCGACAACACTCACTCTTCCGACAAAACCTACTGTTCCAACAGTACCCACTGTTCCCACCGTTTCTACCGTACCCACTGTTCCTACAAAACCAACAGTGCCTGTCACAACAACCACGAAAGATTCAGGCCCTTCTCGAGGTATTTGCCATTATTATTTTTTTATTTTTAGATTCAAAAGCTTTCTATTTCACATTTGAAGGTCTCGAATTTTTTTCCTACTTTAAACTTTGATAAAAAAACACGCTCACATCCATCCCCGACATGTCATTTTTTTCAAGAAAGTAGTTAAAAAAATTGAATTCAGAAATATATAGATGAAATCCGCGCATTTCCCTTGAAAATCGGTTTTTATTAAAATAGTTCCGTTTTCCAACCTTCAAGTTTTTGCTCATTTTTTCTGTTTTCAAATTTATGTTTTTTTTTTGTGTGAGTATTTGTACGACTCGGTCAGAATTTTTTTTGAAGCCCAAAGTCGATAAATCAAATTTCTAAGCTTCATGAATTTTTTTTTTCCAATAAAAGGATTTCAGAATGTACCAACGGCTACATGGTGCATCAGGAACACGTGGACGTCGCTTCGGCTGGATCTGGAAAGTTCGGCGGTTACTTCACATACGCTTCATCATGCGGAGAGCTGTGCGTCCGGGACTTTGGACTTCTTCCCTGTGTTGGCTTTTCGTACGAACCCGACGAGCGAGGTTTTTTCAATTAATTTGTGGAAAATCTTAGTTTTTTTCTGCTCTCAACGTTTTTTTTCAGGACTTTGCACATTGTACCAATACGAACTCGGAGACATCGAAACCGACCCTTCAAGCTCTGCTGTTCTTTACCGTCGTTGTTAGATCTTCCGAGAATAAAGACCAAATGTTTAAGCATTTTGCCTGAAAATTCAAAAAGAGCAACTGTTTGGACCACTCGATAATTAAGTGAAAAGTTTGTTGGGAAGTTTGAACCGTCTGCCTGACGAGAACACGAGACGAACAAGAGGATCAGCAGGGATCATGGCTCACAGAATGGCAGGGATGACGTTTTTATTGCCCAATCATTGTCGATGAACCGTTCACACGCCGTCGTTTCCTTCATTTTCTTCGTTTGTTTCACATCTCAGATTGATTGTGATTGTAAGAACAACGTAGGTTTCTTCTGGAAAGAGTTGCTTTCAGGTTCCTTGAAAGCAGTTCTTCGCGGAGTGAACGTCAAACAGAATTTGGGAGAGGCAACAAGAAAAGTGAGCTTTTTTGAACTTCGGATAGTATTACAACAAATCAATCATTCCCAACGTCTTACCTACTTTCTAACGATAAACTTGGGAAATTGCAGTTACTCAAAGATGAACCTGATTGCAAAAGGAAATGCGCCGATTTGACCGATTTCCCGTGCAAAGCCATACTTTGGCCAACCGAAGACGGAAAGGGAGATTGCTATCTTTTGAGTGATGTGATTTTTTTCTGAATTATTTATTCAATGTTGTCAACTCACTCAGGTCAACTTAAAACAAGATATTTTCGTGGATGAAAGAAATTTCATACTTTATGTGCAAGTTTGTGATGGCGAAGCACAATCCAACGTCAGTTTTTGTCAATTTGAGGAAACCAAGAAAGGCATTTCTTTATCGAAAAGTGAAGCGCATGAATCTCCAGGTCGCGAATTTAAATTTGACAAACACGATGAAAGATTCAGGAGCGACAACTGAAGCTTCGTGCAAAGAATTTTGCGTGTCGAAATATAGTGGTGTTGACTGTAATGCGTACATCGTATCTACAGACCGGTAAGTAAAATAAATCGTTTTATTTTACTGCGCTTGAAATTCTTTCACTCTACGAAATTTCGAAGAACAAAATATTTATTTGAAACATACAATGCTACAGCGCATCAACGTGTACTTTATACGCTACAGTTCCACAAGATCTCACCGCAGGTTCACAAAATTTATGGACCAAGTCCTGTTCTAAACCGGCAAGTAAGGGAGAATTTCTAAGAAAAATTGCAAAAAAAAAATCCGAAATTTTAGAAAACTGTGAATACACGTCATGGTCAGAATGGAGTTCTTGCATAGTTAGTTGTGGCGGTGGTCTAAGGCAAAGAAATCGAACGGTTCTTTCCGAGCCTGGTGTATCTGGAATTGCTTGTTTTGAGAGCGAAACAACGGAAGTCGGAACTTGCGGAGCTCAGGTGAGCTGTAACATTGAGTTTGATTCTGCTATTTCAAAAAGGATCTGAAAAACTTTCACATCGCCCTTTTATCTCGTCACACATGATTATATACTTTTTTTAGGAATGTAACGCGGCCTGTATTTTCAAAGAATGGAGTGCTTACAGCAGTTGTAATGCATCTTGTGGCGAAGTCGGTAAAATTTCAAGATCAAGAATGAGTCTGCAAGGGTCCTGCGATCCAGAAACTCAAACAACGGTTAGTCTCTTCAAAGAGATCGAACTCATTCTCAACTTCTAGACTTGTAACGGCGCTCTTTGTGACAGTCCTGAGAACGGAGTCTGCCTGTATTCTTTGTGGAGCGAGTGGTCATCGTGCAACTCGTTATGTTTCACATCACGCACAAGAACTCTTGAGGTGAGTTTGATACCTAAACAGAGTAGTAGAGAAACAACTCATACAAAGGTGGGATCTGAGCGAAAGTGCGAAATATCCAATGGACCTTTGAACAACACAGTTGTTTGCGAGGGTGGTCAGTGCAGTGAGTTTCTATTTTTTCGCAAAAAATCGTCAAAATGCAAAATTAATTTTGAAATTGAAGTTGGTGAAAAGAACGCGACTCAAGAGTTTGGGACAAACAGCAACGGAACGAATCATGAAACGGCTACCACGCTTGGTTAAGCTGCTTTTTCCACTTAAAGAATTTTTCTGAAACTTTAGGCTTCACCTCAGAAACTGGTTGCCGCATTACTAATTTTGATCCTTCAAGCAGGCCTTCCTCAAAAGGCTTCAAAGTTTTCGAGTTGTTGAATATATTGGGAAAAATGGAGTTTCAGGCGGTTGGGGCCAGAGAAAACTGTGCGGCGGCCTGTGCTACCGAAACTTCGTTTTTTTGTGAAGCTTACAGTTCTCCAGGACCTGGAGGATCATGTGTTCTGTACGGAAAACTTGATAAGCCGGTCATCTCCCTATCCCACAGTAGATACTACTTGCAGGACGTCTTTTGTTCTCTCAACGGTGAGTCAGTTTTTTCCTGATCAAGGAATATATTCAACTTACTTCATAAGACCATAGGACTACTAAGCGTCGTTCAACTTTTTTTTCCAGACACAGAGAAATAAGAGGTTGTGAATCAACTAAAATTTTCATGAACAAGTTTTCTGCACTTACGTCACTGACCAATATTCACAAATTCAGAGGAAAATTATATCTAAAATAGAAAATCGACTCAAATCTCGGTATTTACGGTAGAAAAGTCAAAAACTACACAAATTCAGCTAGTAGCACGGCGGTGATGTGCCACTGGGAACTTGCTCGCACCGGAGTGTCCCTGGATTTTTCAAAGGCTTCTAATTTCGCTTCCATCGGTTTGCAACAATTCTTCTGTCGAGAAAACCTAATTTCCTCAGCTTTCACCATTGACGCTGCCCATTGCGGAACGCTGTGCATGATGAATTTTCCAATCTTCAAACCGAGACCTTGCCGAGCCTACGCCTGGGATCATACCATCAGTTCGAAGCTTTGAAAAGAAGTAAAACGTTTTTTTTTTTCAGGCTACACAACTGGAAAAGTCAACTGTTTTATGTACGACGACGCTTTTGTCACAAATACTACCCAGCCTGGAGTTCTGGATTTGTATCAACTTTTATGCTAACCTTTTGTTTTTTTAAGGTTTTTAATAAAAGGGTCAAAAAATTTTTTTATGTGCCGAGCACAAGTCCAAAAAAAGGAGAAAATATGTTTAAAAAAACAACGTGGTTTCAAAAATTTTTTTATTCAATTTTTTTGTAAAAAAAGTATCATATCTCTCGAGGCATCGGTTAAAAAACAGCGAAATACAAATAATGCAATCACTTACTCTTTTGAGTGTTTCAACTTTCATAACTTTTACGTCTGAGCTTTTTTTTTTGAATTTATAGTCGGTTCAAATCGTCATACCTTGAGTTTTACACAATTTCCAAAAATTAGGGAAAAAACGATTTTCCGCTTTATAAAAGAAGTTTAACTGGTTAATTAACGCGAAAAGGCTTAGAAGTGTGGAAAGTATAGCCGAACGGAAATTAGGTGGGTCCTGTGCGCATGGACGAACTTAGAAGTGTCAAAGGCGAAAAGCAGTGGAAGCAGACTTCCGATTCGAAAGGAAGGCTTCTGAAACGCGAGCGGCTTGACGTATTGCCCAGCGGCTACTGTTGCAACCGCTAGCTTTTCCCGCTGCATGATATTTTTTTTGTGAGGTGTAGGATATGAGTGATATGAGCGCGTCGTGGCTCCTGTCGCTCACTCAAATCACGTTTTACAATTGTTCGTTTGCGTTTTTGCACTCCTTGCCCCACTGGCTTTACCGTCCATGTCGTTACTTCAGTCAGATTGCCGGCCAATATATCCGAAATGACCCATAAATTGCGGAGAAGTGAGTTGCTCGTCAAATGTTTTTGCTTGCTCGTAAGGTGACCCCCATGGACCAATTCCTGTCGTTCCCCAACAAAGTGCGAGTCAAACGTAAAAAGGCACGATGGGCGCCGTTTAGATGAACACGTCCATGACTTGTTGTGCAATGGACGTGCAATTTGATATCTGCTCACCGGAGCTTCTTCCATTTTCAACTAAGCCTCTCCAATCTTTTCTTTGGTTGGATCAAGAGGAGAACAGAACAGCCAAATTAAAATTAACATCTCACTTTTTTTAGTGTTCTTCTCTTTACACTTCGATTGAAAAAGAAAGAAAAATTAAAAAAACTTTTTGAAGAAATTGATCGAAAAGTCAGAGAAAAATTCTAATCAGCGATTCGACCAAAATGAAAAAAACTTTCAGCATTTTTCTATTTACCGATAACCATTGTCCAAACTCCAGTTAATTCTGTTCAATCTGTGATTTTTTGTTGGTAGATATAACTAAACTGAAGAATAGAGTGAGCTTTCAAGAGTACAGGAAAAATTTGAAAAATCGTGCAAATTGAATGTTATGGGATTCCCCTTTCGGATCTTATCCAGCTCTGTTGGTAAGAAAAAAAAATCCAGTGTTTTTTCGAAAGGCGACTTTTCCGAAGTTTTCATTTTGCCAGGGAACTTTCCACCGGCCACCTCTCCGACGAATCCCTTTCCTACTTTTTCCCCATATATTTTTCGGTTTATAAAACATCTATTAACATTTTTTCCTATTTCATTGTGTTTTAATCATGAATAACTTGCCTACTTTATATAGGATGTTTCAAAACGAAAAGATTATCAAGAAAAAAGATTCGTCGGAAATTTCCCTAGCGATATGAAAAAATCGGAAAAGTCTCGCCGGTGGATGGTCTTTTTTTTCATACCACTACAGCTGTATTCAGATTTTTTATTGAAAGTATTCGAAAAAAAAAACAGGCACACTAAAAACAGCTAATCTAATCCTTTGAAAACCAATAAAAAACAGATTTCAGTTTATAGAGAGTATAATTCTTGAAACTCTTTTTGAAATGAGCTATAACTAGAAATCAGGTAACCTTTCATGAAACTAGAGCCTTTTCCACATTCGTTAACAAACAACTGTTCGCTCGTCGAACTTTGCGATAGTTCATGGAAAGTGCAAGCTCGAAAATTGGACGTCTTTTTATCACCTTTGGTAGGAAGCTTTCCGATGTTTTCCCATGAGACCGATTGATCACATATGCAACGAATCTGTGTTCACGTGTTGAAAACATTGCCTTGGGGAATTGTCGGGGTTTGGTTGATTTTTGAGGCTAAAAAGTCACCTTCTCATTGAGGTCCACACCACGTGTAGCTTCGCCTTGGTCTCACTTATTATATTCGAAGACGCGGCTCCGTTTCAATCGAGTTTTGCGCTTCGGTTAGCAATAACCTCAAATCTTTTCGCGCTTTCCGCGTTGGTTTCTGGAATACTCGCAACATTTTAGCTTTCACTTTTCAAGAAAATCTTGCTTTTTTCGAATTTCAGACCGAAACACTGAGAAAAAGTTTATTTGAATACATACTCTTTCACGGCAGTACATTCGTTCGTGTCAAAAAAAAAATAAGCGTTTGGGCATGTTGTTTGGCAAAAAATAAACTCAGATCCGTTTTCAACATCTTACTTTCAAATCTAATATTCTTTATGTTCTGATATCTTTTTTTTGACTTTTCGTTTTAAGAAAAAAAAAAACTAAGAAAGCTTTAAAAAAAACATCATTTTTTTTCTTTGGATCAAAGCCTTCATTTTTCCCTCAGGAATTTAGTTACTATGCTCCTCTCTTAGAAGGCCTGAGATCGAGATAAATTATTTTTTTCTGAAGCCTTTTTGCTCATCTGTATTTGTTCAGTTGACGAAAAGAAAGATCAATTTCAATAAAAGCACAGAAGAAGCAACATGACGGAAGTTCCAGAGATGGGAGTGGCAGGCGTCGCCGGCGGAGTCGCCTGCGTCGTCACGCCTTCTCTGGCTCCGACCGCTGTCAAAATGCAGCAAGGTGTGCGGAGAACGTCCATCCGCAGAGAGCAAACGCCGACTGAGAAAGTCGATCTCTCAAAACAGGTAATTTCAGAAGTTTTCCCCGCGGTCTACCGCATTCCGTTTGACATCCACACTTTTTCCTGTCCTTCAAGTTAAAAAAAAAATTACAAAGTACTGTTTAGTATTCACAGAAATTTCGCTAAGTTCATCTAAATTTTTTTTTTAGAGAAATTCAATTTGCACATATTTGCTCCGAGATCTGTTATTTCGAACTTAATTTTCGCAAACCGTATTAACATGTCTATGTAGATTACAACTGATTCTGCGTTTGATTCTGAATCTTCATTCTTGGAAAATTCAACCTTTGTAAGGTATTCTGATTGATGTTTTGACACTGATTTTCGACCGAAGAAAAAGTTTCAAAAGTTATTCCGTCGAACGGCTTTCCTCTGGTAACCCTTAAATCTTTTTTATGAGTTCTGCGGCAACTCATCAAAGAAAAACCCTCCAGTTTTTAATGTTGCAGAGAAAAAAAGCTGGTTAGTTTTTTCCTCTTTTTTCTGGCCGCAAGAGAAATTCAGCAATTTTCATGGTAATGAAGCTCTTAGTAGTCGAACAATTCGAATTGGTACAGCTCACTTGGAAGTTGTCAGCTTTGCGTCAGTCGTTTGTGAATGAAGGAAAACGGAGGAAAACTGTCTCGTTGAAACATGACGCTGCTCAAAAACCGGCCAAAGGCTTAAAGCTCAAAAATTCTCTCCATTGACGGAAAAACGTTTTTTATTGTCAGAAACCGGAAGCCTTGCAAAATGATGGAAGGAAACTGGAGATTAAGATTGAATTTTCTAGAGAATGCGAAAAGCAAAACACTTTTTGTTGGAAGGAAAATTCGTAGGAATTTGAGAACTCGAAGAAGATGTATTCTTTGATTCAATGACGCTCTCAAAACAAATGTTCAGGATTCGTTGGTCGAGCGAGCCTCTTCCAAACTAACACTTGACGATGAGCTCTACGACATTCTCTACGCTTTCGGGTTGGTTGATACTTCAGTTTTCGATATTCTCAGTTATTCATTAGAAATATGAGAGTATAGATCCGCAAGGACGTGACTTTTTGTGACTTTCTCTGAAAAGCTTTGAATTGTGAGACCAGAGAAGAGGACCACAAGAGTTTTGATATAAATTATAAATGCTCGAACAAGCAATTGAAAGTCGACAAAAAATGACTGAAAAGGAAATGAAAAAGAGAAGAGCCGGAATTGAAATGATGTGAAGCTTGGAAGAGATGGGATGCTAACAGAAGGTCATGGGGTGTCATCCTCGGCCTCGGCTAGTCTCTGAGAACCTCCCTTCGGTCGACGTTGCTTCTTAGCGCTTTCGCGCGGCATTTTGAAATATGTATCCAGTTGCTTCCAGTTCAACTCTCTCACTTCTTTCTTTTATTTTTGATCTCACAAGGTTTGTCGAAAACGACTTGTTTCCAGAATGTATTCGGTGATTCTCCCGAATGATCTCAAATTTTTTTTCACTTCCAAGGTTTTGTTTTCAAATCAAAAAAGGTATTACCCGAAAGAAATAGGTATCGGGAAAAAATTGTAAAAGTCGATAGGTAGGAAAAAAGCTAAATTATTTTCAAAAGTTGATTAGAAGGAAAAATAGAGTCGTAGATCAATCACGATAGGTTTCCTTATCTTTAATATCTCGAAATGACAAGCAATAGAGAAAGATTTATCAGTTTTGTAGTTATTTTCTTCAAACTGGCATGATCTTACTGTTCGACGGTTCCATGGTCTCATATCTCCCGCTCATTTTTTGATTTTTCACTTTTTCAAAGCCGCAATTTATATCGCTGCTTCAAAAAAAGATTTCTAATTTTTTCAAATTCGGAAAGTTTTCAATCAGGTTCTGACAAATTCAACTTTCCAATTATTACGCTCATAAGGTACTTTTTTTCAGTGTGACAATCAGATGAAGAGTTATTTTTCATAATATTTTTTTGAAGTTCTTGTTGAAAAAAATGATGAAGCAGAAAGTCAGAGAAGTTATTCTCCATTACAAAATGATTCGTTCAAACTTTTTAGTGGAGAACCCCCAGAAAGGGCCCTCCTCTCGTTTATTTCATAAATGTAGATCTGAAATTTTTTTGTAAAGAATGAGAAACGACATTCGAAGTTCATTTCAAAACACCTATGGAAAAATTAACAATATTCTTTCTGCTTCTCTTAAATCTCATTGAATCTGCAAGCAGAAAATCATTGATAAGCATCTCAGTTTATTTCTTTTGGTTATTCTGTCTGTTGGAGAATATCCTTCACTTTCAATACAATTTTTTGTCTTGCCATGAAGTGTGCCTTGATTTTCCCATTTCCTCAATCGTCTGGATTTAATTATCTAAAGTGAAAGGGCTCCTATCGCTAAACAAAGACAAAGTGTCTGCCACTAGAAATAACAATTTTCCCTTTTCTGCGGGGACGAAGAAAGCAACTCAAGAAGTCCTAGACGACTTTGTGGATGTTGCTCCATATCACAACGATGGATGCTTATGAGTCGGCCATACTAAAAAGCAATGTCTTAAAAGGGAGGAAATGGCTAAGATTGTTTTGAAAAATTGACGTCGAGTTTTTTGAACCCAGGCCTCTTGGGAACGAAACCGACAAGAATCTCTTATTCGCGCCTTTCCTCGCCCCAGCGTCCATGACTTCAATCATCGCAATTACCTCCAAATTTTTCCAATTTCGTATCCGTTGCGAAAGGGGAAGTGCAATTTTTTAGTGCACTTTTGACCTGTGATCTTAAGGGCAAGCTCCAGAATTAATTAGATTTGACGGAACGGTAGCATTTTTTTCAAGTTTTTCAAGAAGTAATCGTGTTTTTTTAAACCATTTTTTTAATATATTCGATAAAAAAAATCTTTTTTTAGCACTTTTTTTAATGAAAAACTGATATGCTTTTAGACTTGGTGCAAAAAAAAAAGCAAAGTACCTTAACGACGTCCCAGAAAACTTGAGCGCTTAGCAATTTAGCGAAACCGCAAAATGGTTATTGGATGATTTTTTTTTTGCTTTATTTACGATTTCTCGTCCAAAGACCTTTGCCAGCTCCAAGCACTTGAGTCCTAAAGTTTTTCGTCGAGCACTTACGCAGAAAAAAAGAAGAAAAGGTTCAAAGGAGCGAAAATTCTGTGCTCCAGCTTTCAACGGTTTTCCAGAAGCAAAGTTCTTTGGATGCCTCATGAATGAGGACGGGAAAAGTCCAAAAACTCTTGGAAAGACGTCTGAGAAGCTGCGGAGAGTGACCGACCGTGTGCAACGCGTGTGCGTTGGTGTGTGGCAGTTGTGTTCACCATTCCGCTGTCCATCCATCCCACCACCATTCATCATTAAGAAACGCTTGGTGCTTGTCCCCACTCAAATCTCGTAATATTCGGAGCTCTATGCGGTTCTGTCGGCTTTGAATATGAGCGGCATCGAAGTCCTGCCTCAAGGACTGCGCGATAATCCACTCGTTCTTCGACGAGCTTCTGTATTCCACGACCTGATAACCGTCTTCCGTAAAAACACTAAACACTTTCAACCTCCATCTTCCTCCGATTTTTTTCCTTCTGATAATTTTTCTCCCAGCGCTTCCAATGTGTGAGTTCTCGTTCGCATCATTCAAATATTTAATGAAACTGTGAAACTGGAAATATTCGGGTTGAAAATTTTCTATAAGAAGAGGTTGGTCTGTTTCAATCTTCAGATTTGACTAAGATTCAAAATATACTTTTCAATAACTTAGTGAGCTCTAAGAAGGATCTGCTAATATCATTTCCCAGGTTTGGTAAGATCCGAAGGATATTTTTGAAGAATTGCGATAGTTGAAATACTGGGTTAATAATTTTGATTCACTTTGTAAACGTTTAATTTGATACAAATAAAATTAAATCGAAAAACAAAAATGTATTTTTCTTGAGGATAGTAGTTGACTCACTCTTCCGATATTCACAAGACAATTTTTTCCCTTAAAACTGAAACAAAGATCTCTTGGATTCAGTTTTCCCGTGTTAGATTAACGTGATTTTTACGTTCACTGCCATGGACCAATCAGTCAGAAATTAATTCTTTACACTGGGCAGGCGAGCGTGGAAATTGAGGCAGCCCTCAACTCATGTTTTCATTCAATTAAGAAAACAGCTGTTGGTTTAAGTCTGATCAAAACTAATGTTATTTGCAGCGAAACGGATGCTTTTCTCGGGAAATCGGACAAGCAAAGAGAGACCGACGAGGACGGCAATCCGTTGACGCGACAGGTTCGATGGCCCCGCGAGAAGCAGATTTTCAGTGTTTTCATTCAGGCCCTTCTTGAGCGAATCCGCCAGAAGAAAGAAGTTATCGGAAAGTTAAGATGTCAGGCATGGAACATGACTCGAAAAAGGCGGACGCTGAAGTTGGAAAAAATCTTCAAGCTCAAAAAGCATTGTTTTTAAAGATTGGCCCAAAAATACTTGGAGCAACACGAATCGAAAGTCTCTCGAAGCCATTTGTACATGGAAGAACTGAGAAAACGGATCCGACTCATGAAGCGAAGCTTTTCCAACTTTAAAACGTATTTGATACCATGGGAAGCCAAAATTAAACGAATCGAAAGTGAGTTTTTGATTTAAAAGATTTCTGAAGCAGTTATTTTTCAAATTTCCCGTGCAAATCTCCTCAATTTTTCAATTTATCCAGCATGTCAAACGCAAAAAACAACGGAAAACCAAAGACTCGAGAGATCAAATGATCGAATCGTTACGATGCAATTATAATTCTTATTTCGAGAAAAAATTCTTGATCCTCACAATCTTTTTTTCAGGTCATTTTGGCTCAGTAGTGTCGTCGTATTTCACGTTTCTCCGCTGGATTGTGTTTGTAAACGTAGTGATCACATTGATAGCTGTGGTGTTCGTTGTTTTGCCAGAGGTTGTTTGGAAGCCGCCAGCAACAATTGATGACTGCTACAAAATTAAGGCACTGGGAGACTCGGTGGCCGACGAAAGTCGCCAAAATCGGACCAGGAGTCGCAAACAAATTCCTCCGAGTGAGAAGGTCCACGCAGACGAAATCGCCGTTGTTTGGCACTATGACGTGTGCTCGGATCTAGGGATTTATCTACTTTATGGGTTACAGGGGTACTTACGATATTCCCCTCTCTTCTACGGGTACTACTCGGACGATCCTTTTCTGGGTGCAAAAGTACGATATGCCGTCCCGCTTGCATATTTCATGGTCACAATATTCATCTTCGCCTACAGTTTTTTTGCTATCTTGAGGAAGTGGGTTTTTCGGTTGGAAGAAGTCAAATGGTTACTACGAAATGGGATTTTTCAAAAATTTTGAAACTGCTATGCTTTTTTTTTTCATCATGTTGTTTCAGGTTTCCAGTCCTAACTCTTATTCATTAATATAGGTAATTTTGAAATTCAGTTTAATAGTTGAGTTTAAATCAGCAAATGATATCAAATCACACGAAAGATCTCGTCATCTACAAAAAAAGGTTTCGCACAAATGAAAAATTGCCATCAAGAGATTCAAACTGTTTTGGGCGTTTCATTCAACCCTCAAATGTTCTTTATAAAATTAATCACTTTTCGTGTACTTCCTTGGGTTTTGCATTTATAACAACTCGTCAGAAATCAGACCAATCTTTCAAAGAATTTATCTTTGTTCATCCTGAAACTTCTTTGCCACTTTTTCAGAATGGCTGCAAATGCCCGTATGTCAAAACTTTCTGGAAGCAAGGCTGAACAGTACATTTTCAACTGGAAACTGTTCACTGGCTGGGACTACACCATCGGTAATTCTGACACAGCCAGTAACACTGTCATGGCCGTTGTCATCAAACTAAGAGTGATTTTTTCTTTTTTTCCGAATTATCATTATTTTTCTCAAGGAGTCTATAGCAGACAGTCGAGTGGAAGGTCATGGAAAGTTCCGTTGTTTGCAGTTCAGTTTGAGGTTTAAAACAGCTTTCCCATTTTTCTGAGAAGTTTTTTCAGAGTTTTCGCTAATTTGGTTATTTGTGCGATGCTAGCGTTTTCCATTTACTGTATTTCATTTGCTGTTCAAAAGTCCCAAACGGCAGTTGAGCAGGAGGGAAATTTGTTCACGAAAAATCAAGTTTAATTTAAATTTTTTTTTCAACACTTTTTTTATTTTTAGGTTCCTTCTGTCGTATCAACAATAACGCATGTTTTTCCTATGATTTTCGATTTAATTGGGAGAATAGAAAATTATCATCCGAGAACGGCTTTGCGAGCTCATCTTGGACGGTGAGAGTATAGTCGATTCTTTGCCGCTTGAAAGTGAAGATAAGTAGATTGACAAAGGTGACGCGCTGCGTACGCGAAGCGGTTTTTGGTGGGCAACTTGAATGCGAACGTAAGCCATCTTATTATTTTTTCTTTCATTAGATTTCAATTTTTGAAAGTTTTGAAAAAGATTTAACGAAATGAGAAAATATAAAAAACATTATTTTTCCATCTTTCTCGACTTTTATCTCGACCTTAAGTTCCGCATTAAAAAACCTCGTTGCTTACGAAACGCTTCACTTTCGTTAATCTTTCCATCTCGCTTTTTAAGAGAGGCAGAATTGACTGAACCATATGAATTTCAATGAAAACAAATAACTTTCAGAGTACTTGTTTTATATGTTTTTAAACTATTTGACGTTGATCTTTGCTCTTTTTCGACAAAATGGATGCTCTTCGAAAAAAACGGACTACTCGCAGGACTATCACTTTCGGTTCAAAAGACAACAAGGGGGCTGGAATCCAGTATTCGTCTTTTTTCTTATTTCCCTTCTATTTTTGAAATTGTAGAACATCGTTCGCCCGCCACCATACGCTAGTCGAACTTTCGAAAACCGTCACTTGGTCGGCTTCCTCCCTCGGACGACTCAAAGTTATGATCTTCCCAGCCAAAGAACCACCAGAAGTTACACAACTCCTTATACTGTAGGTTTCATCATGATATCGCTAAAAAAATAGAATAAACTGTTTTTGAAATTAAAAGAGAAAAAAAGAGCTTATTCTGATCTTCTGACCGATTTCCGAAAAGATCGACTCCTGAAAATTTTTTTTTAGTTTTTCAGTATTGAATAAAGTTAATAATTCTGCTCTATTAAAATGGTAAACAATTTATCTGGGTCTCTCATCTTCCAGGTTGCTCCTCAATACGGTCCTTTCAATGTGAATAACCCCAATGCGATTCTTCGTAACGGGACTCCAATTGGAGAGTTCGAAGCTCAAAGAGTTGGACCTCAGCTTTTGCCTATCTTTACACCTCCGCCTAGAACTTTCCCACCACATTCATCTGGGAGAGTGGGACAAGTGAGAACATTATGTTTAAAATTGAAAGCTAATCTTTCTCCTTAGCAATACGGAGGGCCTGATTTTGAGAAAACCAAAGTATATACGAAATCAACTCCATTACCAAGAGTAAGGACAAAACCTCCTTGGAAGTGGTCAACGACAGTTTCGCCATCACAAGATGAATCTCAAACTCAAATTGTGCAGGTTTATCGTCGTTTCCATTTTTATTCATCCCGAAAATATTCAGCCGGATCCTACACAAGTCTCTATGAGAAATGACTCTCAACTTGGATCAAGCATCGATCTTTCAAACGGTTTTTTTTATTCTTCGATCTCACGAGAAATATCAAAAAAAAGTATTTTATGATTGTCGTGTTAATTTTTTCTTTTAAAATCAAATATATAACATTTTGTTGTCATTAAGACACTATTCACATGGGTCAAATGGCGTCCAGAAAAAGTAACGGCGACGAAATTTACAACAGCGACATTTGTTGGGAAACGATAATTGGCCAAGTTTGTAAATCTTTGAAAAAAGGTGTCCTGTAACTAACTATTCAAAGGAAATAGTCAAGTTGGTCACGATGGACTTGATATTTACTATTCTGTCGATTTTGGTCATTGACTTCCTCCGAGGCGTCTGGATTAAGTACTGCTCGTCTTGGTGGTGTTGGGACATCGAAACAACTTTTGTAACATTTGTTTCGTTTCAAAACTATAGAAGTTTTTCAGCCAGAATACGGTGAATTCAAAGTTGCCGAGAACGTTTTGCACATCATTAATAATCAAGGTTGTACTGAGATTTAAACACTTATTATATCTAATCTTTGAGGAATGATTTGGCTTGGACTATTTTTCGCTCCTCTTTTACCAGCTCTCAACAACATCAAACTTGTCATCCTGATGTACATTCGAGGATGGGCGGTGATGACCTGCAACGTTCCAGCCAGAGAGATTTTCCGAGCCAGCAGGTTCTTTTTCTCTCGTTTTTTTTTAAAAGATGTTTTCGTTCAATACAGATCGAGCAACTTTTACCTGCTCATACTGCTTCTTTGGCTTTTATTGTGTACATTGCCCGTGGGTTATGTAATTGCATCAACCAAACCTTCAAAAGCATGTGGACCTTTTGCGTAAGAAATATTGCTTGTTCGATCAATGACGATCTAAATTCAAGCCGTTACGACTATTTTTACACTGTCGTGACCAGAGAAATCGAAAAAAGGGTGGATCAGACTTTCCTCAACTATATCAAGCATATAGCTTCTCCGGGAGTTGTTATTCCAATCATCTTATTCCTCATGTGAGTTTTGATAGTTTCCATTTTAAATCCGTTCATTCACAGTTTGATTATCTATTTTCTTGTTTCACTGGTACGAGGCCTCCGGGAGGCAAACACCGACCTCCAACAGCAACTCATCCATGTCAGTTCTTTCTCATGATCGTACACTCTTAGTTGAAAATTCAGGAGAGAACCGAAGAAAAAAAGAAGATCTTCGAGCTAGCGGGTGGTGGGAAAAAGCGAATGGAGAAAAAAGAGAACAGGAAAACTGCTGAATATGTGCCAGAAGTGGAACAACGTCGACGCGAAACATGGAGAGTTTACCATGAGGTAGTAAAAAAAAAGGAAAACATTAGAAAATTTCTCTCTTTAGGGAGAGCCGGACAGAATTCTTGCTTCTGATTCTTCGGATGAGAGCGACTTGGACGACGACGACGAATGGAAGCAACAGTCTTTGATTACAAAACCCTACGGCTTAGAAGAAGACCTTCTGGCAAATCAAGAAACTGTTCAAGTTATGGCATTCCATCCATCGTTAGGGTAAGAGCTTTATTTCGTGGGAAAAATTAGATCTTTGAGTTTGAATGATTTAAAAAAAACTTAGGTCTCTAATCGAAGACAGGGAATTGGAAGATGAAGAAAATACAGAACAGGCTAAAGTCCATTTCAGTAGCTCTCTACCAGGTGCGTCTTGTTTGAGTTCTGGGAAATTTTACTATTCCTGTATTCCAGGCACTTCACTCTCACAAATGCAAATTGATTCTTCAATGGACAGTATAAGCCAAATATCGCGTAACGTTATCCAAGTGGCAACTCCTGAAGAAATAAGGTTTTTATTCGCTGGTTTACTGTTCGATTGCATGTTTCAGTGTTGTTCAACAGTTTTTCTATTTATTCGGGTTATGAACTAATAATTTCCAAAAAAAATTACAGTTTTCAGTTTTTCTGGACCTCTTTTTCAAAAAACAACTGTGTCGAAATTTTTCAAATTAGGTATTCTGCGATATGTGATTGTTTTTTACAGACGGATTTCTTAGATTCTTAACTTTTTTTCTTCACAAAAAAAATTTCAACTAGTTAAAAAAAGTTTACGACTCTTTAAGAATATAAGAAAATGCTTCCGAAAATTGGTAGATTCAATACTGACAAGATCTATGTACTTATTTCTGATTATTCAATGTATAAGAATGCTGAGAACAGACTCTTGACGCTAAAAAGGAACTAAGGTGAGAATAATCTTTTTGCCAAGGTCCGAAAGCATACACTTTCGCGACGACCAACGATACTCTCGTTAACAATTTCGATTTTTACCGTTGCTTGAAAAATAGGAAAAGTCTTCTGGGGATAAAACCTTCGCAAAAAGCTCTGAAACAGCTCTTGAAGAAAAAAATTGTCTACAATAAATGCACTGGAGAAGAAGCACAACATAAGATTTCTTCGATTCAACTTTTCCCAACGAAAGTGTGTCGTTGTCCAGACTGTCGTGTCGTTAAGCATGCTGCGTGAAAAGACTTCACCCGCATGCCTATCATTGCAGATCCTTGCTGCGGCCTTTGCTCGAAGCTCATTACGGCGTGTCCATGACTTCAACTCATCCTTTCCCTTCCGAAATCCACTCTTCACCGACCATTCTCACTTCTAGACGCTCGTCTAAGTGTAGTTCGTTCGTGTCACTCTATGAGTCCGCCAAAGAAGATCTTTTGCACTCAAAGTGGGTTACAATCCTGAAATGTGTGAGACTTTTTTACACCTTTTCTCATAAATTTCTAACGATTTTTTTTTGTCACTAACAGCTAGTTTTAGTTTCATAAAACTTGCTCAATTACTATTTTCAAACACTGTTCTTTCAATCAAATTTCAGATATTCATCGCTTACAAAACTTCAGTATGTTGTAATGTTACATTCCACGATTTGAAACAACATGACGCAGCATTTTTATTTCAGTCATGCAATGGTGCCCCACATTTGAATTTGGCATTCCCTGCATTACTAAAATTTTCAGAGTTTTGAAATTCGATCCAAATATTTATTTTATCAGCTAAAACAGAATCGTATTGCACGAATTCGAAAATTTTGTGAGCTCCAAAAATGCTGCACTTTAGCGTTCTAAGTTGTCACGAAAGCAAAAAATTCTTCACTTTTTCTGTTCCTCTGAACATTTTGAAAACTTCAGAGCGCTAACAACGACATCTACCATTTACGAACTCCCTGAAACGCAACCTGAGGTGCACCAGAAAATCAGAAAAGAGCCGATCGAAAAAAGCGACACGGTTCTATTGCGAACCAAACGAGCGCCGTCGGTAGAAAGACAAGAGACAAACTCGTCAAAAAACAATAAGTATGCTGCAAACTTTGCTCAAAAAAAAGTTTCTTTTTCTCAGATATATCACGTCGGATATCTCACCGCAGTTCCTACCGTGGCCTTCCTTTGAAGAAGTCCTTTTTCTCGTTGAACTAAACACTAACGTTCATTTTGTAGGCCAAAAACATCCGAGAAAGAATGAAACAGAAGACTCCTTTGCCTTTGAAAAAGCTCTCTAAAGAAGATATCTCGCCTTTGGCTGAAGTTAAAGTTGAGGAAAAGGCAAAGTTGGAATACCGACCGCCAGTTCCAATCCATCGAAAGTATCAGGTCGTTTTGCCATTTCTGCAGGTTTAATCAATTAACTCAGACGGCGACTGGTTCTGAAGCTGAAAATTTGAACAAATCGACAGATTCAAGCAAGAGATTCCGTATATCTGTGTCGCCAACAAAGACAGTACAATCGAATCAAGGAAACGAGTGAGTGACCAGAAAATTGTCATTTTGGATGGAAGTCTTCAGGGTAACGCGCAATTTGATCCATCAAGCCTCGAGCGGCTCCATTCCGACGCAAAGCCGTCAGAGCGACATCAACCAGAACCCGGTGGTTGCAGCTTCGCCGAGAGCTCCGCGGGTGCAGTTTGGAGAAGACGACAGCCCTCGACTACTTGAGTGATTTTCCCTTCACACCACTCACATCCGAAATACATCATCTAGGTTGATGAACAGAAAACCCAAGTTCAAATATGAAAAAAACTAAAATAATTGACCAATTCGAAGATAAGATTTTCGAGTTATCTTCAATTGTTTTTGTGTTGAATTCTCGACTAGTAAGTGATAGTCAATGTTTTCATTTTCTCATTTGGTCCAGTTTCCCCGTGATTTTTTCTTGCATTCCATATTTTAAACTGCCACTTTAGGGCTTTCTCGATTTTTCAGCTTGTTATCTCATGGCGCTTTTTGAAGCGCACAGTTTTTCCTCGTTTGATCTCATTTCATCTTTTTTTTTTGAATTGTTATTGTAAAACGCAATTCCATATCATGTTGTTGATAAAAATTTTGTTTTTTTTTTGGTAATATTAAATTTTATTAGAAAAAGTTGGCTTACCAGTAAGCAAAGAAGATAAAAAAACAATTTGAGGCCTTACAGCTTCTCCAAACCAAAAACACGAATTTTTCAAAAAAATTACTGAGATGAGAACAACCCAAGCTAGATAAAGCACTGTATGGTAATGTTGAGGGGTAGGTATTTGAACTCTGGGCTTAGGATTACTGCAAAAAATTACGTTGCACTCTAATATTACAAGGTTCTCAGCATCAAGCGTTGCATATCGATAATCGAAATAAACATTTTTTGATACTGATAAATTTCGAACGATACATGAAAAAAAAAATGCGAAAAGTTAATTAACCCTGCAAAAAAAAAAAACAAGCCAATTACGCAAAATCAGGATCACACACAAAGAATTTGGGCATTATGAACCGAGTGAGATAGTTGATACAGAATAAAGCTTAAAATTCCAAGATACGAGTACGACAAAATAAACAAATATATTGCTTCTGTTTAAAATACAGTAAGCAGCTGAGAAATGACTTTGCAAAACGCCAGCATCTGAGAATTAAAGAATTCAAAAAAGAAACTCGTCAAGAAAAATGAAAGCTATTATCTTAAGGACTCGACACAAAAATAATAAGCGCACACGAATGGAAGGTACAGTACCGCTCAAAAGTGTATTAAGTTTTGGTTTTTTAAGGATATCTCAGCGAGTACTAATCTGATTTATATATAACTTTCAGGGACAATGTAAAATATACTTTGAAACATGTACGGTATACAAAGACATGTCTGCAATCATTGTGACGCGTTTTAGGCATTTTTTTATTGAATTCAATTTTTTGTTTTTTTATGCTTTTTATTTTTTTATTTATTTTTTTATTAAATTTTTTTAAAAGTAATAATGTTGCCATATTTTTTAATGTTTTTCAGACATGGGAAGAACCTCTGGAAAAAAGGATCTGACTGATAACGACAAAAGAGCCATCTTTGTGGGTCGTCAAAATGGACTGACCACGATGACGTTGGCAGGAATGTTCGGCGTGACAGAGGCGTGCATTTCTCAGTTCCTAAAGCGTCGGAAAGCTCGAGATGGCTCTACTAACAGCCAACGCACTGGAAGAACACGTGTCACTGATCGTAATGATGATAGAAACATTTTGAAGACGTCTAGAACCAATCCAAGACCCACCGCCCTGCGATCAGACGGGAAGTTTTCTTGAATTTGAAATCTCCGCCATCCGTCTCAACCGTGAAACGACGTCTGAATGCTGCTGGAATCATGGGAAGACGTCCAGTGAAGAAACCGCTGATTTCTGAAAAGAATCGAGCCGCGAGGGTAAAGTGGGTGAAGGAGCATCTCAACTGGCCCCGTCAAGACTGGAACAAGATTCTGTGGTCCGACGAATGCAAGTTCCTCCTCTTCGGGAGTGACGGAATTCAGTGGGTTCGTAGACCAATTGGGTCCAGATATCATCCGAAATACCAATTACCCACTGTGAAACATGGTGGAGATTCCTGCATGGTGTGGGGCGCCTTCTCAGGAAGTGGCATCGGACCGCTTCATCGCGTGAACTGCATCATGGACAAGCACGTCTACAAAGACATTCTCCAAAACCAGATGTTGCCGCACTTGAGAGTTACGGGTCGTGGGAGTGTTTATCAACAGGATAACAATCCCAAGCATACTTCACTGTTGGTCAAGGTGAGAAAATTGACAAGTAATTCGTATGATTTTGAAACTCAGGATTGGTTCAAGAGCCGTCGGGTCAATGTCATGGGGTGGCCAAGTCAACCTCCGGACCTGAACTCGATCGAACATCTCTGGGAAGAGTTGGAGCGACGTTGTGCTAACAAAAAAGCCAAGAATTGCAACGAGAAGTTTGCTCAACTGCTGTCTGAATGGAATCAGATCCCCATGTCTACCATCGACACTTTGCTCAATTCTATGCAGAGAAGATGCCAGGCAGTGATTGATGCCAGGGGCTTTGCAACCAAGTACTAGGTTCCGAATATTGTTTAAACATTGTTTTGTATTGATAAAATTCTTTTGTTGAGCTATGATTTTTTAATTGAAAATAGCAAAAATCGATTTTTTTCGAAAAATTCGTTTTTTTCGAAAAAAATTATTATTTTTTTGAGCTAGCAACTTGAAATTTTGCCAGAACACGTATGTCTCTCTGAGTAAACTATGAAAAAAAAAAATTTGAATCGATATCGCACCTCAAAAAAAAATTTATCTCCCCAAAAAACCAAAACTTTTGTAGTATATTTACTTTTGAGCGGCACTGTAGATAATATAAGGCCTCACGCTTAACGCGCAATCGATGATAATGACAGCAAAGGTCGAGAAAGTATGCGTATAAACACGTTTTTTCGTTTCCAATAAAATACTTGAATGCTGAAGAAGTATAATATAAAGGATTTCAGGCACTTGGATCCCGAGAAGTAGACGAACTTTGAGAAGAGCTTTGTGCTGTAGCGAGCTCAGACAAACGACAGAGAGCCGTGAGAGCCGCGTATTCAGTGGCCAGTTCCGTCGTTTCGCCTTTTCCATGGCAGACCTCAAACTTTGCTTTTCAATAATCGAATCTCAAATCTGAACTCACCACGGGTTCTTCCAAGCCGAGAGTCACAAGAGTGAAGTGTTCGCTGTGCTGAAAGTTTTTCCCTTCTTTTCTATTTTACACCTTCTGAAGAGAAGGTACCTCAGGTAAGATGGTGTACTGTACAGTGAATTTGTAAAGTTGACCGATAGTATCCAGCTGTTCTCTTGCACTTGCAGTAGGAGTTTCTGAATAAATTTTTGGGCTAATTGTATAAAATATAACAAAAATCTTAATTTCTCGAAAAACAAATCTTACTCGGGTTAGGCGAATTTTTCTCGAGGTTGAAAGTTTTGATGAGATTTTTAGCAATGAGAGAAACTTCTCCACGCTGAACGGCAGTGAGCGCTCTGCAAAATGAATTACAACCACTGTATCTCTGAGCCGAAGACCTTCTTCCTTCTTTGATGCGACGGATTTTGCGGACTTTCCCTTCTACTACTACTTCAAGGTTGAGGGTAGTGATCTCCGAGTTGGGATAATTCACATCTCCTGTCGGCCGAACTACGTGAAAGTTCATCGAAATTGTGAAAATACCTGGTGGAGGACACGCTTCGACCTGATTGCTAAAAGTGACGCGACGTCGCGAGGCTTCTGGAGACCCCGACGTTGCTTCTTCAATTGAAATTTCTTCGAAAGGTGAAATTGGACGGCTGGAATCGTCCGTTCCTTCATTCTCCTCGGCCTCATTCCTAAATGAATCCATTACGATTCGGTATAGGAATACTCGAACACTTTTTAACATTTTCATTGATTGGTGGTGGATTTCCTTCTACTGGAGACGGATGGAGAGGGACGACGTTTTCCGAAGTTTTTCCACTGTTTTCCAATTCTAAAATGGAACAAAGATTGAGGGTTTAATGAGAGAATAGAAATAATTTTTAGCCTCTAAATAGCGAAAAAAAAAGTCTAAACTTTTAACTCACGTTCATATTCGTTAGTTTTCCTTTTCAAAAGACTTTTTCCAGGTGCTGGCAGAGGTTTTTCGTAGCCAATGGAAGCAAGCATTGCCTCTGCGGCGGCTCTTTTTGCCAATCTCTTGTTTGGACCGCGGCCTTCGTGAACCAAATCGCCACAGGTCACCTACTTAGACAATATGCACACAAACTTTGAAAAATTCTTACCCTCATGATAAACTCCTTGTAACGACTTTGTCCCTGCTCTCCAATGAATTCGAAATTAGCGTAGTTTCCTCCTTTCGTTTGCAAGATCTTGACCATAAAAACACCATCAACTATCAATCACTGTTCGGAATCCATGTAAAAAGCGATGAATTTGACTGATTTTGAGAATTTTCATATTTTTCTTTTTTTTTTTTGCAAAAAGCTGTAAAAATGTACCTGAATCAACCGTGAGACAGGATTGATCTGGTGGCCGTAATCTGGATCCATTTTCTTGTCCTAAAAAAAAGGCATTAAAGATACGATACGATAAAAATTACCTTGTCGAGTGTTTTTCTTTTTTCTTTGGGCATGGATTGGAGTTTCTTCTGAGACTTGAAAAGCGAAGATGCAAGGTGGATCGGTGTGTTTTCTTTAAAAATTAACGTTATCAGGAAGGCGGGCATCGAACGAACCAACAAGTTGGAGCTCTTTCAGAAGTCTGCTACAAGCATCTTGTTTTGCTTCTTTCTTCTGGCTACCTGTTCCCGTCGCTTCTGCGTAGATCTGAAAAAATTGAGAGGTCGAAATATTCATAAATGAAAGGAATCTACTTAGAAATTGAACTGACCTCATTCGGGCCGGAACGCAAACTACAGCGAATCACAAATTTTCTGTCGTGGGGCGGTCCTTCTTCAACAAGTACCTTAAATAGTAATAGTGTGAAAAACAGTTGGTATGTTTCCGTTTCACCTCGAAAACGACATCCGTTTTCAATTGAGCAGCTTTTTCGTGGACATCGCTAATCACAGATTTTTCTTTGTGCTTGGGAATCGGCTGAAAAACTGGGAGATAAGTTGATTCAGTGGAATATCCAATTCACATGTTCCTCATTTTTAGCGTTTCTCAGCATGTTTTTAGTCCGGTTCTCGCAATCCCGAATAGAAGGTTCCAGAACAGCCAAAGCCTAAACTGGGCGGAAATAGAAAATTTTCCAGTAATTTTGAAAAAAAATAACGGAAAGAATAAGAAAGTTCACGAAAACTTTGAATTGGATTGACCTTTATTGCTGCGTTTGTTTTGGCTTGTGCTCCTGTGATTCCCAGAGCCGTTTCAATCGTGTCAGGACCAATTGTAACGGCAGCCTGAGAATTTCTTCCATTTTCCTTTACTAGTTCCACGGAATACCATATGAAGAGGAGTGTTGAAAGTCGGCGGTAAGTTTCCGTTTGTGCAAGGCGTCGCGAGTGGACTTTGAAGGTTATTGAAGTTCAATCCTAAAATGCTTGTACAATTGACAAAGTTTCACAAAAAGTTCATTGAAAACCTGAATCGAAACTAACCGATCGGTCTATCAAACATGGATACGCCGTAGAGAAATGGGCTGGGCTGTTCGTTGAACGGTCTCGCAAAGCAATCACATGAGGAGCTTGGAGGAAGAGCCGGAAACAAGGTTTTCGGGTCCTGCGCTCCATTCTCGAACATGTAAGAAGCATTTGGAAGGAGAGTTGTCGTGATGACCGGCTCTCGCATCCCCAGCGTCCTGCACACGTGGTGCAGCAGTTGAATCGGCGATTTGTTCTCGTTTTCTTCAACAGAAAAAAGTCCATAAATAAATAGAATCTTTTGAAAAAAAGCTATACTGAGTTCTCAAACTTCCAAGAGATTCTGTGTTCAGTAATTTTTTAAAAAGGCAATTCGAACTTTTGTTTTTCTTTCGCATTCACCTTTTTTCTTTCTGGATACTCTTTCAGGGGGGATGCTAAGAGTCGTTTTTTCAAGAGCCTGCATTGCCGCTGCTTGTTGGGCTTTTTTTATGGAACAACCGCTTCCGATGAAATTCTGACATCAAAAATTAAGAAACTTCAGTGCGATTTTGATATACCTGATCAGCGTTCAGATTTAACCGAACCGTGAAAAGTTTTTTGTGAGCTGGTCCGCTCTCATCCAGAAGAGAATAAACGTGTCTCAGCTAAAAAGAAAGTTTTTCATTTTTTTTCAGTTTCGAAGAAACCAACTTTATTGAACCTCGCGATTTCAGCTACCCGATACATTGCTGACTTTCCTTTTGCGTCTTGGTCGCTGTAGTTGTAGACGTTTGTTCTTTCGTCTTGACTGGCTAAATGGTTTCCGCACCATGGCTGTGGATGGACTTTTGGTTGCTCCGCTCCCTGAAATAAAATAAAAACTCGGAAATAAATAATTTAGAACTTCGAAAAATCTTTTTATACCGAATAAATGTTCTCACCGCCACAGCCATGGTGTTCAAGTTTTGTCCAAGTGAGGTGACGTTCGTGACGTCATTGGCAAATTTTGTTTCATTTTTCCCTTCTGATTCGCCTCCATCAGTTTCTGTCATTCAAACCTAAACAATTCGTTTTTATCACGAGCTTATTTTTGAAAGCAGTCACAATAAAATTTACAATTTTGTACACTCAAATTTCATTCAAAGTTTTGTTTGTTCTTTTTCAAACTTTTTTTTTGGAAATTATGAGGAGTGTTTTGCAAAGGCTACATTATTTAAAAAAAATTGCGGTATAGACTTTTTACAAATTCCGAACACATCAAAATTTCCATTCTCGCAACAAAATAAAAGTTGTAATCAAGGAAACGCATCAGTTTGGATAAACCACAAGACGTTATAAAAAAAAATGATAAAACAAATGAAGACGTAATTGAGCGTTGAAATCAATTTCAAGTTATCCAAAAATCAACAATTACCGTGACATTTTTAGAAACAAAAAGATAAACGGTTAAAACAAGCCGAGCTCACGTCCCCCTCCTCCGATTCGCGGCGGGACCCGTTAGTATTTTCTTACGGTAATTGTGCTCAACTCCATGCAGTTTTCTTAGCAAAATGATGTGTTTAATTAGGAATAAAAAACATTCCACTAAAATTACTTTCTTGAAAATGTTTAGGAATATCAATAGGGTTTTGCTGGAATTCATTTTTCAATTCTTAATGTGGTGGATTGAAAAGAAAAAATTGAAAAAAACCATCATCAATTTTATCCCTGAATTTTTCATACTACTACTGAAGCGAATAAAAACAAAGTTTTTAAAAAAATTTGAACAATCTGTGAACTTAGAATTTAAACAATAATTCGAAACCTTTTTACTAAGAATGAAAAAAACAGATTTATTGAAATTTAAACAAAATAGTCTTTACTTATTTGCACCACAATCGGTTTCCAATCAGGCGTAATTTTGCTTCTATAAATTTTTTTACATTAAAGAAAAAAATGAAGTTACAAGAAACCCTTCAAATAGTTGACTTAATTTTGCCAAGAAATTTTGAGGACTCAGTTTTGATCAACGGTATTACTTTTTCTCGTTTAGAAGATGGTTCTGCTACAATAAAAAAACTTTTAAAAAAACTTTTTCAGTCCATGTAAAAAAATATCTTTTTCAGAATCACGGGGTATCAGAAAGTCGATAATCGGCTCTGAAACTGTGATCGACGATGAAAAATATAGTTTTTGTAATTGTCATTGATTATTGCAGGACTAGGAGGCACCAAATTTAAAACTCAAAAGAAAGCCAGAAAAAAAGGTTGAAAACCGGCATGGCAAAAAAGGAGAAAAAAATCTTGGTTCAAAAACTAGACTAAAATCAAAAAAAGCTTTACTTTCATATAATTTTATCCCACTCAATCGACGGCTGGTCCTGAGCCCCAGAAGCCAAAAATAAATGAAAAAAAGTTCTTTTGAACTGCATAATGTGTTTTTCATAAATGAGTTTGTTTTTTTTTCCTTCCAACCAGAACCACTTGATTTCGTTAGCTCGAAGAAAAGACAGTAAAAAGCGCAAGTGGAGTGGGAGGACATTTGTTTGCATTTCTCGAAGGCTGGCCAGTCCAGGTTATCCACGCAAACAATCCATCCAAATCATGGCTTCTCAAACGGTACGTTTTTACATTTTACACGAATTTGTGAGAAAATTGGGCTTTGCTCGGGTTTCCGATTTTTTGATGGGATGAAAGACTTGCATCGTTTTCATTATTTTTCTGTAGCACTGATGCGGATATATTGGAAATCGCGGAAGCGTCCATTAGGAACATTAAAACTTATGACTCCCAGGATTACGCTAAAGAGAAAGAAGTTCAACACAAAAGGAAAATCGTCCTGCCAAACGTCATTCCTTGGGAGTATGGCTCCAACAAATATGCTACGCAAAAAGGCAGTGGAGGCTTTGGAACCATTCGTAACGCAAGTTTGTTCCCTTCTCTATCTAATGGAGTCAGAAGCTTCACTTTTAAGAACTAAACATCAAGTCGAGTAAAGATCTTTCGGAGAGCAACGACGGCGTCGTGCCGCAGCTGAACTGCCCTCCAATGCATCACACCTACGCATCGCAATCGAAAAGCACATCTTTTGGAGCGATGAGAGAACAAGTCACCAAAGTCGTCGATACAGTAGGCTTTTCATCCAATTTTGTTATTTCCACATACTTTCCTTGCAGAATGGCGACAGTAAAGTTTTGATAAGCAAGATCGTGGACGACAAAATGACAGAAACGATGTTGAAAAAGTGGAACCAGCCAAATAGAGAAGCTACGAACTCCGAAATTGGTCGGTCAGAGGATTTTCTGATCGACATGATTTAATGGGTCCAGGAAGAAGAAGGAACGCTCTGACCGAAACTGTCGGGGGCCACAGGATGAAACGAGAAGACACAATGAAGTGCTTAGCAGCCATACCTCGTTTCCAGGATCCGAGAATGACGATCGCACATTTGGATAAAACAAACGGATCAGTTAGTTTTCAATATTTCCTCAATATTTTTCCTTGTTACTAAAGAAATTCGCTATGAAGTAGTCTTTTGTTATTGTAGAGCAGACGTAGCTGATTGAATCTGCGAAGTTTAAAACTTACTGTCTGTTCAAAAAAGCTCATGTGCCCTTGCATTTTTAAAGTTTTTTTGACTTCATCTTGTTTTTAACCTTTTCATTACTAGAAGTTTTTAACAGAAAACATCGCTTCAGTGGCAAAACTAAGAACAGAGAGAAATTACTCCACTAAAACTAATTGATTTTATTTTTGTAGTGATTTTTTTCCAAGTAAGAATGGACCGTTATTATATGTTGAAAAATAATTCTTTATTCGTGACTTTCAAAGCAGAATAGTTTACACATATTGAGGAACGGGGAAAAAGCTTCTTGTAGTTTTATCAAGGGCGGTGTGATTTATTTTGTGTGGCTTCCTTAATAAAGCTAGAGAGTTTGTCGTTTATTCAGAAATAGTTTTTTTTTAAGAATTCGATTTTTTTTCTATTCTTGCAGTTCTCCTTTTTTCATATAATGTAATTCAAAACTTATTTTATGTTCTAGTAAAAGATTCAATCAATTAGAATGGAAGCTAGACATTTCAAAGCAACAACAAACTTCAATTTTTAAAAACAGAGTGGAAGACCTTTCTCGTCAAAAAAATAACAAAATCTATAAGTTTCATCGTTTTATAAAAAGCCATCAATGTTACAAAAAGAATTTTTATTTCAGATTTTGTTTCAGTAAACATTGAAGTGAAGCCTCCGTGTTTTCAGTCTTATCAACCTGGCCTCCAAAGGAACAGACAAGCCACAACCAATGTGGAAGGCTTGAACCGCGATATTTCAGATCAATTGGATACCAATCGTTACATGGCATGGCTTGGAGGGCAGGTATCGGAAAACGTCCAACTCAACATTCTGTCAATTTTTTCAGCTTACTCTGCAATCCCAATCGAAAACTGGCGGTTTCAATAAAACTCGCGACGTTGTTTCTCAGAACTATTACAATAAGGTGGACGGGACAAAGATTGATGCCGAGGTAAGAAAAAAGTTATTTTTTCGACACTTGGCCAATTTTTTTTCTTTCTTCGTCAGTGACCAAATATCGTTTCTAAATTCCATACGTTGAGATGAAATTTCAGAAATTGAGAAAGAGATTACAAGAAGTTCAACTGCAAAAGAGCGACATTGTCGAACAAGAGAACAATGATGAAGAAAGACGATAAAAAAATTAGAAATTTATTTATTCTTTCGTCCGCTCAATTTTTTTCACATTTCCCAATGTTTGGCGAGATCGAAGATCATTGAAACTTTTTTCGGAAAGCTTGAAAAGCTCAGAGTAACTTTGAGTTATTTTTGAAGCCAATTTTTTTCAAAGTTTTTCAAAAAAACGAGTGCTTGCAAACTTCAATAAGAAAAAAAAAGAAAAATTTCGACTTAACTTTTTTTAATTCTGTTAAATTTTTAAGATTTCTTTTTCTTTATTTTTCTGACGTTGATTCTATTTTTTTCAATGATTCAAAAACTCAAAATAATATTCCTTCGAAACTCACATTGAACAAGTAAAAAAATTAGTTTCGGACCTCTATTTTTTTCCAGACATTTATTTCTTTTTTTATTCTGTCGATTTTGTTTCAGAATAAACTTTCACGATTTTTTCTCAATGATAACTCAGTGTGTTGATGAAAAGCAAAAGTAGAATACACGTGCACAAGAACTACGGGAAAACGTGGTTTTTTTAATTTGAAACCCTGATTACCATAACAATAGGAAGACTTTTGTCTTTGGTACAACAACATTCCAGCACCAAAATTGGAACTCGAGATAATTCGGCTATGAAAAGAACTTTTCAAAACTTCTTTTCGTCACAGTTTCTGCAAAATCTATTGGTTAGTCGCAGACTTGTTCTGCGCCATTTGGGTTTAGGCTGGGTTGGAAAAAAAGGGCGTTTCGTTAACTTTTTCTCTTGATCGAATATGTTGTAAAACACAATTTTTAGAATTTTTTAAACCTAAAACCGAATATCCTCATTCGGCTAGTTTTTCGAGATACGGTAGCTCAAACGATTACGGTGAAAAGCTTCGAAAATCTATATCTCGACAAAAAAATCAACGAATCTTGATCAAAGTTTGTCACAAGGTGCAAAAAGAATTTTATGCAATTTTTAAAAAAATCTAATTACTCATTTTTTTGCTCATTATTGCTCATATTAGAAAGTTTTTTTCTCAAAAAAATCGAGTTTTTCCATCTAAGACCCGAAAATTCCAAAAAAACGTAATTTTTGGGTAAGTTTTTCCGAATAACTTTTTTATCTTTTGTTCTTTTGGCTTGAAACTGGCAAAATTGTGATCAACGCGCATTTTTACATCTACTAGGTCATTTCCAGATCGAAACAAAAGGAAAAAATGTTCCCGCCAAAAAAAATTCTGTGGATGGAAATATTCGAGGTTTTTCGCTCATAACTTTTTTCGAGATCAAAGTATCTGGTCGAAACAAAGTTTTTTGTCTCCGTTACGGTTACCATAACAAGGGGCATACATCCTTCTAAGTTAATTAAAAGGTTCTATTCCAAAAAAACCATTTTCAAAAACCCCAGGGAGGAAAAACACTTTATTTTAGGTTCGCAGTTAAAAAAAACGTTTGAAATTGTTCAAAACTTATTTAAAAAAATTATATTCAGATCCTAATGATGAGAGGATTGCTTAAAAAAATAATTTATATAGGAAAGTGTAAAAAAATGAGAAGTTTTTGAGCTGTGAAAAAAATTGAAGGTAATAAATCACAAGGACATGTTTTTTTCGGACAGTAAAAATTTTTCAAAATTTGAGATTTTCAGTTTTATATCCATGGACATGTTTCTTCAAAAAAATTTTTTCCATTTTCAGCACATGAAAATATTCAAAGACATCCTTCGGATGCCAACAAAACTTGGAAAACCCAGTCGCCATCGTGGGGAGCCACGAAACAAAAGGATTTGGGTTTCACCCGCATTTTTTCAAAAATTAATCAACCTGAACTCAACAAAAGTTTGAAAATTCAATTCATCGAACATTTTTTCACTAAAAAACATATTCCCAAATTGTGTGCCAAAAAAACTTGAGTTTTTCTGTCATCAAAAGCTTCACTAGAGTTATTGAGGCCTAAAAAAGTTTGGACGTTCGATTTAATCAAAATATGATTTATGAAGCTTTTTTTCATGATGATGATTAATTAATTTTCAGTAAGGCACACAATTTAGGAATATGTTTTTCAGTGAAAAAATTTTCGATGATTTGAATTTTCAAACTTTTGTTGAGTTCAGGTTGAGTAAAATTTGAAAAATTGCGAAGGAAACCCAAATCCTTTTGTTTCGTGGCTCGCCCACGATGGCGACTGAGTTTTTCATTTGATTTTAACTTTTTATCCCGGTAGAATTTAATTTTTATTTAACTAACGGGATTTTTTTCAAATTTATCTGCTCCTTAAAACAAAAAAAGAATACATCCTTAAAAAAAGTTTTTTTAAAATAAAAAAAATTTATTTTTTTGAAGAAATCCCGTACTAAGACTAGCCAATAAAGAGAAAAACAAAAAAAACTTTCGAAATGTCGTTGCAAAAAGTTATCCACCGTTAATTTAATGAAAAAAAGTTCAAATAGAGGAATTTTTTTGAGGCAGAAACATGTCTCTTCATCTCTTTCTCGTGGCAAGACCCGTTCAAATTTTTCTTACGGTAATTGGGATCTACTTTTTCATTTTCGAATAAAGTAATTCGTTCATGTAAAAACGCCGTAATGTGAAAAGAGTCAATTCTTCTGAAGGAGAAAATATGGATTCTAACAAGTGAGATCGAATATTTTTTTCATCTTGAGTTTCTTTCAAAAACAAACACTAGCATTTTTCCAAAGCATTTTTCTCCTCTTATAAAACGTTTATCTTTTTCTGATGAACACTAGAAATGCAAATTTTCTTTAGTTACAGTCTCCAATTGTTTTTTGGGGTTGTGGCAAGAGTTTCGCAGAAGCAAGCGCGACATTGCGAAACGCTAGCCAAATGCGCTCCATGGACAATTCAACATACGTTGCACTGAATCTGCTGCAAAAATGTTATAAACATTTTTTCTCTTTTTCATTTTTTTCTTCCTCCACGAGTTCTGAGTTTTTTTCAGATTCCGGTTTGAGTTTTCATGGAGTTGTCTTTAATTGCTCGTGTCCGGGATGGCCTTATCCTCACCACCTCCATTGAAGGAAACGATAGGGTATGTTATTTTGCACTAGTTTCATGTGAAAGAAATTCCCTTCGGTCACCTTTCTGATTATTTTTATCTCAGCACGATTCGAATCTGGTGAAGTATTCCAATCAAGCAAAAATGTTGTTCAAAAAACTGAATGGCGCCCCAGCAGAACAATCCGTTGAATCCGGACCTTACGTTTTCCAGTAAGTTCCCGAAGATTGAGGAATTTTCATTTGTTAACATTTTTACAGCTACATCATCAAAGACAAGATCTGTGCTCTGGTCTTATGCGAAAGAAACTTTCCGAGAAAGACGGCGTTCGCTTATTTATTGGATATTGCAAACGAGTTCAATAGCCAGAATTTCAATAAAATCGAGACCGTTGTTAGGCCTTATCATTTTCTTGAATTCGGTGAGATTTTTTTCTGGAGAAAGTAATTTGTGGCCATTTTCAGATAAATATATCCAGCAAGCTAAAAGGAAGTATGCTGATAACGGGAGGTTCGTGTTGCAGTTTTTTTCAAATTTTTATTTTTACGCTACAAAATTTCTAAGGTTTAGTAGGAAACTTACGAAGCGTTGTTTTTTATTTATAGATGCAACTTGAAATGGAATATTGAGAGATTGAACCTTTCTTAAGCGTTCCATATTTTTCAAACTACTACAAAGGTCCTGAAATTTTTCTATTCGAAGTGGTTTTTTTCTTTTGATTTTCGGGATGAAAATCGCTTTTGAAATAAAAAACTTTGAAAAAAGTTCGAATCTTAAATTGAACTGGAAAATGTCTTTTCAAGTTTCTCAAGTTTTCAAGTTTGGAGATTACATTTACATTATAATGATTAGCGTTTTTATTGAAAGTCAGTTGCAAAGAAAAACTGAAGATAATCGAAAACCATCACATGTTAAATGTCACACATGATTTTTTTTTGTATCTTTGAAAGAAGTTTCAACGTTTTTTGATCTTTCCTCTGAAACTTCACAAATAACTTGTTTTCAGAAGATTTTTTTTCACTGTTTTGTTACTCCGAACACTTTTGATCTTCAGATTTTCGATGGACGCCGTTTCGAATGAATTGCAGGATGTCACTCGGATCATGTTCTCCAACATAGAAGACGTTATTCATCGTGGAGAAGCTCTAAACAGTTTGTTTTTTTTTTTGAGACTATATACTGAAATTGTACTCAAAGTCAAAGAAAATTGATAAAACCCCGGAAAAAAACCTTCGGAACGGAACTTTTAATCAATATCTTCAATTTTTTTTGTTTTGATCAAGTAGCTTCTAGTTTTGATGAAAAACTTATTTGCAGTTTTGGAAAATCGGGCCACCGAACTTTCCGGTATGAGCAAAAAGTTTCGAGAAGACGCCAAGGCTCTCAATAGAAGGTTTTTTGAAAGAGTTTCCCAGATATGAAATAACTTTTTCAGGTCCACAATTTTCAAAGTTGCTGTCGCAGTTGGTCTTTGCGGTCTCATTTTCTTCATCCTCCGATTTGTGCTATTTTGAATTTTCTGAAACTAGCACATACTTCTTATTTTCTAGTATTTGGGTATGGGTTTCACTAAATTTTTATTCTCTTCTCTGGTCATGTATTTTTACGTTGTCTATATAAAAGTTCGAATTCCCACACTGCTGGTTTTTATTTAATTGTTTTATGTGTTTGAGTTCAAGTGGTCCTCTCGCTCATAATCATCGTTTGTTTTTTGTGTCCATCGAATGAAACTTCCTGTTTATGTTTTGAACGTGGATCATGGATCAAAAATTTAAAAAAAAATGATAGCTGATTGGTGTAAAAATTTTCTTTACACGGTTGCCTTGCAACTTTCAAATTGTGAAAACAATGTTATTGAAGTATTTTTTTCAGAGGTGCATTCAAAACGTTCGGAAAACTCAATTCATTTATGTAACAATCCTTAAATTTTTATTCTTCGAGTTTTTTTCAGAAGTTCTATTAATTTTATCAAATCCGAACTTCTTAACTGATATACATTCACAAAGTCGTTCAGTGTTCAAATAAAATTCCCTTTGAATCATTAAATAATTGAAGAGATGTTTGTCGGTTCCAAAAACTGTCTTTGACCAAGAACGGCCCTTAGATCCGCACATCTTTTTTTTTTTGAGTTAAATGGACGAGTTTTGAGTTTCCCGACGATCAGATACTTCTCCATGTAGCAACAATACGGCGCTCAGCTTCCTCAGAGCCGACGGGCGTTGGATTAAATCTCAGACGAGAATGTAATGTTGTATTTGTGGTCTTTTTTTTCTTGAAACAGAAACACTGTCAGCTATGAGAGCAAGAAACTCCACAAAAGTATCCAAAAAAAATGTTTACAAAAGATGGTAAAAGGAACCTTCTGATAGGGTTCGTAGTTTTAATTACAAGCAAAAATTGATGTTTCCTTGACGAGTTTTTTTGTTCCGATTTTTTTTATTATCCGTTTTCTCCTTTCAAGTTCTACTGCAATATTTCTTTCCTGAAGGTCAGAAAAAAAGTTGATGAGATCAAAGTCGCGTGACGGCCTACGAAGCAAGTAATTCAAGCCTTCTAATGTGGGCTGTTTATTCAGGACATAATTAAAACTTGGGCGCTTGTTTTAATTGAAAACGGCACAAAAGCAAAATGACAATAAGTGCGAAATTGCCTTCTCTTCTCGTTATTTCTCAATGATGAAGCTGAAGTTCTCAGTTTTTTTCCATTTATTCTTCCCCACAAATATGTATCATGCAGTCCGAGCCATTACTTTTTTCATAAGTCACTATTGAAAAAAAAGTTCTAATGTCTTTGATCCGCCGTCTGTTGTAAGATAATGGGTACAATTTGTTTTCCTGCAACTTTGATTTTTGTCAAAATAATAAGAAAGTATGAAAATACATGTTTTCTGTAAAATATTGACAAAAAATATTTTTGTCAAAGCATGACAGTTTCTGAAATGTTTTCTGAAAGGTTAACTGCTTTCGAAATAGTTTCATTGAGTTATCTGAACACTCTGAGTTTCATTCGTGAAAAAAAAACATGGTTTTCGAAGTATGAAGGTTTTTGAAAATCCACTTTGAATGAATTGGATGACGGATGTTTGCATAAAACCAAAGGTCGAGTGAATGTCGAAGCGTACATAAAACAACCACCTCCCCTCAAAAAAGGTCAAAAAGTAATTTTTTTTCCTTTTTTGTCGAAACATAGACCACGGCTGTATTTACTAAGAGAAGGCGTTTTCGTAAGCACAATTCCACCTGCACAGGGAGCAGCCACGCCCCTCGAAGAGTTGCTCGAGCTCCTTCTCAGACGGCATCTTGTGCTGCACATTATCAAGGCTCGTAGGTTTTTCCTCTCATTAAATCTTTCATTGAATGTAGTAACGTCTTTTAACTTATATCAAGCTTCCAGTCCAAAACGTAGTGATGAAAATCAACCATAAATTCTTCATAAATCATTTCCATGAGACTCAAAGTTTAAGAATAATTCAGAAGCATTGTAGATCGCACGTCATTTTCATCTTGACTAAATTCTTTTTTAAAGTTTAATACCGGATTCCGACTTTTCTAATCGAAAAGATCTTGCCCACAATGATGAGTCAATCTTCCGATGACTTGCTTGAATGCTCTTCCTCCTTCGGAAATCTTACACTTCATCCTTTTCTCTCCTCGTTTTCTTCTATGCCATTTAATTCATGCTTTTGAGTTTCAGGTAAAAGTCTACAATGAATTGGCTACTTTTGACAATCCTTTCCTTCCTTCTCATCGGAAGTGAGTTATAATCTTTTCAGACAGTTTTTTTTTTACAAAATATTATTTTCAGGCAGCGTCGGCGATATTTTTTCGCCTATTGATGAGTACGGCTCAATCTTCGATTCAGATAACATGCCTCGTCTGGAGAAAAAGTGGCTCCGAAGAGAACCTAGTATACGGTAACTCTGGAGAATTTTATTTTCTCCAAGACACTTTATTGCAGATTTGTGAAGCGAGACGGTCGTTGGCCGGCTCTTCCGGATTATCAAATTTTCAACTTTTAAAAGAGGATTTATTCTTGAATAAACATTATTTCGTGTATGTTTTGCGCAGCTGATGTCAGACATCAAAAACAAAGGTCCCGGTAATGAAGCCGTTCTTCATTTAATTTATTCGCATGGCTGACTTTGTTAACTATTTTGCACGGTAGCGTCTACAAAGAGTCGGCGTGTTCATTGTAACCAAAGAACCAGTTTTCGGAAAAAAAAACTCATTTTTCATTTCTGAAAAAGACCTCTCAAATTTTCAGGCCTGAAATTCCAATATACGTTCAAGACTTTGTGATAAAATTTGTTCACACCTGCTCTCTTGAAGACATTTCTTCAATTTTTTGCTGTGACTTTCTAATAAACAACAGTAGGCTCAAAAAAATGGGAATATTAAAAACCATACGGCCAAATAATCATCTGTTTTTATTAGTTGTAAGGATGTATAGGATCACTAAAGGATTAAAGAGCAACAAAACGAGTTCAACAGACCTGAAATAAATTCAAGGACTACACATTCTGATGTGAGTTTACCTTATGATGTTTTGTCCGCAAAGTTAGTCATAATAAGGAAAAAAACCTCGTTCTCGGTACAGAGCGATATTGTGCATTCAAATGAAATATTAACTTTTCGTTCGTTGGTCAATGAATAACTGTTCAGTGATGTCTTTTCAAACGAGGCAACCTGACTCAAAAACGAAACTTTGAATCAAAATTTCCCAAACTGTTTATTTCACAACGAATGGCACACAAATATGGAACTCGGATCTAAAGAGTATCCGCGCTGCAGAAATACGGGAAAACCACGACACGAGACCAGACAAACTGTCATGATTGATATTGCGGGACGTACATATTTTTGTGGCCATTTAACAAAATAATTCTGAATAAGGGCTACTTAAATTACAAACTTTGTTTGGATACATAAGGACTATGGTCGCCGATTTGGTCGGTGAAGTGGAATAAGGGCCCTTTCACACCAAAAAATTTCATAATAAATTAGGTTATTAGTTCAGAAGACAACTTAAGAAAACAGTAGTTTTTCAAGGGGAGAGTACACGATTGGAGACGCCGATTGATGGGGTTTTAACACATAAAAAGGAGCAAATGACTATTGCTATGAAGTAATAATAGGCAGGAAAATTGGACGACAACGGAAATTTTTCATCAAAAGCGCTGTGTCTTATTCACTACCGATTATTTAAAAACACATCTTCAATATGCAGAGTATGAACGGAAAATTGATTTACAGAATCTTAGTTGAAAATCCAGAAAACTCTTCAAAAGTTACGGGGGTCAAGTTGAAAAACAATTTACCGGAGCACAATCACAAATATGGGTAGTCAGCTAAGTTCGAAAAAATGAAAGACGAGTGAAAAAAACAGCAAAAAAGATCATATGGTTTTTCTTTGAAAGCAATGGTAAGAAAGACATCAGAACTCTGTTAAGAAAGGTGAACTGAAATGGTTATTGTTTAGATGATGATCGCAGGAAAGACGTCTACCTACTGAAAAGAAGAACGCCACTGGAGATCAAATTTGGCTAGTGGCGATCGGCAAAACTTGAAAGAAAAAGGAAATAAGTAAACTATATATAGAGAAAGACAGGGCCTTTGAAAGACTATGGATATCACAATCGAAGGCCTCGAAATGTGGGAAAGAAACAGTAACGGACTTCTGAAAGACGTTGCGATAAGTGGATTTGAATTGAAAGCACGAAATTGTACAGGTTGAAAGACAAGTAGGAGCTGCGACATAAATACAACCAACAAATTTTTGTACAATCCGAAAGCATTGATCTCGCTATTATGAAAAAGTTTTGATTTTTACGGGATCTGAACAAGACCGAGGCCAATCCAAAATTTGAATAGTCATCTGAGAGAAGAATTTGGAGTTCAATTAGAAACTTCGAAGCTATAAAACGGCGAGAAAAGCATTGAATAGATCATAATTGCGTATGTATAAAAGCGGGAAATGTTACTGTCATAGCCAGAAAGAAAGTTGGCTTTTGGGTGACGGTTAGAAGAAGTTGCACGCATTTCTGCAAAAAGATTGTGTTTTCCAGCGTTAGTAAATGAGAAAATTAAAACACGTACATTTGAAAATCTTCTGCGCCTGGTAACGCGCAGGTGAAACAGTGATTCCGATGTCTGTTCCAGAACCTCCTTTCAGTGACATCAGTTGTTTGGTGCTCATCTGAATCATTTATTAGAATATTAATCAAAAACTTCTTCGAAACCTCATCCATGATCGAGTACGAGCTGTTGCTCATGGGGGAATCAAAGAACATTTGCTGACCATAAGCCGGACCGCTACCATAACTAGCCAACATGAAAGGTGAACTCATTTCTGGATCCTGTCCGGAGAGTTTGCGCGGCGGAGATCCAGAATGATTGGAGAAGCTAGAAGAATCTGGCGATCCTGAGTGCGTAACGGAGTTGAGTCTGCTGCGGAAGCCACTATCTTCGTCGTCCTCCTTCTCCATTTTGCGATCCCCGATGATGTCGAAAACTTCTTCCAAAGACATGTTCTGCCTGAAACTTGTAGAGTAAAAGATACAGTTGAAACACGGAGGAATAACCTTTCCGGCGAGGAATTAGCACAGCTGTTAGGCGAGCCTTCACTGCCAAGGCCGCTATCTGTTCCTTGACGGTTGAGTTCATCGCACATAGGAATGAACATTTGATCGTTTTCTGTCGGGATGAAAGAGAAAGGATCGAACGGAGAATGCACGGAGACCATCTGATGCTTTTTTGGAACGCGATAGCTGATTGTACAACTTACGATGTTGTTCTGTACTGGTGGCAGAAAACACGGACGGCATTGGTCTTTGTGGCGTCTCAGAGCCACAGACGATCTACAAATAAGTAATTAGTCCCTGGCCATGATTATCACAAACTCACCTGAACTGTCCACAGCATTCTTCGCATTTCCAAGGACCGACGCCCGAGTGCAACAGAGCGTGGCGACGGAGTTCTTTCTCGCTTTCGAACGCCTGAATTGAAGAATATGAAGTGAAGGTGGCGTTCTTTTTGATTCATGTGACTAGTCGGGCGGTTTCTGAACCTACCTGGCGGCAATTATTGCATTTGTATGCAAATAGATCTTCTCCAGAATGCGACGCCGAGTGTCTCAAAAGTGATTCTTCGGTGGGAAACAGCACACGACACTTGCGGCAGGAGAAAAGCTGCAAAAGAATTTTGTTAATTTAAATCAGGTCAAGCATGTGGTTTTTTGATATTTTTTTAACGAATTGACTTTGGCAAAAACCTTGTTTTTGTTTTTCTGAACAAATGCCTCAATTTGTTGAGGCGGTAGCTGTTGTCCCCGAACACTATCCAGTTCTGTCTGTTGATTTTCCAACTCGTGAACGTCTGTCTGCTGTGGGAGAGGTGGAAGTTGCATTGGAATAGGCTGAAAACATTATCAATTTGACTTTACGTTTTTCGCAACATTTCGTACATTGTGGGTCATCTGATGTGACGTATCGAGGTTTTGAATGACCAAGCCATAGGTGATTGGAGCATCGTTATCTTCGTTGTCCGAAAGGCAAGCGCCGACGCCTGTTCCTCCTCCTCCGCCTCCAGCTTGCAATCTGCAATTCGTCTCTCATTTCAAAACGCCGTAGGTCAAACTGATAAAGGACAAGGTTTTTGATTTTCAAAACCAAAGTCGCAGGAAAGACCAAAACGTACGATTGCATTTCCTCTGCATGCATGTTGGCTTCGATTCGGGATTTCAGGAGTTGATTCGTCTCAAGACGACGAGCTGAAGGCGAAATGATGTGTCCGCCACGCTTTCTGCTAAATCTTTTTTATTGATCTTGTCTCAATTTTTCAAATCTATGAGAGTAATACCTTTTTAGAAAAAAAGCATTCAAATATTTTCGACTAACCCTGCTTGAGCCATCGACTTTTGGCGGTCAGGGCATTTGTGCTGATAAAGATTTGAACGAAATTTGTAGGTCTAAAAATTTCATTTTATACAAATGATTGCTTCATTGGAACCTTGAAACAGAATTTGCATTTGAATGGACGATCGTTTGAGTGCTTGACAGCGTGTTGCTTCAGGTACCACACAGAGTTGAACAACTTGCCACAGTCCTAAACTATGAGTTCCTTTAATGCACCCCTGACAGAACCCACCTTGCAAGCGCACTGTTGGTTTTTCTCCAGAGTCACGTTGATGTGATCAACTTCCGTCGGACAGATGACAATTGGCGGAGGAGGAGGTGGATCATTCTGAAAGTTTATTTTCTTTGAACAGTTCTAGGAAAAAATGAATCTGTACCGGTTTTGGTGCTTGAGCCATCGGATCTTCCATCTGAGCTCCTTGGTACATGTCACCTTGCGGGTAGTAGTTGTAATTCATTGACGCGTAGTCGTCCATCTTTAACTCATAGAGGAAAGTCTGAAAAATGCTTTGAAATGATAATTTTGATTAAAGATTGCGAAAATGAACGAAAATCGAAAACGACGGTACAATAAAGTGAAATTAGAAATCAGGGAGGGAAATGCGTTCCAAATGAAAATAGATAACAACGAGTGACCACTCGCTTCAATCGCAAGGTAAATACCAAAGATAGCAAGGACGCGAGGAAATCAAAATATTACGACACAGAAATGCCGAAAAGACGTCCAGAGTACTTGAAAAGAACGTCTTCGGAGAAGTGTTAACAGCGACGCCGTTCAACTCCCAACTGACGGACGAAAGAACGATTTTCGCTGGATTCCAGCCACGTTCTTTTTCTACTACTTTCCGCCGCACATCCTTACATTATACCAGCAAATGCTAAATGATGACGCGGCTCGGGTTTGTGAGCGTCGTCGGATGGAAAAAACGTTGCGGCGGCAACTGGTCACGGCAACGCAAGATCTTCAGGATTTCGCCCTCCGTCCACCACGTCTCCATTCATCGAACATTTAACTGCTGGTCGGGTTTTGATACAGCTACAGAGAGCTGCTTCTCAGAAGTCGATACTCAATAAAAACGGTCGCAAGTTTTTTGCAAAATTTGCAAGATTTCCTACAACTAAAATAAAGAAATTTCAAAAAGAAGAAAAACTTCCTTTCTGAAAAATTGATGCTTGATTTTGAGTGAAACTGACAGTAATAGTGAAACTGGCTGTCACTGATTTCTATGAAGAAGCATCTATAAACAGCTTCTGAAATGATCTGTGAAGCCTCTGTGGAATGAACTTTTATAAAGAAGACTTTGCGAAGAAAAAAGAAAGCTTTATTTCTGTTCGATTATCGCTTGATTTCTTGAACTGATGATTATAACAATGCTTTGAAACGTTTGATGAAAAATTGACTTGCTTGATAGTGGAAAAATCGTGCGAATTTTTTTATTTTGAACTAAAAAATGGTTCGACTCAAATTCTGAGATTCAATATTGAAATTTCTTGAAACAAACTTCAAAAAAACTTTACTGCCAAGCTTTCGCCTCTACAAAGTGAGTTACAGTACGAAAAAGGAACTTTATCGCGGAACAGATAAGTGATAGGAATACTTCGAACTGGTCACACCAGTGGAGGAAATGAAACTGAAAGCAAGGGATTTCAAGACAAGGGCACAAGTGTCAAACACCCGTGTGGAAAACTGGTATCAGTTGTTGCCGAAACCGCCGCCAACTTCCTCTGAATTATCAACTACTTGTCATTCAGAAGTAATTACTGTTTTTCTTCGCGGCAGGTGGCAAGAAAAAAGACGATGTGGGGATGCGGGAAAGTCGCCGCGAGCCAAAGGATTCGGCTAGATGTTATCAGTAGTCGCACGTCTTAACCTTGCGCCCTTACCAACTTATCTCATTTGGTCAGTCAACCGCGTCTGCCTCATCAATCCTCAATGCCGTTCTCTTTATTAAGTCATACATGACCTGATTTGAAGAAAAAAAGGTACTTTCAACTGGCTCCTTTTGTTTTATTTAGACAATGAATTCTGATAAGAACTTGGAAAACAGCTGAAATGGATTTCTGAAATAGAAATTCTGGAAGTTTCAACCTTTAAAATTTATTGTGAACCAAAACCGCAAGCTTTAAAATTGCAGCATCTTGTACAGCGCTTTCAGTTGAATTTTCCTTTCGAAAAGCTACAATTAGTTCAGATATCTAAGATATTTTTATCTGATAAAAAATTTTGTGGTATTCTGAGAAATTCTGAAATTGGAAACTTGAAGAACTCATTCACTGCGTTTTTGGTATATGTGTAGAACTTGAACTGCAATTAGCTGGACTTAGAAACTAGAAAGTATTGTAGAACTTTCAGAGTAAAATTTCAGAAATTTCGGAGTGAAGTGATAACCTGAAGCTAATTCAATGGAATGAGAAAAGTGAGGCTTTTCGTCGTAAGCGAGGAAGTTACAAAGCACCAAAAAAAAACCTCATACTGTAATTGGTATTAATTAATATCCACTGAAACAAACAATGCCTCATACAGAGTTTTAAATTAGCTAGAGGTGAGCTGTCCGTTAGTAAAGCTCACTTTACTGCAAATAGAGGATGTGTATCATCTGAAAAAACTGGGAAGTCAGCAGGAAATGCCGAACTTATTAGTTTTAGACGAAGATAAAAAGTTGGTGTGAAAGCCCAAGAGTTTAAAAAGGTAAAAAAACGGCGGAAATAGACTATTGGACTTGGCCCGGGTTCACCGAGGTTATGATTGCGGTCAGGCACGCAATCAGCATGCGCGATCGGAAAGGGCAGCCCTTGGGAAGACAGAACGACCAGATGAAGACATTTATCCCGAGTTATTGGTGCCAAAACTGTAGGTCCACGTCTTCCCAGGCCTCCATTAAACCTGATAGGTCAACGGTGATGGTTATCAGTGGAGCAGAGAAATGCCGAGCGGTTGTGCCCCGCGGCCTCGAATTGCTCCGCAAAAAGCGGTCTCACGAAAGCATCAGCTGTTCGTATAGTGGACAGCGGGCAGTGGAACATTGTTTTTTACTCGCCTGTGAAATGAGTGCAGTGCTGTAACGTTTCGCCTCAAGGTGCAATCCTAGGATCGCGTTTCTCGACCAAGAAACCGCGTACCGCAAAACTGATGCACTTGTCAAGTTTTTGAATATGGGGTCTTTCTAATAAATTTCTCAACGCTAAACTATTTTTTGATTTTTGCACCTTAAATGTGAAATTTCCAGGAAGCGATATTTTTAAACAAAAAGGTTTTTTTGAAGCTTTGCATTATGCAGAACAAGTATTAAATTTTCAGCTTTCATGAGATTCAAACCGAAACTCAGTTAGCGCAGGGCCGTATAAATGTCTGTTCATTTTGTTCGCTCCAGTCTACAGATTTCAAAGCAGAGTTTTTTGAATCTACAAAGAATAAAGTCTATGTCTCTTTTTTCAAAATAAAGTTTCCGCCTTTCCTGACGATTTTTTTTTCATTATCTTGATGTCTATCTTGGGAACTGACTTTGCAGAAAAAAATTCAAGAAAGTTCGTTTTCATAATGTCCACTTTTTGGACGAAATTGAGTTCACACAAGTTGAATAAAAAATTTGAGTAGCCGCTGCGTCTAGAATAATGAGGGCGTGGGCAAAAAGAACCCCGGCGAGGGAGGAAAAGCTTGGAGACGCATGACGTAATGCGAGTTGGCCAAAAGTGGACAACGGAAGTTGGGAGCCGAGTGGAGTGTGGGAAGCGCGAAAGAGCCGCTGAAATAAGCAGAGGAGGCTTACAGCAGGTAGGTCAAACGTTTGATCAAATATGAACAAGCCAACAAGCGGCTACCTCGTGGCGCGGGTTACGAACCGCCACTGGATCCGTCTTTTGTTGACTTTTTGAAGTTGGAAATTTTCATCAAAAAGGTCATTTCTAATTATCAGAACCACTCGCAAAAATAAAACTTAGAAAAGTCTTACATAATTAATACCAAAACGTACCGAAAAAAAAGATTTTAATATCTCTAGAATTCAAATAGTCTAGCTCTTATCGTGTGAAAAAATTTCTTTGAAGCACTTTTGAATTTCGCTTCATTGTCAAAAAGATCTTCTAGTTATTCTATAATATTTCACTAACCTACCTTTTCTCATTTTGTATTTATTTAAAAAAGAAATCATGGGAGAACTTATTTATAGGAATTGCATCGAAGCAAACATTAATGAACTGCGAATTTGAGTATATTGCCACAATAATAGGACCCTGTTCTCAAGCCAGACGAGAAGTCCCATAGAGGATATTTGGTGAGTCAAAAGCACGGTCACATTGGCTAGAATTGTAATGAACTTTTGATGGAAACTTGGAAAATTTGAAGTGATACAAGAATTGAAGCTGGTTTCAAGAAACCGGCCAAGTCCAGCGTCCTTCCAACTGGCTGGCTTGTGGTGAAACAGTGCGGCACCGTGCAAACATGATACACACGTATCGCACATCTCATACCTATGCTAATGTTCGAATTTCCCCCTATTTTTCTGCCGGACCCTCCATAACTCGCGCCGTCTCCCACGCAAATATTCACAATCATAACGCCTCTGTGTTTATTCTTTGGGCCACAACGACGTCAACCTTTGTCCGAAAGGTTTTGATGGTACCATCCTCCGTCTGAAGCCGTTGCTGCTCTTTTCAAAGCTTTGGTCAATCGCATAACTTCTGTAAACATTGCTAGCTTTGAAAAGAATACGGTACATACAAGTCAGAAAAAACCAAATTCAAGTTTTTCAGTCAACGGGATCAGTAATGTGGAAGATATATGAAATAAATTATGAAACAAAAAATACAAAATGAAATCAGTTTATCGAGAATGTAAGAAATCCAGTTGTTGCCACAAAAAATCATGAAAAATGATGGTAGAAAAGACCCAAAACGACAGAGTCTGTTCAGAAAAAAAAAAGTTTGAACTACTGAGCCGCAAAAATGGTTAAAAAATGTAAAGCGTATGCAAACTCCCATCGCTTCGGACATTGAAATGTCCAGTCACATGGAACTCCGGGAATTCGTGACTGGTTCCTTTCTTCTTTTTTGCAATACAGTAATCCTGAGAAAATGTCATGGCGTGATTTCTCAGTTTTTGTTAGAACTCCTTGGAAGAATCAGAACCAGTTGTATAGATGCTAAAAAAGAGAATTGTATTCGTATCAGTGAATTAGACGATTTGACGTTTTCTTTGGAGCATCGCTGGATCCTTTCGCATGTTTTGCCAGAGCTTCAAAAAACACCGCTCATGGAATTGAATTCTCTTTGACTAAAGACGCCTGGAAATAGAAAATTCCGGCGGCGTTGGCAGAAAAGGAAGAGGATGGTGGCCTCCGCTGCCCGCGGGCATTGGTCATTCCTCTGAAATGCAATATCTTGGTAAAATCGTGCCCCGTATTCAATTACACTCAAATTAGGCTTATGAGCTCACGAGTATAGTTTTCATAAACGCCTTTCTCGAAAACTTCATATATTTCGTGAGGAAACGATAGAGCTATCGTACAGCCAGCACGGCGGCCCACGAAACCGTGGGAAAGTCGGACGCAAAAGGACCAAAATTGTTAAAGTTATGCGATTTTTAAAGCGTGACAGGCCTCGAAGAAGTGCCGAGACGGCCGTTGTATAGAAAGTAAAAATATCTGCGAGGAGCGACTGAGAAATCGGCGAGTTTATTTTCCACGTCGCTCGCCGCTGCTTGGCAACTGACCGCCAGTGACCACCGTGTCGTCAACTGCCAGACGACGGGAACGAGCAAAAAACGCCTTGGGCGTTCTGAGATCAATAGCTCTGAGTAGCCGCACCACACGGCAGCAGGTGACCCGTTGGTCCATTTCCGGCGTTTATGAAGAAAGTCCTGCTTCAGACCAAGTTACGAAAAACCGAACAATGGAAACTTCTTCCATACCGAAAAAAAATCACTCGAAAACTTAGTTATTTGAAGGATCATGAGGATGGAACAAAAACAAGAAGCCATGAATACTTTTTTGATAGTTTTCAAAGAAAAAAAGGGTTTCACATGTTGTTCCCACTGAACTCATTCATTTTTCGGAAAGGTTCTAGAAACTCTGTGAAAGATAAAATTATATAGAACGAAAGAAAATTTCATGAACTATTATTCAAAAAAAAAGACTGATTTTTTTGACTATCACTTTCTCCTAAAATGCTTTCAGAAAATTGAGAATGAAGAGGAGTAAATAAAAAAATAGATCTGAATTACCAAAAAAATTAACAAATTTGGAACAAATTCCGATTTTTTTCATAATGAAAAAAACTTCTTGCTTTTGTTTTTTTCAAAGAAAAAAAGTTCTATTTTTGAGAATTTATGACCATGCTGTAAAATCTTGCAGCTTTTCGAGAAATTAATCAAGTTCAATCAGAGAGATATTTGGAAACAAAGTGTTATAATTTGAAATGCAAGCCAAACTTCAAGATTTCTCGGGCAGTTTGAACATGAATATTCATTTTTTAACAAAAAGAAGTTTCTAAAAGATCCATATTGAACTAGGAAGAGACTCTCAAACTTCAGTCGCTGCGAACTGAGCTACAGATGGGATGATGAGGATTGCACTATATGAAAAAGTCAAAGTATGGAAAGCAGGTGCCACCTCAAGGAGGACAGCAAAAGATCAAAACGAGCCGCTCGGATGTTAGTCAGATCACACATTTTTCGAGGCAGATAAAAAGGAAACGTGCATCTGCGCAAAGGCATCTTGCGACTTTTGGACCGGAATGACGTAATATTAATATTCATAAACGACTGAAAGCCGTCGGAGGTCGGGCAGAAGCTCGATGAGCGGCGTCCAAATACAGCAAACAGTATGTAACAGGCCGTGGCACACCGTGCGGATTACGCACACACAACAATCGCCGCTGGTCGCTTCGTCTATGTCCAATTAATGGACGAACCAGCCGATAAACGCTGATTGCGCAATCCTTCACACGCCGGCTCATCTGCATTTTGATCGAAGTTGGTGTCAAACACCAAACTTTTGGGACGTTGAGGTGGTTCCGCCGCCGTCGCGTATTATTCATAGGCGCCAATTTCCAACACATTCATATGTCAAAGTCGGACGTCTGTTAGTCAGCAGCCAGACGGTGCTGTACGTCCTGTTGGCCGGCACATTACTCAACCGTTCTGACTGGGAGAAAGAAATTGTGCGGGAAATAGTGGCGCTTCTTATCCAAGTTTCAAGGTTTCTAAGGGAAACGAACATAGTATGAAGGTTCTTGAACACTTTTTTTCCCTTTCGAGATTTCGAAAATGTTTGATTAATCAAAAAAACAATTTAAAAAACTTGGTTTTAAAGGAAACAATGAGGAGCTAAGCAAAGATCTCTGGAAAATTTGAGAAGCTGGATTTTCAGACGCTCTTTTCTGGTATTAGCCTCCCTGATGATCCTTCACTAGACCTAATTTGCAGATTTTGCGTTCCTTGTTTTTCTTTTTTGAATGAAAAAAATTGCAGATCTCCAGTTTTTTTTTCATAGGATACAATGGAGTCTGCAATAAATAAGAAACAGAACACCTTTCTTTATCAGATTTTTTTCTCTGTTTGAAAATAGGCAAAAGCGGTCAGACTCACGGCTCATTGAAGAACTTTTAGTTCCAAATTGAAAAAGGTTGATTTTTAACAGAGACATATGGTAACCGGGTTCATACGAAACTGTAAAAAGATTCGAAAAAAAATCCCGGGGAAAGATGAACTTGGACATAAAAGGCTCAAGAGACGATGTGGAGTCGGTGGATGACAGTGACGGCTATTTGGAAAGTTAACGAAAAACGAGGCGCGGAAGTGTGGTTGTGATAAGAAGCAGGCGGTAAACAAACGCAGCGGAGTCCCCAAGCCGCTCACCTTATCCGACCTCTTGCGCCATTTTGACCTAAACGCTCGCACTGACCGATGAGCTGGCTGGCCATTCCAACTGCCGCCAGCCGAGTTTCTGAAGACGCCGTACCAGGTGGAACCCTTGTAGCAGCGCGTGACATTTGAATTTTTACAATACATGGCGTTCTGCCGACGTGATTCATCTACCTCTCCTACAAAAAGAACGAACACGCCATGGTACCGTATTCTAAACATCGGCCATTTCTTCAGACGATGGAAGCCATTCAAAGGTCGTTTGTGATGTAAAAAAGAGCTTCCACTCTTAGAAGCACAGAATTTTTTTTTCAGAAGCTTTCACTACGACGATTCGAAAGTAAGCCAAGAATACGCAAGCTCAGTGAAAAAGAAAATAAAATTCATTTGATTCCTAAAAAATGTTCCTCAGGAGCTAATTAGTTACGTAGATGTCCTCATGATATTTCTTTCGATTATTTTCTTACACACTAATATTAAAATCCTCGTCTATAACTTATTTTTCAGAGAGTCAAGGAATTTTTTTGAATATTATTCAAGAATTTCCATTTTTTTCTATCTTAGTGAAAGTGAAGCTCGTATAGAAAAATATGGGTGATTAAGTTCCAAATAATTTACAAAAATCAACGCAGAAGCTGAAAGTTCGAAATCATTTTTTAGTTAAGCAAAATAATAGAAAAAATTTTAATTTTAACAGCTGGTTTGAGGAGATTGAGTGTTTCAAAAAAAGGCAAAAAAAGAACATGGAACTCGAATCTAATTGATCTACGAACGTGTAGATCAAATATGTCTACAAAAAATGAAAACTTTTTCAACCTTTAGTAAGTCTTAGGAAACTTGTGCATAAGATCTTATGAACCGAAAATGAAAAAAATAATTTTAATAGTCACCGGAAGTGACCCCTTATCAACAGAAACTCAGATAAACCTGTGCTGACGATGGTGGGAAAAAGTTGACAAGAGATGTTGACCTTTGAAGTTTGGAGACGTCGGATCGGAGATGTGAAAATGAAGGAATGGCGGTCGGATTGGCACACGCCGCTGTCCACTCTCGATTGCGCAATATGCAAATGGCCTGAGGCAGCGTCAGAGCGCCGCCGAGTGACCGGCGAGAGAAAGAGCACGCAGAGCGGACGAGACAGACAGCTCGCGTGAGGAGGACCAAGAGATGCGTCTAGGGGCACGACAGCCGACTGGCAGCTCGCCAGCCAGCTCTACCAATTAGTCGCCGTAGGGCCGGCCAGAGGCCGTTCGGCAGGCGGCAGAGCGAAAAAGCTCGGAGGACCGCTCAAATTCCATGCAACTTTCACACATGCTTGATGTAGGCACGCGCGACTCGAGTCACATGGCCACCCAGTGACCAGCGGCGTTCCAGAGAGCCGTTACTCAAAATTATGACCATCTCGATGCTTCTTCCGCCCCCTTCTTCTGTTCTATAAACTTTGGTTTCTCGCCGCAGAGAGTGACCAACGTTGGGACAGCTGAGAGAATGAAGCTTGAGAAAGTTGAGAAGTTGAAGGGTATGAATTCTGAAATTGAGGAAGACGAAGTTCTTTGCGGTTCCAAATATTCTTTGTTAACTCCGTCTGCACTTCAAGATACATACTCCAGAACTCATTTTTTAGTTTTCGTTTTAGAGTATTCCGGAATACGTCAGACCAATAAATTTTTTTTGCTGAGCTTGAAAACCAAACCTTGAAAAGCTGAAAGTGTGTGAAAATCACGGAGAGTACGTCGGAATATCACTGGCTTCGAAAACAACCATTCAGAACTTTGCAAAAAAGCTTTCGCCATAAGCAATAGTTTTTTTCTGGATTTGTTTTTTAAAAAAATATAAAATTTCGAATAATTTTTTTATCGTTCGCTCAATTTTTTTCTCTTTGCTAGATTTTTTTGTTTGCAGTTGATCGGCGTATCTGAAGGTTTGAAAAGTCCACAAACTCAAGGGAAAAATCATTTTTACTTTTCTTTCCGTAATAATTTGCTGAAATTTGAGCATTGAAATCTTATTTTTCGGCAGTGAGCACGTGCTTTTTGGTCAAAACGAGCCAAAGTGTAAGACGCAGTGACCGCCGGGTGGCGCAACAGCCCTTGCGTCACTCCGCAGCTAATTACACTAGCCGCGGTGTTCGGCGCAGGCTTGAACCGTTTTTTCAAACGTAATATCAAGCTGAAAAGATTTGAGATTGTACTAATGGAAAGTTTTGAAAAGGTATGTAATTCCATTGTTTTCACACATGAAATCTGATCATCTGTAAATTAAATGAATATTTTTTTCAATTCTTTTTCGAATAATTTGAGAGAAAATCTTGATATTTTTCCTGTTTAAAAATGAGGAATCGGATTTTTTTCTAAGAAATAGAACGCTAATTGGAGTTCATTTTTCTAACGGTAATACTCGGAAAAAAATCCGACTTTTTTTGAACTAATTTTTCGAGGTCATGAAAAATTAAGAAAAGAACATTTTTAAATAATTTCTAAACAAAGTTGTCCTTTTGCGACTCAAACTATAGATATATAAGAATTGTAACAATTTTTTTACAAAGCAAATAAAAAAACTTCTATTAGTATGAAAAAGTTATCCGAACTATTTGAACGTTTGAAATTGTTTGTTTTTTTTTTCTGAAAAAAAGTTGAAATTGAAGTTTACGAAGGAAACAAAAATTATTTTGTTCAATATTTTTCCAACTCCTCATCAATCCGAAAAAAATGTTGACTGTAATTTCTCGAAATAACCTCTACTGTTTGGAGAGTGATTATTTTAAGGGAAGCTCTTTGAATTGCAGAAAAAATAAAATTCCGTTTATCAGCTTGTGATTTTTTCCTAGAATCTAAACTCGATTCTGCTAGAAATCAAAGAATCGTTTGGTGTTTCGGTGAAGCCAAAGTTTGCAGGTAGACGAGCGGAGTGGGCCGTTGTTAATTGTGGTTGGCGAGGAGGTCTCCAAACAAGGAAGCCCGCGCAGCTTTTGAGCCCGTTGGCATCGCGGCCCAAGGCTTATTCCGTTAGCATACGTCGCGCTCTTTGCACACGTTATCTAACTCCACATGTGGCTCAAATATTTGCCAATAATAGTGGCGGAAGTGAACGTCCGTTCGCCCTTCTCGCCGCCGCTTATCCTACTGAGACATCGGATACCGCATGTCCATGTCGAGGAATGGTAGAGGTATTGGTTGCAGAAGACTATCTCTCACCTCGTTGCAGAAAAATATATATGAATGCATCTTTTCTCAAAAGAATAAATAAAAGATAGGAAGTTGTGAGATTCTTTTTTCCGAAACAGATGCTACTGCTTTCAAATTTTGATGAAAGATTCCATTGCGAGCTCTGAAAGGGAAACTCCACGGTTTTTTCGTTGGCCAAGAATCGAAAAAGTTGAAGCTGAGTCTCTCGGAGTTGGACAGCTTGGAAAACAGCAAAATGGCCGGCGGCATATCGTTTGAAACGAAGAGAGCATGTGCGAGAGGAAAAAGAGAAGTGGACGGACGTGGAAGAAAGAGAGTGGACAACGCAATTCTTGGACGAAGCGGGGCGCGTGTTCAGTTTCCCGCATTTCGCCTCATTCACAGGGGTCGCCAAAAATTTCACAGCTTTCAAATTTGCCGCAAATCCAATGGGGAACTCTCTCACTTGTCTAGTTCATCAGACGTGGATTCAAACTTGAAAAATCTTTTCACAGGGAGACTCTTTCAGTGATCCGTCTGTGAATTTCAATAATCCTTTAATCAAACATACCGGAAATTGAATTAATAAAATCATATTTGCGAGATTCATTTTGTTGATAAATCCTTCACGAAACATCGAAAAGTGGTCGAAAAGTTAATAAAAAACTTGAAAAATTCAACTTAAACGATATCATCTGTTGAAACCAAAAACATACTGTGTTTTTCAGAAAAAAACTTACCTTTTTTTCGCTTATTCGCGAATTCCAGATTCAAGGAAATCAATAATTCAATGTGAAATTTGACACGAAAAGTTTATCAAAAATGACTGAGCATTTCATCGTTCATGGATTATCACAAAAGATTTTTTTCCTTTCTTAAAAGTCCCACAAATAAAAAGTTTCAACTTTTGAAGATTGAATTACAAAAATTATTTTCCATAGAAAAAAATCACTTTGCATTATTTCATTTTTTCAAAAAAATCGATTTGCGTTATTTCACAACAGGCGATAAAAATGTACAAAAAGGATTATAATTTAATAAGTATTTAGTTATTAATTTACAGGCAAAAAAACAGCAAAAAAACTCAACCAGATCTCTTTTTTTCCCGGACCTATGAGAAAACTATGTATTCTTAAACTTGGTTCAACGAATCGATGGGAAGGAAAAAAAGATGATTATACAAAAAAAGGAAATATCTGAAATAAGAAATGGGAAAACATGAGCTTTTTGGCCAGTATTAAATAAATAATTAAATTAAAATTGGATGGAGAAACGAAGGCAAAGGGCATTTAATCGTCTTTTTTCAACTTTGATTGAAAAGTTTTAATTGGAAAGGAGCCTTTTTACCAAAATCAAAAAACTGGCGTCAAATGTTGTCGCCGATACTGTGAAGAGGAGTTCAAAAGTCCAGAGGAGTCTGCAGAAAAAAGGACTTTTATTGGTTGAAAAACGGCTTTTTATGTTTCATATCCAAAGTTTTTTTCCGCTTCTTTGTTTTCAGAGTGTATTACGCACACTTCCATCTGAAACCATTCGGTGAATGATTCAAATATTTCTTTGAGACCTAACAAAACGAAGAAAGTAGATTTGCAAGCAGAGTGTGTTGATATTTGTCAATGAGGCTGATTTTGGCATTGGTTTTTGTCCGAATATAGAATATGTTTAAAAAACTTGTTCGGTCACAAAAATTGAGATTAAAGGGGATTAAGTTTTCTCAAACACAAAATGTTCTGTGACACGAATAAGCTTTGATCGTCAATACCTGTTGACTCAATTACGGCGTCCTGGCCTTTATCAGGACTTTCGGCTTGTAGTTCGTCAACAAAGAAAGCGGTATATCTGTTAAAACATAGATGTGAAAAAAAAACAAGCCAAAAAGTAATGCCGTTTCTTTTTAAAATATTTTTTCAGTTCAATCAGAACCAAATTTCATGTGAATCACGTTAATACATGCAGATCTTTCACGGATATATGAGGCGAGGACATATTAGTCATAGATTAATTTTTTTATTCGTTGTGATTTTTCAAAATTTCATATAAAAACATACGTTGTCTATCAGAATGACAATGCAGTTCTCTTTGTAATAGTTTGTTTCAAAGGTTTTACGAACAACTCATATAATTTTTCCTTGAATATTTGAATTTTCGTTTCACTCGGATACATAAAACAACATGAGCTACAAATAAAGAAACATAGCTTGAGCAAGAATTATATGAGAGTGAAATTAGCACCAGTTTCAATACGCCCTCAAAAGCGAAATTACCGGTATAGGGAATTCTACACGTATAAGGATTTATGGTCACAGAAGAGGTAAGGGAACGTTGGAAAAGAGTTCTTCGTCGCTGAGCAAGTCGAGGAACTTCTGAAACGGGTGGTAGACGTGTTAGGGTTGAATCTTGAGCAGTGTCTTTTCCAAAGAGGAAATACAGTGCTAAAAAGCTATTAAATCCGAGTCAGTCTGAATCAAACGAAAAGGATGTCGAGGTGAAGACTTCAACTGAAAAAATTCCCTGCGCTTGGAAAGCGGAAAATGCCTAGGACGATTGAAGCGTTACTAGAGCAATAGTACTTTTTCTACGAAAAATGTGAATAGAACCGAGTACATCAAGGCGATGGGAGTATATTCCTTAAATCTCACTAATAAAAATTGCGAGAACTTTGTATCTAAAATAGTTGAAGTTTAGGAAAAATTCGCGAAGTCAAACTGCTGATCGAAAACTTCCAGTAGAAATTGAAATCAAAATAAGGCTTTTCAATTGAAAGGCTATTCAAGAAAACTTCAAAACTTCAAAAAAGACACGTGTAATTTTATAAATGAGTTCAATTTGTGACTGAAGTAACCAATCTTTTTTAATAAATAATTAGAAGTTCATTCAACAGTTCACCACGTTTTTTTTTAAGAATCACGTTGCAAGAAGAACACCCTTTTTAGGCCTTTTGTTTACCTTTTCCACATTTTTTCGTCCAGGTATATGTATGAACTGAGTTTTATTTTTGGGCTCTGAGAACTTTTTCACTTATGTTCTATTTAGGGTCTGCACAGAGTATTTGCTCATTTTTCAATAAGTTTTCCGTTGTTATTTTAAATTTGCTTTTTTGGAGTAACTGGCCTCCTAAAAAGGCTTCAATAGGGCAGAAAAATTATTCACCCGTCAGTTCCTTTGGATCTTGATTTCTTTGAGATTAGTGTGGCTTCATGTGGAATTCTTTTCTTTTGAAGAATTCTCGCTCTTCTAACCTGGAATATAATTTTTCTAAAATAACTTGGACATATTGATTCGGTCGCGCATCAAGAGCTTGAAATAACCGATGCATTCACCATTCTTCTATCTTGTGTTCGATTGTCTTTTCTATGGCTTGTCACAGATAGAGAAACTTCGTGTGGTTAAAGTTTTGTCCTTTTTTTTATTTCAAAAATCATTTTTCATATGTTCTGCTTTCTTATTTGTGGATCAAGTTTCTTCAAATTTGTTTCCATTGCACTGATAAATTGGAAAAAGATTTATTCATTGTTTTTTTTGCATTCCGTATGTGTGCAGGATTTCTATTGTGATTATACAAATATCAAATCGAGATTTTCTCTCATTGAGAGCATATGAGATTTATTCAACAAATTTTTTCAAATTTGCATATGAAACAAAAGCGGATTTCAGGCTAGAAATTTTTGGCGGGCGAGTTTGAGGATGGCCGCTGAAGAAGACTGAGATTTATGACTGCTGTCGCCCTCTTCAGTCTTCACATACAACTTATTATTGATCAAAATGGACAAGCCATCATATCCCACGAGAATATTTGTACCTGCTTTTTTCGTGTCCCCGCCCTTACTGCGCACTTCTTTGTCTTGATTTAAAATCCCATCTTGCATCTACCCATCTTCATCTGAATCTGAACCGTATATCAGGTTACTAGTTTTATGAGCCGCTTTCGAAAAATTATCGTGTGAAAAAGAGCGTCTTGGGAGGCTCACAAAGACATTTTTCCGGGAGGTCTCAAAAAGTACGCAATTGATATGCAAGATGGCTCTTCATCTAATTGTCGGCATGAGGAATCAATCCCCAGCGGCAAGCGACATTTCCCAGCTTTGTGTCTTTCGATGCGTCGCGCCGTTGTCTAATTTGAAACCACTTGTTTTTGACCCCTTGTTGTGGCTTCACCTTCTTTCGAGACACCCTCTTCGTGCTCCTTTTACAGCAAATTTAATTTACCTTCAATTTTAGATTTTCCTTTTGTCAAGAAAGCTCCTCTATTCAGTTCTTCTAGGCCGGTTAGTGGCATGTCCTCCAGGATCTTAGTAATGGTGAGTAACACTTTATTCAAACTTATGCGCACTCTCTTATAAACTATCTAATGCGTTTATCCGGAAATAAGAATTTCTCATATTGCGGCATCTTTGATTCGCTATATTCCTTATTTTGCGGTTCTTCGAGAAATTTAGGTTGAAATTTATGCTTCATCGTGAAATGAGAAGAATTTCGGAGCAGAAGGTCAAATGAGAAAACAATGATTGATTACGCCCTTTTGTCTCTGCATATTAAAAAAAGCAATTGGTACAAGGAACCGAATTTTCATTTGTTTCTTACTCGAGAGCCAAATTTCGTTGCATGAAAATAGATTGTCAAAATAGGTTAATTAGTTTGGCGGTTTAGCGAAATTCGAGATGAAAAATTCAGCTCAGTTCGGTTCCTTTTTCTATCAAACTTATTCTAACAGGACGTTTTTTTCAAAAATTTTTTTCAATGATTTTATTGATTTTTGAAGCGATGAAAAATAATATCTGAAAAAAATTTGAAACTTGTAAATTTTGGATTGGTTCTTACTTTATTGATGAAGTAGAAACGCTTAGGAAGTTACGACCCGAAAATATTATTTTGAAAAAAACCTTCTATTTTTTTGAGTGCGTTATTTGTTAATTTGGGGCAGTGTTGAAAAAACAAGTAAATTATGTGAACAAGACAATTTTTCAATTTGCTCTAGGATTATGAACTCCTCCATGAGAAGCCATCTTTGAATTTTGAAAAAATATTGCGTCTCCAGTGTTTTGGTAACACAACTCAAATCACTAACAGCCTTGGATTACTATGCTCTCCATCACTTCTCCTCAGAAGGACTGCAAAAATCGATTTTCTTTTTCCAAAAAAAGCTTTTTAAAAAGATACCCGACAGAAAAATGTATGGAAAATAAATCTGCTGGCGAAAGATTGGGCGGAACGCCGAACCTAAGACACACCTTTTTTCGAGTTTTTTTTTTGAAATTGGAAAACATGGTCATTAATTTTGTGCACAGAAAAAAATTTTTACTCAGTTGAAAATTGGAACTTGGTCTCGTTATATAGATTATATAATTTCTCAGAGATTTAAATCACCAAACGATCAATTCATCAAGACTAAATTTATTGAAGGTGAAAAGTTCAATGATTTATGTCAACTGTTGGATATATTTTAACGGAAAGACTATGCTCACTGCTGTGTTTTCTGCAAACTCTGAACTGAAAACAAGGAGTTCTTCTTATCCGGAGAGCCTCGGGCCCGCCCCATTAAAGAAATACGGCGTTTATATGGTCCAAGGCCTGAGTGTGGTGTGCGTGTACGTGTGCTCGTGTGTGGGCTCATAATAATTGGTTTAGCAGTTGCGCTAACTGGTTTCTCTGTCGCTTGCCGCCCGAACGCTACGGTAAGCATTCTGAAGCGACGATGGGCTCGACTGGCGCCTCGGCGACCTACCACGCGTACGGCGAGCTGATCCGCACCGCTTCCATTCATCCTCTCATAAGGTTCGTCGTACAGGCTTCCTTTTCTTTTCTTTCGGGTTTTCAAAAATCTTTTTACATACTTGTGAGATTGCAGAACTAAGAATAAAACTAAAAACGGTTTTATCTTTCAAAGCTTCATTAGAACCATATAAATACTGTAGTGGCGATAATTCTCAAACTTTGTAAATTTTTCTTATTGTTCGAAGTTTGAAGGTCATAGCTTTGTAGTGGTTTCACAGTATAAAAAAACGTCTTGTCTCTTTTCCAACTTTTCATTTCCTTGCGACGAATTATTTTTTGCTGATAAGTTTTTGTCATGAATAAACGTGTTGTATTCAATCAAAAAAACATAAAGATGCAGAATGAAATGGAAAATTGAAAAAAAAAAATGATAAATTTTCTGACCACATATTTTTCATAACCTTTTCTCAATTTTCAAAAAATTAATTAGACAATTTAATAAGGGTTTTAAGCATAGAACCGTCTTCAGTGTTATTCTCAGTCATGCGTCTTCAAAAAGTTCAGTATATTAGCAGAAAAATATTTACTCGTGGCTTTCCCCTTTTTAGAATTTGACAAAATAAAAATGTGGTAGGTTTTTTTTTTCATCAATTTTGATGAGCTTCGATAAATTTATCAAAAACCGCTTCTTGAATAATGACATCAATGAAAATGTAAGTTGAATGTGTTAATAATTAATGAACCTAAAAAACTCAATTTTAAAACTTAAAAAGCGTGCTCGAGCAAATTTATCACGAATTCCTTCAGCAAAGTTTATCATTTATTCATTTTTTTCCTGATTTCTCATCGCCTCAAGACCAAGGTTACTCGCATTTGTACTTTTTGAATCTCAGTCGATTGGGGAACTGCAGATCGAATTAGGGAAGAACACACCAAAATCTGGAAGATTTAATTGGGTCGTCAGCCAAACAAAACGCAGTTAAGCTTCGGACAGAAAGTCTTTTGTTAGTTGCCCTATCGACTTGAAGAAACTTGGAAGAGTTGTATTAGAGAAACATCAAGTAGTTGAAAATGAAAGGGTAAAAATGAAACTTTCAGAAGTTGTTCAATAAAACACAACAACTTGTGCGACAAACGAAGCAGGCAACTTGACAAGGATCAAGACGAAAGATCAGGTCGGGTTCTTATTTTTCAAACTTTTTTAAGTTTTTGCTAAGTAATTTGTTCTTTTTTTAATAATTTCATGAAAAAGATTCGAGAGATATTGAAAAATTCCCAATTGCGCCCACGGCTATTTCCGGTTTGTTTTTCCTTCAAGATATAGATGTTTTACTACTTCTTTTTTTCAAGCGTTAGGGATCTGTAAATATTATATTAATTGTTAGATGTTCCTCATGAGAGAAGCATAAATATCTTGGCGGAATAGAAAATGATCGCCCAAATTTTTGAGCAGGTTTCCTCACTCGAATGAACTTTGTTGAAATAGATTTTTTTGAAAGCCTAATGTGAAATCAGCCCAGCGAAAAAAACTAAATGTTTATCTTTTTTTCAATTTAATTATTTGGAAAAAGCTGCTACAAGCAATGGATCTAGACTTACTGTAACAAGAAGAAAATCTATTTCAGTGTTAATTCTTTCTTTTTTTCTGTTGACCACGCAATGAGGCTTACTAAACTGTTCGAAAAGCTGCAAAGTTTTTCCTGAAAGCATTTCCCGGAGTTATTAGAAGCGCATACGTGCATTCGTTGGGCTTCTGATAAAAGTCACTGTGCATCTTTCATTTCCTACAGCGGTTCTGAGCAAACTACAGTTAGAAATTCTTGCAAGAGAAGATGCAGACTGAAGTTTCTCAGCTTAACTAAAACCCAGGTTTTAACATTTAAAATGGCCGAAAACACGGATGGAGGGTGGGAAAAATGCAAATGGCAACTACTTGGGCGCGACCTTCATAACTACTCGATGTAGTAAGAACGTAGCTCGTAAAACCATGGAGATCGACTGCCCAATCATGCCGTCAAAACGATTGGAAGGAAATGTGAAAACGCATTGCGAGCCGATGACGACGTCGGCGGCGAGATAGACACTGGGATTGCGTGCCAGTCATCTCGTGTGTCCTGGTTGCAGTCATTGGTTGGTATTCGGCCAGCTTGATACTCTTTTCTGAGCCGTTCCGACCTCGTCCGTCGCCACCGGAGGCGACTCTCCGTCGGACCGTCCCGACATGTGCGATTTACGATGTGCAGATGCGCGCTGCTCGTTGCTCCTCTCGACGTCGACCTTCAACGTTTCGGCGACGTCGAGCTATTCTCTGCACGCGGCTCTTCGCACTGTCAGTCCCGGATCTGGAATGTGGCGTGGAGGTTCGTCTCCGACCCTTGTGCCCCATTCTCAAAGACAATCGCGCATTTTCTGTGATTTGCGACATTTAGTTGTCTCCCGTTCAAACTTGAGATTTTATTGCTTGATGCCGCTGCGAGTAATGGGCTTGTTGCTTCTGGAATGTGAAATTTTTTTCTAGTTTACTCCTCGAAGCTGGACTTTGAAACTTTAATAAGCCGACTTTTGAGTTTTTCTTACTTATTTTTCTGCTATTCAAATAAATTAGAAATGAAAAGATTTCAATAAAAAAAATTTCGACTGCAGTCAGATGAATCTTATTAATTTTTTTCCCCAGATTACAGATTTTTCCTATCAAAAAAACTTTTTTTGATTTTTTTCAGACATAGACCTTATTTTTCAGCTCCTGAACACAATAAGTTCAACCTTCTAAGTTTTGTTAGTTTCAAATCTTAGAGTATGATCAGAAGAAGAAGAAATTCGGTAGAGTTTTCGATGGCTCATGAGTTTTGAATGCCTTCCAGTGCCGTCGAAAAACGGCTAACCAACGTGAGACCTTTTTTGAAGTTTTATTTAACAGTCAACCAAGAAGTTTGAGGTTATAATTAATTTTGAGATGATGATTCAATGAGTTTTTGAACTTATCTCTTCAGTAAGCTTTTCAATTGTGGAAAAGATCTTGCAAAATATCGGATGAGAGTTTAGAAAACATATTGAAACTGAGGTGTCGTGAACACTTCCTAGCACGTAAAGTGTTCCACTAGGCAAAGAAAAATGAAATTTAAGACGTATTATTGTGAAAATAAGCTTGCATCTCAAAATAACGCGCCTTGGAAAACCTTATTTCTTCGCGTTCTATCCTGACTCCTGTCTATTGGATTGGATTTTGGCAACGTGTAACAGGAAAAGAGTGATTTCTGGCTGAGTTGTTTTGGGGGAAAAGAATGGCTGATGATACAAGACTGCCGATGAGGACATCACCGATTATCGAGATTTCACGGCGCACTGGTTGAGCTCCCTTGAGACTTGTTATTCATGTTCGGTCGTCGCAATATTGCATTTTATGAAAGGCCCGCCGCAAAACTGTGAACTCAAAACTTGCTGAGCAGCATGTTTGCCGAGTGGGCTCGATCCGCGCACTATCGGATCCACGCCGCTGCACCGGCTCACATTGCCCTCCTGCCGTTTTTCACTGCCGCCGCCCAAAGCTACAGTAAGGCCTTTATTTTCCTTTTAAACTTCTTTGAAACTTCTTTTATGTGAGAAAAGAGCTTTTCGGGAACTCTTGAGAACCTCAGCATCGCTTAGAAATATTCAGCCAAGCAGCGAATTAATTATGAGGCTGTCGTTAGTCGAGCGAAAATAAAAAGATCTGTGATAGATTTATTTTCGCTGCCTCTTTGTCGGATATTATTTATGGAATTCACAGAAAAACTTCTGAATCGTTACGATGTGACACAAAAAGGGATTTTTTTCGTAATGATAAAAGTGGTAATATGTTAGTCTTTATCACAGAATTCTGAAAATTTTCTTTGAAACAAGCATCTTGATTCAAACTTGTTTGTCGCTGAGTGCTGTACTTGAGATAGAGTATAACCAGAAAAAACTTGTTTTTTTTTCTTTACTAAAATTATGTTATTAGTCGTTCTTGCTAAAACCTTCTACAAATTCGAGAAAAGATTCTGTGAGTTGAGCGTTTTCATCACCGTGTTGTGAACGCTGTTAAAAAAAACTCCGCTCGAACTTAGTTTAATCTTTGTTGCCATGGATCTTTTAACTTCTTGGGCAGACTTTTCAGATTTTTCAATCTGAAAGCTCATGCCGGCTGTTTTGACAGCAGAGACTTCATACCCCCTAATGGAGCTCAATGCAAATTGATCCGGAACAGAAAAAAATATGAAAAAAATAGTGGCGGAAGTCGTCGGATTGCTCGTCAGAGAACAGATGGCTCGTAGTCTCGGCGACAAGAAGAAGAGAGGGGGTGGAGGGTGGGAAACAAGTGATTTAAGCTGGTACTTGGCGACGACAAAACACCAGAGGTGTGCATGAAATGACAAACGCGAGTTTGTTTGGCAGCTGTCCATTATACGGGGCCAGGTTGTAAGGTGTAGGTGAGAAGAAGTCACACTGGACTGCCGACGGCATCCATGGGTTCCACTGGCGCCTACTCCTTCCGGAGACTCACCCTTGCGCACCTCAATGAACCTGCGACTGGACCCGTCGGCGGACGTCGGAAGAGCACGACCAGCAGTCAGGTGCAGGTCGGTCGGCCTTCCATCACCTCGGCTACCATCGACGCACCTATTCCTTTCTTCTTCTACCGCAATCCACCCTCCAGACCGCCCAGTCGGCCTCCCAGCAAGCCTCCGACTAGCAATCGCAACTCGGCTGCTCTCAGCCGACACAACACTGTTCGCTCCATATTTGGTGGTCAGTAGGAAAGTTACTTCTGGCCATATTTTTTTCATAGAAAAAGTTCTTATTCTATATTTTTTCTTTATTTTTTCTGTGACATCTTTCTCTTCTTCACTCTGCTAATGATCTAATCGGTGAGGATTTCTGTAATATAGCCCTTTCTGCAAATCATTTTTCACAATTCCAAAATATTATACTATTTCTATTAAAAAGCAGATTGTTTTCTTCGGACGAAAAATAGAAATTAATAAGTTATTGTTGAGAAAAAGGCAGAAATAAATCAAAACGTTCTCCCAGTTTTATCTCGGGCTGAAAGAATGCCTTGATTTGCCGCAGATTTGTAGTACTTCATATTGAAAGATCGTTCATGTTTGCCTTCGTTCCTAGTATCAAATCGAATGGGTTCCAATGCCAAACTTTTCCGAAAAATCTTTCAGAAAACAAAAATTTTTGCTTCATTATGTCGCTAAGAACTAGCTTCGGCTGGGGGCAGGTGATTGACATGTATGTTTTTTTCTTTTCGTTTTCGAAAAATGTTTTTCTTTTCAAATCTTATTTTCTATGTTTCAAAGACATATAGTGACAAAAAATTAATATCATTTCTGAAAGAAAAGCTCATCAAGTAACCTTTTGGAATTTTTTTTTTGAAAAACTTTTCACTGTCAGTAATATCTATGAAAATTTTTTGGAAGATTTTTTTGCTTCGTTTTCTGTAATTTTTCTTGATTTCTATTGTTGCCAGAAAAAAATTTTGAAGCGAAAGGCAGACTTTTTGAACATACTGTAATACACAGCTCTGTAATAATTCATCACAGGGCCTTTTTTTGTGCTTTTAGTTCGAAATTTGATCTTTTGAAAAGTTTTTTTCCGATCATTTCTACTTTTTCTGGGCATTTCTCAATTTTCGGCAACTTTTTTTGTACTCCTTAGAATTAAACTGAATAGTTTATACGAACCTGTGGTTAAGGATAATCAGTTTTAGAGCAATTTCAACTCGTTTCGTGAGGATATTTTTCAGCATTTTTTTTTTGATTAGTTTTTGAACAACGGGCTCGAAGCGCTTAGGTTTTTGATATGAATAAGAAGAGGTGTCCTTCTGGATAGTCCTTACTCTATAATTGTCAAACTGTTGATCCCTCAAATAGGAATTCCGGTGATTAAAGTGCGCAGAGCAGAGGAGACGCTTGAGATGCGTGGTGTGTGTGTAATGGACATTGGAACTTTTTGGAAGAGCCGCATGAATTAGACTCAAGAAGGGCATGGATTTCGTTTCCCGTCAAAATCTCACGTTTCGTCCTTCTGTTGCGGCGCCGGATATCGCCAATTCGAGCGGTCTATTCCAACTTTACTCTGCAACCGACCCCCACTTACTATCCGCCCTTCTGATGTCTGAAAACGTCCGATGGGCTCCTTAGGTGTCGGCCGAATTTTCCAAGTGGTGCAAAAACCGCAATTGCGTCTGCCCCTCAGCGATCTTGCATTCGTGTCCTCACTTCCGGAGCATTACCTGCCGCCGCTATTCCGAGGTACTTGCACCGTGTGTTTTCGTCTTCTGAACCAGTGGTCATGGGAGCGTTTTTCGATAGTAGCAACTCTTGTAATCCTCTTTTGCAACAAGCCACACGTTTTGGACTTGCTTGGAATTCATTTTTTGACAGTTTTTATGGTTTGTTTTGAAAGCTAAAAACTGATAACATCAAGATTCGGAGTTCAGAGGTTCTGTTCTAAGAAATTCACAGTGAGACAAGGTATTTTTTTAGCTCCCATTGAGTGGAACTTCTCAAGTCTTTTAACTAACTCAAATTTTTCTAAAAGCGTTCACTCAGAGATAAACTTTCCCTACTTTCTCATTTCTCGAGTAAAAAAATTTAATCTTTTTGAGATGTCCACAGCATTCTTAAATAATTCAAGCTCGTATTGGAAAAAAATAATTAAATTACTTATTTTTAACGCTTTCAGAATCTTTTTAGAAAAAAAGCCCAAATGAAATACTTTTTTTCAATTTCTTAATGTTGGATAAAAAGAATTTTTCAGAGAATATTGGCCGCGTGAAATGGGAAGAATATCGACGAGAAGGAGTTGAGGACATCCCCGATCAACCAGTTGTAGTTCGAGTACCATTATGGAAACGAACTCTAAAGGTTGTTTGAAAAAATACTTTTCATTCATTTTGATTTCGATTGTGGAAGTAGTTCACAGACCCCTGTACAGTGACTTCAAAAGTTTTTGAGGCCAACGCTGTTTGAAATAGTCTTTTTATATCTTTTTCTTGAAACTGAATGAACTCTCTTTCTAGTTTTCCGCGCAGTTAAGTGTTCTTTTTAAGGCCATTTAAGCGTACCATTCTTTGACCACTGAACAATCTACTTTTTCAACTGTTTCACGCAAACTTTGAAATAAAAAATACTGATACAGTTTTTGAAGTTGAAGCAGATTGAGAAAGCAGATTTTCTCGGCGAGTCCTGGTATTTTGAACGAGAAATTTATTGCCAATGGAAAATTCATGGCTCGCGGAAGTTTTCGAGTTTCCTGAGATCAAACTGCAGTGTCGTCCGATCAATCAAGGGCTCAAGGTCCCTAAAAACAGCCTGTTCTCAAAAACACGTCGAGCATCGGGATACAACAATTTACGAGTTGTTTCAGCTGTTAAAAATCTTGCTGCCTCATGTCGGACTCAACGTCTTGTTATTGTCGTACATTGCTCTCGGGGCTTCAGTTTTCATATGGCTCGAGGCTGATCACGAATTAGAAGGAAGGAAAGTGAGTGACAGACAATTCAATTTTTATAACCATTTTCAAAAGAAGCTGAATGGAGAAAACAAAAAAGCAAGAAATTACACAACATCTAAAAAAATTACAATTATTTTTTTAGCTTTTTTTAAACCTAATGAATTTCTACAGTAGTAATTTATAATTTAAAAAAAGGTTTTTTTGTACAGCTTTTCAATAAAACTAATATTTTTTTCTACCGGTTTTTTTAGTTTCACTTGTACGGGAAGCATTTTTTTACTTTATGGTTTGGATATCTCTACAAATACACTCAAACACTCTCCGAGGTTGAAAATCCATCAAAGGCGTCAACTTCTGGTTTTCAAGATAATTTTTTTTGAAGTTCAAAAAATTGGGCTTAAAACTTATTTTTCGCAATTTCGAGAAGTGATATCCCAAAAACTAGAGCTTTGCACAGGAAGCAGCTATGAAGGGTCTTTATTCAGACATTAAGAGAGTGTTTAAGGGAATTGGTAGAAAATTCTCAGTCACAAAGTAAAAGGACCTCTGTTGTTAGGAAAATGGTTTTTGCAAGTTCAGATATTTCATCTATCAAAAAAATAAAATTAACATCTCACTAGTTCTCCAGTAAAACGTTTGATCTATTGTGAAAAACATTGTTTTTCAAAATCCAAATGACAATTTGAAGCAGTGAGCTAAAGTTATTTTTAGAATTATTCAAATCTGATAATATTTTTTTCCTATCGGTAGTTTCTTAAAATTAGAGTTTTTATGAAACTTTTTCTCATTCGAACCATTTAATTTGAATTTCTTCAATTCGGGATAATTTCTGAAGTGGACCCGAATGAAATTATTATAGGTTGAAGCTTAAACTTTTATTTTTTTCAATTGATTTTGTTGTGATTTCAACCGAAACTTTTCTAAGATATGAACATGTAAACTTCAAAGTGGCAACGTTTTGAAGAAGATCATCCACTTTCAGAAAATATATTCTTTTCAGTCCAAGGTAAAAAACGTCTTTCGAATCTACAACGAAATTATCAACGAGACAAAGTCTTTGAGCGCAGGGAGGAACAACGGCACTTATGTGAGCTTTCCAGTCTTCGAGGTACTTTTCTAGTTGGATTTTCAGGTGGAAAACAGAATCCGACCCCTTCTCCGGTTACTTTCTCAAGCTCACGAGTACGACGACCGGTTCACAGATCAGAACCAACTGTGGACCGGCGAGGAACACGGCATGACTACCAGGTCCTTTTTTCTTTCCCGGTTCTGTCCAGACCAGATTTTTTCGTCTTTGAGTGTACCTGTCCAATTAACTTTCAGATGGACGTTTGCTGCCGCCTCGCTTTACGCGCTCACCGTAATTACCTCAACTGGTGATTCACTTACTTTTTTATTTCGTTGCTTTCTTTTTGGGTGTGATTTTGGAGAACATACTCTTGATTAGATTTTGTGGGCGTTTGTTTAAAATTAGGTGTCTCCTACAGCCAAAAAATCAAGTGCTTTGAGATGATTGGGAAAAGAAGATTTTTGATCTGCTGGTTTCTGAGTTTTGATCGTTTCGATTTGATCTCGGTAGTTTCAACAAATTGAAAAGAGAATACTTGAGTCAGCTTCTAGTAAAAAAAAAAAGCAGTACTACAGTTTATCCCACCGATTTTTGAGCGTCTGAAGCTTTCAAAAAACAATGAATTAAAAATTTACTTTGAACTAGTTTGAGCAAAGGTCACTTCAAAACAGTTCAAAGCACCTATTAACCAAATATTTTCACTGGAACTGTCACGGTTGATTTCAAGTTTGGAGATTGAGCAAATATGTTTCAGGGTATGATCACGTCACGCCTGCAACTGATCCGGGGCGAATATTCACTGTTTTCTTTGGCCTTATTGGTATTCCGCTCATGTTCATAACTGCCGCTGATATTGGAAAATTTCTATCCGAAATTGTGATAAGGTACGTGATCTTTTTAATTTCTAAAAGATAAAAGTAAGTTTTTCAGAACATATGCAAAATTATTAGAGATGTGGAGGATGATAGCTTCGTTGGTGGAATTGATGCGAACCCATATATTTGACACCGACGTCGATTCTATTGACTCTATGTGAGTTATTTTCAAAATGTAGCACTGCGGGGTTGTAAAAACAACAGGAAGTGAAATAATAAAATTTTTGAAAAACATCTTTTAGAAAAATGAGAATGGCCCCCAATCGGTCTCTTGGGGTTACTTTTTGCGACTACTTTCGTAAAGATTTTCATTGAGGGCTTTTTTGTTTAGAAGATTGTCGTCGAAAATAAAAGAAATTTGTTTTAGAGAGTTGAAAAAGAACAAAAAGACCAATTTGGACGATGAGGAGTGCGAAGACGAAGAAGATCGTCTTCAATTGCCGATCGCCAGTTATTTCACGCTCATCATAGGATATTGTTGCATAGGAAGCTTATTATTCAACACTTTCGAAAAAGGACCTGTCTGGTGAGATTTCCAATTCATGTACTGAGTCAGAACTAATAAGTCCGTTCTTTGCTTATTTGAAAAATAGAAACCTCATCCTAGAAATCCAATTTAGGTCCTTCATTCACGGCGTATTCTTTTCATTTAATACAATCACAACCATTGGACTCGGCAACATCAGGGTAACGCAGCACTTCTATTTGGCGGTTCGTCAGCTTATTTTCTATGAGCTCAAGGGCCATTTCGATCAAAAGTCTCAAACACTAATTATTGGAAAAACAATGATTGGACTTCTGCTCTAAAAATAAGTCTTAGTGCTTCTTTCTTAGCAAAATATCTATTTCAGTGGTTTACGTGGTTCGAAAAACCGCTTTTTTAACGGTTTTTGAAATTATTTTTGAGAGTTCAGTTTGAGATTGATGAATATAATAAGAGAACCAATAATATCTCAGGGTAATTTGAAATGGAAAAAAGTTGACCATGAATAAAAAATTTCAAAGTATCATTCCTCCAAAAAAAGAAAAAAATGCTCAGATAGCGCCTGTGAGGCTGTCTCCCAAAGAATTCGAGCAACTTTTGAGATGAAATCAGTAAGAAAAATGTTAAGAGGACCCCTCTTGTAATACATTTATTTTCTTATAATAGATATTCGTTTGATTTGAGAAGAAATGAAGTTCAAATTGCTTTGTTAGCATTATTTTCAAGAGGACATTTAGTTAATTTAACTTTGATAACTTTTTGAGTTTGCATATTTTTTTAACTGAGGAAAGGCGAAATTTTAAAAACTTTCGCTTGAGTCAAAACTTGTTCGATAATCTTCGCCCGAAATTTCGAAAAAGAACTTCTTTTTAGAACTATCGGATTTGACCGGTCGCTTTACACATGTATTATATTAAAGCCACCCATAAAGCCAAATATTGAAAAAAAAATCATTTTTCCTGGTTTGAAACGGACTCAGACAGTCACTGAACTTTTTGTTTGAATTTTCAACTCAACGGTCATGTGAAATAATAATCGTTTTAATTACGTTTTCTGTCGATAATTTTCTGGTCACGTCGTATTTCTAAAATAAACCCAAAGCTGTCTGGTTTTCAGTTAGCCGTTTTCTATGTCATCATCGGACTGGCTGTCATCACGGCTTCTCTGGACTTGTGCTCTTCGACGCTCAAGCGAACATTCACAAAACTGCACTATTTCGGTCGCAAAATCCGTGGAGCGCGTCGGGGATTTGCAAATATGAGCGACGACATCCGAGAAGCGATGCGAATTATAGCTGCTCTAAAAAAGACAAGGTGACCCTCAAATTCTATTTTTGAACTGACGCACAACTGCTGAAAATCAAGTTTTCCCAATCACGGTTTTTGTCAAGAAAAGGCTTGAAAATTTTTTTACTTGACAGTGTTTGCCGTTTGAAAAAATAGTTCTACACCACTGAAAAAAACTTCTCAATTAATCACTATTTTTTTTGGAACAGGTGTCCAATGATATGGCTTGGGTATACTCTCACAAAAAAATTCCTTAATTTTCTAGTTGCTTTTAAACTTTTTTTAAAGCTACAGGACTAAATGATTAATTTTTTATCGCACTAAAGTAATAGGTTCAATGAATCTTCGAATTATCGAGGCTCCGGAAAAAAAATTCGCGCTAGTAGAGGCTATCAAAAATATCTCATCTGAAGAAATCTTCAGAGAACTTTTGTTTAAAATTCGCAATATTTCAGACCAAGCAAAGATCGAATAACTCTGGAAGATCTGAAAAGGTTTCTGGAGGTGCAAGAACATTTATTGCGACAGCCTTATGTTCCGTACAACGTTCATCTTTTGCGATGGATCGAAGACAATGTGAGTCCACAAATGGTCTGCTCTACGAAGTCAAAAACAGCAAAATAAAAAGACAGTTTTAGTACGCCCATTACATGGACGACATGCCGTCGGGAGCAAAATCGCCCATGTCCCCGTCTCGTCTTTCACACAAAATATCTTCCAGCGATCCGATGCTCTTTTTCTGATGCTATCTCACTTCACTTGGGTATAATTTATGGTATATATGTTTATTGAATTTTTCAGCAGCTTCATTGATTAGATTATTTGCGTCCTTTGTACTTTTCCTATCATATTTTATTGTTTTTGCTAAACATTTTCTAACCATTCCGTCACGCTTTTTTGCCGTTTCCCCCCCATAGAGCTTCTAGTCCGCAAGCCAAAATACAATCTCTAGCTGTCGGTGCAATCAACTTTGCTGTCACATCAGGTCTGTGCCCTTGCAATTTGTGATCTTTTTAGGGTTTCATCACCATTTCCTTCATTTTCTCAGACTCAGTCCGCAAGATTTTTTTTGCATATTTTTGAAGACTTATTAAAGTTTTTCTCATCGTTGCGAACACCTGCAATTAATTAACAAATGCGTGGGAGAAATTTTATTGAGAGTAACGACAGCGTGGGAGTTGATATCAGTCGTCGGACAACGCTTTGATTAGCCGGATCAAAGTGCTCGTACACTCGTGAAGTTCCTTCTTCGGCATGAATTCGTCCATTGAGTGGGCGTTTCTGATAGAACCAGCGCCAAACAAATATCGTCCTTAAACAATTTTTATCGCAGAGAGTACGAAAAGTGTATTCTTTTGCTCTCCTAAATGAGCAGAAGTGAATTATCCAGTCAAAAATTCTTCAGGCAACTGTGCAGGCTTACGTATTAGAACACGCAAATCATGCTTCCGTTAAACTACCAGTTTAAAGTCGACGAAGTTTTGGTGTGTCATATTCAAAAGACTGTACAAATATTTTATCAAGCTTTCATTATATAGTCTAAAGAAAATTCCCCTAAAATTTTTTTTAAGAGCTTGGGAATAAAAAAAGAGCTTTTTTCTCGAAAAGTATCCAATGAAAAACGTTCATAGCCTTTTCTGTTTGAGAGAAATGATCAATCATTATTTTGATGTTATTCCTGAGTGTTGTTCCAGTTTTTTTCACACCTTGAAGCTTGTCTCTGTAGTTGAAGTAGGGTAAGTCGGTGTTAAAAGCGACAGCCGCCGTTGGCGCCTCAAAAGGTGGAGTATCAAGCAAAACGGGATCGTTTCCACTGAGAAGTTCCATCTCAGCACGGCCTGCAAACTTCAAGTTTCGACCAAAGATTTGAACCGACGATAGCATCGGAACTTGCCGTTTAAGATTCCCGCCAGCGTGGCCTTTACTTCGTCTCTCGACGTGGTTATTCGGAAAAACAAATCAGCAGAAGCGTTCTCGGCCCACGCGTTCAGCGCCTGGCCTCCGCAGATTTTTCCGATATTGTAAGTGGTGGCGCCTGGAGGAGTTGAGAAATCGTGCGAAAATTTTGGACAGATATATCTCTACCAAAACGCTCATCTTGCGGCCAACTGTATGCCATAATGTCGTTGAGAACCTTGACGAGGACGTGAATCGCGCTTTTCCCAGAATCCAAGTAGCCGGAGTGACCCGCAACTCCACGGACATTCAATCTTATCTGAAACCATGTTTTGCTCAAAAACACTCGAAATTAAACGTTTTGTAGAATATCAGAGTTTGGAAGATTTCTTTGAAAAAAGTTCTCTAGGATTTTGGCAGCGTCTTCGTCTATTTTTTTTATTATCAGAAAATTGAGAATAATTAGAAAATTTTCACTCATCAAAATCTGTCAGTCATTGTTTTAATACCCTAGCAAGACTTTTTGTACAGACTATAAAATTTGCAGAAAATTTGTTCCGATGTTGCGGTCTCTGCGCGTCCATCCAATTTTTTTCAACGTCTAAGCCGATTTTCTCCGATGAACTCAGTCGACCTGAGCTTAATTGATTACCGCTCTTGACATGAATGACAGCATTTACCGGACACTGAAAGATTCAAAGTCAGCCTTTTGTGTGCTAAGAAAAAAGAACCCTAAACTGTTTCTGAAAAATGGCCAAAGTTTTGTTTTATTGCAACTTTGCTATGGAGAGTTTCGCAAAAACCAGAGGTCAAGAAATTCTTTCGTAAGGAAACGGGGTCTGAATTATTTAAAAAACACATTTGAAAGACGCTCGCGAAGAAGAGTTTGAATAGACTATAGGGCAAAGCAGTTTGTACTTTCAGGGCACCCTTTTGAATTGTGCCGAACTTCAATTCCGTTGGTTCTCCTACGATCAAGTGCGTGGGATGAAGGTCCAGCGCATTAGCCGCCTGCAAACATGCAGATTCTACTTGAACTCAATGGTCTTTTGAGAATCACTCATTTTCTCTTTCTTTATGTTGAAACTTTGAATTTTAATGAGAAGAAATATCGAAACGTTGAGAAAATCGTGGTTCAAAGATCGTTCGGAGAAGGAAATGAAGAATGACCTCCATGCCAACGTGATCGACTTCCTCGCCGACGACGAAAAGAAGACCCAGACGGCTCGCCAACTCCTTGTTCATCGTCGAGATGATAATTGCAGCACTTACCATACATGCGAGTTGGCCTATTCACAACTTGATTTTTGACTCCAAATGCAAAAAACGTGAAGGCAATTTCAAACAAAACCTTTGGCATCGTTTGATCCTCGCCCGTAAATGTTCTCCGCGTCTTGAGTCGCTTTGAAATAAGGTGGCACAGTGTCGAGGTGAGTGTTGAGCAAGACTTTGACGTCTGCAAACAAAGTTAAGTTTTTAAAAGTGGAAATAAGAAAAATCCACGAGGCGAACTATCTCACCTTCTGCTATCTGAATCTCCCAGAAATCGCTCAAAAAATCGTATTTCTGAGATTCCTCAACTATTGAGATTTCTAGTAAACAGGAAAGGGAATCTAAGACCGTACTTCTCAGAATTCACGCAAATTTACAAATTCTTAATAAGCGCCATGAAAAGCGGGAAATTCAAGAAATTTCATATCATTTAATAAAGAGTTTTTTTGACCTATCTTCATGGTGAACCAAAAAAAGAAAGATGATGACTTTCTTTATTAGAAAAGTCCCTTACACTTTTTTGGCAAACTGTTGATATTCTTGTTTTAATTCGAAATAGCACCCTTGTTAAAAATACGCTTCGTTCTCTTTTTCAAACATCATCTATTTCTAAGTGCAATTGGCCAGAAAATCATTTAATTTTCTCGTTCCCTTCCATTAGGTTGCTATTACCAATTCAGACTGTTCTGTAACGTTCATTTGCTAAAATGTCACATGTCCGCAGTTTTCTCTTTCTTCGTGAGGACGGTTATGAGAGTGTACTTTTTTCGTTCCACAGGTAACTTCATCAGCCACTGAAATGTTCTGAATTGCCAACGATAAGCAATTCACCTGATTTATCGCTGTCGCGTAAGGAAAAAATTTGCGAGCGGAAAGACTGAGTTGCTATTTGCTTTTAACATAACAATTTCTTTTCATTTCTAAACTGTTTCTTAGCCACAGTGAATATCACTCATGAACAATTACCAGGAGGCTTCGCATCTTTGAAAGTAGCGAGAACATTGAAGCGCGTCGAACCCTCGCCGATCGGCTGACGGACGACGGAGAACCCGTGGAATGATAAATCGTCGCAGACCGCGTTTCCAAAGGCTTCTACAAAGATTCCAGGGTTTCCGAAATCTCATTCTTTTCTCGTCGAAATGATCTCCAAGAAAAATTGAAGTTTGATATTATGGACTAACCTTCGTTGCCGGTGGTTGAGTCAATGCTCATGTAGTGGAGAAGACGTTCTTCCAACTTCTTGCCCCATTCTGCGGTCATAGTAATCTTAAAATCATTTTAACAATTAAAATTTTTCTTAGTTCTGTATACGACGTGAACAAAAATGAGAAAGAGAGCCATATTTTTGTGAAACTGAAATTACAAAAAAATAATGAAACTTCATATACTGAAATATCTTATGACAAAAATACAATATAAAACTAAAGTGACATATTTTTTTGATTTATTACCGAACAACAAGACTTGATTTTGAAAGGAGACAAACCTCATAAAGACATCGAACTTTGTAAAAAAAGGTTTTTATTCATAATCCAAGAAACGAAACAGAAGTTTATGAGAAAGGTGTAAAGATGAAATAGACAAACATTGTCATAGAAGTGGACTTGAACATGCGTCGCTTTCTGATATCATTGCCGTGTGTAACACTTTTTCAATTCTCAACCTTTTATGGCCGCTGTTATTTCTTGCAATTCGAAACTTTGATGATCCTCTTTTATGCACTCGACGTTTGATTGGCCAATCTCATGATGCTAGTTTGATATTGATCCAAATGATTTTCACGTGGCCATTCCGTCGATCTCTAAAGATGAAATAGATGTTTGAAAACTTGTTGATTTGGGTTACAAAGCCTATCGTTCATTTTCCGACCATGCCCGCTTTTTCTCACACCCATTCTCGCCGAGATTACAACGTCCGCCATTTCGTCGCTTCACTTTTTTCTCTTGTTTCACGCATCGGACCGCAAAACGGATTAGTTTAATAATTCATTCAAATACATTATGTTTATAAAGAATGAAAATTTGACGACACGCACAAGACAGAAAACACGCGGAAACGGTTGGACAGTGATAAGGCTTTCAGTTCATTTTGCAGTTGCTCGTGGAGGTACAACTGGAATGTCAAATCATGTTTGGTCTGGTTTCAGAGAACATTTGAGAGAGAAAAGTTGGGCAAGATGTCTAAGAGATTTTCTAAAAAATAATTAGCAATAAAGTTTGATTATCACGCGGGATTAGGACATTATTAGGTACCCGTGAAGACGACCGGCAAAAGGTCGCAAACAAGAACATAGAAACGAATTACTTCTAAACATTATAACATCAGACGGCATTGCAACGGTTTTAACGACGGTGAGAAAAATATCAACAAAAATAACACTACCTATTTACAACCATGAGGGAGTTCTAAATTCGGATCAAAAATCCTAAATGTTGCCGATCGATTGCATCTCAAATGAAAAAAAAATCAATAAATACAATACAAGTGAGCAAATTGAAATATCATACACTAAAAATGCAAAGAACATGCATTCTAGGTTCCAATCATCGAAAAAATTGCTTCAAAACCTCCTTCGGAAGTCACACGCATTTAAATTACAATATTGTTTTTCGTACTGAGCACCGTCGCATTGGCCGCTGCCATAGCACTTCCGAACTCTTTTCCTGACCCCGTCGCCGCAAGTTTCACTACACGACGACCAGTAGCCCCAACCTGCAACATTTCTCGTTTTACATGATTTGGAAATTCGTGATAGAGGGTAAACATGAAAGGACTGGAATCGGGACAAGGAAAAGTCAAACTTTTTAGCGTCTTTACTCAATGACGCGTTACTTGAAGAGTGGGAAAAAACACAAAGGGCAACTTTTTTTTTATAAAAAAGACACTCACTCGTTGCGCGAAGCTCTGGCAGTTTTTCTCTAAACTTTTTGAGAAATAGATTAAAAATTTAAGGTGGAAAAAAAGCAAGTGAAACATTTACTCACCTCCCCAAGCGGCGTTCCGATTTTCACATTCTCGATCGTTGCAAATTGCAGATTCCTTGTAGTTTCCAGGGCAGTTGCCAGATTTACAAGTTCTAGTTCTTCGTTTGACTCCAGCGCCGCAGGAAACCGAGCACTGAGACCAGGTCGACCATTGAGCCCAATCTCCAGGCGATGGAGCACAAGGTTTTTCGTTGCAGAACTGCTGCTCGCTGCTCGCTCCAGAACAGCCGCTGCCGAAGCAAGACCTTCAATTCCCCTTTCAAAACTTGTTGGTGGACTTTTCTAACCGGCTTCTACTCCTGAGTCCTCTTCCACAAACTCGACTGCACTCGCTCCACTCGTTCCACAAAGACCAAACTCCATCGTTCTGGCAAGTGGCAACATTGCAAGACCGTCGCTCATGAGCCGAACCGTCGCATGGTTCCTGAAAATTTGATTTTCTCCTGTTTATTGTTGTGATCCTCAGTTACTAACCAAGTTACAAGTTCTTTGTCGGACAAGGATTCCAGGTCCACAGGAAGTCGAGCAAGTGCTCCAGTCGGCCCAGCTTCCCCAGACTCCAACCGCGTTGCATGGCCCGTTGTCACAGGCTCTCACTTCGATATTTTTTTGTCTAAAAAAAGAGCTTTTATTTTCAGATATATTTTTAAAAAAACTACAAAGGTAAAGATAAGTTGAACACGCACACAAAGACTCAAATATAAAGATTCAATGAACATACATTTAAAAAAATATTGATCGTTTTGAGCAAACCACCTTTTTGAATAGACGTTGATTTGAGTGGAAAAGAATTTTTTAAAAATGCATTTCATATTGTGATGAATTTTTTCTATTAGCAGAATAAACTTGAAAATATTTTACATAACTAATTTGAGAAGACATGGGAGAAATTTGAATTTAACATGAATTCCCTCTAGTTTGTGATAGAAAAAAACCCGATTTTAAAACTTTTCATCATTCCTTTTTTCCTAATATGCTCTCTCCAATATTTAAAAAAATCATAAAACCCCCCCCAATACATGACAAATATTTTTGACCTTCAATTTGGTAAAAAGAAGAGAAAAATGAATGTGAACGGACAGTGTTTGAGAAAATTCAACAAAAAAGCTCATAACTCAGACAAACAAAAAGAAAACAAAAGATTAGTCGGACAAAAAGACAGAGGAGCAACGTAAAAATTGTTAAAGTGTTAGTAAGCGGACCTTTGAAGAATGTTATTCGGAGGTCATCTCGAACTTCGTTCTCACCAGGACAGTCGAAAGCCAAAGTCCGATGAGGGCTGAGACATTTGCGATATCTGGCTTGTGAGCCTCGACCACAAGAAACTGAACATCGGTTCCATTCCGTCCATGAGCTCCATTCGCTGATTTTTGCGCTGACGGTCGGGCAACTTTCTGAAGCACAAACTTCCGTCTCCGTTTCGGCGCCTTCGCATTGCCCTCGCGCAGAACACAAACGAGATCTGGATCCGATCATTATCTACGTTTTTGTTGGTTTTCTTGCCTTTTTCGATAGCCACCACCGCACGTCACTGAACAACTTGACCACAAACTCCAAGAAGCCCAAGTTCCTGTGAATGAAGAGAAGGACTTGTCTGCAACGGAGCAAGACTCGTCTGGACAGTCTTGGTCGCGTCCAATCAGAGCCTTGTTTGAGCAAGACAATGGCTGGAAAATTCATCGTTGTAGTTAATTTTTCTGCTCAGTTGTGTAATGAAAAGACAATTTTCTTCATACTTACCAAGCACTCTCCTTCCAAACAATAACGCTCGAAACCGCAATTGGTGCCATCTGGCAAATTATCTCCAAAGAAGCGATAATTTCTCTGGCTACCGTAGTGCTGCTGCACATCACAGAAAATCTGAAAACTCATTTTTCAAATCAAAATTCAGAATGGTTTTGAAATTTTCTATCTCCTCATTAATATTTTCCTTATTGTTCAGATATTTCTCTGGTTTTGGAAAATTGCGAGAAAGAATTTCTCGACTCATATTGTTCTCAAGATTCTTCAAGGACCAGTTGAACAGAGTTGTAAATAAAAGAAAGACCTTGCAGGCGCGCTGCGGGTACCGGTTCAGCTGGCTTCCCCTTCCGGTCAGTTCGCGGTCGTTTTTCACTCTTTTTTGCTCCGTACACTTCTCGCTGATGTACTGGAAAAAAAAGTCAATGAGAAAAAATGTAACTGTTGAGTGGGCAAACAGGTTTAGCAGTGTCTAGAACGATACCTTTTTCTTCCAAATTTGAAGTTAACATTAAAACAAACGGAAATTGGACACGAGACCCATTGATAGAGTGCGGAAAAACGGGGCTTAACGCAACTTGAACAATTAAGACCCGGTTTGACTTTTGACCGCGTTAACGAGGCAACAACGAGGTATAATAAAAATAAAAACTCAATGAGGGAACAGTCTGAAAACGGTTCAAAAAGTTCAGAGCGGAAATGGGTAGAAATTCGAGAAAATCATTTAAATAACTGATTGCAAAACTGGTTCAAGAGAGTAAGGATTATTTGGAAAAAAATCAGAAAAAAAAAGAGTTTTTTGACCTTTTCAGACAAGCATAAGCAATCCAAAGAAAACAAAAAACGGAGAACAAGAAAGGCCATGAAAGGAAAAACGCCGAAACATACGTCATCAACAGACTGAGAAGCTTGGTTGCACTGTCGACTGCAAAGAACAGCACGGCTTGCGGATCCAACACAGTCAGAGCCTCCGTTAGCCGGATAAGGGTTCGAGCAAGTTCTGAAACAACAATTCAACCGGGTTTTAAAAGAATATTTTCTTAGATTTTAAATCAAGAGATAAGAGGTACCTTTTGGAAATAGACAAGCCGACGGCCCCTGCAATACTCGGGCATGAGCATTGGTTGCAGTTCGTGTAAGTCCACGTAGACCATTCTCCATCGACCCTCTAAAACATATAAAATTTATCACGTATCCTCAGTTTTCGTATACCGTTGGTACTGTAGTTGCGATGGGTGCAAGCGTCGTGAAGGATGGAGGCGTCACTTCCGACGCGCCCGACCATGGGATGCATCTTCCGAGTTGACACCACTTGTTGGGCCCGCAGAAAGTTCCTATCAATATTTGTGTTTTTCGAGGTTTTCAACGTGAAGCCATTTTATCGCAAAAACATGGTTGGCAAAGATCTTGGAAGAATTTTTAAGTGAAAACTAAAACAGAAGTGAAATTGAAGAACAAATAACAATTTTAGCCCGTAGAAAAATTTGCATTTTGATTTTCCTGAGTTACGGGTTCTATAGAGAAGATTATTACCAAAAAAAAATGCGTGAGTGCGTCAAAAATCATGAAAACAATTTTTTCAAAGCTTTGGCTGTCCCTCTTGAATCCTTGAACATTGGAAAAAATTGGCTCAACTTTTTTATAGTGGAACGCTTCCCAAAGAAAAAAACACTCTATTTCGCCTTTTTTGAAAAATGATCAAACAGCCCGTGAGTCCAGAAAGCTTTTTTTTGAAAGAAATTAACCACGTTACCTTCAAAACCGGTCGATTTTGTCTCAAATAAATAAAAATCGGATGAAACACCAGTACGACTCACAAAACAAAAAAGTCAATTAGAGATGCGTCATAAAGCCAAACATGAAATCTTTTTTCTTTCACTTTTTTCCTAATTTTTCAAATTTCGTTGAACAAAAGCTGTAAGGACGGACATTGTTGTTAAAATTTGTTCATGAAAGCTTTCTAAATCAACAAAAAAACTGTGAATTATTTCAAGAGTACAAAAATAAGACAGAAGAATGAGTCTGGAATTACCTTCTAAAGCAGGATGAGAAGTGATGATCCTTCCGAAGGACGACTGTCCGCACCACATCATGTAGCAGATGCCGTCATATGAATCCTGTCGCGGAGTAACCTGAAAACGTGGAAACTTATGCGCCATTAAGGTTACTCTCAGTTCTTTATTGAAATTCACAATTTATTTCTCTCCTGAACCATAACACTTTTTAATGAGAACGTTTTTCTCAGTAAGCAATGCAATCTTAATCTTTTTTCAGGTTTTGCTTGAACCTAATTGACTTTGTTCCTTCAAACTTTTAAAAAACCATTAACTCGAAAAGAGAAGGAGAGAGTTCTAATGGGATCAAGATTGACCAACCTAAAAAGATAACTTAGTTAATGGGTCATCAAACAAAGTTATATTGGTTCGGATTGACCAATTGCTTGAACCCCCAATTTCTCTGCTTCGACGAGCGTTCTATGTTTCGAAGAAAAATCGCAATGCAGCGTCTCGTTTCACCGCTAGAGATGCGTAGCTGGCCGGAAGTGCGCCATCGCCACTCTTGTGTGGTTTGTCGTCTCAAAACCGCAGGACCTTGCGCGCCATCTCTTCTTTTCTCTTTCCGATCATTTTTCTGACACCCTCAGGTTGAAATCGATGATTTCCCGTCCTATTCTTCAACGACTTTGAAACGAATCGGCCGAGATTTCTCACGAAGTAATTTCCTTTTTTCCAACCGAAACAATCAACCTATGAAGTATCAACCTGTTGGTAGCCGGGACCATGCATGAGTTCACATTGGAGATTCGCGTCATAGATTTGACCTGGTTTTGTCGTCGCGGAAATTTGCAGTTTTGTCGGCATATTAGAAACACGCATGCAGTTTTTGCCGCGGGCACTGAAAAAGTTCAATATGATCAAATTCATCTCAATTAAAAAGGAACTTGTGGAGAAAATGAGAAAAATCGTAGATTCAAAGTGAAAGGCTTACTCAAGCCGCTGCAAAAACTGATGGTAGTCCCTTAAGGAACACGTCGACCAAGTCACTTTGCCAGGACCCAGAGACGACGACATGATGTGTTTCGACGGACAGTACGGCTCGTCGTGTCTCATTCCCACGCTGAACAGAACTGCGTCGTTTGATGATAATCGGGTAAAAGAAAAAAGTCAGCGTGAACACCTTGAGACGGCATTTGAAATCGAAAAAAAAGAACCTGTGACCGAGTTCATGTGTTCCGATGAATGCCGACGTGAAGTCAAGACCTTCGGCGAGAGTGCACGTGTTCCAGGGGTCGCACATGCCGTCCAGACGAGCAATTCCAGATATCGACCGTGAACCCGCGCCACGATGAATGTCGTATCTGGAAGAAGCAAAAACTTTTGAAAATTTTGGGTTAAGAAGTTAACTTCTAAGAAATGGGATTTCGGCTCTTCATTATTTGAAATGAATGGAAAAAAATAAAAAATGAAATATCCGTTAAAAAAAAGACTTGATGAGTGTTCTGCATCTTTTTTTTGATAATGTTAGCGTTTTGATCAGAGCAAAACATGAAAAACAGAGTTCTTCTAAGGCACAAAATTTCATAAAAAAATATTTTTTGTAAGAGAATTGTTTTTCAATAAAAAATATACAGAGTGAAGTTTAGCATCCTACAAAGCTTTTTTTGTTTCATTCTCGGCACTTTCGATTTCTTCAAACAATGTTTTGAAAAGCCATTAAGAAAGCGTTGTTTTACCCCGTTAGCATGATGGCGTGATCCCAGTCGCGGACAGCCAAGTTGCGTTGATATCGGCAGAATCTGTCCAGATACAACTGCGCGTTCCCGTGGCTATGAAGGTGACCAGCCAGCGCTGCCTGCAAAGCTTTTTCTCAACGGATTCATCTTGAATCAACAGACAGAAGGTCAATTAGCGGATTGTTGCGGTCATTGCCGCTGAGGGAAAAGTACAAGCAAGTATTAAGATAGAAGGAGAAACTTGGATTCAAGTTCATCAATTAACGATTAGGAACTCACTGGTTGAGTTCTCAGGACTTCGTACCGAATGACTCGGAAAGAAAGAGGAGGACTGGCGGTTGGCTGGTAATACATAATCTGGATGTTGTTCAGCAATGTCATGGTATAATCTTGAAGTTTTCTTTCGGCGTATCCACCATATTTGCTGCTGAAGTGTCTCCAAAGGTTCTCATCAACAAAAACGGCCAGTTCAACCTGAAAATATTCTAGTTCGGCAAGTCTTTAAGTCTCTATTCACAATCAAATCGCTGATTTGCGTCAAACGCTGTCCAGAAACGAAAACGTCTTCAAAAATGGCATTGTCGTCCTCAATAAGTTGTTCCTCCGTCACGACATTGTCCAATCCGCAGAAGTCGTTGGGTACGGCATCCCCGATAGTTTCTCGTTTGTACACCACGTGAATGCCATTTTCTGAACACAAAAAAGGAGTAGTCGCAATTTACAGTTTCGGCAAACCAGTACTGCGGCGCGAACGGTGCGCATGACGCTCCGGGAAAGGATGAATGACATGAATGCCGTGCTTGTCAATAACCGTTCCTTTCTATAAAAGAAAATCTTCGGGTGCAAAGGATTAAATTTTCCTAATGGGTTGTTCCTCAGAGAGAGTCAAAGGTTCAATTAGTGCTTTTTTTGTCTTTTTGAGTCTTTTCAAGGACTTTTGGAAACTCACAACGCGACCGTCGCAATTGCTAATGGCTGCATGGACTGACTGCGAGTAATGGTGATAGTGGCAACTGGCCAGGTCACTTCCGAATCCGAGTCTTCCTATAACCGAACCATTTCAGGTAGGTTAATGTGGTGTGTATCGTCAAGTGTACTCAAGGCATGCCATGATTGCTTGCGTCTAGTGGCAGGCAGTTTTTCCACCCAGTTTCTTACCTCCTTTCTTTTCATCCTTGTGAACAAAAGTGGCTGTTTCAGCAAGCAATTTGTTCAGAGTTGGCTCCAATGTGAGGTTATACTCGCGCTCAAAAGCCTGAAAATTTGGACTTGATTAATATAAAAAAAAGGAAAAAAACCATCATAAAAAAGTGAAGTTTGTAGAAAGGAATAATCTTTCTCAGTTAGAAGATTTTAATGAAATATCCCAATTATTAAGTTTTTTTATTCAGACTAGCAAACAGCTCCAAAATTTTTCATAGACTAGGAATTATTTTGAGTAGGTGACCGATTTCCGAGACCGTTAACCTTCAGATCAAAAAAGAATTCAGTTCAAATGGAGCATGGTCACATCGCAACAATAAGAACAAACACAAACTTTGAAGTATATTCTGAGGAGCGTTCCGTTCGTACTTTGCTCAAACTGCGGGTCGATTTCCTCGTGTTGTGGAACTAAAAAAGCTTCGCTTTTTGTATTCTACAAAGAACTTTCTACCATCTTGAACGTTTTGCACGCCAAACGTGTACCTCAGCTCTTCGGCTGTGAACAGAGGCACAAAGGCGTTCGCTCCCTGCAACCAAAAACGAATATGCATACGATTTTCTTTGCTTCCTTCTGAAGCGCTTGACAGCTGATGCCTCGCTATTGTGTTTGCGTTTCAAGCGGGTCGCATGAAAAAAGTTGCCGCTTTACAGACGGCCAATCATTTTTTTTTCCTTTTAAACTTTTGCTTCGGTTTTATCGAAACGAGAAACTGGTAGGCTTGTGAGAAAAGCGGTTGCGAAAGGAAAGAAAGGTTCTACAAGTTGTCGGTCGCATCAGTTAGCTCATCAATTTAGTTTTCTCTCTCCTATTCTTGACCGTTCACATCAACATTTCTCGTAAGAACAACACCTTTAAGGGAAGAAAAAAAAGTTGCCGGCTGCCGGTGTATCCCAAAAGTTGTTGTCATTTTTTTGTGATATACTTTAGAAGACCATTCAGTTGCAATTAATGATCTTTTGAAATATCTACACAACCAGTTCTTGAACACTTTCAAGTAATATCAATAGTGGGTCTTTCGCCCTTATTTGACGATGTTTCCAAGAGTTCAAAAAATCTGGATTGCGTGGCCAAGGGCAAGGTGAAAAAGTATAAATACTAGCGAGCTCGGAGAAAAACAGGTTTCAAGTGGCTACGTGTGCACAGTTAGGAGTTTTTAGAAGTGGGATTCGGCTATACTAGACGTGTCAACATCACGCATTCAAACAATTTCCAAATCCGGGCCGAAAATTCATACAGTGTTTATTTTTAGACGTCCGACGCCTCGGAGGATTTTGAATCGGGCTAAATCTCCAAAAATGCCTTCTGACTGGTTGAAAAACAAACGAAAATCGCTCACTTCCCAAAGCCTTATATGGTTCAAGACAACGACTTTTGCGCTAGAACGCGAAAAAAAAGATTAGAATCAACTTTTCAGTATGGTGCTGAGACCTTGACAGATGCGGAAAGTGGCGCCAAGGCTGAACAGTTAGCTATTCTTTCTTCTAGACTCTCAAGTTACCGTGAACGATTCAAGTAGCTCTCTAGAAGAGATGAGAAAAGTACGGAAAAAAGGATGAGAAGAAATATGAAGAAAAAAATCGAAGAAAACTCAATCGAAGAAAACTATACAGTAAAGTAAAAGAAAAGCATACCTGAAGCAGTGAGATGCTGACGAGCAGCGGCAAGAGCATCAGGTCGTCGCAGGTATGGTCTTAGGCCAAGCCGACGGACGAATAGCCAGAAACCGATCGGACTATGGGGTGAAAAGTTGAAAACACAAAGATAGCGGAAAGAAGAATAGGGAAGGAAATGGAGGATAGAGACAGAATGCGTGCGAGTGTCTGTGAGCGTGCGTGTATGTGATAGAAGAAGAGGTGGGGGCTAGGTAGAGGCCTCACTGTTAAACGCCTCGTCTACTTGCTGTCGTTCGATGGGCGGAACCTCTCTTCTGTAAATGACCGACCGATTCGCTTTGTGTCACTGCATATATTGAGGCTCATTCTCTTCAACGCCCACGCCTCATTTTCCTGCGTCTTCCCACGCTTCGGCGCCACCCTCGCGCGAAGTCGGAGGCGTTTTGGAAATCTTCCAGCCGATCCAAGTTATTAGAATTTGGTGAATAACGGTCCATGGGAGGTCAAGAACCGAATCCTGTGAGTCTGAAAATGTGACCTCGAACATCATCAGAGCTGTAATCAAGTCAAGTCATCGAAGTTCCTGGATGTCAGTTCACGGACGATCAAGAATTTAATTCAATCAAAGCTGAAAAAGGTCAAAGAATTTTAAACCCATGAAACTTTATAATTACAAAGAACTCTAAAATGAGAACGCGGGAATCTTGAACGCGAGAAATTAGAAAAAATAAATAAATCAGCTTAAAAGTGTTGAGAAGCAATCAAATAGAGACTAATAAGCTCAAACATTCCGATAAAAGTTCAAGTCGTATTTCATGTTGGAAGCTGTCTGACTTTAGGTTGAACTCTTTCGAAAAAAATGCTTATGAAAAAAACGATTAAACTTGAAATATTAAAGGATCTGCCATTAAATAATAAACATTGTCATTTTAACAAGCAAAGGTCGAGCTTGTGGATTTCACACTTCAAAATTTTTGTTCCTATTTCGATATCAAAAAGGATGACAGTCCATAGAAAGTTTAAACCAAATTCTGTTGTGATCGGAAAGTTCTTTCTATCTCTTTTTTTCAAATGTGAGAGTATTTATTGAAACAAAGACTACTTCATCATTTTCTGAAGCTGAACGATCTCAAAAGAAGGATATTAGGAGCAGTAAAAAAAACATAATCTTCGAGAAACATATTAATGTTTTTTCAACACAAAGTTTTCTGAATTATCAGAAGGAGGGGATAAAAATTTTCGAATTATAAAATAAACCTTCGTCCAAGATCGAAAACCAAACCGAAATAAATATGCAGACCGATTCCGATGGATTATCGAAATTGAGGATTTACAGAGACAAGAAATTCAAATTTATTTTCTTCCGAGTAGGATGAAGGTTTCTGAAAATCTGGAGCTTGTCAATAAGTTACTTTGTTCGGGCTCACAGCCCTAAACCCTTGCGCAATTCTGCAAAAACTGTATTTCGCTACGATTTCGAAGTATATTTCCTCGATTCATTAGTTCAAAAAGAGAAAAACCTCTGAATGATTGCTCACAGATTGTTTTCTCAGAGTTTCGCAGAAAAGTTACTGAACAATCCTAAAAATCACACCACATAAAAGTTATTCTACCAGTCAAGTTGAGATTTTTTCTACCAGTCAAGTTGAGATTTTTTTTCCAATCACTGTGAAGTCTGAACTTTTTCTATCAGTCATACTGTGATACGCATCAAAACTCTTGAATGACACATAAACTGTAAGAAAACCTCTCTCGATGAGTGATTATGGGATCTTAATGAATAAGGTAGCAAAAGACTTGAGATGTTAGTGTTGTAAGAATGCGAATCGGGAGTCGTCTTGGCATGTCACTCATAAAACTTTAACGTCTTGATCACCTTTTCTGATTGATCACAAGCCACAGATCTTACAGCTTCTCGGGAGAAAGCCTTACTTTTTAAAGGTTCAGTTGTCAAAAGGAGTCCATTTAGCAGGTTATTGGAATCCAAAATCATATAATTTCATTGACTGCACTGTTGAAAACTATTCATAGAACGTTTTTCATAGTCTCCGTCGTTTTGAAAACGTAGTTTGAATTTTCGGAAACAAAGTGTTGCAATTGTTTTGTTGGTCAGCCGCGCCCTTCGACCTTGGTCTCAAAATTGGGAGTTCATCATATTCAAAAGTTTACCAAATATTCTCAGCAAATTGGATAAGTACGAATTATGGCGTTCAAGTGTTCCTTATAATAGATTGGTTGAAAATTATTTTTTTGTTATTTTTTTCAATATACTTTGACCTTACACGCGTGTACTTCAAAGTTTCATAACGCGATAATAAATGCATGGCTGAAAAAAATCTGACTAGACACAATTTATTGAATCTTATGTACATAAAACTTTGATAATCAGTCTTTAATTTTTGAGAAATGCTATTTTCAAAGTGTCATAATCTAAAAAAAAAAGCTGAAAATGATTTCCTTCAGATAGAAGCCAATGAAAATTCAAAAAAATTCATTTCTCATTCGTATAATTCGAGCCTCACAAACCAGTTAATCATTTTTCCAGATAATTTTTGACAAAAAAGTGGGAGTTTGGAAAGGTTTGATTTAAAAAAACATAATTTTTTTCATAAATTCTTCAAGCTAATAATAACAATTGAAAAAAAATTTAATTGAGAGTTGGTGATTATGAATCTCTAAATCATCATTCAATAAATTGGGAAATATAGTTTTAAATTTCAGATTCAGATGATTATGGTTGAAGGTATTGAATGGGAAAAAAAATGAGGTGGGAGAAGTCAGAAATGTGAAAAACCTAGAAATTGATGAAACTAACTGACAAATCCAAATGAACAATTTTTCGCATGATCATTTAAAAAGTTTTTCAGCAGCAAGAAGTTCAAAAAAAAAAGTATCTGAGAGAAGCGTGATTTACGAAGTTCGAAAATAACTGTTTTTTAGGCGTAGTTTATCCCTCTTTGCGTTTTTCTTATTGTTTTCAAACACAGTCAATTTTTCCCGAAATGAATATCGAGGGAAGCGGAGAAGTGTGCAGGACGCGTAGCGTGCGCGTACGCGGTTCTAAGCACAAGTTCAATCCAACCGCCAGCGACCAATTGAAAAAGCTCGTTCATCGTTCTTTTTAATTTTTTTAAATTTTTTTATTGGTTTGTTTCCTTAGTGAATAAAAAGTAGAATAGACCCAAAAAAAGCGGTGACCAAGGTTTCCGAATAGTTGTTAACGCTTGAATCTAACTAGTGCCAAGAACCGCAAACGCGCACGCCACGCGTCCCGCCCTCTTCTCCGCCTCCCTCGCATTCGAAGGCGGGTAGGATTGACTATATTTTATCGTGCTTTTTTCTCCACTTAACTACACAAGTTCCCTTGTTACTGAATGTTAATTTGATCTTTTTTTTGATGTTGATAATATTTTTTTCTCATTGGGCCATGATTTTTCTTTTTCAAACTCGAAACAAACTTAATGACAAGCAATTTTGAAATAAGCAGATTGCACAATTAAGTTTTTCTAGCCCATTCGGTGTTATTTCGAAGTTTTTTTTTTCTCAAAATTGCGTACCTTAAATCAAAGCAAATACGAACGAACTTGCTACCACATTTTCTCCAGATTTAGAGCCAGTTAAATATCAAACTTTGTTTTTTCATTTTTTTTTCTAATTTTTAGCTTTTCACATCTTTCGCGTCAAATTTAAGGCAAAACACGCTACGCTTCTTTTCACACTTCTGAACATTACTAAAAACTTACTCAAAAAAATGTGCATACACAAAAAAGTGCGAGCGGAAGTTGCGCGCTACCGCAATCTCTACAGATTTGGCGGCAGTTGAATTAGCAAACTTTTCTTTTCATTTTCCTTTTTCTAGTTTTTAGCTTTCCACGTTTCATCCAAGAATTTTTTTGTTGAAATTTTTTTCGTTTTTTTTTTCCAGATAATGTCTCTCAACTATTCGGATCTGCTTTCTCCTTATGATAACAAAGGAGAAGTCGGTCAAAAAGAGGTTTCAAATTTCTTCGACTTTTTCAAACCAAGTTTTGCGTTCAGATATTCGATCAAGACGAGGAAGTTGCCATTAAAGCAAAGGAATTAGCCAAACTTCTCACAGAGTCTAATTCAACAGTGTTTATAACCGGCGCAGGTAATTTTTCTTATTTTTTTTTCAATACTAACATTTTTGAGGAATATCCACGGCGGCGGGAATCGCAGATTTTCGAGGACCGAAAGGGGTATGGACGCTTGAAAAAAAAGGTAGAAAGGCGGAATCCGTCAACTTTGAAAAGGTTCGTACAGTTTTGATACTAATTAATTTATCCTATCAGGCTCTACCTACACTAACGCACAATTTTCTCACAACCATTGAAAAGAAAGGCTTGATCCAGTGAGTTTCCCATTTTGGTTGATGAAAGTTGAAGTTTCTTCAATAGGTTTCTCATCACTCAGAACATTGATGGGATTCATGTCCGCAGCGGGTTTCCTCTGAACAAGCTGGCTCAGCTGCACGGCAACGTTTTCTCGGAGCGCTGCCGAAACTGTAAAAGGTTTGGTGGATTTTCACTCGGTTTGAAGAAAATTTTATTAATTGCGCTCTCGTTCAGAATTTACTATCGTGATTATCCGATTGCCAGTGTGGGACTGAAGGCCACCGGGCGTTCGTGTGAAGGTGCTCCAAATGGTCGTTCCTGTCGTGGAAAGTAGGATACTAGTTCAGAACTGCTTTCAAGATTTGTCACAGACTTCACGACATGACCTTGGATTGGGACGATGCTCTTCCAGAAGATGATCTTGCACTGTCGTACAAATTTGTGAAAGTAATTATTTTCAAAACACTGTTTTTTAAATTTCTAATATATGTCACACCATGAGAATGGGTTAATCGAGACAAGAACCAACAAATTCATCAACTCTTCTTTGCAGAGCTGCTCATTGATTGTGGTCGTCGGATCTTCGCTCCAAATTATTCCAGTGGGAGACATGCCACTTTTGGCTAAGAAAAACGGAGCCAAATTTGTCTCGATCAATCTTCAAGCAATTAAACACGTGCGTTTATTGTATAAGAAAACCTTTTTTCTTTAGTTTTTGAATATTTCAAAGGTTTTCAGGAGAACGAGGTTGACCTGGCAATTCACTCAAAATGCGATGAGTTCTTCAAAAAGGTGGCCGAATGTATGCAACTTGAAATCGAAGAAAAACACGGTTTGACTGTGTGAAAAAAAGGATATAGATTGAAATATTTTCTCAGAACGCGTTGCTTTGTCCATACATCCTCTGCCAGACTTCAACACTCGTAAAAAAAGAAACTTCGCGGAAAATCCTTCAAAAAGCGCTTCAAGTATTGTTTTGTTTTAGGTGAATTATGTTCAAATATCGAATTTCAGGACCTGTTGGAAAAAAGCGTGCAAAGTCGAGAAGGTCCGAGGTCCCCGAAAAGGATCGTGCAGAAATCGCGACCGATACCGGTGAGGCAGTTTACAAGTTTTCTGGATGTTTTGGTCTAATTTAGTTTTTGATGAGACTTTATGAGCCTCAAAACTTCTGAAAAGCGCGATTATTAGTTGATAAGGAGTATTAAGTCAACCGAAAAAACAGAAGAAGGTCAAAAAGTTTTGAATTCTTGAGCTTTTGCGAAAAAAATTGGATCAAAATGGAGTGAGCATAAATTTCGAAATTGCTGAAGAACGCATTTATAAAGAGGAAGGACAGTTGATATATTGACAAACTCTGAGGCTTCTTCCTTTTAAGTTTTGTGAGTTTATTTCAGAACTCTCTACTGTCTCCTTGGTCGCTCTGGAAGAGGCGCCAAAACTTCCTACCGATCGTGAGATAAAGGTCGATAAAGTGGACAACACGGAGGTTGAGATCGCTCAGAATCCAACTACTGAAGAAAAAGGTGAATAGATTTTTGCATCCGTTTACTTTTGATAATATATTGTCAATGACGGGTTTCTTTTGAAGATCAGCTTCTTCCACGCAAAGAGAAAGGAGAATATGGTGTGAAAAATACAGATATTTCTGATTTTGACGCCGTCGAAGTTGTTCAAAAAAGTACGGATTCAATTGTGGAGTACGGTAACCTTTAAAATAAGTGTTCCAGCAGACACCGATTACTTTCCGGAGGAGCCTGATGATATCGGCGAGCTTTTTCCTACTTTGTTTCCCGTCGAAGATGAAATTCCTGGAGACTTCGATACTCCTGACGAAGGTAAAAAAAAACCAGAAAAAAAACCTTAGAAAATTTTTCAGACCTTGAAAAATATCTCGAGCCGGAGAATGAGAAATTCAGTACTGAGGAGACTAGTGAGGAGAGAATTCCAGTGAATAGCCATCGTTCGACGTTAGAAGGTTTTTTTTGCGAAAAAACGGGGTTTTTTTTGACAATTGGAAGCTTTAACGCTTGATATTTTCTGATAAATTTGAATTGGATTCTCAAGGAAACCAATATCTTCAATCTTTCAACAATCCTGATGAGCCTCTTGTTAGCCTTCGTAAAGCTGTTGGTTCTCCACTGAGCTCTATTGAACAAGACATTAGGCGTGCCTCAAAAACAGTACTACTTTTCTTTTTTATTGTGAACGTGAAAAATACTTGGGTCTTTCTCGCTCAAAACTGCATGATTTGAAGTTTTTTATTGAAACGCTTTAAAAATAAAAAGGAATTGGGATTTCTCGAATCGAAACCAAGTTTTTGCGTCAGGGCTCGAAAAGACGGACAAAGCCTCCATCGAAAAAACGCAGCCAAGCACTTACTTGATGATTTCGAACGATGGTATTGATTTAATTTTTCAATGATTTTATATATTCTTGCTCAGGTTCTACTCTTCAAAAAGATGAAGATGAAAAGATAGATGAGTTCAGCATCAAAACCGAGCAGAAGGATTTGAAAGAGCTCAACTTGGCTTAAGGATCCAAAAATAAGCGTACAACTTTTTGAGGTGGTCTTTCAGAACACTTTCTCTTTTTTAATAGCTTAAACAAAAAGGTGATGTTTTAATTATCTTATAAAGAGCCGCAAAGAAATATAAACAAGACTGTTAAATAAATCGGTAGCTCCCCATTCTTCTTCCATTTCATACCTTGGCTTTTTTTCATAATTTCCTTTTAGTACTTATATGCAATTTTTGTTATGTATTCTATCACTTATCTCTCAAAACGGTTCGGATGACGATCTATCTTTATAATTTGTATCTCAACACTACGGTTGATCCGCGTGTACCAAAGAATTTTCATGAAACCGATTTCATTGGCATTCGTGTACATTTCCAGTGCCTTTTTGCTGTCTTCTAATAAAAGCTTCTATTTGGTTCATCGAAAGTAAAAACGCATACAAATCAAAAAATGTTTCATTCATTTGAAAGGCTGTATGTATTTGATCAAATCAGTCTTGAGACACTTTATGATGTTGATGAAGAGTTTGTCTAACATTTTGAGTTATACTTCGGAATTCCTAATAAGAAATTTGGTTTAAAGCTGACGTGGCAAGTTTCTGAAAGAGTGAATGTATTTACAACGCGTTTCAGATGAGATGAAAATTAAAGTCGAGGAGTGTATCCGCTCGTGCGAGGGAACAGGTAGTAGTTTCTGGCGTCAGTGTATCCGACGCCTTCTCTGCCGATCAAATAGCGCGAGGCTCTTGGGTTGAACTGCCTCTCGCCTTTAATTCACATAAAGAATATGGCAAAGAAGGACCTTTGGAACCTCTGTGGCTGTACATGTGATAGGCCAGGCCTCTGCTGTCGGCATAACTTTTGGAGCAGTACTCGCATATGTACGGCTTTGAACGAACATCAGAATAAACCTGAAAAATCATTTATCTTATCCTTTTTTCACCTCCATCAAACTATCTCTCAAAAAATAGAATACTTTATTGTAACATCATATCAAAACACATTCCGAGGCTTCCAACTCGAGCACGGTGTTCGGGCTCCAGCTACAACATCCACTTCATTCTGAGCTCGTCAAGACGCAACTGAATGGACTACACGCAGAAGAACGAGGCGAAGGACCATACTTTCAACTCTTTCGACTACACGCTAGGACTTCTAGTTTGCTAAAGGCGGTTGTTCGTTATAATTTTAAAAGTTCTTGTTTACCGCCTAGTCTATTATATCTGACTAAAACAATAAAAATAAATGAATTGAATTGAAAAAAATCCGGCTATGAGGAGTTTTTTTATTAAAGTGTTTGAAAAAAATTTTTCTACCACAATAAATCTCCTCAAAAAAATAACAGAAAAAAACTTTCCGTGAGCTGATATTTTTTTCTTGAAAAAAACCTTAATATCGAATTGAAATTTTTTTCCCCAAGTTGGTACATAAAATAAGTGTACGAATTCATTTTTATTTTTGTTCCTAAAATCTATAAAACGTCCTATTGATCACTTCAAAAAGCGTAAAATTATTCTGTTGATCCAACAGGTTGCTTGAAAATTTGAAGTTTTTTTTTGCGTTGAAAAATTGTTTAATTTTTTCTCTAATTTGAAAAATTATTATCTTTCATTGAGGAGAATACATGAGGAAAATATGCAAAAATAAGGCTAGTTTTTGGAATTTATCCAATTTTTTTCTCTCAAAGTTAGACTGTTAGGTTTTTCAAAAAAAGTAGCTGAGAAAAAAACTTTGAAAAAAATAAAAGATTTGGGGTTTACTAAAAAGTCCTGTTTTTTCTCACTGCATTTTTTTGGAATTTTTGTATCGGCAAATGAATGTTTTTCTTACTCATCTCCAAATCAATCAATCAATATTTATTGGTTGTTTTAGTCAGATGGAATCGACTAGGCGGTGGGAAAATTGCTCTTTTGAGCGGCACTAACAGCGCGTTTGACGAAAAGAAGTCAAAACGTGTAGTTGACTGAATGGAAAGCATGGTCTTACGGTCCTTCGCCTCGTTCTTCCACAAGTAGATCCCTCAGTTTCGCTTGTACGGGCACGGCGGTGATGGTGGGGCTCGGGCACGGACGCCGTGTACACTCTAGGGTAGCCTCGGCCGACTGAGAGAGCTACCACTTCGAGTGAAGAAAATACACGAAATGCTTACAGAAAATAACTTCAAGGCTTTCAACTCGTTCTGTTTGAAACTGACTTTGAGCGGGTGCTTGGGTTCGTATCCTTCCATCGCAAACGCCGGGGTCGGTAAATCGGACAAAGTCGGACCCGGGAGTGGAGACACAATCACGGGCACGATGACCTGTTATCGGATACCTAATGAAGGTCTTCTAATAAAATCTGCACTTCTTGGGACGCTGGCTTGATACTATCCAAAGGATCGTCCGTATGTTTGTGGTAGAGCATCTCCGTGTAGGAGAAAAAGGTCCTTCCGCAGTCACACTTGAATCCATCGACATCTGATTGAGGGACATTCACATACCATTTTTAATTTTGCTAACCTGAATGTTGAGCCGAATGGTACTCAAGCTGACAAGCAAACTCAAATGATTCGTTGCATTTTCCACAAACGTAAGGCTGAAAAGGAGTATTGAAATAAACAATTTTTTTAGATATAAACTTCATTGCGTTTCTAGATATCTAAACGTGTGGCTGCATAGTTTTTCGAAATCAAATCGCTTTGTTTAAAAATTTTTAACAAAAAGAGTTTGATAGTTTTTTTCAGAACCGCGTAGAAGTTGTGGTTGAAAAAAATCTCACATATTGTTTCTAGAAATACTGATTTTTTTCATTGATTTTTTGAGTTTTTCGGGTTTTAATAAACTGAAAACATGTTTGTTCATCTTTTATGAGTGTATCGCTTTTTTCTCGTAATAAAATGATTCAGATAATGATTTCATGATAACAAGCAGGCTCATTTTTTGAAGTTATAAACTGTGAAAAAGAGCCCACATTAGAAATTTGATTCTATTTTTCATTATGAACTTTCCTCGCAGTTAATCTCATTTGTGCAAAAATAGAATATCGGTGACTGGAGTATTTTTGGGAAAGTTGAACTTTGACCTTTTTCGCGGTCATTTTTAACGCTACTCAAGTACGATAAAACCTTAGCGTTTATGTAGCTAATGAATCATTGGAGACGAGTTTTTTTTTCTGTCTAAAACAGAGCGCTTCTGGGTAATGGCTGTTCGAATCAAACACACATGCCTGAGAGACGTTGTGTATCCTTTCGTGAGCTCTCAGCGTGTTCATGAAGTTGAAGGTGAGTCCGCAAAATCGGCATTTGTAGAAAATAAAGCCATTGTCGTCTTTGACGATTTCTCCCCCGCTGGCAATCGTTGGCACAGATTGACTCTGAAAATGAGAAATTCCGGTTCAAGATATCTTTGCCTTTTACTCATAATTCTTATCAGCTGAGCAAACGATGAATATCGCCCTTGCAGTTGATTTTTCAATTATCAACTTTTTTTCCCTTTTTTTTTTCTTGATTGGAAAAAATTACATTCCAAGGGTTTTTTGCCTTGAGGCTGATCCAGCAACATAACAACTGTTTGAAAAAAATATTTATTGAGATAACTCTGAAGGTGAAAAAATTGTTCTAAAACAGCCAAAATTTGGTTTCGTCCCGTTTTTAGCATCCTTCCGTTACGCTCTTGCTAACAAACTGTACGCACATTGAAACCTCGGCGACGGGCTAAAACGTGTCACCGATAATTTTCGCTTTCAGCTGTCAGATAACACATTTTAAGATGCTTAAAAACGCTCTCACCACCTCATTATTACTACATTGAGATGATCACTTTCTCATTTTTATCTCGAACTTCTGACTAAGCAAAATTTTATAGTCTGCTAAAATAATTATTTCTGGACTTCCAGAGGACTAAAACTGCAATTTTTTCAGACGACCAAAACTTGCAAACTCATAATCTTTTTGCCACTTTTTTTCAGAGTCTGTTCCTTTTTTGAGAAAATATAGTTTTTTTCCCATGTTTGAAGATCATATTAGACATATTTGATTATATAAAAAGATAATTTTTTTTTATCAGTTCTTTAAAAAAACTTTATTTGAATAATGAATGAAGCAATTTTTTTAGAATAACCGCGAAAAGTATTATGTGTCTATACTTCATATCTTAAAATTTTTATCTTTTGATTCTCATCATCACTTTCATTTGGTAAAAGATTATATTGAACCTCTCCGACTTGTTAATTTTTTCAAGAGCCATAATAAATTGCAGTCATTTAGACTATTTGTGAGGTATCGAGTTCACAACGAACCAAGTTATCAGTGTTGCTGGGAGTAGCCTTTGTCTCCATCCGTGCGATACTCGGCACGTAGCTCGATGCGATCGGCTGAAAAGTTTCATTTTTTCATACCAAAAGTTGAAGAGGTTTTGAAATCGAGGTGTGTTTGAAATCACTCACAGCCAGTTCTTTCTCTGCTGCGCTCTGCTTTTCCTTGGAAGAGTAAGAGGGCACGCTCTGAAACATTCCGTAATTTGAGAAGTTTCTTGACTACTGAGGCACGGAGCTTCCTCACGAAAAACTTTCTGACGAAAAAGGTCGTTTTATTTTGTGTAACTTTCACAGAAAAATATTAAATACTCTGAACCTCAACCTGCACAACTCCCTAGTTTTTGTGTGAGTAAACCTCAACGTTAGAAAAAATATCAAAACTCGCTGAACGAGGCTGTTTGTAGATTTTGAGCCTTTATTACTCGAAAACTGGAAAGTTGACCAGGTCCAAAGTTCTAAGATTTTCATCTTGCCTATCAAGTAGTGATCCGACACAATTTCAAGAAATATTGAGCCACAAAGTTAATAAACCTTTTTTGTGAGAAGCTACCATTTTTTTGTATCAAATTTGAATGAAACATTTGACATTTAAGTTTTGAGATGAGGAATAAAAACGGAAACGTCAAGACCTCGTCTTTACTGACTGCCAGTTTGGCGATGTCGCAGGCGGCCATCAAGTCATCAAAATCATCTCGTTCTTTGCGCGCCTGAAAATAGAAGACTACCTTTTTAAGTTCAATATGATGTGTCCGTCTTAAATTTTTTTTTCAAGTTAAGTTTTTTTTCCAGTTTGAAAAAGATTATTTAAAAGCTCAATAAAGTACGGGAAAGCCTTCATTATGTTTGGAAAACCTAGTTAGTTGCGCAAATAATTGATAAATCAAAGAAAAACAAAAAAAATCAATAAAGCGTACCTCTTGAAAAACGTCCATCGCGAAAAATGCAGTGTAATGCTGTTCGAGCAAGGCTGATCCCCAGACCCACCTCTAGAGCTCTCTGCGCGTCTGGTCAGGGCTTTTCGTCTCCGAACACGATGTCCCTAGACTTTTTCTTGCCGGCTGTCTGTAATTACGCAGTTACAGCGCGGCTCACGCGGTCAGATTTCCGCTTTTCCGGCTGAGAAATTAGAAAAAAAGGTTGAACAATAAAATCCTCAAAAGTCGGGTCCTCAAAAGTTTTGCAATTGCCAACAAGTTTTATTGACCACACTTAACGATTTCGTAAAAAAATAGAAACGAATCAAGTTTGAAAGTTCAAAACCTGATAAGTGTAATTGATTTTCCCATATTCTCTCAGTGTGCTGATATCTCAAGTTTTACAAAATAATAAAATAAAATAAGAAAAGAAACTAGGATTTTCGCCCTCATTCAATATTGGTAACTGTGGATAAAGGTTCTTTTGTTGTTATACAGTAGACATATAATTTTTGTTAAACTGATTAGTGATTCAGAGTCGATTGGCTTTGTAAGCCAGGAACAGAGAAATTGAATTTTATTTTTCATTCAGCTCCTCTCAAATGAGTTTTTTTTCTTCCTAAACAATCGAATCTTTGAAATATATTTTTTCAACAGCTCTTTGTGATGTTTGCGCACAAAAAATTATTGAGTTTCAACTCAGAAAGGATTCTTCAAGATGGAACTCTCCACTGTATTGGCATAACCTTGAAAGCACAAAATTTAGAAGCAGCGTAAAAGTTGAAAAAAATTCTCTTCTTTTTATTATGATTTCGAAATGCATTATATTTTTTTATCATAATACTCAGTTTCTGTTTTTTTCATTATACTACTTTCAGCTATTCAGTTATTTAGAAGCATTTTTGCGGCACGTACTTGATTTTTTTGAATTCTAATTCTGAAAAAAATTAAAGATGTTTCATTATTTTTGACTAAACTTCTCTGAGAAAAAAAATTAACTGCGTTTTGAAGTCTGCTACAAAGTCAAATAAAAAAATCCACTTAGAGCTTGAAAAGTGATATTTTTTTGAGCTCCTGAAAAAAATTAATAATTTTTTTATCATCTATTGGCTTGATTCTGGAAACCATTATAGTTTGAATGCAAAAAGCCAAAAAAATTGTTCGGAATGGTCTTTTGAAAAAAATCACGAAAAAGCAGATAAAAAAATCACCACAAAAAAACTCAAAAATTAGAAACCAAGCTTTTTAAAAAAATTTTTTTCCAAAGCTTAATACAGGTCTAACGAAAATCCCTCTTCATCCTGTTTTTTTTTTAACAAAAACTCGCCATTTTTCATAAATTTGCCAATGAGATCTCATCAAAGTTTTAGTGAAAAGAGCAGATCGATTCCTTCAATGTAAAGTGTACAATGCTCTTTCGAGGGATTTCTGAGGAACATGTGTGATTCGGAGTAGACGCGACTCTTCTTTTTATAATTGATAGCTTCGGCGTCGGCCGATCATTTGTGACCTTGGAACTTTGGCTCGACAAAACCACGCCACCTCTCGAGCCGACTTGATAAAAACGAAAGTGCGACAGAGCACGCTGTACATGGCGACGTGTCCTTTTCTTTTCCCATATTTCGTGAAAATTTGTAGATAATTCGAATATCAAACTTTCCTTTTTTTTTTTGTCGGAACCATTCTTTTTTTAACATTTGCGCAGAAAATTGTAAATTTTCATTACAGTCGTGAAGGCAAAAAAAGCTGATTTTTCTCTTCATATTGTAAGGCTTTTCAGTTTTGTTAGGCAATTAGACTCAAGTAAAAATAGGTAGGGCTTTTTCCGATGCACCAAATAAATTGAATGAGTTTCAGTCAGCACAATTTCCTTATTTCATGAAATCCCAAGTTATCAATAAAAACTTTTTGAAAAAAAGTAAATTTCAGGATGTTGATCTGGTGCATGAAAAGAGAGTCAGATTTTTTCTCAGTTATTCTCGTAAAATATGGGCAGCACGGGTCGATGGAAAAAACTGCAGAAATGCGCACCCAAAGCGGATGTTTTTTTCCTGGTGACGTATTTCGAAACACGTCATCTTCTAGAAAGTGATTCGTCAGCGTTCCCAGCGGCCCTACAGTTGTTATTTTATCTTCTCCTCCAATTTCGTTCTTTATCCTATTTATTATATTTCAAAAAGTTCGAATGTTTTTCTCGAGCTAACAGTTTGGATACTATGTAAGTTTTAGGGAACATAATTTTTTGAGGAGCAAGACGTTGTTTCGATGATCCACTATCAAAAAGTTCAAAAGTTTCAAAAAGTCAATTAAAATTGATAGAAAATTTGTCAGACAGATTCAAAACAAAGTTCTTGTGGAAAGTAAACAGCTGCAACATATAAAACGGCCGTCGCGCTGTTTTGCGGTTGCAGAAGGGGCTGTTTGTCAAGCGAAAGTTTTTGTTTCGTGGCCGTGTGTGCACAAAAATGGTCTTGATTCTGATGATGGCGCTTTTTTTCATAAACACACCCTTGAATGTTTTTGTCGCATTTTCTGTTCTTCTCATTTTTCTTCGAAATAGTTCTGATATTCAAAAATGCTTCAGGAAATGCCGAATCGTAAGCGAGCCATGACATCACCAATAGATGCAAGCGTCAAAAAGGCCAACCTTGAGGTTTTTTTGAATTACATTTCTTTTATGAAGTTTTTTAAACAATAAGTTTTTATTCAAGATAAGATGAAGGTTTCGATATTTGGATAAGATTAAAAATTCATTTCGTAAATAAATGTTGAACTTTGGAATTTAAGAAGCCACTGCCCCTTGCTCTCAACGTAGAAGCTCCGTACAGTGATGAACCTCTGGCGGCTGCCGAACGAGCTCGAATCGACTATTCTGAGAAAATCACGCTGGAAATGGCAAAAAACAACACGGGTAAGGTCAAATCGCAATTTCGAAAGAAACGCGTTTGTTCAGCTGGGCGCCCCGTCCGAATCTACGCCGATGGTATTTACGATCTTTTCCACTACGGGCACGCAAATCAGCTGCGACAGGCGAAAAACGCTTTCCCTAACGTCTACCTCATCGTAGGAGGTCGGTACATTTTCAGCTGAAAACGCATATTTTGAAAGTTGGTCAGAGAGGGTTATCAATACAATTTGAAAACTTTGAAACATTTAATCTGCATATAATACTAGTTCACGAAAGATTTTGAAAAAAAAAACAAAGAAGTTTCTTTTGAAATCTCTCTATGGGCCAATTAATTGAAAAGTGCGTTCTCAGAAGCTTCGCAACTTGACATCATATATCCCTTTATGAAATTTCAAAACATATATTATGGTTTAATATATTCACTGTTGGTTTGAGACATCTCGCACTGAGTTCCAGAAACACCAATTCCCAAATAAAGTTCATAAAATGGTCTTAGTTTCTGTCTGAAGCTTGCGGTCAAAATATTCACATTGAACCGTCGATGAAAAAATGTATTGGTCTTCGGAAAAAACTGAGTTAATTTTTCATAACCACCTGCTCTTTTGAAGGCAGTTTTTCACTGTTAGTGTGAAGGCGTGTTAGAATGTTTTTCTTTTCTTCACTCAAGTATGATGATTGATCGCTTTAACAAAAACTTTTGATTTCTCCAAAGCTTTCTTGGTTTTTTTGCTCAGAGAAGTGTCTGGCGCCTTTGAAAACATTTTATCCACATCTTTGCACTATCTAAGAGATTACTCACATATCAAAAACCAAAACGATCAGCGGAAAGCTTTCAGTTTGCGGTGACAAGAGCACGCACAAGTACAAAGGGAGAACGGTGACGTCAGAAGATGAGAGGTTCGAAGCCGTCCGCCACTGCAGATACGTCGACGAAGTCTATCGGGATGCTCCCTGGTATTGCACCGTCGACTTTTTGAAAGAGCTCAAAGTCAGATTACTCAAGAGTTTTTCAAAAATTGAAGTTTTTTTTAGGTCGACTTCATTGCCCATGATGCGATCCCATACACAGCTCCAGATGAAGAAGACTTGTACGAAAAGTTCAGAAGAGAAGGTGAGAAATCGCATGAAAATGAACGGAAAAAATGACCAGAAAAGTTCAGGAATGTTCGTTGAGACGGCGCGAACTGAAGGAGTCTCGACTAGCGACGTCGTCTGCAGAATAATCCGAGACTACGACAAATATGTCAGACGCAACCTTCAACGCGGATACTCTCCGAAAGAACTTAACGTTGGGTTCTTAGCTGTGAGTTTAGCATTTTTCTAACTGATTTAATTTTTTTCTTTTTCAGGCAAGCAAATATCAAATTCAAAACAAGGTCGACTTTCTCAAAGAGAAAGGATTAGAACTTCTCAACACTTGGAAAAGCAAATCAGATGATTTTATCAAAGACTTTATTGATACTTTCCACAAGGACGGCGGCCTGAATGTGAGCGACAAAAATTCCCATGGGAATTCGAAAAGTGGAACTGAATGTCTTATTTCAGCCATTTTTTGCTGTTTTCTATGCTTTCTTTCTGAATAACCATCAAGCTCTCAAAATTCGTTTTTGTAATTTTTTGCGAAATGCAAAATTGATTTGGTTTTGAGTGTAATAAAATACGTTTGATTGAATCAGATGAAAAACAAAAATTTCAGGCGTTCCGCGGAAGACTGAAGGGCTTGGTGGCTTCTTCTCGGTCGCCGTCGCCGACCGATGAAGATGACGTCGTCTGCGAGACTGAGAAACAAGAAGACGAAGAGCCTCACAAAAAAACGGCCTCACTCACTGAATCTATGACTTACTTCCGGAATGAAGTCACTAAATTTTTATTTTTTTGAATTTTTTTATATTATTAGATGTTTTCTTGTAAGAATATGATATTTTTGAACAAAGTTCTCCTCGACAGATTATAAATATTTTTTTGTACAGACCGCTTCATTAGTCGCTTGAGGCCGGGTCCCTTTGCGCATTTAGATTGAAATCCATAGACACATTTTGTTTTTTTTTTCATCCGGGAAAAGTCAAATACTATTCGATGTCATTCAGTTTAAACATTGCCCAGACAAAGCGTTTGAATAATCTTTTTTCCTATCACTTAGCCTCATACTCTTGTGCATTTATGCGTTGTATTTTCGCATTAATTGGCTTGTTTTGACATCAATAAAAAAATTACAATTTCAAGAGCTCAAAATGATTAAAATCAATATTTTTCTTTTTTTGTATTTGATGGTAATTGATTTGGAAAGTACTGAGAAAGATCAAAGTAATATCTTTTCTTAAAAACTCATATTTTTTTAATTTGGTAGTGTCAGATTTCTAAAAAAATCCGGTTGATTTGCAACAATTACAAGCTTAAAATCTGCAAAAAAAGAACCGAAAAAAACAGATATTGAATAGAAGAATAACCATGAAAACGACCTTCTCACATTTCATCCAGGTATAACTACAATAATCCAGACGTTGGTGCCTCTTCACACATTTTTTTACCAAAATCCTTTTTTTAAAATTGATTTTTTTAAAGCGCCTTCTCGTATAAAAAAATATATGTCGATTTCTTGATCTTTCATTTTTAAAAACACAATTTTTTTCCCTGAGTATTTTTTTGATTCAATATTTTGTTTTTTTCTTTTTTTCCATAAAATTTTAAAGTATTTTTTTCCATTTGAAAAAAATGGAATTATCCTTACAAACTCATTTCAAGAAAAAAATCTCTGTGTGAGAAGTTCATTCAAAACACTTTTTTTCAAGGCGTAAGACATTTCTAACAGTTAATTGCTTGAAATTAAATGGTTTTTCCTCAATCGCCAAGGGAAAAACAAAATAACATTCGAATCGATGCAAATAGGCAACAGTTCTAAAAGTTTTTTCAATAAAGTATCAGATCGAAGTTCTATTTTACACCCCACCAGTCAAGGTCTATGGGAAAGAGTGCTCCACAGACCAAAACTCGCTTAACAGCTGACGTTCCAGTTTTTTTTCAAGTGTCTTTTATAGTGTCCAACTTATTTTTTTGAAGTGATTCAAATAGAACATTCTTACAGTTTAAGAAACTAAATTACTGATGGAATCAATAATTATTTATCAAAATTTTATGGAAAAAAAGTCATTACAATATTTGATTTGAAGTATACATCATTTCAAAAAAATTTTTTTGGCTGAAAAAGCTTATTTATTAAAAAAAATTTTTTTGTATTAATTCTGTTTAAGAAAAAAATTCAACAGGTCTGATATTTTGGACAAATCACGAACAGCAAGATGCACAGCCCACCTCTGCTTTTTATTTCCCGTATTCTTTCAGGAACTTGTTAAAAAAATTTTTCTTACGCTACCATCAAACAAAAAAATTTAAAAAAACAATTATCTCCAGTAATACATAAATTATCCAAAAAGCTAAAGTAATAAAGAAACATAACTTTTACTCTCTTGATGTGTCAATTTTTTTCATAATTTTTCCTGTATGAAAAAAATTGATTGCGATTCAAAAGAAGAATGTAATTTTTTTATGTTCAAAAACTAAACTTTTTTTAATACATGCGAAAAAGCCGCATAATATTTAAAAAAATGGTATGCAGTTGAAAAAAATTTGAATTAAGGAAATTTAAGCATTCTTATTAATCATAAATCCTCAAGAAATGACTTTCTTAGTCTAGAATTTTGTATAAAATATTAGTTGAAATGCACTTGATTGTATTATTAAGCCCCTATAATCACAATAAAAGTTTGAATTTTGGCTTACCTTTTTATTGCAATTTTTTTATTTTTGAACGAACTATCCCTTTTTTTCTGATATTGGTGATTCAACTTTTTTTACCCATACAGCTAAACTTGATTTCAAAAAAAAAAGAAAAAATGTTATTCAAAAACCAAAAAAACCATTTTCAAAAATTACAGAAAGTTTCAAAATAGCAGCGTACAAAAATTTTATTATGAAAAAAAGTAAAGCTTCGTATCTTTTTCGGCCCTCTAACTAATACATTATCTTTTTTTATCAAACTCAAAATTAGCTCGGTTTCAATATTGAGATAGTTTGTCGTCGAGTTGAAAGATTTTTTTTAATTTGATGGAGATTTGATTCTAAAATCACCGTCAATTGTGCTCCTTTAAAAATGGTTGATAAAATATTCGGAAAATATCATCTCAAAGCATTTCATTAGCCACAGTATGCAACAAAAAAGAGTGTTTTTAATTTTATTTTGCTCCCAGCAAGTCGTAAAAGGAGTGAATTCTTTTTTGATCGGAAGGTCATTTTCCCGGCGCGAACGCTTCCCGGCGCGAACGCGCCACCAGCAAAGGGACCTTTCAGGCATTCGCTCTCGTTCAGTCTTTTTTGCCTAACGCGTTTTTTTTACTCTTTCCGACGTCACCATACAACCCGTTCTTCTTTTTTGTCGTTCATTATTTCAAGTTCATGATGCCGTGTTCAAATTACTTTCCGCGAAACGCAAAATATTTTCTGAATTTCCAAAATTTAATAATTTTTTTTTTCTCTGACGGCTATTTTTTATTTTGCGTAATCTTTGAACACGGCATGATAATCAGACTTCAGAAGTGCGAATCAATCTAGAGCGCCAACTTTCTAGGAATTTCGATTTGAAATGTTCAACAATAGCTTTACAATAACCAAAAACTGCTAGTTTTTGTTTCTTCAGTATAATATTTTTTTATTAATTTTTCATTTTACGGCTTATTTTTTTCTAGTCAACTTAACAGTACATTATTGTTTAAAGTTCGGCAAAAATCAATCCGTTTACATTTATTTCCTTCGATTTCAACAAGAATTTCAGAAACCATGGAGGTTTGTAAGACTCCGCTGGCAGGTGATGAAACTACAGAGTCTTCTGCGCGAAAAAGGCGTCGTTGCGCTTTGATGGCTACAAAAATAATTAAGGAATCTCTCAAAGTTGTAAGTAAGGTAAATAATGAAAAAAGGAGTTACGTTCATCACATTGTCAATTTAGAAACAAAGGACGATCCTTTCGAGAAACTCGCCGGTTCCTTTAACATGCTGCATTCGAATCTCTCCCAAGTGGTTCTCTATCAAAAGGAACTTTTGTCTTTGATAATAATTGTTTTTCAGTGACGTTGATGTGAATTCTGTGCACATTTTGACTAAAACAGAGTTGGCTTGCAGCGCTTGTTACCATTTCGTGCACAAGAAGTTCTGAGAAGATGAATTATTGCAGCAATTGAAACTTCTTCAGGCCGAACGGTTTGAAGTTTGAAGTGTGGAAAGAAGCTCACGTAGAAGAGAGTCGATGTCGCGCTGTGGTCAACAACTTCATTCAGGTATCTTATTTTTTGATTTTTGGGCAGAAATATCTTTTTAGGACATCATTTTGCCGTACTGGGTAAAATGCAGCAAGTGCACGTCGTACCGATGCTTTGTCAGCGAGAAATGTATCGACTCTCAGGATATCGTTAACTTTCAGTGTGAAAATTGCGAGGAGCCTGAAGACAAAGTACGAATAATCATTTTTCGCCTTAGTGTCCTATGTAAAAAAAAACCAGAAAGAACAAATATGATTTTCCAGGCAGTTTTGGAAGTTATTGGCGATCCGGATTGGTTGAAAAAGACCAATACTTTCCCATACTTCCAGCGACATCCTGCTCTGATCTGGCTGAAGGGTCAATATTATTGCGATGAGACCGGAATGAGTCCCGTCGAGACAAAGTTTGATCCGGCTCCATTAATTGGTGAATTCGCTATTCAACTTGAGCTCAACCAATTTTTTTCCGATAGTAGTGTTTTTATGTGAAAAAAACTAAAAAAATTTACGAATGAATTTTTTTGCCAATCCACAAAACAATTTTTTTCAAGGAAGCAAAAAAAGTTTTTTTGGAAATTGTCAGATACAACTTTTTTTCAAAAACTCTATAATTTGAAAGGAAAAACTTCCAGTTTAATTTTTAAAAAGTTGATGACTGCGAGAGTTCAATGAGAAGGCTCTTTCCAGATGCATCTTTCAATACGACGGATTTCTTACTGCCTTTTCATATTCCTCACACAGAGGCCGTGGCCTCGTGTTGTCGACCTGACACAATGGAAAAAGACGAACTGGTTTTTATTTCATTCAATTTTTTTTTCAACCAAATTATTTCGAATATCGGATCTTAGGAAGTTTTTGACAGGAGGAGTTTGTTGCGTATGCAAACGAGCAGCGACCATTTCTGGCGGCTCGCAACTTGATTATTGCCATTTGGAGTTGTAGACCATTTGTGAGTAATGCGTAGCTGAAAGAAAATAATAGAAAATGTTCAGGAATATTTGACACTCAAAAAATGTCTTGAGTTTTTTGTTTGCCGGGGTCATTCGCGCATTTGGCTGTCAGAGCATCTCATCCCGCAAACTTACAACTTCCTCATGCGCAAAGGCTGCATCAATGTAGGCGCAGTAACTCTTCCTCCTGAAATCCAGCAAATTTATGATAAGGTTCTGAAACTCATAGTAAAAACAAAAAAAAAGAGATTCAGAAAGTGATTGTGGTAGGAGCAGGTATCAGTGGTCTAGTAGCGGCCAGGCAGCTGAAAATGCAAGGTGTCGATGTGACAATTCTGGAAGGAAGAAACCGCGCAGGCGGCCGTATGAAAGTGGAAATGTTCCGTATTCATCCCAAAATAGCTTTTCTTTTCAGGATACGACGTCGATGGGCGTTGCGGCAGGCTGCGGCGCTCAGCTTGTGGTTGGGGTCCACAACAATCCAATTTCTCTCATGTATCGCCAGGTTTATCAGCCATTCGACTCCTTTTCGAAAATAGAAAATTTACAGCTCGGACTCGATTATCTGATCCCTAGCAGGACGTGCCCTCTTTTGGACGCCCTTAAAGGCGGAATTGTCGACAAACGGGTAATTATGAATATTCCTAATAAAACGCAAAAAGTTTTTGAAAATTTTCAAAGTTTCATGAATAAACTCAAATTACAAATTTACAAAGAAAACTTTAAAAAACAATTAAAATATGAACGATCAGTTTGCATAGACTAGTAAAAAAACTTATTGCGTTTATTTTATTTTTTATTAAATAATTTTGAAAAAAATCAAAAAAACTAGCCAAAATAAAATTGTAATGCTTCCCCGTTCCTTGCGCACATAACAACTTCCTGTAGGTAGTCTCAACATTTCTCTTTGGAGTACCAAAAAAGTTCATATTTTTTGGCTCAAAATTTTCATCGCAGAAAAAAAGTGCAACATTTAAAAAGGGTTTTTGAAGAGAAAATTTAGGAAAACCGTATTTTTCAGGTCGATGATGAAGCCGAAACTCATTTTAATTTTCTCTTGGAGTCTGCCGCTCACGGAAAGACGTCGAAACAAAAATCGGATGTCGTCCAAGAAGATTGCAGTCTTCTTTGTGAGTTTTCCATGGAAAAGTGGTGAATGTTATGAGCAATTGAAAAAAGAAAGCAACGAAAAACAATCTAACAAACTCGTTGCGAAATTGCTCCGGTTCTATGGTGTGGGGGAGAAATGATGTTGACAGTGTTACGCAAAAAGTCTTTTGCCACTCGTCCCTCTCTAGTTACCTGCACGTCGCCTCGAACAACTCGCGTCAGTTAACAAATCACGTTGATAAAATTTGTACCTTTTGTGCACTACACGTACCCTTCATCGCATTGATAAGGCCCTCATTCTCCGCCGTTTCAATCATTTTCTCTTGTTTTGCCCTCCAACTGCTCTAATTTGATGTTTTTCGCTTTTTTTTTCGTTTTGGTATTTGCTCGGGTTTCATATCAACGATTTAATCTACATTTTTGCAATTTTTGTAGAAATGGGAAAAGAAGAAGTTTCCAAACAACGGGTTGTTCAAAAAAAGACGCCTCTTTTTGAAATCATTGTGGTTGTTGTGTTGTCTTCGCTGTCTCTTTTCGCTTACCATCTCGGCACTCTCAACACACAATGCGCCTATCCTCATGAGGTAATATTGAGGCTCATCTCCGTTTCCCCATTAACATATTCGAAGGTTTCAAACAAGACCCAACTATATGTCAAACACGAATTGGAAGATGGAAGCGTCGAATACAGTATCACGATGGTAACTGATTTGGACCACGACAGCAAAGAAGCCAATGGAAAGAGCTGGAGAAGCTTAGTCTCTCGAGGCTGGCTCCAGCTTTCTCCCGACCGCAAGGCTGGAAATATCAGATTTGATGCGCACGCTGAATACTACGTGAATTCGTCAGTTGAACAGTTTTGATCAGAAAATCAGCTTTCTCCAGGCAAATCGCTGCTGGCGGGAGATCAATGGAACTTTCTTGTTTAGCTGTTTTTAACGGCAGTCTGTACACAGTAGATGACCGAACAGGTCTTATCTACTGGCTCCGAGACCGCAAGGTATTTTGCAATTATTGCATACTGTATCGAACTGTTCAGGCAGTCCCTTGGGTCATCGTCAACGACGGCCCAGGAAACGTCGTCAAGGGTTTGAAAGGCGAGTGGATGACCATGAAAGACGACAGACTTATTGTCGGCGGCATAGGCAAGGTAAATATTTGAGAACAAAGTTCGCGCGTCTTTTTGATAAGTTCACAAACCACAGACATAGGCTCGGGTCTTTGAATATTGCATCAGTTCAAAATTGTGCACAGCGCATTCATAACTTTAGGAATGGACAACGACTGAAGGAGAATACGTTAACGACTACCCAATGTGGATTAAAAAAATCACTCCAGCTGGTTCTGTCCAGAGTGTTAACTGGAAAGATGTATATATCCGCGTGCGAAGAGCCGTGGGAATCGAGTACCCAGGATACATGATTCACGAAGCTGTCCAATGGTCGGAAATCCACAAGAAGTGGTTTTTCTTGCCTCGCCGACTCTCAACGGAAAAGTACTCCGAAGCAGAAGACGAAGAGAGGTACAATACAAGATACCCTTTAAACTTCATTTTTACAAAAAAATTTCAGAGGTACGAACGTGATGATCATTGGCAATGAGGAGCTCACCTCGTTCGATGTTGTCCATGTAGGAAACGTTGAGCAAAAGCGCCGCGGCTTTTCGGCTTTTCAATTCGTGCCAGACACCAAAGACAATCTCATCCTTGCCATCAAGTCCGAAGAGAAGGTTATCTCAAATTAGATTTTTTCTAATCGATTTCAGCTAAAATTTTGCAGGACGGCAAACCTGTTGGCAGTTTCGCTACAGTTTTTGATGTTCACGGAAACATCATCATGTCTGATTTTGCTCTTCATGGGGCCTATAAATACGAGGGACTTGCATTTGCCTGAAATTTGTGATCTCTTATCGTCTCGCCTTGTCTCCTATTCACTTTCATGAACGTGTATAAAATTTATTTTTTAAAATGCAACAAACAATGAAACTCCCCACCGAACTTAGAACCGGAGTCCGCTTTATGGGTGTAAAATGCACTCTCGAGAGTTATATTCCCATTTACAGCTGTTCTCAACAAAAATCACCGTGAGATTCTGCGTCGGAGCGGGATGAAATGGACGCCTCTGCACGAACGTCTTTTGCAGTTCCACATGGGCAACCTGGAGTTCGCGTGTGGCTCGTCGCTGGCTGACGTTTGTAGCAATTGAACTTTGATGATTATTGTTGATTTTGTAGGTTTCGTGGCGATGTTGGGACCAAAACGAAGACATGCCTTCCTTTGCCGGGAGACATGCACTTCTTGTCGATGGAACGGCTCCTATCATCACCAAGCTCACGGAACAGTTAGATATCAATTTCGACATCAAGGTTTGCATTCGAAAAAATCCAGCTATAAATTATTTCTAAACTTAAAAATTTAGTTTTTTTCTTCTTTTTTCGCTTCGAAAAATTCTGTTTATTTGAATTTGAGTGTGAAAATAAGCTATCACCAGGTGAAAAATATCGAGTATGAACGTAAAGATGAAAACGATGGCTATCCGATCCGCATCGCAACCGAAGATGCTCTCGGCAACCGGAAATCTTTCGAATGTGATATGGTTGGTATAATTTCGATTTTGGAAAGAAAATTAAAAAAACGATCCTTTTAGGTGCTTTGCACGATGCCGTTGAAAGTGCTGCAAACGTCGCCGGATCTTTTCAGTCCACCTTTATCTGGGGAGAAAGTTGCAGCCTTGAAAGGCATTGGAGCTGGATTGATCGAGAAAGTTGGTTTTTTACTCACTTTTTAATTTATTTATTCTACTAGGTTATTGTACGGTTCTCAGAACCTTTCTGGGAAGAGTATTTCGAGCCTGGAAACTTTTTCTTCGGCCATGTGCCAAAGGTTCCCGAGCAGAGAACGGTCTTTAACCTGTTCCACGACTTCTCCAAAAGGGTTTTTAGTGTTTGCAATAAAATCATATCAGTCGATCTCTTTACAGGATGGACCCGTAGAAAACCGTTCTTACGTCTTGATGTCTTATCTTGGGGGCCGATCTGTGGACCTCGTGAACGAAAAGTCTGACGAACAGATTGTCGAACTTTTTGTAGACGTTTTAAAAAGCCTTTTTCCGAAAAAGGTGCGTTTCTGGATAGAGGACAATTGTATTCAAGTTCTATTTCCAGTCCGACAAGATCAAGGCGATCGACTCTTTTGTGACACACTGGGGTAAAAATGCGTTTACCGGAATGTCCTACAGTTACGTGAAGATCAATGGAACCGGTGACGACTACGACACAATTGCCAAAAGCGTTGATGACAAAGTATTCTTTGCCGGCGAGGTGAATAGATCGGATTATTCAGAAATCAATCTGTTCATTCCAGCATACCTGTCGTTTTTATCCTCAAACGATGACCGGATCAGCTATGAGTGGCTACCGCGAGGCTGGGAAAATACTACAGATCCTCCACAAGGAAAAGCAATAAAATTTTTTTTACTAAGTATTCTTACATTCCACTCTGTCTTTGCTCAAAACTGATCAATTCTCCATTTATATTTTACGACAATAACTGCGTTGTCTAGCAAAATTCAACTTTTCACTCTATTCTCGCTCAACTGACTGATGCGTTGAAGCCATGCTCAATATTTCCAGAAGAACCGGTAACCAATTTTGCTTTCAAATTTCTTTTTCTTGTTACAATTATTCGTGTCTACTGTAACAACCAGTTATTAGAAAACTCTCTCAGTAGTACCATGAGATTTTCTATGTTTTTCATACCATTTTGATATATTGTTTCGTTTTAGTCCCCATTTGTTTCTCTAAGTCTTTCAATTTGAAACTGTGAAATGTATATATCATTATTTGATGAAGTTCTTTGCATGCGACTTAAATGTGTTAAACTGTCGATCTCAAGAATATAAAATGACCCGCTTTAATTGGAAACCAATGAAACAAAATGAGAAAAATCAATAAATTATTATGGGATCAGTAGACCGGCTTGAACTTTTTGACTTCTGACATGACCTGGTGCACATTGACAAGCTCAGAACACGTAGAATTGTTCAGAAACGTCTGAAAAGGGTCATTTTGTTGATTTTTGGATCATTTTTTACTTACTTCGTGAGTGGTGATTTTTGAGAAACGCTGAACGTACTGTATGTATTTTGAAAAAATAGCCTGAGAAAACCGTTACAAAAAGTGAAAATGATAAAAATAAAACCTGAAGAATATGACTGCCAAGGCGAAAGTTGGTGAATAGTTTTGTAATGTCTTGGTGGATGGCTTCTATAGAAGGTTTCCACTTTTGATTAAATGTAAGTACGGCAGAACTCAATTTATCTGCAATCATAGTTTTCAAATTCTTGGTTATCATTTTGCATCGTTGTTGAACTGCGCGGAAATCCATAAACTTCTTGAAATAATTTTGTTCAAGGCTTGCTTTGATAATAAAAATACTAACCGTTGTATCGAACAAGAAGTTGAGTGTGGCCCTGGGTCGCTAAGGGCTCACATTCCGACACGAGTTTCATTATGTCGCCCAAATGAGGATTAAGGATGACCTGAACATTTGATCGAATGCGATAGCGACTTTTCTGATAAACAACTAACCTCAACAAATTCATCAATACATTTTTGCTCGAGTTCGTGTACAATCGCGTGAATTCTGCTTTGCTTCGATTCGTGGTCCTGATAATTATATTGTTACAAAGTCAAGTTTTTCAAGTGTTTCCCATACGTCAATTATTCCAAGGATCAAGTCGTAGTTGTTGATCAAAAAGAGAATTCGATCCCGTGGATTTTGCTGCAGGGAAGCCATTCTCGCTAATAGCTGCTCGACAGCATCTTCGCTCGATTCCAGCAAAGCTTCCATTTTTGGTCCTATCTGAATGTTCGAAATTTCTTTTGTTCTTATCTACATAAATCTCCTGAAAGTACTCACATCTCGTCCACTTTTCTTTGTAACTGTCAGAAAAGCACTCGTTAACTCAGCGTACCTACGGACAATCTGAAAATCATTCTTAATAGTTTGAGAGTACATAGCAACTCACATAATGAGGACGAGTGTCTAATAAGTTTTGCTGCAGTTTTTTGATATCAAGAATGCGAACGCTTTCGTTATGTCCAGTCATGACTTGATCGAATCTAACCCAAAGTATATTTGTCAACGTTTCCCAATATCTAGAAAACTTCAGGTGATCTTTCAAAATTATCTGGATCTTACGCATTCATTGTAGGAACTTCTCGTTCTGCCAAAAGACTGTGGAACTTTTGGGAAAGGCAGACACAAAGATGCAAACTTATGGCGTCCCAGCTCAAAGCGATTTGCTCTTCACAGCTTTTCAGTAATACAGAGACCGCTCTAGACATTGCCTAGAAAGGAATAAAAGTCACAAAAAATTAGTAAGAAAGAAACCTTAGAATGCAAATCAACAGCTTGGGCTTCCTCAGCCACGAAAAAGTCAGCGACAAAAAGGTATTCATGGCTGTAATGATCCACGAAAGCCAATTGCAAAGAACGGAACAAGGCTTCAAATTGAAACTAAAAACTGACAATATGTCTTCAAACCGCACTTTTGAATTCACCGTTTGATTATTTTGCGTCGCGGCATGAGGAACAATCAGAGCGCTCAAAAAATCCGTTGTGAGTACATTATCCCGAGAACCCAATGAAAAAACTGTTGCGCGGTTTCTCACCTCAAAATTTGACTTTTGATTCGCTTTTATTTCTGAAAATTTGACAAAACCTGGGGCTTAGAGCCGAAAAGACCAGCAATAGCTCCCCCTTTCACTACGTCCGTAGCACCAAGAACGTCTTCTTTGGTCGCCGCATCTTTCATCTGTAGCCTCCGATAGATTTAAAATAATAAAAATCAATGCAAACCATCAATTTAAAAAGCCGTGAAGCGTAAGCTTTGAAGTAAGTGAAGAACATTTTGCTGATTGTATCAATATACTCATCTTGAATCTGAAATTTTTGATGTGATTTAACTTTTTCGGATGAAAAACTTCTTGAGCAACCGCCGGGTCATGTTTCAACGTAAATTCGTAAAAGAATCGAGATTTCAGAAGTTGATGTTGGAAAATCTGTATTTTTACTCGTACGAGGTATGTGTTTATGAGGTACCTGGTAATTAGACAAAGGCTTGCGGAACATGTAGATTTTCAAAAGAAGCCACTCGCGAACTTTTTCCACCGCCTGGATATTTCAAGGTTTATTGATTGAGACAAAAATGAACAACCTTTATTTTGAGGTTTTCGAGAACGGGAAGGGCATCATGAACAGCGAGAGCTTCACCTTCTCCTCGAGAGTTGATCAGATTGATTTTGTGGTGAAGTTCGTGAAGCGCCTCTATGAAACCTCGTTCATTGGGGTCTAAACCGACAATCGCACTGAAAGATATACCTCAGAGCGGTACAAAATATACTTCAAAATACCCAATCATGTTTTGAGGAACGACTATGTCGTCTACAAACTGACTGAGCTCAGCTCGAACTTTCTGCCTGTTTTCCAATTCCTATAATAGCAAAAATGAAGTTTTTTGACCAATTTTCAATGAAGAACCTGATGAATATCCAAGGATTGCACTTGCAACTGCTTCATGTCCTCTCCGATGCTGCCAAGATTGTCTTGGAAGCTACACAACATGTTTTGCAACCGCTGAAAAAATTGAATCGATTTATTTGAATCAGAGGAAATACCTCGAAGATACGATCGCAGGACTCGATTTGGGTGTGCAAAGTGACGAGTTTGTCGGCTTGGGCTATGCATTCCTGTACCGCACTTTTGTGAGCCTCGGAAAGCTTTTGTCCAACATCTTCTGAGGTTCAAATTTTCAATCTGTTTAGTTTTTTGTAAGAACCTGAAGATTCTTGTAACTGCTCGCCGGAGTCGAGAGCTTGTCGAACCACGTTCGAATCAGCTCGAGCCAAATGCGTCAAACACGCTTCTAGCGTTTCTTTTGTGAAGCTTTTATCCATTTTTCCAATGTCAATCGTAGATTAATTACTCTACAAATAATTTAAAAAAATGATAAAAAAATGAAACGAACAACTGAAAAACGAGATAGTGAATGAAACTTTTTCGAGAAAAAGAGAACTTTCTTATTTGAAAGACCTTTTAAACAATTTTTTTGATTAATTCGGTTCTCAAAAAAAATAGAAGTATTTGAAAATTTTTCCAAGAATTGTACAATAGAAAACTTCAATTTTCCAGTGATCATGCTAAAAAATTGAAAATGCAAACGCATTTTATGAGTAGAGGTGTAAAACGAGAAAAGGAATGCGCGCCCTAATGATAACTTTTCTGCTTCGCCAGCAGCATTTTCTTTTTTTTGCCAAATATAATTTTCAAGTTCGTGTTGTAACTGACACTGCTCTTTGATCTTCATTAGAGCAACTCAGCACCGCCAGTTAATATAACCTATTACGCATCAGCTTGTCACATTTTTGTTCCGCCATAAAGATCGTATACTAAATTTGATCAAAATTTACCATCTTCTTCGGAACTTTCGTTTTTTCTACCTTTTTTGCAGTTATATAGCTTTCCACGCAAGGTAATCACGTTTTCGATCACGAACAGCAAAAAAGGTTACCCTAATAACAGCTTTACTCTGTAATATGCTCTATAAAATTGCAAAAAAAGTAGTAAGAGAAAATGTCTCGAAACTAAGTTGGTCAAGTTTGATCTAGCTTGGTATACGGTTTTTTTTCGGCGGTAAGAAAAACGTGGCAAGCTGGCGCCAAACAGGCTAAATGTGTGCTGAGGGCAAGAGTGACAAATACAAGAAGACGGCGTCGGCACGCTTACATGATCATGCATATGGCAAATAAGTCAGGTCAACAGGCGTCCTGTCACAAATCATTCATTTCATACTCCTTCAGAAGTTGTTCTTGTTATTTGTGGATTTTTTCCGAAGCTTCTGATAACTTTGAAATAATTATAGAGATTTATATCAAATATATCTTTCGATTTTGACAGAATTTTGTCGACATCTGGAATAAAAAAAAATTCATTGAATCAGGCAGATTGTACAAACATAAAAACAGAATAAGAAACAAAAAGAGATTAAAAAACTTGGTTTTAGGAGGAATAGTTATGGTTTCAGGTTGCGAAGAAAGACGGTTGTGGATTGACTTTGACAGTGTTCCGCAGTCCACCAAGGAGCTCCATCGGAAACGGAAAGACGATAGTCGAAGTTTTCTCCGAGCTGAAATTTCAATAATTTCTTCTGTGAAAAGTATCAGCCAACCTTATTGTGTTGAGCGTTTGTAGGTACCGCAACTGCATAGCGCCCTCGCTTTGATTTATCTGAAAGAAAGACAAAGTTTCCAGAAACTCTCGAAAAGTCTCACCACTTCAGCCGCTTTTGCAAGAGATGCGGAAGCTTTCATTTCACCTTCAGCCGCAATTATCTGAAAGGGATTTTTACAAAGAAACTGTCAAAAGTCGACCTTTGCCCCTGCTTCTCGTGTCGCTTCTGCTTCTGCAGCCATCGCTCTTTGCATTTGCGGAGGAAGTCGAACGTCTCTCAATTCCACTCGTTCCACCTTCAAATAAATTGCATTCAAATTCTTGAGAGAAAACAAAATTATTTTCAAAGTTCCACAAAAGTTTTCAAATTTGAAATAAATAACAGTTTAGTTGTCATGAAGATTTGAGAAATAACACGAAAACGGTGAACCTTCACTCCCCATGGTCCCGTCGCTTCATCGAGCGCTATCTGAAATATGAGAAAATTTATGCCCGAAATGAGAAGATTATTAAAACCTTCATGTTTGCCGAAATCTCTTCTCTTTCGGAGAGAACTTCGCTAAGAGTATGAGTTCCTAGAATAGTTCTCAAAGTTGTTTGAGCAAGAAGTTTTGTTGATTCTGTGGCATTCTCGACAGCCACTACCTGAAAGGAAATTGTCATAATCTTCGAATTTTACACAAATACCGATGTGATAGGATCTGAAATCTTGAAGTACACGACAGCATCAACCGAGACTGTGACGGAATCGCGTGAAAGAATCTAGAAAAACGCATTCACAGTATCTCTAAATTTTTGGAGTCAACCTCTTGCGTAGGAACATTGTACGAAACTACTCGAAGATCAAGTTTAATGAAGTTGTCGACGCAGGGGACAATGAAAAAAAGACCTGAAACAAATATTTTCAGAAAGTGTCTCTGGTTTCATTTTCGCACCTGGGCCTTTAACAACCGGAATGAGGCGTCCAAGCCGGAAAATAACAGCCCTTTCATACTCTTGAACAATCTGAAATGTGAACTTTCGATTTTATTTTTACAGTACCGAACCTTAATGCACACCGAGAAAGAGAAAGGCATTGTCAGTACAATCAAAATGTAGGAGAATATCACAAATATCCCTTCCACCAACTCGCTAGCACCTGTGACATCTGTAAGGTAGGCTCTGGTTCATTAAAGTGCAGAGCTGAAGGTTTTTTTTTCTCGGCTACAAAAATTGTGTCCGAAAGCAGTTATTCTCTGCGTTGGAAACAATTGTAGCATGTTTTTTTAAATGATGAAGTTTAGGTTAGAGTTTCTAATTTATCAAATTTCAAATACGAAAAACATACCGGAACGAGAAAATTGTTGAACTGTCGGGCCTGGTGCGATGGCGACGGGAGGCGATTCGGCAGGCCTTTGAGATGAGCCAGACATTTCGCCCATCTCAACTTCTTCCTTTGAAGGCTTCACACTCATTGACAGAAAGAGTTTTCTGTGCCGAATGGCTCAAAATGGAAAAAGAGAGCGAGTAGCTGACCGACACTCGGATTATAAGGGCGGCAACCTGGCATGCACACCTGCGCTAGGTTAATTGCGATCTGTGAAGCAGCTGATTAGGATGTTTATTCGAATATTCTTGGCTTTGCTGGCTAGTCGCCAATTAAATAACAAAATTTTCAGCCATCCAACTAGTGGATGATAGAAATTTGGTAGCATTACTGATTTTATCAGTTGCTGGCTTGAGAAAAAAAAAGAAGAAAACGGTAGTTTTCCTGCATTTAGCAAAGTATCGGGCTAAAAATGGAAGTTTGAACGTCTTCGAGATATGTTCTCGTATAGTGATAACTCAAGTGAAGTGTAAGGTAGGTCTAGAAAGTGACCAGCTTTGATTGAAAAAGAAAAGAGCTACTCATTACTGTATAGAAAATTTGAGCATGGTTGAGAAAACTTTGTTGCCGTTCAAAGGTGTTTGCTTCCAATCAGTGTTAGTTGTTGACAGAACTCAGCAAATTTGATCAACTATAAAACCGGTGAGATCTCTTTAATGTAAGTCGTGTGATCTCACAATTGCATAGTCGATTTTCCCTGATTTTTGGAATTTTTTTCACTATAATGTTTTTTTAAAAAGTCAATTGGAAGTTTAAAATTTGAGAGTTCATGTTTCTGAAAATTGTTTGATTCATGTGAAAAGGGAATTCCCTGTCTCGAGTAGTGATGAAAAATCAAAAAAGGTATATTGGGGCTACGCAAAATTGATATGAATCGCTGGAGTTTTCAGAAAAAACGCAGGCTAAGCTTTCTAAATTTAAATGTAGCAACCCGGTCAAAATAGACCTTCGAGCTTAGAATAAAAGTGTGCAACTGTTTCTGAAACGCGAAAAGAACGCGACACGATGTTCAGCTACAATACGTGAGTAACTTCTGGCCAGATCGGGGGAAAGTCAAAGATTTATTAGTTGTATTCAAAAACATTCACACGGGTTCAAGATGAAGGGAACGGAAGTACTGAGCTGTTCGCACCACGATGAACATGAACCAACTATGCACACACAACGTGCAGGCGTACACCAGGCTTCCAATTGCGCCCGACGTCACGATCACTGCAAAAATGCCTTGAATTAGTTGACGTGTCGGTAAGTGCTAATTTCGGGGTTCGATGTGGATCATTTTTCATAAAAACTGAAGTAAAAATGGACCATTGAAAATTTTTTTTGGACGCTCTCGGAGGCGATGAGAATCAGAATAATCGAAAGGTTCAGCATTTTTCTCAAATTTACTATATTATTCAAAAAAATTTAAAAAGCTTTATTCTGGCCTCAAAAAAATGTCGATTCTAATCAAAAATTTTTGCAGAGGCGTGTTTATCTTTTTTCTGAAAAGTCAAAAATCTTTTTTTCAAACACCTTTGCAAGTCAGCGGAGACCGAACTGAAGCGAAATCCTATCGTTCCTCGAAAAAAAATCAAACCAAATTTATTGCTTGTTTTTTTTTTTAATTTTCAAAAAAGATTGGCTGTCGCACATCCCTGTTTCCTGCTTAACAGTTTTAAGGCAAAATTATTCCGCAATTGATGTATTCTGGTCATTCAAAAAACTAAATGATAAACATAATCTTTGGATTGTTTAGAAACTTTGGTTGTGAAGTAGAGGTTTCATAGACTACTATTATTCCAAAATAGCCTGAAAGATTGCCCTTTCCCAATGAGATCACCTGTCTTGGGAGTTGTACTCAGCAACTCGGCAAAATATTGTATTTTGTCGGCCAACATTATCTCGATTTGTTCGGCTGCATACGAATGGGGGTCTAGGACAGCGGAGAGATAGAACACCGACAGCAGCAGACAAAACGATACCGTAACTATCTGCTCATTGAACACAAATTTAGAAATCGGAAGCGGAAGTGGAATTTACGCTGAGAACGGTGAAAGGCTGAAGAAACGCGGCATGTTGCCTGGAGATCCCATAAAAAAGACTGATTACGGCGATTGAGTCGCTGACCAAAAATAGAAGCTGCCAGTTCCACTCAACCTAAAATAGAATATGCGAATGGAACATTTAATAAAACGAGACCTCTTCGGATTTCACAGCTCTAATGCAAAGATTTGAAATTATGATGGTTGCATAAAAGAAAGCGACCGCATACGCTCCTTTCTGAAAACTTTTCTACAAAGTCTCAACATCAATTTGAAGCTTTTGAACAAAAATTCAAAAAAATGGGGTAAATGGCTGCGGAAAAAAGAAAAACCTTTATTCCTATAGATTCACAACAGCATCTGTACGAAGTTGTCACGTTTTGAACTTCGGAATCGGCATCCATTCAAAAGGGAGAAGCTTGGTCGGACCTGTCGCTCGGAAAATCGCCGATGGGCGGCTTATTCTTGCGACGAGGAGAAGCCAGATTACCGTGCTTCCACAAACAGACACACACTTTCGAGAACCTATTTCCGCTTCCCATAAAAAGCGATACCATATGGACTAGTGATAAGCCATCTTCTCGGAACTTGTAACATTTGAAGATGAACATTTGTTTTTCGACCTTTCTAAATGGAATCCCGCATTCTGCTCCTTCGACGATTTTAATTGTTGCGAAACGCAAATGTGATGAACAGTTATCTGTTGAGTAAATATTTCGACATGAAGCGTTGATTTTGTTGAGGACTTCCTTATTAGTTTATCAAGAACATATTTGACGCCTTTTCAACGCCTACAATTAAAACCGCCCCTCTTTGTGCCAAATAAGGTGGTGTACTGTCTTATGAGTCATAGCCTGAACATTTCTCTCTAATTTATTTGTCACTGTTATCAAACGCTTCTGCAGCCCAAACATTTTCAACTATCACGACAGCTTATCTCTTTTTTTCTACGGAAGGGTAATTTTTTGCAAGTTTTCTGAAATCTGGATTTTACGAAAGCACATTTAAATTCTCTAGCTTAACATTGGCGGAATATATATTTTTTTGAGCAAATATTATTTGACCTATGGCGTTGGTACGACTGAAATATGAAACGGCAGCCCATTTTAGAATAATATGCAAAAGTGCATGACGTTCCTGGGCTTCTTCGGTTTCTTGTTTTTTTGAAAATCATTCGAACGTTTTTGCAAAAGCAATTATTTATTCCCGATGGCTTTCAGTTGTTCAACATGAGTAAGTCTGTTCTTATCACTACTCCATTTTCGAAAAATCTTATCAGATATTGTTTTCAAACTTCAAACTTTAAGATATTTCTAGCATATCGAAACAGCGAAACGTTTTTTTCTTTTCTTGAATAGACAAAAGAGATTTATGTCGCGCTGGCCTTTGAGCCGTTCTTTTATTGATGACCCGGATCGGCTGCCAAATTTTGTAAATGAAGATATTTTCCCACAGCCACTCTCAACTCGAGAGAGCTTGGCGACGTGAGAACGCATTTCATCTTTTGCAACACACACCATTCCGAGAAATCTGCTTAGTACTAGTACAAATAAATTCGTTTGTGAGTGGCGAGCGGAAGCTGGAAAAATGGCAACAATCCGAGTTGATTAAGGAGGGGCGTGCACACTCCAGATGTTCATGTCTCGATGCCCGCCTTTTTCCAAAGGCAAATCGCAGCCGTCGCGACATGTGCGTCTTTGAGACGAATCTTACTTGCTCAGTGTTTCTTCAGAGCCTCTCCTAGACCTTGTAGACCTTTTATCCTTGGAAGGTCGGCTGCGCCAACTCCGCAGCCTCATCCCTCGCATCTGCGTTGCAACCACAATCTGTCCGTTTTGCTCTCGCACGTGTTGAAGAAAAAAAAAAGAAATCTTCTCGAACGTGCCATTTGACCGGCCATTAACTCTTAAGTGATCCTATTATCTTGTTTATTTGTGAAGCTGCGGAAAACAGATAACTTGTCCTTGTTCTAACATTCATCTTAAGTGATTTCAGAAGAATGCGTCGCTTCTCCCTTTCGTGCTTTTTCCTATTTGTCTTCATCCATTTCGGTAAGTCTCTCAGTTATTTTTAATTCAAAAAATTAGTTCTTAGTAGAGTTTATACTACAATAAGAGAAAAACCAGAAGACGGCTCGGAGCGAAGTCGGTTGAGAATGCATGACAGAAATCTCTTTGCCTGAGACAATTGGCATGTGTTTCTGATATTTCTATGAATGACTTCAAAATTTAATGAGGTAAAAAAATTAAGTACCTTTTCTTTTGCAGGTTCTTCGTCAAAAACGTCACGAGCACGGCGATCTCACGACGATGACGATTCTGGAATTATCGATACCCCTCCATGTGACGTCATCTGTGAAGCACAGTGGAAAAGCGAATTCCAAGTGAGATTCTCCATTCTCGAACGAAGCAAACGAATCTGGCTCGTAAACTCAGATGAACTTTGGCAAGCTTTACGACACGCAGTACTTTGAAGTGCCGCTGGACACGGTGGTGATGAGGAACTTGGACAGCCTCAAGACATTTTGCTCTTCCACTCAGCAAAAGTACGCCTGCTTCAAGAGGGAATGCGATATCCATCGGTACAATTTTTCGACTGTTAATCTAATGAAAACGACCCGAAAAATCACAGAGCTATATATTCATTATCTTTCAAGTTCACCTACTTCCAAACAAAAGTTTATCAGATTTCGATGGTCGCCAGCCAAACACATCTGTATCGCTCAGTTGGCAGAGTTTGAGAAAAACAACCAGTGTTTGAGGTTTATCACGGCTTCGGTTTCATTCCTTTCAACAGCTATTTTCTAGCAAAACGGATCGTTTCGTGCAACGCGAGTGCACAGAAGTCTGTGACAACTTGGAGATTAGAGTTTCGCCTCTTGAAACGACGAAACTTGTTTCTCTTGGCGTCAGTTCAAACGAGAGGACAGCTTACATCGATCAGAATGAACATTGCTATCTTATCGTTTGTCATCAGATGTGCCACGTGAGAATTCCTCTTTTATTCTCGAATTTTCCAATGTGATTTGCAGGAGCACGTAATTTCTAAAGTTTGCGGTGAAAAAGCGGCAGATGCGCGTTCTCTCGTCAAAAATTACTACGACGCATACTTGCAACGGGAGTACAATGCACTTCTGAAAGAAGGACACGAGAAGCTGTATTCAAGCTTTTGTCGGCGCGTTACCCCTCACCAACACGAGGTATTCAGCTTCTTTTCTTTTCTCTTTTCTACGGCTTCTTCGTTTCAGAACGCTGTTACCCCCAACATGACACGGTGGAACAATAGAAGTCTTGACAGAATGCGTAGCGAAATCAAGAAGGTTCTGGCAAATATCACCCTCTCAGTGGGATGAAAATTCCGATTTCTCTGAAGATATTGCAAGAATTCTGTTTTTTTTTTTGAATGTTGAACTACTATCACAATTTTTGGATTCAAATCGGTGTTGAAAATTTGACAAGAAATGCTCTAATAACGCTCACTATTTCTAGAATAAAAAAAGCCAGAATTTCGAAAAATCTTTATCAGTTCGGAAAAATAAATTTGGATCTATTTTTAAATAGTTATTGGAGTTTTTTTCTTTCAAGATTCTGTTGCCGAATTGAACTGAAGTTTCTTGTTCATCTGTTGTTGTTGTTTTTTTGAGTTTTTCATGATTTTTTTGAACATAGTAAAAAAATGAAAATCATGTTTTTCATCATATCTCATTTTTTTAAGTTATTAGCGAATCCCTCATTTCAATTACTCTTTTTCGTTTCTGTTCAAAAATTGCAAATAAGCATTTTAAAAAAACATAACATCATTCCATCTGCATATTTTGAGAATTTTTTTCAAATCGCATATTATCTAATTAGCAATTAGTCACGTTTTTTTCAAAACGCCGGTGCAAGAAGATAAACGGTTTTTTTGAATCTGAGCTCTCATTTTCAGAGCAGATTCTCTTAAGCGCCCAATCTCTGATTTAACTAATGTTCAACGTTATCATTTTCCGGACTTGATGCAAAATTTTTTGATGAAGTTACTTTTCAGATCAATTTTGTAGAAGGTTTTTCGATCAAAACCCTTTGTTTCCCATTCTTTCATTTTTTTTCTATTTTCTCCTAGAAATGCGAAAAAAGCTATGAGTTCCGATTTTAATAATCTTCGTTCTCTTTTTTCGAATCGTTTCAGCAATCAGTTATGGGTCATTTTCTTCTTTTTTTTTGTAATGAACGAGTTTGATGCAAAGAACCGAAGAATAAATAACATGGTAAAGCAAAAAAAGAGTCAGTTGTTGTTTTCATCGTAGTACATGACATAATAATCGCTGTCCTTCCGAAAGTTTTTGGCGGTCGTCGTCTTAATTGTTGTTGTCGACGTCGTCGTCGGCGGCTTCGTAGATGTTGTTGATGGCTTGGAAGTCGTTTTTGACGTCGTCGGTCGCAAGTTGGCGGAAATCTGGATATAAAAGCTGTTATATATTTTCCGCTTGACGAAAAAATAAAATTGCAGTTTCACTTGCAAAAAATTACCTTGGCAGCGGACAAAAAGCGAAATTTTCGGATTTAGTCACTTTTTGGGTTTTCTTTTGTTGCGAAAAAGTTCACGAGCTTCAAACTGCTTTCAAAACATCGAACAAAAACTTGATTTATATAAAGTTTCAATGTGAAAATTTTTCGGACCGTACAATTTCAAATTTTTTAAATTGTAGGAAAAAGCTCACTTTGGTCGGTCTGAACGCAACTTCTTCTCTTTTTGGCTGCGAACTAGATATTCCAGAAGCTTTGAGATTTCCAGAAGGTATCTTTCTCTGAAATGAAGCTATAAGATGAAATTAAAGCTTTCAAATACATTTATTGTTATTTTTGGCAATTGTTCCACAACTTCGATTGTTTCAGTCTCTTCAGGTTCTTCACGGTCGATGGAAAAAGAAACTGGAGGTAATTTTTCTGGAGTCTTTTTATTAAAGATTTTCCGATCTGTTTGAAACCTTCAATGTCGACTGGAAAAGACTTTGCTGGTGCTACTGTAGTGGAACTACTGGCTTCTGGTGGAGCGACGTCAACATCGACGTCAACATGTTCATAGTCTTCTGTGTCTCCGTTCTTCTTGACCTGCAAAACTCCATTGTTGAAGAATCTTCAAATCACTCACTTCTCCATAATAATCTTCAGTCGTGGGCTTATCAACACTGAAACCTATTTCGGCATTTTTGTCTCCGGTGCCAACAGATTCTCCTTCTCCATCCTCGCTGAAATCAGTCCCAAAGTCTCCGTCTTCCGGCATCAGTCGTGAATTTTTAGTTTTTGCTGCGAAATATTGTTTGTGAAAGTTTTCTTTGGAATAAAACATACCTTGTGAGCTTTCTTTCTTGGCTTCGCCCAAAGCGCTGCCAAAAAACTCTTCCATTCCACTTCCGCTGGTGAACTGCGATATGAGTTCAGGATTTGATAGAAGCTTTCCAATCGTTTCCCATCCGTTTGGATCTTGAACTAGAGTCAGAGCAGTCTGAAAAATATAATTTTCAAGATAAAAATATAAGAAAATGTTCTCGCTGAACAAAAATTTTTCGTTTATAAGAGAAAACCTGGAAATTGCTGAACATCTCCGACTTTCTGAACTTGTCAATCGCTTTGTAAATGTCACCGCAGCTCAAACGGTTGCAGATCCCAAGAACCTGAAATTAGATCAAATTGCGGAAAAGGAAATAAACCAAACCTCAGGTAATTCGACACCCGTGTCTCCCAGCTCGCCTTTATCCGTTCCCATTACTAATGTGTCAACAATTTTTTTGAAATCAAATTTTCCTAAAAGCGTCAAGTTTCGTTTTACTACTTCAGGCCAACCGATCTTGCTGCTCTCAGAAGGATCCTGCTGGGCATTCGCCACGGGCGGCTGAATTTTTCTTTGCTGGTCCATCATTCGGAAAATTCCTGTTAGAACCCCTCTTTCTCCAAAGAGGATCTTTGACACTTCTTCATTCGATTTCGGATCTGAACATGTTGAAATTTATCTCAAGTTTGGACCGTTCATTCGTGATAGCCGGAGAATTATGAACTGTAATATAATCTTTTCGGGATTTCATAATATGTGTTTAAGGCTCTCAAAACTGAAAAAAGCGTAATGAAAAGAAACCTTGCGTATGAGAAGCTACCTCGGAATGCATAGGCGCAGATGTCGTGCATGCAAATGAAGAGAGCAGCACGGCGAAGACTGTCGCCGACGCCATTTTGTTTCGTTTTACCGTGAAAAAGCGCTCACTTTGTAATCGCTGCTTATTCTGAACTTTCTTATTGATGGATCGCTTCGAACTTTTCCCAATGTTCGAAACAAAGCCTGAATTTGAGCGAAATGTTCTAACAAAGTTCAACGTCTAAAACAAAAACTTTTCTCACGAGCTACTACTCCGATTGACCTCTGCACAGACCAGATTTTAGCATCAATATTTCTAAGCTTTTGAGGAATAAAGTGAAAGAAGACAGTGGAAAGAAAAGAAAAACTGTTCGATGGCTGGTAGAGGCCAATGACACAACAAATGGCAGGAACAAGCTGATCACGCAGAGAATGGCAAATCGAAAGTGGCAAAAACGAAAACTCGTCGGGGGTCGATGACTAAGAGAGTGGTTCAGGTGGCAAGAAATTGGATGAAAAACTGCGAGGACCGTATCGAGAACATTTACCGTCGTCCTGGGCCTCTGAAGTTAGACAGGCGGCCTCGACGGCCACGGTTTTACAAACAGATCCTCTGGTTTTGAGGCATCCTCAAAAACTCGTTCTTCGCGCTCCTGCTGCGTCTCTCGGCGGCTTATAACTTCCATACGATGTCCTGAGATTCCTCCACCGTTCCCTCGACGGACGCCAAATTATAAGGTTGAAGACTCGAAATCAACTTTTTTCCTTCGAGAAGCGTGGCTTCAGGTTAATTTTTTTTTCTTATTTGCTTCTCAGCATTAAAAGTGTTGTCTAAACCTTTTTTTCTTTATACTTCTTGTGTAATTTTTTTCTCAAAGTAACGACATTCACAAAAAAACAGGAGCCAGTTTTTTTAGAAAAACCAGTAAATTTTTAAGCAATTTTTCTCATAAATCAAAAGACGAATTATTTGCTCAAACCATCAGAATTTAGGGAATGAGATTTCTCTTTGAAAAACTTCTAACGTTCAAGTTTGATTTTTTTTTTTTGATTTATGGATAAAAATTTTTTTTGCATTTTTACAGTAAAACTTTTTTTTTTCACTTTTTGCGAAAATCATGAATTTTCTTTTCAATTAAGTTTTTCGATATAATATTGTGAAAAATCCAGAAAAGCAATTGAATGAAAATTTTTCATTCCTTTGAGAAGAAGTTCTTGGAAAGCCGGTTTGACCTGAAAGATGTTTCAGTTTTGCAATCCCGTTTCACGATTTTTTTAAATCAGCTTTTTACAGCTTTCATCCAATCATTTCGTGTTATTCATACCGAATTTTTGAAAAAGTCTTTTTCAGAACTTTATCCAAATAATGACAAAATCACAAAAATTCGAGAAAAAAATCAAAGGAAATGAGAGAAGAAATGTTCAAGGTACGTCGCAACATGTACATGTACATATGTATTTTGGTGTATCACAATCGCTTTCAAATGATTACATGGTTATCAAGAATTGGTGCATCAATACTTGGATTTTCGACACTTGATGTAACCGTCATCTATCTGAATTCACCCAAAACGTTTCACGTTGCTATTTGCCTAGAAAAAAAGAAGAAAACGCGAAATTAATCGCGGCAAAATATACATATCGGCAGCCAAAAACCAGTCATTCGCTATTTTCTTGTCCGTTTTCCATGGGACACGTCATGCTTGAGAATTCATTAATCAGCTGCTGCACAACTCGCTCCTGTAACACGTCATCGGTAAAACACTTTTACAGTGAAGTGATATCTCTAGGGCCCTGCAGAATCAAACCTGGTTGAACGGGTTGTAAACGTTCTCGAAAGAAATTGATTCTTTCCTCCGAGGATTTTTCTCAGTTTCCGCCACGTCTTTCCTCATTTCGACCATCCACTTTTTGGCTTGCTCAATTATCGCGTGACGCTTCAGCCAAAAATGTCTTTCAACCACTTGCTAAAAAGTCTTGTTATTTTTTTGGACTTCAATATGAATTGAGCAAAATACTAAAGTCAAATACGACATGTACAATTTTTTTTTTCAAAAAACCTTGAAATGTGCCGGCGGATTTTTGAATTGCTCCCTAATTGCATAGTTCAAGGTGGCGTGTTCAATTTGAAGATTGTATTTTCGAGAATAATCGTCGCCTTTCTCCGTTCCTTGATATTTCTCGAATCCCGGCTCATTGAAGTACGGATCTTTGACAAATATAAGCCCCTGTAATATTTCTCAAGTGATGATTTTTTTTTTTGGTTGAACCTGGATGCTGACAAGAACTTGGATCAGGGAGCAGTAGGGATTCCATTTTTCTTCAGGACGTCCCTCCCAAGTACCCAATATTGAAAGACAGATCTTGCCGTCGTTGTACAAATTTGGGTTGAAGCGTACATTCCCTGCGCCGGTTGTTAGGAAAGAACATTTCGGAGGGGCGAAAGGGTACCTGGAAATGGAAGTGTGAGGATTGTAGCTTAACATCCATTTCATCACATTTTTCACTCACCCTGTTGGAAAAAAGATGTCAAACTCAAAGAGGCCATTGGCGTACGGTGTGTCATCAGGGCCGGAAATTAGCACCTGGAAATTGCGGACTGCGATCAAGGAACAGAGTTAATATCACCTTGATGATGTCACAGCGGCCTTCATCCACGCAAACAAAAATACTGTTGCTAGCGTTCAACGGGAGCGCGTTAGTCATAGAAGCTAACTCTTTTGCGATTCGTTTTGTTCTGCAAATATTTTAGCAGTTACAGTACACCAGAAATTGGATTTTTTTGAATATAAATTCGAAGAACACCGAATGAAAATTCATAAACATATAAAGTTTCATTATAATGAAAAATTTTTCATAATTTCTGAGACGCCTTTATCATCTTGTTAAATAGTCTCCTGACTTGCCGTCATTAAAAACTTTCCCATGAACATTTGTGTGCTATTTTTTTTTTATAGTACGGGCTTTCTCATGGACATTCTAAGAGACCCTTGAAAAACTTCATTTTTAACTCTTAAACCTCTCTCTGAGCGATGGTGAGAAAGGATTTGTGTTTCTCATTTCCTTTTTGAAAGCATATGGCATAACGAGCTTCCCATAATCGCCTATGAACCTACAAAATAGAAGGATATATCATAATAGATATCTTGAAGGCTTGCCTGAACGTTTGCATCTGTAAACCGAGCAATGATTTGCGATAAACCGTAGATAAATCTGTGGCGTCGCTTTCAGTCGTTTCGGAAGCTTTTGGCAAACTAGCAGTCTGAAGATCAGATCTGATATTTGTATAAATCGTCCTTTTTTTCAAACCATTTGTAATGAAAAATAAAAGTTTTGAGATTATTTTTTTCACAAAAAGCAGAAATTTTTCTTCAGTGTCATTAAAGTCTTCTTCTGAGGTCATTTTTTTAATCTATGAAAAGAGGGTTGAATCTCAAAAAAAAACAACGTGAATATTTTCAGGAGTGTAGAAAAATTTTTTGATGGGTAATCATTCTTTTTTTTTTTCGCCACCGGCTTTTGAAGGGAGTTTATAACTTATGGTAGATGAATAATCGGATAATGGACTACTTCAGATTGAGCGGTCACTGGTCTAGTGAGAGACGAACATCTGGTTCGCATCTCGGCTGGAAGGTCGCTCTCGTAATTTTGAGCGGCAGAAACAATCATCTGATTCAACTTGAGAACTTTTTTGAAATCTTTAGATACCTTGGAGAAAATCTCGATTTTGTTGATGAAATCCATCATTCGGAAGTCAGGAGAACCAAGTTGACCCCTCCATTTTTGGCTGTAGGAAGACATGGTTTCGTTGAACCTCGGCACAAGCTCTTTGGCTATCGACTTGGCATTCGTCAGGTAAGGCTTAACCAGGTACGGCACGAGAGCAGGGATTGTCGACATACACGCAGCTGTCTCCATTAATGACTATAATTATAGAACTGAATCATTAATCTTCGGCCCGCAATCTGCTCTAATGCTCACTCTCACAGAAAATCGAGAACGAAAATGACGAGAACTCCAACTTTTTGAAAAAAAGGACAGAAAAATCATAGTTTTTTTGGAAATACTCTCAAGTTACAAAGTTTGAATATCGTTTTTAATGAAGGCAGAAGCATTATTAGTTTTGATTTTTTTTTCTCCCAAAACACGTATAAGAAGATAATGAAATTTAGAAAAATTATCTTTGAAACAGTTCTAAAAGGATCTAAAAAACCAAACCTGATACAATTCCATGTGCTCGCTAACATCGAAGACGCTGTCGTTTCGAAGGTTGTACTCCAGAAGGGCAATAATCGCAGACTCTCCAATGAGTCTGACAGTCGATTGATTCATGTGCACGTATTCACTGGGAGGTCGTGAGAGGTTGGATTCAGAGAGCGGCCAGGAGAGGATGTAGGCGTTCATGGCGTTTAGAAGCCACGTCAAATGCTCTTCTCTAGCTAGCCGCTCTTCTACCTACACAAAACACCAGTTTCCAAAAAGTCAGAGAACGAATAATTTCTTCTTGAATTGTCTGAGCTTGACCTCCGGTGTTGTTCTGATATTCAGATGGCCAGCATTTGAAAATTTTATTATGGTTTTTGAGTTAAAGGACCATACGATCGTGCACTTTTTAGCCATAGGTCTAGATTCTAAGAGATCCCTACTTGACTTTTATTTTAATTTTAAAAAACCTACCGTTCTTTCTATGTCCCATCGGGATCTGGTAGAACCATGTCCAAAACCGACGCCGCGATGAGTCAAAGAAGAAGACGAATTACGTCGCACGCGACGTTTTCCTTCGCTTGATCCGTTGCGCGAACTTAATTTCAAGCTATTTTGAATTTTTGGCGAACTTCGAAATGAAAAAAAGTTCGGTTGATCCACTCGCAGATGAAAGCTCTGAATTTTTTTTTGACACTTCTCAAACCAACTTTTGGCCATCAGTCAATGCCGTGTCAGCAATCAATTCACACAACGTGTGCACGATTCCGATGTCAAACATAACAACTTTCTCTTCTGATGACGCGTCGTTGATCCATCTGAAATAGATAGAAGATCACTGCGTATATCAAAAATAACGCTTACTTGGCAACTTTCAGCATGTGTGCCATTTTGAGAGGTTTCTCATTGAGCATGGCTGCCATTCTATCTAAGACTGTTAAGGTTTCCTCCGGCTCGGGACTGAAAAACAAACTTCATGAAGATTTGGATGAATCATGCTTTGAAATTCTATCAAATGGCGGAATGGTGATAGAGTTATTATTGGTGAGCTAACGTTTTATTGTAGGCGAAGAAACAAGTCACAAAATAACATCTTAGAAAGTTCGGATGTCAAAGTAACCTTTTTCGAGGTGCAGCGAAATTCTCAAAATATTTCTTCTCAACATGAAGTCAATTTTTTTTTTCAAAAAGCATGAGAGGAATATCAGAATTTTCACTTTATTTTATGTTTGTTCCGTACATTTAGGAGTTAACTGTGTGCAGAAAAAACCGTAATATCTTTTTTACAACTCCTCTAACCAAACTATCGAGCCCTTCATTTTATTTAGCGGTTATTAACCTGACTAGAAAAAAACTTTAATTTAAAACCAAGACTTGAATCTATGAAGGAAGCAGTTCATTTTTGATTGGGAATAAGTTTGTTTTGCTAAAATTGAAAGCAGAATCACTTCAAATTTTTTTTCGTGTCAGCCTAGAGGTCAATAACGAAGCTTTATCCTTTGTTGCAATCTCGCAGTTTTTTCATGCGTCATGAAGAAATTTTCAAAGAAATTTGACTCATGCTTATGAACGAGTTTCATATTCTCCGTTTCCTACAGTATACTACATAGATGAAAAAATAATATTAATCAATGATGAACAAGTCTATTCTGGGAAGGAAACCGGTTTAACGGCTTCTACAGTTTACCTCGTGGAAACGGCGGTACCCATGAGTGACACGCGAGTGAGCCAGACGCACCCGAACCAACAACGTTTTGACTTCGTTTTGGCTGAAACGAGAAGCGATTGAGGTGAGGAAATGAAGCAAAATCCTATGGTAATCATTCGGAAATACGAAGCGGTGAAGAACACAACGAGTTTGCCTAGATATACTACGCGCGCCGCAACACAAAAAGAATTGTATGAAACGGAGCGTCGTTGCTGCGGCAACTCGCCGCTGACGAGCGTCGACAACTTACCTTTTGCTGGACCAACAACTACCTGCCCAGCCTACGGCCCTCCTCTTTTCACTCTCTGCCTTTAGGGAATTTGACAGCCCAACCAGCTGCTTATTAAAAACAAGCTTCAGATAATTTAGTTTGTCAAAAGATTTTTCTGATTAACTGAACCAAAGGCAGAGCTTGTGAGAAGGAGAAAATGAACCGAATTATTTTTTTCCAAGAGAAAAAAAATGGAAATGTGTGTTTTTCAGCTGTAGTAACTCGATGAAAATTCAGCTGAGAAATAAAACTTAGACCAAAAATCGCAAAAAAAAGCTATTATATCAAAAAAAAGAATTCGTAAAAATGAGGTGAAATAATCCGTTTTCTGTTTTTGGCTCAAAGTTTCCGTATCAATCGAGAATCGCAAGAAATATGTTGACCAAAATATTACTTCCAATCTGATACATCTTTGTTCTAGTTACGGCAAAATTCATCGCAAAAATCTTTGACAAATCACTCAGGTGAGGTATCAGCACAAAATTTGAAAATTTAACGTTGCACCCTTCGAGCTTGATTCTATTCTCTCTCTTCGATAGTTTTGTAGAGTTTTCGGATTAGGAGTTATCAAGATACAGAAGAAGCTTTCTGATTTGCTTGACTTATCACTTAGAAGAGGTTGTTGGATGTACATCGAGAATTTAAAGGACCATTCAAACTTGAAGAATTAAAGCAGAAAGCAACTTCTTCATTTATGTTTCGTCTACAAGGTCTTCTCCGCCTTTTGAAATGATTATTTCTAAGATTTTTCCCAAAATCGGTCACCGTGACACGAATCGACGCTGAGTGGAGGCGACGCTTGTCCATCAGAAGATGACGAAGAAGCGTGACATGACATCGAAGGGCGTCGCCTGACCCCCGGTATCTTTTCCTGAAGCGAAATCTACAGTACGACTCCGGCATTGAAAATATTTTATTTTCACGTTTGAACGAAAAAAAAAATGATAAGAGGTGACCAAAACAAGGAGCACAACGACCAGGAAGCATGACTTCAGAACACTACTCAGAAAGAACTTGCGCAGGTGTTTGAGTAAGTTATCAATCAGCTGTTTCCCGTTCTTACGCATAGATCTCATTCGAGAAAAATAAAGCTTTCCATCGCTTTTTTTTCGAACGAAAGAAAAACTAAGTTCTCAGTTTCGTCAAGTAAGTATGCTAGACCGGGTATCTGACGCGAAAAAGGAAATCCTGGTAGAAAATTATAAAAGGGCAAACTTAAAAATCATCGATCTGGCTCTTCTAAAAAAGCAGGAAAGTCATCATGATTTCAGAAGAGTACTAGACAGGCGTTCTTTCGTTGCACTCTGCTTAAAGCACCACGAAGTGCAAAGAAAGAAGTGCAAAATCATTTTAGAGGAAGGAAAATTTATCCGGCGGGGGAGTCATCTGTGTAAAACGATTCCCTAGCAGGGAATAGGCTTTCCTGTTTTCAAAAACATTTTCTTCCAAGAGTAAAATAAGAAAAAGTTTGTTCTTAGCTTCAATCGACGTTTTACTACAAAATTTATTTTTCCAAGATATTTCTATACAAGTTTACATCTCGAAGCGAGTAAACTCTAATAAAGAGAAATAAATTGGATCTGCAAGCTTTTTCTCGGACAGGAAATCTCAAAAACTACGTTCTTGGTCGAAACAATTCTTGAAGAACGAAGAATGAGTATGAAGTGAAACGAATCGAAGTTTAATAGGTCGAAAAAATCTCATACTGTTCATCTTAGAAAAAGTCCTAGAAATGAAACTTGCTTTTGTTGTCACCCTAGATGGTCGAGAAGACTACTTGATGCTAATCTGAACTTGAAACTCGGAACAGTACTCAAACGAAAAAAAAAAACTTGGTAGGGGAGGTTTCTAGATAGCAAACTGCATAAAATTGAGAAGACGACCAAGATGAGAGGTAGAAAAATCTTGGCTATTGATTCCACGATGAATGCACGTGCATGTGTTTGGGAGGGCGAAAAAAAATGAGAAAAATACTTAGTAATGGAAAGAATCGATTCGGAAGGCAAATGCTCACGCATTCGCGGTGAGCGCGTTCGTGTGTAGCCGAGCAGCCGGCCGAAGCCCGTGTGAATCGCGCGGAGCAATTGAGAACCGCCAGATGCCTTTCCAGGCGGACAATCGGTCATTATCTTTTGGTTTGAAGAGAAGAAATCGCGTCGCGATCCTCCGTAACGTCTTGAAGTGCTTCTCGAAAGATACTCAGAAATGCAAAGACTCCTGCGGAAAACAACCCAAGTTCGAAGATAAAGTAAACCTCTTAAAGAGCTTGAAGGACGCCCGGAAAACGCGCTTCCCGCACTCTCATTTCGGCAAAATTTCAAATTTCGTGACGTCGCAGTGAGGCAACAAGATCCTTGCAACCTCTCCCTTCTAATTAATGTTGTTCTTTGATACACAAAAACGAAACACGATGAATCAGGTAAAACGAGCTTGAAAGTACATGTACGCGAAATGATCTTGTAGAAAAGTGTGCAATTCATTCAACGCCCTGACGTTTTTACTTCCACGGTCAACCTAATGAAAGTTTTTGTTGTAAGTTAATGATGACAATTAATTTAATTCTAATTGGTCTCCTAAATGATCAAGTTTTGTTCAAAGAAATGTTTTTTGAAAAACAATATGATTAATTCAGACTTGCAATTCGAAAAAAAAAGGGAAAATTAAGAAGTTATGCCGGTAAACAGTTATATCTGCCACTCGGAGGTGTCGTCGATGTATTTCAAAAATGTTTTCTTTCATGTTAACAAGTTTCCCCGCGAAAGAATGAATCTGTATAAGGATGAAGATGTCGCGAATTTTATTATCCGCCTCGACACTGATGACGGCATTCAGCAAAGCGAGGCTTCGTCTTGTCGGCACGCCATCCGCTTCCGCCGAGTTTCCATGCAGCCCGACTTTTCGCACATTTCATTCTGTCTTTTTGTCACGACGATCTCGTTGCAACTCGAAACATTCCTTTTAAAGAATTTGTGTGTTTTTTTTTTACTTATTTGATATAAAAATCGGTTAATGCACCGCGACAGGTGCTGCTCCTAATCATCAAGCAGTTCGACGCTAGCGCAAACCGGCCAGGGTCGGGACGTCGCTTATGGGTGGAAAGATTTATGTGGATAATGTATTGGACACGACGCGCTTCCAAGCACGACGATGGGGACGACAGTGTATGAGTGTGAGCAAAACGCAACGGATATGTTGGCCAGAACTATTCCCATGGGTGCTAACATCTCGCACCATCGATTCCACACCCGTTACAACCGCTGCCGACTATTTTTTTCAGCTATTTCTCGTGCATTTCCCTCTTTTTGTTATTACCAAAAGATTAGTCCTTGTTTAGTTACAGGTAGTAGGTAACTCGTGATGTAGGTGAATGATGCGTTGGTTAACGTCTGTAGCTTTCGCCGTGGCGCTGATCGGCAGAAGTGCCGTTGCCTCTCGGCATGTTTCTCCTTTCGAGCTCACAATCAACTCTGGAGCTATCCGAGGAGAACGCTTGGTTATAGGCGTCTTTTCTTGTGGTCCCATCATCAGATCTTTTTTGCAGATAGCTGATGGTCAAGATTATACAATATTTAAAGGAATTCCTTATGCAATGCCGCCTGTAGGATATTTAAGATTTCAAGTAATCCCCTCATAAGAAACATTTCATAAATGGAAAGTTGTTCTCAGATGCCAAAAGACCCGGCCAGCTGGAGAGGTGTCATGAATGCTACACAGTACAGGTGAGTTGTAAGAGTAGATAGGTTGTTAGAGAAATTGTGTAAAAGAACTTACTGAAAAAGAGGCCTCTGCTGAGAAAGGAATTTGTTGACCTCGTGAAATTCAGCGCGATGTGCATGCAAAACTTGGACGATGATGATGCCAGTGAGCCGGAACGTTATGTGACTCACGTCTCTGAAGACTGCCTCTACCTCAATGTCTTCTCCCCAACGCCTGTCCGTTCTCATCTTTCCTTTCCCATTCACTCATTCTTTTTCTCAAAAAGTTACTTTCAGTATCAATACACAAATGACACATATCCAGTTATTGTATTCATTCATGGTGGACGGTTCCAAAACGGAGCCGGTAGTGATTTACCGCAAACATCCATTCTCGAAAATTTTGTCTCAAGAAAAGTAAGTTTCTCAATTTTTTCCAGCTTTCAAAATAAATTTTAAGGTAGTTTTTGTAACGTTCAATTACCGTCTAGGACCACTTGGTCTGTCAATCTTGATTAACATATCTATTTTTTCGAATTTAGGCTTTTTATCAACAGGTGATAGTTATTTACCGGGAAACATTGGACTATGGGACCAAATTTGGGCTCTCAAGTGGGTCAAGGTGAGCCTCAGCTGTTGAAATCTTCTTGTTTCACTGTTTATTGTATTCACTATATTACTGTGACTTCAGTCAAATGCGGCCAAATTCGGTGGAGATCCTTTGAATGTTCTGCTGATGGGACACGGGACTGGAGCCGCTTCGGCTTCTCTTTTGGCTTTGTCGCCGCGAGCCGAGGGTTTGTATCTCTTGGATGCCCTTCTAATTGCTTGGATAGAATTCTAAATTCCGTTCTGCTTGAATGCCTTTTGGTTGCAGGACTCTTCCAAAAAGTCCTGCTCATGTCGGGTTCGGCTTTGCAGCCAGGCATCGTCAGAAACACAGCGATCAACGCCACCTGGAGTCTCAATGAAAAAATGCAGTGCAGGTTAATAAGATCCTTTACAACTTGAAAAAATAGTCTGATAAGTGTTTTGATAAATGCATTCAACTGCAAAACTATCCAGTAAATTCTCGAACTTGGGCGGTTTGAGAAACCTTGAGACTTTTTATAAACTTTTATGAACTGGTTTTTCAATCTCTGCTATTCAGATCTTTCAATACAACAGAGCTGGTCGAGTGCTTCAAGAAAAGAACAAGAGAAGAAATATTTTCATACAAGGTAAGTAGAAGTTTCACAGATTTGAACAAAATTTGAAGAAGGATGTTAAAATAATGTGGAAAGACAGAATTTGATCACGAAAATAAGCTTACGGCAATTGTGGGCCGGAGCGTCAGGCAAGTGCTTTTTGAATGGGAAAATGTGGACTGAATTGTACATAATCACAACCTTTGGGAGCCTTTTTATGGGTATAATCTTTTTTATGGTTGTCTCTCAAATAAAATACCGTATACACCATGTTCAACGAACGAAAATGTGAAAAATGAGCAAAGATGTGGAAAAACTGGCCGATGATACCAAAGATCATTTTTTACTTCGCTCGATGATTTTGCAATGCCGGCCGTACATTGTGAGCTACGCGTGAAAATTGAAATTTTTCTTGATAGTGAAAATAAAAACTGTCATTATTATAGTGCATGGGGGCGCGCCGTAGCGCAACAGGTTGTGTGCCTGTCTACGGTCCACAGGGTCACACGTTCGATCCACGCCTCGACCCAACCAAGGGGTTTAAGAAATGTTGGTAGTGGGAAACCACGACTTCAAAAATCCCCAGCCGTCACACACAAGGACGGATATGTCACTCGAGCCAGTCCACTGATTATCAGGATAGGACCTCGGCTAATCGACTTGGGGCGCTGACGCCGCTCAAGCGGTACAAAGGCGTAGGAAGAAGAAGAAGAAGATTATTATAGTGCATGGGGTATTTCAAAACATTTTCCTGTTTCTGAAAACTTAAATTCAGTCAGTGAAGTTTTAATTTTTTAACCTGAGTTTTCACCTTGAAGTTTAGAATTAGAATGGCATTCCAAATCAAAAAGAAGATATGAGAAATAATTTAAGAGTTTATTGAGTTTCAAAAAGGCTCTCAGTCCATCTGAAGACGATTAGGAAACAAAATTCGGAGAAAAGCAAATATAAAATGCGATTTAATGAGACGACTTTTTTCAGTTCGCTGCTTTGAAAAAGTTAGAAATAAAGTATACGGAGTGATTTCCAATTTATGTCATTTTTTTCTCACAGTTTGAAATTTGATCTGTTCTAAAAAGACATGAAAAAAATTGATATAGTTTTTGAATTAAGGTACTAACATCTTAAAAATGTTTGCAAGTATAAAAAAATATGAGTTTGAACATTTTTTTGAACTTTTCTTTAGCCATATCCAAAAAAATTTTTCTTACCAGCTCATTCTTTATTTTTTTGAAATATTAAATATTTTGACAAGTAACCGTTTCTGAGAAATTATTCTGTTCACAAACTTCATAATATGATTGACGCAATCAAAAAACAGAAGATCTCTATAAACGCTATTTTTTTAATTTGGCTCAGTCATATCTCCGGAAAAGAATAACTTTGCCGACTTGCAGCGTCAGCACTTTGACGACTACGAAGAATTTGTTCCGATTGTCGACGGCGTCAGTGGAATTCTGCCCGAGCCGCCAGAACAATTGGCTTTGCATCGGAAAAAAACGCCACTCATGATTGGAACGACGCGTGACGAGAGTGCTCTTCGAATATGTGATTCTCGAATTTCCTGGCTTTTTCATTAATTATCACGGCTTTTAGTGTTACTCAATGAAAAAGAGCTCAACTTTTCGTCGTTCACGTGGGAAAACGGTGAACGGCTCGCCGACAACTTGACTCTGGGATACAAGCAATTTCAGAACCACAGATTAATATCACAGGTTCATTTTTTTTTTCTGAAAGAGTCATAATTTTTCGCCTGAGCAAACGGATTTTGAAGTACATTTCAGATAACGAAAAAAACTTTGATTAAAACCAAAAAAAAGCTAAGTCATCGACAAATATCTCTTATAAACTGTATCTATTTTTTTGGACTGGACCAAGAGTTCAGACAGTTGAAGTTCTCCATGAACTGTAAATAATTGAAATTACTATTCACAACTTTTTCAACAACGCATTTTATGCACATGGGAACAAGTGCTTCTGCGATTTTCTTAGAGAGCTGACTTCTTTTTCGAAAGGGAGATTGAGAATTTGAATTCCAAGTTTTTTCCGAGTCTATTTTTTAAAAAATTACAATGGAAGTTTATCAGAACAAATTGGAAGAAAACATCAAAACTCCAATTTTGGGAGCAATTACCGTTTGGTAACAATTTATTTGTCATGTTTTCAAACACTCCAAGGTACCTTTGTCATATTTCGCCACAGACGTAATTTTGAAGCAATATGAAAGGCAAAAAAAGAGTATTAAAGCAGAAAGACTACTCTAAATACTGCAAGTTTGCTTCAAAAAAACTTATTCATATTCATTTCACAGCGACAGTTTTAGGGTTGCAAATCGGAATATGTTTGGACGCAAGTCGATCCATCGTTTTTCCGACTCTGTTTTTATTCAATTCTATTCTGAGGGTAATTTTGGAGGTTTCCATTTTTTATCATTTTCTCTTCATTTAAGATGTACTCTCACTTTTGGTACGACGCTCCAGTTTCACAATTGGCAACATATTATCTAAAACAAAACGCCCCAGTATTTTTATACTCTTTCGAGCACGTCAGCGAAAATTTCTACGACATCGACAGTGAGAATAGTTTTACATTTTATTCGAAACGAGAAACATTTTTAGGAGCTTTTCATGGGGTCGACAAGCTTCATTTGTTCAATATCACTCCAAAGTTTTTAAATAAACGGAAGGACATGAATTGGCAGTTGGATCAAAGAGTCGTCGAAATTTTTTCGGAGCTCATAGTCAATTTCGCCATTTATGGGTATGTCATTAAAATATTTTTATAACACTTTCCAGTTTGAAATACATTTATATTTGATCTGAAAAATTAAAAGTGCTCTTAATACATTTTTTTAAGAAAAAAAGCTCCTCGCAGAAGATTTTTGTAGTAAGGAATTTTTTTTTTAATTTCCAGCCAACCGACCCACGAACACGACGGGTTCAACTTTAATTGGACCTCTACAAATTCAAGGCAGCTGAACTACTTGTCTGTGACGGATAGTCCACAAATGAAGGCAAACTTTTTCTCTCCATTTTTTTTTTGATTGATAAGTTTTTTTTCAGGTGGGGTACCGATGGCAAGGTCACGTCTTCTGGAATTGGTACGCGCGTTCTTTAGACGCTGTCGACGTCGGAAACATCCAGAGAATTGCACAACTAGATCGAGATGTCGGAAATTGGCAGGTTTGATATGATTTCAAAAAGTTTGGTGGTTTTCTCTCGGAAATAAACTATTTTTCTTGATAAGTTAGTTGAGCCGCTGCGAATTCCGATTTCTTCCAAAAACGAATTCCAGTTTGCAACTGCGATGCTCTCATTTTGTTCGTTGTTCTTCTTCGCCATTCTGGTCGGACTTGCGTGTTACTGTACCAGAAAAGACTCTGATGAAGACGAATTGTAACGGGTACTTACAAACAGATTACAAAACACATGATTCTAGGTCAGGTTGTTTTAATATTTTTTTTTAGTCTTAACGTCCAACTCATTTCACTTTGATCGATAGTTTTACTTCAAATCCTACTTGTTTAGATAGACAAATTTGATGATTTCACGTCATTTTCGTTGTTTCCAACACCTCGTCATATCTTGTTGCGCACTGTACTAGGTATTGACTTATTCCACTTGCCAAACCTTTTTCGCTTCAACATTTTTGAAACTTTGATTTTTATTTGTTTTTCTATTCAATTATTCCTTCATCCTGCCCAATCTCAACAATCTTTCTTAATGAAAAGCTCAATTCATTTTAACTCATTTTTTCTATGCAATAAAATTTGCGAATTATGTAAGAAAATTATTTCAACAAAACAAAAAGCAAGCAATGAAGTCATATGATGTTTGAAGTCCATGATGGGGTGATTTCTATTGATACGAGTTTTATCAATGAATTTTATTTTTGAAAAACACTAGATATCCAAAAAAACTGAGTAAAAAAAATAAAAAACCATAGAAATTGAAAATTCAGAAAACTTTTTTTGACGTTCTGCAATTTTTTTGGTATAACATTCTTTTTTTCTATTTATATGGTTTTTACTTACTGGAAATCGCAAATACTGTATCGAAATTCGCAATGTGTCTTGTTTAAAAAAATGGGTGTTTCTGGAAACTTTCCACGACCGAGCACCGATGCCCAAAGTGTCTTCTTGTGACTGACACTGTTTTTGTCTGATGGACATGGGCCCGTTATCAATGCTGATAACCCGTAGCCGACGCTATAAAGTACCGTTATCACAGTTAAATACAAGGACTCGCTCTCGGTCATCCATCTGAAGGAATGGTAAGTTGATTTTTTGGACATTCGTTTCTGACTTTTTGACGCAGTGTTTCATAAAATTTACCTCTAAAAACTTACGTCATGTAAAATGACAGTATCCACCAATTATTGTGTTTCAGAACAAATTGAGTAAAAAATAGGTTCCCACTAACTGAAACAAAGAAACAAACAAAAAAAGAAACCGAAAATAAGAAGCATCCTAACAAAAAACACTTTTCAGCGAACCCTTATTTTAATCTGCCTTCTCGGCTTGGCAGCTATTCAAGCAAGGACTTCTTCTGAAGAAGATGAAGTCCTTCCAGGACCTCGTGTTTCTGTCCTTGGTAGGTTTCGAAATTGAGACCACCAAAATAAGGAGTTTGAAGAACGTTTCCGCAACCGTAAAATATCATCGGAAGCGGAGAAAATGACCGATGATGAACTCATCGACTTTGTAAACGCCGAGCAGAACTTGTGGAAAGTAAGCCAAAAGTTTGTATATTGAACTGGAATCTTGTTTTACTTTCACAGGCCAAGAAGAACCGTCGCTTTGCGAAATACACCGACCGAACCAAGTGGGGATTGATGGGAGTCAATCATGTTCGGCTCTCCGTCAAGGTCTCTCTTGTTTGAACTTTTTTGAAATTTTTAGCCCTTTTTTTTCAGGCTCGCAAGAACCTTTCCCCCACGAAGGACCTTGATATTGCTATTCCGGAGACGTTCGATTCACGTGAGAACTGGCCTCAATGCAACTCTCTGAACGTCATTCGTGATCAGTCCAGCTGTGGTGCAGTGAAAACGAAAATCTTCTAACGGTTCCGTTTTTCAGGATCTTGCTGGGCTTTCGGTGCTGTCGAAGCCATGTCAGACCGTATTTGCATTGCTTCAAAAGGTAAAATTCAAGTTTCCTTGTCTGCTGATGACCTTCTCAGCTGTTGCAAGTCTTGCGGTTTTGGGTGAGTGTCAAAAATCGTAAAACCTTAAGTTTTCGTTTATAGTTGCGATGGTGGAGATCCGTTGGCCGCATGGAAGTATTGGGTGAAAGAAGGAATCGTTACTGGATCCAATTATACGGCAAACGAAGGCTGCAAGGTAACCAAAATCTCTATTCGGGAATTCCCACTGATGATTCGGCTTTGGAAACGAGAAAAGCCTAAAAAAATTGGCAAAATTTTGAAGGGAACGCATATAATTGCGTCGGTCTGATAAACTGGACTTTGTCACAAAAAAGACCGAAAATATGATTTTCTGCAAATAGCGCCGCTATATTCTCAAAGTTTTTGGAATAGTGCGTAAACTGAACGTTTTGAGAATTTAGATGAGTCCAATTCAACCGCCCGCGACTATTTGGATAGCGCTTTTTTCATTTATTTTTGAATTCGTAATTGGTTTTTTTTTCATTTGTTCTTTAAAAAATAGTAGAATATATACAAAAAGAGCGGTGAGCGAGCTTTTGATGGTTGGTGCTTGAATTGAACTCGTGCCGAGATCCGCGTACTCGCACGCTACGCGTCCCGTGCATTTCTTTGCCTCCCTCGCCTTTCAAATCGGGATGGATTGACTATAGACGGCTGCCATTGAAATATACAGTATTAAAGTATACAACTGTGTCGCGTGATGTTTTATTACTCTGATGGGACGGTTTTCCACTAAAAACAATATTTACAGCCTTATCCATTCCCACCATGCGAGCATCACTCCAACAAGACACACTACGATCCTTGCAAACACGATCTGTACCCGACCCCCAAGTGCGAGAAGCGATGTGTTTCCGCCTACACCGATAAGACTTACGCCGAGGACAAATTCCACGGTTGAAACTTCGAGAGAAAACAATTTGCATTTACATTTCCAGGTCATAGTGCTTATGGAGTCAAAGACGATGTCGAAGCCATCCAAAAAGAAATTTTGACGTACGGTCCAGTCGAAGTTGCCTTCGAAGTCTATGAAGACTTTCTCAACTACGCTGGCGGTGTCTACGTGGTAAGTGAAGTTTTGAAATCCTTGGAGATTTTCGGGGTTCAGCACACTGGAGGAAAGCTTGGCGGAGGCCACGCCGTCAAAATGCTCGGATGGGGAGTTGATCAAGGAATTCCTTATTGGCTCGTTGCCAACAGCTGGAACACTGATTGGGGAGAGGATGGTGAGCTTTAAAAATTGAGGCAAGAAAAAAGTTGGAGAAACAATGGAAACAATTTGATCATTGAAACTCAGCATGTAATACGGCTTATTATTGTTGGTGACTAAGCCAATGAGATTAAGGAATAATGGAAAAAAAATCAAGCTATTAACGCTAAAAACCGAGAGAGGAGGAAATAAAAAATGACTGAGCGTTGATATTTCATAATCTTTCCGCATTAATAAAGTTCTGGATTAATATAAAAATATGTAATTCGAGATTGACTGGTGAATATTTCGGATAAACAATAAGTTTCAAACTGATTTTGACGATTTCAGGATTTTTCCGCATTCTCCGTGGGGTCGACGAGTGTGGAATAGAATCGGGAGTTGTCGGTGGCGTGCCAAAACTCAGTAACGCGGCGCACAAACTGCGGTAGCGCCAGTTCAGAAGTTAATTACTCACTTTACTGTTTCAGCCTTCGTCACAGGAATTACGACGATTGGCTGGCTCTATAAAGAAATAAGCGCAATTCTTGTTTTTGTCTATATTGGAATCTCAATAATAAAAACTTGGTCAGATAACTCCGATTGTTCAAAAGCTTCACAAAAATTTTAATTCTAACCAGTGACAGGCTTTTTGGCGTAAATGAGCTCAAGTTTGCGAAAGAACAACTTTAATACCAAGGAGTGGCGAAAAAAAATTTTTCAGAAGATATTATCAATCAACGCTTTTTATTATTTAGATACTCCCGATGTTATCAGTTAATCCAAACTCTCTCGGTCGAAACTGATTGTTCTTGAAAAGGATGTTGTTAATTGATGGATTTTATGTAGTTTGATCTGGATGCTTTCCCGCAAAATACTTTCAGAAAAACTTATTTGTGACGTTTTTCTGCGACTAAAACTCTATCCGTGTTATTTTAATCCTCGGATAAAAAACACTTCGAACTATAAATGTTTCGCCTGAGAAAGTTTTTTCGGCAGTGTGAGATGCAAAAGAAGCCTCTCTAGTTTTGGCCGTCCCCTCACTTTGGCAAACAACAGATAAAGATAATCTTCATCACTTATCCACTGCTTCGATTTCTTGCGTCTTCGCGTGGAGTTTTTGTGACTTCTTCCGTTTTCATTTTTTTTTTCCTGGTCGAAATGAAGAGAGATTCGAGTGAAGATTGTGAAAAAGAAGTGACTCACATGGAGAAATTGGTGTTCAAGGTTTGTTATGCAACTTTTCCATTCGAATTCTTATGCTAACTGCTGTAGTGAGAGCTTGATTCTTGCGGTAATTTGGTTAATCGTTATGTGTCGCGTTCCCAAAGAGCCCTAATTAATTCATTCTCAAGGCTGCACACCGCAAGTGCAGGCCAAGTCGAGCTCTTTTCCGAGCAATCTACTCTTTACGTAGATTAATGGTAAACGAGCTTGAGGCGTTTTTTTTTTCGCTTTCCTTTCAAATGATGTTTGTGCGATCAAATTAACCACTTGTATGTTAGCCGGATGGCAGCCGCTCGCAACGTTGAGAAAACTTGTGCGTGAAAATTTCATGCGACAACCCTAATGGGTCGCAAACTGAATGGCTTAGATAGCGTTCTGCTGCTTTCCAAGTTAAGTTCCATCACTCTCGGCTTTTTTCAACTCTTTCTTTTTTTTCGATTATTTTCTGATTTTCAGACGGCATGCAAAGCAAAACCTGCGTCTACGAGCTCAAAAATGGAAGTTGACCGGAAAATTTCAACGGGAACTTTGAACCGGCTCATTCTTGTCGCCCAAGCACTTGAGTCGGAAGTTGAAACACGAAGAAATGATGACGTCAGCGCCACTAAAATCACCTTTTCAATCAGAATCGCTAATATGGTTTGTTCAAAACTCATCTAAACTCTTTTCAGTTTTGTTTCTATTCAGTAGTTGCAAACAGCAAACAAATCAAACCAAGTTCAACAAATTATTTCACGATTTTTGAAAAAAATGCTCATTATCTGATGAAAGGTCAAGTGAGCTTCAATTCGCTTTCAAAAGATTAAAAGTTTTCCTTTTATTCATCCAATATTCATTCTTATGTTTTTAATTTTTTTTTCTTACAGGTCTTACTCATACTCATCAACGTCCTCATTTTCACGGGTTTCGGAAAATACCAAAACAAAAATCATGACAATTATCAGGTGCGCTTTTGATTTGAATTATTGTGGTTTTAAAAAGAATGCGTAGGAAGCCTTTGCATCCTTCCTGGAACTTTTCATTTTTCAGACGTAATTTAGTTCGACTCTCAGAAGTGACGGAGTACCCTTGAATCTTTTTATTTTAGGACTTGAGGCTAACAGCCGATAAATGGACCTACGAGCCCAAGTCAGACGAACTTCCGGAAACTTTCCTGTTCCTGAGGCTAAGTGGCCAGTATCTCTCAGCTTGTATTACCGTCTTTCTACTTTTCTCCACTATTTTTCTACAACTCCTGCACATTTGCGGCATCTCAGCATCCCGCATTACCGTAAGATAATCTCTAATTTTTGGCCACATTTTTTATTGTTGACCATAGGGCGCGCTTACGTGGCAAGCATGAATTGCTAGAGAAAAATTTTTTCTCGCTGTCAGAGAACTGGATAATCCGATTGGTAATAACACGAAACGCAGGAGAGTTGCTCTGTCAGAGACACGCGAGAAAAACTTCAACTGATTAGGATTAGTAAAAAAAAAAATGAGAAGCATGATACAGCCAGTCTGAGTCTAAATAATTCGAAATAAGGTTTTTTTCGCTTTCGGGCCTGTAAAATAAAATTCCGTTCTACTTAACTTTTCAAGTTGTTGCGAAAAAAAGCGTTCGACTATTGAGAAAAGTTTTCTATTTTTTTCACGTGGCATTTTACGCTTTTCGATATTTTCGGCAGTATAATTGAATCTGAGAACTTCACTACCTAGGAGAATTTGTGCTTTCTCAGTTTTCAACCTGTTCCATAACAGATGAAAAATTCTTCAGATAGAAAATTTAGGAAAAAAAATTTTAATCTCATTGTCCGTTTTCAGAGCATGTGTTACGCTTTTGGAGCCGTGCCATTTTTCGCTGTTCGTTTTCGGGCTAGAAATGCACTACTCGACATGTCCATGGCTTGACGAGTACTTCATGTTGTACAGAGAGTCGGATTTGAGCTCGCAATGTGCCATCAACGGCTGGGCTCTTGCCGGAGTGAGCTTCTTTCCGTTTCCTCTACGAGTTCCGGGTCATTGAGTTCAGTCTGAAATTCTCTCGGCGGTTTATTTTTTCAATTCGCGGTTGTTCGAATTCTCCGCGATGAAATATATAGCAGTATTGTCTACGAGAATTTTGGTATTGAGTAAAATAACAAGTTTACGATTTGCAAGAATGTGAAAATTGAAAAAAAAAACTAATTCTTTTAAAGCTTTGATGAGCAAGATGGTTCCATGGAATAAAAAAAAACGCCCCTTCCAAAACCATAGAAGTTTTTTTGGTGCCTTCTGACCTTTTTTTATTTTGTGAACAAAAAAATCTTTTTGTTTTTTTCATGAGAAAGGTTTTTGAGAATGGAATCAAAATGTTGAAGCTCAAACAAAACAAAAATTGTTTTGTAAATCAGAAAAAATATTTCTCCTACCATTGAAACGGCGTAGAATTTTTTTAAATGTTATTCAGACCTTTATAGAATTGATTCCAAATGATTAACCTTCTCAAAAAGTTTCAGATATTCTCCTTATTGTCTTGCGGTTTATTCGTGAGCGAAGGAATCATCACTTCCTTTTTCGGACATCAACAATTCAATGAAAACAAGGAAACTATAGTGTAGACGTTGTCTTTGAAGAGATTTTATATCACTTTTCTTTGTGTAAGATATTTTTGTTTTACGAGTTTATTACCAGCAAATACGTTAGACGACAATAAATACAACTTTACAACAAAAGAGTGTTGAGAACACAATCAATGGGGGAGTTGGAGATGATCAAACGAACTGAGCGTTGTTTCGGGCAAGGTCGATGAGCGTGGCGTTGCGTTCGCAGATCGAGTGGAAGCTGGAGACGCACGGGTAGTAGTAGACGTACGAAGCCGAGTCGATGGCGACGGCGGCGTTGTAACTGGCGGCGCAGTTGGACACAGAAGACCAGCCGTTGGGCATCGGGCTGTACGGACGGATAACCCAATTCCTGGAAAAGATATCTTGATCAGTCATTTTTCAATTTCTACTTCTTTTGAAAAATAAGCTTATTCCAGTTTAACATGATGTATTTTCATGAAATCGAATTTCATAATGGTTTTTAACTTATTGGAATTTTGTTAAAAGTGTTGACAAAGCAAATTCAGTTCCTTCTATTATATATACTTTGGATGTTAACTGGGTTTTTTTTTAAAGAAAGTTAGACATTTTAATTTTCAAGTATAAACAGCGGGTCAACAGTTTATATCAAGATTCCAGAATATGATGTCCGTCTCCATTCAGCTTTTTAGTACATCTTGGGACTTTTTTTTTCTTCAATAAAGGTTCAAATCGAAACCAAAAAAAAAATCATAGGCTGTTTATGTGGGCTAGGGGCTAGGCACAGTTTACAGTTGAATGCTCGTCAAGGAACTCGATTAAAAAAATTAAAAAAAACTATTATTTAAACATATTTTTGGAAAAAAATTTCCGTCTTAACTTTCTAAAAAAATTGAAAATTCAAGTTATCGATAGGTAATTTTTTTTTTTTGAACTAATTTATTTACAAACTCTCTAAGCAGAAGATTCAAAAGTATGAATCTTTCAAAAAATCACGCACCTTCAAACGAATCAAAATTGGGCTGTATACCGCTTTTTCTACTGATATTTTTTTAGTCGCTCTCTTTTTATGTTTTTCACAACAAAACTTCCCAAACGTGTTTAAAAAAAACAAAAGAAGTTGAAAAGTTTTTTTGAATTTTTTTCTATCGTGTTTCTATACTTGCTTTCTATTCTCCTTTCTTTCTATTTAATTTCAAGCTTTTTTTCTTCTAAAAAGTTTAAATTAGAAATGACCGCGATCCCGTTTTGGAAAAAATGCTGAAGTTCCTGGAACGTACAGTTTAGCAGGGTTGATGCCACCCTCGGTCTGCCAGCGGGGAAGAGCCTCAGATTTTTCATAGGACGAGAATCGAACAAGTCCGATCCAGGCAAAGAAGGCCTTGGGAGTGTGGTGACGGATGGCATCCTGCACAAAAATTCATGAATTTGTGCAATTTTCGGCGCATCTTACCCATTCATCGAGCGAATTGGCAACGAACAAAGTTGCGTCCTTTTCGAAGCATCGTTTCTCAGCCTTGGCAAATCCCATCATCTCTTGTTCGATGTAGTAGCACGACTTGGAGAACCGAATCCAGCCGTCTGGGCAGTGATCCTCCTGTAATATTTGATAATGAACTACAAGTTTCTTAGATTTAAAATAATCTGAAAGTCCAACTTGAAGTAGGTTTCTTACATCGGTCACTCCAATCGAGTTGCGGGCGGCGGCTCCCATTGGGTCAAAAGCTAGGGTATCCAGGTCATGGTGGTTCCAGTTGAAGAGATGTACTGTAATATTGTTTGTCCAACAAAACTTTGGAAATTCGCTCTTTAGATCAGTTCCGAATAAAAGTTCAAAACAGCCCACATGGACTTCATCTTGAGAGAGTCTTACTAATTAAGATGATTAATTATTTCTATTATTCATACTTTTTTTGTGTGGGAGGTCTTCTTCTCCACTCGACTCGTAGGCGTTGCAGAGCGCGATGAAGCAGAGGAACCCAAGCAAAAACCTGAAAATTCGGAAGTAAATGTCGAGCGGCAGTGAGAAGTGCGTTTTCGAAGATGCAATCAGCGGTAAGTCCGAGGCTGATTGAAAATTATTTGATTAAGAAGGCTCTCACCGTGGGTGTTTCAAGTGTCTTATTGACACAATTCCTCAAATGTTTAGCGCGATTTCAAAAACGCAGCCGTCTGTTCATTCTCATTATGCCCATTGCATCGGGGAGGTAACGCTCATGCAATCTCGCCGATCCGCTTGCCCTCACGACCAAATAAATGTACTCGTAGGGGAGCCTTTCCTTTATTTTGGTGTGTTGTTTTGTGTTTGACGTCTTCCCATGCATCCCAGCTCTTGTGCTCTATCCGTGAAAATTCAGTCCAACCGCCAAATTAAAGAGAAATGAAAGAAAATCGACACAATGAAAAAGTGTCTCCGTTGTCTGGGAATTAGGAAAATTCTGCGTTTCCGTGTCCTTTTCATTCTTTTCAGAATTGTTCAGATTGGTTAGAGCAACGGCACTTCGATTGGAATTATATGAGCTCTGGATCAAGACAATCTTTGAATGGACATGAACAGATGTCAGATTCTGATCACTCCGATGCAGGTGAGCGTTTTTTTCACCTTTCCATACTAACTATTTTCAAAAAAAAAGCTCCCGTTTATGTATATTTGGCTCTGAAACCTTAATAGTCTCCTTAAAATGATACCTGAATTATTTTGTCTGAACAAGAACAACTACTTATACTCATAAATATAACTTTTATATTTTTCTACTTTCTTTCAAATTTTTTTGTATTCTCTTTTTTGGGGAAGCAAGAGTTTCAATTTCAAAAAAAAAACTGTATTTTCAGGAGAAGAGCTCTTTAGACCAGTTCGCTCGCTCAGTTGCTCGGTACTGTATGAAATGGAGGTAAATAAATATACTTGTAAAGACCCCTTTTCTATCAAAAATCGGTCGGGAAAGTGCTAAGAGAGAAAAAAAACAATGAAGCTGATGATATGGGTTTTTGAGGTTGCGCTTGGAGATATGTAATTTCCGGCCCATGAAAGCACTCTGCCGAAAAAAGAAGAAAGATCTGCGTCAATCTTCAAAGCCTAGCTTTTTTCTTTTTGTGACGTTGCAATCTGCGCCGAGTAATGTAAAAGAAGAAATGTGGTGCTTTTGCATTGGCTCGCATACAAACGAAATCATTTACACCTGCTGGACGCGCGCCGACTCGATTTTAGATCCGAAACGTCTGAACCTATTCGTAACGCATTGAAATTTGTGCTGACTAGATATAATACTCTATTTGCAATAATAAATAACAAGCCGATCTATCCAAGATTAATTTTACGAAAAGCTCATTTCTATCGTCCTTCGATCTGTCTTGTTTTTTTAAGAGTCCCTTTTTGTCCTTCTGCAAAATTTCATCCAGAAGAGGCCTTACAACCCTATTGATCCGCTATCTTTGAAGAGCTTCCCACAAATTTCGCTTTTTGGAGTTTATTATTTTTGCTGCGGGAACTAATGCGCGACTACTATATCGACATAACTTTGGTGATATTGTGGGTCTAAATGGGCGGCGCTTATCTTATTACCCAAACAATGTCCGGTTTGGCTTGGAATTTGTGGTAATTGGTTTTGAAGTTCCCAACGCCACTCCGACAACTACCGTTGTACGAATGGTAAGTCAAAAAAAAAACTGCTTGACTCTCAGTTTTTCAAATTTATTTCGAAAATCGGAAAAATGTGAGCGATTCGTTTTTTTTTATTTTACGAAAATTCAATTACTTATATCAGTAGTTAATTTGAGCAGAAATTTTATCTGATTCTGACTAAAAAATAATGACTGTTGTCACTAAATCAGAAAAAAAGTCTCAAAATATATCAACTGAGCAGTTTTCCGGATCTTTTTATATCCTCATGTTTTCAATTCCGGGTGAACCATTAGCTTACCAAGGTAATGAGAATCTCGTGTTACACCTGCAAAAAGCTTCTATCCAAGCCTTCGACCCAAAATGGAACTACGTCATTCGGTTCGCATTTCCCTGCCGACCGCAGTGTTCTGTTTTCGGGGCCGCCTCTCATGTCTTTTTTGATAAATAGAAGCCGCCGAGTAAAATATTTGTGGTAAGCGGCGCCGAGATATTGCTGATAAAAGGGTCTATTGTTGCCTATGCGAAAAAAAAGCGCCCTCAGATTAGGCATCTCGCGAATTCTAAGAGATTTGATGTTAAAAGTCTCGCTCTTTTCTGTTTTAACATTTTTTTAGTAGGCTTATCTCAGCGTCAACAATCTTTTTCAGCTAGCCGTATACTACTAAAATTCTGACGCAAATCAGAGATAAAATGATTACAAATTCCTTGGATTTTCGTATCGATTGCGCAGCTAAGCAGGAATGAGTGGCGATTCCTGCACAGCTAACCACATAAGTTGTAGCCACACTCCAGGAATTGTATTTAAGGGAGAGCAGATTACGACGCGGTATGAGAACGAATTTTCACGCTCTTTGTCTCCACTCACAATCCCGACAAACGACCATCGGAAGACAGTAGCTTTTCAAGAGCCTTTTGGTGAGCATCCCATAATTGAAATGTATACGTGAGTTTTCTGTTTCAGACGTCAAAAATGAAATCGCTTCTGAGCGCGACCGTCTGAAATCGCCTCATAGCGCCGAGGTTAGTCGATCGCTTAAAACATGTCGGAATGAATAAAAGTGTGCGTCAAAACGTGGTGGCTCCAGAGTTCGTAAAGTTAAACATTCGCAGCTGTGTTGGAAACCTATGCGAAATGAAAAAACAAATCGGCGACATTGCTTTTTGCAAATCGGCAAATCTGCAGGAAGGCCCCAGAAAAATGTCGCTTGTCGGCAAGCCTCTCGTCTACAAAAACTACCGGACCGACCAGCGGTTCCGACGGATCCAAAGCAAGATGCACAACTTTCTAGAAAGACCACGAGGATGGCGCGCCGCCAGCTATCATCTAGCTGTGTTAGCTTCTAAATCTCACCTAACAAGCTTAGACTACTGTTTCAGACTGGTGATGGTTCTGATGTGTCTAGGACTTTCAGTCTTCTCTACAATGCCTGATTTCGAAGAGGGCGCAACTGTCATTTTATACTACATCGTGAGATTGTATTTTCATTTCGAAAATAGGAGAAATACTCTTTAGGAAATAGTTTTTGTCATTTGGCTGGCAGCCGAATACATTTGCCGGGTCTGGTCGGCCGGTTGTAGGTCGAGGTACAGAGGTCTTAGCGGTCGCATACGCTTCGCGACTAGTGCTTATTGCGTCATAGGTGTCTCATTTACGCCTAAGCCTCTACTAAACGTTATGCTTTAGATATTATTGTTATTTTGGCTTCTATAACGGTGCTTTGTATTGGTGCGACGGGGCAGGTACCTAGCAATCCATATGAAAAAAGGAACTAAAGCAAAACTACAGGTGTTCGCTGCTTCTGCAATACGCGGTTTACGATTTTTTCAAATCCTACGGATGTTGCGAATAGATCGAAGAGCGGGCACTTGGAAACTTCTTGGAAGCGTCGTTTGGGCTCACCGACAGGTTGGAAAATCACAATTTTTTTAAGTGCTTACAAAAATCAAATCAAAATACATGGAACGAAGAGTAATAAAATAGTTTTATTTTAACTCTATTCAATTAAATTTCAGCTCGAAAATACTTTTTTGAATTTTGCAAAAACTTGTTTTGATGAATTTTAAAAATCTAGATTAAAAGCTCCGTTTTTTTGAGTCTGTTTGAATTTCTGGATTTGTTCACGTAAGCTAAAAAGGCAACCGAGTTTTCCCTACAGTTATTTTTGGCTTATAGTTTTATCCCATTGATTTTTTCCTCAAAAAATACCAACCTGAACATGGTAGCCGAGTAGAAGGAGATAGAAGGTGAAGTAGAAGACGTGGGCAGGAGCTCGTCGACGTCGGAGTCGATCTGAACTGACCATCTTCAGCGTGTCTTTTATACGGCCAGGACGCCTAGGTCAACCTGGTTTTGACCTGGTGCCGCCTCCTAAACCATAAGCGATCAACCATCGCCGCACCCCATCTCATTTGCATATCTCCTCCAGAAATACAGTCTCTGACAAGGCCGCGATATTCGCGAGATGAGAATCACGTCACTTGAGAAAAGCCCGTCGATGACATCATGAGAAATAAAAGGATTTTGGGAACATTAGAACTGGATCTGCGATCTGTCGACTGTAAACGGATCGACTCGCGATAAACAAAACAATATTCAGGAGCTGTTGACGACCGTCTACATAGGATTTCTCGGCCTGATCTTCTCCTCGTTCTTGGTTTACCTTTGCGAGAAGAACACCAATGACAAGTACTCAACCTTTGCCGACGCTCTTTGGTGGGGCGTGGTGAGTGACTTCAATTTTGAGATTTCAGAGTTACCAAATTGAAGAATCTATGTATTGAAAATTGCAATTTCCTTGCAGCATCAAAAATTTATTTTGTAATCATCATGCTGCAACTTCCTTTCAGTTGGTAGAATTCAATAATTGAAAAAACTTTCTGAGAAAAAAAAATCACCTTCATTTTTGAATAAGCCCTCGTTCGACTCGAAACGGTATCCCGAGCTTTTTTCTTCTGAAAAATTAAGGTTCTAAAGACCATACTAAGCATAAGAAAAATATATGAGTTTTTCAACATTACTTTTCTGAAGACTTTGAAACGTTTATAAAAAAGATGAGCAGTTATTGGATTGAAATTTCTCATTTACTGACATAATGACGTTCTTTGTTAGGAAAATTATTACAAGAATAGTTAGCGCGTTGATGGAAGAAGTAAATTGTTTTCGAAAATCAAAAAACCATATATTTTTCAAAGTGATAAAATCGGGCTCTGGTTTTGATATCTAGAAAAAAAAAATTGAGCGAAAAGGAAAAACGGACGCTTTGAGAAAAATGAACTGAAGCGAGTGGTAATGTTTTATTTGAATGTCTTACACGTCGAGAATGATTTTTACGTACCAGGCGCAATAATTGACGACAGTTCTCGGTTTCCCGATTTTTTCACAGCGCCTAACGAAGTTTTGTGCCCAAGAAAAAAAAATGTAGGAAAACTATTTTCTCACCACAATTTATACGTTGATCCCAAATAAACTTTTTTTTTGGCTACCTCATTGTATGAGGATACTCACACATTTAACGAAACAACGTTGGACTGTTAAAATGTGATCTTATCATCTCAATCTAGCAACTCTCACTGCTATTAAAAAAAATAAAATTTGGTTCTTTTCGTGAATTTCATTGATCTTTGATTGCTCTAGTCTGCTGTTAAATTTTACCAAGTAACCTTAACAAGAAACGAAATTTCAACGTTTCAATTGGAAAATTTAGATAACGCTCTCTACAGTAGGTTATGGCGACAAAACTCCAGAAACCTGGCCGGGGAAAATAATTGCGGCGTTTTGTGCTCTCCTCGGCATTTCATTCTTCGCTCTTCCTGCGGTGATTTCATTCGATTTGTAAAGTCAAATTCGGTTTCCAGGGTATTTTGGGATCTGGGTTTGCTTTGAAGGTGCAGCAACACCAAAGACAGAAACATTTGATCCGAAGAAGAGTTCCTGCAGCAAGACTCATCCAGTGCTTGTGGCGGCATTATTCAGCGGCTCCGGAATCTTCTTCAGTAGCTACGTGGAAGATTCATCTCGCGCCGGAAATTAGTCCCATGTTTGTTTTTGTCGATCTGACTAAAAAAATTGCTTCCGATATTTTCCATTTTTTTCAAAAACTAGAAAAAAATATTTGTTGCCTTTTCCCACGACCCATACTGAGATCAAAAAAATCATAACATGATGAATTTGTAGTTACAAAAGTCACTGCTTTATTTGCATCAAAAACCCGACCAGTCAAAAAAAAAACTTACACTGTGGTTGTAACTAACTCATAATAGATTTAATTCGAATTTTCAGATTTTGCCAAAATAAAAAACATTTTCAAGAGACTCCGAGGAAAATATTGAAATGATCAACCTGCGAACCTCTTAATTTTCCGAGTAAGAAAAAAATGTATTGAAAATATTTTTGTTCTCGGCTTTGAAGGATTCTTTTCTGAGAACTATCTCACTCCTGAAACATTTTTGTTTTTCTGATTGTTTTTGCGAGAGAATTGAGAGTAATTTTTGAACCATCCATCCTGTTGGGCACTAAATGCATAGGACCTTCTAGCAGACGACGCTGCGAGGTCATAAGAAACATCTAGAAAAAGGCATAATTACAGTAGACCCCCGCTGTTGTTTTAGGGTCAAGAGCACACCTAATGGCAGCCAATCTAGCGGCATCATAAATCGCATAAGGCAGAGCACAAAGCGGCGTCTGAACTACGGACCAGGACCAGATATTGGTAAGACTGTTGGCCTTAATAAGCGACCAAACACCAACGAAACAGAGATTACGGGTGTTCCTTCGCCGATGCCCACGAACCTGGGCCTTGCCGCCACTTCGCCTGTTATGAAGTCGCTGCTGGTGCCCAAGCCTCAGGATAATATAAGGTCATATTCAAACAAAACCTCAAAAAGTTTCAAATTATATTCTGAAGCTAACACTTATGCGATCTAAAATAATGATATTTTTGGTCAGGTCTGTTTTTGTATGTTTCGGTAAAAAATTGTTTGATGCTTTTCAAAAAAACTTTTTATTTGCTCGAACCATCTAACCAATATTTTTAAAGCCATTCAGTAAAACCAAACCGCGGTGCCCTTTCTCGATTCGCTTATGCAACACACTAAAAAATAGAGCCGAATGAAGGCAGGCAATTTATTTTCCACTTCAGATTTTAGAATTTTTTTTCGAATTTTTTCAAACCTCGAAGGAAGTTTTCTGAAGCACGCAATGAGCATAACTTTCCAATTTTCGAGAAAACGTGCCTCAAAGTCAAAAAACCCTCATGCACCTGCTGCACTTACCTTGCAAAAACTTTGGGGCACCTGTTTCTGAAAATTAAGAATTATGCAGATGAAAATTTTCAGGATCATCATCATGGACAAAAGAATGTTTATGAGCGAAATTCTTAGAATTTCTAGGGTGCAAAGTGAATTCACCTTCGCTGCCACACATAACAGATTTTTCGTTTCCCAATTACTCCGTGACGTGTACCATCATTTTTCAGTCTTGTCTCGACGTCGGACATTTCTGAGCTGGAGCAACTCGGAGCCCTAGGGTTTTCATTCGGTTATCAAACAAGAAGAACAGAAGAGGAATTCAAATGGCTTTTCAGGAAATTGGAGGTCCAAAAGCAGTAATAAGAGCAATTCGAGGAAGGCGATGGACGATTCCGTGATTCAGTCGAGAGTGACTCCGTCTACCAATGTTGCCAATTATGACGGTAAACTGTTGCATGCTAATCTTCATTTAATTCTGATTCTGAAGATGCTAGAAGTCGTGGTTCTGTGAAAGACCTTCTTTTTGAGTTGCAGGAGAATGTAATTAGCTTTACCCTTGTTCTGGTCTAAGTTGTGGGATTGGAGATGATGTATTGAGAAACTTTTTTTTAAGCAGATAATAATTGTTATTTCTAGCCTTTTCCAACATTAGTAATGAGTAATAATTTTTGACCGTTATCAGTTATAAAAAACGCGTCAATTTTCAACAAAAGCCGTCTGCCCTCATTGACCAGACCTGAAAAGATTTCTCTGTTTTTGAATGTGGCGTATTTTTCTGGAATCGTTGCAGCTCGTTTTTTTCCGTTTTCTTTTCGTGCCTCTTTTCTCTCCACTGCTGGAACGGCATTCGTATGGCACAAATCAATGATAGAATACCACATCTATCTAGTATATCTCACTCTTTTCTTACTGATAAACAACGCCCGCGACATTTTGTCTGGATACGGATATGAGCAAGAATATGGACGGCGGTTAACGTTGTCAGCACGCTGAAAAATAATTTATTATATTCGGGGGACCTAAATTTAGTTGCGCCAGGGTTGTGAGCTTTTTTCATTTATTGCAATCGGATATCCAACAAAATTTGAGTACTCGGTAAAAATGGAAATTCCCTTTGAGCACACTTGAAAATTTACGAAGAAGGAGATAAAACTGAATTTTTCAACAACTTTGAATTCTTTCGAAAAAGTGATGTCATGATTATCTTAAAAACAGAAATTTGAGTGAGATATTTGAACGAAAATGTGATTACTCAGATTCCCACGATTCAAAGCCCGAAAATCGGCAAATTTTTTTTTATTGAGAGCATACGTATGTGTTTTCTCAAAAGATAAAAAAACTAAGTTTCTTTGCATAAACTTATGATATTTTTTTCTCACGGTAGATTTCCTTGTCATATTTCTAATCCAAAAATTTGTCAAAAAGAGTTTATTATTTTTGTTAAAAAAACAAAATCTCAATTGCTTGGCATGAATTTTTATTAACTTTTGAAAAAAAAATGCAAAATAAAGAGTTAAAATATTTTCATTATAAGTTATTAATGGGATACAATTGGAAAACTTTCTGCTTTTTCATGGATACTTTTTTTCGAAATAAGAAAGGTTTCAGGAAGGTTTGAGTGAAAGAACTATGAAATTATGAATGAAATACCAAAAACGACGTAACCAGACGAGTTTCCTGCATCCCATCCTAACTGTCTAGGGCCAGCACGAAAAGGCCGATCGCTCATGCTGTATCGTGACCTGAAGGCGAATCCAAAAGATGGTTTGGTGTTATCTGATTGCGACGTGATAGGCGATTACTCGCTCATGATGGCCCCGCTCTACCAATGGTGCGAACAGTTGCGACGTAGAAAGAGCTCGTTGGATGATGGTGTGTGGAGCCAACTAACAATCTGCGCGCCGCGAAGAACCGAGGATGTCTCCGACTCTGACGGTGAGGCCTCCACAGGCTCTTCGCCCGCTTCCTTCCTTTCCGCCTCTTTTTTTTTAACTCGTAGTGTGTTTTTCTTCAACATAGTTTTTCATTTTTATTTTTATACATTTTATCGTTTTGTGGACTTCGAATATGAGACAATTAAAGAAAACGAAATTAAGGCTGCTATGGGACCTTTTCTTAGGTAGAGATAATCACAAATCACGTAACACGGCCCGAAATTGCAGTCTTTAGAAGATTTTTTCAGATTCGTCGGCAAATACTTTATTGAACTCATAAAAAATCAAGATATTTTGTAGAGGAATTGTCTTACCGTGTCCGTTTCTTCGAAACTGCAGCAAGATTCTTAGAATCAACTATAGTAATTATTCTCATTGAAAAATACATGTTGCTTGAACTTTATCATGCTCAAACATTTTTTTCACAACGCATGACTGTTTTCCGTATTATTTTTTAAACTATTTATTTTTTTTTTTCGATAATATTGTCATTGTCCTTATGGAACGGCTATCTCAAACCTCACCTGTCTAGGCGGGACATGCCCTTTAGCTGAGGAGATAATTAATCTTTCTTTAGAAAATGAAAGAAATTTTTGAAAAAAAACTTTTCCAACAGCTAAAACGGAAGGATTTGGAAGAAATGAGAAAAGAGGGAAACGAGCTTTTGGGGTATTTGAGTTATCCTCAGTTGATGTTTATAAGAAAGAAACTTAAAATTAGAAAACTTAACTGTTGAGTCTTACCTTATTATGGCATTTAGAAGAAGAAGCCGTCAACATACAGCCGCGGACACTCGAAGACTACACGCCTCAGCTGAGGAACGCTGTCAGAGCGATTCGTCGGATTCAGCTACTTGTGGCTCGAAGAAAGTTCAAAGAGGCTTTGAAGCCCTATGACGTCAAAGACGTCATAGAGCAGTACTCTGCCGGACATGTCGATTTGCAGAGTCGAGTTAAAACCGTACAGGCCAAGTAAGACAGCAAAATTTGACAAAATTCGTGAGCTTGGAGTATAGGCTCGATATAATTTGTGGGAAAAACATCGAAAAACTTGATCCGAAGACGTCGATGGTCTCCAGAATTATTCACCTCGAGAGCACGGTAATACATTTTTAAACATCGATTTACATCATGTATTTCTTTCAAACTATCCTTTTAAAAAGTTATTCAAACTTTTTCAGGTTGAGAAAATGGACAAAAAACTCGATTTGATGATGGAAATGCTAGTTGGTGAACGTCGAATTTCACGTGTTTCAACGCCTTTACATTCTCATTCAGCGAGAGCTGATATCATTTCCGAGTTCGTTCATGTATAAACTTTAATAATTTAATATCACGGCCGAAAGTTTGTTTTTCCGCACCTTTTAACTTTTGGACCAAGAACTCTACTTCAGTTGGTCTGCTCTGAAAATAATTCTTGGCGATGTTCTTTTTAAGAAATGATAAAACAGAAAAACCAGATATGCGTCATCATAGAGAGGGTGCTTTCAGAGACCGACCGGAAGGATCCAGAAAAGGAGAATTAGTTCGTGGTCATCGATCAATGGCAAGCAGTGAGACTCTTGAGATGTTCACAGCTCGGTGTGTTTTCTTTTCTTTTCCAAGCTCAACAAAAAAGTGCAGATCTCACTCTCCGGCGATTCATCGAGAAAGTTCGCCACTGTTATTTGCTGAGCTGGACGAGGAAGACGACTATGAAAGAGATTAATTATATTTTTTGATCTGTTTGAAATATTTTGTAGAAAAAATGTGATCAGGGAGACAAAAATGAATGAAAATGAGCAAGGAGTATTGAAAAAAAATAATCATGAAGACTGAAAAGTTTTCAGTCTCCATGATTATTTCAGACCTAGTGCTCAATTTCTGAATTTTTGTCTTCGTGTTTTTTTAACATATCGTCACAGTTCATAATTATCCATTCCTACGGATCTCGACACCTTAGTCTGTTAGTCATGAAAATGTGTTCCGTTTTGTGTTCTTTGAGTTAGCCTTTTTGAATTTATACGTTTACAGAGCCCTTCTCGTGTGATAACTATTTTTATAATGTGTTATTTCCGTCAGAATTTTTATTTCAGTAAAAGTTGTAATAATAAGCTGCCTCAGTTCAACTAAAAATGAAAGCCGTCACAAAAAGCGGAAGTATAATTTTTGAAGCGATTTCGAGAGTTTGAGATTTAAAAACAAAGCATGCAAATAGTTACTCGTGTCGAGTGCCAAAAAATAGTTGCAAATTTACAAAAGTAAAAGTGAGAGTGAGTTGAGAGAGTTAACTAGGCGTTTTTGGATCGGAATTTGCTGCTTGGAATTGGAAGTTTCCTTCATTTGGTTTTGAAGGGGTGCATGGGTCACCGACAGACATCCTAACGACCTGTGAAATCGAAAATTGGTTAGAGGACAGAAAACACAGTTTGTAACCTCTGTTGATTGCCTTAGACTTGCAAGTTCTGTCACTGAAGATCGTCGATTACGGTTGCGGCGGACGGAGACAAAGCTGTAAGCGTACAAACTTTCAAATTCATTAAAATGTTTCCCCTACAACAATCCGCTCCGACTCTTCTACTATTGTTACAACTAACTCCAAAAAGTCTTTTCTTTTTTTTTCCAAATTTGAAACCGGCCTGTTATCTGACGGCACGTTGTCTGCGGCTTGATAGGTATAAAGTGGTCGATTTCCAACCGGAATATTCACCAGGAATTTTTTGATCGTGAGGCGGTATGGTGCATAAATGAGAGACGTTATCAATGGGTTGACGATCTAAAACAAGTTCTGTTTATTTCAGTTGATCAGAGAATCTTACCGGATTGAGAGTGAGCAAGTAGACTAATACCCAAGCGATCCAGTTCATCATCTGTTTTCCTTCGCAACTCAGTTCCGACCATCTAGAAACATTATTAGCTCCTCAAAATCTCAATGATCATTGGCTCACGTGAACAAATGGATCCGGGCCAAGTTAACGATTCGATAAGGCAAGAGACTACAAGAAGTCCAAGCGGTGGTTGCAAAAATAAAAGCGAGAGATTTCATCTTAACATACTTAATTAAGATATGATTATGATTACAGCAGCAACAACAAAGACTTGCTTTGTTTTTGAAAGCGTTAGTGTCCCCGCCGTTGTTTCTAGCGTTTCTCTTCTTTCTCGTCAGATTGAAAAGGTACATTGAAACTATCAATGATGACGTCACTGGCAGCACACAAAAGAGCATCGTGAATATCTCGTAGTAGAACTTCTTTCCCGAAGACATCTGAAGTTCAAAAGTTAGTGAGAAGCTTATAAGATGTTAGGTGGTTAGAAAGTAAAAGGGTTAGTAGAACACAAAAAGTGCATTTTTAGGTGTGTTTTGAGTGACATCTTACCAATTCAGGTAATGCTATTGGTCGCATTGTTGCCAACTTCTAAAAATAGGTTTCATACATGTAATAATTCAAATTTGAATTCAGCGTCTTTCTCAATGAAATTGAAACTCAGACCTGAAGAGAGCAGTCTTGATGAAAAATGTAGACAATTTTAAACATCCAGCAGTATGAGACGAATCTGAATAGTTACGATGAAGCTTTATATTTTTTTGAAAGATACCCAATTGAAACGGTCCAAATTGCGAGGCAGAACATAGCAGCTCTTCTTTTTGACATCGACCGATCATAGTTTAGAGGCCAACGGAAATAAATTAGCTGGAGTTAAAAGAAAGGTAGAATTTTCGCAAACTTTAATCAACCTTATCAACGTTCAAAAGAGTTAATGACAGTCCTGATACAGCAAGTCCAATCCAATTGAAATAATGGACCACGGCGCAGAGATGTTTCTGTTGCAGGAACTCATGTTTTCTGATGAGAAGTTCGTTCGGATGACAAAAAACTAAAAGAAGCAAGCATTTCAAGATAGTGTCTTTTTCATCAACTTGTGAGAACAAGGTCGCCGATAGTCATATTCAAAATGAACAGATGCATCGTGTCTCCGCTTCTTTTGAACAGTTTTATTGCGCAGAAAATCACCATCACGTTGAAAACAGTGGCCGCCATGCTGGCTGCTAACAACATATCGTCGACCTAAATTTCGTAAAGTCATATAGTCTACTCATTTATTTGTCTCATTAATAGTATTTAAAAAAGTTTTCTATTCAAAAAGATTGCAAAATTTCTTTCAGAAACGAATCCATACCGTGTAAGTGAAAATTGTGAAAGCAGGATCATTGTAGCATTCTTCAATTTCGCTGGAAATGGCCATCTCCGTAGTGGAGATCAAATCCACAAGCGTTTCATTTTCGATTGATGAAGCTTCCGAGTCCATCGCCTTTTTATAAACTCATCGGCTCGGATCGGGTTACCACAGTTGTTTCTATACAAACAGTTTTGAGAAAGATTTCAAAAGATTTCAAGACCTGAGAAGAGGAGGAAGGAGCTGGAAGACAGGAGCGGAAGGAGAAGAAGGCAAGTCGGAATCGTATGAGCAAACGGACCTTCTCATAGCCCATCTTGTACAATAGTAGCCAATTTTGCAAACGACTCGACATTTTGATCGGGGCCAATTCGAATGGGCGCCTCTCAAATTTCAGTTCCTTCTGAACACGTTCCTCAATAGAAATAATGACAAGAAATGGGGTCCCGAACTGTATGGAAAATTATTAGATTTTTTTGACCTGGAAATTAATTTTTGACTTGCGGTTTTTCATTTATAATATATTCAAATAAATTAAGAAATATACTTCCACGGTTTTTTTATTGCAACAGTTTCGATTTTTTTCTGGAGGATGAAAACTGTTGGATATGAGATTATGGTTGGCACGTCCTTTTTGATGACGAAAAAAACCTATTTTTTTGCATGGTATTTGTTTTTGAAACTCTTATTATCTACTTTCGCGAATAGTTTCTGATAATCACACTAATCACCCATTGAGCTTTATTTATTTGAAAGTTTTTAAATAAAAGGCGTATCTTCTGAAAAATCAAAGCGCAGTACGAATTCCATAATCAGTAACTAAAAAGTTAAAGATGCAAAAAATGCTGAGAAAAATCTTGTCAAAAAAAAATTGATGAATGCTCCAAAAATGAAAAAGACAAATCTTTCACCAAAACGGTTAAAGAATGAAGTTAAAGCTACAAAAAAAGGATTTTTGAAAAAAATTAAAGTGAAACTTAACATTTGGTTAATTTTTCGAATTTCTACGCAACTTTTTGAACTGGCTCTCAGCTTTTTTTTTTGCCAAAAGGGCCTGAAAAGTTGCAATACCCAACTTACCCTACATGTTGCTCGAATTTCTGAAAACTTATTAAATTATCGGAAAAAACCAATTTACTTTTGAACTCAACTTTTTCTTTCCCTTTATTTAATCCTTTTTTAGATATTTATTTTTTGCATTTTGTATTAATGTTCTCCAATTTTTTTCACGCTTTCATAAATTTCACACATGGGTTTTTCATAGGTTAGTTACCATGGAAACTTCTTTCACATGTTTTAGGTTTTTTTCCCTTCGACAAATTTACTCAGCCTTTCTTCCTTTATTCGCGCATTTGGTGCTCAATCAGACAAAAATAATTTGCTTCGTCTCTCTTTTTCTAATTAGCAGCAAGCGCGTTTCAGATTTTTTTCTCTGGTCTTTGACGTCGTTTTTTTGTCGTGTCTTTAATTGGAAGCTGCTTTTATAATTATTTTTTTCCTTCTTTTTCTCTTAAAAATAGCTTTTTATTTTTTTAATAAAATTGTGTTCATTTGTTATTTTTTTCTTTCTTGTAGCTCGCTAAGTTATTATAGCGGTTAAACGAATAATCGACTTCAAAACTTCTTTTGAGAACGCTTCTCTCAAATTCTGCAAGGTAAAAATGCTTGAAGTAGAAAATTTTTTTTTTCGCCATTTTTGGCAAGCAGCTTTTTGCGTTGTGTGAACAATCAACGTTACTGGCGCCTTTGTTTTAAAAAAATTAATATTGATGGGAAATTTTTCTTTGTACAATTAAATTAAAAAAATTATTGGGTAACGTTATTTTTGAGGACCACGTTTGTCTAAATTGATTAGAAAAGGTCAAAAAAACTTCAAGGCGCATGATGGGCACCGCGGGAAGGTCACGATTCGTGGCGAGAACCCCGCACGCAATGGCATTCTCACCAGCCACACACATTGTCTCTTTCCTATTCTTTTTCTCACTTTTTACTGTGTTACCTTCAATTTTTCCTGGTTTTTTTGTGGCTATTTCCACGTTTTTTTCTTATTTGATTAGTGAAAAAAATACAAAAAAATAACAATTACTTCTGTATTTTTTTATTTGCATATCAAAAATATATATATATATATATATTTTTGTTATAAAATCATATTTTTCATTTACGCACAATGCAATTTTTTTGAGATAAATTGTTGAAGCCTTCTTTTTTTGTAATTTTTTTCAAAAAAACGGTTAGTTCAGGGTTCATAATTCTCAGAAAAATTGGCGGAAGCAACTGGGAGACTAACGCGGATTACACTGCAAATCAGTTTCGAGCACTTTTTATCTCTTCCTTTATCTCGAGGACCCAATTTTTCTCATCTTATTTCTGATCTTTGAAAAAAACAAACTTGATTTAAAGATGATCTCAGTGTATCCCGTGTTAAATGTGAATTTTCTTTCGTGTTTTTAAACCATTCTTATTTTTTGCCGAAGTTCAAGTTAACTTCAGTTTGTTTTTTTCAGGTAAAAATGGCGAGTATCGATAAAGACAAAATTGCCAAGTATCTGCAGGACACTACTTCGTCGGATTTGCAAGCTCAAGCCAACAACTATTTGCAATCTGTGAGTTTTGTATAATATGTTCGTTTTTGCACAGACACCAACTTTTTGCACTGGGCACTTTGTTTCTATGAGAAAAAAAGAATGTTATTTCTATGTTGTCCAAAGTCCGATTTTTTTCAAATTTGAATTTCAATTCTCTTCTAACAAAAGTCAAGGTCTTCGAAAAAGTTGAAGTTGTCTTTCTGAAAAAAAAATTAACAAAAAGTTGTTCTATTAATGGCGTCGGTTTCTTTGTGGAGTCTTCTGATAGAGCAACTCGGCTAGCGTTTCATCTTGTTCTGCAGCAGAAATGGTGAATTGGGGCATTTTCAGCCGCGTGAAGCTCCAGCCGTTGCTCCCTCCCTGTTGGCTGTGTCCTCTGCAGATGACGTCAACGATCGAAAACTAAATCGTGATCATGTCCAAGGCTTGATGGCACGTTGGCGACAAGCCGTTCACCGCTCGTTCCGTCTAAAAGAGGATCCATGGCGTTCCCTTCCGAACGAAGATTGTCCAGTTCTGCAAGCTAAACGATTCCGATACACAGCGTTGGCCAAACGTTGGACAGAAGACGAGGTCGAAGTTCGTCTCCACCCTGAAGCCTTTGCCCGAGGAGCCATGCGCGAGTGTTACCGTCTCAAGAAACTCTCATCTCTGAGCTCCAACCGAGATTGGAGCTTTGCACACAACTACGTCGCCAAGCGGTACATAAATGACGTCGATCGCCGCGTCCTGTTTGAAGACGTACGACTCCAGATGGACGCCAAACTGTGGGCCGAAGAATACAATCGATTTGGTCCTCCGAAAAAGATCGATATCATGCAGATGTGCGTCATCGAAATAATTGACCTACCTGGATCTCCGCTCTACCATCTTGAACATTTCATCGAAGGCGAATACATCAAGTACAACTCCAACTCGGGCTTTGTTTCTGAAGTATCGAGAATGACACCTCAAGCCTTTTCCCATTTCACGTTCGAGCGTTCCGGCCATCAGATGATCGTCGTAGATGTTCAAGGAGTTGGCGACCTTTACACCGACCCACAAGTTCACACTGTTATCGGAACTGATTACGGCGACGGCAATCTGGGAACTCGAGGAATGGCGCTTTTCTTCCACTCTCACGAGTGCAACGACATCTGCGAAGCTCTCAGTCTGTCTCAGTTCGATCTGTCTCCCAGAGAACATCTTCGTAACAAGCACAAAACGGCTTCTCAATCTGCTCCAGCTACCGTCTACTCGCGTGAACGTCCTCCTAGTCTTTGCATGGCCATAACGGATAATACTGGAAGCGACGCGATGGAATGTCTCCGTAGAAGAACCACGTCTTCAAGAGCTTCGAGTACCTCACGTCTTTCTATGGAAAATGAAGATTCCTCTACGAGTGAAATTTGCGACGACGCTAAGAAAGGCGAGCTGCATCTTGACGATGACAAGGAGCACGTCGAGGACGATAAGTCGGCCAGTTCCGAAGAAGAATCTGACGTCGAGCGGGAGTTGCATCCACGAAAAGTTGGCTTTTACGATCTCAAAAAAATCCGCCCTGTCTCTCGACAAGATAGTCTTGGCAGCTCTATTGGAAAATCTTCGATGAACAGCTCGAGACTGACCCGCGAAACGGAGTGCGATGAGTTCTGGAAAGCAGCGCGAAAACAATCGATTCCGGCAGGCGCCATTTCCGCCATTCAACTTGCTGAACTGAGAAACTTTGAAGCACGCGTCAACCAAACGTCCGTTCTTGGCCAAATACACATCGACATCGCCCGATACTACGAGCTTGGACGTTTTGAAGAAGGCGAGAACAAGGAGAAGATCCTGCTGACGACTTGTTCCGACAACGAAGAAGTTAGCGGTGTCATCGACTACGACAAGCAATCAGCTATTTTTCATCTGAACGTGGCTCGCAAATGTGGTTCTCTCGAGGCAGTGATGACCTCTGCCCAGATCCTGTTTGGCATGCCTCACGAACTTTTGAAGGACGTTAACGACAAGGATTTGTATCCAAACACGCAGATGGATGCTGAGAATCGTCACAACATCGGCTTCGATTTAATGGAAACTGCGGCTGAGATGGGAGACCGAGGCGCGATGCTTTTCGTAGCCAAAGCCTACGAAACTGGCATCGGACTGCGAACGGAAGACCACACAAGCTACAAAAAGGCTGTCGAATGGTACCAACGAGTCGTCGGTTTTCAAGACAAGGAAGAGGATGGAGAGTGCTTTGCAGTGCCTTTTTCTCACTACGAAATCCTTGCTAAGATGGCTCAGCTCTATCAAGAAGGCGGCTACGGTCTTGATCAGGACTTCGAACGCGCCTACGACCTTTTCAACGAAGCTGCAGAAGCCGCGATGGAAGCCATGAATGGGAAGTTGGCCACAAAATATTACGAGAAAGCCGAAATGTGCGCTTGTTGATCTTCTTAGTTTTTGTATATTTTGTATAGATTCTCTTTTTCTTTTCTTTTTTTTTAAGTAGCTGATGAAGGAATGCTTTTTGGTTTTTTTCTTTACCTGTTGAATTTACTACAATTTTTTTGGTTTTGATCTAACGGTTGCTGCATAAACTTGCCTTTAATTTTTCCCTTTTCCGTTTTTTTTGTGTGCATTTCCCCTCATTTCTGCGGTGTTTTATCCTGTATTTGTCTTATTTGGCCCTCACTATGTTTTCTAAATAAATTGCCGACTTTTTTTTAAGTTGTTAACGTTTTCCTGAAAGCTTAAATGAGTTGCGCTCATGCACGTATTTGAGAACAAAAGAAAGAAACTAATTTCAATTCAGGTCACAAAAGCCGAGGGTCTGTGTCCAAATCTACTAGCAATCGTCTGCGAAAAAAAGTATGGGCATGAAACAAAACTGGCAGCCAGCATATTTCTCAAAAATACAATCATCACATATTGGGCGGTAAGGGATGACGATTTGAAAAATTTCTAGCTGCGATTTTCAGCCTGAGGATGATTCTATCCCAGAAACCTCGGCATCAGACAAAGTCTTTTTGCGCACACATATAATAGACGCAGTTTGTGGAGCAGGTAAAACGTTATTCTCGAATTTTCAATTTAATAGGAATTTCAGAGAGAACCTTCAGACCACATCTTCTTGCTTCGTTGAGTCAAATTTTGCGTTCTGATTTTGAATCAAATTGGCCAGAGCTTCCCAGTATGATTGGAGTGAGTAAAATTGAAGTGAAAATCAAAATAAAAAAAATTCTCAGACGAAGTTATGCGACAAACACCCTTTGATTGTGCAAGGCGCAGTACTTGTTCTTCTTCGTCTTGCCAAAATTTATGAGTAAGAGTAGACTTCAAATATAGAGTACAATAAGATTTGAAGATACAAAAGAACAACTGGAATGAACACCTACATCGACTTGATGAGCAAGGCTTTGCGCCACCTATTTGAAGTTGCGAAGCACGCGATTCCTTGTTTGGCCGGGCCGATGAACGCGGACAACATCGCTCACCTTTTCATACAGAAAAACGTGCTCAAACTTTTTTACGCCCTGACTCAGGTCCCTTTGGTTCTGAGATTTCCTTTCCTATCTATCAGATTCAGTATAGCATGAATCTGAGCATTGTACCTGAAGAATTTGCTTGCGAGTGGATGTTTCTCTGCATAGAAATCGCTTCGAAGCCTGAGCCTAAACAAGTTTGACCATATTTTTTGAAAATATTGAAGTTTTTTCCAGTTGGCAACTGCCGATGAAGATGACAGGGAAGGAGCAGTTTTTTGGAAATGCAAAAAGTGGTCCACTAGAATTCTGGAACGAATTTATGATAGGTATATATTTTTTTATTATATTATGAAGTAATTGTTTTTTCAGATTTGTTTCTCCTGGATCTGCCACTGAAACTTTCAAGAAGTTCAGCAGAATGTTTTTTTGACAAATGTAGCTCCCAGAGCCTTGGAAGTGTGCATGGAGATTGCGTTCCAGTCGAGGAAAAGTTTTGCGACCAGCAAAGTGAGTATATTTAAAAAAGATGAATTTTCTAATCATTTTTTCCAGGTCATCTACAACGCTTTGTCTTATGTTAATCTATGTGTTGCGTATTCAAGTACTTGGAAATTGATCAAGCCGCATTTCAAAGTGAGAAAAATCTTTTTGGGAGAATGTTATACCTGAATCACCTTTCAGGAGCTTCTTTCTGAAGTGGTCCATCCTGTGCTTTCACACACTGAAGATGATACAGATCTCTGGAATGACGATCCTGAGGAGTTCATTAGAGAGAAATATGGTGATTTTTTGAAATGAAGTCAAGTTTTCAAACTTATTTCAGATGCTTACGACGATGTGGCAAATCCTGTTTATGCTGCCACGTCACTCATCCTCTCGATTTCCAAGCGCAAGGAGATGATGAACGCCATTCTCCAGTACACAATCAATGTATCTCGAGAAAATACTTAGAAAACTGAATGGTTATTTCAGAAGCTTAGCAAATCAAAAGACAGCAAGGAGATCGACGGAGCTCTTCATATTGTCGGGATTATCGCTGATGATCTAATCAGCACTCCGGTACATCCGGAGAAAGATAAAGCCTTGAGATATTGCTTTCAGAAATATCGCAAAGAGGTTCCCCAGCTCTTGGATGCTCACTTGCTCCCAAATCTTTCTAATCCAGTAAGTCGATAAAAAATTTGAAGAAATCTCATATTAATCTTGAAGGAACGTTTCATCCGTGCTCGAGCTGCGTGGTGTGCTCATCAGTACAGCGAGTGTCCATTCAAAGATACCAGAATCCTCAGCCGAGTATAAATTCTACTTTTTGAAGTGTTTGAATCCGAAAAGTTCAGATCGCGACCAGATGTCTGCAGTTATTCCATGACCAAAACGAAGAGCTGCCTGTGCGCGTAGAAGCTGGCCTTGCTATCAAGTTCCTCATAGAAGAGCAAAAAAATGGTGAATACAACGTCATCTTTATTCTTATCATTTCTGAAATTGCAGAAGTTGTTGCTGAGCTCGTGCGTCCTCACATAGGAGAGATTCTGACACGAATTCTCGAAATCGTCTCAAGAACTCAAATTGAAGAAATGGTCGACGTTCTTGACTGTTTTGTTGAGAAGTTCTTGGACGACATTATTCCTGTCGCAGAAAATCTTGCTGAGACTATCGTAAGACTTTGAAAAAATCCTAAATTGATGAAAACATCTAGGCAAGCATGTACGTGGATATTTTGCGAGGGGAAAACGCCGAGGACCGAACTGAGGCTCTCATGCGAGTCACCTACGTCTTGTCCAACCTGCTCGATGTTAGTTCAGCAAGTGATAAAGTGGTAATAAGCCTAGTTTCCAGGCCCTGGAGGAGCACGAAGAACTTTTGCGAAAACTGGAGCCACATGTTCTTCGCATCATTCACGAGATCTTGACTCTGGGAAACATTGGTAAAAAAAACTTGAGCGGAAAGTCTTATCACTGAATTTTTTGCAGACTTTTACGAAGATGTTCTTCTTCTTTTGCGTTCGATCTGCAGCGTCTATATCTCTGTCCCAATGTGGGGAGCTTATGAGGCTCTTTGTGATTCATTGATGAACGCGCCATCGCTTATTCACCAACTGCCTGGTAAAAAAATACTCAAAAAACCTTCATAAAATCCATTTTAAGATTTCACGTCAGTTTTCCATCTTTTCGTAACAAAAGACAACGAAAGTTTCCTGGCTCGACCGGAAAGAGTCATGGCTCTCATTCACTTGGCCAATCGCGTTTTCCGGGTGAGATCATTTTTACAGAACTTACAAATAGCTTGCTATATTCAGGACATATCGCAAATTGAGGACAACTACATTCACGCCGGCAAAATTCTCGAAATCGTTATTCTTGTTTCTGGCGACCACATCAAAGACGTCAGTTGCAAGTAAAAGTAGTAGTTCTATAATCTTCATTTCAGTATATCCCTCACATAATTGAAGCCGTGATGTGTCGATTCGACAACACTTTCGGGAAACAGAGTACTGTTCAGAGTCAAATGATCTTGGTATCTTGAAGGCTCTACTTCACCATCGTGTATCCGTATTGCAGATCCTGACCGCACTGCTCCATGTGGACAAGTTCACCCTCTTCCAAGTTCTTTGTTCCATGGACCTCAACCATCTCACTCCTCCAGATTTCCTTTTGCGACATTTGATCTACCATAAGTTCAACGGAATTCACAACAGGTCTTTGGAAATCAGGAACGACATTAATTGATTTTCAATGTATTTCAGGAAACTTGCGATTGTAGGTATTCTTACCATTATGGATCTGCCTATTGAGTACCGACCAGAAACGTTGACTCTTCATCCTGGAGCGGTAAAATATTGAAATTTTCTGAATGAAAAAAGATTCGCAGATTATGGACAAATGTCTTGATCTGTTCCAAGGAATGCAGAAAGCTATCAAAAAGAAAAATGAAGCTGAAGAGGAAGGTTTTTGAAAATTATATTTTCTTTAGAAAGTTGAAAAATACAGAAAGCGAAGAAGAGGAGGAAGACGACGATGACGACGACGGTCCTGCCAGAAACGGAAAAAGAGTCGTCGACAATTGCCTTTCAGATGACGACGATGAAATCGACATTGTATTCGAAGCATTTTGTACTGTTTTCATCCTTCTATTCAGGACCATCTGGAAAGCATGCAAATGCTGCAAAAAAGCGACGAGAAGCTTGAGGATATTGAAAGTGACGATGACGACGATGACAATTATTCTGAAGTAAAAAAAGTTTTGCGCAAAAAAAAAAAACAACTTGTTTTCAAGATTGACGATCTCGAATTCACAACGCCAATCGATGGGCCCAATTCAATTGACGTTTTTGTTGGGTTCCGCAATTCGATGATAAGTTGGTGTTCTTTTTGAACTCAGAAAGAAACAAAAGTCTGCAGAAATCGAGAAGTCGGATTACTCTCTCTACTCGAAAATGCTTGAAGACATGAACAAAGATAATACTGCGTACCTTCCTCAATTGGCAGCGGTTGGCTGATTTTTGCTATAAATATGAAAAAAGCTATTTCCAGATTTGCGAGCAACACGTTCGCGCCAAGGAGTCGAGAGAAGTTGGTCAGGCGGGAGGATATAACTTCTCCAACCTCGACGTCCCCACCTCTTTCAACTTCGGTGGATAATTTGCAGAACCAGTCATATGTCGTTTTTGATAATCTTTCATAGAATCATCTTTTTTTATTTTTAGCAGCCTTCCATCTTTTCACAAATTGAATGCATAGAATATCGTGCCAAATTTTTGCTCTACCACTCTATCCAACTCATTGCGCCCTCTGACAATTTTTTTTTACATCAGATAAAGATATATCACTTGTTTTTCTGGTTACCGTTTCAAATTATGGTTTTTCTTGAGTAGTTTTTGATACTGTTTTGAAAACCTAATTTGGATCCAACTTCGGGATCTGTTACTAACCTTGCGGGTTATTAGTATCATTTCTCAAAACTCAGCTAATAACCATCCCGAAAAGGCCTTTTTCTCAAATACCAGCCAAATTTTTCCTATACTCATATGTATCTGATGGAACTTGTTGCTGTATTTTATCAGTGGTATGGATCGTGAATTTTGATAAAGTATGGTGTTGTCTGTTTCTAATGAACCACTGCAAAAGAAAAAGAAGTTATTTTCTTGAAAAGTACGGTTTTTACGCATTTTATTCAAAACAAAGCAGGAAAACAAATTAAATTTTCTGTATGATTTTTTGGGCAAATAAAAAGAAAGAACTAAAATACATGACGGCCACGACTTAACGATGGTTCAAAAAAAATTTTATTGTTTCCTGCGTCTCTTCAGGTCTGCAAGTTTTTTTTTCTTTCTTGTGATAAAATTATATTTATAACTTGTTCTCATTTTTTTCCTGACATAAATAACTATAATGCATGTGAAGGTCATTTTCAATGAAAAAAATCAAATTTTTATCTAAATTTCTTTGAAAGGAAAAACAAACACCAAAAAAATCAGCGGGAGAAACGAGATTCGCCAATAATTGCTTTCTCATTTATTTGAAAATTGATTTTGTTCTTGAAAACTTTGTAATAATGTGAGAAAGCGTGAACAGATTTCTGGCAGTGCCTGAACTTTATATCCAAGTTTCCAGTAGTACGAAAAAACTGAAGAGAACAATATTTTGCCAAGTAAGGTGAAAACAGATATTGGTCTCTGATTAATGGGAACAAGTCGTTTTGTGTTTTTTATTTGATATAATTTTGACGACTTTAGAAAAAAAATAGGAACAAAAAGGCGAAAATAACAAAAAGACGAACTGTTAGTATAATCAGCTTTTTTTGATTTCATAACAAAATCATCAAAAAGTATTGGTGAGCCAGGTATTGATTAGGAACAGTAGCAACTCAAAATGTCAATCGATAACCTTATATTAATGTAAAGTTTGAATGAGCCAAGATAGGCTTACTGTAATCAGGACGCGCGGTGTATGCAGACTGACCCGGCGCCAATGTGTTGACTCAGCGGCGCGCGCACAAACACAACTTCTCTCATTGCAAAAAGAGACAACGCGGCTTCCGTCTTCCTTTTTTTGTCATTTAATGCTCGTTTCTCACGCCGCTCGCTTCGGATTCCTTTCCTATAATTCGCCTTTTGTCCTCTTTCTCGCCTTGATTGACATTATCGCAACGCGAAAACTTTGTTCGCCTTTTGGGTGCCATTTTCATGTCTTGTTTCGTTTTGTCCCCGACATTATGTGTTGTGTGGATTTCTTTCCTGGTTTCTCTCAAAAGTTTAAAATCACTTGTAGCATACTTTTTTTAGAATCATCTCATAAGTTTAATAAAAAAATAAATTTTTCTACTTAATAGAATAGTATAAAAAAAATGAGCGTGTTTGTCGCATATTTTTTTAAGTTCGAACAAAAAAATTGAGCTTGATACTTTCATTCGATGTGTTTATGCTTTTTAATTACAAAAATAGTTAGTTTTATGATCAAAATATCTTTTTTTAAACTCAATCGAAAAAAATAGAAAAGTGAGTTGAAAACATGTTTATCTGTTCGCAAACTTTGTTTGTTTATTTTCGCAGATCTTTCACTCTTGCGTTTTCTTTCACTGAAATTGATGTTCTTTTAGTCTTTTAGTCAAATCGTTTGATTTTGTCATTTTATGGATTTGTTGTTCAGAAGTTATTTCAGGGAAGATGTCAGAGAAGAACCCTGACGTTGGACCGGAAAGCGTCGACATCAAACTGACGCCTCTCAAGGTGCGTCATAGCTATTTTTCATTTTCTAATTTGGCTTGTAAATGTTTCCTTTTCAGGGTCACAAAGGTGATCTCGTGGACGATACCGCTGAAGATGCCGTTGAAACTACTCGTCTTAAGTGAGCTTTATTTCTATACTTACCTGTTTTTTTTCCAACATTTATTTGGAAAGATGCAAACTAATGGACACTGAAAAACAAAAAACGGTTTTTGTTCACTATCAATATATCTGCAGAGTGTACAATCGACGATGGATTGTTCTGATCACGGTCGCTCTTTTGAACAACACCAACACAATGTCCTGGATCGCCTATGCGCCGTCTGGAAACTATGTCAATAGTTTTTATGGACCTAGCAGTGCTTCTTGGTAATTTTTTTTTGAAACGGGAGCGCTCTTCTTAGAGCAAACTTTTTGATTCTCATGAACTATTGTAAGCAATTATAAATATTGTCGCCAGAAGCCCGGCTAAATTTTAAGCATATAAACAAGTGGGTATAAATTTTCTCATTGATTACTTGAGGCTCTAGTAAATGGGATTTCCAAAAAAATCAACTCGAAAACGTTAGAAACCCTATGTTCAATCTCCCGTAAGCCAGCAGTAGAGTTATTGATCAATAATTTCACAAAAATCGTGTAAACTTCTTTTTCCATCCTTTTTCACACACCACTATTGGACTTATGATAAAAATATAGTTAAAATATTCAATTTTTGATCTCATGGATATTTTATCAGTTTGAGCTTTTTTCAACTATCCCTAAAATTTTCAGTTTTCGGTTTTATAACTAGAAAAAATGAGTTTCAGGTTTTCAATGGTCTACATGCTTTGTACGATTCCTGTGGGTTTCTGCGCTATGTGGGCTGGTCGCAAATTTGGACTGCGCAGTGCCATTCTAATCGCAGGTATTTTCGTCTAATCTTGGCCCGATTTGGTTATCAGTGGTTATCTTTGGAAGGGCAGAAGAAGGTAACAACTAGAAATGTTCAATAAAAAACATACTTTTTAGAATGGCTACAAATTTTTTTTTTTTTTTCGTTTGCATATTGGCGTTTATTGCATTTGATAGAGAAATCTTATTAAGAAATTGAAAAAAATTTCAAATATATCAATAGCCTGAAATTTGTAGGATGGACCAATGGAATCGGTAGCATCATTCGGCTAATCTCTTCTTTCGGCTTTGTTCCGGTCAACCTCCGATTTCCGATTGCGATCGTTGGACAAGCCATTGCTGCAGTAGCTTATCCTTTCATCATGTTTCTGCCCACTAAGGTGTTCATTTGAATCCGAATATGACGATGTCATGCGAACTGAAAAACCTTTGCTTTAGTTCAGGAGGTGTGAGGAAAGATAGGTTGAATAACGTTTTATTGGTGTTTTCAATGGTTACAAAAGCACTAGTGTTGAATGATAAATGAAAATCCACCATGAGTTTCATACCAAAGATCTCACCATATCATGGATTTTTAATAACAATTTTGAAAAATTGTCGAAACCTTTTGAAGTTTTTTATTCAGTCTTTTAAAAAGGTTCTCTGCTGAATCATGGCATACTTAAGAAGTTATTTGGCGGTTCACAGAAGTGTCGTTGATCAAGAATAGGGCGTAAAACATCTCGTCATTCCCGAACCAGTAGTAGACGAGTTTTGAGCGTACCGATGATCAAATGTTTCTCCATGTAGAAACAGTACGCCGCCCAGTTTGTCAAGGATGAAAAGCGTCGGTTTGAATATCTAGCGAAAGCGGAATTAAAGAGAGACGCCTTGGGAATTAGAAATTAGATGAAATCTTTTGTTAGAAATCAATCACGATTATAAAAAAGGCTCAATTCCAGGTTGCCGGATCGTGGTTCCCCGACACGCAACGCGCTCTCGCCACTACGATCGGAGTGATGTCAAACCCCCTTGGAGTTCTGATGGCGAATCTCATCAGTCCGAGCATCGTCAAAAACACCGACGACGTTCCGTATCTTAACTGGTTTACCTGTATCCCATCCGTCATTGTCATGCTTCTCGCTACGGTACGATGAGATTTTTTCATTTCTCATAGAAATTAGAAATTTAGTTTGGCGTCAACAGAAGCGAGCCGAAAATTCCGCCTACGTTCAGTGCCAGCAAGCCTCAGATGGACTTCATTCCTGGTAAAAAAACATTTTTCTCATTTTAGGAACGAAAGGTTTTTTTGTTTGAAATCCGCGCATAAGAAGTTCCTGTAAAAACTTCGAGATTTTTCAAAATTTTTTCTGAGAAAAAAAAACTTTTCCTTTCCTTCGAGAAAAAGCCTTTCAAATTAAAAATCACTGTTAGGAAAATTTATTTTTTACTATATGTAATTTTGCGACTTTGAATAAAATTGAAGAAGAACTATGGAAATTCTTAAGTAAGCCTTTAATGCTTCAGATTTGTTTTTGTGTTTTTATTATTATGCAGTGCTTTGAGAAAAAATTATTGCCGAAAAAAAGTCCCGTAGACATGAAAAATGATTTCAGGTCTCAAGAACTGCTTCACCTCGAAACAGTACATTGTCCTCTTGATTGTCATGGGCGGTGGAATCGGAATGTTCAACTGCCTGTACACTGTAATGCTTGTGAGTGGCTCAATTATCTTTCAACTTAAGAATTTCAAAAAATGTAACTACCGTTTTTCAGGACCTTCTGTGCCCCTCCGGCTATTCCAACACGTTCTCAGGTCTCTGTGCCGCTCTCATGATCATTGGGGGAGTTTTCGGGGCAGCAGCCAGTGGTAGGACTCGACATTTCGGACTTTCCAAACTGAATCTTTTAATTACAGGTATCTTTGTCGATCGCACCAAGTTATATGAAGAGACCCTCAAAATCGCTCTCGGTATCGCTGTCGTTTTTGGCTTGATTTTCCTTCAGGTTTAGCTCATCGTTTGTTTCAATCAATAAATAAGCCATAATTTCAGCTTTCTCTGCACCCTGATGTAGGAGTTCTCCTCTGTATCACTTGCCTACTGTTTGGAGTCATGGGCCTCGCTACGTATCCGATCGGTCTGGAACTCGCTTCTGAATGCACCTTCCCAGTTTCCGAAGCCACTTCCACCGGTCTTATCGTGCTTTCAGGACAGGTGAAGTCTCTTCATTCAGTTAAGTGACTGAAATGTTTTTATTTTCAGGTTCAAAGTGTGATTTATGTCATGATGATGAAGACTCTGTCGCGCCCGCTGCCTTTCCACAAGATGAAGTATCAGGTTTGGTTATTTTTCCTTGTTTTTTAGCTTTAGTCACACATAAACAAGAATAAATTTTTTTGTACTTATGCTTTATAACTAGCAGTTTTGTCAAAAGTTTCAATTTTAAAATTTCCTTAAAATCTGCAGAGGCAACACCAAATTTTTAAATGAAACTGCCACTTGTTCTTTTGTATAAGAAGGAAATTCATTTTGTAAAAACTTTTTTTCGCATTTTTTTATTTTTGAACTCCCATAAAATTTGAAAGAAAAAAATCGTATTTCAAAAAAATTTTAACAAGAATAAAAAGGCTAGATGTTCTCCTTCAGGTATGCCAGCTTGACAAGAACGACACCTCCAATATTCCGAAAGACAACTCGATGTCCATTATGGTGAGTTCATGCTTTAGCTGATATCATTAGCCAAGTAATGAATTTGAACAATTGCTTCGAGCTTTTTGTACTTTATGTCCGTAATTAATAGATTTTGGCCGAAATTAGATTGAATAAACCAGTTTTTGAAAAATTAATTATTTCTTTCTTTCTGTTGGTGAAGGAATCATTTTTCGGTTCGTTTCAATACCGAATCAAATTTGACAGAGAAATAAAAGTGAAAATCGGAAATGTTAAAGCTGGACGTTTGCGCGAGAACTTGCTGTTTCTTTTGTTAAGAAGGCGTATCTTCTTTCTCACTGATGAATCTGAGTTTAAAAAAAATGTATCAATAATTACCGATCACACATTCGCAAAGGTCCTTTCTACGGAATAGCCTCAACTTTCAGGCCTTCTCGATTCTGGCGGCGGTTCTAGTTTTCCTGGTGGTCCTGCTTTTCCACCCGGTCTATAAACGTCTGGAAGCCGAACGTGGCAACCGTGCGGCTGAAGACAAGGCCAAAGAGCGCGCCATTGAGAACGCCCGCGATAAGATAACCCTCGACACTGGTAGTCCGACTCAGCCCCTCCAGTCCTAATGAGGATCTCGACTTCTTTTTTTAATCCCAGCTTACTTTCTTCATATTCCTGTTGTGTTGTGTTTTACATGTTTATCTTTGATATCCCACAAGGCAGCTTTGCTTGATTTGAGACCGCCCAATTTCCATTTTTTTTTTCTGCCTTTTCGATTGTCTGTGTTGTGTTAAGCCTATTTTTAATAATCCTAATAAAGTTGACTCAAAACGCGGAAGTGCAGGAAATGACAATAAAAGGACAATCACTCTGGTGACTGTCGGCGCGTAAGAGATGAAATACCAGAGTCTGGTACGCTGCGATTTCTGAAAGTGAAAACATGTTTTGACCCCGCCACGTGTGGGAATTTCGACAAGATCATGTTCTTTTTTGAAGGTCTACTATAAAATTTTTACGTCATTTCCGATATTTATTTCTTTCACGTTAAAAGCAACGTTTTATTTCTGTTTTTTTTCGAAAACCCTTTTGAAAACCTTTTTTGTATCAGATAAAAGTTCTGAAAAAAACTCTATATTCCCATAACCAAACTTGAAACTTTCAGTCGACAGAAGAAATTCAACGAAAAAAATAATTTGTAGAGATGTTTTTAAAAACTGAAAATCTGCGTGAGTTGGTACATTCAGAACCACCTTAAAGTACGTAAAAGAATTTTATGGCAGATTCACACAGTATCTCATTCGATTTGGAATGGCCTTGCTTTTTGGAGAAATCGATTATTTTTTATTTGTAGATGCTTCTGACATCAGAACAAACGGCAACGGTGGCCGGCTTATCTTTTGTACGTTCCAGTGTACAGGCTTCTTTTTTTTCAAGAAATTTTCCTGTCCAATTGATAATCTATCAGATTGTCTACGTCTCCTGCGTCATTGGGCTACGTGTTTTTTATCTTAAAACAAACAAAAATGGCGTTCATTACCTGACAGGTAGCAGTTCAATTAGATTGCAAGTTATGAACATTTTACAGAAATCGAAGGAAGTTTTCAATTCCACTTCATCCGAGTGTTTTTTTCAATTGGCTTTTTTTTATTGCTCGTCATTTTCTATTTCATCGGCGTTCTTTTTGTCAAATACAGGTTGCCACATGCGTACCAAAAACATAAATCAAATCACATTTTCAGAAACTATCACAAAAACCGTTATGTCTCTCCGGCCAAAAAATTTTTGAGTGAAGAGTTTCTATGAAACAGGCGTGTCGACTATTCTCTTTATACTGTAACTGGCTTATTTTGCACACAAATAAATTTTGAATTGTATGGGTATTTATATATCAATGCAAAAGTGACGTCAGTCCGTAATTACCACGTAAAATTGCGTAATGATTTCGATAAGGCAATCGTCAAAAAGAAGGAAAGAGAAGGCGTACCGGTGGATTGAAATCTTGCACATGATTTTCTTTGGGTGTCAAAAAAAATCGGAAAAAAATAGATCAAGGAGAAATTTTAGTCCACTGCTTTTCAATTAGTTCTCCGTAGTAAATCCAGATGTAGTCTTGTCCGATGGTTGAATAAAAACTGAAGTTTGATTACAATGATGGATGAAACTTTGTTTGTCTTACATTCCAAATAACGCTCCGCCAAGGTGAGCGGCGTGGTCGAACATACGGAATCTAAAATTTTAATCATTTTGTTTTTATAATTATAAGCTAATCGATTCATTTTTTTTTTTTTGATTGTTTTCGATTTTTTTTATACCAGAAAACACTTGAAAAATATAGGTTTTTCTAGGACACAATCGGCCGTACGAAACACTAAGTTTTTTTCAAAGTTTTTTTATGATAGATTTTTATTGAGAGGCGCAATCAGGAATTTTTCAAAAAGAAGCATCTCCAAAACTGAATTTTGTGCAAGCTACGGTTGGAATGAGTTATTTTCTTATAGGTTTCAATATGAGGTTCTTCGATAAAGTTCATTTTTTACTTTTTGATATAAAACCGGAAACACCTGAAAATCAGTCCAGCGAGATCGAAAGCGATCATTCCCCAAAGCGCCGATTGGGCAGAAAACTCAAAGCCAGGCACAAAAACAATGGAAAGTTTTGCATCCGGGATTCGCATACACGTGTACGCAAGAGTAGCAATTATAGCTCCACTCTTAAAAAAACATTGATTTCGTTTCCATTGCATGATAATACCGCTCCAAGAGCTCGGATTGGATTTCTTGTTACCGCTTTATGTGCCAAACTGGTCAGCGAAGAGAAAACTCCGCCCGCCACGAAAAAAGACCAAAACTGAAAGCAAAGCGGATTTTATGTGAGAAAATTCATTATTATTCATAAATTCACCTGCTCGTGGCCTAAGAATTTTTCGACGACAATGCCAACAAAAGTCGTCGCAACATACATATTGAGAGCAAGATGGATTGCCGAACTGTGGGAAAAAACGCTCGTCAACATTGGAACGCATAGAGATTCTGGAAACATTATAGAAGTCAAATATCTTTTCAAAAAAAAGAAAACTATGAAAACTCACTTGAAGCAAAGCTGTTAGTGAAATATCGCCACATGAAAGTTTTTAAAGCAGGAACTTTCCACAAAGCGAATACACCAATATTCACTGAAAAATAATCTATTAACATGAGACGAGGAAGAAATTTTTTACTTCCAATCAAGGCTATGACGGTGTTGTTTGTCAGACCAATTTTCTGGAAGAATGGTTTAGACGGCTTTTCCCTACTGGAAAAACACAAATCGTTCAAAATATCAATCATGGTTCAACTTAGACGAAAAGAGATAATTTCGAATATTTCTTTTGCTTCTTTCCAAATCCACTACAATTGCAGTAGTGAACGCGAGAGCACTGGTCTGAAAAAAATTTTCTTGAAATAAAACAGAAAAAGAAACTCCAAGAGTGAATCCAAGGCATTTGTACAGGTCTTTAACTGGCCGAACGGGAATTTCGTCTTTCGTTTTGAACTCAAACGTCTTGTCGGTTTCTGGAGGAACTCATAATTTCAAGAAATAAAGAAAAACCCACTGTTCTGCGAATCCTTCAAGTTTTGCTTCTGAAGGCGGTGTCGGAACTCTTCACGAGTGAAGCGATTGCCCACACGCACGGCATTTGAAAAGTTACGACAGCCATTGAGTAACCCAATCCAAGCGAACATTTCTTGAAACAGGTAAACTTGAATTTTTATTAATTTAAATAAATATGAAATTTTTTTCGCTGAATTTGCTCAAATTATTTTTTATTTTTTTGATAACAATATCATTTCTGTTTAACAAAAAAATAAAAAAAAAGGCAAGTACAAAAATTAAGACAGTAATTTTTTGAGAAAATTTTTTGTATATTTTTCATTTCTAAAATACGACCTTCATGAAAATTAGGACCTTAAAATTTTCAATTTGTTTTTCGATAGTTTTTAGTTTTTGTATTTCTACTTTTCTGTGTTGGACATTTGATTTTCTTCCTAAATTTTATTTGTAACTTCGTTGATAATTTTTAATTTACAAATTTACCACTTTTTATTTTTTTAAATAGATTATTTTAAAAATTTTTTTGAAAAAAAGATTTTTTTCGTATAATTAATTTTTGAGATGTTACAGGGCATAGCGTTTTTCAAAGTTATAAAATTAAATACTAAATTTTTTTCTGTAAGAGTTTGGTGATTGGTGAACTTTTTGATGTCATAAAAAAACTTGGTCTCCCATAATTTTACGTCAAAATTTTTTTGTCTCAAGTGAACAGATTTTTCAATAGGCAAACAAAAATTGAAACGAATGAAGTGAATCAAAAATAAGATATCCAACGCAAAAAGTTAATGAAAAAAATTGGACAGATAAAAATAAAATGTAAAATACCGTCCAAATCGTCTAACTTTCCTAGTTGTCACATGAAAAGGCTTTAAGAAAGAAAAAAAAACTTAACATAAATGCCTTGTTTCCCCTATTGATATCACGAAAAGAATAGAAAGTGCGCCCTTTTGCAAAAAAATGTTCTATAGTTCATACTTGATCAAAATGAAATTGACGATTTTACGCAAAAAAAGGTTTTTCACATTTTTAGTTATATTTTTATAAGCTTCATACAAATTCCAGAGATAAAATTTTTATCGAAATTACTTGAAAACAAAAAGTATCGTAGAAGAAATTCAATCAATAGATACCCAATTGAAAGGCCTATGAGAAACAGCAACTTAACCAGAACTGAAAGAAATCCTTTATTTCTCAGTTCTCGAAAAAAATATGGGAATGGGAAAGCTTTCAGCAATTAGTTAGAGTGAAGGAAAACTGTTGAAATGGCACCTGCGACTTTTTTTGGTGAGGACAAAAAAAGAGAAGTTTTCCAGATGTGGAACGAAAGACCCCAAACTGCAACAGATGCGTAAGAGGTGCCCGAAAAACCTTGAGATGTTTCAAAAGCTAATTAAACAAATCATGAGAACTCTCAATAGTCTGTTTTAGCTTCTTGGCGTTGAATTATTTGGTAGATGCGTTTAGGCATGCTATCGATGGTCTTCTGGATGACGCTCTGTGGAATCAAGTCTCATTGCTCCACAATTTCTTCTTTGAGCTTGCGGATTGTTTGATATTGACATCCATTTGAGTAGACCCGCCAAGATTTTCCAAACTTTCTCGATCGAATTAATATCAGGAGAGCAAGACGCCCATTTCAAAACTCTGACTTTTTTGGCTTGCAAGGAACCCATAGTTGAAGCACTGGCGTGAATGCTGGCATTGTCCTGCTGGAACAAATAGCTCTTGCGTCGAGCACCCCTTAGAAAAGGAAGGAGATAACTTGCAAGTACGGACTGATACTCAGAAGAGTCTATTCTGCAGCTCACGAATGCGATTTTCAACTTCTCGCTCCACGATATTCCACCCCAGATCATCAAGCTTCCTCCGCCAAAATTACGTCGGCTGAATATCAATGGCTCCTTGTGCAAGTCCCTCCAATACGAATCTCAATCGTCTGCCCATCGAGATTCAACTTTTTTTCGTCAGTAAAAACAACTTGAAAAAAAAAATTTATTCAACTACATTACATGTCATTATAACCTTTTATAATTTGCAATCAACAGTTATAAAGATAATAAAGCTTTTTTCAGTTTTTCTTCATCTGAGTCTGCGCTGATTAGCACGACAGTCACTAGAAAAAGAAGAAGTCTCATATTTCTGTCCAATGATGGGAAGGAAAATTTTAACAAAGAGAGAAAACGAATATGAAAGTTTTCGAAGCAACTTCTTTATAAATAGTCTTCGTTTTGTTTATAAACATTGAATTTTTTTTCTGTGAAGGATGGATTTTTTCGTGATCCATGAGAAATTTGTTGATTTTTCGCAAATTTCGGAAGTTCAATATTCAACCTTCCATTAAAATAACTTCAGCTTGCGACTGAGAAACATGATTAAAGAATGCTAGCAAAAAATATTTAGTCGCGTAACTTCGAAAAACTTCCTTTTTCTTACCAGTAACTTTCGTATGAATCAATTTGATTTGATCAACTCTGGCACCCATTACAACAGGCAAAATAAACAATTAGTGAAAATTTTACTTGATTCGTACAAAATAATTTGGAATGGCGACCTTCAAAAGCTGCCGAATTGTATGCCCGTTAGCACGCAAAATTTGGTTAGAAAATCCGGCTACAACTTTGAGAATGTATGAAAAACGAATGAAGATAGACCATCTAAGTACCTAACATGGGAGGTCATTTTAGCGTAGGGTTCAGAATTTTTTCTAAATTTGCTCAAACAATCTTTGATGGACTGGGAATCGATCCCTCATAGTCGCTATCTGCACAAACTTTTTGTTTCGGAGATGCAGTTATTGGTGGCGCGGCCACATTCCTTCCAAACGGCGTCACATGGTTAAGGATAAAAACTTTGAAAAATCATATCTCCGAAACAAAAAGTTTGTGCAGATAGCGACTATGGGGGATCGATTCCCAGTCCATCAAAGATTGTTTGAGCAAATTTTAAAAAAATTCTGAACCCTACGCTAAAATGACCTCCCATGTAAGTACATGAAAAAAGTTTTTTTTTTCTGTTTTCTTAGAGGACCTTCATATGGTTTGAGCCCGTTTACTTTTAAAAACGCTCAAGGGCTTTATTGCAGGAATAGTATTTGATTTTTTTCTTTGCAAAGTTAAAAACTGTAGTTAACAATCAAATCAAAAACATAAAACCAGGAAACGAAGGCCGAATCAGTAGAATTTAGGCTGAGATTGAGTTAAAATCGAATTTTCGAAGTGATGGTCAACCTGAAATCAGTTGAAGTTGCAATAAAAATTCCTAATAGAGTTCTAGGAAAAAAAGGATTAAAATGGATCGCTAAGAAACCAGCCGCTAGTCATCGTGAAAGCCGTGCGTCGGCATCCGCAAGTCCACGATTGCTCGCTTTCGGAGCGATTTTGCAAAATGATGGACATCTTAAATTTTTATCAAACTGGTATCAACTTATAAAGCTTGAACCACCAAGTTGGTATGTACTAAAAAAGTTTCTAAAATTGCAAAACCTATTGATTGATATACCACTTACTTAGATACTTAGATACTTAGATGGTCCATCTTCGCTTTCGACCTTTTATTGCCTTTTAGTGCCTTTTATTGATCGAAGCGTGGACCACACGTTTTCCAGGAGATCTTATGCAATCGGTCATCCAGTGTTGTCGTCCTGGTTGACTGGTATTCTTGCGAAAAAAAATCCATCCGTGGTGTTGAACGTGTTATAGCATAATTGTGGTCTTATTATCCTTTTTGCCTTGCCAGGGCTAAAAAAGACCGCCCATTTTGTTAGCAGAAGCAAGCCGAATTGCGTGACCGGTGTACCGTTAGCCGCCATAAATGGCGTTGCCTCCCCATCACCGCGTAGAGGTGGTACTTGAAGGGGGATATACCACTTGTCCAGTAAAAACGCTTCAATAATTGGATACGCAGGTGCGCACCGGCTTACCGTAACCCAGATACTGTAGCAGGAAATCACACAAAAAGTTGGGTCCGCATTTCTGATGGTTGGCTAACCCACTGAATAAAGTTTCATCGAAATCAAAAATTTGTTCTCTTGTTCCCGTTGTTTTTGAGATTACAGAGACTATGTGTCAAGTCGCAGGCGGCCTAGTATGTCAAAGAGATTTGCTTTAACGTTGCTGATTAGTGCAGATGGAGATTACGTTTCAGATTGACCTGGGATAAACTTCTTTTTATGATAAAGTTAAAGTTACATCAAAACCCGAATTTCTTTCAAGCCATCCCAATATTTTTTCTATTATCTTTACTCAGTTTAGTTCAGTTAAAGAAAACCAGGCTACTCACTAATAATAATAATTTATTAACAGATCAGCGTGAACCCTAACGAGTTCACTTGGATCTAGAATTTAAGAGAATACATCATACAGTTATACATCATTTGAGCCGTGGAGGAATAGACGAGAAGATCTCGTGCAATGGTAGATTGACCAGTAGTGGTGGCTGAATCGAAATTTGGAAATGAGTTTGTTCCAAGTAGGAATTGTTTTAAAGAAAAGATCTTTAGAAAACTGACCTTGAGAACTCAGTCGAAGTGGATTCCGCCTTAAATTGGACCTGAGGGCAAAAATTTCGAACTGGGGAAAATGATCAATTCCGAAAAACACTAATAAACGAACGACCAATTTTTTTCGAAGTCTAAATTTTGAGCAAGTGCTTTCGAGGCAAAAAAAAACTTCGAGAACAGCTTTCACTCATTTGCACACACTTCCAATTTATGTAAGATGTCGTAAAGCTTCTGGCAAGTTTTCAAATTTTATTGCAAAAAAAAAGAAATGAACAAATTTTTTTCAAATGAATTTTAGTTCTATTGTTTGGAAACTGGATCCCTTCGTGAGATCCAGTGTGATTGTGCAGCCTTTGATTTTCGAGGAAGAATCTAAAACGTTTACTTTTTTTTGTTTTAATCAGATCAAAAACTCACCAATCCTGTAAATGAATTCATTAGCGAAATCGAAAATGAAAGCTGGAGTTTCGCTGAATTTCATAGTGGGAGGGCAGGTATAACTGTGAACATCCGCTCTAAAGTTCTAATGGTAGGAAATTGGAGTGAGATATTCACTGACGAAATAAATTCTCTTTGGGCGTTTTCGACTTTCAAGAACACGATATGTTCCTTATTTATTTCAACAGGAGGAGAAGTGTACGATGCTCCTGGAAAAAAATGATGAGTAGGAATTTCAACAAATTTTTTTTACCAAATTGTTTAACTAAATTTTAGGTTGAAAGAGCTCGAAAGGTTTTTGTAATTCTGAAACCTCACCATTCTTCGTAAAGTTTCCTTTGTCCAGTTCCAAAGTTTTCAATGACAATTGCGTTATAACTGGAAAAATGTATTTTTTTTTTTTTTGGAGTGATCAACCTATTGAAGCATTTCCATTGGTACTGTTAATAGAATTGTTAAGGCTTGGATTGGGATTGGAGCCGTTGTTGGCATTGCCGTTGCCGTTGGAACCGGCGTTGCCGTTCAGGTTGCTGCTCGGAGGACCAGTGACTGGCGGATGGCTGGCGTCCCATTTGATCATCTCCTCGAGAGCCTTCTCCGGAGTGAGCTGAACCACATTTGACAAAGAAAGGTGGCTCTTCTCCTACCGAAATCGCTCTGGCCCCAAGAAAGCAGGCAGCTAGAAGCACTAAAACGTTCGACATCTGCAAAAAGCATCAAGAGTCAATAAAACTTAGAACATACTAGAGCAGAAAAGAGAACTTGTGATTCCGCTGTTCCAAAGGTTTTTATAGGACTAGTGCTACGCGGGATGTTTATGATTTGAGAGAAATGTCACCCGTTTGTATTGGTTTTGTTTTCGGAAGGTCTTCCCGGTCACAGCAAAAGTAATGTTGTATAAAATTTAAATACTTAACGTACAAAATGAACTGTACAAAATGATGCATTCGTTCGGCAAAAATCTGCTTCCAACAAAAATGATTTTGAAACGAGAACTTTTCCTCAAAATCAGAATAAGTTGAAATGAAAAGAAAGTTTCCTAAAACTGAATAAATTTGTAAATCTGTGAAGTTGTAAGAAGTTTCCGATAACATTAATGAAAATAAACGAATAAACTTCAAATCAATGAAGTTAGCTTTGCCATAAAGCAAGAATTTAAGAAACGCACTTCTCAACATAATTATGTTTCTACCTGCGATTTTTCGAAAAATTCAACTTTTTTTCAGTAATACTAGTTTATTCACTGCCATAATATAACAAAAAATTATAGGAAAAACAAGGGATTACGTAAAAGATGAGCACAGGAATACTAATGCACGGGCATGAGTCAACCCTAACGAATGGAAAATTGCTCGAAATTATGAAAACTTTATGGGAGACGAGAGATAATGTTTTCATGAAAAGCACCAATCGGAAGATAATTCAATTCGTTCCAAAGAGTTTTTGGGGTAACGTTGAAGTCTGAATATGAAGTCAGCTCTTTTTAAAGAAGAAAAGGTTTAGAAGAAATTCATTTGATAACTGACCAGTTGTCAGTAGTCGAAGTGGATTTCTTAGCATGAGGGATTGGGAAAAGTATTTATTGCGATCAAGAAAATGATCAGAGCCACAGATGATTTTTGAAAGATTCTGAAAACGTTTTCGTTGTCATAAGATGGTATTCAAAATCAAATCAATGAAGCTTACTGCAAAGGACTCATCGGAAAAAAAATGTACTTGAAAACTTTAAAGTTCAAAAAAAAACTATATTTTCCGTTCCGCATAAAAATGTGTATATCCAAAGGAGATTTTGAAAACTTTTGAACTTTTTTTCCGAAAATTTTTGAACTTTTTTTCCGAAAAATTTTTTTTTTGAATCTATTATTATTTTCTCAATCTTTATGTTGAGAAACGGTTCAATAAAGGGCAAAACGCGTTTTTTTAAAAGAAAGAGTTTTTATGAGAACACTTGAGAACTTTTTGCGGTTTTTTTAAAAAAATGAAGCTTAAAAAAATCTTGATAAAATCTATGCAGAAAATTATTCTGAAAGACTTGTTTCTTCACTTCCGGAGATACTATTCTTATTAATTCATTCTGATTGTAGCTAAAAAAAGTTTTTGAATCGAAAAAGTTACAGAGAAGATTTTTTTATTTATTCAAACTCACGCAAACATGATTTTTATCTTTTGTTTTGATATTCGAGCTTTTTATAATATTTTTTTGTTTCAAATAATGAAAGCTACGGCTGTATTGAGCTTTCGAATCGAAAGAATACAATTGTTATCTTTTTTAGTGAAGAAAACTAATACAAAGTCAACCGAATCCAAAAAAACTAAACTCCTTTTTTTCTTTTTTTTTGTTTCTCTGAATGAGTTCTACTTGATAGTAGTTTTGTCAGAAGCTTATAGGTAAAACTGTTGCTAATCACCTCCAAAACTTGATATGTTGGAAATCGTGAGTCATCACGCTCAGTGACGACTAAGAAAAGCGCATTCGTGTTGAAAAAACTGACAACTTTGTCGAGAAAAATCGCTAACTTTTAAAATTTTGGAGAACATTCGAGCCGGGAACTTCTAGAAAAAATGAATCCAATTTGTTAAAGAATCAACCATTGCCGGAATTCCAGTTTCACTTTATCACCAAACTACACTGCGCGTCATAGTCATAGACGCACCCCAATTTCTGCAGTTTTCAAACGATAAGTTGAACTTCTTGCAATCAAACCTATTTTATGATAAACCTCAGCTAAAATAACTATCATTGGAAAGTTTCTTCTTATTGCACGGGTTCTATCCCCAAAACTTGGTCTATCTCGCATATAGTCTTTATCTTCAAAAAAGGCGATAATAGTGATCCAAACAACTACGGACCTACTGGTTTGACGTCGCATATTGCTCGTTTGATGGAGAGAATAATAGCTGGTTCCATTAGGTCCAAATTCAAAAACACTTTTTCACAATCACAGTTTGGCTTTTTGAACCATCGATCATGTGAACTGGTTCTTCTCGACTGCATCACGCACTGGAATAGATCCTTAGCTCTAGGTAGTAATGTAGACGTAGTATATATCGAATTTCTCAAAGCTTTTGACATGCTCCCCCATAACCTTCTGCTCGCCAAACTCCAAGATTTTGGCTTCGACCCAAAGCTCATTAGCTGGTTCGCATCATTTATATCCAACAGAAAGTCCTTTGTCATAAACGAAGGTATCATATCCAGTTCGGCTTTCAACATTACATCTGGAGTGTTGCAAGGAACAGTCTGCGGCCACTTTTATTCATAATTTTCATAAACGACATTATCAGCAATTTATCTGATAATGTAAAGGTCTATCTTTTTGCTGATAATCTTAAAATTTTTTCTGACGATCCTGTAGCGCTTCAGCAAGGCCTCAACGACGTTTTCGAATGGTCCAGTGAATGGGGTCTTCCCCTGGCCGATCACATAACCATCCTTCTCCATCTAGGCCGTAGCAACCCTCATGTTCAATATACTATAAATAATTTAACTATCTCTTCTGCTGAAGCTGTTTGTGATCTAGGCATTCTTATTGATAACAAACTAAAATTTAAGCCTCTCGTTCGTAAATTTATAGCCTTGTGCAAATTAAAAAGTAAAAAATTATCAGAGCGTTCCGCGCTTTGTCTTCCGCTCTAATGAGCCGTATTTTTCTTACCTACGCTGCTCCCTATATGGACTACTGCTGTGAGTTGTTCGTTCCTCCTTTAGCTTCGGAGAAAAATCCTACGATCTCGAAAACATCTTCCGTTAATTCACTCGTCAAACATTCATGAGATCAAACATTAGGTTTTCTAGTTATGAAGATAAGTTAGCTCAGATTAACACAAACTCTCTTTTTAGAAGAAGAGTCGAATGTCGTCTAAGAAGACTACATAAAATTTATATTAAGGAGAGTCATTTACCAGTTGCTCACAGTGTTTTCAGGAGGTCAAATTCAGTACGTGCTCCATCACGTCTTATCAGAGTAGGGATTCGTTTCGACAGTTTCTTTGAGACGTACATCCCTCTTTGGAATAAACTGGCTACATTGGGAAACCTCAATGTTTCTCCAGATCGTTTCAGGTCTTTGTTACTATCCCTCGATAACAATTTCCTTTTTGGATCTATTCCCAGCCGACTCCGTTAAACCAGGTACCCGTGCTTCACACTTACTCTAATCCATTCAATGCTTGTCTATATCATTACAGTCAATTAAATTTCCCTTTACGTGTGCTTCACTATGTCCTAACTTATAATGCTTTCTTTTTCTATTTACTTTTTTTAAACTTTGTGCAATCCTCGTTTCTTATTCTTACCTCATCATCTTTCAATAATGGCTCATAGGCTCGTGATGGCCTCAAGTGCCTTTTATTTATTTATTTCAGGCTTTAATGCCAATTAACTAACAATTTCGAAACGAGAAAATGGTTCTACGGTGCGAAAAATGATGTTGAATTAAATTCATTCACAGTTTATAGGACGCCTGGCGTTGTTTAAACCGACCTTTTTCTTCAATAAAAACTTTGACATGAGGTTTTTTGGTAACAACAGTATCCTAAGACTTACTTGAAAAGTTTAAAATTGATTATCCTTACAAGTGTTTGTACACTTCGTGTTAAAGGATTGAAACCTGTTGTCCCTACAAATTGAAGAAGTTTTCAAAAAGTTATTTCAACCCTGACCACGTCTTTTCTCAATGACAAAAGTGTTAATTTTAACCAAAACTGAAGTAAATTTGATCATAGACAGTTCCCCGAACATTAGGAGCTTAAAGCTAATGAAAGTTAATAAATCTTCCAACGAGCAAAGTTTTGCTTTTTTTCCTGTTTCGGAAATCGGTTCCAGAAAAGAAAACAGAGAACTTCCAGATGATCAAAAAGCACTTGAAATTCGCAAAATACTTTCTGTATGCTGTCGTCATCAAGAAACCTCATGTCAAAATTTTTATTGGGGAAAGAAGTCGGTTTAAACAACGCCAGGCTTCCTATGAACTGTGAATGCATCTGATTCAAAGATAATTTTTGTACCGTAAAAGCATTTTCTAGTCTCGAAATTTTCAGTTATTGTTCAAAACAACTTCATTCAAAATGGTCATGCGCAAACTCATATATAAATCTCCTGATAGTTTCAGAGGAGATAGATTTTTTTAAACTTTTGTTTTTGCTTTTTTTGCATAGTTTGAAAAATAAAATTGCTTGAATCATATCTACTTAAAATTCTGTGGCCACCTACTCACTTGATTGTTGATTTGAAATCAAAAAGAAAGGCAAAAGTTCTAACAAAAGCAAAAAATGAACGCTGACCCAGGGTGCGTCTATAATTATGACCCTATTTTTGACGAGTTTTGAACTTTTTTGTACTGATTCTTCTGTAGTTCTCTTTCCAATGTTAGTTATTTTAGCTAAGGTTTATCATAAAATAGGTTTGATTGCAAGACGTTCAACTTATCTTTCGAAAGCTGCAAAAATGGGGGTGCGTCTATAACTATGACACGCAATGTATAAAAAACCGTAGCAATCTATGAAAAAAATCAGACTTCGAAATCTTTAAACACGAGTTGCACCAAGAGACCTCGAAGTCTTCTTTTAAAAAAAATGTATTTTTTTCATTTTTGTTTCAAGATTACTGTCCCAGAACTACTATGAACGGTAAAACCTTTGTTTATAAAAAACATCGCTAACACGCTAATTTTGTTTTTTTTAGAGTTCGGCTTTTTTTTGCATCACATATGTGATGTGCTTTATCAGACAATTCATAGCGGAACACCCAGAAAAAACATACGAAAAATTATAATTTTACACGTCATCAGCAATATATTGTCAAACGCATGAGGCGGAACGATGGAATTACAAAACATTGTTTCCGCCCGCCTATAAATACAGCTGTATGGGGACTTCTCAACGTTCATCTTCCTTTTCAATTTTCTTCAAAGAATCGCTGTGTTTTTTTCTTTCTTTTTTTAAACTTTTTTTCCAGATGCAGATGCTGGTATCCTGGTTTGTGCTTCTCACAACAGCTAGCTGTGTAAGTTCATTCGTTACAGGTTTCTACGCAAAAATCGATCAAACCACTTTTTCAGATGGATCTCGACGCAGCGCTGGATGAAATGATAAAATGGGATACACATCACGCTGATCCGACACCGGGGCCAGCTCCAGCTCCAGCTTTAGCTCCAGCTCCAGCTCCAGCTCTAGCTCTAGCTCCAGCTCCAGCTCCAGCTCTAGCTCCAGCTCTAGCTCCAGCTCTAGCTCCAGCTCTAGCTCCAGCTCTAGCTCCAGCTTCAGCTCTTCAGCCCGGTTCTTCTGTTTCATCTGACTCAAATGAATCCGCTTCAAATGAGTCACATCTTAGTAAGTTCTCTGTTGTGATGAACACTCGGGTCTTTTCCAGAAGTTACTGGAATCTATTCACTCAACAAAAAACAAAAATGGACCAAATTGAAGAATCGAAGTGAGTTGTTTAAAGCTGCATTTTATTTAGAAATAATGAATTTTCGTCCAATATCTTATTTTTCTATTTGATTTTTTTATTCAAATAAAAGACTGTGGTCATTTAATTTGAAGCCAATTCATCTGGAAAAAAAGAACTCGAAAAAAATATTCGTTCCTAGCAAACCTCAACTTCAGAGAACAAATTTGTGAACTTTTTAACTAGTTGCACAAATAACTCTATTCAATAATTGAAATGAAAGTTGTACAGAGAAGGGCAATTACGAGATTTCTCTGAGTAAGCTCCCAAATGCCGGCAAGATGCGTATTGAAATCGACAACCCAAAGAAAAAGAAAATAAGGTCAGAAAAACCATTTTTTCGGTGTACTTTGGTATTTTGCAGCATACGAACTGAGGGGTGCAAAAAGACCTTCAAAAATATATCAAAACGCTTGAGCACAAAAAAAGAAAAATTCGAGCTCCCATTGAGTAAGTTTCACTGTGATAGTATAGTTTAAAAAAATATATGTTTGCAGAATTCTCGAAAAAGGTGGATTGTGTATTGACGCTGAAAAATTCGCCAAGGAAAATCGCAACCAACCAATGTGAAAATTCGCTTCCAGAAAAAAAGTGAAGCAACAGTTCGTGTTTTTTTAATTTTTTTCTATTTTTTTCACTCAATCGTTCGTAGTTTATCGAATAAATATTGAGAAAAATTTTTTTGTTGTTTTTTTCTTGAAAGTGGGAAAATATTGAAAAAAATTGATCCTCTGGAAAAATTTTTTTCAATAAAATTGTTTTTGATTCGTAATACAAAGTTTTTCATTACGAGTGTGCTATTTTTGTGCGATCAACAGAACCTCACTGACAGTGTCAGCTCAAACAATCCCATTTTGGTTCTTTTTTTCAATTGGCAAAAAAAATAATAAAAATATTTGGAAGGAAGGCCGACGGTGGGATTATGGGTTGCAAAGGAAATTCTGACGAAAAATTGTTTTTCGAAATATCGCGCAGTTGGCAATTGTAACAATTCTGGTTGGATTTCCAAACAGAGAGATTTCGGAAAAAAATTTATAAGAAATCCCACACTTCACGCTAGATCTTTTTTTCTTTCTAAGCGCAAATTTCCATTCTGGGAGAGCTACTCTGACTTTATACTAAATTTCATTGCAGTTATTTTCTTAATTATGTAAAATTATGGGAAACTTCATTCTCCGGAAAAAAAAAACTTGAAAAAGTTTCAAACTTCCCAATAGTCTAGCTGAAAGTCCAAGTTTAGCCGTTAAGCAGAACTGCTAGTAAAAATGAATTTCGTTATCAAAAAAAATCTGAAAAAAAACTTATTTCGTCTGACGGAAAGTTTACTTTCTATTTTGAGGGAGCTGTACATTTGTTATTTTTTGAAAAGAACTGAATAGTGTGTGTGCTGAGAGAGGAAATTTCATCGAACGACATTCCTCAGTTAGGTGAGCGCTGTTGCAAAGCGTTTTGTCTTTGCAAATTCAATACGTCATATTCATTATTTCCTTTTTTTGAAATATTTACTATTTTCAATCAAATAAATCATTTGTTTGGATGTTTCATTCATAGATTTAATCGACTAGGCGGTGAACAAGAACTTTTAAAGTTATAACGAACAACTGCCTTTATTAAACTAGAAGTCCTAACTTGTATTCGAAAGAGTTGAAAAGATGGTCTTACGGAATCTCTATACTTTTCCAAATCGAAAATCGAATTTCAAAGTTTCCATCTAACGAGCAGTCCCCAAGCCCATCTACAAGAGCTGACCTGAGCTGGCCGAGGTGCAATCGAATGGAAAATTTAAAAAAACAAGACTAAAGATTGTAAGGACTTTTTTACAGCTTGATCGATAAAAGATCAAAAATCGTCCCGCGCAATAATCTCGGAGCGAGATTTTTGCGAGTTCGTCAATGTACCGCCAGCGGCCGCACATTTTTCTTGCGCCAGACGCGGCAGTTATTCTTAGGGGGATTACTCATTAAAAACAAGAAAAACGAAACTTGAAAGTTTTTCATTTTATTTTGTAGGTGGATCGTTCATAATAAGTCTGTGTAGCTTTTTGGGCGCTCTTAAGGTGGGGAATGCCTGATTCACCGCTAAGCTTAAATTTCAATTTAAACGCTCTTCTTTAAAAAAAAAAGAAGTTTCAAAAAGTTTTTTTAGAAAAGGCAATTTCATATGAAAAAATGCCTATTCGAAAAGATAACAAAGCAGAAAAAAACATTTTTTTGCATAACATCCGTAACGGTTCGGAAAAAAGATGACGCTTCAAAATTAGCATTAATGTTTTGGTTTCAAAAGACATAAATAGAAAGATGAAAAAGCTTTTCTAGTCATCTCTTTGCCTGTTCCTGTTCTCTCTGCGTATACAGCACGGTTGAGATGAGGACAATTTTTTTCTTTTTTTGGCGGTTCTCCTCATTTCAGCAAACTGCTCTTTGGTGATTCATTTCATTGGTGGAAGCTCACAATTTACTTTTTTTCAGAAGCTGAAAAAAATGAAACTTTGCACAAACGTCAAATAAAAAGTAGTAAAACTTTATCTAAAAAAATTTTTTATTGGATTTTTTTCAAACAACTTTGTCGTAAGTTCTTCCTTACAGGCAATTCGATAACATACGAACCGAAAAAAAGGAGAAGTTCAATTTTTGGAAAATCACAGGTATTATTTTTAACTGTGTTAATTCTTTATAGTAAATATACAATTGGGTTCGAAAAAATTCGAAAAAAATTGAAAATCAAAAACTTTTTCAGAAGATCATGTAGAAGTAAAGTTGGAGAGCTTGGAAAAGACAGGGAGACTCCCGATTTTGATCAATTTCCCCGGCAAAAATAATCGGTTTGAAGAATCATTGCAGTCGCGCTAGTTTTTTTTTCTAGATATCAATGGATAGCGAAGAAATGTAAGAAGACGTTCAAGAAAGTGCATTTCACTTCGAAGAAAAACACACACCGCATTGAATATGGCAAGTCAAAGAACTCCGTTTAACGTTACAAAAGAGTTTCAGTGAAAGTCGAAAATCCCCAAGATTGTAAAGCAATTCTATTGATCAAGAACGGGAAAGAAAAGAAAAAAGTCGCTATCAAGTTCACTGGATCTGAATAAAACCGCTGAAGAAAAAATTCAAAAATGTGTTTCTTTTAAATGGGATTAAAAAATTCGGTTTATTTCTTTCGTTCAATAGTTTATTCAAGTGAAATGGAAACCCCAAAATTCATCGAGGCGGAACCGGTCACAAGGTTTCAGATCCCTTTGCAATTTTTTTGAGATTTTTCTCGGTTTTTTTGAAATTGTTTCGGTTTTTTCGCCGTGTAAAATTCGCATAAAAAGTATCAATTTCGCATTATTTCTTTGTTTGAGCTTGGACAAAATGGCAAAGCTATTGGGACGGCTTTTTATGCTCAAAATGTGTGCAACAGATCTTGAACCAATATAAAATTAGTCAACAAGTGGTCGGAAAAATTCCGATCAAGAGATATAAGACCGCGAAAGAGCTCGACTGTTTTTCAAAATGTCTCACTTTCGTTAACTATTTCAAAGTTTTGGTGATTGCACCTCTGAGATTACCTATTTTTTTAAACATCTAAAAAGGCTTGTAAACATTAAAAAAACTCATCTCATATATTGATAACGGATTATCAGACAAAGCATGACAAGGAACATTTAGCGCATAAAAACGACAATTTTGAAATCTTGACGCCTGCAGAAAAACTTTTTCATCAGTTACTCAACAAATACCACATACTTTTCAGCAAATTAAAAAAGAAAATGAAAAATAGAAGTTCTCTAACAAGCCGCAGCGTTAGATCAATTATTTCACTTTCCATAGACTTTAAAAAAGTTCCCCGAAACAATCCACCAAAATAATTGATTTTGTCGACTTTTCGGTAGTTTGAGGCTAGTTCATATAATTTTAGACAGCTGAATTCTATCTAATAATAAAACAGAAGCCACTACTTTGTCATTTGACAGGAGGGAGCCGGAAAATCTAGCATAAAATAAAGGAAATTAATCGAAAATTACCAGAAGGAAAAAAATTCAAGCTTTCGCTTCGAAAGCTCCTTAGGAAAAAAATCTTCTGAAAAGTTGGAAAAAAAGAATTTTTGATCAGTTTTTTTGTATTAATCATCTGATTGCACCTTCTATTATTAATTAACTTACTTTTTAATAATATTCGGGTTTTAAATGCTACTTTACTGGTGGTATGAAAAAAAAAAGCCAGCGAATTTTTGCAAGGCGACATTTCCGACGATGATACTTTTTAAGGCTGTTAAGTGATTCAATGATTCGATCGGATGATAAATGCATAGAGCCGCGCCTGAGCTTTGCTGCGGAAAAAGAAGAAATTTGCAGCTCATTTTTCTGATTTTAAACTGCGAGATTTTTGCACAAATCCCTTCAACAAAAAAAACTGTTCCAAATAAAATTGCTTCTACTCCTTGTTTGAACGATTGCAAACGTGCTTTAGCTGCGCACCTTTTCATCGTGTGGATTTTTAAAACGAGCTTTTTAATTTTTAGTTGACTTAGCTTGGTGTGTGCTTCTTTGTCACGGCCACAGTAACGGGTACAAAAAACTTTGTTATGACCAGATTTTTGATCTCGAAAAAAGTTGCGAGCAAAAAAATTCGAAAATTTCTATTGCGACGCGGAGGGAACAAACATTTTCTTTTTGATTCGTATAATTTGAAGTCCAGCAACAGCGAAAAATGACTTCAAAGGGAAACATGACGCTAGTTGGCTTTTAAAAGAAGACTTGAAAACACGAAAATGAATAACTGTTAAGCAGAAAGGTACCGCCTACCAAACTCAGGTCCCAAACTCTTACAGAACTTCACTTTCACAATCTTTCTTCAGACTAAGAAAAAATGCTTTAAATTCCATATAATCTATGTTTTGTGGCGTTTTCATTTGTCTCTAGCAATTAACGACGCCCGTCAGCCCTGGACAAGCTCGGCGCCGTACTGTTCCAACTAGCTGTCACTCCGGGACGTATTGGACAACGATTGTGGACTATAACCAGCGCCGACGACTAACTCTTCGATTATACCATGATTCAGCAGAGATTTTCTTTATTTTTACTCTGAAGACTGAATAAATTGAATTTAACTGATTTTAATCTAATTAACAACCGTCACCTAAAAAAATTTGTTTGAGAAAAATTTAAGTAAATAAGCTGAAAAACGAAAAATTCCAAAAAAATTCAAATTTTTAAAATTCAGATTTGGCTCGATTATGACGTCACTAAAATGTACAAAACTTTTCTCAAAAAAACAAAAAATAGAATTTTATGGATTTTATTGACAGAGACAGATCTTAAAAACGTGAAGGTTTCATTTAACAATGAGTTTTACTGTAGTGGGCGAGCCAACTCGGTAGATTTTGATCCAAACCTGGCACGAATTCGAAGTTTTTGAGGTTTTCACAAGACCTACAACTTTTTAAATTAAAACTTACATGCTTGAAATACTTACTGTATTCTAATTTATTCAAATCAATCTGGACATTTTGCGAAAGTGTGAAGAAGCAATTGTTTTGGATGACGAAAGGGCTGAAAATGGATAGTAGAATGATGTGGACATCTTTAAACCGACTTTAAAACTTGTTTTTGAACGTTATCGAGTTCAATGCTTAAGATTCCATCTGCTACTTGGCTTTGCGTAATCGTGAAGTCATCTGAATTTTTGAATACAAAGAAATTGCATCCATACTGAGGTATCTTCTCTCACCTCCACTCGACAAAAATTCTATAGGATTGGTGTTTATTTTGAGCAGAACTTTTTTGACTTCTGTGAAAAAAAGATTGACATCAGCTAATACGCAGTACTTACTTATAGACTCCGAATTTACACGAGGGTGTGCGCTCCCGTTTCCGTTGGTATTGTTAATAGGATTATTAAAGCTTGGATTGGGATTGGAGCCGTTGTTGGCATTGCCGTTGCCGTTGGAACCGGCGTTGCCGTTCAGGTTGCTGCTCGGAGGACCAGTGACTGGCGGATGGCTGGCGTCCCATTTGATCATCTCCTCGAGAGCCTTCTCCGGAGTGAGCTGAACCACATTTGACAAAGAAAGGTGGCTCTTCTCCTACCGAAATCGCTCTGGCCCCAAGAAAGCAGGCAGCTAGAAGCACTAAAACGTTCGACATCTGCAAAAAAAAAGCATCAAGAGTCAATAAAACTTAGAACATACTAGAGCAGAAAAGAGAACTTGTGATTCCGCTGTTCCAAAGGTTTTTATAGGACTAGTGCTACGCGGGATGTTTATGATTTGAGAGAAATGTCACCCGTTTGTATTGGTTTTGTTTTCGGAAGGTCTTCCCGGTCACAGCAAAAGTAATGTTGTATAAAATTTAAATACTTAACGTACAAAATGAACTGTACAAAAATGATGCATTCGTTCGGCAAAAAAATCTGCTTTCCAACAAAAAAATGATTTTTGAAACGAGAACTTTTTCCTCAAAATCAGAATAAGTTGAAATGAAAAGAAAGTTTCCTAAAACTGAATAAATTTGTAAATCTGTGAAATCAAAAAAACTCCACTATAACTTCAACAATAAAAACGAATGAATTTAAATTCGAAGAAAATAGCCAAAGCAATAACATCTAGGAACTAGGGGCTTAATATTTTTTTTCTCAAAATTAAATTTAAACCCAGTCGCCATCGTGGGGGAGCCACGAAACGAAAGGATTTGGGTTTCCCCCGCAGTTTTTCAATTTTTAATCAACCTAAACTCAACAAAAGTTTGAAAATTCAATTCATCGAAACATTTTTCACTGAAAAAAATATTCCCAAATTGTGTGCCTTTCTGGAAAATCACTCACTAGCATCATAAAATATGCTTCAAAGATCATAGTTTTTTTCTGATTCAAATTTTTTTAGCCTTTTCACTTGTTCATAACACTAAAGACACTTTTACTGACAATAAAACTGGTGTTTGAGTAACTGCATCTTCTCAAAACTTTTCATTCATGCACTTTCACCTATATAAGTTAGTTTCAACGAATCTTCACTACATTAGGATCTGCATATAGTTTCTGAACAAAGTTTGAACAATTTCGTACTTGTTTTAACTGCGAACCTAAAACGAAACCTTTTCCCCCCTGGGGATTTTGAAAAATGACCTTTTTTGGGAAAAATTTTTTTTTAGCTGACCTGAAAAGGTGTATGCTCCTTTGTTATGGTAACCGTAACGGAGACAAAAAACTTTGTTTCGAATAGATACTTCGATTTTGAAAAAAATTATAAGCAAAAAACTTCGAAAATTTGTATGCCAGGGCATACAAATTTTTTCGGTTCTCGGACATAAAAATTTTTTGGATAAAAAGAGGTTTTTTTTTGTTTTTGATTTGGAAGTGACCTACTAGATGTAAAAATGTGTGCTGATTACGATTTTGTTAGTTTCAAGCAGAAATAGTAATAAATAAGGAAGATATTCAAGATATTTACTCAAGATACATGTTTTTTCGATTTTTTGGGTCTTAGATGGAAAGTTCGCCTAATCCATGTTTGGCTCAAAAGATAGAGAATTTTTTTGTGGTTTTAATGGTAACAAGACGAAACGCCGGACCGCAACGTCATATACTGGTTTTGATTTTTCCGAGAAAAATGTTCTAATATGAGTCATACTGAGCAAGTATGAGGTATAAGATTTTTAAAATTTAAATAAAATTTTTTTGCACCTTGTGACTAACTATGAACAGGATTCGTTGATCTTTTGTCGAGATATAGATTTTCGAAGCTTTTCACCGTAATCGTTTGAGCTACCGTATCTCGAAAAACTAGCCGAATGAGAATATTCGGTTTTGTGTTTAAAAAAAGTTCTAAAAAAATTGTGTTTTACAACATATTCGATTAGGAGAATAAGTTAACGAAATGCCCCTTTTTTTCCAACCCAGCCTATACCCAAATGGCGCAGAACAAGGCTGCGCCTAATTGATTTTTAATGAAGTGGAAACTAATCTGTGTATTAACTATTTTTCAACATGGAAATTTTTTTAGCAAGAGAAGGTAGTAGAAACATTTTATCTGAGAACAGCTTGGTTTATCTTTGTCTTAACAAAGAAGGTTTTTACTTTTTGACTTCAGTCTCTTGCAAGAATTCTTTATTTAATTTTTTCTCAAACAAATAAAAAGAGAAAAGAAGATTTATCACTCAAAATGTCAAATTATCTATTTGCACGTTGTTACTATTGCACAGTTGACGTCTGAGCTGAGTAGGACGGAGGAACCTGAAGATCCGAAGAAACGACGCCGCTGAACGAATTGTTGGCGTACGATTCAAAGTTGAAGGAAAAGGAATTTTCGCGGTCCTTCAAGAAGTTGTGGAAACCGTAGATGATCTGAGAATGATTTTACTTGACTTTGAATCGGTTTAATGTCCTCACGTCGAGGAAGTAAGCTTGGAATAATCCTCCGATGCACATGAAAAGAATGAAAAGAACAGTGAAAGTTGCAAGCTCTGAACGAATTTTAGAATCGATTGAAATATTTTTTCGAAATTTCCTGAAAAAAGCTTCTTTTTCTTCAAGGTAAGGGGAAAGTGCTAGAGCCAATACTTGCTTTTTCTCTTTTTTAAAACTTGATTTGGAACCTGAATCCAACGTTTCTTGTGAAACATCCAAATCAATGTTTCCGAGATTTCTTCCGAGATCGACAACCATTCTAGATCCGGCGGCAATTGAAATTATGAAAGCAAAAAGGATTATTATGGTAATTGCGATTGACATGAGCTGCAAATGATCTCATGAAATCCATGTTTTCTAAAGTTCAAACCTGAAAAAGTAAATATGGAAACAGATAAAGTCGCTTCTCTTTGTAAACACCATATAGCAAACTGCCAAAAACGACGACAGAAAAAGCCGCGCTGGAATAGTTCTCTCATTGGGCTAATCAAAGCTTTTCGATCACCTCATCAGGGTGTACACAATGACAGTAGAACTGCGCGTAAAGCTGAAGATGATGTTGATGGCTGTGAGGACATTGACGATGATCGCAACTATCTTGGCACTTTTCTGAAATTTGATCCCTTTTATGGGCGATTTAGATTGAATCGGTGCGTTTTGTTTCAGGTTTTTTGATATCTTATCGAAAACCCAAAAGGTTCACCACTACATTCTTCATTTTTAATGAAAAAAATCGCTTCTAAAAAGAAGATTTTTAATGATACTCTTTCGTCGTTTTTTGAAAAATAAAAAAACGGTGTCAGAAAAATTTGAGAACTTTTATCCTGTAACTTGGAGGACTAAATGTAAGATCAGAGGTCACCCTATTTTGTGTAACACTGGAAAATAAAATAATCTCACCCGAATATGGACTTTGCCGAAGCAACTGGTGTACTTTTTGTCGTTTTGGTCGAAAGGAGCACGGGATATGCTGGCAGCCATCGCGGCGTTTCAATGCCGAAGCCGAGGATCGCCATGAGAGATCTCGTCTGTTTGTGCACCTGAACGTGCCCTATTTCGCCACTGCTTTTCAATCACAGCATGTTGACTTGCAGCAGTATTGAAATCAATTTCTGCTTGTCGATGTGTTGAGAAAAAACAACAGAATGGAAGATCGAGCCTCAATGATAAGTTTAGAAATGTGTAAAACAGAAAGAAACTAATTTCCTTCCGAAAATCAATTCATGAACTTTGAAAAAGGTTTATCGTTCATTTTTCTTACTTAAGCTGCACGATATCAATAAAATGATTTTTTCGTAGTCATGAAGAAGGATAAGTAGAAACATGAAGAAGGATAAGTATGCTTGAATATTTTTGAATTTCATTGAATATAGAACGGTTTCTAGGATTTGAAGAGTTATTTTAAATTTTTAAGATTACTCGGTGAGTCTCTGGAAATGAAAAAAAGCTTATTAAAATTCAAAAGAATTAAAAAGTTTGAAATTTATCGAAATTGATAAAATCTTACGGAACAAAGTCAAATAGAGGGTTTCTGACTCTGAGTATCAATCAAAATTTCGCAGTTGATCGTTTAAAAAAATATAAACATTATTGAGAAACGTGCATTCAGAACTCTTCGGTAATAGTTTTTTTGAATTCTCCAAATTTTATTACTCCGGGCTGTTTACGCACATTGCCGGCAATTTCCAGTCAAATGGGTTATCATAAACATATAAAAATGAAATATGACACCTTTCAATCGATTGCAATAAAATAGATTTTTTCACATCCCACTCAAAAATATTATTAAGGACGCGGCAGAAAAATTTTTCTGAAAGGAACATAATTGGATAAAAACGTTTTCATTTTAGGAACCAACTTTTTGCTTTCAACACGAACTCTCACTGTTTCTTTCTCTTCAATATTCTCATTTCTTGAAAAAAAACATCTGTTTCTTTCCGTATCTGTGATAAATGCGCCAAAAATTAATTACAGTTCAAAAATTTTAGCGAATAAATAGTCAAAAGAGTTCATCAGAAATAGCTATCACCATTTCAAAAATTGCATGCTCCCATCCAAAGACTTGCCGTAAGATCTTCCATCATCCCGCTTTTTGTTCCTGCCCTAAGAAGAGAAGGTCATTGATACAGAGAAGCTCATCCCGGAACGCTTTTGCAAGGAATTTTAATGTGGAAAAACGGAGTGGGAAAAGAGAGCCTATTTTCTTGTCTTCATCCCCTGGGATAAACGAATTTAAGAAGGCGGGAATTCGAGGCGTCTTGCAGCGTCAGCGGATGGCTCTTTTGCAAATGAACGGCTGGATTGGAAAAGCGAGATTTGCAGTCATCCCCATTCTGCATCAATTTCCTGCCTTCTTTGCAGAGGCCGCAAATAACTCACCGTTCTGCCGCATAGGTTATCAAAGTTGCTTCCGTTGCAGCGTCGATTGCCCAAATCCAATCAAAGGCAAAGACTCGAAGGGTTCTGCTGACTCCTTTCTTGTCGGCAGCTGCAAGTGTCTAATCAAGCGAAAATTTGCCGGCTCTCTCATTTTTTTTTGCATTTGTCCTCGACAGCTCCAGTTCAAATTCAGTTACCTTTCTTTTCTTAATGACCTTTTCATCGCTGCTTTCAAAAAAGCGATGTAGCAGCTGTTGAAGAATCACGAATTTTGAACTTATTTTTGATGAAAAAATGAAACGAAGACGGAAAACCCTTTGAAAGAGCTCGTTGTCTCTTTTAATGGGCTTGACACTAACTTTGATAACTAGAAAACTCAATTGCTTCATTTCAACATTTAACGTTGTTCTGACAATAAAGAAATAAATAAATAAAAGGGAGTTTAATGGTTTTAAAACTTTTTAACACGTAATTTTCGAAAGTGTCAGCAAGCTTTTTATGAATGAACCATATTTTCTATCTGCAGTTTTTCTTTGTAAAAAAAAATTTCTTTTTTAGCACTGCACAACTCAATTAATCATATAATGACTAGTAATTATACTGGAATAATAGTTGTTCAATCAAAAAATATACAACGGTATCAAGAGAAACTTCACATCTTCTTTCGGACAACGAGATTTTAGAGAAGCTTCAAAAAATGAGCTAAAAAGTTTTTGAGAGTAAATTTCAAGTCGCTTCCTAGCGTTCGTGGTAGATTAATTTTTCGAGATAATCTTTTGCAAAGGAAATACGCCTCAATTTCTTTTTCGCTTTTGCAAATTTTTTTTGCATGTAACGTGATCTTATCCGTCGGATGCTACTTAAACCACAGACTTGTCTGTTTCTTGAAATTCGCAGGCTGCAATTCAAGAAAATTGGCATTTGTGGTTTTTAAAAGCTTTTTTTTGGCATTCAGGGACGATATATAGAGCTTCCGGTTGAAGGAAAGTTGCCATTCCGATGCACTTGCACCCATTTTCCATCTTTCGGACGTTTATCTTTCACTCAAGGCCGGGGATAAGGTTTTTTCATTTTTTTTCATGGCGTGCGATGTGCACATTAGTCCGTTCAAGAGCCTGCAGCGAAGCGTGTCTTCTGAGGTATCTCTCATCTTTTTCTCCTCCCGTTAGCTCCTTATTAATCGTCTTCCCACATTATGAAAATTTCTGCAAATTCCGAACACAGCAATTTCACAGGGTTTTCCGGTGAATTTGGTCTGAAAGAGACTTTAAAAGTTCAATATTCGATTGCTTAATCTTCATTAGACGGCGTGAAAATATTTGAGAAATTGTTGTATACACATAACGTTTGAAATTTTATTTTTAGTTTATTGCATAATTTCTGGTCAAAAGTTGCGAAAGAGAACTTGATGGAAGTCTTTATGAACACCTCAAAAATTTTAATTTTTATATCTACACTTTTAAAGCTACTTGATAACTCAAGTTTTTACCATTTTTATCATTTTTCAATTTTAGTCTGAAATAATTTCTCGGGGTTACAGTTTTCGTTGACACAGAATTCCGGAATCAAGGCATACTTTGGCCTCACAATCTGTTGGACTGATAATTACGCCATCATTATGGTTTTTGCGGAAATGGCGGTTTCACCACCTTCTTGGATGCAATAAATTACATCAGTCGGTTTCCATGAGCGCATGAGACCACACTGACAGCCGTATCGCTAGTCTTTACTCCTTTTGTTCCTTTCCCGGATTATTTCTGTCGCTCTTCTCTATGAACCGATATCTTTAGAACGTCAAAAACGTCAAATTTAGGCCGTATTTAGGAGATAAGGCCAACTGCGAGGCTCGTTATCAAAGCAAAAACAATCAATGTTGGCGTCGCTTTCAAACGGTCCTTTCGGCTCTTTCGACTTCCATTCCGATCTCGTCGTCGTCGTCGATGAGGCCAAAAATCAAGTAAGTAATTTCAAAAAAATCTTTGAAAAAAGTCAACCAATTCTTCTCAGAGAAAAATAAATCAAGCTTTGTGGCCGTGAGGCGTTTTTTAGGATTTTTCAGAATTATAATTTTGATCTGATGTAATTTATTCGTTTCAGTTGGTCACTTCGGACCTCAAAGGAACAAATATCCGCCGTTACACGATCCCCGCCAAATTCTTCAATCAACGCTACTATTGGCTGAAGCTACATTTTATCAACGCGTTTGATACATTTTTTTCATGTTGGAATTATGCGATTCTTTTTTCAGAAACACCGTGATCGGACTTCTCAAATGCCATGTAGTCACATCATTCCATATCGTATCGCTTCGTCTGGACCATCATACCATTTCGTGTGTCGCCATCCAACATATCAAGACGGGAATCCTTTCTCACGGATTCAGAGTTGGCGCTGAAATTCTGTTTTGAAACTGCGTAGTTTTTCAGGTTGAATCTCACAGAGCCGGTAGTCAAATCGTGTATAGCATTTGCAATTCAAGAAACTACAAATGCAAAGTTGCGGCAGCGGCCGAAAGAGACAGCGACCGCAAAAGGTTTCTCCGACAGTTGAGGGTACTTGGGATTTCTTTTTGTTCTGACAAGCACTCAAAATGTTTTGAGGCGGCTACTTTTGGAACAACTTACACTGATACCATCGCCAGACCACCTCCTTATGATGTCCCGATGCGAATGGAAGAGTCTGAACCTTCGTCTCCAACCAGACAGATTCCTGATAGAGTTGATCAGGCAAGTCTGCTCTATCGAGTGGAACTTCATTTCGTAGAACTTTCGAACTAGTTTGGTGTTTCTAATCGAGTGCGTGAATTTAGTTTAGCGCTGTTTGCACTAGATCTCTGATTTCGAAGTATTTTTTCTGAAAACCGGCGACAAATTTCACATTACCATTTCCTGAAAGGGATTTTCTGCAAACCTTTTGCAATTTCCATCTGACTTCAAACGCTGTTATTTGCATGCAAAAAAAGCTTTCTCACGCTTCAATGTGTGTTTTTCTGCTGGTTCCTCATGCGAAATGTAATTCTTGTAACCCTGGTGATAGGCGGTGTCTGCAAGAGAATTATTATTTGCAAATCAGTTCTTCTTTCGTGGAAACAGGATGACGAAAACGGATGTCGGAACCGAAAAAAGCTCAGATATTTTTTGCAGAAGTGTGAAAAATCTTGAATGTAGCTTTTATGAGGAAAATTTTTAAGCTTGTGTTAAGTATGTTGAGCTCAAACCAGTTGATATCCGCCTTCAAAAATAGAACATCTATTCGAAGTTAAAACAACTAATTTTCCGGCTCATCGAACCGATATGATATAATCTCTTGGAAAGTTCTGGATGAAAAATGGAGATACTCTATAAAAAATTTTGAGAAGACGAAGATTCAGACGTTCATCGAGAGCGTACTTCTTCTTGTTCGCTACGACAACTCGGGAAGCATCTACCCACACATCATTTCCACTGGCAGACGCCGGTACGGCATCAAAGTCCGTCGCACAAACAGCGTCAAGACTTTCAACCGCACTTTCAGCAACAAATTCATGACTAGGTTTGGGGAAAAACATTTTTCGATAAGAAAAAAAGGATCTATCTATAGTTTAAATTTCTTTGAGCGGAAAAATATTTATCATTCAAAGATCTGTTACAGTTACTTCTATCAAAAACTCAAAACCCATCAGCCCTGGATAGATGATAATGTGATTGAAACTGGAAATTATATTTTTATCAGCTTGCTGTCTCCCGAAGACTCTTCATTTGACTTCTTTTCGATTTACACAGTATTCCCAAGAAGCATCGCGTTTCCAATTCTTTGTAGCCAAATATTGAATCGTCTGACTTCTCTTCTCATGCAAACAACAGTTTCTTTTGAGAAGACGTCAAATGTTTCAGATGGACGAAGCCGCCGACCGCCGACTTGTGTGAGCCTTTTCTATGGGGGAACAACGCCGTTCTGATTTGTCGAAACAATGCTTCCCACATTTTCCTCTCAGGAACTATCGTGAACCCTCGAAGTGGATTCTTGGCGTCGATTCTCAACAAGTTGCGCCATGGGCTCAGGTTCGTAGTCCTAAGCCCTCTCAAAAACATTCTCAATAGCCGAGGCAAAGTTTTCTGCTTTTTAAAGCTGCTATTTTTGATCTTTAAGTTAATATCACGTGTACAAGGGGGACCTCAGAAAAATTATGTCAACGGCGTAAAAATCTCGCTCAGCATGAAAGTCGCTAAGAAAAGCCAAAACTTAGTGTTCTGTTAAGAACTTGCGAATTGCTGATTTCTTAAAACTTGATTGCAGGAATCGGTATATTTTTATTTTGACAGCTACTCTGATATTGTTTCCATCGCCTTATAGAAATATGAAAATTCAACCAGTAAAGACGTTGAAATGGGACTTTTTTGATTAGGCTTCAATCCTTGATCCTTGCTTGTTAGGTTTTTCAGAATCATTCACAATAAACAAAAAAATAAAAAAAGAATTTTTTTCAATCATAAAAAAATAAAAGGTTGAGAACATTTCTGATTAGTTTCCTCATGAGAGGCAAACACGCCAGGGGCTGAAATTTAATAAATGCTTGAAACATTTAAATTCAGCTATTTCAATTTGCCAACGCGCCAGGTGGTTTACTTTTCTTCATTTCAGTTATCAAATATGAGAACTTTTTTGAAACAGTTTTTTTACTAAAAACTTTCTTTGCATTAATTCTGTTTTTTTAAGGTTCATAAACAGAAAAAAATAATTTTTTTATTTTTTTCGATGCTAAATTAGTTGATGGAAATAAAAAAAGTGAACAAATAAAATTTTTCGATTTTTTTCTTCTTATTCTCTAAACGATCAGTTTTTTTGGAATGATCTCTAAAAAAATTTGTAATCGAGAGAGCAAAATTAGAAACGAGAAATTTTTCTAACTTCCTCGGAGAAAAAGAGACAGGTGAAATTTAAAAAAATATTTTTTTCAGAAAAAGATCTGCAATGCGAAATATCTTTTACTTTGATTTCTGTAGATTAGTTCAAAACAAGATAAACAGCTGAGTTTTTACAAAATCTGCTATCAAAGTGATGTGCCTCGAACATGTGATTCTACAAGCCGACCAATTGGAGCTCGGGCCGAAACGCGCGAGTCCACTGCAAAATCACTTTCTTTTCTAATCCACAGAGCAAACAAGCGTGTGAGGAGAGTTGAATGCGCCCCCGGCGGCCTTCCATACAGACGCAAAACAAACCGATCGTGTGTTGTGTATTTATCCGTTTTTTCTTGCTCATTTGCTCCATTTCCAGGATGCATACGCCGATGACGAATCCGGTGCGTGTGGAGGTGCGCGGCGTGGCGCCTGACCCCACTCACATCTGGAGCAACGTTGAGCTCATTGCTGGCGATCCAACTTTGCTCACCGTTGTAAGTTTGGATGGCTTCGACTAGCTCTCAGCAGCTGGCAGAAGTTGCAAGGAATCCCGAGAAAAAACAGCTTTCTGGCGCCTGAAGAGCATTTTTGCGATCGAGTAGATTTTCACATTTTGATACTTTTGACCTTGTAGCTTTATTTCTTCATTACCGCTAAATTTGGGAATCATAAAAAAATTCCATTACAATGATTTATGAAAATAAGTGGTCCAGAAGTTTCAACGTTAAAAGTAAATTTTTCATTGAAAAATGGAGTTGGAAATTCAGTTTTCTCAACCTTCTGCTTTCACTTCAATAAACAACTGGAAAAAAATTGTTTCAAAAAAATAATTTTTTTCATAGTTTGAAAAATGGTTTTGAGAGTTTTTTTAAGACATACATAAATCAATTAAAAAGCAATCATAATTTTCAAAGTCCAGTAATCACGATTAGATAAATGCAAAAACTTTTTCTGAAGCTTTTCGTTTCAAAGTTTGAAAACTTGGAGCTGCCAACTGTGAAGCTCTCTTCCGAACGTCCGACTTTGTTCAAAAAATTAAAAATCTGATCTTTCTGGCAAAAGTCGATTTTGCCGGTGCATTAATCTTATTGCAAAACGGAAAAGGGCGCTTTGTCCAGAGAGTTGGGGAAACGACGGCCTGGGCAACACAAAGAGTCTCTGACCTTGCAGGATCCGGTGGATCGGACGGCGGCGCTGTTCAGTCTCTGCCGACCTAACGAAATGTCGTACGAGTGGAATCATCGCGAGGTCCACCTTGATGAGATCCCAGAGAACCTCGTCAAACTCGCCTACCGCTGCAACCCCCAGAACCAACAGATGCTCATTGTCCGCTGCGCCGACGAGGAAGAGACCGTTTTGCGCAACTCTCGCAGCCATTTCAAGACCTTGCTCATGCCCTAATGAGTCCGAAGTTGTCTTCTTCTGATCTTAATGGTCTTTTCTTGAATTTAACTGTACTTATTCCATGATTTTTCTCTGTTTATGTTTCGTTTAGACGATTTTTGAAAAAATTTGAAAATGTGATAACAAAAAAAAAATTTTCTTTGTAGTTGCTTTTTTTAATTGTATCAACTTTGATCATATCTTAATCACCAGCTCTGATAAAGAAAACTTTCTCTGTGATAAGCTCGTTCCTTTCGCTGTATAATATAGAAAGTCGGAGGTGTTTCAAACGGTTTGAGACCATTATATATATATTCCCTGTAAACGTTTCTTGAGTCTCTGAAATCAACAGGAAGTTTTTCAAACTTACTTCTCAAAAACAGTTTAGAGCAAAAGAGCAACAATTAGACGGAAACTTTTGAAAAACTTCGACTTTTTATCCATGACTTCTAAAAAAAAGAATTTCTGAAATCTTCATACAAAATTGTGTGGCTTTTTTGATAGTTTTGACTCATCAACCGAACTTTCTATTTTTAATATTATGGAACCTAAATTTGATAATAGTAAAACTTGTACTGGGAAATGTCTTTGATTATGTACTAGATGTTTTGTATCCTCAATAAATGTGAAAAGGGACCCGAGCAGAGCGAACCCGACAACTAATGCGAACAGAAAAAAGAACGACGGCTTTTCGTTGTAGCTTAATTGATGGCAAGTGCTTGCAGCAGTGTTTTGGCCAAAATCCCTTGCGAAATACTCCATTTCACGCAGCTTACACTTTTTTGGAACTTTTTTCTCGAATAGGTGTCCGTTTTCTTGCACTTTGGGTCAATTTACTCAGCTCGAAAGTGCTAAATCTGCACTGTAATTTTCTTTATTTTCTTTTCTTGCAAGCTATATCTTTTTTCACCATCAAACTTTTCATGTGCATGTAGTTTCTGAATGATTCCGCGTGACAGTGAAGTTTTTGAAAGTTTTGGAAAAAAAGAATGTTTGAGAAATATTTGCCAACTTCCTTTGTGCACATGTTATGCTGTGGAACGTCATGTTCCGGTAGCTTTTTTGATAAGAGAAAAAGGAATTTGAGCATATATGGTCTTCTCCTTCTATCAAAAAATGTCTTTTCCCTGTTTGTATTTTTGCATAAATCTGTTTGCCAATCCGTTTTATGAAAGATTTCCTCTGAGAAGAAAGACCCACCACAGACTTACAACGCGTTTCTTCCAATATTTACGTTTTTTTGATTTTCTTCGTACTTGTCCCTCCATAAAAATTAATATAAAAAAACAGAGAATTAATAATCTTAGTCTTGCTATAGAACGGTTTCTATCAATTCAACATTTTCACCACTTTGATACTTTCAAGTTTCATTGAAATTTTTGAAATAGTGAGAAGAAATGGAAAAAAATATAGCAATTATTTCCAAATTTTTTCTGAATTTTCAAATGAAAAATTTTTCTACAGTTTTTTTAGCAGCCAAAATTTCAAAAGTCAAAAATTACAGAGTATTGGTTGGAGCTTTTTTTCTGTGTTGAACGCAAATTTTAGAAAGTTTATTTTTGAAAACCAAAATTTTGCGCGACTTAAAAAGATCTCCATACACATGGTCGACAATTTTTCTATACAAATTCGTGTTTAATTCCGAATTTTTTTATTTATTGAAGCGTGTTAAAAAAATAGAGAAAGCTTTGATTTTTGCTTCTCTGCTTTTTTTCTGAGATTTTTTTAGAGTGGAAATAAGTTAATTTGGAGGAAAATGATTTCATAAAAACAGCAAATTATAATTCAAGGTGAAGAGTATGCATGAAAATACAAAAGTAGAAAGTTTGAAGCCGTGCATGAGTCAGAAATGAAGCAAACTTTCGATTGATTTTTTATAGTGAATTGTGTTGGTTAGACGGATCGACGGTGAAGAAAGATAGACGTTGCATTCGAGCATTCGGGTCACTTGAACGGACGATCGACGTCGAAAGCGGCTGCATGATAAGTTGCCCGAGGGCGGCCGCGCGGATTGAAGGCCAGCCAAAACGGTCAAAAACCTCTACCGCGCTCCATTTGCCTTTTGAGGTCGTTTCTCCTCCAAATTACTCGAATTTTCATCTTTTCAACGCCTCTGAACACTAGTTTCCATGAGTAGAACAAAAATATCAAAGAAAAGGTGTTTTTTTTTCCTACGATTCTTTGAATCTTCGATTTGAAGCCTCGAGTGGGTTTTTATTTTTGAAATTTTTCCTCAGATTCAAAAAAATTTACTTACTATATGGCAGTTTTACATATCTGGAGCTTACAATTCACCAAAATTATTTAACACTTGTTTTTTTCGAAAATGGATTTACTTGACCTTTCGGCAAAACTTATCGGAATTTCTCATGATGGTTCTATTGATCGTTTGAAGCTTTTTAGCCATTTCTTCAAAGCTTTCGAAAATCCTCTCTGAACGTCGCGAGTAAAGTTTCAAACAAACTTCATATGTTCAAAAAAACTATTTGATAACTTTTTCACAATCATTTTTTTCAAGTGTAACAGCATTCAAAAAAATCCAAAAATTTTTTTCGAAATTTATTTTTAATAACGCATTCAAAATTTTTTTCTTAGAAATAGTATTTTTCGATGTAAGTCACTCAACACAAAATTTTTTAAGCTGCCGAAGATCGAAAAAGACTGACCGTTATGATATTGATTGATATCTTATCGGGTCCAACTGTTGGCTCATCGCTATCATTCATAGTCTTCATGTTTGTGTATCCCACTCAAAATAAAATTATTTTTTTTCTGTCGGAACGTTTTTTTAAATCGAAAGAGAAACTGAGTGTTTCATTTATTTATCTGCAAAGTTTTTTTGTCTGTGTGTTACTCACATTACACAAAAATGAAAATGGATCAGATGTATTTTTCAAGTTTTCCGCTCTTTTTCTTTTTTTGCACTTCATTTCAGAGAGATCTTGGTGAAAACTGGTTCTTTTGGATGTCGCATCCGACAAAAAGCCAATTTTCTAGATGTTCTGAGGCTGAAACTTTCTGTTTTGAATTTCAAACACGTGGGATGCTTTCCATGAAAATGTGTTGCTGATTTTCTGTCTTTGTTTGTTTTTTTTCATTTTTTTTTCAATTTTGTTTTTCGATTGCTTTTGCAAATTTTTTGTAACTTTTTGAAATTAGTGGAAAAATGAACGGATTCGCTAAAAAAACATGAAAAAATCAAGTGAAATAATTCTGAAAAGTCTCGAAAAAAACCATAAATTGAGACAAAATTTGAGAGGCTCTTTTTATCAAAGATTTTAAACATAAACTTGCAGATTTAATTTTCATTTTTGATCAAAAAGTTCCAATCCAATATGCATGACAGCTTTTTCACACTATTCATTCTCAACATATTGAAAGATCACAGTCACGAAGGTCTGTGAATAGTTTGTAATAATATTTCTTAGGCTGTTTCAAGATCCAAGTAGAGCCACTTTACAACTGCGATCAAGTGAAGATTCAAATTTCCAACCTAACTAGAAAGACCTTCAACTTCTCAAACATCTCCCGAACGTCGGCACAAAGGATGACCATGGCGTCGGACAAAAGGCCGGCTGTTTTACATCGAAAACAAAGATGAGCGGCCTCACCAGTTTCAGAAACGGCCTTTGGTGGCAGACGTCCTCGTCTCCAAGCGGAAACGAGCCGAAAAAAAAGTGGGAAAAAGGACGCAGGCCGGACGCAACAAGGTAACCTTCTGGGTAACGGTCCCAGGAGACATTCTGGACAGCTTCTTGTAATGGGTTTCAGTGGTCACTCTGAGGTTTCATTGATTGGGGACGACAGACACTGCGGACTGGCCTTCGTCCGCTTTACGCACTCTGCGTCTCTGACCTCCAGCCGGCATCCATTGCGCACTCCTCTGCCTTTTCGTACTATTACTGTTCATTGCTTTTTTTCCTCCTTTTATTACCTCTCCTCTGTCTGCCCGCAGGCTACCGTTTCCTTTTGGAGATCCGTTTCTTCAGGGGTTTCCTCGGCTCTCTGGACTCTACGGCAACAAACAACGCATGCATAATGCAATCAACCATCTTCCCACGGTGATTGTACTGTGAACAACGTTCCCGGACGTGTCACCATCTTCCCACGCTTACTGTTATATTGCTTTCTTAACAGCTAGCCGCCGGAACTTTTTTCTTTTTGCTACTTTACACTCATTATTACGCAATGAAGAGTCTTAAACGTGAAATTTACGCTCCTAGCAGCCTGATCTCTTGCTCAAGAGCTTTTCTCGTTGATTGCGAAATGATCAATCTTTATCAATTCTGATTTTTGAGCTTTTCTCGTTTCATGATAAGCTTGTCAGAATGAACTATTACTCTCATTTTACTTTTTTGATTTCTGACATTATTTTGAGGTTTTTGAATGGCTCTGAACAAGATAATAAATGAAAGCGTAGAAATTTGTTTCAGAGAAGGCGTGAGAACAGAAAAAAAAATTCAATTTTTTTAAAATTTTTTTCTTGTGGGTGGAAAAGCCATTCTTACAACCGGCCGCCAATATTTTCATTGATTTTTCTTTTTCACATATTGAAGCTTTCACTACGGTCTCTCTTCCGATAGGCTTCTAGGTGAGGGTTGAAGTTTGATGTCTATTCAAAATGGAGATTTTCAGTTTACGTTCAACTTTGAAACTATGTTAAACAGAGTTTGACGTTTTCTGTACTGAACTTCACGCTGTAACTCTCCAAAAAAATCTTTTTTTAATATATATCGATATTGGGGTGCAATAGGAATGAATCTGAAGTTGCTTTTTGTGAGATGAAAACATTCGCTAAGAACTGCGCCTGTATTTGTTTTCATTGAGTTTCCTTTTTTGTTAAGAAAAACGAACGTATAAACTGCGACTTGTTTGTCTGACTCAGTTCTTTTCATCGTTTTTCCTTTCATGATTTATGCGAATTTGAAACTGCTCCATCAAAATGCGGATTTTCCTACGTTCTATTCAGTTGGTTTTTAGGAGCCTTTCGGTACCATTTTTGATGAGGTTTCATATTTTGAAATCGCATTTTCACTTTTTGTTCTTATCAATCGCTCGTAATCTTCCACGTTCCTTTTGTGCGTTTCGGAAACGATAAGAATGTGGTTTTGCAGCAAGGGGCGGCTTGAAACGCTTGGGTTGGCGGCATAATGTCGCTGAAGCCGGCTTTAGACGAGATTGATTTGAACTCCCTGAGGGTAAGTCATTATTTATGTCAGAAAGCCCAGTGCGTCAATTGAGCTCCGGAAACAATGGCCTATGGGAAAAAAGAAAGTTCCTTCTGACATTCCTCTGAACCAATATGAGACAAAAATAAGGGCTTTTTGAAGTTCCTAATAAAACAGAACTTGTGAAATCGGTGTTTTCAGGATCCAGCCGGAATATTCGAGTTGATAGAAGTCGTGGGTAATGGAACCTATGGACAAGTTTACAAGGTGAGTCATCCATCGGATGAGAAAAACAAATTGTGTTCAAAGAGTAGTATACTTGATCCTTTTCTAGGGACGACATGTCAAAACCGCTCAGCTCGCCGCCATCAAGATCATGAACATCAATGAAGATGAGGAGGAAGAAATCAAGCTTGAAATCAACATGCTCAAAAAGGTATAGTTCTGAACTTATCGGTAAGATCTTTATTGTTTCGATTGCGTTCAAAAAAATACTGTTGGAAAAGATTCGGAACTCGCTATTTTTTTTTTTCATTGAAAATTGATTGATTGAGTTTTCTTGACATAAAGTTCAGTTATTTATTTCAAGGAGAGGCGATTGAATCGAAAAGATGGCTATTTAGTTGGAGAGTCAATTCAAAAGGATTAAACTCAGATAATTTAATAGATCTGCTCATTTTCAAACATAATTATTATACTGAGGTCTTGACAACGGAAAACAATGGAAATGCTTTTTTTGAGACAGTAGTTCAAATGAATTATGTATACAATCTTTTTCGGCTAGTTATCCTTCCTATTCTCGAATTATTTCAACTTTGCGTTACAGTACTCTCATCATCGCAACATTGCCACATATTACGGCGCTTTCATCAAAAAACTGCCATCGTCTACGGGCAAGCACGACCAGCTGTGGCTGGTGATGGAGTTCTGCGGCAGCGGGTCTGTCACCGACTTGGTTAAAAACAGCAAAGGGGCGTCTCTCAAAGAAGAGTGGATTGCGTACATCTGCCGCGAGATCTTGCGGGTTTGTTGCAAAAAGGAGAAGTGATGAAAAAATCCCGTGGAATTTGTGCAGGGCTTGTATCACTTGCACCAAAACAAAGTGATTCATCGGGATATCAAAGGTCAAAACGTCTTGCTGACGGACAGCGCCGAGGTTAAATTGGTCGATTTTGGTGTTTCCGCGCAGCTGGACAAGACTGTCGGCCGCCGGAATACGTTTATTGGGACTCCCTATTGGTAATGAGTGTGCGTCACGAATGGGCTTTATGTGGTTTTGCTGAACAGGATGGCTCCTGAGGTCATTGCGTGTGATGAGAACCCTGAAGCGACCTATGACTCCCGGTCCGATTTGTGGTCTTTAGGTGGGTTGTTTGAGAAGAAATCCCATAGATATTGAATTCGTGTAAATCAAAATGCCATTGTTATATATGAAGAAGAATAATGTTATTCAAACTAGAATTAGGAATCACAAGTAGAATTGAAGCGAAAAAAAAGCTTTCACTTCGAAAAAAAAGACGAGAAAAATTGAAAAAATTGATCGATCAGTTCGAGTTTAAAAATCATCGAAAATTTTGATTGAACTTGTAAATAATTTATCTTTCAGGAATAACTTCACTAGAAATGGCTGAAGGACATCCGCCTTTGTGCGACATGCATCCGATGCGAGCACTTTTTTTGATCCCTCGAAATCCGCCGCCTAGACTCAAAAGAGTCAAGAAATGGAGCAAAAAGTTCGAGGGATTCATAGGTTTGTTTTTTTTTTTTTTTCGTCAGAAAAAAGAGGGAATAGTAGGGTGAAAAGTGCAATGTGGATAAAAATAGACAAGATGAAAAGTATCGTTGCCCTTAACCTGAAAGGACAACATGTCTAGAACTCTCATTAATCATTAAGACTAGTGTGAAAAACAAAACCGTGAAAGAACTTAGATTTGAGCGTAAAAACGAAAAAAAAGGAGGGGAAAAATGAATTCACGAAAATCAAGGAAAACTTCAGAAAATCAACGTGAACAGAAAAATCTTGAACTTGAGATATATTAAAAATAATACCATCCAGTTTTTTTCTTAAATTTTTCCGGTCATAGGGTAAAAAAATGTACTTCGAAACTGAGAAAAATAAAAATTTTCTGAGAGTCAGAAACAAAAAAATATAGGGAGGACTGCAATAATTTTCAGCGTAAAATAGTACTTTCAGAAACGGTACTTGTGAAGGACTATCACCAACGGCCTTACACGGACCAACTGCTGAGACATCCGTTCATAAGAGAGCAGCCACAGGAACGAAGCGTCCGAATGGCAATAAAGGAACACATCGACCGGCATAGACGGGTAAATAGCAAAAAAGGTTTGCAGCTGCACACTTTCGCTAGGTTTATGATTCAAATTTGAGACGAAACCGAGTACGAATATTCGGGCAGTGATGAGGAAGAACCGAGCAATGCGCGTGGAAATCCGGCTAGCGCCAGAGAAGGTCAACAATCTGAACTTTTTTCTGATAGTCATTATCAATGTGGCTTGGGCTATGTCAGCTGAAAAAAAAACTTCTGATTTAAAATATGCGAAACTGATATCTTCTCATTAATTTTTCATTTAACCGAAGAATCCTCCCAAAGCATCGTTGGCAACATTTTGAAGTGTCTGTACTTTTTCGATTTCTCAATGGTTATATCATTCCTACTCTGGTTAATTTTTGAAAAAATGATTCAAGAAAAAGCGCATTTCGGTAAAAGTAATCCTCAGAAAAAAAAACTTCGAGAAAGGAAAAGAAACTAAGAAAGCTTCAATCATTGAGTTTTTTTGAAGTTTCTAGTTTTTTTCTTTTTCAAAAAAATGGTAGTTTTGAATGTTTTCTTGAAATGAAGTTAATAAAAAGTATTTCAAGCTCTGACTGCTTTCTTAATTCCCCGGAGCTGAGCAGTGACTAAGATCACCGTTTCAGATGTGGAGAGTTGTTCAATGATTCCAATGGACAACACCCTTCGAAAAGGATTCCAAAGGCTTCAAGAAAATAGTCGAGGGCTCGTTGAGCCTGGAGCCCAACAACTTCGTCGTCTTCCGGCCCAGCCGTCTCAGATCCGTGGCCAACCTCAACCACAACCAAACCCTTTCAGGTACCATCATACTGTAGTTTTTCCCAAGTCATTTCCGTTCTCCCAGGTACCCAGACAGCCGTCGCGAAGATGTGAAAATGCGGCAACACGGTGCAGGCAGCCGGCCTGAGTCATCTTCGCGCGGTTCCCCTGCTGGCCGGCAGAGACCTTTGAGTCACCACCAGGTGAGCCTACTCATGTCCCCGGCAAAGACCGAAGAACTTTGCAGCGCTCGCCACAACAGTCACACCCGGCTGCGCCACACCTTGCCGATCTCGCGAATTACGAGAAGCGGAGGCGATCGGAGCGCGAAGAGCGCCGTGAACAGAGAGCAGGTGACCGGCGCCGAAAAATAAACTGAAACCGGCAAAATTTGCAGCCGCGCATCATGCCGTCCCGGTGGCTCGAATTTCAGCCAATGTGCCTGCGCCAGCCGGACAGTCGCGCAAAATGAGTGAACCTTTGCTTCACAATCAACATTCCAAACCGGAAGTACGTAGTTTGAAGATTCTTGAAAACCCTTGAATATCGAACTCGATGGAATGTGAGAAAAAATGAGCAAATAGAGCAGATTTGGGGTGAATGTAACGCTCAAGATCAGAAAATTTAATTCGTGCAGTTTGCGTTTGTTAGGAAAGTCTGCTTTGAACTTCAGACTCAATAAGACTGTTAAAATGTTTGATCTGGATAATTAATAGGGATTCAAACCGTTCATGATGAAATAATTCGAACAATCTTCTTCACAGTTTTATTAATTGAGATTCTGTCGTAACCAAAAAAATATCTGCTAAGCTTTAGTAATTTGATGAACTTTACACAAAGATCTGCAGTTTCTTTAAAGCGATTGATATTATTTCGAAATTTTTTTGTTTAAAAAAACAGTTTTTTTCCTAATCAAAAAAATCTCCAATTTGTCTAAAAAAACTACAGACCGTTTGGCTTTAAAAAAATGGAAAATTAAGTTATCAAAACTTTGAAATATCCGTTTTCTGTAACATTAAAAATAAAGGCAAACAGATCTTTGACGAAAACCTTTTTAGAAGTAATTTTTCAGTTTGAGTTTCATAAAAAAATAGTTTAGATATAAACGAATAGAAAGTTGAAACTGAAAGGTCTCTTGAATGACTAATTGCCTATTTTTTTGACTTAAAAAAATTTCTAATAAAAGTATTTGATTAAATTTTTCTCCGGATTCATTTCTCAGAATTTCTAACAGAAGATTCCCAAGAATTTCGAAAAATTTTTTTCTATCTCTAGGATCTGGACGCGCTGGCGAGCGAACTTTCCAAGATGGGTGGTCTGAAGAAAGGACTTTCCCGCGAAGAGAGTACTTCTCCTCCGCCACCGGCGCCACCACCACGAGAGTCTTCAATCTCGACGATCGCCGACAGCATCGACGTGGTGAGTTATCGAGAGAAAGTGTCTATGTTTGGGCATACATTTGTAGGAGGTTGGCGGCGACGAAACACTTCGAGGGCCAAACAAACCATTGCCTCCGACGCCTACCGAACACGAAAACACGGTCATTTCCGACATTCGGCGCCCGATTAATGGAGAGCGGCAAATTACCAAAGCCAAAAGTATCTCGGAGGTATTTGGAGTTGAGTGGGATTTTCGGACAAGTAGCTAGTTGTAGGTCAGACCAGCCGTTTTGCAAGTTGACGACGATATTGACAGCGACTCTGACAATGACGACGGAAATGAGCCTCTCATGTTCAAGCCGATTGTTGGACTCACGATTTTTCAATGTAAAAAAGATTGAACTTCAGAACGCTTCAAGTTCTCGCGGAGCTCTTCCTGATCTTCTGCCCAAGTCCCCTCAACTCAGAAGATCTCTTAATGAACAACGACAGCTCAGCGACGAACGAGGAGAAGAGGTTTCGATTCTTTTCTTTGTTTTTGTTTCATATTCAATAAATATAGAGCGCTTCACTTTTTGGGAGTTTCTACGTAAGTTTCATGTTGTTTTTGTTGATTTTTTGGACTTGTGAAAAGATGATGGGAAATGCGAATTTTTTGAATTGTCGTCTTTTCACAAATTCTTGCAAAGCGCATTTATTACCGTCCATATTATGTTAAAGTGGTTTGATTTTGATTGACAGTGGATCATTCTGTGCACAAGATTTGTTGTGAGCTGAAGCACCATATAATTTTCATTTCAAGGAAATTTTTCGGTTTTCAGCAACCGAACAACGCATTCTTGGCTAATATTGAGGCAAGAGCTTCAATTAAGCAGCCGCTTTCGGCTCGGGACCGAGAAAAGTCGTTTGTTGGCTACTTTGGTGCGGTAAATCAAGCTAGTGGAGGCACGGTTAATCGACCAGGAAGGCCTCAGGATACTAACCAAGTGCAGGTAAAACATACGGTTGTGAGAGCAAAACAAGAGAAAAAATCTTCAGGTCAATGTTAATCCGAATTCGAACGGAACACCTACAGAAAGCGATGCTCCAGAGATACGAAAATACAAAAAGAAATTTAGTGGAGAAATTTTATGTGCTGCTCTGTGGGGAGTCAATCTTCTCATTGGAACGGACAGCGGCTTGATGCTTTTGGACCGGAGTGGCCAGGGAAAAGGTGATATTTCATTTTTTTAAAAAAATTTCTCAAAACTGGCAACCGATCAGAAAGTCGGCATACGATTTTCTCTTTGGAGTAAATGTAACAAGACCATTATTGATTTAAATGATCCCAATTTGATACAATGATCAAAATCTTTTTCTAGGCTTTTTTTATATAGTTTGAAAATCATTTTGTTGTGACAAAAAAGGGACGGGATCTTTTCACATTTTCATTAAAAAAAAGCATGACTTTTTGAGAATTCTTCATTACGTCTAGCCTACATCCAAAAAACACGGCATAAACTAATTATTGGGTAGTAGCTCAATTCAAAGTTTTCTTTTTCAGTTTACCAGTTGATCAACCGCCGGCGGTTTGACCAGATGGCTGTGCTCGAAGGCCAAAACATCCTTGTCACGATCTCTGGCCGCAAGAGACGCATTCGTGTTTATTATCTCAGCTGGCTGAAACAAAAAATCTTGCGCACTGAGGTCGGATCATCTCTTCCTAGCAACTTTGAAAGTTTTTTGCAGGGTGCCAATACGGCAAATACGGCCGAAAAGCGCAATGGTTGGGTGAACGTCGGAGATTTACAAGGAGCCATCCACTTCAAGATTGTTCGCTATGAACGTATCAAGTTCTTAGTTGTCGGATTGGAGAACTCTATTGAAATTTACGCCTGGGCTCCTAAACCTTATCACAAGTTCATGAGTTTTAAGGTTTATTCAGAAACTGAATCAAAAATAAAATAATTATCTTTCAGACTTTCGGATCTCTGACGCACGTGCCATTGATAGTCGACTTGACAGTGGAGGAAAACGCTCGTCTGAAGGTGCTCTACGGCTCGCACGAAGGCTTCCACGCAATCGATCTTGATTCCGCGGCCGTCTACGACATTTTCACTCCGAATAATGTTATTTCCTGCCTCACATAACAAATGCACCGTAATCGTGTTTTGCAGGGCCAACAAAGCACGACGCCTCATTGCATCGTCGTGTTGCCCAACACGAGTGGGATGCAGCTTTTGCTCTGTTATGATAGTACGTTTCAAGAAGATTCTCGGAAAAATGAAAATATCGACTCACCCGAAAATTTCTGGGAATAAGATGTTCATATTGGGTAAAAAAATAAATAATAGTTTAATTTTTAAATGTGTTACGCTTACTTTTTGAAATTTGACCTTTTTTTCTAGCTGTTTGATGGAAAGAACTTTTTTTCCAGAAATTAAAAAAAATATACTCTCGAATTGTCAGCAAAGATGCTCTTTTTTTGTTTTTTTCACCTGATAACAGTTTACTTGATTGAGGCAAACTCGATTTGCGCCATTCAGGTTAAAATTAAAAAAGGTTCCTACTCGAATATTGAATAACAGTAACCTTTTATAGAATGAAAAATACATACTTTTTTCGCAGAAAAAAAATGATAGCAATTGAAATGTATCGTTATAAGAAGATTAAATTTGAATTTTCTTGAAAAAAAATCGAGTTTTTCAGACGACGGTGTCTATGTGAACACCTACGGGAAAATGACGAAAAACGTATGTCTCCAGTGGGGAGAAATGCCCAGCAGCGTCGGTAAGAGTTTTCTTGAGACTCTTCCGTTAAGAAGCAATTACCTTGCAGCCTACATCTCGACAGGCCAAATAATGGGCTGGGGCAACAAAGCGATCGAAATCCGATCCGTCGACACAGGTCACCTAGACGGCGTCTTCATGCACAAAAAGGCGCAAAAGCTCAAATTCCTGTGCGAGAGGAATGACAAGGTCTTTGAAACGGGAGTTTCATATAACTATCATAATCATTTTGAAGGTGTTTTTCTCATCGGCTAAAGGAGGCGGATCCTGTCAGATCTACTTCATGACTCTCAATAAACCTGGCCTCTCCAATTGGTAAACTGTCATCAAACTCTTTTCATTTTGTATTACTGTATATTTATATGATTTTTTTATAATTTTCACTCATATTCTAGGAACATGATTTTTTTATAATTAATTTATTAATACAGCTTGTTTGCCTATTTTTTTGATTTATGCCCTTCCTTATGTTAGTAACCTTCACGTGTACCTATCCGTACGGAAAAAAAGCCGACAAAAAAATAACTCGATCCGTAATCAAACAATTCTTTCCCGGCGTTGCTCTCTGTTTTTTTGCGACGTTAATTAAATATTGCTCATTCATTTTGTATTAAATCCAAATTTCTATCAATTTTTTGTTTATAGGCGACTATTAATTACCTTTGCATACATGTGCTTAAACAGGAATAACAGTAAAAGTAAAAAGTCGAAATCCAAGAATCCTCGAAGAAATGTAAATTTTCGCCAACAAATCGTTACCTACAGCATAATCTCGTCGCCACCGTCACCGTGTCTTCCCAACTGTGCTAATATTGCTCTGCTGTCAATTTGTCATCCAATAACCTCTTTTCGAATGTGTGTTATAACATTGCAATCTCACCAGAATTTTAACGATTGGCTGGTCATCTGACGTCACGGTGCATAATAATTACTTTTTTTGATTCTTTTTTTCTTTTCAAATGCCAATCAATAAATTTTTTTATTATTTTATATGTACAGAACGAAATTACAAAAAAATCTCGTCTTTTTCAGTATAGCGTCTCGCTATTCCACCAAGAAAGTTGGGTGAAGTTCTCGTTGATGTAGTGTTCGAAAGTATCCCCAGAAAGAGGTCGAGCCACTTCTCCCTTTAATCTCATTCAATGATTGAAAAGTTTGAAATGATATTTTTCTTGGAATGAGCATAAAAAAACTATCAGATTTGAATCAAAAATAGATAATCTCCTTGAGGGTAATGTTAAAAAAAGTAAATTCTCAGAAAAAGAACTGACAATTGACATAGGAGCGCGGTTGTCAAAGAGAACTGGTGAGCTGTAGACAATCATCCACGTCCCCGCGAGGTTGGCCACGGTGAAGATGATCAGAAATATCCGATCAATCACATTCGCAACATATGACCAATCCTCAGAGATCTGAACCTCTCAATGTACACATCAATTAATTTAGTCTGAAGAACGCTGTCAAGGTTGAGACCTAGAGAAAACCCTATTTTGATATGTGATCTCAAATAAACCTGCCTTATCTTCTTTTTTAAGAGCTCGAAAATGCTCCGCGATGAACACAACGTTATCAATCATCGCTCGGATCAGATCTGGGTGTAACCCATGTTGGCTGATTTGAGTCAAACGACCCTCAAAAAATCTAAATTTTTGAAAAAGTTCTCACTTACCGTAGGTGAGGCAGTGGGAACAGTTATAAAAAAAGGAGAAGGTCTTCTTGAATCCATAAATGCTCCAATGTCTGAACGTTATTATTATTTTAGATTGTGAGAAATCACGACCAGCAAAGACGAGAAAAGTAGTTGAGTATCCTTTTTGATATGGAAAATTTTGAAAATTTCATAGAATAGAATTTTTCGATTTAATCTAGTTCCCTACAAAGTACTTCTTCTCTTTTTTAAAAAATCAAAAAATTTTCGTTTTCCCTTGTCAACATTTTGAGCCCCTTGCTAAGAACCGCCATAATTTTTTGAGAAATCTACCTGAAATACTGCTTCCTCTTTCGCTGACGTCATCGTCATCAACCGGTTTGATGCAGATATATCGCGGCAATGTGTAGATGAACAAGTAGCGCATCCAATGGGGCATCGGGAAGGAGGTGCCATCCCTAGATTCCTCATTTCCTCTATTACAAAGCGTTTTGGCTGCTCTCGGACTCAACGGCTCTTTTCTTTTCATTTCAAAAAAGCCGCTGGCGCCGGAATGTTTGTCAAGTCGTGTCAATTTCTCACCTCCTGTAGAAGTTCAGCGATACTACGGAGAGAATAATCGATATCGAGACAAGGAACATCGTGAAAAGCAAGTACTTTCCTGAAAATTCATTTCTTAATCATTTCTGTCCAGTTCCTCTTTCTAAAACTTTCATTCACAATGTCAATATTGCCAAAAGTGACTCACCAATTAAAGGGATCACCAGTGAAGTGGGCGGGACTAGGTCAATTAAAACCAGGTAAAACACTGTCAAAGTGACAAGAATCGAAATAGAAAATGTCATTTTGTGCTCGATCGGAGGTACATAGAAAACAAAAGATGTCAGAATAGCTGAAAGTATTTGATCTTATATTCTCATAAAGTTTCCCAAACCAAACATCATGCAAGGAATAACCAAATTGATAGTATAAAAAAGCGTTTTACGCCGAAGTTCGATTTGAAAAGTGACATCGATGTAAAAATCTTGGCCACAACACCCAGGATACAATTTCTCATGTCGTGATGAGCTCAATGCCATCAAATCCCATTCAAGGCTTCTGTAAAATAATCAGTGTGAAAAACAAAAAGATTGAATGACCAACGGATAATAAGTGCTGAGATCCATTCCTTTTTCCAGGTACTGGTAATCTTCACCGTATTCGTCTTTTTTGTTTTCAGGTGTCATGCCGGTTGTCTGAAAAATTCAAAAGATGTCCATATTAATTTATTAAGTTTCACGTTTTTCTGCGTTTTTCTGACCTTACACAAAAGAGGCATTTACAAAAATATACAAGGAGTTTTTATTACAAAAATGCTGCACACTTTTCTAGGGTCAAAATTGCAACAGTCGTAAAATTCCAAGTAAATATCTATTTTTTGAGTGAAGAAGTTGGATACGCCCTGTAAAACAAGAAAACACCATATCAGAGAGTTTTCCGGGAACTTCAAAAAAAGTCCAATCTATTCACCAAACTGACCAGAAAGATTTACATTTGACTATGAACAATCAATAACAAAAAAGACCGGAAGTTGACGCATGTCTAACAAGTAGCCGTGATAAGTCCACCCTCCAAACTTCATCTTACACTTCTGCGTATCGTAGGGAAAATACTCAATATTGATCGAACAAAAACTTTTGTAAATGGACGGCGGCTTCCACACCTACAAAATATCTTTTGAGGCTATTTTGGAGATAGTATTTCACTCACAACAAGGCCGTTGTGATACACTAACGCGTCGCTCATTATCGTTATGTGTGGCTCTCCGTCTGCGCTGAAAAGAAAAAAAGAGGTCCATTAGAGTTGCAAGGATATGATTGAGCGGAAAGCCACTTGCTTGTTGTAGAGCAGAATGTCGGGGATCCAGATTTGATCCACAGGAATGTGAAGTTTCCTGATCGCCCCATACTTGGCAGGATCCCAAAGAAGACGGTAGTCGAACCATTGCATTTCCAGCCACAAATTCGTCGTTAAAACTTGATTGACCTCATCCTAGAAAAAGTCACGGTAGATCTTCCATAAAAGAGGAAATCACTCACAACATCGATGAGCCGAATCAACGATGAACCGAACTTGACTTTCGTGCTTTCGCTGGCGTTTTTCACAGGTCGAACATTTTTGTTGTAATAATATAGAAGATCCTCGTATAACTGTCCAGCATACCGGTTTGGACATACCAAATAAAACAAGTCAGCTGAATAATGAGAATAGATTTCAAAATATTTGAAATTTTTTTATTATTTTTTTGATTGAAATTTGCGATTCAAAGTCGTCTTTCTGACAGACTTGAAAAAAAATTGATAATTAAAAAAATTCGAGCAAATTTTTTAAAATCAAATGAAATAAGAGAAAATCACAGGTTTGAACAAACTTTAAAACCGACCTAGTATAAGAAAAGCAAAAATCGATAATCTCATGTAACAGCCAAATTTTTGTTCTCCTTTCGAATCTCCAAACTTGTACCTGAGATCTTACGATTATTCAAAGAACAAGGTTCGGCAAAACTTCGAAAAACCAATATGAAGAAAAAAAGCCGTAGTTGAAAGAAATCTCAGTTTTGAGTTGTCGTTTGAAGTGCTGTGTTAATCACAAAAGCTAAAAATCTCATTTGATCGATCGAACTTTAATCATAAAGGGAAAAAAAATAGTACAACTGTCAAAAAAAATAGATGAATGAATTTATTTTGATCAAAGTAAATCGAAAAAAGAAAAGCAGAAATAAAGTAGAAGCGAAAAATTGTTTCTGAGATAAATAACTCAACTCTGAAACCAAAAAACTGAAAAATTGTAGTACTTTTTGGTAAAAAAAAAGACAAAAAATGGAGAATTATCAAACATCGTGGTGTAGGTGTCTGATTTCACGTGCGAGCACCATCAGAGCCGATCGCGGAGTATTACACAAACATAAAGGCGAAAAAATCAAGTCGAGCGGTCAATTACACTGTTAAGACAACAAACAAGATCCGGGAGAAGATTTCGGTCTTAGTAATAAAAAAAAAATTGGAAAAGGTCCTTCGCAGAAAATGTGTGAATGGGTTTGTGAAGCATAATGACCAGGCCGTGGAGGATTGTAATATCTCTAGACCCTCTGGCCACCGAACAATCGTTTCTGTTGTCTTGCCACCACTTGTGTGAGTCGACTCTCTGGGATTTAATCAAGAATACCTAGCCGGAGGCGATCAACGGCAAGTGCCCCCGGCGGCCGCCAATTCGCAACTTTTCCCTTGCTCCGCTAATCCTCTTTGTCGTCCTCCATTTTGGCTAATGGGTGAGTTGGAGCAGATGTGAAATTGGAGGAGGACAATAGCAAGACTTGTTGAGCTCTCAAAGCAGAATCAAGACTTCCGATCAAAAAAGCAGCAAGACATACATTTGAAGAGAGAATCATGCAAATAATTTCCGATGAAACAAAAATCTAAAGTTTCTCATAGGGAAGTGGATTATTGGGAATGTCAAAACTCAAAAAGCAAAATTTAAATTCAAGTCAAGATGAAAAAGTTGATGAATGAAACCCTGTCTTCAAAAAAACAAAAAAAAATCGTACAATGTATCACGAAACTTTCTGAAAAACTTCAGAAAACGAGAATTCGAAACTTGAGAACAAAAAAAAAATAATTGTGAGTAAAAAGCAGCTATAAAACTCAGAAATAGCAGGAAAATTTCAGTAGAGTCAATGGAATGGCTTAAAGTCGACTTCCTCACAATTTCCTGAACTTTCAGGGTTCAAACAAGCAAATAAATAAATAAATGAATAAAATGTCCATTCAAGGTCCACAATTGAGAGATTCACTTGTAAAGAAAGAGAAAAAGTCAGTTTTTTCTGTTTTCTCGGTCAGCAATATTTTCACATTGTGCAGCACAGGTGTTTCCGCTCAACGATGTTGAATTGGCAGAAGTAGCCAGAGGGACAAAAAGACTCTGGCCGTTCACAATCGTAGTTTTGCAGCACCAGGGAACAGAAACGGTCTTCAAACTTTTAAATAATTAGCTCGCATTTTTTGAGCAATTCAACAGAAACTGTAATTCAAGGGAAAGCTTCTAAATGTTTGAGAAAACATCTAAAAATTATATGAAACATTTCTGCAAACTTCTATTTACAAGTTCGAGAAACTTCGAAATCTTCAATGCACACGGAAAAACTAATTAATATCCGAATATTCAAAGATTTTTGAACACAAAACAAAAATTTTCCGAGAAGGCTCTGAGGAAACTTTTTGCAAGCCATTAAATAAAACTAAATAAAATCCAAATTTCGAAAAGAGAAGAGCTACTTTGTAAAACGCTTTTTCAAACTTATTTGAAAACAAAGCGCCACCTTTTGATTTCCGATTTTGTAGTTTTGGTCTGGAAGTGACGTAATAAATGAAAGTGGGCACTGTAGTGGTCGGGGGTAACTTGCAGCATACCGATCTTCCAGCGAGGTCCATGTGCGCTTTGATGCAGTTTGAGCTGTCTGAACTATTGCTTGACCATAAAATCCATCTTTTGATTATTTTCACCTGGACAACGTATTTTCAATCCTTCTGCTGGCGTGCACTCGACATTGAGCTGTGTGCTCTCGTAGTAGACAGCTCCAAAACCAGGTGGACATGTCGCTTGTTTTTGCAGAGTTAGCAACCTTTTTTCGGGCTTTTTGCCTGATTTTCGAACATTGTTATCTTACTGCCAACTTTGTGGATTTTACGGATATTAACTAACTTTTGCTGGTAACCATGGTGTTGACGCCATCGTTGTGAGGAGAAAGGGCATCGTTAACATTCACGATTGCTGAATTTGATTAAAACGTAGATTGGAGACGGCAAAGGTCCTATGATTGTTATTTTTGCACAAAATAAGTTCTATGTGTCATATCTTTTCCAAAAAAAAAAATTTTTTTTTTTAGTTTCCTTACAATTTTCTTCTCTAGGATTGGCATGAGAAGAGCTTAGCATTCTCTGATTTGACGTTTTCCGCAAGTTGGTGCAGCAAAAGCCGATAATCACTCCTTTCTGCATACTTTGGCAAGTGAATCCCATTCTTAAATTTTTCTTGATTTATCCATTAGTTTAATTTGAAAAATCTTACCCACATTGAGAAACTCCGACGGTGCAACGTTGAGGAGTTCTCGTAAACTTGTTCAAATATGGCTGCGTGCCGGAAGGGCACTTTGCTGGAATTGAGAACGTTTTTCAAAAATATTAACTTTTTTTGGTCAGATAGTTTACCGTCAACGTTTTGGTTGCAACAGAAGCCCCAAAGGGCACCTGGAACGGCAGGAGAGCAATAATAGTTTGAAGGGCAGGAAAATGGTATTTGCGGGTCGCACTTCATCGAATTCTTTGAAACCGCATGAATGTACGCCTTCTGACCGAGTGGACAAAACCGCTAAAATCAAAAAAACTTCATATAAATATTTAGGAAAAAAACCATGAATTACAGAAAAAAAGGAAACCGCAAAACCTTAAAAAAATCATCCAAAGGAAAGTTTACATAAATTTTTTCAGAAAATCACAATAAGTCTGAAATTTCATAAGAAAAAGATATGAGTCAAAAACAGAAAAATAAGAGATAAAATCAACTTCATATTGTCCAAGAAACGCGATTTCGCAGGGCTGATAATTCGATTCTTTTTTCTTCGCGTATTCATCGGACTTTTTGTATTCTTCTCTTCGATTTCACTTCCGGCTTTTCCATTTCTCAATAGATTTTCACAAAAAAATACTCACATTCTTGGGGGGAGCAGCAGTAGCTGCTAGTACCTTGGGTAGTACAGACATAGTCGACCGGGCATTCATCTCGAATGTTCGATGGAGCGCATTTCATTGGCAGAGACGTCCTTATTGAAGCGAAAGAGACAGTATTCATCGGGCAAACACCTAAAATGATTTTTTGGCCCTGTTCTTTTTTTTTGCTTTTTCGATTTTCGTGTTTTATTATGAGTAATTTTTTCAATATGTTTTGTTCAACTTTCTAATCGTTTTTCTTTTGTGAAGATAAAATTACAAAAGCATGATGTCATGAAAAGCTATAGCTAGAATAAGAAATTTTGAAAGATGTTAAAAAAGGTATTTCCAAACAAAATAAGTTTTTCCCCACAATAATAATTTTAAGTTTTAGTTTCTTTGACAAACATATTTGATAAAGTCTTCACACGATTAGCAAAGTGGCGCTTGAAAAATGATGGGTCTTTTTTTCTAAACTTTTCGTCTCGTCTCAGCGGTAAGGGAGAATTGCTGGATCGCTACAGAACTATCATATCTAAACCGTTATTAGCCGTATTTTACAAAAAAGAAATTTCTTCGGATTTCGTTAATGCAAAACGGAAGTTTTTGAGCATTCATGGTGAACACTCACATGGGAGGTCATTTTAGCGTAGGGTTCAGAATTTTTTCTAAATTTGCTCAAACAATCCTTGATGGACTGGAAACCGATCCCCCATAGTCGCTACCTGCACAAACTTTTTGTTTTGGTGATATGATTTTTCAAAGTTTTATCCTTAACCATGTGACGCCGTTTGGAAGGAATGTGGCCGCGCCACCAACCACTGCATGGCAGCTAGGAGCGTGGTGCAGTGGTTAGCGTGTTAGCCTGCGGAGCCTATTATGAAGGTTCAAATCCTTTTGCCGCTGACTTTTTTTGCCATTGTTTTTTTTTAAGAGTTTTGATGAGAATATTAAAATTTCATGAGTAAAAACCTTTCCAAATAAGTTCGATAGCTATTTTTCTTTCTGAAATCGCTTTTTTTATGGACAATAGTTATGAAAACTTTCTGAAATTGTGGCGGACTTCACATCATCAGAGAATTTTTCCTAAAAAAACATTTTTGCTCAAAAAGATTTTTTTAGATTCCTGAAAATTTGAAAAAAAAATCAGGATTAGTATGGAAATTGGCTTTGGAAATTTTTTTTCAATAAAACTCGGATGACAGGTAAGTTTTCATATTCTGTAAAGATGTTTCTTCAGAAGCAAGGCAGAAATTGGCTATTGAAATATTGAAAAGCCACTGTTATTTATCACAACCAAGACATGCGAAGATCTTCGATGAAGGTTCAGCGCTTTTCTGAAACATTTTTCGCTGATTTTCAAAAAAATAGTCTCTGATGATGTGCAGTCTGCCACAACTTTAGAAATTTTTCATAATTTTTGCCCATCAAAAAAAGCGATTTTAGAAAGAAAATAGCCATCGAACTTATTTGGAAAGGTTTTACTCATGAAATTTTAATATTCTCATCAAAACTCTTTAAAAAAAAATAATGGCAAAAAAAGTTAGCGGCAAAAGGATCTGAACCTTCATCATAGGCTCCGCAGGCTGACACGCTTGCCATTGCACCACGCTCCCAGCTGCCATGCAGTGGTTGGTGGCGCGGCCACATTCCTTCCAAACGGCGTCACATGGTTAAGGATAAAATCTTTGAAAAATCATATCTCCAAAACAAAAAGTTTGTGCAGATAGCGACTATGGGGGATCGATTCCCAGTCCATCAAAGATTGTTTGAGCGAATTTAGAAAAAATTCTGAACCCTACGCTAAAATGACCTCCCATGTCAGGAGTTCTGAGACCGCTAAACGGATCACTAGAAATGTTGAAGAATATCCGGGACGCGTCCGGTTCGCGTTACCAAAGTCCGAGCGGTACACTGAGATACTAAAAACAGAGTTTATTATTTATGTGGGCGCGCTTGCGCGTGACAGGATTGTTTCCTTTGCATGCTTTTTTGGTTTCTTATTCTCAAAAATTCATAATAATCACTGCAACCAAACGTCTTCTACTTATCTTTCCGTCTCAACACACTCATTAGGTTTCATTTCTTGTGTTAACTGAAAACTAACCTGAAGTCGAATGACCGCAACAAACATTTTTCTTGAACAGTTGGTCGTAAACACAACGATAACCATTCGGACATGGTTCTTCGGCGCAACTTTGCGGACTGTTGTTCATTGACAGAAGTAGAGATTCGCCGGATATGCAAGCTAAAACCAACCTTTTTTCAAGAAAATGACTATTTTTTCGAACCCGTGCTTTGGCAAAATCTAACGCATTGATCATGTGTCTCAAACTGATTCTGGTTATTTCGGCCGTGACAGGTGATTACTTTGAAGGATTTGCATCTGCAGAATTTTCACGTTTTTTTTTCTGAATCTTTCAAGCTGAAATAATTTCAAATAAATAAAAAATCAATCCACAGTACCAAAATATGTTCACAAGGACGGTAATTTTGAGCTGTATGAAGTTTTCTGAGAATATTTTCAAACAAATGAACAAACTTTTCTTCGAAAACAATGCATTTTTGGGGCTTCCTTGTCGAACCTTGACTTCTTGCTATTCTAACTTTAAATAGTCATGTTATCAAAACTCACATTTGTTCTGATGAGTCGAAGTAATATTTTGTTGCTGGTTCGATCATACAATCGCCATACCCTGGATTAGGAGGCAGCGAACAAATTGACTCTGAATAAACTTTTTGAAACATATTCCTTAACAGTTCTTTGATCTAAGAACTTGTTATCGTTCTCGAAATCTTTCTTTTTTTTGCAATCACCAAAATAAATGAAACTTGTCGGCGCTCAGTAATGAAACGGAAAAAAAAGCTCCAATAAACGACGAAAATTTAATAAATTATTCAGTTTTTGGCGTTTTCGGTCGGTAAACTTGATTAAATAAACAAATTCGTTCGTACTTGTTTTCAAGTTTGCAGGGACTGAACAAAGATCGTGCTCTAAAAAAGCATATTTCACCTCTTGTTTGGCAGCAATAGTTGATGGGAGTAGTGAAATGGAAGCGATTAGCTGGAACACATTGCCATCCTTTCGAGCAGTCGGAACTGTCTCGGCACCAGATTACAAGTCCTTTGCGATCTTTTTCCGCGAGAGTTTGGTCAACGCAGTATTCTTGGAAAACTATTTTGTTCAGTTTTATTTACAGAATTACTATTGATCGAATTCAAGATTGAGTATTTTCCTGATTGGAAGACTTATAAATCTTTATTTTTTTCTTGAGTTGCAAAAAGAAAATCTTATGGGATTTTTCAGAAGCTTATTATCGCCCCTTGCGATAGTAAAAAAATTAATAGCAAACATAGTTCTAAGATTCTAAAGCTTAGTCTCATTTTTTTAAGGGGAAAACTCCAAATTAATTTTTTTTTAATTCTCAAAAGGGAAGTGACTCTGAGAAATATCAAACGCTAACCTGAATCTCCGCCATATCTAGTTGACTCAACACAGTGCATCAAAAAGAAGATGAAAAAACAACTTTTAATTGGAGCCATGAGGAAGAAAGTAGTAGACGGTCACAGTTCAAATATCTTCACTGTGCACCTGACCGTGAGAAATTCTCGAGAGGGCCAGCTGGCTTCCGTCTTGAAAAACGGTTTTCTTTTCCAGAAAATGACGAAATTTTTCTTCGGTTTGCAAATACGTCGAATTTTTCGCCCCAATGCAAATTTTGCTCATTTTGACATGTGCCCGAGAATCCGCATTTTGTTGTTTGAACCCGCGGCGCCAATGCAAGCCGAAAAACGCTTCCAATAATTTGGTAATCCGAGGAGCATTTGAAACTTTAAACGAATTGTTTGATGGGAGGCAATAGTTACTCCTATGTGCCTCCCTAAATATAAAGCCGACGGCACGCCTACATTTTGCGGTATGAGTCCGCCCTGCATTCAATTTCTGCTCGCTGCTTTGCGCATTATTCTCGACCTGCCTTCACAGTAGAGCCGTCGACACCTGAAATGCCCGCCTCTCTCGACTTCAAATGGACTTCTCCGCGAAGTTCGTTTACTGTACTCAGCACTGTAAACAAAGACTTGCCAAAACAACTCAAAAATTAAACAAATGACAACTTTTGCTATTGTTGAGGTGAAAAGAAAATGATTACTGGCTTGTATTGTCACTTATTTCCATTTTTTTGTCTTTCAAAGGATGTAGAAAATTATGCAGGCTTTTATTTAAACGCTCTCGTTTCTATAACAAAAACGTCCCGCAAACTTCAACCTAGGTGTCTGAAAAAAAGCTGTCGATAAGTTTTCACCTGTCGTTTCCTCGGATTTCAAAGGTCCAAGTTCCCGTCTTCGCTTCGCCAAAACACCTCATTTTTATTATTTACAAAAACAAACCAAAAGCGTTCCTCACTAATCCTCCACTTTATGTGACGCATTTTAGGCGTCTCCGGCGTGTCTGGCTCAACAGCCCTGGAGGTCGACCAGAAAGTCGAAATCGACATGAGCAACACCTATTGCGACCAGGTAAACTCCTGAATTTTTGGGAAGTGATAAAAAAATGATGAGTTGTCAGGTTCTCGGTCCATTGTACTCTTACATGATGTTGCTTGGACTTAACCACACTCACAGCAAGGCGAGGAATTCCGTTTGGAGAATCCCGATGACGATTTACAATTATTTCACAATTGTAATCTTGGTTGGTTTTCTGAAAAACTGAAAATCTGAAATTTCGAAAAAAAATAACGTTATACTAAGAAAACTTCCCAGCTTATTAAAATTTTCAAGTATGGGAAAATAAATTTTCTGTTCTCTAAAAATACCTAAATAATCAACGCATGCATTTTTTACGAGGTTCTCAACGAATGTCTCGGAAACAATTCCAAAGACGAGAGATTGAGGTGAAATTTTTTTGCGTTTTTTTTCTCAGCGTCCTATGTATAAGCAGACGTAATTTTTGAATTTGGCAGCTCAACAACTAATTTCAGGGAGCGGCGACGATTCGCAGGATCACCCAAGTTAAACAAAATCCGAAAGATTCTTCGGGATTCCAGGGATCTGTATTGGACCCAACTTTTGTACTCACTTTGTGCCATGCACTGTTGTTGTTCAGGTAACCTGAGTCATAGTTTCGCGTAAATATTAGGTGCGAGCACGTCAAAAAAAAGAGAAGCTCTTTTCCAAAAGTACTCTCGAAATTGGCCGTTCGCTTCTCTCCAAACATAGAGGTGGACATCAATTCAAAAAAAAATAACAAATTCCAGCGGCCTCTCCGCCGCGTTCCTTCTCTTGAAGTTGCAAAAACAACGAGAGCGGATGTACTTTGTAAGTTTTTCGTCGACTTCCGAGTTTCCAGTACAGCTGTTCTAAGGTCTTGGACCAAGGTCTCGGTCGGAACCGCAATGAAGAGCACGACAAGCAGCATTTCGTTCTGAACAAGTTTTTCGTGGCTTTTAGCTTCTTGTTCTCAGCTGCCATGGCCGCAGTTCAAATAGGTTTGTTGAAAGGGGAAAGAAAAGTAAACTCGGACATTTATAGCTACTAAAATGGGCTTTATTGGATTGCCGGACACTCCACATCTCATAAATCAAAAGTATTATTTTATTTTATTGGAGGGATACGTGGTTCGTTGGAAAGCTGAAAAATCAAAAACCACTTTATTATCCAGATTTTCCTGGCTCAAAGTTCGATTTCTCTTCTTGCGATTTTGTTCTTTCAACTTTGTCGGATCCTCCAGTTTTCTATCAAGCGGCTGATTGACGAAATGGTGCCAAAAGAAAAAGAAGAGTTAGTTTTGGTCCATCAATACTCATCCGCGTTTATAGTAAATTTTGAACTTCACAGATCATTGGAGTTCTGAGTAGGATATCTCTATTTCTTAGTTTTTTCATTGTAAAAACTCTTCTGACGGCATCATTACCGTTCAATTTATTAAAAGGTTTCACGGCAAATGATTTGCAAGGCTTTTTTCTAATATACGATCTCAATGCGATCTTGATTGAGCCCTTCAAAAATTTCATTTTATGTCTCAATATTGCTGAAAATGTTCTTATATTGGATTTTTTTAATTTTAGGTGTCCCTTACCAGAACAATCTCTTCAACAAATTCACGACGTCCAGATACATTATCAGGAGATTTACAATGCCAAATATCTGATCGAAGACAACTTTTCTTTTGCTTTGTTTTACACATACGGTTGCTGTATCCCCCTCACCTGTCTTTTGGGCTATATCTCCTTCCGTAATGCTCAGGTTTTGCATGGAAGCTTAAAAAAAGATTATTTTTTTGAGGCTGACGTCACGGAAACTTTCGCAGTTTTTATTTGGCTGGTCAACACGATGTCGACTCTTATGCTTTTCAGTGTTCCGGCTTTTATGATTCATGAAGAGGTTCATTCTTCGATTTTGAATAAATGTAAAAAAAAAAAATCTCCAAGTTTTTTTTACAACGGCGTCAGCAGTTTTCCGGATTTAAATTTTCTTTCTTTCTCACCAATGATTCTCTAACTGTCAACAGAATGAACTTCAATGGGAGTTCAGGGCGATAAACTTCTGTCAGCTTCTTTCAAAATGTATCATGAAACTTTATGTGAAGAACGCGATCTTCTTGTTCTGGTAGGCTTTTCAAACTCGAAAAAGATTCTTATTTCAACTTTAGTCTCAAATGAGTTTTTTGGCCTTCCAAATGCATTCTACAAAACTGACGCTATCAGCCGCCAACTTCTTCTTGATGAATCGGAAAATTTTGATCAGCGTTAGTTTTAAAGACCCTCGAATTCAAAAAATCTCCAAAAAATCTCCCTTTTCAGCTTTTCTCTGCAATTTTCACTTACTTCTTGATTTTGGTTCAATTCGACACTGATGGAAGTCAATCACTGTGCAATGAGACTTCTCGCGTATTGATCGTTCAGCCACCGTAAATCCACTTCCATTCTGATTATTGTAATATTGTTGTTCTCAAAATCAGGAATTTTTCAACTTTTCGATTAAGTAATCTTGTCGTGTTTCAAAACAAGGGAACAGAATTTTTTTTAACGTAAACATGTTGTGTTTGAATTTTCGCAGCTGAAAGAAAAACTTTTTAGGAACTATCCATTATTTTTGCTCAATAAAGGAGCTCGTCAAGGTTGAAATAACGTTCTTCTCTGTATAAAATTGCGTCTACTGAAGCCATATAAATGAAATCGAAACGCATCTTCGCGCATGCATCTCATTCCGCACTCTGGAATTGCAGTTTAACCGTCTATCTCCTTCAAATTGTTAGATAATTTCTCTCTTTTGATAAACTGAATTTATTATGCACCACAATACCTACAAAAAAAAAGCGATGGCAATAGATATTTAAACAGAAAAGCACTTGAAGGTCCTGTAAGCAAAACTCCATTCTGGATTTCTCACAAATCAGCATGGAAAGTAACTACGGGATTGATGACATGACATTGAGCTGAAAAAATCGAACATACAGAGAAAAACAGGTTAAGTAAAAAAAAAAAGGAAATCACAGTTTTATGTATGTAATTTTAATTAAATTAAATTAAAAAAGGCAATTCACAGAGTTTTGCAAATTTTGGGGAAGTGATACCCTACACATAATTGACCACAAAATGAACAGATTTCGAAACGAATCAGTTGTTTCGATGAGTAGCCGTGCCGCTGTGAGGGATCCGTGCCCTCTGCCAGTATTGGTCTTGTATCGCAAACCCATCGATCGTCGCCGACAGATGTTTCGTGGCGATTTGAGTGAAGCTTTTTGCACCGGAATCATACCTGAACAATAATATGATCAAAACTATTATTAACATTTTTTTTGAGATTTTTTCGGAAATAACATGAAGTCATGTGTATCATGTGTATCAGCCAAGTTTTCCCAGATTTTTCAGGAAAAAAAAATTCTTGAATATTCAATTGAAGCAACAAAACTTATGACGGTCCCTAATGAACAGTGAGGAACAAAAAAATTTTACCTAAAATTTTGAGACTCATCTATACAAACCCACTGAAAAAAAATATAGAACACTTGTAAAATCAACCCGAAATTTTTTTTTGGAAGTTCTCAAAAAACTTAGAGCTTACAACGTTCCTGTTCATAAAAATAACTCACTTGAACATCATGTTCATCATGGCTTCCGTGCACTTTGGAGGTCCCTGCCCGGATATTTTGACTGCTGTATCAGAAATCTAAAACTAAAAATTTGATCGAACCGTTTTTTAAATAACAACCTCGTCCCAAGTGTACAAGCCACGATATTGGCATTTTTGGTCACGGAATAAAATCAAAAAGTGTTTTGAACTTGAAGCGGCTAACTGTTCCATAGTCTGGAAAGTGCGATGATATTGAAAATTGAACAAAAAAAAGAATGCAAACCGCATTTCTGGTCGCATTGTTCACAGCTCCTGGGAAAACACTGAACTGAAGGGCGTTGATAATGAGACCTCGGTTGGATTTGGTGACCGGCTTGCCAAACAGTTTGTGGGCTAAAAATCATCGCAAATGTTAGCTCTTCTTAGTTTCAACTCACTCGGTTCGTTTAAACTGCTCACAGTGACTCGCTGCTCGACGGAAGACTGACCACGCAATCTGGCCGATTGTATTCCGCTAGTCTTTTCCGGAGAGTCGCTCATTTGAGATTTGGTACGTACAAATGGCGGTTGGGAATGACCTCGGGAGCTTGATCTGGCCGATGGGAGATCGACTCCCAGCTCCTTCTCTATCTTCTTTTTCTTATAGTCGTCCAAAATTTTTTGCCTGTAAAATCAACATTCTTTTCAGTATCTCAGAATGGGAGTCAAAATTCAACCTTTGTATTTCTTTCTCGAGTTTCCTTCTTTGCGCAACCTCTTTTTTTGCGTTTTCGAGCATTTTTCTCTCTGCTATTTTCTGTTCAGCCATGTCGACCTGAAACAACCGGCAGCTATGAATAAAGCATGAGTTTGAGACTACCTTGTTTTCTATTTCTTCTTTTCTTTTCATCGTTTTTGCAATGAGAGCGGCTTTTCTAGCAATTCTTCGTTCGTTAGCCTGAAACAAAAATAAAATTTTGGTTACTTCAAATTCAAGCTCACAATCTTGTCAAAGTTGTCAGTAGCTGCTTCTTCCGCAGCGACAACGAATGACGGTGGTGTCCTGAAATCTCTCAGATTTCTTTGAAAAACTGGAGGATCAGCCTTACGTTGCCTCGTTGTTTTCATTAGATTTTGAGTAAGCGTTCGGAGGCATGGTATTGTAAGTGGATACTGTAAAAATATCAAATGTGAGATTTGACCAGGAGGAGCCTACCGGTTTCTCTGGAAATCAATTCGCTCGTGGTGATTTCTTGAAGTTTCCTTGCTTCTTCTGGCTGAGTCGACGTCTGAAACAAATACTTCTGATTATTCATCAAATGGAAAAAAAAACCTCGTCGGTGACGTGTGGAACATGATCGGGTAAGTTAACGAGGTCCAGCTCGTTTTTGATAAATGTTTCGTTTTGCCAAGTACGTCTTTGGTTTCTCCCATTATCCTTGAAAAAAGTCTATTTTCGAACATTATTCTGGGAAACCTCACCTGCTTATAAGTCATTCCCCAATTCGTTAGATTCCGGTTGATTTCCAATGGCGGATCGATCTGATTGGCTGCGCCCTGAAATTTACAGTTTATGTTAGGATATTTCAAAGAAAATAGTCACTTCATCGTTGTGCAGATGGAATGTGTTGGCTGGATTTTCGTAATGTGGCACATCCATGGAAGGATGATTTCCACCATATAAAGGAGGTTGTTGAGCGGCCAATAGTGGGTTGGATGGCGGATGGACGGACATGGCGCTCATCTGAGGGCTCTCGTGGTAGCCGGGTACTCCTCCAACTCCTCCCATTCCATTGTACGACAATGGAGAACTAGTTGCAATCTGGAAAACTTTGAAATTGAAAATGCTTCTGGTACAATAAATATCTTAAAAGAATAATTTGAATACTTATTTGAACTAATTATATCAATTTTTTTTTTGAATGAGTTTCTTCCTAAATCAAGTGTCTTTTGAACCCGAAATATCTTTGAAAGTTTTTACCGTGTTGTATCCTTGCGGAACCTGTCCCAGTTGGGGATGTTGTAAATGGTAGCCATAGCCTTCTCCATAGCCCATAGGCGCCTGTCCGGGCATTCCTCCGTATTCCGCCTGATACATCGGTGGTAAGACGTAGCCAGTATGGTTGAGCATGCCGTTGCTCAAGCTTGATCTCATCTGAAAAACCGATGTGAATGAACTTTGAAAGTGAAAAAAACCTGAGTGTTGGGAGTCGCGTAGTTGCTGGGTTGCTGATGGTTCACCGGATAGTACTCGAAGGGAGCTTGAGGATGTTGGACAAAAGACTGCGTCATTTGATTGCTTCCGACGGGTAATGTCATGTAGCCGTCACTAGGGAGAGTTCCATAGTTGCTTCCATTTGCAGCAGCTGAGACATTGTTGATTATTCAAGACTCAAATGAAGGAAACCTTGAACAACACTAGGTTGAGAAAGAGCGCGGTTCAGTCGGCCGGAATCCATGACTTTCATTTCGAGGTCCCGAAGTTTCTGTTCTATCCTAGCAAGCGCATCTCCGTCGTTGGTGTCTGCAGGCATTTCTTCACGGTTGAGAAGTGCGAAAAACGCCGCTTTGCTCTTCTCCGCTCTTTCTGACTCAGAAGCCGTGCTGCAAGTGATTTTGAAAGTCGCGAGATGAAAAATAGTAAAAAAGATTGTTCAATGAGGGATGAATGAACTTCAAAAGCTCATTCAAAAAAAAATTTTTTTTGTCAGCTTAAGAACAGCGTTAGAACCTCATCAAACTTTTGAACAGCATGAGGAACGGTTTTTTTTAGCGGGAAACTCTAATTCAAACTCAAGCCAGAATTTTATCGAATTTTTTTCCCGACTTGACAGTTTCTCAATTATGCCCTTCTTCAAATTCTGTGAAGATTTAGAAAAATCAGAAGTACAATAATAATCCAGAATTTTTTTTCTACATTTTTCATTATTTTGATTGACCTCAAACTTTTTTCTAAGAGGCCGCGTCACAAACGCATTGCGTGATCCTTGTCAATCTTTGTCAATTCAAAACCAAACGCAAGAAAAATTTTTTTCAATGTTTTGAAAGAGTTCGGCATAGCGCATAAAATTCAGAGAAAAAAAAAATTTTTTTATACATTAACCTGATATTTTTTCAAATGAACTGTGAGTAAAAATGAAGTAAAACTCTCACTTGTACATGGCGCGTTGTTTTTCGTGTGATCTTCTTTTCGCCTCCATCGCTAACCGTATTGAAGCAGCAGGCATAGAGTCACTTCTGCCGTATGCGCTTTGCCCAAAGTTTGGTGAATTGGCCATTTCCTGGGAAAGATAGAAAAGTTCACACTCATTCAAAACGACACTCACATGTTGAAGCATTTCAAAATTAGTGATGTTGGCGTCATGATCGGTGTTGTGACGTTGCATAGCCATTGATTGAGGTCTGTATCAAATAGGCGCTAAACTTGTACTAAAGGTCAGATGAGAACCTCGGGGCAAAGAGGCTGTCCTGGCTCATGATGCTGGTACTTCGAGAAGGTCCTTGAGTTGGAGGAGCAAAAGGTCGCCGATTTCGAGGAAGCGGGGCATTGCGAGCTGCGGCATTGGCGGCTCTCAAGTCGGGAATGGCTGAGGCTGGGACGAATCTTCTCGGGGACAGACCAAGGCGAGGCGTTTCTACCACTGCAAAGAAGTAAAAAATTATTTTTTTCAGAATGGAAATTTCAGAAAGTCGAAAAAGAAGAAAGAAGACCCAAAAAAATTGTTCAAAAAAATAATCGAAATTGTGAAAAGAATTATTCTCGAATGCCCTAAAATGACCTATATTTGTTTGAAAAACAAATAGTTTATCTTGTGACCCAAAGAGTTCAAACGTCAACTACACAATAAAGTTTCAAAAGACGCAAATTTTTTTCTGTTTTTCGTTTTTAAAAAAAAAAAAATGAGTTTAAAAATGAAACGAGATTATCTACGAGGCTATTCTTAGTTAACATGATTTTTACAAACGGACGATAAACTCTATATTTTTTTCATGATGTCGCAGAAAATCTTCCTAAAAAAACTTTAGCTAAGAAGTTTCAATAAAACTGATTAAAATTATTGCAAGTTGAAAAAGTTTTTCTAAAAATTTTTATTTGGAAAAAGCAGTTTTGCATTCTACAAAAAAACCCTGAAATAATGGAACAATCTTTCAATTTCAATTTAAATCCACAGAAAAGTGAGAATCACTTGAAAACTAACCCGGGGTAGGAGTCACATTCGGTTCGAAATAAACGAATAAATCGGCCAAGAAGACGTTGACGTTCATTTGTAAAGAATCTCGGAGGTAAAGCAAGTCCTCGATTTCGAAGTGGAAAGAGTTGGACAACAAGTGATGTCGGCAGAAATGCCTTCAAATCAAGAGTTTCACCCTTTATAAAGTAGGAAGGAACTTACTGTAGCAGCATGAGGTTGTATTGACAGTCTCTGGTCATTGCGGATTCGTTGAAAGAAATGTCTGTAATCATTGAATTAGTGGAGGAATTCCGCGAATGCTTCGCACCCCCTATTGGCATTTCCTGCGGCCTGTACCAGTGGACCAAAGCGCACAAACACTGGCCGTCGCTGATGTCGTCGTACAGATCTTCCATTTCCGGGATCATCATTTGATCCATGTCTGAATTTCACTTTATTTCGTCATTTTTCGAAATCAAAGAAATAAAGCTTATTGTACTTATTATAAAAAAATCTCGAAAAAGTCTGCTGAATTCCCGCATTTTTTTCTATGAGAAAATTGTTAATAATAATTTTTCTTTTTGACATTTGTGAATTTGAGCTAATCCTCAAAAAGCCAAAACTGCAAAAAAATTTTCAATAAATAGAAAAAAACGTTTTTTTCCGCTTGAACATTAGAGGATTTAAAAACTTGTAGCACCGATCAGAAAAAAATAATGAGCGAAGGGAAAACTTAAATTTTTTTATTTTTTTGCAAATCGACTCTTTCTGTTTCTGAAAAAAAATGAACTGAAAAAACTGTTTGGTAAAACCTCCAAATAAAAAATTGGAAATTTTCGAATTGACAAACAATTCTGACAAATTTTTTTGCGTTCTCCAACAAAAAACAGCAAGAAAAAAATCGACTTGTGTGAAATCCTCAATCATTGAAAATGAGAAAATACCTTTCGAAGTCCTTTCAACATCATCGCGGACCAATAAACAGATTTTTATTGATCCAAAAAAAGAAGAGCGTCCACGTTGTCAATCGGTTTCTCACTCGGCTCAACACAAGTGTGGCGGCTAGAAAAAAAATAATTATTATCCTCAAAAATTATCCAAAAATTACCTGACAGCGTCGACGACCCTTTCCACGGTAATGACATTACGCAAATGAGCCATCATCAACGCGTCAATCAAAGACAAGTGAGCAGACTGAAACAGAGACTTGATGAAGCGAGAAAAAAGGTACACTGACGATGTTGAAAGGATTGGCAGAAGAAAGTTGGCTCTCCTCGATGGCGCTTCCACCATCCTCAGGTCTGTGAGTAACATCCACGCCGTAATCGGTCAACGCCGCCAGAACAGCTCCATGACTTTTCTGCAAAGTCAGAGTGTTCTTTATAAAAGATGCACATTGGATTACCGTTACTAAATTTGGTTCCTTGAAGATTTTGGCGGCGGCCTGTGAGTACAGGAATCCTTTACAGAGAGCTCCAATAACTGCCTCGCTGATTTGTAAATGGCCCTGTGAAGAAAAACGCTCTTCATTACATTAGCAGTCGGTTTCTCACATTCTCATCACGTTGGACTCCATCTCGCAACTTGTCCGGCACGTCTTTAGGATCTTCAAAGACACGGGCGACTAACCAACGTATTGATGCCCCTAATTTACCCTGAAATTATCTCAATAAAAAAACTCAATTAGTTTTTTCCATATTTAATCATCCCAAGATCGGGAATAGCAACTTTCACGCAGTTCTTAGGAAAGTTTCTGACTGCCTCATACACAATGCAACAAGAAATTCGTGATGCACGACTCCATCCTTTCAAAATTTCTCACGACGTTTTACTGCGTTTATCCATATACACTGAGAAAAAGAAGACTTTCACTAGTGGAAATTCATTGTGACAATAAAATACTCACCTTTTGAAAATATTTATTTTAATAAGAATCTTCAAAATATCTGTATCAAAAATTGTTTTAAGTTCATTTCCAATGCATATTATAAAAATGAAAAATTGAAGCAAGCACAGTTTAAAAAAAAGTAACTCGCAAATTCGGAATGATTACCTCGTTTTTCATTATAATCCTCAACTGCAAGAAGCGCAGGTAGTGCAAAGTCGGCCATCACATTAATGAAACATTCAAAAAACCGATTCCTGAAATTTCTGAGCTAGAAAAAAAATTATTGTCTTTTATTGAATGAATGATTTTTTTCAAATGGAAAAAAATTAATGGAATTACAAATTGAAAAAGTTTTGCATTTAGTAATTCAGGAACAAAATAATAACAAGATAATTTTTCAGAAATACATGTTCATTAACATTTCGGCTTTTTGAGGAATCAACAATTAAAAAAAATTCACACGAAGCACTTTCAGTTTCCCGAAAAAAATTTTTTTGGAAATTGACATGAAAAAAATCTTTAAGATAATGGAATGAATAATATGATCTTTTTATATTTTATTTGAACAACGAATGAAACAAGAAAATAATCGTTAATAGGGCTAATTAACCAAAAATTTGACCTATTTCGCAATAAGAGAAAACATAATGAAAATATAATTCACTTTGAAATCGGAAAAAAATGACAAGGGCTGATAAAAGAACTGACTAACAAAACGCCAGCAACGCGGAGGAAGCGGACAAAGAGGATAGCGAAGAGGTAGCAGACTTTGACAGGGCCGAAAAAGAAAGACCCTCTGTGGAAACTAGGCGGAACACTACTGGTGCGCTCCGTTGAGAATCGAACTTTTCGTTTTGTCTGCTGGGTCCGCAGTCATTCGCAACACAATCGCCTCCAGAGCCGCCATTCAAACATATATTGAGCTTCTTAGCCATTTATCGACCCAACTGCTCCACTTTTTTTCCTACCCAACTTTTTTCTGGATTTCAAAGAGACGAGAGAAACATAATTGGGCGGCGAGTTGATGGGAACGAAAACGTGAGAGGAGCGTGAGCTGACCCCAAACGCGTCGGCTCTCTGATCGCCACGCGAATCGATAAAACCCACTTTCGTGCTCCGTCGGACCTCGATCCTTTATTGCCTTTTTCGTATCTTTCTCACCAATCTAGACTTATATGACGTCAGAATGTTTTCTTTGAAAAATCTCAAGTAAATAACGATGCAAATTTAAAAAAACATACCTTCCTTTTCAAAATCGGCTTTTCTTCGAATCATCGCAAGATTTGCAAAATTTTGAATCCCTCATATGTCAAGTTAAGTTTAAAAACTATTCCCCTTCATTGATATTGTTTTTTGGATTGTTAGAAAATCCGAAATGTTGGTCGGTTGGATTGAAATTGTTTCATATCACCATTTTTTCTTAGTCGAACTAAATTTTCCTCAGAATCATCCAAAAAAGTTTTGAGAAGTATTTTTTTATCTTTTTAAATGTTTTTCATTTTTTTAAAACGTCTGTGAAAAAAAGACTGGAAATTATTTTAGTAGTCAGTTTAAAATTACTCGACAAAAGAAAGTTAAAAAAAGTTATCAAATTAACCATTAAAAAATTTCATGGAAAAAATTTCTTGATAGTGAGTTTTCCTTTGAAAAAACTTCAAAAACGTAACTACCGAAACTTCGGACATTTTTATCTCATAAACAAAAAGTTTCTGACAAAATAAAGTACGATGACATTATTACAAAATACCTAAACAGGTATAAAATCGATATCACGAATGTTGATAAACACACGATCGTGCTCTTATCTGCCATTTTGAGACCTGCAAAACGTTATTTCATTGCTCACTAGCTCGTACTAAGACGCGCCGTTCTCACAAGGGTCTCACACATTGATTTCCTAAGTAATTAATTAGCGATTCCACACACACTCTTGTTGAGAAGTGCGTATGAGAAGAAAAAATCAAAGAAGGATTGAAAATGGAAAAAAAGTACAAAATACCCAATTTGGAACGGCAACAAACGAATCAATGAGAAATGAAGGGAGTGGCAACCAGCATTTTTTCACCCAATTTCCAGACTCTCACAGAGATCGGAGTAAAATTCATCGGCGGCGGTGATAAAACTGGATGGCAAAGTGAAGAAAGTGAGAAATTGATTGATTCGGGGATTCTAGTCCTTGATAATTGCGCCATCGACGGCCCGTTTCAGCTTGGCGACCTCTTGCCGCAACTCGCTCACTTCACGTCGTAAATCCTTGTCCTTGTCCTGCATTCTGACTGGGTAATCTCCAGTTTGGGTGTGGTTTCGGCCTACCGACAAAGACGCACTGTTTTTGGAGCTGCAGCCCGCGCAGCCGTTCCTTTTCAACATTTCGATGTCTCGCTCGAGCTTCATACACTGAAATCGTTTCGAATGGATTGAAAACGTTCAGAGCTCACAAAAAAGTCATCTTTATAAAAGGTCACAAAAAAGTATCATTCATCATTCTTTTTCCTCTGTCTGGAGAAGCAATTCCGACAAGTTTGTTTTTGATTTAAAAGCATATTCAATGTGGCTTTTTTGAGTAACTAGCAAACAGCACAAAAATCAAGATAAGAAGGTATAAAAAGATGAGCAACAAACTGTCTTTCCTTCTCTGATTTTTTAAATCATTTTTTAGATTTCAGAAAAAAAAGGTTCTCCTTTTCATTCCCACACTCAACTTCTTTTTGAAGTTTACTTACACTTTGATTTTTTTTGAGGACCGGTTTTTCCGGTTAGTTTTGTCCTTTTTTTTAAGTGTCAAACTCCCTCTATTTGAGTAAAATGAATCATTTTTTGATCTCACGGATTCTATCAACTTTTTCGAGATTTCAGATATGTTCATACCCTGGCGTGGTGACAAAAGCTACGAATGGATCGCTCAAAGGGAAACGATAGAAAAAAATCGCTCAAAGGGAAACGTTAACTTCTGGTTTCCAAAACATTTCGGAAAAATTGTTTGGTTCTCACTTTTTTCAGAAGCGCAAGCTTGTCATCCTGTAACGTCTTCAAGCTCTCAGACATGCTCATATTCTGGCGTTGACAATTTGCAAGCTGCTCTCTTAGAACTGATTCTCCAGTCTCCGCTGCACTCAGACGACTTCTCAGAGCTTCCAACTCTTTCTTCCACGTCTTCTCCTTTTCCTGGTAGACCTTGAAAAACGGTGGGTTGCGTGTCAAAGCGGAATGAAAGCGAATATACTTTGATTATAATCTCTTCGTTGTGTTCCATTGTCGATCGTATTTCGCGCAGCTCAAGTTCCTTCTCGCGAATCACGTTCTACAGTAGTTTTCTTGGTCATCAGCGGCTGATAAAAAAGGCGTACCTCATACTCGATGATTCCTGAATCGCTCGGCGACGGAGTGACATGGATCCCCGAAGAGGAGGACGACATCGTTGTCAATAACGATTTGTGCGCCGCTGCCTGAGATGTCAAAAAATCATTAATCGCATTAGAAGCCGTTTTCGACTTGATCCGCTGGACCGTTGGAAGCTGTGCTGTGGTTGGACCGCATTGAGAAGTTCATTTCAGGGTCCTTTTCCACTACTGAAAGAACAATTCAGAGTTGTTTGCTCAAGTACACAGAGGAACTAAATCTGCTTTCAAAGACTTTTTTTTTCAGAGAGAATTTTAAAAATGGCTAGAAAAGATATTCAAATTTCCGGAATGCGTTAATCTTTTTTTCTGACGTTTTTGTGAGGTTTAAAAAAATGAGTCTTTAAGATAAAAAGATGCAAACGGAAGCTATACATAAAGTCATATTTTTTTCCTACTTAAAAATTCTTTCCGCTGTTCGTTGCCGTTGTGCAAAAGAAACAATCAAACCATTTCACTCAGTTTTTTTGAAATGTTCTATAAAAATTAGAATGTTATTATACAAAGACTCTCCTTGTTAGATCTACTTACTTTGATAAGTGGAAAGAATATCCGAAAGATTTGCAATTGTGTCATTGGCATTGGCATAAACCGGGTCAGGTCTGAAAGTACTGCTTGACCTCGCGAATTAACCTTAAAACAAACCGACGCAAGGAGAGACGGTTGCCTTCACAATGGCTTGGGACAGGTACGCGGGGTCGGTAAGCGACAGGTCGAATCACATTTGATTCCTGAAGGCTTCAATTTGTTCCTTTTTCGAACTCTGATCTAATTTGTAGAACACTCACGTGTTGGTACATTTTCGGAGATGACAAGAATTCCACAGGCGTTTTTTGACCCATCAAAGCGTCGTTGGCTGCAAAAAAGTGCGAGATGGGAACGGAAGTCGCGTCGTAAAGCGGCAAAGGTAATTAGAGACATGTGGCAATGTGAAAATTTGGAATCGCCGGCCTTGGTTTTGGGAACAATTGTTTGAAGAACAATAGGTATTTGGACCTTCTGATGATTTTGAAGTGACCAATGTCCATGATGGAAAAAGTTGAAATCAAGGATGGAATCTACGAATAAAAAATTCGACACATGTAAGTCAAAAAAGACGGGTTATTAAAAATCTTTCGAGGCCTTTTTAGCTTTTCAAATGACAATGTTTCACGCGATACATGAATTATTCAAAAAGGTCAAGAATGGCTTGTATCTCACATTTTATTATCTTTCGGAAAAAAATAATCATCGAAAGATTTGAAAAAAATTTTCAAAATCATGAATCATTTGATAATCTTGCAAGTTATAATACTATTGTAGAGTGGGTTAAAAATTTCCTTCCAGACTCATTCAATTTTTCTGACGCAGTCATTTTTGACACGCCAATCATTTTCACTTCAACGACATAAAAATAACGAAATAAAATTTACAAATAACCGGCTGCCAAGTTCCGGATCGGGCCTTCGTCGAAATGTCTCTCAGCGTCCGATGCTCCATTGCCGTTCCTTCTCTAAACCTCAAACATCTCAAAATTGTATGAAAAATGAACACAATTATTTGTTCAAAAAAAATGATATATGGAAAAGTAGAAAAAGTTTTGAGAACCGCCGTAAACTATACAACCGCAGGAACGATGATATTGCGTGTATTTGATGAAGGTCAACCCAACCCGAACCGTCAGTTAATCGCAGTCCGTCAAATCCGCTCAAACATGGCTGCATTTTGAAATTGGGCTTCGCTCCAAGAATTTACGATAGTGCATTTTGAAAAGCTTTGAACATTTTTAGAATAAGCGGAAAAGCCTTCTTCAGTAGAACAATATTGAAATGAATTAGTGTTGTCTATTTTTTTTTACTACACGTTCTTTGATAAAATTCGGAAATATCTGAAAACGGCAAAAAAAAAACTTGGAAAACTCACATTGCATTTTGGGCTGACTGAGTAGTATGCAAAAATCTCGGACTGCTATTCGGGACGCCGAGGTTTGTCTGCGTGCTTTGCGAATTTCTAGGTTTCATAGTTAGTCTGAAAAACAACGATTCCAAAAAAATGATTCACAATTAAGAGTCTCACCTCTGTACAGGAGGAGCACTATGATCTCTTGTTTTGACCCCGTCACGAAGTTGGGACTTCCATTGTTGCAGCCTAACGGAGGGTGTGTGATTCAAATTTTTTGGTTTTTCTAAATCAGTCAATGTATTAGAAAAAAAATCAGGATGAAAATAATAAGATATAGAAATAACCTGGCGAAGAGTCTAGCAGCTGATCCATCGAAGTCGCCAGGGACGCTCTGAGCGGCTCAAACATTTTTTCTATGACGTCATCGGCTGGCACAAAGTTCAGAATATCCAAAAATGGTTCTTGATTTAAACGAGAGCCTTCTTTGAAAAAAGTTGTAGAAGGTCCAGGTTCGCTTGTGGGATGGTGAACTTTGGCCGGAGAATAGTTCCAGCTGGTACGAATAGTTTTGATCTCAAAATGTTTCCGAATATAAATTAAATGCACTCAAAAACCTTTTGAGGAGGTTCTTTGAAAGTTTTCTGAACGCGTTCAGGTGAATGGAATTTCGGGGAAGCTACGATAATACTTTTCTGTGTCTTTTCGCGACAACTGAAAACAACAATTAGAAAAAGCACCAACTCGACTCAAAAAAGTACCTTGACTTTTTCTCAATTCTGGTTTCGGCCAAGCATTCAGCGGATCCATTTTTTCTCTTGACGAAAAGTCTTTGGGTGCTCGTCTTGACAGGACTTCGTTGTCTGAAACTCTTGAGAAAATGCTGTTTTTTTGGGGTCAAAGCTCGCAAAACTCACTTGCGGTCTGGTGAAGATGACTTCTCATCTTTTCTGTTTTCGCAGGACCTCAACGGACTTGAAATGATCTTATAAAAAGGTTGAGAACAAGGAAGAAAACCTGGCCCTGAAAATGGCGAGTTGATGGCGGAGCGATTGCATGGTCGAATGACGAGGAAGACAGCTGCCGGCGTTTCCTTTGCTTTTCGTCTTCCACATCCTCTCGTTTCAACCCATTCTATGGTTCGAGACCGAAAAATTTGTCTGTTTATGAGATTTTGATGGATGAGTCGTGGGAAAAAGACGACGTTTCAAGATATGCAACCAGATACCTGAAAACCGAAGCGTCGCGTCAACCTTCGTCTGTTTTTTTTTTCGCTCGTTTCTTTTTGCACTATTTTGCATTCATTGATAGGTTGAGGACTTGGACACTGGTAAAAATTGGAAATATTTTTTTACTTTAGAAGTTTTTCGTATTTCTTTCTCTTTTAAATGTAAAAGTAGAAAATGGGGGGTTTTTTTTAGTAGAAACTCAAACTTTAATTTTCAGCTCTGAATATTTTTTCTCTCTTCTTCTTCTTCTTCTTACGCCTTTTTACCGCTTGAGCGCCGACTAGCCGTGGTCCTATTCTGATATCAATGGACAGGCTCCAGTGACATATCCGTCGTGGTGTGTGACAGCTGGGGATTTTGAAGCCACTACCAACATTTCTTGAGCCCCTTGGTTGGATCGAGGCGGAAGTCAAACTTGTGACCCTCTGGACCGTAGACAGGCACCCAACCAGTTGCGCTACGGCGCGCAACTAATGTTTCGTCTCTATGAATATCAGAAAACGCTAATAAAAAAAAGTTTTGGTCTTATTAATTTTGGCTAAGAAATAATGAAAGTGAAAACGGTCAAGATTTCTTTGCACAATAGTAAACTTTCTTTTTAACTTAAAAAAATATTTTCAGAGAAAAAAATTAGCAATGGATTGTATTTCATGATCTTTCCGTCGAATTCATCTTGCCACAGAGAATTTCACAGTTTCGAGCTGTTTTCAACTTGTTCTCTCAGTAATACTGAAACATTTGTTGTTTTTCTGGTCTTTCCAAACGTTTCCGTGAACCGAGCTGCAACCAACAGAAAGATTGTTTGTGTGTTGCCAAGATCAATCAATCGGTTATGTAGAGTAAGCAACAGTTGCAGGATTTACTGACAAGAAACTATCAATTTAACGTCGAGTTTTTGCGGCTCGGCTCACAATTCGCTCGAGTTGCGGATACTGGTGCTGATTCCTGGCCAGGCGATCCATTCTCTTTTCCCGCGAATAGGCAAGGAGCCAGTACGCCGTCGTCTCATATTTGTTCTGAAAAGTTGATTTTATTTGATCTAAAATGTCGATTTCGAAGAAAAAAGCATGAAATTGAATTATAAACTATCAATGACAGAGAGTAAAAAATGAAAAAAATACGATTTCATATTGTTTTCATTTCTTCCATGTGCTCTATGGATAATAAATGAAATTGACATCGATAGAACGTATTTTATCGCAATCAAGAAAACAGAACCTTCAAAGTGATTTGTCCTCGCATCTCAAGTTCATAGCCTTCGCATTGAACGAGAAGCTCCCGAGCTTCGTGGGATACTTGTATTTTCATTGCTAAATTTTTAAGCTTGTTTTTTTCAAAAACTGATGTGCCCATAACCCTCTCCGCTGCTCTCCATGTTGTTGGCCATCATGACACTGTCTCCGAATAGACAATATCTCGGCATTCGGATTCCAACGACACCGGTGACTACTGGGCCGGTATGAATGCCGATTCTAAGTTTGAGTCGTTCTTCCGGACAATGTCTCACGATGAAACCCCACAATTTTATCTTCAAAATTGGAAAAAAAAGAAGTCTCACTTTGATGAACTCAAGTAGCTCAATACTGGCCCCCGCAACTTCACCAGCGTGGAAAACCCCGTTTCTTTCTGGTAGCCCCGAGACAAAAACATAAGCATCTCCAATGGTTTCAATCTTCAAAATTCTTGAAATAAATAGGAAATTTTACAAATTTTACCTTGTAGCAGTCAAACTGGTCAATGACAGTATCGAAGCTAGTGTAAATCTCGTTTAACATTCCAACAATCTGAAGTTTTCAGTTATGAGCTTGTGTTGATGGGAACATTTTTTTAATCAAAGAATCTGATGACTCACTTGCATCGGTGTACTTTTAGAACTTAAAGATGTGAAGCCAACAATATCTGAGAAGTAGATGGAAACAGCTTCATAATACTCAGCGTCCACAGGTTTTCCGTTTTTCAGATTCAAAGCCACCGATCTGGATTGTTTTAGTACCGGTAATGTTTAAAGTTCACGACCTCGGGAGAAGTTGCAACAAAAGATTTTCATTTCTTCTTTTTTCGTCTTCGAGTTGTTCCGTTCTCTCTCGAATGACGTCTTCCAGATTGAAACGATAACGATCCAGCAGCTCCATGATGTTATCAGCAATGTTGCCTTTCCTAGAAAAAAATTATACCACTTCTGAATAATAAAATACAATTCGCATACATTCCTTTAGAAAGAGGCTTGAGCCATTCTCTCACTTTTTTGATGCTGGGTCGTTCCATTGGGTTCTCATTCCAACACCTGAAAAGAAGAGATATGGCTGAAAGTGTCAGTCAATCACTTTTCGACAGTGGAAATGATCACGGCAGGTGATTTTGTTATAAGATGAATGTCTGGCCGTGTGATTGCACCACCTTCTGGATATTTTATCTGCTCGATGATCTCTAAAATTATGGACTTTTGATTCTTAAGGACGATTGCAAAAGACCAGAAGAATCAAGCATGTCGTCTCCAAAGGGCCCTTGCCGGCCGTAAATCTCGTAGAGGACGATGGCCAAAGAATAGACATCGCATCTTCGAAGTTCTTCTTTCGAAAGATCGTGCTTGACACAGAACCTGCGGATCAGTTCAGGAGAGCACCACAACATGTCTAAAACTCTGATCCTAAAAATGACACAAATTTCAGGAAACCATCCGGTTTGGGGGACGGTTCGTCTGATCGAATTTTTTCCATGCCAAAGTTGCTCAGCTTTATCCTCCAGTAGGCGTCAACCACGCAATTCGTACTTTTCAAGTTTCCATGATATCCGATCCTTGATTTTTCGTGCAAATAGTGAATTCCCTGGAAAAATTAGACTCAACGCTATTTTTTTCGTAAAAACCTTCGAAACGTCCTCAACAAATGAAACTTTGAAAATTTTATCAAGACGCAGATCTTCGTTACGCAACAAATCCTTAACAAAAATCATTTGTAAAGTCATCTTGAAGTCTTTTTTCAAACTGACACTCAAACTTTTTCTGGGACCATACTCATGGATTGTGAAAATCAAGTCGCTTTCATTGATAAGCCCGTAGAACTTGTTGAGGTTGACATGCGACTCGGTCATTAGCTGGAACAAATTTGTCAAATTTTATGACGAAATGTTCAAGGAACCAAATCGAGCTCTAGCTTCATCTCTCGAGTGAGTTTTAGTTGCGGCTTCTCAATTTTGCGAACAGTGACAAGTGCAGATTCGAACTTGGCCAAATGCCAGTCGTAGATGTCTTTCCAGTCATCTTTATTGGACGGTAGACTGACCTGTGATTTTTATTTGAAAAGTTTTTTTTTAAACTGTGATAGGAAAATGACCATCTGAGGTTTTTGCCGTCGACGGCGGTAGGCAGCTTTCATTCCTTGTTCGTAAAACTGCATTGAAGGACCTCCAGCAGTGTTTTTCTTGGCCGTACATTGACTAAACAAATATTTTTTTGGATTTATATATCTATTATATTGAAAAAAATTATTTTTTTGTGAGCAATATTACAGTTCTAGTACAATTGCTTTCAGGTAATCATTAATTACCCGGACGCTATGAGCACTTTGCATCATGCTTCCGTTGCGACTCGATGTGAATTTGCTGATGTCGTACAGCATGACGTTCTTGCGATTCACCAAAAAGTACGAAGAATCCAATTTCCGTTCGTAGGCGATCCATCTGCACCTCATTATTTCTATTTTGAGTTCTGAGTCTACCGTAGGATGTAGATGATGAAGCCGAGAACCAGGAGCGCTGCCACGATCGCCGCCGCAATGATTGCTATTTCGATTTCTGTTAGACCACCTGGTCAATGGTTGCTCGTTACGATAGACACTTTTACAAAAGGCAACGGAGCAACACTTACTATAACTTTTTTGACACAATTCCATGTTGAAGCCGCACTTGGGTGACGACGTCGGCAGTTCGCCACGGATCAGACCGATTTCCGTGAGATTGGCCCAAGTGACTCCCTGATACGGTTATTTCAGTTTATCACAACGAGATCGATGACAAGGTGGTTCTGAGGGAAAATGCGGAACTAACAAAGCCTCCAGTTCCGTCAGGAGTTACTCTTGCTGCGATCTTGCCCCAACCGTAGATGGGAAGGCCGGCAAGAGGTTGAGCTCCAGACCAGAGCAAATATTCGCGTTGGGCGATTCCATGTTGATCGAATTTGGAGACGTAGCCAAGAAGAGCTGAAAAATTTAATCGATCAGAAATAACAAAATTTCATCATGACACCACATAAACAAACTAATCATAATAATGAAAAATGACTTTTTTTGAAAATTTCATATTTTTTTCCTGAGAAGAAAGACGTATTCAACGACCATTCATAAAATAAAACTCCACATGTGGTTCTCATAGACTTAGATAATAACAGAATTTCAAAAAAACATCTTGAAAGATATTTTTGAAAAGAATTAAAAAGATTTCCGCAAACTTCGAATTGAACAACTAATTTTTTTCGGAAAGTGGCTAATTTTTTTCACAAAAAGTTTTACACTTTAAAACCGTATTCTGAACTTTGTTTTACTCGAGCAAATTTTACTTTCAACGGAACGATTCCGCATCGTTTTCGTCAGCAAGCTGGCGTTTTCCAAGATTTGGGCTCCATGAACGGAAACTGTTTCCGACAGAAGTTTGCCGAGGTCGTAGGCGTTTGGAACAGCCGCCCAACTCATTCCGTTGTACTTGAAAGGGTTGAACTGGAAATATTCTCATTCAAGGAAATTTGAATACGGAGTAGCCTACCGGATCATCATCTTTTATCAAATCAGTTTTACGGTCACAAAGCGGAGGACAATGGGGAATTCCGGCGTCTTGGTTGATTCTGGCTTGGAACTTGATCCATTTCTCATTGTACGCTGTAAAATTCTGGATTTTCACTCAAAAGATTAAGCAAATATCTTTCGAGATTGGCGACGTCTGAGAAGTAGAAAAAAGAGCGGTAGTATTGGCGGATTAGATTCGTCGGGATTGTGCGGTCCACAGCATCGTATGACAAAGTTTCTGAAGCCAACATCACTGAATATTTGGGATAAATGAACTAACCTCGCCTGCTGCCAAAGCCGAACAAGAAAAATTCTTCGTCGAATCGAACTGTTCCCATAACAATGACAAAGTAGTCTCCCGTTTCGAGAAGCCCTAAGGTAGCCATGCAGTCCATAAAAATGAGGGAATCTCGTCCGTTGTCCGAAATTACAATATAAACTGGAAAAAGTTTTTAATTGATAAGAAGAGTAGTCTCTACAAGACTTCTCGTTTTTAGGTGCGACTGGAGTATAGCGTCGGTGATTCTCTCAGCACCAGTATACATTCCGATGAATGGTGAGAAACCGCCTTTTTTCACGTAACTCGTCTGGAATCTCTATCCTTATCAGTTCAATCATTTTATATTACGGTGATAGAGTTGTCTGAAAGTGCGTCAAGAAGCTGCGAATGATAGGTTTTTTCATCTGGAGAATCGTCTTCGAAGTTGATCACGGCCACGTTTGTCCAACCAACGCTTTTGAAAAATTTGGCCAGTGCTCGATACTTGGCTCTGAAATAAAATAGCAGTTTTTTCTTCCCAAATTTCATAGTTGTACCCCTGTGTGCTGGAGAATTGGACGAAGGCGTCGTCGGCGTTGTTGGCCTCTCCAACTTGGTCCGAACATTTCTGTACGATATACGTCAAGTTCATCACGCGCGAGATAAAAATAGAGTCAGGAATGACGAAGTGAGAAAACACGTTTCTTCAGGTGTTACAGTGGAAAGTTTTCTTCTATTTGCGGTCAAAATGTTGTGTAAACAATAAAAGGAAGTTATTGTAGGAATCAGGAGACTTTTCATTTTGAAACGCTTAAAACTCACTCCCATCAAGCTCGCCCTATTGTAGGCATGGGCAAGAGCCGAAAGTTGCATGCAGTCCGTTTCATAGCCGACCAAAGCCAGAAGCGTATCACTTCCATTTTCGTTGAGAATATAATCAAGAGCTTTTCTTAAGTTTTTATTGATTCATTGATTTCAAGGAAAAGCCCAACTCGGTGTAGCGTCCTTGAGGCTTTGTATCAGGATCTATCGGCTGTTCGCCAATCGTCGGATCATAAAACTGTACGCGAGTGTTGGAATTGAGAAAAGTTCCATTGGTTGTCAATCCTCCGCCATCGATAAGGCCTAAGACGGGAATTGAGTTTTTGAAACGAACAAATTACAAGTCGGCCATGGAACCGATTTGAATTTGAACCCTTCTCGAATGTTTCATGGTTATAAAGTACGAGTACAGACTAGTTTGTTCCGTTAGAGTATTGAGTTTTTTTTTTCATAAAACTTGAGCTTATCAGTGTTCGTGACTTGTGGGTGTGTGATAAAACGGCTATATTGATAAATCGTGAACAAATAAAGAGAAGACAGCCATTATTATAATTATTCTTTTCAAATTTTTATTGAAATTGTTTCCCACGAACCAAAGTAGAAAGCGAGTGAAGCGTAGGTGTCAAGCGGACAAGAGAACTCGTCGGGGTCGACGTTGCAGGAGAACCGACCGTAGTACTGCACGTGAGCGGCGTTGACCCGTTTGGAATGAAAAAGCAGAAGCAAAAACACCGCGAGCCGCCACATCGGCGAGGACCGAAAAATACCGCCGATCCTGGATTTCACAGCCCTTTTATTCTTTCTCGAAACTCATTTCCGTCAGGAGCGCTTCAGGTTGTTGGCCGGAAATTACTTTGCTTCCCGATCTTTCAAAAATTCTTCATTGCAGATGCTTTTATGTACAAATGGCCATACAATAGGAATATTCACCGGAAAAACTCTAAACACCAGAAAAACTAAACACGTAAATTAGAATCGGGAATGACGTCATAACTGAAAGGGAAGTACACTGACAAGTACAATTTTATCCTTTTTTACAACAAATGCAGTAAAGAATGACAGGTAAGTACAAATGCAGTTTTTTTCAGTTAATAAATAACGGGAAATGGTGATGAATAATAACCTTTTTTTCAATTAGATATCTTTTTTTATTGTTTCTCGAAATAATATTATTATTTTTTTCTCTAAGAAAAACTTGGAAAAACTAGGAAGGCGAACAGGAACAAAGGCGAAAATGTTTGGCAAAACCGCTCAGAACCGTAGAAGACCCAAGTTTTTTGAAATTCGTCAAGGATTTCATCGTCGATAATTTGTTGGAATGTTTTTGAGCACATCGTCCGGGATATTTTTCTTCAAATACGCGTTTTCGATCTCCAACTTGTGAACCTGCAAATAATTCCGTCAGCTGAGGACATTAGCAAACAAAGAGAACACAAAAAATCAAATCAAAGCAACAAAAAACTCACATGACTCTCCAGATCATGAATTTTACACCGTAAAAATTCGACCTCCTCGCGAACAGCAAACATCAAGTGAGTCTTCACCAGATCCTGGAAACCGCGTGTTCATTTCAATTTCTAAGTCGAAGCCAAAAAGAAAGTGACGGCTCTTTAACTTTTGTGATTTCTTGGTTCAATTTTTTTACTCAAACAGTCGTGTCTTGAAATGAAACTTGTTTGCACAATAATTTAACAATGGAGAAAGCAAAGTTTGTTTGGAAGTTCTGAAGTTTGACACACAATTTTTTGTGGAGAAAATGATAGGTTTTGTATTCAATCTTGAGTTTTTTTCGAGTTATAGTTAAAAAAATACATGTTTCAAAAAAAGTTACATAATTTTTTTCAGAGTTTATACAATAGTAGCTTTATTCGAATAATTTTTTTCAACTAAACTTATTTTTCATGAAAAAAATTCTTTTTATATTTTTCCTAAAACTGTAGCTTTTATTATTATTTTAAAGCTCGAAAAAAATTTTGTCACGAACCAAAAAAAAAATTGGCGCTATTTTTCCATCGCGAAACTCCATGAAACTTGAGATAAAAAGAAAGTCAATCTGTTTTTAAACATAAAAAAACAAGAAAAAATAACTGGAAGAAAAAATGCGAAACTAACCATTGCCTGCTCGATCTTGGAGTCGATGGCCACCGAAGAAGCATGGCAAGGCGGGTTGCTCGTGACGCTGTAACAACCTCGAGTCAGAACTCCAGTTCTGGGAGAATAACTAGGCAGATGTCGACACTCGATAACGTTGCATGACCACATTTTCGGAGCAAAGTACAGGTCAGCCGACTGTCGCGTAACTATATAAGGCTAAAAAAAACGGGTGTGCGGCGGGAGCGCAGCGGCCAGTGAGTGTGAGCGAGTCACTCGGCTTTTATGAGCGTCTGATGGGGGAGCCACGTGAGAAGAAGGAATGGTATGCGACGACCATTTACAAACAAGAAATTGGCCGTTGCCAACTTAGACCGAGGGCAGGGAACACCCCCAGCGCAGGAGTCAAGATCTTCAGAAAGAAAAAAGGAGCGGGTATCTTTGAAAGTGGAACCTTTTAGTTCTCCTGGTCGTCTCCGAAGTGTGCGTCAGTGACTTTTCGAGACCAGCCAGTATTTCTTTCGACGTTGACCCTTCAGACTCGGTCTTCTGCGCTACAGGAGCAGCCTTCGGCGTTGGAGGTAAAGTTTTGGGGGCCGTCGGAGGCTTCGGAGAAGGCCGAACAGTCGGATCAACCTGTAATCGCCGAGTTTGTTGTCCCGTTGTTTTTGTGAGTTGGCTCTATTGTCACATGTACGTACAGCTGATGTTGTTATGCTCGATAATTAATGGCGTTGTTTTTACGCACAGCTCAAAGCGATTTTTTTGTTCCATAGCTTTGAAAAAGTGGCTCAAGATAAATTGTGGAAATTAATTGAATATTTGCTTTTTCAATTTCTCAAGTTTTCGTTTACTATAAAATTTCCCTACTTCTTTTTTTCATGATATTCTGAAAAATCTTACAAACAAAAAAACTTCAAAGAAAAAGCTTTTTTTAAATTGACTTTCGGGTTCTGTCCACAGCCGAGCAAAATTAAGGAGAATCACAAACAAACTGCTATTTGAGACCGAATAAAAATACAATGATTTCATGAGGATTTTTTACGTTACATCTCATTTCAGTTTGAATACCAGTTAATGTACTTTTGATTTTTCAGGGTCTCGCGAACACGTTCAAACAGCGTAACAAATCATGCAACCTTTACAGCAAAAGATGACGCGTTTAGTTAACTTTTTCTTGTGGGTCAACGAAAAGTTTGACGTCTTGATTAAATAAGGAAAAACATGTACTTTGGTAAGTGGAGATGGCGGAGGCGGAGGTTTAGTTGAACAAAGTGGGAAAAGCCTCATCGGACCGTTGGAAGACGACGAATGCGAATCTGACAAGGACCTGGTTCCTCGGGTCACCGTCGTCGTCACAGCTGCAGGTTGGAGAAGCATTTATCATTGCTTGATAAGCTAAGGACTGACTAGTTTTTTCTGGAGGAGGTTGATGGCTTGATTTCTTGGAAACTCTAGTGAGAAAAGGCTCTCTCAAGTCGCGGTCGTAGTAGTCGTGGCATTGCCAACGGCTTCGTTTGTACCGACTTTCAACGGGAACTATCTGCAATAATAGATGAAAGACATATTAAATCAATGACAAAAATTTCTACGCTTTCTTGTATATTTCTTTTTTTTTTCCAAAGTTTTTGTCTTTGCCGGAAACAATCCATGAAAAAATGTAAACATTCCAACAATGAATCATCGCAATATTTTTATTCATCTCCCAACTTTCTAATGAGTGGGTAGGCAGTTTACTTTCAAACGAAACCCACCTTTAAATGTTTGTTCATGACGCACTACTGTCTAGGTACACATGGAAAAGCGGTACAGGTGTTTTTCAAATGAAGTTTTTTCATGAGAAAGTTCTTTTCTGTTTCTTTGATCTTTGCGTTTTTTGGGAAAATCTTCGGTCTTTTTATGTCTTTTATCACGCAAAGAAAGAACAGGCAAATTTATGGGTTTCTTATCTTTTGAGCGGTTCGTTCAGTGCAGCTGGCACTTCACTTTATTGAAAACAAGATAAGTTCAAAGGTCGTAAGATTTTTAACTCAACTTAACATTTTTCATTTTTTTTTTGCGAAGGAACCTAGCAAGTTTTCAATTGAATGATGAATTGACGCATTGAGCAAAAGCTCATTAACACATAAAATTGTCATACTTTATATTGACTCGAGAAATACTCGACGATTTTTCGTCACTTCATCAGCAGAAAATGCAAAAAAAGGTTAAAACGTTTTCCAAGCTTCAGAGGTTTTTTTATACTGTTTTTTTGCGGCACTAAAGTGGAAATTTTTTTCAATATTTTTAAAACTATTTCACGGTTGAACCGAGGCTTAGGTCTTTTCATAGCGCTGTAGATTTTTTGGTTGAGTTGAAAACTATTTACTGCTGGTTTGAAAACCAGAGGTGACTGAGAATTTACTTCTACCAAAAGGAAAAAATATCGCACGTAAGTTCTTTGCGCTACACGCTCTATTTTCAAACTTTCAAAAAATGAATTTTTCTTCTATTTTCGTGCTTTAAATGTTCTATCAGAAGGCCGAAGCTTTTGTTAGGGTTTTATGTCAAGGTTACGCTTTTCCAAGAAATCATATAAAATATCCTGCAATCAACGGCATACTTTTCAAATTGTTTTACAGCATTCTACCGTGTACTTTGATAAAGAAAAGAAGAAAAAACCTTGAAACGCGAAGGAGCTGGAGTAGCGGCGGCAGGACTTGGCTTTGGCGCCACTGTTGGCGCCGGCGTCGGCGCGGTGTTGCGACGCATGTGACGGAGGTCGAACGATTTGGTGAATCTCGAGTCGGCTGTAACAAGAACAAGCAATCAGTGAATAGCAAATGAAGGCGAAAACATGGCGCCCCTGGAAACAAACACATTTTCCTCTCGGCTAGGCAGATAAGAGAGCCGATAAGAAAAAGCTCAAAGTCAAATTGCAAGCGATACGGAACGGACTCGTGATTTGTTTTGAGCTGCAGCCGCAAGTTACTCCATTAACTTACACTGGGATCCAGATGGCCGCCAGGCGAAAACCAACACGAAGAAAGTAAATTCTCGCCCGGCGGTCGCTTGACTCTGGGAAAAGAGTTTGCTTGACATGAGTACTTCAACGTGACATCCGAAGAAAAAAGCGCAAAAAATAGCAAAGATGAGAAAGAGAACAAGAGACTCCAGATAAAATGTTTTTTTCCCATTTTTTATGTAATTTTTTTCTCCAAAATTTCCAATATTGAAACTGGATAAAAGAACAGCCTAAAGAATGGTTTTTTCTGATGAAAAATATTTCTATTTGAAAATTGAGATCAATCTGGAGTGGTAAAAAATGAAGCCAGAAATCAAAAGAGATTTTCCAATTTTCAAAAAATCAGAGGCGATAGAGAACTAGAAAAGGTCGACTATTACTTTTGTCCGCTCAAATTGGTAGTAAATGGCTTGCTGAAAAAAAATCAATTTTTAAGCAAAAGCAAAACTCGTAATTTGAAAAAAAAAAGTTCAGTTTCTCATTTGTTCTATTAATGAAAACTTTTTCACCACAAGCCCATTAAGATGCAAATTTTCCAAGTTTGAGGTAAAAATTAAAACTGGCTATAGGATCTTTCAATACACAGCTGCATGGCAGAATGGATGAAAAATCATGGTCGTTGAAAGACTTGTTTTCGTGGTTTCAACCTCGTCTGCCGATAAAATTTCGATGGACGGCGGCAAAAGAAATTAATCAATAAACTGGTTTCTAATTCATTCATAACATTGGTCAATGAAAAACAGTAAAGTAAGATAAAACTGCAACTTTTTTTTTCCAAAGTAATGTTTAGGGTTGAGTTAATTTAGCAAGAAAATTATTTTGGCATAGTAACTTTACCTTGGAGATTTTTAGTTATCTCCATAGTTTCATTACTTTTCTATCAGCTTTGAAAAAAAATAGAGCAAAGCTCAGTTCGAAGCTCGTTTTTTTGAATCAGCGACAAGAGTTGAGATTGATAAGCGAGAAAAAAATCGACAGCTGCTGTTTTGATTTTTGTTGGTCACCTGTTGATTCAAGGTAAACGATGAAAATAGCATACCAATGAGCTTCATTTTTCTCAGTTTTTTTATCTAATTAATGTATAATATACTTAATTCCCATTCACTTTCCAAAATTTCTGGCGAATATTTCACTTTCTTTTTTCTTTTTTGACGAACCCATTAACCGCAAAAGATTCATGAAAACTCCTTGTTTTTATGGACATCTAACTTAAGATGAAAAAATAATGAAGCTTGCTACAAAAACTCCTTCACTCTTAATTTTTATCCCAATACGAAGAAATTTACAATAATTTGACTTGATATAAGAAGTAAAATCATTCGGTTTGAAAAAAAGCTGGATTGAAGCCAAGATGGATCATAATACATGCAAGACGAGACACGTGAGAGTAGGTCAACAAAACATTCAAAGACTCGATACTCAGCATTGTCGAAAATCCCCATTCTCCACTAACACCACTGTGATGACATCATTTCAAGTTTTTGAGGTTTTCAGACAAAAATAACCAGATTATTTAGCGTTACGTGGGTGCAAATAAACGTGAGGATTTGGGCAAAAACTAAAGAACACCTCGAAAAATGATGGGGACTCTTGTGATCTTTTCCCGAATTGTGAGCCTTTCCGTTGAAAGTAGCGAGCTTCTCAGCGTAAACCCTTTTTTCTGTTTCTTTTTTCAGTTTGAGGGATTGTAAAATTTTCCAGTCTGTTGATCAATTTCTAGTTTGTGAAGTCTTGAAGGAATTTTAGCTGATTTGTGTCTCTTACTTCAGTGTCCGTTTTATTTGTAGTTCAAGACAAAAGTTTAGCGCTATGTAGTCATTAAAATACTAATTAAATTTTTTTCAAAAAAAGCCATAAGCAAACAAAATAAATTCTTTAAAAAAATCCAAAACAGAAATACTGTTTTCAAGAATTTTTTTGGTGGAAAAAGTTTTTTTATTCATAACCAGACTCGGAGTTTCATCCAGAAATTGAAAAAAAAGTGTTTCCGGTTTTTTTGAAGATTTTTTGAAGATTTTTTCCTGGCTCTCTGCAGATAATTTTCTAAGCGCTCTCTTCAGAACTAGGCTCCTAAAGTTTTTTTCCTTTTCGATTGAACACACAACATTTCCTCAGTGGATATGAGAGATCAGCATTGAAATTTCTTAATACTCCCCTACATATTCTTTCAAATTTCGATTACGTCTAGAATACTTAGCAAAGTTCAGGCGTCTTAGTTGTCAATTTGAAAAAGTCGGAAAATTAGCTGCCTCGCATAGTATTCCAATGGAAATAAAAGTACTTTCACATTATACTGGAAATATCATGACTCCGAATTTGCTCGAAAGCTCTGCTTTTCATCATAAAAAGACTGATTGGGTTTTAAATTATGTTTTACAATATTTTTTTAGAAGGATTTGTAGAACTTTGCCGTAAAACGGTTTCCCGTTTGACATGTGAATTTATGTTGATGTAAACTTTACCTAAGCTTTTTCACATTGAATGATGTAAAAAAACCAATGTTTATTCCCTTCGAGTTTGAATACAAGGAAAATAAAGATTTTTTTCTGAAAAATAGAGTCACAATTAAAACGAAAGCGTTTTTAATCTGAAAATTGAAGTGAAAAACTCTTGTTCATGTTCTTGGCAATGAAAAGGACTTGCATGTTTTTTTGGAGTTTGCTGATTTTTTGTCGTTTTTTTTTCTTAATAGTTACTGAAATTATATAAAAACACATGGGTTGTCCTTCACCCTGTAGTGATTCATCTACAAGATTAAAAATCTGAGAAAGAGAAAAATTGAGGTTTCGGCAACTTGTAAAAAACTTGCGACTGCATCGGAAATCAAAGTACCTTTTTTCGGTATTTCTGCATGTTTGTCAATCCTGGCAAACTTTAACTGTGCTGCCGGTACTATCAAAACGAGTGACGCTGAACTATGGAAAAAAACAAACCGATAGGAGTGCAAGAGTTGACGGGAGTCGAAACGGTTGAAGTAATGTTCTCTTCATCAGAATCATCGCAATCTTTGGAAACGATTTCGAGGATGCGAAAAGTGGCTTCGGAAGGCTTTCTGAGGGACTCGTCCTGGAAACAGACCCCCAACTGTTTTCTCAAAGATTTCGGCTCACCTCCTCCGGAATCGTCGGGGGCGCCAGTTCACATGCTGCTTTTAGCGATGCGCTGCAATGTTTTTTATGTTATGAGAACGGTTCACCCGAATTTACGACGTGGAAATTTGGAAAGAATTGCTCCGTCTCATTGATTCGCTGTTCTAATACTGCCTAGGCACGTCGAACTGCTTTCAAATTGAAGACATTGAGAGAAGACGCTGATAAAATCTTTTTACAGAAGTTGTTGATCTAAGCGAAGTCAATGAGAATATTCCAGAATAGATTCAACCGAGAGCACTGAAAATGTTTCGAAGGTAAAAGTGGTGACAGCATTTCAAATCTCATATAAATTAAATGGACACTGAATTTTCTGTTCAAATCGAAACGTTTTTTTCATTAAATAAAAATTAATATGAGTTCCCTCAGTACCCTTTCAATAATTTCACTGTTTTGAAACATCATTAGTTTGAGCTTTGGTGAGAAAAAAATTATGATATAAATTTTTTATAGTGTTCACCGTCAATTTTCTAGTGTATTTTGAAAATTTCACAATTTTCAATGGGCACGGCGAAATAAACATTGAGCGATTAATCCGATAAGGTAATCCAAAAGGACAGTTTGTAGCTTCAAACACATTGGACTCACCCAAATCGTAATTTGCTGGGGTTGACGATGAATCTGGTCGGCATGGTTTATCGTTCGGATTATTGCTGGAAATCAAAAGAAAACTGAACGAAATTTAGCCTCGGAAAAAGCCTCAGACTTGAACGAAAATTTCTGACCTAGACAATTTACTTCACACTAATGTCGGCGGTTCAACAAAATCAATTGATTTTCGCTTAAATGATCATCAAACGAATTGTGACTGCGAAATCGGCGGACATAAACAACAGAAACTGAAGAAACTGAGGAAAAGTGAAGAAATCGTGATTTCCATAAGAGAAAATTTTTATCGATGTGAAAGCAATACATTTCAATAATAAAAAGGAAAAATGGAATTAATCGCTTCCCACACTTCTTCTTCGCAGGGACGAGAGGCGCGCAAGAGGAAGAACGTCCAAATTTGATGGCTGTGACCGAAGTTTTCTTTTGGCGTACGCTACCCTTTTTTGGGCCGAAAAAATCAAGACGGTTTCAAGGAAAATCCTATCAGCGGCTGTAGCGCGCCGACCCAACACAAGGGAATCTACTGAAGCGTCTTCCGAATCCAATCGAACAGTACACATTCTGCCTTTAGATAAAAGGTTTTGAGGACTCGGTCGAAGAAAAGCGCTTTTTTCTGCTGTTTTGAAAAGCGTAGAGCATGATTGAGGCACAGACGGACCACATCTATACAAAAATATTTTTGAGATTCTGTACTCATTTTCGAACAATTGGCTGTACAGAGTGAACATTTCCATAGGGAATCAGTAAAACCTAAGACCAATCAAATGACACATTTCGGCCATCGAGTCTTCTTGGCCAAAATCAACTTTTCTTTGATTAATAGCCGAGGCCTGTAGCGTTTCTGTACCTAGAGGCCAAATGTACGAAAAGTTCAGAAAACGGACAGGAAAACAAACTGGATGGAATGGATCAGAACGCAGTGAGGCCTTTTTCGGAAAACATTGTGTTTATGAATTTCTTTTGTGGAAAATTACTCCTATGTTTTTGGATTTGCTTTTAAGAAATGACACAAAAAAACATTACTTTGAACTGTTGAAGTATAGATTTTTTTGCTAGATGGGTTCTCCGATTTTTTTCCATAAAAAAAAGAAAAATTTCAAGTTCAATATATATTTATGTAAATTTCAAACTTTAGGACTGAAAGAAATATTTGAAGCTGTATATTGCTTCACCAAAATGAGAAAACCTTTCCTTCGAACGCCGACTGTGCTGCTTTAAATTCCGTGTTCCCAGCCTGGGAATTTCGAAACTTGTAGGCTTGCATAGAAAACTTCAGTGCTGATCGTTGAAAAAATTCAAGATTTGGTGAAAGTATGCTGGCTATCACTTTTGCTCAAAATTTAGTAGGAGATAATTTTGTCTGAAATTGAAAAAAAGATGAGATTATATGACCACTAATATCGCTGACCTTCCACGGAACCTGATTTTTTTTTTCTGAAAACTTTTAATCTCCGTGACATTTTTTTTTGAATTTCTTGACACGGACACCCACCATAGCGCAAAAATAGTGTACTATAGTGCAAACCTGTTTCAGTTGAGCTGTGAAATATGTGAAAAGGTTTCTATACTTTTAGTTTGGCACAATAGAAATCGAAAAAAAAAGATCTAAACTGCAACCCAACAAAAGGAAATTTCTCCGCGAAAGAAGAACAACAGAACAGTCTACGACCATCTGTTCTCTGTTTTTTTCTCGAATTTCAGAACGAATTCGGTGCTTATTTTTCGAATCGACATGAAATGATAAAAAGAAGTTAAGCGTGAGTGGGACGGCAAAAAATGTTTTCCACTGTAAAATCTGATTATTTCACAGCTCTTGAACTTGTCGTCTCAAATGTTATCTTTCATTCTCACACTTGAAATTGCAAAAGTTTCTCATTTCTCGATGTGTTCCCATGTCAGGATGTTCATTCCCGTTCTCGTTTCTCGCCGAGCTACCACTTTCAAATAATGTTTCCAGTCACGTCTGTGATCTGATTAACTTCGAAAATATACATTACAAATGTAATACTCCAAGGTTTTTTAAGAACGCTTTTTTCATGGTCGTTTCGCGATTTAAAATTGGTACTACCATCCTTCAAGCATCTTTTTCGAGCTTCTGATTGACTTCGCACTCGTTTTGTTCTCTTTGCTTTCGGATGTCATCCGCGTGCACTCCGTTTCGTCGATTTTCCCCAGGAAGGAGTGTTCGCGACACTTTCCTTGTGAAAAAAATGTTTTAATTATCGGCTTTTTCTATAACGTGTTCCACTTTACGAATAAAATCATTGGAATGAATCACAGAAAAAGATATCTTCACGACTTTTCACTCTTTCAAAGCTTTTGATTCTTATTCATTTCTGAACATAATTATTTAATAACTTCGATAAACAAGCAAGTTTCGTTCGAAAGTTAAAATAAGATAAAGGAAAAAATAAAATATTTTTTTGGATCTTATCACCCTGAAAATTTGAATCAAACTAACATCATTCATTAAAAAATTTTTATCTGCCATTCGCAATAGTTTTTGAAGCTTTTTTTCTTCATCAAAGCAAAAAAATCGGGAGACAGTAGCCTTTTTTTCGAAACCCTTTTTTTCTTCGACTGAATGGCTTCTAACACGTTTTCGTTAAATCTGCTAGACACACAAAGACCGAAGTTCAAGCTATTATTTGGATGAAATATTTTTGTGCAACTATGAAAAGTCAAACGAATCAGATGTTCATTGACAAAACGTGGAAATAAATATTGCGCAGTGAAAGTGATGGTGAGCTTATGGCCGAAGGATGAAACGCTCGATGTTGTGGCTCTAAAAGTGTCAATAGACAGTAACACGGAGAAGAGTGCCGCGACGAACTCTTTTGTAGAGGTTGGGCACGACGTCGACAAATCCAGGCATCCAGCCGCGTCCAGAGATCAGAAGGCCGCTTCGTGGAATTCCGACAAGTCTTTCGTCGGCACCCCGTTTCCTCATCCCGTCGGCATCCTGAACCACGCCGTTTATAACTACGGCTCCAAATAAGATATCAACTAACCGGCTGACCGCCTCTCTTCATGATGTTCTGCATCATCGGGGCGAAACCGGGCATGTAGCCTCTGCCTGAGATCATCAAACTGCTTCTTGGGATCACCACCGTCGCTCTCTGAACTCGCAAACATTCAAGTTACAAGCAAAATTCCAAAGAAAAAACCAACCTTTCCACCAGATCGTCCCCCGGTCAAATCCTCGAACTCGTATCTTGTCTAGAATGCAAGAAAATTTAACAAAACTTGTCAATGCGGAAAGTTTGGAAGAAAAGAACTGGAACTCACGAAATCCCCGTCGAAGGAGGCGAGGACTCCGTAAAGTGACATGACAGCGATGCAGACGATATATCGCATTACCTAAACTCTGAGAGTCAATAACCGAAGCTCGAATGTGCTGAAGTAGAAAATCCGTTGCCCGAGGCGGTGTCAAAGGAGAATTTGTGAATTTAGCCCCGCCTGCGCCGCTTTATAGGAGCAAACTTAATGGTGGAAGTCCTAGAAGCTGCGTAGGATGGGCGTGTCTTTGGATAATTCGCAAAAAAGCCGTCATATTTGAAAAAATGTTTGGAGAAACGGCAGAATTTCCTGGTTGTTAATTTATAGGAATTGTTCCTGGATGTCTGGGCTGTTTGCGCCGTCCCACAACTGATAATAATAGACCAATTTTTTTGGTGCACCTATGAGTGGTCGATTTGATTAGCGGCGTAATTGGCTTCTCCGAAACTATAGTCTTCCGTCTTTAGAGAGTGATAGAGAGATATATTTTCAAAGTTGGTGGCAGGTTGTTCAGTTTGAACGGAAAGAGATCCTTGTTAATTCGAGAAATGTGTCACTTAAAAAAAGAAATGAAAAAAATTATCTCCGAAAATTAACTTTAGAAATCTCTAGTAATCGGTTTTTAAAAAAACCTATAAAAAAAGAATAAATCCGACTAAAATAAGAAATGGCAAAGTTTTTTTCTTTTTCTGATCCCGAACCTCGGAAACTTTGTGATTGAACTAGATTTTTCCCACTTGCACAAATAAAGAAGCCTAATTTCTTTTGAGAAGCCAATCCCGGATGAGAAAAACAAAGACAAACTGAGATCGACCTTTTTGCTGAGCAAAACGCTCCAAATTTTTGTCTGAATTTCATGAAGCAGTATAATTCATTAGTAACATAACATCCATGTTTCTTGTTCTTGATATCTAAAGAAAAGATTTTCCAGTTCAATTTTTGCAATGCAGAAAAGTCAGCAGAGGAAGGTCGAAACTTTTATATAGATTAAAGGAAAAGTTAGGAGATGTTCTAGTAGCCAGGAGCTGTTCTCGGAGGTGGACAATGCTCGCAGCCGCCTGAAAATTCCTTCCGTCGTTCCAAATGCAAGGCTAATTGTCAGATATGCCGTTCGAGCAAATAAACGCCTACGCCGTTAAGAAAATACTTTTTCACCTGAATCTCCTGGGCGGCCATCTGGACCTTGAGATCCAAGACCTCCTGGTCTTCCTTCCATCCCTGGAGTTCCATCATCTCCGACGTCTCCTGGCGAGCCGTCAGCTCCAGGATTTCCATCTCTGCCGGGCTCTCCTGAATCTTTTCTATCCGCAAGCCAACTAAATTATAAAGTCACCATCGTTTCCAGGCGGTCCAGCTCTTCCTGGAGGTCCTGGAGGCCCTTCGATTCCAGGAACCTATAAAACATTAATTTAACGATTGTGGAAATATGCAGTACTCATGCAACAACGCTATCAGAGCAAAAGGTTTCCAAGAAGAATTCCTGTTTACATGTCCTTTGTCTGCTAATTAGCTAACAGGAAGAATGAATATTTTCGGAAAGTCACGGAAGCCACAAAAAAATTCAGCTATTTTTATGAAAAGAAACATACTTTTTTTTGTATAATTTCATAGAAACTTCAGCTGCTTTTCCTCGAAATTTTCTCTCAAAATGAAAGTTTCTTTTTGCGAAAAGGAGATTTGTTAATCCTTCCATCAAACACCCGTAATGAAATGTAGAAAAGAAGAAAGCCTACCTCCACTAATTTACCAGGTTGTCCCGCAGCTCCAGGGCTTCCAGGAAGCCCTAAAGGTCCAGACAAGCCCACTGGTCCAATAGAACCTGGAAGGCCTTCTGCGCCTCGCTCTCCCGGAGCTCCGGGATTTCCTGGCCGTCCGCGTTCTCCAGACGGGCCTGGCGGTCCAGGAAGCCCTGCTTCAGCAGGAAGACATTCAAAACAGAAATCCTGAGATTTTCGATTAGATTCATTCTGCGAGAAATTCGAGCTCACGAATTGGGGTGCTGGCGTCGCCGGAGCAGAATCTGGGCCATCTCTTCCAGGCATTCCTGGCTCGCCGTCTTCGCCTTCTTTCCCATCGGATCCTGGTAGACCAGGTGGTCCTGAAACCGTAAGTGACGAGGTAAATCGCATAGAAGTTTAATCAACTACTGAAGTATAAATCCACAGAAGCCAATCAGGTAGATTTCCCAATTGATTTTTTTTTTTTGAATTTTCCTTCCCTAGTGTTCGCTTTGGACAAACTTTCAGAGAAATCAGCACGTGAGCAACAATTTGAAAGCGGAAATGAGCGAGGGTTTCATCCGGAGAGAAATGCGTAAAAGTGATGTGCAGACAAAACAAATCGCCTACGTTTATTGTGGGAATAGGTTTTTGGAAATGCGAAAAAATAAAAAAATAAAGTGGAATTGAAACATAATCTAATCAACGTATCTTTTTTTCAAAAAGATGAAATTACAAAGAACTTCTCAATTTTTCATTTTTAAATTCTATCAAACACAAGAGCGGATGAAAGAAAAAATTGTCAAAAAATTTTATTTTTGTTCAACCCAATTCTAAATCTGTTGATTTTCAAAAAAGTGTAAACATCAGCGACTTTTTTGTGTTAGACAGAAAGTCAAAAATGATTTTTCCGTTTGTGATAACAATCGAACATCCACAGGATTATTTCAAACTTAACGAAAAGCGAAATGCTAAACATAGTGCAAACCTTGAGGAGACTCTCCACATCCACAGCAGCCACTCTGTTGAGGGGCATATCCGACAGCAAGACTCGGATTGGAGACGTCAGGATAATTCCACAAACCGTAGCCAGCTCTTCTGGTTTTTCTTACTCCTGGAACGTTTGCAAGAACCTTAAAAACTGATAAAAAGTACAATTTTCGGTTTCACTCACCTGAGTCTTTGCGATTTCTTTCCAAAAATAACTTGATCGAATCTTGCAGAAATCCACCTAAATCAAACCTTTGAAAATTCGACGAAAAGTTTTCGCAATAAGAATATTTCTAATCTCATTTGACTGAAAAATAAAGCACACATAAAATAAACCTCATCGAGCATGTTTGACTGCATTTGCTGCATTTTTGTGAACAACATCGGACCAGTCACGATGCAAATCACTGTAGCCATTGCAGAAATGGAAACACCGACCACAGCAGTTCTGTCAGAAGAATAGAACTTTCAGAAGCTTCCAACCTTATACCTTCTCAGTTGGTGCGCTTCATGCTCCAAACTATCGACTTTACTAGCTTTTGAGGACATTTTGTCTGCAAATGAAACCAAAAAAAAGTCACTGTATATGAAAATTACCAAGTAAACTGAGACTTTGAGAAAACTTTTCGAGCTTTTATACAGTTATCGGCGAGCATCGAAAAAACAGCTAACTGGCCGGATTAAGATTAACGCCGTTGGAAACGCGCGTCTCAGAAGGTACGATATTATTTTTTCTGGGATTATGCAAAAATGGAAGCTGAAAAAGAACTGGTTGGATTTCTCCTTGGATGTTTTCTCGTATGAAATGAAATTAGAAGTGCACTTTGGGATTAGCCTTGGTAGAATTTCTAGAGTTTTTTTGATCAATGAAAATGAAGAAATTACATTTGACATCAAATTATTAAAAGATTGAACTGAATAAATAGTTATTGGCCTGAAGAAAAAAACTCATTTTTTTATTCGGTAATAAAATAAATAAATAAAAAAATAATGTAGTAGTGTTCCAGAAAAAAAGAACTTTCTGGTCAAATTAGTAGGAACATCACTGGCAGGCTTGCAACAGACGACTTTTATTCATAATAAAGTCATCGAGTGTCGGTCTGACGGCAGAAAAGGCACTCAGGAACAAAGAACTCGATCTGTCTGCGTGGCACAGTTGTTCGACCTTTTCCGAACTTATTGCACCACTTGGCGGAAAGCGAAACTCCACTTAGCTTTCGGCTACGTTCTTTCTCTCCAACTTTCAGCTCTACCATAAAACCAGCTTTTTGGCAACTACTGCGTCTCTAAATGACCTTTGTTGAGATAATTAGCTTCAAAAGAAAGACGGCTGTTCGAGCGGAAGTATCAACGTGGACACGTTTTTCTCTCTCTGACCCCCGAACGAAGATTTCTGATTGTTACTTCTTTGACCGAATCATTTTGTTATATGAAAATATCAATTTTATTCAAATCTGAATTAACGGCAACAAGCATGAACTTTCAGAGCGAATTGTTCCTCGTTGCCTCCGATTCCAGAAGATTTCACTAAAGTGTAGTCTCCAAATCGGTAGTTATCGACATGTGCCTGGTTATATCTTTCTTTTCGACAAAAAAACAACTATTCTTACTTGATAGGCTCCGATTTGAGTGAAAGCTGGTGGACAGTTACCCAAAGCAAGAATGCAGTATCCCTTGTCGTTGACGATCCATCCTAAAAAGAAGATGATATTTGGCTCTATGTGAATTAGAAAATGACCAGGGAGTCCGGGAATGCCATCTTTTCCTTGTTCGCCTTTTCCTCCTGGTAATCCAGATGGACCCTGAAAGTTAATGAGATAGACAAATTAGTTTCGCTTCTCAAAACCTGATCTCCTTTTGGTCCCGGGAGTCCAAGTTGTCCTGGTGGACCAATCGGTCCCATCATTCCCTGACAACTTAAAAATCGCCAGTCAGAATGAAATCGTTATTACCTGTGGACCAGGAGCCCCTGGTAAACCTCGTTCTCCAATCATGCCTGGCGATCCAGGAATGCCAGAAACGCCGTTTTCACCTTTTTTCCCCGGAAATCCAGGAGATCCAGGTCTTCCAGGCAGTCCATCTTCTCCTTTGGCTCCAGGCCATCCAGGCGCTCCGGCTAACCCATTTGTTCCAGGTAATCCTTCCATGCCTTTCTCTCCTTTGCTACCAGGCAGACCCATCGCTCCAGGTTCTCCGATCTGTCCCAAGTTATTAACTAATGAGCTTTTCAATTTAATTTTTTTGCTTAAAAAAATGACTGTTTATTTTTTAAAGTCATCTTGTTTTGAGATACAAAAAAATTTTTTTGGGAAAAGACTTTTTGAGTGATTTTTTTAACCAAATAGGGTATGACGAAATACCAAAAATAAACTCACTCGACAGATTCGTCATACTCACCTTTCCGGGAATTCCAGTGTCTCCTTTCAAACCGGGTGTTCCGCTCTCGCCATGATCCCCTTTTTGGCCAGGAAAACCCTGGAACGCATTTATTTTTTTCTAAGCTGGACATTTTTATAAAAAAAGAAAGATTTTTTTATGTTACTATTAGTTGAAAGCTCGAAAAAAACTTACAGAGTGATCTTCCTGTATGATTTGTTTTTTTTTTTGATTTTACTACCCGGAATACTGACCATAGAGCCTTTGTCGCCTTTCATGCCCGTTGGTCCCATTATTCCGATGTCGCCTTTCACTCCAGGAATTCCTTGCATTCCATCATTTCCAGGATGACCTGAGCTCCCCATCGTCGAATCATCGATTCATCTGAAGTTACCGTCCAATCCGTGGTCGCCTTTCTCTCCTTTCGATCCTGGAAAGCCTGGCGATCCATTTGTTCCTGGAGGCCCAGGACGTCCCAGATCACTGACACGAGCGTTCAAGTTTTTGACATGCTCAGTAAATGAAGAGAACGTAGTTTAATTCATGAAAAAAAAATTTATAAGATATCTGGTTAAAAAATGATTCAGGAGATAGAAAGTGGGAAAAAAAAACTCACATCAAGTATCATTTCGATGTCCGCACTGTGCTTATTGATTTCATTCTGAATGGCAATGACAGCGGCGGTGTCGAGAGCGGCATAAATTGATCTCAACAAGATTATCAGCAGAGCGCACAATCGCATCTGTAGGCTTTCAGTCAATTTTGGCAAAGAAAAGGCGTTTTATTTGAGTGAGACAGGAAATGCACGTATTTTCAAAGTCGTTGAGAAAAATGAACAAGCGCACACGCTGGACTAAGTGTAAACCCGATGCTCTCAGCCATTCAACTCAATTCCAAACATTTATCACTTCTTTTAGTGCGGCCTGAGTGTGAGGATCTCCGTTGTGTAGAGTCTTTCTGATCTTCTGGATACATCTTTTTGTGATATTGAAAGACAAATTTTGATTGAAAAAAAAAATTTCTTTTTCCAAAGCTTTCTTCTGCTAACGGAATGCGTTAGAAAAAAAACTTTTAGTATATTCAATCAAATTATAGTCTGTTCAGATTTTGAATGTCGAGTGCAATGACGTCATTCAAAAACACTCTGTGGATGGCTCGCTCTCTGATTGGTTTATCGCACCATTATGGGCGGATCTTGAGCGACGACTTGACATTCAAAATCTGAACAGACTATAAGTTACTTAACAAGATTCTGTTTTGAAATAGCCAGTCCAAGCATTTGTCCGCCTTAATTTCTTGACTCGTGTTTAAATCGAAGGACAGATACCCGAAAAAGTCCCGAAAACAGGCAGTTCTTCAATCTACGTGTACGAATTTCAAAAGATGTTTACACAAGAAATATGTGAGAGATTTGCTCTTATGCATCCATTCCAGGTTCGACCGCATTTTCTGATTTTGAAGCTTGTAGAATCCAAATAAACAATTTCACGATTTTTTCTTTTTTTTTTTACATATTCCTTTTTATGCCACCCATAATCTCATAATCCAACCTAATAGTTTAAATCAATTTTCGAAGTTTTGATTTCTTTAAAAAAAAAGGAAAATTGAGTTGTACTTATATAAAGAAAAACTAAAAACGACAAAAAAAATTGCACTGTTTATTAGAGCAGTGATATTCGAATTGCACTTCAACAATCAATGAAAAAAAAAAGTTCTCAAGTCAAACTTTGAGAAGAGTGAAATTCAACAGACAAGGTAAATTTCGACAGAAATATGAAAAAAAACTCATCTACAACTGACAGGTCTACCTACCATACAGTGTGCGGGCGATTTCTCAGCTCTGCGCACTCTTTACTGGGAGGGCTCACAATAAAAGGAGGCGGAGGCTACATGTTAGAAAAACAAAATATGGAGGGGGATAACAACTTTTGGAAATGCTTACACACAGCGAATAAAAAAAAAAAAATTTGTGAAAAAGGGTTTTGAGCGCTGGTCGAGTTATTTTTTCCGGATCCATCCTTTGATCCTCTTTTCTCAACCGTTCTTTTGCATTTTTCTTTTTCGATCGGAAACAAATCTCCTCTATAAAATATTCAGTTAGATTTCTCCAAAGCTATTACAAGCTCTGATGTCTTTCCAAAACGATTTTCCGTCACACAGGGCTTTATATTTTACATTTATTATTGAAATTTGTTACACCCGAACTTTTTCATTATAACGTTTTTCAATTTAAATTTTTGATATTTTGCTCACCTTGTGTTTACTCATTCAATGAGTTCGGCACACGAAAGCCGCACCGAGCCGAGATTTTCAAATTTTATCGGAGTAATTGCTCTTTCCACGCCCAAATCCATTCCAAACTGTGTCAAAGGTCATTGGCCGGAAAAACTGAGATCAGAGGAAAAATCGGGAAAGAAACTGGCCTTTTCAGTTCATGGCGGCAGGAATAAGAGTGACGGACGACGAGCTGCTCGCGTGTCCTACCATTTAACGGAAACTGAAAAATCCTCTTTTCTTCAAGGCAGAAGTTTGTTAAAAGGGGTATATGTCAGAAGAGCTGCGAAAATCGAGCCACCCGACTGCTTGAGATAAAAGTGCCAGCGAAAAATGGGCTGGTGAAGAGATTGCCAGAGAAAAAATAGCTGAGAGACTGTGCGCTCCACCGAGAAAATAATTGCATTTCGACGCATTATTATCTTGAAGTCATGTTTTTTTATGATTCATTTTTTTAATGCTCTCAACTTCCATTGTTGAATCATTGAGAGTAAAATCTGTAATTTCAAAACAAAGAAAGCGTGCGGAAGTGAGAAAAAAATAGTATTTAAGAAATTTGCTTTTAAGGTTTTTCCCCAGATGTTGTGTTTAAGGATAAGCTAAAAAAATTTTTAATTGCCAACTGCATATTGGAAGTAATGAATATAGGATACACCAATTTATTAATAACAAGCAATAAAGAAATAAAAAAATTTGAAATTTCAGAGCTTTCGTATAAAAACAGACAACAACTCCAAAAAGTTCAGTTTATCGCCTTGAGGGTAACCGGCGTCAAGAATCCGCTTGATTTTGAATGCGCGATTCCGAGACTTCTTTGACTTTCCCTGGAGATATTGAAAAAAAAATAGTTCTTTAAACTGATGAGAATTATAACTAATTGGAATGTTTGGCCGTTTTTTCGAAAAAAAATCGAACCGTAGGCGCCAATAGACAAGATTTTTTTCGAAAAAAGAAGACAATTCTCCAAGTCTAGGCCGAGACCTCAGACCCTGGAAAAAGTACTGCTTCAATTTGAAAAAAAAAAGAAGGAAATTAACTCTCAAGGATGAGTGGTAGGACTCCTGAGCGCTCGATGTACACGGCGCGAGTTGGCGAGCAGCGTCATTCGCGTTCCATTCCGATAGATCGTACCGTGCGGAAGCAACAACGTACGTGTTTCGGAAATAATCATACAAGTCTAAAAACGTTTTTTTAAATATATTTTTAATCTTTGAATGCTTAGAAACCTTGAACTGCCGCACAATTCTGAACTGCCTCCGAATAAAGGGCATCAAAAACACTCTTGACGTCGGACAGTGGAACGTAGGGAATGCTCATGAGGAGCAGGACACAACTGAAATATAAAAAAACATTTATTGAAAAAAAAAATTAACTGTCTGTATACGACATTGTGCGCATATATTTTAGTTTTCCTCGTTTTCTGTATTCTACGAACGACTGGCGCAAATGGAATAAACATCGTTGCACTCTGATTCCCGAGAAAATTTTGCAAAACGCGTTCGCTGACGCAATATCAAGTCTGAAAAAGGGTTTAAAGAAGGTTTATCGCAATTTCCTCACCAAGCAGAACTGTTTCCGGTCGATCCGCATTTATGGAGAGGTTTTGCCTAACAAAGCTTAGAACATCTTCATACATTGCCGAGGTTCGGGATCCCATGACGGCCATCACACATGGAACAAAAGTGCCCGAAATCTTAATTGACAGTTAAAAACAATTCAATAGTGAATACTTACTATAGTCGATGTGCCACAAGTTGAAATTTCATGGAACGACACTCCGCTGTTTCGATTTGTGCGGTAGCGCGCATCGTGCAAATTTGCCAACCTCGGCCACGCTAATTTTTTTGGTTTTAATATTCATTTTATAGCCACTCACTTTCTGAAAAAATCCATTAACAACTGCGACAAACAGAAAAAAAACGATGAAAACATTAAAACATGGCTTTAACAAAAACACACTTTTTTATCGCACTTTTCGAAGAAGATCATGAAATTTACTGTGTTCTTTCGTTTACATTTGTACAACGCAATCCTTCACAACGATTATAACACATTTAAAAAGAAATAAAACAATTAAAAAACGATCAAAATTAGAATTAAAACCAAAAAAATTAGCGTGGCCGAGGTTGGCAAATTCGCACGATGAGCGCTACCGCACAAATTGAAACAGCGGAGTGTCGTTCCATGAAATTTCAACTTGTGGCACATCGACTATGATACACCAATCGTAAACACTTGTGCAAAACGAGAAGGGCGGACTCGGAAAGTTCCGTCAGCGCATCAAACGCTTTCCGATGACAACAAATCGCGGCCGAGGTTGGGCAGCATGACCACAAATGCTTGCATGGCGTCGGTCACGGACAAAAGATTAGACGAAAATACGCAATCTAAACAAAAAATTGAAAAAAATCATTCATAGAACTTACTTTTTAAATTTTTTTCCCAGTCATCATAAGGGTATTTTTGCTGTCCGAAACTGCCAACAACTTTACTCGCGATGCGATAGAGTACTCGCGGACCTGCTATGTATCGAAAAGCGTCGCTTGTGATAGTGGTCATCAAGTTTGTCACCGCCATTTTCGTGCTAGCACCGGTCAATCTCTCTTCTTTCAACCTTCTTATTAAAAGGCGCTTCTAAAATGTTTGCAAAGTTTAATTTTTTTTTTGTACTTTTCAACCTCCATTAATCCAACGTCGGGTAGGTGCGTATGAGGAGCGTTTTTCTGGATGCTGCGGTCTTCAAGTAAAGTTGCACTTCCTGTGCACTTTGATCGATTGCAACTAAAAAAAAAAAGAAAAAAAAAGTTGCGAATACACGATGACATACCGTAAGTTTATTTTATCTAAACCAATTTTTACTTTATCTCTCGTGAAGTTGCGAAAACGGTACTCATATTTCTCATCATCGTACGACAAAAATTCCCCCTGATTGCTTCTAACCGCCCTGAATTATATTTTTATATATATTGGTAAAGCTTGCTTACAAACCCTTTTAGCCTGCCTTCTTCAGATTCCATTGAAAGCAGACTTTTTCTGCACGAAATCACAACAAAAAAATGGAAGAGGGATGTAAGAAACAAGAAAAAAATAAAAAAATAATAGAAAAAAATTACCTAGAATTCGGGATCTGTCTTTGGCGCGTTATCAGTGGAGCGCAATATGTAGTCAACAATTTTGCCAACGGTGGGTAAAAATTTTTCGCAGCTCGTTTTTTTCGCTTGCAGTTTTTTTCGCTGGCAATTTTTTTCATCAGCTCACTTTTTCCTAGCTCGATTTTTTTGCAGCTCTTTTGACATATACCGGTTAAAAAGTATTTTTTTGATTTTTTTGATAAAATTTACTATATAAGTATTTTTCTTTTTCAAAACGAATTTTCAGATTTTTTTCACTATTTCTGTGAATATAAATTCAAAGCGATATTCCCCTTCTGTCTTTCTCTTTCCGAAAGCTCGCCACAAAAAAAGTCGCCGCGAGCCAAAACTTCTTCTTGTTCGTCGGAGCATCCAGTCAATACTTCTATCTCAAAATATTGAGATCAATAGACTGTTCGTACTTGAATCTGTATTATAATATTTTCAAGTATCAGTTTTGATGTGAGGGTATTGTTAATTTCTATGAAAGTCTCTAAAATTTCTATTTCAGTTGAGACACGCAGTTTTTTTGTGGCTAAAAATAACCAATATCGACTTTTCACACTATCATCTCACGGTTGAAATTCTGCCCACAACCATTTCTCTCAATGGTCGTGAGCGCTCCTCCACCTTTTCTTGACGTTGATCAAACTTTTCTGCAACTGGGGGCCGCTTTCTTTTATCAGGTTCTACTGAACGATCGATCGCCGGCAAAGGTCCCTTGAGCTGGAACTTTGCAACAGTCGGAAGACGGAGGAGCATCTTTCTTCCGTCTTGATACAAACTTTTCTGCAATTATCAACCTTTCACCAAATAAAAAATATTTCTCACTTTTGCCCTCGACATCCTGGCTTCCTATTTTGAAACGTTTGGCGTTTCAAAAGAACGAAGAGCTTTCTATTGCCGGAGACTCCCAGGGTTCCATTTGATTTGATCAGTTCTGAAAAAATCGTCATTCAAACTGATAGCTCGCGATTAGACAGCAAACAAAATGGTTGAAAGATGAAAAAAAAAATCCGAAAATATTATTCTTGATGAACTTATGACCTTGAACGAATTTAATCGGAAACTGCTGATTTCAAGGTAAAAAAATCCTCGTTTTTTATAAAAACTTTCAGAATCGGCAGTTCTTGTAAGATATCGTGAAGTTATGAAAAAGATGACGCGATAAAACAGTAACAAGATGAACTGTTCTGAGAGGAGCCTCAGAAGGAACGACGAGTGTGGACGAAGAATGGCAGAGTGCAGTGTGAGAAGTTCCAGCGCTCGTCGCGGCGTTTCGCGGCAAACCGCCCAAACCCACCTGAATGACCTCAAGATGTGCTCTACATTCACAATGCTCTGATTTAGACTTGATGAGAAAAGTTACTCCCAGGAAAATAAGTAATATTGTTTCAAAAAACGTAGATTTTCTAATTGTTGCATCAATCCTAGAGCTAAAAAAGGGACTCAGAAAATAATTAAATAAACCGGAATGACAGCTCAGAAACAAATTCAGTTTGATGGAACTGTAAGCTTCTATATAAACGAACCATTATCTGAAAAAAAATTCTGAGCTTATTTACGCCGCTCAAATTTATTAAGACCGGTTTGCGGTTGGCAATCCTGACTTCTAAAAGTTCAAAAAAAAACTTTCTGCGAACGAAAAAAAAAATTTCTCGCCTATTTTTTCTGGTCATATTTGAAGACAGAGTTTATCATAAATCCGGTAGCTATGGCGGTTTCTTCTTTTAAGAACAATGACGGAATATAAGTCGACTAGAAGGCTGAACGAGCTGCTGACTGTAATTGAAGCCAAGAAAGTCCGATTCAAAATTTTTCGTACTATCTTTAATACCGCATTGAAAAAAAAATTTTTCGTCAACTTCAAACATTTTCGACTATGAAATGTAAAGGTTTAAAGTGCGTGCAATAATTATGCTCACCTTTGTAAAAAATGTGAACATTTTAACTCTGAATTGCCCGTTTTCTTTGCGGTAGCTCTTTGATTTGAAATAGATTGTGAAAAACGAAAAAGGGCAACACCATAAAAAATAATGGAAAACTGCGAGGATCCTGGGAGCGCGGCGAACCATACATGGGAAAGTCCTTTCGACGTCTTATAACTTCTTTCAAATGATATTCGTATCGACGTTTTTGCTCTCGCTTCACTCAATGTAGACTCCAAAAGGTCTGAAACGTTTTTGGTGATTAAAACTCAAAAAAATGAAAAATCTAATCAAGATTTTTCCAAAATTCACTAGGAAATTTCTATTTAATGGATTATAATGAGTTGATGAAGTAAAGTCCTGATTTATAAAAAGAAAGCGCAAAAAAAGGTTAGAATGTTTCAAGTCGTAGTTTGAGTGGAATGAACTTTTCATGACATTTTTGCGAGATGCCGAAGAAAAAAGCACCAAAAAGTTTTTATAAAGCGTTGTGATTTTTGAACAGTACGCGTATAATCTTTGATAAAATCTCGCACATGTTAAATGGCTCTTGTTTGAGTCATCACTTGGCGCAACTCTTCGGCAGTCCGTCACGGATTTTCCATTTATTCTGTCTTGCAGTTTTCTGTTTCCTTTTCCAAAATAAATATTCTGTAGAGCTGAAGTTTATCACTTGATTAACCAGCACAACCAAGCTTTTAGACAATCAACTTTTTCATAAGCCACCTTTCGGAGAAACATTTAAACCTGGACGATTTTCTTCCTGAATTTCTCAAAAAAAAATTTAGGGAGAAAACATCGAGAAAAACGTTCTTAATTGATCTGAGAGCGTGGCGCTGCACCATATTGCGAAAGTTATGCATGACAGGAATACTTTGTTTCTAAACGTGTTTTTTCTGTAAACGTCAGCGCTTTTCCCATTTTTCGATGCGAAACTCAGTGCTTTTCTCATTCTAAAGTCCCTGGTTTGCTGCCGTTTTTTTTCCCTCACGTCTGGAGATTTCAAGCGATCTTTTTTAGTTTAAATGCGAAATCAACTTATTCGTTGAAGATATTTCGATTTGGTCGCTTTCTATTTCTGGATTTCAGTCAGTTTTCATGATAACGAGAAACGATGGCTGATTTTTTCAGACAGATCCGCATTGATGAGGATACTAACGTGCATCTAACAAGTTCACCGCTATTCAAACCTACGAAATTTCGCAACTGGCGTCAGAAGAACTTTTTGCACTGTAAAGTTTTTGCTTTTAGAGCATTTGTTGTCGTCTCTTCCTATAAAAAAGTCTGTTTTTTTCCCATTGCTTCCACCTCGTACGCTTTGACCTGTTGCAACAAAATAGGGAGGCGCGACTTCTTTTTTTGCCCTCTCAGTTTGAATTTCTTTCGGTTACTTGTTTCAACTTTTTGTACTTTCTTCTTTAAAAAGCTACCATATTTATGATATTTATATTATTTATATTGAAAAATTTTATTTCAAGAGTTCAGAAAAATCAACAAAAAAATAAAAATCAAGATCTCATTCTTAAAAAGTTTAAAAAGTCTCAAGTCGCGTTATATAATAGTTATCAAAGTTTGAAAACGTTTCGTCAAATCAAATTCTTTTCAAAATTTCAAGATTCAAGGGGAGAAAGTGCAATATTAGAATGTAGGTTTAATCCCAAATGAGTTTTCTGGATTTTCAGAAATCTGCAAATAAATTGTGAGCGTTCAGCACTGAGTTTGACGGAAACTTGAATGCCATCGTTTTATCGACACCTAAACTGACTGTTTATGAAAAATCATCGTTGCGTGTTCACTACAAATTGGAACATTCTCGTTCGATTTTTTTTTAAAAACTTTCGTGTATCCACAATACAGGCGCGACACTGAAGTCCGACATGAGCTGGCGTCCTAAACGCCACTTTTTCGGAATCTGCCACCTTTTCCTTTGTCTTCGAAATGAAAGCACGCGCGCTTCTAGAGAAAGGAGAGGATCGCTTTGTTAGCGGCACAAAGTTGCTCCGCCTCTTCACTGATCTCCTTTCTGTACTGTTCCTCCTTGGCACCTTCCGTAGCCCTTTCATTCTTTTCAACTTTAGTTTCTCCAATCGAATCTGACTTTTTTCTATTTTTCTCCTTTTTCAGACTCTGGTCTCATCCCATTTTTGGTTTCTCACTCTATTTGTGTCTTTCCCAAGAACATATTACATTTTCAGCAAGCAGTTTTTGAAATATGTTGCCAAGTAAAAAAGTTTTGTTGTAGAAAAGGATGAAATGTCCTACGGTTGGCATTTCAAACCTCATTGAGAAAAAAAAAAGTCAAAACTTAAGTTTAAGACTCATAAACTTTTTTGTTTTTTCTTTCTCAGATTGATAAAAACCAATTCATGCATCGAAAATCCATTTTTTTTAATTATCAGATTCGACTTACTTTTTTTATTTTCTTTCTTTTATTTTCTTTTTTTTGTTTTCCGTGTTCGTGTATAACCTTCAGAAAAAGTCCAATGGTGTCAGCGGCTTTTCTTTGTTGGTAGAAATGTAACAGAAATAGGAATTCTTGGAATATTAACTTCCATTAGTAGGAGCATTCAAACTTTAGGAAGTAAGCATGATTTTTGATGGCGTATATTCTAAAACGGCAGTTTTTGAAGAATAACGAAAACAAAAAAATGTGTCTTTTTTTTTTATAACAAAAAAACCTGAAAAAAACTGTCAAGACTGATTCGAAGAGACATTCTTTCGTTAACTATTTTTCATATTTGCCTACTATTTCTTCCTAACTTCATGTGTTTCAGTTTTTGGAAATCATGCCGGAAAGAGAATTCCCAATTTCTGATTCGATGAAAGAGAGCAAGAACTGGAGAAAGACAATGAACGGCAAGATTTTCCAGAAAAAAGTGTAAGTTCAAGTGATTTTGATTTCATAACTGTAGATTGACTAACATTCCTCTTAAAATGAATTCCTTTGAATTTTCAAAAAAACTTTTTTTCTATTAAGTTCTGACTCTTTTTGCTATGGCGTTTCTTTTTCTTATTTTTCCGGCAAAACCCAATCACCGAAAAAAAGCTGCCAGAAATAAGGAGCTTTGACATCACACACCCACAGTGTAACAGATCAAAAAAAGTGTTCCAATAATTATATAAAGAAAGTGATCCAAGCTTACCAAAAAAACATATTTTTATACTTACAGGTGAAATTCCTTAGTTCATATCGCCGTTAAAACAACCAAAATATGCATAATCTTCATAATGACTAAAAAACCAGTTTCCATTGAAAATAAAAACCTGTTTTTTGAATATTCATTTGAAATAGTTTTATCTTTTCCGAGTTTACAGGGTGACCAATAATATTGGGTGACTAACTGGAAAAAATTCATATTCAAAGAAAAATCGGTTTTGTAACTCAAAACTTCTGAAAAACTTTCAGCACATCTTCATTTATAAATTGGAAAATTCAAAACCTTTATGTCTATTATTTCTCGGACAGCAGGTAATTTTCGGTAGAGCACTTCAAATTTTAAACTTAAAATAGATCTTGCTGTTTTTACAGCCGTGGTGCTGTTTGGAATTGGTTTTGAAGAGATTAAGGATAAGAAAGTTTATAACAAAACTGTCTTCTAGTCACATCCCATCTGATTTCTGAAAACGCGTATCAAGCTCATATTCATCTAAAATCCTGTGACTAGGGCATGGTCTCCGCTTTTAAACGAGTCGACATTCGAGATTTTGTTGGTTGGAAAAAAAAATGATTTCCACCAAAAGGATTCGAACCATGGTCCCAATATTGACACAAGACCATTATCGTTACACCAAGCTAGTTTCTAACTGAAGACCTCGAGCGTGTGCACATACGCGCTGGAGAAGTATCGAAGAGCTTCTTCTCGGTTGCCTCTAGGGTTGAGAAGACTTTTATTTTTGATTCCGAATACTCTTACCTAGGCGTACCAACCCACAGAGTCTCAATCCTCAACTCGCTTTTGAGCGGAGACCACACCCTTGTAAGAGAAATGTTCCTGTTCAAAATTTCAAATGATGAAAATGACCTCTATTACAGTTTTAAGAAATTTGAGTTTGCACTGATAATTATTTCTTAAGATAAAGCCGAATTTCGGCCCCAAAGCAAGGCAGGGCACGGGGCGGGACGCGTAGCGTGTGCGTACGCGGTTTTTTTGGCACGGGTTCAATTCAAGCGCACCGAATATTCAAAAAAAGCTCAGCCCCCGTTTTTTTCTTCATATGTTTTTCTCATTTTTTTAATGCGCACATGAAAACATTCAATAAATTATTTGAAAAATAAATGAAAAGTGCGATTAATGATATCCGCGTACGCACACGCTACGCGTCCCGCCTTTCAGTTCGGGAAACATTGACTATACGAGATTGGGAAAAATTTCCCCAAGCTCTTTATTCAGCATGACTGTAGTCGTGTATTGAATTTTATCAGATTAAATTGACAATTACCGAAGTTACAGGCGAAAAAAATCGTCACCCATATATATAAGCCATTTAAAAAAACTTTCTTTTTAGTAGTAGACATTTTTGAAATTTCAAAAAATTTCGAAGCAACTTTTTTGTCGCATTTTGCAAAATTTCAGAAAAGAAAAACTGAATTACCGTAATACTAACTCTGATACGCATTCTCAAAACACCAATATGCTAAATTACGTTTCTGCTTCAGAATACAGTCCGCTTGAAATACTTGTCAATTCAAAACGCTATTTACAGGGCGCTGATTGGTATGAAGGCCCATCTGACCAAAGAAGAACTGGAGAGAGCGGAAATGTTGGTTGACTCTTTCATGGAGTCATTGGAACTAAGGCTGCACATAGGGCCTCCGTGCCCCGCATGGACTTGTTTTGGAATGAAGGAATACCGGGTGTCGAATTGGGAATTGACCGACTGTTGGATGAGGGTCACTTGGATTTTTTATTTCGTCTTAAACCCTCATCTGCGGACCTATGGGCTCAGAGACGACGAAGAGGAACTGGTCCGAGCCATCTTTCCTTTAATGAACAATCAAGAAGTCATATTTGCTCTTCGACGCTGCACGGAATTCTGTATTATTCTTCTGGAGATGGATAACAAATGCAACGGAAAATCTCAGACGACAATGATGAGATATTTTTTAGAAAATACACTCAGAATATTCCGAAGAAGATTGCAACGCTTCGTCTTGGTTTTGCGAGAAATTGCTCAAACTGCCATCAACCTCTACAGCGGACACCATTTTACAAACCCAGGACATGTGGATCATTTCTCCGATCATACTCCAATCAGAACGACATTTGAGAGACTCTATTTCTTGATCTCCAAACAGAAACTGTGGAGTAGGTTTTTGTTTATTTTTTCTATTTGAAGTCGAGATGAGTTTCTAGTTATAATCTACAAAACTTTCACGATAAACCTATCTCCACTGAAAATGCATTTTTCTTCAGAAGAGAGCGTGAAATATAAATAAATTAAATAACAGCCTACAGGATTTTTTAAAATGCAGCCTACAAGAATTGACATTTGTGCCGACGAAGTCTAAGAGAAAGTTGACCGCTTCTCATCAACTCCTGGTTTCAGGAACTGCTTGGCCTGGCATTCGTGTCGTTGCGGGCATTACTCCGCTAAACGAGGATCAAGGTGATATTTGAAATCTATCAAACTTCTAAATGTTACTTACGTTTTTGCAGAAACACCTCCAATTGTGACGATTAGCCTTCGTCCGGATGTGAATATTATTAACAACGGTTCTGACTGCATTGTTTTCTTTTTGCATTGAAAACGGTCTTTCAGGATTTCCACTTATTAACTTCGAGTCGGCAGCCTCGATCGCATACTCTTACGGTAGTTTTTATAGTATCTTTGAGTGCTCTGGGTGAATTATTAATTTCTTACATGAGTGTAAGGATTCGGATCTCAAACAAATTTGTCAAAACTTCAAAGTTTTCAATTTTTCGACATTTTGTCAGATTCATAAAAATGAGTTATAGTAGTTTTTCAAACAATTGTTTTTATAGCACTCCTGCAACAGAATGGCTATGTTTACAATCAACCGTACACGCCGGAGATGAGCCCATGTACTCATATTTATTTTCATTTTTTCTCTTCATATTGTTGTTTGAGTCTTGTCTTTATAGATTTTCACATTTACTCAACTACTGTTGGAGCTGTTCCACGAACTCCTTATGTGGCTACTCAAATGCCACTGATCAACGCATCTCCAAACGGTAACTAGCCGTATTTTTGAGATAAAAAGCTCAAAAAAAAAGCCTTCATAGTTAACTACCATTAGAAAAAAGATTCCGCATAGCTCTATGTGGTTTTTTTAAACCTCTCGAATTTTTTCACCATTTCCGAAGCTAAAGCTCAACTCTAAACAGAGAATGTATGTAAAATGGAATCTAGAGCGGTTCATTAAAACAAATACAGAACCAGGGCTTATTGTTTCTCAGATTGCTCAAATTTTTCTCCACACGGATTTTTCTCCGTTAATAAAAATGTTCAAAGAAGAAAACTTTCAGCGGTTTCTACGTCGCGGAACGCGCCAAGTTATTCTGGACTCCCTCTTCCCATCGGTAACATATCAATTAAATAGTGCTAACTTTCATACGTTTAAGTTCTGGCTGACAGAAATGTAAGATCGTCTTCGGCTCAGGTGGATGAAGAAGACGGTCAAGGTGCATTTCGATATTGATTGCTCGAATTCTGGATATTTGAAACATTGATTAATTTTTATTATTCAGGAAACAGTGGAGCTTCTTCATGAATGAAAACCTCCACTTTTGGTAGGAGAAGAAAAACGAGCAAAAATAATGGTATATTTCAGCACGCGAAGGCAGCAAACCTGCTTTTCAGTTAACTTTTTGGCGCAGCATATCGCTTTTTATTGTTTCTCAACTGAATTTTGTTTTTTTTTCACCTTTTTAAACCGTGTTTTGATGACAAATTCTTTCGTATTTCGAGTCAAAAGTTTTGAATTGATTTTTGTATCTGCATAATGGAGGAATTTTGTCGATTCAAAAAACTTTGACCCCACTCCTTATACAATAGTCCATTCACTCTTCGTATCTGACTTAATCTCTTGTTTCAGCTTCGGACCTCCAGTTCAATACCTCTTTTGAGTTGTTTTTCCTATAATTTCTTCAAACTAATAAACACCTTCTTCTCTCTTTTTTCTTAAGTTCCAGAAGTTGATACTACTTTTTTTATACTTTTTCTCCGAGTTGCTTCGATCACAGACTTCCAAATCTAAATCAGCGAAACCTTCAAAGATGCCGGTCTTTCCTTCAAGAGATGATCTGACAAAGACAGAAACCGCCGATCAGCCGAATGAAGGTAATATAAATTTTTCAGTTCAACTTATTACACAATACTAATCCGTTAGATCCAGCCCTATGTAACTTATTTTTAACAAGGAAAGACCGTTTTGTGACGGTGAAAATACAGTTTTTCTTCCTTCCCGTTTCCGGTCTTCATTTGCTCCAGATGATGCACCGTATATGAAAAAAAATTACCTGCAATCGAATGATGATGATGCTACCAAAATGTATCATAGCGGTTTTGCGATTTTATGAGAAGTAGGCGATGAAGATTTATAAAACTTTATTTCGGAAAGTATTAATCAACTTTGTTACTTTTCAACAAAAAAATAGATATTTTATACGTAAAACATTTTTTCATTCTTGAAACAACATTTCTATTAAAATAGATCAGTGCGTAGAATTCCTCGAAGTCCGTTCAATAAAAAGAGAAGTTGCAGAAGACGATGGTTCGCAAAAAAGCGATGATGAAGTGGGAATTTATCCACGAGAACGCCCTCCAGGTATTTTTTTTTCAAACTACGAGGAACAAATGTTTTTCCAGGCTATCCTATCGAAAAATGGGAGAGTAGTTTGAAAGAGTTCCTGGACCTCCTTCCTGCGGTCGATGGTTTCTCTATTTTTTTTCGTGAAGTCGATCTAAAGAAATCTATCTTTGGACTAAAATCTCAAAACTTTGAAAATCTATTCTGATTTTTAGAATTCCCTATCTTTTGTTTTAGCATGTTGAACACTGTATAAAAACTTCTAGGTTGATTGAATTCAGGGAAACGAAAATAAAAAGTTTTTTTAGAGACCAAGTTTCTTAAAAAAATAATATTTTTTTATTCACCTTAGGTCTTTCCAGATCCTTATCCTTATCGTTCCCGATCTACATCGCCGCCGAGAAATCGGAAACAAAACATGGGTAACTCATAATTTTTTTTCTGCGAAAACATTTTTTCAGATCACATCAACAACGATCCTGATAATTTTCTCTCGAATCAGAAAGGCCGGCTTAGAAGTGCATATTTTTTTATTTTTTAAAGTAGAAAAGTTTCTCTCTCACTAAGAATCTTTTTGAGACAGCTTTTTTAAAAAACGCGAGATCAACTAATAAGTAGCAGGATGACTGAAATTCTTCTCGTTTCCACAAACAAACCGAACGAAATTGAGGAATGAAAGTTTTTTTTACAGTTCGGCGGGTCTAGCGAAAAGTTTAAAGAACTTTCATCGAAGTTTTGGCTGCGATGGAACTTTTATTGTTACTCAGTCAGACTAAAACTAGATTCCAATTAGAAAATTCATGTCAAGATTATGATTTTCAGGATGTGTCAGCGAGTCTGAGGTCTACTCGATAACAAGCGATCGACCTGGCCGTACTCGAGGTGACATACGGCTTTCCACAGAATGATAACCTTCAGAAAAAACTGAAGTCATGTCTGCCTGTTCGGCCGCCGTCGTTTTGATGAACAAAGGTAAGCTACTGAAGCAACTTTTATCAAATCGTTTGCTACTTGAAACACCGTGATGGGGTTACTAACAATGTACCACCGTCGATAGTTAATTTTTTTCCCTAATAGATGGAATATAAATTCATATGAAAAAGAATGGCAGACGTAAACTAGAAACGTGGTCAAATTTATTTGAACAGCTCTAAAGTTGAACGTAACAGCTTCAAGTTCATCTCAGTAATACATAACATGTACGTTATATTACAACTCTTCAGAGCTTAATCAAACAAACACTAAAAACGTTGCCAATCAGTATTCAGTTTACACATTTTAGTTCTTGATCGCCTTTATACTAAAAAAAATGAGATAAATTGAGATCTATTTTCTTTCGTCATTCTCACAATATAATATCAGTCTACTATGGTTCCCGAATATAATCGAACCCCTTTTTTACAATATGTTTCCTCTTCAAAATTGGAAAGAGACGTTCGAATAAAAATTCCGCTCCACGGAGTATCAGAATTCAGACGAAACCATGTGAAATCTCAAACATCTGCAATTTTTTTTTGATGAAGGATATTTTTCAGAGTTCATTGTCCTCAAAGTAGAAGAAGAACTTGCGGAGCCTCTCGAAGATCTCACTTTTTCCAGCGAAAGTATGATTAATTTCATAAAAACTTCAAGTATTTTCTTTCAGGTGTCCTAAACGAAGAGGATACCCAATCCGAACGCATGCGGAAAGGTTCTGCAATTTTTTATTGAACTAACTGAATGTTCCAGAAAATTCACTTGAACATTATAGTTTGATTTCTCATTGATCGGTTTTTTTCAGCTCAAGTGATCTCTCAGCACTTACTCCCGGTCGGACCGCCATTTCGGATAGATGGAGCCCTACACTCTCCTTGTCATTATCTGTCTGTTAACCAGAATCTCCTCCGATTAGCGATTGTTGAAGTGACTTGTAGAAGTAGTTAACTTTTCATCCAAAATGTTTTGAACCGTTTTTTAGTAATCCAAGAACTCAAACTCCGACAGGACAAAATCAAACTTCTAACTTCTTTCATCAAGTTTTTGCAAGGTTCTTTAATGAAAATTTTTTCAGCCGAAGATTGTTGATTTAGAAGAGCCGAATGCAATGTACGTGTGGTCACAACACTCGGCGGTGATTATTGATTATCAAATCAATCGTCAGTTTTCTTTCAACTTTCCAGAAAAATATTTTTCAAATTAGTTTTCAGCTCCTAACAGTTTTTTTTCCACACAATGAGCGTTACTTTATAGTTTTTAAAATTCTTCGGATTTTTGTTTTTGAAAAGTTGAAAAGACCCGAGCTAAGCCGTCAGAAAATAATGCAATCAAGAGAATCTTTGCAGTGAACTCAGTGGAAAAATTCGTAATAACACACTCCGTCCCTTTTTTGAAACTATCACGAAGATAGGAAATAGAGAAACTTATTTTACCATTTTGATATGATTTGATTTCCAGATGCACGAACTGATTTTGAAATCGAACAACTTTTGAACCATGCAATTCCTCGTCACGCTGAGCTCATCGCAAGAAAGTCGATAGACGAAGAAGAAAGTTCGGAATCCCAATAATTTTTCTTCTTGAGGGCTGACCTCCCCCTTCTGTACTCTCTCTTTGTTTTTTCTCTTTTCGGATTCTCATTAGTAGTTTTTCTTTTGGATTTTCTGAAAAGGAGTTCTTGTTGGGGATAGGGCTTTTCATTTCTTTCGAATACCTTCCTCATTTTTATTGTTTTCATCTGTTTGATATGAACTTTTTCCAATTTTTTTTTCATTAATGATTTTAGTTTGACTCTCTAATAGTTGGCATGGAACTATTCTGGTAAAACTTCGAAATAAAAAAAAAATTTTGGGATTTTGTGAATGTTGTTCAAGAATATATGCGGTTATTATATTCTTTAAAATAAAGTTTTGGTCAAGACTGGAAGAGCCATTTTTGACAGTTCGTTTTATTGGATAGCTACAAACTACATAGGAGGTGTCTGATTGGATGGAGCAACAACAAGAGAAAGGTTAAACTGGAGCATATCAATGACCAGCATCGCGCCGACGATAACATCGTACAGTGCTTTCTGATATCGACAATCACGATACTTCCTCCTAATTTGACGCTTTTTTTTTACTTTTCATGATGTTGTTTGTAAGATTAGTTGTAGGAAATATTATACGGTTGAGACTTCTATTTACCTCAACAATCTTTCAATGCCTAGCTTTTCATAATTACAAAAAGAATGTTTCATATTCGTATTGCGAAACTTTGTCATTCATGGTGTGAAGCTCAGAAAATTTTCAAACTTTCAAAGGTAGTTACATCAGCGCGAACATACGGGAAAAAATATGTGAAGAGCTCTGTTCTCAATTATTTGTTATTTTAATTTTCTAATTTTGAGAAAGACATTTGAATTTTTTGAAGGCTGATCGTTTTCATGCAACCATCCCCTTGAAAATCGGTGAAAACTGCAATTTATTGATGTTTCTTACAAATCTCCATCTATCTATTGGTTTTGTAGGAATTCGGGCGTTTATGCAGTCTTTATAACCAATCACAATGTCTACATGGATGAATCCCGTCTCCCAAAAGGCAGAAGCCGACTCGAATCCTTGGTTTGTCATCCTTCCATGTGCTTTCTACTGGCTGTCCTTGCCTGTTATTGTATACGAAATCCGGACAAGCCGCTTGACTCGCCTTCCGTGGTCCACTTTGATGAGCTTGAAATGGGTAAGAGTTCGTTCTATTTTTCGCAGAATGGTGGAACTTCGAAATGAAAGGCATCTTTCAGTTCTTCGCCAGTCTTTTGGTTGTCGATAGGCTTTTTGTCTTCCTACTGGCTGTATGGGAAGCTGTCGTGGAAACTCTCGACGTCCCCATTGGCTATTTTGTGTACCCATTAGTACATTCAATAACGCTTGTAAGATAATTTTTCGGTTTAATAATCCCTTCAATTTTTCAGATATTTATTCTGGTAGCTACAAACGAGGTTCGGAAGGCTGGAATCCACTCTTCAGGAGCTTTATTTTGCACCTGGATGATGTTTTTCTTGTTCTCTATTCCAGAGTTCATTTCATGGGTAGGAATTGGTAGCAATGAAGAGGTTCGTCAATTTTTTCAAATTACGAGTGCACTTTTTTAGGAATTAATCAATGTGGACTTTTTCCGATATATTGCGTTTTTGGCTTATTTTCCACTTGTCACAATCGAATTCCTACTGAATTTTGTTTCAGATCCCTTTTCTTTCGCAACAAAAGTAAGAAAAACTTTTAACCTGCAGTGCAATTCAAGAATTATCAGAATGAGCGCTGTCCAGAAGAAGATGCCAGTTTCATCAGCCGACAGCTTCTCTCCTGGTTCACTAGAATGATCACTTTGGGCAGTAAGAAACCTCTTGAAGTTTTTCAACTTTTTCTTGCGGAACGTATAATGATAATTAGACAGAAGATGTCTTCGAACTCGACTCAAAACTGGACCAACAGTTTTTGAAAAGCTGCTGGAAGAAAGAATGGGCTGCCGAGCTACGAAGTTGTTTTTTTTTTTTTGAAAGCTGTAAAATGAATCATCTTCTCAGGAAACTCAACGGTTCTCAGAAAACAACGAAAAAACACGGATAAAACACCATTGCTAACGAATAACAAAAACTACGGCGCTGTGGGAGAACAAAAGGAAGATCAAAGTTGGTTGATCATTTCAAACCTTGTTTTGGCTTTAGCTAACGGGAAGATTCCAAAATAGCGATAATCGTTCCCAGAAATTGATTCAGATGAAAGAGAAGATGAAATGCCGTCCTTGTTACGGACACTATGGATTCTTTTGCGTTGGGAGCTTCTCGGTGGATCATTCATCAAATTTGTTTCCGATCTGCTTAACTTTTCAAACCCGTTGCTTTTAAAGTGGGTCTTCACATATGCCGTTTGAAATATGTTTGCATCAGTTACCTCATTTTGTTCATCGAAACACCGGACGCTCCTCAGTGGATAGGATACGCTCTGGCCGTTGGTCTTTTTGTGGCCGGGCAGCTCAAATCTATACTGCTGAACAATTATTTTTTCATTATGGCTCGAGTGGGAACAAAACTCCAAGTTATGCTGACAACCGCAGTTTACGAAAAAGTTATAGTTCAAGTTGTACATAAAATTTGAGAATCTTCAGACTCTGAGACTTTCAAATAGCGCCAGGAGAGAAAAAACAACAGGAGAAATAGTAAATTTAATGGCTATCGATGTGGACAGATTCCGAATGATCACTCCTCAAATTCAGCAATACTGGAGCAGTCCTTTACAAGTGAAAAATCTCTTGGAAAAAGTATAATCACTTGCATCAGATAATTGTTAGCATGGTGATTTTGTGGCGCTTCGTCGGAGTGTCCGTCTGGGCCGGAGTTGCTGTCATGGTAACTGTAAATCCGAGGAAAAATATTATTTTTGTTGAAGGTTTCAATTATTCCAATAAATTTCGGCATTTCCATTTGGAACAAAAAGCTTCAAATGCGATTGATGAAACTGAAAGATGAACGAATAAGGCTAACCAATGAAGTACTCAATGGAATCAAGGTTGGTTTTTTGTGATAAAACTCAAACATTTTGTGAATTTTAATTGATGAATTGAGGTTGTCAAATTGTCTGCTTGGGAAATAGCAATGGAAAAAGCCATCGAAGAAATCCGTGCGAAAGAGCTTTCGATGATCCGATTGAGTGCTTTTATCAAGACGATTTCAGATGTTCTCAACGTTGCTGCTCCTATTTTTGTAAGATTATAAAAAGCATCATTTCTAACCATAAAACTTCTAGGTTGCCGTCATTACATTCACTGTCTTCAGCCTTATCAATCCTCCGAATTCTCTAACTCCTCAGATTGCTTTTGTCTCTTTGACTCTCTTCAATATGCTCCGCGGCCCTCTGATGATGGCAGCTGATTTGGTGGCCCAGACAGTTCAGGTGAACATTATAAGGTCTTTCAACCTGTTCGAATACACCAATTCAGCTTATTGTTTCTAACAAGCGTCTGAAATCCTTTCTCAGCGCTGAAGAAATCGACCCAACTCTCATCGATACTCAAATCCGAGGAGAGCGTAAGAACTTAATGTTTTTATCATCTTGAGCTTTTTTTGTTTTTCAGTGTACAAAAACGCTGTCGAAGTACATTCAGCGTCTTTTTCCTGGGACAAGTATGGCGAACGTTTCTTGAAAGACATCGAACTAACCGTCGAAACAAACGAACTGATTGCTGTGGTCGGCTCCGTCGGTAACGGAAAGTCGAGCCTTTTGATGGCCATTCTGGGTGGGAAGATCATCCCTTTTTTTGCGGGAATGCGCGTTTAAGGGGAAATGGAGAAACAGTGCGGTTATGTTGGTGTACGAGGAGAGGTGGCCTATGTTCCGCAGCAGCCGTGGGTTTTGAATCAAACGTTCCGGCAAAATATCGTCATGCAGTCTTTCTTCAACCAAGTAACTTTTTACACCGAGAAAAAAACAAATTTTGACCGATTTGAAAATAAAATTGAAGTTTCGGTGTGTAATAGACCTTGATTATTTCAAAAATTTTGAAAGCGTGTGAAAAAAGACATTTCAAAGCGTCATTTAGTATCACTCCAAACTCGATTTTTTGTTCTTTATTTTTTTTCCCGCTCCTAGGAATAAGAGACGACAGAGGCATCTTGACGGTTTTAATTTTTTTTCGCCTCACTTCTGAAATAAATTTTTTCACATCAGGTAATTTTTTAACAAATAATCACTGTTATCTTTCAACTTTTTTTTCAACAAGTCTCATTATCCATAGATAATTCAACTCCATCTCAAAGCCGGACTTCGAGTCGTTTCTCAGTTTGATAATACTACTTTTTGATAACTTTTCAGAAGCTCTATGACACTGTGATAGATGCTTGTGCATTGCAAGACGATTTAAAGCAGTTGCCGAGCGGAGAAGACACAGAAATCGGAGAGAAGGTTGAAGAAAAATAAGTTCAATAACAGCCATAGTTTAAGGGCATCAATGTATCTGGAGGTCAGAAGGCAAGAATCGCGTTGGCCCGCGCAGTATACCAAAACAAAAACGTGTATCTTCTGGATGATCCACTATCGGCTGTAGACGCTCATGTTGGAAAACACATTTTCGAGAAAGTTATTGGGCCAAATGGCATTCTGAACAACACCACAAGGTAATTTCTTCCTCTGTTTTGTTGCTTAAACTTTTTCTTTCAGAATATTCGTGACTAACTGCACTTCTTTCTTGAAAGAAGCAGACCGCATTGCCGTCATTAATAGTTAACCAAAAAAGAGAAAAGGATTTTCAGGGTTTTGATCGTGATTCAGATGGAAGAATCACTCATATTGATGAGTACGACAATTTGATGAGCAACGAAGAAACTCGGAGGTTTTTAATATCCGCGGATGAAGATACGGATGAAAACAGCGAACAGAAGTCAACAGAAGAGAGGTTCCAAAATGTCATTCTACCCTTTGCTGAAAGTAAGCTTCAGCGAGAAAGAAACACTGAGTGAAGTGAGCAAAATCAGCAGACACAGTGAAAAATCGGCTGCTAAACGGAAAAAATCGAGTGTTGTTCGAGCGGTGAGTATTTGTGATTTTGAGTTTTTTAATTCAATTTAACTGCGTCTTATCAACCAAGAGCTGTAAAAAACAGTTATTTATTATATGTTGTCTTGAAGAAAAAAAAAATCCAGAACCACAAGACCTCTCAAAATCTGTTTTTTAGAAAAAATCAGTACCTGCGAAATTGATACAAAAGGAAGAAGCGCAATCGGGAAGGGTTTTTAGAAATTTGTAAGCCGAAAACGAAAAAAAAATGTTCAGGTCAAATTTGAAGTATACTGGACTTACTTCAAAGCTATGGGAATCTTCAGATACGTTTTACCATACCTCTTGGCGACGGCAATTCAATCAAGCCTTACAATGGCAAGGAGTCTTTGGCTCACAAATTGGTTTTGTCATTCAATAATCACAGTTTGTGCTAATTATTATTGGGAATTTAGGTCCGACGAAAATCTTGACCCTAATCCTGCAAATCATTTAAGTTTAATCGTACGAATCATAGTTTACGCAACGATGGGTCTACTTGAAAGTAATATTTGACTTTCAAGGATTATAAATCCTTCGATTTTCAGCCACTGTTTTGTACATTGCTCTCGTTTCCTTATTAGTCGGCGGAGTAGCGGCTTCGAAAAACTTGCACCGGCCACTTCTGCACAATATTCTGAGAAGTCCTTTATCTCACTTCGATGTTACTCCCATCGGTCGGATTCTCAACAGACTTGCAAAGGTTGAGCTCAGTTTTTTCGGCGCAGCCGTAACTCGAATGATAGTTTGAAGGCAAAAGGGAAGTGAAAAATAGAGTTCCAAGTGCAAATGATATCTCGTAGAGCCTTTCACGGAAAATCGCACGATCTACTTGAAAAACACACAGACATTCGTATTTTTGAAGAAAAACGCAATTCGTTTTTCCATCTCTTAATTTTGAAATAGGCTCAGGATCGGTTTTCCATTTTTCTATATCTACCTCAAACCCCGTTTTTTACTGGAAATATGCTTTAAACCAGCTTCATTTTCGGCTGAATGAGAACAGACAGTTCATTTGAGGACATGGAAGTTGTTGATCTTCGTCTCAGTGGTAACTTCCGATTTCTAGTGATCTCTTTTGTCTCCATGTTACAGGTTTTTTCTCGTAATTCCTTCTGCTTTTTTCAAACTCTAGTTCCAGGCTGTCATTCTCATAACTTACTCCACGCCTTTGTTCATTCTGGTGGTGATTCCTGTCTTCATAATGTACATTTTGATTTTGGTTTGTTGGCACTAACCTCAGAATACAAGTCTATTCCCAGAAACACTGCATCAAGAGCACAAGGCAGCTTCAACGGCTAGGGTCTCTAACAAGGTCGCCCATTTTTTCCAATTTCTCTGAAACTATACAAGGCATCTCGACAATCAGAGCATTTGGTTGGGGAAGCGAATTTGTTCAAAGACACGATAGACATGTGAGTACAATTGCATTGTTCTTCAAAGTACATTTTTGCAGTTGAATCTTTATGTGAGGTGCTCATACTACTCCCAAATTGCTTCTCGATGGCTCTCAATCCGTTTGGAGCTTTTGGGAAACGTCGTGATATTGGGTACATCTTCGAAAATTTTGAAAAGAGTATCGAAACGAATATAAATTTGAAAGAAAGTTTTTCAGCTGCCGCTGTTTTGGCCATTATTGCGAAGAACTGGGGGGAAATGACTGCGGGAGGCATCGGATTATCTGTATCTTACAGTTTGAATGTCAGTGAGGATCTATCAGAGACGAGCAACCCCCTTTTTTTCAGATTACTTTCATGTTGAATATGTTTGTCCGGCAGTTGAATGAAGTCGAGACAAATGTGGTTTCAGTAGAAAGAATCGACGAATACACAAAAACGCGATCTGAGGTGATATCACTCACATGAAAATCCCTATGCAACACAATTTCAGGCCGTGTGGAGACTAAATAGTGACCGACTACCCCCAAAATGGCCAGCAAACGGAGACCTTTACTTGGAAAACTATTCCACGAAGTGAATTTCTCAACAAGCTGGATAATAATTGATATTCGAAGATATCGTGACGAGCTGGAACTCGTTCTACATGGCATCACTCTGAATGTGATTCCAGGGCAAAAAGTTGGTGTTTGCGGTAGAACGGGAGCCGGTGAGAGTTCGAACAAAAAGCCATGGGACAAAAAAACTTGTTTAGGAAAATCGTCTTTGGCTTTGGCCCTGTTCAGAATTGTCGAGCCAACAGAAGGGAAGATCCAAATCGACGGTGTTGATGTCAATCAGATCGGGCTGTACGACTTGCGAGAGCGCATCACAATAATTCCACAGGAGAATGTCCTTTTCGCGAATACTCTGAGGTTACCACTCGAAATCCATTTCAAATTTGTTTATACTCTTTTTTCTTCAAAAATATTGTTAGGATTCAAAAAAATTTACATATTTTGTCGGACCGATCTAAACGCAAGTTCCGAAAACATTTACATCATTTCCTTTCAACTCTTTATGCTAACCACGTTTTGCATCTATGGAATTTTTGGTGGAGTTTGTAGTCAAAATGTGATATTTAGAAATAACCAAAAATATATGTTTTAGAGATGGATTACGTCTACAGATAGGAAAGTTTGAAGAAATGAGTTCAACTTCTGCCTCGTCTTCTTGTTCCCAAGTTTTTCAGTAAACGAGGAACGCGAGTCAAATTGAGTTCTCGCCTTTGCTGTAGTTCATTCTTTTCCCAATGAAATTTGAGAAACAAAAGAGATAAAATTTCTGACGCTTTCAAATTCTCACATGCGAATGCTTCAAACAATTTCACTTTTTAGGTTCAACTTGGACCCCACGAACCAATACAGCGACAATCAACTTTGGAAAGCTTTGGAAAGTTCCAACTTGAAAGAATTCGTGCGATCGTTGCCAAAAGGCCTTGAGCACAAAGTCGCGGAAGGGGGAGAAAATTTAAGGTGAAACTTCTGTTCAGTAGTTGAAGATCCCTCAAAAGAAGGTTGGAAACAGAAGGAATCACAACATTTAGTTTTTGGAAGTTAAAAGTTTCATAGACTTTCTCATTGAATCATCGTGAAAGTTGAAAAAGTTTTCAGTATGGGACAGAGGCAATTGTTCTGTCTAGCCAGAGCACTGCTGAGAAAGTCGAAGATCCTGGTTCTAGACGAGGCTACGGCTGGAATCGACAATCAGACAGACGCCCTTGTGCAGGTTGAACTTTCGATGCCGTGAGAAGTGAGAAAGACTACAAATTTTTCCAGGAAACGATCCGACGCGAATTTTCTGACTCAACTATAATAACCATTGCCCATCGACTCAACACCATCTTAGACTACAATAGGTACTCCAATCGACTTATACTGAACTATTTTCTTATTCAGAATTATTGTCATGGACAAGGGGAAGATTATCGAAGACGGCATACCTGGCGAACTTCTCAAAGACCGTAACTCGAAGTTCTATGGTCTAGCAAAGAGCTCAAACATTGTATAATATATTCTTCAAACTCGAATGGAAAAAAAAACGTTTATTCTCATCGAGTAATATGAAAATGTAAATTGATTCGAAGCGCACATGGCAGTCAGAAACAATAAGAATAGTTGTTCTAGTAATTTCTTTCAGTGAATATTTCACGATCCGATCAAAATAGAAGTTTCTCTCTGTCGATCCCGAAATAAACTCGTACGAGCCCGTTAGTAATGGAAAAACAATATCTGTTATTGCGAGTAAGTTTGGAACGATGGAAAAGTACAGCAAGTGGTTCCAATACAAAGTTTTCGCTTCAAATGATCAGTTTGGCAAGCCTGAAAATAAATATGTGAAAAAGTGTAGTCTTCCGCTGGAATGCATGGCTCAGTTCCAAAAAACATTGTTTAGCTGAAAGAAGGAGGATGAAACTCCTTCACTAATTTTTGCCAACGGCTAACAATTTGTTTATCAGGAGAGGTTTTTTTTTCAACTTGTCTTTTTTTTAGTTCCTCTTACAAAATCCTTGTGTTAATTCTATGACGCCGCTACCCTTACGGCATTAATAGCAAGTCTAGCTTTACATGAATTGGCGACAAAACGCAAAAACAAAATCCTCCCACCACACTTCCGTAAACTATGGCAAAAAAAACGCAACTAGTAATTGAAAACGTAAATTGGCGCTGTAGTGGAGATATGTTAGTGCGAAGTCGAGACACCAAAATTAGGGGAAAATTTCTCAAAGTGAATTCTTGTTTTTATAGCTCCGGGTACGTAAGCACTGCATTCGATAGTTGACCATTTACAAAATACCGAAATTTGCGCCAATTACATCTTGAGGACAATATTCCTGTTTTCTGCGAAATCCCCTATTATTAGTTTTTTTATTTTCATTTTTCACAGTCATTACAAAAAGAACTTTTTGGTTCAGTCTGACTTTTTCGAAATGGTTAAGTTCACAGTTTGCTGACCCGGCTAAGAAATTGAAGACAACTTTCGGATCTTCATAATTTGACCATTTTTCCCTTGATTTCGCACTAAGTTTTGTCTGAAGTGTTTTTTTGTTCAAGGTACTGAAACCACTCGCTCGGCACTACTTAGACTGTTCATCAAACCGCTCATCCAAATCTTTAGGATTCGAAACAGGAATGTGAGGCAATGCCAAAAAATTTGGTTTTTTAAGTTAACAAAAATACGGCACAAATTTCTTCAGGGGCGAAATTATGGGTTATTTTCACAGTCGAATGTTGAGACGGTGAAAATTTTGAGAAACTCATGAAAATTGGCCGCTATCTCACTATCCTGCCGTCCTTCCAAGATTTTTAGACTTCACAAAAGAGTGGAGAGGTTGTTGCGCGACGCTTGTCGCCGGTTGATGCGAAAGGAGACGTACGGCGAACGCGAGAGCTTCGTAGTCATCGTCTCCTCGACGCACTCGTACTCGGAGTGAGAGATGGTCGGCAGGAGGTAGCAGCAGAGCGAAGAGACGCCGGCCACCGCGTCATGCAGTCGCAGGCGGAAGTGTCGGCAGCAGATGATGTACACGATCGGATTTGTCGACGAGCTGCAACTTCCATTTTGTTTCAAGCAGAATCCTTTTTGGAATAGAATGTCTGAATATTGGAGTTTCAACTCTGCCTGAAGATCTTTTCACGAACTAGGTCAAACTAAAACAACTTAAAAAAAGCCCAACGGTTTATTGTTCAAACTTTTTTCAAGTCTGACCCAATAATTTTGCTTCATCCAAAATGAAATTTTTCAATAATTTTTTTGTATATTTATACATATTTCAAGCGAACGAGTATTTTTTTCGCTGATTATTGTTGGACCACAATCAAGCAGCTTATGAAAAAGAAAAATATTTCCGGAAACTTAGATTATTTTTTTGACATCAATAGTACACTCTGCCATTTATATATCATAAGGGCGAGTAGCGGTTGAAAAAACCTCATAACGGAGAGGACGTTCAGCAGAAGTCGCAACCATTGAGGAAGATGGACGTTCACTGCCAGCATTTTCTCCATGACAAACAACACTGTAAGTTTCGTCTGTTAGTACAGAAAAAAATTTTCTCAAAAGTCACCACGATTTTCAAAAAGAAGAAAAAAAAACTGAAAATTACCTTGAATGGGTGTATAGCACAAAAAGTAGAGCAAAATGGAGATAATGAGCATTTTAACCACAGACCGACGCAGCTTCAAAATTGCTTCCTGGAAAGTTTCATCTGGTCCAGTCTTTTTGAGTTGATTTGCACCTGCTGGTTGTGGTTTGCAATTGTAGTTGATTTGCCCCAAAGGACACGGCACATTACAGTATACAGCGAAGTGAGAAGGACAAGTGGGATTGCATACAAAACTATCAATTCACAGTACTTGAAGTAAACTCTGAAAACTTTTGAGTTACGGCTAAAATCAAGAAAAAAGATACCTAGTGCTCAAAGAAATTCCTTTCCAGAAACAGAAGTAAAAGTGATGAAATACGATCCCTTGGTATAGGAAGTAAGGAGAAGCAAAAAGCGCTGCGACGCACCAGACGCCCACCAAGACGCACACCTTCGAAAAAATTCAAATTACCTTCTAAATTGGTCTTATGCTCAAGACTTGACATTATTCCAAATTATTTTCGAGAAATAAAAGAGGTTTTAGTTTGGCTTGTTACCGTTGTTTTGGTGGAGAAACGCTGCATCCGCATAGGAGAGCAGATCGCAAGAAAACGCTCCACACCAATTGCCATCTACAAAATGACACAAGTTTTCCCTTTCGCATTATTTTTCCAGAGATCGTTAAAGCCGACTGATCTCCGCAATAAAGAACGTACCTGCAGTAGGACGCTGGCGTACAGGAAGTATTCCTGCAAGAAACGCAGGACGTGGCAGGCGAAATCCGGAAGAAGCCATCCTCGGTCCACGAGCACGAGTATCGTGTCCGGAGAGCAGAATATAAGATTTCCCAGGTCAGCGAAGGCCAGATTCAGCAAGAACTGGTTTACCGACGAGTTCATCAGCTTCTTGTCGCAGATGATCACGAATATTATGAAGACATTGCCAATGACGCCTACACAGATGATGACGGAGAAAATGATGCCGAAAATGATGAAGTAGGCTTTGGGATGGCAGGAAAGGCATTCTAACGCTGGCGGACTGGCGGTAGATAGAATATCCAGAAGACTGACGGTCGACGTCTCCAGATTGGACGTGTTGAATTGAGAGCTCATGTCTTCGGTCATCGTTCCAGCAATCTTCCTACTGCGAATTCTCTACAAGCATGCCCAAGCAGTTGTCTCGTGAGAATTTCGACAGCAGAAAAAAAACTTGCGTAGGCCCGAGGTTCCCACCTAAAAAACAACTTTTTTCGGCAAATCTCATTTCGCATCTTATGTACTTCTTTGCCAAAATCGAAATTTAATTGTCACAAATACAAAAAAGACGAATCACTTAAGAGGCGAAAAAAAGATGGAAAAATAGTAGAAGGAAATTTTAGGAAAATCTCATCCACATTATTCCTCCAAAACACTGGAGCTTTTCTGCTCGCCCCTTCGGCTCATTTTGCCCTCTATTACGGACGCACTCACTGCTTACATAAAAATGTTTTTTCGCCCTATTTGAAGACGTTTTTTGCTGTGGGTCCCATTTTCGTCTCGAGGCCTATCGAGAGCTCTTCTTACCACCCAGTGGGCAGTAGGCTGCGGAAATTTTTTGACTAGATTCGTTTCGCAAAGGTTCGAGGAAAAAGCTCTTTACACCTCCAAAGAGAGAAAACTAAACCGGATCTACTAGGAACGGCAACATTCCAATGCAATAAATTGCCTTCCAGAATAATTTCTTTTCAGAAATTGTAACAGAACACAGAATTAATGAGATTCTCATTTGTTAGAATATCCCCGTTTACCTTGGAGACCTGTGATGGGAATCTACTTTTCAAACGCGGAAGAGAGCGCAGTTTTAAGGATAAAGGCGTTCAGGAAAAGATTCATTAGCCTCGAGACTTGAGTTATTCATGAGTGAAGAGTTAGAAACAGAAAGAATCAAATTCCGTGAAAAGTCTACTTTTCAATTCAATTTTCGAGAGTGGTATTTTTGGGTTCAATCGTTTGAAATAAGTTCAATCATAATGAAAATTACCCCAACCATTTTTGATGATAAAAAAATTTTTCAACTTTTCGTAAGGGTCTAGTTTCATTTTATCGCATTAATTACAATGTGTGGGATTTTAACGATATCCTCATTAATCTTTGTAAGCAATTTCTTGAAATTTGAGAAATTATCCGGATCAAGAGCGTCTTTTTTTCCGACTTGTGAAGAAAGTTTCTGATACACTATTGTTGATTCAAACATTTACAAGCAATAAATTTTAATGCATGAAAAAACTTTTCAAACCTCCAAATAATTGCTTTAGCTATATTCTCAGGGTTTTTTTTTTAAATTTCACGACTTAAAAACGATTTGTAAACACATTAAAGAGTAAATCTTGCTCAGATGGCTTTTTTCAAAAAATGGGTTTTTTTGAGAAGATTATTTTTGAACTTAGGGAGATTGACAAACAAAAACAAAAAAAAATAGTTTAAAGTTCGGTACGACAAAAAATTGAACGAGGAAACCAGCAGGACAAAGAAACAGGCTAATAAATTGGAATGGATTCTATAGGAAGAATGCACAAGTGAGTTGCACAGCGAAGAGGGGTGGAGCCGCAAACGACGAAAAAACGAGCAATGGGAGGTCCGAGAAACAAAGCAATCGGCAGATGAACGTTCGTTTTTTTGAGTCAAGCAAAATTTTTCCCCTAAAAAACAGCCACTCGAAATTCAAACTTCAATTTTTCAGCAAATTTGGATCGCTTGACTTTCTCATGACAAGTGTTTGTGCAAGTGTTTTTTCGAATCTGAGAAAATTTCTCTCGCTACTTGATTTCACGGAAAAAAGCCCAAGTTGAAGGAAGCTTGAAAATAAAAATCTGCAAGTTCCAATGATAATAACTGATTCAATTTGGGTTTTTTTCGGATACATCCTTTTTTCCTCCTTGTTTTATTATTCAGATCTGTTGCCGCTTCTGAAAGAGGCAATTGCGTTAGTCTAACGGGTGAGGAAGAAGCTTCAGCTAGGCGAAAATAACCTTCTTAATGGTTTTCGAAGTTGTACAGCTTGAAATGTCGGTAAAATGTGTTTATCGAAACAGAAGTTCTTCACATCACGAAACTTCCATTTTCTGAAAACTTCTTTACTGACCCCAAATACAAATCAAAAGTACGGTAGGGCACTTCTCTCTAAATTTGGATTTTGTATCTCTCACAAGAGCTAAAAAAGAAGCGAGATTACTCACAAAACCGCGTTTTCTAAAATGATGTCTGTGGCATGAACAAGATTCAGTTTGGATTTCTTTACATTGAATGTTTATTTACAAAAAATGTTCATGGTCTTCAAAGTATGCGAAAACCTGCAATATATCTGTCTGAAAAAAGGCCTCTCATAAATACATGTTCAAACAGTGAAAATTCAAAGTTAGGTGAGAGATCATCTACCAGGAATATGGCTTCCGCTTGCAAAAATAGTATGGTAGCATTGAAGCATATCACCACAAAGTTTATAAGCAGAAAAAGAGCTCGGTCCGTTCAGCTCAGACCAATTTGCGCCGTATGCTGCTCATGTAATTGCAAGAAACCCAGCAAAAAACAAAAAAAAAGGAATTCATAATCGGACATATTCGTTCTGAAAGGCGCATCCTTCATTCATATAACAGGATATGTTGCTACGGAGAAAATGTTGCGGAGCGACGAATCTTCCGCGAATGAGCCGCGGAGGCCGACAGTCGCAGCGCATGTATTAGTGATGAGCTGTTCACGCCTGTCCTACTCGCAGACTCATTATGTCGCAAAGTCAAGGGACAAGTCTGTAAGAGGGGAAAACAAAACAAGCACTGAGAATCGAAACGCCGTGGCAAGTACAACGCGACTCTTTTACTTGCACCTGTGGCAGCCGTTTGCAATTAATCACCTCTGTTCCGGACACGATTGATCCCTCACAAAAAATGTGACAGATTGATTATCCGGTTCTTCACAGCCGTCTGCTAGCAAAAGATCTTCCGACTTCATTCAGAACTAAATTTTTTAACCAAACTTCAAAACAGTGAGCATGAATAGAAAAATAAAATTTTATACGATTAAAAATAACTTCTGCAGTCTCAGGGCAACTTCGTTTGGAATTTTATGGATGATTTTTTTTTGAAAGAAATACTCAAAATAGTTGTGTTGATAAATGCGTCACACAGAATCATCCGATTTTTTCGAGGGAATCTAAACGCCCAAAAAAGCTTTAAGTCAAATTTCCGCTGTTTTCACGCCATGTGTAGAAAGTTTTCGATTTCTTGAAATAATTTTTCAAAATAGCAGAGGTTTGGAAAATATATTATCAGAAAGCAGAAGATTTTGTTAGAATCAGGTTTTTGAATTTTTTTCATGAAGTTTCCAAAGAAAAAAACATGAAGAATCCTCTAATAAAATGAATTTTTGATCTTTGCCTCTCATTTCTCATTTCGGAGTGAAGGGCTTCTATATAAGAGCAAAAATCAAGTTCTGTGAGGTGAAAACATGTTTCATTCAGACGAAAATTCGCAACAATGGAGATTTGTCAATAAATCGAGAAATTTTCAAATACCGATTCTTTGTCAAAATAACTCTAAAGAAGAAGGAAACTCTCCATTTTTAGACTTTTAAAAAAATAGGAACCTGGGCTCGTGTATTTTTAGTCTCGTGTCCAACGCAGCGTGAGGGGAATCGAGTTTGAAGTTTTTTCCGATTACCTTAATAGTCCCTGACATCGAATTAGCAGAATTGAGATTTTCTATCTGCGAATTATATTCATCATATCTCATGAAAATTTGTCATGTCTCGTAGGTTTTGTCATTCGAATCAAGAAGCTCGAAAGAGAGTGGGAAAACAGCTGTCTCCTAAAGTTTATGATTGCGTTTCCAATCTAATTCTGACCTGAAACTTATGATGTGTGCGGTCAATAAAAGAAAAAATCAAGATTGAAATGAACCAGAAATAAAAAACTGGTCGAGTTGAAAGTTCGAGTTCGCTTTTTTTGATGTTCGGAAGGTGTCAATTTCTTCTGATATCGGACATAAAAGATTATTCTCAAAAACTTGCAATGAAATATTAATGCTTAAAAAAATTATGAGTCCTCTCAGGAAGGTATAACATACTTTTGAAAAACATGAAAACGGGAAAGTTTTTGTAAACCAAGATCTTTAACGACTATTTTTTTCTTTGAGAATGAGATAAGTATTATTATTATTAATGAACTTTGAAGTTGACCCTATCTATTTATCTATTTTTGAGGGGTTCTAAATTGAGAAATAGAAGTCATAAAGGCTGAATTTCTTGAAACTCCTCCATCTGAGAGCAATTATTCTAAAGAAACCGAATAACTTGCTCAGAAGTTTTCTAGCTATTGACAAGGCGAACCTAACAGGAATAGGACTTCTGGTGAGATATGTGAACCGCGGACCTACCACGAAGCCGGCAACGCGGAAGGCGACGTTGTGTAAGTCTTAAAAAAAAACAATTGTGATTTCAATCAAAACTCGGAAGCTCCGCCTCCAGGCAAGAGAAAAATTGCAAATGAAAGCTGTCTAGCCGTCGGTAATTATGTATGGTGCCCTCAGGTCTGAAACAAGTGCGTCAAAGTCGGAACTGCCTCGAATCCGTCCGCTGAGGCGTGTCGAGAAAGAAAATAATTTGCACATCGTGTCAAGAACAGTTGCCGACGCCGTCGGATACACCAAGTGAAAATGTTCGTTGAACCAATTTTCTGGAGGATATGTGTAGAAAGAAACCTTAAATGTAAATCCTAACGAATTAACTTCAATTTGAGAAATGTTTCCAATATAATTGTGGAAATTACAAATAGCATAATTAAAAGTCAATTATCAACTTTTTTTGTGTAAAAAATTCTTGGGAAACTTGTAAAATTATATTTTCAACAAAAACAGTTCCGTTAGAAAATGTATCGGGTCTTGAATAAAAAAGAATTGCTTCTCGTGTCAAAGACTTGTTAGTGGCTTTCGTGAGAATTTCAAATTTAAGCAAAAAAACTTGAACTTGCAAAAAGAACGAAAAGGGCAAACGATGTCAAACTGCTTTGAAAGTTTTTGTTTGTTGAGAAATGAAAAGTTGATGTTCAATTCTTGATGTTGAGTCGCTCTGAATCAACTTTTTCAAAAAGAATAAAAGTTATTTGACTAAAAAAAAACTAATTAGCCGAGCAAAACAGTTTATTTTCTCATAAGACTTCGAAAAAAAAATGAAAATTAGTCAGCCTGTTATTTTAAAACAACTCTAGAAAAACAAAACTTATCATTTAGTGCCGAAAAAAAAAATTCAATACGAAATAAAAGAAAACCTCAAACTATAGTTTTGGAAAGATCATCCAGGTCTTCAATATCTTGTTTTCTATTAGTTTTTCTAACCAAGAAGTTTGGATTTTATTAAGGCTGAGTATTTGATTCAATTATGGAAATTTTTTTGTTCTCGTTGGAAAAAAATTAATTGTTCTTTTTTTGTTTCAACTACGTTCCAATCATAATTATATACGGCTTTGTGAGTTCCTCTTTTGCTCCCATCAATTTCTACTCAGAAATGAAAGCTTCTGACAGTTTGTCATGTGTTCGGCAGACACCTCAGAAAGGGCATCGAATAATTGCTCCCGAGAGACGTCAGAGTTTTCTTTTCGAACGCAAACACTTTCAGGTCAACTTTCTATCTAATTTTTGTATGCAATAACTAAAGATATCAAAACTATCACCACTCAAAATAGTCAAAAATAAGAAAACATATATTGTTTGCAAACATTTTTCAACTGAGCATAGCTGGACTTTTTCGAGAACTTGAGCTCAGTGTTCGGAAGTGCAAGAGTGCGTTTTAGCAAACCAAAAAAAGAAGATCAACGAGAGGTTTAAAAAATGAAGAATCAAAAAACTTCGAATGGATGGCCTGCTTTTTAAGCTTTTGCCTCTTTCGAAGCAGTGAGAAAGGTCCCGAGGAAGCATTAGAAAGATATTTTTCGTCAATTGACCAAGGATGTATAATATGAAAATCTCCATTCATTATTAGGAACAGCGAAGCCTCCAGAAGCTGGAACGCTTGTGACAAAACAAATAGAAAAATAGTCCATTCTTCAAAATCTTGCTGTTAAGCCAAAAATTACGCCAAACTTCAATTCGAGTTTACAAGCTCACAAAACTGTTTTGAATAATTTTGATACTGTGTTGAAAAGTCATGTTTAAAATGTTATTTTTTCTTAAAAAAAACCACTCATACTTTGAGTGCTCTACATCCAGTTGAACCAGAAATGTACAAAAGCTTCTCTGTGAAAGACTTGGAACAGTTCCTTCACAAAGTGAACACGCCCATTAATTTGGAACCTCTGCGATGACGTCAACAGCGAATTAATCAGAAATCGCAGTCAAACATGGAGATCAGAGACGATGAAAGTGTAAGGAAAGCCGACAAAAAGACAGCTTTGGGTACAGCAGAAACCAGTAGTCGCCGTGCATCGGCACTCGACTTTAATTGATATGCCACATTTTTTGAGGGAACGATCCTCGAGGCGCTGTTCGTTTTTCGATCCTCCGCTCGAAGCCTTTTTTTGAATGCCAGCTTCTCCACTTTCTCAATAAACTCCTCATCGTAGGATGCGATCGCCAAGCGCGCCCAAGATACCGAACGTGTCTGACGGCAGAGGCTGGCGGAAAACCTTTCACTTTTGCCGCAAGCTGTTGACAAATTCACAGATAAAGCTAGTTTGATTGCGCCCCTGTACGGACCGACTCTCCACAACTTTTTATCCCCATTCTCATCATATAATCTTCGCCGATTAATGGCATCTGTGCCACGCCGTCTTTTTTGAATTTTCCAATCATTTTTTCTCGGAGGAATTTGCCGCGCGACTTTCTTCAGATGCTTTCCAACGACGCAATCCAATAAAGCCTCCCAATCGCTTATAGCACTTTTGCTTTTAGTCGGACCGGGTGCGGGTTCCGCCTGTTTCTCAAATCCTTTATTCTGTTTCAAAGCGCGCTAGCAGTTGAGTTATTCGGCTGTTGCTGGAAGTCCTTGAATCTTAGTCAAACTCAAAAATTTTTCTTTTGGAAAAATTTTTCATTGAATTTTTGCTCTTTCTCTGATATATTTTCGTATGTATCGCTTTCGTCTCAAAAGGAGTTGAGAGTTTCATCAACTCATTCACTGAGGTGTTTAAATCAATAAATTATGTAATCCCACTTATTTTGAAACAAGAATACCTTTTACGCAGCTTAGAACAAAGAACCCCTGAAACGCTCAAAAATTTTACTATTGCTAAGGTTCTGTGTAAGATATTCCTTCTGTGGCCTTTTTATCTTTTTCTTGCTTTGAAAGAAAATTCAAGCCATTTTTTGTCTCATTCTTCCTCTGCAACTGTTTTTTACTCCTACTCAACTTCGAAGCGAAGTTTCATTATTGGAATGGAACAGCGTTAATTTTTTGATCTCGAAAAAGTTGATAAATTTTTTAGGTATGTACCTAGCAATTATTTTTGGTTGCGTGATGTCACAAGCTGCCACTCAGAGCCAAAGTCTATACGGCCCATCTCAACTGGACCTTTATTTCCGCCTTCTTAATTCTCGCAATTTGGGTGGCTTTGGGCAATTGCAGCAAGCCGCTTCGCAGATTGAAGTTGCTGAAAAACAAGAGATTCTCAGAGGACTTCCACCTCTCCCGCTGACTCATGATGAAGGTATTTGAAATTGCTCGGTAATTTGACTTCAATCATTCATCTAATTCAGTACTAACTCTTTTGACTACTCCTTCTCCAACTACGACCACGAAAGCCACCGCCAAACCTACTACGACAACACCTTCGAGCAATCCATTTTCGGTCAATCCCATACCCGAAATCCCTCCTATTCCAGAAGATCGGTGAGTTTCGAAGAGGGAATCTGAAAACTAATTACTCTCATTCCCAATTTACAAAATTAAAAGCTTTTTCAAAATTCTCGAAACTTAAGTCCGGCAAAACAACCTACCTCATTTTCAGAATCGGAGGAACGTATGATGAAGATGGAAATTTCGTGTCGAATTTGATAACGTCAGAGAGGCGGAAAGTATCATTAAATATGAGTAAATGAGATGTTTTGAATGGACTTTTAAGGCACAAGGAACACGGAACTATCAAGTACAGAATCAAGCTGATGGATATTTACAAGTGAGAGCTCATAGTCAGGTTTGATCCATTTTAATATTTTCATTAAAGGCGCAACGTCGACAAGTCCGACAGCAGCCAGCTGCTTATCCACTCTTGGTTTTCCGGTGAGTAAAATCCAATCACTTAGCTCAGAGAATTTTACGCGGAGTTACAGAAGTTTCTAGAAAAAGTTGAAATGTTTTGATAAAAACATCCAGAAAATTACAAGCATCTGATTTATAAGTTTTTTTGGCTTCGGATAAAGGCTTCAAATTTGGCTTTTATTTTTATTTTCAGAGCGTCTGGCAGGGATTTTGAGAAGATAGTTTTTGAACACTGTTAAGGTTTTTGTTTAGTTTTTCAAAACTTGGATCCAGTAAGCTGATGGTTTTTTGCTAATTTCCTGAAGCTTCGTGTGGAAATGACTTTTTTTTCATAATTATTTAATAACCAATTTCATTTCAGACCGAAACCCCAACCTACAAACCGGGACCCATACTACAACAACATTCTTCTCGAAATAGAGGAATATGACGATTTCCTAGTTATTGAAGCCAGTGATCATTCAAATCAAAAGTTTTTTTAGGACCAAGCCGAAGCCTACAAGCAGAAGTATCCTGGAGCGCAGGTCGTCAATCCTTACTTTTCATTACCTGAGGGGAAACTTCCATCTCTCGCTACCTACACTTCTAAATAACTATTAAACACTGTGTATTTGATCAATTTTATTTATTAAACTTATTTTTAAGATTGACCAAGGGTCGAAGACTGAGTACACTGAAAAATTACATAGGAATTTGATAAACAAGGAAATCACAATCTTGATGAGGATTCAAGGCACCATAATCACATAATGGCCGTAGCTGACATCAAAAAAGACATCAAAGTTTAAAGCAGTTGCAGTTAAGAAATTGAACAAGGAAAACTATACAGATAGACAGGGAGAAAAGGAGGTTTTCCGAAAGGGGTACAGGGATTAATATGAAGACAACCTTCTTTTCTCAAATAGTAAATAAATTAACAACAAAAGATAAGCCACCCAAAAAAGAAAAGGAGAAGAAAAAGAAGAAGCCTGAGTGCTTTCACAGTTTGCACAAGCGCCTGCGAGACTAGAATTAACATACAAGACACATGTGCTCTTGGAGATTCATCATATCATTTCATATCAAAAGGAAAAGTTCATTTTATTGCCAGAAGGGATTCCGGCAAATGAGGAACTGTTGTACGAGTCTGTGGGAGGTTGGCGAGCTGCATCAATATGTCCAGCGGCTGAGACTGCATTTGCTGCAGCTGAGCTTGAACCAAAGCTGCGATAAGCTTCGGATCCATAGCCTGAAAATACTTTTCTCGAAATTTTCTTCGACACAAGCAAGTTGATAGTTCGCTAAAAACATGATGTTATCAATAAACTTCAACTCAATTAGGCTTGTCACTTGGAATTTTCAGAAAAACCCACCTCTTGTAGTGGGTTGGTGGCAAAGGGCAAAGGGTACTGTACACATGGCCGTTTCACTTCGGGAGTTTCAGTCGAAGTACACGAAACGGCGTCTAGAGATCTTTTTCGAAACAAATTATCCTCCACCGTTGAGTAATCTGCAAAATGATATTGAGTTCATCTCAATTAGATGTGTAAAGATACCTGTTGAGAGTCTGTGTTTCGCAGCGCTAGACACAGAATTTCTTCTGCGAACCAGCGAAACGACTTTATCACACATTCCTAACGAAGCGATGGTCCGAGAAAGGAGCGGCGCAACTGAAAGGGCAGAATGATTGTTTCGTGATTTTCTTTTCTCAGCTAACCATTGTTGATGGCCCCCGTTTTCACATTGTCTCTCAGAAGTTGAAGAGCATCAACCATTTGATCAATGACAGAGTCGGCAAGTCCAACCTGCACCATCTCAGACCAGAACGAGCAAGGTTCTGAAGAATATAATTTTGTTGTTTTTTTGTTTTGGTTTCAAGACCATTGGTCATTTGGAGGCTGAGCTGCTCGACGTCACTAAACGTGGGAGGCCTCGGCGAAGACGTCGGAGACATGGAGTCGTCCACATCCACTAGTTCTTCTTTGCACTTCGAAGGAGAGCTGCTCCGAGCGTCTTCCGTGTTGTTCTTGTTGTTATTGTTGTTGTTGAAAGCTCCACTCAGCTGCATCAACTGTGAGAAGGAAGTTGCGTCTTTGAACAAGCCTGAATAGATTTTTCCTAGTGGGATAAGCGCTCAAAGCATTACCCATTCCACAGGAAGACTGACTCAACATTGTTGATGGGAACATCTGAGGGAGTTGAGATCCTTTCAGGCTGCTAGAACTTCCCCGTCTGAAAATTAGTTTTTTAAGTACTTTGAATGTATTTTCTTTTTTCTAGACTTTTTGTAAAAAAGTAAACTTATGCATCAAATGTTTGTAGTGTAATTGCAACAAAAATATATTCTCAGGATTTCAAAGACAAGTTGAGTAACGTGACGCTGTTTGTCCGAACTTTGTTGATTTTTGGAACGTACTAGACCACTTGAACCTTTGTTTATTGGTGATTATCAGTTGTTTCGTTGATGTCCAACCTGGACATCCAGGTAGGTCATACCTGCTGTCTCGGTCCACGTCGCGCTCTTTGGGAGTTATGTAGTTCCGGCTCTGGCATTTGGCAGAGCAAAACTGTGAGTGATTGTAAAAATCAAATGACCGCATCTCCATCAGAGTCCTGAATAAATATACAAATATATTTCATTCAGGTTTTTCGAATGGCAACCTCAAATTGGATTTTCCGATGCGTATACTTCCTTTCCAATCTTTTTGTTTGTCTTTGTTTGCTCGCACTGTGAACTCTTTCGGAGTTATCATATCACCTTAACACAAGTTCAGGTTTTGTTGCTTTTTTCGAAGATTACCATCGAGCTCGATGCACTGTTGATGGATTCCAGGGCAAATGAAGAGTTCCACATGCATTTTCGCGAGAAGTGGACCGCATTTGACCTGAAAATGAAAATCTAAAAATTATAAAAAAAGTTTTCAGTCGCAAGAAAATCAGTATTTAATGTTTTTTTGCTATTGCATTAATTTTTTTCGCCGTTGTTCTTTTTTTGCCGTTTTGAACAGCTTTTTTTCTCAATGCCTGAGTACACTTTTCGGACTTTTTTGACTTTTCAGATTAATCATTATCTAGTCATTGCAAATTAACTTTTTCTTTTTGAAGTTTCTGAAAGTAATCTGAACTTTGTGCTCCCGTTCGAGGCATCAAATGAACCCTGAGACGAGGTTTGCCGCCGGAAGCTTCTGGACGGCCGTAACCTCGGACACTCGGACTCTCATGCCCGCAGGCTATTTGACTTGCTCAAACCGGTCGACTGGTCACGGCTCGCCACCACGAGAATATTCGCGCTCGTACGAGAATAGAACAGCAAACAATTGTAGTTGCAAAAACAAACATGGAGCACAGGAGACACACTCACACCTTTTTGGTGTCAGGTCATGAAGTTGGCGTAAGAGGCCCACGAGAACAACTCCAAAAAGCAAACGTGTTCGTCTCAACTCTTCTCAAGGGTAAAACCGTCGCTGTCCTTTTTTGGCTTTTTTGTTTTGCGCGACCAAACATAGTGATCAATGAAAACGCCAAAGTTAATGTTGTTTGATGCCCAGTTATATCAAAATGGGAGAGAGCGCGTGACCCTATTTGGCACACCAAAACGCCACGTTTTCGGCGTTTTGTTGCGCTGGAATTAAGTTTCTATAACAGAACTTCACGTACGAATCAAAACACAACTAGTGCTACAATAATGCAGTTGCTAAAGCAATTGCCTTTCGGTGAATATACTGGGAAATAATCTTTTCTCGGCTCGATTCGATTTGCTCCATGAAAGAAGGACAAAGAAATACTATTGGAAATGCTGTTTCTAAGAATTCGAAAAATATAGCTTTTTCACTTTTAAAAAGTAAAATGTGTAATAAAGTCAAAAAAAGATTATGAGCTTACAATCTAAGAAAAAAAATCGATCGCGGGATTCTTTTTTTGAAAAGTTAAGAGGAAAGTTCAATATATCATTTTTTTCATAATATCAGGAATGAAAAAAATTTCTGTACACACAGCTCTGAAAAATGAGAAAGGACCAGATAATTTTCAGGTAATGCCGAATAAAACATAACCCATACCAACTTCCAGCTTAGAAATTAGGGCATATTTCTCTTATCATCGGAAAAATAAGTCTACTTCTAGCACGAAGTATGGTTCGTACTTACACCTTACGGCAACCGGTCAGTGTTTTTCGCGGCTCTTTTGTGCTCCACGAAAAGAGCCATCGGGAGCGTGCGCCGAAAGAACAGCTCAGGACTCCGTCCGCAGCGTCCGCACACATAACTCACGCCGCGGACGCCGCCGCAAGCTCTATTTGCGGCGCGTGTGCGGCTATTTTTATTCAACGCTCTCCCAAGCAAACAGTCTGATATAGCCGCAGGCGGTGCTGCGCGGTTTTCCGACGGCCGTGTTTCCCGAAATAAAGACTCTCCGTGCGTTGGTTTTTCGTCTCTCGACGGTCGCCTCAGGGAAAAGAATGCAAATTTTTGTGACGCTTGCATGCGATCTGAGACTGGCGCGACAAGAGATTTGCACACGATCTCGGTTGCATATCACGCGTCGCGCAGAAGCTCTCAGGAGCAGAATTGCAGTGAAACGATATTTGCAAACAGAAAAGAAGCCTTAAACAAAAAAAAAAGAACTTGCAAAGATTATAGGAGCTGTAAGTCTCTTATAAAAAATAAAAATTAATCCATAATTTCCATTTTTTTAACCGAAAATATTTACATAAAGGAGATAAAATTTAGATTTTTTGGTTTAGAAAATTCACTCGAGAGCTGAAAAATTGTCTTCTGTTTTCTTCCTGATACGTCTTCAAGATTAATCAAACAAAATTTTTTCCATTGTACTCAGAAGAAGCAAAATAACTTAAGAAGGCTCACTTCTATGACTTTGGCGTTTGGGGAGCTTTTAATAATAAGATCGCCACCGTTTTCATCTTCTGTGACTTCAGGAGGCATCAATATAACGTCTGTTTGGCATTGCGACATCTGAAACAACAGAACGTCAAAAATCAGATCAACGGAACTTCACTCGCTACGAGCAACTTGTGTACGACGGCAACATAGAAAACAAACTAGAGCTACATTATAATCGCAAACGTGAATATTAACGAGGGATGTAAATAAAATAGTACAGGGTTCTCCGACCAAAATATATAGAAGACATCAAAAAAGAAGAAAAACACGCAGTGGGTACATGCACTAACGAATTCTTACCAACACACCACTCAATGTCAGCGAGATTTTTATCTCTCTCAACAAGGATATTGTTTTTTCTTCTAGAAAAAGCATAGAACAAAGAAGACATTTCTTATTTCCAAGTATCAAAAGAAAAAAAAACTATGATATCGAATCGCAAGAGAAGTTTACCATAGAAAAAAGTGCGTTATGACCCAGTTTGCTGATCACTTTTCTGTCTTTTTTATTCAATGCAAGTTCCTGAGAAACCGGGTTGGATAATTCAGGATACAAAGCTCACTGAAACAGCATATCCGTCAGGAAGGAGCAGGAAGATTGCGTATGGCCATCAAAAGAAAAACGTTTTCCGTGTCTACATTTTCATCTTTGATATGAAGTTGCTCTCATACCGTACTCATGACAAGTTTGAGCTGTTTGGAAAATCGTTTTTATCAGCTCGTAGCAATCAAAAATCAACAACTGAACTTGTTGGAGAGGGAAAAAGGCTATGTTCTCTCGTGTAATATTATTTCTTGGACAAACGAGCTTGCACGTGAAGATAAATCAACGGAAGAATAGTGCACACGACGTGGAGAACGGAGTTGATCACACATCGAACTCCGTGAAACAAAGGTTCTTTTCATAAGATCATGACAGGAGTTTTTGGGATGTTTCCGATATCTTCCATAAAGCTTACTAATGTGAAAAAAAAATGCAAGATTTCAAGAGTATCAGTAATCATAAAGTGTTCGATAAGCAATTGAGGTCACAAAAGTGATGGAAGTGATCTTTAAGATGTTGTTTTTGACGCTTGAACACTGACTTTAAGTTATAAAAGCCTCGTTTCACAGAGTCTCAAGCTGGATTAAAAATATGCACATAAAAAACTTCAAATGCCAATTTAACTGTTTTGTATTTTAAATAAACTTGAAAGGCCGATCTCTAGCAAAGAAAATCAAAGAGGAAAAACCTTTATTGGAAGTCAGCGAACAACGAGAAAAAAAAGAGTTCACGTTTTGGTCTTCATTGAGAGAAGTGACATTACAACGAGTAGAATGGGCGTCCGCAGTAGGAAAACGGTGCAAAGCACGTGTTCTGCGTGAAGTCAATTATTAGCGATTTATCCAACGCTAATGTTGGAGAACAAGTAAAAAGTTCAAAGGATAGTAGTCAGCACGCGCCGAAAATGGACGCAAGTGACGTCGGGGCGGTCTGCGGCGGCTGGACCAACGGAATCTCCGCCCGCTGCCGCCGACGCGGACCTCCCGACGCCTCTGCAACGTTCTGTTTTTAACCTTTTTGTTTACAGACGGTTGCAGATTGCGCGCAGTTGCCAGCTGACCATGCTCCGAGCACTTCGTGACCGCTCCGCCCCACGACGCGTCGAGATAGTCTCGTCCAGCCACGCTCGTCTCGGGATCGGCAAGCTTGCTTTCACAACTTTCGAACCAAGTATAAGTGTCAGCCATGACCTTTGAGTGAATCAACAAACTTCGGTTTCACAACAGGAAGTTTTTTCCACCTTGTTCGGCTGAAAGGAAAATCGATCTTATAGTCTACAACTAAGTCTAATAAGAAAAGCTCTCACAACCAGAAATCTAGATATCTTGAAATTTTGAAAAAATTTAAACACCCACCAGTTACCAGTCTGCAAAGTTCTTTTTTTAAATTTTTGATTTCATTTTCGTAAATTTTTTTCACTGCAAGATCAATTTAAAAAGTGAGAAAAAAAGTTTTTTGAAAAATGATTTGCCACCTGAAACCGTCCTCCTCTCTTTCATTTGATACATTTCGATGCAGAACTATTATTTAGTCTTTTTTTCGATATTACACCGAGTTTTTTTATCATTAAACAGATGTATAATAATACATATTACAAGTAGAACAACGATATTAAAACAAAAATAAAAATTTACAAACAGGAGTGAGAATAAACAGAACAAACTCGTGAAAAGGCAAGCACTTACAAATCAAACCAACAATATTCGATTCCTATCATTTGACACGACTTAGAGAAGTTTAACGGAAAGGTAACCTGTATAATGGAACGGGTAACTGAGAAAAACGACACAGACAATAAATTCTAGACGGGCTAAGAGTGTAGAATCGAAAAAAGGAAGAGTTTACAACTCCTTGTCGAGCTGCTCCCTCCTCTCTTGGATCAGTTTGTAACAGTGCTTAGAAAGATCGTCGACGTCTTCGAACTGCTCGCTGTCCACGGGCGGAAGAACGTCAACGATCACTTTTCCGCCGAAATCGAAGCGTTTCTCGGCCTGAAACTTTTTTATTTCAGCTCAATGTTTGGTAAAAAAAATTACTTTTTCATCATTAACTAAAAAAATGAAGAAAACGAAAAATTTGATTACTTTCTGAAATTTGAACTATATTTGAAAAAAACCTAAGTTTTAGATTTATTGTCTATAAAAAAAATCCAATTCGAAGAGATGAATTTTTGATATTTCGATATCCAGTAGACATAATGAAATTCAGGAGTATTTTTTTCAGGAACAAGAAATTTATTTATCCTCGCGCTGTCAAACTCTTTTTACCGAAAACTTCTTATGTACAATTATATTGACATTTATTGATTGGAATAAAACGTTATTTTTTCAGGGAAACGAAACTTATAAAAATATATAAAACTCACATGGTTGTAAAAATTGTTGTACGAAGAGAAGGCGCAGCAGACGACAGGACACTAAATATATTACAGGTAAATTTTTTGAAATATTTGAGACAATAAAAATCATTGGAAAATAATTTAGGCAGTCACAGCGAGAAGCAAATAAAAATCATATTTCACAAAATATAACTAATCGAAAACTGAATAACGGCTAATGAATAACAACTAATAAAACAAATCGATTCATTCTAATGGGATGTCTTACCTTGGCTTGCTTAGCGAGGAGGAAAGCGCCTTTCTTGAACGGAAGCATCTGAGGTTCCGAGTTTCTAGTGCCTTCCGGGTACATCCACACCTTTCTCTGAAGAAAAATTAGCAAATTGACTTGGCGTTTCCAATGCCTCCTACCTTCTTATCGAGAATTTCAGCAAGAGTTGTGTCGACAGTTTTGTGGGCTTTCTCCTGAAAAAAAAAGTTCAGATTGTTTCCTTTGCCGGAATTTACCTTGCTAAAGCGGTTGATATAAATTGACTCGCACATGTAGGCGCAAAGATTGAATCCAGGAAGCCATTTCAAACTGCTCTTGAGCATGACAACACAGTTTTTCGGCCAAACGTGAGTCATAACTAAAAGTATACCTTTTTTCAAGATTAAATCATTCTAACAAACCCAAAACGTCGAGACAGCTTTGATGGTTGGCAATAATGATGAATGGCTCGTTGGATTTGAGCCTTTCGTGGTGTCTCACGTCGATTGAAATGCCCAACGGCATGCAGAAAGTTTGGAAAATTTTGAACATGCGGCTGAAAACATGACTTTTTTCGAGTTCAAGGTTTTAAGAAACTGCCGAAAATTTTTTACCGAAAAAAGGACTCACAAATGGTTTTGAGGACTCTTGCCGAAAGGAACCGAAACGAATCCCCCAACGAGTCCTCCAAAAACGAGACACAGTCCGAAGAAGAACATCTTCACGTAGAATCCCAATTTGGTGAATAGACATGCCAGCACAAAGGCAATCACCAAAAACATGTAATAAAAGGTGTTTGATTTTTCCTGTTCGGTCATTTTGCTGAAAAAATAAACTTATCATGTTAAATGTGTGCAAATTCGAAAAAAAAGCAACAATCGAACGAAAAAAAAAAATCAACACATTAAAAACGATCAAATGACGCGTGGAAAAAGTCAAGAAACAGTTGAAAGAAAAATATCGAATTGAAAAACTTCTGATTACAACGAATTACTGAAACGGGCAACAAAGTTAAGAATTTATTGTAAAAAAAAGTGCGAAAAGCAAAAATTTCCAATTAGTGTTTTTCGAAGAAGTTTTTCTCAATGGAATTCCTATATTTCATCAAAATAGTGGATAAGAGAAAAGAAAACTTTAAAAAAAGATTATAGTGACTTTTTAAAACAAATTGTGTTAAAAAAATTTTACCAGAACTATTGAAACAGCAAAAAAATAATTGACGTTTGTATTGGAAATTTTTTTAGAAATAAAAAGGTTGGTGAACAACTTTTGAACAAATGAAAAAAAGTTACAGGGTGGAACTTTGATCTTCTAAAAAAATATCGAAAAATTAAAAAGTTTTTCATGGATTCAAAAAAATAAGATTTGAAAAAAACTTTGAAAAACTTTTTAAAGTAAGGAAATATTCCGTCAAAACAAGTGAGAACAAAGCGAAAGTTGTAACTTAGAATCTATTCGAATTAGATAATTAAAATTCAAGAACTTCATGAAATTATTTCGAAAACCTACAGGAAGGTCAAAAAAAGTTTTTCTGAACTTTTCTGCCCTAAAAGTTTGTTGTAACTGAATAAATGACAACAGAACACATACTTCTTGATGAAGTTCGTCAAAGTCTTACAAACGGTTAGAAAAAAAACAAAACCCTTTTAAGTATTACGCACACAATTCATAAAAATCCTTGGACTTAGAAAAAAGTTTGATCAAACGGGCACAAAAATTCGCGAGAAAAACAAAAACAAAGACAATTAAAAAAAACAAAAAAGGGAAAATTGGCAAAAGTTGTTGTCGAAAATTTGAACATGCGCCAGCCGGCAAAATAGTGCGTTGGCGCGCAATCAACGCTGAGTGCCGTTGTTTTTTTTTTCCGAGTTTATGTCTTTGCAAATGTCTTCTTTCTTTTTTCCGTTCTCAAAATGAGTTTTTTAGATTAACTTTGCCAATTTCTGATCAAAAAAATCAAGAAATGTTTGTTTTTGTAGTAGCATGAACTTTGTTGTAAGTTGATAAAAAGAAATAATGAGGTTCCTATAAAAGAAAAAAAGTTTTGAGCTGGAAATACTTTTTTTCTTCTGATTACAAGTAAATAAAACGAACGCAAGTAAAAAACTCCATTAAATTTCAAAATAGTTCAAGCAAAAAAATAATAAAAACGAGTAAGCTTCTTCTTATTGCAAACCGTAGCTTTAGTCGTGTTGTAATTCTGTTTCGATACTCTTTTCGTAAAAGAAAAAATTATTTGTGAATTAATTTCCGTTTGAAACAATGATAAAAAATGAAATTGAGTTGAAAGTGAGAAACCGACAGAGTAGCAACGCGTGAAATGTTTCTAATGACAGATCGCCAGGCAGCGTGTTGTCAAGAATGCGGGGAAACAGGACATGTGACCGGCAGATAAGAAAATGTACTGATAAAGTTTGGATATTGACCTTTTTGATCTTTTTTTATAGTTACAACCTCATTTGCACCGGATCTAAACTTTTTCCTTTTCTTCGCGACAACTGACCAACAATCATTACGCATTGTTTACTGCGCGTGTTCTTCCTTCGCTCTCTCAAGGCCTGCGATTTTGTTTGTTCCGTTGATTTATCTGCCGTTTCTCTCTTTTTCTTTGTCTTTTTGATTCAAACTTCAAATTTTAGGCAGAAATGAAATGGTTCTGTTTCTTATTTTTGGTTCGTTTATCGCCTCGTATTGGCATGTTTGGCTCATTTTAATTGGTAAGCTTTTTTTATTAATTTTTTTGGTGATTTGAAAACGCTATTTTACAAACCTTGCAAAAATTTTTTTCATGAACTTGCCTTTTTATTTTTCAATTTATCAGCCTGCAAACACACGGCTACGCGTATTCAAAATCAGTTTTTGAAAAATTTTTTTACTTTTTAGTTTTTAAATTTCACTAGTATTATGGTTTTGAAAGATTCCTATCTCAAAAAAACAAGAATGGGACTTCAGAAATTTTTTTGAAGTATTCAAAAATCCGTACAAAAAAATATAGATTCGCTTTGTTAGCATCAGAAAAAAAAATTCAAAATAAAAAATATATTTTACTGATAAAAATTGGGACTTTGTAGCGTTAATTTTTTTCAAAGAATTCACCTTTCGCCTTTGAATATAATGTTAAAATTTTCATTAAAATTGATTATTTACAGGTGCATGGCTCTTTACACGAATTGCGCCTACTTTACTTTGTGGAAAAGTTATGATTTACTATGGTTTTTGGATGCATTTCATTCTTTGCAGTTGTTTCCCACAATTGAGGTACTCGTTCAAACTTTTTTTCTACTAAAATTGATAATTTTTCTAGACGAGAAAACTATTTTTCTAGTCTGGGCAAATTTGATAATCAAGAAATACACGAAATACCCGGACTACACTTACAAGGTAAGAAACTTATCAAGATAAAAAATTCAGATTTTGCTTGTATCCTGTTTGCAGAACGTACTCTTAGGTCAACAGAACTTCACCACATCGCGAAAAAATTTTTACGATACAGTTTGATACTCTGATTGACTAAACTTGTTTCAGTTACTTATTCTTTCTGAAAAAAACAGCTGAAACCTTCATTAAAAAGAAAAATTTTTCAAAGTTTTTGGCAAATAATTAGCTTTGATGTTCAAAAAAATTATAAAAAAACATTCGGAAGCAAAAAAATCCTTGAATTTTTTTGAATGCAGCTTTGAAATTATGTTGCAGCTTTTTTTCCTCAGTATGAAAATACTTTCAAAATTCATATAAACTTGTTATTATTTATTTGGAACTTGTTGATATGATTGAAAAGGTAAAAAAAGAAAAACGTTTCAAGAATGTTTATCTGACTACGAATGATTACTAAAAACAGTAATCATCAAGTTTTTTTAACGAAAATCGTCGAATTCGAGATGAAACTCAGGGGAAATGATTGCGATAACTTGATTATTAGTCTATTAAGATTTATCCAAAATCCAACTTTTCCCTATCAATTTTAACATTGCCTAAGACGTCGATTGAAACGAAAAAAACTATTCCGAAACTGATTCCAGCAACTTTATCTCGCTCTGTACACGACCACAAGGTCGACACGTTTCACTGAACGATTGATGTCTCAACGTGAGGCTAGAGGAGTCATCGACATAGGTTTGATGAGTTCTGAAAAAAATCGAGTGAAGAAACAAAACTGAAGAACGCGAAAGTGTGAGAGACGAAGAAGAAAGCGAGGCCGACGATGTGCCGGATCGACCAGTCATCGAAGTGGCCAAGGACAAAAAAGACATCGAACAGTCAATTGAACAGCTCGAAGAGGCTCACGACTACACTCACATTGATGCTACAGGTTATTTTGCGTTTTCTTCCAATACATTTTTTCTTATTTTTAGAAGAGTGTTACCGAATGTATGCTTTGGGGCTGTCAAAACTGCCTTTTTGGATTTTTTTTTTTTGAACATTGCGCGTTTTCATAAACATTTAAAGCACTAAAGATGACTTTTCTTTAAGTTGACAATATTGTATTCAGTCAGAAAAAAAGACCCAAAAGCAAATCAAAGCTAACAGATAGGAAAGATACGAAATTGTTGAGAAAAATTTATTGTTCATTTTTCGCTACATTAACGGCAGTATTTTTGAAGAGGCTTAAAAAAACTCTTGAAATTCTGTATTGGAAAGTTCAAAATTTCACCTACAGCATTACAAAAAAATAAAAAAACATATTTTTTTCATCATTTAATCAAGTTTTTTTGAGTTATTAAAAAAACTGGCTTTTTATTTTATCGGAATCCCAAAGTTATAAAAAAATTTTTCAGTTATCAGCTAACAAAAGCTTCGGTTTTTCAAACTTTTTAAAGTTTTTTTCTTTTGATTTTTTTCCGAATGCGTAACTTCTAACGTGTTGTTTTTTTGTTCAACTTTCCAATTCGAGCACTTTTTACATATTTTTTTGTCTGCCGGTAAAATTCTGGAAGGTTTACATTGTTCAAAAAAAATTTTTTTCTTATATTTTTTTGAATATAAACAAACTTCTTCTTCTCTGCTATCCTTTTTTGCGGCATGCTAATTTTGGTTTCTAGCTAGCACTCCTCTTCGGCCTCCTAGACCTTCCCGTGTTGCTGTCCAACGTCAAGATTCTGCTGAGTCGCAGACAGAACTCTTTGGTTCAGAAAAAAATCCTCTCAATCTGAAAACGATATTTAGGAGATGATAAACAAGAAGAAGAAGAAGGAACTGTTGATGACGGTTCAAAATGGCATCCAAAGAAAATTTTCACGGCCGTGAAGAAAAGGTTAAAAACGTTCTTTATAGATCATTCTTATTAAAAGAAAAAAGGAAGAAAACAGTAAACGTCTATTATTTTCACGTGGAAACGGGAAAAGTGAAAAAAAAATTCAAAGTTCCAAAAGTTTTTCGAAAATGTTCACAAAAAATTGGAACAATAGAATCAAAAACTAAGTCGTGAAATTTTATCTTTAGTCAACTTTCAGAAGAATCGTTTCTGCAATCGATAAGAGTATTAAAGTACACTCATTATCATCTCTTTTGTTCTCGTTAGGAAAAGAGAAAATGTTATTGCGAGGTTGAAAATCACTTTTTTTTCAGAGTGATGCCCAAACGTAATAAAACTGAAAACGGGACGATTGATGAAGAAAGAAAAGAAGGAGAAGAAGAAGGAAAAAACAAAGTTGGAATAATAATAGATATCCTTAAATCATTATTTGAACTTGAGAACAACAATGGAAGTGATCACTCTGTGGAGGACGAAGGCAGTCCCGAAGATGAACAGGGACCTTCAGCTTTTTACCGACTCTACGGAAAGCTTCGCAGAAGACGCACTACTTCTGTGGACGATCCAAACGGTTAGCAAAAACTTACGACTGAAAATTAGGGAAATTCATCTTATGATTTCTTCATATCAATATTTTGTTAACAAGATTTTTTAACGGGTTTCACGATAAATAGACACTGTTCATAAAAGTATGAAACACGAGAGCCAGAAAAAGGGCGAGCTAGAAATTCCTGAAAACAGCTCCTCTCATTATCCAAACAAACTACAATCGCAAAACTGATTTTTTTGAAGCATTGGAAGTTCTCCGTCCGGACTACACTAATCGTTTCGACATTCTCGACAAGAAGAAACGAGATCAAAGAGAAAAAAAAGACCGAAAAATGTTGGGACATCGCATTCGCAAACAGTTGCGTGAGGCCATGAAGGAAGATGCCAGAATTGAAAAAAAGTACATCATTTTATCGTTTCAATCAAAATTTTCATTCGCAGGAGAAAGAAGGTAACGGACGCCATCGAGCTGTTGCTGCAGCTGCTGAGAATGATGACGTCATTCGCGATTTTGGTCGGCAACATTCGAAAAACTTTTATTCCCGCGCAGTTTAAGTATTTGAAACCAGGTCAACATGCCTATGACAACTACGAACTTCTTCTGTTTTTCAGGTTGGCTCACCGTATTTTTCATGAAATTTTCACAATTCACAATGAATCAAGACAGCATTCAACACTTTTTTTTGTTTTTGAAGAAAACAGTTGAACTTGATTGAGTACAAATAACAAAAAATGGAAGTCAATCCGGAAAGAAGTTGGTTTGAAAATAAACGTGTCAAATTTATTATCCGACCGATGAACTTAACATCCTAAACGATGAAACTTCTATGAAAATTGTTAAAACTGAAAAAAATTTCGATATTCACTCAGAATTTTTCTTGAATTTTTTTCATTCAGCAAAATTGTTTTGAATGTATTTGATTATTTATCTCAATAAAAACCTCAAAAAGTCCGGGCATCCAACTGAACTCTAAGACGATATCTTGAACAAAAAAATAAAAAAATTTACAACTTTTTTTATTTCAAGATGATCCAACAAGAAAAACCTTATTGGAAAATTTCAAAAAAAAAAAAAAATAACAAAAAAATGGAATTTTTGTAGAGCGACGACGTTTCTGGACATTTCCATGTTCTGGACCAATATGATCTACGTCTACTGCCTCCAATGGCAACTTCTTTGTCGTCTCGGATGCAAACTTTTCTTTTTCTGGGCTACCGTTCTTGGCCTGGTTCGTGACTCTCTTTTTAATTTTTATTCACTATTCCTTTTTTTAGGTGTCAACATTTGTCATGTTCATTCCAATGACTACGATTATGAACGACTTGGATTTGAGTTGGTGCAGGTTGATGCCGAACACGACTTTCGCTCGGTTCCAGCCAAACTGGTAAAGCGAAATAACTTGTATCTAACGGTTTGTAAATGCTTTGATCTTTTTTGCATTTTCTGTATAGTTTGTTCCTTTGTTTTGTAGCTTAAATGTTTTCTGGGGTTTCATTTTAAATACGTGCTTTTGACTTTTCAAAAGGTCACTCTTTTCGAAGATAGTCCCAACTTAGGTGCATTTTTCCTATTCTTTCACTGTTTTCCTCCAAATCACGTCACGGGCCTACACATGTAATATTTTTTTCACAATTTTTTTTCGAATCAAAGATGAGATTTTTCTGTTTCTGTATCCGATTTCAGTTTTTGGTTTTTGGGGGAATACTTGATTTCGGCAACAGTGAAGGTGGCGCAACTTAAAAGGCAGAAGATGAGGAGGATGAGCAGTTGCCAGGGAAGCACCAGCACGCTTCCGTAGAACATGCAGATCGTCGAAAGTGTTGCCTGAATATTTTGAAATGAAGATAGGACTTTCCGTTTGGTTAACATGGAAGAACTTGTGGACGGCAAAAGCTTGTGTAGTTTTGTTTGGAAACAAGGCTGGAACGATGGAATATATTTGAGTGTTCAGACAGCAATCCCCGAGTCCCAGCAGAAAGCCTCCAAAAAGGGCCAAGTACTCACTAAAACAATGGTTTTACTTTTGTTTGATTGAACTCGGATTCTTACTTCGGGAATATGTATGATAGTTCATCAGTTTCTTCAAACGATGATTTCCCAGGCAGCATCATGAAAGAGATGAAGTAGGCAATAATACAACCAGTAGCTCCGACGTATATTATCCAAAAACGACGCGTTGAATTTTTCATCGATCCCAGAACTCCAATTGATAATCCACCTAAATAATTTAAATGGATGTTGAGATATTTTCACAAAAAAACCGGCGATCTCTCCGCATCCCACGGCCATTTGATTGAGCGCCATTAAAATATTCGTGTTCACCGGAAAACTTAACATCTAACCTCAGTTTCCAATCATCTCATTTCCACAAAGCTTACGTTTTAGTGTTAGAAAGGGAATTTGAGTAGACACCGGACCAATATGATAACTCGATCCCAGAATAAGCAAACGTTGCAATTAACAAAATTGTTTGAGGCTCAATCAAGAGAAAAATTGCCTCTCCTGAAAATTTTTTTGTGTAAATTTTTTTTACATTGCGTAATTTTCAATAGTTGGTTGAGTTTTGGTAAAAAGATCCTCTGTTATTTCAGCAAATCTTACTTTATAATTAATATTTATATTTTTTTCCTTTTTTTGACGTTAAAAATGAATATGTGAAGTCTGAATAATGTTGAACATCAATCACTCCTGCCCTAGAAAAGTTATCAAATTTGTTTTCGGCATTAGAAAAATCTTTGTGGGAAAAGTTTTGATTCTCCATCTTGGTTTTGCAGTAATTAGTAGCCAACTTCTTCGCGTAGCTGACCATTAATTATTTTAATTCCAAGGCATTCATTCTCATAAACTAATTCATATGATAATTCATCAAGAATGGAAAAATCTCACTGAACTCGTTCCAATACACCGAAATGCTTTCTTCCTTTTCTTTTTTCATGTTTGGTAGCAAAGCAAAGCAAATCTGAAAAAAAGTTGATTTTCCTTGTGTCTTCATAGTCCTAGACGGACATTTCCTGCCAAAGAAACGCCGGCAAAAGTTCCGTAAAGAATTCTTGTCATCTCCATGTCAATAGTGTCGGTGTTGTAGTTTTTGAACATGACCAGAAGAAACACGCCGCCCACCAGAAAACTGTCAATCAACGTTTTTATAGATTAAAACCATCTCAGAGGAGTTCTGATGTAGCGCTCGTATCATGTTTTAAAGTTGGAAGAAAAAAACGCTTTATACAAGAAATTTTCGAATTCTAGTTGATATGTTTTCAGAGGCTTCAAATCTGATTTCTGCGAATTTTAAAGGATGTTTATTGCAATTTATCAATGACTAAAGATCAAAAATTCGCGGGACTTGAAGTAATGATCTGGCGAACACATGCTCTGCTCTTTTGTGACTCATTTACCATTTTTTACTGAGAGATTTTCAAGCCACTAGACATGTGCTCCGTGGAGATGGATGATTTTTTAAGACGACAATTGCTTGCCCTCTACCGCTCAAAATATAAATTAGATGATCTGAGATCTAGCGAACTTTGGTAGAATTTGCAGCTTTTCAAGATTTAGTAATTATTGATCTTCAAAGTTTGTATTGCCCTCAAACATAGGACTCCCTAAGACTGCGACTAAGACTTTTTAACTGATTATTAAATTTGTGTGAATTTGAAAAAATTTCATACAAAAATGAAAAATGAAGGCCATCTTTAGCGCATAAGGAAGCTTCAAGGATTCAAACGTTATAAATGAACTTGAAACAGCGAGTAGACAGAAGCATTGGTGTCATTTTTCAAGTTGACGAATCATTTCAACATGTTCAATTTTCCCTCAATTCCGGGCTCCCATTTTTCATTTCTCTCAAACCTAGAGGAGTAGATAAGCCAGACGAGCCCGCTGTTGCGCGCCAGCGTTTTTTCGGTTGAATTGATGGCCAGATATTGGCCCATGCCGGTCCACAGTGCTGTAAACATTCAGGTGTAACAAAGGTCGCCAGTCGAACCTCCGGCCCACAATCCTTCCCACGCAGCTGAGATGAACAGAAAATACGGATTTAGAAATGTGAACCCCGCCATGTAGATTGTGTAACCTGTAAAGTTGTTGATTTGTTCTCGAATCCACTCCATGAGAACCTGAACTTCCCAACACTAAACTCCATTTCGGAGTCAAATAGGCCACAACAACTGGAGAAATGATGCAAGAAAAAATGAAAGTTCCATAGATGATAGTTTGACTGAAAATAAAATTTTATACTTTATTCATCAAAGCTACTTCAAGTTTTCAGAGGAAACTCAGAAAACTCAGAAAACTCAGCACTACGACAGAGAAGCTTTCCTTCAGTTTCAGTTAGGAAATGAGCAACTTTTGCGGCTCATAATGTTTCCAAGAGCATTTACCACAGAGAGCATTTTCGATTTACAGTTCGGAAATTACCTATAATATCCAGCTTCTTTAGGAATGCTCGGGTCTTCTTTGTGCCGATTCTCCAGTACTGTTTGAACTATGAACCCCTGCAGAACTTTTTATGAAGAATCTAGAAAAAAGGTTCAAAAACCTGCGTTGTGAAGGCGAAAAAGACAAAGAACATCCCGGCTCCCAGCTGAATGACATTCCTTGTTTCCAGGGTGATCATCCAGAGATATATGCTTCAAAGAGTTTCAGTAGCGCAGCAGAAAGGTGTAGCGACAATTTTATGCTTATCAAAGTCCTGATATACTTCTGACGCAATAAAACAGCGAAATGGACCTCATAAAGTTGTTCAACGACGACGTTGTACTGAAGTGCCTCCCTATCAAATTTTTTCAATTTTTTACTCATCGGAAACAGAAAAAAGAAAATTTTCCAAACCTCAGTTCAGAATTTTTCGTTTCTAGCATTCATACGTCGACTGTATTTTCTGAGATCGAAAGTTTTCGTCTATCTTCTTAAAGCTTTTTAGGAGTCGGGTCGAAAACAAGCATTGATAAGATAGCGTGATACACAGGAACGATCAGATGTTCATCAAGATGTGTTCATAAAAACGGTTTTTTTTCATGCAAATTTCGACCTTCACAACAGAACTAGAATCTTTAAATGTTTATTCCAGAAATGCGATAAATATCTCACAATATGATTTTTAAAAGCAGGGGAAAGTTGTTGGGTTGCGGCGAACGATTTCAAAAACAGTATCACAACGTGAACGGGACCAGTATCAAGGCTTTGGATTTTGCAAGCCGACGCGATTTACCATCCCATCTTGACGTAGCGGACGATTTCGAAGACAGCTGGAAAATGAGAATTCAATGAAATTTTCATTTCTTTGAATGTACCTGAGCCGCAGACGACAAAAACGAAAAGGCCGATGAGCCACGGGGCGGCGGGATACTTCTCTTCGGCTGGCTTCTGCAACAGAATTTGTTGGAAACTTTCTCCAATCTGATATCTTTAGAAAGGAAAGAAATATCCACGAACCAAAGACTTGGCGACGTTTCCTCGTTGCGTGATGTTCTTGCTGAACTGGTTGTTGGCGACGGTCATACGCTGCTTGGGAGCCATTTCGTTTTCCCTGCAAAAGCGAAATAAGAGAGGGAAAAGGCTTTTAACAGCAGAAATGTTGGACTCAGCGGAACAGAAAAAAAATGAGTGGAAAAGAGGCTCAGAGGGTCACAATGAAAAGAGAATTGGCAGAATCAAAATGAAAAGGAAGAAGCTTGACAACCAAATAAAAAGCAAACGAATTCCGTCGTGTGATCTCATGGGGCGTATAAATGAGCCTGACGCCTCCCTAGCTTCCACGGTATAGCGTAGCGCAGGCCCTTGCCCTCCGAACTGCAAGAAATTTTTCGAAGAGACGCCCTACGCGCCGCGAAAACGCACTACTCTTTTTTGAAACTTCTATGCTCCACTTTTTTGTTTTCCCAATTATTATAACGTTGTTATCAATTTCAACAGTTAAAATTCGTGTAAAACTGATAGTACTTTCAATGCCCTCAACAAATAATTCGTTCAAAATGGAATAAAAACTAATAAAGAACAGTTTTTATGGCTTCTCATGTTTATTTTTGTTTTCACCGCTTTTTGATTTTTCTGAACGTGAGCAAAAAATATATGAAATGTAATTTATAAATTATACACTGCTTCCCTCAATTTCAAATGTTTTTACTTCATTTTTTTAAGACAGATACTTTTTTAAGCTGTGAAAAGTTTCAGATAATTAAAAATATTTTGATTTTACAGAAATCGTTCCGGCAACATTTTTTTGACTTTTTTTTGGCCAATTTTTGAAACAAGCTTTATGACTATAGTTTTTGTTAACCAACACAAATGAAATTTTCTTTCTATTTTTTGTTCCTCTCAATAAATTTGCTAATCCATATTTTTTTCAGGAAACTTTCCACATAAAAAAACTTTATTTCAATATAAAAGAAGCAGACAAATCCGCCTATCAACTAAATCGTTTCACAGGTTTGTGTGAATCAATTTTCCATTGAAATCTCCTTTTGTCATACAGAGAATCCGCTTTACGCTTTTTGAATAATGTTGCTGCGTTACCTGAAAATATCTTTCACTTCACCGAGATTGATGTACAGCTCAGTCTGAACCAGGTTATATTCAAATTTATCTTTTAAATTGAGTTAAATTTTTTCAGCATTTCCCATCAAATACACTTCGGAAAAATGATTTCATCGTAATTCCGAGCTTCTATCAGTGATAACTTAAATTTTTAAGGTTGGAATCTTCCTGACTAGAGAACGTTTTTCATTCAACTTTTACTGAAACTTTACTGAAGTGTACTTTAGAACCCCCTGATTCCAGAACAAGAAGAAAATCTCTCGCAATAGATTTCGTTTTCGAGTTAGGACACTCCAAAAGCTCAAAAAAGCGTTTTTTTGGCCTAATGTGCGTATTTTGCGGACTTTGAAGCTCCATAACTCGGAAACAAGATCTATTGCGAGAAATGTTTTTCTTGTTCTGGAATCAGGGGGTCCTAGAGTATACTTCAGTGAAATTTCAGCAAAAGTTCAACCGGGGGGTAAAAAACGTTTCCTGGTTTGCAAAACTTCTTCCTAGCAAAAAAAGTCAAGCCCTTCAACGTTTTATTTTTGGATTTCCAACCCCTTTTATTCATGAATAAAAAAACAGATGTGTTTCAATTCAAAATAATGTGAGAACTAAATCTGAATATTATATTGGTTCTTGCGAAAGTTTTTCAAACTCTTCTCCATTTCAAATTTTTTTTTTCTTAATCGTCATATAGCCTCTGTACCACGACTTGAAATTTCAACAAACAAATTCCGCAGTGCCGCTGCGCGCCTTTGCAAACCCTGGTCGCGCTTTTTGTTTCATTTTCTTTCAATTAAGTGCTCTACTTTCATGTCAAACTTTCATGTGCTCCCACAGCAATAATAGTCAATTAGAAGCGTGACTTGGATTCGAAAGACGCTTTGCGAACACACGAAGCGAAACAGCGGAATGTCGTTCCGTGAAATTTCAAGGCACACAGACTATAACAAAAATAGTTTTTTTTTTAACTTTGATTGTTCTTACTCATTTCATAAATTAATTTTCAGTCATACATTTGTGAAAAGATAATATTAACTCCAATTTCTCGATGTCATTTTAAAAACAGATCTCGAAAAAAAGATTTGAACTTAGGTTATCTTTGATATCAGGTCTCTTTGCAAAAAAACTTAAAAAAATCTAAAAAAAGCCTTGAAAAATCATATCGTGACTTTTTGAAAAAAATCATTATTTTTTTCACATATTTGTCTAAAAATTTCAGAATCTCATCCCACATCTGAAACGAAGACGCCTTTTTTTCGATTTGGTTGGCAAGTTGCCAGAAAAAAATTAACCATGGCTAGCTGGAATGTAATTTTGTTTAAAATTATCAACAACAACATTTTGTTTTTTTACAGATTATTCGTCGAGTTTTGGCTGCCAAGAACGTTTTTTTGTGAAAAAAACTTTGGTTTTTTTGATTTTTCTCTTGGCGTCTATTGGAACGATTTTTAAGGGTATGCTCATTCGAAAAAAATTTAGGAGCCAACCTAAAACAAAAAAACTTTTTGAATAACAAGATAAAAGAAAAAAAGATCGAGCAAAAAAACGTTCTGAGCAAAGAAAAAAACCAAAAAGAAATTTTTTTAGACAGCAGTAAATGAACTTGTGTTAATCACTTACTTGAAAGTTTTTCAACTTCATTTTTTTGAACAACCTTATTAATCATTTCCAGAAAAAAAGACGAACTATGATTCAGTCGATAAAACTAAGCGAAACGCCAGAAGCGACGTCATCAATTTGAAGACGTCATTCCAAGTTGTCGACAGAATGTTCGTCATATCGGCCGCAAAAAACTCTGTCGTTCATAAAATTTTTTTTATTATGCAGGATTTTTAAAAAACTTTCACGAAATTTTTGTTCGAATCAGTTAACTGTTTTCTTTTGTTGTTGTTTTGAGCTATAAAAGTTTATATTTTTGAGTTTGTTCCGGTTTATCTCCTCATGAACGCGCGATGTTTACACATGGTTCGAACACGTGGTTGTACTAAAAGTGTAGGATATTTTTGATATTTTTCTTCTACGAGCAATTGAATTTGAACTTACGAAAAAGTTTTGCAAAAAAAATTCTTGAAAGTTCATGAACGATTTTCGGGCTGGCGATTTTCTACGAGTTGTGTATGAGCTAATGTTCTGGCAGATCTCACTTGTTCTTTTTTTGTTAAAAAATTCAATTGAATTTTTCCGACTTATTGTGGAGGTTTCAAAAAAAGAGTTAGATAGTTGGTATGAATCGCGTTCTCGAGCAATGTAAAAAGCTCTGTCGTTTGCTTTTTTTAACTTTGAAATTACAAAAAAGGACAGAAAAGCGCGTAAAAGAAAGAGAGATAGAAGCTTAACAAGGTTCGATTTTGTAATCACTACGAGAGAAATACAACAAAAAAAGTTTCTTTTCTAAATAATTGAATAATTTTAAATAAACAAAATTTTAACCTCAAACCATCAATTAGTACAGAAAAAAGTTGCAAAACCCATAAAATTCAACGAATTACTCATAATGATTTTTTTTTTCGTTAAAAAAATCACTTCATGGGAAAATTTTAAATTTTAAAAACTATTTCAAAATTCAAAGCTAAGAAAAAAAGTATTTGAAATTGTTCTCTTTTTCTTCTATTAGTTTTTGAAAGAAACGATTATTGCTTGCGAAGGTGTAAATCTAGAGACGACTAGAGAAACTGTGTTTTCAATATCAACCTCGATCAATAGTCTTATCCGGTTCCTCGCACTACACGCCAAAGATTCTCCTTTCATCTCGCTGTAGTTCTCGTTTTTTCCGGGACTTGAAGGTTATCTACAATTCGGCTGTTGTGGTCGTGAAGACCCGGAGTCCATGCCCGTAGCGTAGTCTGAAGGGCTGATAAGACTCCCTCGGAGTGCACGGTCTATTGTAGCCTAGCATCAGCCGCTTTATAAATTTCGTCCTGTGCTTTTTGATAGCTCCATTTTTCCGTACTATCATTTTCAAATTGGTTCTTTCAGAAATGAGCAACCGTTGGATTCAACCTGGGGACAATGTCGACATTACCAACGAGCGCAAAAAATGCACCTTCGATATCGAGAAAATGTCCGCCTTCATCCATGGCGGAGAGGATAAACTACAGGTATCTTTTAGACCTGTTCAATTTTTTCTAGGAATAAAACTTTTTTCTGCTCAATGGATAAATCAAAATAGGGGCAGACTTATAATTTCGAAACAAATTTTGTGGAAATCACAATATTTTCACCATTATTGTTTCTGGAAACTAACAACATCTTCTACAAAAGTTTTATCTTTTTCTTCCGAATTCTCATAATTTGATCGGAAAAGTATCAAATGAGGCAACGCTTTTAAACAATGATCCATGGATTGAAAAAATTTTGACTATATAATTGTACAATTCTGAGATATTTTTTCAAAGCGAACTTGAAATTGAAAGGGAGGTGTCAATTGGGTTACTTCTTCAATTCTCACATAGGAATGTCGAACTTTTGCAGAGACGTCGAGAAATATTGGAATATGTGAAGAGCAACAAATCGCTGGGTGATCCTCAACCTATTGAATTTATGACTCGTAACGAAAGAGTAGAAAACGCGTCCAGAAAAGTAAGACAATTTTTATTCAGTCTTTCACACGATTTATTTTCTCAGATTGTTGAAATGACCAACAACACGGATCAAATTGATGGTTCAGACTTTTTCGGCGAAGGAATGTACTACCAAGCGTAAGTTTTTTCTTTTTTTTTTTCATTTTCTTGATAATCGAACATTGCTTTACTTTTGGTTGTTTCAGTCTCACGATGGGTCGTGATTTGCACGCCATGTCTTTGCACTACGTGATGTTCATTCCAACGCTTCAGGGTATGTTTTGTTGTTTTATCAAATTTTAATGGCGCTTATCAGCCAAAGAGCAGTACGTGCAAATTTATGAATTTTCTCTACCGGTCAAAAAATCGCAAAATTTTCTTACTGTATTTCAAAGAATTGAGTCAACTCAAATTTCTGCTCACTTTTCTCTTTTTCTGGAATCGAATTTAAATAGCAGTGTTCAAAGTTTTGAAAGAGTTTCAGGTCAAACCGATGACGAACAACTTGATCACTGGCTGTCTCTGGCGATCGCCAGGGCCATCGTAGGCACCTACGCTCAGACCGAGCTTGGACATGGAACAAATCTTTCGAAACTGGAAACCACGGCTCATTACGACCCGAAAACGGAAGAATTCGTTCTCAACTCTCCGACAATCACAGCTGCAAAGTTTGTACTTTCATTTATAGAAGACAAGACTTAGTCCTCAGATGGTGGCCAGGAGCTCTTGGAAAGTCTTCAAATTATGCAGTTGTTGTGGCTCAGCTGTACACACAAGGAGAATGCAAAGGACCCCATCCTTTCATTGTTCAGCTCCGAGAAATGGACACGCACAAACCATTGAAAGGTTTTTTTTGCTTGTCGGGACAGTTAGAATAGCAAATATATTAAGGAATCACATTGGGAGATATTGGACCGAAACTCGGTATCAACGGCAGTGACAATGGATTCCTTCTTTTTGACCATGTGCGAATCCCGAGAAGACACATGCTGATGAGATACTCCAAAGTAAGAAAAAATAAAATTACGTACCAAATGCAATTTTTTATTATTCTTAGGTCCTGCCGGACGGCACTTACATTAAGCCACAACACTCCAAACTAGGCTACGGTACTATGGTCTTTGTCAGGTAATCATGATTTGTTCTTCCAAGACTATATATCGTTTGAAGATCGATAATGATCAAAGACCAAGCATCCCAACTTGGAGCAGCTTCCACCATTGCTATCAGATATGCATCCGTAAGAAGACAAGGCGAAATCATTCCCAAGTGAGTTCTTTATTGGCTCCGAAGTTAAAATTGTTCACTCAGCTCGGGAGAAGTTCAAATTCTCGACTATCAAACGCAACAATACCGGTTGTTCCCTCAACTAGCGAGAGCTTTTGCTTTCCTTTTTGCAGCGTATGAGATCCGAGATCTTTACATGAAGGTATTTTTTTTCTAAAAACTTCAACTTTACGAATGCTTACAGGTCACAGAGCAACTGACTCATGGAAACACGGAACTTCTGCCGGAAATTCACGCTTTATCATCCGGACTGAAGTCGGTTGTCTCGTGGGACACAGCTCAAGGAATTGAACAGTGCAGATTAGCCTGCGGTGGTCACGGATACTCTCAGGTATTCGGTCTACCGGAGTACAGAAAAAAAACTGCAACTTAGGCTTCGGCGTTCCCAGAAATATATGGATATGCCGTTGGAGGATGTACTTATGAAGGCGAAAACATTGTCATGCTGCAGCAAGTAGCCAGGTAAATCAGGAGAAACTTTGTGAGAGTTCAACGAACCTTCAGATTTTTGATGAAAGCGGCAGAAGAGGTCAAGAAGGGCAGTGCAAATCTCGCCGAAATTTGTGCTTACATTGGCCGAAAAGGAGAACAACATTCTCGGTGGAATCTCGTCGTCTGATAATATGATAACTTTCTGTAGATTCACATCTGTGGACTCCTACAGAGATGAAGACATCGTCAGCGACTTGGAGTACGTAGCTCGACAACAGGTTGGGACTTCATATTACCCTTATTCTTGAACTTATTCTAGAAGTTAATCTTTTCAGGTGTTCCGCGCATACGAAAAGCTGAGAAAGGCACAGCAGCAAGCAAACAGCGAAACTGCTTGGAATAGCTGCTCCGTGGAGCTTTGCAAAACTTCCAGGGTGAAATTGACGGTCATATCGAACAAAAGAAATGTTGATTTCAGTGGCACGTGCGGCTGTACCTCGTGAAAAACTTCCTTGCGAAGGTTTCAACTGCTCCTTCTGACCTGAGAGCTGTTCTCCACGACGTCGCCCGACTCTACGCTTTCGATATAATCACTTCTTCCAGCGGAAACTTCTATGAGGTGATTTTGTACTACCTCTTCTAAACTAAGAAAAATATCCACTTTTCTTTATTTTTGTTTTGACATCACTTCTTGATCGAGAAATCTTTAATATTATAGAATGGTTACATGCGGGAAGATCAAATGAACGAGATTCGGGAAGGAGTTTATAAGTGAGTTTTTCTTTTCTTTTTTTTTTAGCTAAACTTTTCTAATTTCCAGATGCCTACACCGCATCCGACCAAACGCGGTTTCTTTGGTCGACAGTTGGGACTACGATGACCGAGAACTCAAATCTGTTTTGGGCAGAAGAGACGGAAACGTCTATCCGGCGCTCCTTGAATGGGCCAAGCAAAGTCCTCTCAACAAAACTGAAGTAGAGAGAATACAATTTTTTCTATTTACCTTTTCCTTTTTTCCAGGTTCTGCCAACTTTCGACAAATACCTCGGACCAATGATGCGGGAAGCGAAATCAAAGCTTTGAATTTGAAAAAAAACGTTTTGCTCATTGCTATAAATAAATAAACTTTATTCCGTCACAAAACGTCGCAAGGTGTTTTTTTACCATCTCTCTCGTTGTTAGAAAGGAAAAGTTTGAGGGGTTTTCGAAGGGCTAAGCTTCCATTTCCGGCTTCTCCTCCTTGATCAAAGAAAACTGTTGGAAAGGGAAAACGAAAATCTTGCAGTATTTCGATGCTTAGAAACCAAAAGTCGTTTTTTTATTCAATGAATCTGAGCTGACAGGTTTTTTCGATTTTTTTTGCGAAAGTGATACGAACTCACAGCCAATTGCCGTTTTCTCCAGATGTATGGTTCACAGAATGTTTTCGAAACTTCCTATCAAATTAGTATCTCACAAGGAAAGACTCCAACGTCGTTTTTTGTTTTCAGGTTTTTTTTTCAGTTTGCTGGTAGCAAAGTTAGTCGCCGCTAATTAAAAATATTGCCTCGTGATTATTGTAAAAAAAATATTGGTGATAGGAGCTTCTAAAGTTCGTCGAAAAAACTAAGAAACCGAAAAAAGTGGTCACTAGGCAACATTTTTACCTTGATCGAAACTGTCGTTACACAGTTTGGCCGAGTCCGCGACCAAAAAAGAAGGCGTCGAAACAAAATGAGAAAAAAATTGTTGGTCGAACAGCTGTGAAACTCGTATTTGGGCTGTCAGAAGGTTCAAAATTGACAGCCGTCATGTGTTGTTATAATTTATATGTCTTTCAAAACTTTCGATGAGAAAATGAAGACCAAAAAAGAGGTCCACGCGGTGGCAGTTATGTATTACCCACGCCAGCCAAAACAGTCACGGATTAGGAGCCGATTGTTGATACTGAGTGCTTCTTTAATCAGTTGGTCCCTTAGTTTTTTGTTTGGCTCTTTTCCATTTATTTTTTGCGTCATTCAGACAATTGCCAGAGAAAAAGGAAAACTTTTTACCAAAAAGAGATTTCTTGAAATGATATACAGGACCTGCAATTTTTTCTTTATCAAAGTTGCATAAACTTTTGAGATGTGATCCCTTCAAATAATCTAAATAGGCAATATACCAAAAAATGGAAAAGTTTTCCTATGACTATCGGTCTCAAAAGAGAAAAGTAACTCTTTTCACCTTCCGAGCTCAACTTCCTATTCGCTGTCGTGCACCTTATGAAGAAAGATAATCCATTAAGACTTTGTCACGACTTCCGACTCACGGACCGCCAAACGATATGGTAAGCAACAACAAGAAGAACATCGAGTTTCGCTTCAATCGTACAGTATTTGCGGAAGCGATAATTGAATGCAAACAAAATGACACGGCGAAGTAAGGATGAAAGACGTGAGGCTCGTTGTTTGAATCACGAAGGAACACGTGGGGGAAGTTCCAAAAAGTCCCGACGGCAACGTCTTCAGGCCCCATGCATGCATCACTATTTGCGGGGGCCGACCGTCTCTTTCTTTTCTTTTCGCCGCAGGTCATCCCGACGGCCGGTCGCGGCTCGTTCTTTTGTTAATTATTCAACTGCGTGGGTTTGGAATCTCTGGTTTTTCGTTGTAGGCTGTAGAATAGGTTCGAAAAACTTTCATGTTTCCCACGCAGTTCCTCCTTATAAAGCTGGTCGGGTCTGAGTTTCACTTTGGCTTCTTCAGCTTTTGATATAAGATCCAAGTTTTTTTGTGTATCTGCGCTACTCACGCAGGAAGCTTTAGGGTCTCTTTTTTATTTATGAAAAAAAAGATTTGGTCGAAATGAGTAAAAAAAAACAAATTTTTTCCTTATAGCATTGGTCACTTTTCAATAAGACTTTAAATATTCTTGACTTTTTTTAATCCTAATTTTTTTGCGGATTATACCTATTGATTACATTGATTATAATTTTTTTGCTTGATTTTCACATTTTTCAAAAATAGTAAAAAATCAAGCTTACAATCTTCTGGGATTCTCAAGAATCTCTCCTGATTTGATTTCCTTCTTCAGACACCTAAATTTAGCTTTTCATCTTTCCGGTTTCAACCTGAAACTTCCCTGTTTGCTGATTTTGAACTTCTGTTCCTTTTCATATTTTTCCAGTACACTCTAGAGTAAGTGATCCGAGAAGCAAACAAACCGCAACGAAAAATGGTTATAAGTCGGTTTCGGACGACCCTCCCCACCGAAACGGTAACAAACTTGCTAATTATGTGGTCAAAAATTAACGGCGTTGGGGTTTTGTTGTTTCTAGAACTTTTTTGGACATTCCATAAATATCGTCCTTTCCGAACGCCCTTCTGCTTTTTTTTTACAAATTCCTTCTCTTAACATACTTAAACACAAACATTCATCAATCTTCTAGGACCGTCATCATGTGAATCTCCCTCGAGACTGTCAGTCGTTTCAATTTATTTTTTTATTTTTATTTCATAACAATCGTGATCCAATTTCAAAAAATCTTTTTTCGGCTATTCGAAATTGAAGAACAAATAAAAAGTTGAAATATTGTTACAATACTCCTCTTTCCCATGCTTCTCTTCAAGCTAATGAAAAGATTTTGATGTTCGGCACTGTAATCTAGAGTTTTTTCCTCCAATAGAGACATCTTCTTGTGCTTGAATCATTTTCTGTGAAGCTTCGAGGACCTCATCAAACCTCACGAAATCTTACAAAAATGACAGTTGCCACACGTTCCTCGATTGCTAAATGTATGTGTTACATTCGCTCAAAAACCCGTCTGCCAAGTGGTCAGCATCGTTTTCTACGCTCTCTGTCTATTTTCGATCACTGTTGATTCCTTGTTTTACTTATTTCTAACACTATGTCCCTACGTCAACAAGCAAGTTCTGCCTTCTCACGTTTACAAATTGATTCTAGTTTCAGAGATGAATAAAGATAGCAACGAATGCGTGTTCGTGACGGAGAAGTCGAAGATTTTCCCATCGACTAGGTTTCTGATGGCCGGCTTGCTGTGCTTCTGCTTCATCGCCCTGTCGGCGGGGACGTCGAACATCTCTCAGAGCATGGTCTGCATGGTTTACAAGCCATCAGAAAGCTTGGATCCTCTGAATATCACGTCGTGCAATCACAACGACGACGAGATCACTTCTGTTCCCTGCTACCACAGCAAGAAGTTCGCGTGGACTTCCATGCAACAAGGCAAGTTAAACCTTTTTGTTTGAGGACTTCATGTCTGTATATCGTTTTTTTTTTTGCCTAAACTGGGTTCACAATGGTGATCTATCAGGCTAAAATTATTTTGTAAGCCACCATCTGCTTCCCAACAGCTATTGCCATAACATTCAGGTTCGCATCAGATTGAATCGTAATAAAAATAGTCTAAAGTTTTTTGATTCGGAATGCAAATTGAGAACGAAGACACAAAGAACACTGATCAATGTTGAGGGTTAAAAAAGAAAATAATTGAAAAAAATGCCTTCTTTTCACAACATGGTAATCCAGGATTCGTCTACGCTGGTCAAAACTTCGGGTCTCTTCTCATGGTGGTCTGTGGCTGGCAGGCAGATCGCCTCAACGGCAAATGGACCATTACCGCTTCACTTGTATTACTTATTGCATCCAGCGCTTTTGTGCCGCTTGCTGCTCCAGTTTCCGTCTGGCTCGTTTTCTTCTTGAGGTCTGTATTTTTTCTTGTTTTTTTTTCTCAGAGCTAAGTCACAAATAATCCGGTAATGACTCTATTTTCTGTTTTCAACTGTTTTGTACTTTTTGTTGATTTGAAATGTACCTTTCTCTTCATTTAATTAGCCGACAACTTTATTTTTCTATTTTTAAGATTTTTTTTCTAAATTGACTCCCCCGAATGGAAAAGCAAGTAGAAAAGTCAACGGAAAACGATAATACCGCTCGCTTTTAAGAGAGGAAAGAAGTTTTGAAAAAATATCGAAAAATCGATTAGAACAATATCAATGACTCCACCTGGATGTTTCCAAGTCTGAAAGAACAAGTAAGTCAACACCGTCTAAACAGTCAGTAACCATTCTGTTGATACAAACTAAGAAAAGATAAACAAACTCTCAGTTTCAAATTTAGGAATGAAAAAAATCGAAGGAAGGAACATTCAATGTTTTTTGATATTTATTAGTTTGTTTAGGACGGTTCTGTAGGAAAAACTATTTTACAGGAAAAGGCGCAATTAGGAGACCATAAACAGTCGTTAGGGTTCGGAATTATTTGAGAACGTGCATTGATGAAAACTTTTTTTTAATAGTCTCCACATGAGCAATTTGAAGAATATTTTGATTATAACCGATAAAAATTCAGAAGTCGCCACTTGAGATTTTTATCTGTTTTTTCACAGAGTTTCAGTGAAAATTTTTTCATGCATATTCACTGAAGCTTGTTTTCTATTGGAAAGAAACAATTTGATTTTTGAATCGAAAAAAAAAATCCAGCAAGAGAGCTTGCTATTATTTTTTTTTTTTGGCTTTCCTACTTGATCATCGTTTTCAATTTACAGTTCAAATAAAGGTTTTTACAGAGTTCTGACCGGAGTTAGCGATTCATTTCTGTTCCCAGCGGCGTCGAGCATGATCACAAGATGGTTCCCACCAAAAGAGCGGCCCTTCGCCCTGGGATTCGTCACAGGAGGCCGACAAATAGGTACGCAGTGTAATGCTGACCAACGTCCAACCCGACAGAAAGAACAACATTCTGAGAAAAGAGAAAAAGAACGGTTTTTCCTTGCAGGGACTCTCGTCATTTTGCCGGTGGCTGGTGTTCTCTGTGAGAAAAATGGCCACGGGATGTTCGACGGTTGGCCGGCTATTTTCTACGTCTCAGCCATAACGGCAGCCGCCGTTCTGATCATCTGGGTCATGTTTTCTGCCGACAAACCTTCCAAGCATCTTTGTATTCCTCTGGTGAGCAAATATTTCAATAATATCGCTGCAGGATTTTTTTTTTCTGGTCTGAGTCTCATGAAAAAGTGTCAAAAAAAATTGAAAGTTTTTTATGACATCTTTTTTTCTGACTAGGAAGTAAAAAATGAAGATTGTAGTGATCGACCTGTTATTTGCGAGAAGAAAAAATACAAAAAAGGCAAATTGATTCGATTAGCATCATTCTCTATTCAACTTCCTTTTTTTCCGAACTTTCGTTGAAAATTAGCTTCACTACAAATATATCTTTAAATATGAAACTTGAGAAAATTAAGAAAAAAAGAACTATTATAGTAATATTCTCGACCGCGTTTATATCCGTTTTCAGAGCGAAGAAATGTACATCAGCAGAAAGATAGAAGAAGAAAATGTTGGTAAACGGACGAAACGCGGAAATCCGCCTTGGGGGAAGCTTGCTCGATGTCGTTCTCTGTACGTCGCCGTGGCGGCTCTTGTCTGCCACGAGTTTCCACTTGTCATCATGCTTCAGGTCAGTCGCGGAGTCCGAAAAACCTTCAGTCTAGTTCCCTATTGAAACCATCCGACCGTCATGTTTATGTTTGCGCATGAGTCTATTTATGCTCTCCTTCTTTTATATTGAGCAGATCATCAAATATTGTTGTTTTACAGTTCCTCCCAAAGTTTTTTTCGGACGTTCTGGGACTATCCAGTGCGATGAATGGTCTTTTTTCGGCCCTTCCTATGGCGGTTTTGTTCCTGTCCAAAACGCTCTCTTCTAGTTTGGCTTCCATCATCACGAGCAAGTTCATGGGTGAGAAACATTTTGAAAACCAGAAAAAATATGGAAATGAGACGAGAAAAGTCAAGAAACAATGCAACAACAACCAAAAAAAAACTTTGAGAAGACAATATTTAGCAATAATTTTTAAAAAGCCAAACAATCATTTTTTTGGCGGAAAGAGAGCATTAAATTGGAAGTTTTGAAATAAAACAGAAAAACCGATTCAAGTTAAAGATTTTTTCAATTTCCAAGTCCCTTGGAGATTGAACTTTGGATCTTTCTATTCACTTCTCGAAATCTCTATTACTAACATAATACGGACTTCTAAGTTTTTAAACACCTTTAGCTTTGAAATCTTAGAGTACCGCTTATACTTCGCCCACTCGAGCGTTAATTGGAATATAAAATATGTCCGTTCATTTCATTCCAAAACTTTTTCAGGTAAAACAGCAAGTTGTAAAATGTTCAATTTTATCGCCTCACTGGGCCTTGGAGTTTGCATCGGGATCACGCCGCTTTTTGGAAACGTCGGCCATCCGGCCTATGCAATCACTCTTCTTTGTCTCGCCAACGCGTTTGCTGGTTAGTTTGGTGGCTCAAACGTTCTGAAACTAATTTTCGTGAAGGTTTGCACACGCCTGGAGTTCAAACCGCCTTGGTGCAAATAGCTCCCGCCTACACAGGTGTAGTCACCGGCATCACGTTTACTGTTGCCGCATGTTTTTCCATCATCAATAAGCTTCTTACCAGTCAGATCTTAACGTGAGTCTTTGGGGTCAGAGTTTTTCGACGTAAAAAAGAATGAGTAACAAACAATTTGGAGAATCTCATTTGGAAAAAACTCACTGACTCCGTTTGAGCTTGTTTGCCTCCTATGGTTTTCCAGAAGTTTGCTCAACTTTTTTGCACGTGTATCCGAAAATGTGAATTGAGTACAACTAGAGTTCAAACTCGACTTTGGTCAACATAGGAGAAAACATTTTCTTTCCTTTTTTGTTTCAATCTTCAGTTAGCTTTTAGAATTGCAAGAACATGTTCAACGTCAAACTTGTCAGAAAAATTTGGAACAATGACTTGAACTCGAAAAAAGGCGTTCACACTCATGAGAAAATTTCCACAGTTGTTGATATATATCTAGAATATTTTATCATTCGGATACCTAGAACGCAAGATAAAACTAGAAAGAAAGAATTCAAATTGATCCAAATTTTAAAAAAATCTGCTCGAAATCGCAACAACTTACTTTCCAGGACTGGTTCAAAACGAGAATGGACAATTGTATTTGAAATCAGCGCCGTCGTTGCTCTGCTCCCAGTAGTTTTCTTCACTCTTTGGGGATCAGCAGAGAGAGAAAGTTGGGCCTCTAACAGATCTTCCAAGCCGAAGGAAGCCGACCAGAAGTCTGACGACTCCCAGGCTTCCAACGACTCCGCCGTCCAAACGTTCGCAAAGTACAGTCTCTACCTTACTCACGATCTCACTCACTCGGCATAGCAATTTTCTAATATAGGTATCGAATTTGTCCGAAGCCTGCCAATGGTATTTAAATGATTTTTTTCTGTGATTTTGTCCGCTTTTGATCTTTGTCCCCTCTTTTTTTGTATTCTGTATATAGTTGCGTTTTTTTTCATTAGAAACGGGAAATCCTTCGAAGTATCTTGCGTGAGCCTCAAAATAGCTTTAAGTTGTTTGACGTGTGCGTGTTAAGAATGCAATAAATATTTATTTTTTGCCATCATTTCGATGAAAAATGACTGGGGCATTAAAATGAATGAACTCTTCCACGGAATTGATAAGCTGAGCATTGAAAAATTTTTATTTCTTCTTCATCTTCTCATATTTTCATTTTGAAAAAAAAATCCATCAGAAATATTTATAATCGAAACAAAATTTCACAAGAAACTGACCGGTCTTGAAAGAAATAAGTGAATCAGATAGGGAAGTTTGAGCAACAAAACGGCTGAACTGAACAAAAAAAGTGAGCTGAAACTACACGTGTTATTTCGCTTTGCGATTGGCAAAACAGGTACCTCTGAAAATATTGCTCGCCCCCCTGGCCTTTTAAAACTTGGTGAGTAAAAAAAGAGAAAAAAGATGAAAAAGACTAAAATATGAACTAACAACAAGTTTACAGAACAATTCAATTAAAATCGATTGTATTTCCCGCTATCAATATCTTCCTGCATATTTTCATCCAACGGCAAGTACTGCTTTTCAGAGGAAGACCAGTAGAATAACTTGTCCGATTTGCACTTGGCGAGATTGAATCCGTCTTTTTGCAGGTCTGTCTTCTTCAGTTTGAAAGTACCTAGGAAATTCCCATAAAATGATAGTCTTAATCGGGACTTACCAGTTTTGTCGACTTCTTTGCAAATTCGGATGAAGAGAGGAACGGCGTACATGGCAAGGTTCGAAGTCAGCCGCAATGCCGTTTCTTTCAGGAATTTCTCCAAATCGCAACCGTCACGCAAAACGATCGAAGCCATTCCCGCTCGTCCTTCATTTTTACCAACCTGAAAAAAAAACTCTCAAACCGATCGAACAAAATATATTATTTCATCGGGTCTTATAGAAGTGTAATACACGCTTTTGTTTGTCTCTCTCGGCTGCCACTTGCAAAATTTTATTTTCCAGATACTCCAAAATGAGATTTGATCTACCCTGATTGCCATCTAAAAATTATTTCAAGCTGTTTGTTTTTGAGTCACGTTATAGGGCCTCGATTACATTTTTTTATATTTTTTTCCAATAAAAAAAGAACATGATATTTGTTATATATTGCTGTTTGAGAAGAAGCAATTTCGAAACGACTCAGTTTCTAGATACTAAAGAAAAATGGATTGAAAAGTTGACCTGAACTCCGTATACAGTAGCATCTTCAACATCCATGACAGGCTGCAAAATGCCTTCAACTTCTGTTGTCGACACATTTTCACCCTTCCATCTGAAAAAAAGATATTTACATTAAAGAAGTTTTGAAAGTTGAAACGAGGAGAAAGCTAAGAAAAAAGTTTTGGGCTCAAGAAGTCTAACCGGAAAGTGTCACCGCAACGATCTTTGAAATAAAGATAGCCCAACTCGTCCCAATAAAGAACATCTCCACTGGCAAAGCACTGAAACTTATCTATTAAAAAAGATGATATTTTTATCTGAGTACCCGATCTCCCTTCTTGAACACATCCTTGTAGATTTTTTTCTGCGTGTCGCCCTCATTTACATATCCTTCAAACTTCAACAAAGCGTCCTGACAAGGAAAAATTATCAGTTGGCGTCAAACTGCCAAGTCAGTTACCTGACTCTTGATAACGCCGACCATCTCTCCAATTTCTCCCGGCTTGCACGGGACACAAAGACCTTTCTGAAAGTCACAAATAGACTCAAGCTACAAAGAAAATGTATGCCTCTGTTCGAACAAGCTCTCCAGTTTCCTTATCAACTTTGATCAAACGAACTGGATACAGGAACCCGAGCCAAGTGTAAATTGGCATGAAACCACAGGAGCCAACGTGGTTATCGATATTAACTGAATCAGACTCATTTCAAATGGATATTTGGAAGTATCAAACTTTTTCGAGTTTTCATGACAGAGGGAAAGACTTTGAAACGTGATTTTTCAAGGAAAAAAAAATAACTTCAGAGAGCATTTTACAGTTTTCTCTCAAAACGTCGAAAATTTTTGCGCATATTTCAAGATAAACAGAGAATTTTTTAGAACTAGTGAAGTTCTCAAGTTGAAAAAACAACTCACCAATGTTGGAGTTTCCTTCGGTAGATCCATAAAGTTCTCCGATTCTCGCGATTCCGAATCTGAAGTGATCCGTACTCAACAAGACAGATTTTTTTAGAACCTCTCCACAAAGTCTTTCCAGATTTCCGGTCTCAAGCCGTTGCCCCACATTATGCGGATTTTGTTGTTCTTTTCTTCAGGGCATGGAGGTTGGGCTAACAGGTACCTGCAAGAAAAAAGAACTGAATATTATCAAAAAATTGCTTCATTACCTGCAAATTTCTCCGATGTATTGACTGGCGGTGCAGTTGTACTTAACGCAGTCTTTCCAAAAATTGGACGCCGAGAACTTTTTGCGGATGACGACGGTCGTTCCCAGTGAAATGATGGATCCGATTCCTGGAAAACATGGATTTCAGATCATATTTTCATTGAACTGATGATTTACCCATAATACCAGCAGCTGAATGATACATCGGCATGGTGATATAGATGACGTCATCAGACTTAAGGCCGAAAGAATTCACGGAGCCCATGGAAATCCAATAGTATCTGTAAACTTATTTCATGATCTCTTTTGATGTGGAATGTTTTATTCTATGAGTCAAGGCTACTCGGATTTTTTTCATTGTGATTGATGTGATCCTATGAATAGAAATAATTTTTTTGGGAGAAAAAAAGAAACTCAAATACGGTTTTTTTAGATTCAAATCGAAGTTTTTTTCAATGCAGCAGGTCTAAATTGGAAAAACTTTGTTACTTTTTGCAATTTTTTTCTATTTATATGGCTTAAACAATTTCACAAACTTTTTCGATTCAACTTTTTCTTATTTCCAATTTGCGCCTGATTTGATAGGTTCCAAAAAATGTATTCTTATCAAGATCTGAGGTTTGAAAAAAATTATATATTTTTTTCAGTTCACAATTATCAACTTTTCCAAATTATCGAGGTTTTAGGAAAATTTTGTGATAGAATATTGTTCGAATTGCCTACTTTACGGTTTCATTGAATCAGTTGAGTTCCACATCTATTAAATCTTGTTTCCAACCTAAAATGCTTGATGACAGCTGGTTTGGGGTTTCCTGTCGTTCCCGAAGTGTAAATATAGCACAAAACGCCTAAAAGCTCGTCAGTCTGTATCAAGCTTCCAGAATGTTCAAACTCTGGAAATTCGCTTCCGGGCAATGGGGCTCGGCGGTGGAAACATTCGGGAGTTCAGTCTCGAGAGTTCGAAGTCCCTCGGATTGGCCGCTCGATAACACGATGTTTGTCTCAGACGACAGAAGCTCCTTATCAATAGCGGAGCGGAGAGCTGAAAATAAGTCAGTTGATAAGAGGTCGCTTATACTTTGGTCCCTCACTCGAGAGCAACGTCGTTGTCGTGATAACGCAGCGACAGTTTGACACTCTGATCGAATGCGCGAGTGGCTCCATTTTAAGATTCGAGTTGATGAACGCCGAGATCACTCCGACCTGGAATTCGGACCATTTATCACACGTGTAATAAAGATTACGCAAGTGATCCATAGTCTTTGCCGCTGATTTGGGAACAAAATACACGCTTTCTCGAAACGATCGTCTTAAAATTATCTATGACGGGAAAAGAACTAACTGAAGAACCAAGAAATAAAGTTCTCAAAAAGAGAGAAATTTTTCAACAAACTGTAGGCAACGTAAATTAATTTTTGAAAAAAATATTAAACGTAGTTCTTCCTATGAGAAAAAAAGAAATATTTTTTTGTTCTAATGAACCATTATACCCTGAAGTTTTTAGACTAGATGAACCAAAAAAATCTCATCAAGAACTTGGAGACCACAAAGATTCTAGTGGTTTTTCAAACCTCACTGTTTTTTTAAACAGTCTCTTTTCTTGTTTTTTTAAGGTTTTTTTAAGATTTACGAATTTGGAATGTAATTTTTTTGTGCACTTAGGTATACACACCTCATATTTTTTTAATTTAATTTTTTTGCTTAGTTTGCTTTGGTAGTCGACTTTTCCGTTCAAACTTTCATACAAAAAGTAATCTTGAAAGGATCGAAAAATGCGTTTTCATTAAAAAAAAGCACATCAATAACATACCAAGAAAATTTTAGATCGCCATGTGGCTTTCTTTTTCTGGACCATTCTTACTTTTTAGCGTTTAACAGAAACACTCCGAGTTGACTCTCAAACTGAATTAGCAAAAAGTTTCGTGCTATCGATAATTCTCATGCATATTTTTCATATGTTTGAAATAGAGATATTTCCTCACTTTAGACAGTCCGAGCCACAAAGCAAAGAAGTCGATGCTGTTTTCCATGAACAGAGCAACTACATCTCCTGGTTTGTAACCGTCGGCCTAAAAAATTGTTTTCGAAAGAATAATTTTTAACTCTCACCTTGAACAGATTGGCATATTTGTTCATCAACTTGTTCAATTCCGCGTATGTAATCTCCCGTGAAGTTTTCGATTTCGATACATGCCACCTTATTAGGATGCTTCTTGACCTTAAAAAAATTAACTTTGTAAAATTGACAAAAGAAAAAAAAAACAAAATAATTGTTTGCAATGGAGCGCACTTTCTCCGAGACTATTGAAAAAAAAAAACGTTTAGACCGCGGAAAATTTCCCGTTTTCGAATCGGTTTTGTTTCTGTTAAAAACAAATATTCAATCAACTTGACATGGGGCCAAAAGAGAACGTAAAAAAAGAAAACCTGTTCAAGGAAAATTTCGTGTATGGGGCGATTCTCGGCCAGTCGTCGCTTGATTTCCCTTTTCACTTTTATCAACAGCCGCAATCCACTAAAACGAGCTGTTCAGAACCAGATTTGCCTTCAATGCATTCAAGAAAACATGAAAGAATGCCGAAACTTTGGCGCCACTTTTTTCTTTTTTTTTTCTCTTGAGTGAGACAAAAATGTGTTTGTTTTACAAAAATTAATACCAGTCTTCCATGTTTTTTTATTGCACTAGAAAATAGACGAAATGTTGGGAAAAGCATGCTGAACCTTTTTCAGAACAAAAAAACAACAATTCTGAAATTTCAAAAGTTTTGAGAAAGTTCTGTTTTAGAATGGTGCACCTTTAGAAAAAAAAATGAAAGAATAGTTTTTAATGCTGAAAAATAATAAACTTATCATTAAAGGTGGTTCAATATCTTACGTAGTTATGAGCCGAGCTAAAGATTTTTCTAAAGTTTTGTCTAATATTCAGAGTTACAAAACTCTGATAAGGATTTTCATTGTTTGAATAATTTTTTTATGTCTTTAAACTTTAAAACGTTGAGTTTGAAACTAGAAATCTGATCTCCGAAGCCAAAAGAAAACGTGCCTGATGTCCCGTTTGAGAGTCTTCGCCGCTCTTTGAGCAAAGTCGGTCTGAGCCAGCCGATAGACCGCATAGGCGACAAAAACGAACGGCCAGCGGGACCGGTCGACCAACAGAAGGGCGACAGCGAAAACGGCGATGCGCCGCATCGCGGCCGACGGAGTGTCGGTCATCCCTGAAGCGAAAAAGTGAATTCTTGGCGTCGGAAGCGGCGACGAGAGCGAGGAAAAGACGCTAACTGCATTAAATCAGATGATATTCCGACGCCACCGTCGCGTGGCAAGTGGGCAAGTGCATAACAATGCCCTCATTCGTTGATGCCCATCTTTATCATTCACGTCGCTCGTCAGCAAGACGATACGGCTATACTACAGCGTCGCTGTTGATAACTGACCTCAACAGTTCGGCATCAGAAATAATGGAAGAATCGGGGGGAGAATCTGCAGAAGACGTCGTTGGCTATTGCTATTCAAAAAAGTTAAAGGCGTTTGGAACGTCGCACTACGAAACATGACGCGCACATTGGGACAGGCAGTCGCGTACAAACTCTCGCGCACTCATGAAATGTCGCGCTCACTCCCGCACTCATGGCGACCAGCCAGCCGCTTTTCCGAAGTCGACCACACAACATTCAGAAACGTACATTCATTACGAGAGGTGGAGAAGTGGAGACCACTCTTTCCGATTCACAGAAACTTGCTCCTTATAAAAAAAGGCAGTTTAGTAATTATTAGAAAAGCTTTTTCGGTTCTAACGTAAATGCGGAAGATTGTGGAAGCAACTCACCTGAAAGCCAATTTTGAGGATCTAAGCAGCCCGATTTCACAAGTTTTATCGTTTAAAAGCGAACTGATTTCTTAAGGCTAATTGTCTCCTAGAACCTGTTTTTATTATGAGCTTTTTCATAAATTAAAGAGAAAAGAACTACAATTGATAGATCTGTAGCTGGAAAATTACTTTTGACAACTGAGCTCTCCGAAAAAAGAAATCGAAGTTCCAGCATTACAGTTCCACTGAGCATATTCAAGACAGGCTGTTTTGGTCTTTCTCGTTTCTTCAACAGAAAGGAAGTTTTCGCAAGCTCTTAGGTTGGTAGAACAAGGAGAACTAGTTCCCTGAGTCAGTGAGACTAACGGTCAGTAGCATATTATAATGTTTTCGAGTTTGTTTTTCAGATGACGACATCCATCACGATGCAATTTTTTCATTACAACTTGCTTTCACAGCGTTCACAATATTCATTAAGATTGTACTATGAGAATTCCCTCAAATGTCATCAAACAAATTCAGCTGTGCCAAAAGTTTTATGTATGTATACACTTTTTTGGGCAAACGCATTTCTGCCCTCCGTCTCTGAAAGTTTATGGGCTGCCGTTCTTTTTGCGTATGAAAGGTCTTCCAAGCGCTGAAAGTATTTTGGCTTGTAGGAGAAAAAACTTAGTTTTTAATGCATAAACTCTTGCACTGTGCAAGTTCTCGTTACAGAAAATTAAGCAACAACAAAAACTATTATTACTGACATGAAGATTGTGTTACACTTCCGGAAAATGGCAGGCCTTCATAAAAATGCATTGAGCAAATATTGACCATTTAGTAAGAGTGGTCAGTGAAACTGCCCATTTCATGGAGAATCAATTTCATAAAAAAACATTGGCTGATGTTAACCAAAAAGGAACGTTTTAAAAGTCGCTTGAAATGAAGGAAAACACTTAGAAAAAAATTTAAAAAATGAAGCAGAAATGGGAATGCAAAAAAGCAGAAAGATCACGCGAAAAGGATAAGAGGGGAAAATTTATTATCTACTAGAATTTTTGCCTCACCAGAGCTAATGGGTAAAAGCGCGCCAGCGCACTACTGTTATTTAAGAAAAAAAAACGATTAGATTTGAGTCAATCCGTCTTTCGATTTATTCCACTTTTGAAGACCCATGCCAAGAGCATACTTCATATAAATGCATCTGACGGCTCCACTAAAAATATTATTTACTTATTATTCACCTCCACAGAGACTGCAGGAAACTGTATTCATTACACGTCTGTCGATCAAAGGGAGTAATTAAATGTACGAAAAAGAATTTTTAAAAAAATATTGGAACTCCCTGACATATGTTCATTTTTTCAGTGCTTTCGTTTGAAGATCGAATAGTTTGAGTAAATTCCTTGCCTGCGACAAAAAAATTGTTATTTTTTGGTCAGTTTTTGAAATAAGTGCCCTTGAAGCAATTTTGAGTTCTTTTTGACTTTCAAAAAAAGTTATTCAAAAAAACAAAAAGAATAAATAATCAGCGTGGGTGTGAGTTTTCCTTCTTTTCTTTCCTTTTCTTTGACCTGCTCGTTGCTCAAAATAATCAACTGGAGACGGAAATTTGTTTCTCCGAGTAGTCAATTTTTTGTTGGGAGAAGGAAGAAATTTCAAAAATTCCGAGAATCCAAATTTCCACTTCTCTGGATCCCGCTTTGTGCATGTCCGTGTCTGATCGCTTTGTTTACGACGACATGAAATATCTTCTGGGATAGCTTCTCGTCATAAAGTTACCTGAAATGATTTCCAAATAACTAAAACGTTTCCTTTAGTTATGACTCTTTTGTAATTTAGTCAATAGATTCTCATTGAAGCTTTCAGAAATTTCGAACTATTTCATCTTGTTTACCTGTTGGATTCTTCCATTATTCTGAAGACTTCCTCGGCAAACGGCAAGTCTCAGATTTAGGTAATACAAAAAAACGTCATCGTATTTTTCTCTGGTGAACTTAAACTGAAGCTTTGGCTGAAGCAGTTCTGAGTTCGTTGTTGCCCTGAAATTCAGATCATAGAATACGAAATCGGATCTTGTCATGTTCCAGTAGTTATTTATTACTCTTCGTAGGCGTAAGATGTTGTCCGTTTCTTCCTGACGTGAATATTCCGATTCTTTTTTTTCTCTGCAAGTCTTTGAACAAGTACAGTTTTTTTTTTCTAAACTTTATATTCCTTTTTTTCTCATTATTTCTGCAAGAAACAATGATTATTTTGGAGGAATTCTTTTAATTTCAGCTTAAGTTCAATCTTCTTTGGTTGATTTTTGAGAAGGATGAACCTTGATGAAAGACAGCAAGAAGACGTAAACTAAAGAAAATGTGATTGCAAGAGGTTCTTTCCTTTATTCTGAATCCAATATTAGCCTCTCCTTGAACTTTGGTAACCGCACTTGTAATGCTCAAAACGATGCTTTTTAAGATATATTCTACAGCAAATGCGATATTTGGTAGCATATTTAAATACTTATCGACATTTATCTTAATTATAATTTTTGAGGACGGTGAAATCTTTTTCATAGACTACTTCAAGGACAAGATTTCAACTTTCTTGAGTTTGAGGCAGAGGAATCCATTTTACCCATCCATTTCTGCGTAGAAAAACTTCAAGTCCGGGTTTGTACTACTGAGATCCGTCAGAATTTTTAAATTTAAACTCCTTTGGTAGCGCAAAAGTGACCACTCAGTTTTCCGGAAAGTTTCCGGACAAAAATTTCAGGCGAACGCTTGGTTGAAAAATAAATGTTTTCTGCGTTATTTTTACGAATCTGTCAGCTTAGTCAGTCAAATTGAAACTGAAACATCCAGTGTGCCGTACTGCTTTTTTTCAATTTCAAGATTTAAGATAAAGCTAGATAAAGTTATGATCTTTACAGGAAAAAAGCAAAAATTTCCAATAAAGCTGGAAGTCCAAAATACCTCAAAATATTGAAATTTGTTCAGACCTATGATATTTTTTTTCAAAAAAATAAATTACTTGCAAAAAAAAGCATTATTAAATTTATGTATATAAAATTATTATTAACCCATTACTAAACTCGCAGGTGTTTCTTACACTCACAAACAAGTTTATTTAATTTGTGTGTGATTTGCAGGTTTTTCTGAAAACAATTCTTCACTTTTGTTGAAACACGAAAGATCACGAAAAATCGAAAAGCTCAGAAACAAAAGTTGAAAGAAGATAATAGCTGCTTTAGGTTGACTTAAAGTTCCCCACTTTCAACATAATCCCCGAGTCGCATTTGATTTAAACAGATGATTTTTCCAACTGAACCCAACTTTTTCTCTCTTTAAAGTCAAGAAGAGGTCCGACGGTGGGATCGTTAGAGTTAATGATCTTTTCTTGGTGGCGCCGACTTGCCAAATGAGGTCCCGCGAGGCCTGAAGCTAGTAGAGTGCGTGTTAAACGGGCGTCAATGAAAGTTTATAGAAAGTACATGAATCTTTGATGAGTCTGAAACATTCTATAAGTCATCAAACGCCTCGTTGATATTTCTCTTCGAAGTGAGCATCAACTCAATTTATTGAGAGATAATGACTTTTTGACGTGACACGACTCACGATTCTGAACTTTCGCTCGTGCTCTTGGTTACGCCCTTTGGCCGAGAATCCATCAAAAAGTGTGTTTTTTGTTCTTCAACTTGATCCTTCGCTCTGTCTCTTCCTTTTTTCTTTGAAAATTGTTTGGAGGTTGACCAATGTTACCCGGAAGTGAGTTAAAGGCATAAGTATTTTTTTTATAATCACCAGTTGCATCAATTTATGAAAAAAAGTTTCTTCACATCCTTCTAATAACGATATTGTTAGTTTAACAGAAGAAAAATTGACCTATCTTGTTTGTTTTTCGAAAAAACTAAAAAATAACTATTTTTTAATCTGTCAGCTTTTCAGGAATCTCATGATTTTTTTTCTGTTGCTGAAAACGGCTTATTGAATAAGAACAATGTGACGATTCCTGACATTTCCTTTTATTTTTCAAATTTCTGGAATTTCTGGAATTTTGTTTTTGTATTCAAAATAAGATGGAAAGACATTGAAGCAGGGTACATATAAAAGCCATTGTCGTACCGAAAAAAAATTCGTGGGCTCTCATTTTCCGAAAGTTTGATTTGAAAATTTTGCTATAGTCAAAGACCAAACAGTTATACTCTGAAAGCTCTCTCAGAAACCTGAAGTCATCTTTGTGACGCCCACTGAGACGACGTAAAAAATGGCTTTCGAAATTCCGACCTCTTCTCTAGGACATTTTTCAAATCTCCAGGGAACGGGAGCGTTCGTTCACATTTTCTCCGTAATTACAGTAGGATAGAAGGGCTTATTTAATAGTCATTTTGTGATGGCGCCTTATTTTCTGACGCGTGCCGCATTTTAATACAAGGTTCACCGTGTGTCGCCGTCATTATTTGCATACATATAGCTAATTTCACAATTTACGAAGAGGAGGACCTCGAAAACTGTGAATATAAAAGGCACAACCACCAATCGAAAGGAAGTTCTGGCGTTCATCTTCGTCTCGGTTCATCCTTCAGCTGGTTAAAATTCCGTCGAGGTTCTCGTTAGTTTCCAAATGCCCTTGTGCACGTTTTCGGTTGAAAAATTTCTTTCAAGTATGCCTTCTTTTTTCTAATTTGTATTCCCTTGACACGACTTTTCGAATACAAACTCATTCACATTCAAAAGAAGCACTTTTATTGTTTTAGCCCGTTTTCATACTGTGTCCAATATTCTAGAATGAGGAGATCTTTGAATTAAAGACTTTTCAAAAAAACTCAATTTCCAATGAAGAAAAAAGATCGACATGGCTTGAAACTGTTTGGCTTGTCTGCGGTCACTCTTCTCTTATTAAAAAAAGGAAATGACACGGTTTCGTAAGAAATAGAAAATTAATAGAAGAGGCAAACCCGACATTTTCAAAACGAGGAAATAATTTGGAGCAAAATCTAAAATTTCAGACTATTTTATGCTCGTTAGTTTTTTTTCAACTTCTGTGCCATACCTACCGATTTGATTCAAAAAAATGTTTTGATGAAGTTTTGCATCATTGTAAAGTATGGTAATGAAACCTCTCAAAATAAACTTTGAGGCCGCTCTCCTTCCAATTTTGGAGTAAGAAATGTTATTTCCAACTTTGTATGCTTTCTTGAACTTTTCATTAAAGTGAAGTTCAATCGAAATAAAACAGCGACGAAAACCTTCAAAAATCTTATTTACAACTAAAATTCGTGGTTATTCTGTTTTCTGAGGCTTAAGTCCGAAGCACGCCCTTTTCTGGCTTCAGCTTTCCTCCTTTTGACATGTGACTCAGGGAGAGATAATTGTAATCATTCTAAAGCTTTGAATTCAGGGGAAATAAACAACTGAATAGAAAAAGCAAACGCTTTGTTCTTTCTCTCTTTTCCTGAAGTGCGAGTCAAGGTTTTATCAGAAGCCATGTTATTGTGAGCCAATTAGCTCTTCGATCGTTTCTCGTGTTTCCCTTTGATGTTTCAAATTGACACTCAGTCATCTCTGCTTCAGGGCTCCGAACTACTGCCGGGTAACAAAAAGAATGCGGCACGTATTGGTGAGTTTTCTCGTTCTCAGGTTTCTAAAATCGACAATTTCAGGTCTGCGCGTTGGTTCTCTTACCTGTCTCCGTTAGAGGTATGCTGAAAGAAAAATTAATTGTTAAGTTGAAATTCTTTTTTAGCTAACTACGAGGAGACGTACAACTACCACAAGAGGTGAATAGAATGAAACGGGGTTCGAAAAATGCGTCTTAAGGGCTTTGAATTCGCTAGACGGTGCTGGATTCGGCTTTGACAAACGCTCGGCACACTTTCGTGCTTCTCACCACAAAAGGTCTCAGTACATTAGAAAAACAGTTCAATTGGGTTTTTTTCTCTTCAGAGCTCTCAATTCGTTGGATGGAGAAGGCTTCGGATTCGACAAACGCGCTTTGAACAGCCTTGACGGAGAAGGCTTCGGATTTGATAAAAGGTCTTTGAAAAATAAGTATTAGGGGAACTTTTTGATTATTTCAGGGCTTTGAATTCTCTTGATGGTACCGGTTTCGGTTTCGACAAGCGAGCTCTCAACAGCCTTGACGGAGAAGGCTTCGGCTTCGACAAAAGGTGAGTAAAGACGTTTCATTTCTAGTATTCAAACAATTTTTAGAGCTTTGAACTCCTTGGATGGAACCGGTTTTGGTTTTGACAAAAGGTGGGTATGACAATTGGAAAAAAATGGATACATTCCTTTTCAGAGCTTTGAACTCATTGGACGGAACTGGGTTTGGGTTCGACAAGAGGTAAGATAAGTCTAATGAGGATTCATTCCTATGAGAAACAAATTGAAGGGCTTTGAACTCCCTCGATGGCACCGGTTTCGGTTTCGACAAGAGGTGAACTTCTTTCAGATCCATAAATCCTTTGTTTTTCTTCCAGAGCTCTCAACTCCCTCGATGGAACTGGCTTTGGATTTGATAAGCGGTAAAACTTTTCTGAGGGAAACATCTAACTATTATCAATTTCCAGTGCTTTGAACTCTCTCGATGGTGCTGGCTTTGGCTTCGACAAAAGGTTATTTTTTCATTAAATGATATAAACTCTTTCTTAGAGCTTTGAACTCTCTCGATGGAACCGGCTTTGGTTTCGACAAACGGTAGGGTATAGAACAAAATCAAATGCACTAAATAATTTTAGAGCTCTCAACTCGCTTGATGGCACCGGCTTTGGGTTTGACAAGAGGTTGGTTTTACATCGAAAATTGGTGCAAATTTCATTCAGAGCTCTCAACTCTCTTGACGGCACTGGGTTCGGATTTGACAAGAGGTACTGATATTTTATTGCAAGTTCATGTTAAAACTCCACTTTTACAGAGCGCTGAACTCTCTTGACGGCGCTGGTTTTGGATTTGACAAACGTGCTCTGGACGGACTTGACGGTGCTGGATTTGGATTTGATAAAAGGTATATCTTCATGACAGACTATTCCAAAGATTATGCTCTAGAGCCTTGAACTCGCTGGACGGAGAAGGATTTGGATTCGACAAGAGGTAGTTGTTCGCTTCGAGAGAGCAGTAACACTTTTTCCTTCAGAGCTCTCAACTCGCTCGATGGCACAGGATTTGGTTTCGACAAGAGAGAAACCAAGAAAAGTTTGACCTCAGCTCAGCTGACTTAACTAGCGAATCATTTACAGCCAAGCTCGCCAAGGCGGCGTTGAGGAACAAAGCCAAGGATAGCAAGCAGTAGACGCCGCTGTTGTTGTACTCATGCCAATCTCCATTTTTGCTATTTTTGTCCGCGGATGTGCGCAAGCCACTAAATAAATGTTTTTATTGGTTTGATTTCATTGCAGTGAAGCTGAAGGATAAAGCGATTATCCAATTAATTTGTCTTTCTCATTTGTAGTGAGTCATGTGCGTTGGCGTGATGTTATGTACGAATTTTAATCACATTAAATAATTGTAGCTTTCATTGAAAAAACATCAAACAATGCTTACTTTTCCAAGTATACTTTTTTTCTCGGAAAAATTAAGACAGCCTCCTGATATTCTGAAAAAGTGTTCAGGTGATTTTAATGTGTGTCACATGAGCCTGAAAACAACATTCTTGGTCTTGAAAGTCCCACATCGTGCTTTTTTTCTTTCTGAATCTGTTTCCGTGTATGAAATTGATAAATTTTTTTGAAAAAAAGGTTTTTCGATTTAATTTTTTTCAAAAACAGGTCAGGCAAAAAAAATCGAGGCGTTTCAAAACCTCAATATTATTTCATGCTTTAATTATTTTGAATCATTTTCAAACAGTTCATCTTCATTAAAAATTGTTAGCAATGATAGCAAGGCGGGAATAAGTACTGCTTCTATAACAAAAAAATGAATTTATAATGTGAGTTCAAAACTTTGTTGAAAAAAAGGAAAGTTAAAACTCAGAAAGAGTTTTGAAAAATTTTTATTAGAAAAAAATTTTTTTCAAAACTCGAGTTTCACTCTCGTATGAACTTATGCGCCAAACATTTCACAGGAATCAGAATCATTTGAAATTACTTCTCTCGGTTATCAATCCATATCAAATCATTCTTCCACCATGCAAGAAACTTAACATAATTCATCACGACCGGGTCTATCGGAGAATAGAAAAAAGTAAGAAGAACCAGTTTTGTGTGCATACACTGTGTCCGCCACTTGCACCTACGTTTCGTCTCTCCCACTTCCTTCTTCGCTTTCTGTCCGTTTCATCGATTGCGCGTTTCGTCACAGTTTTCTCTTTGGTTTCCTGTCGTTGACAGTTTTCTTCCGAATACGCCCCTTTCCGAATAATTATCTCCATTTTTCGAGTGTTCGTGATTTTGATTGAAACATATTCCATAAAATGTTTTGGTTACTTTCAGCATGACCAGCGTCCGAATACCCAAAGACGACGCAGAGGTGAGTTTTACTTTTCTGTTTTAAAACAACGATATTTACATTTTCGAATTTGAATCCAAAGTTCTCTATAATAACTAATTTTAGTTCAAACATATCCTTCAAATTAGAATGTTTTAAACCCAACCCGAATATTAGGACTCAAAAAATCAAAACCATGATGCCATTGTACGTGTTTCGATATTTAAAAAGAAGACGAGGTTTAGGCTCAGCTTCTGGTCGAATCGGACAATGAGAACGAATCTCCGAAAAGAACTGCGCAACAAAGGTGATTCGAATTTCCGTTTTTCCCTTCGTACTTCTCAACTTTCTCTCAAAATAAGAGAATCTTTCTAGCTCACAGTTCTGGCCGCGCGACTTGATCGGAGTAAATATGTCAGCCAAAATGGGCACCGTCGCAGCCGAACGAGTTTCTATTCGAATCAGTATGTTTTCAGTTTTTTTCAATAATAACATCTCTTCAGATTTCCTGCGCAAAGTTCTGGGCATCGTCTCTTTCCAACTTCTGTTGACGATCGGCATCTGTACAGCCATCTACTGTACACCAGGGTCCAAAGACTTCTTGAAAGCGCAGTCAGTTTTTCAAAGTTCTAGAAAGAAATCAATTTCGAGAAAAAACTGGAATCAGCAAAAAAAATCACAAACATTCCATTGAAAAAAAAAGACTCCACAAAGCGTCTTTTAAGAAAAAATATAAAGGGAGCAATTTCAATCCTTTTTTCTCATCTTGCAACGCTTCTTATCGGTCGAAGGTCTTCGTCGCCGTTTTCGGATTCAAATCTTATTGGATCGGTGAGAAGATAGTCCTCGACAATCGTGGCAAACTAAAAAAAAATATCGTGAATTTCTCGTCTTAGAAAAAAACAAATTTTTTCCATACATTTGAAATTTGTCTAAAAACTATCAAAAACGTCTTCTTCAAGCGAGAAAATGTTCCTGAAATCCGAATATGTGACATTGTAGCAAAGTGAATGATTTCAATTGGCGACCTTTTAAAATTAAAACTTTGAAGATTTTCGTTTCTGAAAATCTTTCGAAGGAGCTGTACTCATTTTCGCATTCATTTAGTGAGCCTATGTGTATGGCAAAGTTTACTCAATAGATTTCAAACAAATCAGCAACCTGATCGGCAGAAAGGTGTCCGTTTGCGGAGACGTCCAATTCTCGGAAAACTTTCTCCGCAAGCTCATCGTCAAACTCGCCAAACTCTTTGGCGATGTACTGAAAACTCTAATTTTTTTCTATCGTCAGATTGCGTACAAACTTTGAACTCGTTCTCGGTGATGATGCCATTGCGGTCTTGGTCGAATATCTCAAAACATTCGCGAATGAGTTCTTCGTTTGTTGATTTGACAATTTTTTGGGACTTCTTCATGCAGGCACAGAACTCGTCAAAGTCAATTTCGCCATTTCCGTCGGCGTCAACCTAAAACTAACGGAAATTGGAAGAAAAATGAGTTGCCACTAATGAATTGAGAGCACAGAGGCCGTTTTTCTGTCTCAGCGTAATAGTACAATTTTTCGGTTTTTTTTTTCTGGATGTTGCAGATAATTAACTTTTGCGAAATTATAGCGTCTGAAACAAAATATGAAGAGTGCAGGGCCTTTGAACGTTTTTCAAAAACAAAGAAGTCAATATTTCTGAAGTTTCCCGTGATAAAGAGTTGAGGATAAGAAATACTGAGCTACCCTTCGCTTCTTTCTCAAATTGAAACTGAACAAAAAAATATGAAAAAAATTGGATCGAACTACCAAAATATGTGGGAAGCTCAAACTATTAAACATTGACAAAATGATTATGATTACGGTCAATTTCATAGATGATAACGGAAAAACAGGATTGCGCAAGGTTTCCTTATTTGGCCTGTAAACTTTTTCTCGAATTGAAATTACACGATAATTTTTGTAAGAAACGAGATTCGAAACTGGATTAGTTCCAAATAGGTATCTTCAAATATACATTAAAAACTTCTATTGGCTCCAAAAACTTTCTTCTTTGATGACGTTGTCGATCTCAGCTTTGTTGGCGTGCATTCCGATGCTGATCATTGCCTGCTTGAGTTCTTCATTTCCAATGGCTCCAGAACCATCCGTGTCGAACATGTTGAACAGTTGCCGAAACTCTTTCAGCTCTTTCCTGACAACTTCGCACCAAATGTTTTTACTACAATGTAAACGGTACCTTGTGTACTTTTGAGCGTCTTCTGGCTGACTCTGCAAGGAGTGCACGGTTCCCCGGGACGAGGTCGACGTCTTCCGACCTGTCTGAGGCTTGCGGCTCTCGAGCTGCCGTGCGACGCCAACTTTCGCAGATCTCATGATGACTTGTCAATTAAAATCTAAAAGAAAAACATTTTTTTCTCAAAAGTTCTATATACCAATTTAAAAAAAAATTTGAAAAACAGTGAGAAAAAAATTGATAAAGTTTTCCATTGAAGTTATAGAATTTTAAACTGGAAGGCGTTGAAAGAGTTATTAGGTGTAATAAATAAAAGAAGACGAATTCACTAAACTGTAAATGTAGGGCAGGAAAATGAATGATGTGCGGAATTTCTCAAGACATCTCATATTCGATTCACAACACGCGAATCTCGCATAACTTCTTCGTCAACATGAATTTGAGGCTTAGAAGGGATGTGAGATTCTCCGGAAACGCGGTGATACGAAGAGGATGTGCGAATAAGGCACATTCTGTCGAAATGGACTAAACTGGGCTTGAGTCCAAGTGCGATGCTTTCAATTCTCGTTTACTCACCCGAATTTGGACGCCTTTCGGTTTTCTATTTGTCTTCCGAAATTCTAGGAACGCACTTTTCGAACTCTCTCGATGCAGCCTAATTGAAGCTGGGATAGAATGAAAAATTTTCAATGTTTTCAAATGTTTTTGAGCATAGTATTTGAAAAAAACGATATTTTTTTGAAAGTTTGCTAATAAAAAAAGCTTCTACTCTGGAACCAGTACGAGTCGTTGTTGTTCTTGAGATTTGAAAAAAAAAAGAATAAATAAGAAAAAGGCATCGGAATCCTGAATCCAATAATTTTCGACTCAATATTTGCTAACGTACTAAATCAGTTGAAGAAATTTTTAAGTCTCCGCAAAAAATAAAGTAACTTTCCATTTTGTGGGTAGAATGAACCAATTTTGTAAGTTAGAAGTTGAAATTTAATTTTTTTCGCGCTGTTTTTTTTTTGAGAACGAATTTCATACATTGAAAATGAGAAAGTGTTCCAACAAAACATGATGTTTCTGGGATTTCTTGCAGGCGTATAATTTTGCACTGTTCTCTTGTTTCAGGTCATGGATCGTTTTCCCCAGCCTTTTCGTCTCTATCGGACTTCTGATCGGTCTTCACGTCAACGCTCACGAAGTCCCCATCAACTACGTCCTCCTTGCTGCTTTCACCAGCGTTCAGGCCCTCACACTTGGATGCATCGGTTTGTCTAATTGTTTTTTTCTACTAAAATACTTTATTTCCAGTTGTTCTTTTCCAAGTACAAGTTATCCTGGAAGCCGCAATCACAACTATGTTGGTGGTGTTCGGACTTTTCATGTACACTCTCCAGAGTAAGAAGGACTTCTCTGTCGGATACGCAACCAGCTTCTCTCTTTTGGGATGTCTACTTGCTGCTTCTTTCGTTCAGGTTCGTCATGGTGCAATGAAAGAATGCGACCTCGGTGTTTTCAGGAAAATAATATTCTTAGGCTTTAAACGATGTAAAATGTCCCGAAATCATCGGTGATTCCAAAAAAAAAACAAAATAAAGAAACGCCAAAATGCTTCTGACAGCCGGAAGGACATTAATGACTTATGAGAGAGCTTGCGGAATGTAGGAAAACAACGGCTGCTACTGAAACATCTTGAAGCCTATCACAAGGGAGTTCCCACAATTTTTTGAGGTATCCCAAAAAAATATCCCATGAAACGACCAACTCAAATAAAAACCTATAAACTTCAAAAAAATATTCAATTTCTGAGTAAATATTTTTACCTTGAATTACAGATCTTTGTGATGTCTTCGGCTTTCAACTTCATCCTTAACGTCTTTGGCGCCGGCGTCTTCTGCGTTCTTTTAGTCCTGGACCTGGACGCGATCATGATGAGAATGTCCCCGGAAGACTACATCTTGGCTTGCATCGCCCTCTACATGGACATCATCAACCTCTTCGTCAGAATCCTTCAGATCCTCGGAGAAGGATCGAAGTAACTTTTCGAGAATGACTTTTATGGTGTAAATAAGAAATGATGTGTAGCGGGAGAGTAGTGGTTTTCAACAAGCGAATCGAAAAAAAATCCGTTTTATTTAAAGATGTTGATTCTGTTCTGTGAAATAAATATATTTTTGCCACTTTTCTTTGCGAGGTTTGAGTTCAGAAAATTTTTGCGCGTCCAAAGGATTGAGTTTGTTGCTCCTTTTCTGGATCTGAAAAAAAGCGAGTTTCTATTATAAATATCGGTAAAAAGAACCTTTTTTTCAAAAAAAGAGTTGAAAAAAACTCTTGTTTGGAAAAAGGATATGAAGGATGAAAGATGTCAAGTCGAAATCCCTGACTAAATAGTCTTCATTCTTGACGAAATTGTTTCCCATATGTGCAATGTCGTTTTTTCTGTTTTTTTTTTTGCAATAACCTTTTTCACAGCGAGATTTTGTTTTTTGCTGATCTTTGAGTACGAATGCATATGACACAAAGGTGCACCCATAGGTTCGATGTGTAAAAGATTTCGACTTGGCGAGGGTGCCGACCAAAGTAAGTTGGCATAAGATTGTGGAGAGCGTCAGTTCGGCAACAACAGTTGTCGGATTTCTGGCCAACCGCGAAGCCTCCGAGACTGGAGCCGACGACACGCGAGCCTCTAATTCGCGGCTGCTCTCATCAATTGGCTCTGCGTTTCGCCAGTTGCTAACTATGCGAATCCCCGCGCACTCGCTTCCTTTTCGGGACCACTAGTGTTCACTTTTTCCAATTGTAGGAGTGAGTGGCCATTTTTTCAGAGAGATGTCACTGAGCTGTACGGCAAGGGCGTTGAAATTTTCGCTTTTTATTTTCAACTTGGTTTTTTTGGTTGGTTTTTTTAATGTTTTGATAGTGCTCTCATATTTTTTTTCACTTTCAACTTTTCACTTTTTTGTAGAGTACAATATTTCAGACAGATAAAGAAAAAGTGATAAAATTATCCTGAAGTCATCATTCATGTTCCGTTCTGAGATATCCCATAACTACTTAATTTCTTATTTTTTAAAGAGCGAAAACAAAAAGAGATCAACTTCTGAATTCACATTTATAATTTTCGTAATGATTTGTTTCTATGATCATTTTTGATGGCATAAAAAAAAATTTGAATTAGCTTTGAAGTAACTTCTTCAGTTGAACTCTCTCTCTCATAAAATAAATGGTCTTTTTCCTCTCTCCACTAAAAGCTTCTGCTCCGCAGCTGAGCTCCATTCAAAAAGAAAAAGTATTTTGAATTTCTTTTACGTATTTTCCTTTTAAGACCGGAGAATTCCAGATTTGCGGACTGGTGTGTGTTGGAATTGGAACCTGGCTCGTTCTGGACAAATATGCAATTGATAATCTTGCCATGGCCACAGCGAAAGTTCAGGGATACGATCAGGATGCTGGACTGCGGGATCTGGTTTGTCTCTTTTTTGCTTTAGTCGGTGCAAAGGTCATCCTGTTCTTTTTCCATCTAGCTAATTTTCACTGAAATCGGATACCACAACCTTGTTTTCTCGTTCAACGTTTTTCACATTTCAACGTGTTACACTGAGATGGAAGCCCGTGCTTTTTTGTTAGCTTGTGCTTTTTTTTAAAGTAAGATACTGAAAGCTGTGTTGAACCGCAGAATGAGTTTTTTAAAGAATTCAACAAAAAAAATGATCGATAAAGTGCGTCAAAATCTTTTTTGTACTTCTCTCCCTAGAGAGAAGTCTTGATGTCACTTTTGGGTTGCGTATTTGAACACTATTATTAGAAACCAAAAACTAGCACTTTTCAATGACCTAGTGAATTTGCACATTGAGTACTAAATGTTTGAAGCAAGAAACTCAATACTTGGTAAATTTCAAGAGTGGCGTAAACTTGCCTTTTTTACATTTGGAGAGATGAAATTTGCACAGGTGTTGTTTTTATGTTGAAAATTAAAAAATTTATAAATTTCTCAGAGCGAGTAGTTTTGAAATTGAACGAAGATAGGATACTAATTAAATGAATGATCTGCTTTTTTGATAAATCCGTTAGAGGCTGTTAGTTTCGATAGAAAAATCTGAATGGGAAGCCATTTTCTGGTAGTTTTTCGTCTTTCTTTGCTGTCTAAACATTTTACTTTCTTTCAAGGTGAAAACCGTCGATTTCAAATATTATCTCTTAACTAAATATTTTTCCCTTTGAATATATACTCGACCAGTTTAATCCTGGTTTGGATGAGCTGCAAACGAAGTTCTCTATTTTAAAAGCAATTTCTCATACTTGAGGCAACAAAACCGACTGCCGTACGACAAATTGGGTATCTTTTACTTGGCGGCGGTCTCATTGTGATATTCGTTGCGTTTCTCGGATGCTGTGGAGCTGCCAAAGAATGGCGTCCGCTGCTTTGTTGCGTTCGTCAAAGCGGAAACCGATCTTTCTAGAAAAAAATCTTTTTTTTTCAGTACGCCTCTTGTTTGATGCTCATTTTAGCTGTTGAAATAGCGGCTACCATTTACGCATTTTTACATAGTCATATGGTTAGTTTTGTAAGATTAAGACGAGCACTGAGAAAAAACTCTGAAAGCTCAATTTCAGTTTGAAAAAGACTTTCGAGACATTTTACACTCTTCGTTGAAAATGTACAACGGGACTAATAACATTAAAGACAACGAACAAGACGGAATGCTCGTCAAAGCAGCTTGGGACAAAATCATGATGGAGGTTGGTCTTGCACCGTTTTTTAGGGCTATGGAAGTTTAAAAAAAAAACAGCTAAACGATGCCGATTACTTGCAAAAAACATTCCTTTGCAGATAATTAAATACTAATAGTTTTAAAATTTCCATTTAGTTTCAGTTGTCGGGAGAATTTTATAATACTCTGCGAGTCGAAAATTGGAGCTATCCGCTTTGACTTTTTTGCGCTTATTTAACGGCGAGCTCATTCTATTAAAGTGTTTTCTAAGTTCATGTTCCATTTGAAATATCTCATCGTTCATTCATTCTTGATATTTTCAGAAGTCATGCTGTGGAGTGGACTCCAAAATCGGCGAATTCAACGGTTCTGGCTGGTTTGTTCTGACCAAGGGCAAGAACGCCTTCCCACCAGCTTGCTGTCCTTTGGACGAGCATTCTCGATTGAGACCGTCTTGCTCTACCATCATGCGCCACGCCCATGTTCGTTTTGACCTTCTGGAAACGCCGACAAGTTTTCAAAATACGACTTTGATGTTTTTGTTGGGCTCGATTAGTGTGAAAATCTGAACTAATTTGAGCAAATGGAGCATGTTTATGGTACGACCGTTGTGAATGTTCTGTTGATTTTCTGGTTAATTAAGTGAAGCTTGAGAAAAGTAAGAAAGAATGTTTTTATTTTGATGGCCACATTTTTTGAAAAATCGAAAATTTTATCTGGTTCATTTGTGAGCTTCAAACAGTACGTTTTCCGCTATGAAACGTTATTTTTTGGTGAGAGAAAATTTGTTTATCAAGCTTCAAAAAATTTGCTAGTGCTGAAATAAAAAATTTCACTCAAAAAGATTTTTATTCGTCAGGTCTTCTCAAACGTTTCATGAACACTACTACAGCAAAAGTGAATGATGAGAGTTCAATGTTGCTCACTAAGTTTTGAACGTCTTTTTCTGTTGTTCTCTTTTTTTCCATTTTTATATCAAGACGCTTAGAAAAGGTCATAATCAAACCAAAGTCTATTTTGCAGTTCGTAAAAATCAAATTTAAATTTTCGCTTGCCTGTTGCTGCACTTCTGAATATTGTGCTATTTCCAGGGCTGCTATTCCAAAATAGCCGAGTCGTTCCAAGAGTTGACCTCGCATTTCAAAATTGTTGCATGGACAGTTGTTTTTTTCGCCCTGATTCAGGTTTTTATGTTTCTTTGCTTTATATGGCAAGTTTCCTTGTTTGTAGGTGGTTGGTATTATTGTGGGCTTCTGGCTTTGCGATTCGATCACGTCCGACGACGACTTATTTTGAAGAAAAAAACTAGTATTCTGAAACTTTGGATTACTTATAAATAAAAAAATTGTATCATATGTATAAAATGATGCGAAATTAGTAACAAAGTCACCCATTACAGGGCTGTATGACATCGTTGTTCAGAACGAATCGAATTCATTTTAGCGCCGTTTTCGGCGTTCTTTCCCTTCTTATCATTTTTGAGGTATACAAAAATTCTTCGAGAGTTCACGGATTTGAAGGTTTCAGGTGCTTATCTTTGTCACGGCTGTACAATTATTCAAACGGATTAAAATTGAAATGCTCTACTATTATTGATGGAAATAAAAGATTCGCTTCAACTTTTGAAGAATTCTTCCACATATACACAAAATAGAAGAGTTCAGTTCAAATCTGGAAAAAAGACAGCAAAGAACCGCGAACAGTTCAGCATTTATTTCAAATATCATGCAAATATTATGGTAAGTCGAAATACTCAACAGTGAAAGATTTTCCAGAACTTTCGTTTTTGTTTCAAACTTTTAAAAGTGTGAAAAATGTGTTGTTTCCTGTTCCTCTGTGTTTTGTAATGGAAAGACATAAGTGCGTATATTTAAGACGCAAAATTGATAATTTTTTTATTGAAAAACTGGAATCATCATTTTCCTGGAAATTGTGCAATGGAATAAAACACTACAGCTAATTTTCTGACGCCTATGAAGTTGTGCAACATTTTTCAAAACCATGCGATGGCTTTTTCGAATTTTTTCAGATAAATCCCGGAGAACCTTGTAAAATTCATTTTTTCAAACTTTTTTTTGAAAGTTTCATTTTTTTTGAAAGTTTTATGTTCGCAAAGTTGAAACTTGTGATGTTGAGTCACCAGAAATCCGAATCTGAGATAACATCAGCAAAAAAAAAACAACGTTTTTTAGTCTCTTATTTTCCATCATACTGCTTTTCGAAATCGATTTGTTGTTGCTAGATATCTAAGGTGTTGAAATAGTTTTCTTTTCGCGTGCTTCACGATTTTGATCTATCTATTTTCCATTCCCATTGTTTTTTTCAGGTTCAGAGTGTTATCAAGCATAATGCTTGAGGCTCAAGATGAACCGCCTCGATTTTTTTCGGTTTTTTCAACTCGAATGTGGGTTTGCTTCCTAACTGCCATGGGTGAGTTGAAAAAATGTTGCACATTGTGAAAAAGAAATTATATAAGGAAGGTTCACCGACGGAAATTTGGTATATGTGAAATTAGTATATGTAATGCAAGGTATCGATAATGTAGAGTAACTCTTATTTCAATTTTTTTAAGCAAGAATTTACTGTATTACTAAATACCATGAGAATGAAAATTTAAAGAACATTTCATTCATTTTCTCGAAGCGAACATAAAGATGTAACTGTTGAAAACTGAAATAGCCGGTGGAGCACAGCCGGTGGAGCATAGGCTTTCTCTCAGTATTCAAATTTTTTTTGCAAGCTTTTCAATATTTAGTCGAGAAGTTTTTCATTCACTTCCTTTTGAAGGAGTTTATGCAACCGTTTCGATGAGAATGAATCTCTCAATGGCGATTGTGTGCATGGTCAAGCCGGTGGAGCACAACTTGACTATCTCGAATGCTCACAGTCGCTGTGTGGCTCTTGTTGAAGACGACCCAGCTTCTGCTGGCTACAACGTCTGTTTTCCTAATGTTTTCAAATGTTTTTTGCAAACTTTCCAGGGAACTTTGGATTGGTCGCCAGCAATGCAGTCGATGTCTTTATCCGCAACTTTTTATGGAGCTCTTGCTACAATTCTCTTTTCCGGATTTCTGGCTGACAAATTTGGAGCGAAGAACATACTTCTTTGTGAGCCAATATTTTAACTCCTTTATTTAGAAGTTCAGTAACTACTTTGGTCTATTCAACTGTTACGATGTTGACTCCGATGCTGGTAAATATATCTTTCGAGGCTTTTTTTGTTTTCCGTATTCTGATGGGCGTTGCTGAGGTATTCCGGACTTGAACTTCTTTCTTTTCAGTCATCAGATTTACAGGGATTCTTCTTTCCTTCGATTGGCAGCCTGGCTTCGAAATGGTTTGCTCCGAGTGAAAGATCTACTGCGGCGGCCATTTACACTTCTGGAAATCAGGTGAACTGCTTCGTGTAACTTGGAAAAAACTTCAATCCGACAGGTCGGCGCGGCCACCAGCGGCCTCGTTGCTGCGCAATTGTGCAATTCGTCTTTTGGCTGGCCGTCTATTTTTTATTTTTACGGGTTCATTGGAATCTCCTGGTGCATCGGTTAGTGAAAGTTGAGTTTTGAAAGTTTATCCGGGAAGTTATTAAGCATGGAGCATTCTATTCACGAGCTCTCCGTCTTCTAACCGTTGGATCAATGATAGCGAGCGCATTTTCCTCGAAAACAACGGGGCTGCTTTTGGAAAGGTTGGATCTGATTTTTTCTTCGGATACACTAAGAATAACTGACATAAACGAGATAAACGCGAGGTCGGTGGCGGTACATTGACGAACTCGCAAAAATGTCGCTTTTTCTAGGCGCGATCTCGCATTGATCTTGCATTTCGGAAATTTTCGAATTGCGAGAGAAATGCGAGCTCGCGCCTAGAAAAGTGCGAGCTCGTCAATGTACCGCCAGTTTCTCGCGTTTATCTCGGCAGTTATTCTCAGTGTAGTAGGAAACTTTTCTTTTTCTCAAATTTGAAAATTTGCAAAATTACTTTCAATATATGAATTGCTTTCAGAAAACTCCGAAAGTTCCCTGGGTTGCATTGGTTGGAAGCAAGGCACTCTGGGCTGCCATTATTTGTCAGTATGCATTCAATTTTCAAGCAAGTGCCATGCAATCTTTTTTGCCAATGTTTCTTAAGGATCAACTTGGTCTATCTATCAGCGAGGTTTGTACTGGAATTCATTGCTTTTCAAAATTTTACTACTCATAGTCAAAAGCAAATTGATAGACTTCAAACGTTTTATATGGCATACCCGATTATCTAACAACAAAACAACAAGATGACAAAAGATAAATAGTTTGATTTGATCGATTTTTCATCTACATATTGATAAGCTTTTCAGATGATTCTGTGTCCAACTTAGTTTGCCATCAGGATTCCATTGCAGATTCTTGAACAGTGAAACGGAGTCGATCATTTTTTGAATTTTGTGCATTGCTCTATCTGTACTGAAGCCTTAATTAATCACGAAGAACAATACTCAAAAAGTATTTTACAGAACGGTTTGTACACAATGGTCCCATTTTTGACGCAACTTATCGCGAAGAACATTTTTGGTCCTCTCGCAGATCACATTAAACGGCGACAGACTCTCACGAAGACGGCGTGCGTGAAGGTCTTTCAGTCAGCCGGTAAAATATCTCCTCTTTGGGCCATTAAAATGATAATAACGGATTTTAACGGCTTGGCGAAACCATTTTTGTTGGGGTTTCAGGTTCGGTCGGATCTTCGATTTGTCTTCTTGTCGTGGCTTATTTCGCTTCCTGTGAAACTAAAGAGCTCACCTTAGCTGCATTGGCCCTCTACGGTAAACTGAAATCAAGTTCACTAAACTTTATAGAAAGACAAAAACTAATTTTATGACTCTTACCGACTCTTATATTTTATAGCTGGGAACAATTATTTGCAGGAGTTTTCTTTTCTGCTGGAATTTGCGGTTTTTTCACCAGTATCCTGTCGATAGCCCCGAATTACGGTGGCTCTCTCATTTCTATAAGTATGTTTCTCGGAATGCTCGGCAACATCAGTGCGCCTCTGTTGTTTAGCATCATTCAAAAAAATATGTTAGTTATAGAATGATAGACAGGGAAATCTGGAAAAATTCAGACTTCATATACTGAATACAAATGGGAGATTCTTTTGACCGGATGTGCTGTGGTAAACATTTCGAGCGGGATATTGTTCTCGATTTTTGGATCAGGTGAACTATCTGCTTTCACCACGGAGTAATCTGCAGAGTTCAGCCGATGAAGAGTCCTGGAACAAGCCCCAGGAAGAGAAACCGAAAGAAATTTTGGCTGCAGGATGAAGAAAACAATTTTATCTAATATATTTTATTTGTTGACATATGAATACATTCTTTTGCAAAACTCAAAATGGAAGGAAAAAAGGTGTCGATTGCAGTTATCAAAAAAAAGAACGGTAAAAATCATTGAAAATTTGAAATTTGCATAACTTTCAATTAAATTTGAAGTTAAATAATGTGAATTATATGACTATGAAGCCTAACAAAGAGTCGGCAAAAATGGCTGTAGAACTTTCTTGAGAATAGGTCATTAGTAAGACCTGAGTATAAATGTCATTGTATCAATGTCTAAAAGGCAAATCATGGAAAAGGCAACTGATACATTAAGGCAACAAGTAATGTACATAAAACTGTGTTAATAACGGGGTCGGATCATCATGATCGATTTGGCTGGATGAATCGAAAAATGTCTTTCTCTGTGTTTTCCGAACTTTTCAGCGATCGTGTAGAACATATATCTGCTGTCAGCCTTTGTGTCTCCGTACAGTCCATTCAAGGCGATCTTAGTGCAGTTATTGTGCCACCAGCCTCTGGAAGTCGACGTTATTCGAACAAAAAGAAGTAATTCCCACCCGAAGTTTCGAAACTGAGCACAGCTGAACATTTCTTCTTTGTCGTTGTCCCGATCCAGAGCGCTGAAGGGCATTTTGTTGTTGTACTTGTAGAAAAAGTCTTCTAGATCTCCAGCGACTGAGAGGTTTCCTTGGATAGGAGGTGTTATATCCAATTGGTAGTTTGTGCGTTCATCTCCGAGCTGGAATTCAAAGTTCAAGACATCCAATAATCTCTTGGTTAGGACTCACCTTGAAATTCCATTCTCCCCACCAAAATCCATAGGGCTTTCCAATGCAGTATTTTGAGTGACTACAGTAATCTCCGAACAATTCGACTCTTAGAGTGACGTAGTCTTCCGAAAATAGGGCTATTCTGCTAATTTTCTCAAGTCCCAACCAGTGTGAATCTTGAAAAAAGTGTTTGAAAATGAACTGATCTGATTAAAATCAGAGTACCGTCCACGGAGCCGAAGCCTTCAACATATTCGTCATAAGTACGGTTGTAAAAGTACTCTTTTCGGTTGAAACGTCTGAAAAAAAATTATAAACTTCGAGCCATGAACAATGTAGGAAAGGAAAAGTTGAATGAAAAAAATAAAAAGCTAAAGTACCTTTGTATAACAGTCCAGCCGCCTCCTGAAGTTTCCATGTCACAGAAAGCTTCAAACTTTTGATTATCAGCTTCAATGTCGTAAATTCCAGAAGACCCTCCTTCTATGTAGTAACCCATACAAGTCTGAATATCAATTCCCATCAAAACGCTTTTTTTATTGAAAAAATCTTGAAACCGTTCTTCGCCATAATTGGTTTTTATGAAAACCGGGCTTCCCATACGATTTCAAGTTAAAGTACGATTATTAAATTTTTTAGAAAATGTCGAAGAATGAATTTACCCTCGAATAACTAGAAAATGTTCAAAAAAAATTTGGAAGTTGTTTTTTTTTTTTAATTCAGCTCTTTTTGTTTTTCTATTCTTATGTTGTCAACCACGTCAAAAAAATTATAAAAACCACTTTTTTTCAGATCAATTCATGCAGTAAATAGATTATTCGTTTGTAAGTCTCCTCGAATTTCACGCTAGATTTGAATCACACCTTTTCACTGTTGTCGTAAGGTTTGGTCACTTTCGCACGGAAGGTGTTCTCCTCGGCGAGAGGTGAGAAATCCGACTCCATCCAGACAGGAAGCGGGTCCTCCGTATTGGTTGTAACGAGAGTCGAAGTAATCTCCGTTGTTTGAACTGGATTTGAAACAGTCGAAGTTCTCTCAGTGGGATTTTCAACGGGAAACGGTGTTTGAGTAGATGATGACATGAGCCGGGGTCTACTGTAGCTTGGTTCTAAGGTTCTCATGGCAACGGTTGGCGGCGGATGAGAAAAGAGTCCTTCGGCATTTCCTACCGTAGCCTCCTTGGAGACGGGAGACCGCTGCAAAACTGATGTTATCTTTTCGCCGTAGATGAAAGCTTTGGTACAATTCATCTATCATTGTGTATCACCCCACCTTGAAAATGTATGAGATCAATAAAATCACCAGTAGTAGGGCAAGAATACAGCAAAACAAAAATAGGACGAATTTGAATCGCCTGAAACGTCCAATCTGAAGTTGAAAAGAAAAGTTGTTCTCACTCATTTTTCAACAAAGGCGAACTGGTGATAACTTTGGTGAAACTTTGCTTTTTCTTTTTCCAGATTGAAGTCTCGGTTTTTTGAGAATCGGTAGATCTTGAAACCTGTGGACGCAACAAAAAGTGCTCTTTTTCAGAGTCCGCCAACTGAAAAGAATTGAATCGAGAAGTTTACATCAAAGTCAAAATCTTGTAACATGAACAAATATTGTAGCAAGGAACAAACCTGTACCTTTACGTTGTTCTCTTCCATAGTGGCATCGATTTCTTCCAATTCAGTGCATCAAGGAAACCAGTTGCTGTAAATAAGAGAATGTGTCTTTTTGAGAAGAATTTCACAACCACTTAAGTTTAATGTAATCGAACGCCTATCACTGTTTCTACAGCTGATATGATTGAAAAACGAGACCGAACGTTACCTCACAAGGTAATTAACAATGAACAGGAAGATTAATTGGTTATCAGGGGGAATGAAAAAGTTACAAGTGATGGATGAGTGGCAGACCGGCCGGGTTACACCCACTGCCAAATTTTGTGACAGTAAGGAGAAATGTCGCAAATTTTGATTTCACATGCTTTTTCTGATATTGAAATTTTATTCAAAGACACAGTAAAAGAGAAAATAATGGAAACGGTTGTATTAAAGACATTGGAACTGAAACACAATATTTTCGAAAAAAAATAGAGAAATTAAAAGATGATAAAAAAAGGGATACTGTACTCCTAATTTTCAATTTGCGAGTTTTCTTATCTTTTCGGAACCATTTCCTAAACGGATCTATTTCCAACTGACTGTTGATCTAGACCAGTTAATATGATTATAACGAAGGCCTGGTGGCTGACATAGGTGATTGAGAATAATCGAATCAGGTAACTTGATAAGAAATAGTGAGAAAAACTACTTGAAAGTTTTTCAACGCGACTTCGAAAGACGATGGCTCCCGGGAAAAAATGGCTAAGATTCAAACTGAAAGTCTTCAAAGTCGTAAAAAGTTCTAAGTGCAGTGTGAGAAATAAAACAGAAGTGATAGCTGCGCTGAACACTGAAATATGAGCTGGGAGCAAAGGTGTGAAGCGAAATTTAATAGACCAGTTAGCCAAGGTTTGGCGAGAATTCAATTACAAGTTTTGTGTCAACATCCGGACAGAAACGATGAATTTTATGAGATATGCAAAGGTGTGATTTTGAAGGACGAAAAAAGGAGCGGTGAAATGGCATGAAAGCAGCAAAAAGCGTGATGTGACTGTCATTAGGAGAGAGATAATCTGACACATATCGCGTCGCATCGCACCTACGGTTCGATAAACAATCCCTTTTCCTAAGAAGACAGCCTGTCCAGCTTGCCGCGCGGCTGCCCGAACGCTTTCCAAATAGTTTATGTTTTTGCCGAGCGCCTTTTTGTGTTCTTAACCGTTGAGCGCACGACGGGTTGTTGTGGTACGCTGCAAAAAGGCTGCCAAAGTTTGACATTTTCGATACTGGCCTTTAGAAAAAGTTCGAGGGATCCAATGTAGGAAGGCCAAGAAAAAAGGTCAAGCAGAAACTTTTTTGAGTCATCACCTGCAAAAAAAGTATACTGTAGTTGAATATAGTGCAACAAATTTTTTTGAATTTTTTTTCTCGTTGACTGAGGGAAGTTACAATTAAATTTAAAGGAGGAAGATCTACGCAAGTTCTCCTTCAAACACGGTGAGTATAAAAAATGTGGTTTTAAGTTGTAGAGGGACGCGTCGTAATGCAACAGGTTGTGTGCCTGTCTACGGTCCACAGGGTCACAAGTTGGATCCCCGACCCAACCAAGGGGTTTGAGAAATGTTGGTAGTGGGAAACCACAACTTCAAAATCCCCCGCCGTCACACACCACGACGGCTATGTCACTGAAGCCAGTCCACTGATATCAGGATAGGACCTCGGCTAATCGACTTGAGTCGCCGACGTCGCTTAAGCGGTACAAAGGCGTAGGAAGAAGAAAGTTTGGAGTTGTGGAAAAAGGATTTAAGGCAACTGGCAAAAACCAAAATTTATTCCATTCGTTAGATTTTTTATACTTGAGCTAGGAAGTTTGTAAATTCATTCAACAGTATAAAAATATTCCCACCTTCAAAAATAAGAATGATTAAAAAAAGTTTGAATTGATGATGGGTTGTTGAATTATTATTTAAGACATTTGGAACGGTCTTATCAACACATTGTTTTTTGAATATAAATCTCTATGCATGAATCGGAGATCCCGTTGAAGAAAATTTAAAGACCTTTTTTCAAAAAAATAAGAAATATAATAAATTTCCTGTTTTTTTCTATAGAAAGTGGCAGTAAGCTCCACATTTCGAATCCCCGGAGACACAAGAGACTCATTGAGTCCTACGGGGACTCAAAGTTTTGACGTTGTAGCTGGAAAAAATAAATCTTGGCATCTCGGTTTTTTTGAATCTCCGAAACGAAAAAAAATGAGAAAAAAATACGTGAAACGTGTGAAACAAGGGCACGCGATGCTGCAACTGATTGAAAGAAGGCCAAACGTTGAAAAGGAGACTTGAAGAAGAAAAAAAGTTTGAGGGTTCAGAGGGCCGAGGAGAAGTTGGAACCAAAAGTCCGACCAAACGCAATCTCTAACTTGCTGTCGAAGAACAAAGAGGGCTCTGAACACGACACGCCCACTTTTTGAAGGTGTGAATGACAGTTTTTTGAATTTCGATCTTCTTTGAAAAACAAGAAACACGCCCGGAAAAGTAAAATAATGCAACGATGATCGATCCCGCGCGAACATAACGCATACGCATCGATGAACTCACTAATTCGAGCAAAAAACGAAGAATCGACAAATTTGAAAATTGTTTCGGAACACTGAAGGTCATGTCTTTTGTTGAAGTTACTGAAGATGGAATTTTTTCAACAAAAGCTTAACCGACAAAATCGAAAATGAAAATTTTTGGATAGAAAGATTCTTCTACCTTTTTAACAAAGGTAATAACAAGTATTAAAGTACAAACAATGCGAAATTAGAGGTTTAAGGTTTACTTCGCGGGAATCTCTCCGCACTAAAAAGTCTGACTTTAATTATTTATGTTTTTTTTCAATTTCCGCATGACTCATTTTTTACAATTCAAAACGCTTCATTTAAACGTGAATTATGAAAAAAATTAAAAACACTTGTTAGTTGTTTTTTTCGATAGGTTTCTCATGCGGTGAGCTCTATAGCCCACCTACCTATCAGAGACCTAGAAAAGGGAATAATATTGAAAGGAGAATCGGGCATTCTATTGAACGACTTGAAAAATCAAACTTTGTTAGAAAAACAGTTAACGTTTATATATGAGAACTATGAGAACTGAAAGGACTTGATAGTTTTAATTATTTGGTGCTCTAGATAATACATTTTGAGATTTTTTTTAAACATTTTCCATTTTTGCCAAACATAACTTTCAATTATTATTCGAAATTTTTTTAAATTTAAATTTTGTTATTATTTAGGGTTTAAAAAGAGGAATTCAACTCAAAATTGGAGAGGTGTGAAAAGGAACGACCAGATTGGTGACGGGTCAGAAGAGGTCAAAGTAGCGAACAATGGCAGGAACGTCGAGCATGGACGATCGACGCGCAACAGTTTGAGCGACGCTTAATTGGCTTGGTCCATCAACCAACACATTATTCGGGCGAAGTTACATCGTCTGAAGCGTCTCTGCCGTGTAGATCATCCGAGGGGCCGCCGAAGCTTTTATCACCTCATCATCCCGAAATGATTGACGACCCTCTTGGCTCTTGTTGCATCGTCGACGACAACAGCTCGTGGCTTGTTGCACTTCTAAAACTTGTCAAGGAATGTAATTCAACTTTCTAGTGAGAGCGAATGTATGGAAAAACTCAATCTTCAAAAAATAACATGACGTGAAATGAGTTAACAAATCGCAAAGGTAGAAAAAATGATATTCTTTTACTGATACATTTTTCAGACCCATTCCTGGAGTAAAGTTTTTTTGATTTTTTTAAAAAAATTTATTCTGGTTTTTTTGATTTGCGAGAAACTCGAAAACCCCTTCAAAATGAATTTTAAAAGGAGGAAAATGAATAATTGTTTACCAAAATGTTACTTTCTACTTTTTCTTTGATAAAAATTTGATTTTTAAAAACCATATCAAAAATTTCACGAATTGAAAGTCATAATTGAATGAAGAATTTATTGAAAAAAATTCGACCACAGCTTTAGGAGCCGCTTTGTTGCTTTTTGACTCTTGGAAAAATAAACATTCCTGCGCACTCTAAAAAAAACTTCGACAAAGAAATAATGAGGAACTTGGAAAATATTTCTAATACTTAATTTCAAAATAAGATGTTGCTTTGAGAACAACACCGTCAAAAATCTACCCTGGTATTTTAGCAGAAAAAAGCAAAACTTACAACAAAAAAAGACGCCATTGTAGGAGATTTAGATTTCCACGTAGAAGATTTCCACGCATGAATGGTTTAGCCTTCAGAAATTGACGGTAACACCCAGAAAAAGCAGAAAGACAATCAAACCTTAAGAAAAACTCAGCAATAAGCAAAACTAATGTCAATAAACTATCCAGGTATTTTTTGATCTTTTTCAAGTCCAACTTCAGTTCCACTGTTAACGCTTGTAGCATTCTTCCACGAAACTTTTAAAAATTATGTTTGTTGAAGATTTTTTCAAATCAGAAAAGTGTTGCAAAACTCGATCGCTGAAGTAATTTATTAGAAAAAACTTCCTTATTGGTTGAATGAGTTAACGTTTCGCGGGGAAAAAACTTGCAGGTGTTTGACATCTGTTGAACAGATAAAGAAGAAAAACGGAACAGGTTACTGTAGACATCTGCGCGAGTTTCTAAACATCTTCGGCCCGACTCTCCAAGAAAATTGTTCAACATCACTATTTCCTTTTGTTAAATGAATAACTGGGCAAGTTATGCACTCTTTCGAAAAATTTCGCTTTGTGTATTAAAATTTTTTCCCTGAGTAACAATAATGTCTGAAAAGTTTTTTAATGAAACTGAAAAAGTTTATCCTCCGTTGCTTTTGAACGTTTCACGTTTTCCCTTAAATTTTGAGACGGATGTGAGTTCTGAAAAGATTTTGAAAAATACTTGCCTTCTGTCCAGCTTTTGTTTTTCAAGTCAAGCCTTAATTGAAGCTTTCAAAAGACAGCTCTCAAGCTTTCTATTCGAAAATTCTGTTACGTTCTGAGGCTTGAAGCAAGCTTAATTGGCTTTGAATAACCTGCTCACCTTAAACGCAATAACGGAAATTTTCCCCCCTTTTTAGGATGAATAAAAATATTCAGTTAGAAGTGTTTTTTTTTGTTTGAATTCCACGTGCCAGTTGCGAGTGATATAAATGAACTTTTCTGAAACAGGGAGAAAGGAAATGAGTTTCCGACGCCAATTCCAATTTCAGTCCAGTAGTTTCCCCAACAATTGGGTCTGTTCGCTGCTTGAAATTCAATACGCTAAATGTTCCTGAAAACTCTTTGAAACTTTCTTGAACTTGGTCTTTTTGACTCTTCCATAGGAAAATCAATAATGAATTTCGATTATTTGTTCTCAAAAAACCTTTTTTGAAAGTAGAGGAAAAATCGTAGCAATTATTTTAGATTTATTTGAGAAATTTCTTCCATTCAAAAAAAAAACGAAAGAGTTCCATTACAAGTTTGATTCGCCATTGCGCACAAAGGATGGGATAGAAGTTGTTCTTCTCGTGGCTGAATATCGACTGGAAACACGTGCGTCGGGTTTTTACGACGGAGCCGTGCCGGTCAGAAGTTTGGCGGTTGTTCTTTAGACCTACCTGCCGGGTCCCACGGCCTTTTCTTCTTTTCTTGTTTGTGGAAATCTGACAGCAACGCCAATCTCCATTTCCTTAATTTTTCTTTGAGTGAAGGCTGCTGCGATTCAGTAATTCCACGTTTCTTCAAGAACTTCATTTGACGACTTCTTCTCGGCTGTGTAAGTTTTTTATTGAATTGAGTATCGCTTGTCTAATTTTTGTATTTCTAAACATCGATCTTTTTTTTCATCTAAAAAAACGCCGTAGTTTTATAAAAATCACAAGCTATCAACTGAATTTTCCATCTATGAACATACTTCAAACGCGTTCTTTTCAGTTTTGAACGCTTCAAACAGATATTTCTCTTTTTGAATCCGACGAGTTCCGACTGTTTTATTGCTCGCTCAATTAATCTTTTTTAAAAAGAACAGCGGCACGCAAATCGCTATTTTCCGATAGAAACAGAAAATTCAGCAGTTCTTCTTCAATTTCAAATAATCGGCCCCTTCGCAAAAGTCTTTTTGAGGGGCTAGGTTTTATTTTTCGTTTTTAAAGTTCGGTCAGAAAATTTTTTGTTCTCTTCATATCTTATTTGAAATCAAGTCGTTTTTTTTTCAACTGTCCTGGACGATAAGAGTTGGTCGCATTTTTTGAAGGGCCGGTTCCTCGTTTTCATCTATTTTTGCTTTACGCTGCCATTTGAATCTTCTTTCTTTTTTTACCTGGGAATTCCCGTTTAGAACAATATTTTATTTTCTGGGATTCCTGTGACTCGCAATCTGCGATTAGATTCTCAATTGGTTTACATTTAATTTTTTTTGTTTTTATTCAAGTTCTTTTCTCTTTGTGATAAATTCATGATTGATTCTCGATTCTAAATACCTTTCAAATTTTTTTCTGTTTTTCTATTCTTTTCACCTTTTCAACAATGAAACTTCAATAATTTTTTTATCCAACTATTTGGAGCTTTATCGCGTTTTTTTTCATCATAAATTCGAAAATTTTTGTTGCTCTAATAAGAATTTTTCGGGTCAGCACAAATTTAGATTTTTGTTCACACAAATAATGAAAGTTTTCATTTTTTTCTATTGCTTTGAACCCATTTTCTCACTAGAATTTTTATAGTTCAATGCAAAATTTTTCTCCCGAAATTTGACAGAACTTGGTTGAAATATTCAGTTTTTTTCGAGTGTTGCTCTCAGAATTTGGAATCTTTCTGCTCGAAACTCTTGGGACGCGTCGTGGCATCTCGAGAGATGCGCCTGGAGCGTTAGTCATTTCCGGGCACGTCCCTAACTCCCCAATTACAGCCCGAACGAATCCATGCATCAGCTGTGTGAAGCCAAATAGCACAGCTACTTCCGCCAAGCTCAAATTCAATCTTTCTTCGGCATTAAGAAAACTTTTCTCATGTATTCAACTTTCAGCGATGCCAAAAATGAGTTCATTTTTTTTTTGAATATCGAAAAAAAACCTTTATTCAAATTTTTTTGTTTCACATGAAATAAGGAAAATTACGACGTTCTGGCTGTTCAAAACATGTCAATTTAACTTTTCAACCGAAAAATTAAAACAAGAATAAAACTCTGATGCAATAATCCATATCGCAGATTTTGTAAAACGTCCTCAGTTTTCGAGATTACTATAGAAATGTTTTATAATCGTCTACTTTTTCCCGCCTATTTAAAATTTTTCAGCAGTTGGATACTACGAATTTCAGACGAGATAATTGATAGACGTCGAAATGAGCTAAATCGAGAGAGAAAAAAAACGAAATGTTCCGTTGTCTCGTGAACAATTAGCCTTATTATCCAAAGCGTCGGGAATGCGACAGGATCAGAGATTTCCCATCAAAAAAACTCTGTTCACTTAATAAAATTAATGGAATGTATGACCTGAGTTTGGAGGCAAAATGTCGCGACTCAAAAGGAAAGTTTGCTCTGACGCGCTTTTGTTTCGATTTCGATTGTTTCAGCTGAGTTACAAAGTTTAGTTTTTGACCAGAGTAAGTGTAACGCTGAAGCAGTTCCTGAGAAATTGGCTGTAACATCGCGAGAAGCAGTAGCTGTGAAATTTATGAATACCAATCGAGATTCAGATTTGCGAGGAGAAAAATTAGAGTAGCTCGCGTTGGCGGTACCCTGCGCGGAGGAGCACGAAAGACATGATGAAGCCAAGGACTTCAGAAGAGGAAGATGAAGGATCGACGGAGACCCCAAATAGGTTGACCGCCTCACGTTCGCCTCAACATTTGCCACCATCCCCTACGCGTCGCGTATCGATTATACGCTCGTGTCGCGTCACTTGGGCACTTCACTCGCCACCACACTTTTGTCTTGGGCTATTTCCTTGTTTACCCTATTTCTTAATTTTGATCTGCAGTGGAAACAAATTGATAATTCGCTGCTAAGGAAAATTATTTTTTGAAATTTCCCTTCGAAGAGATAGCGATTAAAGCAGAGATTGGTCTGCGTGTGTTTTGTTCGCTCAACCTTTAATTCCGTTATCAGCTTGATTAAAAAAAGGCAGTGGCTGTCAGCAACTTTTTCTGCCTTCGCGCTTCGCCCTTGGGAGTTCTCATTTATGGCCACGAATAGAACAATGCTTCTCCTTTCTTTCAAATTTTTCCCGCTCTTCTCGCCTTTTAAAAAAGCTAATTCTTTGAAATTATCTATTTTTTTTCAACATGTTTGGAAAAAATAGTTGATGAAAATCTCAATAAAATCCAAAAAGAACGTTAAGAGAGACTCGATTCTATGAAAATCGATATTTTTTCACCTAATTGTAGTCAGTTTTTGTATCAATCTCGCATAATGTTTTTGTTTTTTTTTAAAGTTTTCTTTCAAGTTTTTTCATTTTTTTTGATTTTTTTCCGATTCGAAGTGGAAATTTAAAAAAAAAATGAAAAAAACTCGATTCATAGAGAAAATGATATAAATATTCAGAGATACCAATAGCGAAAAAAAAATCGAAATACTTTGTCTCGGTGTTTGACGTTATTCGCAAGCTTCAATTGTTTATGCTGACTGAAATTCGGTGGTGAAAGAAAAAAGCTGCCCATTTTTCGAACGCCCCTTTCGTTGGCCGCGCACCTTTTGCGATACGAAAAGCTTCGGGGTGTTCCTATTATATTGCTTGATGACCGGTTTTGAATTACATAAAGGCGATAATAAGCCTTTTTTTTAAATACAAAATGTTTCTATCATCTTAGTATGCAATATTCGAGTTTTCAATAAAAACTAGGGTTATTTTATTGATATTTTTCGGAGTAAAACAGAAAATTTTTTTCCCTTATTTTGAAGCTGTTCATTCAATCCACATTCTGTGTATCTGCGTTTGATGAACTGTACCTAACCTTCGTGTACGCCCGACTTGGTTGCGCAGGCAATCGGATAGCAATAACTTGTTTATTTCAGCGGGTGTGCATCGTCAAAGAAAGTTTACAACGTTCAATCATTCCTCGATTACTTTCTTCTCCGTTCCATTCCGCTGGGTAGGTGTCTTTTTTCAGTTTGGTGGCCAGTGCGCGAAAAAATCGATTGACTCAACTGCAAATCCCAAGGGGTCAATAAAACGAAAAAAGATGCGTTTAGCGCCATCGTTTTGCGATCAAATTACCATGCGTGTATTTGAGGTAAACTGGACCAGCCACAAAGATACTGTCAAAAAAAGCGATATTCAAAACTTCATTTTCTTTTGCTCTAACCCACTTGCCTTCGAATATCTTGAAAGGGACGTGTGGTTTCAAAAGAATTGGTATAATACAACCACTTTATCTATTCATTGTTGAAAGAGCGATTACAATTTTTTCCGTTGCCAGAATTAGTTTAAACGCTTGGGGTTTCTTAAAATCAAGATAACGTTAAGGGGAAGAACTTTTAGAGTTTTTAATCACAATGGCAAATTTCTTTCGTAAGGTCTGAACATTCTTACTTTGAAATTTGTCAAATTAGATTTCCAATGGTCTCCACTCATATCGGGGAGAAGTTTGGCTGAGATTGTCCACAGCAGCTTTTCAGGCATTCGGCCTTTGCAGAACTTTCCGGTGAAAACATTGATCATTTTTCAGTTTATGACTCAGCACTGAGAAAATTTTTAAAACTTCTGAAAGCAATCCATTGAAACCATTCCCTTTTTTTTCGATAATTGAATAAAGCAACACAAACATTGACATGAAACCGAGATTCCAATTGTAGGCATTTTCACATTGCGACGCTTGGTGTGCGGTCGGTCCGCAGCCCTCTCTCGTTGCCCATTTTCATTTCAATATTAAATGACGTTTTTTAATATCTTTCTGAGATTGAAAGCTCATATAGTCAATTGACGCGAGCTTTTAATCCTGTCATTCCTAGTTCTGCATGGATAGTGAACAGCGACCCGTGAGAAGCTTTTTTTGTGTTTTTTTGTTTGAGGAAAAATCCCAATGCCAAAATCTAATTGGAGGAATAGTTATATTTAAGTTGAAAATTGTACGGATCATCAGATTTGTTTTTATTGCAATTTCGAAAGGTTAAATGACAATTCCAGTCAAGTTAACTGTTTGAAATTCAAACTTCTAAGTCGTTCTTGACTATGATATTTGAAACGTATAGGTTTGATGTTGTGGATGTGATTGTGAAAAAAAATATGAAAAAGACCTTTCAGAAAAAAAAAACATCTAATCCGGTGAACTGTCGCGAGAACTCTTAATGGGAGGTCTCGAAATTCACCATTTTTCCATTTTTTTTCGATTAAAAATATTTCGTCACTCAGATCAATCTTTAAGTTTAAGGGCAAGATTGAGTGAAAAAAGAATCTGAATTTTTTTTCTGCGAATTTTGTCAAAATCGTTCACTCGCTGAAAATAAGTAAAAATCTTTTGAGGTGCTTTCCTGCTCTGCTGACCATAAAAATGTGACAATTTTAAAGAGTTGAAAAAAATTATTGCGATATTATTTTTGAATGACGTATGGTTGAAAATGTTTTTTTGACTTCCAGAGATGGAAAAAAATGTCTTGCGCTAAAAATGCGAAATATCTTTTTGAAATAGACTTTAATGGTTTTTTTATATAGTACACATTTTTTTCTTTTTTTAATTCTTCTGTTTTTTTGAGATAATTTCAGATAACTGTTTTTCAGGTCTAAAGCAAGAAAAAAAGCCAAAGTGAATATTCTTTAAAAAAATCTTTCCGGGAATGAGATAGAACTTTTATTTCAACTTCACTTTTTGAAACAGCAGTAAAATAAACTTCAATTAGGCTTAGTTTCCGTTTCAAAAGTAGTTTTGTCGTTTTCTAACCGCGCAGAACTCGTGCATAACCTCAATTAACGCTGGAAACGACCCTCGCCTCGATTTCTTAATGGGTGTTTTTTTCGAGCTCTTTGGGACATATTAGCATAGCTCTCCGTCATTTCATTTATAAATCTCTTGCAGGTCGTATGTCGTCTGCGCAGCGTGGCGCTACGGGCGCTGTTAAACCCAAGTCGCTAAACGTCAACTCGATTTATTCGGGTCGTACGCCGGCAAACGGCGCTCGCGCCGGAGGTTTTTTCCAGCTTTTTATTGATTCGATCGATATTTTTCAGGAGCGAACAAGTATGGTCTTCAACCTGTGGGTAAAACAAGCGGCGTCGTCCGACGAATGCCACCACCGGCAACTCTTCCGTCTCTCAAGGCGGAGAACAACGGCCAGGATCCGACTACCGTCGTCGTTCCCCAAGGTACGCTTCATTTTTTGCAGCTTTTTGATCTCACCAAAAATTATGATCTACAAATCTTTTGATAAAGTTTTCCCACTTCATTTCCAAAACATTGATGAGATCCGTGAAAAAATTAAAATCATCTGTTCACTTTAATTAAATGACAAGGTTACGCTGTAACCTAGCAACGCTTGACTCAAAAGTTCAGTTTCAGGCTTGAAAACAAGTTTTTATTAGACAAGAATAATATTTGCATGCTTCCAAAAAAAGTTCCGGAAATATTTCCATATTTCTATGGGGAAAAAAATTAAGAAAAATAACAGATTATTTTCGAGAACGTTCCCACGGAATTCAATGCAAAATTTTTTTGTTACAGAGCTGGGTAAGAGTTATCGGAATCAAAAACAAAATTCTGCTAAAGCTCTCAGGAAACCGAGGAGAAGCTTGTCGAAATTTTCCCAGCGCTTATATGCCCGCTCTCGAAGCCCTCAGCTAGCAACCGGCACCGTGGTGTAGTGGTAGTGGTCTCTCAAACTCTGTCAATATTGTGACCAGGGTTCGAATATTTTTAGGCGGATATTCTTTTTGTCAACACTTTACTTCCTCATTTTTCATATTTTTTTGAAAAATTTTTTTAAAATGTTTACATTATATTTTTTTATGAAATGACAATTAAAAAAAACCGGCTGAAAAAAACTCCTTTCTTTTTCCTACTTTTTTTCAATTTGAGATTGCTAATCAAAACCATCCGATGGAGAATAAGTTTCGTATTTCGTCACTAGAAATTTTTTTGAAACAGTATTTTTTTATTGTCCTTCCATGAATTTTTAGTGTAATTATATGAAAATTTTCTCAAAAACACGAAAATGATGAAGTTATGAGTCGGCAAGAATGGTATTCGCCAAGAAGAAGCGAACCCTGGTCACAATATTGAGAGGACTCGAGAGACCACCACTACACCACGGTGCCAGTTGCTAGCTGAGGGCTCCGAGCGCGGGCATATGACCGCTGGGAGAATTTTGACGAGCCTTTTCTCGGTTTCCTGAGAGGTTTAGCAGAATTTTGTTTTTGATTCCGATAACTCTTTGATTCCGAATTTTTGATTCCGATAACTTACATGGGGTTTGGGGTTCCGAAAAAGAAGACTAAGAGTTTTATTATCAATCAGACGTTTTTGAAACTTTCCCCATTTTTTTTAATGTTTTCGTTTGGTTTTTTTGTAAAAGCGAGGCCAATTTGAAAACTTTGAGGTACTGATGAAAAGAGAAATAAGAAACACGTTGGTATGTTCAGAAGAGGAAAAAACTCTTGAAATTGGAATCCACAATTTTTTTGTCTTGGAATCTCACTTTTTTCATGTAGACCTCACACATCTCTTGAATTAAAAAAAAGTTGTATCAGCTGATAATTCCAGAAAAAAGGGTCTTTCGAGTTGAAAAAGTCTCAATGGTTATCTTGAATTTTATCTGGAAAAGAAAAAGTTTCCATATGAATATTAATTCCTTTCATTAAATCTAACTGAACATAGTCGTTTTCAGCAGTTTAAAAAATCAGTGACTTTTTCATCGGAATTCTGCTTAGCATTCACATTTTTCATTTGAACGTTGGTTCACGGAAAACGCGCTTTTTGATGTGAGAAGGAACTGAACCGATTGAAGAAAGCGACTGTTGCTAGGCAACACGATGAATTTCAATTTCTTTGTTTTACGTGGGCAACGTTCGATTTATTCAGAAGACTAGAAAAAAAAAACAAAAAAAAAGAAAAAAAAGATATCAGATTGCAAGATTATTTTGAAACATTTTTCTGTGTGGTCAGGTCGCTTAACTTGGAGTATTTTAAATGTCTTAGAATGATGAATAAAACGATTTCCCTTGAAGGAGCTGTTGGATGGACCAAAGACGGTCCTCAGGGCATCGAGACGGCACCTCCAACTCCGGCGGCCCCGGTTTTGAGCGACTTGCGTCCTTCGTGGCTTGTCGCCGCCGCTGAGACTCCGAGCAACGTCGCTTCTTCTGTGCGCGAGTTCCCCACCTTAGGCCCTCAGGCTAACTCGGGATCAAAGATTCTGAGTGAGAACCCGTTTTCTGAGTACTTTAATCTTGAAATGCTTCAGACAAATGGGAGGTGAACGATTTGACGCAGAAGAGGAACGACGGATCATCGACTGGAGAAGACGAGCTGTTTTCTGACCTACCGGTACTAAAATATATAATAAATTTTGAAAGACTTGAAACTGTGACATCATGCTAATTTTTTGATTTCTATGCTCAGAAAAAAGTCTCGAAATATTAGTAACAAGTTCAAATTACTCGACCAACTTAGTCGTTTGGATTAGAAAAACGTCTGTTCAAAGTTCTTTATTTCGGTGTTCAGGAGAGTGAGAACGAATTTGAAAAAGATTTCGAAGAAGAAATGTTTTCTTTCAGCAAAGTTTTCGGCCATGTTAGGCTCCTAAGGATTAAAATCCCAGTAAACCTTTTTCTATAAGAATATTTTTCAAGGGTTTTTTTGAAGACCGTCAGTTGCTTGAAAATCCAATTTTGCGGAAAAATTACCTATCTCTAAAAAAATAAATTTTATTTGAAAAACAACTTTCAGATTCCGCAAAGGTTCTTCGACAATTCTCGTCGCAATCCTTCAAGATTCAGTGGGTTTTTTTATGTGATGTGCGTGATGAACAGCAAAAAAAAAGCCAGATTTATGCGTTTCCGCGAAAATTTCACATGCACTCGACCATCAATTATCCATCCAAGAAGGTGTAAAATGACGAATTTTAGGTGGAAGCAGCGACGCTCGGCTGTCACAATCTTCCGATTTCGGCCTTCCTCCTCACGGTTTCTGCGACACCATGGATCCCAGTTTGTTTCTTTCTCCTCTCTTTTTATCAGTTATTAATCGACTCTTCTCTCATCAGTGATAATATTATTCTAGATTTGGAAGAAATTTACGACAATCTAGTGCGCAGCCGTACAAATACCGACCGATCCCAGAATAACGTGAGGAAAAATGTGAATAAAAGACAAAAAAAACTGTTTTTCAGGATGTGCGACCAGAGAAACCTAAGACGTGGGACTACGATGAGCAAAAACAGGTAAAATTTTCGAGATGGACATAGACAAAATATTCAAAATTTGCAGCCCCAGAAAGTCCGCTCGCAAGCTCGCAATGACAGTTCATCTGGAGACGAACGAGGTCGACTTTCTGAAAGTTCGAAAGCTCATACCGTGGATTACCGCATTCTCAAACGGACCGAACAACTTTTACTCCAAGACATTAGTGATGATGAAGGTATCTCAACAAAAAAAAAAACTAACTTTTCTATCTCGGAAATTTGCAGAAGTTCAAATGACTCGTTTGGACAGACCTTCTGTTTCAATATTCCAGCGGAAAGCCGGCTCAGAGCCAATGGAAGGGTACAATCCAATCGCTCCCCCTTTTGCTCCTCAGGCTCCCATTGAAGCACCGAAAAACTTCGATGTGGTAACTTCATTGGATTTTTCAATTTCTACGGTACCTTTCAGGTCAAAGAGGTGAAACCTAAAAAGAACAACGAAGCTAAGAAAAAAGCGGAAATGCTAGCAGCCGCTAAGAAAAAAGAAGAGGAAGAAAGAATTGCAAACATCGTTTTGCCGCAGGCGAATCTGGAATCGTCAAACGATAAGGAAAAATCTGAAGAGGTACTCCTTAATGTATAATAGAAAATCCGAATTTTAACATTTCCAGACTTTTACTGAAGAAATTCTGCCTGCTCCGCTTCCAACTGAAAATATCTGGGCCAAGCGACAAGAAGAACGTGAATCGCAAGAAAGAGACAGAGTACGCAATTCCCATAGGAACAGAGAAAAGATGATTGTTGTGGGGGTAGCAAGTGTTTCGCAGATCAAAAAAAGGACCACGCAATGCAGATCACACCTATTCAAATTTTGGCGCCATATTTGCCCGCGGCGCGTGAAATCTCCTCTTGTTTATCTGACACAAGAGTGTGGTTGGCTCATTCTTCAGCCATAATTTATCTTCGCGGTCTTTTGTGTTCCTTGTCTTGTTTTTTTGTTTTTGTTTTGTTGTTTCTCCATGGATGTGGTATTTCAGTTGAGTCGTATGCCAAAAGCAATGCAACAAGCTATCGAGCAGCACTTCCCGCTGGTCACTGAAGCCGCAACGATCAAAGTTGACAAGGTACTTTTTACTGATTGGAGCGTTACGCTGTCTCAAACTAATAGTGCGGCAGTCGGTTTTCTAGCTATATCGTTATCGAGATAAGATCAAAAAACTATTTTTCCAATGAGTATCTAGCATAAAGCGGGCTCGCAAAGGTACTCATACACAGGAGACAATTGATAAATTTATTTCTTTTTTGCAAAACGCTTCCATTGAAAAAAAAAAGAGAAAAGTTTTGGTTTTTGATACTGAAGGAATATTTTTGAAGGCTTTTCAAATTTGAACTCGACTTTCATGCATTGCGTTCAAGATTGAAATGAAAAATTATATAAATGTATACATTTAGTCCGACATCAAGAAAGAAAAATGGGAATAAGCGCGAGCGTTTGAATGGGGAATCTACGATAATACGTTTTGAGAGAGAAGCTCCCGTTAAACATAAGATTAAGTGAATTTTGAGAAATGAGTAAAAAAATTGAAAAAAAAGATTGATGATTTTTTTGATTCGCCCAAAATCTTGTTGGTGCAAAGTTGAATTGATTTGCATAATTTTGATCATCTGGTCAAGTAAGTTTTCAATGTTTTGGATTTGAATAAATCCATGGAATTTTAGGATCAATCTCAGTTGCCCTTTCTTGATTTGCATATATTCAGAGGCTCAGGAGCATATGTGTTCAGAAATTTGGTTGCTGTCTTAAGACTTAAAGAAAGTTCGAAAAATATTAAAAGATCATCGTCACGCACGATAAAATGTCGACGCGAAAAATACTGTAGCGAAAGGGCTAAATTATCTTCTCGGGATTTGAAATTTGAAAAGACTCTATTGTTTCCTGTGAACTCCGATCGATTCAGGAATCGATGCGCAAGCCGGCGGACGCGGACTTCACGCGTGCGGCCCTCAGGGCCCGTAAACAGGCGACGAGCAACGACGTGCGGCGGCTGATGACCCGCGACGAGATCGGTTCTCATGCCGAACGCTACAACGCGCAGCACCGCGCCTTCGTCAAAAAAGACCATCATGGTACACTTCCGATCAATATTTTCCTTTTATCTCTTCCGTCTTCGATTTGCGGTGGGAAAGTGAAAGAGAACGCAGTCATTTTTTATCATCCTTATCATAAAACAGATCTCCAGACGCGGTCAATGTTGTACAGTTTCTATTTTTAGCCTCAAAGGAACTTTTTTTGAAACGTTTTATTTTGCAAGGGATTGAATAAAAAGCGACTGTTCATTTTCTTTCCTGAAATATCAAATGATATCGCTCTTTCTTCAAGGCATTTTGTCTAACTTTGGTACTTTATGACTGAATTGAGAATATCAATAAAAACATGATAACTTTCCAAATTTTTTTCTTCAAAGCCAAATGGAAGGTTTTTTGATTTTTTATAGCGTATCTAGGCATAATTTTAGTTTCAGTTTTATTCCAAACTTTTTTTGATTAAAATGGAAAATGGCGTTTTCAAGGTTTTTTTGAAAAAAATGACAACTGTGAAAAATGCTCTCCATGCTTACAGAAAAAAATCAATCTCTTGAATTATGTTAAAATCTTACCTGTAAGTAATTAATGTCTTTTTGGCTGGCTGTAAGGCGCTGGTATTCTTAAAACCTAAACATTTTGATATCAGCAAATTATATAAAAACACATAGATGCAACTTTGAAAAATTCAAGTATTTCACAAAGAAAACTTCGATTGCATTCTCTTTCTCTTCTGTCCTTTCGCAGCCGTTTTTTGTGTCTTGAGACTATCATTAATTTCTCCTCTCAACCACATTCTCTCTGCAGGCGGCGGCGGGTACACGAGCGACGGAACCTACGAAAACGAGCGCGGCCAGCGAATGCGTGGAGAGATGAGAAACCGCGGACCCCCACAGGACGTCGAGTTTCATCGCGGCGGAGCTTCTTCTGGATTCGGCAACCGCGACAACAGACGTCGCAATGACGTCAACTCGACGTTCACCAGAAACCGCCGTAAGGGCGACAAGGTGGAAAGCGACGTTGATTTGAATGTAAGAGTGTTTTTTCGAACTTTGAACAAATTCTTTTTCCAGCCTTCTGATTCGTCGAGAAAGGGCGATTTCGATGAAGGATCTCACGGTCCGCGTCAGAACCCCTCTCAGGTAACTTCATATGAATCAATTTCAAATTAAACTGAGAAAGGAAATTCATTAACATTTCATTTTCAGGATGTTCGAAAGAACAACAGAAGGCGCGGAGATACCCGGCGAAAGAATTCGTTCACCAGGGTAAGTGCCAATTTATTTTTTAATGGCAATCTTTTTTCTCAGAATGACATGACGAAGCCTCTCAACGGGACTAATAATGGTGCCGAGATTGAGTGAGACTTCAAAAATCTTGCTAGAAACTGGAATAACATTGTAGGAAAAACGAGAAGCGTCGTGCCACTCCAACTGATTTGGCTTCTGCTGCCAACCAGGCGCGAATTAGATCAAAAAACGGCCAACCCGCCAGCCATACATACCCCTCGCACTTAGAAAGTATCTTAAATTGATTTTTCATCTTTCAACTTTTTACTTCCAGAAGAGAACTGGCCGAGGAACGGAGAGAAGGAGGCAAAGGTTGAACAACAGGTGAATAGTCCGAGTTTTCTGAATCTTGTATCTATTAATTTTTTTCAGAATGTAGGACTGGCGGGATCTGACAAAAACGCTGGAGATGAAGCTCGTCGAGCTGATTCGCCAGCTGATACCGCGGATAGTCTTGGAGACTTCGAAGAGGTTAGAATGGGGTTTTTTCTGTTTCAATGAAAAAAAAATTCAGGTTGTCAACCGTCGCTTGAGAAGAAGCAAGGAAAAGGAAAGAGAAAAGGAGAAGGAAAAGGAGAGAGAGGCTTCGAAGGCTTTGCAGCAGACCAAGACTACTCGCAGTCAGCGTCGAGTTCGGAACAATGGAAAACATGGTTTGTTATAACTTTTCGGTTAAAAAAAATTAACAAGATTTCAAAAGAACGCATGGTCATGTTTTTCTTTACAGTTGCAGAAGCTGAAATCAAATCGAAGGACGGTGACCGTCAGAAGAATCACGAAGAAAAGAAGCCTTTGAAAGCGAAGCAAGAACTTGGAGCAACTACCGATGGTTTCCAAAAACGAACTGTCAGCAAGGAGGAGAAAATTCGCATCGAAAAACCTCCAATTCTTCAACAAGAGGAGGTTATCAGCAAGGTTTGAGGTCCAAAAAATTAACTAAGTTCTAAACGCTGAAAAATCAAGCTCCCAAGCCCGATTGGTCCTCCAGCTCGCAAGTTGGTTGAGCCGCCACCAGTGGAGTTTGAGAAATTCCTCGAGCTTCCAGAGTTTATCCATTCGAACAGCTCTCATGATGAGTCCTACGATTTCACATTTGATCCAGACCTTCACGTGAGATCAATTAAAAATGATTTTTTTTTTAAATTTCTTTTTAGGAGTCTGTAAAGGAAGACAAGAACATTTCCTCCTGCTCGGCCGCAGATGATTTGCATCTCAAAGAAAAAATGAGCAAAATTAAGGTACTTCCCATCGTATGACTCAACTTTTGAATGAAAGGTTTCAGGATCTCTGGCCGGGAGATATCGAGCGTACGAACGTAGCCATGGTGAAACCGCAGCCTCAGAACGGAGACACTCCGGTGAGCGAGCCGAAGCTCGACACTCAAACGACCACTTCATCTTCCAGCTCTAGTCGTACTGTCAACAACCTTGGTTGGTCCAAAGGCTAACTTTGGGTTAAAAAGTAAAACATTTGCAGCCCCTTACTCTGCGCACTACTCATCGTTCCAGCCTCTCTATCCAAACTCAGACAACCGATCCACGGGAATGAGCTTGAGAAACGCTGTTTCGCCGCCTTCTTCGTACAACGCCTTCAACGGTTACATGCAGCCTCCTCAGAAAAATCCCTTCAGCTTTGGCGCAACTAACTTCGACTTTGGCCTTCTTGGACTTCGTAAGATAGCCTATATATTCAGCATTCAAAATGTATATTGCAGGACCTGGACAATCTGGATTAGGTGGACCTCCTGGACCTCCAGGACCTCCGGCTCCTTCCAATCAGCTTCACACCCTTTGGTCTCAGGACGCTCCGCCCAATTTCAACAGTACTCCGCCATCTTCTCTTCTGCCAAACTCTAACTCGAGCCACTACGGATTCTTCAATAACGCACCTTCTTCTGCGCAAGACGTCAGTGAGAATTGGTCTTGAAAAGGCTTATAATATGGTTCAGATGAAACTTCGCTCTTTCCTAGGCGGTGGAGGCCTGATGAGCCAGAATGCACCACCTCTTTTCCACGATAGCCGTCCATCGCTGCCGCCGTCTAACTTGGCTGTAGGAAGTCAGCGTGGGAGCTTCGGAAGCTCTAACAACTCGTCCATGTCGTCGACGCAGCCAAACTACTTATCTTTCCTAAGCCAGCCACCTCCTTCAATGAGGTATATTATATGAGATGGTTTTTCACAAACGAAAGTTTGATTTAAGGTTCAATATGTCTAGCTCATCTTCGAACAGTGATAGCTTCTTCCAAAGCTCGTTCTTTTTGGGAAGCTCCAACAGTGGCTCGCAGTTTTTGGAAGAAGACCTTTACGTTAAGAAGAATCAGGGTAGCCGCAATCTGAACGGCTCTCAGACGTCAGCTAACACTAGCGAAGTCTGGTCGAGCACTTCTCAGCCATTCTTCAGCCAAATGTCCCAGCCGCCACGCACTACTTATTCCAACGTCAGTCTTTTTTCAATCTATGGGAAGATTTTTCTATTTTAAGATTGATAAATGAAAATTAGAAGGAAATAAACATAAAAACGCCTCTTTCATTTAAAACTCCAACAGATAGGTAGGAAATTTCTAGAACTGTAGTGTTCTTGACGGACTGCAAATATTTCCTTTCATGGTGACTGACTCATTTTTTATGATTAATTAGTCATCACAAACAAAAATACGTGATGAATGAAATTAATTTTTGTTGCAGTTGAACCAAAACGGCAATAACCGTATGCGTCGTCCTTTCAACGCTGGCCCTGGTGGTCGTCCATAAACCAGTCGAACCCTTCTTTCTTGTCAAATTTTTGAATAATTTATGTTTTAAAAATCTTAATCATATTTTGTGCATCTAAATCCTACCCTACAAAACTCGTCAATTTGTGAAATAATATGGTCATGCGGTATTAAAATTGCTTTAAAGTACTTTTGCATGTTTCTGCGAATGGTTCATGGGCTTTCGATTTCGGAAGTGTACACTGAGCTGGAGAAATAAATAATTTACAAAAATGCATGAAATAACCATCTCCCACCAGTATTTACAAATAAATTAATTGAAAAAACAATAGTTTAACGGGACAGTTAACAAAGTTTACAACTTTTCCCGCAAAACTTGATTTTCTGTCGAGTGGTGTACAAGGTGCTTTCGCAGAATCCTTCAGCCGCCCATTCTTCACAGTCACTTCGTCGATCTCGGCAATCTTTCAGCTCATTGATGGTCTATAGAAATCGTTTCGATCAGATAAGGGTTGAATAAAAACTGTTCGGTGGAAAATAAGTAAACTCGTTCTCAGCTTTTCAATGAGAAAAAAAGTCGTCATACTCCAAACTTCAGAAAATTATTTGTGGAGATGAACCTGAATTCTGATTTTTTCAAGCTGGGCTACTACGGTTTGAGTGTTTGGATTTTAAGGCGCTGGTTTTGCGGCAACACTTCACCGACCACATTTTTCTGACTCCAACTAAACTCACAATGTTAACCAAATGACATCGAGCGCAAGTTTTGGCGCAGTTGTTCGTCATGAACTGCTTGTACCCTTTCCGATCACAAAGATGAGCTCTGCAGCCTACCAACTCGTCCGTACAATTGATTTGTGGCGTCAAAATGCCTGAAAAAATATTTCGGAAGGTTTACTCTTTTCGACGCAAAACTCACAACAGAAGCCGTCCAGACAGGAGTGTCCTTCTGGACAACGGTTACTTATGCATTCTGAAACCTTCAAGCTGACCAAAATGAGAGAAAAGTTACGCACCTCCAATAGGCTCTCCAATCGGGCATTTTTCATGAGTAAGATATTCCTCTTCATGAGTTGTGGTTGTAGTCATAGGAGTTGTCGAAGTGGTCATTTCAAGAGTTGGTTTTGTTGTTTTTCTGCTTCTGAAAGTGAACCCTTGAAAGAAATTTTTGAAGAGACAGCAGACTTGAAGCGGCGGCTGGCTTTCTTGGTAGCCGTCGTAGCTTGTTCAGTCGTGGTAGTCACTGGTTCCGTCGTTGTAGTTATCTCTTCTTCTTCTTCTTCTTCTTCTTCCTCCTCCAGCTCTTCCTCCTAAGTGAAAACGTGATCTTTTTGTAATAGTGTAAGTTTGAAATGATTGGGAAGTTTTGACGGAAATAAATAAAAAAGGACGTGACTTCATTTTGAATGAAATGAATAAATTTGTAATCACCTTGAGAATGAACTGAGTTAAATTATCCATGGAAAAAAAAAATTCTAAAATTCGATTATTTTACAATTTTCTGTGCTTTAAAGTTTTAGAGCTTAATTATTTTATCCTAATATTGTTCGTTTTTTCATTGCTCTGAAACATACTGTAGTTATGGTAGTAGGAATTGTTGTAGTGGTCGTGGTGGTATGTTCTTCCGTAGTAGTCTCCTCTTCTTCACTGGTTTCCGTTGATGGAGATACCGAAACGGCTGGAGAAGTCTTCATTTGCTGATAATTTCCTTGGCCTTAAATCGTCTCCGGTTTTTCGTTCATATCTTTATTCTTGGATGCACCATGTTGAGTTGTGTGAAGCACAGTGGTTGGTGTTGAGGATGTGCTGGCGGGTACCATAGTATCCGGGTCTGTGAGAGCCGTGATGAAAGTGATGGTGATATTAATTTTAGTGTGATGAATTTACAATTAGAGTGAAAAAAAGCGTAGGAGTTTATTCTCCGTTCCCACTTTTTCTAGGAACCGTTGATGTTCTGCGCTCGCGTATAATTTAGTGAAATGGAAAAAGTTCTGTTTCAAACAGAATGACTGCAAAACTCAAGAGAAGGTAAGAGTTAAGCGAAATTTATTTCATTAAGGTGCTAGGCCAATTATGATCTAGACGAAAAAATCTGAAGAGCGATAAAAAAGAGCGTTTTCGCAAAGAAAAAGAAATAACAATTGAACGTCAAAGCTTGAACTATTTCTTTCACCAGAAGCCTCATTCGCATGAAGTATAAAAAAGCAAACCACAGCAAAGACCGTCAACGCAATTGTATCCGACGGGGCAAGTGTCGGCGATACATTCTCCAATAGCCTTCCTTCCGTTGGTGCAACCTCCGAACTCCAAGTTCTCCACTTCGACTTCCACTTTCTCCAGTTTCTCAGCTTTCTTGCCCTTGCCTGCACCTTATTTTGAAGTCATGAAAGCAATAATTCTCTCTAGGGACTTACAACAATATCCATTGATACACTCTGAACCCGCTGGACACAAACCAGCCAAACAGGCTGAAACAACTGGGGTGACGTTGCAGAAAAACAAGTGCTAAGATAATTACCTCCTATGGATTGTCTCCGAGAAGGGCACATGTCGAAGAATCGTCCTGACGCCAGAGGCAGAAAGGTCAAAAAGCTCACAAAAATGATGTGCATTTGAGCCTAAAAAGTTTTTTTTTCCCTTACCAAGATTTTTATTCAGAAATTCAAATATGCAAATGAAGAAGTAGAATGGGGATTGTGATTGAGGTCATATGGTCTGTCTATCAAAAACTGAAGCCAAGGGATCTTTATCTTCAATAGTAAGGGTCGAAAATTCGAAGGTCTTGGGTACAAGGTAGGCTATTGGCATTTTTTGGGCTTGTAGAAATTTAGAAAGACTTTTTTAAGGATCAAAAAACTGCAGTGAAGACTCATGAGAATTTTTTCCGAAAATTTTAGAAAAAAGACGGTTTCACTTCGAGAAAATGAGCAGAATTTCCAGATAGTCAGAATTTTAGGAGCGTTCTATCCAAGAAGGAAAGTTTGAAACAGAAGTGCACAACTTTTAAAAAGGTTTTTTTCGGACAAAACTTATTATCAAATGTTTCTTTGTTACTATAAACTGCCAAAAAAAGTGAACAGAAATGTTCCAGACGCTTTATATAGTCTCAAAATGAAGTCATTTCGTGCAGAACGTCTCATTTGAATATTTCAGGCGAGACGATCTATGATAGGACCAAAAATAGGAGAGGGAGGGATGATGTGCACAGGTGCAAACTGTTGATGGTGTTGACCCAAACACTCGACGCCAACAGCTCAGTCGAATGAGCGGTCCCGACGGCCTGAAATGATTGAAATGGAACTGAAACGGAATTTTGTGCAAACTCGACAAGACCCCTACTTGTTGGACACTTGCAATTTTCAAGTACACGAGTCCTTCTCGACCACGACTCCGAGTCTTCGCCTCGCCATAAAGAATGACAAGTAGATGTGTCGCCTCCGAACGGCTTGTCACTCGAGATTTGGTCTTGATAGCCCCCACGGCGTCATCCATTTTCTCGCCAGTCCTTGAGATATCCAGCTGCCTGCATGGCTTTTGCTCATAATGCGGTTTCAAAGAAAACGAGGCTTGGTGTGATTTGAAAAAAAATCCCCCGATAAGTATAAAAAATGTGAAAGATTAAACCATAGAAGAACTAGCCGATATAAAATTTAAAGAAAGTGTCTGTTACGGTGAATGATTTTCCGATTAACTATTATATCCAAATATTTTTTTAAATTTTGATTTTTTCTTAAAGGAATCAGCTACTATTCGTAAAGAAATAGCTAATTTGGTTACTGTAGATCAAATTTTGAAATTGTTTGCATTGGAAACTTTTGGTGATATACGGACTACAGATAACTTTGTGAAGTTCATGAGTTGAAAATATAGGAACATTGGTTCTGTTCCGAAACACTTTTTGAGTCTTCTAAGCCCGTGTGAGACCAAACCCATGAATCAGTTAGTTGGCGGCTCTTCGATAGTTGGCTGACATAACTCAGAAAATTGGCATGATTTTTCAAAGTTGCTCTCGAAAAAAGAAAAACTGTGGTTGACCAATTGCGAAGACAAAAGTAAATATGCCGAAGAAGTTTGTCAGAAAGGCCCAGAAGACGCACAGTTTGCACAACATCGTGACCGTTATAATCAGCTAAGAACCGTAATCCGTGGCGCTCGTTTGCGGCGTAGATACATAGCGTTCGCCGCTATTTGGCTGAAATTTCAGTTGCTGGACCGCTCGCGTTTTTTCTTGTTATTCTGGTTTTTGATTATTCAATCAATTATCGCGAATACCACACTTTTTCTCAGTTTTGCTATCTTATTTTCAATTGTTTCATTCAAGCATGGTTTTTTTCAGTCAGAAAGCTGAGATCTGGAGGCAACATTTTTGAATTTTTTTAGTGTTTGTCATAAAAATTTGAAAAAAATGAGAAAACCAACGCAAACAAAAGCAAGCGAAACAAGCTCGCAAATTCAAGATGTAAAAAAAATACTTAACTTAAAGCCAGCTATTATAAAAACATTTCAAACTTTTTCTTTTTTCTTTATCATCCGTGTCATTTTGGCTAGTTGTAGCTGTGTTTTTCACAAAGCTTAAACTTTGATTCCGTTTTCTCTCACTCATCTGTCTCAAAAAAGTGGAAGCTTGAGCTTTGTTTTTTCTTGATCAATGTATTTCGAAATTATATTTTTTCAGATCTTTTCCGAAAATTTTGAGATTTTTTCAAAGTAGATTTTACTTTTTTTCTTTAAAGGAGAGTTGTGTTGACAAGAAACCGCTTATATATTTCGAAATTTTTAAAGTTTTTCTCTGATAAGTAAGTTTCTGCAAAAAAAGTTTTTTTCACTTTTTCGAGTTCTATCCATGTCGATTTATTTTTTTTATCAACTTTCATTCATTATATACAGTTTTTCTACCTCATGGACGCATTTTCGAGCATTGCAGCTGCATTTTCGAAATTTCACCATAGTCAAGGTTACTCAAGGTTGATTGCTACGGATCACCGAAAAGCTTCGCACGTTTCTTTTTTGAGAGACGTCCATCTGGAGTGGCAGCTCCAGAAAAACGGATAGACGTCGGCATTTCACTGTCCGACTGGCCGATCCATTTTCCGCCGCCTGTCTTTTATGATTCTTCGGCGGTCACGCATTTGATGCCTCTCATTTCGGTTGCATGCGGCGAGCTTTCCGCAACCGCCGCATTATTCAGATCATCACGCAACATTTCTTGTTTTATGCCTTTTAGACTTACTAATTCGACTTTGACTATTCTGTTATTCTTTTCTAGTGCCGCCAGATTTATTACATCCGAAAATATAGTTATGGCCTTTCTTTTTTCTTTTTCCTGTTAATTTCGAAGAGAAAATTTTTAGGTTTGAAATTCGAGTGTACCGCTTTGGCCGATCCTTTTAGATTCTGTAGAATGCAAAACTTTTTATTCGTTGTCTTTATTTATGCTATTATTCAGATGAAAACATTTTTGTTGGCTTTCAAAGCTCTACTAATCAATTTTTCAACAACTCATGTTTTGTATTCCTGTAAATTGCAAATCTTTAAGCCTAAAAATTCAATAAAAAAACTGGGTACTATAACCAGTAAAAAAATATTAAAGTGACGCGGCTACAAAAATGCTGCCCCTAAATTTCCCTTTTCCATTTTTGACTTCAATTTTTACATAACGAGAAGAAGGCGACACAATTTTAGAAGGGCAATAGGCTCTTTGAATTTTAATTTCCCGTTTCGCAATTTCCTTTCTTTCGAATCATCAAATGGGGCTCTTTTTTTTGTCCTTTCCTTCCCATCCGGCTTCTGACTCTTCTTCGAGAAGGCGGTAGCCTTTTAATGAAAGAACACAAATCTCTCCTCGAAATGAATGACAGACTAATTAGGTGCATTTTCAGTATTTGACGATATAATTCTTGCACCCCATTTGTCGCTGCCTCATTTTACCATATCCAGTCCAAAGAGCTCAGAGGCATTGAAGCTCCCAGGAAAAAAAATCTCATCAATTTGCAGATGTTCCCGCCGGCCTAGTGTTTGAAAAACTGCAGAAAATGAGAAAATGGAGGGACACACGAACGAAGAAGAATTTCGAAAAGGCGGCGGGAGCAGTGGCTAGAATGACTAATGAGCTTTTGAATGACCTCTTGGCTGGTGTCATGTCCTCTCATTTCGGGCCTAGCAGGAGGACAAAATACATAAATGCCTTTTGTGGGTCCTTGACAAGCCTTTCTCGCGAGGCCGCCTCTGGTCTCACGACAGATGGTACGTCTTCAATGAGTCTTCTCCCGTTGATTACCATACACACAATTGCGTTAGCCGTTTGATTAGGATGTCCAGGAAACCTACACCATCATCCATGTTCCCTTTTACGATCTCTAGAGACCACCATCTGCAGCGCTTATTTCCGGCTTCTAAATTTTACAACCGGAGAAAGAAAATTCAAAATTTTGCCATAAATCAAGTATGTTTCCAAAAGAAACCCGGAGAAAAGGCTATTAGTAGAATTCTCATCCAAACGTTCAGAATCTCAGTTTTATCAAGAGGTTCGTTCCAGATAATTCAAGAAACAATTCAAGAGGCGAAAAAAGGGAAAAAAGAATTTCAACTTTAATGAGACTAATCTAATATATGAAATCACTTCTTGATAAGATTTAAAAAACGGAGAATTTATACTTCCGTGAAAAATGGTGTCAAAAAAGATCAGTGAAATCAAAAAAACAAAAAATAAATTCTAAAGACAGCCGATCATTATGCAAGAAAAATGAATTCTATAGTAGTTACAGTTTTTGCAGGGAAAATAATGCCTAAAAGCTATGAACAAATTATTAGACTTTGAAAACAATTTTTACACGCGGAAAAAAAATGAGGGAGTTCAATTCGAAAGAATAGTTTTTCTGAAGGTTGGACTTTTTCACGTCCTTTTCTACCCTCGCAGCCGAGTTTTCCCAAATGACAGATGCTTTTTTTTATACTTCTCACAGTGGGGAAAAATTGCACAACCAATTCCGGCGTTGTCCAGCGCGTTGTACATTTTTGGTACGAAATGGCGCAGCTGGGTCGACTTTGCTTATTTTTTTCAGACTCTCTTCCCTAAAAAAACAATAATGACTAAAGTTTGCACAAACAAGGCAAACAACGACGTCAGGTTGATTCTCATATTGATCCGTTGGCCGATCGTCGCAATCAAATCAATTATTATCATTCGGTGCAGGGCACACCGATTATTATGTTGCATTGCTGTGAAAAAAACCTCTCGCTCCCTTTTTCATCATCATATTTCATTGAATTTTTCATTCAAACTGTCAAGAAGTTTCAGAAAAATTTTTTTAAGATCAGTTATTTCAAAAAGATCTTTGAAAAACAGTGACGGTTGTTGAATCAATTTCTCACATCATCTCTGGATCTTTTTTTTGAACTTTTCGTTCCAAAATTTGAAAACAGTCTTGAATTTTCAATTTCTTGTAGGTTTTTAAAACTTGAAATATCGATATCCACCTTTCATGATTATTCAGAAGAATTTCGGCCAATCTAAAATTAAATTAGAACTTTTTTTCTATAAAAGACTATTTTTTTACTTGCTTTTTTGAAGGTTCCTCCACTTATTGTCATTTTTTCTTTGGCTTCGCTTTAACCTAACCTAACCAAGAAACACATTGATAGAAGAAAAAATTTGCTGACTTACTAGAAACGGTATCTAATTAAGCACAAGGAAATGGAATGCTGATGGCGAAGCGAACAAGCGACGAAAGGTGTTTGACTAGTTTGACCCCGGCCGCCACCATTTCTTTTCTATTTCTTCAAATTTTTCATTCTGAAGGCCTTGAACGTCAATCTTGATTTGCGTGTAAACACAATACGAGCAGGTGTCGCTCTTCTCTTCTACAGTTCCGATCGCCTTTTTTCAGTTTTTCATGTTCATCAGTTATTTACAATGGATCGAACTTGATACCGAGCAAACAACAAACTGAAAATTGACAGCTTGCTCGTTTTTAGATTGTCTTTATGATAACCGATTTTACGAGGTTCTCTCGCATCAAACCGTCCTTTTCGATTCGAAAACCCAGGAAAAGAAGAAGTTTAGAGCGACAGAGTTATAAAGTTTTCAGCGTTCCACTCTTAATGCGATTATGTACTAGTTGCACTTTTTTCAGTTTTCTTTTTTTTCATATCGATGAAACTGTCACTGACGTCGTATCATCGCTGCCATTACAAAGACTTTTTTCGCTGTGGGAAATCGAGACGTGAGGTTCTTTTTTGTTGATTCTCAATGTTTCTTCTTTCTCATTGAAGGCTGTGTCGGTTTCTTTTCAACTGTTAACGTTTCGAGTTAAATTCTAAAAAAAGGGCATTTTTTTGACAAGCTGTTCCGAAATATTTTTCGAGTTTTTTTCAAGAAAAAAATCTTAGATTTCTTGATATTTTTCTTATGACTTGGTCTTCATTTGGTTGCAAGTCGTGAATTTGATCTATGAGCTTTTTTTCCCAAAAAGTCTGAAAAAAATCTTTTTAGAATACGTAAGATATTGAAAAAAAATAACTCTTTGAATGTGTATTTGATGTTGTTTGATAATTTTTTTGAATAATTATGAATATTGGACTTTTGAAAATTTTATTTCCATTATTTTTTTCCAAGCTGCCCTGTCCTCCTTCTAGGAATTAGACCTATCAAAACATTTTTTCTTGATCTTTGAAACTTTTTTCGCTTTTCTTCCATTTTCAGCGAAAGAGCGTATTTGAAGATTTTTAATCTTCAGTTGGACGGTAACTGTGCGTAGGACAGTTTCTGTTTGCTTTTAATCTCGAAAACTCCTGCCGACGGCGGCGGTAGACGTTCGGAGGCAGAGGAACACGTAAGTCCGACATTAACCCAACTCGCTCTCACACAATTACCCATAATTGTCACAGTGAGCTGGACAACGTCGTCGAACCCCCGGAGGCTGCCGAAGACGTATCTCATTTGCGGCCCTATTGTCCCTAGCGCCGAGCCTCCAAACATTGCAAACTAATCGAATAATCGTGTCCATCGATCCCAATTCAATTGTAAGCTCGCTCGTGGGACGGAGAAGGCTTCCAAGCCCAGTCCGTCGTCTAATTTGGTAACATAACACGGAAAAGTCCAAAATGGCAAGCGGCAATTAAGCGGATGCGGCTGCGCGGCACGCAATTCGTCCGTTTCGCAACCCTTTGCCATGGCGCACTATCTAAAATAACCTCGCTTTACAGTAACCCTATTGTTAACGCCGGCTTTTGAAGCTGAGGAATTGTCTAAATTAATTGCCAAGAAGGCTCATAAAACTTTTCCTCAATTAATTACAGTAACCCTCACTTATTTTTTCAGAAAGAATACTCTTTAAAATTCCAGAGTTATGAAAAAGAATGGTTGGACAAAATTTCTGATCAAATAAAGAAAATCGCCCTCTGATGGTAATCGAAAAATTCATTCAAGTATTAATTATTGTCGTCAAGTATTGCGCCGGGTACGCAAACAAAGGTAGAATAACTAAAATAGGGTCACATTTGCGTTGATTCCATTCTTCAAGCGGCGTTCTTTTTTTCTTGTTTTTTTCCTGGTAATTTTTTTCATCAGTTCTCATAGTTTTTTTATCTAGTAGGATACAAAAAAATGTTGGTCTAATCGAAATCACAGCCGTGAAGATCATAAATTATTAAAAAAATCAAATTATGCGTCTTTTTTGAGTGAGGTGTGCTCCAATTGAACAAATTTTTTTCAAAAAAGAGAGAATCTTTCCTTGACTTTTTTTCTTATAAACACCCTTTTCAAAAAAACAGATTTCCTAACTATTCAAATCATTCCTGACGTATTGAAATCGTATGAACAATTTTTACATTTGTCACTTGAGAAGTTTATTTCGCTTTTTGTTCCTCTCAAAAAACATCATCGATAGCAAAACACTTTCGTAATTATTTTGTGGACTCCTTTTTCCCTTCGAAGGGCGATTTTCCGATCAACAAAAAGAAATGTCTCAAAGATATCCTGACCTTGAACTTTCTTCGCACGAAGCAGCCTAAACAACGGGAGTCTGGGCGCGAAAGCCAATTGGTTCCGGAGGGAATCAAACGCAACATTGCACTAGGCAGCTTTACAGCCATCCCGATGGCCAGCGGTTTTTTCTCATTTCTCGGGGTTCGCGAAACGATCAAGTCGCCTTGGCGCTTCCTCGGACGATCGTAAATTCAGCTAGTGTTCACCTGCCCTCGCAATTTCGAAAGACGTCGCTCCAAATTACGCTTGAGTTTTGTTGCTTTTTTCGTTCTATTGAAGGTTTTTTTATTTGCTTCTAAAAGGTTTTTTCAGAGGAAAATTCTCCTCATTTTATGAATTTTGAACTGAGACGGTTTTGTTGAAAATTATCAAAAAATAAACTATACGGCGATAAAATTCTTAATAAAGGTATTTTTCATTTTTTTCAAGCTGACCGTTGTTGATCACAAATTTTTTTGAAACAACTACTTGAATTTTGTCAACAAAAAAATTTCCTTTTTTTCATGTGATTGAGAATTACTAAAATTAACATCATTTTAACCATATTTATAGCGAGAACTTCGATCTCGAAAGAATGATCTTTTGATCTAAATGATTTTGCGATTTTTTCCTTTTTTCTCAAACTGCTACATATTACATACCTATTTTCCAGAGTGAAAGCTCTCTACCAACAATTGGAAGAAAAGCAAACAGTGTTTTAAAAGTAGAGAAGATCCGAAGATGGTTCAAGTTTTGCAACAGGCATTCAGATGTGATTTTGGGTGAGAAGCGGACAACGAAACGGTCGCGGAACACAAACACTTTGAAGAGAAAGGCGTGTTGTCGGAGAGCGGCAACACATGCGACGGCATCCTCAGGGCGCGCAAGGTCACCAACACGTCGGCGCGACGCATTCGATTGATCGGGGAGGGTCTCCTGAAGCGTTTTCCATTTCGTCGGTGCGCTTTTTAGCCATGTTCTTGTTGCTGGCTGTGTTCGTTTCATTACTCGTGCTCTACGGTAGTGTTGGGCGGACCTTCCTCCTCCTCAAATCGCGCGCGACTCCTTTTCTGGGGAGGCCGTCCTTCGACATGTGCTCCTCGGTCTGGCTGCTGCCAGCTTTACGCTCGAACCTCGACAAGCCTTGGTTCCATGCTCTTTAACGCCTCGTACGCCTCAATGATCGATTGATTTGGGGTGATAAATTGGCCGTCGGAGGGAGGTTGAAACTGAACTCAGTTCGTCTTTTCTCAAGTCCTCGAGCCCTTTTTGTCGTGTTTCGTTTGCTGTGCATCGCCTCGCACATTTGTAGGTGTACGACCTGTGTTGACTGTGTGAATACAAAGCATGCCGTGATTCAGCCAAAGACACACCAACTTTCCTTGCCTCCCGATGCCGGAGCCGGCTGGCGCTCGTTTATGTTTTTCCAGCCCTGCTTCCCTCCAAAAAATGCACATTTCTGTTTTATTTCCTTGCCTTTTTTGCTTTTGTTGCGTTTCTCAATTTGGCTGATAATTTCGCTTTTTGAGCAAAGAAATAAGAAAATATTTCGAATTGACAAAAAATATTTCTTATGGAGTCAACTTCTTAAATTTTTTTGATTTTCATAACAAAAAGATTTTTCCTTCATCAGTGACATGCCTTTCCTATTTTTTTCCAGTTCAACCGCTAAAAAAATTGAACGAAAAATTTATTATTATTATTATTATTGGGTTTCAATTACAAGTCCAATCTTTTTTAAAAAAACTATTTTTTTGAGAATTTTTAATTGCCTGTTTCAGAAGAACTTATTTTTGCAAGTTTTAAATTAGCTTCTCATGTATAAAATAGAGTCAGTAATCGAACCAATCTTACGTTAAAATGATAAGGATTTTGTTCAAAGGTCTTTTATTTTTCCTTGAGTGATTTGACTTTTTCGGGTAATTTTTTCATTCGAAATAGTACAACTTGGGAATGTTTGGAAAAAAAATGTTTTCGCAACGATTTCAAACATTTAAAAAGCAAAAACAACGTGATAAGATTCTTTGAAACAGCGCGAAGTGTACGGCGAAGGTGAAATTGGAATAATGGCAGGCAATGGGGCGGCATGATTGCACCAATACTCGCGTCTCTGTCTGTCACAATACCACTCTCCGTCACGCTGCGGCACTACTTTCTACTCAACTTTCACCTTTCCCTGACTCAAAAATATCCCATCAATCACTTATCGGACCGGTAAATTCTCAATGTCACAAATTCCTCGTTCCCGATCGTTTTTAGATTCATCTTTCTCGTTGGGCCTCGAAATTCGTTGAATACACAAGTAGGATGCAAATCAATACCGACGATTTAGGCTCGCCCTAGGGAAGAATGTCATAATCCATGAATTCGAAATTGAGTCCAATACGGTACATGCCGAGGAAACATTCGTTTGCATTCAAAATGAGCCGCTGGGTGGTTTGGCCTCTGAAGAGTTTTCAATCTTTCCATTTTTTTGTCCTTTCAGAAGTTCCCGCCGCAGCTGGCTGGCTCTAGTCTGACCGTTTGCAAGCCGTGGCTGTTTGATTGAGGCTGATGAGAGTGCTCGTGATGTGAGAAGTGGGCCCGATATACCAACAATCACGCCAGCCTCCTCCATTTAGTGTTCTTTTTTTTTTGATTTCTAGCCCACGTAACAAAAAGAAAGACGAAGGAATTTTTTAACTCAAAAAAAGCAGAGAGTTGGAATGATTAGTTGAATACAGACATCGAGTTGAACGGACACCTCATCGGCCACGCCAGCACTTGATTTATCGTCGTGAGCTGGTGTAATGGGTGAGCCTCTGGCGCTTTCTTGGCACGCAAGAATCGATATCTACTTGTCATTGTCCTTCTACTCTCTCGTTGGTGACTACTGTAGAAGGCGGAGCATCGGAGCATTTCAAACAAGTACACGCTTCAGAGGTGCATGCAGCCAGCTGTCGTCGTCCAGATGCACGTCTTCTGAAGGCGGAACGTCGGCTCGGCTTCTCCCTTGCCACGCTTCTCTTGCGGTCTTTATGATGAATTGCGTCGCTCTCGCCTCGTAATTTTCGTGAGATCGGCTCTGCCCCGAAAGGGATAATGCGCATAAACACACAACACTCTGTCGTTGGACTGCCTGGCTTCCCTTTGGGTTGACTTGTTTCAAAGCCCATGGCAAGGCAAACGGTCTGTCAAGGACGCTTCCATCTGTTTAATACCTTATAGGGGTTGAACCATTTTGTAGGTCGAGTGAAACTAGATTCTCGCTCGTTTGTTGATCACCGCGGCGTTTTGGTCAGGCGGAGGTTTTTTCAGACTTATCATCGTTAGGAATTGACTGCTAACTTGATTCCGTTTTTGTTTCTTTTGACAATCTTACTAAGGAATTGAATAATAGGAAGAATCAAATTTATCAAACTCAAAGTAAAAAAATCTTAAAAACTTTAATAAAAATCCTCTGAACGTGAAGCATCGTTTTCCTCAAATTTCTGTAGTTGCGAAAAAAATCTTTTTTTAAAAATTTTTTTAAAAAAACGTTTACCGGTTTCTTCAAATCTTTCTTGTACTCAAAACAACTGAAAAAGTTTCTCAGTTGATAAGACATTTTTTTCGGAATTCTTCCCAACAGAGATTCTTATCTAAAAGATTCTAAGTTTGCACATCTTCTTTTTTTTGCAGTTGTTGCGGAAAAGCTGCGCGCCGGCGGCATGAAACGAACGGTCTTGAAAATAGACGTTTTTGTTTGGGAAAGCGTCTTTTTTTCATGGCACGATACTTTTATTTGGCTGTGCGGTGCCTCTCGGGCGTGTATCCAATGCATTGGAGAAGGTGAAACTGGTTTTGTAATGATGGTGGTTATTCGACAGACACGTACACCAGTTTGGTTCGAGGTCTTTTCCGTTTGGCCTGCATTAAAAACTCAAAATCTTTGTTTTTTACAGCTTCATTTTGATTTATTTTGAGAGTTAATTGTTTTTTCAAGTTCATATATTTTTATTTTGAGACTTATTCGAGAATACTTTCCCATGTCGTTTTCTTGAGAACACCTGGTTCTCAAATCCATTAGAAATGACATTTGAAAGTGTTCACTTGCTGCAAATAAAAAAAGTTCGAGCTCGGATGACATAAAATTGTTGCTCGGTTGATTTTTTGAATTTTTATCATCCAAAAAGCTTTTTCGGATTCTTCGTTTTGCTTCTCTGAGCAGGAGTTTGATCAAACACGTTGAAAAATTCCGTTTAAGAATGGTCACCTTCTCCGATACGCTTCCGAAATTTTCCAGTTCATTAGTTTGTACAAATTCCTAGCATTTTTTTTGTAGTTCTTCCTTGTTGAAATGCGCCAAACATGAAAATGCCAAGTTTTCCTTTCCCTACACACTTTTACCATTGCTTTTTCCCAATTTTAATGCCGCTTTTGTGAGGCGTCGTCGGTCCCTCCAAGCCTTCTTTTCAAGAGAAAGGCGTACGAAACGAAAATGGGCGCGCCAACCGTCCATGATTCATTTTTCTCCATGCGAAACGTCGCCCTTGTGGAAAAGTCTTATTTGAACAAAAATTTCTCAACTTCCACTCTATGCCACCCTTCAGATAACCCTAATTTATAGTTTCTGCAGTGAATGTTTCGCCGTTTTTTCCGTGTTTATCTAAAAAAAAAAGAAAACGAACTAAAATCGTTTCAGTAGGATGTACGATGAAAACAGTAACAACGCAAGTGCGACTTCGGCGGCGACGGCGTCTTCGTTGGCAGGCGTCGGCTCCGCTCCAAACTCGGCCCTCGTGACACAGCTCATCAACGTCAAAGACAGTCGCTGGTTACAGGTTCGTCTTTTTTGATTTTCATTTTGCGGCATTCTCTTTCCTTTCCGTTGTCTCACCGAAAATCGCCAGAGAAAAGTTCGAAACGCGCAAAAAAGTTTTTATCACGTTTATTTTTCAGTGGTTTGTTGTTCATTTCTGAACTTTTTAAATTTCTGTTAAAATAATCAACAATTTTTTTCCATTCCCAGGGATATTCAAAGTTAAAACATGGGAATAGTTGTTTTTAGAAGAAATTTCCAACTCTTTCAAAAAAACTATACAAAGCGTTTCACGCCTCTGTAAAAATATTTGAATTGTGTATTTTTTTCAAATTAAAACTCCAGTTTAAAAAAACAAAGAGTAATTCTACCTTTCGAGGGAGCCTGGAAAAATTCTCCGTTTCTCAGAACTGGCTTCATTTCAAGCTTTGAAGGACCAAAAAAGAATATGAGAAAAACTTCCCCAAAAACCGGACAATTGCGAAAGTTCAGAGCTTCTGAATATTTGGTTCTTAACAAAGAACATTTTGTTTCTTAACCTTTCGAAATACGCTGTTGGTCAAAGTTAGAATTTTTGTAATTTTTCAAACCAGATGAAACATCCTTCTTCGAAAGCCCTCTCAAACTGCGGACTTTCAATAGAAAAGTCAAGAGAACTTGGCTGACGCTCTTTTCACTTTGCCATCGTGTGCTGAAAAAGTTCAGAAAAAGACCAGTTTGAAAGGAAATCAACGAGAAAGATGTGATTTTTGGATAGGCCATCCTCTTTCATACATAAAGCCTTCGAAACGGCGTTTCTCACATTTGTTTATTCAACATTTGGCGGCACAGGATTGTCTTCTCCTTCGGCAATAGGAGACGAGGGGACCGGCGTCAGGAAATTCAGCTGCTTCATCTTCTTTATGTTTTCTCTACTTGGCCTGATGACTTGCCAATGATTGGGGCTTGGAATTGTGTGCAACTCGAGGCCGAGTATACCGCATTCCACCCAGCTCTGCTCCAAGCGGTTAATTAAGTTTTGGGCGATCCGCCCAAACCACCAAAATCCCATTGTTTCTGGCAAGACGAACATCCGGTGGAAAAATGAAATATGGAGCTGGGCGCGCTCGAGAAAATGAGCTGCGAGTTTAGAGAGAAGCGGCCGAGAGAGGAAGACTTATTCGAAAACGATTCTTGGGGAGAAGTCACCCATTGACTTTTCGATTAGACCAGATTTTTTGGCTTCGTTCAAGCTAGACTTTCAAAGAAAACAGAAATAAAAGGCCAGATATTTTTCAAGGTTTACAAAGAACAAGTTACCGAAGCAGTATGTAGTTGTTTTTTTTTTTGAAAAAACGAAAATGTTTGCTTTATAAACTTCAGTTTGAACTTTTTTAAAGATTTTGGATCAACTTATCGGTCCCTTTTTGGATTATTCACATCATCAGTTGAAAGACAGTTGTGGTAGATTCCGCAACAAGAAAACCCTTGAAGAATAAAATTAATAAGTAAGAAGACTCTCACCGAAAAAAAAAATTAAAAAAAATCTAGTCTTCAATTAACTTTTTTTTCGAGAAAGAATGAATTTCACATGACTCACTGAAAAGAGAAAACCTCCGCAAGAAATCCTAGCCCCTCAATCAAAGGCAAAAAATGACTGATCCTCCACTTCCGGATCGGCAGACAATATTTCACGCATGTGCGGCAGCTTAAGTGTAATACAAAACATCCGGTAGAGCAGCCGCACCAACTCATCACAGAGCAACTCAAAACGGAGAGGAAATTGTATGCGCGAAGATAATCCAACGCCTTTGGCGGTACTGGAATCGGAATTAATTTTTTCGGGTTTTCAGGTCGAAGTTTGCCGTGAGTTCCTACGGGGTCAATGTGCCAGAACGGATCAGGAGTGCAAATTCGCCCATCCACCGCCACATGTAGACGTTCAACAGGGACGAGTCACGGCATGTTACGACAGCATCAAGGTTTCCGAATTTCTTAGTTTTTATTTTTATTTTCAAATCGAATTGGTATTCAAAAAAATAGTTTCTGAAAAAAAAGTTGTTGTTAAAACAAAAAAAAATTCAAAAAATGATGTTGGTTCGAATAAAAAAAACAGGAAGAAGTATGAGCGTGAACTCATGAAACATGTAAAATGCACAAATAAAAAGTACTGCTCATAACGTTTTTGAAAACGTTGCTTTGTAAGAATTTTCAGCTGATGATTTTGAAAATTTGTGAAAAATTTTCACGAAGTTGATAATGCAAAAAACCGTTTCAAAGTTTGTTGTTTTTAGATGGCTTCTTCTTTTTACGCCCAGAAATTTTTTTGCTCAACTTCAGGCCTGAGAGTCTGTTTTTTATTAAAAATAATCATTTAATCCAAAGTAAAATAAACATTTTTTTCTTCACTTGAATTTTTAAGTCTTACTACGGAGATACATATATTTTTTTGTTTCTCGGTACGTTTTCAATTTTGTTTTTGTTTTTTTGAATGGTTCCCCGCAATCATTTATTCTAAACTACGGAATAACTATTTTTTAACATTGCCCACTTTTCCTTTCTTTTTTCCCCGCGGCAGTTTGAAATTTTCACTTTTTTTTCCGCCAAAGTCGTTTCCCATAAATTTTAACGTATGCATAAAGTAGGCCCCGGAGAGTCTTTTTTGTGAGAAATGAGCTCGTTGACCTCGCAGCAGCCGTTTTCGCAACTTTCATTTCGCCGATCCGTCAGGAAAAAAACCCGATTGAGAAGTACATTGTCGTTAGGTTTTGAATTGAGGTTGCAGAGAGCGAAAATTTATAAGTTCATAAAGTGATGAACTTTGAAAGATTGACGAAGTAAGTTGATAAAATAATTTTAAAACTTTTCTACGAGTTCAGATCAGATTTTTTCTCTTTTTACTCTTATCTAAACAATAAATTCATCTAAAGCTTGCTGAGGAAGCTCAGTGGTTTTGGGTTAGCGAATCATATAAAAATTTTTCAAAAAAAATGTTTAGAAAGGCCTTAAAAATGAAAATAAAAAAATCGCCCGTTAGAACAATAGGGTTCTTAAGAAATTGTTTTGTAAAACCAAAAAGAATAGCAAAAAAAACTGTTTCTATCCGATGTGTATCTTTTTTTTATGAAATTGATACCTGTTAACGACAAACATAATTAGAATTTGGTAAAAAAGAAGGTGTCAGCTTTTTGAACTTTCTTTCATGGAGACTTTTTTTTGGAATCATCGCCGATAATTTCTATTCGATCCGCAAATTTTTTTCAATTTTTCTCCTGAAGAATGTCAGTTCAGCTTGAAGACTTTGAATTTATTCTTAATAGTATTGCTCTCTTCAGATGCCCTCAAGAATATCAGATTCAAAATTTACTACTATAATCTTACAAAAAATGAGGTTTCTGAAAAAAGTTTAATTCAGGGAAAGAAAAACTAAAGAAAAGGCTTCAAAGAGCATTTCCGTTCACTACAGTGCTTTTCAAAAGGTATTGCATAAGAAATCAAAGTGGAATGAAAAGCTGAGTGAGTGGCAAGGATATTCCTTATTCCTTGCATTGTTTAATGGTCGGAACGGACGATTTGGTCGGCGCCAGGCTATTGATGGCTGTTGCCAGCTGGACCGACAACCGGCGGGCATTTGCCTCCATTTCAAATGCAAAATGCAAAGCAATACGCGCATCACATTCGTCACTTGAATTATTTGCCAATTTCACATGTGAGGGCCGGTGGTGTCGGTTTATAAAAGTGCATACATAACGCTTTTCTCACACACGTTGCTCCTCCTCAAAATGTTCTGTCAAAGGTGTTGTCCAGGAAAACAAGGCAAACAAAAGTCGCCGACGAAAGTCGTGTCAACTCTGTCCAATTCAGAGGTCTTGAGTCGCTACGGCCAAAGGACATTAGGAGTTAGGCGAGAGGATCAGGTGCGCGAGTCGAACCCAAAAAAGTCCTCTTTGTCTGTTTCAAACTGTTCCCCAGGGATTTTGACCAAAAAAATGCTTGCATTGAACCTAAATTTGGTCGTCGCGGCAAAAAGCGGCAGTTCGCTCTTAAGAACGGCGTTCAACATTTTTCCCGCTAAAAGCCCAACAAACTTTTGAGGGAAACATGGAAGATGGAGAATGTTCCGGAATTCATTTCTCTAAATTAAATCGAATGGAAGTGATAAGGAAAAATCAAAACCCTGAAAAAAACTAAGAGCATTTTCAAATAAATTATTGATTACAATTTTTTCGATTTCTTCTCGAGACGACAGCAATAGCTTACAAAAATCTCAAAGAGCCACCATATGCTCTTTCTCAAATCCTCTCAACCTTTTGTTTTGTTTATGAATGGCAGAGTTTAGGAAAAAGAATAAATCAAAGAGGTCTCCTCTCTCTCCAAATTAATTGAAAGGACTCAAAATTTGGGCTCCAAGGAAATTTCGCATAATTGTATTTTCGGAAAATTTGAAACTGAAATTCGAAAAAAAGTACCGATCTTTTTTCAAAATTTAAATATGATAGTTTTTTAATGAATTTCGAACGCCTCTAGTTTTTGAACGCCTCATCAGAAACACCTAAGAACTTTTCCAGGTAGTTTATCTTTATTGGAAGAACCCAGACTTCTTTAAAAAAATTTATTGCGCCATTGGGTTCCAATTCATCTTGATTTGCATCTACTCTTAGAGATCCATCTTCTGTCCATGAGGACCCAAATTTTGACTTTTGACGCAAAGATTTGGGAGAGTGTTTGCCTTGGCGTTTTGATATGTGTGCGAAGAGTCTGGAAGACGCGGCTCCATGTTCTGCAAGGGACGAAGGGCTTATCGATATCGAGAGCCATCTGCCTCGACACCATTTCCAGGCGCTGCCAATCCTCTGGGGGCTTTTCCGTGCACGCCGCCATGCAACAATGTCCTCTTCTTGCATTTCGTGAAGGCAGCCAAAGACGCAATTAACTGCGCGCCTCGGCGCCAAACCAAAAGCCGGCGGGGTCGTCCGTCAGATGTCACGTCTTCACGTCTTCATTTCGCAACATCTCACACTACGATCTGATATCGTTATTGCACATGGAGAATGAATGAGAAAATCTTCGAAAAAAATATCTTCGAGGACAGCGACGTCTTCTTCGCTTAAAAATAAAATATATCAAATCTTTCCTTGAACTCTCAAAAGATAAAATAATAATTCAACACCAACACTGAAAACAGGATTTTAAAGTTGATCGGTATAGAGGAAGTACATTTTAGGAAACTCCGAAATAAATATGAACAACCTTTTCTGTATGCAATCGAGTCAAAAAGAACTTTTTTTTTACGATCAACGCATTACGAAAGACGGTCGGAATCGAGTTAACGGGGTTCAGTCATAACATAAATCTCGAGGAGAAAAGTTTGGCTAAAAATTAATAGGAACTCGATGGACAACTTAATTATATCCAATTTCTCTTGATAATAAAAAAAGAATTTAAAAGCATTTTTTTCTATCCTTTATTTCTTATCAATTTTGGTTCTCTCGATGTTTTTTTTTCAATCTTTCAAAGAAAGCAATGACGTTTTCCTTCTCTCGACATTTATTTTGAACGACGGGCCGTCAAGCATTTTCTGAAATTGAGGAAAGAGAAAGATTGATTTGTAAATGGCACTTTCGCAAAAGAAGAATGGGAGACATAAAACACTGCAAAAAAGACTAGTAGCTTTTAATTTCCAGTTAGATTGCCTCTCAAGGAGAAATGAAGCCTTGGAATGGTTTTTTTTTTCAGGGAAGATGCACGCGAGAAAATCCCAAGTGCAAATACCTGCATCCGCCTCAACATATCAAGGATCAACTACTTATTAACGGCCGGAACCACTTAGCGCTGAAAAACCTGCTGTCCGCACAATTTCCCCCTGGAACACAACCGATCGCCGTCAATCCGATTGCACAGATGATGGTTTGAAAAAAAAGGAGAAAATATTTATTCGCGTTTTTTTTTTTCGAACATACAACAGCAGCAGCAGGCTGTCGCGGCGGCCAACATGATGCCAAATTTGCAATATCCGTACTACCAAGGTCTTGTATACTCGCCTCTTCTTCAAGATCCCTACGCAACAGCCGTCAACCAGGTATTTTCAGACTTTCCGTCAATTGCTCGTCCATCGAATCGCTTGCCTATTCAATTACGCTGATTTCTTTTTAAGATCAATATTTTTGATTTTTTTATGATTGCATTTTTAACTCACACCGTTTTGGAATGAAGTGCTCGTCGCTTTTCTTTAAAAAATTTAGCCTCAAAAACCATTTTAATATGCTCCAAAAAATTTCGTTCAGACGTCTGACGAATTTTTTTTCTCTTCATATGATTCAAATTTTCTTCAATTTTTCAGAATATGGAATCCTATCATTCTCATTGCGGTGTGAGTTTTTTAGCACGATTTTTTCTGCCGTGTAGTTAATTTGGTTCTAATCCCGTACGCAAAATCAAAGTGTCCACGGGACGACAATAATTCACAATTGGTGGTGTCAATGTCCTTTCACCGTCTGCTCGTTTTTGTGATTTTCGGCCACTGCCCACAACCCGAACCTACTTTTTTTTTCAATTTTTCTTTATCGATAACTGATTGATCAAGTTGAAGAGTACGGTGAGAATAATCTTGAATAGATCATGAATCTTCCGGAAATCATTTAACTGTACTCTTTTTCAATCATTTATTGTCATAGGCATTCACAACAAAAAAATTTCAATATAGTCTTCTCTAATAAAATATTTCCGAGCAGAACAAAAGTGAATGAATTAAACCTATGCGCATGGCTTTTGGCTGAAGCTCTGATTTAGCAGCTGCAAGCCGCCTTGCTAGGAAACGTGGGCCTGCTGGCGACTCAAAGCCCAGTACTTTCTGGTCCTGCGGCTCAAGCAGCCGCTGCAGCAGCCGCCGCCGCAGCCGCCGCCGTAGCCAACCCGCTGACGGCGCAGCTGCAGCCGACGATGCTCGCCTTGAGCCGGAAACGAGCCCTCGAAGACGACTCCACGACATCGACGAACGACGTCGCCGCCTCGCACGCGCATCTGCTGTCTCTGGCTGCAGCCGCTGCGGTATCCCTTCAATTTTATCGTTTATACTCCGGTAAAACCCGGGTCGCTGTTACTTAGTTTCCTAACGCGTTTCAATGGAGTGTCGTGAGCATGAACTCTTCGGAGACTTATTTTTTCATTATCTACTTTTTTTCTACTTCTCCCATTGAACCGACGGTTTAGCTTGTATGATTGTTGTGTGAAGCTTGCAACCAGGCGCCGTGCTATGGCGGCATGAGGAAGTCGTCAAAGACTTTTATTTTCAGTCTCGCCGCTTTGAATTTATTTCGAATCACCGCCAGCTTTGACTTTGAGTTTTGTTACGCATCACTTTTTTCCTTCAAAAAGGGTTGAAAAATCATCATCACAAAAATCCGTTAGGTGATAAAATTGAATTGAGAATCGCAGAGTTAATTTTGATCATTTTGAAATGAGGTCAAACATTTTTTAGCTAATTTTTGATTCCAACTTCTGCGTTTAGATGATCTCTGCCGGTATTTAACTTCAATTAAAAGCTGTAAATTTCTTGTCGTTAGAAAAAAATCACAATTTTTTTCTCATATTTTTTTCTTTAAATACCTCCCCATAATACCCCTTCCAAAAAAATAAAAATAAAATTCTAAAGTTACATAACCTGTTAATATTTATGATATGGCCTTTTTTCATTATCGATTCGAAAGATGCAACACATTTCCAGCTAGGAAAACAATGTCAAAGCTAGCCCTAATTCTCAGAGCGGCGCTGACCCACTTTCTCTGGTTTTACCTAGTGTTCTAAAAACATTTCAATGTCTTAAAAACAGTCCTTACCGAGTGCATGCTATTTTTGTCGTTTTACACAGGCGAAAAGAGAGAAAATGAATAGAAAGAGCTCATTGACGGTTTCCTCGTAGCGCCGAAGTTGGACGTCCAATCAGTGGCATGTTCAGGGCGGCGTGCCATGCAAAAGGCCGGCCGTCGACAAAAACGGCACCGTGCTTTACCAGACGGCAGCGGCGACGCAGCCAGCGCAGCCGTTCAATCCTTATCTGCTGCCGACACTCCAAGGCTACGTTCCCGCAGTCTCGTGTGAGTTGTATCCCTAATGTGCTTCCACAAGAAGCCTACTAACCGGACCTTTGTCCTTCTCTCAGTCTTCACAGTCTTTTTTCTTGGGTACCGCCTCAGCTTACTGATGCTTTAAGCGCCACCAGCAAACGAGTTTCCTTTTTTTTTATCTCCGTTGTTTGTTTTTATTTTCTCAGTTGAATTTGATCTCTTCCTTTTCCTTAAGCTTTAATTTACCAAGGTAGTCTAGACGGGTGCGTAGGGTCAATGAAAATGTGATTTGGAAATGGTTGATTGTAATTCAATGAAGTTTAAACTTTGCTAAAAAAGTTGATAACTTTGAGAATGAATTGGTTCAGATTCAGCATCGCGACCAGAGCTTTGTCAAAAAATACGGTAGAATGGATTTGAAAAAAAACTGAAGCTCAAGTTCAAGTGAAACGCAAAATGCATAAGATTGACCAATTGTTCCTAAAGTATATCTGGAACGAAAATCAGCATCTCTAGTTTGGGAATTCAAAAAAGTAAAGTAGTCTTTTAGTATTTCGTTCGCTGTGATTTGAAACTCTTGTCTTCGTTCTCTCTTTTTTACAATCAACCAAAATTCAAGGATTTTTCTCATTTTATCGTCCTCAACCTAGCATTTTCATTCTCCCTACGCTTATGGATACATGTTGGCACAAACCACGCAAAGTCGGATAACCACTGTACCGATAGCACTCGGCTTTGAGTTAATACGTGTGTTTCAGTCAGTGGTCAGCTGCCGCCTCGCTACTAAGCTGCTGACAGTCACTTCCGTTGGGTGAGAATGCCCGTTCCAACCTCTGTGATCGTCGCATACGGTGATGAGCTTGCGAGAATACAATACATAATGCCAACCAAAACGACTGTTCAATATATTCCACACATCTTTTTGTTTTCTTTTTTTTCGAAACAAATTGCTTCTTTTTTTCGACTTTCATACGGTGAAATTGCTTGTTGGGCTGTGCGCATCGCTTCTCCTCTATCTTTTCTCTTAGTTCCTGAATGTTTCACTCAAAAAACTGAGCGTAGTGAAAGTTTTGTGAGCTCATGGTGAAAAAACTGGGAAGGTGTTTTCAGAAATACCAGAAAGAGCTGAAGTCAGCTCTCCATTGAAGATTCAATTAACTCTGTTTTGCCATGAGCTTGCTCCCATTTCCCTGAAAACCGCCATGTCTCCCGTCCGTCCTACTTAACTTTTCTACAATTGTTCAAAGATTTTTGCCGTTTGCAGTGCACAAGGCTTGACGGGGGCTGGTATGGTCGATTTATTGCTGGCTTGTCAAAAATTGAAAAATATATAAAAAAAATTATTTTTCTCAAAGCTTCTCTATACACTATAAAAGCATAGTTAACAATTGATTTATATCAAAGAATGGGAAGAGCTAGATTCAATGGAACTTTCAGACTGAATGTCAATTTCGAATTTTCCTATAAAAAATAATATCAATGAAATTTACTGAAAAGTCCCTCAATTTATTTGATCACTTATTTTTGTGAGCGATTGATGGAATTTCCACAATATTACGAAATATCTAAGCGCAAGCCAATAGTGAATGGACTATAACACGCTTTGCTCACATGATCTCGTGTCTGTGTGACATTTTGGTGCTCTGACAGAAGTACGGGTGATCGTACGATGTCTTCTTTATAATCTCTTTTCAAACATACTTTATTTCAAAACGCCAAAAAATAAACTTTCACAACGCACTGGGATTTTTTTTCAATTGAGAAAAAAAGTATTTTGCTTGGTTTCACAGCCCCAGTAGTTTTATTCTCGAACTACGACTTCTGCAAGGTTTCACCGTAACACTTTTGCTTACGCTTTGCTTGTACCAAATTGTTTCTCTTGTACTTTGACTAGAGGACGTCTCTTAGACGCTCGCCATGTGTAGTTCACCCCGCACTCATATTGCCGACCATGTGATGAACATTATTTCCTGTAACTAATATACGAATAGTTTCCCATTCTTTCGTCGATTTGACACTAAACACCAAAAATGGATTGATTGTAGTCATTTATTACATTTTCATGTTGCCGGTTGTTGTCTCACTCATCGAATATGTACACCGTTGTATTTGAACTGTTTTCTGATTCCCCTAGTACGTGAAATGTCTCAAACACTGGGTTTCTCCGGTAACCATACATGCACTTCTGACTTTATCTCTGTTTCCGGACGACAGTTCGTCCTGGCATACTACTTGTCTCCCATCCATGATTCGTCTCAATTCCTATCCCTACTCTTTCTTTCACCACTCTTATTTCTTCTCTGACCTAATAATGTTGAAATCGATGTAATTTAGTTTATATACACTTTTAGCCCCTTAAGGAAAAAAAGTCTCATAATTAGTCTTAATTTGAAATTTTACGTGATTCCTTTGTCTTATGTTTTTTTAAGCCAGCCCTGTGCAGTAATTGCAATAGGTTACCGGTTTCCAAACAATTCCGTCTCAATTGCACTTTCGTTTTTCCTTTTCTTTAGTTTTTTTCTCATGACGATAAAGTTTTGAAAATAATGAAAGTTGATGGGAAAAATCAAAATGACAGTACAAACCTTGATAAGATTCAAGAGGATTATTTCACACATTTAAATTCGCATTTCGGAGTTATAAACGATCCGGACCCTGTTAACATCTGTGGAAAGTGTGAAGACTGTATAGTTAGGAAAAAGTTCTATGAAAGGATTTTAAAAATCTCAGAATCGCAAGCTCAAAGAATAGACCAGAAAACAAAGCTAAAAAAAAGGTTCTGCACAATGCCTAAATGTTGAGGATTTTAGTAGCTTTTCCTTCTTATTTTTCAAATCGGAGTCTGGTTTGTTTTTCATTTCAAAATGTGAAAATAGGAACGTTTTTATTCTTACTAGGGAACTACTCGGACTCGGATTCGCGTTTTGAGTGGAAACTTTGGTGGCTCACAGACCTGGGTAAGAGTACTTGGAAACAAGAAAGATTATCAGCTAAACCCCATAGGCTTCTGAAAAAAAGCTTTTTTTTAAAATGAACAGTTTAGGCTCAAAAGTTATCAACATTTTGCTTTCCTCCTTCTTTTGACTGGAAAAAAGCTTTTTAAAGTTTATCATAGCCGGATCATTCAAGGCGATTGTATGTCCGAGTCCGCGTAGTTCCCTAGTTAGTTCTTTTCCACTTTTTGTAAATGAAAAAGCGGCCAATCATTTTTTTGATCGTATCATAGAAGGAGAAAAATTAAGGTCCAGAAATTCAGATTTTTATAGTTTTTGACAGAATTGATCGTTTAAAAAAATTAACCACAGAGTTTATATTTCCTCAAAAAAACTTTATATTCATCAATCTTCTGAAACAGCTTAAAAAAATAAGAATAATGTATATACAATAACGGAAACGGGTGAGTATTTTTTTGGTTTTTTTCGTTCATAACTTTGCCAAAAGCAATCATTTTTGACCTGAAATTTCAACCAATCAAGTAAACTGAAATTATTGACGATTTGAAATGATGGTTTGAACTGACTCCAAAAAAACTAAATTCAATTTTTTTAAAAATTTGTACTTGTTATATCTTTCAAAGAACATTTCCTGGCTTCCCTTTTTTCATTGATATTGTAGTTTTCATGTTTTTTTAACGAAAAAAAACTTCTGTGGTCAAAAAAATTTAATTTAAAATATCATCGAACTATCTGATGATATAATTTTTTGATAAACTCAATGGGCTATGGTTTTCAATCTCTTAACATATTCATGAATGATTCGAAGAAGTGGAAGTCACCTCTATGTGTTCGCCAAAAATAAAGATACTTTGTAGTAGGAGAGTCTTAAAACAATTGATATTGTGAAGCGGAAAGGCGAGCAAAAAGCTAGAAAGAAGGAGGGCGGCGGACTACGATAATTCCTGCCGCTTAGAGAGACCTTCGCTAGTATGATTTGACTGCTTTGTGTTTTTCTCTCTCTCTCTCTTGATTCATTTCTTCCAAAATTTATCTACCATGGAAAATGTTCTTTTTTTCATTCATTCTTTCGGAGTCTTCTCAGAGCGTTTTATTATAAAAAAAACGTACAAATTTTTGTTAAAAAAATTCTACTCAATTGCAAGAAAGCAAAAAATTATCAATAGCATTTCTTGCGGTTTTTGAAGTACTGTTTCCTTGATGATCTGCACCAACAAAAATATTCAAAACAGATTTCTAATTCAATGTTCTTTTATTATTCCGAGTTTATTTTCAACAACGCAATTTTTATTAATTTTTTCCTCAAAGTAATGTTTTGCTTTTTTAAGGAACCTGCTATTTTGATTCGATTATATGGTTCATCGTTTGATTTTCTTCGCGGTGATATGCGAATATTATTACTGTTTTTTGATGTTTGGTTGATTATTTCCGCTATTACATCTTTATGAGTACCTTCTTGTCCTTTTTTCATAATTTCTCGGTTTTTTTTCTCCAAATGAATATAACTTTTATTATACGAGCGAGAATTTCAAAAAAAAAAAACGTTGTTCAGCCGAGAATGGATCTTTTAGTAGACGAATATGGCGCAAACAATAACTTGACATGAAAGGCTTTCCTGTGAAAAAAACCATGGTTTCCAGCTTTTTCTTTGGTTTCTTTTCTCACATTGATATATTGAAAGTTGACGAAACCATCACAGTCTTCATCCCAAACGCATTGAATTGCGGATCTGCAAATGTCACCTTCTCATTTTTTTTACTCTTAGTGCTCAAAATTTGGACGCGACTATGTCCGATCATTCCAAATACGGGCTCATTTGATAAAACTTACTTTCGTTTTTTAAACCTTTTTTCAAAAAAGTTTTATGCTAATCCAGACCTATGAAATATTCAAAATATTATGCAATTCAACGTTAATGTCGATTAAAAATAAGAGAAAACGCTCCAGATTTACTGCAGGCGTAGACTTATTTCATTTATTTTTTCATTTCTTCGATATAAAGTTTGCCTTTGTCAATTTAAATGAAAAAAAAAACTCACGTTATGTAATTACCAGCGTTTTCGCTTATGAAGACTTGAATAGTATACTTATACCGAGGAAGATTCAAACCTGAGAATATTCCGTTTATTCTCTCTTTTACAATTTTGGAATCGCCAAGTAGACCTTTAAGTTTGGTTCTGATAGCTTTTGCGACTGCTTTTGTGAGATCTCCTACAGCTTTTTCGTCGTATTGTTGCCCTGCCAGCTTTTCTTCCACAGTTTCCTGTATCAAAGATGAAGCGACGTTAGTTCGAAACCTGTAGCAGATGAAGCAAGTAAGAAATGGAGCTGGAAAAAAAACTTGTCTTCTGGCGAGGGGCGGAGAACAAAGTCGCGTTCAGTCGGGTGCATCTCACTGGATTTGCAACCAGCTGTTCGATTATTTCCTTTTAGTCTCCTTGACGATTGTTGCCCAGCAACACAAAAAACAATTTTTCAGAATCTCTCAGCTCGTTTATTCTACATTTATATCACAAATTCTGTAAATAATGACAAACAACGTCGGACAAAAGTGTTTCAGAGTACCGCTAAGGCTCTTCGAACAAGTAGTGATAAGGAGAGAACCCATAACTCACACGTTAAAATGAGGCTCGATTGGCGCAAAAAAACTATCTGTAACTCGAAACTGAAGGAAATTGATAAGACGGGCAAAAAGGCCTTTTAGTATAGATTAAAGTTCAAGAAGAGGTAGTTGGAGGTATGAGTGAGAAAGAAAATGTACAGAAATGCACAAAGCATCTGAATATGACACTGATATGCTCTTTTCAAGAATCACCATTTTCAAAACGCCCGTTTGCTGATTTTGAGCATTTTCAAAAAAATAAAATTCGGAGAAATCAGATTTCAAACAATGACAGTTGGACTGGGTTCAGGAGGCGTAATAGGTTGAAAACAAGGATCCAATAAAATATCTTCGGCCGTGGATCTGTGCTCGGGAACTCCGTTCCAACATTTCACCATGAGATCGTAGACATCTTCAGGGCAATTTTTCGGTTTCGCCGGACGCAAGCCTAAGAATATTTTGAGTAGAGAAGTAACAACTTTAAACCTGCGACGGCATAAGAAACAACTTCGTGATTGGAGAGTTCGCTGAAAGGTACTTGACCGTAACTGAAAACCTCCCAAATCGTCACCCCGAACGACCTAAAAGAGAATAAGTTCAGAACTCTGTCGATTTTATTAACCAAATATCGCTCATGTGGTTGAATTTGTGGTCGTTGATGGCTTCTGGAGGCAGCCAACGGACAGGCAGAAGAGAGTGATGCTCCATTCTGTAGTAATCCGAGTCTCCGTAGAGCCTTCGCGACATGCCAAAGTCCGATATCTTCAAAACTTACTAGAGTTTGTGCCATTTTTCAGGGTAGCAGGAAATAGACAAGCGATTAATGAAGATGAGACAGATTTTCGGAATTATTGATGATTTTTTCGTCTTCATTTCAATTTTCCCGCTTTAGTTTACTAAAGTTTTAAACCCAACCTTGACAGTAAAAGGAGGACGGTTCATTGGGTTACTGGTTCTGATGTCAGTCGCTCCAGTCACAAGACAGTTCCGAGCAGCGAGATCTCGATGAACCACTTGCTGAGCTACAAGATAGCACAGACCAGAGGCAATCTGAAGTTTTTGTGAATTTTATCAGAAAAATGTGCTTTTTTTCCTTTTCCCCATTCGGCTTTCAATTCTTTTTTCCGTTTACTTTTCGCTTAACGCTTTTTGATTCTTCAAACTTTTTCAGGTCATACCGCTTTCATCATTTTTCTTGAACTCACATCTCGCACAATCTTTTTTAGCTCTTCGACCAATAAGGCTGGTGGAAATTGGGAATAGTTCGAGAACTGCGGCGTTCGTGCTCGTAGATATGTTCGAAGGTCTCCTAATTATTGTGTTTGTTGAGATAACAAAAAAATGAAATACCATACCGAGCTCCATCATTTCAAAAACTAGAAGAAGATTTTCCCGTTCTCTTGTCATTCCGTACAGCCGCACGATGTTCGGATGCTCTAGGCGGCTGAGAACAAGAGCCTGAACCGATTTCCCAATTTTCGAAACCAGTTTTTCGAATCCTGATTCTCAAACCTCTTTTTCAATTTCTTCGTCAGCAAGGGGAATGGACTTGATCGCAACAGTTCTTTCGCCTAACTTTTCCCAAGAACCGCAATAAACCTCCCCAAAAGCACCCTGAAAACCTTTCCAGTCATTTTTTTTTTTTCGTATTCTCCTACTTTTCCAATTTTCTCATGTATCTTGATATTTCCAATCTGAATGAAGGGAATTACTTGATTGGAGTAATCAGCCGATGAAAGTGAAGATCTTTCTTCTGAACAAAGTTCCATTAAATTTTTGCAATTTCTGTTGAAATTTTTCAAATTTAAGGATTATTTTTTTCAGCAAAAAAAGTCAGTTATTTTTAAAACGCATTTTTTTCTCCCTTTTACTTCAAAATTTGAAATTTTCTGTAAGCTGCTTAAAAAAAGTATCAAATCTTCAAAAAAACACATATCAAAAAAATCTGTAGCTTTTTTCTCACAAATACGAACGACCAATTGAGATGATCTTTCCGCACTCATTTTTCGTCAAAATTCACCCATTCTTAGAAGTGTCTCTTCTGTTTCTCGGCTGGCCCTACGCGAAGTAACTTCTTGACTGACAGAAACTCTCTTCGGAGTCGTGGTCATCTGAATTTCCTATGTAAAAGATAGTTTGACACAATTTATATACCTTTTCGCGGCATAGATTGTCGAGATTTTTGCGGTGATATGCCACAAACAATAGGAGTAAGACTATGAGGAGAATAAATGGCGGTATTACAAACCGAACTTCGTGGAATATTGCTACTTGTCGTTTCGTTTGTTCAGAAGAATAGGCGCTCACAGCCGTGGTCGCTTTCTCAAAATACTGAAATTATTTTCAAGCAAAAATTTTAGCGAAGAAATTTTCTGATTTCCGCAATTTTTTGAATTTTGTTAAGATTGAGTAAAAAAACCTGCTGCGCTTTCAAACAGTTTGAGCAAATTGAAAAACTTTGCGGATTCCCTTTTAATGAAAAAAATTTTGAATTTCAAGTTATAAGCAAAGCCTAAAAAAAATTTGAAATTCAAAATTATTACGCTCTAAGAAAGTTGTGAAAAAATTTGCTATAACCTATTAATTATGCGAGGAAAAAACTCCGCAGCAAATTATTTCCGCTTTGAACTATGTTGCGATGTTAATTTGTAGATTGACCTTTTTCGCTCCGGAGATCTCGCATGCTCTTGATTCTTTCATGGTTCTCCCGTCATGTCAGTGAATTATTCAAGTTTCACTTGGAACAGAGACTTTTGTGGAGACGCCCTCACAAGAAAGTCTTCTTTGCAACACATGCACGAATAGAACACGTCACTTTTATTCGTCGTTAATAGAAATGATAAAACAGAAACAAAACAAAAAAAGAGTAAGTGATAGAAGTTCGAGGTCTTTCGAAGTGCGTGCAACAAATAACATTGAAGTTATTACTATCCCAAGAATGTTCATTTTTGTCCTTTTAACATTTTTATTAATATCTGAATGGTGAAACAAACTTCTTTGGTAATAAAAGTTGAGCTCATTTCATTGATTGCCTTTGGTTCTTCAGAACTTAACATGAAAAAAAAATTAGACTCGAGCAAAATTTTTGCAGTTTTTCTTCTACGTAGTCTCAGAATGAATAAATATTGAAATCTCTCAAAAATTCTATAAATTTTCATTTTGATGCTCTCAAAACGACCATAAATGACTATTCTTGTAAGTAATGCTTCGAGTACATACGCAAATTAGTTTCTGAATTTTTTTCAAAGTTCAGAACTTTTAAGATTCTGTTAGTCGTCGCTTTCAGATTTTTTAAGAACTTTTTTGCATATATACTCAGGGAAAAGTTAACAGCAACAAATGGAAAAATAATAAAAAGTTGATGACATCCAAGAGTTTAATGACAGGTTGATGACAGATTGCGGGTTAGAAGTGTGAGGCAAAACAGCGTAAAAATAAGGAGAGTAAAAAAATCAACTGACGTAGTCAAACGGGCTTACCTGGTGGAGCAAATGACGAAGTTCTGACTGGAATTCAGTACAGTTGCGCTCCGTGCAGACGGTGAAAGTGACGGGCCCAGTCAGATGGTCTGCCTCCGATCCGTCTTTCGTGAAAAGTTTAAAGGTTTTTTGGTGGAAAACTTTTCTAAAAATCAAGATTATCATTTTCGAATTAGTTTGGTCTCAACCTTCTTTCAGGCCTAACGACCAAGCTGTCAAAAAAGACAACATCTCCAACATCCGCCAATTCATAAGTTTCTGATAAGCTTGAATTTTTTGAGACTTCGCCCTAAACTTTTCTCTGTTAGCGTGGATTTTTGAAGCAATAAAGGGTAGAATTTTATCACCTTCGTTATCATCAGAGTAACGTTGTCAATCGGAAACCCATGAACCAAGAGAATGTCTGTATCGGGCACTGAAGGAGGCAGTAGCCGTGCTTCTGGAGACATCTCCACTCGTAGCTGAAAAGTTCGACATTTTCTCTCTCCATTTAAAAGGAAAAAAGAAATCGCAGAAAAGTCAGAACAATTGTCCTTCGGAAAGTTCATGCCCGCCAGACATTACCGTAACCTCCCCCTGTTTTCATTTCGGTTCATTCCAACAACCTTCCATAAACAGACATTTCTGAAAACGGAAATAAAAGGGCTTTTTGGTTGTAAAAACCTTATAAAAAATTATGAATTATTCAAATTGAAATATTTTTTTCAGTGATTTCAGTCCACTCTCTCGATTTATAGTTGCAGCACTTTTTTTTTAGCTTCACATTGTGTTTTTTCAAAGCTATTTTATGAATATAAGCAAACATAATTTCAGAAAACTAGTTTGATACTCTACCCACAGTTTTTTTGAATCTCCGATTAAAGTTCTTCTCTTCATCTCTTTCATTTTTTGCAGAACGCCCACCAAAAACACAAACGAACGGCGGAAAGGCTATCATCCAAGGTAACCTTGGAGACAGGAGCTGGAAGCAGCCGTCTAACGCGGGGGCGTGACAAAGATATCTCGTGATATCCTACCTGTATTTTTGTCGTGAGATAATCTCGGCAATGCCAGCAGCGAACACCGATAACGCCCATGTCTTTCTCGGATACGTTAGTCAGATCAAGAGTCAAGCGTTCGGTCGTGATACTTTCCGAATGATTGTGTCTTTCTTTGGAAAACGCCCATGTGAAGTATTGTCTGGAATGCAGCTTTTTTTGCAAATGAGAAAATTTGGCTTTGACTAAAAATATAGATATAACACATTTTCTACTTTGTTGGAAAAATGGAAACCTTAAATAATGCCAAAAAATTATCATAGAATCAAATCATTTTACCAAAAAAAAAAGTCCAAGTGGCAAAGACCAAATTGACTTTTTGAGATATGATCGTTAGAACCTACTCTTGGTCTACATCCCTTAGAAAATTTTTTTCCCATGATCCATTTTAAGTTTTTGAACTCATCAAGAAAAATTTTTCTCACTTATCCAAGCTTGGGTCTTTGGTCGGATACTTATCGTCTGAAGGGAACAAAAAAGTGTGAGAATCTGATCAGAAAAGCTACAGATGTTTCATCTGTTTTTGACGTTGAATGTCGCAGAATGCAGTAACGCAGAGATCTTTGCTTGAATTGATGTGAAGGAAATTTTTTTTGTGGTTGACGAAAAAAATGTACTTTTGAAACATTCAACTATCTGATGAATCAAAGGTGCATTACGAAAATTGAACCAGGAACAAACATTTCTCATCCAGGGCTTCATTTTTTTCAATTATCTCATTACGTTGCATTCCGATGAGCCTTATGAAAGTTAGCTACAGTCAGCTAATGTTTGCATAATCTTCTGTAGAAAAGAAAAAAAATTTCAAAATTTCGAGAGTTTTCCTTTAAGCTGCAAAAGTCAGGAAGCGCTCGAGAAAACATTATGAAAGCAAAAACTGGCTCAAAATGACACAAGGGATTGAAGGATTAAATGAGCAGACCGAGAAAATCAGAAATATCAAAGGAACTTCAAACGAGAAAGTGAAAAAAAAGTGTCAGTATTTAAGTTGTTAAAATATAACAAACCTCTGATTTAAAGAGCCCACTAAAGAGGCATTGTTAACATCGACGTTGATAGTTACGTTGGAACCTTCGCTCACTGTCAGAATTGGAGTATCTACAGTAAGAGCTCCTCGCGGACACGACAGGGCACAGCCTTTCAAAGAACTCGGATTTTCGATTCTTCGGAAGTCGGATCCATGCATCATCCATTGATTCGAACAATTGCAGGTTATAGGGCAGTTGTGTAGGTCGGCGTTGATAAGAGTTTCAGTGAAAATATCTTGCCAGAGCAAGGTTTGGATTTTGCAGTTAGGCAAGGAGAAGAACTGCAACTTTGAAAACGTCTTAGTGAACGACGGGAAGAGTTGAGTGTCGGTGCATAACATGCTCAGGTTTCTGAGCAGAGGGAACGATAGATTCCTAGAATCCCGGACGCAGTCAATGACTACGGCTGAAGTGGCCGTAGTATTCACGAGATCCCGAAGTCCTAAACATACAGCCGTGCCGTGACTGTCGATCTCACAACTCGCGTCCCCAAGCTGGAGGAGCGTCAGCGCCGCAAAGAGCCGCAGCAAAATCCGAAAGATCATCAAACCGTCATGCGTTGACGATCCGCAGCAACGGAAGGAGCTGCGTCCAGGCTGGGCGTGCAACTTGGAGTAAGTTGCGTTTTCAGAAGACGTCAAAGCGACACGAATGCGGGGCACGTGTAGCCGCAAAGGAAAGGATGCTTGTTGTCTCTCTATTTCTCTCGCTCCGTTCGCCTCCTTTTTCGCGAGCTGAAATCGACACATTGGGCGGGACTTGCACACCATTCATTAACACGACTACTTGAGCTCATGAGAACCTAATCAACTTTTTCCCCGCGCGGAGAACAATCTGATTTTTCAAACAGCTAAACTTTTTTGCACCGTCAAAATAAACCTGGGAAACAACGAAAAGATCATCACGGGTTAGGATAACTACGCAACAAAAAAGTGTCTCTTTTGGTGCTAAACCAGTGATGATAATTTTAAAACAACAATTATAATTGCTAAAGTTGATCGGTAAAGATATTAGATTTTTTTGTGCTGGAAATTTTTAAAAACTTGCATTTTTTTGACTGAAGCCTTTTTTTAAAATTGTAAAAAAATTGTAGGCATCCGTTCTCAGGACGTGTACAATTATTTTGTCATGAAAAAAAGGAGAGAATGCTAAGAAAAGTTCTATAATTCGAATTATGAATTTAAGTCTTCAAGCTCATGAAACTTAGGAAAAACGAGAAAAAAAAGAACGAAAAAATTGAATATTTCTGAGCGCATACAACTTCTTTCTAAATGAGCTTTGCTCAATTATGCTTCTCGAATCCTTTGGATCTTCATCGCACTCCCAACTAATAACAGCTTTTGGACAACGGGAATCCTTTCCTTCTTTTTTTTCGGTTTCTCTGTAGATGAGCGGCTGATCTCCGCAAATTTCAGAGAGCTCGGCCTTAGAATCTTTTTCTCTTTCTCTTCATTGAATTCTAATCTCTTGAAGGAGATAAGGAAAAAAACAAGCGTAAAATTTGAATATATTTTTTTCGATTTTTTTCATAATCCAATTCTGGCTTCTTCTTCGAAAATTCCAGATAATAAAATTTCATTTTTTTATCACACCTGATATTTTGCTCAAATCAAAAAAAGCTGAAAGATAATGCTCAGGCGATTGTTATTTCCGTTTCGCAGCAACGACGATTAAAAAGAATTTTTCTCCTTTTTCTTCAGCACCTGTGATAAAGCGGAACAAAAACTTCCGTTAATGAGAACTACTCACAATTAATTATCGTATAGAAAAGTCCAATTCAAGGGAAATTCTCTTTATTTGGCTGTGACAAGTTCAAAAAAAGTTTGGTTACAGTGTTCAGACGTAAGTTGCGCTTGGTCGATCTGTGCAGCCGAAAAGCCGGCAAAGCCACACGAATCGGTACTGAGGCAGGACTGTCACTGTGATTATTGGGTTCAAAATCTGAAAATCCCGGATTTTCTCTTTGATCCGTTGTATCTGTTTACCGCGTTGAGTGATATGAGATAAGAAAACGTCCAGGAGAAAAACAAAGTAAAACAAGTCGACAAGGAGTCCTGAAAATAAGATCTATTCTTGGGAAATTTCAATCATCAATGCATCTAATGCTTTCAGGATTTCTATTTTGTGATACTTTGAGATCCTCTCATTAGGCTTCATTTGATCAAAAATTTTAGAATATCGGGAATGACTAACTGTTTTTCAAAGAAATCATAGAAAATAACTTTTGTACTTTGAAAGTTTTACCTCACATCATAGTTACAAGTTTTTATGGTAACCAGTAAGAAGCCAAGAAAAAAACATAGACATAATAGTGTGGTATCGCGTGTCTAACGCTATTTAAAAAAGCTATTCTTAGTTTTATGTGCATACAGTAGTACCAGATGAAAATTTTCAGCCCTGCGAAAGCAATAAAAAAAAATTGCTGCAGGAGAAACAATGGCCAATGCTCAAATTTTTCTGGTTCCGGCTCATGAAAGTGTCCCGAACGACTTGGTCGACTCGTAAATTGGTTCCCACACACTCTAACGTAGTTTTTTTTCAGCAGTTGCAGAATTTTTGAACGCGAGAAGGAACAAAGGACTAAGTTGGAACAAAGAAAAAAAGAGACGTACATTAGGAAAGATCTGTCTTTTTATGTTGTAGATTCGAAAAGGAAGCAACGTTGCAACTGTGAAAATAGTGGTCATGAAGATGAAATAGAAGGTTCGCATCCTGGTCGCCAAAGCGTGCGATGATGTATGTCCTTGAGATTCTGAAACCCTAACATCTGCTCTTTTTTTCTTTTTTTCTCAAGCTTCTGAATAGAGTTTTTTTTTGTTTTGGTGATTTAGTAAGTTTCCAGATGAGCTTCCAAAATAATGACGCCACTCAACTGTCTTCTTTGAGCTTTTAATAAAACAGTTTGCAAGAATCTACCTTCTTATTTGCAGATCACTTTGAAATGATATTCTTATAGGTTATATAACGAGAAATTCCATCTGCGCGTTGCCATTTGAATATGTCTCGCTTCAGTATTCTCATTTTCACTGACGTCACTTGTCCAACTTTTTTCAATAACAGGAAGTTTTCTCCAGTTAAATCATCATTAGGTTAACTGATGCGTAACAAGAGATTGAAAATGCAAAAACCCTTAATGAAGTCGCACTAGCGATGGCACGTGATTGGCGTAATGAGTTCGGAGAATGAAGATTTCAGGTGATCTCATACCTTTGGCCAGTGTTGAGCGATGTGAAGAAACGACGTTTAGGATATATACCGCCACGACCAATGATGTCAGACTGGGTGCGATGCAAGCGGAAAACTGAAACAGAAAAAACGTCTTCAAGATTACAAAAAGCAAAAAAATGACCGTAAAAACGATGTACATGACAACTTTGTTGCTCAAAATAGCGATATGCGTACAATCGTCTTCACACCTGAATAGATTCCGATAACTCTGGAAACATTGATAATGAGGAGAAACTCACGTGAAGCATTCGAGATACCAACACAATGAAACGAATACTGCACAACCCGTCCAAACGCAAAGGACAATGTAAACTCCTCGGGATACTGTGACGATCGAGGTGTACCTGGAAAAAAAGTTCAGCTATTTCAAACATATTTTGAGCCATATTCGTTTTTCCTTCGATTTTATCAACATTCAATCCGTTTTGCAAACTGGGAGAACCGTGGTGTAGATTTCATGGTGGGACAAGTGTACGTGGCAAAGCAGTTTACTGACGTTCAAGTTTTTTTTCCTAACGATTCAAGTAACAATACTTGAAATTGAAATATTTTTTTCCCGAAGTTAACTGAAGTTTTTCGGAGCTTACGACTCTTTAAAAAAATTCCGAGCAGACCAAGTGTTATGTGAAATTGTTTTTTTCAACCTTTTTTCAAATTTTTTTTTCTTGTTTGCGGAAACTTGCACCAATTGACATTGGAAAAAAATGGTGCTGATGTTAGATTTTCAGTTTCAAAGGCCAAAAAGGTTGACATGTAACCTGTCAGTTTCAGTTCTTGTTAGAGTTTTGAGTTAAGCGTTCAAGGTTGGGCAGTTTCTCCTGATGATGCAAGTCCAAGGTCAAAATGTCTTGGTCAGAAACTACAAAACGATCACACCACGAATTCCACAGGAGGAAATCATTAATCACTGCTGAAAATTTCTGACCTCAGTGGAGATTTGAAGTAAAGCAGTTTGTCGACATTGAGAAGAATCAGGCTAACCGAAGACGCTGATAAACCGAGCCAAGTGAGAAACTGTAATTTCACGATAATTTCCAAAGATTATTTTTGAGGTAATTATTTTAAACCTGTTGTGTGACATTTATCCATCTAGGAGGTGTTATTATTTCTTGTTGTCTGAGCTGTTCGATTGGGTAACAAAAACCTGAAGGTCAGATTTTACTTCAATGCTTTTTTTACTCTTCTCCTCACTTGTCAGAAGTAAATCGCCTAGAGTCATGCTCAGAAGAAAGATGTGCAGGCATTCGTCCCCGGTAGCGCGCCGGATATAGGAAACTGACGTCGCCAAAACGTAAATCTCAAATCGCATCTTCTTATCATTCGGAATGCGATAAAAATGCCCTATGGAAGCTCATTTGTAGTCCAGCCATACGAAAACATGATTTGGACTCTACCTCTTTATTAGGTTAGCCTTCGCAACATTTGGAAAAGGAACGAAGGAAAAAGGGAATTCAAAAAAAGACCTGCAAGGCTGTGGAGAGAAAGCAGGAGACGAGAAGAAAATATTCGAAAGACTGGAAGTAGAGCTCCACTGCGTTTTGAGTGAAAATCTGAAATCTCGATGATAAATATTCGAAATTTATTAATCTTTTTGTTCCGAACTTCTTTGAGTTCAATTTAGAATGATCACCAAAAACTAAAAAAATTTATTAGACTTTTTATTTTTGCATGAACTTACCGAGGTATCGATGCACACAGGTTCACTGTAGTTTTCATCCATCGAGTGGAGCCTGAAACATTATTCAAACTTCTGCAAGGTCAAGAAATCAGTTGCGCACGCAATATGAATTTTTTTCTGAAAAATGTCCCACTTCAAGTGAGAACTAAGGCGTTTGAACAAAATTCAAAATTCAACAATTTCGGGAACCGCTGTGAAACTAGGAAGACTGTTTTTCCTAGGTAAAGTCATAAGTCTTCTATTTTGAAATAATAAGAGAGCGAGAACCCAAAAAGAAAAAGAAAAACAAGCTTTCAAGAAAGCTTTTTACGCATCGACGAAGACATTTTCTCGTTAGGATTGATCTTCTTTTTCTACTGAACTAGTGAAATTTTATTTTATTTATTCTATTTCAGTGATGAGATGGAAATTTTTATCATGGATAGAAAAGGAAGACTGTAAGTTTTTACTGAGAAATTGAGTTAGTAGAAAGGGCAATAGATTATTATCAATTTTCAGGACGTGGTGTGCTCCATAGGATATTTCAGTAAATATACATAAATGATTTAAAAGAAAGCCATTTTTTTCCAGAAACGAAGGCAAACAATAATATGAGAGTGGGAAAAAAACAATTAAAAAATGAAATCAGGCAACTTGAAAAACATGAAGAACACGCAGGCAAAGACCAAAGTAAGTATGCAAAATAAGAATTCGAGTCGGGCAAGGACGCCCGGAGATAATCAAGTCACATACGTTGCACTTGATCAGTGCCGACAGGAATAATCTTGTATTTTCAGGAATCTTGTTGTTTTTATTCCACTAAGAAAAAAGTCCAAAAAGTCCTTGATTGACTAAGAAAGCTGGAATTGTATCAAGTTAAAAAAATGCTGGGAATCAAAAAGTCCTACAATAATATTTGTCTAAAAGAATGAGTATAGAAATGTATACCCATGGCTTATTCTTTCATTTAAAACTTTTGAAAGCAAGCACAGTCCAATATTTTCTGACGGTACTGTACTGAAAAAAGTATAATGAATTGATAAATTCATTTCCTTTGTTCACGAAAAGCACCGTAAATTTGAGTTATCTTTCAAGCCTAAAAATCCTTAACGTGAAAAGGAAAAGAGGCAACTACTGGAGTAAAGGAAGAACTAGAATATGAAAAGCGAAAGATGGGATTTCAGCGCGGCTTGCGGAAGTGTCCAACGGAAGAGCTTGATGACGATAATCATTCTCACGCTTATTTTTACTTTTCCGCAGAGTCTAGTGAACAAATGTTATCTTTTCTGGATGAAAGATCGCAACGAATTTCATTGGATGTATTTTTCTTTGAATTATCTGAAATATAAGCTATATGTTGACGATTCAGAGAAGGTTTTATAAAAATATATCAAAACTTTATTTTAAATCCACTGAAAAATTTTTTTCAAGTACCACCTCTACGCGGTGATGGGGAGGCAACGCCATTTATGGCGGCTAACGGTACACCGGTCACGCAATTCGGCTTGCTTCTGCTAACAGAATGGGCGGTCTTTTTTAGCCCTGGCAAGGCAAAAAGGATAATAAGACCACAATTATGCTATAACACGTTCAACACCACCGATGGAACTTTTTCGCAAGAATACCAGTCAACCAGGACGACAACACTGGATGACCGATTGCATAAGATCTCCTGGAAAACGTGTGGTCCACGCTTCGATCAATAAAAGGCACTAAAAGGCAATAAAAGGTCGAAAGCGAAGATGGATCATCTAAGTATCTAAGTAAGTAAGTAAGTAAGAAAAATTTTTAAGCTGCTCTTTGCGCAAGTATTTGGGAGCACATTATCTGGCTCATGAAAGAAAAATTTGAAAGGGGAAAGCAGTCTTTCGATGTCGGCGAAAGAATGGACAACATAGTAATTTTTTTTTTCAGAAAGCTTTTCTGTTCTAAAAACTGAGTCATATTACTGCAGTAGAATTCGAATGAATGGAAAAACGTTCCACTCGTTTTTATAACCGTAAAAATAGCAATTGGAAGTTTCATTTAAAGGAAAATAAACGCGGGAGACGCGAAAGAGAAAATGAAAAAGGAGTCCGAAGTTTTTCAAAAATCTTGCATCATCTGTGAGTATTCACTCATCTTTTGCTCGTTTCGTAACTTGAAAAGGATTTTTAAACTGTGAATAAACGAGAGAAGTTCATTCACAACAGGGCAATAAGAGTTTGCCAGAGCGTGACTCGACATTTTCAGGTATGGAGAAACTGACAAGGTATCAGGCCGCGCACGATTTCTTGAATAACTAAAGCCGTTTTCCTAGGATTTATCTTCTTCAAGAAGCTATCGCCACCCTGAATAGCGCAAAAATGTCGGCTTTTCTCCGGATTACTCTGATATTTTTCCTTATCTCCATATTCTATTAATAATATCTTCTCCTTGCGGTGTTTCTTGCATGGCTTGAGAGGAACTTCCATAAAGAAAAAAGCTATCGGACGCGTGAAAAGCCAATCTGGACACCAACCTTCATACAAACATTTCACGTTTTTCATTGCTTTCTTGATCCAATAAAAAATAATATTTCTATCATCTGGATATAAACTGCGCAAGAGGATAATTTCAATTTGACTCTCGACTATTTTGTACAAAACTGGCGATGAATAAAGTAGTATCCGTTTGAAAAAAATTTTTAGTATCATTAAAAAAACGCGAAAAACTTTTTTTAGACAATTTTTTTGAGAAAAAGAACGATCTATCAAATGCTTGGCTTTGTTCAATTAAGCTCGACAAGCTTTTTTTAATGTTCCTTAAACAAGTGATTTTTTTAGAACCACCGATTGAAACGGTAGAAAAAATTTTTTAAATGAGAGAGAAACTATCTGGAGTCTTTTTCGATTTTGCACCGCCAACTCCAAAAAAATCTCTGCGCCAAAAAGCCTGTTAATCCTGATTTATGCTACGATACAATACAGGGATGAAATTTACAAAACCATTTTCGGAGTTCAGGCTCTTCTTTTTACGCCCAAAAAAATTAATTTTTTTAACTCCAAATGTTGATAAAAAAATAAAAATTTTTAGCTCGAAGTTGGATTCAAAAAACTTGCTTTCGAATATGTTTGTTATGTTTGAAGATTTTAGTGAGACCGGCATATCTCTCTTCACAGTACTTGTCGTTCCCTTCGTTTTAAGTATGAAAATAAAGAACAGAGCGAAAAAGAACTTGTCTCGAAAAGTTTCTGAGAACTTCTCAAGCTGCGCATCAGACAATTTTTTAAGCGATGTGAAAATCAATTATTCATAGAATGAATTTAAGCTGAAAAGGGTCTGCCGACATATCCGAAATCTTTTTCCAAAATTCCTTTTCTCTCAAGATAGGATATCAAAAAGGAACTGTATCTGGTCCTTTGCTTTTTCTAATTTTCATCAATGATATTGTTAACTACATTGACCATGAAACCTCAATCTCTCTGTTCGCTGATGATATAAAAATTTACAGTTCTAACCTTGAATCTCTCCAACGTAGTATTAATTCCATATTTGAATGGTCTTCCATTTGGGGCTTGCCTCTTGCTGCGCACAAAACTTTTGCTATCAACCTTGGTCCCCTCAATTCCAAAACAACTTATTTAATCAATGGTCTGTCTATTCCCAGAAAAACCATTATCCGTGATCTAGGTGTTCTTATCGATGATAAACTACCTCTTGCTCCTCACATTAACAATATCGTTTCTTTAGCAACTCTTCGTTCCAATCAGATACTCAACTGTTTTCGTTCCAAATCACCTGATCTATTGTTCAAAATTTTTAACACCTATGTAAGGCCTATTCTAGAATACTGTCTCGAAGTTTTTTTAACCCTCCCCTTAATTCTGATCTCTGCTACAAACTGGAATCTCCTCTCAGAATTTTTCTCGTAAAAATTTTTTTATTAGGTCCAACTTATCCTTTGAATCTTACTCTGATCGCCTTGAACAATTTGATATCTCTCCACTTTACCTCAGACGAGCTATATCTGACATTCTGACCCTTCATAAAATTGTCTTCGGTATCGATCATTTTTCCCCAGTTCGAACTTTTTTTGCCCTCAGGTCCAATTTAAGGCGAAATCCACTTCGACTGCGTTCCCAAGGTCAGTTTTTCTAATGATTTTTCTTTAAAAACAATTCCTACTTGGAACAAACTCACTTCCAAATTTCAATTCAGCCACCACCCTAAGTCTTTAAAAAAATTTACTGGTCAATCTACCAATGCACGAGATCTTCTTGTCTATTCCTCCACGACTCAAATGATGTATAACTGTATAATGTATTCTCTCAAATTCTAGATCCAAGTGAACTCGTTAGGGTTCACGCTGATCTGTCAATAAATTATTATTATACACAGAGACCGGAGAAAAATAATCTCGGGCGAAAATTGCATATGAAAGGTTTTTTTCGGAAGTAGGATAATAGCAGTCTCAACTACGAACGCTTATTTTTCTTCAAAACCACCTCTAATCGCGGATCATCTACGACCAAAAAAACCAATCAAAACAAACAATCCAAGGATTGCAGCGTCTGGCCGGGCCAAATTTGAGGCTCTTAATTGCGAGGCGAGGGCGACTACAATAATTAGAAACTATAAATAGAAAGAAATCCTTAGCTTCCTGTTTCTCAAGATTGATAGAGAGTAAAGAGCTTCAAGGGGATCAATGTAAAATTGAAACTCAAACTGATGGAAATGAAGAATTCACCTTTAAGACAGCGGATTTGTATTCGCGTGTTGTGCATCTGAGAATACAAACCACGCGTTCCTTTGTTTCGGAATTTCTTATTTGACGTAAATCCCCGGTTTTTTTCTCTCTTTTTCTTAAAAATGGGATTTGGAGGATACCTCATTCACATTAGCATTCTTCTTTTGTGTGAATAATCTTCTTTTTTCACTGGTGATACTAGAAGTATTGATATTGTATCAACTTTGCCAGAAACGTTCCCGTCAAGGTGGAAAGTATACAAAGCTTTTTCGAATTGACATTTTTTAGGAAGAGTTCTAATTTTAACTTTTTCATATAAGAAGGAAAACTCTTGAAAAATGTATTGATCTGAGAA